AACTAGCACTAGTTTCTAGCGATAAGTGCACTTACGCGGGATATCCTTATAGTTCCCGCTATAGGTGCTAGTGTTGAACGTCTATTTAATACCGTATAGGATATATACCACTATCGACGAGGCCGCTTAAGGATAGAGATAATTGAAGAGCTAATAATATTTTATTATTTAATAAAGTTTGATCTTCAGGAAGAGGAGAATGCCCTCTTAAAGGAGTTTTTTACTACGGAGGAGATTAATCTCTTAAAAGAAGAGCAAAGGGAGGATACACCTAACTAGTTCGGGCTAAATCTAATTAGTTTAGACGAAGAAGGCTCCTAGGAAGCTAAGGGGGAGAGCGAGGATGAACCTTAGCTAAACAATAATAAGGGTGACGATAATAACCTTCCTGAAATGGAAAGCACTTAGGCGCGGCGTATATCTAAGAGATCTCGCAAGCGTCCTCGATAGGAGGACGATCAATAGTTATATTATTAGTGATTAAGACTATAGCGAATTAAACCTTCATTTCTAACGGCCGTCAAAAAAGCCAAAACTATAGCTAAATACCCCTAAAATTCTAACGGCTATCAGAATTCTAGTGCTGTAGCTTTAAAAATTCTTCGAACGTATATCAGAAAAAATAGACGTACAAAGAGGGGCTAATTATAAGTCAAATACCCAAAAATACAAACTTATATTATATAAATAATGCATACTATTTGTTTGTATGGTTTGTAGCCCACTTAGGCCTAATGGGCCCCTATAGGCTATCTACCCCAGCCCATAGCCCATGGGCCCGGTGGGCTTTGGCGCAGTCTAGTCTACTTCTAGGGAAGCTTCTTATAAATAAGTTATTTCTTAGAAGCCTCGAGGTGAGTGAAAAGCTTATTATATACTCTAAAAATAAGGTAAACTGTGATATCTCTTGACTTCGAGAGGGCTATCGTAAATTTAAAGAATAGCTCTATAATATAAAATAGATACTCGATCTAGCGCTATTCTTCTTTATCTAGTTAGAACTAGAGGTATTTATACGTTATATAATATAGATTGAAGGTCGATTATAATCGTTTCGCACGACCTAGCATCAAAAAAGTCGAATTCTACTAAGTGCGGACGTCTTAGATAGGAATCAGACGAGGCTCTTCGATCTAAAGGCTTAAAAAGGCCTCGCGGCGTTATAGACTTATATTAATAAATATAGCGAGGTTCTAGACCTAGAATAAGAATTAGTTAATTAATAGCGGGATAAATATTCTATACTAGAGCTTATACCTTATTTAGCGTATTAATAATCTCCCTTTTTAAGTGGTTTAAATATAGCGAGTGGGCGCGTTTATTCGACTAGTCCACTTTAGCCTTATTATTTACTAGAGCCGCCTTTATCTTACTAAGAAGCTAATTTAGACTAAGCTAAATAATATAAGCGAGATATAGAACCTAAAAGATATTTGTATTACTATTACCTTACGCCCGAATTTCGTCTTAGATACTCGATATTATAGTATTATTATTCGTTGTATTATTGGTAGTAACGAATAATACCTAGTTAGCTATACTATGCTTCTAAAGGATTTCAATAATAGTTATACTAAGGTTACTTCTAGTATATAAACTATAGAGAGGCTCGAACCTAAGAAGAACCTCCTAATACTCCTAGTCCTAGTTAAGAAAGTAACTAGTGATAGCTATAAAAGCCTAGCTAAAGGGAGATATCTAGTAATTAAGTATAATTAAAATCTAGCTTCCCTTAGGGAGCCTATTAAGTATACGTCTTTATCCTTATATAATATCTTTGTCTAACTAGCGCTATATAGATCTAGGCGAAGATAGTTTGATCTTAGAATTAGCTAGTTATATTATATTGTATAGTTCTTATAGCTTAGGACGTTCGAGGATACGAAATAGGAGTTAGGCGATAGATATTAGCTAGAGAAGTTTCTAGGAAAGAACGTCTTAAGAAAATCCTTAGTTTAATATAGTTTGTGGCTTTATTATAAAGCGGTTAGCTAAGAAAGAAGGCCTATATAGAGTACTTTAGCTTACTAAGTTTTATATAAGCTAATTAATACCTCGCTTTAGTAGACCTAGGTAGTAAGTACTACCTTTAAGATATATTCTTATTAGAGAAGTCCCTCCACGACGGAAATAGGGATAGACAAGAAGCGTATTATATTGCTAATATATAATCTTAGGCTCTCTAGTCTTCTAATAGGCAACTTAACTAAAGTTATCCTAAATACTAGACTTCTTCTTATCGCTCTAGTTAATTAACTCTTAGGTATCTTTCTTTAATCCAAAATTAGTTAATAGCCACTATTCCACAAACTTCGAGCGAGAGTGATCTATATTAGGCTTAGTATTATAGATTACCTAGAACTACTAAAGTCGAGGTCTAATACGCTAAAGTGATGCTGATACTAATATAGGATATAAAGGTAGGTGATTCTTAGATAGAGCGATCGAGGTGACCGTTCTATAGGTACTTATAAGGATAGATAGGTCGTCTGACTGAAGGAAGTCAGTTTTAGAGAACTAGTCCGTGAAGTAAGATATTTAGGAAAAGGCTATTTTAGGTAACGTCTTGTAGAGTAAATATAAAGAGAGTGTGTCGGAACTAAGAACTTATAGAGAATAGTATATAGGGGGAAACGAGCAATCAAGTCGCGACTAGGGTTAGACGCTGCAGCAAAAGAAATTATAGATTACCTAAAATACTACGTATTAATTAGGTATATATATATAGTAGTGCGGTTATCTATAGTTATCTTACCATTAACCGCTAAAGACCACCAAAAATTGCAAGGTAACCACACAAAAACCGCAAATAACCATAAAGTAACCGCTAAAGACTATACAATCATTTCTTTAGATAGCGAATTCTTTATTATTTTATATAGGAACTTGTTTTCTAAATTTATCTATATAAATAGACATCTTAACTATATATTTAAGTGTCGTAATGGGATTATAAACTACATAATTAATAAAGTTAAGTCCTATAAGTGAGTTTTGTAGGAAGGTGCACTGACTAATGTACGCAAAAATATATATTTCTTAAGATATATCTGACCCTTTCGCTAATAATAAATTTACTAGCTATATATATTTCACATCCCTTATCTTAAGGTAAAAACACTGTTAGCACTGGTCCTTGCAACTAAATATAGTTATATTTCTAAAAGTTTCAGTGGATAACGGGCATTGCGAGTATAATAGTTTTATCATAACCAAAACGTAGGTAAATTAGCATTAAAACCTAGAGTGTGTTAGCTATATAAAGGTCACATACGTGCTTATAATAGGCAAGATCTACAAGAATTATGCTAGTGCGGTTAATCAACGGTTAACCGCAATGCGGGTTTAGTTAACCGCAAAATGACGGTCTTAGTCTTAGTTATCACTTTACTAACCGCAACCGCAAATTTGCGGTTGCGGTTAGTAAAGTGATAACCAAGACCAAGACCATGCCGCAGTCTAGGCATAAGCCTATATTCCTAGGATTATAAAGATAATAACTAATATCTTTAAGAGATTCTAGTTAGGGAAAGTAGTATATAGCGAACTAGGAGAATACGAAAGAAGCTAAAAATACTAGAAGGATTTAAGATTAATACTCTATAGATATTAAATAAATTATTTAGTTATACTAAATTCTTAAAATTAGGCAGTGAAACTTTTACTAAATTAGTACTATAAAATACAAAGAAAAACTACATAAAAATTACGTACTCTAGAAAGTCACGATGCGTAGCGTTTTATAATATCTATAAAACCACTGGTTAACTAAGACCGCAATACGGTTTTAAGTTAAAGACTAATACTAACCGCAAGTGGTTTTCGGTCTTAAACTTAAGACTAAACCCACAAATTTGCGGTCTTGGTCTTAGTTAACCATAGTCTTTGCGGTTCTTGCCGCAGTCTAGTCATAGGTGTTATCGGGCACGAGAATACATCCGTCTGGCGTTGGAGATCTTTGATTCGGCTGGCATTCAGAATACGGCTGCTGCCAGGGCTGCGGCACTTACGAGGCATTTGTGTGATAAGGTTGATGCTCTTGTGAGGATGTTGAACGTAAACTGGCACCAACCTCCGACAAACTGCGAAACTGACGGTACGGTTGAGGATCCGATACCCGGAGTCCATCCAGAATCTGTTTCGTCTTCGGTGGCTGGGATCTTACCGAGGAACGATATTGAATCGTCTGTGCCTCCATGTCCGGAAACGAATGCGGATTCATTGTGGTCCTGGGTTGACTTGATCAATGTTGATGCTTGGCCAAGTTACTGTGATGAAGTGGGCGAGGCGTTCACAGATCCGCTTAATTTACCATTATCGTGGGCCTCATGATTGTCGTCCCATAGAACTGCGATAACAAATCATTGGATGACCAGGTCGGGGACGTCCAGGGTGAAGATGTATCACAGTCCCCAAAGAATTATCTTTCCAAAGACAACCCCACCAGTAATTAGTAATTGGACATATGTACGATGTATGTGATTTTCTTGACTCACCATGTTCATTCACTGTTCTGCTAAATGGCCGGACTTTGAGTGAATCGAACCATTGTCCAACCGATATTTCAAATCGCGGGTTTCTGATATTCCTTTCTAGCACTGGGCTGTGAGTGCCACATTTGTTTAGTCACCTAACTTGTGACTAGCGAGAAATGAGAAGCCAATTTCTTTAAAGACAACTTCTTAAATGTATGGTTGAGCCTCACGGCCGCAAAGAGAGTTTCTTCCCAGCACCGAAAACGTTTCGTTTGGCTCAATCATTTAGGACTGCTAGGTTGACGGAGATGTTCCAAATGCTCATAGCTTGTTGCAAGTACTGCAATAAAATATCCACTAAAATAAACAGTCCCCAGTTGCCATTCAAGACAGGGAAAATGAACAGAATTACCCTATAGCATAAAAGGCTAGTAGGCCGTGCTCATGAAATAAATCAATTTCTTGATACCCGCCATGAATTGCTAGCAAATACTCTTGCCTTAGACTCCCTTCTACAATTCAAAGTTAAGCCACCTTCCTCCCATCCCTAACAACCTCCTCAACCATCTTCGCTGCCGCCAGCATCTCCTCATCTCTAAACCGCGCCCCAGAAATCTGCAACCCGATAGGCGCCCCCTCAAACCTCTCCGGCCCCTTATACTTCCTCCATTCCCGCTCATCAACTTCGCTCCTGGGAACATACTTCCCGTCCTCCTCCGTCAGCACATCCAACTCCGAGTCAACCGTCAACCCAGAAGGAAACACCGCTGAAGGGAAATCAACCAGATTCCAAATAGCAGTATAATTCCAATACTGTGACTCGCCCATCACAGCCGCCACGCTAGGGTAGGGTGGGGAAATGATAAAGTCGACTCCGCGCCGCTTCATGACCGCGTGGTACCCGTCGATGAAGACGTCTCGTTTGTGTTGGTATTTCCAGGCCTCGGGGTGGGTGAGTGGTGTTGATCGGGCGTAAGATAGGGCCCAGTCTGTTAAAGGGCGGGCGGGTTCGCCCGAGTCGTTGAGCATGGCGCGTTGGAGGGCGCCGGCATCTGGGTAGTAGAGGGTTGACTTGGTAGGATTAGGATCTGTGAAAAGCGAGGAACTGGGAGGGCTGGGGAAGCTTACGATTATATCCCAGCCTTCATCATGCTTGTATGGTTCCCAATCGACGACTTTGATTCCAGCCGCGACGAGCTTGTCGCGGGCAAGTCGCAAGGCACGGGTTATTGGGGGATGGGGGCGGACGCAGCTAGAATCCATAAGCGAAGCTCTACAAACTTGTTCTGGAAACTTACCCATCGTCCCACATGATAGCAATAGTCATGTCGCGCGTCGGAGTGACGGTCTTCCACGGAACAGGGACCAAAGTCCTCTCGTCGTTCCATGGCTCTTGGGACAGCACGGCTTTGGAGAAGAGTTCACAATCTTCAAGCGAAGAGCTCGCCAATGGACCCACGACGCCGTGAATAGTTTCCTGTCCCAGGGCCGCAACTTGAATTCCTGCCATCGGCATGCGCATCGTGGTAGGGCGGAAGCCGTAAGCACCGCAGAAAGCGGCTGGGCAACGGATCGATCCACCGATGTCAGTACCGATGCCGAGAGGGGCGCATTTGAAACCCATCGAGGCGCCTTCGCCGCCGGATGAACCTCCGGGTGTTAGAGTGCGGTTGTATGGGTTTAGAGTTATGCCGGTAATGTTGTTGCTGCAGCAGAGGTGCTATCTATTGTAAGATAACATCTGGTAAGGTGTTTTCAAATGTGGCTTACCATGAGGGATTGGGGTTGGTTCGTGCGAACGTGGAACACTGCGCCGGCCTTGGCTAGCAATTGCAGCAAATGTGCGTCTTCCGGTGTAACATTATCGATCCTGTTGCTATCAGCAATGATTGTGGTGTGGTGGTGGCGGTGCTGGGAAGTAGATTAGACCTACCAAGAAACGTATCCGGTATTGCATGTCTTGTTCTTGAACCCAATGTGTTCTTTGACACTGATGGGGACACCGTGCTATACAAAATGTTAGCCTTTGCACGGCCGAGAAGTCTAGCCCATCTCACCAAAGGCCCAATTAGCTTCCCTGTCCGCTCATAATACTCATCAAGTTCTTTGGCACGAGCAATTGCCTCGTCTGCTAAGAACTCCGTTGCGAAATTCAGCTACACATTCATGAGCATTCTGCATTTAAACCAACCGACAAAGGGTCTCGCACCAACTGATGTCCCAGAACCGATCTCTTCAAAAATGCCACAACAACCTCCTGGGCCGTCAACTTCCCCTGTCCCATATTCGCCACCAGCTCAGTAGCAGACATCTCCGTAATAAGGAGCTCAAGCTCACTGAGTAGACCACTCTGTCTGGGAAAGTCGACGACATTCTTCTGCGTGGACATCGGCAATTTGTCCGCCGGGAGTAGCCATTGCTTCGGAATCGAGTGGTTGAGGATATCTTTGCCTTTCTGGGCTTGCCGCTCCCAGCTCTGGAGGGACATGTTTATTAATTACTGCTGGGGGAAACCGAAGTTGTAAGTCGTGTGATGGTGCAAGTTTGATCAGGTAAAAGGGAAGAAAGGGAAGAAAAAGTCCCAGGCTAGATAGGTAACCCCTCGCGATTGCCGGCCCCCGCATATAAGGCACCCTTCATTATTCTACAAGCGGAATCGGAATGGTTTCCAGCAGAGCTTGTGATAGGCACTGACGGCGCGGGGATGTCCGTAATGCAGATAAAAGTGGAGCCGGTGCTTACTCTTATCTGTTGGCACCTGTCGCGCCTGGATAGAAAGAGAGGATCGGCCCCGGAGGAATTCCGTCATTTGATGTAGCGTAAATGTACATGTCGGCGGAGTAGTGTCCGCTCTGTTGAGTGGAGAAATCTAACATTCCCACCGGATGTAATCTAGATAGAGAACTTGGCGGACCTTGGAAAAATAGTTCAAACCCGATAGATTGATCGATAAAGTTTTTAAAATGCAAAAACCCGAGGGCTGGAGATAATCTAAAAATTTGTTCTCGAAGCCAAAAAAGAAACTCTCCCTCGGGGAATCGAACCCCGGTCTCCCGCGCTTATCGGTGTTAATGACAAGCGGAAATCATGACCACTAGACCAAGGAAGATGTTCAGTCGAGTTACTGCTCGACCACTTGGGTGGTTGATAGAAGACCCGGCCATTTTATGTTCTATGTTCCATATTCCATGTCTTTCCCTCACCCACAGCAGGTCAGCGCCTCGCACAGTGTTCCACATACCACCTGGCACCGCAACTCGCCTGGAGACCCCGTTTCGGACCTGACCTCTGGTTGGATGGTTGCTGAGTGGATCCCGTATGCGTGGAGACACTGGTTAATTGTTCTGGCGGTTTCGAGGAAACTCTCGACTGACGGTTCGGAGACGACGACGTGAACGGAGGCGAGGGTTTTTTGTTGGTTGAGGCGCCAGATGTGAAGTTCGTGGATTGAGTCAACGCCGGGGACCTGCGTAAATCAGTTGACTGCATTGAGTTGGTATGAAGAGGATCCTCACCTTTTCCAGATCGTGCTGCACGTCGCTTGGGTCGACTCCGGTTGGGGCGCTTTCTAGGAGGATATGTCCGGATCTCCGTACTGTGCATGCGTGAGCTGAGTCCTGAAAAGGAAGCGTATAGAGGAGCATACCGAGTGGAATGGAAGAGAGGATGATCATCAGGCCGATGCCCATACTCACTCCCGGGTCGGCGTAGTACCGGCCATCGTACTTGGCCAGCCAGATGACCAGCGCGGCAGTCATGACACCGAGATTGTTGGCTGCATCACACAGAACGTGCAGGAGGACACCCATCATGCCCAAATCTCCATGGTCATGTCCGTGGCCGTGGCCGTGGCTATGAGCGTGGCCGTGACCTTGACCGTGGTCGTGGTCGTGGTCGTGACAGGGTGTAGAGATGGAGCCATGCGATTTTTCAAAGCCCACATGCTTGTGATCTTGGTGCTGAATGTCATCAGTAAATTGATGATGAGCTATGATGAGTTATAAGGGAAAAAGCAAACTTACTTTGGCAATGGAGTCATCGTCATCACTGATGGGCGACACTCCATCCTCGATTGTCAGAGAGCCGAGACTGTGACCGTGATCGTGCCCATGTTCTGAAGGGAATCAGTCTCTGTATCCAGAGACCTGACGAGCACCACTCACCGTGTAAAAACAATGCGCTGATAATATTGAGTCCCAGCCCGATACACCCAACAATGAAGACCAACTTCGGATCCTCAATACCTGCAACTCGATCAGCCACGCATCACCCAAAACCAACGACAAGACTCACGATGCAACGAAATAAACCGTTCAACCGACTGCAGCAGAATACTGATCCCCAGCCCAAAAAGCAGCACCCCATTAAAGAAAGCACCCAACAATTGAGCCCTTTGCCATCCAAAAGACAGGCCTTTAGGCGATTCATCACCCTCCGAAACCTGTCAACCCGTCAACGATGCCCGATGTACCTGGCTCTGCAAACGAACCTTCAAGGCTACCAAGGCAATCACAAAGCTCACGAGGTCATTTAACTAGCACAATCATGAGTAAACCGTTCCACAATCCACAGAGCATTCGACATACGTAGTGAAAGGCGTCCGCAATCAGTGCAAGCGAATGGGTATAAAACCCCACTGTACACATATCAGCAAAGTCTCCCATGCAATAGGGTAGGTGCACTTACCCGAAATCTCCCCTAGGAAGAAACATGTCGAAATACCAATCACCACGCACAAGCGCGTCGAGCGCGAGATGCGAAACACCATCGTCCACTTGTAAAACCGAATGCTCGCCTTCAATGAGATCACTTCAAATGTAAGGTTTAACTGAATGGTTCCTGGTGTAAAAGTGCGTCGATATGCGATATGCAGAAACCAAGACAAGTGTAGAAGCAAGATAACCCAAATGGCGCAAGGTCAAGGTGGCGTGCGAATGGAAATCTCCGGAATGGAGATTTCCAGGAGATTTCCAGACGAGGAGCCTTTTTGATTGCCAAATACTTTTTGCCTCTCCGATTGGGAAATCAACCGGTGGTTGGCCTGTTACTACCGTGTAACTACTGGAGTTGGGACTCCGGCCCCTTGGAAGTATGTACGCTTGAGGTACCTTGGGTGTGGCATGCGGGTTATCCTAGGGGTTTTGAATTATTACTTTATTATTAATTTATTGTAAATTGTACAACGACCGTGGAGCTAGCTGGGAAGGCTCAGTGTATTGGGATTATTTATTATCATTTGTGCTGACTCTGGCAATTAAACTCATATAGTGTTAGGAGAGGCAGCGGTTAGGGCACGCTAGTCAACCCCGAATCATAGGGAAGACACGCGGACAGCGGACCCAGACTCCCGACATCCGGAATATCATCGAAGCTCACGTTTGAATTTATGCCCTTCATACCAGCCATAATTCAAGCAAGAGTAAATCGCTCCTTTCGTCATTTTCCCCACGGCCCTACGACTTGCGGGCGGATTTAGGTTTGACGCGCAGGAAAAAGCCATGTCACACCCGTGAAGAATGCAGACTTTCCCACCCAGGTACTCACGAGCCACGAATGCAAGATTCCGATGCAGATAAATTACGACATCTAGTAAACGATAAATCCAAGGAAGTGAAGTGTGATTTGATCTCGCGTTCATTATTCAATTTAGCATTAACAAGCTTTTCAGAACCAGTGCGTTTACGCCGCAACCAGATCCGACAATCCGTCCAACTCGCGCTGCCAGTTGCGGTGTCGCGAAACATGCCAGACAAACTGCTCTGCCAGACCCTTTGAGTCCGGTCCGACATTCGACACCTTCAGTGCTGAACCGTTGCCGTGTCCAGTGACAACGCCGTAGGACTCGGTCACAGTCGTACCGCTCGCAGCGACGTGGACCTCATCCAAACCAATCTGGCGGCCGATGAATGGAACGGCCTCGTTGATACCGGCAATAGGCTTGAGATGAGCGAAGGACTCGGTAATCCAGAACTTGGCAACGCCGTTCTTCGCCAGTGACTCGATGTGTTTGCCGCCTGGAACAAAGACGGCGTCGAAGAGCGTTGATCGCATGCCGGAGAAGAAATGGTCCGGGACGACCTTCTCGCCTGTCTCGGACTTGACACCTTGGCGCTGGGCGCCAATAGTGAAAACGAAGGCGTTTTGTGCGGTGAGGGCTTCTTTCATGGTGTTGTACGAAGCGTAGTCGAAGCCGTCAGCGATAAGGATGGCGATGCGGCGGGTTGCAATGGTTGGCTTTTCGGGCATGTATTCCAGTTGACTGAGACCCTTGGCCGTCTCGCCCTTGTTCGCTTTCAGGGCTTTGGTGGGCGTGTCGGCGCCGACGTTTGTCGCGACGGTCTGGGCTAGCTCGAGACTGACAGTCGCGATACGCTCGGCCATGCGTTTGTAGACGACGGGATCGTCGCAGTGGTCAAGTTCGAAGGAGAAAGCCTTTGCCATGTGCATCTTTTCGATCTGCGAGAGGGAGTTGTAGAAGACCTGGGCTTGGTTGTAGTGCTCCGCGAACTTGTCGGAGAGGAGGCGGGCCTTGATGCCCTGCGTCCTCTCGGGGTAGCTTGTGAAGCCACCTTGCTCAGGCTTGGCGGGCGGGTTCGCCTCGAAACGGTTCGGCCAGTAGTTGACTGTTCCCTTGGTGATGCGGTGTTTCATGGCGCCGTCACGGTTGACCAGGTTCATGTATGGGCAGACGGGGCGGTTGACGGGCAGTTCCTCCCAGTTCGGGCCCAGTCGCGAGATCTGCGTATCGAAGTACGAGAAGTTACGGCCCTGCAGCAGCGGGTCATCGGAGAAGTCGATACCGGGCACGATGTGGCTGGTACAGAAGGCAGCTTGCTCGGTTTGCGGGAAGAACTCGTCGACGTTGCGGTTGAGTTCCATCTCGCCAATGTAGCGAATGGGAATCAGCTCTTCCGGCCAGACCTTCGTAGCGTCCAGCGGATCAAAATCGAAGTCATCCTTCTTCTCCTCGGGCAGGACTTGCAAGCCAAACTTCCAGCGAGGGAACTGTCCAGCCTCGATAGCGCTGATAAGATCCTTGCGGTGGAAATCGGGATCCTGGCCACAAATCTTCAGAGCCTCATCCCAAACAAGGGAGTGCACACCGAGTTCAGGCTTGAAATGGAACTTGACGAAATGGCGCTTCCCCTCGCTGTTAATAAGAGAGTAAGTATTAACACCAAATCCTTGCATCATTCGGTACGAGCGCGGAATAGCCCGATCGGACATTTGCTGCTCAAGTTAGCCAAACGTCTCCCAAACCCCAGAGAAAGAAACAATCATACCCAGTAGTTCATGTGCGTAGTCTCGGAATGCATATACACGAAATCCCAGAAGTTATTGTGCGCACTCTGACCCTGCGGCACCTCATTATGCGGCTCCGGCTTAACGGAATGAATGATATCCGGGAACTTAATCGCATCCTGGATGAAGAATACAGGAATGTTGTTCCCGACAATATCCCAGTTTCCTTCTTCGGTGTACATTTTCACCGCGAACCCGCGCACATCACGCACGGTATCGGCACTGCCCTTGCTACCCTGCACAGTCGAGAAACGCAGGAAGAGAGGAGTTGTGCGGCTGGTGTCGGTCAGCACGCCGGCGGTGGTGACGTCGCTTGCGCTCTCGAAGAGCTTAAATGTGCCAAAGGCGCCCGTCCCGCGGGCGTGCACGACACGCTCAGGGATGCGCTCGTGGTCGAAGCGCATGATCTGTGGAGATTAGCGGTGTTCTGGGGCAGCGGATGTATGGAACGTACCTTCTCGCGAGCAATCTGGTCTTCCAGCAGCGATGGGCCGGTGTTTGAGTTATTGCCCACGCGGAGCCAGTGGTCCGGGTCTGAGATCTTGATTCCATAGTCGGTAGTCATATGTTGCTTGCCGTTGAGTTCGATGGTGTCTTTCTCCATGTCGCGGAACTTGCCGTCCTCGACTGAGGCGTTGGTGGGTGCCATGGTGACTATTTTTATACGTGGAGGGTATGGAAGAATAGAAATTCAATTGAAAACAACAAAGCCAAGATTCGGGGGAGTGCCACCTATATATACGCAACGGTACCCTCTTCACCAAAATATGCGGGAAAGCAAGCTCTACGACGTCAATGATGTAATTTACCCCGGGCCTGGGACGGTGCCAATCACGACTCCAGGAATTCAAATGTGAAATCAGAGCTGCTTATTCAGGTCGACTCTTCTCGATCGCATCCAACAGGGCACAGCTTGGAGCTACGGTGGGGCTCGAGAAAGTTTACCCTGTCGGGCGAGAGGAGAACCCCCTTACGATCATGAACAAAGGATGACCGAAAACCGAGTCATCGTTCACCAATGCCCGAGCAGGGATACCAAACCTGTCGTGGGGCAGGCGTGATCCAGGAAATCATCACGAATATACCAATTCCGATTCGCGGATGGGCTCCCTGGTTTTCGGGATTTGGCAAGGTTTAATTCGGATCGTATGAGCTGTCTAGCTGGCTACGAACTACTTCCTAATGTGTTAAGCCTGGTTGTGCAGTGTGGTGTGATTAAACTAGCAGTGGGACCGTGGCTCTTCCTTGGTTTGGTAGCCATCGATCATGGGCATGGACAACCAGGGTGATGGTGGGTGGGGTTTTACCAATTGCAGAGGTGATGACGGTTAGGATCTGGATCGGGACTTCTTATTAAGAATTGAGGGCGTCGGGATTAGAAAAAGGGAACTTGGTTCTGGTTGGGAATGGACGTGACGTCACTTGATATGGTAAATGTGGAGAAGGGGGTTTACCGGCCTTGACTAAGACGGGGAGGCCTAGAACAGTTCTACTGTAGTACTGTACAGGTACCTCGGTAGTGGAGACTGTAAATGATTGATCTATACGCCAATGGCTCTTCTAACAATGTACAGTATCTGCAGGTATCCATGTCCAGAAAAATGCACACAAGACTTTCACGCTGAGGGTACACCCAAATCTTCACCATGGCAAGGATCACATATTATCCTCACTCCAATGACTCCTAGTCTTCAACCAAGCATCGCGTTCCTCTTTACTCTCCTGCGGACTCTTCCCCACACCGAGGCCCCTTTCAACCCACTCACGACTTCCCATCTCGGCAAGACGCGAGAGCGCGCGCGCAAATGCAAAGCGCTCCTCATCACCGCTGAAAATAGAAGTATTCTTCAGCGCTTGCACTGACATGCCGAGATCATCCATCAGGTGGCGCATTGCATCGGAGAGATCGGAGTGGTCGTCCTTCAGTCCATCCCTGACGTCTGCCTCGGAGAGGAAGAGGTTCGTCAGGGGAACTTCGGTTGTGAGGACGAGTTTGGCCTGTAAGGTATGTGTTAATTAATGAAAGCCAAAATATGGAAGGGAAATGGGGATGTACCCTGCTTTCGTAAACCGCGTCGATAAACGTGATGAATCGACGGGCCAAGTCACGCTGGTTCAGGTTCATGCCCGGCACGTCTGTGACAATGAAAGCATCGTAGTGCCGCACCAGCTCCAGATAATCAGCTGCGCCTGTGGCCGTGCCGATGAGCTGATTGAAAGTGAACTGTGCAGCCTTGCCGCTGGCCCGAGGCACCTTGATCTTGCGGCCCCATACCACCTGCGTGGCTGGGTGGGGAGGGTCATTGACAGGGTCACCTAGGAAATCGAACCATTTCTGCGCGTGGTGCTCGGCGTCTTCACCCAGAGGGTGGTGGTAGACGGCGGCTGGGGGACGGGGGATCTTTCGGTAGTCCGTTGGAGAGTTGAGGTTGATAACGTTTAGGTCGGATTTGAGGAGGTTGATGCAGGGGATGAAGGACTCGCGTTGAATGCCGTTTTTGTACAGGTCGTCAGGGTGGCGGTTGGAGGTTGTGACGAGGACGACGCCGTGCGACATGAGGGATTCGAGGAGTCTTCAACGATTAGTAAACTGATCTATCCCAGGTTGTAGGTGGTAAACTCACCTCCGCAGGATCATGGCGTCGGCAACATCCGTGCACTGGAACTCGTCGAAGCAGAGCACGCTCGCGGTCTCCGCGATATCAGCGGCGACCATGGGCAAAGCGTCGAAATCGTTGCCATACTTCGTTTTCACCACGTGCATGCGCTTATGTACATCCTGCATGAAGTTGTGGAAGTGGACGCGGGTCTTACACTTGATATTCGGGGGCAGGGTATCAAAGAACAAGTCCATCAACATGGTCTTGCCACAGCCCACATCGCCATACATGTACAAGCCCTTGGGCAGGTTCTCAGGAACAGCTGATTTCGCAGCCTTGGTGTTCCCCCGGCGACTGAACAGCGAGCCAAAGAATGACTGCTTGGATTGCATGTCCAGAGACTCGACACTGGGGTGGATCACTTCCGGAGCGTTGTAGGATTTGAGGGCTTCGAAGAGGTCTTGGAGGTTTTGGATAATTCCTGCATCTGTTAGATTCGGCCTGCTACATTTCGTATAATGTGCGTCTACCTCTCTGGTAATGGTCATCGCGTAGCCGGCCCTCCTGCACTCGTGTATCATATTCCTTCAACGGACCCTCCTGCGGCGGAGCGTTGGCTTTCTTGCCCTCGGCAGGAGGGGGGGTCTGGGTTGCCGTGGCCAGACTTCGCCCCCTCACGCGCAATGGCAGCTGGGTACCCGTGGTGCGCGCAGCAGGCAGAGCTGATCTCGAACGATATACGACAGCTGGGAACAGCCCTGTTCGTTGGGTGGCATAGGTGCGTTCACGAGGAACACCCCGCAGGTTTGCAGCATTCCGAACTCCTCTTGACGGACGCAACGCGCTGGGGAGACAATCCGCGCAGATCTTTACTGATGGCCGACTCATTTGTACTATGATGCGTATATACTTCGTGCAGCGTGTCGTGGTGGGAGCCAGTATCGGGGATGTCGGTAGGGCGTAGCCGAGGTATTGCCGCAGAAATTAGTGTCTTCCGAGGGGCTGAAGGAGACGCAAGGCACGGTGATGTCGCGACGGTAGATACAAAACGTTCAACGATGCGTAGCCGAAGCTTGCGACAAAAGGGAATTTACAAAACGAACAAACATCAAGAAGCTCGGTGGCTCCTGTTCCTGAGGCGAAAAATGAACGGGCCGATGGGCCGAGTCATGTGACCTCGGGATCAGATGTAGAACCGAATATCTTCACGTCTAGTTATTTCAGAGATATAGGTTATGAACTGATAGGTAAAAAGCTTTCCTATGTATGCAGAATGAGAGCATATGTACATGACACTAGCGTGGCAGGGTATTTTCCCTCAAGGAACGAGGTATAGATGAGAAAGGAAATGGCCCTTAAAAGGGAAGTCAACGTAATGAAAACCAGAGAGAACCCGATCCAAGGAAAATGGTGACCATGATAACCATGAAAAAGACAAAAAAAGGAAGAAAAACCATGCCATACATCACGCATCATATTCGTAACACCGCGAGCCTCTTCCCCTCAAACAGGCAAAACCAAGTGCAATCGCTCAAAGGGCTGATGTAGCCACGGGGAATTCTCGAAAAGTGGATGCCAGAACGCCAATGCACCGTTACTCGTTGCAAACAGAAACACATAAAGATAAATGCACCACTGCGCCGTGGAAGAATAGGAGCGCAGTTCTACCTCGGAGGGTTTAGGCGATGCTCACAAACAGCGTCAACTTTGTGTTGCGCTGCATGGCATTCTCCAGGTCTTGATCAGACACCAGATCGACGTAGGTGCCAGAAGTCTCATCGCGGTACTGCACGATGATATCTTCCTGGATCTTCAGCCGATCAGACAGCTTATCCTTGAGATGCTGCATGCTGACGCCGGACGGAATGCGGATCGCGATCAGATCGTCCTGGAAGAACACCTTGACCTTCATCGCGCTCGAGTTCGATGCCGTGGACACCTGCGTGAGGGAGCTGGCCTGACGATTCATAGGCGGCGGGGCACAATTGGCGAAAGAGCCGGAGCCTTGTTGCGAGCGCTGCTGTTGCTGTTGTTGTTGTTGTTGCTGCTGCTGCGAGGTGCGGTCTTGGGGCGCATTCATCGGTACCTGGGAAGACTGGCGGGAGACACTGCGCGAAGGGTCTGAGTGATGCGACTCCCCCGAGTAACGCGCTTCCTCGCCAAAGGCGTTCGGGTCGATTTCAAAGTCGCCCTGCCGGGGCGCAAACAACTGCCGGACCAGTTGGCAGCGGGCGATGTGCGGAGGCATGCTCAAGAGCTTCTTGATGTACTCGTCGAGGTTTTGGCGACGGCCGTTGGAAATCGCATCGGTAACGTGCGTGACGGGGCCTGGCATGAAGGGGAGGGTGCGCGGTCGGCCTCGATTGCCGGCTTCATCTTCGAACTGAGTCAGGAGGGCAATCTGGAAGTCGTAGAAATCGTGGTAGTATCGTGACAGTTCCCAGCAGCGACCGTCTTCCATCTTCGCTTCGATAATGTACCAGTATTTGTCATTATCGAAGCAGTAGCGTGGGATCGAGGCGGCGACCGGCGCGAGAACGGGTTGGTAGTTTTGAGAAGATTGCGAGGTGGCTGCCTGCGATGCTAGAGTTCCTTTGCTGGCGTTGCGCTGGTGATACGGCTGATATATCGTTAGCATCCATAGTCGCACACTAACGCGGCGGTACATACGTAAGAGTTGCCATTCTGGCTCATGTGTGCGCTCTGGTGGGGGCTCATGGACATCTTCTCCATGCCGTTGGTGACGGCGCCCATGCCACCGCCAGCAGCGCCGCTCTCGATCTTGCCGAGGGTGATGCTGCTGTTCTTATACTCGGCAGTCATCTTCTTCCACTCCTCGACCTTGGGGACACCGGCGCGTCGCACGGCCTCCAGCGGGTCGGTAACCGCCTGACCAGACTGCATATCGCGCAGTTCAATGAAGGAGACGGGAATCAGACCGGGACCACCGAGACGGCCGATGGGTTTGGCGACGAACCATTCGGGGTTGGACTGGGCGATGACGATAATCGCCTCCCCAGCCTTGGCGTCTAGCTCGTCGGGGCGTTCGGCCTGGAAATCGTACTGAACAATGCCGTAAACCATGGCGCCCTGGCCCTTGCCGAGCGCAGACATCCTGAAGACGCCTTGACTGGTGGTGTTGATGGGAGAATCGGAGGCGGGAATGCGATCGGAGAAGCCCAGGTCGGGGTGGCCCTTTTTATTCAGATCGCCGGAACCCCCACTATCCCTTTCGGTTTTGCCGATGATTTCGAAGAAGGAGACAGGAACGAGCCCTCGGGCTTCAGGGATAAGCGGATTACAGGCCTCGTACCAGTCCGAGTCGTCCTCCCTGCTGATAACGTGGAAAAAGTCGCCCTTGCTGAAAGCCAATTCCTGGTTGGGGCCTGGTTCGGGTTGGTAGTCGTAGAGAGCTTTGATCACCTTTGGTGTGCGGTCAGCCACATTTTGCCTGCGGGACACGAGGGGTATCACTGGTTTACACCACGGGTGGCTGGGGGGGGAGGGAAGACAAGAACTCACCTTCTTGGGAGGGAGAATAGCGATCGCGGACTTGGGGGTAATGGAGATGTGGTGATGATGATGATGCTTGGGTTCTTTCTCCCCCTTCAAGGATCGTCTGATGGCCTGAAACCGGGTGTGTTAATTTAATGACACACAATACGAGGTCGTAAAGGGCGTAACGTATCCGAGGGGCAACTCACCTTCATTGCGGCCGACATGTGGAAAGGGGAAAGAGGGAGGAAAGGAGGGGGAAGAGATGACAAGTCAGAAAGCAGAAAAGCAGGGAAGCGAAAATAGGGGAGGCAGAGCAGCTTCTTTATTTTTCTGGCCAGGACGTTGATGCCACCATATCACAGGTGGTGGAAGGAGTGTACGGTATTGCGGTTCCAACCACAGGAACGGGCGGGTTGACGATGATGGTCCGTTTTTTGGGTCTACCTTCTAGAAGGAGTCCTGAGTTCCTATCTATGGAAGTTCTTTCTATGGAAATAGAACCGTAGGTACCAGTGGCGAGGCATCAGCTCCCTGACTACGGACGGGCGCATACAGCCCCCAATCGTCGACTTCATTGAAGATCCGAGTTGACACGTGATACCTCCACGGTTGGGCAGACAGCCTTGTTCCTTTTCCGTTAGAAGCCACCTTACCTTCCGAGTCTTACACGAATCACCCTCAAGGAACACAAAGAAGCCCTGAGATAACCACTGAAAAAAAAAAAAGAACACTTTCCCCTTCCTCCCCTCAACTCATCCGTGGTCCGACCAGAGCGTCAACCGTGGATCAGATGAGGTTCCATCCCAAAAAACGCTCGGATCGGCGCTCGTTCTTTCGCGCCGGGCAAATATTACTGGGAAATGAGTCCCGGTGATCAACAGTCGAGAACAAAGTGGTCCGGAGTCGGGTCTTTGACAGGCACGGACTACTAATTTAAAGATAGAGGAATTCCGGGGCTCGGAGTGCGCGGCCCCTGCAACGTCCCGATAAACTATGCTGCAATGGACATGTACATCCGGTCTGGAACATACTCCAGTCCACCCGGTCCCATCAGTACATTGTTTCAATCTTCTAGATCGGCTTCGCCCTTTCAGCCGTTGGTCCCAGCGCTGAAGAAACTCAGCCGCTGAACACCGCCGATCACGTATGATGTCAGTGTGCCCAACTTTTGTACTTTGATCTCTCAAGTGACCTGGGGTTCAACAAATGAAGAGAATCACGGCCTGAAACCCACGTGGGTAGGTACGTACACTCGGTAGAGCACTGGTACAACCTAACCGGGCAGCATATCTCGCTTGACATTCTTTGGCAGTGTGCCATCCACTCATTGCGTTAGCTCTCCAATGCCACCCATGGCTGACGCCGCCTGGGACCCACGCGGCGGGGCATCGCGTTGCTTCCATGGAAGGTTCATGGAAGGATAGATGAAAAGACAGCCGACCGAGTGGCACCGCGGATCTTTGATTTGTCGACGCCCTTTTTTCAAAGGTACGAGATTCACAAAAACCGAAAAAGGATGGGGTTTGGTAGCCTGGATATTCAGGCACCACAGGCACCACGTTTTTCTCACGGGACTTGGAGTGGCGATAGAGATTACCACTCACGCTCGACGAGGTGGCGAGATTATCTTGGCTTTACAAGATGGCTCGAAATCAGTTTCACCACTTCATGCCCTTTGATTCTTTTCCAACCCCTACTTTGAATCATGCTCATCTATATTTGGCTTAGCGTAAGACGGCCTTGTTAGCTTATTGAATATGAACCGGAAGACGCGCCCTGAAACGATGAAAAGAAGAGGGTGCTAAGTAAGGACAGTAGAAATCGAAAGCAGACTACCCCTCGGACACTGACGCCCCAGATGGCGCTAAACTGAATTCGGTCAGCAAAAGTCCCCACCATCTTTTCTTAATGTATTTCTGGTAGATCACAAAAATCACAAAAATCACAAGTGCTGAAACGCGCCGTGACCATAAACTAAAATGCGAAAAATATATCGCCCCCAAGACACTGATTCCTTCCTCGGTCTCAAGAATTGGTATTCAGTGACGAAACATAGGTAGTCCCTGAATCCTAGCTTGTGCAGGATCGTGGGTGCTTCGGCTGTACCACTGCATCAGCTGGCGAAAACACTGGTACGTATCGCCTTCGGTAGAGGTCTAAGCGACCATTGTCGTAGCAAGTTGCGGTGTGGCATTATGTCGCCTAATGCAATACCACCCTCCCACTTTCCTTTACTAGGTATGAACAGGGCCGATTAATCCCAGTCTATGCATGATTATGTCTGATGACGTAGGTGAGATGATGGTTTTATGCTTTTTCACGAAAAAGACGGAAATCTTACGTGATGAACTTAGTGTGTACGCTACTTAAAGAAACTAAGCACGCCCACTTCTCTTAGGTCTGTATCCAGTCCATCTGTTCTCCTGCCTATCTGTGTATCGGCAGAACCTGTGTGCATCAATCGTTCAAAAAGAGAGTATTTCTACTTACCATAGCCACCATGTCTAAAGTTTATGTCGGGTAGGTTCTCCTGACAACTGAAATGAAATGAATGATCTCTTAATATAAATCCCCAAAAGGAACCTGAGTTTTAGTACAACCGACGATACTTTACGAGACGCATTTGCTGAATTTGGTCAAGTTACGGACTCGGTAAACTGCACCTACCGATACTTTTTAATAAGGACCACTGATTCTGAGATGAATTAGATTGTTATGCGCGATAGGGAGACAGGTCGGAGCAGAGGCTTTGGCTTCGTTACCTTTGCATCCGACCAGGAAGCTGAGGGGGCGGTAGAAGGGCTCAATGAGCAGGAGTAAGTCTTGAAGGCATATTTCTATAATAAGAAATCCAAGAGCGAGCTAATAGAAGTATTATACTATAGACTTGACGGTCGCTCTATTAAAGTGAATTTAGCTAATCCCCGCCCTAGTGGTGGTGGTGGTGGCTATAGTGGTGGTGGTGGCTATAGTGGTGGTGGTGGCTATGGTCAAGGCGGCTATGGTCAAGGCGGCCACTGAGCTGCGCTTTGCACGCCAGTGCCCTAAATGGATAGGAGTGTCTCCTGCTTGGATCATTTGTTAGAGTGTTTAAGAAATCTCATCACAGACCCTATAGGCACAGCCTTTTATATTGTGACTGGCGGGAACGGGGAAAGCGCGCGGGCGATCTTTGCCAGATCTCTAGATCTACAGCGATTCTAAGCGGTTCCATAAGTGGTGACCAAGATTGGGTTAATGCCATTCGGATTTACCTTCCGCGGATTAAGTAGTAAGAGTGGAGGTATAACTGATTCGAAAACTACTGTAAAGTGGTGGAACTGATTTCGATCCACGCTGTACAACCAAATCTGTAGAATGAAGCTTAAATGCTAATGCTGATTTTGCTCAAATGTACTCGGGACACGATATCTACTAGTCCAACTCATCCAATATTCAAGTCCACAATCCCCATCCCAAAACAAGACGCCAGCGGGTATTAGTATGCGACTCTTGCTCGAACCTCATGGGTAGAAATAAAAGAAAAAAAGAAAAAGGGACAACTCCGTAGGACGGGGACCGGGCCAGCTTAACCAAAACGCCCGTTGCTTGAAAAAAGGCCGGAAACCAAGGTTGCAGGAATAGAAAAACGGGACGCGGGATCTAGATCTGTCCCTTAATATCGACCACTGCGTGGGCTGCGGCCTTGGCTTGTTCAAATAACGGGCCGGCCTTGCCGGTCAACAGCCTCACAGACCCGGTCTTCTCCTCCAGCAGCTCGGCGGAGGAGTTTTCAATGACGAACCGGGCAGTCTGTTCATCGGACTCAAAGCCAAGTTCTTCCGTGATGAAGCGGATGTTCACGTCGGGTTTGTACCTGTCATACGATATTAACATATATTCGAGACCGGATGAAAGGGGAATAACTCACGCTCTACAGATAGCAGCCAGAGCAGTCAACCGCTCACGATCAACAAACATGTCCATGAGATATGCTCCCATGTTAGGCGTGTCCAGATAGAGCTGGAAAAAGCGGTGATAATTGCCGAGCGCCAGCGCAGACCTCACATCTAGAGCATGCTTAACCGCAAGGTCTTGCCTGTCGTCTGCGGTAACGTCGGCTAGCGCATCGTTCATAGCCGTCCAGTTGCGCGTGTAAATGAAATAGAGAATACGATACGCCTTGAACTCAGTCGGGTGCCCGCCCAGCTGCTGTTTGTACAAGACTCGCAGCTGAGTCTGGCACTGGTTATACTCACCAAGGTCCCCCTTCTCCAGAGCGATGCGCGCGTGGATCTCGTAGACAATCACGGTGAACTCGTTCCGGATGTGCTGGACCGTTAGGTCCTGGCGGAGTGACTTGAACTGGTCGCAGATGTATCCATAGTTGCCCTCTTTCTTCCATTTCTTCTTAAGGAGGTCCAGGGTCTTTTGGAGCACGGAAAGTGGCCGGACGGTATCCGGGTTGGGAGCAGAGGTCAAGCGGAAGTAGTTCTTTTCCAGGGTCTGGCATCGGCCGATCACGGGTCCTTGGTCCGCTGGAGGACTGCGGGCCGGCGAGGGGACGGGTGAAGCAGAAGCAGAGTTCCCATAGCTGGCTCCGGCTCCTTCGAAGCGCTTCTTCCTCATCTCCAAATTAGCTTTGGACTTACTAGAGTCATCCGTTGTCATGCGGGGTCTCTTCTCTGTGGAAGGGTGAGTGATCCGGTCTTCAAACCGGTTGCGAGTGTTATTGTTAGCTTTTCTCCAGGGTGGCGAGCCTGTGCCTTCCTGGTGGATGTCCGTCGATTTTCTCTTGCGGGAGGGATCCGCCGGCGAGGAAGGGGTGGATATTCCCCAGTTAGACACGTTGGGGTTGGCTAGGATTTTGTTGCGTTCGTTCTGGACCATGACCTGTGGAAGAGCCAGTCTCTCCCAGTCGATAATGTCGAGTTTGTGGTTCTCCGCCGCATCGGTAATGACGAACCTCAGCTTCTCCTGCATTTCCGCCGTGCTCACGCTGGCCATCTGGTTTTCGGGTGCGAAGCAGCGCTGCACATAGGAACGCACTGCAGGTGGAAACTGGACACGCGGCGGGGCTGCATCCGCTGGTGTCATGTCGGCTCCGTTGGTGGCTGGTAGGGTTGGTTTATTATGGGCAAGACTACGACGTGCTTGGACTGGAATATAGGCAGGTGTCGCTATAAAGGGGCGGGTCAGTAACCCGTCACAGGGGAATGGCGGATAGGGACCCATACCAGAAGGTGGATAGGCAGCAGGCGTGGGGTTCGAGGCCGAGGCCGTTGCACGCCACGGGGGAACGCTGAAGCTCATCCCGAGGTCTCTAAAAAAAAGGGTGTAAAGTGGCGAGCAGTGATGGAGATGAGATCGGATAACGAGAAACTTGAGAAGAAAGGGAAAAAGGACGAGAAGGCTACGGAGGAAGTAGGGTGAAAAGAGATAAGACCGTAGATTGAGGATGAGGAAGGTGGTTAACAGTTGACAGCGCACAAGGCCAAAGATGAAGTTTCAAGTTCGACGACTCGCTTACTCCGGGATTTCTTTAATCCGGTCCCGCCCCCGGTTTTATGATAGTCGCGTTATCGCATATGTTTCCCAGTGCCACCTGCTAGATGTTTTTCAAGTCTCTCGACCTGACGACTGCATTGCGGCCTTTACTGTTGCCTGACGAGACTCTCCTCTTTGTCCAGGATGCGGTGGGCTTGTATGAAGGGTGTGTGGTTCCGGAGCTGTTGGTTTACCGTTGACGCCATACTGATACGGGACCAGGAAATACAAGATTCCCAACTTCCAGAATGGCCATGCCTACTTGACATCGCACCGAGTATGCTATGTGGCTGCTGAAGACCCTCGTAACTATTCCGTGGGGATCGACCTGAAGGAGATCGACCGGGCAGATTATCAGGTACGATCTACATCGTGACGTTCTGTATTGACTCACTGATAGATCTGATATAGGCTGGCTTTCTGAAATCGTCACCGAAGATTACAATATACCCCAAACCCCAGAAGAACAAGAGCGACAAGTTGCGAAGCGCAAATGCCAGTCCTGCCGTATCGCAGTCCACCCTCCAGCCAGTCAAGCCGCTCTCCCCGCGCCCTCAATCCGCCGCACCATATCAATCACCTTCCCCGAAACCAGTCAACGCGACATGGATATGTCCTATATGCTCATTCTCCAACCCTGTCCCCTCGAACTTTGACACTACGACAGCTTCCGCGACGACTCCCATACCACCATGTCTGGCCTGCGGCATCAAACCACCGTTCACGACAGTCCTCAAAGCGGCGATTAGCGCGGCCACCGGCTCGGCCACCAGTCGAGATTTACCCTTACCTACCATGAAACCGGTGCCGGTTGAAAATAGCACCGTCACGAAGAACGCTAGCTGGACCGACCCTTTAGGGAATGGATCGGTGTCGTGCCATCGGTGCACCTTTGTGAACCACCCCTCTCTCATCGAATGCGAGATGTGTGGGGCACCGTTGATATCAGCCCCGACTTCGAATAGTGGATTCGATGCGAGTCGTGCGGACTCTCCAGCTCCATTCTTCGATCAAACACGTGTCACCAACACGGAAGTGACAGAGAGCATCAAGCTATCATTCCGTGCGGGTGGGGAAAAAACATTCCACGAGAGACTTAAAGGGGCCCTCATTCAGCGAAAGTGGCTCCTACATAATGCACCTCCGGTACCTCCGCCGTCGCAGACATCATCAAGTACAACTGCTACTACGGCCTTGGAAAGCCCTCAGCCGGCCCCACGTGCTGCTGTGGGTATCGCGGGCCTCGAGCAACGCGGACTTGAAGCCCGCATGAACAATCAACTGGTGATAGGCAATGCCTTTGAGGATCTCGAGGCACTGATGGCGTCTGCGAAACAAATCGTGGCACTAGCAGAAACCCTTGCCAGAGAGTCTGGGATGGCTAGCAACGAAGGTTCTGCAGAGACCAACGCGGTGTTATCGGAATCGGCAGCCGCATTGGGAATGGTGACTACGAAGGACATGCTCAGTTCGGGATCGGAGAACCTCTATCTGTCGGAGCTGTCACGCAATCTGGCCGAGTACCTGACGGACGATCGCAAGGGAATCTTGCAACGAGAAGGTGGTATCATGAGTCTGATTGACTTGTGGGCGGTGTTCAACCGGTCACGCAATGGAGTCGAACTCGTCAGCCCATCCGACTTCGAACGAGCAGCGGAACTCTGGGAGAAGCTCAAATTACCGGTTCGACTACGACGGTTCAAGAGCGGTCTACTGGTGGTTCAGCGCTACGACTGGAGCGACGATAAGACAGTGCGTCAGCTACTTGAATGGATGGATGAACTACGAGTCTTCCCACCGGAGGAGCCGGTTCCGTGGGACTGGAGGGAGGTCGGTCGGGCCGTGACGGCACAGGAAGCGGCGCAGCGCTTCAAATGGAGTGTCGGTGTGGCAGCCGAAGAGCTCGAGATGGCCGAGGACCGGGGGGCCCTGTGTCGGGAAGAAGGGATCGAGGGCCTACGGTTCTGGACCAACCGATTATAATAGTAATCTACAGTTTAGAGAAAGTAGTATACATAGAGTCGAGGAAGGTATGACCGTCTATGTCGAAACCAAAGGGGAATAGATCCGCATGCATGATCGATGACGGAGAAGAAGGAGCCTGCCAATGGGCGTATCGGAGCACGCAGGAGTCGAGCCAGGAATCAACAGGAAGAAGAGCGACGATTCGCAGATTCGACTGAATCTCGAGTCTGACGTCATGGGCCGCTCTCAGGCTGCGGGGTCCCGTGACCCTCCGCCGTGATTGGCGAACCCCGCGATGATCGAACTCGTCTCCACTTGGTCGGAGCCCTTTGCTCCTGACTACATCTCGTCGCCCTTCTTCTAGTCCGGCTTTCCCCCGGTTCTCCCCTTTCTAACATCATCTTCTTTCATGCACACATTTTACACATATTCATTCCTCTTCTCCATACATCACGTCCCTTGTAAACGGCCTCCAGACGACCTCCAGACGACCTCCTGGGGCCCAGTGACGCAAGACCCGCTCTTATACACTGAATTGCGAGTGGGTATGATCGACAGTGTCCTGGAGCCGAGCACGAACTACTCTCCTGTCCACTCGTATACTTGTTTAAATATACTACGAACGCCACCGCCCACTCTGGGGTAATCCATATCATGAGTTCCTCTATAGCCTTGTCTTCAACGGGCGCCCGCCCGGCCCTGTCACAACTCGTGGCCGCCCACACCTCCGCCAGCCGGAGCGTAATGGGTGCTGCTCGCAACTGTCACAGCAGACGTGACAAGATGGAGCGCATCTCCCGCCGAATCGACAAGTACCACCGCCATCCCTCAGCCAATCCCGCCCGCAAGGCCGAGAGCCAATCTTGGCCTTCCACCTGCCACCGCGACTCAACCTCGAGTTTCCCATGGGGGCTGCCGTCTCGTTCCAAGCTCTCTGGCTTCTCGGCTGGCCGAGGCAACGGTTTCTGGGATACGGAACGCGAGCAGCTGCACCACCGCATCGCCTACCTTAAGAAGGTCTCCCAAGACCCTTATGGTGCTATCTTCGGTCGCCGACTAGATTCCTATCGTATGGACAATCAGGACAACGCATGGCCAAGTTTCCTGCGCTCCTTTCTGAACACTGAGCCTGCTGGCTCGGAGAATCCTCCCAAAGCCCATCTCCAAGATTTTAACTTTGCCAAGTCTCCTCAGCTAAGCGCTGAGGGACGCCAGTATGATCCTATCAGCGGACGTATGGCCCCCGTACCACCCAAGCCCATGGACACTATTGCCCACGCCGGAGTTGAGTGTCCCCCTGGAAGCGAATTGGAGGCCAAGTTTGCCTCTGAGCCCTTGGTTGAGAAAACCGTCAAGGAAGCTAGTTCCGAGTCTATTGACTGCTCTGGTGGAAGCGAACTTGAGGCTCTTTTCACTGCCGACCCCTCCAACTTCAAGAACGCTCAGGTAATGTCCAAAGTGCCTCATGGCCAGGAGTCTACCGTGAAGCCCAACATCCACGTTGCCTGCTCTCCCGGCAACGAGCTGGAGGCGCTTTTCGTCTCGGAGTCCCGCCGCACCGAACAGCCCGGTGCTGAGACTATGCAGGTCCAGCGATCTGCTAAGAAGCTTGACCCAGATGCCGGTCTGAGCTCTGGTGCTAATGTCGAGTGTACTCCCGGAAACGAGCTGGAGGCAATGTTCGCCGCCAATCCCGCTGCCCGTGAGGACCAAGCTCAGCCTTTGGAAGCATTCGATGCTCAGGCCACCAGCAGCGAAACCAGCTTCTCTGTCGACTGCCCGCCTGGAAATGAGCTCGATGCGAAGTTCGCTGCCTCCGTCGCCGGTCTTGGCCCCCAGACTACTAGCGTCACTGAGGATGCCGCCCCGAGCGTTGACTGCTCTCCCGGCAGCGAGCTCGAGGCCAAGATTGTGTCTGAGTCGATGAAACTCGGAACCACTGTCGACTGCCCGCCTGGAAGCGAACTAGAAGCCAAATTCATCGCTGATCCCGCTTCTGCCGAGCATGCCCCGTTCCAAATGGCTCCTGCTGCAGAACACGCTACTGCCAAAAAGGCCAACGTTAACATAGACTGTGCCCCCGGTAATGAGCTCGAAGCCCTGTTCATATCCGACGCAGCTAGCGCTGGTGCACGTTCCGCCGCCGTATCAGAAGTTGACACCAAGGCCCACTCGCTCAAGTCCAACAACCTCAGGTTTGAGGGCACTGAAGACCGCGTCGGCGACTTCGTCAAGCAGAACCAGAGCACAACGCCCTCGACCTGGTCCTCCACCGATTACCGCATCTTAGCCTACGACTCATCGATATCAAAGGTCAGCACTTCCGAAGCCGACTCATTCTTCGGCACCGCCTCCACCACCGCGCCCGACGAGATCCTTGCTCGCCTACACAATCCCGCCAAGTTCGTCCCCTACTTCCAAAAAATGCAGCAAGACGGCTACGAAATCGCCACCGGTGGCGGCGACATCCTCGTCTTCCACCGCTCCTCCAATGCCCCCAAGGCCACGTCCCCCTCCACCTTCACCGAACCCGACGCCGCAACCATGATGGCCAACAACGAGATCGCCAAGTTCATCCGTCACGACTCCGAACCCGCCCACTCCCACTCCACCTTCAAGGTGAGTGTCTAGACAGTGGAGCTGTCCAGTCCCAGCGAGCCCTTCTAAATGGTCCGTAGCCCTCCATCGAATCCGGCGCCTCCAGTCCGAAATCCAAACCCAAACCCGGCATTCTCCGCCGCATAATCTTTGCCAGCACAGCCACCTTAGCTTCATGCTACGCCATAGGCGTGGTAATAGAGTTCTTCCGCACTGGGGGTGTGGACGGGCGTGGCATTGACGGATTTACTGCCTTTGAATCTGAGCGGCGGCGTGAGTAGATCTCGCTTCTTTTCTTTCTCTTCTGTTTGAAACACCTTTGATGATCATGACCGCGAGTCGGTCGCAAGACTGTGATGCACATCTTTTCTGGGAGGAATTGGGAGGCTGGCTGAACGATTCCATCTCCATTCTATATATACCCCTTTTTACGGTTATGACCTTCTGTTTTGGTTGCATATGATATTATTTCGTTAGTCTTAGAAAGGCTTAGAAACAAGAATGAAGACTAGATTCATATACATTTGAAGTCTGAGTATGTGAGCTCGGTATATTGGTAGACTAGAGGGGCTGGCTTTTTTGATAGCGGGTCCATGCCGGTGATATCTAGTAACAGACTCTCGGGTGGGAACGTCAGTGTAACATGTTACTAACACAGGAAAAGGTTGCCCTACAAACATGTTGCTTCTGACCCATTGGAGGTTCTAAACCTTTTGAAGTACTTTTTTCGAAATAGACATTTAAAGACGCCAGATGAAGTTGTAGAAAATCCGCTCACTTTCCAAGGTTAGCTATGGATATCCCCAGACGGGGCCATTACTCCACACGTATCATTTGAAAACGAGTTAGATTGGGAGGTTTTTGCAATGTACCTGCAGCGTTTACTCTATCGTACGCCTGTAGATGTCCCAGTATCATTCTTTGAACTTCAAGCTCGCACCTGCAACTTCCCGAATCGACGTTGCCAACAATCATACCCGACTCCTCATCTTCGCCCTCGGTACTCTACGGCTTGGCGGAGAAAGGATCATCCTCATCCTGCCAAACAAAGTCCCACCACTGCCTTCTAGCATCGTGAAGACTACCGATTCGATCACCCTCGGTATTCCGCATAACCTCTCGCCGTCGGTGCGCTTCGGCATCCTCCTGCCGCTGAATGAGCTCCTCACGACGGAGTTCTTCCTCCTTCTCTTCGAAATTCTTCTCCTCTCTGTGTAAATCCTGATACAGCCTTGAATCGCGCTGCAGCTCAACACCAAACCCACTATCAGGGCTAGAAGCATCTCCAGCGTACGGGTGCTTCTCAAAAACCTGCTGCAGTGTCCCGCACTGTGCGGTTCCACCGAGGAGATACAAATGCAACGCAACGAGCATGTGGACAGCAGCGGCAAAGTCCTCTCTAAGCCAGAGATCAAACTCGCACGTAGCTAGGACTCGGAAGGTACGTAGGTCCGGTTCGTAGTCCAGCTGCTCCATCTTTGTATCTGCGAGTTGCTGACGGACGCGTTCCATATTTTTGGCTGTGTAAAAGCGGCTGCTGTCGGGTGTCTGGGCGGAGATGCCTTCGGTGCTAGGATTTTGGATTCCAAGGAGATGTTCTTCGGTGTTGGTATCCTCGATGTGAGCACTTTGCGGGGTTTCTGGTGACAAAGTTCGCAAGATCTGGACTCTGTCGGATGAAAATGTAGGTGCCGGGCTGGGTATCTCGCGGCGACACCACAGGCTGGATATTTTCTGGCCCGGGAAGAATGCGCGCATGAGGTGGAGCTTTGACCCATGGAGACCTATCAGGAAGATTTCCTGGTCTGGGAGCTTGTCGCCGGGAAGTGGAAGGTATCTTAGGTGCAGGAGGAGTTGACCGAGGATGATCTTGAACTTGTCGCCGAGGGCGGAGCGAAGAGACTGTTCTTTGGTGGTCTAATATGCGGTTAGTCTTGTTACATGTCCATAGACATCAATAGGTCATGTTGATTATGCGTACTGTAGACGTTGGAAGAATGGTGTGACTAGTCCATGAATGGGGGCTGAACTCGAGAGAGAGAAATCCTGCAGTCTCGGGGGCGTCCTTGTATTTCTGACGATATCCGGTCCAGTACTCCATCTGGTGGCTTAGTAGCCGAGGTCTGGGCAAGGTGTCAGTCAAGTCCAATTTTGACCAGGGTACGCTCATGATCGCGGTATTGCGTGGACAATATTGGGCTGAGATGTCACTCACGTCAAGGAGAAAACAGCATCGCCATCATAGGTCTCCCGCTTCAGGTCAAGCATCTCACCAATCTCGCTCAACAGCGCATAGATGACCTGGGCCTGAGTTTTGGATCTTCCACTGTTGAGCTCAGCCTGGAAATCCTCGCATCCGCCCTCCCACAATCCTTTTGTAAATTGCGGACACTTGGCGAGAGTTTTGAAAACGCCTCTGTAGCGGATATCCACCCTAGACCACTCTTCCATATCAATGGCACGGGCATCATCGGCGCCGCATCTGAAGATCCAGGCCTTGCGTGTGGCGGTAGCTGTGGAAAAAAGGAGTTAGTATGATTCCACGTACAGACAGATGCGCGTTCCTCTCGCACATTCGAGAGAAGGAGCAAGGGAAGTTATCTTACCAGACTGGCGAGCCAGTCTAAGGTATTGGGCGGGAATGAGATCCTCAAGGTTCTGGTTCAGGACGAACTTGGCTGTGAGGTCCTGAATAGTGCACTCCACTTGACCGCGATGGATGGGGTTGATGTCTGTGTTTAGTGGATGGAGGGTTCTCAGTGGATTCGGGGCCTCTATGATGAGATTTGACAAGGCGAGGAGATCGAGGGTGGCAGACACAGACAGCGTTGGGGTAGGAAAAAGAGATCGTTGGGATGTAAGAGCTTGAATGAGGATAAAAGCTGTGTTGGTGTGCACCACTGGGTAGAAAGTGTGGTATTGCCTGGAGAGAGACGAACTATAAGTCGGGTTTTACTTCTGAAACCGTTGTTGACTTGAGAATAATCCCGCGCATAGTTGAAGGTCTTACGCCGACTTCAATTGATCAACTATATTTGCAACCCACTCTCGACCTTGACACCCAAAAAGTTCCTCACACATGAAACAACACCGAATGTATCAATTTCACCCACAATCAGAGCTGCGCATCAAAAACTCCCGTTTTGAAACCCCCGTTCGGGTGGATGATGACCTTGGTATACCCATCCTCTCTCTTATCAAACTTGTGATAAGCAGCCTCGGCACCAGTGAGATCGATCTCGTGGGAAATCACAAAGCTAGGCTTCGCCTTGCCAGCAATGATCATATCACGCAGGTACCGGTTGTAAGCTTTCACATTGCACTGACCAGTGCCAAGAGACAATCCCTAAAGTTCGTTAGAATCATTTTTAAAAGACCCCAGGAATGGCACGAACGACTGACCTTCTCAAAGAGCTTCCCAAAACTAAGACTGATCATGCCATTCGCGGTAGCAGCATCTGGAGCACCGGGATCACTACGAGAAGAGACGTCAGCTTCAGGGCGCGATATAGGGATCGGTAACATTACCTAGGAACATAAAGACCCGGAATACCCATTCCTCCGCACGCGCGCGTAACACGGATCATGTTCTCGAGTACAATATTCGGCTTCTCGGAAGACCCGTTCGGGTCAACGGCTTGGTAGCCAACGGCATCGACGGACCGGTCAACCATATCGCCATTGTGGGCGATAATTTGGTCGACGGCATCGCTCTTCGTGAAATCAATCGGGATGCAGCCAATCTTTTTTGCGACTGCAAGGCGCTCGGGGACTCGGTCAACGACGTAAACGAAGGATGCGCCGCGAAGAATGGCTGAGTAGGCGGCCATCAGGCCGACAGGGCCTGCGCCGAAGACTGCGATGCTTTCGCCTGATTTGAAGCCGGAGATTTCGACGCCGTGCCAGCCTAGAAGGGATTCATGAGTGAGTTGGGTTCATTGTGTGAGAGTGGTAGGTGATCGTACCAGTGGGGAAAATATCTAGTAAGTCGGTCAGTCAATACAAACAACCCAATTCGTGAGCAGGGGTTATTACTTACCTGCCAGAAGAACAAAGTCGGCTTCGTGCTCGGCTCCCGGAGGCAGCTTCAAAGCATTGAAGTCCGCATACGGTACACGGACGTACTGTGCCTGGCCTCCACGGTAGGGACCCATGGCAACGTAACCTGCGAAGTGTCAGTGGAGACGTGGTACTCAGAACCTCATAACCCACCATAAGCTCCGCCCGCAAAGCCAGGGTTGACACCAGTGCAAAACGCCGTCCGGCCTTCCTCGCAGTTGCGGCACCGACCGTCGGCAACGTTAAACGGCATTACGACACGATCACCTTTCTTCAACAACGTCACACCGTCTCCCATTTCGTCCACGATGCCCATATTCTCATGCCCGAAGGTGATTCCCGGCTCAGCCGCAGTTCGGCCTTCGTACATGCTGTGACGCAGTGAGCTGCAGTTCGCCAGTCCGTAAAATCACATCGGAAGCTTACTGCAAGTCCGAGCCACAAATCGCCGCCTCATCCCTAGTCAGTCTTTCTGTCAAGCCAGATCAAATGTGCAAACTCACAGTAGTGACTTTCACGATGATATCGTCAGGATGCTCCAGCTTAGGCTTTTCGACGTATTCAACCCGGACCTTGTACGGCCCAAGGTAGTTCAATGCCTGCATAGTAGCCGATGCCATTTTGATTTGAGACTTGAAGAAATTTGACGACCGAAGCTTTGGGTGGAGGTCAGTGGGGTTTTGAGAGAATTGGAGAAATTCGCCGGGAGTACATCATATGATTCCAATTCTGACGTGGATTTGACGACGCTGCCAGCCAAATCGGACGCTCATTCCCCGGGATCTTTTGCTTACATGACAAAGGCTGCGGCGAATAGTTTGCAGAGGATGGCTGCACCCCGCAATAGATGGTAGGGCACGGTCGATGGTATGAGGGGAAAGCTGCGGGCTCCCCGCAGTTACTGATAGAGCGTTGGGGTAAAGTACATAGATTGATTTCTGCCCCACATCCTCTAGGAGTATTGAACAAGTTGGATAATCAGCCCAAGTATGTTGAGAACCGAACTCCTCACAAACACTTTATCCGCCGATAGCACCTTGCTAGAGGATTTATCATTCGAGCATCCGTTTACGGAATCACGACGGATGGAACGAGCCGAACTGTCTGGCCTCCTTGCATCAAAATGTACTTTGTGAATGAAGTTCTAGTCAGAGAGTATGGATTTTATTATTAAAAATCAAATGCAAGCCGATCGTGTATGCAGCTTGCTATACAGTAGCGGGATCCTCCGGACCAAACATAGCCTTCCAGTATTTCCTCACCCCATTGCAAATACCCGTCTTATTCTCCCAGCTCTCAAATGTCGTCTCCAACTCACACCCCGTCCACAGAATATCCGCCCAGAACTGTTTCTCGACATCGACAGGGAATGCTTCAATCATTTCTTCCGGGATAGTCCAAGCACGGGTATAATTGCCATCGTCGAGGAAAGCCGGATTGACACTCTGCTGCTGGAACACCGTTGCAGGGTTGAATTTAGGGAAATTGGCGTGGATGAAAAACGGACGGGGCTGGGTCGCCTCTGACCCATTCACGCGCCACTCCCCTTGCTGGGTGAGTTTGTAATCCTCGATTGGATCAAACTGAGCCATTGCAGATCCGGCAAGCCCAGATGCCGTCCTGTGGCCCATGGCACAAATACGCTCACTGACTTGGTAAAATGGCTCACCCAGCGCCGTTGCTGCTGCGATGAATGTTTCCTTGTCGCCTTCGCCTGCAGCGCCCTGGGTGAAGAGACGATAGTAGTGGGTGGGTCCCCAGAAGTTGTAGTAAGTTGCGAGCAGAAGAGTCCGTAGGTGCGTTTTCTTCGAGATGACTACTTCGCCGGACTCGGTCGATTGTCGAGATTCCATGGGAGGAACCTGCTGCGAGGAGATCTCGTAGTAGAACGGAGAGGCGGTGGAAGCCCAGAAGTCGGGCCAGGTGACGAATTTGGTATTTTTGAAGGGAGCTTTCTCGAAAAGCAACTCCGGCTTGACGATTGGGAAAGCATCTGCGTCCAGAAACAGGATCTCTTCAAAGGAAGAGAATATCATGGCGAATGGTTTCAGCTGGTATTTCTGGATTTTGTTGCTTTTGGGAATTGCATCGAGAACATCCGACAGCACGGTGCACTTTGCACCCAGCGAAGGCAAAACAGTGTCGCAAATATACTCCTCGTACTCGTCGCGTGTGGCCAAAAAGACCTCCATTGGCAAGTGTGAGCCTGTGCGGCGCAACATTCGTAACGAGATCACCAAAACCGGGAGATATGCTCCTCCCGCGGTAGTAACAATGCCCCTTGTACCAGGAGTGTAGGCCAGCTGTGGCGGATCGGTGGTAATGGCGTCGACAAACTCGATGTGCGCCTTCTTCATGCGCAAAACGTCACTGGTAGTCATCTTCAGGAGTTTCGGTCGGGGATCTGGGTCCGAAGCCTTGAAGCCGGATGATGGCGCATTTCCGAGTCGTCGCGGCGGGGCGCATTTTGGTTCGTGTTCCATCAATAGTGTTTGGAATTGACGCCAGAAGTGGATGTGCTCGGTTGCATTGCGATGATATGTCCCCGGTAGAGCTTTAGGTGGGTGATACTCTCGTAATCCGGTCCCTCCAGACAAATACCAAAGTGTGGCAATAACGAGACTCGACACGATCAAAACCCGGAGTTTGCGGGTCATCATTGCGACCGCTCGAAGTATCGAGCAGACATTGATGGTGAGGGTCAACGAAGGTGGCAGACAGGCACGCGAGATTAATCAGGAAGGGCGCAAATTATAAGTCTGCATTGGGATTATCCCGGGAACAATAAAAATGCGCGCGGATCCGGCTTAGCATCTGGGTGATGTTCATCTACAGGATTCCAATGTGGGAGGTCGTGTTTTGAGATCATCCGGAAGCGGCCCGCTTGGCGATCATGGACGAGGCTTCGAGTTTGACTCGGCCGGGCAAATCAACCATGTCTTCTCTATGAGCTATTGTATCTGCCTCAATAATTTCTGCCCATTAATTGTTATATCATCAATTAAATTGAATTATTTTCCCAAAGTTGATTCCATGTTGCGATCTTTGGAAGTCAGATCTCGCTCCTCGTGGTTTGCCAAGATCCCGGATGCGGAAAGCGAGCGAAGCATGAACCGCCGTAAGTGCTACTGCTGAGGTACTCGTACAACACGTTGTAGCATTATTGCAAACAGAATTTAATTTAATATTCCGGGTGCCTTGCCATTATATCCCAGCAGGAGCCGCAAGATCACAAATACGTCAGAAGTTATCCGCAGTACACTTCAAACTGCGACGGGGTTATGATCTCGGCCTTGGGATACAAAAAGCGGCTTTTTCTTCATTCTGTCTATCAGAATAATCATGATCAGGTATGTTCTGCTCTTTGGACAATCCTAGCTGTGTTTACTGACGTTAGCAGACCATCTCTCACGCGTTTCAGGATATTTTGCATCTTCATAGCGGCCATTCTGCTCGGAGGTTTCGTAAGTAGAAAATCCCGCTACCGTTGCTGCCAAAGTTTGCTAATGCAAAATCTTCCAGTTCATATGGAAGCCCACTTCTCCGTACCGACCCCAATTGCCATCCTGGGATGCTGGAGTAAAGAACGTCCAGGATGGTGTATCCTCCAGCAAATCCGCATATGAAGCAATGGAAAGCAGCTTCCACAGAGGAGCAAGTTCTGCAGCAGGGAAAGTTATGAGCAAGATTCTCCCCGGTTCACTATCAAACAAAAAGGTCGTCATGGTCACAGGAAGTTCCGGTGCCGTGCTGGGTATGCCACAGGTCAAAGAAATGGTCTACGAGAACAGAAAGACATACGCTGAGAAGCACGGTCTCGAATTTATGTGGGCAAACATGACAAGCTACAACATGCCCAATGGCGCGCCGATATACTGGAACAAGATCCCGGTTCTCAAAGAAGCCTTCGAGCGCTTCCCGGATGCCGAATGGGTGTGGTGGATGGATATAGATATCATCATCATGAACACGACACTGAACGTCTACGACCATGTCCTTTCCAAGGAGGGATTGGCTCGCAATATCCTTCTCGACCGTGAGATGACTGGCGCGGGGGGTGGCAAAACTGGCTATAGCACCCCGGCTACCTATAAGCGCGACGATATCAATTTTGTCATCTCGCTGGATAACTGGGGTATGAACGTTGGCAACTTTCTGATGCGACGGGGCGAGTGGAGCAACTGGCTACTCAATCTGTGGATTGAGCCACTTTATATCTCTCAGAACTGGGTGTTTCCGGAGAACGACGCTTGGACGCATATGTGGCAGTATCACGATATTGTGCGGGATCATGCGGCGGTCATGACCCAGCGCTCGATGAATGCTTATCCGGACTATAATGCCCTTGGAGAACATTGGCAGCCGGGCGATCTCATTGTTCACTTTGCGGGGTGCGGTTCCGCGGCGATTTGCGAAGAAAAGTGGAATCAATATTGGAATATGCGGGAGAAGGTTGAGGTCCCGATGTCTGTTCGGAGGAAGTTGGAGGATGGCACGGCTGAGATTGAGGACACTCAGGCTGGCGTCGGGCTGCCGTGGATCTAATTCTAAGAAAAATTGCAATCTTGTCTATATTTTACCCTATACAGGTTCATCGAGGGGCTCTCTTCACATCGGGCCAACCACCTTGAGGCGACGGACAAACAAGCATCCCTTGCTGGAATAAGGTGCTGGGCATCTACTGATCTGAAATCTATCCTTCCCAAAGGGTCAAATGATCAGCAATGGGCTAAGGAATTCAAAAAGTGTGTTTGCGGTGTTGTGGTCATTGGAATGTTGACACTTCCGGAATGCGCCCTTCTCCGGCGTGACCGACTTTCACGTTCGCTATTACGATGCTACTCTTTTATCTGGCGCTGGTTTATGTTCCGCATTTATGGACGATTCATGTTGACTGTCGTTGCGCGAAATTTGTTCTTGGCTTTCAAAGAAGGCCGGGCATTGAAACGTGAAATAAAAGGCGCGGAATACTCTGGTCTTGGCTATACATGAGCTCGATCTGTCAGGGGATCGAAGACTGTATGTATTTTGATATTCTTAACGCATTTGGATCATTTATTTCATGCTTGACTATTCTACTATTCTTCATATCACTCATTACTACCAGCGTATATTTTGATATGCGTCATCATAAATGCATGGCCCTTTCTTGAGACCCTAGAAAAAAGACATATTAGCTTGGCCCAACTGAATATTCTCCTTGACGAATGGTGACTATACATTCTGCGGACGCCTTCTACTTCTCCTTTGTAGTAAGAATGCAACCTCTTTTGGACTGAGATCCCGTCGCTATATAGTCCAACGAAATCAGCTCTAGATTGCCATGTGAGTCCAGTATAGTCTTACCGGATATTTCGTAACGTCGTGAGCTAGAACTTCATTTGTCGGTGCGGCAAATGCCACTCCAAGCGCAAGGACGAAGGCGAGCATAAGAATCCGCATTTTTTCATCTGGCCATCAAGCAGGACTGTGCTGTTCTGGTGTTTGGTCGATCTGGGCGACCTCGGCAAGCGAGAGGAAACCGACTGGGGCACGGTCTGAACAGAGAAATGGGAACGCAAGGTAGACCACGATCAAGATAGTATAGATCAATGTCTAAGTTACCCCGGTTATTTTTCTCCGTCACCGCCCAGAGGTAACCATCCGAGTGCGAATCCGAATGCAGCGATCGACGGTTCTCTATAAAAAAACGTATGTGCATCACCAAAATCGACGAAACAAGTATCGATTTCCTAATCCGGAATTTTCACTCCATAACCTCCTTGCTAATTACGAGCACGATAAAACATAGTCCTGTCACCTGGGCAAAATCCGATCATTACGAATTTCATGGTCTTGCGTTCTGCCTACGTAGGCACAACTTGCAATCGACTGTCGTAAAGGTTCAAGAATGTAGTCTAGATAGATATGTACATCATATGAGAAGATGCAGAAGAATGGTATATTTGTAGTTCCAAGATACTGCCAAGCTCTCGTCAAAGGTCATGGGAAAAGTGCAAAACGGTTTTCGTACGACGATAATCCACCGTTCCAACTTAAGAGCCAGGAGCACCATCGCCAACCTGGCTTCCAGTGGTGTAGTTACCGAAGCAGGCTTCCTGGTACTTGGCCTTCTCCTTCAGAGTAGGCACACCCTTGAGGAACGTGTCAACCGGGCAGAATCCATTTTTAGCACGCTCACAACCAATCAGACCCTGCATGGGCAGAGGAGAATTATTCAGCATGAAGCGAATATAGCTCCTGGTATCCTTTGAGCCCAGTTCAGGGTTCGTATAGAGGACAGGGTCTAAAGAATCAAAAGACACACTGGAAGGACAAGTCCAGATCTCAGACATAAAGCGAGCACCGAAGGGAGTCATCTCGCTGAGGTGGAAAGTGCGATTGGGAGCACGGTCTAACTTAACGGGCAGACCCTTAGGTCCGTAGTTGAAGTATTTGAGGCCAAGTGCCGTGATGACGGACAAAATAATGTCATCGTGGGACATGTCCATGTAAAATGGCTGGCCAAAGGGGAACTGTTTGATATTGTTGTCATAGGTGTAGTTGACGCTGGTATCGCTAGATGTGAGGAGCTTGTGCTGGAGGCGAGCGGCGAGTTCGACGACGTAGCCGATTCCCTGTGCGCGGCCGGTTGGAGAGCCGTAGGCATAGTCTCCGTAGTACTGAACGTCAATGTTGTACTCGAAGTCCTTCCATTCTTGCTCAGTGAAGAGGGAGCAGAAGAATGAGCCTGCAAGGCTGGTGTACTCGTAAACACAAATGTTCTGCATGGCGAGCACATCGAAGGCGGTAAGGTTGAAGTCGCGAGGTAAGTATGCAGAGAGACGGGAGCGAGCATTCTGGGTGTAGCGGGCAATGAAGGTTTCAGCTGCGTGATCACTATGGACTTTGTTACTACTTGGTAATCCCGTTAAAATCGAGGTTCACTTACCCTTCAGTCATATCACCAGGACAAGAATCGTAAGAAGCCAGGGTATTGTTGAACGGGTCCACTTCGGGGATGATAACAAGATCATACTGGTCGTAAGAGCTGTTGGCTCCACTGTTGCCAAAGAAACCGCCTAGCCATCCATGTTAACGACTTGTACGGAGCTGTGGGAATCAATTCTACTTACTAAGCCACCATCGAGCACTTTCCAAGATACGAGGTTGGGAAGTGGTACGGAAGACAGGCGTCGGGCGAGACGTGCCATTGGAATAGACATTCAGAGACGAATTCCATGCAGCCACATTGGCCCGATCAGCGCGATACAAAAGTCTACCGTACTGAGTCCAGAAATGGGCACCAGAAGTAGCCTCAGTGGCAGCACCAGTCTCCATCAAAATGTCCGAGCCAAGAATATACTTCCAGTTGTTGAGGAACTTCAACGGGCCGGTGCCCACGGCCTTCCCGGGGTGCTTCTTGGAATAATTGCTCAATTTGGCCGCAAAGTCCTGCATCCCTTCCCCATCAAGAGGATAGTTGGTGGGGAAACGCTCCGCATGACGATGAAGGACATGCACCTGAGACAATTCACAGCCTTCTGGTATGCCATTGGGAACACCGAAGCTATTAGCGTCTTTATAGGGACTCAGATTGGCCCAGTGCCTTTTCATGTCAAAGCCGGATGCATAGGTGGCGCCCGTTGGTGCAGACGCAGGGGCAGAAGAAGACGCCGCGGTAGCCAAAGTGGCCAAAGTGGCACCAAGTAGATACTTCATTGCTGCTTCAATGGATCACAAACAGGTCGCGTGACAACCGGGGCTTGGCTTGAGAGATGATTGTCGGCTTAATTCCGGTGGGTGTTTATACTGTTGTTTCGGAACCCAAATTTCCCCTGCTTGGTCGCGTTCGAGAATAACCAATTGCAACTGGCAGGAATTGCGTTGCAATGAGCGTTGTGGTTATTGTGTTGACACGAGGGGGACGAAATCTGCGTGAAACATCGGGGGATACATTCTCCGAGCTTCCGATAGTTGCAGGAACCTTGTTAGCGCCCGAGTTGTCCCGACTTCGCGTTCTCATACTAGGCGAATTTAAGTACAGTAAACTGCTATAGTTGCCTAATTTGCCTGCTCCGCCAAGTTCTACCCAGCTGAGTTAAAATCCACCCGTGGCTTGGGAACCGGGTCAGGTGATGCCCCTATCCATTTCGGGCTTGGTGGCGCATGGGCGTTTTTTATCCCCGATCAAGTAAAAGTATGTTATCCACAGGTGCTTAATTGATTTATGTCTCGTAGGCGTCTCTGTATGTCCTTCTTCCAAGGTCTTCTTATAGCCCGGAGCGAACGGCAGATGGCCAGGATGGGGTTCCCGCTATTAATCGCTGAAACAAAATGTCCGACAATCTCAGAAAAGGAGGTACATCTTATGAAATGATTCATGCAGCATCTTCTGCGACGGCGACCGTATTCAGATATTTCTCAAACTCAATACAGCACAGGTCATCCGGCAACTCAAGCTCCGCGAACTTATCGCGCGGAAATGGCGATGTTTCGCCAGTCTTTTGGTAGCCACGACGCATGTACCACGAGATAAGTGCCTGGCGTGTAGAAAGTGCGTTCAGCCCCAGCTTCGTGGCTCCCCAAGTCCGCTGGCAATATTCCTCTGCATATGCAAGTACCTGTCGTCCAAGGCCACTGCGATGGTGTCGGTGGTCCACAGCAAGCAAAAAAAGACGAGCGCTGTTGGCACCACGCTTGGACACACCGATAGTGCCCACGAGGGCGCCATTATTGTCAGTGGCCATCAAGAAATCGCATTCTGGGGTCATGAATGTCTCGATCTCTTTGACTTCCATGCAGAATTTCGAGGCGAGGCCCATGTCGCCGGTCCAGCTTTGTCTGCTGTCTTCGGCGCGAAACGCGGATTGGATCAGTTGTTGCAGCTGCGGAGCATCTTCTGCAGTTGCAACGCGGAAGTTGAGGTTAAAGATGGACATTTTGAAGAAAGTTGCTTGCCCCAAGGGTGATGTAGAGCCTGAATCGAATAAGCAGATTCAGCTGAACTTTTGAACTGACGACCCCTGCGCCCTATGGTTGACATTCCGAAGACGCTCTAGTCCTGTTTTGGCTAGACGCTTCAGGTCTCAGGCAATTCACGCAAAGTCGATGGTAACGCCAAGCAGACTATTTAAAGCTATACACTGTTCGTTAACGCCTTCTTTCCCCTTCGGCGGGATACTTCCGGCATATCAGTGCATCAGGAGCATTTCCGATTTTGGTGCCTACAATAGTCACGTTGAACCAAGAGATTGAAACAAGATCAATAAGTCTAGGACAGAGGAATATGGTCCACTGGTATACGATTTGAAAAAAAATATTGGAAATAAGAGAAAACAAAAACATACAACAGCAGGGATTCGCTGGTGGTCACCCACCCAACTACTAACCTGCCGGCGTGTGGCTTAAGTACGGCTGAGCGGACGGGAAGCCCTGTTCTCCACACCCTATGGTCGTATGTGCTTGGAATAACTGAAGCATACATGATATAATGCTGGATTCACGTGACCGACTCAATGACTGCCCAAGTCGCGTGATTCGGAACCGAGACTGTATAGATGAGCACAACACATAGGGTAGTTAAGGTAAAAATTAACCTCAAACGATATGCTTGTATGACGAATTTCCTAATTTGATTATGTGAAAGCCGTCTAAGGTTTATGGATTTTACTATTCGCCTGAGATGGCTTGAAGCCGGGATATATACACATTTAGGAGGTCCAGACAGGTAGCTTGATGTTGGGCTGATTGAGGCGATCATCCGCCCGGAAAAATGCCAAGAGGTTGATTGCGATTGATATGTAGGCCTTGAGACGACCGGCTCTTTCATATTCAAATTTTTTGAATTTTCCGAGCCATCGCGATTTTCTATGTTATCATTTGCGGTCAAAGCGTGCGTCCTGAAACCCTCATAATCTGAGGTTTCTGTTTCATTTGATTTTCAAGCTTTCCAGACGATAAAACCATCGCCGATTTTCTTTAGTCCACACGTATACTGTATTATTTTAAAGCGAAACGTGCAGATCAAAGCTTGACCTATACCGACCGACATCCGCGCCCTGGGCATGGCGATCGCAATTAGAGTTCGAGGTTTCGGCATATACCGCCTGCTATCAGAACCGAACCCATATTTTAGTTAGTGCGGAGATAAACCCCGGACATTAACGCACCCCCGAAAACCTGTTGACTGGTAAAATTTATGTCATGACCCATGGATAAGACTAATGCTCGCCGGGGTTGTCATAAAAAGCCCTGGGGGTTTCATAATATGTGCCTGTTAAACCCGCCTTTTGTTCCACTGACTTGCAAAGCCATGAATTTCCTCAAACCCGCTCATCCGTGATGACAGCTATCGTGCGCATCCTGTCCCATGCAGTGAACAAGCCATACCGCTCCAAAGACCTGCGACATGAAACGCCCCCCTACCTTAACAAAGATGGCTACGTCGACTTTGCTCCGGGCGACATCGAGAACCCTCGAAACTGGTCGATGGGCCGCCGGACCGCCATCACAATGAGTGCCGTTCTGTTGGTGGTGAATGCGACCTTCGCTTCAAGTTCTCCGAGCGGATGTTTTGGGTCCATATCCAAGGAGTTCGGTGTGTCAACAGAGGTAGCCGGTCTTACTATCACGGTATTCCTGCTTGGGTACTGCGCCGGTCCCCTGGTATTCGCGCCACTGAGTGAATTTTATGGCCGTCGGTGGATTTTCTATATCTCATTCTTGCTTTACATCGCCTTTAACTTTCTCTGCGCTTTCGCGCCGAACCTGGGAGCCTTGCTAGTGGGTAGATTTCTTACAGGAACTTTTGTCTCCGCCCCATTGAGCAACTGCCCCGGACTTCTTGCCGATCTATGGGATCCGCTACAGCGTTCCAACGCGATGGCTGGATTCTCAGCGATGGTTTATATGGGACCCGCTCTCGGTCCTGTCGTTGCAGGCTTCCTAGAGCTGAAAGAGGATTGGCGTTGGAGCTTCTACGTGCTTCTCTGGCTCGGCGGGGGGACGGCCGTTATAATGCTCACAATTCCTGAAACATATGCACCAACAGTCTTGTATAACAAGGCGAAACGGATTCGAAAGGCGAATATTCCCGGGTATGAGAATGTGAAGGCTTCGGTCGAGGACAGCGACCGAACTCTTATTGGTATCTACAAGGTGGCGCTGACAAGGCCTTGGATCATCCTTTTCGACACTATTTCTCTGCTCTGTGCCATCTATATGGCAATTGTATATACCTTGCTCTACATGCTGTTTACCATCTATCCAATCGTGTTTCAAGAGAAGCGCGGATGGAACTCGGGTGTGGGCGAGTTGCCTTTGATTGGCACCGTTGTCGGCGCTTTAATCGGTGGCATTATCGTTCTGGTTGACACAAATATTCGCCAGAAGAAGATCGAAAGGGGCGAAAAGAAGATCGAAGACACAGTTCCCGAAGACCGGCTGCCCCTAGCGATGATTGGTGGCATTGGCTTTTCTGCGACCATGTTCTGGTTCGCATGGTCGGCTGAGTACAAGTGAGTTCTGCAACTCCCATCACATGCATCCAGAAATACTGACTCTCAAGTAGCTATGTACATTGGATAGTTCCTACACTCGCCGGATGCTTCCTCTCAAGCATGCTACTTCTCATTTTTGTTGCATACTTGAACTACCTCGTGGATGTCTACTTGAAGTATGCCGCTTCCGCAATTGCTGCGAACACGATCGCCCGGTCGGCATGTGGTGCTGCTGCACCGCTTTTCACAAACCAAATGTTCCACGCGATGGGCGTGGGAGGAGGTGGTAGTCTGATCGGTGGTGTAGCTGCTTTGTTAGCAGTTATTCCTTTCCTTTTTTACAAGTATGGGAAACAAATCAGGGCCCGAAGCAAGTTTGCGCCGACGACACCTGCGCAAGAGAAAACGGACGAGGAAACCGGTCCTCGAGAGGAGCCGATCCAGAGTTCCGAGTCGCTGTCTTCTAGCACAGAGGATGAAATGGAACGAGGTGAAGGAGAAGGGATAAAAAAGGAGGAACCAAACCTTGAACTCTAGAGCTTGGGCTTCTCAGTAAATATGCAGCATATCACAAAAAGTGTGCCGATTCGAATTCGCTTTTGTAGATTTTAGCTATCGCAATTTTACTCGAACATTCACGGATATGTCTTGCTCTCCTCGCACACCTGGTGAACCACTTCATCTGTATGCTGCACAACCCTGTTGACCGCGTCCTCTGACCTAATCATTTCCAATTTCTTGTTTGGCAAAAAAACCTCCCGTTCCAATCAGCACACTAGGAATCACTTCCCGTTATCTCATCGCTGCCAACTGCGACATCCCCTTCCGTACTCTCTCCCTCTGCTTTCGGAGAAAACCTCTCACGAGTCGCCGCAAACAAATGCCTCTCTCCACCCTCCTGAAGCGGCACCATAGCTAGACGCCACAGGGTCCCCAGCCCACTTGGCACTTCTCGCATCAGGACCGTGATCACACCAGATGGGTATGTGTGGATGAAAGAAGTATGCTGGTGCCGCCACGCCATGCCCTCTAAGAAGAAGCTACCCATGAGAATGACGGGCGCGCGGCATGTGGCGAGACTGAATGTATTCTTCAAGACTAAGGTTTGAGTACTCGAGCATTCCAGATCTGCCCGCGTGGACAGCGACGAGTGGATCTAAGACTGAGATCACGCGGGATAGCCTGGCGGCGGTAGGGACCGAAGAGTCTTGCGTAGCTGCCAGCAAGAGGGGATCAAGTTGGCGATGAATCTCATGCGCGTGTAATAATGTAGCATGAATTTGCAGTTCAGGCCTTCGGCTATCTCGTCCCGGCCTTCTAGTGCTATCTATCTAGGTGTCATGAATAGCAGGTTGAGCTTCTTATATTTTGCTGCGATTTCAGCGCACACGCTGTCGATATCTTCGAGGGTGAGGTATGTCAATCCGGAGAAACGTGGGCTCGGCGCAGGGGTCGATTCTTTCCATCGAGGCGATGGCAGCGTTTGCGGCTGACAGGCTGCGACCGATGGGTGGAAGTGAGATCGAGGTTTTCCACAAATTTGAAAGATAGATCAAAAATCACGAAGACCTGAGGAGTAAATAGACTAGCTTGTTATAAGATGTAGAAGTTTGAGCTTACCACCGCGACGAGACCTGGGTTCATGGATTGAAGAGTCCCATGGTGATCTCGGATAGTTTAGAATTTCACCATGCTGTTTTGATCTCTTCGTAGAGAGGAAATAGTGCAGGCGAAAAAGATCGTTAGATCATTTGAAAATATATGGACTTTCTGATAGCCCAGCTGCACAGTCTATGGACAATCTCTGTCAAACTACCCCCCTCCCACCCTCCAAAAAAGGTTCCTAATCTAACCCAAAAGTGGCCAATAGCGGCCCTGAGATGGATACAGCTGACGGACTCCCTATCGTAGCTAATGTGAGCCACACCGAGTCGGTATTCACATTGATTGCATGCTACGGACCAACGATGTCTGCAAAGCATCAACATGTAAGAAGTTCCCACTAAGAGAAGCCTACCTCAATATAGGTATACCATGCTACCAAAAGGGTGGATAACAAAGCTTACTGTTCGCTAGGCGATACCCTGGACTTGAGCCGCATGATCTCCAGGCCAGTTCTCGTGGAGGCCCCGGTGTCCCAGTATCTCTGCTGGCGATCATCACGAAGCTATCTTACAGGTATTTGGATCTAATAGGTCATCTACGTGTCCTAGTGGCTAATGTACTGAGGATGCAAACAGAAATGGACCCCTTGGACCGTGCACTCTTACAAGTTACAATTGACGTTACAATGGCTTGCGTAAGGTGTTCTTCCCATGGGGCTTTACCCAAACCATAAAGCTCAGGAAGTGGGTTACTGCATAGAGAAAATAACCTAAAATGAAATTCCTTTTCTTTCTATTGGACGGCTCAATTAGCCTGACATTTTCAATCCGACTCGACAGCTCCGAAATGACCGTTGTACTGTAGAGTCGATCATTCTGAGGGTAGTGAACTTGATTTTGATCACAGGTCATAGCGTCAAAATGATCAGTGGATGGCTTGCAAACTGATTCAATGGTCCAAGTTTTATTTTAAGAAGTTTGAGAGATTGTTTTCGGTCCAAGACCCGGGCCCACAGCCTTGGCTTATGATTGGAATGCTGGACTGCAACGCTACACGCGAAAAATTGTTTCCGATTGGTATGCCACTTGATGTCGATCATCTATAATGAATTCCTCCGACTATGTTTGGTTTGTTTGAAATTCTCCTAGAATGACCGAGAGGCTGTGTGTGACACGCCTTGACGCCCCGGGCGCATTCTTTACACGCCTCGATTGACCATGTGCGATGGCATTTGGGCCCTTCGTATAAGCTTCAAAAGTTTCGCGTACGTGAATATTTGACGTTTGATAAAAAAAAATAGGTCCGCTAAGAACAGGATACGTGCCCTAGGGTATGACGATTACATTGACTTACTAAGTATGTGAGCCATCCCTTCCTGTGCTGTCGATCCATACTGTAGCGAGTAAATAGTAGCTCCCATGGTAACCGTAAGTAACGGTACATTCTTTTTGGTGGTGACTTCATGCTGATCACTTCCTTGTGCACGACGAGCAATAATTTCCTCGAAGGTATAAAGTACGAGGGATTCCCATACCCCAGATCCTTCCCTCACAGATTTACATTTACTCAAAGAAGAGAAAACTTGATCTATTCAGTAAGACCTTCCCATAATTCTGCACTCACTCAGGCCACTGACATATTCTATGAAGATCAGAATATTTACTTCTCCTATACAAAATGAAGTTCTTCATTGCTGTTCTGGCCCTTGCCGCCACCGCCATTGCCGGCAGAAACATGGACTCTCCCACTTGCGAGGATGGAAGCAGTGTTGTCTGCAAGGGTAACGGCGACAGTGGTGTCATTTCCCTGGGCAACGTCGCCGCTGGCGCTGCTGGTGAGAACTGCGCCACCGGTGCAATCTACTGCTGCTCCGAGCAGGACATCAAGGACGTAAGACATATCTTCCCTTACCTTATGGGGGTGGCAAATAACTTACCACGATTATTAGCTGGGCGTTGTGAACCTCAACTTGAACATTCAGTGCAGTTTGAACCAAGTGCTCTAAATGTGAACTTTGGTCATTTCAATTTCTCGCGGTAATCTTGCTGCTGCAGTCTTCGCGATGGATGAGTTTTAGTGATGTGCTTGCAAAGGTAGTTAATACTTTAAGAGAAGATTAATACAAGCATTATGTGGCTGTCTGTATCGCAAAAATTCATAGTCTACGTATTGTTTGATCTATATAATTGAGTACCTGCGCGAAGAGGAGACCATACACTAAGGGAGACCTGGAAGTTTCCGACACCACAAACTCAGTTTTAGCCATCAGGTACTGACAAACGGAGTATAATGACAGTTTCTATGACCGGGTTACCCTCATCTAGTAGACAAGGTGTACATACCCGGAAACGAATGGCCCAGCTCTCTAGACCTTTGCAGACCTACATTACTAGCGTTTTCACTCACTTCAAAAGATTGATTTAGATCTATGAAAGCAGGGACAATCAGAGTGGTGACTGTCAGTGATTGGTGAACATCCGTTCCGCAAGCAAAGTTCCAGAAAATCTGTGCTTAGGGCGGCTAACGTTGTTGGCTTGGTTGGTGTCCACTTGAGCCGAAATGTAACCTTTGACGATTGTAACCGATTTATTAGTTGGATAAGAGCCCTGGAGGGAGACCGAGATTTATGCTACCTTCGCAACGGGCAGTAATGAATTCGGAAGGTGTGCTTCTTACAAAGATGAATAAAGTAATAAGTCGGAATGACAGTGTTTCAATTAGTATCGGGATGGAGCTATGCCCAGGTGGCTGGCGAAACTTGTGGATCCGATCTAACCTTTCGGCAGTCCAGATCGCACCAGATGCTTAACAGGGCCAGGGCCATTAGGAAACAGACAAGACGCATGGAAACCTTGTAACATGTGCTCGTCATTGTGGCTTGCCGATCCTTCCCACATCAGCGCTAGAGCGCTAGGTGGCCGTTTTCGGAAGTGACCTACTCTATTCGATTTTCTAGGTACAACGCGAAGAGCTTCGGCTATGACCCTAAGGTTGCATGGAGGTTACATCTTTGTAAATATAATGATTCGAGTCAAAGCCGAAACCAATTCCAGTATTATCCAGTTATATAAGTCCCCAAATAGCACCGACCCAAATTTTCACGTCCACCCCTTCCTCGGAGTTTGCAGGTACTACAGCACATCAAGTTTTCTCAATTGCACTACTAATCAGTTCGATAGCCTATTTACGACCCAAGATCATCACATAACTTCGCCGTCATGAAGTACCTTCTTGCTTACTCCGCTCTGTTCGCCGCTGTGGTCGCCATTCCAACTGGCGATCTCGGTCAGAAGACCTGCAAGAGCGAGGAGACAGTCGTCTGCAAGGGAGATGGAGAGGGTGGATTTTTGTCCCTGGGAAATCTCCTCGCGGGTCTCCTTGGTGAAAACTGTTCGGCCGGTGATATTTACTGCTGCGAAACTGGCAAGGTCCAACAGGTAAGTTGCATTTCTTATATCCAATACAAGCAAGGAAAGAAGCTGATTCGAACACCTTTTAGTCTGGCTTGATCAACATAGACCTGAACCTGCAGTGCACCCTCAACCGTATCCTTTAAACACTTTGACTTGTCTTTTAATCTTTAGAGTGAAATATTAATACGCTTCTTTGGTTATCCCCTGAACACCACATGCTTAGAGTATAAGTCATCGCCAAATGAAGAATCGTAAATCGCCGTTAGTCTCTAAGAGCAGGATTTCTGCTCAGAATAAAAATAAAATAGCTTACTTTGAGATTAATTTCATTGTCATCCACAATGAGAACATGTGACGCCTGTTGTTGACTTGCTGGTCGAAGGCGCAACATGATGGGCTTTACTACCTCAGGCATATCTCCTTGAGGTTCATCGTTGTCATTAACTGGTTTGGGCGTGGGATCCATTTTCGTCACGGATTGTTCACAAAAAGCTGCTGGAGAGACGCCTAGAATGGGGCCATTGGCAGGGCTGTCTCCTGCTCTGCATACTGCTTCAAGACCCTTTGAGCGACCCGGCGGATCTTCTGAGGTCCAAATCTATCAAAAAGGTCAGACGGAGTGAAGCACAAGGGCAGATAAACACATACGGTTGGGGGACTCGGATGTCGTTTGGTGGGAGGTGATCACCAAGAGCAGGGGCCTTGTCGCTGAGAATGATAAAGAAGTTGGAATCATTTTTTGAGTCAATATCAGATAGAGTTCCAACATTTTTTTAGCGCGATCGGTTCGCGATCACGTTATCTGTATCGATATTGCTCGAAGGATCAGTGGAGGTGAATAGCTTGATGGTGTGACGGCACACCCCCCACACCAGATCTAGCGCCCGGACCCCAATGTACACGCCATCTTTCGGCAGATGCTTGTCCACGCTTCGCAAAAAACTGATTTCGTAGTTTCAGAAATAATAAACTGATTTTGACCGTCGATGATGGAAACGAAAGATCCATTTGAACCCGACCGAAAAACACCTAGTTGCGATAGGGCGGCGAGGGTGATGTCTGTGGGGAGGCCGGCAGATACTGGTTGTTCATCTCCAGTAGGAGCATCGGTTTCCGCAGCCTGGGAGTTAGTCGGAGTGCTGATGGCACATTATTACCTGAAGTGATAACGCAGTAAGCGACCGAGGTATCATTGGGAAGATAGCGCTGCCGACCTTAACAGTTCACGGACTCTCTCCCGCTCAGCATCTTGTAGCGGTGCATGGAGCGCTACCTTTGGTAGTGAACTTTCCATATCCTTCAACCTGCATCCCTCATCCACATCTTGAGTAAGGTGTGAGGAAATGAAGTCGTTAAGGCGAAGCCATTATTAACGTGATGATCCTGGCGTTTTAATTCTGACGTCTAAGACCGGCTTTTATTGGTGGGCCTTCCACCAATTATTACAAGCTGTCCAAGACGGTGTAGCTATCAGTGGCTCTCGAATCTAGCTTAATCTATTAAGTCTTCACCAAAGATTAGGATATTAGGAGATAGTATCCAAAGTAGCAATGTGATTTATCCGCCTAGCACTCATTATTCGCCTTCGAAGTATACCAATGGTCCCGTACGGCTATTGTTAAATAGCACTTTGGTATAGTATTGAAGCCTCGGCTCGTGACCAAGGCATCATAGGATTTATGTAACTATGTCATGAAATTTGTTTTCGCATGAAAACAATCTCTATATCCCATCGGTTTCCGTTTTCATCATATACGTCATAATAGTTCGGCACAGTCTTGATCGGTATGTATCCCCGGCGGCCATACCAATCTTGATTCGTGATCTGCAAATTCGAATTGATTAAATTGATTAATACAGGTCTGATAAGAAATTTGCAGATATGTGCTTACCTTAGGAATGGCGCCGTAGGTGGATGTTGCGAAATCCTCTCTCATCTGGTGTTCCCCCGTAACCGTGTCTAGCATGAGTGACTGGGCCCAGAGTGGCTCTCGAGCTGCCATTAACTCTACTGCATCCATAGCTGCTCGACCAATGCCCTGACCTTGAAGTGATTGCAGGATGAAAAAGCTTTTGATCCAGAAGACACCTTCCGATGGTATTTCAAGGCCGACCATTTCTGCATCCTTGTTTTTCGAATCCAAAGAAATATGACCAATTGGGACAAACGCCACCTGTGATGGTTCACGCGCAACGCCATGGACAGAGTCCGCTGTATCATGAAGCACTTCTTCACTCTCGCCATTGCAAGATTTTATGTCTTGCGAGCGATTGGACTGACGGACCTATGGGTCAAGTTAATATACAAGACGATTTTGAAGCACAAAACTAAAAGTATTGAATGAACTCACAATCCAGTACATGCATTTCTCGCCCTGGATTTGTTTCTCTCTCCATTCTCCTTCGACCTTATCTGAATCCCAATTGCATTGCACTCTTTGCTCGTAGAGCCACCTTCTGTGGGTTTTAGACTTGGCGTCCCACGGGAACAATGAAACCTTCGATTTGGAAGTCATCGCTGGCGATGATATGTGAATTTCAGAGATCAGCAGGGGCAAATTCTATAATTCAGAAATTTCATGCTGGCGGTTCCGAAGTGTCGTCTCTGGTTATAGGCTAAACCACTTTAGGCAGGTGACACGTCGGAAGGCCCGCCGCGAATCAATGAGCAAAGAGCTATGTATACAATGAGTTCTATTGCAGAAAATGCAGCAAGTCTCATGTTTTAATTGTATTCGTCTGAAGTAAAAGTTCTGTAAAGGATATGAACTAGATGTGACAATGACTGATTTTACGCAGTGTTATTGAATTTGCACTCACTAGCATCAACGCCTGAAGTTTAGAAGAATTACGGCTAGAGTCTTCTAGTTTCTGTCATTTTAAATCGTTGATTTCGCAGGCGAGTACGGTTCCGGACAGGGTCGGCAATAGGGGCTCTCGGATTATTTGATAATATCCCGTAGTGAGGATCCTATAAAGGGTCGACAGAGGACGGATACCATTGGCGCCTATATGGGCCGTTTCCCCGCACCCGAATAGGGAGGCAAAAAAAATGACGGGAACTTTTTTTCTTACTTAGGTTGAAGAAGGCAGTCTTCAAAATCATCCTTGAATAAAGTCAGATTCTAGGCTAGTATATTAACTTGTCTCCCGCTCGCTCTTAAATACTCCCTTATCTATTCCTATTTGTCTTCCCAAAAAGGGTTTATAGTCAAAACTTACTTTACGTCGCGATGCTCGCTAAGTCAAATTTACTAGCCTTGCTAACTATTATAGTGGTCAACGCTTGTATTATGATAAGCAACACTATGCCCTATGGTAAAGACACGCTAAGCAACTCCTCTTTAGCGGCAGATAGCAGCAACTTTCCCTATAAGCTTCGCTCAAATACTTACGAGGTCATTGAGACCAACTAGGTCACGATTAGGAAGTCCCACCCGCTATCCTTTATTAGTAGCGCTACCCACGGCGGTGGCTTATACTATATTAGTATTAATAATAACTAGGCGCCATTTAAGAGCACGAAGTGGGAATGTCATTAAGTCCTTCGGCGACGGATATCCCGCCAACTCGGAGGGCAAACTCTCTGGTGACCCCGACTTCAATAGATCCTTTTCCTTCAACTTCACGATTCTCAAGGGCATCGTGCCAGGCAAGTACACTCTTGCCTGACCTGGTTCAACAGTGCTAGCAACCGTGAAATGAATAAGTAGCTTTCAGGAAATCCTGAGAGTAAATCCTGCGATATGATCGGTTGTTCATTGGGAGGGTCGCCCTCCCCATGAACGGCAGCTTGCACCATGACAATTGGCACAGAACCCAGGCTCGCACCATGATCAGTACCGTAGTGAGCTAGTCATAATACAGTTACTACAGTATATCTGTCCACATTCGGACATTCCGTATCATTTAGCCCCCACCTAAGCCGCCTCAATCGTCCCCACCAACGGGCATCTCCGTGTCCCACGAGGTGCTTGTTGGATGTATTGTACATGGTATCTTGGTAGTTAGTACTCCGTACTTTCCATTTCGTCTGACTAGTCGGGCATTGATCCAATCAAAATGTTTGCCAAGTTCGCCTAAGGCCAGCCTACTTTACTTCGAGGGTAGGCCCACGACGTTGCCGTTCCATCCCATTCGATTGTTAATTATTAAGAAAGTAGCATTATTAAGCGTCTGGCATGTTCATGATATAGGCGTCGTTTGTTGAAACTATAACAGTCGAGATTAGGTCCTTGTCGTATCCTACACCCACACCCACGCACTTACTTCATCCAACGTGCAATAATTACTCTTTTACTCCAAATGTCCGTTTACGTTATCACCGGAGTGTCCAAAGGAATCGGGGTGAAGCTGCCTCCTTCCGCGTGATGCACCGTATTTATCTAATACAGCAGCCTAGTTCGAATTCCTCAAACAGCTCTCGGAGGACCGGCAGAACCTGGTCATCGGTCTAGTCCGCGACAAAGCTGCGACCGAGAAGAAGATAGCAGCAGAGCTGGTGACCGCCCGAATGTCCACATCCTCTATGGAGACCTCACCAAGTATGCCACTCTGAAGCAGGCTGCTGCTGACACGGCCGAAATCGTTGGCGAGCGTGGCGTCGACTACCTAGTCGCCAACGGGGGTTTAGTGCCCTACTTGGACACCTATGGACCCATCGGCGCATTGTAGGTTTACTTCCTTCTGGCTATTGTTCGCGCTGGTCTATCGTTAACACGATTTGTTCAACAGGAGCGACAAGGTCGAGGAGGTCGAGGCTGTTTCATCGCAGCTATTGCAGACAAATGTCGTCGGCAACATCCACCTCTTCCACCTCTTCCATCCTCTTATCATGAAAGGTAAGGTCAAGAAGGTCATTACCATTTCCAGCGGTATGGCCGACCTTGACTTGATTAACGATTGCGATGTTGATATTGGTGCTTTATACGCTGCCTCCAAGGCGGCTATGAACGTCATCGTGGCCAAGTTCAGCGCCCAATACAAGAAAGACGGCGTGCTATTCCTGAGTATCAGCCCGGGTCTAGTGGAGGTGGGCCTCTACGCGGATGGTACGTATCATTTCCTGCCTTTTAAGGTTGCAATACCTAGATATTTTATTAATGCATGCGCATAGCCACTCCGGAAGAGCTGCAGGGCATGTCGGGATTCGTGGGCAAGCTCGTAACCTATGCGCCTCACTTTAAGGGCCCAATCACACCGGAGGAATCCGTCCGGTATGTCAGATTGACTTGGGAGAAGGCCAGTATCGAGGATGGGTTTGGTGGTGCGTTTGTCTCGCATCTTGGAAACAAGCAGTGGGTGTAAACTCGAGGTCCCGCTCTTTCAATTACACCAGATACACTTATTGATGGACGTGAAACATGTGCATCTATGTACACTTCACGGGATAGAAATGTCAATACACTCGATTCCAGATTTCCATTGACGCAGGTGAGCTGAGATGCATATGACAGATTACCTTAGAACCGTGTAATATTCTGTACGCCACGAGCCCATCTCCCCGAGCACCTGTCCCGCCATTTCCACGGCTATACCTAGACAGAAAATGTCAAGGACACTTTGTCCTGAGCGTGGAACCACGGATACGATATTCAAGACACGAAAAAACGCATAGCCTGGAAAGTATTGTAGAACGCGATGGTTCACGTGTACGAAACCCATCGTATTCGAGCGTTTGACTTAAGACCAAGCCCCAGAAGCAAATACAATCAGAACGCAGCACTCAACTGTCAGTAGTTGCCACTATCATCATGAAGCTGGCCCTAGTTATCGAGCAGCCGCAGGACCAATTACTGGTCAATGCATACATCAAAAGCTTCGCCCGATCTAGTGGAGTGGCTTATCTCATTCATAACAATAGACAGAGTCGAGTGGTTCGTAGTCATAGCCTGTGGCATAGTTTACGGTACGACTTTAGCAGTCGACCGGGCAGAGACTTTAAAGGGCCCAAGGTAACCTCGGTATGTTTTGATTGATCGAAACTCCATGAAAGACTTCAATGACATGAGCACAGGGATCTATACACATCCTCAAATCTCAGCCTCGAAGACAAACGCAACAATGGAGCCACCAACAACCACCACCAACCCCATTACAGGCAGCCCAGTCTGGCTAGCTACACTATAAGGAACCAGAGCCTGGTTCTGCGGTCTCAGAATCTGCGGGTAAAAGTACCAAGTCGATGTGATACCCAGCCAAGCCGAAGTCCAGAGGAAGCCAAGTGCTTTCTGCCATAGTGGCGATGGACTTTTCTTGCTCTCCTTTTTCGCGTCACTCGATTTCCCAGAAAATCTCCAAAGTGCTTTGATACCGTCTTCAATTATGAGACCCAATGGGGCTATGGTGAAAAAAAGCATGGCACCAGACTCTTCTGTCGGGATCCCCTGCACAGTATCGATCGCGAGATGCAGCCCGCCTGAGAAAAAGAAGATCATGAAAACATTTGTGTACTGCTCTGCTGAAGAGCCTGACGGGATACCCAGTACCCGAGTAATGAAGGCGCTGACGGAGGTGAGAGGTTGTCGCAGTAGCTGGTGCCAGAATTTCCTGCGGGGTTCTTCATTAGAATAAATCCACCATGCTATCTTTCGACTGACGATGTACGTCCGAAGCAAAGAACAGGCGAGCATAACTTACCCCCAGAATCCCCGTAATGTATGGGCATCTGCTGCCCTTCCAAACAAAGGAGGGCAATTTGAAGGGGAATCGAGCCCGATTCCCACAGCGATGATGGAAAACGCACGATGGTGAAAGTCGATCAAGATCCGACTCACGACGAATCCAGCTATAAGATTTGAGCTTATTCGCTCGATCCATTGTTCAACTGATAAATCCCATTGGACCACCGGAGGCAGCGTCTCATTCTTCTTTTGCTCCAAGGCTTGTTGCAACGCAAGGGTGGCAAAGACATCCAGCGCCAAATATTGCCAAATAGCGATAGCTATTTGCCGAATCAAGAAGCGGCCTCGAGGAGGATTATTCCAACCTCTTCTTTGATAGTATTTTGGTTGTGATGGGGCATTCTTTACCTGCCAGGATGTGTTTATTCCACGAGGCTGGGTGCAGAGGCTTATGGTGTAATAAAGGCGAGCCACCAGACCCTGGCCAGAGTGTGGCGGCACATCGCCGCTATCTTTTGGATTGATGAGCAACAAGTTTAGGCACTGGAAGATGATAGTCACGAATAGTCGAGTGAGTTCACACCAAAAGAAACCCGGGCCCAGAGCACAAGCCACATGTATGGCCTGATATGCGATGAAGATCGAAAACGGAATCGAAAGATACCGAAGAATGGACTGTTTCGATGTTGCGATGAGCAGCGTAGCGGGAATTAGGCAATGTGCGATATAGAGACAGGTGATTTTCAAAATATTTGAAAAGGCTGGCACATCACCCCTATTCATGTTGGCGCTTAGCGGGTCAAGGAAAGAGTTTCATGAACCAGGCGGTTTTTTTAAGGTGATCAAGCCACTGGAAGGATGTGCTTAGCAAAGATTCGCTTCTCGTTGCTTTTTTCTCCAGCCCCGTGAAATTCGCGTGTTGGGCCCAAACGCGGTCAAACAACGCTTCAGAGAGGGGGGTTGCCTTTCTTGGTTTAGCGTACAAGCAGCTATTCCCGATGAAGAGGGGGAAACAGTTTTCTTTGAATCTATTGACGCGATCGCTCATCCAATTCAAATTGAATCTAACCCTCGTTCGAGTCCAAAATGTCAGTGGAAAAAATGAACTTTTTTTCCTGGCGTCCGCTGAAATGGACTCTTACATTGTTGCGTTTGGTAGACCACCAAAACATTTCCCGAGGCATCCGCTTGTCCTCCTCCTTGAATGTATAATTGCCAATTGCGGGTGGAATCTGCACCTCCCTGTCTCTATTATACCACATAGTCATCCAAAACGTAGGAATTGCCCCATTGGTGTGAATGACTTGGTCGAAGAATAAATTCATCCGGAGTGGATCCGATGCGGCCTGCGACTGTGAATATGAAAATCTTCAACAGATGTATTGGCCTGGAGCAGTTCTCGTATATACGGTCCACGAATAAATTTGTTGCCTCGAGCGCTGCTCACTTGAAGATAGCAAGGTCAAGAATAATGGGCTGTTGAACCAGAATGCGGCGCCAACTGGCATTCTTCCACAGGAAACACGCATTTCTGTCAGGCTGAGCGAGGGTCAAGTTGTCGAAGTCGGATTAACTCCCAAGATGACGACCTTTAATAACGCCATGTTCGGTGGCTCGCTCGAGTTGAGGTTCGGCGGATGGCAACCAACCCGGGAAAAGCTTGGCTAATAGAGGGTTACGATGTTTATGCATTCGCTGCCAATAATGCTAGAAATAGAGATGTTTCTCAAGAGAAGGTGATGTGGAAACAAGCTCATGCCCTGGGCGGCACACGCGTTGGGCGGATGTCGAGATGGATTTTAGATCGAGGCTGAGAAGGATGTTTTCGATAACCTCACGGTCGCAAGAGCTGTATCTTGGGCACTCTTCATCTTGTCGAAGAGACTCGAATCGTTCACAGTCCAAGATAAGAATTGAGGGTATGTATGGCGATGGAGTGAAAGAAAATTGACAGGCAGGTCCGATACACTACATACTTTCGGTCCTTATATTCCACTTCTATTTCTATCAAGTAATTGTTCATCGCCCGCGTCTACTTTGCAACCAATCAAGCACGGCATCAGCTCAAATAGGCCAAATTAATAAGAATTAGAACACCTATGTAGCTCTACTACATTATTTCCCACACTGCAACAAATCTTCAATATACAAAAAACATCGCGAAGCCCTTCATTCTCATTCGATATCCTGTTCCATCAAGGGCACTTTTAAAAGTCCTCGCACTTGCACATCACATAGGCAGCACAGAGGTCTCTGACTCCTCCGAATGAAGTGTATGCCTTCTCCGCATTCAAGGTCGCATCCAGGCGCGGCCCTTCAGTGAAGGTGCAAATAGTAGTCTCCGGGAAAGCGGTTAACATGGCGCTCGACGCGAAGACAAGACCCTCGTGTGCAACATCGGTTTGACCCCAGAGCTCTTGGACGGGACGCATCACTCCGTCAATGGGGATAGTGATGTCGGAATTGGTTCCAGATTGTTCGTTGGCCAGTTGGACAGTGACATATTTTGCCCAAGAGGGAGCGGCGAGGCCTGAGGAGGCAAAGAAGCCAAGGGCAATGGCGGCGACGTTGGTGAAAAGCATCTTGGGATATTGTGTGGTAGTTCTTCGGGAGAACTTCTGCTGGTCTTCGCTTGGATTGCTCAAAATATTGGAAATGATCTTATGAGAGGATCTTTTCTTTTCTGGTACGGGATGAATGGCGTTAATATAGATTTTGAGATTTGCTGATTGCAGATCAATACATTCTACTTGAATTGGTCGTTTACTTGGAAGCATCACAATTTTCCGTCTTCGTCGAATCTTTCCCAAGGCTGGGTGGATTGCCCTGGGCAACCCGGATCTAGACTGGTGTTGTTACCGCATCCGGTAGTCACTAGAGCCGAACAAGAAACACCAAAACAATCAGGATTCGAAATATATTTGGTTCGGAGTACTTTCGCTCCCTAACTCTGGGATGTGAGTTAGATGGCAAGTTGCACTTTGCGCTGCCAAGTCTACCGTATGCTGATAATATCCTCGGAGAAAATATTGAGCTGACGGGTGTCAGCTCTGCGTGGAAGAAGCAGACAAATGCAGACTCAGTCTCAAAAATGCAGATCATCAACGATCATTCAAGCCAGATTTTATTCTCATTGGACCGAAAAAAATCGCCGCAGACCAGATATGGCTTCGGAAAAAGAGCTCTCTATAGCCTAGACCAATGACAATGTTTGCACCGGGTTTGCTCGTACTGTCAGCAGCCTAATTCAACTCTTTTAGGTCAGATTGAGGATGGCTGGCCATCAGGGAAGCCAACGGTTCTCCATGCTGTGTCGAATAAAATTGCCGTAGACGATAAATGTCTTCCGGAACAGAATTCCCTGCTACATGAACTAATTGCAACATACGCTCTGGGGTAATACACATTACCAACGACTGAACTCGAATGCGCAACTCGCCTGCGGAAAACAGTGATGTGGCATGTGGCTGGCAAGGAATGTTATGTAGACGAATCTGGCGATACATTCGACGTCGGGAATGTAGGGATTGGGCATAAACGCCGATCCTCCGCGGCGACGAATGAATTCAACCATGTCGAGTCCCGGAATTCCTAAAGAAGGCTTCGAGAAGTACATGTTCATTTTTGTTGCGCTTCATTCTGACAAGGCGCGGACCGAGGCAAGCTCAAATGTAGCCGGTCCGGAAGGAATTTGCGGACACCTTACCACCATGCTTTTACATGCTAAAACTTAAATTTATTTAGTGATGCAGGTTTGAAATTTTGTGGTCTGGACTGCTGAGGCTTTTTTTTGTTTGTTCAGGCGGTTTCACCAACGTTTTTCAACTGGGCTCTTCAAAAAAAGCCCATTGGCCGTAAATGGCCGTAGCCATCCCTTTGCCGCAGGATTAGAAGTACTGATGGGAGGCGGTGCTGGCTTGAGCGATTTGCAATAGGCTGAAAGATGTGACTTAAATCATTTAGTAGGAGCATGAGCGTGAACTGTGACTATTCGAGTTTTCTATGCGCGATTTTCCGCTTCCAAGTCAGTGGTCGAATCAAGTTCCGCTTCAGAGTTAGTCTACTCACCCCCGCTTCACCTGTGTTATCTCGAAGATGACGCCCGAGGGAGCTGAAGGCGAGGCCGGCCTCCACGATTCAACCAACGACACAACAAGGACCATTTCCGACTCTACCTTTTTCAGGGAGCATCGGGCGTCTACGCTCCCTAACCCGGCCGAGGTGAGAGCCATCAACGAGGGGTCAGGCAACATCCGTGGTACAAGATTCAACCGACCCCCGCCTGTCAAGTTTCCATCGTTGGGGCTGATTGTCAAATATGGAGCCGACACAACCGTTACAGAGGCAGAGACCCAACATATGGTATACAAGCAGTTGAAAGGCAAAGTACCAGTTCCTGAGGTGTTTGGGTGGACCGAAAACGGTGGCCAAGTATTTATCTACATGTCTTTGATAAGGGGCGAAACCTTGGAGCAAGGATGGGGTGCTTTGAACGATGAGGAGAGAAACGCTGTCTGTAAAGAGCTCAACGGCATGGTCAAGGCCTGGAGATCGTTAGAGAAGCCCGACCAAGTCCTTTACGTGGGCAAGTGATGTGAATTCATTACAACAAGCCAGAATCAAAGCCCCTGTCAGGTACAGTACTGATCACCCTGGCTTGGGTAGATGTGCGGAGGGACATCCATCATCTTGTCACCCCGTCTCACCCCGTTCTCACCTTTGTCACCTCGGTCTCCAGATTCTCACCCATATCACCCACACTCACACTAAGACAATTTTTCCTCCATATTAATTTCCAGGGCGCCTCGAGAATTGGCCGCGTAGAGTAATGGGCTTAAGCACGGCTGAGCGGACGTGAAGCCCTGTTCTCCACACCCTATGGGCTCGTGAGAACCAGATGAGAATCCTTCGGGCCGGCGCGCTAGCCGCACGGACCGCTCAACTAGGCTACAGCGATATATCACTAGGTATAACTGCTCTGAAAAAATCGTCTCTTAGCATCTGCACACAGCCACGCCAAATCTCTGTTGATTGGTAAATATATAGTATAGGCCCTCTAGGCAAAGACCATTATCTCGAACGCCGTCATCCCGAGCGTCTTATAACTCCGGACCAGAAAGGCTGGCACAGCCATCCTTATAGATACACATGGTTAGTGCCCCACTGCTCCCTACGGTCGCATCTGGTGCACGGACTAAGGCACTAGTACAGGGATTGTATATCACTAGGACAGAAAAGGTACTCCCGCTTATTAAAAGGACGCGCGTGTCCAAGAATCCATCTGGGATGTATGTGATTTGTTTTTTTTTTTTTTTTTTTTTTTTTTTTCATAATCTTTCCGTCCTATTTTGGAGGCTGGGTGACCTAGGTGTTGTTCTCACCGGATCCCGTTGATCGGTTTCTTTCATATCCTTCACACCGTGAGACAAAGCAGCTTCCGCTCCGCCGCCATGACAACCATGACGACAGTGACCTCAGCAGCGCCGGCATTGGCGGAATCGTACGATGAAAGACGCGGCAAGGAAGTTGTGGAAATGGAAAGAGAGTCGTCAAAGCTAGATGGGAATGTTCTATCCGGGGAGTCGTTGGAGAATGATGGCAAGTCGGCCTTGGAGTCGCTCTGGATTATCACCATAATAACTGGTGTCACTTTTATCAGTGTCTCGGGAACTGGAATTCTGACTACCGCACTTCCTAGTATCTCAACCGACATCAACCTCGACCGCGATCTGATCTTCTGGCCGGCATCGGTATATGCTTTATCTGCAGGATGCACCTTGCTAGCATTCGGCTCCGTTGCGGATGTCGTTGGCTCTAAGAGAATGTGGCTGATCGGGAGCGGCTTCTCGTGTCCTCTGATTCTTGCATGTGGACTTGCCCGCACTGGTAACCAATTCATCATTTTCCGTGCTCTACTAGGACTCTTCGTGGCTATGTGTCTCCCGACATCTATGTCGCTAGTGACTGCGTCCTTTCCACCTGGACGCAAGAGGAATATTGCTTTTGCAGCAACAGGGATGGGACAGCCACTAGGCCATGCATTAGGGCTCGTTCTTGGTGGTGTTTTCACCAACACCATCGGCTGGCGATGGGGGTTTTACATCACCGCCATTATCGATGCCGTATTGTTTGTCGGGTCCATCTTCATCCTTCCATCGGACGCGGATTCGACGAAGCTATGCCGGGCTACGTGGCATAAGCTTGCTTACAATATTGATTGGATTGGTGTAGGAATTCTAGCCTTGGCATTTGGACTCCTATCCTATGTGCTTGCGTGAGTCGTTCTTGGTCTTTGTATTCAATTCCTTATCCAGATCTTGCTGACATTTCTATAGGATGATCACATATACCTACAGGAATATGTCTGAGCCCCAATACATCTTGCTGCTCATTATCTCGATATTACTCCTCCCTATCTTCTCGCTTTGGGTGAAATGGCAGGTAAAGCACAACAGGCCAGCTTTGATTCCAAACGCTTTATGGCGAAATCTGCCGTTTCTTTTCATCTGCGTCGCCATGTTCTTCACATGGGCCGGGTTCAACTCTTTCCAGTACATATCAACCCTGTTCTTTCAGGACGTCCAGGACATCTCGGCCCTCCAAGCTTCCATTCGCTTCTTGCCCATGGCTGTAGTTGGCGTGGCCACCAACATACTTACTGCTCATCTGGTGTCAAAGGTGAATGTAAACCTGTTGCTGGGGGTGAGTGCACTGATAACCGCGATTTCACCTATCTTAATGGCGGTCGCCTCCCCCAACTGGACATATTGGACTGCAGCTTTTGTTGCTATGACGTTAAGTCCAATCAACGGCGATGGTGAGTAGCCTTCCTCAACTTGTGTATCTGATAAGAACGATGTAAATACTGACTTATCATTTGCCTAGTGCTATGGACTGTGTCTAGTCTTATAATTTCCCGGGCATTCCCTGATGACTCAATGGCTCTGGCTGGGAGTGTCTTCAATACCATCTCTCAGCTGGGTAACTCTGTTGGACTGGCTGTCACTGCCGTCATAGCCGCTTCCGTCACCGCCCATGATGATGGCTCGGCAATCGATACAAGTACATCTTCTCAAACGGCCGGTCAGCTTCTAGAGGGATATCGTGCTGCTTATTGGACTATATTTGCTGGCATGGTAGTTGTCTTCCTAGTGAGCTCTCTAGGGCTTCGTCTTGTGGGAAAAGTCGGTAACAAGCAAGACTAATAGCTTATAATGGCCGAAGGAGATGGCAACTGGTACAAGTGCTTTTTCTTTCCCTTGGAAGCGGGGAATTTCTCCCATTCTTTCTTCGAATTGGCGTTTATTTGTTATTTATACTATCGATGTAGAGCTTTTGGAACTGGACATGGATATAAAGCTCGAGTTATTGTACCTATTTCCTCAGGAAACAAAATTTGACTGGATTAGCAGTTGTCCTGTGGGTGTTGAATGTACTGGTTACGCCCATTTTCTCATTAAAATGTGCTCTATGATTCAAAATGGCAGCTTCACTGTTTGTAGTACTCTAACGTAAAAAAGTAATATTTAAAAACAATAGATAGACATTTCCAAGGTTGGGACCCTAGAAAGTTACATCGAGGTGGTTGATCTGCTACTTAACATGGCTCTTGGCACGTTTCAAGTATGAACGATTGAAAAAGCACAAAAAAAGATATATCAGGGGCAGGATATAGAGAGTTGTCAACCAAACTGCAAATGCCTGACTACTTCTTTCCAAGCATGGAGTCCTTCGAACTTCGTAAAGACCCCGAGAACTATGATTGTGAAATCCATCATCATGTCCCCCTCGAGCACTGGACATTGTTGGTACCGGAGATGAGATTCTCATATCTTCAGTAATCGCCGGTGGTAGCCCTTGGCCATCATCTCCAAGGCGATGTACCAATGAATCGTACTCAATGAAGAGATAAGTGCAGGCAATAAAACCGCCAACAACAAATTGCGTGATTTGTAACGTTGTCAACGCCTGTTTGATATATCTGAGAACTGGAAGTCCAAGGGACGTCCAAGCGAAGTAAAAATACTATAAAGGAACACAACTTAGTACTTGGGAGCCAAAGCTTAGTAAACAATAAAATATGTGCATACCATGAGAGTGTGAATAGCCGAATTGAAAAAAATACCGACCAGGCCGGGTGGTGACATGTAGCGGACTGTTGCCCACATGCAAAACATAACGCCGGTGTGGTGATATGTCTGCAGCATCGAGCTTCTTTTACCTTTCGCCAAAATGATCAAAGTGTCAACCACTTCATAGAACTTCGATAGGTAGAACAGCCAACTAAAATAGGCATAGCCGGTGGTCCATAGACGATTTGAATCGCGAAGGGCGAACATATTGGCGTCTAGCAAAAGACTCTCTTGGAACAAGTACCGAGCATGATTGCTTCCAAGAGTGAAATTCGTACCACGAGGCGGATTTTCGCCAGCAATGCGGCAAAGGGAATCCGCTGCCCGAGGTAAAAAGTTCGGCTCTGTTTTCGATGGCCAACAGCTTCTTAATGAACAAAACAGCCCATAAAAAATCCATGCAGAGAATGTGGCCAATAAAATGTTGTGCAGCAGCACAAACAACTTGAAGGTTGAAGTTCTGGAAAACCCCCAGGGTTTATACTGTCGACTCTCATTCACACGATTAAGGATGGTGACGGTGACCAGGTACGTGGCAGCTATTGTGACAGGTACCTTGACATCAAGAAGGTCATGAAAAAGGGACTGAGAGATTGTAAACGGCTGGGTCCATGTGGATTCGCTTTGAGATATCGGCGGGATTGTTTTCGGGGCATCATCAAAACGCCAGTCAAACAGATCCAGAGGAGGTAACCGAGGATAAACAGAAAGCCTTTGGAAGGCCATCTTGGAGACGCAAAAATTATTAAAAAGGCAAGAGAGAATTTCCGGAATTCACTTGGCAAGAAAGGATAGTCGCGACTTCTATTTATTAGAAAGCTGTAAGTCAAAATCGTTCACACAAGTGGCGCTAGGGGTAATCATTTGGGTCCTTGCAAAATTCCAAGATGAGTCTCCTACTGATGATTATTAGATATATGCAGGATAATATTTCACTAGTTAGTTTTAATTCCACATTAAAGCAATACATATGATTAGTCGCACAGTAAGCAAGGAGCGGTATTAATGCGGGCGCCGGGAGCAATACGCGAAGGCAATTGGCTACCCGGATGGCTGGATGTAATTTAGCCGTCTAAGTCCTCTGGCAGTACAGAGTAGACATTTTTACCAGGAACAGATTTGATGTCTCTCTTTAACGAATGAATGCTCCATGCAAGGGGCCCTGCAGGGGAAGGCACACAGCAACAGAAGCAGTAGTGATCGACCTTTTGGATTTACCGCCGCTATGTATGGCAAGATGAGTTCAGATTTGCCAAACATTCACATCCACAGTTGTTTTATGATCAATCAAACTATTTGAATTCTTCAAATTTTCACTGTTTGCTTACTGTAGCTGCTGCGCCTGATAGCGTTAGAAAATGAAACGTGAACACCACAGAGAGCCAGCTAGGCTGAAGAGGACAAGAAAGACGGCCTTATATCTGATATCTGATTGTAGAAGAAAATAATAATATCCGATCATCCATAAATTCTCTCTCTATGGCTGTTCGTTTCGATACTAGCGTAGTGTCCCATGCAAAAGCCCAACACGCATCTCAACGAGTTGCCTTAGGGGGCAGCTGTGATATATAGGGGGTCAACATAATTGACATCCACATCTCACATTTCAAGCTAAACCCCAAACAACATCCTCTTATTATGTCAGGCGTCTTGTTATTCTGTACTGCCGAGGAAACTAAACCTATAAGCCTGCATTTAAATATATCTGCCACCAAGTTACCAATTCTGATTCGGGGCCATTAGCTCATTCCTAAGATTCTAGAAGCCCACAACCGTGGAAAACGTATATTCTTCCTTGTCGAATTAGACACTGTGCCAAATGTTGAGAATTAGGGGGTAGATAATCAGACGAAAAGAAGATAGACAGGTAATTGATGGTAAATTCTGATTGTCTTTTCTACTCGTTCTCAGGGGGATATTTATATCCTACCCCTGAGAACTGTTTTCTAAGAGAAATGCATACAAAAATGTTCTCCTACACCGCTGCCCGGTGTCCATGGGGAAACCCCCTGAAAAGAAGCAAAGAAGGCGATATAGATGAGGAACCTGCATATACGGGCGCCCATTTCCAATAACCTCATGGGCCTAGCTGACCAATCAGCAGCCATCGGGGCAGAGAGATGCCGACCGATATTGGCGCCTTAGGATGAGGGCTCCAATTTCCAACACCAAATCACCTCGACGGACTCGAACAAGTGTTGCAAGAAGACGAACCCTTCGAGTCTGCTTTCATCAATGCCTCTGAGGAGCAGTGCAAGAGCTAGGCTCTAGAGAAACAGTATAAAGTCAATTTCATCGAGCAGAACATTATTAGTATTTTTACAGATACGCGCACTGCTAGGGATAGAACTATCTTGATGAGTCGCGCTATAAAATAGATGTGCCTCCGGAGGACTTCCCGGAATAGAGCGGCCCTCTCCCGCCATAGATTAACACCTAGTACAACTGGCGGATCAAACCTGATGGAGCCTCCGAGGTATATATATCTCCGATTTATAGCCCGCAGATAGTGTTCTCCTAACCTATTTTGCACACACGGAGGAGTTAACTGAAGAGAATGGTGCCTTTGACACTGATAAGGCGGGTTCGTATGTTATGGGCAGAGACCCTGAGACGGGAGAGAAAATCCCGGCTTGAGACCTTGCGCTATTGGAAAGCTTTTGAAGGGATAATAACATGTGGGTAGATATTTGGGGCTTTATGAAGTGAACAGCAATACATTGATTTCTGAAATAGCGTGTTTTCGAAATATCGTAGATGATCGTTGTGTACAATGGGAGCTCCGAGGATCGCAGACATATCCAAGTTTGCCCTGATGGGGTTTAAAGTGATTCTCGTTACAGTAGGGATGAAAGACAGTTCGGCGGCCAATGTGAAGGGTTGACCGCATGTATTGGCGTAAGGACTTGGCAAGCTTGATGTTGGTAGATGGTGGGTTGATTTATGGAGAGGGAGAGGTGGGTCCGATCCGAAGTCCTTCGAAGACGTTAGAAAGACTTGCGTGTTTGTGCTTCGACTGCTTGGTTGGAGAAGGCATTTTGATTTTCAGCAAATCAAAGTAAGGTGAAAAGATTCGACGTTAATGAAGTGGAGATATAGAGAGAAGAAAGTGTGAGTTTGCGGATCTAGTACTTAAGGAAAGCAGAGAGATATATGGTTGAAGGAAGAAGAAAGAAGTGAGAAGCGAGAAGCGAGGGTGGAAGTGATAGTTAAAGAAGAAAGAAGTGAGAGTTGAAGACGAAAGAAGTGAGAGTTGAAGAAGAAAGAAATGAGAGTTGAAGAAGAAAGAAGTGAGGTGGAAGTACATGTAGTCTAGTCAACATGGCAGCCAGCCCAAAGAGGACTATTAACCACTCGCCGCACATGATGCGGCACGTTCAATTCGCTTCTTCTCAGAAATCATACCGCTGTATGTACCAAAAATGCCCAAGGCCCTTTTTCAGAACCAACATTTGTTATATTTCATCTACCAAATTTATGGCTTCTCTTATCGATCACTAGCTGGGAAATTGAAGTTGCAGGATGGTTGTAATTGGGCTAAGACTGAATGCATTAATCGTGTACAAAACTCCCTTCGTTATATTCGGGCAACGATTTTGCTGCCCCTTTATGAGGAAGACCATCAGAGTCACCCGGGAAGAGCTTGTTCCAGTGATTCCACACTAGAGCTGTTGCAACAGTCATCGGGACAGCGATCACCCAGTATATCCAGATCTGTTTTGAGACACCCCAACCGGAGCCACCGTCGTAATGAAAGAATGACATGCTGAAAAGTGCGCAGATGAAGGTGGGAGGTAGAAATGTGAGGGTAACAAATGCAAGAGTCTTCATAGTTTCGCTGTCTGAACGTGCAGCGCGGCTAATTTCAACTGTAATGGCTGCGTCATGCTGCGCGACGATATTGAATGCCAGCTGAATTTCGTTCTGCAGTCGTTTCTCATTCGATATTGAGCGTTGTCGTGCGCTGTCGATGTAGCTTTTAAAGAAAGCTAACCGCTCAGAAACCTTTTGGTGAGCTGGTTCCACCTGAAGATCTGTCCGAGAGTTGACAAAGATTTCGTGCTGTCTGGAAATCTGGTCAATATTCTGTACCGTCACTTCAAGGGCCTCGGTAACATGAATTGCGTGCCGAGCGATATCATGCAAACGCCGATAGTCAGGCTTTGGCTTTTGACCCGATTGATAAGATACTGTCTCGAGACCTCGGACCTGATCGCGAATATCCCATACAGTACTCTCGTCCAGACGTGCGACATCTTCTAAAATGCGTGCATAAACCCAAAAAGGATCGTTGATCTGATCCAGGTCAGGATTAAACAGCGAATTGAGCATGTCTTCGGATGTGTCGAACAAAAGAATGCCGGTCTGATTAGTCGAGGGTAGCCATCGCGTGAAAACCTTGATCGTTGACCAGTAGTAGTTCATATTACTGGGCAAATGCTTGGCTTCGAAGTATGCCCAGGTGTCTATCATTCTTAGTAGGTTTTTTTCTGGGGGAATACCCGACTAGACTTACTGAAACCGGTGATGTTGTCTGCATCACGAGTTGTCTCGCAACCAAAATATCCATTTGCATTGTTGATATAATTGGACCACCATAAATGCGGCATGCAAAAGCTATTTACCAACAAGTCCTGGAGTTGCCGGCATGCGCGGATTTGGGCTGCGCTCGTTACTCTAGCGGAATTAGCCGTTGCATTGAACTTCGATTATACGAAGCTTTAACACACATTATGAAAACTTTCGTGTCTTTCGAGATCGCTCGCGGTGGACGTGATGGGCCATCTGTGCATAGGTCTTCAAGACACGCATCGTGTTTTTGCCAGCCGTGGTCTGGATTCTTAGCACTATGGTGGGATCAGAACGAGTTGATAACATACCTTCACGCCATTGATGAACAGGTACGCTATGGCGTTTCAAACTGCTGTTTTGAAGCATGGCAACGCTGAAGTTTTTTTCTGAGAGAATTTGAGGGTTGAGTGGAAACCCCGCTGCGTCCCACAATGTAATACGAGGGAGTCAGCCGCGCTAAGGCAGCATGGCTTGCACAATGCTAAGCGCGAATTGTCTCCCCTGAATCGAAGCCCAACATAGATTTTATTCACGGTCGCGCAGAGTACTAGCGCAATGTTCGATTTGACATTTTTTTTGGATTTTCAGTAAGTGAATGCACGTTCAACAAATTTGTTGAACTCCTTCCAGTAACTCGAGGACTGGTCGTGGGATGCGCCTGGGATTTGTTTAGACTGCATAGCCACGTCAGAGCCCAAACATGTGACATGTCGGTCACTATTCTTGTCGCCTCCCCCTACGTCGCTTGCTCCTAATCAGCACTCTGCTCAGCTAGCAGTAGTCAGTCAACCCGGCCCACCATCTTACAGGAGAGCCGCACTGTGCCCCTGGAAATGCAATCACGGTCCGCTCCCCTGCAAATTACCCGACGTGTACTAATCCCGTGCCATTTCACCTACACCGCTTCCGCTGTCGATCCTTTGGTCGCTCGTAAATTCATCTATTTGAAAGCACCTTTTGAGCAACCATGACATGCCTGTTCTGTAAATGACCAGTTCTGCCAAAAACAGGAGTAAGGTACGTTCTGTCAGACTATAATTGAAGTATCCATCCATCCATCCATCTATCTAGCCTAGATATTGCATTCCCCCAAGCCCTAAACCAAATACAGTGTGTGTTACCATCACTAATCAAGGCTACAAATATGAACAAGCCACAAACTGGGTCCGGAGGGAGATCCGAGCGAAGCCACCGGGAGGAATTTGCTGCAACAACGTAACACGGGCACCCTGACAGCTCCATCTTCCGTATGAGGAACGGATTTAATACTCTCTGATAAATTGATTTGAAATTGAATTGGTTTTTTTGTCTTCAACCTTGGAACAACTTTTGTTCCAACGCTCCGTATCATTTGGAATTATTTCAGGGTCTGATGCTTTTTTCTGTGATCTTTTAAGATTCTTATTGAGATGGTTTTGATCGCTTTGCGGTTTTCTTGTTGACAGACAGCAAGTAGATATGGTGTCATGACGTCATTGATGACCGCACCAGCCCTTCCCACGTCGGCGACGCTTCTTGATCGCAAACTCATTCCCCTTTCTTCGCACAGAGCTCGTTGATTTCACCATGTCGGACAGAATCAAGGACGCAGTCATTTCCGAGGCCAAGAGCGCCAGTGCGGTTTCCCAAGATGTTCTCAAATCCGGCGCGTATCTGTACCCGTTCAAGGTAAGTCAGCGTCCGACGAACGAGAGGTACCACGACTACATCTAACCTCGAGTGATTGTATGGATCAGGGTATAATATACTTCGCAACGCACAAAGACCTCTGGGGCCCCTTTGTCTCCCGCGCCGGACGGACCATCAGCCTTGGGGTGGGTGTCACGACAGCCATGTTCTTCTTCACCTACGTGCCGCAGATGGCCATCATGGCCTTCACCAGTGGGCCACTGGCCGCGGTATCCGCAGCTCTCCTCGTGCTTAGTGAAAGCTCTACTATAACGAACCTCCTTTCGCGTTCTTTTCTTGTCGAAGACGCCCTTCTCGATACCTTTGATGGTACCCTCATCGCCCGCGATCAGGAACCTCTCGTCGCGCAAGGACGCCACGTCAAGCCCCAATCTGGAGGAAAATATGCTGTCGCGAGGCTGGGCAAAGTGCTGAGTCGACCATTCGCGCGGCTGAGGCCACAGGCGGTAATGCGATCATTGCTGTACCTGCCCTTGAATCTGATTCCTGTGGTCGGAACCGTGGTGTACATCGCTATGCAAGGGAAGAGGGTTGGGCCGGCGCTTCATGGGCGATACTTCCAGCTCAAAGGTTGGAACCACCAGCAACAGGAGGAGTGGGTGACAAAACATAGGGGCGCGTATACGGGGTGAGTGATGGATGTCCCTTTCTATTTGGTTTGGCATGAGATGATACTGACTTATTGGTAGACTCGGCATCGCTTCGTTTGTCCTTGAAATGGTTCCATTTGCCTCCATCGCATTTACATTCACGAACACTGTTGGAGCAGCCCTGTTTGCTGCTGATATCGAAAAGGCTACGGCGTAGCGAGCGGGCAGAAATAGAAAGAAACAATGTCATTCAGATCGGAAGGAGAACAAGTGCACCTAGTGCTGTACTTGCAATATCTTAACGACCCTGGTCTAGAGCACAATCAGAGTGGAAACGCGGGCAACATGTTGTCCTGTGTGAGTGCTTCCAGCTCTGCAAAGAGACGTAACTCATCCTTATAGACAGTGCAGTAAGAAACACGTACTCCACGCGGTCGTCGACCGGGGATACATTCCCTTGGTATACGAGTGAAATCTGCCAATGGAGGCCCGAGGCGAATATGTTGACTACGTACAATTACACGGCGACCTCAGGTGGGGCGCTCGCCACGTATACGGGCACATTCGATGATAGGGGTCTGATAAATGCGTACGGGGTGGAGATCTGTTGGCAATCAACCGACTTTTCCACCACGCCAGTGACTGCATTCGCAAAGGCCTCGACTGGGGTTGCAGCTACGGCTGGACAAACAATACCACGTCCGCCGGGTCTGGTCCTTTCTACTTACATTCGGAGCTGGGTTCTAATCCGCTCTACGAGTCTCGCACGTCCGTACTTGAGCTGGCTGATTTGGATGGGGGAAAGCATGATGGGCCGAGTGATAATTGAGTGTGTATATATTATGGTGGGGATGTAATGTCGTCTTGTCCTGTGTATAATTGCTGGCCTGTCCTTAGAGTATTCGATGGGTGACCACTCTCTGATGACTTGTATATATATAGGCGGTACAACCTTTTATGTGCAATAATCCTTCAACAGCGCATCAGACTTTGCTTCTGAGGTCTAGACTACGATTCTCTAACCCATAGATGGAATACCCCGGTTTTGGCCGAGACACGTAAGATCTGATATACTGTGTTGCGCAACCCTTTCCAGTCTAGAACACACCCACCCTGCGATCCCTGGAGGCGGCCAAAGGATCGGCCCAGCCACAAACCCATTCTGGACCAGAACCAGAACCGGGCCAGCCAGCCATGACGAGCCAGTCCAAGACTGGTTGGTACCGTGAAGAAAGAGCCTCCACCTGTATTAAATATTTGGTCGACATTCTTTGACAAAAAAAAGGGAAGACGGTCCAGACCACCGCAATCTCCACCTGTCCACCTTTTTTCCCAGGCCGGAACACGGTCACATGACCCAAACACGCAGGCGGATGACATAACAGGATTTGGACCACGGGATGAAGTGGAGTCGAAAGCTCAGTTACATCAGGAACAGGTCTAGCGCGGTGCCTTGTCCGTGGTCCCGCTGATGATTCCTGTATTATTGTTTTCGAGGGGTTCATTTCACTTTTGGTCCTTCACGTATAAGGGTTCCTAGGGTTATGCGTGCTATCTAGATACCGTTCTCAGCTCGGAATGCTGTGATTAGCACGACTCGAGACACTGATCCTGTGGCTGTTTTGATAATACGACACTAAGCATGGACCCACCCACGAAGACCTATATTTACATAACCACGGGGCCTGAGCAGAGCCACCATTTGTTTGTCTGCCCTTTTACTTCGCCTGTACTTCGAGACTAAGTTACTTGCCAATGTTCCTCCCGGAAAGTAAACCACGGTAAGCACCGCCCTTTCCAAGGAGGCCATGCTTTAAATACAGGTAGAGGCGAGCAAACAAAGCATGCGAACCGCAATGCAATGATAGGATAATCCCGAAGCATGTGCGGATGTTCATAGCAGATTGAGCCCAAGATCGCAGGATCTCGTGATCTCGTCACAAGAACTAAGTCCCCACAACAGTGTCAAACACGCCAGGAATGTTAAAATGACGCTTATGATGAGTAGAAAGGTAGAAAAGAGGGGAAGACGTGCTAATGGCCCCTTCATTCCGATTCCCAGCTGTCACTGGACTCACACGTGGTGTCGATGGCAGAAAAAAGTCGGTAATTTTACGCTGTAGATCCGTGACGGTAGTTTGCTGATAAGTCAATAGTGCGCGATACGATGGGCCCATGTAATGAATCGGGTTTCAGCCCTGCCCGACTCCATGTTTTCGAGACAGGAAGGAGCACCACAGTACATAGAATGGAAATGCTCTAGCACGATTGCTTTTCTCAATTAACTGTCCAAAGTCAAGACGATGACGTACCAATCAATTAGACAGTGGCTGAGCGTGCTCAAAATACCAACCACTTTGCGCAGGGCAGGGGAGGGGGCCCCGGAAGAAGGCAAAGCAGACCTGAGCGGCTAGCGGGCGCAAAGCCAAGCTGATAGGGTCTCTTTGTTGATCGCTTGCCCAAAAGGGCCAGACGAGCGAGACTGGCGCCGCAGGAGAGGCTACTAACGCCTCAACGAGGTTAGCGGCCCGCCGAGGTCTGGCGAAATCCCCGTGTAATTTTGTTGTATTATGCTGGGTCGGGAAGGACCATGGTCTGTGTACCCGCATTTGCCCACGCACTTTCGCCATGGGCCACGGCCAGGAACGCGCAAATGGCCAACCGCAACGACGCGGTCGGTCTGGGCCAGCGACGGACTAAGCCTTGTGCGGAGGCCCTGGGTTGCGTGGCAGGATTCTGCTGCTGGCTGATTGTGATGCGCAGTCGCGGCGTTTGGTCCCGAGGACTGATCATGCAGATCAATCCGCCTCGGGTGAAGGAGTACAGTATTGTAGTGCTGACTGAAAATCCAGACCCTGGCTTTTATCCGTGTTCATTTGCGAGCTAGATACCTGGTGCGTGCGTTACCCACAGTTGCGAATCGAATCGACTGATCTTCTGTCAGCAAGTGCCGATCAGGATTTGAGTTGGTCGTAGCTGGTGGTACAAACTGGAATAACGGGACAACGGTGGAAGAGACATCACAATTCATTCCGCTTTCCTGCATTGGCCGCTAGTACCTGCGTCGTGGCGGGATAGGGGGCTGCCGCAGTGGTACCTGAACGAGAGATCTATCGAGTTTGCTGGGGAGTCCGGGGACGCATAGCTGGCCATCTAGTCATCTAGCTATCTAGCTACAGCTACTAGCTACTGTATAGCGACCAGGGCCTGGTTCCCTCGAACTCAGTCTCAGGGATAACCCACACTAATTCGCGACGGAAGCAAGGACGAGAGATGAAGTGCGTGCGCACACCAAAAGGGAGACGAAACAACATGATAATTTACGGTAATTTACGCCCGGTTGTTTCACACGTGCTCCACCGCCCCCATTTCCCCTAGGCCCCCCCCCCCCTAACACCATTTGCGTCCTCACTCACTTCATTCACCTTGTTCACTATTCACTCCTTTCTTTCTTCTTGTATGCTTCGTCGTCGACGACTTACGGGTTGACCTGGGTGCTTGTCAATTTCACCCCCCTTACCTATCCCACGGTCACCTTTCGTCCCTTTGCTTCCATCGACTCGTTGCCCCGGCCATTTTCTGCCTTAAGGCTGTCACTCGCTCCTTACAGTTTCCACATTCGCTTTTTATCGGGTCGTTTCAGTCTCTGTCGACCCCTTCCATTCGTTTATCGTCGTGCTCGATTCGCCTGTTTCACCTTCGGTTGCCTAGACGCCCGGTATCGGTGCTGTTGCGACTGCGTCCCAACAGCCTGAAGTAATCTGGATATTCTTGGACTTGGATTTGATATCGGACGATTGGACAACGTACAATCACAAGATCTAGGAGGTGTTGACAGACGAGATTCATTGCTCTCGTTCTGTACCCTAGAGACATTCGGACGCCATCTGAACTTCCATCACCGGCCTTTCGATCATCATGCGTCCCGGATCTTTGCCGCTTCTTGTGGCTTTCGCCATCGGAGGCCTTCAGCTGGTTGCAGCTGAAGATGACTTGCATGTCGAACGTCCGCGCTACTATTTCCCTCGCGAGGTGAAGCGAATTGTTCGCAATTACACCAACCCCGACCCCGAGATCACCAACGACAACCCGCTCGGCTCGTTGCTCGGCAGTGCTGAAAATATTCTGGGCGGTGGTTCTGAGACGGCTTCCTCTCAGGCCTCTCCAGCGCCTACTTCTTCGAACGACGGAAAGGAGGTGGTTGTGGTAGTCTCTATTGACAGTGACAACCATCGTCACACCCTAACCACGACCACTCGCTACGCCCAGCCAACTCACGCGGTTACCACATCTACCACGTCTGACAGCTCCGATTCGAACGCCTCGAATGCTGCGAATACTGACGACACTTCCGGCAGTACCAACACCGACGCGACCAAGACCGCTTCCGCCGCTTCTACTGGATCCACTAACGGTGGCCTCCTGGCTGACGTCGGCAACACTGTCGGCGGCGTTGTGAGCGGTGTTGGAAACGCTGTGAACAGCCTCGGCAATGGTACCTCGGCCACCACTGGTTCCAGCACTGACGCAGCCCTCACCAAGGACTCCACCTCCGATTCGACTGCGGCTACCGCGGCTGCTCCGACAACTACTGACGCTGGCCTCCTGAATGATGTCGGCAGTGTTTTGAATACTGTCGGCGGTGATGTTGGCACTCTTCTCGGTAGTGGCTCGAACACCACTACCACCAAGGGTTCCATTCCTCTCGTGACCAAGACGTCTTCCTCTGCTGTTTCTCCTTCCGAGGCCACCACTGGTTCTTCGGGCGGTGTCCTGGGAAACCTCATCAGTGACCTCGGCCTCGGTGGCTCGACCTCAGCTGCTCCCAATGCCACTTCCTTGACCGGCGCGCCGATCATTCCCGTCAGCGTTCCTGCGTCTGCCATCGCCTCGTCAACTGCGACTGCCTCCTCGGAGAACCCTCTTGGCTCCCTCGCCAGTGGCCTTGGACTCGGCGGTCTCGTCCCCGGCACCGAGACCAGCGGTAGCGGCATTGGCCTGATCCCCACACCCTCGGCACCCACTAGCAGCCCATTTAAGTCGACTGCCCTCACTGGCACTCCCACTGCTGGCACTGGAGCCGGTTCCCCCACCAACTCTGTGGGTATCGTCCCTACTCCTCACATGCCTGGCGGTTCTGGCTCTGGCACCCCATCTGGCTCTGGTTCTGGTTCTGGATCCGTCCCTACCCCTACCGGTAACTTCCAGTCCTCGAAGGTCCATACGTCAACTTCCACTCCTGTTGTCGTCATCCCGGTGGAGACAACTAGCACGACCGAGTCCAAGACGACTCAGACCCCCACGGAGCAGCCCAGCTCAACCAACACAAACGATTGGATGCCTTCCAGCATTCTTGTGTTGCCCACCGTCACTCCCTCTGAGTCTACCAACACCGGCACCAACACCCAGCAGACGAGTGAGCCTACTCAGCTTCCGGGCTCAATTACACCCTCCAACAGTGTCTCCGAGGCCCCCGCGGACTCCATGCTGCTCCAGCTTGGATTCGACGGTCACCTTCCCTGGCCTTTCGTTGCGACCACTCCTCTGTCTTCCTCTCAGATCTTCGAGTACGTCCCGCAGGCTCTGAAGAATGCCATGCCCAATGCCGGAGTCACCATGTTCGCCCTCGAGCCTTACTACTCATGGCAGAGCAATGGCTACAATGCCACGCTGGCGATCTTCTACTTCCCCCGTTCCAAGATGCAGGCCCTCAAGGACATGAAGCTCAACCCCAACTCTGCTCTCTATCAGGACCAGAGCGACGCTGTCAAGACCATCATGTCCATGATCAACCCCGCCATCCCTCTCGAGTTCTCCGGCAACTACCCTACCGACGGCAACGAGGACACTGGCAACACCGGTGGTGACGGAGGCAAGAGCTCCGGTGGCAACAACGCCAACAACACCGACGGCTCCGCCTCCAGCTCCAAGGCCAAGGCCAGCTCCGTTGGCATTGGTGTGGGTGTTGTGGCCGGTGCCGCCGCCTATGGTGCCGGTATGTTCTGGGTCGCCCGCCGCTACCGCAAGAGAAAGCAGCTGCACCAGCGCTCCAGCTCGACCGTTGACCAGATGAGCCAGGCCTCCCAGGCTGGCTCTGTCTTCGCTGCCGGTGGCCGTGCCTCCAGCCAGCGCTCGCAGATGATCAGTGCGCCGGTGATGGCCGAGAACTCTCTGGGCTGGAACTAGACTCGACTGTGACTTGAGCGGATAGAAAACGCCATCCCCCCGTCTCCTCCCAGCCAGCAGGATCAGCCCTCAGAATTTACAGTTGGGCCTTTATTATCCCAACGGTTGAAACTCCTCGGGGCCACCTCGCTTTTCCAGGGAGACTGCACAAAACTTGATTTCATTGTTCATCCCCAGAACTATATCACATATCACGTACCTTTTCACTGTGAAATCTTCCACTGGCCATTCCCAACATTCTCTTCTCGACCCTCCGAGCGACGACAATTGGCGCTCTGTGTCTTTTTTTTTTTCATTTTGGAATATTCCCCCTTTTGTTTCACCAATACGTTTTTGTTTTTCTATGGCACTGTGACTGAATGAGATGATACCTTAATTCCCGCCCTGTGCCTTGGAAAATCTTACCCTTTTTACTGGCCATATCCTTTTTCGGACTTTTTGCACATCCCTAATGGTTGGGTGGCCGATCCTTGACGAGCCGATGCTATGCCCCTGCCCGATTTCCTTGTCTCTAAACCCTACCTCTGTCTTCGTATTTTTGATCATTTGTTGTTTTTTGTACAGAAGTGTGTTCATCTCACGGCCGTGGTGCGAGTAGATGAGCTGAGAATGAAAGGTGTAGATTTCCGATTAAATTTCTATCGCATTTGTAGATGTTAATCTTATCCATACCTTGTAATGATGTTTTTCATTTTCCATAGTCCATTTTCCCGAGGAATTCAGGCTCGGTTTCACGGTTACCTTCACGGCCCGCCCGTCCGTGGACTTTACAGAAGTTCCTATACTTAGATTTAAGAGATCTTACATCTTACACTCCATCGGGTTGATGACTCGACTGAAATCGAGTATTCAAAGTAGAAAGGCAAACCCCCCAAAGAGAAGGGATATCGATGAAAGAAGAGGGGATATAGATATGTACAAGAAAGGACAGGAGAGTTATTAGACACAAAAGAAAAGAAAAACAGAGATGAGGGATTCTCCCCATCATGCATTAGCCAGGAACCGCGTCCTTTTCTATTCTTTCTTGTCCTTACCAGAGCCAGAAAAGCTCCCCAACCAGCCCGACAAAGACGAACCACCGTCCTGCTCCCGTCGGAGCTCGCGCGCCTTTTCACGTTCGCCTTTGTATTCTTCCCAGGAGAGCTGAGCGGCTGAAACACTGTTGCCATTGTCGTCGCCGGGGCTCTTATGGTGGGCGTGGTGGGGCAGTGGACGGACGGCGTCCTCGCCGCCGTAGATGCGCAAGGCAGTGCCGAAGGCCCAGTCGACCGCTCCTTCGACGGGGTGGTCGAAGAGGTATGGCAAGGTTGGGACGACTGCGAGACCGAGCTATAACCCCCAGTTAGCATACGCACATTCAGAAAGCGCAAGAAAAAAACATACCCCAATCGGGAACCACGTGCGCATATACGTGCTCTTCGCACCCCTCACCATACGCCCCGAGTACCTAACCACACTATGAATAGTAAAGGCAGGCAATCCCATACTAGCAATACCCTGGAATACAGCGCGCTTCGCCATAACCATGCGATAGTCCTCAGCAAGCGAGATCTCCGTCGTCGGCCAGGGAGTCAGAGTATCGTTCTCCTTAGACTCCTTGCCATTCAATCCCTTCAACGGGCCAGCAATATTGCCCGTGGCCATTCCACGGATAACCTGGTCCTGCGGAAGCTCACTCGCATCCTTGTACGTCTCGCCGGGAGGCACGAGAGCGCGCCGGTTGCGCAGGTACGCCTTGTAACCTTCATGGCTGACATCGCCTATCAGGTAAGCCCAGGAGATACCGTAGGCGCTGCGCACGAGCCACGGGTGCGCGACTGGGCGGAAGGACTCGCCGATGTCAGAGGTGTAGGCGACGTATCGGTGTGCGGAGAGGAGGATTGTGCGGATGCGGTTGGCGTATGCGGCGTAGCGGTATGGGGTGTCGGTTGAGTCGATGGAGCTGGAGGGGTCGGAAGAGTCCATCGTCAGTTATGGTCAGGGTTGCTTTCACTTCGTGCTCGTAACTCGCAACTCGCTGAACAGCGGTTTCATTTGCAGTGTACGTCATTGGCAGACAATTGCGCCGGGAAGTGGAGTCGGGCGGTGCGGGAAACTCTTGGGTTGCCCTTTGCCTTGCTCCGGACTTCGGGGGTTCTTGTTGCAGAACTGCAGATTGACTGTTGCGGGCAAGAGTTTGAAAAGAAATGAACGTCGCTCACTTACTAGGGAGAGTAGAGGTCATCGTAGATGTCTTCGTCTTGGTCGACCAGCCGCTGCAACTTTGTAGGGAGCTTCTCCCCCGTCACGGACCGGTCCACATCGGGCGGGGGAGCTGGAGTGTCGGGTTTCTGGCGAATGCCCCAGACCATCGTGAAGCCGTTGGCGAGCTAAGGGAAGAAATGTATAATAAGAGAGTAAAGACAGTACGAAGGGGTTAGGTGCTCGCTGAAATGCAAAGCAAGGAGGGAAATGGAGAAATAAGAAATGCAGGTCAAAGGGTCAATAGGTCAAAAGGCCAGGAATCATGAGATCGGGCCAAAGGCCACATTATATGGGTCCTGAATAAAACCCGCGCATGGCAGCCGAAGGCGCAGCCTCAGCCGGGGTATACAGTTTTGACCATGGAATAGTTTACCTCCCCCCGAGGTTGAGTTGCGGGCTTCCATGTCGCTGGGTCCGGGGCTCTGCCATAACTCAGGTACCCGGGCCTTAGTGGACCTAAGCATATTATCTGCATGAATACATTTTACTTCGACTTCATCCATTTCGGACCAAAACACTCAAACCTAAATGTTTATGCGCGTTTGCTTCGCCGAAGCTCGTGATGACTTTCCCGAACGGGTCACATGATTCGGACCAAATCGGGACATCACCTGATCGATGCCGCGTGATAGCTGAGTCATCTGCAGTATAAGCTAACCGTATCAGGAAAGGCGGTCTTTGAGCGACTTCGTCCTCACTTCGAGCCTGAGGATTCCGCTTCCACATCGCTTTTAACCTCCAGCTCCTCTTCCATCCCACTACCCCAAGATGGTCGTCTACTACCAGATCGCCGGCAAGAAGGTCGGCTCCCACGTCGTAAGTGCCGGACCAACCCCGGAACCGCCGGCTGCGCGCCTCCTCAGCCATCCCTTTTGTCTCCCGTGCGGCTACACATGGACTCGACATGAACTGACCGAACCTTTTCCCATTGCTATAGCTCTCCATGGCTGTCCTCGGCTCCATGTTTGCCGGTTCCTACCTCGCCATGAGCGGTGGCTCCAAGCCCAAGACCGCCGCCGGTCCCCCCATCAACGCCTCCTCCAAGGAAGAGGGTGACTTCATCCAGTACGTGCCCAGCTGGTTCTCGACAATTCAATCGGTCCCAATGGACGAACCGAGCCGATCCATTTATGGGGATGTGCATTGCTAACGATAATGCAACAGAAATTTCCTGAAAGAGGTCGACGGCGGCGACAAGAAGTCGGAGAAGCACTAAACTCCCTCCCCGAACGGATTACATCGATGGACCGACCATGAAACAGCGTGATGCGTCGAGTCGCCCATTTCATTCGTCTGTCGCTTCCACGAAAGGGCTACGATACATGTCGGATTCCGTAGGCGATGAAGCTGGACGGACCAATTTCGGAAGTCGGGGATGGATTTCGTGGATCTGTACATAAGAGGCGTGTACGCTGCATAGAAGAATTGGTTTTTTCTTCTCACTTTGGTCTGATTGATCGCGTGGTTCTCGGAGCTGCGCGTATTCGAGTGGGGAAGTGTCTCCGAGAGGGCATGTTTGTTCGTTTTTATGTGGTACTTCACCATGTAATCTGGGGACCTGAGTTTACCTGAAATGCGATCTTAAACTATTATCAGTCGCAATTCAGGCAAACTAACGGGTCTCTGTAGCCTGTAGGAGCTCCGATGGAGCATTGTAGCACGGTCCAGAGTCTTGGATTCCAGCTATGAGATGCGAAGAAGCGTAGACTGAGCACTCCGTCTTTTAGCGAGCATTCGGTCGCATGTTGCAGACATTTTAGACTATAAAACCGTCCTCCGCAATTAAGTAGACGGATAAGGTACACCCAGCGCAACGTGACCGCCGACTTCCCGATGCTCAAAAAACCGTTGAACTTACGATTTCAAGCACCCCCAATTACTTCCTTCCTACCCATCAACCCTCCTCTAAACCTACACCGCTGAAATGAAACCCTTGCCTTTCCATTTCCCTCTACGCATTGGCACCGACATCGTCCACCTCCCACGCATATCCCGCCTAATCAATCGCAGCGACTACCTCTCCCGCTTCACACGACGAATTCTCGACGAACAAGAACAAAAAGACTTCCAAACGCGCTTCAAAGAGACGCTCCAGCTACGTGGCAGTAGTTCCACAAATGCGCCCATCACAGCCGAAATAACGCGGTGGCTAGCGGGCCGGTTTGCCGCGAAGGAGGCCGCGCGAAAAGCTGCGCCCGGCGGCGCGGCTTCGATCAGTTGGAAGGATGTTGTCGTTCGGGCTCAGGATGGTATTGGCAACCGGGAAGATGCAAGTGCGATACCGCAGATTGTTTATTGGCCTAATGGCAACGATGGCAATCCGGGGCAAGCGGCGCAGCTTTCTATCTCACATGATGGGGAGTATGCTGTCGCTACGGTGCTAGCATTCTGTCCGCCGATGCAAGGCCATCCGAAAATGGACCGGAAGGCAAAGAAGGAGAAAAAGTATCAGTGGACGGAATATGAGGAGTTGGAGGATGGACAGGAGGACAAGGACAGGGAGTGGGAAGAGTACCAGACGAGAGTGCAAGGGAAGAGATTCGATGTGAGGGATTCGCTGAGGAGACGGTATAAGAAGAGACCCGAGAGGTACAGAGAGGGGGTACGAGAGAAGGACAGAAGCACAGAAGGAGGAGTATAAGAGGCTATTGTACTCGAAAGAGCCGGATCTATTAGAGTGGTAGCTTCGTCCCTGGTGGAGATGCTAAAGACTCTATTCACATGCAGAACATTCTTATTGCCTAACTCTGTATTGCATAGTCTCCCGGGTAGACCAATCGAACATAGAATTACTTGTATCAATTCTACTACCTTGGAATTGTAGAAGTAGCAACTGCATGAAAAGTCGCACCTCGGCGCACTGAGCGGAAGGGAAATCCTTATCGGACTCTATCGTGTTCCTGCGATTCACCTCGGTCAATATCTACTCTCACCAACACTCGAGTAATTGAGAAAAGCAGCGTGAAGTAAGTTCAATTGCTTGCGCATCCTATTCCAAAGTTCTCTCGTCTCATTTCCCTACTGCACCAGGAGTCTCAGGACCCAAACCCCTCCAAACCCTCAACCCTTACTGACCGTGACTCAGAAACCACAAGATGCCATTCTCGCATCACAGCCATTCAGGCCAGTTCTGCCCGGGCCATGCAAAAGACTCCCTGGAAGATGTCATCCAAACCGCCATCTCCAAAAAGATGCAAGTCTTCTGCCTAACAGAACACATGCCCCGCCATAAAGAAGACTTCTACCCTGAAGAGGTGCGCAATCCCACCACTAACCCCACACCCCATCTAATCATTTCAACAGGCCGAATCAGGCCAAACAGAAGAATGGCACGAAACCAATGAAGCCGCTTACTGGAAAGAGGCCCAACGCCTCCAAGCCAAGTACGCCTCCCAAATCCAAATCATCATAGGCTTCGAATGCGACTGGATCCGCCCGGAGTCCAAATCCCTCATCGACCGCTCACTATCCCGCTTCCCGTTTGAATTCTTCATCGGCTCAGTGCACCACATGCACACCGTGCCAATTGACTACGACCGGGAGATGTACGAGCGAGCGCGAGAGCTGGCGGGCGGCTCGGACGAGCGTCTGTTCGAGGACTACTTTGACGCGCAGCTTGATATGTTGCAGCAGCTCAAGCCGCTGGTCGTGGGGCATTTTGATCTTATTCGGCTTAAGAGTGATGATATGGAGCGCAGCTTTAAGAGCTGGCCGGGGGTTTGGAGTCGGGTTCTTCGGAATCTGGATTTCATTGCGGGGTATGGGGGCATATTGGAGATCAATGGAGCTGCGTTGAGAAAGGGGATGAGCGAGCCTTATCCCAAGGCGGAGATTTGCAAGGTACGTGGTTTGGACTTTTGTGTTTTAGACCTATGAGGTGGGGACTGATGTGGGTTTGATAGGAGTTTGTGGCTCGTGGTGGTCGCTTCTGTCTCTCGGATGATAGTCACGGCGTTGACCAGATCAGCCTTAACTTCCACAAAGTGCTGGAGTTCCTGGATCGCGCCGGTATCTCGACGCTGCATTATCTGCAGCTGGTGGAGCCATCGGCGCAGTCGACCGCGCCGGATGCTCGATTCCCGCGTACGCAGATTGCCGCTATCTCAGTGGAAGATGTGAAGCAGATGGCTTTCTGGAAGGCTGAATAAAGCACATCGGAAATAGCATCGTACATAGATCAGCATAATAGAGGCGGAAGTTTTAACCGATAGCTAAATTTATCTTCCACTAGTATCCTCTACATAACCTACGAAAAAGTAACGGACATCAATTCCGGAGATCACTCCTCCGCCAGGGCAAGGGGACTGGGGAATTGTCAAATGAAAGTCGAGCGGGTTCGCAGATCCCCAGAAGCTCGGGGAAGGCCTGATCGCGGATGATTCTGGGACCCGATGTCACGAATCTATCAAAATGAGTACAGGGCACGGCCATTCCAATCAAACGGCTGTACAAAGCCACGGTGACACCCCGCGCAGATCAGACACCCTATATTGCCTTGCTAGGAAGCTCTCCGGTGAGCTATACCCAACCTAGATAACGTTCAGCTAGCCCAGCATCCCGGGATTTCCCACCAAGTGGGACAAATCGACAACAGGGTCCATGCTCTCTCCTCTCGCACGCAATCAGCGCCCCAGAAGAGTCCTCAAAACCGATTGGCCAAGTGGAGAACAGAAAAGAGTGATGAAAGTAAGACAACTTCGGGCGAAAATGGGGCACGACAAAGCATGGAGTGCATTACGTCGTGAAGCCGAGAACCCCCACTTGGAGAAAAAGTGGATAAAATCACAGCTGCCCCTCGTTTTTCATCAACAACCACCGCACCACCCTTACACATCATCCATCATCTATCACAATGGGCGTCGAGAAGAAGACTCTTTCCGCTGGTGACGGCGTCACCTTCCCCAAGAAGGGTGAGGATGTCACTATCCACTACACTGGCTGTCTGTATGACCCCAGAAAGGCCGACAACCACTTCATGGGCAACAAGTATGTGCTACCTTTCCTGTCCTACATGATCGCCGCAGAATCACTGACGCTCCTCAATTGAATAGGTTCGACAGCTCCCGCGACCGTGGCTCTCCTCTGACCAGCCCCATCGGCATCGGCCGTCTCATCCAGGGTACGTGTCGAATTGGAACGGCTTGGCTCGAGGATATGAGCATATCGGGATATCTCAAATTAGCTTGAGGATGAGTTGCTGACATGCAGATAATAGGCTGGGACCAGGGTGTCCCCCAGATGAGCCTGGGCGAGCGTGCCATCCTGACCATCAGCAGGTGAGTCCACCGTCATTGTCACGGATTATCTGAGGGTCAAAGCTAACACCCTTCTTTCTAGCGATTTCGGCTACGGTGACCGGTACGTAAAAAGCTATCTGAGCTTCCCACGATTCCCCCGGAGCTCGTCCTGAACCCTGGATATACCCTCAGAACACTCTGCCCGTACTAGACATGGACAAAATGCTAATTTCCTCGCAGCGGCTTCCCCGGCCTGATCCCCGCCAACTCCGACCTGGTCTTGTACGTGCCATCCGAAATCACAAGTGAACTGGCCGAGGACATTGCTAATTTAATATCTCCACAGCGACGTTGAGCTCATCAGCATCAACGGCAAGAAGGCCAACTAGATTGCTACCCGCCAATACCTCGCTTTTGTTTTGAGTCGTCGCACGGAGATCGGATTCCGTCTCCGCATGATCGAACTGGTGGAATAGTCCTATCAATAGAAGTTGAGTCGCCGTTTTCCATGCCTTCGACTTCGTTTCCGAGGAGAAGCATGAGATGCGTGCCGCACCAGTCTTTTGTTCCTACTCGTAGGCCCTCAGGGGATTGTAGTCTTAAGAACTTATCGTACGAAAAGATCTCAAGATGGGAGCGTATGGCTAATCTCCTGCGCAACATCTCCAACTCCATCCCCAAGTTGCATCCTACCTGGCAATCCTATTGATAACCTTCATCCCCTCCACCCGATACGTATCAGCCTCAACATAGCTCTCATTCATTAGAAGACGGAACACAAAATTGATCTTCTTGGACGAATATTCCGACCATTGAGGAACATACGACACTACACAAGTCAAATCCGCACGGTTCAAAAACCCCCGCGAAGACTCATAGACTCACCCCCATGCCAATTTGGATCCAAATCCGTCACAAATGAAGTCCATATCCGCGCGGCCATCTGCCCCAGTCCCAACCTCGCCGGGTCAGATCCTAGAGGTGTGATATTCTGTACCGGATTCGCAAAGATGAAGGAGATCTAGACTCATCAATATCTCATCTATCGGCAGTGGGAAAATAAAACTGGGGAAATGTCGGGGCAAACGCGGAGGAAAGAGTCGGATTTACAGCCATGGCGAGTTAAATCATTGGCATTGAGACTTTGTCCATACGCGGCCTCTTGGCCGAGACTTTTGCTGTAAATCACGACTGAGAGCTTAGATTAAGTCTTGTGAAGCCACTGGACTACTGAAGAAGTTAGTCCACTAATGGCAGACTGTACTTGATCCGATTGAGCTTAGCAGAAACAGATACGATCAATGGGGTGGTATATGAAGTCTACAAAAAGGTCGATTCTTTCAAATAAGGTAGATTATGGCACCGGCCAGGGAAGATTGCCAGGCGGCCACTATTTCAGATGGATATCAAAGAAAAGCTGATGCAAAAAGTAGGCAACTTGCTGCGCAAGCAACAGAGATATTTGTACATCCAACATGTCAAATTGCAGCAAAAACGGGGAGGCAGGGTCCTTGTACCGCAACTTTAACAAGAATTGGGCCTGTCTCGGCATAACATCATCCATACCATCCAATTAACCAAGAGTTCGGCGCCGATTGCGGGTCGTTAGATGCAAAAACCATGATCAACCTTCCCACTGCCATGCATGCGATGCTCCAAGACAGCCCTGTCCAACAAGGCCAAGCGACGATGGCTGCCAGAAAGAAAGAGGAAATACCAAGTCGCTCATGATAAGAAGAAAAAAGGATCTTGACGAAAGGAAAAAAAAAAGATGCAGAATCAGCGGCTCCTCATCAGGAGACACAGCACAAGGAGGGAATGCTCTATTATGTACGCTCACAGGCTCAACCATACACATCAATCGTCTTTCAGGCGCTCATTCGATCCCGAGCCCGTCCCTAGACCATTCGCGCGAGACCTGCTCGTCGCGGACGCGGAGGCACCAGCTTGGAACGCCGAGGAAGAGGACATGCCCTGTAGTTTAGGTCGCTGAGGGGTTTCAGATACGTTGGGTGACCTGCGGCCTTCGCATGCATCGTCCATCTCGATGAGATCGCCCATTCCCCAGAGTCCGGTGTTACGGCCTCGGTTGTTGGCCTGTTGGACTGGAGTGCCTTGCTGGAGGTCGTTGATGCCGGCCTTTGCGCGTGTTGCAACTTTCCGGACCCAGCCCTCGAGAGCGCCGCCGATGTTTTCAAGACCGGATACATTGGATGTCACGGTCGACTCGGAGCTAAAGGACAATCTCCTGGTGCTTTGTTGAGGTTCAGGGGGTGCCAGGTAGGTGATGTGCTTTGAAAACCACTGGGTGAAACCGTCCATTGCAGGTCCGGGTGCAGTCGAAGTGCAGTCGAGAGTCCCAACTCCGGTACCAGATAGGTTGATGCTGCTGCGTTGACGGCGATGCTGCAGGCGAACCGGTGCACTTCGCGGCTTAGGTTGATTGCCGCGAGTCCGAACGCGGGGAAGGACGCTCTGGGATGAAGCGAGTTGCAGTGAACCAGCTGGAGATGGGCTCCTTGTCACATTTTGAGAAGAGCTGAAAGAAGCCTCCGCATCGGTGTAAGACACAGATTTCCGCCGAGTGCGAGGAAAGAACCCTAGCGCTCTCCGAGGAACGCGGCCAATCTCTATCCTTGTGGGAAACCCGTCTATTTGCACCCAATACTCATGCTTCCAAATGCGATTCGCCTGTGATTCACAAGAGTCAGGATTTGTATAATCTGGTGTCGAATCGCCTGTGGTGTCTGTCCCGGGTGCGATAGAGCTGCTACTCGGGTCTTCGGTATCGCTGCCTAAAAGATCCTGTTGCTCCTGATGGATCCGCCTCCCTTTCACCGTGCACGCTTCCACAGGCAAGAGGACCGTCTTCCTGCTCTGGATGTTGTCGTTGGGCCAGAACCCGTTTGCCTTTCGGAAGACAGCAGCTTGACAGCCATATTTAATGGTCACACCTGTGATGCTGTCCGTTGCCTGCACATGGTGGATATAAGCCAGTGCCTCTTCATCGTGTTCTGGATCCAGCGGCTGGTCGAAATAATCCCCCGAATCGCGTCGTTTATGTTGAAAGTTGCGGCTGGTAATAGGATCGGAGTCTGCGAGCAGAAGCGCCTCACGCTTCTTAGCTTGTACTAGTGCCTGTCGTTCCTCCTTGGTCCCAGCTCCGATTTCCGGGGTAGAGGGTCCGGACGGACCCCACGCCGAGGGCGTCGACCTCGGGAAGTTCCGAATATACACATCTGATCGTGATGGCTTCCTCCGTGTCTGTGTTTTGTTCGCGCTATTTGGTGTCTTTCGTCCGGTGTCACTCCCTAATACCGAGGATGCCAGGTTCTGGAGCGACGACCAGGGCGAGTCCAAAAAGTCGGCGGCCCCTCGTGACGAAGAGGCCTTCGCTGACCCGTTCCACTCCAATGATGCAGTCTCATTACGGCCGCGGTAAGCGGCTTCGGTAACACGGGAGGGATGTGTCCTTGGTAGTGGTGATGTGCCGCGAGAGGACAGAGGCGAAGGGGTTGCACCGCGAGAACGAACCGTCCCGATCTCCGTGGACAGCATTGTGCCCGAGGCGAGCGGTTGAGCGTCATTGTATGAGTAGTTGTTGCTCTTAACGATGGGGTCGTCGGTTTCATCATCCATGAAGGAGACCAGGCGGCGAGGACGGGATCGGACCGCGGAGGCGGAACTGCTTGTGCTAACAGTGTTGGAGCTCACAGAAGCATTGACGAAGCTATTTTGGGAACTCATTCCTGTCAGTCAAGCCCATGGATGTCTTCCTCCAAGGGCGTGGGTCGTGGGCTCCTTCGGAAACGTGAGGTGTTGCCAAGGCCCTGATTGCCATCAGTAGTCTCCTAGGAGAGACCCATTCGTCACCAGCCGCGTTGCGTGGCGTTAAAGCTGGGGTTGGACAATGCGACAGACCATGTATACCCCAAATTACTATAGAAAGGTCTCGGTCGGTATGAATGAGGTGGGGGAGTAAATGCCGAGGGGGAAGGTGATGAATGATGCGATAGGAGAGTGCAGCAGGAGGCGTAGGTGGTCGTGACGATAACGAGACCCACAAGGCGGCACCGCGAGTCTGGAGAACGGGAAATCCCACAACACTCCGCGATGGGAATTGTTTCCGGTGGGTTCGTGTGAAAGGAGTCAAATGATAGACGAAAAGTCAGAAAGGTGAAGGAGTTTCGGGGGGCCGATCTGATCAGCGGCTAACTTCGCCGCTCTTGTCGCAGGTACAAGACGTTGGCCGGCGAACTCTACTCATTTTCAGGTACTGGTACATCCAAAGAGGTTGCAGAAAGAGAGCGCAAATATTGTATTATATAACAGCCCGAATGAAGCAATTGTACATGAAGAAACTCATCAGATCAACTCTATAGACATACCCAAACCGGCCCTGCCAGAAGAGCGTCACTTTGATCACTTGCCACGGTCCCGATCAGATAATGCGGCCACTATCGAGATTCTAAGTATCCGACAGGTAACGCCTTTTCCATCGCATTGGGTCCAAACTAGTAGGAAAATCAAAGCAAATCGTCGTCTAGATTAAACATAGAAGAAATTCAAACATTACTCTGGGGGCTCAGCCACCAAAGAAGGGCGGGCATCAGCTTCCGATGCGTCATCCTCTGTGCTCCATTCTCCTTCGTCCTTTTCGGACACGATCTTACCAGTCGGCACTGGCTGCGTAGGATACGGCTGCGGGATGACCTTGATACCTCCAGCATGAGAAAAGAAATCTTCCGTACGAAGGCCGCGGACCTCATGAGGGTCCACCGCGGTCATCTGTGTGCCATCGGCCTTCTTCTGTCGGATCAATTCTCGCACGGGGGCCATGGCCGCATCACGGCATGCTTCCTTAATGTCACTGCCAGACATGCCGGCCATGTTTTTAACCAGATAGTGCAGATCAAAGTTGTCTCGATCGACCTTGGTGTCCTTGAGGATCAAGCTGAGAATACGGAGACGCTGAGGAGCGGGCGGCAGTGTAACGGGGAATTTCTTGGGCATACGCCGAAGAATCGCCTCGTCGATATCCTGAATGCGGTTAGTCGCGCCGAGCACGACGACGCGCTGCGGCTCGCCCATGGAGTTGGCCGAGGTGAGACCATCCCAGTGGGTCATGAACTCGGCCTTCACCATGCCGCTTGCTTCGTGCTCTCCACTTCTTCGAGTTCCAAGAACGGCGTCGATTTCGTCGATGAACACGATGGAGGGCTGGAGCTTGCGCGCGAGGGAGAAGACCGCATTCACTAGCTTATTCGAGTCACCGTACCACTTCTCCGTCAACGTAGAAATGTGCAAGTTGATAAAGCAGGCACCACTCTCGGACGCCAGCGCCTTTGCGAGCATGGTCTTTCCGCAGCCAGGCGGGCCATACAGGAGGACACCAGAGGGCGCAGTCAGGAGAGACGAGGTGGAGGAGTAGAGGTGAGGCATAGTCAACGGGTAGATCACAGACTCTTTCAGTTCATCGATAATGTGGTCGAGACCGCCGATGTCTTCAAACGAGACCCGGATATCTTCTGGCGCAACAACATCCATGGCGATGGCTTGTTCGTATTGGGTCAAGGTGAGCTCGCCTCGCCGTTGCCTGCGTCCCTTTTTGCCAGTTGCGCGCCGAGACGATTCATCATCTGACTCCTCTCCGCCATCTAACCTGCGCAGAATGGCCGCGGACTTCTTGCGTTGTTCCTCCTTCTTCTGGCTCTCAGGGTCGAAGTCAAGGCGCGATAGGAGGTAACGGATAAGGAAGTATGCGGAGGCGGACTATACACGTTGTTAGAATTCAATAATGGTGAGATACCCGGAGAAACTCACGGTGCCAGCGACCATGACCATCTCCTGGAGAAACTGCTGCCATCGTCGGCCGCCTGCTGAAGCCATGGCGACAGCGGTATGGAAAGTTCACAGGGAGAAGAGGAAAGTATTAAGACTATGGCTCGTTTGAAGACGTTGGAGGCGATAAACAGATGAATTGACGCCCGACACCGAGTCCGGGAAAAAAGTCCAAGGCCTATTCAAGTCCGAGTCCCGACGATGATTCACGGCAGCTGTGGCGGATGTGGCTTCCGGAATGTCACATGTTCCCCGGTTGTTGATGGTCGCGCGCGTTTTCAACAACACATCGGAGGAAAGCCAAAAATTGCGAAATGCCGAAACGGAAAGCTCCCACCAAACTCTCTGGCCTTGTTGGCTCAGACGATGAGGATTTAATGCAACTCACTGAAAACGAAAGCGCCCCTTTCCCCGACGCGCGCGATGAGCCTCCGGTCAAGCGGCGAAGAGGACGACCGCGTAGCTCAAACGAAACTGCGACCGAGTCCAAAACGACGCAAGCGAAGAAACAACAGCAGACAGATCCAGCATCTCAAGATGAGGCTACAGCGGCCAAAATGCCTGCCCGCCGAGGGAGACCTCGAGGCAGCAGTCGCACATCCGACAACTCCGCGGGGCAAGCGCGGGCTGCGGTGACCCAAGAGCCGATGGAGGAAGATACAAATGATCAGGAGAATGAGGATCCGATGGCTACAAAGGATACGAAGACTACTCGCACTGGGAAGGCCAAGCAAGCTGCGACTGCGACGCGTCGCGGACGAGGCCAAGCATCCAGCGCGGCGAAGCAGACAGACGGCGAATTCGAATACACTCCGACCCGCGCCGCACAAGCACAGCGACCACAGCCCGAACCCGAGGTGGTCGACTCGCAGATATACGAGGAGCCTGAGCCCGAAGTAGACGAGTCGGTTCTCCCAGAGCCCTCGACTGCTCGCTATGTGTCATCGTCTGTCGTGAAGAATGCGCGGGCCCGAATGGCCTCGGTACACAATACGCAAAGTGTTTCACCACGTAAGCGAAACTCTGGAGTTGAGGCAGAGCAGGGTGGTGATCCAGAACTGAGACGTAGGATTGGCGATCTTACCAAGAAGCACGATGGATTGGAGACCAAGTATCGCAATCTTCGCGAGATTGGCATTGTAGAGGCCAACACGAACATGGAAAAACTGCGCAAGCAATGTGAGAGTATTACCATTGGTACGTCGTAATTCCGAAAAGTGTCATTGGCGGCGGACAAATTAACCAATTCCTGTCTAGCATCGAATGAATTGGTCGCTTCGCTCAGATCCGAATTAGAGGCACAGCGAGCACTTGGACAGCAGAGCCGCGGGTTCCAGAAGCAACTCAAGGACCGCGATGCCGAAATGGCACGGCTCAAGGCTGAGGCAGATGAAGCTCGCGCTCAGCTTTCTGCGACGCAATCCGAGGTCAAGGCCCTGCAGACCAAGCTTGCTGCTGCACGCAACACAGCAGCAAGCCTTGAGAGCATCGCCAAGGTCCCGGGAAGTGCTATCAAGGGCGGTGCTAATCGCGCCACCGCTGCAGTGACTGCAGAGGCCGCACAGGCGGCCCAGCTCGCAGCGCTGAAGGAAGAGCTGTATACCGACTTGACCGGATTGATTATTCGAGATGTCAAGAATAGGGAGACAGATGATCTGTATGATTGCATCCAGACTGGAGTCAACGGAAGTGAGTATCTGACACCCTTTGGGCATGATTTCATTGTTTCTAATCAAGCCGCAGCACTGCACTTCAAGCTGGCCATCCCCAAGGTCTCTTCGGCGGAATACGAGTCTGCGGAATTCCAGTACTTACCCTTGCTGGATGCCAACCATGATCGCGACTTGGTGAACATCCTTCCCAAATTCTTGACGTGGGATATCACCTTCAGTCGGGGGCAGGCGTCTAAGTTCTATACCCGGGTGATTGATGCCCTGACGAAGCGACGCTCGAGCTCAGCACAGGAGTAGTTAATTTGGCATTTGGAACTATATAGGACATGAACGTGGCCATTCTAATACACAACCAATAAATAGCTCTAGTCAACACTAACGCGAAAGTAAACAAGTCGTTCTGCCGTGCACAATCCGAGCCCAATGATTGGCCCTCACCGCCCGTCCGCAAGTTCCCCGATGCGTGTCAACGGCGTCGACTGTAAAAGTGATAACCTCCTTTCAAGCCTCCCTTTCTTTTTTTTTTTTTCAGGGGCCCAATTCCGTTCCTTTTTCCCAATTCCAAGGGAACCCCTGAAAGGAAGAGGATCAAGATCATGGCGCGTCTCGGCCGCGTCGGGTTCCTCGCCCTCGCGGTGGTCTTCCACCTGATCTATACATATTCGATCTTCGACATCTACTTCGTGAGCCCCATCGTGAGTGGCATGCGCTCATATGGCGTCGATCGTCCTGCAGATACCCCAGCCCCCGCCCAACGCCTCGTCCTCTTCGTCGCCGACGGCCTACGCGCCGACAAGGCCTTCCAGGCATTCCCCGATCCGGCTCCCGATGCGAAATCCGATGAATTGATCCGCCTGGCGCCGTTCATTCGCGACAAGGTCCTTTCGCAAGGTACATTCGGAGTCTCCCATACCCGTGTTCCCACTGAGTCGCGGCCCGGCCATGTTGCGCTTATTGCGGGCTTATACGAGGATGTCTCGTCCGTGACAACGGGCTGGAAGCTGAACCCTGTCAACTTTGACAGCGTATTTAATCGCAGTCGGCACACATGGAGCTGGGGCAGTCCGGATATCTTGCCCATGTTCAAGGAGGGTGCTGTTCCGGGCCGTGTGGACGCGGACATGTATGCGGAGGAGGCGGAGGATTTTAGTATGGACGCGACGCATCTGGATACGTGGGTGTTTGACAAAGTTCATGAGCTATTTGAGTCTGCCAAGAGTGATCCGGAGCTGAACCGCAAGCTGCACCAGGATAAGCTGGTTTTTTTCCTGCACTTGCTGGGCTTGGACACCACCGGCCATTCTTTCAGACCCTATTCCAAGGAGTATCTTAACAACATTAAGATTGTGGACCGGGGTGTGCAGGCGGTTACAAAATTGGTGGAGGATTTTTATGCCGATGATAAAACTGCCTTCGTCTTCACTGCAGACCACGGCATGAGCGATCTGGGCAGCCACGGCGATGGGCACCCAGACAACACGCGCACTCCCCTGGTAGTCTGGGGCTCCGGTGTGGCACAGCCGCAGAAGACTACGAAGGGTTTAGCACCCGGACACGAGGATGGCTTTTCATCGGATTGGGGATTTGACCAAATTCAACGCCACGACGTCGCACAGGCTGACATCGCCGCGCTCATGGCCTATCTGGTTGGCGTCGACTATCCCGTCAACTCTGTCGGCCAATTACCTCTGGACTACCTTGATGCTAGTTCCAAGGAGAAGGCACTAGCTGCGCTGGCCAACACGCGCGGCGTGCTGGAGATGTATCGCGTCAAGGAGGAGCAGAAGCGGACGGCGGTGATCCGCTACGTGCCCTTCGAGCCGTTGTCCGGTGATGGCGAAACCTCTATTGAAGGCCGTTTTGCGAACCTGGAGGCGCTCATCTCCAATGGCGCTTATGAAGAGTCCATTGTCATGTCGTCTGAGTTGCTGGTTCTGGGTCTTGATGGTCTGCGCTATCTGCAGACGTATGACTGGCTTTTCCTACGGACTATTGTCTCGTTGGGATACCTGGGCTGGATCGCTTATGCGTTGACTACGGTGATTGACCTGCACGTTTTGCATGGGACTTCGGACTCTCATCGAACGACGGCGAGCATTTCCCTCTTTTCTTCCATCTTGGTGGTCCTGTTCTCTGTTTTCCTGTACCAAGGCTCATCATGGCGGTACTATTTCTACGGATTCTTCCCTGTCTACTTCTGGGAAGAGGTCTTTGCCCGCCGCAAGGCACTCATTGCTGGCCGGCAGATTGTTCTTGGTCACGTTCACTCGTTTTCGGGGTATCTGAGCTTTGGACTACAGGTACTGGCATTCCTCGGTGTGCTGGAGGCCCTTGTAAGTTGAATGTTTTTTTGTTTATGGGGCAAGTAATCGTACTGACATTTCTATCAGGTTCAATCCTACTTCCACCGGGAGATTCTCACCGTCTGCTTTGCTCTAGGAGCTCTGTGGCCTGCAGCCTACGGCCTCAGCTTCGTCCGCAATCACGCCTTCTTGACGGCGACATGGGCCCTTGGCTGCTGTCTAATGAGTACTTTTACTCTGCTACCGGTTGTGAAAATCGAGGATGTCACCACTATGTGAGTCTATTTATTAACGGTTCAATCTGATAAATGACTAACTTGGTGCTCTAGTACTTACGGTGGCCTCCTCATGCTCCTCACTGGCATCTTGTACTTGCTCTTTGAGGACGCCATCATTGGCCACAGCTCCACTAAGAGTACTGGCAGTATCAACACCCTTGGATCACGGATGATCATGGGCGTGCAGGTATGCGACTCGTGAAGTTCCCGGTCTCATGAAGTACACTGACAGTTCATAGGTCGGGATGGTGCTCCTCGCTTTGATCGTCACTCGATCAAGCGTTGCCTCTCTCCAAGCCCGTGAGGGTCTGCCATTTGGCAACCAAGTAGTTGGGTGGTTTGTTCTGAGTAAGTAATGGACCGATTGAGAGTATGCGTCTGATACTGACTCCCTACAGCGGCGTCGCTTTCACTGCCATTCTTCCACCGAATATACCCCAACAGCCACTACCTGCACCGCCTCATGGTCATATTCCTGACCTTCTCCCCAACATTCATTATCCTCACCATCGCCTGGGAGGGATTATTCTACTTTGTGTTCTGCATGACTCTCGTTACATGGGTCCGACTCGAACACGCCATCTACGTGCACACATCCCGCTCGACAGCCAAGTCCAACGGCGCGGCTTCATCAAGGCCTGCCCCAGTCAACACAACAACCGTCGACGGCCGAACATATCATTACCGCGCCCTAACACTATCAGACACCCGCGTAGCCCTATTCTTCTTCTTCCTGCTCCAATCAGCATTCTTCAGCACCGGCAACGTCGCCTCCATCTCCACCTTCTCCCTCGACAGCGTCCGCCGCCTCATCCCCGTTTTCAACCCCTTCTCCCAGGGCGCCCTCCTCATCCTGCAAATCTTGATCCCCTTCGCCATCATCAGCGCAAACCTGGGCATCCTCAATCGCCGCCTCGAAGTCCCGCCCAGCGCGCTCTTCATGGTCGTCATGTCCATTTCCGACGTGATGACGCTGAACTTCTTCTACATGGTGCGCGACGAGGGTTCCTGGCTCGATATCGGTATGACTATCAGTCACTTCTGTATCGCCAGCGCCCTGTGCATCTTCGTGGCGGGACTGGAGTTCCTGAGCGAGCAGTTCGTTAGCGGTGTGGAGTTTGGGCCTGCGCTGAAATCCGTGGCGCAGGCTGTTAGTGAGTCTGTTGAATGTGGGCACGAGAAAGAGGATGTGAAGGTGGCGTCGCGTGCTAAGGGCAGCAAAAAGGACCGTCGTGGTGCCAAGGGTAGGCAATAGGTTGATTGTTAGGGACACATGTCCCGTGTACTTAGGTCTCAGCAACCTTGTTAATATAGAACGCGCTATGCGCCATTGAAGATCACTTCGATCACCAAACTATATTTCAGACTAGTCAACTAGTTAACTTTCAAAGGATCTAGGCAGAAGCGAGGCCCGGCCTCAGCGCGTCACTTTCACTTTCCATAGTTCCCACATGGTAGACGGACCTCGACCATCGGACCTTAGCCGGCCCCGATCGCCTAGCACAGCCTCAAAGCTGCTAAGTGGTCATACCAGGTAGGGGACAATCCCCGCCTGGCAGATCTGGACCGGCGAACGGACCATGTGTGCCTGACAGACCTGAGATCCTCCCGTCAGCGATGCCGGGCAGTTGATTCCTAACTAGGAAAAGTGCTAGAGTTGAGACTGGCACGTGCCAAGATTCTGCATTTGTCATTTGTGCCTTTGATATTGTACCCAAGGGCGAGGGCTCTATCGTGTAAGTTAAGTGACTGCTGGAGTGCATGATGTAGGAGCTCGCTATTGAGCATTGTGATTGGTCCAGACGGCCACCTGGCCCCGGTTCAGAGTTGCCGAGGTATCACAAGCTGCCCTTCGCAAGCATTGCGCTTACTTCTGGCTTGTGCGATTCGAGTCTCCCGTTGGCTTTTTGAAGGATTCAGGATTCGCATGGAAGGCTTGATGCCCCGCAATTCTGCCCCCGATTTCCCGTCCCCGCGATTATCGGCTTGTCCCGCATCCAAGAGTTGGATACGTAGTGTGCAATATACGAGAGTGTGCTCAGATGGTCGCATGTATAGCGTCGAGTAATGATCTGCAAGAATCTAATCTGCCGAAACCACGCGAGGTGTCTGCATAGATGCAGACAGATCTGTACACATTTGCCCAGGCGTACCGCACGATGCAGGTGTACCACCTCCGAGAGTGGTGCCTGTTAAACTGCTGACTTCGAATCTCTGGTAACACCGCATACTTCCGCAGATGGCCCGTGTACTGGATAATTCCCGACGTAAGTGCTAGGAAAGAGGTTCTCCATCCGCAACGTCCCGCGTGGCTGCGGATCTGACTCGATCCCTGCACTAACCTTGAAAAGTATTGGGTTCCAAAAGCATGGTGATTCCAAGCTGAGTCGCACTGAAAATCTGAAAATCACTCACCTTGCGCACTGGGACAGTACAGGCAATGGGAGCTGTTAACCAGACACAAAAATCGGTATTTCCACGGCTGGTGGAGAGGCCCCGAAGAGGCATCTCCGCCGTGCCGGGACTATTTCCATGGACAGCCCCGTCTATAGGATTTGTGCTAGTTGTGGCTCACCGGCTACCCTAGCCCTTCTTATTAGTTCGTCGCCTCGTAGACGCGACCGTTTCAGAGATGAAACCTTGTTTGCAGGGAGCCTCTTCGGCAATTCGATCGTGCTGGTTTTGGGCCCCTCCACCTTGCTTTTCCCCTCCCGTCGATCATTTCAGGAGTACCTCGAGTGGGCGGGCCGGGTACGACGGGTAGTCGGATGTAGCGACAGGAATCGGCTTCGGGTTGGTTGTTCCTGGAGTCGGTGGTCGACGGTGGAGGGTTGGAGATCGTGAGCAAGGATTAGAGATTAGTGGCGGAATACATATGTGGTGTAGACATCGAACTCGACGATAGCAGCGCTAGAATCCAAGCGCAGCCAGTCAGAGGTTGGTGATTTAGACGGGACTTCAGTCCTCTCCACAAGTGACCTCAGATGATTTCCCTCTTTACCGTTCCACTATTGCCACATCCCCATCAAGGTCCCTCGCAAACGTCCCCGGATCCCCATCTCTACACACCTTCGATCTTCCCCCCCTCCTGTTCCGGTACTTTTTCTTCTCCCCTACTTGATCGCGTGGCGTTTCGGTCGCAGAAGTCATCCCCCTTTTCCGGACTATAATATATTCCTTCATCGCACATCACACCGCACAGCGCCCTCCCCCAATCCCCATATCGCCCGGGATCGCGTATATCCTTACCATCTTCCGCTTCAAGTGCTACGCATGGGGACTGCGCGGCCATGAGTACCACGACCGAATCCAAAACCCAACCCCAGCCGGCCAACCATCCCAGCCCTGCTCCGAGCGCCGCTGGCTCGACTGGAACATCCGGAATCACGGTGCGCAGTGGCCCCGGAGCCCAGCCCTTGAGCTTCAGAAGGTGAGTTTCAAGTCTCTTAGTATAATTTTGTGGGGGTTGTGTGGTGAATTTGGCTGCGAGTTGTGGGCGCAGACACCGGGGGCGAGAGGAGGGGGGATGGAAGAAGCTTTGATCGCGCAGGCTTTTTAGCCCCATCGGAGTCTCATCTATTTTGCGAAAGAAGGCTGGCATTTTATAGATGCTGATTTGTTTTATTTAGACAACGTGCATCACGCGCGTGCGAGGTACGTTCTTGTTCGGCGACGCGGTCTGGACGTGGTGCTGGAGAGCCGAGGTACTCGGTCCCTCCTTATCGCGATGCTCTCCAGCTCCAAAGAGGCCAAGACGGTCGCATAGGTGATTCCCCACCATTGATCCCACTAGATTGCTAACGTGACTTCCCTGGCTTATAGACATGCCACTCTCGCAAGGTGAGTCTACTTTTTTGTCGGTCGCACCTCGTCGCTTAACGCTAACCCTCCGCCAGGTCCGCTGTGATGCCGCCAGCCTAGGAGTCCCCTGCACCAACTGTGTCGCCTTCTCCATCGAATGCAAAATCCCCTCCCCGAAACGCAAGAAGAACCAGACGAAGAGCAAGGATGATCAGTATGCCGACAGCCCGCCCCATACTGCCTCCTCGCTCGATGCCGGTGTGGGTCAATATCGTGCCGACACCGAGGGTTCCGACCAACAAGGCCAGTCCTCGGAATCGGAAGACAAGGATGATGCTTTTGGATATCGGAAGAACCGCCTGGCCGTTGACGGCATGCCCGTCACCTCCCTCTCGGCATCGGACGCTGCCCACCAGGCCTCGACGGATAATGCTTACGCTCAGTTCATGAAGCCCAAGTTCGCTCGGGCTCCGATCAAGGAAGCCGGCCGGGTTGCGTATCTGGGAGAGTCGTCAAACCTGTCTCTCCTGGTCCAGGACCGCCACGGGACCTCGGATGTGGTGCACTACCCGCTGCCACCCAATGTCAGAGGGTCTCGGGCACGGTTGACGGATCTGGACAATCTGGAAATTGATATTCTCCACCAGCGAGGTGCATTCCTGCTTCCCCCCAAGCCGCTTTGCGATGAACTGGTGGAGGCCTACTTCAAATGGGTGGCCCCCGTGGTGCCCATTATCAACCGTAGCCGCTTCATGCGTCACTACCGCGATCCCAAGAACCCGCCGTCGCTACTCTTACTGCAGGCTATTCTGCTGGCTGGCTCACGTGTTTGCACAAACCCGCAGCTCATGGACGCCAACGGCTCGACTACTCCGGCTGCGATGACTTTTTACAAGCGGGCTAAGGCGCTGTACGATGCCAACTACGAGGATGATCGCGTCACAATCGTGCAGGCATTAGTGCTTTTGGGTTGGTACTGGGAAGGACCTGAGGGTGAGTCGTGAAATTCTAGGTACAAGGATCTTTATTGACAGTTTATAGACGTGACCAAGAACGTCTTCTACTGGACACGGGTCGCGATGGTCGTAGCTCAAGGCTCTGGGATGCACCGCAGGTAAGTCTTCCCTTCTCTTCAAATTTGGATAATATTCTAATATTCTCCAGCGTGGAAACATCGCAGCTCAACAAACCCGACAAGAGACTTTGGAAGCGAATCTGGTGGACGCTCTTCACACGGGATCGCTCGGTAGCCGTCGCACTTGGACGACCGATTGGGATCAACACTGATGACTCGGACGTGGGGATGGTGACTGAAGATGACTTTATCGAGGACGAGCTCGATATCGCGGCCGAGTACCCACCGGACCCGGTGCATGTGCAATTCTTCCTGCAATACGTCAAGCTGTGTGAGATCATGGGTCTGGTGCTTTCGCAACAATACTCCGTGGCGGCCAAGTCACGGCGTATGAACGCCATGGACCTCACCCACTCTGATATGGCTCTGGCCGATTGGCTTCAAAACTGTCCCAAGGAAGTCTGCTGGCAGCGATCTCGACATCATTTCTGGGCCGCTCTTCTCCACTCAAACTACTACACCACCCTGTGCCTTTTGCATAGAGCTCACATGCCACCGGCTTCTTCCGCCCCCAATAGTTACCGGGTCGAGGAAATGGCATACCCGTCGCGCACAATCGCCTTCCAGGCCGCCGGCATGATGACTTCTATTGTTGAGAACCTGCAGGCCCACAATGAACTCCGCTACACCCCTGCGTTCATTGTCTACAGTCTGTTCTCAGCCCTGATCATGCACGTCTACCAGATGCGTTCGTCGGTCCCCTCGATCGTGGCGACTTGCCAGGAAAGGATCAATGTGTGCATGGCAGCCCTGAAGGACGTGTCCAAGGTTTGGCTGGTGGCCAAGATGGTTCACACCCTGTTCGATTCCATTCTCGGAAACAAGGTGCTGGAGGAGCGGCTCCAGAAGGCTGCGGGTAAGAGGCATCAACGGCGGCCACACGACTCTTCCGCTTCCTCGAAGAAGCCCGATCCGCCGAAACGCAAGTTCGACGATATGGATCTCGGTGGCCTGCCCAATGGAGGTCCCACGCCTCCCGTGTCGTATGAACGTTCTCGTCCTCAGACACCTGCCGTCACACCTTCTCGTGAATTGAACCAGCCCCCTCTAGGCAATGCGTCCCCCAATGCCCACCGTGGACCGCACGAACCTATACCCGGCGTTTCCATGTCCCGTGGGAATACTCGACCCACGACGCCCTTCAACGCTCAGTTCTCGCTGCCCGCTACCCCTCCAGATTTCTTCCTCGTGACCCGTACCTCGCCCAATCTCTCTCCATCTCTCTGGGAGAATTTCCAGCCCGACCAGCTGTTCCCCGATGGCACCGCCATCTTCCCCGAGTTGACCTCCCCACCTCCAGGAACCGTGGACCCGTCGCTGCCTATGCCCGCACAACCAGGTCCGAACATGGCCCAACGGCCCATGATGGGCCCGATGCCTCCACATGTACCAGGACGAAGCATGTCTGTCCCTCAAAGCAGCCCGCAAATGATGTCGGGCATGCCAGCCGGCTTGGGGATGCAGCCAGGGCAGGGGCCACAGGGGCCACAGGTATTTGGCTTGGAGGGCCAGACGTGGCCGATGCAGAGCATGGACGGAACTATAAGCGGAGCGGCGCTGGACGCTGCCAGCCAAGACAACGACAATTGGAGCAGCAGCTCTCGCAGTGGCCCGACTGCGCCCACGACTTTGAACGTGGAAGACTGGTACGTGTTTGTTCTGCTTATTTTTGGGCTTTTACTGATCATTATAGGTTCCAATTTTTCGGTATCAACGGTGGCTTTGGCGACCTGGCGGCGTAAGCTCCATATATAATGTAATTGCTTGTGTGTATAGTCTTTTTTTCTTTCCCTGGCTACTCAAAATGGTAGGGGATCTGGAATTGCCTTGGGCGTTTTGGTCTAGGATAGGTGTGGAGGAGCTTGAGGATTTGCCGTTCTACCCAATTGTATTTTGATGCCAATATGAGTTCTACTCTACTTAACATGCCCTGCCTCGATGTACTACAGTACTTGCGTACTTGTTTCCACCCCTTTGGCATGTAGCACGGCTAACTACTTCGGGCCTAGCGCATAACGGATCACATCATCGTGGCATCGTCCAATCAGCGGCCTCGAAGGCGGAGTCATAGCAATGGGCGTCCGGGGATGCTTCCAAGTCCGCCATTTTTTTGATTCCTACTCATTCTCATCTCATCCGTCCATTGTCCTTTGCATTGTGTGTTGCTCATCTTATATCTAAACATCCTTGCATCCCCCTCGATCCCTGAACTGCCCTTCATCCATCTTCACACAATCTCTGTGCCCCGCACTACAGCGATGTCGGCGTCAGGATCTGGAGTCCCCAATGCTGGGGGGTCCTCGAGCTCGAAGAAGCAATTCCCTCACGTTGACCTCGAGGGAAATAACCTTCCTCCGTCGCCAGCTCCATCCAGCCCCCACGGCGGTCGCCGGTACAACATTGCCACCGAACTGGTCTTTACCGAGGGGAACGACCAGTACAATGCGAGCAGTGTGCCAATCTACCAGGTACGATCTACAGCCGAATGACGCAGGAGAAGATTCGGAACTAATACTTGCAATCTTCAGAGTGCCACCTTTAAGCAGACTTCCGGCGGCGGGGGTGGAGAGTATGACTACACCCGGTCTGGTAACCCAACCCGCACCCACCTCGAGCGTCACCTAGCCAAGATCATGTCCGCCCAGCGGGCCCTAGTCGTGTCATCTGGCATGGCCGCCCTAGACGTGATCACCCGACTCCTCCGCCCCGGCGACGAAGTCGTGACCGGCGACGACCTGTACGGCGGCACCAACCGCCTGCTGAAGTACCTCTCAACCAACGGCGGAATCGTCGTGCACCACGTCGACACAACCCAGCCCGAGAAGGTCGCGCAAGTGCTCTCCCCAAAGACAACTATGGTCCTTCTGGAAACTCCCACCAACCCTCTAATCAAAATTGTCGACATCGGCCGCATCTCCGCCGCCGCCCACGAAGCAAACCCCGCCTGCCTCGTCTCAGTCGACAACACAATGATGTCCCCCCTCCTCCTCAACCCACTCGAACTAGGCGCCGACATCGTCTACGAATCCGGCACGAAGTACCTCTCCGGCCACCACGACCTAATGGCCGGCGTACTTGCCGTCAACGACCTCGCACTCGGCGAACGCCTCTACTTCCCAATCAACGCCTCCGGCTGCGGCCTCTCTCCCTTCGACTCCTGGCTTCTTCTCCGCGGTGTGAAAACCCTCAAAGTCCGCATGGATCAGCAGCAAAGCAATGCGCAGCGCATCGCCGAGTTCCTCGAGTCCCACGGCTTCAAGGTGCGGTATCCGGGTCTGCGCTCGCACCCGCAATATGAGCTTCATAACTCGATGGCACGCGGTGCCGGTGCCGTGTTGTCGTTTGAGACAGGCGATGTTAATGTCTCGGAGCGCATTGTCGAGAGTGCTAAGATTTGGGCTATATCTGTTAGCTTTGGGTGTGTGAATAGCTTGATTAGCATGCCGTGCCGGATGAGCCATGCTAGTATTGATGCGAAGACGCGTGCGGAGCGCGCGTTGCCGGAGGACTTGATTCGGTTGTGTGTTGGTATTGAGGATGTGGATGATCTCATTGATGACTTGCGGCGTGCGGTATGTTTTGCCCTGCACTACGGTGGTGGATGATTTTGAAGACATTTGCTAACATTTTCGACAGCTCGTTCAATCTGGCGCGGTTAATGTGACGCTGGATGGGTTCGAGGCCCACTCGGCGACTGCGTAGATTGGATTTTGGGTATATGCGAATAGGGCGTTATGGGGTTTAAAATAACATATCACGATTTCTACTTTCAGTGGCTATTTCTTGTAGCACTAAGCGTAGACGCCTGCGATAGTACTATGCAGAGAGCTAGGAACGGACGCTAGCGAGAAGAGATACCAGATACCAAGTCAATCTTCCTAATTGGCTTTCCAAGGTTGCAGGAAAACAGAACCAAACTTGTTCAACAGGAGAGGTATTTCTTCGACCCATTGATAGGAAGTAGCGTTTACCCGGGCCGGCATCGGAGACTCGAGAGCCCGGGCCATTCTCGTCCGAAACACAGATGTTCGGGGTATAAGATAGCGCGCTTTTTTGTAATCACTTTTGCTTCACTGGCCAGCCCCGGATTGCTGCCGTCATCCTGCGTTGCTGTTGTTCTTTGTGTTCTCTGTACAGTTCTGAATGACATTTCTGTGATTTCATTCCTCACCCTCACCTCATATGAGTATGTCTCGCGATGGTGTCGCGCAGGATGCGTCATTCCCCGTGGCCACGGTCGATCACCCTGTCGCACACTTCCAGAAAGCTCCAGTAGCCTCACCGATCCCGACCAAACCTGCATCAGTATGGAACACCAAGGATTTGGGTCTCCGTTTGGGCGTGGATGTCGCCAGCGCCGCGAGCGCCGGCGCGCTGACATGTCCGCTTATCACGATCATTGACCGGTTCGTGTTTTCCTCTTCTCACAGACAAAGTCAGCAATGGCAAGCTAACACATCATGATACCAGCGCGATCATCGAAAAAGCTTCCAAAGGCTTCCCCATCCGCCAAACCATCACCTCCTGCCTCAAATCCATGATAACCCGACCCGGCGCCTTCTTCACCAGCACGCCCTTCCTCCTCATATACACCCTCTACAGCTCAACCTACCTAACGGCAAACACAATTGACACCTTAACCTCAACCCTCCGCAACCAATCCTACGATACCGTAACCCCCGGCCCAGCAAAATTCATCTCCACAACAATCGTTAACATGGCAATCTGTGTTTACAAAGATGCGCGCTTCGCCAAAATCTTCGGCGCCCAGTCCTCCTCCTCACCCCAACAATCAACATGCCATCCTAAACCCTCAGCGACCGGTCCCCAAATTCCCAAAGTCTCCTACACCCTCTTCTGCCTCCGCGACAGCATAACAATCTTCGCGTCTTTCAATGTGCCTCCTCTCGTCGCACCTTTAATTCCCGATTTCGTGGCTTCAACTGCCTCTATGAAATCGGCCATGGCGCAGTTTGCTTGTCCGGCGCTTATGCAGTTTGCTAGTACGCCTATGCATCTGCTGGGACTGGATTTGTATAATCGGCAGCCGGTGGGCGGGTTACCGTGGACGGAGAGGGCGGCGAGGATTAGGAGGGATTACGTGCCGAGTTGTTTTGCGCGCATGGGGAAGATTGTCCCGGCTTATGGTGTTGGGGGCGTGGTTAATGTTCGGATGAGAGCTATGCTTATGGAGAGGCTGCAGGGGGAGTGAGGTGGTTGGGATTATGACCTGATGACTTTTCTCTGATTTTGGACTCGACGAATCTCCACTCTAGACTTTGAATTAGGTTACTTGGCGTTCTTGGATGGCGTTTGGCCTGATCTTTTGGTTGGGACATGTTTGCATTACTGGGATTGGCGTTGCATTGCGTTTCTGTTTTAGATCTTGATTTATTTCGGTTTTGCATTATACATTAGATTTTGTGGTAGTGGTGCAGCATTCTGGCTCATGTAATAGAGCTTGACGGATTTCATGGCTGTTAATACTATATACTTCCACTCGCAATTTCTCAATTATCGTTTTGATAGCCAGGTGAGTTTGATGGCACATCTAATACTTCGAGGAGCAAAGCGAAAAACCACACAATCATTTCCGAACACAAAGGACTGAAACGTATAAAGTGACTTCCACATAGACTGTAACAAAGAAGGAGTCAACATGAGAGAATACAAACAAAGACGCTGGTGAGACAATGGCATTGTGGTCCCCTCGAGAATCAGGATTCATTGTATCGAGGAATGCGCATATAAACCCGTCGTAAATTCGCATCCTTCTGTCGAGCAGAATCACTGTCATCCATTTCAAGTACCCCAAAAGTCATTACAGCCTCATTATCTGATCAGCATATTCCAGGTGCCACTTTACCATTCGTCAATTCCAAATGGAAGGTAACGACTCGAGACTCCGGGGAGACATTATTCTGTCATCTATGATGTTAGTTCAAATCCTTACTAACCTAGGCCATAATCTTACATCCTTTGCGACGGCCTTATTAGCATCATTCCCTAGGCCGTCAGATATGGAAGAAGTGCAGGAGGTCCGACATGTACAGTTTACTATCGACCGTATCTTCCTGCACATGCCCGAGACCGAAACATCTCATCCACGATTTATACGCTGTTATAAGGGACTGTCCGTGGCCGACATGGTGCTTCTAGGTAACTGTGCAACAACGCGTGAGAAGGGGGTTTATGTTGATGGCCGTATAGAATTCATACCTACACACCCGGAGCTTCGATTCACGTCAAGGGAGACCCCCATGCATGACCTTGTTCACGCTATATACGGTTCAGAAACGTGGACTGCTGACGCCTACCTACAGCAGATATGCAGACACTCTCTGTCTCCGCAAGCCGCTCATGACATATGGATATCCTTCGGCGTGCGGGCTTCTCCAGATGTGCGGGACGAGTACCTAGCCCTAGAGGAGATGGCCACAACAGTGCGAACCCGATATCTTGCAGATTTGAGGAAGGTTAAGGCTATTGCCCGGGAAAAGTTGCTGGTCACTTCCAACCCACTAGACGAAGAGATGAAGCTACATAACGAGGGCGAATGCCGAATTTGCTGTGAGCCGGTTGTTATCGGTACATACGTCTCAGTTCTTCAGTGTGGGCATTGGTATTGCAAACCATGCATCGATCCATGGCTTGTCCACAACACCACCTGTCCGACATGCCGTCAAGGGGGCCTCTCTTCCGACGACGTTCTCGACACTTATCCTTTTGAACTCTGAGTAGCCTCGTGGTCTCTCTCAATGGGGGATCCTGGATACCTGTGCTAAGTGTGAAGGAAGTTCACTGAGAATATGGAGGATGCTGGCATGCCTGCATCCTTAGGCATCAAAATGCACAGGTCTTCCTTCACGCTCTTTCCCTATTTGTTTTATTCTCCATGCTTAGTATTCTTGCCTTGATATCACGATCCCTTCTGTACATTTGCGTCCTGTCCCTTTCAACTGAACTTTGCAACACTATGTCTATCGTTATTGAATTTATAGAATGCGATGGTATTGAATCTGCTTGTGCTGAAAGATGAAGAACCCACTCGTAAAATTGTTTTACGTAAATTGCCTCGATTGAAATTGCGCATGTGTAGACCCGTGATTATTATAGCCTCTGAAAACCAATCATCGGGGTAGTTCTCTCTTGGAGATTCGGTAAATTCTCAATTTGTGTTTTGATGGCCAGCTGCCTCAGTTAGATGGCACACCTAACTCTAATGTCATCGGGTTCCCTTAATAGGTTGACGGGTGACCAGAAGTTGGCAGCAAGGTGACGCTAACCTAACAATAGGGTGATCTTGCAGATCGCCAGAACTGCCTGGTTGTTTGAGCTGTTTGCATAGAATATCCCCTTGGCGCACGCCCCCGTTTATTAATTCAATTCGCTCTTTCCTCCAGTTTATCTACTTTCCTTCTTTCATTAATTTCTCTGAACTTGCACCGTACAAGAGAATGTGTCGGGCTCGTAAATTGTGGAACAAAAAAGGGACGTCCTATGTTATGGAGACAGTTGACGTCTCAAAGCTGTACTATTACTCTGGCGCTCTTACTCATGGTGAGGTTAATTCTTAGTGGACAACCACAGCTTAACCCCGTAATCCCCGTTAAGCCCAACGTTGGGCGCCTTACCAGCCGGGCTATATAAATAAAAGTGTCTTCAACTCCTCTCCTAGTAATTGGTATGCATTTATACTAACAATGCTGCCGCTAGTATCCTTATAGCCCGCTCTCTTGCCGGAGTCTTTGATCACAAATTTCAAATCTCATACATACAAACATGAACCGTACCGTACATATCTATAACCCACTTCAGCCACCTGTGGAGCTGGACCTAGTCGCTTCCGCCCCTCTTGAGCCTACCAGCCCTCGGCCAACCTTCATTTTCTTTCACGGCGGCGGCCTTCTCAGCGGCTCGCGGCGTGGCCGCTTCCCGCCACTGCCAGTGAAACTGCTACTCGACCGTGGATGGGCGGTCGTTGTCCCAGATTACCGCCTGCTGCCAGAGGCCTGCATCGTTGATATTCTCGACGACCTGCGCCAACTAGAAGCGTGGTTGGTGCAGTCTGCAGTGGGAGTTGATATGTATCGTGTCGTTGTCGGGGGTTCGAGTGCAGGCTCCTTAGTGTCAATCCTGGCTCTCTCGGTGTGGAAGACAGTCAAACCGCGCGCCTTCCTGTCTCTATGGGGCATGGCGCAGACTGAGGGCGAGTGGTATCGTCGTCGCCGGGCCGAATCAGCCGTGCTGGGAGGCATCCCTGCCAGCCAATTACACGAGGAAAACGTTGCTCACTATCTACAGCCCGGACGGCCGCATATCTCCGCCGATGAAGCGGATATGAAGGACCCCGGTAGCCGGGCATCGCTTTTCTTGTGGCTGCTGAAACAGGGTATGTTGTCTGATTTGGACTCCCCTTGTCGGTGCCTATACACATAATTGCTGACTCTCCAGGCCAAATTGGTCCTCTGATTAGCGACTCGGTGAGAGCAGCCATCGGCACGGAAGCCCCCTTGGACTTGATAAGCTCCTCGTATCCACCTACGGTTATCGTCCACGGCACCGCCGACACAGTGGCGCCGGTGACGGACTCACGGGCGCTGGCGGCCGCGCTGCAGCGGGTTGAGGTTCGGGTGCGCTTGATTGAAGTCGATGGAGCGGACCATGGACTGGCACCGCAGGAGAAATATCGCATTTCCTTTGAGGAGGCGATCATGGCTGTGGAGGAGTTTACTGGGATCCATCTGCCGCATCCTGATCGCCTAATCTAATCCATGAATCCAGGCGCCCAGTGCAATTTCCACATTCAGGCAGTTTTTCCGCTTTCTGCCCCTATAAAACCCAGGCATAATAGCTAGACAGAATAGCATCGTTTTCATCATTGCCAAATCTGATTACCTGGTAGAATTACTAGTGAATACGCTTATTTTGCATCCCCACATGTAATCATACGTCTCATATTACTGTAACATACACGGTGCATTTTACTGCGCCCCTCAGTTCAAAGCGAGCCGCTCAATAAATGATCTGCGCTAAGGCCTTGGCGGTGGGGCCAGGAAAGAGTTTCTTAGTGTATATTGATCAAGGCGATTTCGAGCACGACTGTACCCGGTAAATTGGCACTGAAATCACCATGTATGTAATGGTTGCGTATATAGACTATGCGAGGGTGACAAGCCGATTATATGAACGCCGCTACCTCTCTAGAGAATTGGGAGAATGTAATGGCGTGACAGCATTATAGTAAAATGAACACGAGAACTCTTATTTGAAAGTAGCTCCTACACAAGGCCAAAGGAAAAGACTTTTATTATAATGAACAGACAGGTCCGAGAGTAAGTAAAACGCAAATTGATTCGTTTGCAACAAAGAAACTAAAATTTTATAGAGCTCTGAAATCATCAAACAGGGCCTGAAGAAAGAACCAAAGACACTACCAGAGAAGCTCTGGAATTTGTTAAGTGTGAATTCACAAATTCGAACAGCAGAAGAAGAGGAAATAAATATGTTCAAAAAAGTGGACGTGTGTACAACCCCGGACACTTCGTTCGCGAGGATTACTCAGAGAGCTCTGAAGGCAAGTATGGCACTCTTTGACGACACCAAGAGAATAGAAATCCTTTTTGTGCAGAGCGACAACAGGAACATTGATCTACTTTATGATCAAGAGCATAAAATATTGAAAGCCAACCACAGATGGTTATATTTTGATGATATGCACCTGCATCCCTGCAGAGATTTGGCCAGAACCGACACGACAGCTGCCTACATCGTCCGTCCACTTTTCTGTGAACACGTCGTGGAGGAACTTTTCAGAAGGGCCATTACGGTGATCTTCAAAGGTACAGCCTGAGTCGAAAACAGATTCCCCTTCATACACTCACGAATTGTTTCTCGAACCCTAACTCGAAGCGCACTAATATGTATTTGGTTACTCGATATATAATCCCTGCTTAGTTGTATCGTATCAAGCGGTTTCGCTACATGAGTCATTGTAAGATACTGTAAATCTCTAGAGAATCGTGTAGAATGTTCCTGGCTAAGGTACCACCCAGGATGGAAACTTTGGAGTCCTGGCATATTCGTCACCCTCTCATTCCTCCTTCTGCACACACGCAGCCTTTGTCCACTCGTTTTACTATCACTCATTTTACTGTATATCAAAGGAAGGCAGCGCTGGTGCTAAAGAGAACTAAATTTGGTAGGAGAACATGCTTCTTGGTTATTCGATGGCTGTTCTCCTACAGCCGTCATTCATTAATAGTGTGCCAAGGCATCAACCACATGTAAACCAAGTCACGCGATCCCGTCTAGCTGCAGAATGTATAATAGTCGAACCCGCAGGCGCTCGGATTATCGCATGAAAGCGGAACGTCAATATTGTAGCTAAAAGTTATTAGCTATGAAGCTACCTCCATCACAAACTATTGATAATTACACACCAATTGCTTGGGTTACAGTAAGTGACCGGAAGAGTTGAACTACTTTCCGAATAGTCGTAGTTCAGCGAGAAGCCGCTGATACGGACTTAATACCGAGTTAGAGAATTAGCTTATGACAAGGAGTAGAAAGCGGATTTCATAGCCTAGAAACATACCAAGGCCCTGTTCCCCCTCGGTAATAGTGCCAGTGCATGTCTGAGCATCGTTATCTGTTGTGTAGAAATCGCAATAAACTGTGCTGCCAGTGAGTTCAAGACATGCCAAAGCAGTAGATGAAAGATTCATAGTTATGGCAGCTATGGCCAGAGTTTTTTTTTACCAAAATCGATCATTTTGATGGGATTAAACAGAGCAAGGCGTAGGCTTTGTGTTCAAGGACTTGCGATAGAATTTTCTATTTCTGTTAGGGCGCAAATACGATGCCTTTTATACATAGCCATAGGTCTATGCACAAGGCAGATTACTGTCCTCTACTTCGTAGAAATAATGGCCCCGACCCAAGTATGATTGGCCATACCACCCCCTAAGCTCCATATGTTGAGAGTAATTACATTACATCACAAGACGCTCCAGGGCGCCTTATATGACTTCGCGTTTCACATCTTTGGACGCCTCGCATCCCTGGGTGCCTAAAGTATCGGATATTCCTGGAATAACTAGATTGCTGATTGGTTTGTGTTAGTCAGCTTGCCCCCATAAATTGCCAGATAGGGGCTATAGTAATATAGACCTCTTGTGATTCCATTGGTTGATCCATATATCCACTGGACCCTTGTTTCACTAGTACATACTACATTTACTGTGGTGCTTTTGGGTGGCTGGCACCGCTAGTAAATTACGTTAACGTTCAGCAAGTTAACTAGTTAGCGGACCAGCATTGTCAGCAAGAGTGACTCGACCTTCTGTCTCACACACCTCCTCATCACCATGGTACCATGGTATATCGAGGCATCAGCCTTTGTGGGTTTGGTTAAGGCCTAAGATCATTGATATTTAGGTTGCTTCTTTTTTCCAGCGTTCACACAATGTTCCAATTATGGCTGTGATTGCTAGTTAGCTGCGTGTACTTTGTGGGTCAGGTTGCCAGGTCCGCGGGTGGAGGCCATAAGCCAGTGGAACCTAGGCATCAGCTTTCGCACCGTCAGTCTGACTCTCGGTGGGTTTGGCGTGCATTGATCGAAGGAATGTATCAGATCAGGAAAATACACTTGTGTAGACACTCGCATCCTCATCTTGAACCAGAGTCTGGTTTATCATCTCAGCTCACAACACTCTGGCATCCACTCACTCTTCATTGATGTATTTTCTTCTGGCCCACTACGACTTTGCTCTACCACGAAATCAACCCAGTTTGCCTTCCTTTTACGCCTTTATTTGGCAGCTCTGCCACCTCTGTCACTCCGGCACTTCGATTTTTTGAGTCTCGTCCATTTCGCCCTCGACTCAACGCATCTTCCACCCCCCCCCCTTACCACAATGTCGTCTCCCGAAGCAGCCGGCCAAAATGATACCTCCCAGAACCTCGTCTCCTTCGGCCCCGACGCCAACTGCACCCTCGCCCTATGCCCCGTCGAAGCCTCCCTACAGGGCTACCGGCCCGCCCTCGGTGTGCAAATCGCCTTCATCGCCCTCTTCGGCGTCTCCATGTTCATTCACCTGGCCCAGGGCATCCGCTACCGCACCTGGTTCTTCGCCAGCATGATGGCGCTCGGCTGCATCGGCGAGATGATCGGTTACGGCGGGCGCATTTTGCTGTACCAGAACCCCTTCTCCTTTGACGGCTTCATCATCGAGATCTGCTGCATTACAATCTCGCCCGTCTTCTTCGCCGCCGCGATCTACGTCTCACTCGCCAGGGTCTCGAATTTTTTGGGCCCCGAAGCTTGCAGGTTTCCAGTCAAGATATACGTGTGGGTATTTGTGCCTTGCGATATCGTTAGTTTGATCTTGCAGGCCGTGGGCGGCGCGTTATCATCGAGTTCGGTGGGAAGTGACAGATCGGGCGAGTACATCACGCTTGCAGGTCTGGCGTTCCAGGTCTTCACTCTTACTGTCTTCATCGCTATGGCGTTAGACTACCTCTTCCGCTACATCTCGTACCGTAAGTCTCAGCAAGTGGATCAACGCCGGATCCTCTCGACGCGCCTCGAGATCTTTGGCGTTTTCTTCTCGGCATCTATTCTCTTTATCCTCATCCGTTGCTGCTACCGTATTGCCGAGCTCGGTCAAGGATACAGTGGGTCAATCTTCCACGAGGAGGGTCTGTTTATTGGGCTGGAGTCGGTAATGGTGATCCTGGCAGTGTTCGCCTTAAACATTGCTCAACCAGGTACGGTTCTGTCCCATGTAGGGAAATTCTCGTTCGTACTGACAGCTGCAGGCTTCGCATTCCAGAACCGCACTCAGGGGAGGCCTATGCAATCTATGGTACAGCGATGTTCGAAATCAGATATACCGATATCCTCACACGGATCAATTCCCGAACGCTAACCTGAAACACGCTAATCCAAATATGGCGTAGTCGTAGGTTCTTTGTTTCCAGAATAGATGTTGTATCTTACATGACGTTTGCTAGACCTTTGGATGATGTATTTTACACGAAAGTGCTATACACTTGCTGCCTACGTGGCCCTCCCTGGCTGCTGTCGACCTTCCCTACAAAGCTTCTTCCTGTATAACTTTTGACTATCTTCCAATTTTGAGAAATGCAATATGGCACCGAGCCTCCTCCAGAGCGTGGCCGCGAGACAGAGCCTGAGGCATCAGTGATTACTGTTAAACCTCATAGGCTGTATAAATAGTCAGACCGAGCATGGCTGGACCGGGGTAACCAGCGATCAGTTTTGGAGTACTAACGTAATTCCTGGGTGAGTGGGCCACCCAAGCGAGTGGGCCAGCCGAAATATTGCTATCAACCTTGGACTGTCCAGTGGTATCGGCTTAACCAGACCTGAGCTTCTCAACCCTAATATTCCCGAATCCTCACTATGTTCGATATCAAGAAGCAGGTCCTCGCTTTCAGCCTGATGGCATCCCTGGGGATAGCCGAGACTACGGGCCTTGGGTTCGTAGAGGTTGACTTGGTCTTCCCGCGAAACGGCACCTTTGGGCTGATGACACTCACCCCCATCGTTTTCGCAATTCAGAACCCCGCGGCGATTGATCGACTCTATCCCTATATTACTTACGGACTGTGGCCAGTGGATCTCCCGCCGGGGAATCAAACACTGGACAGCAATCTGGTGCAACAACATCTGCCCAATACAACGGATACAACGGGCTCTGTGGCATTCCTTGAAGCTAGCATCGCAAACACGCTGAACACCGAGAATGACTGGGAGTTTGTCTGGAAAATGGACTGGACCAACTGCTCGACGTCGGCGAACGAGACCACTTCGGACGGTGAGCCCAAGGTCAACTTGAACAACCCATGGGCTGGCCAATCCGTCCGCTTTACTACGAAGAAAGGGCCAAACCAGCCTAATTTGACCGCTCTCACTGCCGATGACAAATGCGGTGATGCCTCCGCTCTTGCATTCAACATCACAAAGACCCTGGAAGCCCAATCGGGTCACTATGAAGGCGAAAAATGCGCCGTGCTCGCGAGTCCCGCGCCTACGCCTGCTCCTTGCAAGGTCAGTGTCGCACCGGCGGCCGCCTCAAGCATCTCGTCCACCCTCATCGCAGCACAGTGCGCTGCTCCTACCCCTGGTATCAGCTGTCCGCCTAAAAAGAGCGCAGCTACTGTCAACAATGCGGTCTCTCAGCTGACATGGTGGGCTGCTGGTATGCTACTTGTTCGCGAGCTGTTGATTTAGCGGCGACGTTGCTCATCTTTTCTATGTATTTGAATAACCTCAGTGTATCAACTATCAATTGTGCAATGGGTACAGGCAGTTTCAATACCGTTATAGTTTCTAATCTAGGGAATGGGGCCAAGACTGGGTCACATCTAGCCTAACTTGACTGTTTGTACCAATGAGTGTTCTTGACTGTTTCGGCAAGTCCACGCCGCACCCGGCCTTTTATCTATGTAGTATGAACAATGCCACTGTTCTAGCCTCAAGTATCGCGATACCGGCGTTCATCTTGAATCACAAGCGGATGGACGGAGTATTCCCGGTCAGCCTAATTTGACCTGGATGGTGGTCCTGTGCCTTGCCAAGAGTAATATCAGGCTTCAGTGGAATATTAAACTGAGCTGGTAGCACGAGCCTCCGAGAACCCCCTCCCTCAAACCACATAAACTAGTTAAAATGAGTTTCGTGGGGTCATGAGGGAATTGTCGGTGTGATCTGTGAACAGGATGATTCCACTTGTCAAAAATCCCGGAGCTGTCGGCTTCCGTCCTCCCGCCAAGCTTAGTCCTGCAGCTTAACGGAGTACTTCGGTTGCAAATGTGCCAATGTCTTGGCGTCACAAGTACGGAGTAGCGGCTTGCACAATTTACGGGAGGCTGAATCTTTTTCTCGGCGGGGCATTTTTATCAGAGCCCCGCAAGTGTTATTCTTGACGGAGGGCTCCGTCCGGAGAACCCAGCGTCTATTCGTAACCCATACCACTTTGTCTTAATATGCATCAATGGCCATCATGGCCTTTTGACCAATGTCGGTCCTCTTAACTCCATGAGAAGGTTAGCATTATGGAACCAAGGGACCTTGGGCCCTTCGACTGCCTCCGGCAAACTCTTACATTTACGCGGACCCAACCAACAGTGCTAATTCCATAGGGCTAGACTTCATACTATGCACGGGTCAATCCTCGGCAATCTCCAAGACACCGGGGGCGGAAAAGGGGGCGGAAGGTGGGCTGAACCCAGGTGATCTCTTAACAACAAATGAGCATCACTACTCTTAGCCCTACCCACCCCTATCCCCGTTGCCGGGCCGGTTCACCAATCGGATATCACGACGGAAGTGTGGGTGGAGATCTGGTTAGGTACAAGGCAGTTTCGAACTTGAGTTCCAAGGCTAAGTATGCCAAGTTGGAGCCCAGCCGAGATATGCTCAGGCTGATGCTCAGGCTGATGCTCAGGCTGATGCCTAGGCCGAAATTTGAGCTTGGGTGGACTTGGGCTCTTGGTGCAGGGTTTGTGAGGGAAGCGCATCTTTAGTGCCTTGGCATGCCTCCAACGTTACAATCTGTAAGCGACGTACGGAGTACCGGTATATTGTATACGAGTGTATCCGGTCTTTCCGTTCCTCTATACTTCCTATTTGGGAAATTCGGATGGAGTAGTGTCAATTTCGCACGATTGAACGCTTGATACGGAGTATAATCCACTTCAATTTGCGTCGCCGTGGTCGATTCAACTGAGACAGCAGTATTCGTAAGTTCAGTCACTATGGCGCCGGTGGATTTGGGTGCGGGTCAACGAGGCTTCCAAAGATGATGGAGGGATAGTAGTCAACCATGCCATTGGGGGCCAATTGTGTCGAAAGACCTTCCTTGAGATGCATATAAAAGGCTCCAAGTTATCCGAAATTATAGTCCAAGGTGACTCGGATCGAATTTGTTCCTGGAAATCATAACTCACAGCCGATCAGCCATCTACATCGTCAGTATGTACGGAAAGTCCGCTCTTGCCTTAGCCCTCCTATCGGAGTTGCTTGCTGCACGCTCCATTGGAAATACTTTCTCCCGTCGCGGTGTCGACTGCAGTTTCAGTACTGCTCCCAGTACGGGCGACACCTGTGAAACCTTTGCCGACGCTGGGGCATCGCCGTTGACAACCTCAAGTCTCTCAACCCTGATCTGGATTGCTCCAAATTCGATGATGAAACTGAGTACTGTGTCTCTGGTGAGGCAAATGATGACGAACCTACCAAGACCACTACTACTTCCACGGCTGCTGAGGCCACGACCGCTGTGACGACCTCCAGCTCGACCAAGACTACTGAAGCTCCCTCCACAACCTCTTCGGCCAGTAACCACGAGCCCACTCAGCCTGGGCTGTCTGAGAACTGCGACAAGTTCCACAAGGTTAGCTCCGGGGATCAGTGCGATTCTATCGAGACCGAGTTCAAGATCACCCACGATCAATCCATCAAATGGAACCCTTCTATCAACCCCGGTACGTAACCGAACCATATCAGAACATTTTTCTTTGTTTAATGAGTGCTTATCATTTCCCACCAGGCTGCACCAACTTGCAACTGGACTACAATGTCTGTGTCCACGTTCCCGGCGCGGTCAACACCCATGGCCCCACGCCGCAGATGCCCAACCTGACCTCGGACTGCAAGAAGTACCACAAGGTGACTGATGGTGAGAGTTGCCCTGAGGTACAGAAGGAGGCTGGCGGTATTACTCTCGCTCAGTTCCGAAAGTGGAACCCCACTGTCGATGCCAAGTGTAGCAACCTTTGGAACGGGTACTACGTGTGCACTGGTGTTTAAGTTGGTTTACCACGAAACATTCGCGTGAGAACGATGATGTACTCTATATGATGGGTACAAGTTAGACTTGGGAAGTGATTACCCGGGCCCGGCACCCATAAGTGTTTTGAATCATAGTCTAGATATTGATATGAATATGGGGGTTCTTCAATTCGAAGGTGATATAGATGAGGAACATGCATATACGGGCACCCAATTTCAATAACCTCATGGGCCTAGCTGACCAATTAGTAGCTATTGGGGCAGAGAGATGCCGACCGATGTTAGCGCCTTAGGATGAGGGCTCCAATTTCTAACACAGTTCAAAAGTTCTAGCAACACCGCAGCAACTTTTAAGTTACAAATATATACAGTAAAATGGGGTATTTTTATAAGTCAAGGGCAAATATCAGGCCAGCAGATACTTGCCCGGAAGAAAAGTGTCGAGTAAATAATCACCATCTGAAAAGACATGTCAGTAAACGCGACCCACAAAACGAGGACAAAACTTACGCAAAAGGCTCGGAATGCAAATAAAGCTCCTCAATCTCACCCCCAAGCGTCCTAGTCTGCGCCAGAGCCGCCGCATTGCGGGTGTCATGCAACATCGAAGCAGGTCCACAGACCAACACACCGATGCGTTGCTTCTTCCCAGCATGAGTTCCCTGACTATGCGCCATCGCCACGCTACGTGCAATCAAGCCGGGGATATCGGGTCGGATACTCCGGTGGACATTTAGGCTGAATGAACCCGTAGTCAGGATATCGGGAGTAGGCATCTTCTTCTCGGGTGGGTTCTCCGCGTCTGGGATTGTGAAGGTGACTTCGGAGTCGTTGATAAGGTTGCGGGTTGGGGTTGAGGTGACATGTAGAGAGACGGACGTTTCGAACCCGCTGTCGCCGTTGCCTTCCAGGGAGAGCATTGTTGATCTCGAGAGTCGGCATTCGATTTCTTTCTTGTACCAGTCTGCCATTGCGACGTCGCGGGTCGAGAAGACGACTTGGAGGTTGCGGCGCCCTTGGCCGCTCTTGGGCTTTTCGGTTAGGCGTAGGGCCTCGTCTACCATTGCGAGCGAGAATCCGCCCCCAGAGCCACCGGCGATGACGAGTATGGTGTCGAATTGGGACATGTGGTATGGGCTGACACCGCCGTATGGGCCTTCGATTAAGATCTTTTTGGAGATACCGGGTTGCTTGGCGGCCATTGCTGCCAGGCGGGCGGTTACGCCGCGGCGCGGCTTGATGTAGAAAATTAATTCGGAGGCATTTCCGGTGGTTTCAGGGTTCTGACAGGCGGAGGATATGGTGAAGGGGTGCGCGGATAGGAGGTGCAAGTCTGATGTCAAGAACCGAACGAAGGCGTGCTGTCCGGGCGTCCACTTGATGACTGTCGGGACAGTGACGCGAACGAGACCGCAAGGGAGGCGCTCGAGGTTGGCGGTGTGGAGGCCTTGCATTAAATAGGTTCGAATGTGTGATGCAGCGAGAGAGGTTATGTAGATTGCACCGGTAGCAATGAAGTAGTCCCTGGGAGATGTTAGTGGTTATCAACGGGGCCGAGCTGAGGGACGTACCATGAAGAAAGGCGGAAGTCGCAGTGGAGGAAAAAGAAGACGATAAAGATCACGGCCGCACAGATGTGTGTCGCTTTGAAGAATTCGTAGAAGCGGTTCCGAATAGCAGGCAGAGACATGACGGTCAGATAGGTTTGGGCAAGTATGGCAATAATCCCCGTCCAATAAACAATACTGGTCCTCCACTGCTTGACCATGTCGCCTTTCCAGATGTGGTATACGATATAAGGGAAGGTGTGGATCAAAGCCAAGACGAACATGGCGTAACTGGTCCAGTGATGGAAGACCTGGAGTTTCTCATGAGGAATCCCAGTCAACACAGAGATCATGTTTGCTTTCGCGCTCAGGGCTCTATACAAGAGTCAGTACCACTTCATACCAGACGAATATGCAAAATTCACAGTACGAAAGGCAGCAGTCCCAGCGCCATCCATCCAGCTCGGGTCGCAAGTGGCGGACTGCTTCCATAGTATGCATCTGTCGGCCAGTAATACGGTTTCGGTCCAAGGGTCATCGCTGCATCCCATTAGCCTTGATCCCATCCCTTTTGTAAAACAGCCATACCGAAGAAGAACACGGCGCCGACGAGACCCAAAACAATCACACCCAGCGGCGGAGACCAGTAATGTACGACAGGGAACCGGTACCCTCGATAGGCCATATACCGTGAAGCCGACGTTGAAGCCCGCCATACTCTCGTCCGCTTGACCCAGTCAGGACTAAATCGGACCAACAAATTCGAAACAGTAAAGACCCCGATCACCGCACACAGGAAATAGATAGTGTTCAAAGCATAGACGTGATCCGCTTGGTACCTAAACAACCATGAATCAGCATATACACAGTCACATCCGTCTTCGAATATCGTACCAGTATCGCCAGTGGTTATTCCGATAAGCACATTGTGCCTCGGTCAACTTGCACTTGTCAGCTCTGGACGAGTGAAGCATGACCGGCTGGTCCAGCCAGGGGATACCACTTCTGGGAATGGACATTCCCATCATGGTGACTCTGAGTTCAAGGATGTTGTCGAATCAACCTTGAAGCGAGTTCCCCCTGGGTTGTTATAGATAAAGAGAAACCAGTTCGTGGAGACTGGAGAGCGGCGAGTTAAAGCTTGACAGGGTCGATAATATCATATCCATAGATGTCGGGGTTGTTGTTTGAAGGGTTGCAGATCCGAAAACGGAAATTTCTTAACGGGGACGGCGTTACCAAGGGAATTGTCGAGCTTGTTCCCCAATGGCATTCCACAGTCTGTGCTGGCCCGCCGATCACCCGCGGGGATCTGCTCGGAATTGAGCACTTTTTTCTTTGGATCGTGACTAAAATCGAGCGGGTCCGCCGTCATTGAGTCTTGTTTAGATCCGGGATCTCAGTCGGCTTCGGGTGTTCTGGGTCTACCTGGTCCTGATCGGCTGAGCACATTTGCGCATGCTGCGGTTGTGGCTGCGGCTGCGGCTCGGGTGGGCCTGAGCGCATCTCTTGGGTCAGATCTCGGCTATGTGCATTCGCATGTACAGTAGATTCCTAGACTATGTAGATAGATTCTCAGTGTCTTGGATGCGGGTCCCATGGCCAACACCGAATATACCTAAAGGTATCCACCACTACCGCCGGAGCCTTGGTGAGAACATTGACGTAGTTCGCGATGTGACGGTGACGTGCTTAGTAATAGAGTCTGGGCCCTTAGTCGAATCTCGGCGCAAGGTTGTTTTGTAGGGTTTCATGCACCAGACAAACAAACGGCCGATGAGGCATTATGTAAGAACATCCAAACAGAGCAAATGGAAACCCCGGCGAAAAGACCAAAAGAGTATGTTCAGTTATGTACATGTACAGCCCAGTCCGCATTCAGCCTAGCGGCTCATGGGCCAGCCCTACATTCTTTGCCCGTCATTCCTCTCAATCGAGGGGGACGGCAGAGACAGCCACCGCCGCCGCAATGGGAAACTTGGTAGAAGCCATCGGGGCTTCGCTTCCGATACCGTACGCCTTCATGGCGCTGTGCCCTCCCCGCACACTGTCTGCCTCGAAGCCCTTAGCCCGCAGCACGCTGGTAGCCACGCGTGCCGTGTCTCCATCATAGCACACCACCAGAACGTGATTTTTTCCAAGATCCGTCACCAATTTGCCGTCACTGAAGATCTTCTCCAGCTCCACCCACTGTGCCTCCAGCACGGCCGGGTCCGAAAACGGTGATGCCGTGTGTGGCCCCAAACTGGTCAGCGGGAGGTTGATCGACTCTGGGAGTTTCCATGCGCGGAAGTCACATGCTCGCCGGAGATCGATGACCCGTTGCTGAGGCTTGAGACTGATCTCGCTGAGCAGGCTTTCCTCCCGGGACCGTGGCGATCCGTACACGAGTGGGAAAACCTCTAACGCGTCCCGCTCCCACGCCTCGTCGTATCGGTGTAGATCCACTTTTGTCAACCGCTGAACAATGTTAACCTGAGAGTTCACGTTGCATTCTGTAGCGTCATAGATCTTGAACTCACCTCATTGCGGATCGGGGGAAACTTCGTGGGACCCAGCTTCTGGAAATACTCCCCGATGTACTGGTACGGCAGGTCGCAGCACAAGAAGACGCAGTGCGTCAGCCCATCCGGGCCTGCCAAATCACCTAGCGTGCCGGCATCCTTCCGCTTCTCCAGCATCTGAAAGAGACCTTGAAGGTTGAATCCGGATGATGGGCCACATACCAGTCCCTCTCGACACAACTGCAAGGACAAGGTGTACGACCGTTCAGAGCCCACCTCTTCGATAGTATCCACAGCTTCTTTCCAGGGGAAGTCAACCGGCCGCAAGAGTGCAAATGACCGGGGTCCAGGTACACGGTCTCCGGGGGCAGTGCAGACTCCAAGCCTCACCACCGATGGCTTGACGCTCTTGAAGTACGTTCCCAATCCGGTCATGGTACCGGAGGTGCCCATGCCGGCACAGAGTACATTGATCTCGGGCAGCTGCTTGAAGATCTGCGGACCGGTCCAGCGGACGTGCGACTGCCAGTTGAGGTCGTTCTCGTATTGATTGGGGTTGACGATGTCGTCTGATTCCGCAGCCATTCTGTGAGCATTTTGTATCCCGCCGCGGGTGTCAAGAGGCTCGGGCTGTGAGGGACCTCCGAAGAGGGTGATGTCGAGACCGAAGAACTGCATCAACTTCAACTTGGCGTCGCTGGTCTTGTTGCTTAGGAACGCCCGCGTGTCCTGCACACCGTGCATGACCCGCGCAACCATGGACATCGAAATCACCGTGGATCCCGAGCTGTACTCGATGATTGTATTTGTCTTGGGTTCCACGCTCGACTCGAGCATGTTCATCGCTGTTCTCACGTCAGCCTAATCCCTTCACATACAGCATGTTCGTCCTACCTGGCATGGCCTTGACATTGTTTGCCGGATGCATAGTCATCATCTTAGCGTAAATCCGAACACCATGATGATAGTAAGGATTCAGATGCTCCGGCAACTCCACAAGAGGCAACGGTGGCTGGCTATCCGGATCGAAGTACTTCTTCAGCGAGTCCGGGCCGAAGTATATATTGCGCTCGTTGCAGTTGGCCATTGTAGAAGATTCGGAATGAGGCATGTTCGTGAGCCCAGCACCCATGAGATTCGGATGATCAGAAACAGAGAGTGATTATCTGGGAGCCAAGAAACCAAAACAGGGGGAGATTGCTAGACAGATATACTTCTCTCGCGCCTTCCCAGATCCCCATGCGTCATTGGGCGCCCATGAGGTAAAAGCACGCTCTTAGGGAAACTAAGCCGTCCGATCCACCATGGAAAATCCGCGCTTCACGGGCCTTGAGAGGCCAAAAAAATATGGCTGACCCAGTCGACGCTGCAAGCGCCAGACATTCCATCCCGCGGCGGAGATGAATCGGGTAAGTCAAATCAGCGATCGGAACAATTTCGGGAAGGCCAATTGTAAGGCGGACCCTGATCTAGTTTCCACGTGTGTTGTTTGTCAAGGAAACTGGCCTGCAGAGCGAGATGTTTGAAAACGGAAGGATCGCCAGGGCGTGCGTGGTGGGATGTCCCCCCCGTTGTATTCAGCGCGAATGCAGTTGCTCTATGAATTCGGTATGCGATTTTCAGATGATCTCGTGTCTGTCAGCGATCTGCGAATTCTCGGGTCTAGATTGAGTCGTCAAGGTCCTCGGACAAGAAGACGCCAAGAAGAACACAATCGAGGACCCGGCGTGATTCTGCAATCGGGGCTGCATTGAATGACCATGTCAGGAACGCCTGCGATCGCTATGCACTGGACGAGTACCCTGAGAGTAATTGAGCAAGTTTGTACTCCCGATCAAACTCTAGCACCCTAGCACCGCCGATCAGTGGCTGTCAAGGGTCCGCTTTGGAAATGCCGATGTCGATCTATGTCGAATTCAGCAAGCATGCAGAAAGGCACTGATGACGATCAAATGCCTTGGCTCATCCAAAAAAAATCGAACGAGATGTCCGGAATCGTCTCCTGAATGCAGCCGCCTTCTTCAAAACCAACCCAACATTCCATCGACCGCTGAGCCCTATCCAGAATGGCCTCAGTTCTGGAAAATCCGTCAGGCCAGTCGAGCGCCGACAGCTCGGCGGTTGATTTGGCAGGCGCAGACAAAAATGCAGCCGTGCTAGTTTTCAACGAACAAACTAATTATGTACCTAAGCGCACCATTATCACGGTATGTGTCTGATCGAATGGAAACGAAGCAATTCAGTTGGCGCTCTAATCGCGGGTTTTCTTTATCAGATCTTTTTGGCTTGTTCGAGTGTTGATTTGCTGGCTTTGATGGACCAGACGACCTTGGCGGCTAGTTTGTCTATTATTGGGAACGCACTGGGGGCTAGTGACCAGACCTCGTGGATTTCTGGTGGTTACTTCGTGTCTGTTTCCCTTGGAAGCTGGAAACAGTTGTTCCGTAGCTAATGGCCGCAGGACATCGACTTGCTTTCAGCTCATCTACGGCAAACTGTCCGATATCTGCTCTCGCAAAATTGTGCTATTCGTCGGTCTTGGGATCTTCTTTATCGGATCGCTAGCAGCGTCTCTCGCGCAGAATGTCACCCAGCTCATTGTCTTTCGAGCCTTGACGGGTGTCGGCGGTGGCGGGTTGATGACCGTCGCCCAGATGATCGTCAGCGATGTTGTCCCTCTCCGCGAGCGAGGCAAGTACCAAGGTATTCTCGGTGCCGTGGTGGCAATTGCCAACGGTATCGGTCCTGTCATCGGTGGAGCACTGGCGTCGATTTCACAGGACTCGTGGCGGTGGATCTTCCGATTGAACCTGCCCTTAACGGCGATTACAACCCTGGCCGTGCTGTTCTTCATGCCTTTGCGGAAGGTCGAGGGCGATTGGAAGCTCAAATTGAAGGCTATTGATTTCTTCGGTGCATTGCTGGCCCTGGGAGGTACCTCGGTTCTGCTACTGGGTTTGAACTGGGGTGGCGGCGAATACCAGTGGAACTCGGTGCACGTTATTGTGACTCTGGTGGTTGGGTTTGCTATTTCGGTTGCTTTTGTTGGGTGGCAATGGAAAGGCGCCCGTGTGCCCCTGGTGCCGATGCACATCTTCAAGAGCCGAATCGTCAATGGCGCTTGTCTCACCATGTTCATCAATGGATGGAATTTCCTGGTCCAAGTTTATTATATTCCCACCTTTTACCAGCTGGTGTTTGGCTACTCCACGGTGAAAGCAGGTGCCATGTTGCTTCCTATTACCCTAATGCAAAGTATGTTCTTCTCTCCACTGATGGATGTAGGCTAACCACCTATCCTATAGCACTCAGCAGTACCGGGTCCGGGCTCGTCGTTCATTGGGTCGGCCGCTATCGCGAATGTATCCTATTCGGCTGGGTTATCTGGGCCGTTGGACTCGGACTCTTCTCGACGCTGGATCAATCCTCAGGGCTTGGAAAGCAGATCGGCTATGGGCTCTTGACTGGTGTCGGCGTTGGAAATACGCTGCAGCCAGCCTTGATTGCCGTTCAAGCCGGTGTCGAGCGACGAGATATGGCCGTTGTCACCTCATTCCGCAAGTATGTTTCGTCGCATCACATTCACTCGCAAATTCTAACGACTCACCAGCTTCGTCCGAAACCTTGGCGGGACACTCGGCCTTGCAATTGCCGGAACAATAATGTAAGGCCATCATATCACACCCGTACCTACTTCGCTAACACTCCCAGTAACAACATTGTCGCATCATCCATCTCAACCCTCGACCTCTCCGACTCCGAATCCCGCTCTCTACTCTCCAGTCCTCGGACTTTCCTATCCAAACAATCTGCTGAAAACGCCAGTCACATCCGAAGTGTTCTCATCCCTGCTTATCAGAAAGGGTTCCGGATTATCTTCATTATTGGGGCTTCGTTAGCAGCACTCGCCTTCTTCTTGGCGTACGGATTGATGCCCCAGCTTGGACTGAAGCGGGCAGATGATGAAGCATTGAAAAAGGAAGGAGAAAAACGAGTGAAAGGCGAATTGGATGAAGAGAAACGAGGCTGATTTATTCATCCTTTCGAAAACTTGGCATTAAAAGTACATAAGGCTTCATTTCGGGGTACTTTATTCTGCATGAAAATTTGATCGGTACATAGCCATACAGCGCACATAATTATTAGATTCTAGGCCCTGGTGCCTGAAAATGAATGTGATCGGAAGTTGATCTAGGTTCTGTCCCTCTTAGGCTTGTCATCCCAGGAAATGCAACCGCATCTTCATCACCATCCAAATCAATTCTAAAACATTGGGAATCAGGCATCAATCACGATGGAGTCTCGTTTTTCCCTGCAAGTCGTACAGGTCACCAAACGGGATGGACACACTAAGCAGGGAATATAGCAGACAGGGGGGTAGTAGCGACGTCATTAGAATCCAGTCCCGAATATCTTTGCATGACCAGGGCGGAGAACAACATTGCGGCTAGATTTGGGAGGTCGCGGGGTATTAGGGAATGCACGGACATCAAGACAGGCGGGGGCCAGTAATCAGTGATGAAGCAATATGGTCAGTGATTCAAGTTTTAGACAACCTAGTAGCGGCGAGTGTCGCTTGTACATTCTTAGATCTTTTAACCTCAACTTGTCGTGGGGTCAGAACTTTGGAGTATTTGGGCACGGGTATTAAAAATGAGACGTACAATGCGGTACACGATGACTGTACTTATCACATGATAAGTCGAAAGATCGAATATATTCAAAGTACTGATGAGGCTACTCTAGATACCGCGAAACTATAGAGTACTACCGTGCCCTCGGCAAATAGTAAAGGAGAAACCAATAATGCCGAGGCGGGCCTCGCCCTTGAAGCACTATTCGTGAGGTTCAATGTCAATTGGTCAGTTCATCACTCTGAAGCTAACATCCTAATCAAACTATTTCAAACTAGGCAGGTACTGACGCTGGGCTTCCGTCTAGTGAGCCAGAGGACCTGATAGGACAAATAATGAGATAGTCACAAATATTACCGATCGCGTGATCGGCAAACGATCTCATCAAGTTAGCTTCAATAATTACTAAACCTTCGGTTACTACGCGGCCGCTCGGATGGGTATCCGCGAAAGTCTGATGAGGGAGAGTTGGGAATAATAGTTTGGATGATTCTTCGGCCTTATCTCACCCTTCTTGCTGATTTGTCCCCCACTCCCGGCAAGATAAAGAAGCATGGTTCTTACTTGCGAGTACGATTGGTTTCCCGGGTTCATTTAACCGCAGTAGGAGTTGTTAGAGTTGCTACCCACGCAATGATGAAGGCGGGGCTTTCGCCGACTCCCCGGTCTTCTATACAGGTCGTGTGGCCAAGACCATCTATATAAGCCTTAATAGATCTTCCAGACGTCTCTTCCCAATTTTTCAACCCTGCCATTTCTCTGGCTTTACTCCATCGGCATAATGGAGTCCGGTCACTTTACATCTTTTTCCTCAGACGAGATCCAATCTGTCCGACAAGATGAATCATTCGTTATGGAGCTCCAAAAGAGTGCCGAGCCCATCGATGAACAAGCCTTAGCCCGTCTTGGGAAGAAACAAGTCCTTAAGAGACGATTCGGCTTCTTGTCGATTGTCGGCTTCGCCATGGCTGAGTTGATTACATGGGAGACAGTTCTCACTATGTTCTACCAATCATATGATAATGGTGGCCCCGCGGGTGCTTTTTATGGCTACATCATCGCCTGCCTTTCAACTTTATCGGTCTATACCGTAATTTCAGAACTAGCATCTATGGCTCCAATCGCAGGTGGTCAGTACTACTGGGTGTATATGCTCGCCCCGATGCGGTGGAAGAAGGTGTCTAGCTATCTAATTGGCTGGCTCACATGTATGGCATGGATCGCAGTGATCGCAACCGAGACGATCTTTCTCGGAACAATGATTGAAGGCCTGATTGCCTTGAACAATCCCGATTTCGCACAGCAGCGGTGGCAGAACACTCTATTAGCGTGGGCTAGTGTGGCGGGCACCTTCTTGATCAATGTTCTTGGGCCGAATATGCTACCCCGATTCGAGATTTTTATCTTGGGACTGCATCTGGTTGGCTTTATCGCTATTACAGTTATACTTCTCGCTATGACATCGCCTAAGAAATCGGCCGCCTTCGTCTTCCAAACATCGTTAAATGGAGGAGGGTGGCCCACGCAAGGTCTATCGTACTGTGTGGGCTTTATCGGCAACATCGCAACCTTTGCTGGAGCCGATGCAAGTGTTCATATGGCTGAAGAGGTTTCCAATGCCGCTATTGTGATTCCTCGCGCAATAATAGCCGGCATGTCTCTTAACAGTGCCCTCGGGCTATCGATGATGATCACGGTTTTATTTTGCCTCGGAGATGTCGATGTTCTAGGCTCCACCGGAATGCCCTTTATCCAGGTATTTTACAATAGCACGAAATCATATATAGGTGCGTCGATTATGACAGCCATTATTATGGTCCTAACCGGGGCATGTTCCCTCGGTATTGCCACTACAGCATCTCGAATGACCTGGTCCTTTGCGCGCGACCAAGGCCTACCATTCTCTCGCTTCCTGAAGCAAGTGAACAACAGTACCAAGGTCCCAACCACTTCGGTCTCAGTTGTGTGTGTGTTTTCCTGCATACTCAGTCTTATCTATATCGGGTCCGACACTGCCTTTAACGATGTTATCTCCCTGGTTGTGACCGGATTCTATTGCACCTACTTCCTACCAAGTGCGTTTCTACTTTACCATCGGATCAAAGGCCATATTCTGCCTCATGGAGCAACAATCCTCAACGGTCTCCCCAATGTACCTATCAATACCTTTGATAGTACTGAGAAGAGTCACACCACCCTCAAGCGCCCTTGCCCAGAATGCGTCCACCCAGAATGCGATAATCTTCGGGATATCGGTCCCCAAGTAGGATTAGAAATCTCACAACCTCCCCTGATTTGGGGACCATGGAAGCTTCCTGGCATCCTCGGCACTGTGAACAATATCTATGCTTGTACGTACATGCTGTTTGTCCTCTTCTGGAGTGTATGGCCCTCGGAAACACCCGTGAATTATACGACTATGAACTATAGCATCGCCGTCACGGGTGGTGTGTTAATTCTCAGTGGCCTGTGGTACTTTCTCCGGGCAAGGAATGAATATGACGGCCCGCTTATAGATGAAGAGATCGCTGAGATCATGCACCTCGCCCCAGGTGCGATCCCTGGAGCAGTCTCCGGGATGGCTCCACCTGTTTAGTGAGTGTGCCACCTTGAGCTCGCATTTATCAAATTAAATACTAGAAAACATTGATCTGGTCTACAAGTAAGACTATAACTATTAGTCATTATTCTCGGGCTTTTGAGATAAGCGTGCCCCCTTTCTACCAGTCTCCCCACTTTGCACTATCGTAATATTTGGCTAGCTCGTTTCCATTCCATGGTGTGGTTTGACAGTGACTTTGGAATTAGTCAGTGACAGCTTACCCCGCTTGAGCGACAATTATTTATGCACCCTCTCAAATCCCGAGATGCCTGAGATCATGTACTGCCTCAATAAACCAAAGACTTGCTACGTATCCATGAGATCCCCAAGGAAGTGATCAACCCACGAGCCACAATGGGTTCCTCGCAGTGGATTGAGTTTCAGTCCTCTCCATCCAATTCATATTGCAATGTCTGGTTAATGCAGGCAGGTAGCATCCTGATACCTCAAGAGTTTCTTCTTTTACCAGACACAGCTGCGGACAATGGGTCAGGTTCAGAGCCGTTGGAGCAAACGGTATCCGGGAAATACGCTGCACCTGACTTTGTGTTCCTGATTGAACACATCCCAACTGGGAAATTCTACCTCTACGACCTAGGGATGCGCAAGGATTTACACAATCTGTCCCCTTTCACGCGCAAATACGACCTTCCTTTCTATGGCTACTCGCCCGTTCTCCCGTCAGAGATACTATCTCAACATGGCCCGCCTGGATTTCACCCGTCCAAGGTGCACTCGATTGTACTCTCGCATCTGGATTTTGATCATATTGGGGATTGCGGGAAACTTGCGTTTCCAAACGCTGAGATTTGGATGGGCCCTTCCGCTTGCTTGAAGGCTCGACCTGGGTACCCTGAAGACCCTGACTCGGCTGGGCTATCGAGTGACTTTCCCCGCGATGGTTCCCGGAAGATCGTCGAGTTTACCATCCCGGATGATATTCTCCAGGAGAAGGGAGATGCCAGAGTTGACCTCGTGAAAGATTGGATATCCAAGGGGTACTATACAGCAATCGAACGGCGGGTACCATCCAATGGTTGGCATCCGCTGGGTACCTTTCCTTTGGCTTGCGACCTGTTCAATGATGGATCTATGTATCTAATTGATAGCCCTGGTCATGGTGCTGGGCACCAGTCACTTTTAATTCGGCTGCGGAAAGAATCCAGTGAGAAACTGTCAAGTGCCCCGGGTAGCACAAATTCCGAGTTGCCGCTGGACGATTTTGTTCTTTTGGCGGGTGATACATTTCATCATCCCGAGCTGTTACGAAATCCACTCAGGATGGCCCGCGCCCCATACAGCTCGAACAGCGTGCACAATGATGCCAATTTGGCCATCGATACAATATATCGTACGCAAGGATTTGCCCGGCGTGAAAATTGTTGGGTGATAGCTGCACATGACACCGATGTTCAGGCATCCCTGGCTGCCGGGCAGAAATGCGTCGAGGGATTGGCTCTTCTGAATGACTGGAAGCATAAGGGGTGGAAAGGTGAGCAGGGGAAATGACGTTCGAGGTAAAGTGCGCAGAGTCCATGTTGAAACATGTCATCTAGAGCCTTTTGAGTATCGCAAAGTGTTTATAAACAGAGCAACATTCCCTACAGTGCAGCCATAATCGGAAGATAATATACACCTTAAAACATCACGGGGGGGTGGGGGGGTGATTTTACCAAATCTCTAAATAGATTTAACCGTGACAATGGTTGAGGATCGCTATTCTGCCACTTACAAAGTGATGGCTTTCATCTATTCCTAGTTGGAAGACTCTAATAGGACCGGGATAGAATCCTACCATCGGACAATTGTATTCCCAAGTCCGGTAGCCTCGGTGATTTAAAATCACCGAGTAGATCTTCTACCAAATTTAACTCCCGGATTCACTAGTGGATGGTGCGGGACTTGATCACGGCCCACAAGGCTAGCGTATAGAACGATGGGCTCCGATTGGAGTTTGGGTCGGGTAACGGAGCCTCGATCGATTTGGACCAGTAACACGCGAGCGAAAACAAAAGAGAAAAAACAGAGAACAAGAATAATCCGCCGAAAGGGGAAAAAGACCCTGTGAGCCAAGACTCTATTGGACCCTGAAATTATTACTGGGATTTGTCGTGTGTCATTGTACTCCGTATGATGTGAGACAAGGCAGACATTTTCATTTTATTTTCTCGGCTTCAGTCAGACTCTTTTCTACCCCTTTTTGTCCCGTTCTGAACTCCTCGTCTTTGCTGAACGCAAGGGAATGCTATATTTCGTGGTTGTCTGAAACCACCCGCGTGGCGCCTGGATCATGAAGTTTCGCGTCCGCCAGGGCAGCAAGGACTCGACTCAATGGTTGGACGTCTACTGGCTGGCCTCGCGCAAGTACTGGTTTTCTCTGTTGTTCATCGGCGTGGTTTGCGCCAAAGCTCTTCACATCTATTCGCATCTCAACTCCCTGACGCTGGACCGGTTTCTGCTCTAGGGCCCGACCTTTCTTTTGCAAGATATCTCCTGCATTCTCATCGCGCAGTTTCTCTGCCAGAAATTTTACTCAAGATGGGTGCGTGCATTCACAGCCTTGGTGACGATATTGACCAGGTATGTAAATTTGTTTGAGCTGTAGACCATCGCTTTGGCTGACCAATATCGGTTCTAGTCTGTTGATTTCGGGTCTGGCGGCGGCCAACATCTCCTTCTATACCCAAACCGGCGCGGAAGTCCACTGGCGACAAGCTCATAACTTCCACCGCGATGCAGCGTCCATAAAAACCTTGCTGACGGGACTCACCGGCGTCGTCATCGGCGAGATCCTTTTCAGTGCTGTGGCATGGATATCGACTCCTTACTTATACAACTTTGTGCGAAGAGGATTTTGACATCGACTGCTGCCCTGTTGTTCCGCTGGAAACGAAATGCGGACCCGAAAATATACAAACGAGTGCCCTTTGAGGAATGGGACGAAGAGAACGGCGATGACAACGAACCGGAAGCATTGTCGGGCTTCTATACGCCCAGGAAACCGTCGCACAAGTCTCTGCCATCCCCGCTAGCTCGCATATTGGTGGCCTCGGTCACTGCATTCGTGCTCCTGCTGCGCTGCATCCGTCCGTCGGATACTGCATATACGTTCCTTTCGCAGACCGTGATCATTACTCCCTTTGAGAAGCCTCCTGGTCGCAGTCAAACCTCTTCTTTCGATCTCCCAGATCTGCCGGGTGACTATAGCTGGCTCTATAATCATACCGCGCTGGGCGCACCGCCAAAATTTGACTGGCTACCAAAGAAGGAGATAGGAGGGTTTAGGGATTGGTACGGAGGTTCCAACGGCACGGAACCACAACACTATGATCCAACAAAAAACCCCCTTCATATCTCCAACCTTGATCGCAGCATCCTCGGGTCATTACGCGATACGTTGAAATCTGGCAATGTGAACATTAAGCACGTCTTCCTGCTGAAGTTGGAGAGTACCCGATACGATGTTTTCCCTCTGCGCAAGGAATCACGTGTGGCCGACCTGATCCGAGAGTCGTATTCCCGCAACCAGATCCCTGAGGACGTCGAGGAAAGACTAGCCAATTTGACTCGCAATGCAGGGATATTGACCGGCATGCCGTCAGGCTTCAACTCTTCCAACGAACCAATCCAGCCGTACGGTGGTCTTTCTGCAACAAACGCCTACACCGGCGGTACCTTCACCCTCAAGAGCATTATGGCTAGTGTCTGTGGTATTTCACCATTGGTTGTTGACTTTAACCGTGAATATCTTCAACACATTTACGAGCCTTGCATGCCCCAGATTCTGAATGCACTGAATCTGATACCCAAAAACTCTAAAAAGGCCGCAGACCCACACAACTACAAGACGTGGCCCTGGCACTCACACTTCATGCAAAGCATCACTGATAATTACGATAACCAAAACTTCCTCATTCCAGCCATGGGCTTCCAGGATAAGGTGACAGATGAGAACATCACCGAAGATTGGAATGAGAAACCTGGAAAGCACCCCGAGAAGTTCAACTTCTGGGGATATCCCGAGTACGAACTGCGAAAGTACCTCCATAGAGCCCTTCGGAAGGCGGAGAAAGATCATGAGCGGATGTTCCTCACGCATCTAACAGGACTGACGCATCATCCATGGGATCTGCCTGTGGGCGACGAGTACGAGGAAATCATTGGTTCCAACATATTCAGCCACAACGGCAAGATAAATCGTTACCTCAATACTGTTGGTGCTGTGGATATGTGGCTCGGAGAGATCATGGAGGTCCTCGAGGAGACTGGCGTTGCAAATGAGACCTTGGTTGTCGTGGTTGGCGACCAGTAAGTTTTCCCACGCAATCTCATTTTTAGAACTTATTGCTCACACCGAAACAGCGGCGTTTCCGTCATCGAAGACGGTGGTGTTACTGCCTGCGACAACCCCCATCTCCAACTTTCATGTTCCTTTGGTCTTTGCTCATCCGCAACTGCCGCCGATCAAGATCGATGGCCGCGTCACCTCCATGCAGATTCTGCCCACGATCCTCGACCTATTGGTGGAGTCAGCATCAATAGACAAAAAAGCAAGTCACGCCATCAAAGACCTCCTCCCCCTCTACGAAGGCCAGTCAATGATCCGCGACCTCGTCCTCGAAAAGGACGGAATCCTGGACTGGCAATTCACCGTTATGAACACCGGCGCAACGTGGCTCGCCCTGCGCTCTGCATCCAAACCGTATCGTCTGGTGATTCCTCTCGTTCCCGAAGTGGAGTGGCGGTTCACCGACGTCGACGTGGATCCGTACGAGCTGCATGCCCTGCAGTCTTTCAACTTGCTTGCCGTGTTGGAGCAGGTCGGTGAGGTCCATGGCGTGGAGGCTGTACAGTGGGTTAAAGATGCAGCGCATGTTGCTCAATGGTGGGTTGCTGAGAATTGGCGTCGTTACGAATTCGTGCCGGAGACTTGATTGCTGTATCCTGTTATTATTCGGAACCCCAGGCGTTTTTAGATGGTGACCATTACATTTACATATCATATGCATAGAAGGGAAGACGGGGTGTGCTTCCCTCCAAGGCGTTGTACATTATTTCAGCGATTCATGATCTGCATCTCTCCGTTGCAGTGCCAGCATATACATATCTAATTCGCACGTCTCGGAAAAGGCGTCATCGTTTATTAATTTAATGGTTCAGTAAGAAGGCACAGAATGCAACTGAGACGTGTATTGTGGAGAGATCAAGGAATTAAGAAAGGCCTAGCACCGAAAATCGTGCAAAAACAAAACAAGTGTCGTGAGGTCATGAAGTCGTGTCTGAAGCAAAGAAAATTAAAAGCCTGTAAGGAAACCCTCGAGACGCCAACGTCTCCAATTTTGAGCCCGTGATGGAAACCAAAGCGCCGACACCCGAGATCCCACCAAGCCCCAGAGAGGCAAACCCAGAACTCGTATGTGAAAAAGATGACGAGCAAGGCCTAGACGTCTTCAATCACGACAACCTGCTCAACAATCCAATTGACTAAAACCTGGCCCTCCATTTTCCACCGGCCATTCAACCACACGTCGCCCAACCAGTAAGCCCACGGTTTACCCGGGGTTGGGAAGTTGAGGTCCCACAATGCAGTGGAGACGCGGCGGGAAATAGGGCCCTCGGCGCCGGCAGAAAGGTCTTGATTGACATTGCGGAGTCCGATTGCCGAGGCCTCACTACCGGAAGTAGCATCGCCGTGCCGAAGGTGCCATTCGCGCTCGGCTTTTTCACCTGCGCGCCGAGCAACGGCTTCTTCGTCTTCAGCTTGGTAGAGGTCGCATTTGCTGCATTCGGTGCAGCGGGAGCCGGGGTTTATGCGGAAGTGTTCGCAGAAGTGCTTGTAGCCTTGTTGTTCTTCAAATTCGTCGTCGGAAATGTCGTTCATTACCTCGCCGTCTAGGTCGTCGGCTGGGCCGTCGTAGATGTCTAGGTTCCGGGGGCGATGGCGATCGCGGCGGGTGGGCTGGAGGGGTGGGCCGAGTGCTTTGCGGCAGAGGTAGCACATGGAGTAACCGCAGACACAAGTGAGTTTGTTACAGCCGGAGGATTTGACGAAGGAGAGGCTGCAGCGTGGGCAAGTTCGTTTCACGGCTGCTGTGCGTGCGGCCTCGACGGTGGCGCGTAGGTCGGTCAATAGTGGTTCGTGACAGACGTGAGGGTCGCGCCAGGACTTTTGGCAGGCGATGCAGCTGATGCGTTGGCAAGATGGATTGGCGCATGTAAACCGTTTAGCCCGGACCTTGAGGCAGAGGTGTCGGATGGCGGTGTCAAAGATGGCTGTCAGAGAGGATGGGTCTAGGATGAGGAGGACAAAAAATGATATGACGAGGATCGGGACGAGGTCGAGGATGAAAAGTATCATCAGTATAGTTTGAAGGGTTCCTCCATCGCGACGGATGCGCCAGCCAATGTCGCGAACCGAAGAATGATAGACCGGGTCGGCTTCGGCGTAGGAACAGAAGGGGCATCGGACCAGCTTGAGCTGGGACTTGAGAAGAGCTTCGAATGCCAAACGGTCTTCAAACTTTCGTAACGTCTCATTGCCAGCTGTATCCTGCAAAATGGCCTGCCGGGTAACCTGTGGATGAAGGCAGCCATCGCAAGAGCCGATGGATAAAGGAGCTAGACATTTTAATGTGGAATGTTCCAAATCCACAGATTTACCCCAGCCCTGACCAAACAATGCTTCGTGAGTAGTCCGCTGGATGCAGTTATGACAAATAATATGAGCATCGGCCGAGCAAGTCGCGATTTCCTCGAAAGTCACATCACCAAAGCAGCACTCGCATTCATAGAGGGCATCGGCAGCTCGGGCCTCCTTCTCGTTGAGAGAGGCAGCAATGCGAAAGTCTCCGAGTTCTTGCTCCTCGCGTCGTTGCTGTAAAAAAGGTGCCACGAGTGCGGCATGTAGCTCAGCATCCAGCTCAGCACATCCTGTTTCTTTCAAGCGGGGCAAGATCTCGCCGTCAGTACTGCGCTGCCACACCACAAGCGGATGCTCTTCTCTATCTTTTTTCTTCCGAAACGAGGGAAGAATGCTGTTGAACGTAGCTCGCCAGGTGCGGCGTGATAGATCTCGTAATGTTGGTCTGGCCCGCGCATAGCTGAAATTCACCTCGGCTAGCACAGCCTCAACGACACTCTTGCTCAAGCTGCTGTATTCCTTGCTCAAAGCGACCCGGACAGTCGCCTTGTATTCGTCCGATCGAAATCGTTCCTCGGGAGGGACCAGACAGTCCTCGCCAGCCGAACCATCCCCGGTCCGTCGACGGGCATCACGGTCATTTGCATCCCCCTCCTCGTTTTGGCTTTGCCCAGCAGAGACATTCCATCTACCCGAAACCCACTTATCCTTATGTCGAAGGAGCTGGTCAACACAGACATGCAGCCTGCTCGAACCATCAAACCGAACCAGCAGCTCGCGAAAGACCTCGATCCTCACATCCGGAAAAACTCGAGCAAGTGTCTCAAGCGCAGCATTAAGCTCATCCTGCTCTCTCCTCTGCTCCTCTACTTCCTGGACAGAGACCGGAGCCGAGCGGGACCGCGACGTGCTACCGAAAGGGTTATTGCGTAGAGCCTCACTCAAAGTGACGGACGATGGGGCTCCCCCTCCGAGGCCGGACGGTTTCCAGGCATTTCGACTGGACGAGGAACTGCTAGAGGAAGTGGAAGCTGAGCCGCGATGTCGGCGGGATGGTGCAGGCGCGTTGCCGTCGGCGGGGAGTGGCGGAGGTGCGGAGGATCTGGAGAAGCTGGGGACCGGCAGCGAGAGCACCATTTTATCGGTGAGACTCTGCTACATCCTCGAAATCGGCAGTAGATATTTTTTTAACCTGCTAGGACCGGTTGTTTGTTGAGGAGATGACCAGGGAAGAATGAAGGATTGCGGTATCGCGATTACATAAGACGGCACTGTTGCCTGCTCCTAGAGCCTGGCTCTGATGGGTTTTGTAGACTCGCTCCAGGTCCGCTAATTATAGGGATAACTTGTAACTTGGAAGTGATGCTTCCGTTGTTTCTCTTACTTAAAACCAGTCTGTTCAGATTCTATCGCTGCCTTCGGAGGTATTTCTAGCTCTGTGAAATCCAGGCATGAGCCTAGAACGTCTGAGATCTAGAGGTTTACGTGCCTCCCTTGCGTGCTGCACCACCTGGGCGCCCGAGACCGGGAGCACGTCCTGCACGGGCGGGCGCAGGACGCGAGGGCGATGGGGCCATCTGCCATACGAAAAAGTCTCCTAAAAGACGCACGGAAAACACACAAAATTCTCCAAAAAATGGCATTGAGGTGATCAGAGTCACATAAGAAAAGTGGAAACCGAATAAAGAACCTATGTATATACAAACAAGAAGCCACAATCTGACCGGAGAATCCCAGCTCGCGCGCCAGGAATCGCTTCAATCGGAGTATCCCATAATTTTACAGCTTGGCCTTAGCGCCCTCGAGGAGCTCGGCACCGGCGCCAGTGATGGCGGGCTTGCCGGTCTCGACAACAGTAGCCTGGAAGAGGACGGTGTTGCCCTCCTTCCACATCTCGGTCTTGAGGGTCTGGCCAGGGAGCACGACACCGGCAAAGCGGACCTTGAGGTTCTTGTAGGCACCGTACTTGGCGAAGACGGCCTTGGCGGCAACACCAAGGGAGCAAAGACCGTGCAGAATGGGGGTCTTGAAGCCGCCGACCTTGCTGAACTCGGGATCGATGTGCAGCGGGTTGCGGTCGCCGTTCAGGCGGTACAGGGCAGCCTGGTCCTCTGAGGTCTTCTCCTCGACCACGGCATCGGGCTGGCGCTGCGGGGGCTTGTATGAAGCGGTGGCAGCCTTGGGGCGCTGGGCAGTGGGCTTGGGAGAGCCGCCGAAGCCACCGCTGCCACGGATGAAGACGGTGGACTCGTTGTAGAACAGGTCCTCGCCGGTCTTGGCATCCTTGGTGGTGTAGCCGGCCACGACGAGGGCGGCGTTGCCCTTGTCGACGACGTCGATGAGCTTGGGGTAGGTCAAGGTCTTGGCGGCAGTGGGGATGGGGTACTTGCGGACCTCCATGTACTGCTCACCGTGCAGCAGCATCATAGGCGAGAAGTTCTTGACAATCTCGTCCATGTTCCAGGGGGTCTGGGTGTTGAACCAGGGGATCACACCGTAAGAAGGCAGAGCCTGGAAGTGGTCGTTGTTCTCGTAGACCAGGGGCAGGTCGGTGCGCTTGGCGCCCAAGCTGAGGTTGTAAAGGATGATATCACGGTCCTCATAGTCGAAGGCAGAACCCTCGGTCGACATACCCTTGGCCTTCTCAATGGCCTGGAGGTACTCGTTCTTACCACTGGACTCACTGCCGGCACGGTTGGCCATGTTGGCCATGATGCGTTCGGTACCAGCCTGGCCATCCTCGGGGTGGTCGGCGCGGCCGTCCTCGAAGTTGACGATCTGCTTCCACTTGGCAACGACCTCCTCGGGGGTCAGCTTGACGTCCACGGGGAAGCCGTGGCCGCCAGAGCGCTGCCAGCGGGTGCGACCGAACCAGCCACTGCCGCACTCGAAGAGACCCTTGGTGGAGGGCTCGGGGGCGGCGTCGGAACAAAGCAGAACAACCAGGGGCGCGACATAGTCGGGCTTGAAAGCCTGAACCATCTCCTCGGGCATGATGGTACGGGTCATGTTGGTACCAGCGTTAGGAGCAATGGTGTTGACCTTGATGTTGTACTTGGCACCCTCCATGGCGAGAGTGCGAGAGAGACCCAGGATACCCAGCTTGGCGGCAGCGTAGTTGGCCTGGCCGAAGTTACCGTAGATACCGCTGGTGCTGGTGGTGTTGACCACACGACCGTACTTCTGCTTGAGGAAGTAGGGCCAAGCAGCCTTGGTCACCTTGTAGGTACCACGCAGGTGGACGTTGACAACCGAGTTCCACAGGTTGTCGTCCATGTTGTTGAAGGCTTTGTCACGGAGAATACCGGCGTTGTTAACCACAATATCAATACGGCCAAAGGCATCAATGGCAGACTTGACAACGGCGTCACCATCCTCGCAAGAGGCCTTGTTACCAACGGCCTTACCGCCCATCTTCTTGATCTCGTTGACCACGTCATCAGGGTTCACAAGATCGTTAACAACAACGGATGCACCAAGCTTGGCGAACAGCAAGCAGTAAGCGCGGCCCAGACCAGCACCACCACCAGTGACAAGGGCGACACGGTCCTTGAAATCGGGCTCCTCACCCTTAGGAGCACTGGGCATCTTCAGGCCATCCTCAAGGAAGCCCATGAAGTCAGCAGGGCCCGTGGGGTATTCGGGTTTAGAGAAGTCGTTGACATCATTCCACTTGCGCGCGAGAGCACCAGGGGTCAGAGAATCATCGGTCTTGAGGAGAGCACCCTTGGCGCGCTCCCAACGAAGCTTGGCAACGTGGCCACCGCCGACCTCGTAGATACCACCGCTCTCGGTGGTGTTGGAGGAGTGAACGAGAGCTGCAACCAGGGGAACGACCCAGTCGGGCTTCAGGTTCTCCAGGACGTCAGGGGGCATGACGGTGGCCGTCATACGGGAAGCAGCGATGGGAGCAATAACGTTGGCAATGATGTTGTACTTGGCACCCTCCTTGGCCAAGGTCTCAGTGAAACCGACCTGACCGAGCTTGGCAGCCGAGTAGTTGGCCTGGCCGAAGCTACCAAACAGACCGGCTGCGGAAGCGGTGTTGATAACGCGACCGTACTTTTGTTTCCGGAAGTGAGGCCATGCGGCTCTGGCACACTAAAGACAAGCCGAGTCAGTATTGCGCGCATCCTTTACTCATGTGGGATATCATACCTTGTAGGCGCCGTATGTGTGAACACGGTTGATCAGGTCCCAGTCCTCATCCTTCATGTTCTTGAAGCTAACATCCCGCAGGATACCGGCGTTGTTGAGGAGTACATCGACGCGGCCAAAGTTCTTAATGGCAGTGTCGATGATACCCTCGCCGTTCTCGACGCTGTCGTAGTTGGCGACCGCCTTACCGCCGGCGGCGCGGATCTCGTCCACGACCACATCAGCGGCCTTGGAAAGGTTAGCTGATGTGCCAGACACTTTGCAGAAGGGAACATACCTTTGATGACTGGCCCTCACCCTTGTGAGAACCGCCGAGGTCGTTGACGACGACACTAGCACCCCTCGAGGCGAAGAAGAGGGCATATGCCTTTCCCAGACCACCGCCGGCGCCGGTGACGACGACGACTTGATTATCAAAACGTAGTTCGGACATGGTGTTTGTGTAGAGCCCGATCAGTTCAGAGTTGGAGAAAAGAACTAGAAGAGGGAGAAATGACGGAGGGAGCGTCGTTTAAAGACGGAGAGCTCGGCAGAGCTGGGGGGACCTCGGCACGTTCTGTCGCTACGTAAGAAAGCGGGCGTATTGTTACACTGGCACTTCACCCGCTTCACATGCCGACGACCGACCGTATCGTGCTTGTACTTTGCACACAGTTTCCATGGGATCTATGCACTACTGTTGATCCATTTTATTTATGATTATCTTATGTCCCGGTACTTTCGTGCCTACTGCTTCCCTCATACAATCGCATGTACCGAGTATCGTGCTGACTCAGACATGTGACAACAACGTCATAGCCATGTGCCAGTCTACTTCGATTTAATGCGAATATTTTGATCTTGTTCATATTATGTGCAGCATGATCTGCTTCACGGAAAATTTTGTAAGCTTTTTACTCTTCTCGCCCGAAAAGGGGACAAATGTGTAGGCTGAAGGATCCCCCGCGGGGGGTAACAAAACCCCAGATTCCGCCGGCAGCTTACCGGCCATCGTAACCGATAGAGTCCCTTCGCTGTAAAACCATACACCTGAACCAAAAATGCCGGAAATAGTCGACGACAAGTCCCAGCACTGTATCCCGTTTCTTCTGGAGCGCCTGCACGCTCACACGGAGCGGCATCGCAAACCGGACGGCTCGGCCGATACCCCGCCGTTCTTCCTGGGTCTCAATGGCGTACAGGGGGCCGGCAAGACGGTTCTGGTAAGTCAGTACTCGGGCATGATTGCTCATCCAACCTCGGGACGGCAGGTCGGCCTCCTCGGGAAGTAAACTAAGCATATTGTGCAGGTGTCAACATTGCAGAACACCCTCCGCTCCGCGCCGTACTCGCTCTCCGTCGTGACCCTCTCGCTCGACGATATCTATCTCACCCACGCCGACCAGGTTGCCCTTGCTCAGGCAAATCCGACAAATCTTCTTCTCCAGCACCGCGGGCAGCCTTCGACTCACGACCTCTTGCTGGGCGAGCAAGTCTTTGCTTCTCTTGCGGCGGAACAACCCACTGCGATCCCGCAGTATGACAAGTCTGCTTTTGCGGGGCAGGGTGATCGCGTGCCCAAGTCACAATGGCAAGTCGTGAATGCCGAGGGGCAGGAGAAAGTGAAAGTGGTCATTTTGGAGGGCTGGTGTGTCGGCTTTCGAGCCTTGGATGAGAAGACCCTGCGCGAGAAGTGGGAGGCTGCTGTGCGGCAAAAGGAGAGCGGTGACTACCAAGGCAGACTGGGTCACGTCGAGTTCGAAGATGTAAAGACTGTAAACGATGCATTGAAGCGATATGACGCGCTGACTGAGTAGGTGGCCCCTTCAATTGGAGATTGTGCAACGCGACGTAGCTAACGGAACCCTACAGCAAGCTTGACGCCTTGATCCATATGTGAGTATTATACCGTCCTTGATTCGACAATTTGATGGCTTACATTTGTTTCAGCGACGCGCAAAACCTCCGCTTTGTTTATGAATGGCGTCAGGAGCAAGAGCGCGGCCTGCGTGCCACCAAGGGCACTGGAATGACCGAGGAGCAGGTTAATCACTTTGTGGACGGCTGTGAGTGCCCATTTTCTGAATCACTTTACCTGTTCTAGGACGCCGGCTGATTTTTTGTTCCAGATTATCCCTCCTATGAGCTTTTTACCGAAACGCTCCGCAAAGGAGTCTTCAAGCCTGCTGCACATCATCCGTCCCCGACATCCGACTGGCAAGGCAGACAGCTTCGCCTTATCGTGGATCGTAATAGGAGGGTCCAAGAGGTAGTTCAGATCTAACCTTGAAATAGACTCTATTACTTACTGGTGAAGTGGTGGACCTGTATATAGTTGATAGATTTGGGAGGAACTCTAAAATATATATCGGCAGAATCAAAGTTGAAATTGTAACTGTGGGGTATATATGAAGATTAAAAAAGAACAGAAAACAAGCGATCAACAAGTGCAAATACACAACAACGCCGCGTTCTAATAAGCCTACTAAGCCGATCGGTGGGAGACATGGTATGATGTATGAAATCCCAGATTAGGTCTCCCATCATGAACCTCGGCACAACCTGGCTGGCTCACCGCCTGAGGAGCCAACGGTGACACCCGGGCGCGTAATCGGCCTTTTGGGAATGTCCTAATGGACGCACAGCTTTTGAAGAGGCTCCGGCTCTAGTTCCCATGGTGGACTTTTGTTTCGTGCAGTGCATTCCTTGAGACACGCAGAACGGGCGTGGTTTGTGACAGTACCCTAGGGTACTCCGATGATTTCCAATGGTTACCTTGTAGATGCTCCTACATCTATCACCCACTATCATCAAGGAGATTTTGAGGTGACCAGTATTCTTTCTCTGGTCCCTGAGCATCCAACCAAACTAGACCGTCGGCCAGCAAGTCGTCGATCACTGTTTGCGCTCGGGCCTTTTCCCAGTTGAGATTGAGCCGCAACATCGAAACGCTCACGAACCCTAACACTTGTATCGCTTCAAGAACCGTAGCTTGGTCGGTATTAAGCTCCTTGGGAATTGAGCGGATGTATTGCTTGGTGCCAACGCGGACGATGGAGAACCCGGAGGCGAGAGGTTCAAGGGAGCGAACAGCGCGCAGGATGTCATCCCTAACCGAGCAAAGAGCCGCGTTAGCCAAATCAGAATCACATACAGACCGGATAAGGGATGCACGCCATACTCAGAAACCTCCAGGCCACTCCCAATCGCCTTCCCTTTGCCCACTCGCGTTCGGCATTCTTCAACACCAAGTAAGCCTCCATTTTCACTCCTTGTTTCCCGACACAGTTCCACCACTCGGACAGCAACTTCGAAGTAGAAGTCGTTCATATCGCCGCCCAGAATTTGTGTCCAGAAACTGCCCCCCTCACCGAGTCCGCGGCGGCCATTCTTACCTTTGATGTTACTGGCGGCAAGGGGATCCACGCCGATCGTGTTGCACATCCGCGCGAACTCTGCTCGGAAGGTGGGATTGGACTTGATGGTGGAACTGTGTTCGAGAGCGAAGGTATGTAGCAACGATTGGAAGACGGAGAGCTGGGTTTGGAGGGAGGCGAGATGCGTAGACCGTAAATTAGCACCGTGGGTAGCATATGACTGAGTTGTCTGGTTGCGATTGACGAAGGCCCCGAGGCCAACGCCGCGACGAGACATAACTGCAGGTCTAGTGAGGAGTCGATGGGGAGTCGCGGGGCTGCTTGGGGGGTTCCAGGAATGAAGTCATCTGACTCATCTGATAAGCACCTAGCCCTAGTCACGGGTGATAAGGGCAATAATTTCCGAATAAGGATTAGTGCACTAGCTGGATCCACTAATACATATTAGGTTAGGTTGTACCCGCACCCACACAAGCGAATTCCTTTTCTTCGTCCTTTCGCTCGAACTTTTTCCACGATCATCCCTCGCCGACCATCCCGCGACAACTCCAGCACAATGGCCGCCACTACGTATGCTTACCCCTTTCCCTTCTGACTGATTCAATCTCTATGAGATTGTGAGGTTCCAGGTATAGTCGTCCTTCTCGCTGGAGATGCCACGGCCGTCGTCGCCGATGGCCGCTGTGCACCAGCTCGATCTTTCCCACGCCCTCTGCCTGCTCGAATGACCTTCACATATGCACATGCGTGTCCATGAGGATTGCCGAAAAAGCAAGGGCTACGGGAGTTTTGAGGTTGAAAGCCGTTGTGGCCTTCTCCTCCAAATTCATTGTTGTCAGCCATCGCCATCCAGTGCTTTCGATGCGGTAAAAGCAGTCACTGTACTTGGAGCGAAGAGCGTCAACAGATACTTCCTGAGCATCTGTTCGGGGTGTTGTCGGATGAGGGCAGAAATGGCAGAAATTTTCAGAAATTTTCGGGTGGTCAGATTTTTGTGAACCTTGTGCTGGAACATGCACAAGCAGTACCGAGATCAATTCGACCATGAAGCCCCTGTCGTAGCCCTCACTGATTAAAGACATTTCGTCGAGTTTCTTTTCTTTTGCCTTCCAGTTGAGAATGTGGCGCTATGCTGCAGTTCTTACACTCGGCGGATTGTTTCATGTCTTGGTACTTCCGGACGGACTATACTAACCTCCCACAGCTCCGTCCCCACCCAGAACCAGGTCATGGTCCCTGAGACCCTCCTGAAGAAGCGCAAGTCCCAGGAGGCTGCTCGCGCTGAGCGCCGCGCTGAGGCCGAGGAGAAGAAGAAGGTCAGTTTCTTTGTCATCCCGCATATCCACACCCTTCCCAACTATCTGATGATAACTACCAACCACACGACTAGACCTTCGGGTCGATGCTGTCGGATTGTTAACCATCTTTCGGGTCTGACACCGTTGGATGCCACCTGAATTTATTTCACACCAACATGTTTTGGAATCTCCGCTGACTCGAGATTCAACAGGCCAACAAGGAGAAGCGTGGTGTTATCTTCAAGCGCGCTGAGTCCTACGTCAAGGAGTACCGCGATGCTGAGCGTGAGAAGATCCGCCTGGCCCGCGCTGCCCGCCAGGAGGGTAACTTCTACGTTGATGACGAGCCCAAGCTGGTCTTCGTCGTCCGTATCAAGGGGTATGTCATCACCGTACACAAATTTGCCTTGAATTGAAGACTGACTTTCCTCTCAGTATCAACAAGATCGCCCCCAAGCCCCGCAAGATCCTCCAGCTGCTCCGTCTGCTCCAGATCAACAGCGGTTGCTTCATCCGCCTGACCAAGGCCACCCAGGAGATGTTGACCATCGTCAACCCCTACATTGCCTACGGTTACCCCAACCTGAAGTCCGTCCGTGAGCTTATGTACAAGCGCGGTTACGGAAAGGTCAACAAGCAGCGCACTCCCCTGACCGACAACCAGCTTATCGAGGAGCACCTCGGCAAGTACGGCATTGTCTGCATGGAGGATTTGATCCACGAGATCTACACCGTTGGCCCCAACTTCAAGCAGGCCAACAACTTCCTGTGGCCCTTCAAGCTGTCCAACCCCAACGGCGGTTTCCACCAGCGCAAGTTCAAGCACTTCATCGAGGGTGGTGACACCGGTAACCGTGAGGACAACATCAACGCTCTAATCCGCCAGATGAACTAGATTAGCTTCTAGTGTAGTCTGCACGGGGGTAGCCATCAAAATGGAGTTTCTTCCAAAAATCATCACGACGTTCCGTCACGGGTTGTTTGTTTAGCACACGGGCTGTGTATTTGGAGTCAATTAGCGATACTATGGTCTAGGATTTCCGGAATTTAATGCTTCAGACAACCCGCAATCGCATGTTCCCGCACTGTAGACATCCTGTAATTCCAAAGTAACTATGTCCATCTTGCGTGCCAAGCTTTTCGCGTCATCTTTGTGTTCTGGTAGACCTGTTGGTCCTGGAGTTATCGTATCCCAATTTTCCTTGCCCAGGTGTGCGAAGGAAATATGGTCCACGGTGTCGATCGTTCGGCCACAACTTCTATAGATAGATGTTCACAATTCGTCATCGACAGCCCTTGCTGTGTGGGTTTACGAGGCTTCTCGAGGTATTTTGAGGAGGCGGTGTTCTAAGGGGGTTATTGACAACGTAAAACACCGCTTCTCCCATGCCACTCTTTCTGCTGTAGTGAGAGGAAAGAAAGAGCCTCTTTGTACACCTAATTGTGTATATCTCAAAGGTAGCCTTTCTTGCAAATTGCGCTGACAGATCGACTTACAGAAACTGGCTCTCACCGTTACCGTCTTCATTGCGTCAAGTCCGAGCAAAAAAATCACGAAGACAGGTTCAACTCCCTCAAGGAGTTGGAATCAGTTATGAAGCAATCCCACGCTTATACGATCGGCACCCTCGAGCGGTTTGGCGCTCTTATAATGAATATCCTATGAGTTGTCGCCCTCTACAAGGTCGTTCGTCGGGAGACGGCCTTGGAGAATAGATTCGACCGGCCTGGAAAGTAAGTAACAAAATCGATATGATTTTCTTGGGAATTTTTTCTTCTCAATTCTTCCACCATTTCCCAATCAAGCTACGGTTTTCGTGGGACGGCACGGAGATGTCGCGGTCTCCGGTCCTGCAAGGAGCAGAGAGCATCCATGAAGTTCCATCTATGAGGTTGGGGCATACGTATACACATTTCGTCATGGAACGTGGACTGTTGCATCAATGAGTGTGTGATAGAGAAATGCATAGAACATAGTGTGGCGGCCCAAGTAGTGGTAAGGTCTTATCGATTCAAGGCCTCGAGACGGAGATGTCACCCTGGCCTTCCCCTCTTCATTAAACTCCTTGTAGGGAGACGGGGCAGAACGTCGAGTAATCACAAGGGTGTGATGTGAAGAAGTGATGAACTTGCAGGAAGTATTCTCGAAATTCTAGAAACTCTTGAACTGTAAATGTCCGAAGAGCATGCTTGCTGGGCATCGATGAAGAGGGGTAATGAGGCAACTATTGCACGATAGCACGAGGATCCCTTATTGCATCCACTGTGGGAAACCCCACGATAACGCTTTTTTACTCTTTCTCCCTCCAACTGGTATGGCCGTGGTTGGGGCTGTGCCCAGTGACCGCTACTGAACTCATATTTATTTCAAATAGCAGGCCATGACAGCCTCGCCGGTAGAACACTAGACATATATTGTGCCAGTTTCAAGTGGATGCGCTAGTCTTGAGTGGACGGAAATTAAGGGATGATGTGACCAGCAGCCGTATCTAGTCCGATCGCTAGGGCCCAGGGCCTAAGCCACATCGAGCTACACAAGCTGCAGAACGCGGGATCAATCTGCGGAGAAGTGAATTCTCAGATCAAAACCCTGTGTGGAACTATGACAGATTTACTTGAACTGACTTTCGGGGGCAAAAGTAACTACGGCGGTTGTTGAAGAAGGTAAACGAATGGTACCGGCTCTAGAGGCGAAAAGAGCCGATGCTTACGTTGTGGCGCACCAGGGGTAGATGATACAGAGCACATGATGCCCAACTAGTGATGGCTGTGATCTACATGATGAATTCCTATTCTGGAGAATTCGACCCTGCATTATGCATATCCACGAGGGCAGTGAGAATTGGTAAACCCACCTGGATTTCTTTAGCGATTTGCCAGGACTAGCTGCGGGGGTGTCTATTCACAATAGCGATGCACAATGAACATCCGTATTGAATCCAAACTAAAAAATCCCTAGAAAATATCGTTGGTTCAAGGAGGACGTAATCTGGCTAGCTAGTAGATCACCAGGTCTGGGCGATTCTGGAGATTAGGGGGGTAGAGATGGTGGTAGTAGGATGTAGCGAGTTACTATCCATGGTTACATTGCTAGATGACATGCTAGCTAAGTGCCTGAACCGACCAATTGGAGACGGCAAATACACAACACGCTAAACTCAACGGGGTTAACATCAGGTTAGTGACTACTTGGATGCCCATACTCCAGCTTTAATAATCTATACTACCCAGGTTGCTCAGGCCCCCAGGTGCGTAAACATGTTTATTCGCGAGGGGTGGAGCAGGATGTTGGGCTGTGGGGCATTCCATAATGCATTTCCGGCACAGTCCGTACGGAGTAAATGAATAAAGTATGAACGGACGAAAGGAACATACATATACGTCTACTGATGTATGTGGATACTATGTTGTTCTGTCTTCGGCTGGAGAAAACTTTTATTCAAACCGCCACTCGTATTGGCTAGATATGGAGTATTTGTCATGTAACAGACCGAAAATCTTTGAGGCTACATTTGTAGACATATATTCATTTGGCATTTATCGTGATAGAGATCACGAAATGCACATCATAACTGGATATGAAAGATTTTGGGCGGAGTGGATGGAGCTTCTGTTGCTGTTATCATTCGCTACAAATCTCCACTAAATCGTGTGGTCATCCACTAAAGCCACACGATCATGTCGAAACCCCATACTATGAGATAGTCGTTGAGTATTTCCCGATAAGCACATGTCACTCTACTTAATACCACATGGCTGATGATTACGACGCCCTAAGTTTCTCGAGTGGCCACGTTGTGGTAGAGAAAGAAGGCCACCAACTATCCAAAACGAACCGAATTCCTAGTGACTTTGTGTCTATATGCGAAGAGTGGGATGTGAAGTATGTGTGGGTTACACTCTCTGTATTCAATGTGTAAGATACTCTCTGAAGGCACGCGGGCGTTTTTGCAACGGTGACATTGCTGTTGAGAACAGTAGCTGTCTCTTGCCGAAGACCTGGTCACTTGTTCTCTACATAAACCTATGCCTACGATATTGCTATAAATCCATCTGATCCAGCTCCCGTTCACTCCATTTTTCACACAAGACTTGACAGTACTTATTTGATCAGCTCAAAATGGGTTTCACGAAGATGCTGTTGCTCCTTATCTCTGCCACTTTGAGTATCCTGGGTGAGACTCAAGCAGGAGGTATAACTTCGTCCACTAGGAAGAGCATTTCTGTCTATTGGGGTAAGTCCTCTGATATTTGAAGTTTTACTCTATCTGTACTGATATAAATTCTCTCAAGGCCAAAATGACTTTAGCTCTGGACCCTATGTTCAGGAGCGCCTATCGTATTATTGTCAAAGTTAGTGAAGCTGTTTTCGCTGTCACTTTAAAATCAAGAACTGACTGTGTTATGTACAGATACAAATATCGATGTATAGCCCCCCGGGATACATTTTATCTTCCCAAGGATGCTGATAGTACACTAGGTGTTCCCTCTCGCTTTTTTAATTGAGGTTGACAGCACTGGTGGTGTTCCAGTGATCAACTTCGCAAATGCGGGCAATAACTGCACAACATTCAACGGCACTGAACTTCTTGATTGCCCTCAGATACAGTATGTACCAGAATTGAAGCACATTCAATAGTTTAGATCAATCTGTCATAGTAGCTAACCGAATTTCTACAGGGAGGATATCAAGACCTGTCAAAGCCTGGGGAAGACAATACTTCTCTCATTCGGTGGTGCTACCTATACTGGGGGCGGATTTAGCAGTGAAGCCGCAGCCGAGGCTGGTGCAGAGCTTTTATGGAATACCTTTGGACCTGTGCCAACAACAAACACCTCGGAGGTGCTTCGCCCGTTCGGTGATGCCGTTATCGACGGCTTTGATCTCGATTTTGAATCGACTGTGAGCAACACGCCTGCATTCGCTAACAAGCTTCGTGAATACTATGCGGAAGACACCTCAAAGCAGTATTACCTGACTGCTGCCCCACAATGCGTCTATCCAGATGCTGCAGACAATTCTATGCTTGACGGGACCGTCTACTTTGATGCTGTCTGGGTGCAATTCTACAATAACTATTGTGGATTGCAAAGCTTTACTCCCAATACGTCTATGCAGGACAACTTTAACTTTGACAGATGGGATGCGTGGGCACATCAAACTTCCAAGAATCCCAACGTGAGGATCTATCTCGGCGTACCTGCTAGTGCAAACGCAGCAGGAAGTGGATATGAACCAGTATCTGATCTGACACCTATAATCGACTATTGCGCAACATTTACCAGCTTTGGTGGCGTCATGATGTGGGATGCCAGCGAGGCATATTCCAATCCTGGCTTTATCTCCGGCGTTGCCTCCGCCCTGGCGGGCGAGCCATCAGCCACGCGTGTGTTCCCTACCATCCCACCCACGGTGACACCAGTTCCCTCAGGGGGCCAAGTGAGTCTTCCAAGGTTCGACTGCTCCATGTTCTGAATGCTTGTCTAACAAAATAACAATAGTGTGGCGGCGAAGGTTACACAGGATCAACGGTCTGCGAGCCTTGGCTGACATGTGTTCAAGATGGTGCATGGTGGTCTTCTTGTCAGTAAGCGGCGTCTGTCCGCTTTTAGGCAAGGACCGAGAACGATACTGGAATGCAGGGATTTTTTGACTAAGTGGCCCAACGAGGCTTCTTTATATTTTGATTTTTGCATTTTTCAATGACGACCACCGGTGGAAAGACAATGAGTGTATCCATGGCATTGCAACTTATTCCTATATGTTACTTGCTCATAGTGAAATTGCTCATAGTGAAATTGCTCATAGTGAAATTGCTCAAAGTGAAATTGCTCATTGGACCCAAAGCCCAAAGAAATAGAAGCAAAGTAAGTCGATCTCTGAACTAGGCCCTATCAAAATCCATCCTTCCTTACGAAAAATGGCGCGTCAAGACTTCTGTGGAATTTGACATGATTCATTCGATGCCCACTCCTGGAACCAGCCGTGAAAGAAAGAACTTATTGTATTCTCAGGTTACAGAAAAACACATTATTCCATCTTTTGGACCGAGTTAAGCAGGCTTTTTTTCTGATGCGGGATTCAAATTACTCGAGTTGCCGCCTCTCTCTCCGGATTTCAATCCCATAGAAAAGCTTCCTTAAAGCGACGCATAAATAGCCACTATCACCATAGTAAGAGTAAGTTGCGTTTGATCAGATTGTGGGTACCCTTGAATATCCAACTGATAAATTATAGACTATAACACTGGATACAAAATTTCGAATAGTATGTAAGCAATTATCAACATCAACAATCGCAAACCACCACTGAACAAAGGACCAGAATAATAAGGTTAAAAGACTTTCTCAGGCCAAAGTTTTAGAAAACAATGAATGACTTGAGGGAGAAAGCTCATGATAACGCCAGTCCCTTAGATATGTCCCGAAGAAGCTTCAATGATGGAGAAAACAAGTAGTCACCCGCATTGGAACTGGATAAATGGTTGAAAGCTGATCTGAGTATTTTGCTTCTTCCCGTCGACGAGGATAAATACTTTATCATCTTCTTCTATGGCGCCCTTGACCGCCTGGCCGACAATGAGATCTTGTCCCGGATTTCGCCTTCCAGTAATAAGGACCTTGTTACGCGGGAACGTATCCAGATTGATCCAGCCTTGTAAATTGGCGAGTCAATACATCGATTTAAATCGTTCAGTTGAGACATGGCTTACGGTTTTTAATAATCTGGAAGCCATTGGAAAGGCTGGTTTGATAGCACGTGAACAGGAGGCCGTGATCTTGTTGGGTTGTGAGCTAGGTATTGCCCAGCCAGGATACTATATGCTCTTTGTCTGGAAGTACGGGGTCCCCAGTCATTGGTGAATGCTCAAATGACTGTTTGAATTTAGCTTGGTGGATGTTGAGTCTGTTGAGACTAGGCATGATAATCTCAAGCGAACTTCGAGTTTGTTCGGATTTGGACTGGAAGGAGGATCGAGTGTCTAATTTTTGGTACATGTCCAGTACAGTGACACTGTTGGAAACAATAATATGGTTATTTTAATTTGCTTTATCCCATTCTAGCTTCCAGAAGACCTACTCACTCTTCCCTTCGCTCCACCCAGAAACTGCCACAAGATAGTCCCCAAATCGTCCAACATAGGAGGTCCATCACGCTCGCGAAATAAGAAAGATGAATGGACCCCCAATGTCGGGAGCAAGAAGGGCCTAGGTATATTTTCCAAGTTCACTGGATTTCAGAACAGATTTGTCGTTGAATCCGAGGACGTAACCGTCTGGATCCCGAATGTAGAACTCAACTTGACCGTTATTGTCAGAGGTGAGTGGTTTGATGACCTTGGCCTTCTGAGAGATTGTTTCATATGCTTCTTGAATGTTGTCGATGTTGAGATAGAACATGCCAGAGAACCCCACCGGCTGATCCTTCAGACAGGGAAGCCAGTCTTTGAGGTTCTCATTGCCGTAGATCATACAGCAGAGGTCTCCATCATAGAGTAGAAGATGAAGATCGTCACCAGCATGTGCGGTGCTTGAATCAGTGGTGAACCCAATTTCCTTGTAAAAATTCAAGCTAACCGTTGTATCGGCGACGCTCAAACACGGAACGAAAGGCATGGTGAGGGTGCAGACACGCAAGAAATATAGGACAGTGTGGGACAGACGAATTGGTTGATTGGGACAGAGGTGTGAATAGTTGGCTTTTCGATGTCGATGAGATACGCTCCCGATTAAAGTACCTTTACAAAAGACAGAGTGGGTAGAGAACACCTATATATAGAAATGTGATTTACTGCAGAAGGGGTCCGCGGCCTCCGCGGCCTCCGAGGGAACCCTTCTCTATTACGTCATACAATTTGGGCCTTCCGTAGATCATGTGACATTTTGATAAATCGTTTCCAATTGGTGTCGCCCTCCTGAAACTCGGCCCTAAATCCCGACCATTTTCAAACAGAAACCTATCCCATATGAGTGAACATATAAATCCGTCAGGCGTCGCTCGCCTTGCTGTAAGCAAGTCCTCTTCCACAATGTGAAAAATATGTGGCTTAGCGGAAACAGTGTGATCAATGCTACTCACGAAAGGTACTTACTCTGACTTTTGACACCTCATGGTGCCAATCTAAAACATCTTTTCCATATGGTAAGAGAAAAGCTGATTACACTGACGCAGATTCGATGTGACAGGCACTCTCCATGTTCGAACTGCCGTATTTCCAACATCGCCTGTATCTTCACACGCGCCGCAAGGAAAAGTGGTGAATCGCGACGGAGGGTCCTTAGTACAAACGAGAAGTACGTCTCCTTTGTAAAGTTTCTGTGCCTTCACTTTCAGCACTTAACCTACTGCAGTGATCAGAGAATTGGTCTCATTGAAGATCGCCTTGCGCGGATAGAGGGAGCTCTTCACAACATGAAGACATATCCACATCCACATCTCGGCCCTACAGAGTCCGTCGATGAGGAAACTCTCGCCTCCCCGGAGCACACAATTCCCTTTGATCTAAGGTGTTCCGCCAGCGAAGTGACGGACCACCCCGAATTCTCTTCCGACTTTGGGGGTAACTCATCCATTACAGCACAGTCGGCCTACGCAACCGAGTTCCTGGAAACGGCTGTCTCTAGAAGCGGGCTTCAGACTGTAGACCCGGAAATCAAATCGGCTCTCGCGACACTCAAGCAGATTGCTCACATCCATGAAATCCAACGACTCTCGACAGCAATGCGCTTCCCCAATGAAAGGCCTATCCCGAAAGCCGGTCTTCCTGGCCTACCGATGCCTCCTCACCAGGCAGTTCTATCAATTTTACGCAACATCAAAGGTAAGATCTTAATAAACCCTCACCTTCTTTAACTCGTCCATTCAGCTGATGCCCATAAAGTGAACACTCCTCTATGCTTCCAGCTCTCGTCCCCTTTTATAACCGTTGAATATTTTATTGAAAAATGCCGTGCGGTCTATTTTTCCACTGAGCCCTTCTCTGATGCGACTTTTATCATTGTCAATGGAAAACTTTCTCATATACTCTATGAATACACCCTCACGACTCAGAGCCCTGATGCCAAACGGGAGTTTACAGATTACTATAATATCTGCCGCTGTAATTTGGAGACTGCTTTGTCAAATATCAGGCTTTTAGTCCCGCCGAAAAAGGAATCTGTCGAAGCTCTTCTATTAGGGGTAACGTCAATCTCGTCCACCGTTTATCTCCTAGTCACACTGACATTTACTCTAGACGGTCCATTCCATTGATCTCTGCAAGCCGTCATTAGCCTGGTCTTTCATATCTGCTGCTGCTGCGGTATGTCAGACTCTGGGCTACCATCGTTCGTTATTGAAAGACGACATCAGCGCCAGTGACCAGGAGGCCAGCCGAAATCTTTTTTTGTCTGTGTACATCTTCGACAAGTCTTTGTCTCTGAGGCTTGGGCGAGCTTCGAGTATTCGAGATCACGACATTTCGTTACCGTTTAATCTCGACCTCAACTGCTCTGATCCAATCATGGGCATGTTCTCCCTCTGGGTGGATTTTGCCAAGGTTCAAGACAAAGTCTATACCGAGCTCTATAGCCCTGTCGCCTTGTCTCAACCCGAGAGAGATAGAATTTTACATGCTAGTCGACTGGCATCTGACATGCGTCGGATTATCGCGAAATCCTCAAAGGTATGGTCTAGTCTCTACAATCATGCTCCTTTCCTTATCTAAGTAATTAACATGTAGCCAATCAACCAGAACTCTGACGAAGAGTCAATATTTCAATTCATACTACGTCAATCTAATGAAATCAGCCATCTCTCCACATTGACGCTGATATACAGAGCCATTCCTGCACCAGATAACTCTGATAGCACATTTGTCGCCGATTGCGTCGAGACCGCTCGAGCGGCTTTGGAATCCCACGAAAGCTGCATCGCGCAATTAAAGAAGGCCGATGATAGAATTAAGGCTTCCTACACCCATTGGTAAGAATACTGATACTACCTGTTAACGGTCATCTGACACTTGCATATCTTACAGGTCCATCTTCTATGCGCCTTTTATCCCTTTCATGGTCATATTTTGTCATGTCATCGAATTATCCGACTCTTCTGACCTCCACAGACTGGAAGACTTCGTCCTCTCGCTACAGCATCTCGGTTCCTTGTCCGATCCCGCAAGGAGACTTCATCAACTCTGTCAGCTTCTTGCAAAAGTTGCCCGGTTATACATCGACGCAAAGGCCCAGAGCCATGAGGATCAATCTATAGCTTTGGCTGGCCAAGAATTCGATTTTTACCTATCCACCCTTGGATTGGCTCACTCCGCAGTACCTGACGGGGTCGACCCATCTTTGCGAACGGTGGCATCACAAAGCCTACCTCTAATCCCATCATCTGAAGATTCCTTGGGTGGATTATCTTCAACCTCCCGGAATTCATATCTGACTGATTGGTTTTCGGGAAACCAACATATGATGGGATTGTTGGAAGAAGACTTGTCGATATTAAGGCCATCAATGGAAGACTGACGAGGTTTAGCGTCCTCCGTAATACATAACACGGTTGAAATTTTCTCTATAGACTTGGCAAACGAAAGGAAAGGACTGAACCCCCGCCACTAGATACTTGAAGTCGATCCAGTCGACAAAATCGTAAATCATGATGTACTATGCCATACTCGTATAAAGAGGAAAAAGGCGGTGAACTTTGTCCTCACCGCCTGCGTTTCAGCGATGCGGACGTATGTATGTCCTCCTTGGGGCAAACCAAGCGTCGCAGAATCGGCACAAATATGCCTCAATTGGCTGCGGTCTGATTACACTGAGGCACCATGCGGCCCCCATGCCAGAAATGCTGAGTCATCGATCATGTGTTCTAGCTATGCGATATAAGGGTCGACACTTCCCCCTGGTTTTATCGGGTTCACTCAACTAGCTGTTGCTATGGCAAGGATGTCTCGCCTGATCTGTCGCTTGCGACAATGCTCCCTCTTCCCGCGTCCTGCTTCACCCGTACGTCAATTTGCACAATCAAATTTTCCTCTTCTGGATTCAAGCACATTGCTCGAGGAAGAAACGCTTCCGTGGTATGAACAGTGTCGCTTTTATCCTGTACAAATCGGCGAAGTTCTTCACTCCAGGTACCAAGTCATTGGAAAGTTGGGATTCGGGGGTTACTCGACGGTTTGGCTTGGCAGGGATCTCCAGTACGTTCGCTGGCCTTTCGCGCGGATTATTGTACCAAGATTTAATTATGGGATAGACAACATGTTTACGTCACATTGAAGGTGTTTGAGCGCCAGTCAACCGAAAGCAGAAGAGAAATCGAAGTCTATGATCGCCTCAGCAAAGCCAATTCGACCCATGCAGGCACCATGTTTGTTCGCACGGCCCTGGATAATTTCCAGATTGGCCCAGCAGATGCTTACTATCCATGCCTTGTCCACAAACCGCTAGGCATAAGTCTGCGTGACCTTCGAAATCAATTTGCAGCTAAAATACTCCCTGAAAAAATACTCAAATTGACTTTGCATCATATCCTACTTGCCCTGGATTTTCTACACACGGAAGCTGACATCGTTCACACTGGTATGATGACTCCAATATCTTCGCAACATCAGGCCTAATTCAATTTTGGTCAGATATACAAGAAAAGAATATCATGCTTGGGATTGACGACGTTTCCATATTGTCCGACTTTGAGGAGGAGGAGAAATCCAATCCCAGCCCTCGGAAGATCGCCGGGGATCGGGTGATCTATTCTTCTCGGAACCTTAGAAGAACGAAGCAACATGGCCGGCCTATCCTGTGTGATTTTGGTCAAGCTCGATTTGGATCCTCTCGATATTCTGGTGACATTCAACCTTATATTTATCGAGCTCCAGAGGTACTTCTCCAAACGTTTTGGGATCGAAAAGTCGACATTTGGAATGTGGGGGTCGTTGTAAGCAAGCATCTTTCTTCCCTGTGCTTGATTAGATTATGTTCACTGAAAGATTACTCCGAGTAATAATGAATACTTCACAGACCTGGGATCTTTTCCACAAAGGGCATCTATTCTACGCCAGAGACTCGACGAGGAAGAACTCAGATTCTCATCACATCGCTGAAATGATTGCACTTCTTGGTCCGCCACCGAAGGAGATGATACAGAGCAGTGAATATGCTGCAGAAGTTTTTGACGGTGAAGGTACGTCTTCAATCAATTAATATCGCCCGAGCTTGACTAGAAATAACAAAGGCAATTGGAAGGGAGTGGTTCCGATTCCTTCATTAACTTTGGAGCAGCTCGAAGGAAATTTGCATGGGACGCAGCAGAAGCCTTTTCTTGAATTCATGCGCAAGATGCTTCAATGGCGCCCAGAAGAGAGAGCCTCAGCAAAGGACTTATTGTCGGACCCCTGGTTAAGATCGCCGTAATGTCTTGCCTGTGAAAACTCCTTCAGTTGACGGCTTAGGCCACGTGTGCTGCCACGCATGAGGTGATTGTACGGGTACTAGCCAATACAATGTGTCGTAGTCAAGAGCAAAGTGGAAATATGTTGTACCATTCAACTAAGGAACCAAACCTGAGAGAAAAAGGAAGGAAAAGGGAGAGAGAAAAAAAGGGAAAACTAAATACATGTCCGCTCCTTTGTCAAGAATTCGCTAAGCTTCCCGGAGAATTCCTGAATGCCTCAGCTCGTCACACGATGTACCTGCGTGCAACGTATGTTGAATTGTAATTGTACTCTCGGATCATTCGGGTCCTATTGTATTTGTTAGACATGATCAAGATTCACTTCACGACTGGTCACTCACAGCATTTTCCTCTGCATCAAGGAACTCATAAACCTCCTGACGCGGTCGGAAGCTCGCACAATTGTGGCCGAATTCATGATCAAAACTGGTCTTCTGGGCCAGTTTCAGCGAACAAAAGTGCTCTAGGATCGGAACTTATTTCATTTCAGACTTCGCTTATGTTTATCCAATGAGTATGTTGTTTGCAAATTGTGTGGGTGTCATGCCTGATGTGTAGGTGATAACATTGTCCTATATGAGACCAAGGGTATAGATTATGGAGGATACTTCCGGACACCAATATTGCATTTACACATGCCCTGGTTGATGCCTACCCTCAACGTTATCAATGTCAGTTCAATCACTTTTCTTTTCGTGCTTTTCCTTTTGTAATAAATAATTGCCTCCTCTCCAGGCTTTGTAGACTCCGTATAATCCACAGAATGGCCAAACATCCCAAAGGCCACGTTTAACGAACCCTTTCCAACCACTGCCAAGTTCTCCTCGATGCACACCAGGCAGATCGGTAGGACGCACTCGCACCTTGTCATACAGAGTTGGGAGATGCTGTGCATGATATTTTTCTCGTAGTGCATCATACCTGGGCTTGTTATAGATGGCCCAGAATTCATCTTCTGTATAGTAGGCACGTGCATACAGCCATTTTTTCCCTCCTAGACTTTGAACCTTATGTTCAAGCTGTCGGTTCTGAGCCATGAATCCCGCCTGATCTGTGGTTGCGCCGGGCCCCCAAATTCCGAAATTAAGGAGAGTTGTCCTTTGTGTATCCACATCGGCTTCCTCATCATCGGCGGGCTGTCCTTCCAACCCACTAGCACTTCCTGGGGGTAATGGACAGAGCCAGAGCGGATAGTGACCAAAGTTTTTAGGGGAGTCCAGCCAGTCTAGGAACTCTGCGGCGGCGGATATCGGTACACCCACATCCTGGATGACGTACTGTCGTCCAAGTCCACTGGCATGTAGGGCGTGATACATCACCCGGGTGTGCATGAATCGGTTGAGAAGCCAGCGCATAACAAAAACGAAAGGAACACAAAAGTAGTGGAAGGCGTAACGGGCAACCCAAAAGCCACCCCGGTCAAAGCGGAAGAGGTAGTCTGTTAGAGGAATATAGTCCACTGCATGTGGCTCGTGAGAACCGTCTGGACTAGAGACCGCAGATGTAATACGTTCAACATGCAAATAAAACCAATCGTCTTCACGACGAGTAAAGCGCTGAACTTTGAGACTGGGACGGTGTTCAACCTGTCGTCCCGCACAAACAACAATCTTATTCCGAGAATAGACAATACCATCCAAGAACTCAGTCTGGGGATCAGCGCCTGCTTGTTCAAAGACACGTATTGCTTCGGTCATATCGGTGCGAACATAGTATCTCAGCTCCACCAATGGCTTAGACTTTTTCAGGCGAATTTCCAGCAGTGTGACCACACCAAGAGTACCGCAGGAGGATGCCGCGCCCCAGAACAAGTCCGCACGTTTCTCTTCGACCTCGACTCCCTCGACGCGATCATTGTATGCCTTCACCACCTGCCCATCGGCCAGTACCATTTCAACCCAGTTAACCGTATGGTCAAAAAAGCCCTCCCGAAAAGAGCTGCTCTCCCCCGAAGTCCCTGAGAAAGCACCACCGGCCGTTATTCCGGGGAACTCCGGAACTACCAAGGGGACCAGGCCGTGGGCCTTCGTGGCAGCCACAAGAGCGTCCATGGGAACGTTAGGCTCCACTATTGCTGTAAATCTGTTGGAATCGACCTGGAGGATGCGGGTGAGATTCTCTGTACAGACGGTTGTAGATTTCGAGTGGTTCGAAGAGCGTGTACTGTTGGTCGAGCCATGGTAGATGCGAAACGGTTGTTGGCGACGGTGAAAATCAGCGACCCGCGCCGAAATTGCCTGTACAGCTGTACAATGATCCATGAAAAGAAAGAAAAAATGCAAGTCGCAAATAGGGAGATGCGAGGTGTGCGAAGGAGATTACGGATCAGGCGCTGAGAATTTTAGCATCTTACAGCCTCCAAGATTTATGGGTCGGACTAATTGGAATTTAACACTCTGGGAGTAGTTAGTTAGCTACCCCGCGCTTACAAACCAAGTATTTATGCCATCCCCGCCTTCTGGAATGTGCAAGCCACCCATTGACTCTAGGAAGAGTCCCTTTGATGAAGAAAACTAGGATTCTTTGCTTGGACGAGAGATAGGTGACGGCTGAGCAGGATTTTGGATTTCTGGTTTAATCCACAGAAACTTAGTGGATGCCACCAAGCGATTGCTGTATGGAATGAAACAATAGCATAATTACCATCTAATTTTTATGAAGTTTGTAGGATACTAAAACTTTGGCAAAGCGAAACAAATTGCTCTAGGATCGGAACTTATCTTTTTCTGTGTCAAAAGAACCAGTGGGTACGTATCACCTTCGCGCACTCGCTCACCATACCTAGTTAGCAACGCTTAACACTAGATACACCGAGGTTACGATTATTATATTATGTTTGCAGAAAATGACGGCAATCTAGAAGCATCCCGTGTGCCCCAAGCCCGATTAGGCCAGAACAGAACCGTTGACACAACTGATGATATGTACTATTCTACTTCCTCGCTCTAATCCTTCTCTCTCTTTGATCAGGATTGCAAAGTGGCCAAGCTATCTGTAATGTCCCGTATATGCAGAGTATTTCCACGAAAAACCAGCCGTCGAGAGGTTACCACAATAACCCCATGAGAAGCGGATGAGAGATAGTCGTTGATCTTAAACTAACTAGGGTCTTAATGCCCCTACTATGATTTATAGCAGGAACAAGGTGATAGTAAGTCCTATAAATAAGATATATAGGAATTGCTGTATTTGCGTTGGTTAGCTATCTTGCACTCATTAGCTTAGCAGGCATTAAACCACGGAACCAGAAGTAAGGCCTCTAATACACACTTGAATATTCCCCGATACCTTTCGGACGAACCGCATGAAGCCTTTTTTCTAGGCTATTTGCCGAGTCACTCTAGAGCAGAACTGCGGAAGAATCAGCAACCAGCGAACACTAGTGGACCCAAACGACAACGACAACTGTATATCTGACAGGTGGTCGTCGACTAATGCCGTTTCAAGGTTTATGCCTGGTTCTGTCGGGGACCTCGATAAGTTATAAAAGTTGCTCACGTAACGTTTCGGATAGCGAATTCGAAATGGCTTTGTGACATGTATTTATTTTGATCAGCTATTTGGGCAATTGGTTTCTTAAAGTGCGAAATTTCTCCAATTAGAAGAGACCGGAGGTCTGTTCGGAGTCCGCGGAGGTTACGGAGGCGGAAATCCGAGGTTCGGACCCGTCCTGAATGTTGCCCTATATAGTTTTTTAACCCTTTCAGCCTTTCCCGCAACATTTTCTATGGTTGAGACATTTGTTTGATCTTTTTGGAAAAGTTTTGTACAAATTGTCATTTTCAACATACTTCAACTACGACGTCTCTTTTCCTGACCTCATATTCAGTCTCTCTCCCTTAACACGTTCTGCCTCAATCCCCAAGTCGAACCACCGATCTCCAATCCGGAGCGGCCACTCCTATACATTCGGATCTTCCGATGGCGCACGATATGACTGAAACAGAGCCCAAGATGACTGACGACAGTAAGATGACGGACTCTCCATCTGACAAGGAATTCCAAACAAATCAAACTGCCGCTTCTTTCTGGGTCGTTATCGTCGGTCTCTGCGTCTCCGTTCTGCTTGTCGCTCTGGTAAGCTGGAAAACTATACCTCATACAGGTTGGCCGTACTGATTTTGTATCAGGACAATACAATTATTGCAACAGCCATCCCCAAGATCACCGACCATTTTCAAGCGCTTGATGATATCGGGTGGTATGCATCAAGTTACCTCTTGACATCATGTGCATTTCAGCTCATCTTCGGCAAACTCTACACCTTCTTCCCTGTCAAACATGTATTCCTCTCCGCAATCGGTCTTTTTGAGATTGGATCTGCCGTGTGTGGTGCGGCGCCTATGTCGGATGCATTGATCGTCGGCCGAGCAATCGCTGGTCTGGGATCCGCGGGAATCTTCTCTGGTGCCTTGGTCATCATTGCCTACTCAGTTCCTCTCGACAAGCGCCCTATGTGTACGACCAGACTTTTTCACCTGATTGATGGTCATTGCTGACTTTTCATAGATAATGGTCTTTTTGGGTCGATGTATGCCATTGCTTCGGTCGCTGGCCCGTTAATGGGAGGCGCGTTTACAGACCACGTCTCGTGGAGATGGTGCTTCTACATCAACTTGCCCTTTGGAGCGGCCACTATGATTTCAATTCTTATTTTCTTGAAGCTACCACGCCAGGCCTCCGCCGGCCCGACCTCATGGAAGGAAAAATTGAACCAGATGGACGTCTTTGGAACGATTGTCTTCATACCTGGAATCGTGTGTCTCCTCTTGGCACTGCAATGGGGTGGAACGCGCTATAACTGGGACAACGGTCGTATCATCGCTTTGTTCGTTGTTTTTGCCGTTCTAATGCTCGTCTTCATCGGAATCCAAATCTGGAAAGGAGACTACGCTACAGTGCCTCCACGAATTATCTGCCAACGCAGCATGGGGCTAGCAACGTTCTACGCCTTCCTTCTTGGCGCTTCATTTTTCATAATGGTCTACTATCTACCTGTTTGGTTCCAGGCCATTAAAGGTGTCTCCGCTATGAAGTCAGGAATTATGACTATTCCTCTGGTGTTGACCCTCGTCTTGTTCTCTCTTGCTAGCGGGGCTGGAACGACCTTTTCGGGACATTATGTCCCATTTCTTTATTTCGGCTCTGTTCTCTCTGCTATTGGCGCTGGCCTACTTACGACCTTCACCACTACCACTGGCCATTCTAAATGGATTGGGTACCAGTTCATTTACGGGGCAGGCATTGGTGCCGGCATGCAAATGCCGATTATTGCGTCACAGGCTATTCTTAAGCTGGATGATGTTCCAGTCGGCACCGCCATTGTTATCTTCGCCCAAACGCTGGGAGGCTCCCTTTTTGTCTCTGTTGCGCAGAACATCTTCAACAACCGTCTTGTTCAGGGTGTGATAGAATGGGCTCCTCATGTGAATCCATCAAGTGTCGCGGAAGCCGGCGCGACAAATCTGGGTTCTATAATTCCACCAGAATTCATGTCTTCTGTTCTCGTTGCATACAACCGAGCATTGACTGAGACATGGTATGTATCTGCCGCGATGAGTGCTGTTTCCATCCTCGGAGCCCTTGGAATGGAATGGCGGAATATCAAAGCCAAAAAAGCTTCTGAATCATCTGCATGAACTGTTTTTGGATCCTTCTATACGAGGGTCTTGTTCCTGTCTTTTGAACATATTTCACATCTCGGTTTCTCATTTCAATCCTTAGAACCAGGGGGACAGGATGATATTACCAAAAGTTTCCTTTTTACAGTCTCTTGATCGCGAAAGGCTTGACAGAAGGATCTGAGTGAGATCTGGTTTGTTCGAAACTGACGGCATGTCAATGACTGTCATTATCCTTGACATCATTTCTGTACCCTTCAGCGTGTATAAAACTTGTCCTAAAAATAAATTTTACTCGTTTTCTCAACAACAGATCTACAATTCCCACCTCTACCTATTGTTTTTCCATGGTCACTCAACGCAACTTTAGTGATGGCAAGATTCCGATTCCTCAATCCAACACTTTCGGTCTTTGAATAGAGTTGCAGAATCAAGGATGGTGTTGTTGCTGCTAGACACAAACTCATGAGTCATGTGAGTGCAGTTGTGGAAGCTGAGCTTGCTCCACCCATATGCTGTGTCCTCAGCATAGACAGCATATGGCTTCAGGGGATAGACAAGGCTGTCCAAGCCATCGTAGTGACCGGCGGCACCGGTGGTAATGTACCACGGAGCCTTGGGGTTTTCAAGGCCTGCGGGGTCAATGACATAGTTGTTCAACGGCTGGTTGCGCTCGTAGTAATGTGTGTGAGCTTGGAAGACGAGGTCTACTTCATGTTCCACCAGCAGTGGCTCGAAGGCATCCTTGCATATGGTGCACACGGTTGAGCTGCTGTTCTTTGCGCTCACGTACCACGGACGGTGCACGGCTATTGTGCGGGCACCTGTCAGTGGAAAATCCCTTGGATTGTAGGGAAAGAATAAATCATACCTGCGATAACCCAGGGAGTCTTTTTACGATCCACCTTTTCCAAGTCGCACTTAAGCCAATCAAGCTGCTCGTTGGGGTAAGACCCGAATGGGCCCGAGTCCATACCCTGGGGTTGACCCGGTTGGTCAGGACCGATGAAACCATCGCCCAGGTCAGTCTCCGTGTTCAACTGAATGAAGTGAGTCATGCCGTAGTCAAATGAGTACCAGAAATTGCCAACGCCCCCGGACACATCACTTGGCATGCGGTAGTGGTTTCGAAAGCCGGTGAAGTTGGTCTGGCCGATTGGACAGATGCTGATATTATAGGAGACACCCTTGTCAGTCGTGCCACCATTGTCGCCTATAAAGTACTTTTTAGGTCATGGCCCGCCAAAATTCTTTTGGAAAGTGATCAGATGCTTACAATTAGAATCATGGTTTCCTGGTCCAACCATGTAGGGCCGATCAACCGTCAAAGTAGTCATCTCATCGTAGAACTGATTCAAGATTGACTCGTAAAGAGCCTGACCGTCCGCCAAGGTAGAGTTAGGCAGGAATCCCTGGGCTTCCTCTTTCAACCAGTAGTCGGCGTAAGCAATGTCACCAGCTACAGATAACATATTAGTATAACGCAAATCGGCCCTAGTAGAAAGACGACTCACGGTGCCAGAAGAATTCCCATTCTGACTTCATAGACTGAAGTGATTGGATAGTATTATTGTCACCGGGAGCGAGAGGGGCGTTTCCTCCATTAGGGCCAGTGGAAGTAGTCAATCCATCAGGGCCCATTAAACCCAAATCACCACCAACGGCAATGGAGAAGGGAATGTGATTGCCAACCGAACGAGCAGTCTTCATGGTATAGATCTGACTGGAGTTACCGCACTGGGGCTGGTAGTAGTATAGCGTATCGGGCTTCAGACCGGTGATCTTGACGTGGTTGTTGAAGGTGGTGGAGGTGGGATAGGTTACCGAGACATCGGAAACTGCTTCATGACAAAGTGCATCGGGATGGTTTCCGTAACGAACAGACGGGAAGTGCAACTTTGAGTAGGTGTTCCAGCTGACAGTCATCCCACTGTCTCCGGAATAGGCCAGGTGTGTCTGCATGGGAAGTGTTTCAGGGCAACACTTGTATTCCACTGGGGAAGCACTCGCTACCGAGGCGCACGCAATGCTGGCCAGCAGTGCGGACTTTTTCAACATCTCAGGCATCGTAGATTGTCCGAAGAAGAATGGAAGATGTTCGGATCAGGGTCATTTGACATATGTATTGTGGTAATTAAACAGTCCAAACTCGCGTTGCTTCCTTAACGTCCAACGTCATGTGCTACATCCAGCTGCCAGGTTTGGGCAAACCACAGCAGGGCATTACTGCACGTGGACAGTAACCATGTTGGTATATGAAAGTGATCCTACCCTCCTGTTTCACATATTCGTCAGTTTCCGTACCCCGGGGAACAATGCACGAGCACCCCTATCCCTGTTGCCCGTGAGGGGCTGGGGGTCAAAGACCTCTGGATGCCTGACCAAATCCTCACCAATCGACGGACCACGTGCAATGAACTATTTATTGCTAACAGCTTCAAATCAAGCTTACAATTTGTGTTGGACAATTTTAAAAAGCTTGAATCCATGACGAGACTTCGACTAACCGGATGGAGAAATTTCTTGCCCCAAGAAGCTCAATCGCCAAATTTGATGTAGTACTCATTACACAATCCGGCATTCCTCCGATGAGGGGACAAGTGCACTTGCCAAACTTTTAGGAGACGACGAGGAACCAGGTCAGTGCACCTAGGGTCGGAGGTCGCTGCACCTAGGCACGTGACGGTATGCAAACACCTACAAACAAAATTTCACTTTCTGTTGCAAAGCTTTTCGCCTTACATTACCTTACATTCTCTATCCACTAATTTTTTCTTCAATTTACCATACCTTACCCTTTACATTATTTCACTATGCAATGTGATTCCGAGAGACAACTAAGACAATAGACTAGTTATTAACTAGTTCTCTACCACTCTTTAAAAGCTCTAGCTCTACTTTTAGTTTCTGATTTTCTAATTCCAACTTTTCCCTCCTTAATCGCCGTTCCTCTATATCATCCTCTATCTCTTGGTGCCTTCGCTTAAGCTCAAGGCTTTTAAGCTTAGTATATTGATCATCATTAGACGCATTTACCGTAGCAGTGCGACGGGGATTGAATCCGCTTGGCTCAGGACTTGCGGGGGTTCTATAAATTAGTTAGCAACTAGTAGGTAACTTATTAAGGGCACGTACTGAGAACGACTTTGAGAGCGATTTAGCGTAGATACTCTAGATCTTGACCCTCTCGGTGTCTTTGACCTATACCGACCAACGATAAAACCTGAAGAGGAGGCCTCCTAGAGAATCTGATCGTCGATATTATCTTGGTCCTTTTGCGCTTTGTCTCGATCGTTCTACTCTTTTTCCGCTTTTAGTCTTTTCCGCTCTTCGCGCTATATACTATTACTAAAACGAGTCTCTATATTATCAGCGTGATAGCTATAATGGATACTAAATCTCTCTCGAATAGAGAATTGATCGATGTCTCGCTGATCAAGGAATCGTGACCTTATAACTAGTTAGAGGCTAGTTTCTAACTAGTTATATTGAACTTACTTCATCACTGCACCTAAAAGAGTGTCGTAAACCCTAAGAAAGTACGATTTCCAATGGCTTTGCTTAACAGCATTCGTATAAGGCCAAAATCTCTAAAAGAATTCAGGGTTTATACCCAAGCAAGCCTAACATAAACCAGTAGTAATTACTAGATATCTCTTATGCTAAACCCAGCCTCGTAGGTTTGGGTCGTGGTCTAGATAACTAGTTAGTAACTAGTATTTGACTAGTTAATATTTTTACTTACCTATAATTAAGTTAAGCAACGTGTGATAATCGCTTGAGGATTAACAGGAAAGTAGATTAGTTAAGCGTCGGCGGGCATTAATATAAGAGCCATTTAGCCTATTAGGGTATATCTTGACTACCGTTCGTATAAAATGGATAGTATAGAATATTATAATATAAGTTAGCTGCCAGTTTTGAGGACGTCTGTAGGGGTCTTGGTCTTAGAGGAAATCTCCTAAACCTTAATTAGTTGTAACTAGTTAGAGAGTAATTTGTAACTAGTTAGAATAATAACTCACCACATATCTGATTTGGACATATATCACTAACTATAGCCTTGATACCTTCACTATAAATAGAAAAGAACTTAACGGGTCTCTAAATAGCCTAGGATATTAGTTTAAACACTCGTTGAAAGATGAACTTATATGCTGTAGGGTTTTCCTGGTCCGTGAAGACACGGAATAGTGTTATAACTAGAGAACTAGTTAATAAGTAATTAAAGACTAGTTAAATAGACTTTCACGTACTCTTTCCATAGTCTAGTAGCATCGTAGCAAAAATGACCTCGTTTATTACCCCTTTCACCTATTTATAAGACATATCAACTTCAATAGCGTCAAGAGATACGAGAAATACTATCTATACATAGAATGCACAAAAGATATATATCCTATAGGTAGTGTGGTAGGTTTCGCGGACGTATTGCTAAGTAGAACTAGTTAGAAACTAGTTTCAATCTAGTAGTAAATTAGTTAATACTATACCTTTAATGTTGGATTAACTCGAACTTGATGACGGACACTAGCTAGATTTTTTCCTAATGGGTAGTGTAACGCTCGCTATTTCTAAATCATAGCTGTAATTTTATCACTCTTAGCGAAGCTAGAGTGAATCTGAGATAGCGTAAGACATTGCTTTTTCTCGCAGAATTCGCGGAGCGTAGGACTTCGAAGAAATATACCTTAAAATTTAGTTAATAACTAGTTATTAACTAGTTATATTTTATTATACTTACTTAGTGTTAGGTCCGGGTTCATATTCCTATAAATAACATCAAGAACTTCGCTTACAATTAACTATAGAGCTTTCGTAGGTGGTGGCGGTGGATGATTATAGACCCCACGTGAGTGGAAGATAGTATATAGGTGAGACCTTATATCATATAGGATAAAGGTGTAGAAAACGACGTCGCACGTGCCATGATCTTGGATAGAGCCTTGGCCCTGAGGATGGATTATTCCTATTACTAGTTAGAAACTAGCTATATAGTAGTTAATAACTAGTTCTTGCCGTATCTTGTCCTTCGAGAGTTCTATAGCTCGATAACACCGTATGTTTTCGAGCTTGCTTTAAAGGTGGTACTTAAGAGACTCTTAAGAAGCGGTATATCTATCGAGTTCTCTTTCGCAACTAGAGACTGATGGAAATGCTTTTTATGATTCTCCTAGGTTGCGTTGAAACACCCAACATAATAGCTAGTAACACCACTAATATTCTAGTAACTAGTTAATAAATAGTTTGGCACTAGTATTCGTAAAATGAGCGAGCTTACCTACTTATCGTACGTGCTAAAGGTAGGCCGATAACTTTCAGTTTGCGCTTTATAAGCTCTCTCTGTAGTAAACTTCCCCTAGATCGTATAGTATAGACTAGTAAAGTATTAGTGATATCGATTATAGCGTAGAACTAGTCTTTAACTAGTTCTTAATTAGTTTACCTACGCTATACTTACGCGCTGAAGTAGCCTAAAATCCTCGGTGTGCTCTATCCGTCGCCTGGCTTGAGCGATCTTAGTGAAAAGCGCCTTATCCGCGTAAAGATGACCTATTCTAGCAAGCTTTGGGTCAAGGAACTCGTAGCGCTTAATACTAGAGTATGTATATCGTTTTTTCTCTGTTGGGCAGCTAAGATACGTATTAAAAACGTTTGATGTTGCACCTTTGCCTTTAAACGAGTACTGGATCTATATTGGCTATCTAGTTAGTAACTAGTTAATAACTAGTTTAAAGGCGACCCCTACCGATTTAAGTGTGTCTTTCGCCTGGTGGGGCTTAATATTTTCGAGGTTCACCACGTATGCGTACCTAGCGTTATGCGTTTGTGGATACTCAGGTAGTAAGGCCACATGCTCAATAAATGCTGCTGATATAGTATATATTGATCGATCTATTAAGGGCATTGGAAGAGGGTCAGGGTGCTAGAGAAATAGTTAGAAACTAGTTGGTGAAGAGTTGTATGTTGTCAATGCAGACATATATTTACGTCGTTTGGGTCTAGAATCGATGCGTGACGATCTTGGAGATCACCCTGCTCCCCGAATTCAAAGGCGTCGTCGGTCGGTTCAGGTGTAGGGTCAAAACGTATAAGATCATAGATCATCCGATGCTCATAGTCCTTCCAGATAGGTTGATTACTATTCGCCATAGTGATAGTAGTGATAGTGAGGAATAGAAAATAAGCTAAAACAAATACAGTATGTAGGTAAAATACCTTGTTACCATGGCATACAATGATTAGTAAGTAGGAATGCGAGATGGGTGCAGTGAGCTCAGAAAAGAAAAGTGGGGCTAGGTGTAGCGAGCTTTCGGCCTAGGTGTAGTGACCTGTAATCTGGTCGTCTCCTCCAACTTTTATTGGATGCGAGAGTACAGGAAAGAGATCAACCTAGTAGTCGGCTCGTTCCGTCAACTACCCCAGAATAGGCAGCCTGGGATGACCGAAAGACTTAATATATCTCTATACCCGATTTATTCTACGGACCATAGCTAAGTAGATACTGCTGGGTGAACACTGCTTTAATATGGGGTTCCCCTCACCGAAGTTGGCAGTGGTGAGTTAGCATTAAATGCCGTATCGATGAAAGGGTTTCTACAAGCGGGCTATAACTATTCGTACATTGGTGAAGAGAACCGGGACTGTTCTGTTTCGCTTTTCCAAGTGGATCGCCCAGACTTGTATGGCCTGTCAATACCATAGTGACTCGAGCATTCCCATGCTGCAAGAGGATAATCTGCTTAGTCACCTTCTTGTACAGACACAATTTGGCAGGCGGTGAAGTTACCATGCGGGCAAAATCCAATAAAGTTACGATGGCCACTCTCGTTTGTCGTACTAAGTACGACCACACTTGGAATAATGTCGTCCACGGCATGAACTACGGGTACACGCAAGACATAGATATCTTCTAACCATTTATATTCATTCATTTTGAGTCATCGACTGGCACGAGGGATTTCCTTCGCGATCGGAAACGGCATGAGAAAAAAACGAAACCATGACAAGGAAAAAAGTGCAAAAGTAAAAGAGAAGAAGGCATGCCATTATATCAGATCAAACAAAAACCCTTAAGCCTTGATCGCACCGCCCAATGCACCTCCACCGAACTGCTGGCCACCGGGTCTCCGGCCATGCTGACCGCCAGGAATACGGGCACCACCACGGCCACCTCCGCGGCCACCGCCACCACGGCCACGGGCACCGGGGCCAGACTCGCGCTGGAAGGCGTTGGCCATACCCTGGGTGCGCTGCTCCAGAGTCTTTTCGTTGGACTCGAGCAGAGACATAGACTTGTCGGCCAGGGTGACGATCTGGGACTGGAGGCGAGAGAGCTCAACACCCTTGCGGAAGACGATGGCGTCATTGACCTGGTCGAGGGCAGCGCCCAGCTCCTCGTGGGAGATCATGCGGCTGATGATGGCGGCGATCTTCTTGGCGGGCAGCTCGAACATGTCGGCCAGCGAGGAGATGGAGAGGCTGTCGTAGAAGGGGGCGTAGGTGAAGAGGTAGGTGCGCAGGCCCTCCTCCTGGGTCTGGGCCGACAGCATCTCCTTGATCTTCTCGGGTTGCGGCATCAGATCCCAGATCTTGATAGAGGCCAGCATGGAGGCGGCCTTCTTCCAGTCGCCGGCGGCAAGGAACTTGGCGGACATTATCACTCCGTCACGGGTGTTCTCGGGGGGACCGGTGAACACCTGGCGCTCGTTGTAGTCGAGCATGCGGCGGAAGGTCTTGGAGATCATGCGGCGGCGCATCTCAGGGGCGGAAGAGGTCTGTGCCATGAGGGGAACCTCGAGGAACATGCTAGAGGTCAGGTAGATGCACTCAAGCAGCTCCAGGTTGATATGCATGTGGAAGGGCAGCTGGCGCTGGCGCTCCAGACGCTCCTGCTCGGGGGAGACGGTCGAGTACCGCTGGAGGATGATGCCCTGGGCGAGCAGCTCCTTTTGGCGACCGGAACCGCAGATTTCACCGAGAGTGGTCTGGGCCTCGTAGATGAGACCGGCACGGAAAGCACACAGACCAATCTGGACAAGGGTGCGGTTGAAGAGGATCTGGGTGCTGACGTCGAAGTTGGAGATGTTCTCGGACAAGTGTGACATGAGCATCAGGTCACGAGAGCGGTAGTATTGGTCGTGCAGGGCAAGGAAGTAGATCTGGCACAGCATGGAGCGGGCACGGATGATGCCGTCGCTGTGCTGGAACAAGTAGTTGGTGAGGGTCTGGAGGATGTTAGTCACATCGCCGGCGTCCTTGCGGGGAGTGACGGCGGAGTCGAGATGCGGGGGAAGAGCCTTCCATGTGGCGTCCTCCAGAATGGAGACAACCTGGGAGGGCTTGAAGTAGACGTGCTCCAACCGACGGATGACCACGCGGTTGACACTGTCCTGGCGAGCGTCGTTCTTGTCACCAGCGTTCAAGCTCTCAGCATAGAGCTGGGTGCGAACGATGTTGTTGTACAACTGCTGCTCATCACTTAGGCGCTCGATGTACTCAGCAGTGTGGGGGTCAATCTGCTGAAGGGAGCGAGTGAGCTCGTCGTCGAGACGCTCGATGTATGAGACAATGCTGCCAGGAATGTAGAAGGTCTCTCCCTCGGCAATGGTGGGCTGCTTCTCATCATCCTCCCACTCGTCCGCACCCTCGGAGATGATGTAGTTGCGGTGCTCCTCCAGCACTGACAGGAGAGTGCCGAATTCCCGATCGGCGTGCTTCCACTGCTCAGGGCTCATGTAGTTGGCGGAAGCGGAGGTGAGATCAAAGCGGGTGGAAATAAGGGTCAGGTAGACACGGATGCGCTGGTAAGGGGTAGTGGCGACCTCCAGGAGCTTCTCCATGGTGCGAATCTGGTCCAGGCGGTCGGTGTTCTTCTTTCCGCGGGACTCGACAATGACACGCAAGTGCTTCAGGATACTCTCGGGGGTGTATTGCAGGGTCTTTCCACCACGGCCAACGGTAGCGAAACCGTCGTCGTCGGCTGCAGCCGAAGCGGCGGCGAAGTTTTGGATCTTCTCAACCTTGGTGGGCTTGGAAACAGGGGCCGGGGCAGGTTTCTCGGCCTCCTCCTCGATGGCCATGAAGTCGTCCTTGGCGGCGCGATACTTGTCGATCTGGGCGGCATAGTCCTTATTGTTCTTCTTGATACGCTGCTTGACGGCATTGAGACTCTTCTGGTTGCTAGCGTTCATCTTCTTGTTGGAGGACTTCTGCTTGCTGACGGTCTCGTTGACGAAATCCTCGAGGTCGGCGATGGCCTTGATGTAGACCTTGGGGGTCGAGCCAGACTGGGTAACCTTGACGATCATTTTGTTGAGGTTGTCGAACTCTGTGAAATCCTAGTCAGCCTCCAGTTCAATTTCTCCGATCAACATTCCCGCGCAACTCCCACATCGCGAGGGAACGCCATATCCGCAGGTGAAAGAGCACACTCACCAGTCGAGATGACAGACCAGTCACCGATCTTTTGGGCGTTCTCGATCAACTTGATCGTGTTTTCCAGACCCTCCAATCGCTTATCTTTGGCACTCTTGACGACCGTAACCTTCTCCTCGTCCTCGCTCTCCTCGCTCTCCGAAGCATCCCTCAAGAACTTGTTGGTACCGGTCTTGCCTTCTTCGTCGCCGGATTCTTCGGAACTGGAGTCGGAGGAATCATCGCTGGAATCCTCAGCCTCGCTGTCCTCATCCTCGGAGTGGTAAACATCCTCCTCCTCTTCGCCGGAGGAGCTGGACTCGCTGTCGCTGCCGTAGAAGAAACGCGACGCCATGCTGGATATCGTGGTGCACGAAGGCCTTTGTCAAAAGGTGAATGGAGTTGAATGGCGGGTTGAGCCACACACGAAATTTAAGCGAGGGGCTGACTATACCCGATCGGGACTAGTGCCCCTTCGGAGTGACTCGCCGTTTTGACTCAGTGTCTACTTTCGTATACTTCATCGCGAATTTCACGGCTCTTACAATGAAATGTTCCTGAATTTGTCGTACGCGCTTGTTATGCCATGTCCCGAAATATTCCGAGGTCAGAATGTCACATGTATCCAAGTATTCGAACACGGAGAAAAAGAAAACCCTTAAGCAAATCACACATCCACACACACCAAGGGGTTTACTACTCAGACAAGCAACGTTGGTGATATCTTTCTTTCATACTCCAGGCTATGCCGAAAGAAATGAAGCCAAAGGCGAAAAAAGTACACTAATAATCATCGCAACCGCCTATACCGAAAGGGCGGCTACGCGAAACCATTTGCAGGACAAGGGAGGAAAAAAAGAGCAAGAAGCACAAAACCAGAAAAAGTGGCCACGATGCCCTTCAGGAAGATCCGACCACACTCGGTCCTCTGCTCGACTATTCGCGAGCGACCGTGGAATCTTTCGATACAGAGCTAGGAAGAGCCATGTATCGAATTTCGCCCTCTCCGCCTTGGCAGCCATCTGACAACCATCTGACAAGAACCATGCTAGCTCAGATGCGAGGCCACACTGCTGATCAATGACTCATATCCCGAGTGACTCATGCCAAGAAAACATTAATATCACTTAGTAAGGATCATGGGCGGGAACGGGGTTGGTCGAGAGGGTACTGGACAAATCGAGCGAAAGCTCCAGGCATCAATGAGGTACAGGGGAGGGAGGGGGCAGCGCCCATTGGGAAGGAACGCGCACACGCTAGGCGTATGATCCTCGACTGCAAGGGGAAAGAAGCGGGAAAGAACGGAAGTTCGAGGCATCGTGCAAAGGCACTCGAGCAAAGTGAGAGCCCCAGATGCCTTCGGTGTCCTCTAGTGCCACTGGTTCGGGCCCATATATCCTTCGCTTAGGACACCGTCCTCGAGTGTGCGGATGAAGTCCCGGTTTCGCTGGTTTCCATTTCCACTACCACCAGCCCGGCTGCCGCGGCGACGTTGGTTGCCACTCGCGTCCGCGTAACCGTCAGCAGGAGGGGGGTAGTAGGCGGGACTGGGTTGCAGGCGAATGGGGGCACTGGGGTCGAGATGACTCGCCACGCGCTGGATCGTTGGCGGGATTCCTCCTCCATCATGCATGGTAGATGCACGCTGGCGACCTGCCCTTGTTGTTGCTTGAGCGTAGAGACTCTGTGATGGGGCGTACTGGGGCTGAGGAGGGATCTGGCCCGGAACCATATTCATCTGATGACCATAGCCGGGTGGTTGTGTGGGGTACGGGGGCGGTGGTGCGGCTTGCTGGTACATGCCATTGTACATAGGCGGCGGTTGAGCATGGGGCGGAGTGTGGTACTGATTCATCTGCATGTTGTACGCCGACTGCGCATGCGCCGCCTGTGCAGCGCGCTGCTTGCTAGCAGCCTCAGCCTGCTGTTGCTGCTGAACGCCGGGTGCGACAGTCTTGTTGAGTGACGAGTACTTCAGGTTCATTGGCGGCACGAATGGCCCGGTGAACTTCTGCTGAGTGATGAACGGGTGAAGTTTCGCCTGTTGGGGAGACCATCGCTCAAGAGGATTGATGGACAGCAGACCACGCACAAAGTCAATAAACGCGACTCGGTTGTTCAGCTCTATTGAGATTGGTTAGACATATTTGACCGGGAGCATCTCCAAAGACTTACCTCGTTCCATCTCGGCTTGCTTCATGTTCTTTCTCGGCATGGGGTAGCTCCGGATGATCTCCTCCAGGGTCGATGCAGAGAAATACTTCTTGCTCGGCTGTTCCTTGGTATTGTGTTCTCGCGAGTATTGCTCCAGGCTCTTCAGACGGTAGGTCTTCCGTCCGTACTCATCCTGTGTCTTTTCGAAAAACTCGCCCGATTGCTTGCCCATTTCCAGCATCCATGTTGGGGGCAGTCCCAGCATTTCAACAATCCGACAGACCTGGTTGTATTCAGAGGAGCCGGGGAATAAAGGCAGACCGAGGAACAGCTCGACGACGATGCAGCCGAGGGACCACATATCAATTGCCGAAGAGTACCTGTTTACTTGTTAGACCAAGATCTAGAAAGAGCAAAAGGACGGAAGGGAAAGCGTACGGCAAGCCAAGCAGCACTTCTGGCGAGCGGTAGAAGCGCGATTGAATATATGTGTAGACGGTCTGCCGCTCATCGCAAGCAGAGCCGAAATCTATAACCTTGATGATTGGGCTCTCGAGACTGTTATCCTCAAGTATTAGTGGTAGGTCAAGAGAGTAAGGCATCTGACTGACTTTTTCAGAAGAATGTTTTCCGGTTTCAGATCACAATGGATTAAATGAGCCTTGTTCAAAAGGCTTAGGGCATTCAACAGCTGCTGTGCAAAGACACGGACGAGAGTGGTGCTCAATCCGCGGAATTGGTTCTGCTTGATCAGTTCATAGAGATTGACACTGAGAAGTTCAAAGGCAAGACAGAGATGCTGTCGGTGAATGAAGGTGTCCTTCAGACGCAGAAGATGATGATCGTCGTTCTTATCGTATTTGCTATTCAGCTGTAGGGTGGCAGAGTAAGCATGGTGGTCCAATACTATGCAGTCAAGATAGAAGCTTACCAGATCCAGCACGGAGACCTCCATCATACTCTGGTTGAAATAGGCGGTCTTGTTCTTGATGACCTTAACAGCCACGACCTCTTGCGTCTTCAAGTTCTGGCATTTGACTACCTGACCGAAAGTGCCCTGGCCCAGAACATCAAGGATAAGGTAACGGTTCCTGCGCAAAGGTTAGATGAGAAACGACCCGACTGACGCGAGAGAGCCCTACTTGTGACCAGCCTCCTCGCTACCCAGGATGTCGTTGACGTAAAGGATGTAATCGCTGTCTTCGTTATCGTAACCATCGTTCTTCACGCCCTTGCTCGGTTTCGTCAACACACGCCGAGGGTTCCTCGAGGACTCGTAGTTGAAGTTCGGATTGCAGATGCGATACGTCGAAGGGAGGTGCGTCGTCAGGGCTTGAAGGGGCTATGGAGCGCAGCGGGTTAGAATAAAGGTAGAAAGGCACACCATCAAGCAACTACTTACACTGATGAAGCCACCCTCCGGGTTGGCACGCCGGTATGCAGGCTGAGTGTGGACCCGCGGTTGCAGCTCCTGCACCGACTTGATCTTCTGAAACTTGGGAACCGGACCACGTCCCGGGACTTGTGATGGCAGAGAGCCCGATCGTGGGGATCGCGTTCCGGGACCGAAGGAGGACCCCATGTGGGAGGATGCGGACGATGGGTAATACTGGTCGGGGCTGAGGTCGCCCGCCTGGAGCGGGGGTAATCTTGGGACACGATTCGCTGAGGGCGCCATTAGCATCATGACGAGGGAGCTGATCAGGAAAAGAAACTTACACGGCGGTGATTGATATCCCTGGGGAGGGGATGCGTAGTCTGCCGATCTGGTCGGCGACCGTCGCGTCTGGCCTGGAGCTGATGGGGGAAAGCTGTAGCCCTGTTGGGACTTCCCGGGGCTCGTAGGGTATGACATCGGCGGCGACAGCACGTTCATCGGCGAGTACCTGCGGGCGGCCGACGACTCTTCGGCCTGAGAGAGGAATTGAGACGAGGCGCGATTGTGTTGATTCGGCCTCGAGGGGTACTTGGTCCGGTTGTATGGGTCCGCATCCTCCATGGTGGCATCCGCATCGGTGACATAATCCCGACTACGTGACGTGGCGGTAGGGGACGAAGCCATGGAGACAGGCTTGGAGTTGGGACCGGCGGAGGGAGACTTGGAGTTGGTGCCGGGAGTTTGGAAGGTCTCATACGTATAGCCCGGGACGGGGGGCTGTGACTGCGGTGGCTGACCGTACTTCGAGGCTAGTTGCTGGGGATGCGACGCCAACCCGGTATTGAACTGCGTGGGACGACCCATCAGGGGGTCTTGGTAAGGCTGCCACCCGGATTCCATCGTGGGAGAAAGGAATCAGGATCAAAGGTGGGAAAGGAAATTCGAGAATTGAACTCCGTCACCGTCACCGTCACCGTCCACAGTGCACATGCACTGCGATCGGGGGGTGCGTAGGATCCTAGCGGGGAACAACACAAGAGGCGCGACCGCAGTAGGAAGGCACAGAAGGGAATGAATCTCCTGCGGCGAGAGAGGGAGGGAATGGAGAGGGTTAATTTGTAATTGAGCACCAGCGCATCATCTGAGAGATCGATTTGGACGGGTCCGACTATGAGTGGAGGGCGAAGGGCGGTCGCTATTTACGCTGCCTTGGGCCAACTCGGAACAGGAAGATTTGAAGTTGAAGATATAAAAAAGTGATCTTCGAGCGCAAAGGAAAGGGGGCAAGAAACACAATCACGGAGATGATCGTGTATACCCAACTTGTGCTCAACGTGGAGAGAAGAGGAGGGGAAATGGGAAAGTGGAGAGGGAGGTTGCTTCGTGGACTTCGATGGGATCGTCGCGTAGAATTCTATCTTAACATTTACTCCCTAGCTCGTTTCTGTGTGGGCAAGGGTCGTCTCCCCCGGTCTGAACCGTGAGCTACATTCGATCGTGATCTCAACTCGGTGATCTCACCACTTCGTCTCCTCGGCGACGTACTAGCCTGAGATCGTCGCCTCATTGCATACCCAACTGGCGATGCGGCGTGAGTGCCCGATCTTGATTCTTTCAGATGAGAGCCACGCTTGAAGTCGCTAGTGTGGGTTTTCCAGGTGTCTTGGTTACGACGCACGGTACCTCTGGTGGTTTACAGGAGCTGATAGGGCATACATGGACGATGACGAGGGCCCTGTGTGCACTATGAACACAATGTCGACCGCCATTGCCCAGGAGCGAGCACCCTATCATGTGTATGCTTGAAAGCTAGACAAAGCTGTCTCTACAAAATAGTACGAACCTATTGTCCTAAATCAATCGCATTCGAGTTAACAGATAGGTACCTCCACGTAATTTGCGCCACTTTCAGGCTGCAAGGGATGACTCAGGGTCACGTGAATTATCCGGGCGGCTCCCTGGGGCGGTGAGGTGTTCTGCCCCGCCGTTGCCACCGATAACGAATAGTTGCGTCTATCGAGGTTTCTCTCCATTGATTCTTCGAGGGCAGGTCATTCATTGGGGTTGTCGCCATGCCTTCCTTCGCCCCGTCTTGACGTGAGCTTTCTAGCAAACAGTGCCAGTCCTTCTTTTCTTCTTTCCTCTTCTCATCTCATCCTTTCTTTTCACCCTGCCATGGCTTCCAACGAGACTGAGGCGAGCCGTCTGCAGGAGCTCAACGCAGTCGTGCGTGACCAAGAGGACCTGGAACGGGATATCACCAGCAAGGTCAGTTTATTCTCACTCTCAGCCTGACTCGGCGCTCACTATTTTTGTAGGCGGACCAGATCCTCGCGGAGAAAGCCGAGGAAAATGACATCAGACGCCTAGAGAAGGCTTTGAATGAGAAAGAGTATGTTTGCCTGTGCAACTCATTTTTCAGTGCAGTGATGCTGACTTTTATCTCTCTTTAGAAAGGTCGATGCTCAAATCCGACAGGCACGCCACCGCCTGGCCCAGAACGTCGGGCAAGCAACCCGCCACCGACTCGAAAATGAGCTCCACAAGCAGGAGGGGCGTCGATCCGAAATCCAAAATGACGTTCGAGATATCCAGAAGCGTATCGACGATCGGCGCAAGGACCAGGAGGCTGGGGCCGGTAGCCAGGGCTCCGGCCGACTACCCAACGAGTCCCGGCGTGACTACCTCCTTCGGACAGGAAAGATCACCCCATTCGATCTCGCCAACGCCAGAACACGGGATGGCCCCCTTTCGAATCTCCAGGATGCCTTGGATGACGCAGAAGATCAACAGAAGGAAGATGAGGAGCGCGCACAAGCGCCGGATGAGCCCAACGCGTCCCACCGCAACCTTGCGCGCCCCGGCCTGGATTTTGACAACGTCAGCGAGAGTAGCCACACGGAAAGTAGCGGGAAGCGCAGGAAGCTTGCCGTAAGACCCAAACCTGTGAAGACTCGCAAGTCCAGTTCCCCGGATGTCGACTCATCTGCGAGCTACGTTGCTTCGGACGGTGCCAGTGTGGAATCGGAAGATGACGACTTTATGCCCGATACCGAGACCGATACCATCACTCGCAAGCGCAAGCAGACCAAGGCCGAGGCCGAATTCGAGGATCTCAGTGGTGTGGATGATGGTAACGAAAATGTCTACCAAGATCGTCTCCAAAAGTGGATCAAACGACGCAGCGCCGCCCGGAAACGCGCACAGCCAGACATCAAGGAGGAAGATGAGGAACAGGATGAATGGCTCAAGCCACATCCCACGGAACCGGATATGGAGCTTGCGAACGGCCTCCGCATCCCCGGGGATATTAGCCGATATCTCTTTGACTACCAACGCACGGGTGTCCAATGGCTCTGGGAATTACATCAACAGATGGTCGGTGGGATCATTGGAGACGAAATGGGCCTGGGCAAGACCATTCAGGCCATCTCCTACCTTGCGTCCCTGCACCACAGCAATTTATACACCAAGCCTGCCATCATTGTTTGCCCAGCCACCCTCATGGTGCAATGGGTCAATGAATTCCATCGGTGGTGGCCAGCATTCCGTGTCTCGATCCTGCACACCTCTGGTAGTGGCATGGTCAATCTCAGCAAGGAACGCAACCGCGAGCGTCGACTGGCATCCGAGACGGTGGGCAGCAACTCTTCTCGGCATATGTCAGCCGGCCAAAAAGCTGCCAAGAAGATTATCAATCGCGTCACTGAGGCGGGTCACGTCTTGGTGACAACATATGCTGGCCTGCAGTCGTACGCCGATCTTCTAGTTGGCGTTGACTGGGGCTGTGCTATTCTTGACGAGGGTCACAAAATTCGAAACCCTGATGCTAGCATCACATTCAGTTGCAAGGAGCTTCGAACTCATCACCGCATCATCCTATCTGGCACTCCAATGCAGAACAGCTTGATTGACCTGTGGTCTCTTTTTGATTTTGTGTTCCCCATGCGCCTGGGAACCCTGGTCTCCTTCAAGAACCAGTTCGAGATTCCCATTCGCCAAGGCGGATACGCTTCCGCCTCCAACTTACAGGTCCAGACTGCCGCGAAGTGTGCAGAGACATTAAAAGATGCCATCAGTCCCTACCTCCTCCAACGCTACAAGGCGGATGTCACGGCTGATCTGCCTCAGAAGAGCGAGCAAGTGATCTTTTGCAAACTCACCAAGTGGCAGCGGACGGTCTACAAGCGATTCCTTGGTTCGGATGACATGCGTTCCATTGCCAGAGGCAAGAAGAACTCTCTCTTCGGAATCGACATTCTTCGAAAGATTTGCAACCATCCGGATCTCGTGGATCATGCATTTCGATCCCACGAGGCCGACTATGGTCAGGGAGAACTATCTGGTAAGATGCTCGTTTTGAAAGGCCTTCTCGAAGTGTGGAGAGATACCGGCCACAAGACTTTGCTTTTTGCGCAAACACGTCAGATGCTGGACATTATTCAAAAGTTTATTCGGAACCTCGGTGATTTCAACTTCCGTCGCATGGATGGAAACACTGCGATCAAAGACCGCCAGAACATGGTGGATGAATTCAACACCAACCCTGACATCCATGTCTTCCTCCTTACGACCAAAGTTGGAGGTATCGGTGTGAATCTTACCGGAGCCGATCGGGTCATCATCTATGACCCCGACTGGAATCCATCGACCGACATGCAGGCCCGTGAGCGGGCCTGGCGTCTGGGCCAGAAGCGAGACGTCACCATCTTCCGTCTGATGACCAAGGGCACCATCGAAGAGAAGATTTATCACCGCCAGATCTTCAAGCAGTTCCTAACCAACAAGATCACCAAGAATCCCCACCAGCGGGAGGGCTTCCAGCTCGGTGATCTCTACGATCTGTTCTCTCTGACTGAGGAGAATGACAACGAGCTGGAAACAACCAGACTTTTCAAGAATGCCGAAGTGACCTACCAAGAAGAGGAGCAACCGACTACCAATAAGAACAGTGCCAAGAAGATCAAATCAAACTCGCCACAGGCCGAAGATATCAACACCGTCCCGGGAGTCGCCAATGTTGAAGAGTTCAAGAATACCTCCGAGGAGGCCAAGGACGCTCAAAACGCCGAAGAACGCATCATGCATGGCATCTTTGCGCGTTCCGGTGTCCACTCCGCCCTCGAGCACGATCACATCGTGGATGGCAGACGCGCGGTCCGAGCCGACGCCAAGGACATCGAGCGCGCTGCACGCCGGGTCGCTGATGAGGCGGCTGCCGAGCTCCGCAAAGCGGAAGAGACCGCTCGCACCATGCCCATTGGGCTCCCCACCTGGACCGGCCAGTACGGCGTCGGAGGTCGTGACGACCAGGGCAGTAGCTCTGCGCGTCCTGCTCGAGCAGGACCTTCGTCCGCCAATCTCATCGCGAACCTCAACCCCGCTGCTGCTCAAAACAATCCCGCATCTCCCACGGTGCCGGATAGAATGCCTCGCGGCAAGGAATTCGTGCCACTCATCCGAGACTTCCTCCTCAAACGCCGTGGACCCGTTTTCAGTCAGGTTATTGTTGACAACTTCAGCCACTACTGCACGAACCAGCAACGTTCTGCTGAATTCCAGGAGGCTTTGAAGAAAGTGGCTACACTCGAGCGAGACCGCGGTGGGCGTGGCAAATGGGTTTTGAAGCCGGAGTTTGCAAGAGATGTTTCAAGGAGATGAAGAATGTCTGTACGTTACCTAGAGAAGTATATATTAAGGGGATGGCATCATGTACGATAAAAAGGAACTAACGATGCAATGAATGCGATCATGATTATGCCAATGACAATGAAAAAAAAGCCGTTCTTTCACAACCGCAGACAAATAACGCGGGGCCGATACAATTGAATTCTAAAACAGATACACTTATAACTCTTTCGTAAATCGTATCCTCAACTGCTCTCTGGATGTCGATAGTCGACGTCAGATACACGTGACTTGCGAACCGGCGGGGTGCACGATTTGGTACAGGATTCTGGGGGTGTGGGGGTGGGAATCTGGTTACGGAATATTTTCAAGAATGCCTGAGCAGCCTATACATGTGGACCAGATGCCCGGTTGAAGATACCGAGGCTTCAGGGGTTCGGTGCCAAGTACAGCTTTCCATGGATGGCACGAACCAAAATAGAGAACCCAACACAACCAGACTTATCGTACCGTGAGTAGAGGATAGAACACTTCGATGCACACATTTGTTCTACAATTTAAACATCCCAAGGATGGCAGAATTGAAATAGCCACAAATCATATCTTTCAAATGAGAAAAGCTGTTTCGGATCGGGCACAAAGCCAAGCCAAGCGGGGGCGGAGACCGATCTACACCCCTCGATGCGCTAACTGGCGCACGATGCGTCCCCTAACATATCCGTATCCACTCACTGGAGAAAGCTCGAAGCCGATTGTAATCATCCGTCCCATTGCCCTCGAGACAATCCAAGTTTCAACTGATCTGCTCGGTTCAATCTGGATGCAATCAAGCAATCCACGGATTTACATCTTCCTGAGACAACTACGGAGCAACCGACCTGGAGATCTGCAGCTGCTGCAAGCAGCCTTATACTGCCACCCCCCTATCATTGTTACTTAGCCGAAGCTTTCAGGGTCAGAAAGAGATCACCCAGCACGCCTTACAAATGCAGGGCTACGAAACTCATCAGCGACCTTGATATAGCATCCCAGCTCAGGCCGATCACAAAGCACAACCCGTCCCAGGAGGAGCCACCATGGATCCAAGGATGCGATCGCAGATCGCCAAGTTCGCTCGGGTGACGCTATACTCCACACCCAGCAAGACACTGCCGGTGTCTCTGCATAAATAGCGGTGTCATTCCCTCGTCACTTCCCAGCACCCTTACATTTCCAATCCAGCCTCCAGTGAATCCCTCAATTCCACCTTTACCATCCATCATCCATCATACACACCATACACTACACAAAATGAACCTCCTCTCTACCCTCCTCTTCGCAGCCGCGGCCTCCGCCAGCCCCCTCGAGAAGCTCTTCAACCTCGTCACTTCCGGCAGCGGTAGCAACAACGGACTCTACGTAACCACGGAGTCTAACGGTCCCCTAAACAGCATCGCCGTGCTGAGCGACAAGGCCGACGCCGCGACCTTCTACGTGAACCACGGCACCGTACGCTATCAGGCTCCCAATGGCGCGCCTTATGCCATGGCTCTCGTTTCTGGGTCCGACGCTCAGGAACCCGTGGAAGTTAGCGTGAGTCCGTCTTCGGGGAGCTCGGGCTTCAAGGTTGCGGATAATGGGGTTTTGTCTGTTGAGGGTCAGAACTGGGGTGGTTGGTTGGGTAAGTTTTGTTCCTTTTTCTTCGTTTCCTGTTAGATAAGGATGTGGGGCGCTGACTTTGGCTTAGTTTGTGATGGCGATAGCGAGCCGGCTCTGGAGTACGTTAACACTCAGTCTACGGCTGATTTAAAAGAGGGATGTGAGAAGGTGCAGCTGCATGCTGTCGTTGAGACTTCTTCCTAGAGCTCCGGATGGGTTTTTCTAGTGTCTTGTGTATATTTTGCGTTCTTGGTATAGACGTTAGAATGGCGTTGGAATGGTATTCATGATTCTCAACATGAGGAGAGCTTTGTTGTTTGAAGTCGGAACAGCCGTAATGGAGGATAGATGCCTATGGATAAGAAGCAATGGTTAGTTGCAGGTCTATATTGCGCCAGTTAAGTCTGCCCAGGTGTCTGTCTTTTCTGAAACTTGCTCCATATCGATCTCCTTGGGGATTTGACAAAGCGTCGGCACCACAGAGCCTCGAGATCCCTACAATCTTGATTTTTAATATTTGTGATACCTCTACGACCTTGTGAGAGTCCTGAGAAAGTTACTTTTTTCACCTGATGGATGGTTGGCTACTTCAATATTTCCAAGGGTAAAACTTTGTATGTACCATGGCTGGGTCAATGTCAATTCCTCCCAGTGTTTATCACGAGAGAACGGGCTGGTAAATGTCAAGTATACAGTGCAGGCGAGTAACTGAAGACTTGAACAAGTCTGCAGACTCCATAGACGAGTCTATGTGATGATCGCCTATAAATAGACGATGTCTCACCTCCTTGAAAGCCACCATCGCCCGTTTTGGTTTAGCTCCGCAATACACCTCAAACACCTTTCTTTTCCTTCACTTTCCGTGCCACATTCCAATCTTCTCTCTAACCACTCTCGCTTTTACCGTCACTCGTTTGACTGTCCTCGCTGCCTTTGTTCGCTTTGGTGGTTGTGTGTCGATTCGAGGACCCGCACCCCACAGAACCCTCCCGAACCCACACCTGTGATCGACACCACTCGGTTTCCAGACTGGTCACAAGTCCGATAGCATTTTTCCGCGCTCTCCACGTCCTTTTGGTCGTCCCTCATCGCCATTTAGATTCTACCACAGGCACTATTGAAGTCGAAGTGGTCTACGACACCCTTTAGACTTCGCTGTTCCCCGTCAACCTTCTCTAGCGACTCCACCCTGCCACTCGCTGCAAGGGGTTGTTGATTCGTCTCTTTTACCCACCAGGAGATTTTCTACCCCTGCTGTCCCTGATCTGCTCTCCTCCACAACCAGATCTGCATCCACAACACTCGTAATGCGGTCCTTCATCGTCACATTTTTGTTTACGGTGCTGCTGTGCACCGTTACCTCGGCTTGGCCATGGGGGTCCCATGGAGAAGTCTACGCCCGTGATGCAATCTTGGACAGGCGCGCAGGTGCGCATTCTGGATCTCGTTCTCGCAAGCCCAAGCTGACCATGTCTTAGAATCGACCTCGACTGATGGGACGACCACTGCCACTGCCGAGTCGACTTCAAATACCCCGACCACCTCTACGGGCACGTCCGCCTCAGACACCACCGACACAGCTACTACAGGCCAGACCACGAGCGGCACGAAGACAGACACCAAGACAAAGTCGAAGACCACCACCTCCACCTCCATCTCAATCAACCCTGCGGCCGGTGCGGGAGGTATCTCGATGATCACCCCAGCCGCGACATCGACCACCTACTACATGATCGGGCAGGATATTACATTTGTGTGGAACTACACTTCCCTCTCCGTGACCCCGACGGCTGTCGATGTCGTTGCATCGTGCAGTATCAACTCCCAAATCTACACCCTCACTCAAAACATGAGTGCCGAGGCTACCGGAACGTACATATGGGATACCGGGAAATACCAGTCCTCCGCCACTATCCCATTGTTGACGGCAACCTACACGCTTTTCGTTTACGACGCGAGCAAATCCCTGTCTGATACCCCCGTTGCCGGCTACCTGGGCAGTAATATTGGATACAGCTTCGGCATGTACACCCCGCAGCCCTACACCCCTCTAGGTGGTGAGTTTTCCTCAATTCCCAACCCATTTTCATCACGAGACTAACATTCCCAGAATTCCGTTGCGCCACCTGCAGCGGCTCCATCTCCGACATCCAACGGCAAGGCATCAAATTCGCCCTCGGCATGGCCTTGATCACGATCGCGTCCTTCAGCTGGTTCGTCGGCGGCCTCGGCATCTTTTCTTCCTGAAAAGCCACCTAGAAGGGGAAAGCGACATTCTCATGAATATATTTTAATTGCTGGCGTTTCGATTCTTCCAAGCGAAATTTGGGTTATGATAATAGCAAGAAAACCGGCGTTTGCTCATATGCGGATATAGGGACGGTCATGTTATCTGCATTGTTTTTTCACTACTCCCTTTTCCAATTTCCATTTCATGCTTCTCTGCTCTCTGCATGGAGCCAGTGAAAGGCTCGCCGTTGAATTTTGCATCTTTCGGGTCGGTGTCCTTACATCCTTTAATCTATGCATTCTCGGCACATACTACAAAAAAAGATTTTCTGCAACGTCGTTTCCAATGGATACCATGTTTGGGAATTGATTCATGCACAAAGCACCAAAGTGAATAATGTCTGTCTCCCACTGCATCAAAAAGCTAGACAGTTGCTTAGTAGATGCCATTGTCTCCTCCGGAACTCATCCAGTGTGCGAACGCATTAAAACAAAAAGAGAGCTGTCTTGGACGTTCATTGCCACCGTTAAGACATGTGTCTTTCAACGCTTTGCGTTTCTTAGGGTATCGGGCCTTGTCACCATGTCTAAAACCAACCACAAACACAAACACAAACCAAGCGATCACGCTGTAACAACTTAATTTGCAATCTGACTCAACTAGGCCTACGGAGTGTAGAAAGAAATGTCAATCAAAGAGAAAAGATGACCTAATGTGAGCAACCAAAGCACAATACCGTACAAGTATGAACTACAAGACCTCAAGAAAGGTTGTTTGATTGCTCCCTATATCTAGTCTCCAATCCCCTACCCACAGGACCCTCAACCTTGACACTCTCCTAGTACCACCACATCCCATAATCCCACCCCGAGAGTCGACATGGGACAATCTCCAACCCTCGGTTGGATCTGGCCCAAAGACCAAAGACCAGGCCAGCCATCCCATTGGCCCCGACGCTGGCGACTCCGGGATATCCTCACAAACAAAGGACCTGACATCTACGTCGGGGTAATCGGGAAAAAGAGGGTATCGCAAACGAATTGGCACCGGTGGACCGAAGATACAGATGACTGCGATACTCCCATCCCATGGGCCCGTCGGGGTCCTGGCGTGAAGTACGACTTCCGGCAGAGAAAATATCAGGTTCCGGACCGGGGAACTTGGAGTAGGGTTGAGTATTGCACTGGTGGGAGGAGTCGGGGGACGTTTGGGAGGGATGAAGTGCATGTTGTGCCGAGGAGGTATTGGGATAAGGATGGTGTTGAGTACCCGGCGAATTTGTGGCATGATATTGTCCATGGTGCGCATTCGAATCGGTAGGGGGTTGTGGGGGATTGTCGCTCATTTGAAATTTCTTTTGTCTTGTGTGGGTATACTGGGCGTCTGGTAGAGGAATCACGCGCAGTCGGAGTGCAATGCGTCGAATGCGAATGTGCGTTGTTCCTCCTGGGGTGGCTGGATGGGTTGAACGCGGCGGATGGTTGGGAGTTGGGCGCCGTTGTTGGTTAACCGGGTGCATTTGGCGCAAGGCGTCGACTTGATGTCGGCGTATGATGAGATCATGTCCTAGAAGATGAATCAATACAAGAACTTCTGCTTATTTTCCATGCCAGGCAAACCATACCAGTAAGAAAGCGAGATCCCATTTCCGCGATCGTGTATTCAAGCAATCCATTATAGAGTTCTCCAGCTTGGTGGGAGATCGACCAGGAGGAGTCTTGGCGGAGACCTGCCATTCAGACACGCCCGATACATCAGGATCCTTCATGCCTTCAACCAGCAAGATCATTCCTGCCTTTGCTAGCGCAACTCCCAGTGAAAATGCCTTCTGGCCCTTGACTACACGGACACCTGGGATGTTTCGTTGAACGAATCTCTCGACGACAGTTTCCCATTCGCCCTCCGATGATTGAGCCTTGGCACGCTCGACGTCTTCCTCTTCTCGTTGACTTTCTTCTTCTTTTGTCTTCTCGGCCTTGAGCAGTTCCTGCAGAAGAACATCGTAATCCATCTCCCAGATTCCTGTAGGCTGCAGGAGCTGGCCATTAGACTCTTTGATGCGGGCCTCAACACGCGCCCAAATGGGCTGCAGCTCGGGGCCGCGCCACGTAGATTGAAAGTTCTCGATATTGCTGAGCTTGTTGCGTGCAGTCTGATTCAGCTCTTCGCGGAGCAATGATGGTGATTCAGCAACTGCCTTCAGGGGTGAGGCTTTGGAATTTGAGATGGGGACCAGTGGCTCAAGTACCCCATCAGGCACGGACTGGCGCAATACATGGATCTGGGATCGTTAGCCTGGTTCAAGGAATTGAGGAGGGGCTTGATATGGTGGGCATTGACGCATAGACGCGATTGAGGGGTAAAGGGTCACCATGGAATGTCAGTACTGACCTGTCGCTCAAGCTCTTGAAGCTTTGCCAATGATGAGACGAGTTGGATCTCCGAGTCCCAGTTGATCTGTGGCGTGTTACCATTCCCGGCCTGGGGTCCACCTTGCGTGGCAGAAAGCTTTTCCTCCGCTTTAGGCACTATAGAGCCAGCTGCAGGTGCGGAAGCATTCGGAATGGTAGACATGGCCGGAGAGTGAGAAGAGTCGTCCGATGAACGGAGGCGCTGAGTTTCGGAACACCGATCCCAGAGAGGAGTCGCCCGAGTGGATTTTATATCTCTCGCTTTCGCGAGACCCTGTATATGCAATGCTCGATAAGCTGCCAGCTGCTATTTGAACAAAGCGCGCTGCCAGGCGGGCCTGCTTTCAGTTTTCAAGCTAGGCGGAGGACTGATGTCCACCTCGGTTAATGCAGTTAAAAGAGACAGAATTGACACTCGGTATATATAAGCGGGGATTCCGATAAGATTTGGCGCTTTTATTGTCAATTGATTGTAGAGGCCATTGATTTTTGAGGCTGCAATGCAAGCGAGGGAGTCGCGGGAACAAAACCCCAGCCACAAGCAGCAGCCACTGTGGCAGGTCTAGAGCCACATCACGTGATGTTAACGTATGGGTTCTTCTCAAGAGAACATTTTGGTTTGGGGTTGTTTTGTAGGCTCACGGTAGTCTGTAAGACTAGAGAAAAATGCAGGTACTTTATCGAGACAGTAATCTTCCGATCGCTCTCTTTGGAGGACGATTGGCTCTTTATACCAATGTTACTTGCGAGAAGAAGAATCTTGAAATATTCTATGTGGCTTGAATTTTAATTTTGAGCTCGCAGCTGTATCAAGATGCGTCTCAAAAAGCAACTTATTGGGTCAATCTTTTCGGGAGATATTTGGGGTTGGGAGGTAATGACCATAGCGAGATGTGGAGAGCATTGTCTGGGAACTAACTAAAGACGAAGGTAATGGCAAGATGAACCCTTCTAGTCAGGGACAAACTGCCAGCCATCGGAGACAAACGAGATCTACTATTTCTTTCAAAATACTAACAATGCAGTTATTCAACATGAGCTATATCAGACTCTGTCTTACTTGCTGATACACCTTTGTTGGTCCAGCTCAGATTTTTAATGTTGAATACCGAGCGTATACTCTCTATACAGGGAAATAAGTTACCAGCATTAGTAGTACGAAGCAAGCAATATATTTTTACTGATCTATCGACTATCGGAATCCCCGGAATCAAAAATGGCCGTGACACGATCTAACCAAGACACGAGGAAGCTTACAGTCAAGGAGGCTTCCAAGCCGGACGCTCCCCGGACGGATCAAAATACAGCCGCAGACGGCTGCCAGCGGTGCTTTCTCCGCCTAGAAAAGAACCCCGACCATACTTGCGAATCGCGTCAACGGTCTAGGTCGTGCCGCTACTGCCTTCAAGTACGCCACAAGTGCAAGCCGGTATGTTGTGGCAAAATAAGCGATCTTGATACCTGCTCACCATTAAATAGCTCCCCAGGGAGGTATATCCTGCTGTTGTTGCTGCTCTGGAAAAGACGGGAGAAGAGAGGAAGGAGGCAATCCTTGTTGTTCGCCAAATGATCCGGCTACGAACTCGCCGACTCAGGTCAGAGAAGAGAGCGCGAGATGAGCAGCTTCAGCGTGAACGGCGGGCTACCTTTAAACCTCTGTCCCACTCAGTTACAAATCGAGAAGGGTTCGGTCAACTGAACTTATTTTCGCGGGATAATGAGGTTTGAGTTCGTAGAGATGGGGTAAATAAAAGAGTAGACGCTTTTGGCTTTTGTCAGATTGATAGACTATAGTTGTTGAGCTTTTGTGTTCAATTTTGAAATTGAAGATTGTTGTTCCGGTCTTGTACTTCTTTTATCCCGAAACGAGTAATTCGCGTCTTGGGACTATTTATTTGATCTTCCCTCTGGGGCAGGGACCCAGTGGAGCAGACTCGCTTAGTGACTGCTGAGATCAAGGGTCATGGACAGATTCAAACGGAGGGAACTGGTGGTGAGAAAGAGACTGAGATTATCAATGAGGGGCACGTATGAAGACTGTGTGCTTCAATTTGAGGCTATTTTAAGCGAGTTGAGCATTACATTCTCTAAGTTTGCACAAAGAATAGAGGCCTATTGTCCTTGATGGGCGCGATATGAAGGATGGGAAGTGACAATAAGCCACGACTACTTGTTCAACATCAATCTTGACATTCATTGCCTACATGGGCTGCGCTTAAACTCTCCAATAACGCCACACCTGCAATAACAACCCCCACCCCCACCCCCACCCCAACCCCATTATCATGCAACCCATTATCATGCAACTAGGAGATCACACATCCTTGTAGTCAATCAGCCTTGGCAGCCTTAGGCGGGTACTTCTTCCCATCCTTCTCAACCTGTGGCGAGCAAGTGCACCGCTCGCTTTCCGGGATAGAATCCATCACCGAAGGAACATGGTTACCGCAGCCCCACCAGGAGGCCTTGTCTGTTTTCCACGATCAGCCACTGCGTGCGTCAAAAGATTTTTTTTATAGCATACTGCAGGTAGAGCACTGAGCCTTCATACACATGATGGGCAAATGAGGTTGTAGTTGATAGATATTTCTGCAAAGATATGGCGGATCAAGCGGACTTTGATGTGGAGAGACAGCGGCGAGCGGGAAGTGGTTCTATATACTTTTCCAGGGCCTAGGGGTCTTAGTAATAGCCGGTAGCTTAGAGACGCCGATAGTAAAGCCCGAAAGCCCGATCTGGTGCCGGCATCGGCATTCACAATTAATGCGTCAAGCATTGGGAATAATGTGGAATATTAAATATAGGAATAATTTCAGATCTATTCTTCAGGATTGAGCTTGTAAAATTATTGTCTTCAATGTGGTTTCAATGATGGTGCAGACTCAAGCGAATCTGTGTTGTGTGGGGCTCGACGCGGGATGGAACCCGAGTCTTGACTTCACTCTTCACTTCCACTCGGCCGTGGCATGATCAGGCTATTATCTCAGGCTATTGTTTCTTTGCCACTCGGACGTAAAAAGCTTCAGTTCATTACAATGACTGTTGTCGCTGTGGCTGGTGGCACCGGAGGCGTGGGGAAGACCATTGTCGAGAGGCTCGCTCAAGAGTCCAAATTCCGGGTTATCGTGCTATCGCGTAATGTCAGTATTGTGCTCATCATGCGGTAAGAAAAATGTTGAACTCTTCTTAGGTACCAGAACGGAAGTCGGGCTCTCAAATAGTCCAGCATGTGCAGATCGACTACAATGACTTTGCTTCGATGACAAAAGAGCTCGAGCGTCATAACGTGCACACTGTCATCTCCGCCGTCGGGCTTCTATCCGATGAAGCCAGCCAGTCTCAAATCAACCTGATAGATGCTGCCGAGAAATCATCAGTGACTGAAAGATTCATTCCGAGCGAATTCTCATTTATCCAGACGAAAGAGTGAGTCCTCGAGCGACTTGCCACCCGGTTTATCTAACAACGCCTTCCCTTTGTCACAGTCTACTTCCCGTGGATCCTAGTATCCAATGGTGGCTCGATGCAGCCGATAGATTGAAAAGCAGCTCTCTAAAATACACCAGGGTGATTCCCGGCTTCTTCATGGATTACTGGGGAATGCCGAATATCCAAACCAACCTCCAGCCATACAGTTTCGGTATCGACATAGGTAGCGGCATGGCAGCCATTCCTGGCGATGGGACCGATGTGATTTGCATGATCTACACATACGATATGGCCACCTACCTGGTCAAAGTGCTGGACCTGGACGAATGGCCCGAGTTTAGCGTGATTGTAGGCGACCAAGTTACCTACAATGAGCTCTTGGCTCTGGCCGAGGAGATCACAGGTTAGTCGTTTTGCCTTTTCTATTGATGTGTAGTGGAAACTAAGAGAATCACGGAACAGGCAAGAAGTTCCAAGTCAGCTACGATAGTCTCGATCAGATCCAGGCGGGGAACGTCACCGTTCCGCCTATGCCAAAGGGCGCCGAGTACCCCGTGGAGGAACTCAAGGAGACTACTGCTCTGGTCAGCCGGTTGACTGTGAACGGTGTCTTTGACTTGCCCAAGGAAAATCGAATCAATGCTCGATTCCCTGACGTGCGACCGATTACAATGAAGGAGTTCTTGGAGAAGGCTTGGAGAGGCTAGTGGATATGACGTTCAATTCAAATATTTCAAGGTGCTCCTACCAAATGAGGTGCTCCTACCAAATGAGGTGCTCCTACCAAATGAGGTGCTCCTACCAAATGAGGTGCTCCTACCAAATGAGGTGCTCCTACCAAATGTTTCAATCAACCAAGAACACTTTCAAGCCATTATTTCGAGCATTCCAAACTTTTAGCAGACGTCTAACTTGCATACTTCGTCGACGTCTTCTTGGCACAATTCTGCATAGACAGTGCTTTAACAATACATAGGACTCACGACCCCAACACAAACATCGCGACCGGGGATGAGGTTCGAGCAGGTTGGGTTGATATCGGGATTCCAGCACAGGAGCTGCCTGATGGTGAAGGTGTTCTCATTGCGAGATATTATGTCCCAGCAGGTATCGCCAATTTGCACTCGGTAGAAAAGGCTGCCTATGCGCTAATATAAGTTATATCCACAGCAGAACAATGTTCGAGAAACTCACAGCCAAAGGGTGCTTGTGCCGGTTCGGGATCCTTCCCTTCTCGACTCTGCAGAACATCGTTGTTGATAGCGGCGGATAATGCCAGGGACGCGACTCCCAGCGTCAAAAACATAGCTTGCTTGCAAGAGACAAACATGGCGACAGTACGACTTGAGTTAAAAGAAAGATACAGACTGTTCTCTGGGGATAGAGCTAGCGAGTGTATGTAGATTATGTTCAGAAATAAAAACATTGCTATCCGCCTTCCCACTGCTACAATTTATATCCGGGGGCTCTATCTCGGCTCCGAAGATCAGCTCACGCCACAGTCTCAGAGTTTCAGAAGTAAAGAAACTATCCATCCAGAGAATGGAACTTCATAGCACGAAAAGACATTGCCTATCTCTCGCACGGGTTGCATCCACCCACAGGCATTGCAACCCTATCCCATCTCGACCAGGAACGCCTCTCCAGGAAATTAACCTTGCAAAGGGTCTCATAAAAGCCATCCAATAAACCACTCCATCCGCCCACCTGGAAACACCATTGCAATGATAACTGCAGATGTTTCAGACAGACCGCGTTGTGCTCTGTTCTCCAGTTACATAGCATGCCAACAAGATCAGCAGTTCAAAGCCAAAGTCACGGTTACTTTCTGTCAAGGAGGATACCTGGTCGAGGTGCATGGACTGTATGACCATCGATGAGCGTTGCTTGCTGTGGAGTGACCGGCACCCCGGCAGAGCAGGTTTGTGTAACCAGCCAGTTGAGACTGAAGCAAACAGCAGGTAAGCTTTGGTCTTGGATGTTGAGCTTCTTTTGCTTTGCAGATGTGCCCGTGCTTCGGTCGGAATGCTGCTTTGGTGTACAGAGTAACATTACTAACTTGTATCTTTCCCTAGAACCAGTAGGACATGGGGATGGGAACTGGGATTTGATGAGTTGAAAGTGCACGGCCGTATGAACCATCCTTCCTTGAGTATGCTGACGAGGGTATTCGGATTGAAATGCAATATTATATTGTCATCAGAGCAAAATACGTCAAAATATGCAGTATATCACATGTAAATGAACACAGGGTACTCTAGTGTAGATACTATCACATCCCCTTCTTCTCTCCCGAAAACTCCAAACCCACCAACGACCCGTTCTTCGCGAACTTCAAATCATCAAAATAATTATCCCTTGAAACCCAAGGCCCCCGATCCGCAGACCTAGGGAAACTGTTCTCGGCCTTGAGCACATAAGTAGAATTCAACGACAAAAGTCTCCGCGGCTGCAACCCTTGATCAGTAACAGGGTTCAACCTCGGAACAGCGGCCTTAACACCACGCTCCTGCATCGTCTTTAGCAAACGACAAACAAATTGCGACGTGGCATCAGCACCAAGCGTCCACGAAGCATTGACATAACCCAACAGGAACGCGGCATTGGGCAGATCCTGCAGCATCATCCCGTGCCAAGCATACTTATCGCCAAAGGACAGGGGAGTCCCGTCAACGGCTAGAGAAGTGCCACCGGCGAGTTGGAGGCGGAGGCCTGTTGCTGTGACGATGATGTCCGCGTCGAGTTTGGTGCCGGAGTTGAGTTCGATGCCTGAAGACGTGACTTGGCTGATTGTGTCTGTCTTGATATCTGCGCGGCCAGTGTGGAGGCTCTTGAAGAAGTCGCCGTCTGGGCAAACGCATAGTCGTTGGTCCCAGGGGTTGTAGCTGGGTTTGAAATGGGGGTCGTAAGGGATGTGTTTTGGGAGCTGGCGGGAGATTCCTCGTCCGAGGAGCCAGCGGGAGAAGTTGGGGAAGGCTTGGCAAAAGAGGAAGAACCAGCGTGTGCTGTAGAGGTAGCGCACGCGTTGGAGTCGGCGGTTAAGTGATGTGGGGAGGATGTAGCGTAGCCATGAGGAGGCTCTGTTCGGTAAAGAGAGGATGTAGGTCGGGCTGCGCTGCAGCATTGTTACATGCTTTGCTTTCTCCGCGAGGTTGGGAAGAAGTGTGATAGCTGTAGCACCGCTGCCAATGATGACGATTTTCTTATCGGAGTAGTCCAGGTTCTCTGGCCAGAACTGCGGATGAATGACCTGCCCTTGGAACTGTTCGATGCCAGGAATTTCGGTTTGAAGAGGCATGTTGTAATCGTAGTATCCGGTTCCAAACACCAGGAACTGGCCAGAGATTGACTTGGTTTTGCCCTCGTGCTCGACGCTGACTGACCAGCTGTTATCGGTTGAGGACCAGTCGGCGCCTAGCATGCGATGTTGGAATTTGATATGCTTCTTGATCCCATGATGCTCGGCAGCATTATTTAGGTACTTGACAATCGAGGGGCCGTGAGCGATCGGGTTGTCCGATTCCCACGGGTGCCAGGCAAAGCCGAAGGTAAAAAGATCCGAATCCGAGCGAATACCGGGATATTTGAAGAGATCCCAGGTGCCACCGAGATTATCGCGAGCCTCCACGATGGTATATCGAAGGTTGGGGAACTCGGACTTGAGGCGGTATGCAGCGTTGAGGCCGGAGATACCCGCGCCGATGATGACCACGTCAAAGTTCTCTTCCATGGCGATAGAGTGATATAATGATGTGAGATGGATTCAAATTAGTTCTAAGTCTTCCCCGCGTCTTTTATAAATCGAGAGTGACCTGCCTCGGTTAAGCCAATATAGCAGGACTTGCGAGAAGGGGAGATGTGACAATCGATCGGCTATGGACAACCGTCTCGGGAGGAAAAATGAGGAGTGGTCTGGGGAAGCCGAGGCGTTCCATGGACATGTAAAACAGCCTCAAGAAAAGATGGCTCACGAACAGTATGCCAAGTCGGGCAATGATCTAAGCCTCGGATACCAATTTGGCGATGGTTGCGAGTCTCCGCTCGGTGCAAAGTTCGCCGCCGGGGGCCTCGGCCCGATATTCACCTCTGATTGGCTGGAAACGCGACCCGAGGGCCGACGCGTGTTACAAATTAGGTTTGTCATCGTTAACTATGCAGCAAATGTACTTAGTATTTCTATAACTCGAAAGCAGGGGTATATCTCTAAACTCATGACTTTAGACGTCTTAAACGTGGTCGCTGCAGGCAAGCGCAGAATCCTTTCGTGATTCCGCCTCCGCCGAGCTCGTCGCAACCGAGCTATCCGAAGTATGGGATGATTCCTTCGCGCTTTCCACTTGACAGCCTCCCTCTGTCCTTCCACCGCCCGGCTTCGAGGCTGAGTAGACACGGGGAATATCGGTCCCGGGAATATTTGAGTCTCTATTTCTCCTCAGACGGCACATTCCTCGTAATTTTAGGTATAACGGCCGAACAGTCACCGCCGTAGCGCATACATGGGCCACAGATGTTTCGGCGCACGTCCAATAGATTACTCCGCGATTGGCATATGTAGGATCCTGGGTCGATAAAACGTGTGCGAGGCTCGGCACGCGTGCGGATGCAATCGCTATTACTCTTCAAGAAGTGTTAGGACTGTCTTTCTGGGGGGATTTTGTTGGACGTACAGACTTCCGGTGCCGAAGATTGCGAACAAGGCGCCTTTCGTCGATTTCGAAACACGGAGCCTTTGAAGTAAAGGTAGAGGAAGAATTAGAATTGCGACCTCCGTTGCGATGTTCACGGCTGCGTTTGCATAGGCCACTCCGGATACACTGAGGCATCTTGCGTCACTGCGGTGAAGATCCCAGATGGCGTGGATTGGCACGCATTGCCAGATGATCATTGGGAGGAGAATTATGAGAGATGCAGTCAACAGGACCATCGTGGTGATGAAGTATGGATGGGAGGTCTCGGGAAATATTCGGATGTAGAGGCAGAGGATGGACATTTTGATAAAGTAGATTTCCACGCAATAGAATATTTCGGCAATATAATCTGCAAGATTAATTGTCAGCCCAGTTGGAATGCCTTTTGGAAGCATGCACTTACACCAGATGAAGAGATTCCGAGCTTGAGTCATTGATGAGAATTTGATATCGTACAAACGGTATCCCATGCCATCGGTAACACCTGTTGCAGTCAGCGACTTGTTCTCTTGGCCCGGCTTCGGTGATAAACGTACAGAGATTGGTGAAGATGGTAAGTGGTATGGCAAGCATCTGGGTAGCACCGTTAGACGTCATCACTATAAACCATCGAGTGTCATTCCAACATACCCCAGCGGTGATATGACACCAGTCATCCCACCAAAATCGAACGGTGCATAGCCTTGCCACTATGCGAATCCCAACCATAAGAAAGGCGACAGTGCCACTCACAATCGCCGCCGCTCTTAACGCGGCATTATGGTTGTTGTGAGGTGGATTACATCTTTTCGCCCATGCCCTAGCTAATTCTACTGAAGCGTTAGTCTTGCGATGCGTGGGTGTCAAGGGGACATGACTCTTACCGATTCTGTCTTCGTAGGTGCAGTTGTACATTACGCAGGCCGATACGTGCACGACCATCTTCTTTTCAACGCATTGGCATTTGGTGTCTGTAAGTGGACATCCGGCGACTGAAGAGCTCTCCTCCCAACATTTGACCTGAGGGCGTCAGTAGTGAATAATTCGATTGGGGTGGCAGTACTCACAGCGCATGGTGACAGCCCGTTCATCACCGACTGTCGAGTGTCTAAATTGGCGAATACAAGGACATGATGGAATATGAGAAGCCAGACAACTAGGAGCGGCCTGGAAGAGCGCTTCATCCTGCTGACGGCATTGGGCTTGTAAGGCTGGCGGGAAGGGGGAGAAAGAGAACCGGTCCAGTCATAAGAGAAAGGCCAGAGCAAGAAAGCCTGCAACCCTCTTGTCCGAAGACCTATTAGCCCTGCAAACGGTCGCCACCGACATGGGGTTCTCCTCAGGACAGGGACAGCCATCTACTAGCGAATCACAACCACGCTATACTATTTGCACGGTCTCTCACACGGCATCTCAACTCCGAATCAACCCAAGGTTCACTGTACTTACATCGAAATTCTAGAGGTCGGGTTTCCAAAAGCTTGGGTTAAGCTTCGAGTCAAAGACGTAACCACATAAAAGTGAACCGGACTCTACCCGAACATGCCAAGACCGGCATTCGAGGACTGTCTAAGATCCGTAAGACACCTGCCAGTTGCTGTCATGTCAGCTGTAACCCTGTATTCAATTCTGGTTGGCCATGCCCATGCAAAAAGATTCCGGGAAATTATCTACCCGCGGACATGATCCCGGTCCAGACGACGAATTCGGGATGATCACCGCCCGACAGTCGGGCAAACCGAGAGTCCGTCGGGACGGGAAGACTTATCGATCGGTATGCCCACGCAGCTAATGTGCCGAGGTTCTGATTAACGTGATTCTTCATCAAGATGATAAGGATAGAATATAAATACGATACGCTGGAGTGCCACATGTGAAAGATTTTTTCACATCACAATTTGCAGGAAATCATGGCTACTCAAGTGCCAGAGTCCATGAAGGCCCTAGTCGGGAACCGATCTATCTGCGCTCGACTCGCAAACTACACACTCGGGAAATCATCCGGAGAAGGCGTGCTTGTTAAAAACGTTCCAGTCCCTGAGATCTCCGATAATGAAATCCTAGTCAAGGTTCGATGCGTCGCGCTGAACCCAACGGACTTCAAACACGTCGATATCCTGTCTCCCAAGGGCGCCATCATTGGCTGTGACTATTCAGGAACGGTTGCCAAAGTCGGATCCACTGCCCCCGGAAACTGGTCGGTTGGTGACCGAGTAGCTGGCGTCACACATGGTGGACTGTACCCCGAACGCGGCTCTTTCGCCGAGTACCTCAAGATCCCCGGTGACTGGGCCTGGAAGGTTCCGTCATCTGTGAGTGATGAGGAGGCCGCCACATTTGGTGTTTCTGCTGTTACTGCCATGTTGGCTTTGAATACTCGCCTGGGCGTTCCCTGGGCTGATGGCGGGAAGGAGCAAGGGTCGCGGGATACCCCTATTCTGATATACTCTGGTGCAACCGGAGCCGGGCTCTATGCCATTCAACTTGCCAAGCTTGCGGGACTGAAAGTCATCACGACTGCATCGCCGCGTTCGCATGACTTGGTGAAGGAGTACGGCGCAGATGATGTTTTTGATTATCGATCACCAACCGCTGCCGATGAGATCGTCCGAGCTTACCCCAATATTGACAGAGCTCTGGACTGTTTCTCTGAAGGAAGTTCCACTGATTTCTGCGTCAACGTTGTGCGCAAGAACAGAGGTTGGGTCGTGACGCTGCTGGACAGTGGGAAGACGGAGTCGCAAGGAGTCAAAATCGATTTTTTGCTTGCGTACTCGATCTTTAATTCCGAGTACCAATGGTTGCCTCCAATCGGGCCCAAGTTCCCCAAGAAGCCTGCCGACAATGAAGCGCTTCGTCGGTTTTACGCCGCGCTACCGAAAATCTCTACGCAGCTCAAGACACCACCACTGAAAAGTATTGACGGAGGGATGGAGAAGCTAAGCGTTGGGCTTGATATGCTTCGACAAGGGCAGGTCTCTGGTACCAAGCTGGTGGTGCCATTGAAATGATTAGGGAACCTGGGTTGGAGTTGTGTTGGGTCTTTCGGAAGCGAACTCTGTAATTAATCTACTAATGTGCCGTTCAATCTACTTTTTCAAATGAATTTGGAACTCCATATGTTCATTGTCGAGAAATAAAGTGTACACGATCCATATTAGCGGGCTTGGCGAGAGAGTGGATCAGTACGCCAACTGTCATTTCCAATGGCCCCATTCCTGTTTTCTTGGATTCACACCGAAACAACTCCCCAGCTGCATGATCAATGCCGTTGGCTCTGGCTCGCGAAGTGGCCTTGAGGGCAGAGATTGAGTCCCCACCTAGTCGTCTTGAAGCATCGTATCTCTGGAATGAAAGGGATATTTGTGATACCGGTACGGCCTGTTGACCTTACACAAATCCTCCGGACACTGATGGACATGACCATTGTCGTGGTCGTGATCGCGATCGCGATTGTGGCCATTGCCATTACCCCAATCATTCCTTTCTCCTTGTGGGAAAAGCCATTGCCATTTGCGAAGTAAGACCAAGGATGGTAATAAGAATTAAAAAGTAAAAGACTTAATTTATGAAAAGGATCAGTGTTTTGTAAAGATTTGCACTGCAAAGCGCTCATCATTTATTATTCACAAATCAGGCCAGTTTTCTGCGCGAGAAGAGATATATGGCCTTTGCTCCTCGATTTGCTGTCGGGTGAACCAGTTGCCATGAAACCCGTACGGCACGCGTTGTGGAAGAAAGATCTTCGCCACCACAGTTTTCATATCCCCTGCTTCAATAATCCATAACTCGCTTCTGGCATCATCGGACGTACTTCCATCTTCATTTAATTGGGACTCATCAAACATCAAAGTCAAGAGATACCCATCATCTTCAGTCGTCGCACCATCTCGGGAAACAAATCGAGGCTCTTGGGCGTACCACCCTTCCGGGGCTTGGAACACTTTGATTGGATCCCCAATATCATCACTTCCAAATATCGCTTTGATATCTCTATTGTCAACGCAGCCGTCAACCTCTGCGGTCTTTTGCTCAATTCCTCGCCGAATCAACGTTTTGACATCAATTTTGACAAGGCAATCGACCTTCATTGGCTCCCCTGTACTTGCACCGAACATTGCATCTTTTGAAGAGCATCCGTATATGAAAGTTGGAGCCTTCATTGTGCATGAAGGCGAAACGATCGGCATCTCGAAGGGAATGGCCGACAAAGCCCATTGATGAGTGATTAAATTCTGGTCTGTATCCGAGAGTAGGAATCGATAGTAGTAGAGTCGACTGTCGCTCCCCTGCTCTTCGGGAAATATTGGAGACGGACTATTTGCGATGCCACCCATTGAATATAACATGTCGGCACTTTTGTAACGACATGCAAGCATATTCACGGCTTCAACCTGGTCGTCTCCTTCAGACATTGGTGCAATTTCATCCCAAGTGCTAGCAGTATGGAAAATGAAGCACGGCTCTGTTTCGAACCATCGTACTCTTGCAAGGTCGTGTCGGGGGAAAATCCCGAATCGGGATAGTAAGTGCTGATCGTAGTGGATGATCGGTCTCCCTCTTAGCATATTGATGGGGTCCAGTGACATTGGAAGATCTAAGATTATTGTATAGCCTTGGGAGACGCCGAAGTCATGCATCAACTTTGGACTCGATATTCCTGGAACAGGAGCATGTAGTGCTGGTGGCTTAGGTTTCGCTTCCCCCGATTTGGGAATCAGAGAGTACCAGACAAATGGAGGTAAGAAAGACGATTGAAACGAGATTAGCTCCCCAGTGATTTGATCGACACGTGGCTATTTAAACAGTTAGCGATCGTATCTCTAACTCATCTGAAGTACTCACATGGGCAGTGGTCCAATCTTTCAAAAACCCAAATAGTCCACTGCGACCGAAGAAATTATCTGCAGAACCCGAAGTAGTATGTTCGTTATCCGCTGGATTTCCATTGTACCAGCCGACAGTATCCAAGTTTGGTAGCTGGATCCTCAACGGTGGCCCAGTCTGACATGTTGCCAAAGCTCTCTTGTCATGATAAAGAACGGCTGTGTTTGCAACACTGATTTTACGTACGGACGGCACATGGTGGTTAAAGTGGGACCACAGAACGAGAAGTAAGAAGCGGCAGAGTTGGGTGAATGTCGAAAGTGTCGAGGCAAATGGGTCAACGAGTGTTGCGATACTTGGCAATATGGATGAACGCAAACTGGGCATCGACTTTGTAGCGAGGTAAATATCCGTCAATATGTACCGGTTGACAAAACAAGGCTCAACATTCGCCGACTCTTGGGCGGTTGTCCGAAATAATACACCACTTAGCATGCCATCGCCATCAAACATATGTAAATCTCCAGGGACGTTGTCTCCAAAGCTCGGATTTCCACCGTTTCGAACGTATTGACCGCCAAGTAACTCAACGGGAATAGTCCCGGAGAATGCACAAGGCTCAAGGTTAAGTTGTCTTTGAATCGGCGCGAAGTTACCCCTAAGACATCTTGAGATTATGAGCTTGTCTCTGTTTCCTTCTATGGTTGGGAGATAGGTACCGGTGCTTTCTTTCCGCTGCGCCCGTCCGGCCTTTTGCTGATTCTCCCATGGCCCCAAGGGGATGTTAATCGATGAACTAACAGCAGTCCACTAAAACGCACATGGAAGTTTTTTCATGCCAGATCCATCTGCTGATTCCTTAGCAGTGGCATTTTGGCGATGGGAATACAACCTGCCCTTCCATGAAGAGATCGAATACTAGCGAGAGAGTTGACGTCACAACAGTGGCAGTTAAATTGAAGCGGGGCAACAATCAATACAATTTCAGAAACCGTACAGTCACTTATTCAGCAATCTGATCAGAGATGAGAACATCGGCGCCCGAAAGTCCATGATTTCGATTATTTCGAGCGAGGTTAACATTACTCCCCCTCCCCCCGGCCTCCTTCCCAGGGTTGTGATCTCCTAATCATTAGGATATACTAGTCATCCTGAACCACCCGGGCCATGATTCGCCAATATATCTGGAATTTCAGTAGGTTCTTACACTAGCCTTCATATCTCCACGGTTACGAGTACGATCCAGCCGCGTTGGCATTTCCACCAATACAAGGGACAGAGACCTTATTCCTTTTTTAGACTAACAGATCCAGATCGGGATACCCATCGAACGCATTATATCATTACGTATTCTGACTCACAATCTGCATGCATGTCGATGCCTGTAATTTTTGTAATTAATGATTAGAAATTAGAAAGGTCAAGCGGCTGCTTTAATATGGGCCTTGGGTTCTCTAGATATCCGATGCCCAGAAAAGAAATTCCCAGTTCAGTATGGTCGGAATGAAAAGAAAGAGGGTGGTTATCGTGGGTAAGGGATTTTCCATTCAGCACTGTAAGTTCAGTATCAAGCTGATCGTGTGGTCATTTAGGAGCTGGGGTGGGGGGTGTTGCAACCGCAGCCCGACTGGCACAAGCTGGAGTGGAAGTTTTAGTCTATGAGAAGAACAATTTTCATGGAGGGAAATGCAGCAACATGGTTCACAATGGATATGTGAGCTTGAAATGCCAGAACGAGGTGTGAAACTACTATTGACTCCTCTCAGCGCTTTGATCGTGGACCCTCAATAATGCTCATGACCGAAATATTCGAGGAGACATTTCGGCATCTGGGAACTTCAATGGCTTCAGAGGGTATTGATCTCCTAAGGTGTGAGCCTAATTGCAACGTCTGGTTCTCTGATGGGGAATGCTTTACGACTTCCACCGACTTGGTTCACATGAAGCATCAAATTGAGAAGCACGAAGGACGACATGGATTTGACCGGTTCATCGCATTTCTACAAGAGTCCCAGAGGCATTATGAGCAGAGTGTGATCCATGTGTTGAGGAAAGATTTCCCGGGATTTTTATCACTTTTAAGGCCGGCCTTTTTGTCCTACATATTTCAACTTCACCCTTTTCACAATGTGTGGCAAAGGGTCTCCTATTTCTTCCAATCCCACAAACTACGTCAAGCGTTTACTCTCGGGAGTATGTATCTCGGAATGTCTCCTTTTGAAACTCCAGGGACTTATACTTTACTTCAATACGCCGAGCTTGCTGGCGGAGTTTGGTATCCTCGTGGTGGTTTTCACCGAGTAAGTTGTGAGCCATTCTAGTTGAGAGTCTTGGAAGTTGACTGATTTGCAAAGGTTGTACACTCGCTGGTCGACATCGGCACAAGGCTAGGTGTCCAATATCATCTTTCAATCCCAGTGGAGGAAGTGACTGTGTCCTCTAAGGGTGAGGCTCTGGGAGTCTCATTAGACTCAAACAGATTTGTTGAAGCCGACGCTGTTGTGATCAACGCCGATCTACTTTACGCATATCGAGAGCTTCTCCCATCAGCATGCACTGGCCTGAATAGGGGCAAAAACATTTCGTGCAGCAGTATATCCTTTTACTGGTCACTGTCGAAGAAGGTTCCACAACTGGAAACTCACAACATGTTCGTGGGAGAGTCCTTCGGAAACCGTTTCACACAGGTCTACGTGAAGCGACATGAATCAACCAGACCGTCATTTTATGTCCATGTTCCCTCAAGGATCGATCCTTCGGCAGCACCTACAGGAAAGGACGCGGTAATCGTTCTTGTTCTGGTCGAGAATTTAGGGGGCTCAGATCCGAAGCATAACCCTTGTCAGAAAGATGAGATGAGGAGACTGGTGACGAATGTGCGCGAGCAAGTGATATTGTCTATTGAGAAGCGAATAGGGATTGTCAGATTCAGAGAGCTCATTGATCATGAGATTATCAACACACCATTGACTTGGCAAGAGACATTCAACTCGGAGGGAGGTGGAATATTCGGTCTCGATCACAGCTTTTTCAATATACTGGCTTTTCGGCCAAAGATCAAACATGAGAGCATCGACGGGTTATACTTCGTTGGCGCCAGCACACACCCGGGAGCCGGTGTTCCCACCTGCCTGGCGGGCGCAAAACTCACCGCAGAGCGGGTCTTGGAAGATCTAAACATCCCGGCCCCTTGGGAGGCTCAGAATACCAAAGGCAGACGAGCTACTCTACGACGTTTGCTTTTTAAACCTCCATGGAAGTGTATTATCTTTATTGTTACTCTTTATGTGACTGTCGGAGTGGTTCTAGGAGGAACCCGTTCAACGTTTTGACTGTGATGCTAAAGCAAAGCGGTCTAACGATGGTGGTCATTAACGAGACATGACATTCAAATAAATTATTAGGCTCCAAAAAAATACAAAGATTCCCCTAATGACGGACTTACGGTCAAGTCTACTTTGTCGGCCATGGAGATCGATCGATCGATCGATCGATCGACCGGGAACAACGGACAGACACCGCAGACCGAGATTTACTATTCCTGCTTTTACTCGTCTTACATGCATCCCCTGCCCTTGCCCTCGTGAATACGCCAGATTTTTCTTTCTAGGGACGAATTACGTCTTTATTACACCTTCGATTTTCTCTGTGGCTGTAACTTGTTAAGTTGCGTATTTCCTAGCCATAGTATGTAATTTAGCTGCAATGTTGGTTACACATGGCATCTGTCAGCGGAAGAAGCGGCAACCCGAGATCCCAGTTTAAATTACACCGCGTCCATTCCAAAGTTTCAGAGCCTTAAGGAATCAAAGTCTTTGGGGGTGGACTCTGCTGTAATTGCTTAACTTTCAGCGTAATTGGCACCAGCCACTCATTGACTCGTCATTTATAGAGAAAGTCTGCGCCCAATACTTTCTCCTTCATCCTTCATCGATCTGGAATACCCATACTCGGCGGCAGAGGGTATCCCTAACATTCTGCATCTGGCATAATGGGTCTCGACTACTGGCTTGTGTATGTTGTGCAATCCGATTAACAAAATTGAGACCTAACATGTTTCTACAGCCACTTGACCTGGACAGTTCCGCCCGCAACCTTACTCTCAGTGGCATATTGGCCTTTCTTGACGAGACTTGAGATCTTCAAGATACTTTTCTTGATCACCGTAAGACTCACTTTTTCGATGTCAGGATCACTGTTGACTGTCCAAGATTGCCGTTTTCTCCACCATACCATGGGACTCATATTTGATACGCAACCGCATCTGGTCTTATCCAGCGGACGCAGTTGTCGGACTCACAATATTTGATATTCCCGTGGAGGAGGTATTTTTCTTTGTCATCCAGACTTACTGCACGAGCTTGCTTTATGTTATACTCACTAAGCATCTGGTGCTTCCGGCTTATTTGCTCCCAAGGTCGGGTGATTTCACGAAAACCGCTAGACCCATAATGTTTTTGGCTGGAATTGGTATCGGCGTGATGTTCATCTCGAATCATCTGACCTATCTCCGGCTCATATTACTATGGGCCCTTCCTGTGTTGACCCTTCAATTGTGAGACTTTACGGAGAGCTTTACTTATTTTGTGAGACTGTGAATGCTAACGAGGCTAACCACTAGGATACTTTGTGGCGACTTTCTACTCGCTTTACCGAAAAGACCTATCCTTGCGTCCATTTTATTGCCTACCTTCTATCTATGGATAGTGGACTTTTTCTCGCTTCAACGCGGCACATGGGTGATTGCACCCGAAACTAAGGTGGACATTCGGTTTGGGGGTTCACTGGACTTGGAGTATGTTTTGACACATGTCAGTTCACGGAAGTCTCTAAAATCATTTTCGTTGCCATTTAGGGAGGCGATCTTCTTTCTTGTCAGCAACATGCTGGTCGTCTTCGGCCTAGTGACAGTGGACCACGCCATTGCGATACAGGAGCACGACACAATGATTTCCAGCCAGGACGAACCCCATTCTCCCTCATTCACCCGAATTGCCTGGTTGTATATCACCAGTCAAACGAGCCCTTATGACGTTTCCTTCCTCGAAGGATTGTCTGCAGCCATCAACAAATTGGCCCAAAAGAGTCAGAGCATGTACCTTGGCAGCGCAATGTTCCAGGATAGGCTCCGTATCGATCTCATTCTCCTGTCAGAAGTTTCCGACCTCTATTGATCCAGATAAATATCATGCTGACTTTCTTATAGGTACTCGTTTTGCCGGGTGATTGACGACTTGGTAGACGAAGCCCCTGACCGTGAAACAGCTCAAGCGAACATCAAGGAAGCATCTCAAGTTTTGCATTGGCGCTTTTCTACTAAGCGGCCCACAAAGCCCCTCTATGACTATCTGGAAGTCGAAAAGAACCCCGATCGAACCGGCGTTCTATCACCATTGCTGTCCTCCATTGCGCTGTTGCCTGCCTCTCGTCTCACCCTGAAACCACTGCTTGAACTCCTGTCTGGGTTTGAAATGGATCTCCAATTTTCTACTGAAAAACAGGAATTCCCAATTGCGTCAGAAACAGATTTGGAATTGTACGCCCATCGTGTCGCGGGCACCGTCGCGGCGTCTCTTCTTGAACTAGTTTTCAGCCACTATGAAATGGGCGAAAGAAAGTACGATCGCGCTCAACAAGAGAGAATCATCCAAGCTGGTCAGCGCATGGGTCAGGCTTTACAGTACGTTAACATTGCCCGCGATATAAAGCGCGACGCAGCGATCGGCCGTGTGTATATTCCTTCTTCATGGCTCGCAGAGGAGAAACTCGCCCCGAGCGATGTTCTGTCAAACTCGGATGATGCCCGTCTTGCCGTATTCGAAGATCGCATGCTCTGCAAAGCGAAGAACGCCTATGAATTAAGCGTAGGTGCAATTTATGAGTTGCCCTACGAGGCGCGGGGCCCTATCCGGACAACGGTTGAAAGCTATATGATGATTGGGGAAATGGTTCGGAAAAGGCGGCGAGCGGGGATCGAGGAGGATGGAAAGTTGAAAGTGCCTCTGTGGCGTCGGCTAAGGCTCGCATGGTGGGAGATGTATGTCAGTCAATAATAGGCCTAAATCTCTTCATGAAGCATCGGGTTGAGATAATCTTGCGATTTTCACCAGATTGGCCAAGTGAGGGAAAACTGAAAATTTAGCAAACAATACGAGTATTGAGGTGAATACCCGGAGCTCAATCAATGCAACCGGTGCCGGCGTCTGCAAAATCTAGGAAAATCAAGGAACTGTAGCTTTAATACAAGGCAGCCCTGCTAGTGTCAAATTCCTGGCCCAGGGGAGGCCCTTAATAATCGGGGGCTGGTGGGTTTGGTGCCCCTACCAACAATCTCTTCCTAGCAGCAAGGGGATACACTCTTATCTCCGATACATCTCCTGCAAATTGTAACTTCTCCAAATCCCGATCTGCCAGTAGACTAAAAAACCCACAGCCGCGATGAAATACACTACATTTACCAGATCGGGAAATGTGGGGCCCGAGAAGTACGCATCAATCGTTACGAGGGATCGGTCACCTGCCATGGTGCAGTCTCGACCTGTTTTGATTCATCTTTCTTCCATTTTCGAACGGTTCAACTTGAGAATCTCACATCTGGGCTGAGTTTGAAGCAAAATGGACCCTCCAAGCGCCATTGTAGTGGGTGAGTTGATCACACCATCCATCGACCGCCAAACACTTGTTCACATCTTCTAGGAGCTGGAGCTGGAGGAATAGCCACGGCTGCTCGCTTAGCAAAGGCTGGATACAACGTCACTGTTGTCGAAAAGAATGGGTTTCTAGGAGGCCGATGTTCACTCGTTCATCATGAAGAATATGTGTGTTTTGTTTTCCTGCCCGTTGCATCCATCATTCTAACAATGCCTTAAGAGGTTTGACCAAGGTCCATCCCTCTTGTTGATGCCAGAGGTCTTTTACCAGACCTTTCGTGATCTCGATACGTCGCCTGAACAAGAGAATCTTCGATTCCTCAAATGCGAGCCCAATTATCGAATCTGGTTCTCGGATCATGATCACTTAGAACTGTCGACTGATTTATGCAAGTTAAAGCCTCAAATAGAGCATTATGAGGGTAAAGAAGGCTTGCAAAATTTCTTCGGATTTTTAAGAGAGTCTGGCCGACATTATGATCTCTCTATGGAACATGTCTTGTCAAAAGACTTTCCAGACCTTTTGGCTATGCTACGGCCGAAACTACTGGTGTCATTGCTTTCTTTGCATCCGTTTGAAAGTATGTGGAGCCGTGTCCAACGACATTTTAAGTCCGATAAGCTTCGACGTGCCTTTACATTTGCCAGCATGTACCTTGGCATGAATCCCTTTGAGGCCCCTGGAACATATTCCCTGCTACAGTATACGGAGCTAGCACATGGTATATTTTATCCCGAGGGCGGATTTGTGAAGGTTAGTACTTCTGTGTATTGGTTATTTTATCTTTAATTAGCTTATCGTTACAGGTTCTAGAAGCTTTGGCCGATGTTGGAAAGCGGTTGGGCGTGAAGTACCGCTTAAACACTGAAGTCTCATCAGTTATTTATTCTTCGGAAAGCAAAACACGTGGCATACGGCTTAAATCAGGTGAAGAGCTTCTCGCCGACGTTGTCGTCATCAACGCAGACCTTGTTTATGCCTACAGCAATCTCCTGCCTCCTACCTCTTACTCTCGAAGCTTGACCAAACGCCTAGCATCCTGCAGCAGCATATCATTTTTTTGGTCCTTTGATAGAGTAATTCCGGAGTTACAGGTACATAACGTCTTCTTGGCAGAACAATACAAGGAGAGCTTCGATGCCATATTCCATCGCCATCAACTACCCGCCGAGCCATCATTCTATGTCAATGTCCCAAGCCGGATTGATCCAACTGCAGCTCCTAAAGGGAAAGATACAGTGGTGGTATTAGTACCTGTCGGCCACCTCGTGGACGATCCCTCAAATCCTCAAGACTGGGATGCTTTGGTAAAACATGCTCGCGAAGTCGTTTTCAAAACAATCGAGTCTCGAACGGGGTGCTCGCGATTGCGTGACAGCCTGCTTCATGAATCAATTGAGACACCTACCAGCTGGGAAACGAAGTTTAATCTCGATCGCGGTGCAATTCTTGGTCTTTCGCATTCATTTTTCAATGTTCTGAGCTTTAGACCCAAGATCAAGCACGCTGACATCCGGGGGTTGTATTTTGTCGGTGCAAGCACACATCCTGGGGCAGGGGTTCCTGTGAGTTTGTCCAGTGCCAAGATCGTGAGTCAAAGCATAATAGGGGACTTGTCTGGGAAACGGAGTCCCGACGAACATCGTGGTCGGATGGTACTTTGGTTTATGTTACCGTTGCTGGTTTTGTTTCTTTGCTATCTGATTCCATATTTACTGGAGAAAACGTAATAGTCGATCGTGTACTAGCAATAAATGGGTGCAACTGGCACATGAGTCAAAATATAATCGGCAAAAATAACTCTATACATCGTACTCCAAAAAAGTCTTGCACAACGCAAAGGAAAGAATAAAAGCTCAATTTTCGGAGTCGGTAGATGCAGATTACTCATTCTCATGCTTGCGGAAGAGCGACCCTGACATCGAAAAGCTAACTTCGAGGAAATTGTAGCTCAAATCCATAGCCAGCGGAACACGTAATATCCGAGGATATTATGTTAGCTTTCGCGGGCTGGTCACCAGCCGAAAGAAATGTCTGCCAGGCAATTCCTATAGTCCTTTCAGGAGATGAATCAGTAGCTGCAAAGGCCGAGGAAAAGTTGATGGGAGCACTTTCACTAACGGAATATGAGGAGCTCGAGCCGCCAAAAGTGTGAGTACCAATGCAGACCGCATGTTCTTCAAGTGCTAAATTAGACGCCTCACCCAAGTACTAGATAACTGCGCCGGGCTGGGGGAAGCGGATATCTCCACCTTCATTGGCGGTGCGGCCATGGACATTGGCAACAAAAATGGGCAGGAAGCTAGATGATCGCTTCTCGGCAAACAGAGCTTCCTTCTCCCCGGATAATTTGGCCGAACCTTAGATACCGCTAGCCTGGGTAAGTATAGACAACAATCTACGGGCAATACTTCCCATGGAGGTATAAAATAATCGGGCAAAGCAAAGACACCCCGATAGATCCAGTGTAAACACTACGGTACAATAGGGAGCGACTGGCAAATTCGGCCGATGGGTTTGTATTTCTCGTGACCAATTTATCAAGGGGTTTTCGCTTATGCTGAAGGTCCCAGAAGAATGCTCATCCTATGGACAAAAAAATCTGCTGGCCGCATTGTCATAAGCTGAGCCCGTGCTTGCAGAGAGAGTGTGTGTTTTCCCAGGGGCTTTCCCTTGCAAGGAAAAGACCCACCCTCACCTACCTAGTTAAATCGTTCATGATGCTCACACGTCATCTTAATATTAACAGCATGTTTTTGTACCTGTGTACCTAGAACCGTAATATGGCTGATCACCACGCTGCCCATATCGTAGCCAAACTTCCCACTCATCGAAAACTCCCCGCTGTGGTAATCGAAGTTGATTAACGACGTATGTTGTTGTTCAATGCTGTCACCGTCGTCGAGATACAACGTGCCCGACGCCTGGCCCGATGCATCGGGAGCAATCACAATTTCAAAATCTTGCTGACGCAGTTGTGTCGTCGTATTGACAGACGCGACACGCTGCGGGATGATGCTGCCTCCTTTGTAGTACAGAGGTACAGTGTCATACCCGATATCAGTCAGTGTGACAGTGTTACCTTGTCCATGGACGGGAGCACCGGTGAAAAAGTTGTAGAAGAGGTCGTCGGGCATGTACATAGATACTGTAGTAGAATTCTCCTCCGTGACAGGCGCCACCATGATGCTCGATCCCCAGAAGAACTGGTATGGCAGGTCCACCGTGTTGCTATCTTGGGGGTATTCGAAGAACATCGGATTTATCATCGGCGCACCTGTCTGTGTTTGCATCCACATGGCAGTGTAGGTGTAGTCGAGCAGGCGGTAGCGAATGTCAATGGCCGCTCTGGCGGCGGCAGCAGTCATAGGAGTCCGGTAGAACTCATGCGGCGGTGTACCAATCGACTGATGATCCCGGAAAAAGGGCGAGAAAGCGCCAAGGAAGATCCAGCGAGAGCAGAGAGTATCAGTTGTCACACCAGCATAGCCGCAGACGTCGCTGCCCACCATGGGTATCTGGTAGAGCGCGGCGAATTCTTGCAGCTCGGCAATTGTCCAGCGGTAGTGGTCCCAATCAGCGTTATTATCTCCCAGCCAGTGCCCAACCTTACTGCCAGCGCCGGCGAAGGTGGATCGCGTGATACTATTCGCACATTAGTAGACGATTTCACTACTTTTCATGCAGACACACGTACACTAGTGGCCGCACGGACGGCCTCCGGTTAAGCATAGCGTCGCGGCTAGTAGCACTCATCATGCTGCCGTAGAAATTGTGTGTATCGTACAGTTTGAGACCATTAGAATGAGTGAGGTCCGTCCGGATCGTCAAGTTGCTGATCGACCCGGCAGTGTTGTTGATATGGTATGGAGGATTGATCAGGTTCCTTCCAGGTAGGCCTAGCATGGGGCCAGCTCGTTTCTGAAGGACATCGTCAATCGCTGGGGAGGTTACGATGGGGATTAAACGAGAGCTAGGAGACCTCCTTTGTGGCCCAGAGCTTGTGGTAATGTTGTCAGAGACCGTCTGCACACCATCGTCACAATCACCTGTGGTAAGTGTGCGGTTTTTGCTCTCATAGATCCAGCTGCCGTTTGACTCCCTACGAACATATTCATAGGTGAATGTTTCATTGTCAGGCATCTGCACGGTAACCTCCCACTCTGGGTAGTTGTCTGCGCTCATAGCAACAGCATTGTGAATGTCTCCTTCTCCCAAAGTAGGGGAGCTTCCAAGAATATAAATATCTTCTCCAGAATATGTCTCTGCGTGCACATTGAATGAAACTGAGGCGACACATGTGGGCTGGAAATTCGGCCCGAACCCCGAAATAGGCCGTGGCGGCGATAGGCGAACAGCGGGAGGATTGGGGGGGTCATCGTTTTTTTGCGCAAACGCCTCTGGGTTTGCGCACGGCCAGTCACAGAAGTTTGAGGCTTCATTCATGTCAATCCATAGTGCGTCAATGTCAACGCCACTGTCTGGGTCAAAAAATGTAGAGAACTGGCCATTCCAGTATCCTTGCGTCTTGGGGGCAAACCAATCAGGAAATGCAGTAACGCCAGGCCAGACGACACCTTGATAGATTGATCCGTTTGGATTAGTCAGGAAGGCGCCGTCCTGGACGCCGTCCTCGAATGGAGGGTAGTCAGCGTAAGCCACGGCCGGGTCGACCATAACGATATAGTGCTGGTTATGACTGTGCAGGTAGGAAACGACTTCGCGAACGAGGTGTAGAGGGTAGCGGAGAGGGTCCAACGTGAACACCTTTCTTAGGTCCATGTAGTCTATATAATCTCTGAGCCTGAGTCTGAAAAACAAGGGTCATGCAGTCATATGACATACCGATGTCTGTCCACTGCGTCTCAAGCGGGATATTGGCTGCACTATAGTTGGCAATGACCTCGGCTACCTCATAGATATCCTGGTAGCCATATCTGCAGTTATGGAAGCCAAACCCCCAGTACGGCATCATGACGGCCTTGCCAACAACCTCGGAATACTGAACTGCCACATCTTTCGGAGTCGGACCCGCCAGAAAGTAGAAGTCGAGAACCCCACCCAAGGTGTTGTATTCAAGGTATTGACCATCAGAATCTTGGTTAATCTTGATATCCATTCCATTGCTGTTTAACAGAAATACCCCGTGCGTGCCCTGGCGGCCACGGTGGTCAAAGTAGATGGGATGATTGCCATACAGATTGGTATATTGAGGGGTGAGATAGGCATCGCGAGACCAGAGTGTGCGCATATAGTCATCGGTCTGCAGGCGGAAGGGATCAGTACTCTCCCCCAGGCCATAAAGATTAGGCGAGTCCGGCAAGCTTGTGCGCAGCCGGAGATATTGCGACTGAAAGATTAAGGCATGACCGAATGTGTCAAAAAGAACCTCGCCTGTGGATCTGCGGGTCACTTTGAACGAGAATGGATTCTGCTCGACGGAGACGTTTAAGTCTGACATCCATGGATCGACGTTTGTTCTCTTGGGAGGTGTTAGGACTGAGGTGGGAACCTGGTAGACCTGTTCGGCTACATCGTAAATCTTGACATGGACTCGGGACTCTGCCTCGACTGTCAGTGACGGGAACACAGCAATAAATCTCGTTGGGCCCTGCATCCTACCGGTCTGATACTCAATTTCCAATTTAAGATTGTCCAAATCGGTGCCATACACATTGCAGGCTGTTCCAGCAAGTGTGAGATCAGCGCCGACAACGACGCCATGCTGTGTCTTCACATTGCTCGCTTGATATCCTGGACACGCTGCTGTGCCATCATGAGCCGCCAATACGGCAACATCAGCACACAGCACAAAACTGGCAACTGTTGCTAAATAACTCCTCATAATGCGGTCTAGTTGAAGATAAGATACGATCGACCATGCCTGTTGAAGGCGCATGGAGCTGGCCGCCTAAATACTTACTCCATCTTTGCCGTCCTCCCTAAAGAAACGAGAGGCGGGGTTGGGGAAGCCCATCAAGGATAGAGTTTACTCCGTATACCACGTTATTTCCCCGACTGAATGTTTACAACCCGCTAATTGTCCGAGACCGAATCGGACGTGACCCACCCGGTGGAGACTGTCGGGGTCTACCGCTCCTTGCTTCAAACCCAACAATAGAAATCCCCAGAAAGCCCCAAATTTCCTGCGAGTAGAATCCCCGGTATTCCCCAGAGCTTAGAGGCCGGCTTCGTGTCCCCTGATTCCCTCATAGTAGTCCGAGAACTTTGACATTGCATCACTCATGTCATTTTTTGTACTATAAACTAGAGAGAAAACAATCACCGATGAAGCCGCCTTCGGGAGCCTGGTAAACCTTAGGTCCCCCCCCCCCGGCTTCCCCTCGGTTTTTATGTTTGCATAGTCCTTAGTGCTGTATGCACCGCCTTTTGTTATTGGGGAGGGGGTGTAGGCTCCACGATTCCCACTACCATAGTTATCCTCCCATAACCAATCATAGACGAGTCTGTGAACTATAGTATTCTATAATCCTGATTTCCAATGCCAAAATGGGTCTTATGCGTAAAATATGGCCCCACTTCGCAATCAAAAATGCCCAGCGAAGGGGGTCGGGCATTTATCGGGTGATCGACCAATAACCACCACAGATTCCTCATCTTCACAACTCTCACAACACGATGTAAATAAACACTTATCCTCTGCTAGAACTGCGCTCGCTGGGTCTAAGCTTATTTTCGCAGTCATGAAATACGTATTAGCCACTCTTAGTGTACCTCGGATGGAAAGTGGTAGGAACTATAATGATCGTCCTCGTAATCCAGACTCATTGAGGCTCACGCATCCCGTAAAGTATCTACCTATATATTAGCTGAGGAATGTGGTGATATATATAGCGCGTCCCCGCTAAATAAGGGAATTTATTTGGAAATTTTGATGCGTGTTGCCTATTGGGAGCCTTTAGCATAGATTGATTGCACACCTAAATAAGTAGGAAGTCAAGGAAAGTCTCGCATATCTAAAACAAATCCAGAACTTCTTCCTCAATCTCCACTTCTGTTATCTTCGGATTATTTTATTGGGAATGTCGGTGAAGGTTCGATCGTACTTTTTGTTCCGTTAAGAACGGCGAAGCCGTCTAGAAATTGACCGTCCAAAGGAGTATTCCGTCATCATCCTCCCTCATCTTTGTCCAATCACAAAAGCCTATTTTCCCTCAGTGAGTGAAAACATTAAATACACCCAGGTTTTCAGCCATCTATTTTGTATCGTTCATTGGTATAATGCCGCTTGGTTATCTGTTTCCCTGGGGTGGTTTGTGTTAGAGCTCGGTTGGGCCGATCAGACGTTCTTCGGGGTAGTGCTGAATATTACGGATATGAATGCACTAGTCAATTTTCAGTTCTCATAATCGTCGTTCCTCTTTCCTGTCATGTCTGGTTTCAACACATACATATTCGACCGTGTTAAGCTGGCTGCATTCTAGTTCACGGGACAATACTTGCGCTATTTTCTGCGACTCGATCATCCCTGCGGTAAGGAAGTGACTGTGATCCTAAATTTACATTATTTTCAACACCTTGAATCACTCCCTATATTGATAGCATTCAATTGGCTCTCAAAATCATATATCACATCGCCACCAAGACTGCAACAGCCCAAGGTGCCATAGTAACCGAATAATTCCCATGATCGCCCTTCAACTTCGTGGTCACCGGCAACACTGTCACATTGTAAGGTTGGTTTCCTTCATTTTGGGAGCCAGACAGCATCTCCAATCTCCCTGACTCAGTCTTCGGAATGCTGACAGTGACATTCTGCTCATCAGATGCGTAGTTTGCGAGCTTCACGTAGTACTTCGAATCTGTCTTCGTAGCCACCCAGTAAAGCGGACCAAAGTCTGCTGTTGAGTTCACTGGAAGAACTGTGTTGCCCTTGTTGGATGAGAACATTTTTTGCACGTAGTAGGACGTTGAGGGGGTGATTGACTCGGGACTTGAGTTGAAGCCGTACATGGTGGGCTGTGGGAAGAATTAGTACCGGTCATCGAGATTATCCTTGTTGGTAGAAATACTTACCGACCACGATATGAATCCAAAATGCTCCAATAGCGGCGCATAAGCTGCCATTTGCACGATATCGCTGTTTCGTTCCATGCCAATCATATAGACAGCTTCGCTGCAGCTGCCCTGCATGAAGGACCAGTAGTCACCGAGAGCACTCGATGTATTCCGACACCCGTATTCACCGACCATGACTGACTGGTTCCGGGGCTGATTGTCGAATTGATTGAACAGAGCGACGAAGTCGTCCGGCTGACGATATAAATGCAGATCGATTATGACATTCTCTGGAAGTGCCGGCGGCAGACACGAGTAGTTGCCATTAGAAGCAACGAGCGCGATGTTTGGGTACTTGTCGTGTATCGCATTGTAGATCTGGGTGAAACGATCCGGATAAGTGTCACATCCACCGGTGAGATCATCTTCATTGCCAATTTCCACATAGTCGATTTTCCAAGGCTCTTTGCGACCATTCTGAACACGCATCTTCCCGTATTGGGTCTCCTCACTTCCAAAAAGATATTCCATCTCGTTCATGATGTCCTCAACAAAGGGATCAAGATCAGACCCAGACACAATGCCGCCGTAGGATTTTCCAGCCCAGACTGCCAGGAGTGGTGCCATCTTCATATCTTCGCACCACCACAGGTACTCATCCAGGCCAAGCGCATCCGTGTTTGGGTAGAACCAGTCACTTTCTCGGCCGGGCCGGTCGACTAGAGGCCCAATTGTAGTGTTCCACTTCCATCTTGTGTCGATCTCCAAGCCCTCGATATTATTTCCGCCGGGGAACCGAAGAAAGGTGGAATTAACGCGCGAAAGAACTGTCGCCAAATCATCTCGTAATCCGTTCTCTCGGTCCTGATACGTTGGTGGGAATAACTGTATGTAGCCAAAGTTCAATGAACTACCGGCCGCTTTGGACCCATCCAAAGTCAAATGCCACTCATTATCCCCATTCGGAGATGCACTGGAGTTGAATGACGTTTTAAATTGCTTGAACGCCGAGTCGGTGCTCTCAACAGTGAGGTTGTGGTCGGCATACACAATACCACTCTGAGATCCGATGAGTTTCAAGTTGATAGTCCCCGAATATTTTCCATTCATCCAAAATGAACTTTTATACGTGTGATTCATGACCGGGATCCCCATGTATCCGGTGTTTGCAAAGCCAACGTATTCTGTAGCGTTGTCCGGCACTGAGACCTTAAGGGAAGACGTGATCGCGTCGCTCACGGGGTTTAATGTGTCCTGAGAGATCTCGGTATTTCCAACCGGTGCGTAGGAAGTCATTCCCAGGCTTGTGCCTTGGAAGCCGTTATTTTGGAGCAGTTGTCCATGGATACCACCATCGCCTGGATAAGCTATTGTTAGTGCTCATGCACTAGCTTCATGGTATTCAACATACCGGAATGATCCATTTCCTGGTGGTTTTCACCAATTAGTATTTCAATTTGATTCAAGTAGCAGCCACAATTAAGTTACCTCAAACATCACCCCAAACAGCAAAGGGCTCGACTTATTCCCTCCCTCTCTCGCAACCGTCAATGTCACCGGCTCGGAGCTAGTGCCATTCCTTATCGCCTGCGCAATGCCGATCGCTAAGCCGAGGCACAGGTATGCGACACATCCTGGCCTCATTTTGTCTCAAGATTCATGTATCCAAAGTGATGAGGGCGTGTGAAGAGTGAAAGAGTTCCTGCAGGAGACATGGAGCCTAAATCACCGCACCGAACGATTCCTGGAAAGGCACCTGACGTAGATTTCAAGCCCAGTTCACTGTATCCATTACCCTTCAACGGGTTCTTAATGGAGGAGACAGGACCTTATTTTGTGGGGACGGAAACTAGATTGCTTGAAGGTCGCATTACAAGCTTTCTCCATTGGTCCTGTCATTGATCTCCAAAGACAATCCGCTATTTTCCATGTTTCTGGATCAACTAATCGTAGGAGATACTACACTGTAGAATGCGTAGACCGTTGCTACCTGGGTGCAATACGGCACGTTTGAAGTCATGACGTAGATCATAATTTCATCCAGCAACCACACCTAATGGAGCGGGGATTGTCCAATTAGAAAAAATACTAAGGTAGCACAACGTCGCTCGATAGCGCTTTTGAGAGTTAACTTGTCGTTATAATTTAGAAAGGAAAGATGGTAAAGTTCGTTGGTGAGCGGCTCAAGTCCGAACGTGCCGAGAATATGCAAAGGTGCCGCCGCCGAGAATCCCTAGCGCAAATTAGCAATTGCTATGTATCACAAGATGCATGAGTAGGCAACTGATATTTGGACATATTACGCTAAATATAAATTCCATCTGCGATCGCAATCCGAAGATCCAAGACACTTCTCATGGCTTGTGTTGATCAATCACATTGTGTTCCGGAAGATGATAGCGATGCCGAAGCCGTTCGGGACGCCGTTTGCCCCACATCACCGTCTCGACTCCAACTGCCAATGATAGACAGCTCTCAACTGTGTTTCCATAACTTTAGTCATTTTCGTGCAAATGAAGAAATACTAAATTATCTACTCAAGCTTTGACTGCCTCTGGTTGCATGGGATGGTATCCCAACTGTCGAAGCATACCATGCCTCTTGCGTTCCGGAACTATGAACCCGCTTAACTCCGGATCTCCGGGTTTATATTGCATACCCCTTGCTCTCACTACCTCGCGTGTGTTTCCTTTTAATACCACAACATACCAAAAGCGCCATGGAGAAAAAATTCCATTTTTCTAATGGGATCTCTCCAGATGAGGTCTCCAAGAAACTTATTCGTCGCCAAGAGTAGTTCGGTTAGATTTCATTACAAGAATAGTATTTGGGTAATGGTTCGAACTCACCCATGACATGAGGATGATACAGTAAACACACATGCGCCACTCTTTGCCCACCATGGACTGAGTCTTCTTCCAGAACTCAGCCGCGCTTGCGTTTCGCTTGCCGGCTTTCTTGGCCTCGAGGAACTGCTTCGACTCTGGGAATGCAATACGCAGAAGACCAATTCCAATAGAAATACCGGCTAAAGGATGCTAGTTTAGCGCTGCATCATTCGATTATGTACTGCTTACTTACCTGCAATCCAAAACACCGTTTCCAGCTATCCGTTGAGCCACCAACGCCAAGATTGGCACAGGCGGCGAACACATAACCCAGAGAGTATCCTTGCTGTAGGATCCCGGACATGAGGCCACGAGCATTGACACTAGGTGGAAAGCACATTAGTCTGAACATTTTTCATCGCAAGGTTAAGCACTTACGGGCAATGCTCTAACGCCATGGCAATAGCATTTCCATACACTCCTCCCATAAAGAGACCAAAGAGGCTGCGTACTGCTAAGAACTCCTGAAAGGTATGGCTATAGATGGTGGCAACTTGTAACACTCCAAGAACGATCATGCTCACCACCATTGGCCACTTACGGCCATACCTGTCCCCCGCCAGCCCGAAGAGAGCAGCACCAACGCTTCTGAGGAGGAGGGTAAGAGTGATGGCGGTGTTCACGTCTGTCTTGGATCGGTTGTAGTAGTCAGAAAGCTTCTTGGTCTGAATAGAGAGCGCATGGAAGTCAAAAGCATCGGCAGTCCATGCCGCTAGTCCGTCCAAGAAAAAGAGCCAGTCTCGAGCGGAGAGTTGAGCCATCAGACTGATGGGGTTCTTAAGGGGCTCTGGCGACTGCCATTCTGCGTGAGTCTCGCTGAAACCGTTGACTACTTCAACGCGTTGTTTCCAGATGAAGAGATCCTTGAAGAATTGTACGGCGGTGGGTAGAATACCTTTGGCGATTGGTTCTACCCTTTCATTTGAAGACATCGTTCGGAAGATGTAGACAGATGTTTGTGGGAGCTGTAGAAAGAAGATTCGGTCTTCGACACAAGATATGATATTCGAGAAAAAGAGGGCACAGTCTTCTCGGCTCTGTCTTTTTTCATAGCCCGAATGGATGTATTTCTGAGAAGGTTATTCCACGACAAAAGAGACAAAGAAATCGAGTTAATCCTGTATCCTCCGCCTCGGATCATGACCCCGATCCACACTGTCTATTTATATGCGCTCTAGTACCGTACAACCCCGCATCGTCCGTCCGCATCGTCTTCGTGGTCTATAACGATGTACCGATAACCCCAGACAGGTCCCGAAAGACCACGCGGGGGTATACCACTCCGCTGGCAGGCCAAGATGGTGCCAAGCATCTCGGCCATCCGTGCCCCTCCAATACCTGTATGCCATATGATATGTATCCCGCATAACGATCTTGGATGATGGCTTAGCGCGGGGAGAGGCTGACCCCGAGATCCTTTCGGCCTTGGCTGCCCTGGGGAAGAGATGGTCGATTGGGCGATATTGGGACCTCGGTGTTGGAGAGCCAATGGTGCGAGCATCATTCGACATGGAATAAATTCAAAACAGGCGTCTGTGAAAGCCACAGACCCGTCACAGCGAACGTTGTCCGATAGAGAGGTTGGAGAAGGGCCAAGATCTTCCAATGGCGCTTTGGGAGCAGGCAGTATCAAGACGTAGGCTCAGAGCGCCACCGGGGGAAGCAACGTTGACCCATTTTTGCCGGGTTGTAAGTAACTTAGATATTCAAAATGCCATCGAGCCTCATCTCATTTGATATGCATACACAAGCTGTTTTATGGAACCAACTTCGCGTGGCCTACAGGGGCGCGGAGGTGAGGCGAGTGGAATGCCTGCCAAGAGGGTACAAAAGTCCCACGTCCCCCTATCACTGCAAAGGATCCGATGCCAGGTGGCAAGCAGGGGAATTGGATCTAGGTATGTATATCATAGTAGATGAGCCTATATCGGATCACCTTTATTAATGCTCCGAGCTCAACATCTCGAACTCCAGGAGATGGAAATGGGTGGCATGTACAGGCCTGTCTGGTGGATCCGCCATTGAGAAACGTACACAAACCTTGAAACACCTTCCCGAGCGTGTTTCACTACCTGGACCGCAAGTTAATCATGTAGAGTACCTCCTGGTGCATTGCTCAAATGATCTTCCTGGAAATTGTCCAAAGGGGACTTGTCAGTGACTCGCCAATATCCATCCGCGTGGAATGAGGATAGTTGAAGGGGAATTGCTGCGGAAGAGACGCGAAGTACTGGAATCGAGGCTCTGGTGACAGTATATGACAGCCGTCATGGAATCTTTGCCCAGGGAAATTGAACCTAGGTAAAATACGCATCAATGTGCGTCGTAGCTGAGAAAGCATCCCTCATCTCGTTCGAGATATTTCTGCAGTGTACTGCATCTCCTCATTCAATGACGCAGCCCCGTGCCCCTGTCTCACGTGACGCCCCATAAGCGACACCTCAGCAACGACAACAGCGGACCTCCTGAGGTCACTTCCGCTTCTTCAGATTCCCTACCCCCTCACTGTCTTCCCCCCATCTTCTCCTTCTTTACTGGTTCTCTTCTTATCACTCCTTCTCCTTTCAAATTCGGTTTCCTTGCGTGGCGTTTCCTTAGGTGGTCAAGGTCGTGCTGCGGCCTAAGTAAATATGGCACCGCTGCCTATCAAGTTCACAGAACTGGTCAATGTACGTCGCGCTTCACTTGCTTGCGATCTTTTGGATCTTGAATACTGATGGCTGACTCCTCTGCAGTTGACCAATGTTGGCATCTCGGTATGTCTCACCTCTCTCGCCCTCCTCTGAATAGCGGCTTCGCGACCAGCTGCCGATGCGCGACGGATACCCCGGTCGCGCCGGAAAACTGCCCCAAGCCATCCAGACTCCTTACTGATATCTGCTCCGCGCTCTAGCCAAACTCCATCGGCTTCAACCAATGTGTGAGTGATCAATTCCTTAGACCAAACAAGCGGTGATCAGGACACGGCTAATGAAGCACCATCGCGTAAACAGACTCTCGAATCCGACCACTATGTCTGCGTTCGCCAGAAACTCGACGAGGATGATAAGCCACAAGTCATCATTGTTGACTTGAAAAACAACAATGAGGTCATGCGGCGGCCGATCAATGCCGACAGTGCGATCATGCACTGGAGCAAGAACATCATCGCTCTCAAGGCTCAAGGCCGAACAATTCAGATCTTCGACCTCCAGGCGAAGCAAAAGCTGAAGTCGGCCGTTATGAACGAGGATATTGTGTATTGGAAGTGGTTCAGCGACAAGTCTCTGGGTCTCGTCACGGACAACTCCGTCTACCACTGGGATGTCTACGATGCCACTCAGCAGAACCCGGTCAAGATGTTCGATCGTCTTCCCAACCTGTCTGTATGTGCGCCCCGTGTTCAATGGATTTATGCGAGTCTCAATTGTGCTAATTGAAATTCGTGCTATTTTTAGGGGTGCCAAATTATCAATTACCGCGTCAATTCCGAGGAGAAATGGATGGTTTTGGTCGGTATCAGTCAACAGCAGGGTCGTGTTGTGGGATCGATGCAACTCTACTCGAAAGAGCGCGGGATCTCCCAGTCCATTGAGGGCCACGCTGCTGCTTTTGCCGACATTAACGTTGAGGGCTCTCCTCTACCCCACCACCTTTTCACCTTCGCCGTCCGAACCCCGACCGGTGCCAAGCTTCAGATTGCCGAGATCGACCACCAAGAACCGAACCCGCGATTCCAGAAGAAGGCCGTGGAGGTGTACTTCCCCCAGGAAGCTGTCAATGACTTCCCTGTGGCGATGCAGGTTTCCACCAAGTACGACGTGGTTTACCTTGTCACCAAGTACGGGTTCATCCACCTCTATGATCTCGAGACCGGTACATGCATTTTCATGAATCGTATCTCCAGCGAGACGATTTTCACGACTGCTGCGGATACTGACGGTGCGGGCCTGGTTGGTGTCAACCGCAAGGGTCAGGTACTCGCGGTCAGTGTCGACGAGAGCACGATTATTGACTACTTGATGAACAATCCCGCCATGTCGGGTCTTGCCGTTAAGCTTGCCTCCAGGGCCGGACTTCCCGGGGCCGATCACCTTTACCAGCAACAATTCGATACACTCATCAACTCGGGCAACTTTTCCGAAGCCGCCAAGGTCGCTGCCAACTCTCCCCGCGGATTCCTTCGTACCCCCGAGACTATCAACCGCTTCAAGAACGCCCCTCAGACCGGTCAGATGTCGGTCATCTTGCAGTACTTCGGTATGCTACTTGACAAGGGCTCATTGAACCGATACGAGAGTGTGGAGCTGGTTCGCCCTGTGTTGCAACAGAACCGCAAGCACCTGCTGGAGAAGTGGATGGGCGAGAACAAGCTGGAGTCCTCCGAGGAGCTCGGAGACATTATTCGGCCTTACGACATGCCTCTGGCTCTGAGCGTTTACCTTCAGGCCAACATCCCCCATAAGGTTGTTGCTGGTTTCGCCGAGACTGGCCAATTCGACAAGATCCTCGAGTACTCCAAGCAAGTGGGTTACCAGCCCGACTACACCCAGCTCCTGCAGCACATCGTACGGGTGAACCCCGAGAAGGGTGCGGAGTTTGCTACCCAACTTGCCAACGAGGAGAGCGGTGCCCTTGTTGACCTCGACCGGGTTGTGGATGTGTTCCTGTCCCAGAACATGATTCAGCAGGCCACTTCCTTCCTGCTGGATGCCCTGAAGGACAACAAACCTGAGCAGGGTGCCCTGCAGACCCGGCTCCTGGAGATGAACCTTGTCAACGCCCCTCAGGTTGCGGACGCTATTCTGGGCAACGAGATCTTCTCCCACTACGACCGCCCTCGCATCTCGCAGCTTTGCGAGAATGCCGGTCTCATCCAGCGCGCCCTGGAGAACACTGACGACCCGTCCGTAATCAAGCGCAACATTGTCCGCACTGACAAGCTGACCCCCGAGTGGTTGATGAGCTACTTCGGCCGTTTGTCTGTTGAGCAAACCCTTGAGTGTTTGGACACCATGCTTGAGGTGAACATTCGCCAGAACCTGCAGTCCGTTGTCCAGGTCGCTACCAAGTTCTCTGATCTGCTTGGTGCCAACCGTCTCATCGATCTCTTCGAGAAGTACCGTACTGCCGAGGGTCTCTACTATTACCTTGGCAGCATTGTCAACCTTAGCGAGGACCCTGAGGTGCACTTCAAGTACATTGAGGCCGCCACTGCCATGAACCAGATCACCGAGGTCGAGCGTATTTGCCGTGAGAGCAACTACTACAACGCTGAGAAGGTCAAAAACTTCCTGAAGGAGGCCCACTTGACTGAACAGCTCCCTCTCATCATCGTTTGCGACCGCTTCAACTTCATTCACGACCTGGTTCTTTACCTCTACCAAAACCAGCAGTTCAAATCTATTGAGGTTTACGTACAGCGTGTCAACCCCTCCCGCGCCCCTGCTGTCATTGGTGGTCTGCTTGATGTCGACTGTGATGAGAACATCATCAAGGGCCTCCTGAGCAGCGTGGATCCCTCTTTGATCCCTATCGATGAGCTTGTCAATGAGGTTGAGAGCCGCAACCGTCTCAAGCTGCTCCTGCCCTTCCTCGAGGCTACCCTTGCTACCGGCAACCAGCAGCAGGCTGTCTACAATGCTCTTGCGAAGATTTACATCGATAGCAACAACAACCCCGAGAAGTTCCTCAAGGAGAACGACATGTACGACACCTTGACTGTCGGAAAGTACTGCGAGAAGCGTGACCCCAACTTGGCGTACATTGCGTACCACAAGGGTCAGAATGATCTGGAGTTGATCAGTATCACGAACGAGAACTCCATGTACCGTGCCCAAGCCCGGTACCTCGTTGAGCGTGCCGACCCCGAGATCTGGAACTTCGTTCTGAGCGAGAACAACGTCCACCGCCGCTCTCTCGTCGACCAGGTTATTGCCACTGCCGTCCCGGAGTCCACTGAACCCGACAAGGTTTCTGTCGCTGTCAAGTGCTTCCTCGAAGCTGATCTTCCCGGCGAGCTCATCGAGCTGCTCGAGAAGATCATTCTCGAGCCCTCGCCCTTCAGCGACAACACCAGCCTGCAGAACCTGCTGATGTTGACTGCCGCCAAGGCCGACAAGGGTCGTCTGATGGACTACATTCACCAGCTGAACGAGTTCTCTGCCGATGAGATCGCCGAGATGTGTATCAGCGTTGGTTTGTATGAGGAGGCCTTTGAGATCTATAAGAAGGTCAACAACTACCTCGCCGCCGTCAACGTTCTCGTCGAAAACATCGTCAGTATCGACCGCGCCCAGGAGTTCGCTGAGCGCGTTGAGCTGCCCGACGTTTGGAGCAAGGTTGCCAAGGCCCAGCTCGATGGTCTTCGTATCTCCGACTCGATCGAGTCGTATATCCGTGCCGGTGACCCGTCCAACTACAACGAGGTCATTGAGACTGCCACTCACGCCGGCAAGGATGAGGACCTCGTCAAGTTCCTCCGCATGGCCCGCAAGACCTTGCGGGAGCCGGCCATTGACACTGCTCTCGCCTTCTGCTTCGCACGTCTGGATCAGCTTCCCGAGCTTGAGGACTTCCTTCGCTCCACCAATGTCGCCAACATCGAGGCGTCTGGTGACAAGGCCTACGAGGAGGGCTACCACCAGGCCGCCAAAATTTTCTTCACCAGCATCTCCAACTGGGCCAAGTTGGCGACTACCCTGGTGCACCTCGAGGACTACCAGGCTGCCGTTGAGTGTGCCCGCAAGGCCAACAGCGTCAAGGTCTGGAAGCAGGTCAACGAGGCCTGCGTTGACAAGAGGGAGTTCCGTCTTGCCCAGATTTGCGGTCTCAACCTCATTGTCCACGCCGAGGAGTTGCAGGCCCTGGTTCGCCAGTACGAGCGCAACGGTTACTTCGACGAGCTGATTGCCGTCCTGGAGGCTGGTCTCGGTCTGGAGCGTGCTCACATGGGTATGTTCACCGAGCTGGGCATTGCTCTGACCAAGTACCACCCCGACCGTGTGATGGAGCACTTGAAGCTCTTCTGGTCCCGCATCAACATCCCCAAGATGATTCGTGCCTGCGAGGAGGCCAACCTCTGGCCCGAGCTGGTCTTCCTGTACTGCCATTACGACGAGTGGGACAACGCCGCCCTGGCCATGATGGAGCGTGCTGCCGATGCTTGGGAGCACCACTCGTTCAAGGACATCGTCGTCAAGGTTGCCAACCTGGAGATTTATTACCGCGCGTTGAACTTCTACCTGCAGGAGCAGCCCCTTCTCATCACCGACCTGCTCCAGGTTCTCACCCCGCGTGTCGATGTCAACCGTGTCGTGCGCATCTTCCAGAGCTCTGACAATATCCCCCTGATCAAGCCCTTCCTGCTTAACGTTCAGACCCAGAACAAGCGGGCTGTCAACGACGCCATTAACGAGCTGCTGATCGAGGAGGAGGACTACAAGACGCTGCGCGACTCCGTGGACAACTACGATAACTTCGATGCCGTGGATCTCGCCCAGCGCCTGGAGAAGCACGACCTCATCTTCTTCCGCCAGATCGCTGCCAGCATCTACCGTAACAACAAGCGCTGGGAGAAGTCGATTGCCCTGTCCAAGCAGGACAAGCTGTACAAGGACGCCATCGAGACCGCCGCCATCTCCGCCAAGTCCGAGGTGGTGGAGGATCTCCTCCGCTACGTAAGTTATTTCCTTCGGTACCCCTTCCGCAATCCAATTAACGCGAAAATAGTTCGTCGACATCGGCAGTCGCGAGTGCTACGTGGGCATGCTCTATGCCTGCTACGACCTGATCCGCCCCGACGTGATCATGGAGATCTCATGGCGCAAGGGTCTGCACGACTTCACAATGCCGTACATGATCAACTTCCTCTGCGAGCAGACCCGCACCATCGAGATGTTGAAGAAGGACAACGAGGAGCGCAAGTCCAAGGAGAAGACGCACCAGACCGAGGAGGACAACACTCCCATCCTGGGCGGCTCGCGGCTAATGCTGACCCAGGGCCCCGCCCCGCCAGCCAGCCCCATGCCGTACGGTCAAGCCAACGGCATCACCCCGCAGGCGACCGGCTACCGTGCATTCTAGACCCTCTGATTCTTTGCCCTTTTCTTTTTCTTATGTGTAACATAAAGCGACGTGATGACCTCTTGGTGCGAGCAAAAGACATGAGACGGGGACGGGCAGATCGCTGCCAGTGTGGAGGGACTTCATGCCCGTTAATTTGGTTCTTCTTTTTTCCTTTTACTCCAATGTATTTGATAGGCTTTGATCTTTTCACCCGGCCTGGGCCGTGGTTTTACAGTAATGGCATTGCGTTCTCAACTGAACCCCCTCTGTTCACCGTAGTCACTTTCTCAATTTTCAGACTCCCAAGGACGATCCGATGAAGATTCTTATGCTGCCAAGACGCCAAGGTACGTCGTTTGTCACTATTTGCCTCCGTGCAAATAGTCTGCAGAACCGCGAGGGAGGAAAGTGCCCAGCCCGGTAGGTTTCGCATCGCAACCGGCCTACGTCTTGGCCGGCGGAGCTGCGCAGGCGACGAAATGCTGCAACCTTGGGTCTTGGGTCTGTTTTTTAATTCTTCGAGTCACGGGTACATCGTAGCATCTAAATAGTCATATGTAGTCCCCATCCGGACTGTTGAGATGGAACAGACCAGAGTCCGGGGATATATTTACCCCGTGCAGAAGATGAGCTACGTGGGCGTAACAGACCTCAATACGTACATCAGCTCTGCCCCACTCGAAGAATTGTGGGAGTGAATTCTTCCATCTTCGGTTCCCCGCAATCGCCATCTCCAACCCTGCAAGTAGCGAAAATCGGAACTTACAGCAAGCCAAGTTGACGTGGATGCAAGGTGATGGGTGACGTCTACTGTAGGATAACGCGTTGAGATAAGAAATCTCGGGCGATGATTGAGCGATATTCATGGGTGCTTATCGGGAGCAGGCATATAGCCTATAGTAGAAGGCTACTGTATATATGTAGGAGTACCTCGGACACATCAAAGTCCAGACAGAGAGCTGGATAAGGTGGTTCTGGGCCCTGCGGTGACCCATTGCATTCTTGAGCATGACCATGAGTACCGCAGGGATTTCACGTCTACATATAAAATCATACCTTTGCTTGCCGAGGTCCTTGGTATTTACTTGGCCCCGCTTGGCTGTACCAGCGCGACCGGGAGGATATGTCATACGGGAGACCAGCCAAGTTGGGAATGAGCAAGGGGAAGTCTAGATTTCGAAACGTGTCCCGCCATTGTCTCGCCATTGCGCCCTGCGCCCTGCGCGGTCAGTCGGAAGGAGACACCGCGAGAACGGCTGCGCTGTCGTAAGTTCGTAGGTAGTCGGAGCAAATGAGAAGATCCCTTCCTCTAGGGATTGGCACACATGACCGGACACAAAAAATTCACGGAGCTGCGGGACCTTCGCGGGACCGTACGGTCTCTACGGGGCAAAGAGATCCCAGCATGAGTCAAACTCCGGAGTCAAAATCGGAGCAGGTTCCTAGGTTTAGAAATGGGAAAAGAAGACGGAGTATGGGGAGTCGGAATGAGCTTCCCCGAGGTGAACGATTCAGGTCCAGCGAGGACCAGCGCGGCGTGATTAACTGGTGGTCTTGATTGGCTGGTCCGTGGAGTTCGTCGTTGGATCTGTCGAGAGTTCTCCGAGTCTCCCCCGGACCCTCCAGGTTTCCCGTCAATATCCGTCCTGGCGGGTGAGTAGGCGATCCTGGCACTCCCGTCGAACTAGGGCTGAGCCTGGAGGAGGACCCGAGGACCCGAGGTTGTCCTGGGCCTAATCCACCCGATCACATCGAGATGTGGGTTGTAGGCTCGATGAGATCATCGAGCAAGATCTCGCCGAAGTCGCCGGGGTTCAGTGAGCGTGGAGGGATATCATTGGAATGGGGATAATAGAAATACATAAGGAGCCCCGCCGGAGCACAGGAACAGAAAAAAAAAAAGCAATCAGAATCCTGGGCCGACCTTAAGAGTCGAACGGTGTACCGGTGAAGAGAGGCGTGTTACCTCATTGCGGGAGTCAAAGCCCCCGGAAACAGCATCTGCAGATCGCCTCGTGATCCTATCTGCTCCACCCCTCCTTTTATCTTGGCCCCTCCCCTTCCTTTTCGTCCTCCGAGCTCCTCCATTTTTCCAATTCCTTGCAAGCTATCCGGGGAAAACTACCTATACCCATCCCTGGTGCAAGCGATTGCGCTGCATTCTGCCGAGATCGGCCTGGAGTTTAGAGCTTCGTGCCAGCTTCGTGCAAGCTTCTAGGTGAGTCACTCCGGCACGCTTGCGATTGAACGGCATTGCGGGCGAATTGGATGGAATTGGCTGACTCTGTGCTTCAGATTCTGTGTAAATAACCCTCTTCTCTCCCTCTCATCCTCCAACCCCGCCTTTCATCATGGCTGCCCCACACCGCCAACCGGAGAACGCTATCGACGATGTCGAGTTCATCGAGGACCACTCGGAGCACCACCAGGACTCCGTCCACCGGCGCCTGCGTGCCAACTCGACCATCATGCACTTCCAGAAGATCCTGGTAGCCAATCGTGGTGAAATTCCCATCCGTATCTTCCGTACAGCCCACGAGCTGTCCCTGCAGACGGTCGCCGTCTTCTCCCACGAGGACCGCCTGTCTATGCACCGTCAAAAGGCCGATGAGGCTTACATGATCGGAAAGCGCGGCCAGTACACCCCCGTCGGTGCTTACTTGGCCGGCGAAGAGATCATCAAGATCGCCCTGGAGCACGGCGTGCACCTGATTCACCCCGGCTACGGCTTCCTCTCGGAGAACGCCGAGTTTGCCCGAAAGGTCGAGAAGGCGGGCATCGTTTTCGTGGGCCCGACCCCCGAGACCATTGACGCCCTGGGTGACAAGGTCTCTGCCCGTCGGGCGGCCATCAAGTGCCAGGTCCCGGTCGTTCCCGGTACGGAGGGCCCCGTCGAGCGCTACGAGGATGTCAAGAGCTTCACCGACGAGTATGGCTTCCCCATCATCATCAAGGCCGCCTTCGGTGGTGGTGGCCGTGGTATGCGTGTCGTCCGCGACCAGGCCTCCCTGCGCGACTCCTTCGAGCGTGCCACCTCCGAGGCTCGCACTGCCTTTGGCAACGGCACCGTCTTCGTCGAGCGCTTCCTCGACAAACCCAAGCACATTGAGGTCCAGCTGCTCGGTGACAACCAGGGCAATGTCGTCCACCTGTTCGAGCGTGACTGCTCCGTCCAGCGTCGTCACCAGAAGGTCGTCGAGATTGCTCCGGCCAAGGATCTCCCCGTCGAGACCCGTGACAAGATTCTGGCCGATGCCGTCAAACTGGCCAAGTCCGTCAAGTACCGCAACGCTGGTACCGCCGAGTTCCTGGTCGACCAGCAGAACCGCTACTACTTCATTGAGATCAACCCTCGTATCCAGGTCGAGCACACCATCACCGAGGAGATCACCGGCATCGACATCGTCGCTGCCCAGATCCAGATTGCCGCCGGTGCTACTCTGGAGCAGCTCGGTCTGACTCAGGACCGCATCTCTACTCGCGGCTTCGCCATTCAGTGCCGTATCACTACCGAGGACCCCTCCAAGGGCTTCTCTCCCGACACCGGTAAGATCGAGGTCTACCGGTCTGCCGGTGGTAACGGTGTCCGTCTGGATGGTGGTAATGGTTTCGCCGGTGCCATCATCACCCCTCACTATGACTCCATGCTGGTCAAGTGCACGTGCCGTGGCTCGACCTACGAGATTGTTCGCCGCAAGATGCTGCGTGCCCTGGTCGAGTTCCGTATCCGCGGTGTCAAGACCAACATTCCTTTCCTTGCTTCTCTGCTGAGTCACTCCACCTTCATCGATGGTACCTGCTGGACCACCTTCATTGATGATACCCCCGAGCTCTTCGCTCTGGTCAACTCTCAGAACCGAGCCCAGAAGCTGCTTACTTATCTGGGTGACGTTGCCGTCAACGGCAGCAGCATCAAGGGCCAGATCGGCGAGCCCAAGTTCAAGGGCGAGATCATCAAGCCCATTCTCAAGGATGCCTCGGGCAACGTTATCGACGTCTCCCAGCCCTGCCAGAAGGGTTGGAAGCAGATCATCGATTCTCAGGGCCCCGAGGCCTTCGCCAAGGCTGTGCGCGCGAACAAGGGCTGCCTGCTCATGGACACCACCTGGCGTGATGCCCACCAGTCGCTGCTCGCTACCCGTGTGCGTACCATCGACATGCTCAACATTGCCCACGAGACTAGCCACGCTCTCCAGAATGCCTACAGTCTGGAGTGCTGGGGTGGCGCCACCTTCGACGTCGCCATGCGCTTCCTATACGAGGACCCCTGGGACCGTCTGCGCAAGCTCCGCAAGGCCGTGCCCAACATTCCCTTCCAGATGCTGCTGCGCGGCGCCAACGGTGTGGCCTACTCCTCCCTCCCCGACAACGCCATCTACCACTTCTGTAAGCAGGCCAAGAAGTACGGTGTTGACATCTTCCGTGTCTTCGACGCTCTCAACGACGTCGACCAACTCGAGGTCGGCATCAAGGCCGTTCAACAGGCCGGTGGTGTTGTCGAGGCCACCGTCTGCTACAGCGGTGACATGCTGAACCCCGCCAAGAAGTACAACCTCGAGTACTACCTCTCCCTGGTTGACCGTATCGTCAAGCTGGGTACCCACGTTCTGGGTATCAAGGATATGGCCGGCGTTCTGAAGCCCCAGGCTGCTCGTCTGCTGGTCGGCGCCATCCGTGAGCGCTACCCCGACCTCCCCATCCACGTCCACACCCACGACTCTGCTGGTACCGGTGTGGCCTCGATGATTGCCTGCGCCCAGGCTGGCGCTGACGCTGTCGATGCCGCCACGGACAGCTTGTCCGGTATGACCTCGCAGCCCAGCATCGGTGCCATCCTGGCCTCGCTTGCCGGCACCGATCAGGACCCCCAGCTTGACGCGGCTCATGTTCGCGCCCTGGATACCTACTGGGCTCAGCTCCGTCTTCTCTACTCTCCCTTCGAGGCTGGTCTGACCGGCCCCGACCCCGAGGTCTACGAGCACGAGATCCCCGGCGGCCAGCTGACCAACCTGATCTTCCAGGCCAGCCAGCTGGGTCTGGGCCAGCAGTGGGCCCAGACCAAGAAGGCGTACGAGCAGGCCAACATGCTGCTGGGTGACATCGTCAAGGTTACCCCGACCTCCAAGGTTGTCGGTGACCTGGCCCAGTTCATGGTCTCCAACAAGCTGACCCACGAGGACGTCATCGAGCGCGCCGGCGAGCTGGACTTCCCCGGCTCCGTCCTGGAGTTCCTCGAGGGCCTGATGGGCCAGCCCTTCGGTGGCTTCCCTGAGCCCCTGCGCTCCAAGGCTCTCCGTGACCGCCGCAAGCTCGAGAAGCGTCCCGGTCTGTACCTGGAGCCTCTGGACCTGGTCGGAATCAAGAACCAGATCCGCGAAAAGTTCGGCACCGCGACTGAATGTGACGTGGCCAGCTACGCCATGTACCCCAAGGTGTTCGAGGACTACCGCAAGTTCGTGCAGAAGTTCGGCGACCTGTCCGTCCTCCCCACGCGCTTCTTCCTGGCCAAGCCTGAGATTGGCGAGGAGTTCAACGTCGAGCTGGAGAAGGGCAAGGTCCTGATCCTGAAGCTTCTGGCTATCGGCCCGCTCTCCGAGCAGACTGGCCAGCGTGAGGTCTTCTACGAGGTTAACGGTGAAGTCCGCCAGGTCAGCGTCGATGACCAGAAGGCTTCCGTCGATAACATCGCCCGCCCCAAGGCCGACGCCGCCGACAGCAGCCAGGTCGGCGCGCCCATGAGCGGTGTTGTGGTTGAGATCCGTGTGCACGACGGCCACGAGGTGAAGAAGGGTGACCCGATCGCGGTGCTGAGCGCCATGAAGATGGTAAGATATTCCCTTTTCTCTGTTATATCACAGTTGCTAATTCTCCCTAGGAAATGGTCATCTCCGCTCCTCACAGCGGCAAGGTCTCCGGTCTCCTTGTGAAGGAGGGTGACTCGGTCGACGGGCAGGACCTGGTCTGCAGAATTGGCAAAGCGTAAAAAAGAGCCGGATAGGATTGGCTTCTGTGTAAAAGACGTGCACGACCTTCATGCGCAAAGATATGAACGATAGCTTCTAGCGTTGGTTTTCCAGTGGGACTTTGGTTTTCTCTTATGGCTATTGGTTTTGAACTATACTACAATGGTATTTATTTTAGCTTTTTCATCTGTTGAAGTGGTAGATATAAATGTAGCAACCTTGAGTCCATGTGGATGGCGGTCAGTAAAGGTTAATGCCACCTCGATGGGCTTGAAGGCTGTGCTTTGAGGCATATAGATTGCGTGATGAAGGCCAGGGGGTATCCCAAGTTGTTCTGCAACTCTTTAGCAGGCTAAGCAACCTGAGAAAACAATCCTTGGAAATGGTTTCGGAGCTACATAATGCCAACTACCCCATATCAGTGACTATCTCGGCACTAGATTTAGTTGCCGACCCCAATCATCTCCCCGCAATCCAAAACCAAATTGCCGATCGGCTCTTCTGCATCACCAATGGGCTGCTCCACGGTCTCTATCTCGGCAATAGGTACTGTCGGAAAAGAGCCCTGCGCTGCAATGCGCGGAATGACTACCGAGCGATAAAAGCACAGTACCGCCCTGATCCGCAACCTCTCCTCAATCACGCAGGACCGGGTCCAGGAACTACAAGCCCAAGTTCACCCTCCAATTGAATTTCCCTTCAGGAACACTCTATCTCTCCCATACAATATATCTCTCAACTACTCATCCAAAATGGACACTACTCGCCGCCCTTATACTCTCTCCCTCGCACACCGCGGCGTCATCCAGGGCTCAACCATCTCCGCCGGCTCGGATTTATGTCACTACTTCGGCGGCGTGCGCTACGCTCTCCCACCACTGCAACGCTGGCGCCGTGCCCGTAAGCTGCCATCATCGTTTAGATACGGCAGCAAGGATACACCCGGCGTCTGCGACAGTGGAGCCGGGCTGTGTCCGCAACCCGGATTCCTAACTATCGAGCCGGAGAAGCCTGAAACGTGGAGCGAGGATTGCTTCCAGTGTAATGTGTGGGTGCCAACGGGAACTCCCCCGCGGGATGGCTGGCCGGTGATGATTTACATCCGTAAGAAGCATTCAATTTTCCGAGTTCGACAAAAGCTGACGTGGATAGATGGTGGATGGCTTCAGTTCGGTTCGCCCAACGGCTTCAATGCCGCGGCACTGCTCGGCGAGACTGATTTCAAGGCTGTCGTTGTCATGCCTGCGTACCGGGTCAACCTATTTGGGTTCTTGTATTCGGCGGAACTCGAACAGGATGCTGCGGATGTGGGCGAGACTGTGGGAAACCATGGATTCTGGGACCAGAGACTCGCTTTGGAGTGGACAAAGGAGAATATCCATTTGTTCGGTGGCAACCCTGAGAATATCAGTATCTCAGGATACTCCGCAGGTAAGAATGCCCGTGATACCAACCCACACCTACATCCTAACTTCACTTAGGCGCAAACTCCGTCTTCCACCAACTCGCCTACGACCTCCGCCAACCAGACACCCAGGCCATCGTGCGCCAGGCAGTAATCTTCTCCAACTCGCCCGCCGTACAACCCAAAAAACCAACAGAAACCCAATCCCAATTTGACCAGCTCCTAAACGCCCTCTCAATCCCACTCACCCTATCCGCAAACGAAAAGCTCGCCCGTCTCCGCTCCCTCCCAGCAAAGCAACTCCTCGACGCCGCGAAAACAATCCAAATCCACCAATTCCGCCCAACAACGGACGGCGCCTTCATACTCCCAACCCTCTTCCAATCCCTAGACGACGGCTCCTTCGCCCGCAAACTCCTGTCCCGCAACATCCGGCTCATCCTAGGCGAATGCTCCGACGAACGCTTCCTCTACGCAATCTGGTTCCCACCCAAGGCCAATACCCTCGACGCAGTACGCGCCCGGCTGATTACCGATTACCCCCAACGTATCGTCGATGCTTTAATCCCACTCCACTACCCGGACGGGAAACTCCCACCGGGTGTAACGGACTGGGACTCTGACGCCTGGGGCAGAATCTACGCCGATATGCAGGTATACCACATGCAGCGAGGCTTGATCCACGCGTTGACGTCTAACACGGGTGGCGTGGATGCGTCGCGGCTGATCCATCGGTATAGAATTGAGTTCCGCGCGGAGTGTACGGATGGGATTCCGATTGAGTGGGGGGTTACGCATTCAAGCGATTATTCGTTGTGGTTCTGGGGAAATGGGAATGTTTTGACGGAGAAGGAGAAGAAATATACACATAATGCGTTGGTTGGGCCATTGGCTAGGTTTGTGAAGGGAGAGGATGATTTTGGATGGGAGACGAGTGGGAAGCGGGTGCGCGTGCTGAAGGCTGACGGGAGTGTGGAGATTCGGGGGGATTCGTTGTGGGATGAGGGTGTTAGGGTCTGGAAGGCGTTGAGGGCTGTTGATGATGAGAAGGCGAGGCTTTGACCTAGAGCTTATAGATTGGAAAGTGGGTGTGTGATTGGGCAGGTTATAGATTTAGATTCAATGCTAGATGTCTTGGCGTAAGCAGCAGAAGCTTTTCTTTCGTCCGGTATGCTCGGGATATGCTCTTATCGGACACAATGGTAGCAAATTACGTCTCAAGGCAGATTTAGTAACTTCAGGGGTTCATCAGAATCCCCGTGAATAATAATAATCCTGCAAGTATTGGATGAGACATGATCGACGTGAATGTGGGGTACACAATACTTAGCCCGCACGCACATTACCACCCGAACCGAAGTACCGGGTACGTCGACCCGCCGCTAAGGGCATTTGCCATCGAGCTTTCCCCGCATTCCTTCTTACGTCAAGGTGCAGTGCAATCGACACAATGCTACATCGTTTACTTGACAAACCCAACCGGGAAGATAGGTACCTCCAAGTCCCAGCTCAAATCAGAGGGCGTCAATTGCGAGGTCGGGTGGATTCATAGCTTAGCCACGACCCAGACCACGCCGCCAGGCAATAGCATCACCACCACTAATCACAGGCCAATATTCATTACCAATCAACGTACATCACAGTAGTCAGCCAAATACCGCCGGCGTAGCCAGTCATACCGCAGTCCAGAGAACCAAGTAACACGCGACACCTTGTAACCCTGGCTCGCCGGTGGCCATATAAAGCCGAGCTCCCCCTCTCATGTCCCATCCTTACTACCATCGAAGTTATTCCGATCTATACACGCATATGGTATGTCTTCTTCCCTTCCCCAACCCCCCTGAACCACATCCGCCATAAGCCGCGTTGGTGTATTACGCATCACATCAGCCCCATGGAGCAAGCACCAATACCGAACCCCGGCCCAATGACGTCTTTGACTCCCCCCATCCCAAGCTCATGAACGGCTTTCACCTTCATCCTTGTCTCATTCACATCTCTTTTCTTGATCCTCCACTAACCATTACCACCATCAAGACCACATAGTCCCAGAGACTAGCAAGCAACATCATTACGGATTATCTTCTCTTCGAGATCTCCAACATGACCGACAACACCCCTCCCCGCCACTGGAAAGGCGAGCCCGGCAACCGACACGAGCACGTCAACCCCTGGGGGCACGGCGGTGCAAAGGGTCCCGCACCTCGAGCTTCGTGGGCCTTGACGCCGGAGATGATGACCAACCTGAATGCCAACCGGCGGGTAAGTCCGACCTACCGAACTCCCCCCGTCTCTCTAGAACAGTATCTAACATACCACAGAACTCCAACGGCTCGAACTCCTCCCAGAACCAGAACCAGAACAACGAGCCCCAGAGCCCACAAACGCTTGGCGAGCGCCGTCGATCCAGTAGTTCCGGTGGGGGTTTGTTCTCCAATCTGCAGACGCAAAAACGCGACACCTCGGATGCTAGTATGGCTGGGCGCCGGGCTAGTTGGAATGAGCAGCGGGAGCAAGGAGGGTTCTTCTCTAAATTGTGGGATGGGTATACTCGTGGAAAGTAAGAGGCTGTACTTCTCTTGACCTTTGCCGCTTTTTTTCTCTCTACATTTCGAGTACTGTATTTGGATTATCTTTGAACAATGAAAAATTATTGAATGGATGTTGGCTTTGGAGTAGATTTTGGAGCTGGATCTACTTAAGTACAGCCGAACCAAGGAGATATTACAATGGGCTATTCTTCTAGTCCCTCTACATCTCCTCCTAGGGATTTTTTAAACGTCTTCCTAGACGTCTTTTGATTCCATTTTCCAAGGTCCCTTTCTAAAACGTCTTTTTCAAACCTCCTGGATAGATAGTTATGACCGCCTAATTAGGCCGACTTAAAATAACTTCCTGGTCGGGCTGTAGCCTGTACGCTGGACTGTCCATTAATGACCCTGCATAATACTATAGAAAAACGCCGTGGGTATGTCCATAGCCCTTTCAGGAACGGCTTTGGCCTTTTGGGTACTTGGCGCCATTGAATGCGAAAAGTTTATATTAGGCTGGAACCAATGTCGCCATGCCTATTTCTGCCCATGTATTTTTCCTGCTACTTTATCACTCTCTATAGTCTTCTATTTATAGTAAGACAGTTGAATAGAGCAAGTGAACTGTGGAGTGAAAGAAATTTATAAACGTTTGTGGCCTATTCTTAAAAAGATACTTTCTAGATTTCTACTACTGTCAATGGAAACGTAGGATGATTATCATCAGGGTTGATTATATGGGACTAGAAATGGCTTGACACTATAGCTTTCTCTGAGAGGTCGAGTATCTTCCGTTATAGGCATGTAGCTTCACCTCATTTTCTGCGTATCCTTTTGGAAATTCTCCCCTCTCATCTCCTGCTAGCGTTCCTATTCATCGTTCACCTATCCCTCCGTCCCCCATTTCCTGACTCGTCCGTCTATTCGTCCTTCTGAACGCCTTCTGAAAGTATTCCTGCAACTCCTCGCCAACCATGTCCCCAGTGCCCCTTATCCGTTATCTCCAGCACGAGCCGCCAAGTCTCTTCATGGAGGACGATTTAAAGGCTACAAGTATGACAAAGAGCGAAAATTACAAATGGCAGGATATCGGACCCATTGGCCGTTGGGTTGACTTCAACCTAACTACCATCAGACAGAGGTACGGTGCAACTCTCAGTTTTACCCAGATTCCTGACGAACCGATGCCATCCACACCTCTTCGGGACATCGTGAGCGAGGCCGAGCTTCGAGATTATTTCTCGCGCTTGATTTACAATCGAGTCGAACGGTCACTCCGTTATGGTTTCAATTATCTCCAACGCAATGACCAACTCGGATCTGCGAACCTCACGCGCGTGGATATCGGCAGTGGGGCATATGCTCGCTTCGTCCGAGGTTGTGAGCTCGATCTGTTCTATGCCAGTCCCTCTCAACCCCGCAATGAAAGAGACGCTCGGCTCCCTGTGGAACTCAAGACTTCTAATAAATGGAATACGGACATGAGAAGCAGCACGAACGACACGAGACAACACGACTTCCGACGAGTGCTATCGCAGGTCAACTTCTACATGAAAACGAACCATACCAGATACGCATGCATCATCACAGACAGCGAAATGGTGGCTATTCGACGACTTGACCGAAACGGCAATTTGGAGTTGTCAGACCCCATCCCATGGAGACACCAAAGTAACAGCCAAAATCAGGTACGGCTGACGATGTTGCTGGCATTGTGGTACCTGGGAATGCTGGCAGCAGAGGAGGGCAATTGGAGACTTCCGTAGTCTCCCTGGACTTGCATTTTATTTTCTTCACCGGCTCTGAAGAAAGCTTCCATTATCTCGTCTCCGATCGTGAAGAATACTTTCATTATCTCGTCAACGGCTTTGAAGAATGCTTTCATTATGCATGGATGCCCACAGTTTAGCATCAAGTTTTGCGCATTCTAAATTCAACCTTGTTCAAAACTTTCTCTAGCTCTCCTCGTAAATTTAGTCCCCTATAAAAAATCCTTGTAACAGAATGTATGGATTGTCAGCATAGGGAGATGACCAGTAATGACTGCATAGATTAGGAAGAAAGTGCCGGCACAGACTTTTAGCCTAGTAATGTCTCCGAGTGGACATAGATCAATATTAGCAGCACATGACCTATGACGGCTTTCTTTCCTCATTGAGTCTCAACTCCCTCCTAAATCGTCGTTCTTGTTTTTTTTTTTTTATTCGATAATCCCAGCTCAATCAAAGACGCACGCACACATCTTCCCAGGACACCTTTAAAAAAACTCTACCTCGTTTTAACGGTCCAGGAACTCGAGCTCACGCTTACAATGGCGCCCCCAGACTACAAAATCCCCGAACTTGACCTATCTGAAGTGACGTTTGTGGAGCTCCTCCAAGAGCTAGAAGATGAACATAGCAAATACAGTAAGCTAGAAAATCCTAGGAATTGCGTCGTCCGGGCTCGCTGGCTAGAGAAAGACTGTGTTGTGAAAGTGGTAAGTAGATCTATGCCTCTCAAGTTGATCTATATACCTAATATTTTTAGTTCCACCACATTCCGCGGGAGGATGCACATACACCGGATCATGAACCTGATCCTTTTACAAACGAAACTCGCGCGTACAGTCGGCTGAAAGCGCGTGGATTCTGTGAGCGAGGTGACATCCCGGACGTCTACGGCGTGATCAAGCAGATTAATCCACGGTCCGAGGGTTGGGAGAAAATTCTCTATAATTTCTTCGAAGACGATACACGCCCAAGTGCTATTGTCATTGAATACATTCCAAATTCGGGGATCATCAACTTGCCCAACTTCTCATACGCGGCGCTCAAGAAGCTCAGACATATTCTAGCTGAGATGCACGAGGCCTGGGTGGAACACAGCGATCCGTACCCGCGAAACATGTTGCTGCAGGAGGGTACTGGCAGGGCTCTCTGGATCGACTTCGATGTTGCCCGGACTTACACACCGGGCATGGTGACGGAGCGTCAACGGTCTTGGTTTGTAGGGGAACTGAATGTGATGGATCAATTTATCGAAGCCCTAGTAAGCACCGAGTCCTTGTCATTCATCATGCAAAACTAATCTGTACTTTGGCCATTGACCACAAGTTCGGCAAGATGGACAGAGCGTTGGAATATTACACCGAGGAGGAGCAACGCAGACTGGAGGAGATCGAGCAGGCTGCGGGGTATAGGGAGACAAAGCGTGGGAAATGAGCAGGATGAAGGGAATTGAACAGGAGGAAGGATGAACCGATCGTAGATTAGAATACACATGAAGATGTTTTGCTGGCCTGTGCTGTCACGATGATTTTCCAATTTCAAGAGATTCCTCCGGAGAGGTTTGACGGCGGAAATTCACTACGTAGGTGGTTTGTGAGAATTAGCAAAGTACCGAGTCGATAGCAGGAGAAATGCCTTGAATTACAAGAGGACAACACTACAGGCTACGATCTACTGCTACGAAAAGAGGGCATCAGGTGTAGACAGCAACGACAAGAGAGAGGCCAGACGGTGGTAACCCCCTCCCACCACAGCAGGCTGTGAGGAAGAGGGACCCGACTCTTCGACGAGGTCCATGACCAGTCAAGCGAGCCGCGGCTAGACATGGATGGTAGTCCAGTGCCAGCCAGACCTTTTCAACAATGGTTATGCGGGAAACAACACCTCATGTGCAGCCTTCATTGTGAAAAGGAGAGAGCAGATTGGTTCAAGGTAGTGGATTCATGTCTCTTAACACGCCTATCCTGGTTGCCGTGATGGAAAAATAAAAAAGGTTTCAGAACACCATATCCGACGCAGGGAACAGGAGCAACCTGGGCCGTGTTTTTGTTTCGGAGAAAATTTTTGGCTCCCTTCGATGCTTCGTAAATCACAAGGTCCAACCGTCCCCCGTCATCCTCACATGTCTTGGGACATTTACCGGACGATGCCGTCGAAGCGGTTCTTGAACCACTTGATGGTCTCGTTCTCGTTGATCTTGTGGTTAACACCGATGGAGGACTTGCAGCGGCGGCGCTTGGCAACACGCTCACCGGGGCGGGTCCTATAGAAAAAAAAATTGGTCAGTTTTGCTCCCGTTGTGGTGGATTGCTGAGGCCTCCTGGTGGAGACTCCAGAAGATGATGGCGTGCACTCACATGCAGCAGTAGAAGTCCATGCCGTAGATACCAATGCCGGGGTCGTACTTGATGCCCAGATCGATGTGCTCGGAGATACCGAAGCCGAAGTTGCCGGTCTCGGAGAAGTTACGGCGGCGGAGCTCGTACTCCTTGACCTTGAGGCCACGCTCGAGAATCTCCTCAGCCTTGGGGCCACGGACGGTAACGTGGACGGCGATCTTCTCGTTACGGCGGATACCGAAGGTACGGACGGTGTAGCGGGCCTTGGAGTAGACGGGGGTCTGACCAGACAGCTGCTCGAGCACCTTGGCGGCACGAGTAAGTCTGTCACCAGACTCGCCGACGGAGATGTTCAGCACGAGCTTCTGGATGCGCAGCTCGCGCATGGGGTTTGTGCTCTTGTCCTTGGCGTCCGACTGCATGTCCGTTAGACTGTGCGATGCGATTGAGAGAATGGGGTGGGGTGGTAACATACCATGGCGTTGGTGTGTGGGCGTGGAGGTGGTTGTCGACGAGATCGAAGGAATCTGCAACGCACAAAAAGTGGTTTGTGTGGGCTTCGAGTCACGGGATCAAAGTCACGGGAATCGGAAGCGAGAGCCTTGGCGCTTATCTAAGTCGGTGGTCGCTGAATCATCCAAGCTGACTCATCCTCTATCCAGAACTTTGAGTCCGGCAACCGAAAGCTAAGCTCGTGTAAAGGATCCCGCGTCTCGCTCGATCTCTTCCAGTCAAGAGAGCCTCGTCGCTGTCTTACTACTTTTTGGGCTCAAGTCGCATTCGTGCGCGCTATTTCAGGCAACATGGCTGCCAACAAGCAGGGCAAGATGGTGAGTATCAATCCCTCTGTTCATCCCGACTCGTGTGCTCAATGGCTGTCGCTAACCTCTTTCTTCTAGCAAAACCTCGTGAGTTCAATTGAAAGGGTTGTGAAGTCTGCTACAAGCCCATCTAACATGTCTCCAGATCAACTACCGGATGCGGGTGACGCTCAACGATGGTCGACAGATGACAGGCCAGATGCTGGCATTTGACAAGGTCCGTCTCTTCTGCGCCTCGTGGATAGATCTGAGGCTGACTCTCACTCTGTTTCATAGCACATGAACCTCGTTCTCGCCGACACAGAAGAATTCCGCCGCACCAAGCGGAAGTCGAAGGCCGCCCCCGGTTCCACGAACACCCAGGTCGAAGCGGAAGAGAAGCGAACCCTCGGTCTCACCATCGTGCGCGGTACTCAGGTTGTTTCCTGTTCCGTTGACGGACCCCCTCCCGCCGACCCCTCTGCGCGCCTCGGTGCCGGTCCGGGCGCTGCTGGCGCTGCCGCGACTCTCGCCGCCGGCCCTGGTATCAGCAAGCCCGCTGGTCGTGGCCTTCCTGTTGGACTCGGTGGTCCTGCTGCTGGTGTCGGTGGCCCCGCTCCTCCCATGGGTGGTTTCCCTCCCGGCGGTTTCGCGCCGCCCCCAGGATTTGGTGGTCGTGGAGGACCCCCCGGTGGACCTCGTAAGTGATCTTTGATATGTACTTTGTGACATGCAGATATACTGACTCTCTCGTGACTCAGCCGGCTTCGCTCCCCCTCCTGGATTCGCTCCTCCAGGCGGTCCTCGTAAGTTTTTCCCCTACCTCAGACTACATTCGCGACAGTCCAGGCTAACCCATTCTTCCTGCAGCTGGCTCTTTCCAGCCTCCCCCGGGATTCCAGCCTCCGGGTCAGGGTCGAGGATACCCGCCGCCGGGCTTCGGCGGTCGATGATTGGATAGGTGTACATTGAAGACGATTCCACGCTTCATATCATCAGCGATCTGTTTTCACCTGGGAAGGAGGAATAGCGACGGTTCAAATGCTAGACGGAACCAATGGTCCTCATTTCAGGAAAGGAGACAGCGTACGGGTTATATCAACCCAGTCTATCGGGCCAGGCGTTGCGGCGCATGCGGATGGAGGTCGTGTCGAGGATTGGAAAAAAAGCCGTGAAATCCTTTTAAGATTGGCATTCAGTTACCAAATAATGCTAGCTAGCTCCTATGACCCCCTTGTCGCAAAAATGCATTACATATCTGTTTCAAGCAAATTTTCTTGACTTGTAGAGGCAAATTTTAAGGCTTATCTGTGATCTGTTGGGCAAGTGATATATATTGTCGTACAGAGGTCTTGCAGCCGCATTATATTTCGCCAATCTGATATTTAATCCCCAAAGCATCTCGATACCTTCCAAGATACTTATTCAACAGATCGACATAATTAACCAAACCAAAATCCATGCGAATCTACCAACATAAGCGGAAATAAAAACGAGGAGCCGCGAACGATCACGTGACCGGCGGTCAACGCCGGTTGAGTCGACTTAATTCCGCACCCGCAGACCCCAACCCCAACCTTGAACATCACTTCCCCCGTGTGTCCTCCAGCAACTCATCATGGCTGCTGCTATCAAGGCTATCAATGCCAAGATCCGCTCCAACAAGGTGACGGACTACATCTGTTCGACCCGTACGTTCTGAATCCGCCCCGAGTTTCCTGCTTCCCGAACACCGAGACCGAGATCGGCCATGAGACTTGCTCAACAAAGAAGACGAGAGGCAGATTACCTGTCTTGCGGGACGAAATGGTCTTCTCTCAATGAATTTGAGCTTGGGATTTGTTTGTTGGACGGATTGCTAACCATTATGTCGCAGACTTCTGGGGCCCTGTCTCCAACTTCGGTATCCCCATTGCGGCTGTGATGGACACCCAGAAGGACCCTGAGATGTACGTTTAACACAGTAACCGTCTTTACCATGATTGTGTGCTCTATACAAGTGAAGTTGTTCTAACCCGTCTCCCCTGCACAGTATCTCCGGCCCTATGACCGCCGCTCTGACCGTCTACGCCGCTACCTTCATGCGCTACGCCCTCGCCGTCACTCCCCCGAACTACCTCCTCTTCGCCTGCCACTTGACCAACTTCGGCGCCCAGACTACCCAGGGATACCGCTACCTGTCCTACTGGAAGTACGTTTTATTTGAATCTTCTTTCATCCTTCATACGCTATAACCCTGTCGACTGAAACTAACCATTCTGTTCTACAGCTGGGGCGGCCGGGAAGCTGCGCTCGCTGAACAGGCCAAGAAGGGCAAGGAGGCCACCGAGGCTGGTGCTTAAACAGCCCGACCCTTGTACTTTTTCGTCTTTGATTTGCAAGATTTGTAACCTCATCGCAGCATTGCGTCTCTATACACCTGCGTTCTGTTTCGTGCCAGATTGACTGGACATTCCTTGACCTGAGGAGGAAGGAATAATAGGGGTATATAGAGAGGAAACTGCCCGAGGATGATGGACTGTAGGGGACAGGAGATGCTCTTGACTGGCGGGATACACATTAGACATACAGATGGCTGATATGTCCCTGTCTCGGTCACTGTACATAGACTATATTAAATTGAAATGCTTTGAAATGGAGCTCATTTTTCAGTGTCTTTCTGATCATTATTTTCAGTACCCGAAAGGATCTATCGAGACACGGACTTGTCGAAGGCGTGAGCCCACCCAGGAGAGTTCTGGACAAGACTTCAGTTTGCGATACTCCAAGCCAGGACGGCATTGCTTTGAATGCCTACTTGTCCTCCAAAATGTGGGCCACCGTTCTTTGAAACGTAATGGCCGGCACACTGGAGTCGTGGCACACTGTGCATCCTAGGTATTGGTAAACGGTTCCATTAGGAAGCTCTCAGACGTCCCATTTCTCCGCGTGTACATGCCGCGTGATATGCCATACGATCTAAAGGTGCGAGTGCTATTCCATTTTCAAAGGCATTTCCCATAAAATTCACAAAATAAATGGACTATCTATACAGAGAGGGCCACACGTTCTTAAAAAAAACCCGCCAAATATATAGGTCAACAGACAAAGAAACCATAACACCAAGTTTCAAGATTTTCCGCCCATGCGTACAAGACGTAACCACGATTTCAATCAAATGCTATGCCGCAATTTTTAAACACCTCTTCAAGTACACCAAGGGCGAGCATTGCCAAAGGTGCGTTCACTGGGGATCACAGTATCCGGGATTTGAGGGAGTCTCGGCACCACTAATCCAGTTTTGAATGGTTAGGCCGGTCGTAAATATGCAGCAAATGACACCAAAGGTGGCGAGAGTGATGTCGGCGATTGCTTGGCGCCTGGAATGGGCACAAGCACGGAGGTGGAGAAGGGGCTGCATTGGTCAGATTAATTTGTAAAAACCGGGGAAAGGGTATTTAAAAACTTACCGGGTACACGTAGATCAGAGGAACACAAGCAAAGCTTCCGACCAGCGAAACGAACTTGTCCAGGTTGTCGGCGCCACACCAGGCGACAACTGCACAAACAACCACCAGAAAGAAGCGGAAGGCGTTCTTCTTCCATTTGATATACGGGTTGTACTTGCCGCTGCGAGTGAAGAGCTCGTTCTCCATGATACGAATGGCGGGGAAGAGCTGCAGGGGTGTACTGAGGAGGATGGCGAGCGAGTACAGGAGTTGAACCACGTTGACGAATTTGTCATCCTGAGGCAAGTTCAGAAGGATGACGGTCTTTGTGGAGGATCCGTAGGCTGCGTAGCTCAGTCCACCTGCGGACAGGAAGATCAACGTGATGATGACCATAACTCCGGCAAGCACACCGGGGAATCGATGCGGCTGCTTCATTGACTCCTGGATCGGAATGATCAGGCCAATACCCTCGTAGGTGAAGATGGCAGTTCCGATGAACATGGACCAAGTGGACGGGTTGAAGGAAATGATGTCTGAGATGCCTCCATTACCGATCAGGGTACTAGCATCATAGTAGTAGATGTATAAAAGACCCAGAAGGATGAAAACATCCGCGATGAGAGCGGTGAATCCAAGCTTGCTGATATCGCGGATCAACGAGAGGGGCAGGAAGATGACCAGCTGCATCAACACCATGAACTTGATGTCGATGAAGGATTCGCACTTGCTCACAGCCAGTACAAATGCCTGCATATTCTGCGAGACAAAAACAATGTATGCTGAGACGAATCCCAACTGACTCAACACAATCGATCCGAGAATGATGCGCCGCATGTGCTTTCCAAACAGGACGCCGCCAATGTCACCAAAAGAGCCCTCGATCTTCATGCGCGTGTTGACAAGCAGGATAAAGGCGTAATAGCTCAAAAGTGAAACCCCAAGGAGCACCATGCAGCTGAACAGCATACCTCCATTCAAGAAGGCTCGAGGCAAGAAAAGAATACCAGTACCCACAAAGGATTTCAACAGCAACATGACAGCACCAGTGGTGGTAGTATTTCCCGCAGGTGCGCGCTGCTTATGCTTGCGCTTCCTGCGACCAGCTCCATCTCCCTGAAGCAGCGCCGCATCTTCTCCAGACTCTCTGCGCTCATCATTCTCATCATAGGCATCGGACGAAAAGTACTCGTCTGGACCCAAGACCTCATCGTCCTCTTCTAGTTCTTCACCAGCAAAGTGACCGTAGAGAGTTAAGAACTCCAAAAAGCTCGTCGTAGGTAGCTGAGGCTGCGCTGGTGGTGCTCCTGAATTTGATCCAGTTTGGCTTCCACGGTGGGGACTTCCAGCGGTTCTCCGCAGGAAATCTCTCCGGAATCCTCCTGGCACCTGGATCGTGTGGATATCTTCCGTGTCTGCCTCGGGGGCAGGTCGACTGACACTGAAACTCTTGCTGCGAGCAAAGCGTCCAGAATCTGCATCCTCCGCCCAGCGGTAAACCTGACGGGTGATATCACCTCCCTGCAGCTGCAAACTCGAGAACTCATCGTCACCGAAGCTGGTCCCAAGCTCCGAGCCAGTATCGCGATGTCCCCCACCGTTCTGCGGGAGGACGAGATGTCTCTTCACAACCTCTGGGTCTTCATACGGGATCGGATCTGGGCCATTGTCGTTCTTGGTGTCGATCGAGCCATACTGTGATGCCACCGGCCGGTTGTCGAGAGTGGAATGTAACGCGGGGGAACCAGCCATTCGCGAGGGGGTACCGAATCTCGGGGGCGAGCGACCGAGGCTTTCTTGCAACTGGGATGCAATCATGGACTGACCGGGACCGGGCAGCGAGGAAGGATCGTCCACATATCGGAAGTTATGTTCGGAGGTATTTGCCTCCGTGGGGACAGGTCGACTGGTGGGAATACCCTGACGGGATGGAATAGAGGTACCTAAGGCTGACGAAGGTACCGGGGAAGCAAGTCGCGCAATCGAGGCCTGTCTGTTTCCAACATCTGCCGGAGGAGAGGTGGAACGAATGGAGGAGGTGGAAATAGGCATTGAGCGAGGCAGGTTCAAAGACGAACCTTCACCGTTATCTGCCATGGTGACTGGATAGGCCCAGGAGAGGACTCGGATCAGATATCAAAGGACCTGAGACAAGCAGATTAGGTCAAGACCAGAACATGAACCTCAAAAGGCAGGACGTGGCTTAACTCGAACTCGCCAAGGCAAAGGAGAGCCCGGGTTACAGACTGGAGTTTTGCACTGTTTGATTCTCCCCACGTCATTTGGCCCGACGCGGTGTGACGCAGGTGGTCAACTTGGACTTTATTTTGCAGCGCTCCGGTCTTTTCTTATTTTCTTGTTCTACTTTATTCACTGGAGCTGGCGGTGGCCGTTCTCATGCTCTTGTGGAGTTGTTATTGCCTTGACGGCCGTGAAGGGAGATCCCGCCATGTCTCGGAGACGCCCAAATTTCTCGACTCGAACGGCCCAAGAAGATGCTGCGCGTCTCGATCCCAATGAGCAGACTGGATCATCCCATCTCGACCGAGGTCGCTTCCTCCAGTGGCGTACGAATATCTGGTCTCAAGGTCGGGAGGAAAACCCCACGGAGAGCTCGGGGCACCAACAGCATACAGCACCCTCGAACCCGTTTGAAGGCTTATCTCGACTGTGGCAGAGAAGGATACACGATGAACGGGGGCAGGATGATAATACGGAGGGCGTGGCACCGCATCTGCCTCTGTCAGCTGGACCTCTGCGAGATTCGAGCATCGACAAAAAGGACCGGCATTTACACCGGACCCGGTCGACAGAGGAGTCCAAAAAGCTTGGGACCTTTTCCGGCGTGTTTGTCCCTACCTCGTTGAATGTTCTCAGTATTCTGATGTTCATTCGCTTCGGCTTTATTCTGGGACAAGCTGGGATATTGGGTATACTAGGTGAATTTTTCTTGGGAGTCTGATTAGACAGAAGACTATGGCTAACATGACCAGGATTGCTCGTTATTTCCTACATGATTAACCTGGTGACGACAATGTCTCTCTCCGCTATTGCGACCAACGGCACAGTCAGAGGCGGAGGTGCATACTATTTGATCTCCCGGTCACTGGGACCCGAATTTGGAGGCTCCATTGGAGTCGTATTCTACTTGGGCTCCGCCTTCAATACCGGTATGAATGCAGTTGGTCTGATTGACTGCTTCACTCAGAACTTTGGAATTGTCTCTGGCAGCATGGCCAATTTCATGCTGGAGGGCTTTTGGTGGCAGTACCTATGGGGGACCATTATACTCGTCTTCTGCACCGCCATCTGCTTGGCAGGGAGCTCAATTTTCTCAAGAGCGAGTAACGGGCTGCTGGTCATCCTTCTAGTGGCAACGTTTAGTATACCGTTGTCCGCTCTCTTTATGAAGCCGTTTTCTTCACCTAAAGAAGGCGTGATGTTCACGGGCCTCAGTGTGCGGACTTTGATGGAGAATCTTAAGCCCCGTCTGACTAAAGGCGCCGCGGGAAGTCAGTTGAATAGGAGAGAGAACTTTCAGGATCTATTTGGCATCCTGTTTCCAGCGACGGGAGGAATTTTTGCGTAAGTGAGCAAGTATCATTGGAGACTACTCCATCGCTAACTTGCTACTAGTGGTGCTAGTATGTCGGGAGATCTGAAGAACCCGAGCAAGTCCATCCCCAAGGGTACTCTGGGAGGACTTGCCCTGACCTTCATGACGTACACACTGGTCATCCTGGCGATGGCGGCTTCTATCACCCGAGAGTCTTTCTATAACAACGTGAACGTGATTCAAGTCGTAAGACACCCCTTGCTAGAAATATCCATGACACTCTCTAACGATCAATAGGTCAACATATCAGAAACTGTAATTCTGCTCGGGGAATTCGCAACCAGTTTCTTCTCCGCGCTTATGGGTGTGATTGGATCCGCGAAGCTTCTCCAGGCAATCGCTCGAGATAGCTTGCTCCCTGGCATTGGCTTCTTCGGCCAAGGGACAAAGAAAAACGACGATCCCGTTTACGCCATCATTGTGACCTACGTATTTGCGCAGGTCACGATGCTGTTCGACATCAATCGCATCGCATCTTTCGTGACAATGAGCTATCTGATGACCTTTTTGGTGACGAACCTGGCTTGTTTCTTGCTGAAAATCGGTTCTGCGCCCAACTTCCGACCCTCTTTTCACTACTTCAACTGGCAGACTGCCGCAGCAGGGACAATCGTCAGCGGGGCCAGCATGTTCTTTGTAGATGGTCGTTATGCCTCTGGATGCATAGGGATACTTCTCATGCTTTTCCTGTTGATCCACTACAGCTCGCCGCCCAAGGCATGGGGTGATGTTAGCCAGAGTCTGATTTACCATCAAGTGCGCAAATACCTACTTCGTCTGCGCCAGGAGCACGTCAAGTTCTGGCGACCACAGATTTTGCTCTTTGTGAGCGATCTGGATCGACAGTACAAGATGGTTTCCTTCTGTAACTCGCTGAAAAAAGGTGCGCTGTTTGTTTTGGGCCACGTACTTGTCACCGATGACTTTTCAGCGGCTGTCCCGGAGGCACGTAGACAGCAGACAGCATGGACGAAGCTGGTTGAATACTCCAAGATCAAAGCCTTTGTCAACATTGCTATCTCCCCCTCCGCGGAATGGGGCATGCGGAATATTGTCTTGAACTCCGGGCTGGGAGGCATGCGACCCAACATTGTCATCATTGATCATTTTCAAGAAGATCAGTCTCTGGTGGAAAACCTGTCTCTTTCCAGTCATCGCAGAGAGTCGACCAAACCGAGACGTCGTTCTTCCGTCGTTGGCTCGTTTGACGGCTCCGATGACCCCAATCTGGCAAACAAGGGAATGACCCCTCAAAGCTACGTGACAATCCTTGAAGATCTCCTGTTCAAACTCCGGATCAATGTCGCCGTCGCCAAAGGTTTCGAGGATCTTGAAATACCGGACCCCAATGGCCACAACACGAAGAAGTACATAGATCTGTGGCCGATCCAGATGTCCGCCGAGATTGGAGCCGACAGCGAGAGCAAGCAAAACGTGCTGACCACTAACTTCGACACCTACACTCTCATTCTGCAGTTGGGTTGTATTCTAAACACCGTGCCCTCGTGGAAGAAAACCTACCGATTGCGAGTCGCCGTATTTGTCGAATATGAGACGGATGTCGAAGATGAGAGAGGCCGAGTAGAGGCTCTTCTGGACAAGTTGCGAATCGAGGCAGAAGTTCTTGTTTTCTGTCTTGCATGTGGAGATTTGAAGGCTTACCGCATCCTTGTCAACGGCGACACGTCTCCAGAGATGGACGATGCGCAAGAAAATGTCCACTCCGTACTCCGAGAGGAAGAATGGTGGCAGGAAGTCCTGAAAGCACATAACAGCTTGCAAGCCTCCCAGGACCAGGAACCGGCAGGCGATGAACCCCAGCAGTTGGACCGATCGATGACCAGCCAAGACAGCGGAAGCCGACCATCCCACCAGCGCGTGATTGGTCTGCGTAAACTGATCCAATCTGGTCGCAGACGATCTGTTTCTAGCTTCCGAGCGCTGGGAAGTGTCAACCTGGGCATGCAAACCCACCGTTTGCTGGATGCATTTGTTGATTACGACGGTGACAACTCGTCGAGCGAGAGCAGCGACGACGACAGTGACTTGGAGCTATACCAAAGCGACCCGGAAATCGACGGAGACGACGAGAACCCCGAAAACACAGCCGTCACTCGCAACCAGAGCGAGACTGTTTCTGGCCCTTCACAACCACTGGTGCGGATCACGAGCGACGACTGCAGCTCCTCCGGGGTGAGTCCATCGACACGGCTAAAGGGGCCGTCGCACTCTTCCACAGGCCAAGACTTGCTCCCGACCCGGGCAATCCCCTCGATCATGACAACCGGCGACAACGCATCTCCAAAGAGCAAATCACCCGGCCCTCGCCCACCCTTGAGCCGCTCCGCTTCCAGCAACCGCTTCAGCTCCTCCCCCATCCCTGAAGCCAAAGTCAACACCGAAGAAGGAGTCGGTCCATCGATAATGTTCGCCGCAAACGCCAGCCCTCCGCGCTTCCAGAAGCTCGACTCCATCTACGCCCGACGCCCATCCGTTGTTTCCCCCGGTTCCAATGGCGACCACAGCAGCCGCAGCAGCCGCAGCAGCCAAACAGCCTCCGGGTTCCCTAGCTCTGCGTCCGTCCCGCTGAGCTTCAACGACCTGCCTAGCCGAGCGCAGCATTTGATCTTGAACGAGCTGATGGTTCAGCAGAGCAGTGAAACGGCTGTTGTCTTTACCACGCTGCCGTCTCCGGTGGAGGGGACATCTCGACGGGAAGAAGATAGCATCTCGTACTTGAGTGATCTTGATGTGCTCTTGCAGAGCTTGCCGCCGTGTCTGCTGGTCCACAGCAATAGCATGACCGTGACAATGAATTTGTAACGACCGTGTGCATATTTTGTATAACGTCAAAAATTATATACTTAGAGTGAATAGCGATAAAGCGGGGATTTTGATAGGCAAACAAGTCTGTGTCTATTATTGGCGTGCAACATAACCTGCAGTGACACTCAAGATCCATTCACGTGTGCCTCCGAAACTATAGAACTCAATCGACCAACTAGACCTCAGACTAAGCGTCCCTTCTGCACGTTAGAACCGCCACCCGAAGATCAGCGGGGCAGGGAACTAGATACCAAGTCTGCATGTCCCTGGGTTCCTACGAAGACCCGAGCTGCACCAGGCCCCAGAATGAAGACCTAGGAATCCCTCCAAACCCACTCAAGCCCGTCGTTAAGCGAATCGAGCGCCACACAGAACACGCCCGAACGAGCAGGACTGGAGGGCGAAGCCGACACAAAATGAAAAAACCAAAAAGGACAAAAAGAGGGGGCAATGACCAATGGGAATTGCAGGGGCGGTGATTGGACCACAGGCGTGCCCTGGTATACAACGTAGAGACTGGCATTGCTAATCCCTTTTGTTCCTCTCCCATTGTTCGACTCCGAACCGGGCACGCGATTGATTGTTGGTCGAGTACGATATGCTGGCGCTGTTATAGTGGTTGCCCCTCCTCACATTTTCTTTGTCCCCTCCGCCTCCTCACTTCTCCACCCCTGAATTTCCAATCTGGCCATGTCTGCCCCTGCCACCGCGCAGCGATTGAATGGCAGTCTGAGGACTTCTGATACTCGTCGCCCCGTTGCTCATTTCCTGCCCGACCAAGTAAACGGACTTCCTGATCGCACGCGCGCGAATGGCCACGGTCCCGACGCGGATTCCCTCTCGGACAGCTCCCTCTCCACAGCCTCCAACATAGTAAACGGAACCAAACCACGGCCACCAGGCATGGCTCGCAAGGCCTCTTCACCCATGGCCCCGGCCTTTATGGTGTCCGCCCCGGGCAAGGTCATTGTCTTTGGTGAACACGCCGTCGTCCACGGCAAGGCAGCCCTGGCCGCTGCGATTTCCCTCCGATCCTACCTCTTGGTCACCACCCTCTCGAAATCACACCGCACAGTCACTTTGAACTTCCGTGACCTGGGCCTTAGCCATACATGGGACATTGACTCACTCCCGTGGAACGTGTTCCAGCAGCCCGGCAAGAAGAAGTTCTACTACGACCTTGTCACGTCCCTCGACCCCGACCTTGTCGCAGCCATCGAACCCCATCTGGAGGGCGTCTCCAAAGGCGTCCCCGAAGACCAGCGCAAGAACCACGTCCGCTCCGCCTCCGCATTCCTCTACCTCTTCATGTCCCTCGGTTCCCCGCAGAGCCCTGGTGCCGTGTACACCCTCCGCTCCAATATCCCCACCGGCGCCGGCCTGGGCAGCAGCGCCAGTGTCTGCGTCTGCCTGAGTTCCGCGCTCCTGCTCCAGATTCGTACCCTCGCGGGTCCTCACCCTGACCAACCAGTCGAGGAGGCCGAGACCCAGATTGAGCGCATCAATCGCTGGGCCTTTGTTGGCGAGCTCTGCATTCATGGAAACCCTAGCGGGGTGGACAACACGGTTGCCGCGGGCGGCAAGGCTGTGATCTTTAAACGTGAAGACATGAATAAAAACCCTACGGTCATCCCCTTCCCCGATTTCCCCGAATTGCCTCTTCTCCTGGTCGACACTCAGCAGTCGCGCTCGACCTTGACGGAGGTGGCCAAGGTTGGCCAGCTGAGGAAGGCTCACCCCATCGTGACGGAATCGATTTTGAACGCCATTGACCAAGTAACGTGCTCCGCGCGCCGACTCATCGAGGCCCCGGATTTCGAGGTCAACGAAAACACGCTCGACCAATTCGGTACCCTGATCCGTATCAATCACGGCTTCCTCGTTTCCCTGGGCGTTTCACACCCCCGCTTGGAGCGTATTCGCGAACTCGTCGACTACGCCAATATTGGTTGGACGAAGTTGACCGGTGCTGGTGGCGGTGGATGTGCTATCACCCTGCTCAAACCAGACACCAAGCCAGAGGACGTCCGCGAGCTGGAGAAGAAGCTCGCCGAGGAAGGCTTCAACAAATATGAAACCACCCTTGGCGGCGACGGTGTCGGCGTCCTCTACCCAGCCGTACTTCGCAACGGCTCCGACGAGGAAGGCGGCGAGGAGATCGACCAGCAAAAGTTCGAAGAAGCCGAAGGTGCCGAGGGCATCGAGCGCCTCGTGGGTGTTGGATTCCACGAAAGGCGCGAAGGGTGGAAATTCTGGAAGCGCGCCACTCAATGATGATTCTGCACTTCGCATTCGAACCAATTCTCCGTGTCCGGCCTGTCCATATCTGCAAGCCTTTTGGAACATCCCTTGTAATGGGCCTTTAATGATTTCGTCCTGTGGCCCCCGAACTGCCTCATTACCATTCACGTCCCATTCTATGTACACATTACCTCCTATATGCATTATACACCCCATTTTGTGAGCCTTCTCTGGAAAAAAAGGTGTGCCTATCACTGGGCATCTGCTGCCTTCTTTTTTCTTTTCTTGGCCCTTATTTGTTGTTGAGTCTTTCGGGTTTTTGGCATGAGCATCTCTGTGGCGCTGGTGTGTCGATGGATAGCTATGGGCAGCTGAGATACAATAATACCATTTTCATTGCATAATTTTACATCTTGATGTACAGTTGTAGATGTAAAAGTATGTCCAATTCACGATGATTGTGGGGAACGACCGAAGATACATGGCTAACCTCCTAAACCTAACGGGAGCCACATGTGACTCTAACTGATTTCACTCTGACCGAGTGACTTCTTTCTCTTTTTCTCCCCAAGATCCTGTTTCTTGCGCTCAGAGTGTACAGATCTTTTTTGGACAGTGATGAATATGTTTCAGTGTTTGGATTTACCACCGTTCCGAAAGGCACGAGGCAGAAAATCACGATCACAACGCATACCTTCGGGTGCTTTCTGAGTCCATATCGTACTTCGTCTTGGCAACTCGAATAAGGAAATCCCCACCTGTCAAAGGAAATCCAGTACGTATACATAGCTACTTATGTAACACCATCTCATTTCCAAATACCCCATGAGATAAGATCACCCCATAGTAGTCTCCCACCCCTTCTCAATCATAATATCAACCCAATAAACATCCGTCTCCCCAGAATCCATCCTTTTCCACACCTCCCGCACAAGTTTCAAGCAGACGTTAATCGGTTTCGGCGGAAGAACATGTAAAAAGGACATCAAACGGCCAAGAATGAAGCGCCGCGTTTGCGAGACTTCAATAGCTTCCATGGACACGTTTGATGCCTCTGTGGAGCCGTTGGGTTGATCCTGATTGCAACTTCCATCCTGATCGCTCTGGATATTATGGGACGGGGGTGGAAGGCGGAGTTCGCTGCAGGAGGCGACGAGGAGGAAGGGTTGGAGACAGCGTGTGCGGGATTCGAGGGGGATGGTTTTTAGGCGGGAGATTGTTGTTACGGCGAATTCGGTGAGCCAGGTGTTGTACAGTGTCTCTGGGTTTCTTTCGTCGGATGATGGGTGGGATGTGTAGATATTCGGCGGGGAAGAGAGGGAAGGTGAGGTGTGGGTATTGGTGTGGGTGTGTTGGTTTGAATGGGTATTGGTTGTTGTGCTAGGATTTGTATCACAGAACCCCGTGGACATGTTCATGCTGTCTAGATCGATAGAGAAGAACGGATCGCGGGATGTTGACGCTGTGTTGGAGAATTGTGCAGTGCTGGGGGTTGGAAGTCGGTTGCGTAGTAGATCTGGAAAGACGCGGTATAGTTGCATCAGGCCTGTGCAGCGGTAAACCTCGGCCATGGTGAGTAAATGCCAGACTGGGGTTTCGTCATCCCCTGGGCTGATGATTTCTGCTTCGCTGGGATGCGCCAGGCCTAAGAGGCGTTCTTCTAATTCCTGGGCTTTTTCAATGGCCATCTGTGCGCGGGTGATGTCGTCTTGCGAGGTGAAAATTCTAGAGCGGATGCGTTTGCGCTCGTGCCGAACAAGTCGGCCAACTTCGTGCACGGTGAACTGGGTATCTTTGGCAATGCCGGTCCATGGATGTGGGACCCGTTGCAGGACGAGTTGTTCGCCTGCTGATGAGGCGCGAGGGTTGGAAAACACCATAGAGTCATTATCCGCCACGAACGAAAGAAGCATTTCCCAGTAGATAAGAGCTTCTTCGAAGAAGCGGTAGTTGTTACTGCAGCTCTTGACGAAACCGTATGCTGGTGTGTCCGAGGAGGATGATGTGGAGTTGAGCTGCTTGCGAAGTAAATTGAAGAAAGATATGCCTAGGTCTTTCGGATCATGCCAACTTGCAGTCTGGCCGAGCATGAGCAGGGCAAGCAGAGACTTGTCGTCCATGACTGCTTCGCGGGTGATAATGTCGACGGCCTCGTCTCGCATCTTTCGACCCATGGGGCCAAACTGAGGAAAGTCATTCACGAGGGTTGCAGCCGCCATGCTTTGCATCGTGCGGCACATGGCTAATGATGAGCCCCATAAACGAGATACAGTGGTGCGGAACGGGTTCATCTGGCTGTCGTAGCTGGAAAACAATGCAGCGACCTCCTTGAAATAGTACTCAATGAGTGTCCATGACGGATTATTCAATGGACGCGAGATAGACATAAAGTCCCGTGGTGGAGCTCGCTGTGATGTGGGAGGGTAACTGCGCACGATGGCCGACGGTGAAAAGTCTCGATACACACTGCCGCGGTGATCTTCCTCACCATCGACCGAGCCTATCAAGGAAAAGAACCGAGACAGATCAGTTGGCGTATCTCCAGACGCTGGAAAGTCAAACTGTGAGTCCCGCTGCGCGAAACCAGCCTCAACCATGGGAGATGGCGGACATAGATCGGCCAGTTCGGGCAGCGAAGTATTGCCCCGTAGATCCCACAGGTTATCGAGAGCATTCGAACCATCATCTAACCCATATCCTTGGGGCTCAGTATTATGTGATGGACCGGCATTAGCGTTATCTAGCGGCAACGCATCCTCTATCGGATCATTTCGCATTGGAGTGCTCTCGGCAGCCGGACTCGTGGGTTTCCCATCGGACGCGCACGGACTAGACTGCTCATGCTTTGTGATCCAGCGTAGTGACTGGACATAGCCTGGACATCGGACACCCAAGCGAGTGCAGCGGCTGCAATGCGGTTTTTCCTCTCCGCATTTGACCTATGACAAGTTAGATGAGTTGGGCGGACTTGGGCAAGCACTGACCCTTTTGCTTTTGCATCGCGCGCAGCCGTTACGGGACTTTTTTACTCGTCGCATCACGGATATTTTGTTAGGAAACTGTCAAGAGCGACAAAGCCCGACATGGTGAAGCGCAAGATTGGGGGATCGCGGGAAACACGACTTCGTGCGGGGAGATGCTTATCTTGGGAGATAATGCGCCCTCCCGCGGATCCAGGATACTTTTGCCCTTTTGGTGATGGCCATTTGAGGTCGGCCAATGAGAGCGGCACGACGCTGTGATGGGCTATGATTTATAATTTGTATTCGATAATAAGCACAAAGAGTCGAGCATGCCACTTGAAAAAATACTCGAGATGGTGTAACGTGGAATGGATATCGATTTGCCGCGAGCTTAGTATAGCTGACTCAGCATCGACGTCTCGGGCTTCGTCGCTCATCCATGACTTCGGAGAACACAAGACCATGAATCATCTGGCGCGCTTGGGCAAGGTGATTACTGCCAATCCCCTTCCAACCTATACAATGGAAAGCCTAACCCTTGAGACAGCGTCAAGCATCCAAGCTCTGTTCACTGGATTTGGCGTGGAGATCCGTGGCGCTGCCCCGGACCGGACGGATTGCCTGCAATTATTTTTGGGTAACTGCAAATAGACGACCGTGGATGCAGCAGAATTTATCAGCAAAGGTTTTCTCTCGCACATTTCACTCTACTCCGACCAATATGAGCAGCGTACCCTCCGACCTGAAGCAGACTCTCACCCCTGCTCTCCTCGAGGATGTCCGCAACTTTTGGTTCGAACACCTCAGCAGCGAGGATGCATTGATCCTCCCGGGCCAATCTGAGATGAAACACTGGTTTATGCGTAATTCAGAGTTTGACAAAGCATGCGTGTAAGTCCTCATCAATCTACGATCACCATGTTCTAAAGCTTACCAAGACAACCAGCGCCCAATTCCAACCAGCTCTAGAGAAAATCATTACATCGGGTGCATCAGCCACGGATATTCTAGATGCAGTGGATACATCATCACCCCTAACATGGCTCAGCATCCTCCTCCTCCTAGACCAGGTGCCACGGAACTGCTACCGCTGCGACCAGTCCAAATTGGTCTTCGGTCGTTTCGACCCTCTCGCGGAGGAAATTGCTCTGCGTGCGATTGACGCAGGCATTCCGACCCAGGATTCGCATCTGCGATACCGACTCTCCTATCGCTTCTGGTTCCACTTGCCTCTGATGCACTCGGAGAATCTTGCTGTGCATGAGAAGGCTGTTCAAGAGCATGAAGATACCGCGAAGGACATGTACGATTTTATTCGTGGAGATGCGTCGGCTCTCGATGAGGATGAGAAGAGATGTTATACTATTCTTTCAAGCCAAAAAGAGGCACTCGATATGTTTTTGAACAGTACTTTCGACTTTGAGAAGAAGCACAAGGTCATCATTGAGCGGTTTGGACGGTATCCCCATCGGAACGCACCTCTTGGCAGGGTTCCGACTGCTGAGGAGATTGAATATTTGGAGAATGGTGGTGAGACGTTCACTTAGATATAGGTATCATTCCAGAATATTATATGTGTAATTGTTAAGACGCTTCAAAATTCTTCTATCTTTAAAACGTAATCTATGGGCCGGCCAGACCGAAGCTTCTATTTATACAAGACCTCACAGCACCGCAGTGGAATAAGGGATATCGTAATCAGGAATGACGGGGAACTCATACATATCCAAATCCGCCGTTCTCGCAGCAGCCCACGCATCCAAGGTAGCGAAAAGCTTTGCCACATTCGCTTCCACGGAAAGGTCCACAGGCTGCAAGCCCTTGCCCATCTGCGAGATCTGAAGGCCGGCCGCACTAGCGGTGGCACCAAAGTCCAGCATGTTCAGCTTCTGCAGCAAGGCTCCCTTGACCTGCCCGGAGAGAATGTGTGCGCAAAGGTTCGGCTCTTGGCAGAGAGCGCGAGCGAGTCCGACTCCATCGACGGTGTCCAGGGCCTTAACCATGCCTTCCACAGTCTTCAGGCCGCCTGTCACGTAGGTCTTGGTCTTGGTCAAACTAGGGACGATGAGCTTGGCGAAGTCCAAGAAGAACTGGTTACTGTTAGCATAGCTCCAGAAATGATTTTTAAACAAAATCACAGAATTGCGAAATACTTACTGCTTCACGCGCTACAGTCGAAGGCCGCTTCTGGTTAGCCAACGGCCAGTTCTCATAAGTGCCACCAGACAGCTCGACAAAGTCGAAAGCATGCTCCTCGAGAGCCTGGCAAAGCTCCTTAGCTTCGTCAGGCTGGAATCCTTTCTCTTGGAACTCAACACTGTTGATCTTGATGCCAACAACAAAGTCCTTGCGAACTCTCTTGGAAATCTCATCTTTGACCTCCAAGATCAATCTCATCCGGTTCTTCAAGTCACCACCATACTGATCGGTTCGCAGATTGGTCGTAGGTGACAAGAACTGGCTCAGAAGATAACCGTGAGCACCGTGAAGCTGCATACCATCAAAGCCAGCCTTGTCAAGATACTCCGCCGCATGAGCAAAGCTATCAATGATGTTCGCAATATCTTCTTGAGTCGCAGCACGGGGCTGTCCAAATTTCATGCCCCTAAGCCCACCCTTAAACTGCACATCACTGGCACTGATGGGGTTCGGCTGCAGATACTGAGGAGTCTGACGACCCGGGTGTCCAACCTGGGCAACGATGAGCATTCCGTTGGCCTTGCCAGCAGCTGCGAGCTCCTGGAATCGTTCGAAACGCTCGCCGGAGAACTCTGCATGTTGAGGAATCACTGGGTTTCCGGCTGCCTCCAGGTGACCGGGGTCGATCATGACATTGCCGGTCAAGTTGATTCCTATTTGGGCCTCGCCCCAACTCTTGTAGGCCTGGATCAATGCTGGGGAAGGGATACCGCGCGCATTAAGATCGTTGAACGAGAACGAAGCAAGGCGCTCACTCGTGGCACCCTTCAGGAAACGGTTTGGTGCAGTACGGCCGGAAAAGGTAAACTGGAGGGGCTGCCCCAGAGGACTGGGGTCAACATCGGCGCACTCAAGTCTCGGAGTGGAAGACATGTTTGAGGATTTTGAGGAAAGTCACTCCAAAGGCTGGGGTTAATTAATTATGAGGGACGTAAAAGAGTTCAAGAAAGCGAATTGAAAACAGATAATCCTAGGAGATATCTTCTAATGCTTTACTTATGCTTACACTTGATGCTAGATTTGTATTTATAATCCGTCCGCCCTAATTATCAAGCACTGATCCGCGATAAAAGTGGAGTATTAACTGGGCAGGCAGATAATAGTACCGAAGCCGACCCCGTGGACTTTTATTCAAGACTGAATTGCCTAAATATCACTGAAGCCGAGGCATAAGCCCAAGTGATGGATATACAATAGTGCATAAAACTTAGTTTGAAGAGATGTGGAGCCCTCTCTCACATCTGGGCACATCTTTATGCTGACCAGAAAATTAGAAATCAAGGTAACGGGCCCCAGTAGATCACTAAGCCAATTCCCCCACTACTGAGGAGGGTTTCCCGAGAAATATTAGAATTTTTTATATCTGACAAATCCGGCTCAAATTTGTATGGGGGTATTAGCCAACACAACGGTGGCGAATCAGCAGGCTCGACCTCGGCAAATTCGGCGCAATGAATAATACACGTAGGACTTTTAATTTGAAAATATTTCATTCTGAGCGATTATGGCACCATAGGCGAAAGGCAAGTCGAGGGGCGGGCGCCACTGTTCGATTAAGCGTCTGCGTGCGATCTGCGCCGCAAGGAAGAGTAGCCGGTCTATCGGCCATCACACTTGACCTTTCCCCGCAATATTGCACTGTTTTACAAAAAAAGAAGGCTTCCGTTTTCTTTGACTGCCGAGGAACTCAATCTGGACATTTTTGCCTCTCGTTGGAATGTGGAGCTGAGCAATCACCCAGTCCGGCAAGGGAGCACACGACCCCTTTGGCGAACATTCCTGAGCGGACCTGTTCTCAGGTCATGCTGAAAATGTTATTAGTTGAGGGACAGCTCTTTTAGGAAGAGTGAATAATGAAGTGTAACTGTAGCGCTTACAATATTGATTGCAGTAAATATTGACGAAGAATTGAATGGACGTTTCTATGTGTGTGTCCCAAGGTTTATATTGATCTCTTAACTCTTAGCTGTTAAACGTATCAGATCAAACCATGTAAAATCTTTAGCGAGCTGCAGTAGCGTAGACTCGGCCCTTTTAACCGCGTTCTACCGTATATTGGTCAAGAGCAGCCCCAACCCCGATGCTATGCAGTAAAGAAAGCCCGATTCTAATTCCCCCACATGCCACACTTCCAAATTTCTTCAAAGCGGACGATCCCCAGAAAATAATTCAAGAGGCTCCTTTGACAGGCCGAATGCAGGTGTCAGATTATCCAGGGGCGCCGCATCTGTTCGTCCATAAAACCAACCCTCAAGCCACCAAGATGTCCGTTTCTTCAGCCACTGTTTCATGGACACCATCACAAAGGTACATCTGGTAAGTGGATATCCGTCGTATATGCTTGTCGGCCCTTTACTGACATGTGAAGTTGATTTAGTTGACCCTGAAATTCGCGAAATCTCGATCCAGTCCGCTATGAGTTTCCTGATTCATGGTACTTGTCGCTCATAATGGTCATTTCTCGTCAATCCTTCATTCGGCAGTTTACTTTGTCGCTCCTGGTTGTGTCGGCTTTGTCCTCTAAAGGCCTACACCTTTATCAGCATGGAGGCTCGCTACCGCGCGCACAGTTTATACTATACTTTGTGACATTTTTCATACAGGAGGGGATCCTTTTTGGAACTGCTTGGGCGCTCTTGCAGAGACCGACTGGTGTGCTATCCGTCGTGGGAACGATAGCGACAGCAATAATCGCGTAAGTGTGTTGGCATTGACATACTAGTGGAAGCGTTGCGCTAAGCGTTTAAGGCTCCTGACCTTCATATTATCATCCTCCCAAATTGGATTCTATTTCGTGACTGGCAGCGAAGTCCGTTGGGATGCAGCCACAAGCGTGGGAAACGACCCGGAAGGGCGAAAGTTGATGCTCAGTGGGTTGCGATCGTTTCTTGGAGCAGCGACTGTTCTTTTGCTCTTATCATGGGTTTGCTCCTCGACGATTTGGGTCATCGCCAGCAACCTGTTATCTCCCGTGTTCAGCACGACATCTGCTGTGGAAGTTGAGGAGACATTCCAGCTCGATCACCGACGGCAGTCTCCTCGAAAACAACGCCTTGTTCGAATTTGGACCCTTTGCGCCGTGACAGTAACTGTCGGACTATGGCTACTGCGGCCTCAAGTGCCGTACAGTCATATGTCCGGCGCTCTTCCGTTTACCTTATTCGAGGCACTGCGATTGAAGTCTGCGAAACCGCATCCGCTCGGTGAACAGGACTTCCCGCTACCACAGTTGATCGGAGAAGAATACTGGGAAGCTCCCCGGGGTCATTTCAAAGGCTGGGCACCCGGAGGAGATGAAAGCATCGATACAAGCGGGCGTCCTGAGTGGGCCTCTGTATCTTTACCTCATGGATTTGAGCGTTGGGAAGAAAGACCCGAGCCTGTGCACAATTCCGACGATGCAAATGGTCAAGATGAAGAGAAGCCACGGCCGACGAGTTATTACAAGCCGGCCAACGATCCTCTACGGATCACAAACCTTGATCAAACCGTCGTGGAGCCAATTGCCCAAGCTATCAAAGCCCACGATATCCCTATCAATCATGTCTTTCTGGTGATGATGGAGAGTGCCCGAAAAGACATTTTTCCTTTCAAAAGGGATTCTCATCTATATCAAGAGATCCTCTCATCCTACCACAACCAGGTCCCAGACATCATTCAGCAAATCAATTCGAAGCTCTCCCAACTGACTCCAATTGCCGAGCAATTAACGGGTGAATCGAGTGGTTTCCCCGATAGCGGCAACAGGTCTGCTGCCCTGTGGAAGAATTCTGCCGAGTTTGGAATGGGTGGTATCAATGTCAACGGCATCCTCACCGGTAGCAGTCTCTCCTTCAAGAGTGCGGTCATGAACCATTGTGGAGTGAGCCCCATTCCGGTCGATTTCATGGATGAAGTCACGGCGAAGATCTATCAGCCATGCATCATGCAGATTTTCGACTTGTTCAATCGGCTGAAAGAGAACTCAACGGCCAGCCACGGGTCTCATATGGGGGTTAATGATCTCCAGGAACGCAACTGGACATCTGTCTTCCTGCAGTCTATCACTGGTCTGTACGATGACCAGGACATTCTCAACAACCAAATGGGGTTCAAGAAAGCGATTTATCGTGAAGAAATTGAGCGTCATAGAGCAAAGCATTACCACGCTGGCATGGAGGAGATTAACTACTTCGGGTAGGTCATCAGCTAATGGTTTCTTGACAGTCTTGCTAACATAAATACAGCTACGCAGAACGTGAGGTGTATCCGTACCTGCGGGACATAGTTGATGAAGCGATGAAGAACAAGGAAAGACTCTTCCTTTCGCATTTCACCAGCACGACTCACCACCCCTGGTCCACACCTTCCGATTTCCATGACGAGCAGTACTTTGCAGACGACAGCCTCATGGACAAACATGAGGACATGAACAACTATCTGAACACAGTCCGCTACGTCGACGGCTGGCTAGGAGATATTCTCCAAGTCCTGGATGACACCGGTATCGCCAATGAGACACTAGTAGTCCTCGTAGGAGACCAGTACGTCCCACCGCTTCTCCCGATCTACGAATGTCAACTAACATCAACCAGCGGCCAAGCCTTCCTCGAAGACTCACCCGTATCAGGAACCTACGAGAACGGACACATCAGCAACTTCCGAATTCCACTCGTCTTCCGTCATCCACTACTCCCCCAAATCCAGATCACGGCCAACGCAACGTCCATGTCCGTGGTCCCGACGATTCTCGATCTCTTAGTACAAACCAAGTCACTCAATGACAAAGACTCGACCGCTGCGCTGGACTTGATTAACGAATACGAGGGTCAGTCTCTCATACGCCCATACCTGGCCACACACAATGGCCGACAGGCGTGGAATTTCGGCATCATTAATGCGGGCGGCACAATGCTGAGCGTCGGGTCTGCGGCCGTGCCTTATCGACTCATTTTGCCATTGACGGAAGACTTTGAATTTGTCTTTTCGAATCTGGATACCGACCCTGATGAACTACATCCGTTGCGTGGGTGGTCAGCTCAGAAGTTGATTACGCGGGTGAAGAGTAAATACGGGGAGAAAGCCGGGCAGTGGGTGGATGAGGCGGAGAAGGTCGGACGGTGGTGGGTTGCCGAGAGGAAGAGGCTGTGGAATTTTGAGGAGTAGCATAGCATGTTGGATGTATACATTAATTCAATGATAAGAAGAAGAATAGCAAAGCGATCGGATTGTTCTTTCTTTGTTCCCGCCTCAGGCACCCCACACGCCCCACCTTCGCGTCGACTTTGAAGTCGCAATGTCCCATCTCCAACCCATATTCGCCCAATCTCGCTCTTCCCTTGTAGGAAATAGCTCTTGTGATGGGAATTCACTCGTCGCAAGTTCCCTGAACTGTCTGAACACCAGCTCTGTGCCCCGCACCAAGGAATTTTACCCCACAGCTCTGATATCCCAGAGCCGAGCTCCCGCAATGGCAGACACATACGCCAATAACCCGGAATGGTCAGACGTGACCCCAATCCCTCTGGACGATGGCTCAGAATCCGGGGCCATGCCACTGGCCACCATCGCCTACCCGGACGAGTACCTCGATGCGACATCGTACCTGCGAGCCGTGATGGCTGCGAACGAGATGTCGGAGCGGGCATTGAAGTTGACAGAAAACGTCATTTCCATGAACCCAGCGCACTACACCGTCTGGTAAGCCGTATACAGACGAATCTAGCTAGTTCCAGCAAAATCCTAACATGCAACATAGGATCTACCGCGCCAGAATTCTCTTCGCCCTGGACAAAGACCTCCTCGAAGAACTGGAATGGCTAAACGGCATCTCCCTAAAATACCTAAAGAACTACCAAATCTGGTACTTACCGCTTCACCCCAGGGACCATAAGCATCAAACTAACGAAATCCCAGGTCCCACCGCCAAATCCTCATGGCCTCAGAAACCCACTTTTCAACACTCCCGCCCAAAGAACTGGACTTCTTAATGGAAATGTTTGCCCAGGACTCCAAAAACTACCACGTCTGGACATACCGCCACTGGCTAGTCCGGCGCTTCGGACTCTGGGATCTCCCCCGGGAACTCGAAGACGTGGACGCGCTGCTCAAAGCTGATGTACGCAATAACTCCGCCTGGAACCATCGGTACATGCTTCGTTTCGGTCCGCGTGCGGATAAGCCTGATGGCGGAATGGTGGCTGCTGGGACGGGCAAGGTCCCGGGCGTGCACGACGTTGTGGATGAGGACGTTGTTGATTCGGAGCTTGAGGTTGCGAAGAAGGCTATTCTTAAGGCGCCGGAGAATCGGAGTCCGTGGTGGTATGCACGGGGTGTGTTGAGGGCTGCTAGTAGGGAGCTAGGGGAGTGGGAGGAGTTTGCGGGGTTATTTGTCAAAGGGGAGGTTAAGAGTACGCATGCTGTCGAATGGTTGGCTGATGTTTATGCGAAGGAACGGGCGGAGGAGGCCGTTGGTATGTTGACTATGTTGAAAGAGAAGTATGATCCTGTGCGGAAGAATTATTGGGATTATAGGATTAAGATGCTGGGTCAGGTTGCTTGATCGTGATGGGGGTTGATTTCTATCTTATTTTTTACTGTAGGAGTTTGGTTGCGATGTCTAGGATGAAAATCGATTTTGATTTATCTTTAATCTTTTTGTCTTCTAAAGTCAAGTGCTGGCTTGTAATGTATGCAATAGAACGATATGCAAAAAGAAGTCATGTCGAGATGGAAGAACAGTCGTGATGAAAACCAAAGGGGACTAAAAGAGGTATATGTGAAAAAGAAAAGAAAGAAACAGGACAAGGAAACATTTTATAATCATAACCCATCAAACCCAGCCTTCGGCCAGCAGCTTGCGCCACTCGCCAGCGGTCTCGATGGTGACATTAGACCCTCCGCAGACAACGATGACAATCCGGCTGTTCTCGTTGAGGTCGGGGATAAGCTGCTTCATCTTCGACTTGAACGCCGGCGACTTGGGCATGGCAACGTCGCCGACCTCCGGCTCAGGCTCGACGTCGGTCTCGTTCTCATTCGACGACAATCGGTCATCCCCGTAACCTTCATCGCGGTAGCCAGTATCCTTCGATCCCCTCTTTCGTTTGTGGGTGCTTTGGCCCCCGGCCACGGGGTTCGCCGAAGCAGGGGTAGGAGTAGTGGTGGCTGCATCGCCGATGGCCGCTTCGATGCAAACGCCACAGGCAAGCTCGACTAGGTATCGCTCGTCATCGACGAGACGGAGACAGCCTCGTGCAGCCTCCGCGTCGGTGAGGACGGTGCTAAGCACCTTGATCCCCGGTGGGGGTGCAACGGCATATTGGAAGGTGGTTTCCGATACCCGGATGGCACCGAGGGAAGTGGCTTGGGATGTGATCTTAGGGAGGGAGACAAGGGAGTTGTGGGCGATGGCGGCGGCTAGGGAGTCGGTGCCGGCCGTTTCGATGGCGAGGATGTTGATAGGCTTGGGAGTAGAAGAGGCATTCTGAAGCTTCTTGGGTCGTCGTTTCTCAAGGCCCATGACCAGGCCATTCAGGAGACCGCCGCCACCGACACTGCATAGCACAGCATCCAGAGGGAGCGCCCGCCCGCGGTAAACTTCCTCTTCCTCGGCGTTGGCCGCCGGGGGCAGTTGCTTCTCTAGTTCGTCAATGATAGTGCTGTTTCCTTGCCAGATAGGCTCGTTGTCGAATGGGTGCAGGGCAATCTTGGCCACGTTCTCGTCGTTTCCGGAGCTCTTCTTCATGATCACCTCCTTCATGTAGGAACCGGCCTCGAAGAAGTTTTCGCCGTGGCGGATCACGTCCGCAGCACCGGCTGCTATGAGTTTGTCCACCATCAAGGGCTTTGTGGACAGGGGCACCACGACTGTGCATGGGTAGCCCAGGCTTCGGGCAGCACAGACGGCTGCCAGTCCGGCGTTTCCACCGGACGAAGCGTAGAAGTGGACAGGGCGGCCGGCGTTTTCTGGGTTGTGAAGGTGTGAAAGAATCTGGTTGCCCATTGCACGAGACTTGAAGGAGCCACTGGGCTGCACATTCTCGAGCTTCAGAAAAACCCTACAGCCAGCAGCCCGGGAAAGGCAGGCCGACTCGACCAGAGGAGTTTCGATCCATGGCGTCTTGAAAGTCTGCTTCTGTTCGCAGACAGTAGGCTCGTAGCTTCCCATGGCAGGCAGAAGAAGCGAAAAATATTAAATCAGGGTGTCGCTCTGTCGGAAAGAAAGAATAATCTGTCAAGTATAAGAGAGTCCCAAATAGGAAGATGTTTTGGATGCGGGCGTCGTTAACTCGGGGGTCGGTGGTATATAAGACCAAGATAAAAATAGAGGAGATAGCGAGAAGACCCGAACGATAAAAGACTAAAGGAACAGGTTCAGCATTGAAACTTCAGTAGTATACAAATAAGACATGTTTTGATATACGAGGAGGACGGCGTTAGTTTTCCGACGGGAAACGGGGAGACTTTCCCGTCCCGATCCTCCGCAAAGTACAATACGGGGTGGCCACCCATGGTTCTGGCCCATCTTTTCCCGCCGATAACCTTGTGGATAGCGCCAATCACGATGGGGTCAGCTTGAAAAATGGTGCGTAATAGACTGGAAAACCTGGCTCCTCAGCGGACTCCGTGTGGAGAGGAAGACCCGGGAAATCTTCTCAATGGAGATGTTACACCTGGTGGAGATGATGCAAATCTTTAAGCGTACGGGTCTTGTCGATCGTGATTGGCCTATGGGGTATTCTTCTTATCAAATCGAAAACGGGCGTGGAGTCCATGTGGTCAAATTATTCCTCCGTGAGCAGAGGAGGGAAAAGCATTCCTTTCCTGACGCCCTGCCCGTAGTCCATATCTGAGCCGTAGACCGCGGCCGAGAATGCCCGCTTGGTCGGATCGGATGTATCTACGCGAAGAAGTTCCAGAAGCTCTTGTGACTTGCCGGGCATGAACGGCTGGAGCAAGATGGCGGCAATGCGCAATGATTCAGCCACGTTAAACAAGACCCATTCCGGATTGGGGGTTTTCCACGGCTCCGCCGCATGGAAGTATTTGTTGGTCTGATGAGCGTAAAAAAAAAACGGGTCAGCCACTCTGTCGTGCGGGGATGGTTTGTCGTGCGGGGATGGTCTAGCTCCTTACTTTCTCGATTATGCTCATGATTTCCTGCAAAGCGGCCCGCGGATTGAGTCCGGTCATATGGTCGGCGACCTTCATCGGTGCTAGGACCAGCAAGGCCTGGTGCTCTCTATCGGCTGCCGTTGTGGCTCCGAGCTTATCAGAGGTGGCATCCTGGATATATGACCCCAACTGGCCCTTGGCACACCCAATTGTGCGATGAGCGAGGTTTCCAATGCCTCCCTGGAGCCATTTCTTGTAATCGCGGATAATAAAGGCATTGTCATAGTCTGCGTCATCCGCGAGACCACCCTGGTAAGCCAAGAAGAAGCGCATGCCGTCAACACCGAACCGGTCAATGGCGAAAAACGGATTCACCACGTTCCCCGTCGACTTGGACATCTTCTCGCGGTTCATGGTCCAGTGCCCGTGCACAAGCACATTCCGAGGGACAGGAAGGTCTAGAGCCATCAGGAAGGCCGGCCAATAGACGCAGTGGAAACTGGGGGATGATCAGCTGCGCGTCGGGATTCCTAGGCGGTGGCATGTGCTTACCGAACAATATCCTTTCCGACTACCTGAACATCTGCAGGCCACATTGATGCGTCCCCTTGCCCCGGAGGGAAAGGATATCCTGCTCTGGTCAGATAATTGACGAGCGCATCCAGCCAGACGTAGATGGTCTGCGTGTCATCGCCGGGGACCGGAATGCCCCATGTCAAACGTTCGGCAGGTCTAGAGATGGACAGATCTTGCAAGCCGGATTCAACCGACTTGATGACGTTTGTCGCGTACTTCGAAGGCGTAATAAAGGAGTTCGGACGACTGTATAGCTCCAGAAGGCGATCCTTGAATGCGGACAGGCGGAAATGGTAATTGGTCTCTGAAGACCACTCAACCTCTTTACCCGTTTCAATCGATACCTGTCACGTGTGAGCAGCGGCCGTGGTGAAATTGGAAGATGATCTTACCATTCGTTTCCTGCCGGTCGATGGATCAAGGGAGTTTTGCACCCCGGATTGCGGGTAGAAGGTCTCGTCGCTAACTGAATACCACCCCTCGTGCTTCGAAGTGTAGATATAGCCTCGGTGGTTCAGCATTTCCTATCGCTTCGTCAGTCGTGTTTTCGTATGGTGGTACGCTATGTACCTACCCAGAAATATTGGACGGCCTCTCGATGCGCCGGATCTGTTGTTCGGATAAAGTGATCATTGCTGATGTTTGCAGCCTTGGCTAGAGCCTGTTCATCAAGTTCGAAGTTAGGATACCTTCCACAAAGCCGCGCGGAGGTGTATACGTGCCTCGAAGGTTCGGCAGTTCATGTCGCAAAAGGCCTGGGTATCCATTCCAGCCTCGAGGGCAGCTTGCTGAATCTGACCGTCGGCATTAGTCGACATTGTCCACCAATAGTGTATTTCGTCCGTATACCTTCATTCCGTGCTCGTCGGTTCCGGTCAACAGCTGAGCGTCCTTGTTTCCGAGTAGGACCTGCCATCGTTTCAAGATGTCGGCGATGACCATCGTGTATAAGTGGCCGACATGAGGAGCTAGTAGAGAATGCAGCAGTTAGAAAGGAATCATCGATATTGGGCCTCAAGAAGAATCTTACCGGCATTGACGTAGAAAATCGGGGTGGTCACATAGTACGGCTTCTTGAATTTCCCCGGAGTCGTTGCGAAACCGCGTCGGGCAGGAACGGACAATCCATGCCTGCAATTTGAACATTTCCATGACCTTTGGGCGTTGACAAGCCGAGTCGCCCTCGAAAGGGTGCTCAACGGTGCCCTGAAAGCCATTGGGGATGGTTGTTGGTGAGGAAAAGAGCAGGACCTTATTCCGCATCGCGATCCGCAAATTGGTCCAAGCTCCTCCGCCCGCCAATTTTCTTTTCCTCCGATCGGAATTATCCACCTTCATTCCCTTCATTGCTTATGGGCGGCTGCATATTCAAGCTATATTTCCCCCGTGATTCATCTTTACCGCGTCAAAGATTGGGTTCGCAGAACTCTTGAACGCTCTCGCACTGCTCTTTACCTCTCGCACGCACTGCGTTTTGACCCATCGAAATGGCTGTCGCAAAGGACGATGCCCTGACCAAAGTGTCAACAGACGGTATGTCGCAAAGCTATACGGAACGTCCAGCCCATTGACAGTGCTAACACGCTGCCTGTCCCAGCTGCCACCGAGCTTGTCAACTCCTTCTACCCGGCCCTCGAAAAGAACCGCGATGCCATCGGGTCCTTCTACATGACCACGCCGACCTCAATCCTGTTCAACGGCAACCCGGTCGCGGACGGTGCCGCCGTCCAGGAGATTTTTGTCAACCAGATGCCAGCCGCCCACTACGAAGCCCAATCCTTCGACTGTCAGATCATCAACCGCGCATACCCCACCGCCACGGCCGCTGGCGTCAAGCCCCCCGCCGAAATGACCGTCAAGGACATGTCCATCCTTGTCATTGTAAGCGGATACGTGCGATATGGTGAAGGTCGTGATCAGCCCCAGCGCGGCTTCAGCGAGACCTTTGTGCTAGTGCCCAACCCCTCTACGGAGCGTGGGCACCGCCGCAAGGGCTGGCTCATCCAGAGCCAGAACTTCCGTCTGGTAGTCTGATTGGGCCGCTTTCGTCCTACGTTCCTGGAGCAATGACATGGATTGTGAGATTATGAAATTATTGGCAAACTTTGAACAGACGACTATAATTCGACACGGAAAACATTACACCGCCGTATACAGAAACTTGGGAACAAACTTGAAAGACTGGATATCACAAATTGCGCGGAAACTGGAGGTTACACCCACTCGACAATGATGGTGATCACGCTGCCGAGGTCGACTTGCGCGGAATGCGCAGATTCGCTTTCACTCGCTCCAGTAGCTCTTCCCGCGACGCATTCTCATTTGGCATGAGCCCGCGCTGTCAAAAAAGAGTTAATGAGCAGGAGGTGGAGAAATGTTGAGGATTGAACATACCGCCCGAAGCCAGCGTCTCATATCATCGGACGTCCAGTCCTCGGGATCTGTTGTGGTTAGGCGTCTCCTTGTTCTCGCTGTGATGATGGATGACCTACTTCCAGTGGGGTCTGACTCTGCGGGAAACACATCGGAGCCCCAGATTGACCAGGCGGCTACCGCGGTGACCATCCCAGCGAAGCCTGCATTTGGAAATCCATCATATTAGTTTTGGACCATTTGGCAATGAAAATGAAATTTGAATGTTGTATGTACCGAGGAATAGATTCTAGATCACATTAGTTTCTTGAACGCGTGTTCGTAAGTTGAGTATGGAGTACCTTGGAGTTCAGAGCTCGATCGAGTGGAGTAGGCATTTTGACAGGCTATGGGTAGAGATGTATAGAGGAAAAGTTTCGAAAAACTGGTTGACTAGGAGCTTGGGGCTTTGAATGATAGATGACACAGTAAGAGCTAACGACAAGAAGTAGCTTTGGACAACTCGATCACTTGCACCGCCACCGACGCCACTCCGCGCGGCTGCCTTGCAGATCGTCAACGGCACCTTCCACGAACTCCTTGTAAAAGCATCGTAAAGTATATACTTTCGGAGCGCAGAACGTATTGTTCCTACAATCAAGTACCCTTCTTTTGACTGCCTTTCGTTTATCTACCTTTTGGCTACTGTCATTCTGTCCCTATAGCATGTGTATCTATACTGCATACACCCCGAACGCCTTTCGTTCGACCGAATGGACCAAGAGGCGACGAAAGCCATCCTGTTCCTGACATCCGTCACATACCTGATTGCTGAGATAACCGATCTGATATCGGGACTGGCGCCAGTGGTGCAGGTCGACACGAAGTAGGGCCGCGGTGGCTGGAGTACGACTTCAACGAGCGGCGGTGAAACTCGTCATTTGGGAGAAGATCGGTGTAAGTCGGCAATCCTTTCAACACACCCTTCGTACCCTTCGGCGCAACAATTGAAGAAGACAGGAGTTCAAACCCCGCGATCAGTAACGCTGCCGCTCGACCACGTGACCACCAGGGCTTCCGAGAGCACAAACCCTAATCCGATCCACACAACTTCCTTCCTCGTCGAGCTTTCCTTCACCGTCACCTTATCGCATCAATACCGTCACCATGCCTCGCGAAATCTCCGATATCAAGCAGTTCATCGAGATCTGCCGCCGCAAGGACGCCTCGTGTACGTGATCGCCCGTTTCCGTGGAGAAATTCAGTCTTGGAGGTCTCGGGAAACTCGAAAACTGACAGAACTTTAGCCGCCCGGATCAAGCGCAACCGCAAGTCCCAGCAGATCAAGTTCAAGGTCCGCTGCGAGCGCTTCGTCTACACCCTGGCCCTGACCGACTCCGCCAAGGCCGACAAGCTCAAGCAGAGCCTTCCTCCTTGTACGTCACTACAACCGCGTATTGCGCTGCAATCTTCTGGCTCCGAGCGGGGATGAGAATGTGATCGGAGGAGTGCAGCCAGAGTGCGCAATCAATTGGACCGAGCCCAAGCTAACAATCACTTTCTCCAACAGCCCTGAAGGTTGTCGACGTCTCCAAGGGCACCAAGAAGTCCCTGTAAATTCGATAATGGAATGAACGGATCGGAGTGCGGCGCGATTGGTTGATGCGACCAACTGTTGGAGGGACACTCGGACTTGATCTCTCTGCGGGCCGACACGGAGACGGGCTGTCTTCGCGTCTACCATGATATCCCGGTCAGACGACTCGCATTTTCATCACGCACTCGGAGGAATGCCTTTGTCGGAGCTTCCTGTCTACAATGAAAAAAACAGTTGAAACACATTCTTACTGGTATCCTCAATGAGGTTCCTGTACCCTATCTATCTATTATGGGAACAAAAAACCATTCCTCAGCCATGCTGCTCTATTTTTTATGCCCATTGTAGTTTTTTTCTAATCGGGATGTTCTCATGGATGAGACGACATTTAGTCTTGACATACGTTACGGCTGTCAATGAGGTTATTGCAAGCTCATTAGACAAATATTACGACTGACATTGTCTGGTCATTCTACGTTTCACACGAGGTTTCGTCTCACTTTCTGACCTACCGGACAATGCACATGGTGAACCTTCTGAAAGGTGGATGCAGAACTCTCTATACTCTTTATTTGATTAGAGACATCCGAGTCAACAACCAGGCTCATAGTTTGTTTTAGACCATCTCGATCAAAAAATTAACCTGCATACAATACGCTCTAGTGACAAAGACACCACGGAGTCCGCGTCTTGAGATGTCTCGATATTCGACATTTAAGGAGATCCCATGCCCTCTCAAGTCAAGGTTATTATCAGAAAGCATTACTCAAACTCACCATGTCGCTCACACCCTCTAGCCAAGACTCCTGGGGGGACACCTCCAGCGACTCAACAGCTTCAACACCAGTGAGCTTGTCATACACATCTCAAGTACATTCCTTATGGCCACTAGGCAACCTCAACGTTTTTCCACTTGATACCATCTGGAACATCTTCGACGAGCTCCTCATGGGAAGCAGAACCGGACGACTAACCCACGAGCACCTCCACGCTTTCTACAGCTTCTCCCGCGTCAACGAACCAGCCGCCGAGATGGTGAAAAACTATATTGGGCGCCAAATACCATCAGCATATCTCATGGACCAAATCTCTGCCCGATGGTATCCCTACTCAACTGCCGACATTCCACTAACCTACGATGAGATTGAGCAAATTGCTCCACTCGATAACCCGCTAAATGGATACGACATCGTCACTGATACCATTCGAGACGATTGCGTGGATTGTTTTAACAGGCTTTCCAAGAGTACCACGGTTCCTAAACGTCATGCTCTCGGTTGCAATGAAGGTGGCTGGAGCTATGTAGCCATCGCCGCCTGCTCGAATTCCTTTTGCTTGCTCGAGGAGTTTTGTACGAACAGCCCATACGGGCGTCCTATTGATAACCTTGCACGCCCAGCTAACCACAACTGTGTGGAAGTAAGCCCTCTGGATATCATGGCTCATCGGCAAGACCTGCAGTTCTTTGAACGTCTGATTGACTTGATAGTATCTCCCCTTGACGACCTTCGATGCCTCGACTTGATCAGTAGAGGATTGAGTCCCAAGGGTAGACTTGATCTCTGCAAATTCGCCACGCCCCATCTGGCAGCAAGGCTTCACTCGGTAGGTGTCAGTCTCTGCGATACTATCAGTGCAGAGGCGACTGCATGGCATGTCGGTGTTAGCAACGGTCCGGCGTTCCTAGACTACCTGTTCCACAACTCACAGCAACCGAATGTGGCACTCAACGGGTCATCCAGGTGTAGAAATACCCCTCTTTTCGCTGCTGTGAATGCTGACAGGCTAGATTCCGTTCGATGGCTCCTGGAGCATGACGCTGATGTCCATCTCTCGCACACCGGCGATCCCCGCTGCACCCCGGTTCACCTCGCTATGACCAAGGGCTCCGAGGTAAGCGAAGCCATCCTTGAAAAGCTTCTCTCAGCTACGACCCTCGGCAGTATTTCGATAACAGCTTCTGGTATGCTGCTCTACTCCCTGATCGAGGGTCTTATAGTCACCTGCCACAACGAGGCGGTGCGAAACGACATCGACGAGTACGAGTACAAGTTCTTGACAAATTCTCACCAACAGCGCGCTATTCGCAAGTGTGCGCTTATCCGGAGAGTTACTGAGGGTGTTCGTTTTATTTACCCCAGTCTGGAGCCACACTGGCTGTTACCTGATGAGCCTGATCTGCGATGGCACGACGAAGCCAAGGGCCTGGCTATTATGGCTGGTTTTGAGAATATCGTCGATATCATGGAGGACTGTTCAAATTTCATTTTCAAAGGTTGTACTTCGTCACCTTCTGTATTTCGGAGCCTTTTTCTCTACCGAGACTGGAGTTGAGCTCACCATCCAATGTGATATGTCCCTTTTTTTACTGGTCTTGTTTTTTCTCGTTTGGATAGTCAGTCATTCCGTTCCCTATTTTGAATCCTCCAAGGTTCTTGCATAATTTTTCTTTTTTTCGTTTGGTTTGATAGACTTATACAGATTCAACGGAATTGACGGATTAACCTAAATGGTCGGTGAGTTGGTGTTTCAACTGACAATAATTGTGTAGTTCTGACGAGAATTCCTAAGAAAATAGAGCCAGCCACGAAAACATCACTAGTAGAACATGAAGCAGAGTTTGCGTACGCCCGGGTTCGTTGTCGGCATCAACGCGGCACCAGGTCCATAAGCCTAAGCTATAGGGATCCCAGTCATGAACGAAGCCATACCCTGGGGACCGAGAACGTCCTCAAGACTGAGCCAAGAATACACCAACTTGTCCGATTTGCCCTTATCATAAGCAACATCATCTTGGATCGGCTTTTTGTTCTTGCAGAACACTCTCAGCTCTTTACATGCCACATCTCCATTCTTCTTCAAGTATTCCCGCATCACGTCGCCAGCGCTCGTGACAATCCGACTCCCTACCTCAGCTCCCCCAGATCCAAGTCCCATTGCACGTGCATTTTGGGCCGAGCCTTGCGCAACGTGGTGGATGAGAATGACGATGTTTGAGATGAAGGACTCGTCAAGCATGTACGCCGACGTGAAATATTGAACAAATTTCTGGTGCTCCTTGTCTCGGATCAGTCTGAGTAACTCAATGGAGCGTTTGTGCATGCCGAAGTAGTTGTACAACAAGATAGGCTCCTCTTCGAATAGCTTGGTCTTCAGGAAGGCGAGGACCTGCAGCGTGTCGATGTTGTGGGCATTAGACCACTTTTGGGCAATGATGAGTTCCGGATTGGCTCTCTGAACCTCCTTGCTGGATGATTCAAGCTTCGATTTCTGCGAAAGCTCGTCCAAGATCCTGTCAATGTTTAAAATCCCGGCGTCTTCCTCAGGACCACCAACGTACTGGGCGAAAAACAAGTTCGCGACTGCAGTGGTGGGCTTGAGCACGCGGGGATTCTTGCCGTCAGGCTTATGGAATTTTTTGCTCCGGGAATCGCGGGCAAAATTGGCGGCGGATGAGATGCCAGTGGCCAACTCAAGCCTGTTCAGTGATTCATTGGCGTTTTTTGGCCGCGAACCAACGAAAATATGAGACTCGCCATGGATCTTGATAAAAGCATCCATATCAGGCCATCTCAGGTCTCTGTGCGTTGGGGAATGTATGACGAGGTTGTGCAAGAAGGCCAGTTGTTGGACGTCGTACCATTGGGTGACGAGCTGCTGGCCAACTAACTGCATTCGCATATTGAGGTTGAACAGGATCAAGCCGCAGAGGATAGCGTGTTGCGAGAAGAGTGCATGCTTTTCGGGTTGGGAGCCAATTCCGTCGAGTTTAGACCGGACTCGAATATCTAAGAACAGATCTCGTATGATCCATGACTTCACGGTTGACGCAATATATTGAATCTCCTCGTCGCCCTCTTTTGGCCAGAATTTGGGCTGAGGGTGTGTTCTTGACAATTGCAGGTAGTCATCAATAGTCTTCTGGATACGGAGTCCAGACATTCGGAGGTCTCCAAATGCACCCAAGGTACTGTGTCGCATGATATGATGAACATCGAGGAAGATCTGGGAGACGAAGCAAAGCCACAGAGTAACCCTTTTGGTCTTGGCAAACTCAGAAAGGCCTCGAGTTATCGCGTCCTCGGTAGGCATCTGGATTTTGAATGTATCGAACATGCAAAACTCTGGCAAAATCGAAAGAAGGATGATTTTGTCTTCGTTGAATTTCTGACCCACAGACATCCGCTCTCTGTTCGCTTTCGGATTGTAGGTGCCGAAGTAGCCTTTTTTAAAGACTGGCTGATGATTGTCCTGGAGAACATCTGCAAAGGACTCAAGCAGGACCTTAGTTGGCACATAGCACCAGTCGGCTATGTCAGCCATGTTCTTGTTGTATGGCAGGCCAATCTCAATGGATGGAGACGCGGAAATGCCGCGGGTATAAACAGCGAGGTTGAAGACAATATTCTGAACGTCGTCCCTTTTCCCTGCAAGGGAAGTGCGCCAGTCAGCTTCCACATCCTGCGCAAGATCTCGGGCAAGTTGCAAAGCACTGTCAGTCACGACAGCGGCATTCATAAGATCGATTTTCTGATCTCGATACTCTGACCAGGTCATGGAATGGTCATGGAAATGAATGTTCGCATATTGTTCAAGTCCTGGAATAAGCAGAGGGTCTTGAAGAACAATTGACTAAGATACGAGTCTCCTGCCTCATCGTCGTCCTCTTCAACAACAGTCACCTTGACGACCTTCTTCGATTCTGCGGACGTCGGTTGAGTTTCCCCAGCAGTATCCTGGGGTTCTTCCACGGTGAGAACAGCAAATTTGTTTAGAAACCTGTCAGCATCGGCCTCGTCACTTTGGGCCTCGGAAGTCGGCGATGGTTGCTTAGCGTCGGGCTTCGCGGGCTGGTTGGTCTTCCACTCAAGAGTCTCGCAGATTTGCTCAGCGCGGTGATGAAATGAGCATGACGCTTGTTGTTTGCGGAGTCACCCTGGCCCAGGAACCAGGAAGTGACCGCTTTTCTCAATTTGATGGCACGTTTCGCGATGGTGAGAACTGACTTAGGTACCGTGCCAGCAGAACTGGCAACCACCTCAGCGAGCTTTTGCAGATCTTTGGTAGTTGCACTATAGTGAAGAGGGTCTGCAGCTAAGCCATGGTTTTTGCCTTTGCGTTTGCCCTTTTCCGCGGTGGAAATGGTAGCAGAGAGGGCAGGTGGTCGATAGCCACATTGGTTAGCTGTCTCCAGTAGCCATGTTGCAAATGTATTGGTATCCGCTTTGTAGCGGCTGTAACTACTCTGCAAGAATTCAGGTAGCATATTGGCGATTGAAGGCCAAACAAGTGAAAAATAGCCAGCTGGTTGAGGAGACTCAGATGTTGTTCAGTGGGGACCCGACCCGGACGAGGTAAATGTAGAGTCTGTGGGAGCTGACATAAGTGCATCAGACTGGTCACATCAGGGTGAGGGTTTCAATTTGTCAACAGAATGGATGTGTTACTTTCGCATGAACATGCTCAACAATAAGTACAGGATGGAAACAACGCACGAAAGAAGGAGGTTATGAGATCTCTATGAGATCGGGAGCTGTGCAATACAAATCAATTCGTTACTAAAGGTTCCGGGGTGCAAGTGGCTCATTTCCTGTGAGCCCTCTTTTTCGGAGAAGAACACCCCGATGTTCCAGAAATGCTTTGTATGCTGGTTTCGGGACAGTCCTATCTTCATTCTCCCATACTTGGAACCCAACCTCCTCCCAAACTTGAAGCTGACGAGTGAAATTCGTGCTCGGTTTGATTTTCTGCTTTGATTGAACAAAATGCAATACGTCTGCTTGCTGCATGTTCAACTTGCGCATGAGATAGGCAATGATAATAGTCGGCGAGCGTGATATTCCAAGATCACAGTGAATTAATATCGCCTCCGACGCAGCACCACGCCGCTCGTCATTCGTTTCATGTTCGCGCTCGACGGGTAATGAGAGCAACGAGGAAAGAGCTGGGGATGCCATTTGGTCGATGAAGTCGCAAATATCACTCATATGGGCGAGGAGGTCTTGGGTCGACGAATCTGCACATTGAACCCATTTGTGACGATGTTCTGGAACGCCTGCCTCTCTTGTAATGGTATTCCACCATACCCATCGAGCATCAGTGAGAGAGACTATTGCGTTGATATGGTGCTCTTGAAGCATTGGCCGTTTGTATGATGCCTCGACATTTCCCAGGAAGAGACCAGGGACAATCTGCCTCATCCGAGCCGTAAATGCCATCTCCCACTTCTTGTTCCTCTCCTCCTGAGTAATTTCTCCTTTGGCATTTTCACCCATCATGTTATTTTGTGCTCTTGCCTTAAAGCCAGGGAGGGGTTTGAGATTGCTCGTAAGACTAAGGTTGATGGGAAGTTGTGGTGCTTGGCTGTTAAGCGGACCCTTGTTTTACCTATCAGTAAGCGCCCAACAAGGGTTCGCCAACTCTAAAGAGCAGATCTCAATACAATTGGCGGAATATTCTAAACGCCCAGAAATGCCACCGGAGCACCGACCGAGTGTAGGAAAATATTGGGAAGGTATTGTCCCCCTCGATAGTTGATCTAGCGATAGACGTATTCGTATCACAGACACTCACTCCATATCTATTTCCCAACGACACCATTATATCCCACCTCTATTCCTTCCGCTTATAAGCCACCTCTCTATACCCCTCAACACCCGCCTGTCTCATATCCAACTCAACACCTTCCATCCCCAAATCCGCCCTCCTCAACTCAAACTCCCCAAAGAAAGTCGGCTCCTCCGAAACCTTCACAAACCTCAGTCCCTCAAACAGCTTAAGACTCTTCTCATTCGTCTGTCCGATCTTGACACTCAAACACTCAAACCTCAACTCCTCCCTAGCCCTCACCTTCGCCTTCATCGTCTCATCAAGCCCACTAACAAACTCTTCCAGAATTGCCCCCTGACGCTCAGTGATATACCTCATAAACGCCAATAGTGCAGCTTTTCCAAATCCACGACGCTGGTTGGCCTTTTCGGCAATCATGAGCTCAATCTCTCCGATGATTTCTGGCGGCGCGTCCCCGTCATCACCATCATCGACGCGGAGGAAGAGATTAATGTCTCCGATCATATTTGAAGCAGAGTCATTTTCTGGGTTGAGGTTGGTTGATGAGTCTGTGGTTACGGGTCGGCAGGCGATAAATGTTAATTTATCGGCGTCTTGGCGCCAGCTGCGCTGCATGGCGTATTCTTCTTCTATAGATAGGGGCTCTGAGGCCGTTGCTTCTTGGATTTCCTGAGTTTGGTGTTAATATGTAGTGATTTGGACGGGTTGGGCTGGGGAGTTTACCTCATCTTTCATCCATTCATGGTATCGTGGGACGTGCCATGTTGAGTAGGGGACCAGGAGGACTTTGGAAGTTGAGAGGGCTGGTTGCCAAAGCAATCGCGATTCGAGTTAGATAGTTTCATATATTGGCTTCGTTCAGGTAGGTGTATAGCTGTGGGTGTATGAATGGGGGAGTGCGAACCGGTCTCGGCGTTGAGTAACATGGTCACGGGTGTCCGGACTGTGGACTTGATGTGCTTGCAAATGTGTGTATAATGTGGCTTGTGCAATTGAGCAAGGAGATCTCCCCAGGCCGGCTTATCTTGAAATCTCGTGTCTCGCAGAGAATGTACAATGACGCGAGGTCGCCGTCCGGCCGACGCCGATTCTGCTGAACTGTGGGGCTTGGCATCGGCCGAGTCTACTTTACGTTTAACGTGCTATACATCCAACCCCAACATCCTCAACAGGGAATCACAAGAATTCGGTGTATATTTTTCATTGTCATTAACCTCACTCAAATGCTAAAATGCTATTTTATCATCCATTCACTTTTTCTCTTCCTGTCCCGCAAAAGTACCAAATCGAATGACTTCGGCCTCCAGAGTCTCGGTGTCGACCAGAACCAATTCTCCAGTTTCCTTAAATTTGGGAATGGAGATCAGACGCACACGAGCCGCAGTGGTGCCGGGACCATTCGTCATCTCGGTATTGCCCTCATCGAAGCGAAGAGGGATGTCGGTCTCTACCATAGCGGTCTTGAAGCTCGGTTGGTTGCCCGCAAAGAAAATGTGCGGGCAAGATTCGAGAACGAACGGGTCGTCGTCTTGGAATGGGTATGACCCTGGGAATAAAGTTAGAGTCAATTAATTGCAAGGGGGTAAAATGAAGCATACAGATTGTGTCAGGGGCAGTAGGGACGCCGCACCGCCATCGCAGCATAGCGTCCATGATCTGCAACCGGGCCTCGGATTCCTCTCTTTCTGTGTCGAGGCTGCTATCTTCGCCGGGGAACTCCAAGTACCGGAGCACATCATCGACGTTTTGACCACTGCATCCCCAAACACGCCATCCTTCCACGTCGCCTTCCCATGGGTTAGTGACGCTGTCGAACCAGCCAGGTTCTTGCTTGTCTTCACCAGATGGGGGAGGCGCGCAGTACGCTCGGGACTGGGGGAGCATGGCGCGGTGGATTCCTTGTTGGGGAAGAGAGACGTTTGCTGGGTCTTTTTCGCCCGGCATTAGTGTCACGGGAATACTGGGGAGAATCTCGGCAAGGAAATTGTCGAGTTTGGTGATGGGTGACGCGTTGTATGCAGAGGCGTCGTAGCCATATTTCTTCGGCGCAAGCTTCTTTTTAGCAGCCGCATCAGAACCCGCTGACGCTGCATCAGTGGTGACGCTGGCCCCGAGAGAGTTGCCGGCGATGATGAGACGCGTGATCTTTGATGCATTCATAGACGGGCTGTTCTCGTCATTTCCTGAGAAGCCAGTGTACCCCAAAAGATAATCTGTAAGCAGTTCCAATGCGAGCGTATCACTCGACGCTCCAGTAATTCCTAGTCCACTGACGAATGCAATCTTGCCGCCTTCCTTTGATACCGCATCCTTTCCGTTCTGGTTCTTGTCTGTCTCGTCTCTCTCCCATCGTTTAGGCTGCGGGGGCAAGTCCGGAAGTTTAATGTCGATGACCTCGAACTCTCCATTCGAATTCTCGGTTCCCAAAGCCGCGATGATGGCACCCGTGGCCAAATGAACAGATGACAGAAAAGCGCCAGTCAGACAAAGACGACCCGATTCATCCTCCATCATGATTTGGGTTGCTGACGGGTTCGAAGGATCGACATAGGCGCGGCGTGGAGGAGGTGCGGACGTGAAGTTCTGGCGAGAGTCAGAGGAAGCGCAAGTCAATCAGTGTAATGATACTGACTTCTTTTGTCAGGTCGTCCAAAATATTTGGCTTCAAGGGCATGTCCATGTAGATGGTGCCGGCCACCCAGCACAGCTCGCCCTGTCGCACATCGAGTACTCGGTCCACGCGTCGCGCATTTTCGCCCGCAATCTAAATCGAAACGCAGCCAGGTGAGCCCAAGCTCAACAATATCCTCATGAATAGAGTGTCCTCACATTAAATCCATCCCATGCCGCGGCGGCAATTTGTTCCACGGCAGGCTTCAGTTTCGCAAGGCGCAAGAAGTACATATCACCATATTGCTGCTGGTAGTGCCGAACGCCGCCCATGGGCAGCCGGAAGGTATCAAGGGGGTTGTAGGACGAGGGTGTCCGGTAGGCGGGTTCATATTCCTCGTTGCTAATCCAAACAGAAGAGCTCAACCGTCAGCTGGAGCTTGGTGACTGGGCAAAGGGCGCGAGCTGCTCTCACGGCGAGTGGGCAGGCAGGAGGTCAATTACATACCTGGGAGGCCGTAAAAAGCCGAAGTCCTCATCTGGCGCCATTTTGCGAATCGGATTTGGCGATCCAGGGTCTGTGGAAAGGTTGGGTGGAAGTTGCGGGCCGACACAACTGTTTGACGCGAAGCCCCACGCGAGGCGCGTCTAAATTACATTTCCCCTTTGGGACTCGGCCCGTAAAAAGCACCTGGAACCATTATCCGAAGAATATTATAAAAGGCGGCATCCTAATGTTATTCTTGTAATCAATAATAACCTTGGAGTAAAAATTTCTCGAAAGTAAAGTCCCACTCGTTTTTGCCCTTGATTCAAACAACACCCCCATCCGTGAAGTCCGTCATGACCACCGACTCAAGTCCTATTCGCAGGAATGGAAAATTAAAAGGATACCCGTACAGAGCGGTGCTCATGTCTTTCGAACGCGGAACCTTGGATTACCTAGACTAAGGATAGAGTATACACAAAGTTCAACCGCTGCTAGGGATATGGAACTGTTTTCTAAGCTGAAACAAGTATATATTTTGTACCGGATCCGACACAACCCACCAAGGAAACACTAATCGAAGTTCTGGGTGTGATCTGCTATAGGAAAGGAGCAGCGTCCATGAAATTCAGTGTACTGCTTGTCGGGTCATTGGGAGGAAAAACCCAGTCAATGCCTAGGTAATGCATGGCCAAGTCAAGGGTGTGATTGCATGTGCAGCAGAGTGATTCGGCTATATGGAGGGAGACAAGGAGACTTGGCGACATTCATTAGAGAAGAGAGCTCACAAGCCACCTGCGCGGAAATAGACTCGCCATTAAGAGCTAGCCAATGGTTAGTGAAGCAGGTGGAGTGGTCGATGTATTAAATGTGCGGCGTTCATAAGACCCCAGACCGAGTGGCGATGCCTCGGCCCGGCGCAGCTGATCTTCCCCGCATTCTTCAACATCCTCCAGCACGAGTATAGATACCACGTCGCTACCTCATTAATATTCTCATAAGCACGTCTTGCCTCTTAAAGCCATCGATCATATCCCTGACATTCATTTACCTATTATTCAACCCACCGCAAATTTTCTAAAACTTCACACCAACCGAGACCACCACCATGTCTCTCCACACACCCCTCTGCACACTCCTCAAAATCCAACACCCAGTCCTCCTAGCCGGCATGGCCCGCGCTTCTGGCGCTGAGCTCGCAGCTGCCGTCTCAAATGCAGGCGGCCTCGGCACCGTGGGTGGATTGGGCTACACACCGCAACAGCTATCCGAGATGCTGACGGAGCTCAAAGCCCTCCTGAAAGACCCATCACTACCCTTCGGGGTGGACCTGGCACTCCCACAAGTCGGGAATGGAGCACGGGCTACAAACCACGACTACACCCACGGCCAGCTGGACGAGCTGGTAGAAGTTGCGATTTCGCACGGCGCGAAGCTGTTCGTCTCGGCTGTTGGTGTGCCTCCCGAGAAGGTTATCAAGCGTCTCCATGAGGCTGGACTCCTTGTTATGAATATGGTTGGTGCGCCGAGGCATGCGGAGAAGGCGTTCCAGCGTGGGGTGGATATTGTCTGTGCACAGGGTGGTGAGGGTGGTGGGCATACGGGTGACATTCCGTTCTCGGTTCTGATCCCTGCCGTTGTGGATGTGGCGCGGAAGTATAAGAGTCCCTTGACGGGATTGCCGGCGCAGGTTGTTGCTGCGGGTGGTGTCAATGATGGGCGCAGTCTGGCTGCGTCGTTGATGCTGGGCGCTTCGGGTGTGTGGGTTGGGACGCGGTTTGTGGCATCGGTGGAGAGTGGCGCGAGTCAGCTGCACAAGGAGGCTGTTGTGGCTGCGAAGTTTGGTGAGACGCACCGTACACTGGTTATTTCTGGGCGGCCGCTGCGTATGCTGCCGAATGACTATATCAAGGAGTGGGAGAGCCGGCCCGCTGATATCAAGGCGTTGACGGAGAAGGGTGTTGTGCCGATGATGGATGACCTGGAGAATGAAAAAGACATTGATATGCCCTACTTAATGGGTGATGTGTCGGCAGCCGTTCAGGAGATTAAGCCTGCTGGTGATATTGTGAGAGAGATGGTGCAGCAGGCCGTCGAGGTTTTGAGAGCTGGTAATGCCTACATCAAGGCAAATGGCTCGAGTAAACTATAGACTACAAGGTGTGTTTACTGAGGCTGGTAGCAGCGATACAAAGAGATATCCTCTGGTTGTTAATATGTCATAGTTGTACTTGTACAGAAAACATTTGAACTCGAACGAATTCATGATGAAGCAAATGCTGTAGGCGAAAGTAACCGAATCCCAGGGAGAAACATGGACTTGAGAACCTTTGGAGGATCTCATGCAATGGTAAATGCTCCTCCAATAGTAGCCAGAAATCCTGTTGCATTCACACTGCCCATAATGAAGTCGAAGTAGCTTTGCGAGCTAGACCGAGAAAGATTTCACAAAGGAGTAGGGTCTATGGCTGCGCGGTCAAATCGGAATTGCATGAAATTGGTACAAGTCGAAAACGTCAATTAGTGACACCCATTGATGACGGCGCTCTTAGACGCCCTGGCGTCCAACAGGTTGGGAGGCGGAGGAGGTCCGAACACAGGTCGCTCGTTAGGGGCAGCAGCATGGGGAATGCCGCGGTCAGCGTCGTCGAGGTCGCCATCTTCACTCAGTTCCTCTTCGTCCTCGTAGTCATCGTCGTACTCGCTCTCGGTACCCTCATCGTCGTTGTCGAGATGATCGTCACCTTCAGCTAGGCCTTCACCACGTCCTTGAGCCTGCATTCGCCGGCACAGGGCTTCGAGGTGTTGACACTTGCGTCGCCATCTCTCAAGTTCCTCCTGGTTCCGCGTGCGTTCTTCCGCCATCTCAAGGATGTTCCGGTTGGTCTGCTCGTGCTTGCGATTGAGAGTGTGGTTCTCCTTCTCCAAGCGCTTGGTCTTCTTGGACATTTCCTCCATTTCCTTACGGAACGTCAGGAACAGCTCATTGCTGTTGTTCAGAGTATCCTCGACCTGTGAATTTGGTTAGCTACCCACTGAAAACAAGAATTTCTCTGTATCATACCTGCTTGAACTTCTCCACGTAGATGTTGAGTTGACTGCGCAGCTCGGCTTCCGTGTGAGAGAAGGTCGAGACCTGTGCACTCAAGGCGCGACCCCGTGAAGTCTCATTCTCAGCTGTGCGACGCTGCTCCTCGAACTTTGAGGTCAGGCTTTGGATCTCCGAGTCCTTGCTACGGAGAAGGCCCTTGTAGTGCAGCTCACGAGTGTCAAACTGCTCACTGATGGTCTTCAACTTCACGCGGAGACTGGATAACGGGCGTTAGTAAGGCATGAGACCAAACAAAAGTACACATTTACAGTGCTATGGCGTAGTATGAGGCTGGGGAGTGAGAGTGGGGCGTACGCTTCATCCAGATCAATATCCACCTTCTCATTGCGCGGGTTTCCCTTCGAATTCATGACGTCTTGAATGTCGTACAGGAGGCAGTCGAGGCGTTCGTTGACAATGAGGCGAGCCTTGTTTTCCGTGTCTTCTAGCTTTTTATTCTCATCCTGAGCATGTTAGCACGTCCTGCGTTTCACCTGCAGGGTACTGCCTTACCTTCACTTTCTTGTTTTCCTTTGTCAATTCACGACACAGTTTCTCTAGCTTATCCTTCATTGTGACCGTCTTGTTAAGTTCCGACTTTCCCTTCTCCTGGTCCTTTTGCAATTGATCCGCCCGCTTCTTGCTCTTGGCGTAATCACGGTCTAGCTTTTTCATATCCGCCAACAGCTCGGTATACTTCTTGTGAACAGTTTCCAGGCGGGTCATCGGGGACTCAATGTTGTTCAGGAGTTGATTGAGATCTCGTGTAGCTTTCTTCACCTCACGCTCTAGAAAACCGTTCCCGTGTTAGCGGTTATGGTTCAGATTGAACACCAAGTAGTACGCATGCAATGTCGTAATGTCGTAACAGCGGGGGGCGAGATGGACATCTCTCCAAAAAGAGCGATCTTTACGCACCGATCTCTTGTTCCTGATCTTTTTCGCCGGCCGCATCCTGTTCTAGCTGCGAGATCTTGGCAGCCAGAAGTTTGGATGTCTCATTCGGATCGGCCGCTTTCTTCCCCTTGTTCTTCTTCGCCATAGTTGTTGAAGACATGATGCGCAAGTCTCCGACGTCTCCCACGTCTTGCTCCGTCTCGGTATGCGTTCGTGGTGGTCGCGTGGGCAGCCAGATGTCGAAAATTTGTGTCGGGCTCCGTGGCAGTCAGGTACGAACGAGGCGGGACTCAATCGGATAGAAGGGAAACGAATAGGGATCCCAGAGGCTCGGCGGGCTCAGCAGGGAGATCACCTCTGGGGTCGTTGGGAATACGCTTCCTGAACAGGCGGGTGCACTTTTGTACAGTTCCTTCTTCGACTCAGGACTCGACGAGGGGGCCCTTAGTCATCGAACCAGCCGCCGTCAAATCTTAACCACAGAATCAGACTCGGACGAAGACTCAAGTTTGATTGGACTGTGTACAGTGTTACAGGGCACTGAATCCGATCGAAGCGGAGTTCCACTTGTCCGCAAGTTCCTTCTGCTACTTCAGTCACGAGGGGAGAAGTGCCGATGACATAAGCGGTGTTCTCGGTCCGATCTTTCTGCTGGTTTCTTCTCCGACGCTCCGAACACCAGTTCACTCATTTACAGCTTTTGATTCTATGCAGAGCTCAGTTAGCAGCTTGCGATGAACTGTTGTTGAACTCCTTTCATCTCCGTACATGATGCTGCGCTCTACGATGGGCTTGGGCAAGGCCCGAGTCCCGGCTTTGCGCCAACCGGCATACGGTCGACTCTCCGCGTTGAACTCTGCGATCCCGCGGACAAGGGCTCTGGCGAGGGCGGCTTCGACCGTTACCAACATCGATAGCTTCCCTGGAATCGGCGAAAAGCTCCACGGCTTCACTGTCCGCGAAAAGAAGCATGTCCCGGAGCTTCACTTGACCGCGGTGCGATTGACTCACGACAAGACCGACGCGGACTACCTGCATGTGGCGAGGGACGATAAAAACAATGTCTTTGGCATCGGATTCAAGACAAACCCGCCCGATGCGACAGGTGTACCCCATATTCTGGAGCACACTACCCTGTGTGGCAGCGAGAAGTGAGCATAACTCTACCACTATCTGTCATTGCGAAGCTAACATCTATGGTCTTAGGTATCCCATTCGCGATCCTTTCTTCAAGATGTTGCCGCGCTCCCTCTCGAACTTCATGAACGCCTTTACCTCCTCCGACCACACTACCTACCCATTCGCCACTACCAACTCGCAAGATTTCCAAAACCTTCTGTCCGTCTACCTTGATGCCACTTTGCATCCGCTTCTTAAGGAGGAGGACTTCCGCCAAGAGGGATGGCGACTGGGTCCTGAGGAGCCGCGGGCTTTGCAGGCAGCTCCGGGTCAGCCTGAGCAGAAGGCCAAGTTGGATGACATCGTCTTCAAGGGTGTTGTCTACAACGAGATGAAGGGTCAAATTTCGGATGCCAACTACCTCTACTACATCAAGTTCAAGGAGAGCATCATTCCGGCCCTTAACAACTCGGGAGGCGACCCGGAGTACATCACGGATCTCACTCACAAGCAGCTGTCTGACTTCTCGAAGCGCAACTACCACCCCAGCAACTCCAAGATTCTAACATATGGAGACATGCCGCTTGAACGTCATTTGGAACAGGTTGGAGCGGTTTTGGACGGATTCACCAAGGGGAAGGTTGATACTGATGTGAAATTGCCTTTGGATCTCAGCAGTGGGCCTTTGAATGTCACAGTTCCTGGCCCCATCGACACATTTGCGAGCGAGGACAAGCAGTACAAGACCTCAACGTCTTGGTACATGGGTGATTCGACTGACATTGTGGAGACTTTCTCTGTCGGAATCATCTCTTCTTTGTTCCTTGATGGATATGGCTCTCCTATGTACCGAGCTCTTATTGAGAGCGGGCTTGGCTCGTCCTTTACCCCCAACACTGGTCTTGACGCCTCCGGAAAGGTCCCAGTCTTCTCGGTTGGCGTCAGCGGCATTGGTGAAGCAGAAGCTCCTACCGTCAAATCCGTTGTTCAAAACGCTTTCCGGGAGTCTGTCTCTGCTGGTTTCAGCGAGGAGAAGGTGCGTGGTTTCCTTCACCAGCTGGAACTTTCGCTGCGTCACAAGACTGCGAACTTTGGAATTGGAGTTATGGAAAAGACCATTTCGTCCTGGTTCAACGGATCCAACCCGATGAAGGAGCTGGCATGGAATGATGTTATTGAGGAGTTCAAGAGAAGATATGAAAAGCCTGGGTACCTCGAGTCCCTCGTGGAGAAGTATCTTCTTAACGACCAGTGCATGACGTTCACAATGGTTGGCACTCCTACATTCAACAAGGATTTGGATAAGATGGAGGCTGTGCGTAGGGAAACCAAGCTTGCCCAGCTCATCGAGGAGCACGGTTCCGTCGAGAATGCCATCGCCAAACTGAGTGAAGAGGAGCTGCAACTTCTCAAGGTGCAAGAGGACGCGCACAACGCGGACTTGAGCTGCCTTCCTACATTGCGAGTGAAGGATATCTCCAGAGAGAAGGAGCGCAAGCCTGTGCGCGAATCAAAGGTGGACGACGTTGATGTCCTCTGGCGGGAGGCCCCAACCAACGGGTTGACCTACTTCCAGGCCGTGAACGCTTTCGAGGACCTGCCTGATGACCTTCGACTCTTGATGCCCCTGTTCAATGACTGTGTCATGCGCCTGGGTACCGCCAACAAGACCATGGAGCAATGGGAGGATCTCATCAAACTGAAGACCGGAGGCATCTCGACCTCGTCGTTCCTTGTGTCCTCACCGAACCACCTGGACCAATTCAAGGAAGGGATGAACTTCTCTGGATATGCCTTGGACAAGAATATTCCCGAAATGCTGGAGATGTTGTCAGCCCTCGTCATGGAGACGGACTTCTCGAGCCCCGCTGCACCGGCAATGATCCAAGAGCTTTTGCGTTTGACTACCAACGGAGCTCTGGATAGTGTCGCGGGCACCGGTCATCGTTATGCTGTCAACGCTGCGGCGGCTAGCCTCTCTCGCACCTTCTGGATCCAGGAGCAGCAGTCTGGTCTGGAGCAGTTGCAAGCCACGGCCAACCTTCTACGGGATGCAGAGACCGCTCCCGAGCGTCTCCAGGAATTGATTGAAAAGCTTCGCCTCATTCAGTCGTTTGCCATCTCCAAGTCCTCCAACCTTCGTGTTCGCATGGTCTGCGAGCCCGAGAGCGCTGCGCGCAACGAGTCGGTCCTGCAGAAGTGGATGGCAGGTCTGCCCCAAGTCCGTTCGCCGGCAGGACTTGCTGCTGCATCCCCATTCAAATCGATCGAGAGGGCTTTCTATGACCTCCCTTATAAGGTGTACTACTCTGGCCAGGCTACTCAGACGGTTCCTTTCGTCGATCCCTCTAGCGCCCCACTCACGGTGCTGTCCCAGCTTCTGACCCACAACTACCTGCACCCTGAAATCCGCGAGAAGGGTGGTGCTTACGGCGCAGGAGCCAGCAACGGACCCCTCAAGGGTATTTTCACGTTCATGAGCTACCGGGATCCTAACCCGATGAACACTTTGAAGGTCTTCCAGAACAGCGGTGTCTTCGCCAGAGACCGTGCCTGGTCCGAGCGTGAGATTGAAGAAGCCAAACTCGGCATCTTCCAAGGCCTTGATGCACCAATGAGTGTGGACGAAGAGGGCTCTCGCTACTTCTTGAGTGGCGTCACTCACGAGATGGACCAGCGCTGGAGAGAGCAAGTCCTGGATGTCACCGCCAAGGACGTCAATGAGGTCGCTGATCGCTTCCTCGTCAACGGCTCACGGAAGGCAACCTGCGTGCTGGGCGAGAAGAAAGACTGGGCCGGCGCCGACTGGGACGTGCGAAAGCTGTCCATGGGCGAGGAGAGTGCCGCCGCCGAGTAAGGAATGCTCTTCATTCTAACCCAAGGGAAGTGCTTCGCTTTATACCCTGTTCATTTCCCCGTGTACTTTTACCCACTGCATCTGTGATATGACCCTGGATCTATATGCATTCCCCTGTACATATATGTATACTATTTCATCAGCATTAATCTCCGGTCTCTATGCTCTTTCTTCCTTTCCCCTCTTCCCTTTGCATGTGTCTTCTCCAACGCGCCTCAAGATCTACCGTGCTTCGAGCACCAGAGCTGTTCATGTCTGCCAACCAGTCACTTCCTTTGGTTGATAGATGTGGTATCCTTCCGGTCTCCGGGGGATGCGAGCGCAAGAACGAACCGTGGGAATGTGAGCTTTCGTGGCACACTTCCCGCTACCTACGATTCTCAGAACCGTTCTGAACTTTCAGCCTACGCAGAACGGACTAAAATTGTGCGGATAGTCTATAGAAGTAGAGTGTATCTAGTTATGAAAATTTAGCAGCATTTGGCATACCTATCTATCAATTCCCTCCACCCCATAGGCACTCTGGGCATCCATTAGTACGGACAGTGGAGCCAACCTATTCATGAGCTGGCCGGTCATGAATGCTAATAATATAGATGATCGCTTGGGCGGCCATTCTACTCCTTCGCGACGTCGAAGACGGCATGACGCACCAAGACGCTGGCATTCGCCGGACCAATGGCAGATGATCCATGGTCAATATTCGATCAGAAAATCATGTCCCTAGCAAACCCGCCATGGTTATTCGAGGATCCGACATCGTTTCCACCCACTCAGAAATCTCCGAATGAGACGCTGATGCAAGGGGGCTTGTCTTCGGTTGCATATGATTCCGGTCTTAAATTGTGTGCAGTCGTTTGCATCTAATGCGCGGTGGAATGATGTGGAGAAAATACAGGGTGCGTTGCAATCGACTTTGAATAAGATATTTGGTAACGAGAATCAGAGTCAAGGGAACGGGTTGATGTGATATTGCAGCTGGATTGGACGTGAAAGAGATTCTTTTGAGGGTCCAGGAGATAAAAGTCTAATATACCCACAAAACATTCTAAACCCTTCTCACAACAAACTTCATCTTCCATCTTTCGACATCGCGATTTTTCCCGAAACTCCGATCAAGACCCTCCCACTTCTCCATCGAACACTCAACCTCCCACTTCGACCCAGTCTCCTGGCCAACCTGCTCCCAAAGCTGCTTCCAGGTAGTAGGGTTATGGCGATAAATCGTGGGTGCATTTGCCTTATCACCCGGGTCAGCCGGATCAGCATTTCCAACCTGCCGCCCAATGACCAGGGATCCAGGCTGAGCAGCTAGTAGACTGATAACCCGTTTGGCAACGACGATCTGCTGATCCCAGCTGAAGAGATGGAAGAACGAAGCAGCGTTGACGATGTTCACTTTACCAGTGAGATTCTGGACTAGAGATGAGTTGTCGTCGAAGATATCTGCCTGGAAGAACTGTGATTTGAGCGTGCTGCGGTCTGCGAATAGGTCGTAGCCGATATCGTAGAAATCTTGACGTATATCTGAGCTATAGAGGTTCTCCGGGGGAACGCCGTCGAAGACCTGATTTACTGTTAGAACGGCCGGAAATTGAATAACGACTGGGCTTACCAGATGGCGCAACTCTTGTCCGATGGCGCAGCCCACGTCCAGGAGTTTCTCACCCGACTTTAGCCGTTGGAGAATCTCCGGGTAGACGGTTGATTGGGGAATGCTCAAATCTAAAAATCGGAATGAGCCAATGCAAGGATATGGGAACTACTTCATGTTAGCATAGAGCTTGACATTAGGATCTTAGGCTATTTTTGACTCACCACGGCGAAAGCCCGGTCTCTCTAGACATAGATTGAATCAGTAAATACCATCGGAGTGCCGAAAAACCAAATACCCACCATGCTATTAACATGCTGCACCACCTGATCGGATGGGATCTTGCTGTATTCTGCTAAGAGAGTTTTGGCCGGCTCAGGGACCTCTTTAAGATCCGACTCGTACCAGGGAAGGGACTTCGGATCGGAGCTGTTGGCGATCATGGATCGCAGATTTGTCTCGGATCTAGCCATGGTGTAATATTTACAGCCTAGAGAGACGTTTGCAATACGGTTGAATACCTGCTTTGGAGAAGTGTAGGAAACTCGGGAAATGAATCGCGGAGCCGGTATTCCGGAGTTAAGACGCTGACGAGCCCCGCGGGGGGTTGTGGATACCCCGAACATCTACAAACGAAGACTTGCGACCGCCCGGGTAGCATTCCTCTTGAATTAAAAATCCTTTATTTTGCCGGAATAAAAAGTGATGCTGCTACGCGTCCTGTTTAATCTAGTTTGTAAGTCGGACTAGACCAATGGGGCATCCTCTCCAACAAAATGAGGACGATAACACGGGGATTCACTTACCAGGATCGTGATTTGTAGATGCACTCGTATCAAAAATCCATAGCACAGTGCTTTTCAGGATACCTAAATCGATGCGATCCACAGTATAACTAGCCTTATTTGTCTATTGACCTTTGGACGGTGCAATGTTGCTCCGGTCCGACAGAAGCGCTCAATGGACTTCGTAGGGATATGAGTTCCCTGCCCCCCGTTACTGTTTCAAGTTCCGTTCGAGACAGTTTCTTCTGTCTACACTTTAACCGTGCTACTCTTCGCATGCGTGATGAACTAGCTATGCGAAATGTTGTCAATGCTCAGAAACTTTTCGAAGTTGTGTTATGGCCAGCCAGGAGCGCCATTATCGATAACCTGTCGAGGTAAAGAGAGTAGGAAGTCCAGTGCGAAGGCAGTTTCTGAAGGTTCAAGCAGGCATACCGATAGAGCGTGAAGATGTTTTCGCTTACACCAACGGTCATTTCCTTGTCGACGAAGGACGCCAGTTAAGCAGACGATATGAACAGTTTAATTTGGATGCGCTTTGCAAAACTGCTGCCACAGTCGGAGATCCCAGTAGGGTTACAGCTGTTGAGAAAATGGAAGGGGGTTTCAGCAAGGCTCTCTTGATGAAAAAAGCAAATGGAACGGAAGTGATAGCCAAGATTCCGTGTCGCATCGCTGGCCCGCCTTCTTTAACAACAGGTGGTGAAGTAGGAGTTTTAGAATTCAGTATGTGGCTTCTATTCTATTTCGGAGAAGTTCAACTTGCTAAGGCCATACAACTCAGTCAGGAGACACACTAGAAATCCTGTCCCTCGTGTTCTTTCCTGGTCCTCGAATAACTCTAATACTGTTGGCGCCGAATATATCATCATGGAGAAAGCCACCGGTGTTCCTCTATATCAATGTTGGGACAGTATGACTGAATTCGAAAAACTGCAGCTGATCAAAAACTTGACCAAACTCGAGGCTCAATTATCGGGTATTCAATTCCCTGCTTACGGGGGACTGTACCTTCGGACAGATATGGCCCAATCAAACATATCTCTCGATAGCGAAATTGATCCATCACAATCTTTTTGCATCGGACCTTCTTGCGATCGAGCATTTAATGCTGACCTGACTTTGGACTTTGAACAAGGGCCTTGTGCGTTTCCCGTGCAAATTGATAGTTCACACGCTAAATTTTCACAGGGAATTCAATTTCAAGCCTTGGAGTGTCTTTTGCAAAGCGGGAACTGCACCGAATAACGAGCCAGGGCCAACAGGCTCAGACGAGTTTCTACAAAGGAACTATTGAACAACAAATTGAGCTTTTGGAAACTACAGTGGACCTCGTGAAGCTGTTAGACTCGAACCAAGTATGAAAGGGAGCATGCCAGCCTACCCTGTGGCATACTGATCTTCACATGGGAAACATTTTTGTCGCCCCAGACGAGCGTTCAAGAATAGTATCCCTCATCGATCTTCAGTCAACGTCCATACTTCCCGCGTTTCTCCAGGCTCAATGGCCGATATTTCTCAGACCTCCACGAGATTAAGATTATGTCAAGGGAATATTCCAACCGAAACTTCCTGACGATTTCGACCAGCTAGATGAGGAGAGCAAAAGTATTGCTTTGCGGGAATGGTCTCAGGTAAAACTGGCAAAGGCTTATGAGGTCTCAACCTACCTCGAAGACAGGGCAGCGCATAATGCTATGGGTGTACCTCGTGTCTTCCGAGAATTATTCATTCGATGCGGGGAGGTCTCCGAAGTGGGCATTGTTCCGCTTCGTGCATGCCTGATAGAAATTTCCCAGAATTGGTCAAGCCTTGGATTTTCTGGTGAATGCCCTTATTCCTTCTCCAAGGAAGAAGTCGATGCGCATGAACGTCAATTCGCCGAGTACCTAGCCTGGCATGAGGTTCAGGCGCTTGTTGAAGAATGCCTTGACACTGATGCGGAAGGGTGGATATCGCCGCAGTTAGATACAAACGAGAAGAAAAGGCAGAACGAAGAGCTAATGTCTATGTACATTGAAAAGGTCGCTGGAAAGAAATCTGCGGATGAGGTGAGAGCGATGTGGCCTTTCCCGGTCGAGACTTGAATATGACTATCTTGCTTTGTTGTCCGATGCTGGTAAACGGAAGAAGAATGTCAAGAGTTGCTAGACATTATTCTGTACGTATATAAAGCCTTCCCTTGTTTCATTTAGCGGGCTGCGTAGGTAAATTTTCGCAAACATTCCAAATTCATTGAATCAATTTCACTAGCATACTAATTTCAAACGAGAGTACAGTATTCAATTTGTTTAAAGAAACCCCAACAGATATCTCTTCCATCAACTCGAATGAGAGTAAACCCACCTCTAACCAAGAGAGTCGAAGATCTCTACTTGATTCTGGTAACTTCAATTTCATCCTATGAACCCGGTTAGCATTTGACCACGTCGTTCAATTCAGTCGCCAAAACTCACCTTATTCTCGCCAGGGATAATAAGCCCCTCAACACCCCAACTCTCGAATCTCTCATTCGAGCGAACATACGCACGATACTCGGGAGCCCCAGGTCTGACCACATTATCCGCAATGACCAAGCTCCCACTCTGAAGCAGACCAAGCTCCTCACAGACCTTGAAATCCGGCAAATAAAGGTCCTCATCATGATCCAAGAACACAACATCAGCAGCAGTCAACTTCCCCTCCGCTTTCAGCCTCTTCAACGAATCCGCCGCAGACCCCACAACAACCTTGACGATATCACTCAAACCAGCCAGCTCAATCAAATTCATAGCAATGGACGCAATGAGCGGATCAAACTCCAAGCTCCACAGTCTAAGCCCGTCCGCCTTCCCAGCACGACGCATAGCATCTGCAAAGAAGATGGCCGAATAGCCAACATACCCACCAAGCTCAACGAGCACAGTTGGTTTCTGCTTCTCGATTATCTCACGCACTTTCCAGCCTTTGTCGCTGCCGATGTTGATCAGGAAATCTTCCTTCGCGGCAAACTCGTCCATGACGCGACAAAGCTCTACAGGGGAGTTGCGGAGCTTGTCCAGGTCGGGATGGTTGTAGATGTGTTTCAGTAGGGTAACTTCGCGGCCATCGTGGGACTCGGGGTAACTGTCGTCGGCGTATTTGAGGAGGGATGGGTATTTAGCAGCGAGGTCTTCGGGGAGAGACATGGTTGCTTTGCTTTTTATGAGGGAGTTTTTGTTGGGAGAGGAAGATGGATTGTGGGATAGTCCGGTAAGAGAATGAACTATGGGAAAATAGGGATAAGCACTGAGCACAGCACTTTCCAGGGTGGTAGCAATATTTATAGTCCCCGCTGAAGGGTTTAGTGTACCGGGTGAGATCTAGCCCGATTAGGCGGAGGGGGCCGAATTGTTGCCTTGTTTGTGTTTCTATGAACCCGTGGATCTTGTTTGTAGAGCATCTAACCGAATTGAGGCTGGAACACGGAAATAATTTACGCACCTTGCCCTGGACGCCTGATTTCTCAATGCTCAGAAGGTAGGTCAGCAATGATGCGAAACTTTTAGGTCAACCCTTTAGATCGTTGCCCCAGCTCTTGTTTTAAAGAGTCTCAAATACGTCTACTTCATTCATACTTCAAAAGTCCAGTGTCAACAGACTGCAATTCCGAGCAAGTGTGGCAGTATATTCAATCAGTGTCAATGGGGTATAAGGTACAGTGAAAAGATAATCGTCATATCGTACATGTCCGGTGTGAGACTGGACAGTTCAAGACCAGGCCGCAAGAGATCAATACCGTTCATCGACATCCCGGTTCCCATGCTCCTCAGTTGTATTCACATTCGCAAAGCCAGATCTAGGGGAAGCGCCGGCAGACCCGGGGGAGCCTTGCGTGAGCGAGGATGCGGATACTGGGAATGGAGGGAAGGGCTCGGTATGGTCGACTGAATGTTGATGGACTGATGAGCCACTCGAATTTCTGGCATGGCCTGGTGTTTGAATTTCGTTTGTTGGTGAAAATGTGGGGTTGACAGCGAACTCGGCGGTTTCGTCTTTCTGATGCGGAGGCGCGGCGGCCTACATTAACGCGTCAATTCTCCGTAAAGCTCCACTTGAAAATTAGTCATCGTGTCATACCATATCTGCTTTGGCTTGATCAAGTCCTCGCTTCAAAGCCAGCTCATGTGCAGCAAGGCGTTTCCGCTCAATCACAGCATCTTCTTCCCGAGCAGCCCGCTCCTCTTCGATCTTCAAATCCGCTATTGATGGCTTGTCGAAGCTGTGCACAATATCTTCAGCTGGACTCATCGACGATTTTGTCGAGGATCGCTTCTTCTTTTTCTTCCGCTGTGACTTCTTGGACGATGCACCTCCTAAGCTGGAGGTACCCGAGGCAGACCTCACCATCTCCACCTTCGTGCCGGACTGATCATCAGACTCTAGCCCCGTCCCTCGACGTCCAAACACAAGCGCGAATTCGTCGTCCAGCGGAACCGCATCTTCCTCGTCATCACTCGGTAGTAAATCGCCGCGGGAGCTTAATGAATTGAACGTTCCGCGAGACGACTGCGTTGCACTTCGATTTCGTCCATTCGGACTGTAAGCTATCAGACCAGTTTCGTCTTCTGTAGCTTCCATCAACGGCTCATCATCCTGGGTATGGCGGTGGGAGCCGCCCGGGTGTTCCTGCAGGTCTGCTACCGACGGCCGGTACTTGACCCCTTTTGCACCAAACCTCCAAGGAAAGCGCTCCAAGAAACCAAGAAATGAAGAGCTCGGTATGACCGTAGGATCAGAGCGGTTGTCTGGAATGTGTAAACTCCTCTGTCTTGTGTGACGGGTCCCGTAACTCATCCTCCTTGGCCGGCGCGGCTGTTCCATACCCCCGCGAGTCAGCCCGCTACCAGCGAGGAGTCGATCAAGCTCTCCAGTGCCCCACCCCAGCAGGGTTTCGTCGGCCTCCTCGTTTTCCCAATCATCGTAGAAGTCGAAGTTGTCTTCGGCACGGCCGCGGCGTCGGCGTCTCAAATGGTCCTCGCGGGTCGGGAGACAAGGTGCAGTACAGACCTGGATACAGCTGCCAACTGAGTCTAGGCAAGGGGAGAGGTAATTTTGAGCAAAGGTGTACAGCCCTTCTTGGGCGGATTCATTTGCGGACTCGAGGTTATGAGAGATCTGGTTGATCCGCTGGCGGATCCGCGGATCGCGCGGTCGCATCATGGTGGACGCGGCGAAGGGCCAGAAATCGGTCGGGTCTGGCGGATCTCACTTCATCGACGCGTTGGCTGCATTGGCATCGCAGGAAGGCCGAGGGCCGAATGCAGGTGGAGAGGCACGACGATGTCATCAGTTAGTCAGCGGGCACGTGAGGGATTCCCGGGGTAAACGGAGATTTTGTTTTCTTTTGATTTTTTGATATCACACAGCAGACTGCCCAGTTGGCCCAGTCGAGATGGTCTATTACATTCGGTTTCTCAAGACTCCTCGATTTCAGGTGCAGAAGAAATCCGTCTTCATTTCCGCTTTGATATGCATCACCACAGATCTAGGTGACGACTTCCTCGCTGAAGATGTGGACCTGATTGCAACATGGGCACAATATTCCTCACACAAAGCTTTATATCAAGAGCCATTGAAATGGGAGGCTAGTACACGCCAGCTTCCGGTGATGCTGGGACCGTTCTCACCCAACGATGTGGCCCAGAAGACATCAATTCTCAACATCCAATTACAAGACAGTCAAAAAGATACATTAAGAGTCAACTCCACGCCATTGGTGATGTCCGGATGCAGCGCATCTTTTGGACCACAGTCAGAACCGGCAGAGAAGTTGATATTGCGAGAGCTTTACGTTGCAGATCATAAGCAACCGCTGAAAATCTGGGAGGAGACCGGCAATAGCATTGCGCGGCACATCTGGTAAGCGGCCTGTCTTCGTTTTCTCGATTGTCTGTCTGAAGAGGAGGAATATCTAGGGATGCGGCACTGGCGTCAATAATCTTCCTTGAGCAAACGATTCAAGGTACATCCAAGGAGATGCCCGCTCTCAGTCAGCTTCTCCAGGCCCCGCGTAGCTCGCCGCTCCAGGCCGTTGAACTAGGGGCTGGATGTGGCATCGTCGGCATCGCACTGGCAACCATGCTTGACCACTGCGACGTGCTCCTCACGGACCTGCCCGAGGTCGAGGAGATTGTAACGCTCAATATAAATGAAGCTCGTCCGCAACCCTCGTCGCGCATCCACTATCAGACTCTCGACTGGGACGACCCGCCGCCCAATCTCTGCAGTCGGCCTATTGATCTGATCCTGGTCTCCGACTGCACCTACAACGCGGACAGCTTGCCAACGTTAGTCTCGGTGCTAAATCGATTGGTTGAGACATCCCCGAAGGCATTGGTTCTTGTGGCTCTAAAGCGACGACACGAGAGCGAAGCGGTATTTTTCGACCTGATGCGGGCGGCGGCATTCGCACCCCTGCAAGCCAATGTTCAACTGCCTGCTCAACACGAGGAAGTAGATCACATCGAATTATACTGCTACCGTCGCCAGGCGGGCCCTGACGTGCCGTAGTTTCTCGGGTGATTGCCTACTTTGGGTATCTATACCTTTCGGTGATATACACTGTCTAGGGCGGCGCGTGCCCTTGGCCCGTGCGCGTGCGTCACGACCCTGGCCCTTCAGCGCGGGGCTTTTTTTCCAATTTCAGTCGATCCACCTGCATTTGCTGCAGGGGACTCGCAACCTTTGTCCCAGTGATACATGAGATGGTAATTTTTTACATAGCTAGAGCCACTACTTCCCTGAGGCTTAGGGTTTGATCCTTTGACTAATGATTGTGGAGCTCACGGTGCCACCCACACCACCAGCCCCAACACTCGTCGGAGACCGTCACACCGCACTTTTGAACAATTGAAAGAAGCAATTCCGAGCAGCACTGCAATCTGCAGGGGGGCTGACTCTCTCCTGCATCATAATTCCCGTCTTGAATCGGGCATGTGTCTAGACGCAACCAGAAATCGCTCATAGTTTAGGTTCCCGTGTACTAGCGGTGTCAGATTCCCAGTTTTTTTGTGGACTCCGAATGGCTAGTCCTATAGAAGCACAGTGCTAGGTAATCATCGCACCAAAAAACTCAGGTAGCTATACTCCGTTCGTACCGGATTTTCTTTACGGTGGATCTTCATTGCCGCCTTTGTGATTTTTGTTTCGGGGGGCAGAAAGGCGGACCCAAAGGCGGCGAGCGAAAAATGCCCGAAGAGGAAGGGAGGCCACCCTTCGACGGGGGAAACCCACTGTGTATGTCATTCCGCCCGCCTTAAGTGACATTTCCAGTGCTTCAGCTTCTTCCCTACCTCCTTCTCTTTTCTTTGGGCACTCTCGACTTCCCTTGGTGAGTGGTTTTTCTTCTGTGGTTCCCTTCGCACTGAGGATAGCATTGGTCTCGGTGTGTAACCTTGCGCCTTTTTCCCTCCACCAAACGCCGTTGAGCCCTAAGCCCGGACTTTGCCCATTTTTAAAAATCTGAGCCCCGTCCCCTCCCTTCCACACCACCTCAGCCGTCCTTTTTTTTTTCTCTCATACAAACTTACCTTACTGACTGCAATATTCAGTCAGATCTTCTTTTACTGTTTTCTGCCTTTGGCTCACCCAAAGGCACCAGTCATTACGGCTCCCGCAGCCTCACTCGTTCTTCTTAGCCAAATTGTCTCCACTCGACGTCAGCGCGACACTCTTAACAACATTCCACCTCCTGCTCTTCTCTGAATCCTCGTCCGGTGCGCCTTTTTTGGACCCGTTGACGCCCCCTCACGTTATTCCCTCACCTCCTGAGCTGCCGCATAGGACTTCTCTGAAGGTTCTTCCTCTTAAGGAGGAAGGGTCTAGGAGGCTTGGTCCAGTCAACCTCGGTTGCGACGTATTTCGTCCTCCCTAACGCCGCAGTCGCGTACAACTCTTTTTACAACTCTCTAATTTTAATTCGTGCTGAATCGCAACTGCACGGTTATGGCACCGACTGCGTGTGTTTCCCTTGCCGAAGTATGCAACCTCAAAAACGACTTGAACGGTCGTGACCATCTCGCCGTGGTCAATAATCATGGCGGGGACAATTTGTTGCAATCCCGGTTGACGGCCAAGGATCTGGTCATGGATATGTTGAAGAAGCGCGCCGCCGAGGTGGATGTTGACCGGTGCGATCCTGGTGAGGAGGATGCTTTCTATGTTGCGGATATGGGGGAGGTCTATCGCCAGCACATGCGCTGGAAGATGAACTTGGGCCGCGTCAAGCCTTTCTATGGTATATCCCACTCGCCTCCCCGTCGGTCAATTCGTACTAACAAGGACCCTCTAGCTGTCAAGTGTAACCCGGACCCCGAGGTCCTCCGTCTCATGGCCCAACTTGGCAACGGATTCGACTGTGCCTCCAAGTCTGAGATCGATCTGGCCCTTCAGACGGGCATCGATCCCACCCGCATCATCTACGCTCAGCCCTGCAAGACCAAGTCCTACCTACGCTATGCCAAGGAGGTTGGCGTCAAGCAGATGACCTTTGACAATGCCGATGAGCTGTACAAGATCAAGGCCACTTTCCCGGATGCGGAGCTGTACCTCCGTATTCTGACCGACGACTCCACCAGCCTTTGCCGATTGAGCATGAAATTCGGTGCTTCCATGGACGTGGCTCCTCAGCTGCTCGAGTTGGCTCACCAGCTCGAGCTCAAGGTCGTTGGTGTGAGCTTCCACGTCGGATCCGGCGCCGAGGACCCCCGCGCTTTCCTGAAGGCTGTCCAAGATGCTCGTCTCGTGTTCGATCAGGCTACCGAGATTGGCCATGAGCTGCACACCCTCGACGTGGGCGGCGGCTTCTGCCAGGAGACCTTCGAGCAGTTCTCGGGCTACCTGAGTGACGCGCTGGAGACGTACTTCCCTCCGAGCGTCCGCATTATCGCCGAGCCCGGCCGCTACTACGTTGCCAGCGCCTTCACTCTGGCCGCCAATGTCATTGCTCGTCGCGATGTTCCCGACCCGGCGGATCCTTCCCGGAACGCGTACATGCTCTATCTCAATGACGGCGTGTACGGCAATTTCTCGAACATCATCTTCGATCACCAGCACCCCGTCGCGCAGGTCCTGCTCTCGGCAGCTGACGACTCCCAGCCTGGTACTCCAAACTCTGCGACTTTGGAGAACATCCCGTACTCGATCTGGGGTCCCACCTGCGACGGTATCGATGTTATTACCGAGCGCATCGATCTGCCGGGCCTGCTGAACACCGGCGACTGGCTCTATTTTGAAGATATGGGCGCGTATACCAAGTGCAGTGCCACTCGCTTCAATGGATTCTCCGATACCCACGAGGTGATCTACATCTCGAGCGAGAGTGGTGCTTCGGCCCTCCTCAACTACTAGTATTGTATCTGATGGTTTCTATACTGCCTGTTTTCTTCACTTATCCACTCGTTTGTCCTTGTTTGGAAATATATTGGCTTTTTGTGTACCTTCCCTTGTTGGCAGGTCACGTTAATATACAGTACTTGCTGCATTTACTGCGTTTGCCACCAAAAAGTTTCTTGTCTAGAGTTCTAATAGATTGGAGCTTCTTTGCACCTCGACAGTTGCCATTTCATGCCTGCATAGACCTTTTAATGCCGGGGTCATATCTGACCTGGGGATGTTATACGAAGAGTTGGATGTTCGAGTTGTCATGCACTCGGTCATTTCTATTCATCTATTCTATCCAGTAGTTGTATGGTATCATCAAACATGTCCAAAACCCTCGACACATCTGTACAAGCATGCCACTGGAGCCAGCTCCATGTGTGTCCAAACATCTAGATCAACCGCTCAACAGTCAACTCGCCCGCGGCTACGTCAGTCGCTTGCAACAGGCCGCCCGCCTCGAGCTTCTTCTTCCACTTGGTCGACTCGTACCGTGCCAGAATAAACGTCAAACGAGCGGCAGCACTTTCATCCGCCGACTCCGCAACAACGCTGGACGGCGTGCAAGTCCAACGCCCAAACGCCCCATTGAGAATGTAGTACTGGACTCCCTCGCCCTTGACCCTCTTCTGAATATCATCCGAAGTCTCAGCAGGCGGGTTTTGCGCATCAGCGCGGAAAATCCCTTTGATGCGGTACACCTCCTCCCGCGGCGCCAACGAAAGAAGCTTCTCAAGCGCCTCAACATCAACCGTCTTCCCTTTCAACACAACACTCAGCACTTCAACCTCCGACTGATGATCATGCTTATGCTCATGGCCATGTTGATGATCATGCTCCTCCTTCGTAAACAGCGCCCCGTCAATCCCAAGCAAAACATCCACATCCACAACCCCCCTTGTCAGACTTGACCCACGGCGTCTCGATCCCCAAATCGCCCACCCGATCAAGACAGACGTCAAACCGTTGCTCGGGCACGGATTCCCACTTATTAAAGACAATCAAATCCGTATACTTCGCCTGGATCTTCGCCGTGTACGACGTATCCTCATATCCCTCCCAATTCTCAACGTCAATCACGCTAATGACGCCGTCGAGAATGAACTCGCCTTCTCCCTCCCGCGACAGCCGGTTCACTTCCATGGCGAGTGTGGCGGGGAACGCGCTCCCGGAGGTTTCGATCACGATGCGGTCGGGCGAGACGGTGTCGCGGAGTTGTTGGAGTGCGTCGCTGAGTTGGCCGACTAGGTTGCAGCAGATGCAGCCGTTGAGAAGTTCACGGACGCCGGAGATTGATTGCGTGGAGGCGAGTTGGGAGTCGACGGCGACGTCGCCGTATTCATTTTTGAGGAGGGCGAGTTTGTAGGTGGTTGGGAGTTGGGGGATTAAATTGAGGAGGAGGGTTGTTTTGCCGGAGCCCAGGAATCCGGTGATGATTGTCACTGGAATTGGTGCCATTTTGAGGGTTTAAAGGTGAGGATGAGTTGGGTTGGACTTGGAGGAAGTTTGAAGAGATTCGGCGATGCGGCGGGGCACGTGGGGCGGTCCCTGGATTGCCCGTTTGGGTGGAAAGTCGGTGACATCAGCGCTGATTGTCGACCTTAGTAGTGAATGGTGAATGACCGTGTAAATCCTGACATCTTCGTATGCCTCGCGATGCACACCCAAGTGCTCTCGGACCAGACTTTCCACTCGACATCTTTATCTGTAAAACTGAAAGAAGCCAAGGTATACTTAAACTAGATGGGAGAATAAGCTGCATGCTCCCTGTCGAATTTTCCCTCAATCTTGCTATCCTGGACTATTATATCAACTCCAAATGCTTGGCCATAAATAGTTTGCCCTGGTAGATCACATGAGCATTCCCCTCATCTGAGCCATCAGCAGTTGGGGGAAACCCGGGACGTGCAGATGGCCAGCGAACCATAGGACGCCAAGTTGCGGGTGATCGATGAGCTCCACTGAATCGATCTAAGCTATTGAGACTGGTCATGTTCATGTGTCTGGGGTCTCTGCGCGATTGCCGCTTTCTCGTTGGATATAGAAAAGGCAATTCGCCAGTTCGTTTTAAGGTTTCGCACGAGAGGACGTACCCTTCTGGTTCGGCCATATGTCGGAGCCGACCACGCTCGATTTCGCTTTTTTCCCGCATTCAGTAGATTTGGAATCGCGGTGTGATATGAATCTACGATACAAATTATTGGATCATGAATTCGTGAAACCTACCCCGACTTGAGTAAAACTTAACTGGTATTACCCAATGAAGACGCCCCGCGTCAAGTTTCCTACGAATCACTAGCACAAAATGAACCTCATTCCGGACGAGCCAATTCCGCCTCTTGCAGGAAACGAATGCGAGGATAGGGGCTGCTAGATAAACGCTGATTATGCCGGTTCAACATTCGATAGCTTGCTCTCCTCAGTCTTCATCTCTTCACTTCCTTATGCACGTCATGAGTGCTTCACCCTCCGAGCAGCAACTGCCGGGAAAGAGCATGAGAGATATTTCGCCCAGGCCTTACCATGACAAGTGTCCTCGTCATGGGAATGTAACTGCTATAGACCCCCGAAGTTCTCCTATCGAGGTAAATTCTAGCAATGAATTCTTTCACATCCGCTGTCGCTAAATCTATCTACTTGTTGAACAACAGAACCAGGAGCAGATGGATCAGGAGTCCGATTCCGACGAACCACATATGCACGTCTCCAATGACTTGGCACAAGCGATTCGGGCCTTGAAGGAGGAGAGTTCCCAACTCGGGTCGCAAGCGGCAAATGTTACGAGACGCTGCCAGGAAATAGAGGCACATTTCACGGCCCTCCAAAGGGAGAATCAGCGACTGAGGGGGGGCGAATGCGTTGACGGAAACGTGTCTTCGGCGAGAACGGGAGAAAAGCGAGTTTTACCTACAACGTTGTGCCGATCAAGAAGGCATACTGTCGTATTTCCGCAAAGATTTCTCCCGCCTTCAATACTGGATGGGCGACCTTCGTGACACCTGGGAGGACATCGGGTCTGCAGGAGGCCAAAAGTAACTTCTGTACCTACTCGAATCGAGTGCAACTTAATACGTAATTTCTTCGGCATTTCTTTCGCCTTTCCAAAGATAACTTACGGGTTAAGGTCCATTTTTTGCTAGATATCAGCCGACACCAAGCATCCATCTATCGGAATATTCTCGGGATACATTAGATTCGCGGAATTTGAGCGCGTGACCGAATTTGAAGATGTCGTGATATACTGTACTTGGCGGACTATGTTCGCCTTGGTACTGCGCATGTGGGCTTGCGGAGGTTAATAGATTCTGTCCAATTCTTTAAATGTTCTATACTTCGGGCTTCTAACGCCCCGAACCTTAACTCCGGAAGGATAGCGTAAGATCTCATAGATCGCAAAGCCGAAGATGGATTATTTGATCGGTAGAACTATGCATCGGTAACGAGCGACAAGGAGCCAACATATTTATGGCTCCATTCAGCTGTCTGCCCCCGGTTTAATTGAACATATCTAATGAGCATTTTACTATTCAAAAAGTAGCATATGTCCTTCTTCCGAGTGGCCGCCATCCGCACTGTACCCCCTTCATAAAACAGTCCCTCATTAGAAAGAATAAACCCCCAAAAATTAAATCCCAGGGGCCGATCTCCGCCATTTTCTACTATACCAAACCCATCCGTTGCACAACGCGTAACGGAACCCCATAAATGGGGCACGATGGGTCCAACGACGTCATTGCCAGGCACGATCGGCCACAAGAAAAACAGCAGACCCGCGCTAAGTCCCTCACGCCATGATCTCAGTCGAGATCGCCCTACCACAGCGCGCATTATTTCTGCTGCCTAGCATTGTATATATACATACATACCCTACTCCACATCCAGACCGATGTCATAACGCCGGCTAAATTTGACACTTGCCTCAGCCCTACGTCAAAAGCCGTTCAGCCTTACAGTCTTGGTTTCTGTTCTCATTTTACCTTTTCCCTTGTTTCTTTGCATACCTAGTTCCCTTCTCCGAGGTCTCGGGACTTTGCTACACACCGTATAGAATGGGCTCCGACAACACCGGCTCAACTTCGACCAAGACCGACACAGCTGCCCAGGAACGAGGGGATCTTGGCAGTGCGAAACACCAATTCAATGGGGGTACCGGGTCCTCACTCTCGGATACCAAGGAAAACCTGGTCACCGTGGCGAGTGACACCGTCAATACCGTGAAAGAGATGCTTCTTGAAGGCGTCCCTGCTGCCGCGGAGGCTTTGCAGAGTGCGGAGGAGCGCATTCGGTCTCTTGCGAGTGGGAATGAGGATAACAACGAACAAGGTTTGTGTTCTTGGTTTAGTTTAGCTGGATGCTTTGTTAATATGTATTTGGCAGCGCCGGACGAGAATATGGAATCGCATGCGCAGGATGTCGAGCGCATTGACCAGATGGATACGGAGCAGATTTGCGATTTTCTAAGGGACAAGCATAGGAGTACGAAGCCTCCACCGTCGATAAATTGAGAAATATTTGGATATTCGATTCGGGTTATTTTGTCACACAATTGAGCGGCATGGGTGTTCTTCGGAGTCATTGGATTGCATTGTAATTTTTAGGGTGTACATACGTCTACGGCGAGCAATTTCTGTTCATACAAACTTCTTGATTACCTTTAGGTTTGGGAAACGCTGAAGTAGAAAGAACTTCATTGTCCAGGGGAATCATTAAGTAAACTAGGCTTTCAGAGGCGGCAGTCCCATCGGCGAGCCATAAAAATCTAACAAATCCTCTTCCTCTTCCACATCAAGCATGTTCTCAACTTCCGACTCTTCCTCGGGTGCCTTGATAGCAGCACGAGAAGGTCGATTCCGAGCCAAATTTGTCACCGAAGCGGGTGTCCCTTCGGACTCAAAGGCCTCGTGCGCCTCTTCGCGAGGAAGACGGAAAGCCGGAAATCCGTCCGGGGCACGCTCAGCGCGGTCCATAATCTCGTTCATGTATTTGCGGACTTCATCAGCCGGCTTGACGACACGTGTCAGAGGCTCGAGAATTCGCGGGTTGCTGGCGTGGACCCGGAATGTGACGGGCTGCCAGTATTCCTTGAGGTTTGCGTCGTTGACGGCAGGCTGCCCGGGAGTGCCGGGAGTGCCGGGCGTACCTGAAACGGCGAGATTGGGGTTGACGCCTGTCTTATCGGTGGGCCCTGTCTTCTGAGGAGTGCCCGTGGGGTTTGCTGGGATGGGGGTTGGCGGTTCGGTGGCGTCTTTGCCTTTGCCCTTCTTGGATTTGGAGGCCTTGCTTTTCCCGCGACTCGTGGCCGGCTCGCCTTCCGGTTCGATTGGGAAGGGTTTGGAGGGATCAACTTTGCGCACGACGAGGAAGGATGCTAGGATGACGTTCTCGTTCGGTATCCATTCCAGGATTGAATGTTCCGGGAACAGATAGCGGTCACCCGAGCCAGCATGACCAGAGTTCACGTTTCCGTACGGGGTGAGAGGAGAGGTAAATTCAAAAACGACGGCCTTGTATGCAACGCGAGCCGGAGCTTGTGGAGGCGCAGGCGGACGGTAGTAGGGCGTGGGAGATCCGTACTGTGAAGGGCGGGACTGTATAGGTGGTTGGGGAGTATAGGCCTGTCCAGGCCGGGGCGGTTGTTGGAAATTGTCCGGGGTTTGAACAGGGTGAGCTGCAGAACCCTGCGGTTGAGACCCTGCGTTGGGAGCAGGGGAGCCGGCAGGACCCGGGGTCGCCGATGGAGTTGAAGCTGACGGCTGCGTTGTAGTGGGCGTGGCTTGCAGGTTATTCGTGCCTGGTTCCTGTTTGATAGGCGCCGTAGTGCTCTGGGAGGTAGCGGGAGGTTGAGTCGGTGCCGGTGTTTTAGACTGGCTGCCAGATTGTGTTCCTTCAGATGGTGATGTAGCCGGCGCGGCTTTCGATTCTGATGATGCTGGCTGCTTCTCAGATTCTTTAGATGGTGTTTCAGCCGCCGCCTGAGACTTAGATCCCTGTTCCTGCGATGTCTTCGTTCCTAATTCTTGCTTTTGTTGAGACTCGGGTTGCGCGGGGGCCGCTTTTTCTTGTGACGCTGGCGTACCGGGCTGCGACGCCGGCTGTGGTGTTGCTGTTTTGGCTGCGCTTTGCTGCTGTTCCCTGGCCTTGATGATTGCGTTGAGCTCATCAATGTGAGCCTGGAAAGCGCGGAGTTGCTCTTGTGAGGCCTGGCTGGATGCAACAACTCTCATCAGCGCCTTCAGCTCTGGGTCCGCGGCCGCTCGCGTAGCAAGCATCTGAATGACTGGGTCGGGGCTTGGCTTCGCAGGCTGGCTAGGCTGTCCGTTCGGCGCCTGCGATGGCCGCTGCCCCGACAGAGATGGCCCATGCTGCGGCCCACGTTGTTGAGGTGTCTGATGGCCTTGTGAAGGGCGGCCGGACGAAGCAGGAGAATATGGAGGGCGTTGTTGGTTCGGAGAGGGATAAGGCGGGTATCGTTGAAAGTTGTTTGGGCCATTGTAGTGCATCATCGGGCGCGGGGGCGCATATTGAAGCGGCTGCGGGTGCGCATTGGGGTCTTTGACAGTGTACATCATGGCGTCGAAGTAGTGAGGACCAATGGTGACGTCGCAAAGTCCAACCTTTACCATGGAGTCTTTCGGCGGGTTGTTCCTTTCGATCTGCTCGCGCTTCGTCTTCTTCGGCTTCGTATAGTATCGAACCAGAATGCCATCGCTTAACCATTTCTTCTTGGATCGTTCGAGTGATGCGAGTAATACTCCGCTGCATGATCGAACACGGTCAGCTTGAGACAACTTTGCGAGGATTTGATGATCAAACCTTTCTGCGATGGACTGGTAGTCTGTGTCGGACAGGGATTCTGGCTGTCGCACGCGCCTCACCGGCAATGGTTCACCATCCTTGAGCTTCGTGGGTAGAGGTGCCTCGACAGGCTCAGGCGGCTGCGATGGGACGCGAGGAGTGGGAACCTTCTTCTTTGAAGACTGGGGCGTGACGGCTTCGGAGACACGTCGCTTGGCCGCGGGCTCGCGTCCAGCGCGTGGAGGTTGTTTCCGTTTCTCGGCCATTGCGGATACCACACAAATAGTATAGGTGTGTTCACGGTGCGATCATCCTAGGGAAAGTCGCGGATGTCGGGGAGGTGGAAGGGGGAAAAAGCGTGACGCGATAAAGTGGCACCTTATCGGCCGCTGCCTCCGCGCTTCCCCGTTGACACCGCGCGATGGTTGAGCTGCAGTCTATTTTTAAAAAGGCCTACTGGACCCTTGCGGCCGGTGGTCTGGTCTATGTGCTATTTGTCTGTGCGCTGACCTGGCCTGAGGTCCAGCGTTTGTATGTACTCGTGGCCTCGGACGCGTGTAGCATGGCTAATCGGCGTGCAGTGCCCTCTACGCCAATAAGGTCAACCCCAGCCTCTGGCAGGATGTGAACCAAGTCGAGCAATTTGGGTTCCTGGGTATGTATAACAAGCATCCACTCAACTACTGCCACTGACTTTTTCAGAATCCCAAGTTCAGCCCTTCCATTTGGTGACGCCCGACAATGAGACACTGTACGGCTGGCATCTGATTCCCCTGCATCTCTGCCGCGAGTACGAGCAGGATTTGATCGAAAATCTTCCCAACGGCCCTGCACAGGACTACACGCAGACAGTTGCTTATAAGAGTCTGGCCAATGACCCCAATGCTCGGGTCGTGGTGAGCTGTAAGTACCAGAGCACTTTGAATCCGTTCAAGCTTCTAACCTCGTGTCCTAGTCCATGGTAATGCAGCTCATCTCGGCTCTGCTCAGCGTCCGGCCACGTATAATGCCATGCTGAGCTTGTCTACACCGTCTAACCCAGTTCATGTCTTTGCAATTGACTATCGCGGTTTCGGAGTGTCGACTGGCAGCCCCACTGAAGAAGGCCTGATTACCGACGGCGTCTCACTCATCAACTTTTTGACAGCGGGACCCTTGAAGGTTCCCACATCTCGCATTGTGATCATGGGTCAGAGTTTAGGAACAGCGGTCACAGCGGCGGTGGCTGAGCGCTATACTTTCGGGTCTCCCGACCGAACTAAGATCCAACCCGCCATCAAGGACGCAGAACCATTTGCAGGTGTGATTCTGGTAGCGTCTTTCAGCAATGTCGCGAACGTCATCGAGTCCTACAGTATCAAAGGCCTCACGCCTCCGATGCTATCGCCATTGATCGGATACCCACGCTTCCAGAAATGGGTCTTGGGTCACATTGTGGACCGCTGGGACACGATGGCAAGACTTCAGCGCCTGACGGGCATTGTCCCGGATACCTCTGGCCTGGGACACAAGGATCTCGATTTAAGTATCATTCACTCCTCAAATGACATCGAGATTCCTTGGTATGAAGGCCGTCGTAATTGGGCGGCTGCCACAGGCGAGGATATCCAAGATGCGCCGGGGGGTTTGACTTACGAGAGGACCGAAGCCGGCAAGCCTGTTAGTGAGGTGAAAATTTGGGAGAACAAAATTACTGGGAAAGACGGAACCACGGCCTTGAAAAAGGTGCGCTGGGAGCGTGTGCGATACGGAGGTATGTTGAAGGACTCAAATCCTTAATCCCTTGCTATCACTTTTGATGCTAACAACGTAAATTTTGAAGGCCATGACCGCGTTGCGACATTCTCTGTTGCTGGTCTTGCAGCTCTCAGGGCTTTCGAAAAATGATGTTGAGGTCTCTTTTCTCATGATACCCTTTTCAAGAGTTGTATATTTTCAGGAATAGACAGGAATATGCTATACCAGGCAAGAAGAATTACCGTCATCGCATACGAGTTATATATCTGGAAATCGTTTCTGGGGTTTGCCAATCATTTTCTAAACACTTCCCTGCGTCCAAACGCGCACTCCCTCATCCATGGTCAATATACACCGTTTTAGATACCATCTTGACATGTACTAGACTCGAATGAAAGATCAACCCTTCATTCACTCCAATTCCTTATTGTCTTGAACTCGATCGACTCCTTGAACGTGACACTCCTGACGACGGTTGATGTCGAGCAACATCCCATTCCCGCATCTGCGACCTGTGTTTGCGTAGGTTTTGTTCCGGCGAGCCGCGCTTCTTATCTTTGGATTCATCTCGTTTCTCTTTTGCTTGCTGTTCTTCCTCTCCTGTCTCGTATTCATCAAGGCCGAGGAGGCTTGAGAGGTTCGCAGCGGAGCGGTGAATACTGCTTGATCGTGGGCTCATTTTGGGTTCTTGTTGTTTATGAACTGGTTCAGGTTGAGAGTTTCAAGGAGATACAGTGGTATTATTGAGGAAAGGCATGAATTATTCGATTATTTGGCCTATTATGGCGAGGCTGTGAGGCGATACGCTTTACTCATCATGCGCACACGCTGACGCAAGGAAATCTAGTCCGAGGCCTCGGAGTTGAAGACAGACCACAGTAATATTCGAAATCAGGTTTACCACAAACTCTTAAATATTAACTCTCGAAAGATAGCTCGAAACGATAGCTCGAAACGATAGCTCGAAACTCACTACTCTAGTAGTCACTTGCACTACATGCCAGCTAGAAGCTTCTTCGGCCGTGGATAGTAGCTGCCATGACAAACGGGTATAAGCTACTATTGCCTTATAAGATTTGGTTAGAAAGGAACTCGATTAAAGAGTCCCTGGAGAAGTTAAAAAATATTCAGAAAGATGGGTTTACTTGGGCTGACGCCAACTGTATCTCTAGAGGTGGTCTTACTGGGATTTACGCGAGAAAGGTCCAGAATGCCGAGTAAAACAGACTGATCAGTAAAGAAAAATTGTCCAAGAGCCCGATCCTTTTACAGTGCCATCCATATTTAACTACTTGACTAGGAAATACATTATGTATATGGTGAAATAACTACACATTCATGATCTGCGAAACACGAACAGCATTCTCATCTTTAACCCTAATAGACATACCCTACTCCATCGGCTTCCTCTCAAACAACTTCAGAACATGCTCATTCCCACAAGCAGCCGCAACATCTACACTTGTCCTTTGCATCCCATCCTCAGCCATAGGATCCAACCCTGATTCCATCAAACGCTTAAATCGCCTCACGCCTACCGAAGTAGATATTAGGCCGTTTCCCAAGTGCAACATCTTAGGTGCTATGCCCGCGAGAATATGAAGCAATGTCGACCCATCATTGTTCCGCACAAAGATGTCAGCACCTGAATCTTCGAAGAAGTTGAATGTCGGGGTCTTGTACGTCTTCTCTCCAGGACTGCCGCATAGCCGCTCGTTGCCGACTTGAATGAACTTAAAAAGTGGTGTTTCTCCTCTGTCGTTTCGAGTGTTGATGTCGACTCCGGCTTCAAGGAATCGTTTGAACAGAGCCTCGTTCCATTTATACGTGGTCTGGACGAAGTGGTGAAGGGCAGTGTCTCCGTTGCTGTCTGGTTGGATGGGACCAGCTCCGTTGTCCAGAAGCAGCTCAACGTAAACATGTGAGCTAGCGCGCACAGCGTAGTGTAGAGGTGCTTTACCATCGTGATCAAATTAGTGGACGAGATTTGGGTTGGCGACCATGACTGCGCGCAGGATCTCGGAAAGGGAGGCATCAAACCTTGGGTTCCCGATGTGATGTAGGATACTTTTGCCATCGTTGGCTTGCGCCATGGCGTCAGCACCACGATTGATGAGTTCTTCGAATATTTTCTTGATATCCATGTCTTCCACTTTGCTAGAGGCGTAGCTCAGGCTTCTCTGATAAAATTTCGATGCAGCTGAGAGCATGGTGGACCCATTTTCATCACGGCGTTCAATATCCAGAGATGGCAGCTGGAAAAATGGTTTGACGATTTGGCCAGTGCTTGTAATTTCATGAATTATAGTGCCGGTTGTGCAGAATAAATCTCTGGGCGCGGAACTAAGTGGTGCAGACCAGTTGGAAAATGTCGCAAACGGGTCTGCTCCGTATCTGAGAAGAACTCCCACCATTTGCGCTCTGATTTGAGGACCTGGACTCTTGCGTTTGGAATTGCGGGAAATGGCTGCCAATAATAGTGGGAACCTTTATTATGCTATGAAGTAAGTGTGTTACATCTTGAAAAGGAAGTGGTCGTGGATGAAGAAGACGAACAGAGAAGTGAGCAATGTGGGAGTCAATATGGACAGCTCCGCTGTCTACAGTAAAATTTACAACTTTCTCCATGGCCTTGGGAACTTAGCACGAAATGAGTTTAAAACTACGCCATATGCCAAAACAACTATAAAATCAACATTAGTTTACACCGCCTGTCGGGTAATATAGTTTCCTAAATCAACGTACCAATATAAAGTTATGGATGAATCCATAACCGAACCTCGGCTACAGATGAACTATGCTGACTCATCTTGCGGGGAATGGGGAGCTTCTGGGGAGCTTCCATAAACTTGCTTCTGGTTTCTGAAGCTACCGATACATAAACTGCACTGCATCAAGGAAACAAATTACAGTGCACGTTCACTATGCCCAGTCCAAAGATCACCCTCTACGTGGACGTTGTCAGCCCGTTCGCGTATATCGCATTCCACGTGTTACAGGCAAGCTACTATCCACCCTCCAAGAAAACCGGTCTAACAAACTCCAGAACTCATCAACATTCGCCAAAGTTGACGTAACTTATGTCCCAATCCTCCTGGGAGGTCTGATGCAAGCCTGCAACAACTCGCCACCCATTAACATCAAAAGTTCGACCGACCTTACTCCCCTTTGTTCCATCCAAGCTCCAACTGACAATTCCCAGACAAGGACAAATGGATCAACAAAGAGCGCGAGAGATGGGCCAAGTATTTCTCAGTCCCCATAGCCGACAAGGTACCTGATGGTTTCCCGATACGGACACTAGCGGTGCAGCGCGCATTGTGTGCACTTTCACAAAAGGCGCCCGCGAAGCTTCCTGCCGTTCTTGAGGGATTGTATCGCGCGTTCTGGGTTGAGAGGAACTCCAAGGTTGCGGAGCCGGAGGGCTTTGCTCCTATTATGGAGAATGTGCTCGGCAAGCAGGATACGCAGGAGATTATATCAGCTGTGAGTTGCTGTCTGCTCTTTGCAGTTATTATTCTGGAACCTCGGATCTGACTATTCTATAGATGGGCCAGCCTGACGTCAAGGGCCTTTTGATGTCTAACACTGACAGAGCCTTCAAGGAAGGAGCCTTTGGTCTTCCTTGGTTTGTATGCACCGACGCGAATGGCAAGACGGAGGGATTCTGGGGCATTGATCATCTCGGCCAGTTGGTTGATTTCCTTGGTTTAGACCGGAGTCAAGATGCCGGGTTCAAGGCTCTGCTTTAATGGGCTTGGAAGTTGCCATACATTGTAAATATCAGAAATGAACTTGTTGCGTTATTAATTTGTTCTTCAATGTGCAATCACTCTAACGCCGAACCCCAGCTCACATCAAAATGAAACGCAAAGGAATGGAATTCGGCTTCAAACACTGCCACCAGGTCTCCCCTGGTCCCCAATAATCCCCGCCGTCTCCAATAGCCATCGCGCACTCTCTTGCGCCGAGTCGCCAGCTCCGGTCTTCAGATTGATATTTCGTCGCCTCTCTGCCTCGCGTGCCTCAAACTCCCACTTTGCTCGTTGCGCGTCTATTGCGCTAGAACCAGAGTCTGATTCAGATGCCTGGGGGTCGGGGACGACGCCCCAAATCTCGAGAGAGTAGATGTCTAACCGAGTCTTCGTTGGTTTTTCATCGGGAGATGCAGTGCCTGAGGGCAGGAAGACACCATCGTGTCCTACAGGCGCGACGTGCAGCTCTGCTGATTCAAGGTTAACGTCGATGAGTAGACTTGCTGCCCCATGCGGGCTGGGATGTGTCTGGTGGCTGCGAGAGGGTGGGGGTATCTGACAACCGATGGCGATGCCGGAGTGTGTCGAAAACCACGCTGCTGGGAGGTTCTGCTTCTTCTCAATAGATGGCGACGGGTTTCCGGGGAGGACTTGGTGTTTGGGGCATAGCTGGAAGAGACAGGGGAGTGAATTGGAGGCTTGGGATGTGGAAGTGCTGTGCGTTGAGGAAGAAGACTTCCATGTTTGCGGGAGATAGGCACCGAGTGTGATGAGCTCCTCGCCGTCGCCCTCAGGTGCACCTTGAAGGATGAGCAAAGATGCGGATTGCCAGGAAAGGACGTGGTGGGAGAAGGATGTTAAGGAGGAGCCGTGGGCAGATGTCGAGAAGACCGGATGGAGACGAACGTCGTTTCGGAAAAGGTTGAGCGATGCCGAGGCTGAAGGCAAGAAGAATGAGATATGTGACAGAAGTGTCGAGTTTAAAATTGTGGACTCAAAACTGCCCGGAAGCATAATTGGCGCAGGTGGAGGAATATTTTCAGTCTTCTCGTCCGTTTCCTCAATGGTGTCCTCTTCCTGTCCCTCGTTCCCTTGTTTTCGGGAAAGGTTCAGATTCTTGCTGAAAAGAAGGTGCTCGAATAACGGTGTAAGGGGGTCAAAAAGGTACGGCAAAGATGATGAGATTGTTCGAGCGAAAGCCCGATACGAGATGCCACCATCATTCTCCTCCGGCGAAAACGCCGCAATGATACTGTCTGCCTCTTTTTGAAGTGCCTCAACTCTTTCCGCAGATAGATCAGTCGTGTAGATCTGCACAGGCTCCAAAGGCTTAAGGGGCGCAATCACGAGCAGCAGCATGAGTAGTCGACGGAAGGTATCCAGAGAGATGCGGGTTTCGTAGACGGTGCGATCGACACGGTGGTCATGTTTAAACACCTCAATTGCATCTAGTGATTCTAGTGCTGCTAGCGCAAGGTCATCTTCTTCGTCTTCGTCATAGTCGTCATTTGCTGGCTCGTCAATTGAAAAGCCGGGGGCGTGAGAATTGACAGCTGAAGAATTGGCTTCTGCAACCGATTGCTCATCTTGACCAGGAGTTTCATCAGAAGCAATTCCGAGGTTCTTTCTTCCGACATCGGCGAGACTGCCAAAGAGCAGTTTGATCCGATCCTTGCGGCCTCTTCGCAACACTTTCCCGTACCTTTCGGTCAGTAGGACCGCCACCTTGACCATGGCCTCGAACGTCAGAACGCTCGGTGCCATTGAATTTTGGAATGGAAATGCGCCGAGATATGAGACCATGCGGAAAAGGACAGGCCCGGCGTCGAGGCGGTTCTCCTTGGCATCAGAGAAGCTGCCATCCGGGACGCCGAGGGTTTCCGAAAGGATTTTTTCGTTCCAATACCGGAGACCACCCTGCTCAGCGGCACGAGAGAAAAAATTGTCCTTGAAGTGCGTGAGCTCCAGTGGTGTGAAGCATTTTGTCGCAAAGCGCTCCGCGAGCACGTAACTCAGCTCCTCTGTTTACCTGTTAGGTATGGCCCCAGGTGGAAGGAATGTTAAGCAGGAGAGCTTCATGCTATGTTCATCTGAAGCTGATGACTTCAGCGAGTACAGCATATTGTTCTGCTGAACAAAATCAACGAAACTTACCAGGAGACGCTCCCTTATATTCAGCCGACTGGCCCGCGCCCATTGCTGCCGTGAATGCGGGGAGCACTCCACTGCTTCACGTTTGTGGCCGTCGTCCTCGGTGGCAGTTCAAGAAATAGAAGCAGACGTGATAGTCCGAAGCGTCAAGACGAAAGACCTCAAAGCCTCAGGAAATGAGCGGCGAAGACACAGTGGAAAGAAAGAACAATGGTCGACGTTTCAGATGACGACGTCAGATATTTCTGCCTGAGGTGTCATTTTGTGCCGGACATCGCGCGAAAACAGTTGTAAAGTGTAGAAAGTACGAGAAATACAAAGATACATGAATGTTGCGTTGAATTTTATTCGCATTTATGTTTCATATCAACGTAAAGAGATTCGTTTTTGGGGTATCCGAGATGCATTCAGATCCACTAGCCACTCGTCCCTTCCTAGAGCATGACGATACCAACGCCTCCCATCTTCTTCTCATCGGGCAGGTTCTTGTCGTTGATGCCACCTGCGACAGGTGCACAACGGTAGTTGTAAAGGTAGAAGTGGAGCTGGCCATCGCCGGCGCCGAACTTGAGCTGTTCAAGGAACAGAGGGTTGTCGTGGAGCGTGAGAGCGTTGAAAACATCGAACTTGGCCTTTAAATGTGTTAGTTAAATGCTTATCGTCGGGATGATGAGGATTGACATACCTGCTTTGCGCAGATGAGAGCATCGTTCATCAACATCAGCAGGCGCTCCTTGAGCGCGGCCTGCTTCCCGGTGAACGCGGTTTCGGTTGCGTAGTAGTAAAGGTACGCAGCGCGCACAGCCTCGTGCTTCGGGTGATCAATGACGGTGGATTCAAGGTTGTAGAACGAGACGAAATCGGTGATCTTATGAGTCTCGGGGTCTTCGACCACGTACGACCAGACAACCTGCTCCTTACCTGGCTGCTCCTTGTACACCAGCCAGTGCTCGATCTCCTCGCGAGTGAATGCCTGGTTCATGTCAAACCGGAGCGAATACCGTTCCAAAAGATCATGAACTGCATCAATATCCTTTACCTCCATCGCCCGCAGGCCGGGAGTCGAGGTGGTGCTAGGAAGGTGGTTCCGAGTGATCTGGCGCGCCTTGGTAGAGCCGTGAGGAAGGGGCGAGAAGCCGACTTCATACAGCTTCAGCCAGTCTAGCGCACGGTGGTAGTAGCGGCACGAGCTGACGGGGGTAGGCAAGATCACACCGCCCGTGTAGATAGCCTGGTAGATGCCATTGAGGTAGCAGCGACGGGTGATCTCCTTGATCAAGACCGGGGTCAGGCGCTTGGAGCGCAGCTTTTTGTGGATACAGAGGAAGTTGATCTCGGTCACCTTGATTCGCTCGCCGCGGACTCGGAGCTCCGTGGGGACACCGCAAATCGAGGCAACTAGCTTGCGCGACTTCGTAGCACGCACACCGACGTGCCATTCCTTTTTCCATCCAGGAGACATCAGGGCCCTATATCAAGAATAGTCATGGTCAGCAAGCCTGCACAGTTTATGCAATCTCCAGTGCAACAGGAGAGCTATCGTACCAGTGCAAAAACGACTGCGAGTAGCTGAATCGGAACATGGCGTTATCATCTTCCACATAATGGTTGTTCAGCAGCTCATAGAGCTCCCGCAGCTCATTGTCGTCCGTCAAGTCAAGAGTGCACCACTCAAAGCCCTCAACCAGCTGGTCAGGTGTCTGGGGCACCTCCTCCGGTTTGATAATCTTAATAGGCCCCTGGGTAACAGGCTTCTTGCCCCGGTGGTCTTCAAAGCTAGGCACAGGCTGTGTCTGCCAGAACTTGTACGAGGCCATATCCTTCTGGTTCTTTCCACCGATTGCAAGCCCGGTCAACATTTGGTTAAGATCAAGGTTGGAGAGGGCCGCGGCGGCGGAGTTGGTGTCCATCTGGGCGAGTTCATTCTTCAATGCAGGGTTCGATTCCAGGAGCGACTCAATCAGCTTGGGCGGGAGCTTTTTCGTGCCGGAGGAGCCTATGTCACTGGATTCAGTCGAGTCCCAAATAGGAGGGGAAGAAGGGGGGGGTTTGGCTGCGCGGAACGAGACCGAAGTGAGAAAGACGTACCCTTGCTGTCCTGGGCGCCGACATCTTCGGGCGCATCGCGCTGAGGCGCTTTGCCTTTGTCCTGTTTCGGCATGACGTGTTGGGAAGTGAGACTGTTCAGAGAGTGGGAGAGGGAAGGAATTCGTCTGGGCCCCACGTTCAACCGTATGTAACGCGGATCGGTGGGGTGCCGAGGGGTACCCCGTTTAGATGAAACTAATAGCGTCGAAGTGAGAATAATAAATTGTTCACAGGGAAGACATGGTCAGACGTTTTACTTCGACCTATTTGTCCTAATCTCAATTCCAGTGCCCGGTGATCTAATTCCAGCTAGTTGCAGCTTGAGACATCGGCAATACAGGGCCAGATCACACGTTCTCTGATAAAACATTTCGCGGCACAATCCTCAGGACAAGTGGTCTTTGTTTTATTTGAGAAAGGACAGCTACAACTTCTAGGAGTCCACAAGAAGGTCTAGAAAACGTCTAGAAGGCAAAGGAACATCAGAAAGCATCCAGGACATCTAGAAACTGGAGACGGCAGGGCCTGTAGACGAAAAGGTCGCGTTGCAAGATGGGAATCTAATCTCGAATTGTTGAAATCCACAAACACCTCTATATGTCCGCTCTCGCGCCATGTGAAATAAAATCCTCTAGTGTTGATACAAGAATCAAAATGAAGAGAGCACCAGGCCGTCAACTCAAGTAACGAAATCAAGCGGTCTCTGTGTAGGGTTTGGTCTCAATGACGTCCAGGAAGCCGCCGACCAGGTGCAGACTGCCAGTGACAAATGTCATCACCGGTGTCTCGTCCTTCTGAAGAACCTTGCGTTCTTGCTCGGCCACATCCCGCGCAAAATCCACGGCCTCCTCGATCGTGCCAAACACTTGTGTGTGGGCCGATGGGTCGATCTCTTTCCAGGCGCTTGCAAGGGACTTTTGCACACGCAGCAATTCAAGGTCATCGGCGTTGGTGTTCATGCTAACCAGGTCAGGCCGGAAGCCTGCTTGCTTGTAGGTGATATTGGTACAGAACAAGGCGTGGGTAAAAGGTGTTGTAGAGCCAAGGGCTTCAGCAAGAGTCTCATACAGGGCCAGGGCCAGGGCCGTGCTATTCCGTGTTTGCTGGTTGAAGATCAGGACCCGTGTCTTTTTTGTGGCAAGATCGCTCGAAGACGAGTCTGCCTGGATGCGCGAGGCAAACCACTGGCCGGCTAGCCGAATACTCTCCAGCGTGTGTCCTCCATCGATGTACCAGGACACGTTTTTCTCATACCGAGTCTCGCACCGACCACCAAGACGGGTCTCCTCGAGGCCTGTCTTGAATTCTACGGGGAGAGATTCTGACATGACATGCTCCGATATGTTCGCCACACCCGTTTTTCGCAGGAATTCTGCCGCGGCCGCGACTGCCACGGAAGCATTGGTGTATTGGAAATCACCAGCCAGTCCAAGCTTCACTTGACCGGTACCAGCGCGGAGATCCGGATGCTCAGAAACAATGTCCAACTGCGAGCCCTTGTCGGCAGCACGCTGTTCCAGTACTTCGACTGCGCTGGGTGCCTGTGGTGCACTGAAACATCTTACGCCAGCCTTGATGATACCACCCTTGTGCCATGCAATTTTGTCAATTGTAGTACCCAACATCGCGGTATGGTCGATACCAAGGCTGGTGATTACCGTCGCTGTAGGGTGTTCAATCACGTTGGTACAGTCGTATTGACCGCCAATTCCACACTCGATAAGTGCAGCATCAACACCCTCGCTCAGATATGTGTGGAACGCCATGAGGGTCAAGTACCGGAAGTATTGAGGCTTTGTACCGGGGGCAGTCGGGTCCTCGCCAGCCAGCCTGGCTGACTCCTCTAGTCGGTCCCAGACTTCAAAGAAGTAGCGAGCAAATTGTTCTTCCGATAGCGGCGCGTTGTCGATCTTGATGCGCTCGCGAGCAAACCGGAGGTGCGGGGAGGTATAGAGACCGACTTTGTGGAGCCGAGGAGTCGACTGGTCTGGCTGAGGCTTCTTGTACTGAGAAAGAATGGTAGAGATAAATGCCGAGGTAGAGCCTTTGCCTTTCGTGCCAGCAACATGAACGGGGTTCAATCGATCGATGTCGGAAGGCTACAGCACAAGTCATGTCAACCTAAGCTCCCCCATACCTTGAGCATCCCTGCAGGATTTACGAACCTTGTACCCAATGCGCCGAAGCCACTCGACTGTCTCCGGGATAGAGCGCTCATTCAGTTCCTGCTGCGACGTGGACTTCTTCAGTGCCTCCACAATCGCATAATTGGTTTGCAGGGAATTGAGTGCTGTGATTGCATTCTGGGAACATTGCGCATGTCAGTAAATGGGATAAGCAAGCTGCCTTGCGTATTCCCGCGTAGCAAATCCGCGTGGAGACGTCCGGGGTGCATACCTCATATGTGCGAGTCATGGTGGCCGAGTGAGTCGAGACTCGGCGCCGTGGAAAGGACTGCCAACGAAGAGCCGTCCAAATACCTCTCATGGACAAGGGAGACCCGGCCCGCGTATTCAAGGGAGCAGGCGGGGTTGCGACAAGAAAACCCCAGCAGCTCAATGTTCTTTAATTGAATCCCCCCGATCAACGCTCTCCTCGGGAAAGAGGGGTCGCGATCGGGAATATCACGTGATATCGATAGCAGATAAAGCATTTTGGCGTATCGCATACTTGCAGCAAGGCGAAATGAAAGTCCTAATCAAAGAGGAAATGGTACAAGGAGGTAGTCGCAAATAGGGATCTGTGTGGAATTGGCAAGCTTTACTGGTGGTTTATTCAGGCAGGCAAAACAAATTGATCAGTTGACATGAATTGATTGGATCCTACGCCCCAGGTATCGTCTAACTCTCGAGACGCTAAAGACGAGGGATACATGGGGTGTGAGAAAATGCAGAGGGGGCATACAGACTGTGTCATGCAAGGTATAATTGAAATAAGTAGGTACGGCGGAAAACTGCCGTCGAAAGAGACAAACGGAAAGCGGCTCAAAAGCAAAGCCAGTTCGGGGAAAAAGGATACTAAAACATACAGCCATGAAGTGTATAGATACGAATCAGAAGGGGCGGGTGTGAAAGGTGAAAAAGCATTGACTGGATAGAACGAATCATTCGATCCTGGTCTTGCCCTCCTCGAGGAAGACGAGACGGGCATTGCTGATGCCGCGCTGGTGTCTTCTGTTAGGAAGCCAGTTTCCGATGATAGGATCAGAGCGTGCTTTGATCATAGCATCTTGGTATCCCTCGGCGCCGGCAATGGGTGTGTTCAGCTTCGGCCAGTTGACATAGAGCATGCCGTGGCCGTGAATGAAGCGGAAGCAGTACGCGCCAACCACTAACCAAAAGATCATGAAAATGCGCAGTGGCCAGACAGCGGCATCGGGTAGTTGTCTTGTGAGAGTCGCCACAAGAACCAAGAACAGACTGGCCGCGAAAACGTACGGAATGGCTTGGATGATGACAGGCCGCCGGTCCAGGAACAGCTGGACATTAGCGGGTCCTGAGGCAGAGGGGAGATAGACGCCCAAAAACACATCAAATCCATCTTGGCGGGGTCCATCCATAAAGTTATTGCGCACATATCTTGTGATAGAGTTTCTCAAATCTTGAAGAGCGCCAGCCCGGGTACGCTTGCCTGTGCGGGTGAAGTCGGTCTTCAAAGCACCTGTACCGGAGTAGGACTTGGAGACGACATCGGCATTGTCGGCCCAGATATTCCGGAAAAGATCCTCGAACTCGCGGTCATCGTTGGCCGCTTCGCCCTGGCGAAGAACACCAGCATCCGTAAGCTGTCGCGTAACCGCCCACCGGCCAAGCATGCTCTGCACAACGTTGGTTCGGTCGAGACAATCCATACAATTGGTCCGCACGACGCTGCTTTGTGTCGACCGAGCCTCTAGCTGTCCGCCGGGAACTCCTGGAGATTCCACACCCCTGAAGTAACCACCTTGGGTCAGTCCGTCTTGCAACCGACCCATCAGGAGTTCAGCACGGTGCCATTTGAGGCCTTTGGTCTCGTTGTGGAAATCAAAATAAATATAATGCAAACGATCCATCTCTTTCTGCTTGAGACCAGGCTCCAAGATGTGCATCTTCTCGGAAGTCATGTGATCAGCCTCGGTGGTCTCAGTTGAAGAAGAGATGAGAGTTCGAACCAGCTGCTCGTACGCTTTCTTGACGCGTTCCTCCCTGCCCTTCTGGTTGACGAGATTAACCATGTAGTTTTCTCCATAAAGACGGATCTGCTCGGAGAAATGCTTGCGCGCAGCTTCGACTGCGGTATCGACACCCCGGACCTGGAGCTTGGGCGTGTATTTGAGGTCGTTGACTTCGGCCCAGAACACAGGCACACTGCCTCGAGTTTGCACAAATGAGTACACCTGAAGGTCCTGGCTAGCTTTGCCATTGGTCATCGACTCTCCTCCCGCAAAGCCTGAAAGTCCACCTGTCGCATCGTTCAGGATCACAATCTGCTCTGTTTCGTTGTAATTCGAGACGTGGCCCTGCTCGTCGATTCCTCGAGAGAAATATCTAGTCCCGGCGCGGTGTCTGGATCGTCGGGTAACGAGCGCGAATGTGAATGACGTTCCCTTGACTCGGGCGGGAGTGATGCGCATCATTCCGAACATGACGGGGAGGATGTAGGGATCGACGCCCGGCTGGGGGCCATAGCGAATGCCGCTCGTGTCACTTTCTCCCAGGCTGAAGTCGATCAGGTCTGACTGAACGAAGCGGTTCCAGAAGAAACGGTCGTCGGCACGCTTCCACATAGGGATATTGGGAGCACTTTGCGATTGGCGCTGGAAGCTGTTGGTGAGATCCAGGGAGTAGGAGAAGTACATGGGCCCGGTGCGCAACATGTCTTTGATCAGCGCAAGGTACGTGTCTTCATCGGTATCGTGGAGCGGGCGTTCACGCATGGGAAGGAATTCCGTTGAGGCGACCTTGTACACCATATGGCCGCGTAGGCGTCCCATCGGCTGCGCCTTGGTGATGACTATGATGTACTTGTCTATCAGGGTCAGTACAAGAATCTAATGGTTTATGTAGCGTCAATTATGTAGCGTCAATACGTACCCAGCTTCAGCTTGATTATTCCCAAGATTCCAGCAATGCTAGAAATGCGCTTGGTGCCTGAAACGGAAAGGCCATCGCTAAGGCGAAGGTCGCCAGTCGGCCGGTCCACAACTAGTGTTGGTGCCTGGGGGGAGGACGGGGAGGTGAACGCATAGTGAGACGGTGATGCATGTAGATTGACATCTCTAAAAGGGAGTATTTGAGGGGCCATTTTGGGCAAATGACCGAAAGCGAAAGTGATGACCAGGGGAAAGACGAGAAACCTCTCCAGGAACCAAACACATGATCGACCGCGGCAGGTGTGCAAGTCAACAGCCAAGTACCGCCACACCGCCCCGCTGCGTCTGTGGCTCGTTCCGTCATCCACTCCAGTCTTCTGCCTCACTCTGATCTTCCACCTCCATCACTACTCTGAACCCTTCTCTCGAACACCCTCATCTGTACTCATTGTTTCTCGCTTTGAGGATTTTACTCTCTCTCCCTACCCGCCCTCACCCGTCTCCCCTGATCTCCTGGCCATGGCCTCCCGTCAACCAGCAGGCGCCCGCCCCGGGGCCAAATTCGCTCAGTTCAAGCTTGTCTTGCTCGGTACGTTGTCTCCGCTATAGTTAACTTGAATTCCACGCTACAGTTACATATGCTGATTACTCTTTTTCCTTTGTTTAGGCGAGTCCGCAGTCGGAAAGGTTCGATCTTCAGCCTGCCGCTATCTTTATCGGGCGCTAACATTATCGCTATCTCCAGAGTTCGTTGGTGTTGCGATTCGTTAAGGTGAGTTTCTGATGGCCGCCTCTTGGCTACTTGTAGATAAGATGTGCTTGGAAGAAAAAGGTAGATTGACAAGTCTGTCTAGGACCAATTCGATGATTACCGCGAGTCAACTATCGGCGCCGCTTTCCTGACGCAAACCATCTCCCTCGACGAAAGCACCACCGTCAAGTTCGAAATCTGGGATACTGCTGGCCAGGAGAGATATAAGTCGCTGGCTCCGATGTACTATCGAAACGCCAACTGTGCTGTTGTGGTCTATGACATCACCCAAGCTGTACGTCCGAATTGTGCACTCCCAACCCTCATTACGTTCGCTGACCATCGATTTTCTGCAATAGGCTTCGTTGGACAAGGCCAAGGCCTGGGTAAAAGAGCTTCAGCGTCAAGCTAATGAGAACATCGTGATTGCGCTGGCAGGTAACAAGCTTGATCTTGTTACCGAAAGTCCCGATAAGCGGGCTATTCCGACTGCAGACGCTGAGGCCTATGCCCGCGAGGCCGGTCTCCTCTTTTTCGAAACCTCCGCCAAGTCGTCGACGAACGTGCGGGAATTGTTCACAGCCATTGCGAAGAAGTTGCCTCTCGACCAAGCTGGTCCCCGGAACCTGCGCGGAGCGGCCCCTCGACCTGGTGTCGACCTGCGGCCCGAGGCCCCTGGCACTCAGGGTGCTGGTGCATGCAACTGCTAAGCCATTATATTTCTCGATCTCCTTGATATCCAGCTCTTGCGTTCACCTTCTACCGCCCTCCCCCGATCGTCCAATCTCAGTACGACCTCGTTTGGCCAGACTGACCTGGACCTCTACTACCATTTCATATCGACACGGGAGGTAGACTCTCGGCTCGCTGTCCATCTAGTCTATGTTTCCTGATCCTTTGACCTCTCGCTCGCCCTTTTCAGGGGTCCGCCGTCGACGGGGGTATTTTGACCTTTTCCACGGACGCTTCTGGAATTTGGCTTTAGACACGTTGCGGCAGGTCTCGCCTGCTTTTTTCCGCTTCCCTTGTATTTCTCCCTTTGAACCCGGCGTCTGCATCTACCCTTCTGTTCGGCCGAACTTCGCACTGTTATTATCCGGTTGTTCCTCTTTCCTTTTCTTTTCAGAGCCTCTTCAAGTATGCTAGGCCCGATAATACATTTTTTTCAGACTGTACACCTCATTTTTCAGATTAGAGTAGTGTCTGAAGAGTCGATGACAATTTAGCCTGCATTATCAGGTTAAAATTACAGTGTAAGTCAGTTAGCTAGTTAACGAAATATTGGCAGGCTGGTGACACCTGCCCAGGCGCCTGTGATAGAATCTAATCAGTTTATATGCGATCAGCCCGGCTATGGCCAGGCTGAAGGTGTCGCTGCATAACGACGAGCTGAGACTCCGAGACCGATGGAGGCACATCCTGTTGGGAGATCATCGTTTCTACACTCTGGGATCCTTAAATAGCTTTGCCTAAACATTGTAATTCGTATGGTGTACAATTCACACCTCACAGTTTCTTAGCCCCCTCAAACTGCCATATCGATTCCTTATCATGACAAGAGTCTTGCTATTCTTTATTGCCGAGCAGGCTAAAATTGTAAGTCAATATCTAACTACTTCGCAAGCAAAGTTGTGCACTGCTGATTGGGGTTTTAGTCCATTTATAAGGACTTTAATGTCCGCGAAGACGAGAGACCACTTGATATACCCATTTTCTCGCGTGGAGACGAACATTCGTCCAAATAATGCCAAGGCTCTATGTTATTGGTGAAGACCTGAGGCCCATGACTCTATATGATCTAGAACTTTGAGCTATTGGGAAGGCTTTTTTGCTGGAAGAAGGCAGGTGTAGGATTTGTGCAGTGTACAACAGTACGTTAATTTTCATGTGATGAAGTGATCTCAAGCTTATCAAAGAGATGAAGAAGCGCTCCTAGAAAGGCATAGTGGCAGAAAGACACAAGGTATAACCTAGAGATGACTCCAAAGACGCTATCATATTGAATGAGAAATATCAATAACGTGTTCCCTCGACACCTAAGTGACAATAAAATACGGCTCCCGAAGCAAACAGTAGGGTGAGTTCATCACCCCGCCTTCTATTCAATAAATCCTAACACAAATCTGACAGTTGTTGATTCGTGGGGGTTAACGGTTAACTAAGCTCGTCTTTCCGCCAACCATTTCGACGTCGCGGAGGTCGCGGGCGTCGCGGACTAGGCGGGTTGCATTGTCGCATTATATGTTTAGGCGGCCATGGGATCGACATCGCAGGGACACGGCCTCGAACTGGATAGAGATGTAAATATAAATCCTTTCAAATCTATCAGTAAATACCAATGATCCAACGCCATTCTAACTTCTTCTGACAGTTGCGAACGAAATGCATTTGGAATTTCAAACCATCAAAAGGGGATTGCTCGCCGCCACCACTGCGGTGAATGTCCCTTTATCACTAGAAGCTCCCGACAACGCCGTCCAAGCCCCAGGGAATTTCATGGGCTTTGGATTTGAGACAGCATTTATCAATGACTATGCGAACAGCTTCACCGTGAACCTGCTCAACTCGGTCGCAAAACGACTAGACACTGTTCCGATTATAAGAATTGGTGGAACCTCCGGTGATCGAGTGACATTTGATGAGAGTCAGCAGCAGGTGAAGGTTTGCATTCAGGGGGACTGCCCCATTGGATCATCAGCAAGCTACATACTTGGCCCAAGCTACTTCGATGGCTTCAAATACTTGAGCGACTTCGGCTTTACCTTTCAAGCACCTTTAGGCCCAGTGCTAAATATCTCGAACACTGCCATTTACGTATCGCGAGCATACGAACAAGTCAACAAGAACAATCTAGCTGCAGTTGCGATTGGAAACGAGCCAAATCTCTATTCCCACCAATACAATATCAACTATACACTTGATCAATACGTCAACGGCTCGAAAACAATCATGGACCTTGTTTCGAAAACTCTGGGTTTTAATGATAGAGTTCCCATGTTTGAAGTCCTTGATCTTTCATCTACCAAGGCTCAATTTAATCTGTACCGCCCCCTTATGCTGGCTAAATGATGCAGAATATACCTTACTGACAAATGCTCAGAATTGAGACATTCGAAGACAATCTAGACAGTTCTAAAGATGCTAAGATTGCAGCATGGCATTGGTATCAGCTCCCGGGCGACTATAATACTCTAGCACAGCAACAGGAATATCTGATGAACCACACTGCTATCGTCTTACAATTCGATCCATTGAAGCCGCAACTTGAATATTTGAAACAGAACAACCCGACCGTTCAACCTGTCTTGAGCGAGACTGGATCCGGCACCCAGAGCTCGATCGAGATTCTAAGCGGCTTTGGTGCAGCGTTGTGGTGCATCGACTTCCAACTATACAGCTTAACCCAAGGTATATCCCGTGTGGATGCATCTCATCGCCCGGCGGCTCTTCATAGTTACTGGGTACCGGATAACTCAGCGGGGACGTTGAACCCGGGGCCGCAAGTTCGTGGTGTTTGGTATGCCCTTCCATTTATTGCAGACTTTCTGGGACCGAATCCAGGAAAGGTCATTGAGGTCGATATGGGATCAGATACACTCGTCGCTTATGCAATCTACGATGCATCTACGAGTGCTGTCTCGAAGCTGGCGTTGATCAACCTCCGTGCATGGGCCATCGGGGATGGCAGCTCTCGTGGATCAGAAACAGTCTCCGTGCCTGTCTCCTTCGGTATCTCGTCTGTCAACGTCAAGCGACTTCAATCTGCCGCGGGCGCCCAGGCAATGGGTTTCGATTACGCCGGCCCATCCGAGAACATAACTTGGGCAGGAGAGCAATGGAGCTACTTCATTGATCGAGGAAATGGTCATCAAGTGGCCGGTGTGGCAGCGGAGGTATCTCATCCAGTATCTGATGGGAAGGTTCAGATTCAAATTCAGGACAGCGAGGCTCTTTCCATTGAGTTCTGGGACTCAAACTTGTTCGGGGGAAAGTCCCATGCCTGCGGGCAGCCAGGCTTTCCATCCTGTATCTAGGTCTTCCTTCATTTCGTTCAGTACGATCAATACTGAGAGAGGTAGACTAGTTTTATCCTGAATGATACCGACGTATATAAGTTTTACGCTGATGGAATCCATCGTAGAGATTATTGAGAGATGGGCAATTGTCTATGTCGTAACTTAACTGCTTGAAATAGCCCATCAACTCAATTCAGGAGAGGTGTCGGATCCGAGCAAGGTGCCATTTTGGTGCCAGTGTTGTGCTGCCGTTTCCCCGCTTTCCGCTCTACCAAATTAGGTTGAGGGGCACTGGCCACCCCAGACTTTTCTATTTAAGCACGGAGTACGGCGTATTTAACGAGAACGTGCGGAGGCTGGCCATCTTTCATCTCACGCGCTTCCATCATGGATGAAAATGTACACGACAGCAGCGTGGTGAGTGATGGGGCGCCTGCTCGCAAACGGTTCTCTCATCGTCGATCAGGATGTGCTACTTGTAGAAGACGCAAGGTAAATCATGCTAGATTGTTCCTATGATGAAATCTAACGTGTTTTGTTCCAGGTACGCTGTGATGAAAGGCAAGGAATATGTGGTAACTGCATGCGCCTCAATATCGATTGTCTCTGGTACCCGGCATCAGAGCTTCTCCAACGTTCGCGAGTGAATAATGCATGTGGGCGATGCAGACGAAAAAAGGTTTTCTGCCTCTACAATCTTGTATTTTATGATAGAGTCTGCTCTAACGCTTGCAAAGATTAGGTGTACATCTGGCCATTCAGCGGCACCATGCAGTCCTTGCCAAGTTGATGATGCAGAATGCAGCATTGTGAGGCATGAAGCAGAAGCCCCACAGATTCAAGCCGATCTTCCTGATAGATCTGAATTGAAAAAGCTACTTAATGTCTATTTTGATGGACCTCACAACTTCTACTTCTACACTTTCATCCACAGACCGACATTCCAACAAAAGCTGGATCGAGGCGCAATCCCGGATTATCTTCTCTTAATTGTGATTGCGACAGGCCTCCACTTCCTCGACCCCAAGGATAACCGGGCGGACCTTTGGGCAGACAAGAGTCGAAGTCTCATCATGATGGACATTTTCTCTCCGCCTTCGACAACCACTCTCCAAGGGCTTCTACTACTTCAACGCTACGAGTGGCATCGGGCCTCACATATGAATGCCTGGGTGCTTTCAGGATTGGCAATTCGTATTGCGCAGGGGCTCCAACTGAACCTTGAAATCCCAGACGAGACGCGCACTACAACCACCGTCCGTGAGACACGGAGGCGGCTTATGTGGAGCTGTCTTGTGATGGAATCGATGATCGAGACCGGTCGCAGTCCCCTGAGCAGACTCAACCTGAGCTCGATCGAGGTTCGACTCCCATGCGACGAAACAACGTTTCAGTTAGCTTTGGAGTCCGATATGACCGGACTGGATCAATCTGGCGTGGAGAGCTATGATAACACTTCCCATTTTGGAAGTCGCTCAGGCATCTCGGCGTTTTTAATAAGATTTGCAGTACTTCGGCGGGAAATTTTGAATTACACCTTGCCATATCATCCCCGAAACCGTGGCCATACACCACCGCAAGCCCCTTGGGATACAAACTCACCTTTTTGGAGCCACGAACAGAAGCTGGAGGATTGGCAGGCTTCCCTTCCGACAGAACTTCAATTCAAGGATGAGGTTTTGTATCGTCGTCACCCGCAGCTTTACAATTTTATCACCCTTCACTGCCTAATTCGTGGCTGTTGGTGTGATTTGAACAGGATAGGTTCTTACATTACAGCGTTATCTCAGATGGACGATGCACCAAGCCTGTTTCTTCGGTATCCTCAGCCCTTTATCGACAATTGTCGACAAAATCGCCTGCGACATGCGTTTTCAATATGCAAAGTCATCACTGAGAGTACAACACTTCAGGGGATAGATCATGACCCTGTTGTGGCAGTCTCGGCATCTCTTGCAATTCGGATTCTCACGATTGAGCGCCGGTTGGAGGATAGCCTTGCCCTTGGACTAACCGACGAAGAAGTCGATTTAGTTCTTGATGCACCAATACAGTGCGTTAGACGGGTTGCTGAGCGCTCAAAGCCTATTTCCGAGTTGGTATGTTTCTGCTCACAGCTTCCTTTTGTGAATTCTAAAACTAACTTACGGGACCCAGTTTCATTCAATTTGCACTCTTGCAAAACGCAACGGCTACCATATGGGTCTGGAAGATGAGTCTAGGTAAGGCCCTTTGTATTACACGTTGAATCACAACTAATCCAGCCAATCTTAACCGTCATAGTGGTACGACCTCCTCAAATCGGAGTGGCGGGATGCTCGGCAAGGCAGCATCACCTTCACTTCGCACATTTGGGACATTTGGAAGAATTCAAAATGACATGGCCTGTCGAGGTGATGAACTTGCCCCGACTGCCTGCAGTCCCGCCGATGAAGACAGCGACGTGTTTCACTATATTGGGCGTGATCAAACTAGGCGTCGCGTGGATGCAGCTACGATTCAAGCCAACCAGAACCCCACTCCACCGCCCTCAATATTTCCTCCCTTCGAGATGTTTCAACCTAGCTCAGTGGAAATGGGAAATGGCTGGGGCGACGGGACACTCAATTTCTCGATGAGCCCGGTCCAGCTGGGATGGATCAACCAAAGCCTGGACTGGGATTTGGACTACAATAACTTTGATTGAAACAGTGTTTTTAAAATTTACATATAGTTTATAAGCCGGGGTTTCAAACCATTACTTTGTACAAAACTTCTTGGGCGTTCTAAAGAACTTCTCCCGCTCTACCAATCCTCCGGGTTTCCAGTATTCATACTCGATCCAAGCGTTTTCCTAAGTGCACAGTAAGCAATGAACTCGAATCAATGACAGTAAGTTTGGGATGGTCCTACCTCCATTTGCTCTTCAGTGGCTTCAAGATAAGCCCCTAATTCTGGATGCAGGGGTACAACGCCGCATTCTTCCACGTATTGGTCCCAGTGCTTTAGCAACTCCGTGAGTTTATGTGGATACTCATCGCTCAAATCATAGATTTCACCCGGATCCTTCTCCAGATTGTATAGTTGCCAGCGATGTGGTCCCTTTGGTGCAGGGATAAACAGGGCCTTCCAGTCTGCAACGCGAATAGCAGCCCTCCCGCACAGCTCCCATCCCTGGACGAAGTCTTTAGGGTGCACGGAATCGGTTTCCCCCTTCACATTCAATATTTAGCTTCCAATTCAACGGTATCATTTCTCGCAATTTTATTACCTTTAGCCAGGAGTGCATGGTCTTTCCCCTCATTTCTGCGACCTCGCGTCCCTGGTATGTAGGCGCCGGATGTTTCAAACCAGCCATTTCTAAGATCGTGGGACCCACGTCCATGACGGTGGCAAAATCGTGCTTGATGGCGGCGGTATAGCCAGGGTATCGTGCAATACAAGGAACTCTCACGCCTCCCTCGCTTGTATAGAGTTTATATAAGCGAGAAGGCGCGGTTGCAGCCTGTGCCCAGCGCGGCCCGTACCATACAAAGGAGTTGGCCGCTCCGATGTTGTCGAAGCTGTTGTCATAGTACTTTCGAATGTGCTGTAGTAAAGGGCCTTTGACAAGTGGGTAAGCTTCGTAGGCAGCGCCCTCTGCACCATTGTCACTCATAAACATGATGAACGTGTTATCCAGTTCATCAATAGATTTCAGGTAGTCGAGAACCTTGCCCACGTTTTTGTCCATGCACTTGGAACAATTCATATTAGCAGCTGTGCCTCGAAGATTTTGAAGACGGAGGAATATACCTCTACCATGCCTGCGTAGGCCTCCATCGACCGACAAGACATCTCTTTCTCGTACTCAGTGAATTCATCCCACCCTTCGACGCGATCGTCAACCACAGGGTGAGCTTCTGTGTCCTTGTCGATCATGTCAAGCTTGATGAGGTTGGCCAGTCGTCTCTGCCTGAGAACCTCTGGGCCCTTATTATAGACACCACGATAGTTTTCGATGTGTTCCTTTGGAGCCTGCAATGGCCAGTGTGGAGCTGAAAATGCGAGATAGGCGAAGAAGGGATCGTCAGAAGTATCCTTTCCTTCCGACTTTTTCTGATACCATTCACTCATGTATTCGACAATTTTGTCACCGTAAGCATTGGAAGAGTAAAAGTCCTTTGGGAGGTCATCAAGGTCGACGTATTTGCCGTCTTCATTGTGGAGACAGATTAGACTCGTGTCCAAAAACTGAGGAGTGCCATTTTTGACTCTAAATTAAGCTTGTCAGAAATCTTGTCCGCTTGAAATCGACAAAGTGCAATCACTTACTCTCCCTCTGGTCTATAGTTAAAATGATTGGAGCTTCCAGGAAGCATCGCAAAGGAACGATTGAATCCTCGTGAGTGGGGTGCACGTTCTTGCTTGAGGCCTAGATGCCACTTGCCTGCCATCATGGTGTGATAGCCTCCATCGCGGAGAATTTCGGGAATTGTTACCACGCGCTCATTCAGGTAACCCTCGTAGCCAGGAATGCCTAGAACAATGGTCTGATCAGTTTGGGTCTTTGGGGTAACTTGAAAAGTACTACGGACCTCGTTGCGGTTTTGCATCGTAAAAGTTCCCATTCTCTGTGACAGGCTCGCCTTCGAACCGAGACCAGCCAGTATAGTTGGTAAACTCGATTAGGTTTCCCAAGCCTGCGATATGGTGGTCTGTACCCGTCATGATCATAGCTCGAGTAGGTCTGAGAGAGCATTTTTAGATTTAGCTTTTCATTTGAGACGGGAAGTACAAAATATCTACGCAATGCTAATTTCAGCGGGAGAAAGTACTCACGAGCATGCTGCAGCCGAATGAAACCCGGTGTATCGGACACCTTCATGCCCGAGCTTGTCAATGTTGGGCGTTTTGATCTCTCCTCCAAAACAGCCGACATCCGAGAATCCCATGTCATCAGCCACAATGACAAGAAAGTTCGGTCGTTTCTGGCTGCTGCCCATCTTGAACTTTTGGCCAGTTGAAAGGAGTATGAAAAGCAAGAAAAGTGACGGGACCCGGAGCGAAATTGATCTGCAGGGTGAAAGATTTGGCAGAATCTCTTGATAGAAGACATTACTCGAGGTCAATTCGACTAAGACTTAAATGTTAGCCCGTGCTTGGGTAGTCGAGCGATGAGCGCGCGGGACTGACCCGTCCGCGAGCTCCGCGAGATGGGCTGGTGGGTGGCGAGCTCCGCAACCCCGGATTTTGCGTGATCTGGCGTGATCTGACGACTATCACCGGTCACAGCCTTAGTGGCTTTTAGATTTAAATTCAACAGGGATATGGGGGGAACTATGTCTCAAAATACATGTCCGTCGCTTGATAGACAAATTTGGATGCGCGAGGAACTAAATTTATTTTAGATTGCACCACCGGTTTTTGAGCGCCTCGGCCATCGATGGGCTATTTGGATTCTCGTTGTCCTTGCTTGGGTTGGAGTCATTTTGGAATCGACTGCGCATAATATAGCGTAGTTCATAGTGGGACGGATTGTCATATATTTCAGGTGTGTTACTCTCATTGCAAGTTGAAAGACCGAGAGAGCGTATTAATTACTTTGTAGTGTGGGAATTGCAGAAGTGACTTCAACGTATTTTCACTTTCTGCAATGACATTTGACGCAGAACTTGATACTGAGCTGTAACCTAGCGGCTACCAGTCTGAGATTTCTCCCCCAGCTATGCGAGGCACAATTGCTGGCTCTCTCCAACTATTCAACCTGATCGGCCAGATTCTCGCTTCAGGTATAAACCGTGGCTATTCAACCTCGGAGAATGAATCAGCGTAAGTTCTATCCGCTGCCTTTTTAGGACGTTTGCTGAAACTCCCCCGAGATGGATTGTTCCCGTTGCATTCCAGGCAGTTATTCCTCTATTGGTATTCTTAGGGAACTTCTTTATCCGTAAGCCATGATAATATTCCCTGTTCCCTTCTGTATAGACAAAAAGTGATCAGATATAGCGGACTCGCCTCGGTGGCTTATGAGCAAAGATTGGAATGAAGAAGCAATCGAAGTTCTCAATAGGATTCGACCAAGAGCAGATGTTGATGCTGGACTCACGAGAAGTGAAGCAAGCACAATTCGCGAGGCCATTCAAGCAGACTTGGAACAAACCAGCTGGATGGACTTATTTGTACACGCTCTAATCCAACAACCCATCGAATACTGAACCGCTAACGCCTCACCATTTAGAGAAACAACAATTTACGTCGAACTTCTCTGGCATGTTCACTTCTTTTCTTGCAACAATTTCTTGGTCAAGGCTTTGTTTCAGGATGTAGGTTGCTTCTTGGTTGAGAAAACGAAAATAGATCGGATCTAATTATCGTTTCAGACTCGCCTCAATTCTACGATTCCGTGGGTCTATCAGATCAGGCATTCACCTACAACATTGGCTCAGCAACAATTGGCTGGGGAGGCTGCTTACTTGGAATGATTCTTAGTGATTTCGTCGGCCGGAGACCTGTGTTGATATGGGGCGGTTTAGGTCAAACGGTCTTCTTGTTCGTTGTTGCAGGGCTCGGTATTCGCAAGAACCCAAGCACATCTGGTGCAAATGGACTTGTCGCTGGAGTAATGCTATATTTCTTCATGTATTCAGGGTAAGCATCATTATATCCATGCGTCTTTGACTTACTCGATGCTGAACCGTTATGCTTCCGTTTTTAGTACCTGAGGCCCCTTGGCATTCGCAGTCGCAGCGGAAGTGGGATCAGCACGCCTCCGAGCAAAAACCTTGTCTCTGGGTATTGCACTAAAGTGAGATCACTCTACCGAGTCGCTTATACAGTATTTCTAACTTAAGACGCAGCATGATATCTGCTTTCGTTGTGTCATTTTCTGTGCCTTACATTCTTAACGACATAGGTGCCAATATCGGATGGGTTTTCGGTTCAATTGCATTTGGATGCGCGATATTGGTATATTTCGTTTTGCCTGAAACGAAGGTTGGTCGATCTTTTAAAGTATCCTCGTTATTTACCCTCGTGCTGAACTATACAGGATCGATCCCTTGAAGTTTGTTTCCCTAGTCTATCTTTTCATTTTTTTACTAATCAAGCCCCTAGGAACTGGATGAACTGTTCAAAGTAAGCACGGCATTTTCATTGAGGCATAAATCATACTAACTTATTCAGTCAAAAGGTGCGACGAGAGACTTTAGCTCAGCTCAGACATATCGTTCAGAGAAGTAGTAGTAATGTGACCTTGCGCGATATGCAATTCTTATCGGTATACCTGGAAGAACAGTTTATGTGCTTGGTATTGTGGGAGCCCGGAAGCGAAGACTAGCCTGTGACCGTTGATAGTTCCGTGTACCCAATTTCCTTTCCAGCATCCGTCCAAACTGAGGTACCATGTTTCGTAACTTTCTCCGTGAATGTAAGTTTTTGATCCTCTTCTACTGATTGCGGCACCGATGGTCGTGATGACCCACACCTCGAGTTCAGAACATCGCTCCAAGGACTTTCAAGGTCAGTGAGTAAAAACATGAATAATGATAATAAAAAGTTAACGGCGCAAAATAATATTTTTAACTGATATTGAGAAGTTCTGTTATCGCACGTTTTTCTACTGGTTTCATATAAAATTTGATGAATTTTTGCAGGTAAATGGGTATTTCTCAAAACGTTGGCCTCCATAACGTAGGTGTGGTGAGCATCGACGTAGAGATTAGTGCCCCTTAGGCGGGTCAACAGATTGTGAGTTCTCTTCTGCCGGAACACTATCGAGGGTTCCCAGCTTTGCCCCAATAGGTTGCATCTCACTTGAATCCAATTGGAATTGACCAATCTTGCGCAGGGGAACACCTGTTTCAAATATCTTTTCGACCTGCTCCAGACTTTGGCCTTTCAGTTCGGGAATACAGAAATAGCCAAATATCAGGGCAAGGAAAGACATTGAGCCGTATCTAAAAGACATTAGTGAATGCAAGTCGACCGCATTTGAGTCAAAACTCACATAAATCCAACTTCGCTTCCCAAGTCAGCATATCCAGCGTCCAGAAGATACGGTATGGTAAATGATACAACAAAACTGCCCATATGTGATTAGCAAGACACACCCTTCTCACAAAATTGGCACGCTTACATTGTCAAAATGTTGACAATTGCTCCAAGGCGGACGGTTTTATCTCGTAAACGAGAGGCGGCCATTTCTGTGATCAATGTGTAGTATAAGGGGGCGATTGTTGCCGCATAAGTCGCCTGGTACAGCAACATCGTAGCCACAATGCCCTGGCTGGCGGTATACGTGACCGGCTTATGAATCCCTAAGCCACCAGTAGCCATGAGGAACACGCACAAAAATGCGGAACCGAAAAACCAGAGCTTTCGACGACCGATACGATCGACCAAGAGAATTCCCACGAGAGCGGTCACTGTATTGAGTGCTGTCTGGGCGACGGTGACATCCCAAGGGTTGATAGTACCTAATGATTTGACGAACACCGCAGAATAATGGCCACTGAATGAGTTGCCGGTGGCCTGGAAGAAAAACGCCACGCCCAGGACAACGAGTGTTCGGCGACGATTGTGGCCTTTGAACAGATCACTGTATGTTCCTTGATCTTGCTCCTCTTGCAAAGACAGTCGAATCATTTGTAGTTCTTCTTCTGGTGAGACCTCGTTCCCTCGGCCACGAAGCGTGATGAGTGCTTTCAAGGCTTCATCATCTCGCTCTTTCATAAGAAGCCATCGGGGAGACTGGTGGAACTGGTAAGCAACAAAATAATTTTTCAATGATAACATGCCATACCTCTGGGATGAACCAAATACAGCTAGCAACAAAAGATGGAATAATATAGTATAGACCGTATGGTATCATCCTGTAGAAAAGACGTGAAAGTCGATTGGTGAGAATTGGTTGCAACGCAAGGCATAAGGAGATTATTCAATCTAGAAAAAGTCACAGGTGTTCGGGACAAGACGTACCACGAGCGATTATCCTTGATTTCACTTGTTCCCCGACAGATTGAGTTTACTATCAGGCCACCAATCCCCAAAGAGAGTTGGTATGAACCGACGGCAAGGCCACGGATCGGACCAGGCACAACCTCGGACTGGTAAACAGGGACAGAGCTCAACTCCATTCCGATATAAATATAATTGAGAATTCGACCAGCAAGGAGCTGCCATTTGTTATGGCTGACGCCTGATGTCACCAAAATAGTCGCAGTGCAAAGGGCCCAAATGGACATGCAAAAGATAGTCATGCGACGGCCATAACGAGCACTGATAAGACTTCCGATTATAGCGCCTGTGGGGTTTTTTGGTCAATGGAAATGATTCACATGGAGAGATTTTATACACTCACCCGCTGCGAACCCGATGTAAGTCAACCCATTCAATAGTGACAAGTAATATGCCTCAAGTGCGCATTTTCCCTCGGATTCACAGACCCCAAAGACTCTGTCGAAGGCATCCATGGCCTGGGTTGAGTTGAAGCCCTGCTGGTCGAAGGCTACCACTTGAAAATCAGCTTTTTATTCTTGATTAATCAACAAAACGTCACAAACCATAATTAAACGTTGATATCGCGACCAGACCACATGCCAGTGCGAGGTTCCTCGTAAAATATTTCGTATAATTACTGGGCTTGAGAGCCTCCCAGTCGATCATGGGAGGCATTATTATGGCTCAACGTGCAGCCGAGGAGCATAAAAAGATAGAACAGTAAAGTGTTCAGGAAAATATGACAAATTGCTATGGAGATGTGTTTCGGTTGTACGACGCATTTTGTATACGCCCAGCTGCCTTTATATCTCCTCCATGCAATTCCGAGCTCAAACGACAATAGAGATCATTAATCGGGGAACCAAACTTCTGGGGTACAAGACAATGCGGGGTGCTGGCGAGGGCCAATCCCAGCGGTCCTGAACGAACATAATTGTGGGGTTTCTGAACACGACCGCAAGGATGGTTCCATGAAACGACCTCGTCTAATAATCTTTTAGAGTTGCTGTAGCCGACCGGGTATCGTCTCGCTGCCGGAGAGAGGACAGTGCGGGGGCATCGGCTACTTTATCAGTCGTGTCTCGCGGAGCTCGCGGATCACCACCAGCCGATTACCGCCAGGGGGTATGATAAAACATCATTTTTTTTTCATTGTTAATATGCAAATGAGCTGCGTTGCGAAAGCTGTCGGTCTCTTCAAACTCAATATAATATAGCTCTTCGCTTAGAGACATGACGAAACGACCCAATTTCCTCATCATCCTTGCAGATGACTTGGGCTTTTCTGATGTCGGCTGCTTTGGAAGCGAAATCAAAACGCCCAACATCGACAAGCTTGCGCAAAATGGCTTGCGGTTCACAGGTCAGCCGAATCTACTCACATATGTCTCAAGCTCAAGTTGTTAACCTGATACAGACTTTCATGCGACTGCTTTATGCAGCCCATCTCGCTCAATGGTATCTTCTGATGTCACAAACTTGAACATTCATATACTCATTTTGTCCTTCGCAGATCCTGACTGGAACAGACAATCACATAGCCGGCTTGGGTTCACTGGTTGAATGGCTAGCCATGCCTGCGGGAGAGAACCCCAAGGGTATCAAAGAGAGCCAAGCACCAGCCAGAGGTAAGCCCGGGTACGAGGGCTACTTAAATGAAAAGGTCGTACCCTTGCCTGAAATTCTCCAAGATGCTGGCTACTTGACTTTGTGTTCCGGCAAGTGGCATCTTGGCTTGCGGAAAGACAAGTCCCCTTGTGCTCGAGGCTTTGAAAGATCTTTCGCTCTTCTGCCAGGTGCATCCAATCATTTTGGTTGGGAGCCTCAGTTCGAAGAGAATGAGGCTCCGAAGCCATTCAGTCTTACATATTCTCTCCACATGGAAGACGGAGAATACGTTCCTGAGTCCCAACTCCCTCCAGACTGGTATTCTTCAAATAGCTATACCGATATCTTGCTACGGTACCTTAAGGATTGGAAGGAGGAAAATGATGAGGCAGAAACCGACCGCCCCTTTTTTGCATACTTTCCCTTCTCTGCTCCGCACTGGCCATTGCAAGCCCCTCAGGAATTCATCCAGCATTACCGTGGCGTGTACGATGATGGTCCAGATGCTCTGCGACTCCGTCGATTGGCAAAGTTGAAGGAAATGGGACTTGTTGAGAAGTATGTTGAGCCACACCCAGTCGATGCCCCGGAAGTTCCAGAATGGGATCAACTCTCACCAGAGCATCAAGCGAGGTCGGCCCGTGCCATGGAAGTTTATGCTGGCATGGTCGAGTGCATTGACCATAATGTAGGCCGAGTTTGCGATCATCTCGAAAGCATTGGGGAGCTAGACAACACTTTTGTCGTGTTTCTGTCGGATAACGGAGCCGAAGGAGGTGCACATGAGGCGAATCCGGCATTCCAGGGCGGACCTATGCGCTATCTTCAACGATACTATGACAACAGTTTGGAAAATTTGGGTAACTACAATTCTTTCATTTGGTAGGTGATGACCATGAGCAAATATCCTCGTTGCATCCTGTCTTGAGAACCTTTGTTTATAACTTCTTAGGTACGGACCGCGGTGGGCACAAGCTTCTACTGCTCCGTCCCGTCTATACAAGAGCTTTGTCACTCAGGGAGGAATCAGAGTACCTCTTGTGGCCAAATTCCCATCTGGATTTAATTACCCGTCCTCTCCTAACGGAATCACTCACCAGTTTGCAACAGTGATGGATTTGGCCCCATCCATACTCGAAATGGCAGGGATCAAACACCCGGCGCCCACATGGAAGGGTCGAGAGGTGGTCAGTATGCGTGGCAAAAGCATGATTCCTTGGTTACGTGGAGATGCGAGCTCTATTCACGAGAACGGTGCAGTAGAAGGGTGGGAGATGAATGGGCGTGCAGCGATACGCAAGGGAAATTGGAAGGCAATTTACATGCCTTCAACAAAAGCAGGGCCATCTCCCAAGGGATATGATCGATGGGAGCTGTTCAATCTTGACGATGACCCCGGCGAGATTCATGACCTCTCTTCAGATAGACCCGACTTGCTGAAAGAGTTGAAGCAACTTTGGGATCAATACGTTTTGGATGTGGGTGTTGTGCCGCTTAACCCTGAGCTTGGGGAATATATCGCGGCGACGGAGGAACAGATGCCGAATGATGGCTGGCTTGAGTACGAATATTGGAAGAAGGGCGCCATAGAAGACCCTGAGGCTTTTTTCCGTGCTCCTCGTCGCTTCGACCACGAGGGTACACGTATCGCGTAGAATTCCAAGACAGCTACAAGGACATATACTACTAGATAGCAAATATGAGTGAACAAAGCCGATCCGAATATATAATGCATATGTGTTACCCTCGATACCCCCTAAGCAAGCGACGGCGTCGTCGAGCTCGGCCTCGAGTATTTGGTAGCAGATTCAAGCTGGTCTAAATGTAATGAAGAGATTTTAGGTCACCTTCCCTGAATTTCCGATTTACATCAGCTTCCTAACCGTCGTCTATATTAATGAAAATATACTAACCTTACATTAATTTGCTTGTTCTGCTTGGTGGCAAATATATTTGTACAGTACATACCTTGTGGGACTCGTGTGCAAGAACAATAAAAGTCGTTTCTGAGCTTCCCACCGAAAGTATTGGGACTTGACAGGCATACGTACGTATTGGGAATATACAATTATTTGGACTTCCTAGCATCCATCAATTGTGCACAGTGACGCAGGCCAGAGACGGGAGTCGAGCGACACCGGGCTGACCGCCCGCAGGATTATCGGAGCGGATCGCGACTTGCTCGACTTCCCGTTTCTCTACCCATCCACATTTGCCAACTCTCCCCGCTCTCTGGCGATTGTGCGGCTCGTCATGCTGCGCTCCTCAATTGCTCCGGGCCGGCAACTGCTGTTGGTCCCCGTTCGCCAACGGATCCCTTCGCAATGGTTGTCCAAGGCCGGCGCTAGCAGCCGGCTCTCGGGTCAGGTACGACGAACCATTGCTCATGTGCCCGTCCACTCCTAGCTAACATTCAATCCTGCGCAGCGATTCTTCGCCGATTCAAAGCCTCCTACCTCTGGTGGCCCGACGCCCGTTACCCCTTCTTCCGAATCGAGCGTCCCCCCGGAGACTATCCCCAAGCTCACCGAGCAAGGTACGTACCGCCGGCCTCTTATATCGACATCCAAGTTTTGGGATCGTCAACTAATCAAATATTCTTTCAGAACCCAAGGCTTCCCATACAGCTCCCGCGGCTGCACCTCGCAAGACCGGCCGATTCCGCCGATTCCTCCTGTACCTGATTCTTACCTCCGGTTTCGCGTACGGCGGTAGCATCTTCCTGGCCCTCAAGTCCGACAACTTCCACGACTTCTTCACCGAGTATATCCCCTATGGCGAGGAGTGTGTTCTCTACTTCGAGGAGCGTGACTTTTACCGCCGGTTTCCCAACGCCTCGCGACACCAAAACCGCATTACTGCTGCCCCTCGAGACGAGGGCAAATCAGTGACAATCTCTAGCAAGAGCGGTCTGTCATGGAAGGTCTCGGACGAAGAATCAGGAAGCGACGTCTCCAAGAGTGGTCCTCACATGAGCGCTCGGGCTCATGCGGGCCAAACCAAGACCGAGAGTGCCTCGTCCGAGGAACTGAAGGCGGCCGTCCTGAAGGCCAAGGAAGACAAGGCCAGCAAGACAACGGGCCAGAAGGAGACCAAGCCTGCCCCCAAGGAGGCCAAGCCCGCCGCCAAAGAGGAGAAGACTGTCTCTCTCGATGAGCCCCGCCAACCCGCTGTTTCTGTTAGCAACATTGAGCTGCTGAAGGTTCAGGAGGGTGATGATACAGTGGTGCAGGAGCTGGTCAAGACTTTTAATAGCATCGTCTCCGTCATCAGCACCGATGAGAATGCCGCCAAGTACTCTTTGCCGGTCTCCAAGGCCAAGGAAGAGCTGCAGAAGATTGGTGACAAGATCTCTGCCATCCGGACCGAGGCCTCCAAGGCCGCGCAGGAAGAAATCAACAAGGCCCACAACACTTTTGACGAGTCAGCTCGAGAATTGATCCGCCGTTTCGAGGAGATGCGCAATGCTGAAGTTGCTCAGTTCCGCGAGGAGTTTGAGGCCGAGCGTGAGAAGCTTGCTCTGGCTTACCAGGATAAGATCAAGACTGAGCTTCTCCGTGCTCAGGAACTCGCCGAGCAGCGCTTGAAGAACGAGCTTGTGGAACAGGCTATCGAGCTTAACCGCAAATACGTCCACGAGGTCAAGGACCTGGTCGAGCGCGAGCGCGAAGGCCGTCTCAGCAAGCTGAATGAGCTCACTGCGAACATCACTGAGCTTGAGAAGCTGACTACAGGCTGGAGCAGCGTTATCGATACCAACCTGAAGACTCAGCAGCTCCAGGTTGCCGTGGACGCCGTCCGCTCTACTCTCGAGCGCGCCGAGGTCCCCCGCCCGTTCGTTCGTGAACTGGTCGCTGTCAAAGAGCTGGCTGCTGACGACCCAGTGGTCGATGCCGCTATTGCCTCTATCAACCCCACTGCCTACCAGCGCGGTATTCCCTCCACGTCTATGATCATGGACCGTTTCCGTCGGGTCGCTAGCGAGGTTCGCAAGGCCAGTCTGCTGCCCGAGGATGCTGGTATCGCCAGCCACGCGGCCAGCTTGGTCCTGAGCAAGGTCATGTTCAAGAAGGATGGCCTGGCTGACGGTGACGATGTTGAGAGCATTCTCATTCGCACCGAGAACTTGCTGGAGGAGGGCAACGTGGATGCCGCTGCCCGTGAGATGAACGGCCTCCAGGGCTGGGCCAAGATCCTGAGCAAGGATTGGATGGTCGATGTACGCAGGGTTCTTGAAGTCAAGCAGGCTCTCGAGGTGAGTTGAACCCTATCTATGTCTATGTTTCATTGCTAATCTGTTTTCCGTCTAGGTCATTGAGACCGAGGCCCGCCTCCAGTGCTTGCGGGTGGAGTAAGCATATATTGAGCGATGCTGAATTCATTCAATCCTGTATATCTTCGTCTTGCCTACAGGAAGTGTACCTCTAGTTGTACTTTTGCGTTAGACCCAAATGCTAGAACGTTTCCTATGTGCCCATCTTTGAAAATAATTGTAGAGACACAGTCATCAATATTGGTTCCGAAACCGAACATCCATATACAACTTCTTTGCGGTCCTTGAAATCGTACAACGGGCTTACTCAGCACTCCGCAGCGTGACGCGCAATGTCCGATGCTGTAGGTCGGCCAACGTCGTGCAGATCCCGTACACCCTTATTCGACGCCTACAATCCTGCGACTCGCCCCTCCTTCACGTCGCACTAATGCTGACGCTTTCCTGGCAAGCGATGTCCGTTGCCTCTCTGACGGGAGCGGCGATCTAGCTACCTCACCTCTCCTTCGGCTTAGATGTCGCAACGACACCCCTCTAGCGCACGGGATTCAATGCCCTCGACAGGCGAACACCGAGACGGATCGTCAGGCCGCCGGTCTCCTCCACACCGATACGATGTTGATTCATCCCGACGGGCAGTGGGCACTGTGCCAGCTAGCAGCGGTCGCGCAAGCGGGGAGCTAGAGGGCAGTACACTGGGCAGCAGTTCTCGGGAGGATGAGACGAGCACTACAGGCCAGCGCAGAACCCAAAGCTCCGGTGGCTTCCTACTTGACTCCCTACCGCGCTCGAAGAGCTCTCGAATTAGCTCACATCACCATCTCCCGTCGGAATCACCTGCGGAGAAACGAAGTGCTCCGGAGGCTGATATCGTTGTGCTCAAGAAACGATCGCGCTTTCCATGGAGTCGTCACAAGAATAGTGCTTCAGCTTCAGCTTCAGCCGCTTCGGCTCCGGGCTCAGCAGCTACACACCAAACCCCAACTCCTCCCCCGGAAGTCCATACATCGAGAGCTTCATCGGGAGCTGACACTGGAGGACATAGCATGGAGATGCCTGGCCTTGACAGGGACTCTATTCAGATTGTCAACCTGGCTATGAATCTGAATGAATCACGACGAAGAACTGCCTCTGGGCTTCCTCCAGGGCCCAACATTCGGAGACCGATATCTGTCTCTCAACCTACTGCAGGACCTGCGGATCTGCATGCATTATCACCGCAGGGAAACTTTGCTCACCATTTTCGCAATTACAGCCAGATACAGGGCGGTCATATCTCACCATCGACGCAGCAGGGCGGGCAATCTCCTGTGGTAGACTTTCTACCAGCCACTGCGGTTGATAACAACCGGGCATATGACTTTTCTAGCAACACATTCGCTCGTGCGGATCGAGCTCGTCGTCATTTTGATCTGTTTCATGAATACCTACGGCTGCTTCCTTTACTGCCTCCGCTTCGAAGCCCCCCAACCCAAGATGACCCCAACTCTACGCATCCTGCAGCTGCCAACTCACCGACTAGCCGGGCATATAACCCGCTTCAAATGATTCGTAACAGACGAGTTAGATATCGGGAGAAGTGTCCCATTGACCTTGAGACAGACGGCTGGCATGATGTTGAAAAAGTCCACGATTGGGTTACATCTATTGAGGAAAAATACTACCACAAGACCCATGACCAGACGCAGTCTCTCAAGCTTCCGTCCTTCCAGCAGGGGCAACGCCCTCAGTCTCAGGGCGATCCAAACGACACGGACATGTTGACTACATCGCCCCCCTCGAGCTTGAAACGTGCCAGCCGCACAAATAGCGCCAAGACGCCCCGGCCCCGTCTTGACTGGAAGTTCTCACCTGCAGAGCTCCTAGCTGATGCTGCCTGGCTCGAATATGGTACCAACAAGGCGAAAATCGTCGACAACATCGGCAATACGCTCTATCCAGACCCAGAGGAGCTAGCTCTGACGTACACGAAATCAGAAACAGCCGCCCATCCAAATCAACACTTGACTGTTGAAATGGAAGATGAGGGGGAACGTTCCTCCCGTACTTCTATGTCAAGTTCCCGTCCTCCGCTGGGACCTGAGTTTAAGACCGTTGGTCGTGGACGACATACGCACAGATTCCGGAATCATTCCCAAAGTGTGCGCGGCCGAAGCGAATCTAGCTCGCGGAAGGACTCTCGATGGGACAAGGTCAGAATGCGCTCGGGCAGTGCTTCAAGCGATTCCAGTGCCGGGCGTCGAAGGTCCGCGGATCCAGGCAACTCACATCCCTCCCAACTTCCGTCAGCCAGTACGAATGCAATCCATACAAAGAAGAAAGGCTCTTTCTCATCGGCTGGAAGTCTTGAAGACCGATATAGCCCAAGAATGTCCTTGGAGGAAAGAGATAGTACTGCTCCCAACTCCCCAGCTCGTGCTGGCTATTTCCCCCAGCATTGCAGTCAATCTGTCTCCACCATCAAGCCGGTCCCCTTCACCAGCCAGGAAGGGTCTTCGTCACAAGATTGCCTCTCGCCACGAGCGAAGTAAGAGCAAGCAGGGGGATCGGGAGTTTAAGGAGAAGGAAGACGCGATCCCTGAAACGGAACCCTTGCCTCGTCAAAGCTTAAAGTCTCCACCTGAGCGTGCCGAGCCGGTCTCGAGGTCTTCAAAGCTTGAACCAAGTCCGCTTCCAGACGTTGTGTCTTCGTCTTATGGCGACGATCAAAGTACGGTCGAAGACGACAGGATGGATAGTTCTAGGGGACGAAAGGGCCAGCATACCGCCGAGTCCAAGCTCCGAGGGATCTTCAAGGGGCCCGGACGGATAGCTGAAATTGTGGGAAATGAAGTATCCAAGGTTGGAGATCTGATTTTGAAGAAAGATGCACCTCCTGATTCCCGGAAGTCGTCGTCTGCAACCACTCTCGCCTCGGATGAGAGCGATTCTGACGAGGAGGAAAAGAGAACGGACAAGCGATCAGGGCCCAAAGGCCTTCTTCGACGCCCACCGACCCTGGAAGATCCTGGGCGCCTTGCTCGTCGAGACCCCGACAAAGGTACACCATCCAAAGGCTTCAAAGGCTCTCTGCCAAGTTTCACTTCACCATTGCGGCAGGATGAGCGTAGCGGGTCAACGGATGCAGTTGACTTTGGTAGCCCCCGTGAACGTGTACCTGCATCCCGCAGACAGGGCGAGGATCCAAAGAGAACGGGTTTGTCTCGGAGCAGAACATTCGATTTCGGCCCTACACTGCAGTCGAATCGGGGCCGCACGAAGCCGCATGCAATCAAGGATCCCTCAGTACCTTTCAGTCTTACCCGCCCCCCTGTTACTGGACTTGCAAAGGTCCGGGCATCTCCTCAACGATCTGCCAACAACGGAACCGCTCTATTAGGAGCGAGTCGCGCATGGAGTATCTCAGGTCGCAGTCTCCAAGCATTGAACGACTCAGGCGTCCCGAGTAAGACAGAAATCGAGAGGACCAGAATCCTGCTCCTTTCATCCGGTATCAAAGCCCGAGAGATCACTCGCAGAGCCGAGAGTGTACGCGATCCACCTCCGCAATGGCTCCAAAAATCCATGGGTCCCAGTACATCCATCACTCGCGTCCCCCGGCTCAACGAGTTCGATGTCGCAGCCCAAAATCTTCTCCGACGATTTGAGACGACCCAATACTCATTCCAGCAAGCCATGCACCACTTTACCACAACCACCTCATCACCCCTTCGCACCCAGCTGAAAGACTTGGAGACTCTCCTCGACCAATCCCTCGCTCCCCGCGTGCGGGCCACAGCCGACCAGGCTGAGGACCTGTGCGTTCAGCTCAACACCACCAGTACACTTGCAGTCAAGTCCCTCGGTGATGCTCTCGACAAAGGCGTACGCAAGCGGCGCCGTCGACTCCGCTGGGTGCGACGCACAGGCTTTGTCATCCTCGAATGGGCCCTTGTCGGTATGCTCTGGTGGGTTTGGCTGATTGTAATGGCGTTCAAGCTCGTGCGTGGTATTCTCCGCAGTACTGTCTCTGGCGCGCGATGGGTTCTTTGGCTCTAACACCTTGTACATGATATAATCCTCGCATTTCTCATTGTGTTTTCCTTCGTTTGATGAGGGCTTTGCCATTTTTAGCGTGCATATACCCTTCAGCTCGAACTCCGGGCTCTTTTCTTTTTGGATCGATCCATTCGTGTATTAATTTGGTGCCAAAACCGGCTCCCTTTCCACCTCCAACACCCTCCCCGAGCTGATAGTGGTCAACTCTCCTAGCGAATTCATCAGATTGATTGAATCTTTTTGTGGAAGAATTCTACTTTCAGGATAGGAGGTACCCAGGGTAATATGGGAAGTGAGGATATAATCTTTCGAGTTATGTATTTAAGGCTCTAGAGGCTTAACCTAAAAACATGCTAATTATCTAATTATCGAAGTATTAGTCTCCAATAAAACTTACAATCTCAGAATAGTTCCTCTATTCTCCCCTATAGAAGTCTTAAAAACTTTAAATTATTCGATTTACTAATTATGGCCATCGAGACGAATAAATAATATATACTTTAGGTCAAGCGACTAGTCCTTGAGGGCATTGTCCGCTAGATTGAAGAATATATAGGAATAAGACGCTCTTAAAATGGTCGAAGCTGTGGCGGAGGGGCATGTTCTGCCCGAAAAGAGTGGCCTAGGGAGTGCCGCGCTTCACGAGCACCAGCTCTTTTTCCCGGGGGTTTATACGTCCTATTCACGACGTATCATAACGGTGAACTATTGGAATCGCAATGAGGTGACTCAAAATCCTCACCTTGACGACTATGAAAATGCTCAAATCTTTTTCTCGGGCAAGTCGTTGTTTCTCGCAGATCTGGCCCGGAAGGATGCGAAACATGCCATGAGCCTTGCGCGTTTGCGCTGGGAGGAGCTGATTCGCATTTAGCCAAGGTTGTCGAGCGGAAAAGAGTTCAGGGCGACTATGTGAGCCTGTATGGCGTGCTACGACAAGAAGAGGGAATGTCATACGAAAACTAGTGATAAATCATTCCCTGGACAAAGGCAAATCTTAGTGGACTAGATATGCTCACATGCGGTGGATTACAAATATTATACGTCCGAGGGGTAATCTGTTTTCGAATTCTACTGTAGTTAGTTAGTTAAATGACGCTTTCCATAATTACAAATCAGGTTCAGATGTGATGTAACTATACAGGGATCATGAATTCACGCAGAATGATTAACCCGCGCGGTTTCTTTGCTCACCTATGCTGAAACAACCCTTCGCCGCTGACTTGTTATTTCTTCCTATTCATTGACGTTTTCCCTTCCGCTCCGTTCGAGTTACAATAGGCAGTGGTTCTCCTCTGAGCTTGCTTAGCTTTCTCATCTTATTTACCGCGGAGAAGATGGTATATCCTGGGACAGCTATGAATCGCGAGAAAGAGAACAACACCCAATCGACAAATGTACATGTCAGAGATACCTCAGCTGTACCACCGCCTCCCGACAGCGGATTTCATGCCTGGTCTCAGGTAATCGGGGGCCACTTCGTCGTAGCCCTAACTTGGGGCTACGCTGCCAGTTTCGGGGTGTTTCAGAACCACTATGAATCTACTCTTCCCGAAAGCCCCTCCGACATTTCGTGGACCGGCGGCTTCCAAGTTTTCTGTCTTTTGTTCATTTCGGCCTTGTCCGGTCGTGCAACAGATGCTGGAATGGCAAGCCTGGTAGTAGGGGTGGGTGCGGCTTTGCTGGTTCTTGGGACCTTCATGACTAGTCTGGCCACGGAATACTGGCAGACCTTTCTGGCTCAAGGGCTCTGCATTGGCATTGGACAGGGTCTCATGTGGCTTCCTAGTGTGACATTAATCTCAACGTACTTTGTGCGCCGACGGGTCTTTGCTGTTACGGCCGCTGCCACGGGAACGAGTACAGGGGGCATGATTTTCCCGGCAATGATTCAATATTTAACACCCAAGATCGGTGAGTCGACTTTCCTTAACGTAACGGCTATAGCTAATCGGGTAAACGAACGAGCAGGGTTTCCATGGGCTGTCCGATGCATGGGATTTGTTGTCCTCTTCATGGTAATAATTATTCTGGCGCTTCTGCGTCCTCGACTGCCACCGCGGAAGTCAGGACCACTAGTTGAATGGAGCGCTTTTAAAGAGCCTGCATACATGCTCTTCACCTTGGGAGTATTTCTTCTCTACTGGACTCTTTATTTTGCCTTCTTCTATGTACGCTACCAACTCTGAGATCTACGATTGATTGGGCTGACTGCATTCTAGGTTCAAGTCTACGCCACCGAGAAGCTCGGTCTCTCTCAAGAAGCCGGCGTCAATTTGATTATTGTCACCAATGCCCTCGGAATTCCCATCCGTGCCCCTTGGGCTATCTGGCCGATCGGTACATCGGCCCGCTCAATTGCCTAATTCCTTGGGTGGCATTGTGTGGCGTTCTGATGTTCTGCTGGGCCAGTGTACATACCGTGGCTGAACTATACATCTTTGCAGTGTTCTATGGACTAGCATCAGCGGCAGCTATGGCCTTATTTGCTGGCACAGTCCCCTCGCTGACAAAAGACCTCGATAAGATTGGCACTCGAGTCGGCATGGCGCTTTCAATGATAAGCTTTGGACCGTTGACCCGCCCATCTGTAGCGGGGGCGTTAATAGCGCGCACAGGCGGCGGCTACCTGGCTGCACAGATGTGGGCAGGGGCAGCCTTGATCGTGGCAGTACTGGCCCTTGTGGGAGCACGGTTCATAATATCGGGACTACATCTCCGAGCAAAACTTTGAGCATGAAGAAGGCCTTTATATAGCATAAGGCCGAGCGTAACGATATGGGCTTGCCTTAATTCATTTATTGAATACTTCAAGCCAACCTCTTGGGCTTCCTTTCGATCAAAATATTAAATGTAGCTGTTTTATTCACTTATAGCTCTAACTCGGGCACAATTTGCAATTCGGGTACAACCCTATCCCAACACGGTGGCTGGAATGTGTGCTTCGTCCTGATGTACTTTGACTCTGTTACAATAAACCTAGGAGAAAGCGGGATATCCGTATTCATTACAGGCATTGTTCAGACAGGAGAGTAGAAAGGAATATCTTGACTTCTAAAATACATTCCCAAAAAGTACACAAGATGATCGAGCGCCATGACGCAGAAAGTACATGATTTTGAGTCCACAGCACGGACAAATCTGGTGTTCTATGATGAGTTATATCTGCTCTCCTTTGGGAGAAACGCCAGGCACCGCCGGGGCCAAATTGAAAACATGAGGGTGAATGGTGGATATGGTACAGATGAAGAGAGGGTTGGCCTTTGTGGGAGGATCAGACGGTGCTGGATCTGTGGCCGCTTATTTCTTGTTGCGCTCGGCCTGGGCCTTGAGGTACTTGGCGATGAGCTCCTTCTGGACGTGCGGAGGAGCCTTCTCGTAATGGCTGAATTCCATGGTGTATTCACCCTTGCCCTGGGTGGCAGCGCGGAGGTTGGAGCTGAAGCCGAACATGCCGTTCAGACTGCAGTCAGCGTAGATGGTAAACTCGTCGACGCCGGTCTCGGTGTCGTTGATGGTAGCACCGCGCTTGTTCAGGAGGGCGATCACATCACCCTGGAACTCACTCGGGGCGGTCACCACGGTCTTCATCAGAGGCTCAAGCACCGACGGCTGGCTCTCCATGAAGGCCTTGCGGAAGGCCTGCTGGGTGGCGTTCTTGAAGGCCATTTCGGAAGAATCCGTCATGTGGGTGGCACCATCGTTGATGACCATGCGGGTTCCGAGAATCTTGTGGCCGATCAGAGGACCTTTTTCGCAAGAGATGTTGAAACCCTTCTCGCAAGCGAACAAGTACTTCTCGGAAATACTGCCACCGACAATCTGCTGCTGGAAGTTGTTCTCCTCAAGGACACCGGTAGGCTCCATGTATCCCATGACACGGGCATAGTCACCAGCACCACCAGTCTGCTTCTTGAGCAGGTGGTCGAACTTGGTGTGCTCGCCAATGGTCTCACGATAGGCAACCTGGGGCTGGCCGGTCTCACACTCGACACGGTACTCGCGGCGCATGCGCTCAACGTAGATGTCCAGGTGCAACTCACCCATTCCAGAGATGATGGTCTGCTCGCTCTCGTTGTCGTAGGTCACACGGAATGTGGGATCCTCACGCTGGAAGCGGGCCATGGCCTTGGAGAAGTTGGCGGCATCCTTGGCCTGCTTGGGCTTGATGGAGAGCGAAATGACAGGCTCGGGGACGAACATGGACGACATGCTGTAGCCGAGCTGGCCGTCAGTGAAAGTATCACCGGAGGCGCACTCAACACCGAACACGGCACAAATTTCACCGGCACCGATCTCGGTAACTTCCTCCATCTCGTTGGAGTGCATACGCACAATACGGGGGACCTTGACCTTCTTGTTGTTACGGGCGTTGAACACGTTCGAACCCTTGCGGAGGGTACCCTGGTACACGCGGATGTAGGTCAACTGTCCGAAGTTGCTCTCCTCGAGTTTGAAGGCCAGGCCAACGAAGGGGAGAGAGTTGTAGGGAACAAGCTTCACAGAAGCTTCGTTGCGCTTCTGGTCAAGCGCCAGGTTCTCAACCTCCGAGGGGTTTGGGAGGAAGTCGACCACACCGTCCAGCATAGGCTGAACCGACTTGTTGGCCAGGGCAGAACCCATGAAGACGGGAGTGAACTTGAGGCCGATGGTGGCACGGCGGATCGCAGCTCTCAACTGGTCCTCGGTGGGCTCAACTTCATCCAGGAACATTTCCGCCATCTGGTCGTCCACATCGGCGACAGTCTCAATAAGCATGGCTCTCCGCTCCTCGGCAACCTTCTTCACCTTGTCGGGGATATCAGTCTCCTTAAGCTCTTCACCACTCTCGCCGACGTTGTAGATAGCCTTCATGCGGATCAGGTCGACAACACCCTCAAACTCATCCTCGGCGCCGATGGGGACCTGGACAGCTGCGGCGGGCATCTTAAGCTTGGTGTTAATCTGATCAATAGCCTTGAAGGGGTTGGCACCCATACGATCCATCTTGTTGACGAAGGAAATGCGAGGAACATTGTAACGACGCATTTGACGGTCGACGGTGATGGTCTGGGACTGCACACCGGACACGGCACACAGAATCATAACAGCACCATCCAGAACGCGCAGCGCTCTCTCGACCTCGATGGTGAAGTCAATGTGGCCAGGTGTGTCAATCAGGTTGACGTGGTACTTCTGGTCAACGCCCTCCTTGTCCTTCTTGACCCAGTCACAGAAGGTGGCGGCAGACTGGATGGTAATACCCTTCTCACGCTCCAGATCCATGGAGTCCATCTTGGCACCAACACCATCACGACCACGGACATCGTGGATAGCCTTGATGCGACCAGTGTAGAAAAGAACACGCTCGGTAACGGTGGTCTTACCACTGTCAATGTGGGCGGCAATACCGATGTTGCGGACCTTGTCCAGGCGAGCAGCCTCGACGGGGTCGAGATTGTCGATGATGGCGGCTTGCGAAAGGGTCTCCGGGCTGGCGGCGGCGGCCTCAAGACTATTGAACACAAGTTAGACAGATACAAGTCTGCATTTCAAGTGGACACTTACACTGCGGATGCAGAAGCAGAAGCATTGCGACGCTGTTCCCATTGCTTCAGGACAGACTGATAAGCCGGCGCGACACCGGGAGACCGCAAAGCGGCCGTGGAGACGCATCGTGAACCCAGGAAGCCTTGGGGCTGGAAACGAGCGGTTCTGGTCAAGCCAGACACTGCACGGTAATTTAACCGTGCAAGAGAAGGAGACCTCATAGCGCCGGTCTGTTCACGCCAGAATTGATCGAGTCAAGACGGGTCGAATGCGCGCGTGTTTTCGCGGAAAAAAAAGTTCGGGGAAGCCAGGAACGCGTCACGTGATAGTTGGCCTCTCAGGGCCGGTGCATTACAACGGCATTTGACTGGATTATACTGGATGATTATGGGTTATTTTGCTTGTGTATATTGTTTCAGATCCGATGTACCCCCAATGTTGGCATTGAATGCGTTTCTCAACAGTTGCAAAGCGTGGAAGAAGTTTGGAGATCATTGAGTTGAATTCAACATAAACCGTTATCTCGGTTCAAGACTAATGTACAAGATAAAACCCAAGCGCCGCTATTCCCAAGAGTGTTTTGGGCTGGAAACACGCATGCAAAGAACATGCCACAATTCAATAGTCGAGACGAAAACCGCACCCAGCCTGTCTGCAGATATCATCCACTCTATTTCCCTTGCCGTTGCTTGTGCTTCGGGTTCTTCGAGCTGAAAGGAGAAATCAAAGTCAGTCGAACTGCAATTCCAAGCATACAAAGATGACGGAGGAAGCATGGGACTCACCAGATAATGTAAACGCGGTTCTTGCGTCGGACGGGCTAAAGCAAATAGTCAGCACCTAGATAACCGAAACCCCTGCTCTTTTCAATGAGGAAAGGATTCTAATGTATTAAAATCATACCTTGCAGCCATCACACAGCCTCTTGACGGAAGAGCGAGTCTTCATTCCCCGGACCTGCTCAATCTGTCGGGCAGAGCCAATGGTGCTAGCAACAGCATTGCTGCCCTGCGTCTGAGAAGTGCGCAGCCTCATAAGGCTATTCTGGATCATATGCGAGAAAGGACGAAGCGAAGCAGCTCCGGGGTGGCTCCGGCGAGAGACGGAGGGGAGGAGTTGGCGGAGGGCCTTGGGGGCTCCGAGCACGGAGCGGAGCGAGAACATGGTCGCGTTTGAAGCAAATACCCGTCGGTGGTAATGTCGAGGCGGGTTACCTCGCGTTTCAAGTCGGCCGGGGACAAGGAATTGGAGATGCAAGGCCGGCGTAGATGTGTTGCTCCGCGGGTTCTCGTTTGTCGCGGAAGATTTGCCCGGAACTTCAGTTTTGCCGAGCATCCGAGGCCGCTCTGGAGTGCATCGTCTACTTTCAATTTGAAAACAAACCATTAAAATGGGAAATTAGAGCAGGGATTAAGTGTGAATTGTAGTGATATTTAATATCGGGAGAATTTTTCACAGGAAAAGCCATCATACAAAAGAAAGGAACTCCTAGAGTCTATATTCGAGACCAAACGCCAAAAGGGAGTGAAAGCACGGATGGGGGTTGTACTTTTAAACCGCTAAACAGAAATAACATATCATCAGCCATTTCTCCCTATGTCCACTTAAGAGCGGAGGAAGGTCTTATAGGTGGGCGAATCCGTATGCTCGCTGAAGGGGTAGCCCAGGTCGTGAAGGAACGACTCGAGATCGTCCTTCTCCGAGGGAGGACACTGGATGCCAGCAAGAACCTTGCCCACATCACCACCGTAGTTGCGGTAGTGGAACAAAGAGATGTTCTGGTTGGGGCGAAGAGTGGTCAGGAACTTGGCCAGAGCGCCTGGCCGCTCGGGGAACTCGAACATAAAGAGCCTCTCATCCGACACGTCGCAGCGGCCACCGACAAGGAAGCGAAGGTGACGCTTGGCCAGCTCATCGTCGCTCAGGTCCCGGGTAGCCATGCCATCCTTCTCCAACTCTTCCGTCATCTTGGCCAGGTCTTCACGGCCGGTGATGGCAGACAGCTGAATACCCATTAGGACATCGGCAGAGTCTTCCTGAGCGTACCGGTAGCTGAAGGCTGTGACGGCATGAGGCAAGATAACCTCAACAAGCTTGGCGAAAGCACCAGGCTTCTCGGGAATCCTAACGCTCAATAGAGCCTCCTTCTTCTCACCAAGGGCGGCACGCTCGGCCACAAAGCGGAGGCGATCAAAGTCCATGTTGGCGCCAGAGGTGATGGCAACCAGCTCACGGTTGGTGTCGGGGCTCGGGTTCTTGGCAATGTATTTCTTCAGACCGGCGAGACCAAGAGCGCCAGCAGGCTCGACAACGGAGCGGGTATCCTCAAATGCATCCTTGATGGCTGCGCAGATCTCGTCGGTGGAAACCTGGATGATATCGTCGATCACGTCACGGGCCACGCGGTAAGGTTCCTCGCCGACGGACTTGACGGCAGCGCCGTCAGCAAAGAGACCCACTTCTTTCAAAAAAACACGAGCGCCCTCATCCAGCGACTTAGCCATGGCATTGGCCTCGTAGGCCTCAACCCCAATGACCTTGACTTGCGGAGCAATGCGCTTGAGGTACACACCAATGCCGGCAATCAGACCACCGCCACCCACACCGCAGAAGACGGCCTCCAGCTTGTCCAAGTTGGCCTGGCGCAACAGCTCCACGCCGATCGTACCCTGGCCAGCAATAACGTACGGATCATCGAATGGCGGGATGTTTGTGAGACCGTGCTGCTTCTCCAACCGGTGTGCCTCCTCCTTGGCAGCATCGAAATCGTTTCCATGGAGGACCACGCTTCCTCCCAGACGAGCGACGTTCAAATGCTTGATGGCGGGGGTGCCCGAGGGCATAACAATGGTGGCAGGGATTCTCAGCTTGCGAGCAGAGAAAGCGACACCCTGCGCATGGTTGCCCGCAGAGCAAGCAATGACACCCTTCCACCGCTGTTCCGCGTTCAGGTGAGCCATCTTGTTGTATGCGCCACGGAGCTTGAAGCTGAAGACCGGCAGAAGGTCCTCCCGCTTGAGCAAGACTCGGCTCTCCAGACGGTTACTCAAGTTCACGGCATGGTGGAGGGGAGTCTCCTCGATAACATCATAAACGCGGGAAGTCAGGATCAATCGCAGATACTAGATATCCATGACCGCATGTTAGTATCGGGCCGATCTGTACGACGGAGCTGATCTCACATCAGGATATCCATTGGGAAGTAAAAAGGCCTCTGGAATGCCCCAGTCTGGAGGCACTCCGGGGCCATGCTGTCCGTTGCGCTCGCCGGGAGGCGTTGGAGTGGAGGCATATTCGGTCAACGCCAGCCCACTCATCTTGGGAAAGACGGGTGTCACAGTGCCACTGGCGGTACCATTGGTGGCGGGTTCATCAGACATGATGACTCTGGAAGAATTGTCTACTCGACTCGGAGGAAATATTTGAAAGCCGACGAGAAATTCTTGACCTCCTTGCAATGACTCTTTTTTCTTGCGGAGGCGGGGCCGTAATCGGAGCGGCGCCTTATGTCATCAACCCTGAACATGAGCCCTAATGGCTAAAAAGGGGTATAAATCGATAGTAGGGTAGATGTAACTATTCAACTGCTTTAGTTCTACGATATAGTACCTTTCAGAGGGTCATGGCTGTCCGGAATGCCATCTGGGCCATAAACCACGGAGGTGTGGCTGATAAGCGGGCGGATGTAAGTGGCCCACTTGCAAATGGCGTGCTTTCCATTTGCTATGGAGCCGACCTGACAGAAGGGTTTTTGGACACAAAATAAATCAATTCATAGGCTAGTATGGCCAAGTGATTTTCAGTAGGCCTTCATTAGCTTAAGATATCGAAAATGGTTGATTTGACAACTTGTGGTGTATGCAGACGCTCAGCTATATAGTTCCACTGCACTTGCACGGGAGTAAATTAAGGTGCACTTTATTTAACTCAAGAACGGATCAATTATGGAGATTTTTTGTATAAATCTAACTTTCCAGGACGTTGTGGTGTAAGAGTCGAGCTCTGGCCAAACCCCACGCGGTCACGGTGTAAGGTGCACCCGCCGGAGAAAATCTCCCTTGGCAGCTCTCGACGTCATGTTAGTCCTAGCAACTCTCGCGTGCCACCGATAACCACCGTCACTCATCTCCAATCGATCTGAAAACGACCCATCCTTGATAACGTGAATATTGTGATCTTGTTGTGGCTAGATTCAAAGACTATCATACGAGCCTTCCCGAATCCGCCGAGCGCGACCGGTCCGCACGCAACCACCGCCAGTCCAGGCCTGACCTATACACCTCTACATTAAAATGAGTCGCGAGCCTCTCCCGTCATCCATGGATGACAACCCGTATGTCTGATGATGCCCCGATGTTCCGCCGAACGACGCGTCAACAGCGCTCGGAGGAACAATCGAAGAGGACCGTCCACTAACTACCTCCAACCCAGGGTGTTTCGCGAGGAAAGCGGCCTCCAGAAATTTACCAGACGTCTCAAGGAGGAGCCGTTGATCCCGCTGGGTATGTCGATCAATCTGAGCATCTAGACTTCCATCTTCACACCCAACCTACTAACCAAACCTCGCCACAGGATGTGCCGCAACATGCTACGCCCTCTACCGCGCCTACCGATCAATGAAAGCCGGCGATTCGAATGAAATGAACCGCATGTTCCGAGCTCGTATCTACGCACAAGCATTCACACTAGTGTCCCTCGTCGTAGGCGGCATGTACTTCAAGACGGAGCGACAGCAGCGCCGGGAGTTCGAGAAGGCAGTGGAAGAGCGGAAATCACAGGAGAAGCGCGACGCGTGGCTGCGCGAGCTGGAGATCCGTGACAAGGAAGACCGCGAGTGGCGAGAGCGCCATGCTTCTATCGAGGCGGCCGCGAAGGAGGCCGGTAACAGGCCATCGGAGCCCGATGCGGCCCGGTCTGCGATTGAGCCTGCGGATGAGAAGTCGATTGGGGTTCTTGATGCCGTCAAAGCTCTCATGGGCCGGAACTAGGTTGCCTGGTGGCCTGCTGAGACTGGAGCGCTGACACGTGTAAAATAAGATGATTGTAGTACCTGTATATAGTTGCCAAGTCTCCATCATGCATACTTGACTTCATTTTCGTCATGTTCTTGCTTTTGGCTATACTAGTGGACATCTGGAAGATGAGTCAAATTGAATCCATACTCTACCCGGACTATGGTAGCGACATGATTTCTAGGTTTCTCCTAAAGTCTGCCACACGTTTTCCCGTGTTGATCCTGCTGATCATTACACCCGGGGGAAAAAAGCTCGGACTGGCGTAAGTGGTCGGAAAGTACCCAGGCTGGTATACATATCAGGATTTTTTGCCTTGCAAAAAAAAAACTAAGCTGCTAGTATTGAAAATATGCAGACATCACGAAAAATCCCGTGTTGGCAGGGCCCTACGGAGAGGCCGATGCGGGATCGACGTTTCTGGTAACCTTTTCGGAGCCTCTGCCTCGGCCTCAGGGGATTCATGTGAGATCGACACTCGGCATCTGAACCCGAACAAACTTTTCCCGCGTGCCCTGCGCAAAGGTACAACCCCTCAAAAATGAGTTTAGGTGATCTAGGAGCTAATGCAGCGGGTCTTTTTCGCGTCTCCCGGTATGAGGCCAGTTGAAAGAATTCAAGGGTCAGGGGTAAAACCTGGGGAAGACAGAACCCAAGTCCGGCGATGGTTCCCACCAGTATTACGCAACCACTACAGCGTTAAATAGTTTTATCCACCAGAGCTTCTTTTTTGTACGTCCAATAGACTTTGAAATCCCTGTCAGGATTCCGTGATCCACTCGTTTGTCCGGGTTGTTTCCGTGATAGTCGGCGCCGCCCCCAGGGTCTCTCCGACACCGACCGTTCCTAGGAAACATGGTATGACGTCTTTCACTCAGGGCCGAGGCCTAATACTTTCTAAATTTCTTTTTCTGCTAGTTTATATAGCACGGCGGACACCCCGTTCGCCTAGAGTGGATCAGCTTTCCTCTGTCACATGCGCCTATATAGGGACTAAAGACGCCAGTTTCTGTCTTCCAACATTCCCAGCAGAGAAAGAACAGTCCAGGACTTTGTATATTCATATTCATATTCACATTTGCCCATCATGTTGTCTTGGGTCTACCCTCTTCGGATTGTCCAGGCCGTGTTCGCCTTGGCCATTATCGGCCTGACTGCATTTGGTACGTCGCAAACTTCAAACCCCTGTCGCGATTACCACTAACAGTCGCTAGTCATCGGCACTCTGTACGACCAGTGGTCCTTTTCCAGCACCATCTATTTCAACCTGTTCAATGGCTGCTGGACAGCTGTCGTCGCGGTTCCCTACCTTGGACTCGCGCCTCTGTGGCTGCCTCGCATCTCGCACGAATATGTCATCCCCGGAATCGAAGTCATCACGTCGTGCCTGTGGCTCGCTGGTTGGATTTCCCTGGCAGCTCAGATCCCCAGCCCCAGTGCGTGCACGTATCCCAGCTGCCACGGTCTCCAGGCGGCCACCGTTGTGGCTGCCGTTGAGTGGTAAGTTTCTGCAATACAAAGAATGAATGACTCATTACTAATTTGATCGAAGGGCCCTGTTCGTTTTCACCAACATCTTCGCCATCATGGATATCGTCAACTCCAAGCGCAACACTCGTGACCGCCATGCCCGCCGCAGCACGGCTCAGAGCGAGGCCGCAAGCGAAGTCCAAAGCGAGACCCAACCCGAGGTCTCCGAGGTGAACGGCCCCGAGCATGTCTAAGAGACTACAATTTTTCCTCCGCGCGTAATTGTTTTTGAAAAGCAACTTAATGCCATAATACCTCGGGGCGCTTGGATTGAAACGACTACATGATTACATGGGTGAATCTACGGTGAACCGGTTGATGATCTTGCACGGGTTTTTTTTATGACTTGTACATTCGCGTGATGAAGTCCCATGTTGCAACAGCTTATAATACGATAATCTCATTCTCCTAATGATTAAATAAACAACTACCCCGCACGAACTCCTCCGTCTATGACGTCTGGGCATCAATCAGGATCTTGCAGTGTTGATCCCGATGATCAAGTAGTTCTTGGAAGCCCTTCTCCACGGCCTCGCCTAATCTTATTTTGGCTGTGATCATTTTATCTGGCTTGAGCTGACCTACAGCTATATTAGTATATGCGGGAGCTTTTACTAGGACAAAAACCAACATACCATAGCTCAATGCTTCAATCACATGCTTGAATGACCTTTCATCATACAAAGCAGCACCCATGTAGTTGACCTCCTTGTATGTCAGGTCATTCACCTTGAGAGCCGGCCTGTTCTCCCAAACAGCTATGTTGACAATGGTTCCATGGACTCGACATGCCGGGATGACGCCATTGAGTGCGATTTCAACACCCGCAGTATCGAAAATGACATCTATCCCCTTTTTCTCCGTTACATTGAGTGCTTCTTCGGGAATATCAACTTCTCGGGGGTCGAAGATATGAGTAGCGCCATAGTCCAGAGCAAGCTTCTGGCGATTCTCCATCGGCTCCACGACAACGATATTCTTCGCCCCCTGCAGCTTGAGGACTTGAATCACTCCGATCCCAATCGGACCACCTCCCAAGACCATGGCACTATCGGTAGGTTTGAACGGGGAAATGTTCACCGCGTGCCAGGCCACTGCGAGTGGCTCGATTAGTGCAGCCATCTCCAGGGAGACATTATCTGGAAGCGGGTAGAAATGCTCAGCGGGTGCGACTATGTGGTGAGCCATCCCACCGCCATAACCTGGTGTGCTGTCAGTGAGCTGTATATGAAGGGCTAGTCAGAAAGTAAATACCGCTTAAACCGATGAATCCAATATTTTTGCAGCAGTGCCTACAGCCTTGCTTGCAGGCTGTGCATTTCTCATCGTAAATTGTCGGCCGAACAACAGCACGTTGGCCGCGAGAAAGACCTTTCACGTCTTCGCCGACTTCCTCTATTATGCCGCTGAATTCGTGACCCATAGTAATTGGCGTCTTCTCCCCAGTGATAGGATGCTTGGTTTCGGGAACCAGAACCGGCCCAGATGTGTACTCGTGCAGATCTATTATCGTCTCGAGTTATACATGGTGCAAATATTCAGATCGATAGGTATTTTCTTACCGGTCCCGCAGATTCCGACAAAAGCGGGCTTCATCTGTCAATACCACAGGTGTCAGTCCCGTACTATGCTTAGCAATAACATATTGATCTGTTCATGGTACTTTTACTTCGCCCTTTCCACATTGAGGCTCTTGGAGTTGGTCCAGGCGGATATCTCCACGCCCGTGAAATCGAACGGCTGTCATTTTTGCTATGAAGTGGTGGAGAGTAATATCTGTGTTTGAAGGTACATGTCCTCTGCGAATGTTTATGCGGCTCTTCAACGCCGTTCCTTTCGATAGTTATATACTGAGCACTCCTCTACGGTGGCAAGACAGTGCATGAGCCTTTCACGTCAACGTCAACGTAGACGTCAACGCCAGTGCCAAGTCCATTTGCTGATAGCCACAGCCCCCAAAGACCCATGCCTCCAATGGCCCAATAGTACCCCGCGTTTCAGGCACAATCATGATCCATGCGACTATGACGTCGATGGCAGATCATTCCGGCCTAATCTCTAGATCCGAGTTCGCATACACCTCCCAAAAGCCCGACGGGCCAATGATCCCCACACTTGTCTCGATTTAATTAAACAAAAGTTCCGGACCTTGATTCGGTTGATCAGTTCCACGAGGGGTTACCAAACTAGCTTCACAGGGCCCATGACGCCAATACAAACATTCGGAGAAGGCTTCAGTCTATCGGACGTAGGCGGGCGGGGTGTGGGGAACGGCAACATACGGGGAAAGGATTGTCATTCGGATGTAACAAGGTTGATCCTTGGCGAGCACCGAATACAGGAACGGGGTCATTGACCAACACCAATGACTTAAAAATAGCCTCATTTTATAGTACTTTCAGTTCTTAGATCGTGTCATAATATTCATTACATTCCATGAGCCATCCACCCCCCCTTTTGAGCTTAAAAGAACACCTCAAGAATCCACACAAACCGCAAGCGCCAGGTATCAACCCAAGGTATCAGCCCAAAATATTCTAACCCAAGCAACATGCCTCTGCTAATGGAACAAGGAACAAGGAACAAGGAAATACCGAATAAGACAAAAGACGAAAATCTCGTAAAAACTCACGGGGGGTCAATTAACTTAAATCCATTCCGCCCATTTGCGGTGAGAGTTGTGTCGAGCCACCGGCTGATTCGTGATAATTGAGGACTTCGGCGTACATGATGGTCTTCCAGACATCGGCTGGTAGGTTTGCTTCGCTGAATGACCAGTCAAACTTTTCTTCGGAGTCGGGCTCGTCATCGGGGTCGTGGTATGGGGCGAGATACTGCGATTCTAAACCCTCGGCTGCGGAACAGCGTTGGTCGGGGTCGATTTGAAGGAGTTTCTCCAGTAGGGCAATAGCTGTGAAATGTGAGCTGCTGCAAAATATGCGTTGGAAGATGATACTAACCCTTTGCGTTGGTGCCCGGGATGAGCTTCGAGAGGGGCTTTCGAGGGCGCTTAGGAAGCGAGCGGATGAATTCCAAAGTCTGTAAACACGATCAGTCAGATAAATGTAGGTTTAAGGTGATGATCAAACAAACATTTGGACTGGTCACATTGTCCATCACACTGGGGGGCGGGCTTCCCAGTAATTGGGTAATCACGCAGAACTGATCGATGTGGTTCTTGCCCGGGAAAAGAGGACGTCCCAGTATCATCTCGGCAAAGATGCAGCCTACGCTCCAGATATCGACCTTCTCGTTGTATCGTCGCCAGGTGAGCATGATCTCGGGTGCTCGGTAGTATCGTGTGGAGACATAGCCCGTCATTTGGCTCTCTTGGACACGGGCAAGCCCAAAGTCGCAGATCTTCAGATCGCAGTTCTCGTTGACTAGGATGTTGCTCGGTTTGAGATCGCGGTGGATGACACCGGCTGAGTGGACGTATTTCAGACCGCGCTAGATGCAGAGTAAGTGGTGGCTCTGGAAAGGTGTGGTGATAAGCGTACCATCATTTGGTATAGGAAGTATTGGGTGAACTGGTTGTCGACTTTCCTGGTCTTCAGAAGAGTATGAAGATCGGTAGCCATCAATTCGGTGACGAGATAACTAGTCCTTTGGTTAGCGACTCCGGGTAGGAAACTCTCAAGAAGTAAACATACATGTCTTCGGAGGGAGAGATAAAGATGTCGTAGAGTTGAATGAGCTGAATTGATTGTTTAGCTTCGAGTTTTCAGTGAAGAAGCTGATTAACGAACGTTTTCATGTTTCAGCTGTTTCAATAATTTGATCTCACGAAACATGTGCTGGGCGACCACGGCGGACTGGAAAGGCTCCGCGAGCTTCTTCACGGCCACAGTCCGGTTCGAAATTTGGTCGTTGGCCGAACTAAAGGAACGGAAGGGACTTATCAGCCTTTGCCTCAATTCCAAGGTGGAGGGCGCAGGAATATCCTACCAGACCAGACCTGATACACCGACCCCGATGGGTTCCAGCTGGCTGTATCTACAGATTTACGCATGTCAGAAAATATTCTATAAGGCCTCAGTCGAGGGGTTTCCGTATGAACCTTGACGTGGTTTCAAAATTCACCCCCATGATGGTGTTGTGGGTGAATTGGGCCATGGCCCGCCCCGGAGTGGATGATTGACTTGATAATTCAGACATAGTCAATGCCGGTTACTGTAAGTAGCAAGATGAAGTCTGGAAGTGAGACCGGAACTGGGCAACAAGTAGTCCCTGAAAGTGGCAGCCACATTCAGTATACCGAGGATCAGTGTAGGATGGAACGGCGGAAAAGGGATCCTCATATAATATAATAAAAGCGAAGATCAATGTCACTATTTCGAGTGAATTCGGTGGCAATGCCGCTCCGTGACATCAGTGGCTGGGAGTACAAAAGCCATCGGGAAGTGCCATTCCCAACGTGCAGAAGTAACAATTCAAGCTCCAGTGGAACCAGTTGAACCGAGTCCGATAACGAACAGGCCCACCGATCTTCCGCGTCCGTCGCCACCATTCGTTGCGATTTCGTTCCGACCAATCTGCGCTGGAGCCCCACACACTCCGTCGGACCCGATTGCATGGTCGGGGATAATTCCTCCAAGCTTCATGACTGGCGGCTCCCGCAGGGGTTGTGCATGGCGTCTGCGCTTCGCATCCCAAGAAGGTACCCCCGGAGCCCGACGCACCGGCCCCGTTTTGTAATTGGAGGCATGCAGGACCGGTTTTGCTCATCTTGTCTGAGCTACGGATACACTCGTTGCTACGTCCGTGATTTCGTAATGGAAAATTAAATTTGATCATTTCCACTGGTTCAAAAATCCTTTCAGAGCTATGTAGTACCTTTGTGCAATCAATGACATCATGAAAATCACCTTCGCGCCGAGCTAATAATCAGTGGGGTTAGATACAGAAAACGAATTGTTACACGTTGGGCACATCGATGAAACTCTCAAACAGTCCATCCTGGAGGTCGGGTACGGTACGCGCGACATTTTGCACGGCGCCCGACTCCATCCCACCTCTATCCCCATCTCCATCCCCCACGGACCCGTCGGACCATGTACTAAGCGAAAAGGTCGGCGATGGGCACTTAATGGGGTCGGTATTCGCTCCAAGCATGTTTTGTGTCATCATAGCAAGCTGTAGATTGATCCGCTGGTCGTCGCAATCCGCATGTTCAAACATCTGGTTTTTGAGCTGCCAGACCTCTTCTTTCAGGACGTTCACTTCGGCCATGAGGGTCTGGCGTTTTGCGGTTTCACTGTGCAGGATGCTTTGAATGTGTTCGTGCTCCTTCTTCTTCTTGATGCGACACTTGTTGGCGGCAATGCGGTTCCGTTCGAGATGCCTGGCGCGTTCGGGGCTCACATTCTCTCGTGACACGTAGGGTTTCGAGGATCGGCGGGGCTTTCGGGCGGGGCTCCCTTGAGGCCCTGTTTCCTGCATTGCGCGTAGATCCTGTTCGGTCTTCACATTTTGTTCCCGCAGGCTTTGGATCAAGGAATCCTTGCCGTCCTGGGATATATTCAGTGGACTGAGCCAGAGCTGTGATGATTCATCGAGGTTTGGCAGCCCGTTCGAAATGTTGGAAAAGACATCGTTCGTCTGTGGTTGAAGCAAAGTGGTCATCATGGAGACAAAGAATTTGGCAGGAAGAGATAGAAATTCAATTCATGCATATGGGTACAAAGACGAAAGCAGGCTGGGCCGAGAAGTATAGGAAGGACCACCAGGACACTGGTGGAGGACGGGGAGAGGACGTGGCTTATATCTGCAACCCAAGAACCAGAAACCCAGGCCGGCACGTAATGAAACGCAGGGAGAGGCTAGGACAGTAGCAAACGCGGGGACATGCCACCAATCTCCTTGCTTTCCTGCTATCCGTTCCAGGCGAGACGAGCCGATGTTGGCTGACTCCCGGAATCCACGGAGCTCGAGCCAAGGAAGGATCAAAACGGGTTTGTTGTTTAAAGTTCTCGATTTCAGGCCCAGAATGGTGGGGAACTTCCCATGCGGGAGGCGATCCTGTTGGAAGTTTCCAACGTGGGTGGAGCGCGAGGAACAGTTGATGACGAGCATTGCAGGTGGCAAACCGCGCACTGGAAAGTGTCCTGATCGGATCATGTGAGGGGTCTTTCCATTTGCAGTTGGTTCTAGAACGGGCACATCGTGCAAGGGTTTCCGCTTGATTTGCTTGCGGGAAGGGTGATGATATCATAGCGGGAAACACTCGGGATATCAAATACATACAGTGCATCTTCCCCCGACGGATCCACTTGACTGTTCTCCCCGAAAGTGACATGTGTACATAAACCCTGCATCGGTCAGGATTTCCCCTCCAGTACGCGACGAAGCTTGATAACCGTGGTCCGCGGCGTCGACCGTCTTTTCCCGGTCGAGAGACGTCGGGTGCAGCTACATAAACCTGGAACACCAAAAAACCGGCCCTGAGGAATGCAACGAATTTATCTCTATGTACAATAATCTATTGAGAACGTCATCGATTTGAGATGGTTATCAACAAGGATCATGATCATCCAGCAGCCTGCTCATCGATATACCGCCTCATGGTCTCGAACTCGGATTTCCCTGTCTATAGCAAAGGTCAGCCTGCCATGATATAATCCAAATCGCAGATATTCATACCGAAAGCAAGTATCGTATATGTGCCTATCGAATTCAGTCAGCCATCCTATCCAACAACTCCAGGGTTTTGATGAACACATGGACCTACCAAGTCTGTCACCTCGCGATGCCGTTCAAATTCCCGCCGAGCATAATCATGTAGCTCATTGCGTGTAGCAGATGGAGGGATTTCTGTACAAATTTCTGTAAGTCATCCTTCACACTCGGTGGTGATTTAGGGAGAAGAAGAGGAGACTGGCGTACTATTCAATGCTCGCACGATCTCGCGCCAGAATGCCAAAACGCGCCCTCTTTGAATAAACTGCCATCACCGTTAGCTTCAGTCCCATCGATCGATGCAGATGCATTCGTTCTTCGCACAAGCTGCCCCGTAGATTACTTACGTGGTCTAGCCCGATCGCCGGCTTCTTCAGCTTCGACGGGGGGCCGCGAGAAACGGCCGCGAGCAGGCGGATGGAGACACGCATGGGGATGGTCTCATGTCATGCCTAAAGAGGATAGTCGGTGATGATTACAATCGGTTCATTTCGCGGCGCACGTTTGAATGGACATCGTGCGCTGGTCGCGGGCGGTCGAGTTTGATGTGTATTTGCATTTCCAGTTAAATACGGTCACGTGACCAAAATGCGCTACAAATCGGTGTCTTTTGGTATAATACGTTGTCATGGGAGGTTTACATCGTGATTGCGTGAATAATAGGTATATTGTAGGCACGATTCACCTGAAAAGAAACCCAGAGCCAAATTCATCATACTGACAATAAAACAAGATGATGCTCCCTTGCTAAAACCTTTGCTTTATCCCATTGATCGTGCATTGTATTAAATCTTGAGATCTGGTATGGAGATGAGACTAGCTCGACCGAGGAGGAAACTAAGAGCAAGAACCGGTGGAGGAGCCGACATAAGTCTATCTTGGCGTAATTTCACTGGCTTCTAAACTTCTAGGCCTTGGACCTGGGACCTGAGATATCACCACGACAATCTCCGTCTCTAGCCACAAAATGTTCACGAATGTAGCGATACGTGTTCGATGCGATATTGGCAGTTTAGACTATTCAATTATCTGTAATAGTAGGCTATGCATGATAGTATCTTTGGTGATGTCATGGCGTGAAAGATCAAATGTGGGCTCTCTTCCGTCGCGCTATTTGCGACGTTGCAACGAAGGGCGAAAACCACTGAAAATGAACAACAGCCAGCAGCCTAAAGGATCGAAATAACTTTACCTTCCGCGATGTCCAAAAGTATTAATTGAGTCGACTTCCTCGGTTTCAATTCGGCACGGAAGCCTCAAGTGCATCGGGCCAGGGTCGTGCAGATCCCGCCTTCAAGCGCTATACAGTACTCGTGAAACATCTAAATCTTACTTCGTGAATATTATGCTTATCTTTACCCCAATATGTAGTTAGCCCTCCCCAGAGTCTCTCCAAACAAATGCCAAATGGAAACAATCGGAAAAATAACTTGTCTTCAAAGGGCGTAAGAATCGGAGGAACGAACCTAATATTGCGCCAAAGTGGGTCAACTAAAATTTTAGCTCGATCTTTTTCGAACGCCGCCTTAGATCTTCACCCGTTGATAACCGACTCAAGCACCTCACTCTCGATTCTTTTACATAAAATAGAGAACCGATTGAAGCTTATTGCGTAGTACGAACGGGCATTGGGCACATTGCGAACCCTTCGACCCTGTTGTTCCGCGTTTATGTGGAACCCTACGAGAATGAAAGACTCTGCTTTCCATTTTCGTGGCGCCAAGGGCAACGAAGTGGAGAATTGTATGTCACCTAGGGCTTCAGGTACCGCGGCGTGTGAGGATTCTGTCTGGTCAGCCCACAATTTGCTTCTTTGTAATTAGCTCGCCGTTTCATTGAAAACGTCGACATTCCCCAGTTTTTGACTAATAGTCTCCCTCTGCACTCCGGGGAATCTTGCGTCTTCTCCCACTTTATCTTCTACACACGCGATCGCGATCATGGACTACGAGGAGATCTCGGCCGCCCAGGCTGCGAACCAGGATGCTACTAAGGATATGTCGGCCGATGCCTTGAGGGCGCGCAATGAGGCGGTTATGGCGTCGCCGCTGTACAATGCCCAATTCGTGGGCGACGATTTGACAAAACACCTGGATACGGAGGCTGGGGATGTCTACGATCGTGGTATCAAGCACTTCAGCCGTCTGGGCTGGAAGCGCCTTACCGTTGTCCTGATTGTCGAAGCCATTGCGCTAGGAAGTCTCTCTATCCCGTCCACCTTCGCCACCCTCGGCATGGTTGCTGGCGTAATCTGCTGCGTTGGAATCGGTCTCATCGCTATTTACACGAGTTATATCATCGGTCAGGTCAAACTTGCCTACCCCGAAATCGCCAACTACGCAGACGCTGGTCGCGCAATGGGCTCTAAGCTCGGATGCCCTCGTTTCGGGTACGAATTGATCAATGCGATGCTGGGCATCCAATTGCTCTTTCTCACGGGCTCCCACTGCCTGACTGGAACAATCGCGTGGCAGAATATCACCGGCAGCGGTATTTGCTCTGTGATTTTCGCTGTCGTCTCGGCGATTATTCTGCTTTTGCTCGCGATCCCGCCTAGTTTCACCGAGATGGCCGTGTTGGGCTATATCGACTTCGCCTCGATCATTATCGCGATCGGTATCACGATTATTGCAACTGGTGTGCAATCTACCGATGCCCTTGGAGGGCTGAAGGCCGTGGATTGGTCTGCGTGGCCTAAGGAAGGCCTCACCTTTACCGATGCCTTTGTCGCCGTCACGAACATCATCTTCGCTTATAGTTTCGCTCTTTGCCAGTTCTCTTTTATGGACGAGATGCACTCGCCGAAAGACTTTGTCAAGTCCATTTGGGCTCTGGGCATCGTGGAGATCATCGTCTACACCCTCACTGGTGCATTGATCTACGCCTTTGTCGGACAGAGCGTCCAAAGTCCCGCGCTTCTCTCCGCCGGTTCACTAGTGAGCCGCATTGCATTCGGTATTGCTCTGCCTGTGATTTTCATCAGTGGCTCAATCAACACCGTTGTCTTCGGGCGTCTTGTTCACGGCCGCATCTTCGCGAACTCGCCTATCCGCTTCATTAACACGAAGATGGGTTGGTTGACGTGGTTGGCCGTTATCACCGTCGCGACGATCCTGGCGTTCATCATTGCGGAGGTCATTCCTTTCTTCAACGATCTGCTCTCGATCTCGTCTTCGCTGTTCATCTCTGGGTTTACCTTCTACTTCCCTCCCATGATGTGGGTGCTGCTTCTTCGCGAGGGCAGCTGGTTCACGCCTAAGAACATGATCCTCGCCGTGGTCAATCTGCTCACCTTCATCATTGGCTTGGTTACGCTGGTTGCGGGAACATATGCTAGTGTTGATGATATTGTAAGATTTCCTTGCTCCCTGATTACATTTGGTGGCATTGGTCTAACTGACGAAAACAGATCCTCAAGTACCGCGCCGGCACGGTCCATGGTGTCTTTACTTGCGGCACACCGGAGTAAGAGTGCGCCTACAATGTGGTGTTCCTCTCAATATTTTTGGTCATGTTCTTAGCGAAGCATGCTGTATACGATTTGGTCGACCTTGAAGACATGATTAGATATAGATAGAGTCATTTGTATCATTTACGTATCACGAATGTATTTCAATTTGCATATTACTCTCGCACGCAGAAGATGTTTTTTATATTCAGACCAGGGCAACTAATTCCCGTCATACCCCAGTATGCAAGTACATTTTTTAAAGGAAGCTTATGCCTGCAGAGGCTCCCCCATGCCGCCAAAGGTGACGCTCTTGATAACCATGAACTCATCAATACCGTACTTGCTGCCCTCGCGACCGAAGCCACTCTGTTTGACACCGCCGAATCTGCAATAGTTAGAATAAATGTATAGAAAGTGAGATAACGGAAAAACTTACGGAGAAGCAACGTCACTGATCAGACCAGTGTTGACACCAACCATGCCAACCTCCATGGCCTCAGCAACGCGGAAGATGCGGCGCACATTGCCACTGAAGAAGTATCCAGCAAGACCAACCTCGGCGCTGTTGGCGAGGTCCACGACCTCCTTCTCGGTCTCGAAGCGGAAGAGACCGGCCACGGGACCGAAAGTCTCCTCGGAGGCAATGAGCATCTCCTTGGTCATGCCGGTCAGCACAGTGGGCTCGTAGAAGTTAGGTCCAAGTGCAGAAGCCTTCTGGCCACCGATGGCAATCTTGGCACCCTTGGAGGTAGCATCCTGGACGTGTTGATGCACCTTCTCAGCAGCACGCTCGTGGATAACGGGGCCGTGTGTGATGCCCTCCTCGAAGCCGCCTCCGAGCTTGAAGTCCTTGACCTTGGCAGCGAAGCGCTTGGCGAATTCGTCGTACACGCCACTCTGCACGTAGATCCGGTTCGCGCAGACGCAGGTCTGGCCGGAGCTGCGGAACTTGGAGGCAATAGCGCCTGTAACGGCGGTATCCAGATCCTCCACGTCGTCAAAGACAATGAACGGCGCGTTGCCGCCGAGTTCCCACGACACCTTCTTGATGGTCGACGAAGCCTGCTTCATCAGCAGCCGGCCGACGTTGGTCGAGCCGGTGAAAGACACCTTGCGCACCTCCGGGTGGGTAGTGATGAGCTCACCCACAGCCGGGGTATTCTTGCCAGAAGTAACAATATTAACGACTCCCTTGGGGATACCAGCGCGGTGCGCCAGCTCAGCCAGAGCGTTAGCAGTGAAAGGAGTCTCGGCCGGAGACTTGGCAACGACAGTGCAGCCAGCCGCCAGGGCCGGGGCGATCTTCCGGGTGATCATAGCCGCCGGGAAGTTCCACGGGGTGATAAGACCGCACACACCGACGGGCTGCTTGAGCGTCATGACGCGGTTCCCTGGCACAGTAGCCGGGATAGTGTCACCGTATGTACGGGGCGCCTCCTCGCTGAACCACTCGAAGAAGCTGGCGGCGTAGTTCACCTCGCCCTTGGCGTCGGCCAACGGCTTGCCGTTTTCCCAGGTGATTAACTTTGCCAGGTCCTCCGCATTGTCCATCATCAGTTGGTACCAGCGGCGGAGCATGCGCGCGCGCTCGCGGCCGAGGGTTGTGCGGAATTTGGGGAAGGCCTCGGAGGCGGCCTCGATGGCCTTCTCGACGTCGGCTGCATCGAGATCGGGGCATGTTCCGATGAGCTTGCCAGTGGCGGGGTCTTCAAATTACACCTGCGTCAGCCTGTTTTCAGGGTAAATTGGTCAGGAAAGCCGCTTCTTACCGTGGACCTCGAAGGTCTGGCCCGACTTAGCACCAACCCACTCCCCATTGATGTAGGACTTCTCAATGAAGAGGGATGGATCGTTCAACTAATCTCTGGATTAGCTTCTCGCTCACGGACCATATCCCACCAGGTACTCACCTCAGGCTTGCTGTGTCCCATGGTGTAGAGTCTCTTTAACGCCGGAGGTGGGGGAACGGAAAAAGGATAGCGAGTGCGAGAACGCAACAATTGGCGCGAGACGGGGCGAATGAGTCGCTCCATTATGAGGTAACCGGCTCGCAAGGGGGAAGAGAGCGGGGGGATAAATTCCGAACAGGAAGCAGATACGCGGAGATCGGTCAGATGTGCGGGGAGTTAGGACGTCTTTAAAGGGCGCTGTTTTGCGGAAGTTTGTAGCTGTAAGATCTGTGATTCAACGTTTAATTTGCTCTGATTGCTCTTTGGGTCCGAGAAGCACCGAGGACGGAGTTTTGCGCCGATGGCAGAGCTGGAGCTCGGAAGGGAAGCTGGATGCTATGCGGGGGCCGTTGATGGATTGATGTCATAGGGATTCCTCTTCCCATTGCGGTGGGAAAATCCTTCCTTCGAGCTACATAGCTCTCCGCTCGCTTTTTCTACATAGGCATCCGCTATCTAGCGTAATTTGCAGCTCTTTTGAATATTCTTTTACTCCTTCAATTGAGGATTTTTCTATGTTGTGACTGTCGGTATGGAGACTTGCATCTCGGCTGAAATACAATTACATAGATTACAACCTCCGGCATTTTGAACGAATAGCCGGCTCAAAAGGCTGAGCGCTCGGGAACCTTCACCAATTAAAAGCCCTACAACTGCCCCGATTTGGAGATAGCGTCACAGCATTTCGCCCTCCACGAACACGGTGTGGATATAGAAATCCACGAGATTCACGGCGTTTAGGAAGGACCAACCGAGAGTGGGATCAGTTGAACAATCCTACTTGCACTGGACTTATGCGAATGGCCATCAAATTGGATATCATAGCAAGGTAATATACAGAAGAAGCACGCTCTAATCAATCACAATCACTTCCGGCTCGGGCCTACTACGAGATCTCGATCTTGACCGATCTCGCTCTTGATACCCTGGATGGACTCTCTTCATGTGCAAATTAAGATTCCACGTTCGCGAGAAACCTTTCGCATGTCGTGAGCATGTCTTGATCGGACAAACGAGGTCCGCTTTGCGATGCTCGCCCTTGCCCTTGAGTCGGCGCGACGGTCCTCTTCCTGGGCTGCTTCTCTCCGGACTAGTACCGCGACTTGGAGCAAACCCTGGTACAATCGTGTGCATATTCACCGATGAGGCGGCGGGAATTGAGCCCTGTGCATCTTGTGAGGTAGAGCGATTTCGTACTGATCTCGACGGGACCCGAGAAATGGCCTTCTTGCGCTTGCGCCTGGGAGCAGGATCGGAGTCTTCGGCTTCGGAATTGCTCTCACGGTAGTCGTATACCAATGATTTGTCCTCCCGTCGTCCAGCTGGTTCAATCCGGCCTTCGTGGAACGTGCGGAATGTCATGTCTTCATCGAATAGGTCCGCGCAGCGCTTGGAGGCACGCATGACGGCGGCGTTTGGGAGACCGAGCATGGATGCTAGGCCCATGACTTCACTCCAGTCTCGTAATGGAAGTTTTGCATTAAACGGGATGCCGTCGTCGCTATCATCGTTGTCGTCATCATTGCCAGACGCACGAGAGTTGCGTGACGGGTCTCGAGACTGAGATGTATCACGCATAGTCTCATCTTCAGTCTCGGCCGCAGATGAGCGCTGGCTGCGAGAGCGCCCACTTGACTTTGTCTGACGAGGACGCCCACGAGTGCGTTTGCGACCCCGCGACTCATTTTTGCTGGCCTTTTCTCCAGTTTGTGACTGGGCTGCATCGTCATCAGTTCCAGGCCCCGAGTCGCAACTTACTTCACGCTCGGATCGGTAATTCATCGAGCGCTGCAGAGCCGTCAAAAGACTGTCGATTTGTGTAATCACGTTCCGGGCAAGAGGCCGCAATTGTCGCCGAGATATATCGTCATCGGTCTGAAGAGCGGGCTGGAGGAATGATGGACCAAAAGATGTTTCCGCACCTTTCAGGTCTTCTTCGTCCGTCATGGCGTCTGGGTCGGCTGTCGATCTCCTCGATTCGTTCGTTCTCACTTCGTCATAGTCCCAATCGCGGTCCAAGAAGTTCTCCTTGGCAATCCTCGTCATAACTGCAATGATTGACTCTTCCAATTCGGCGCTAGGACGAGGATCGGGTGGCATCCGGATAGTGTCAGGATCACTAAACCACTCCTGCATGTGTTCGTTGGGTCGAGGCACCCGGGATGGTGGTAAAGGCCATGCCCCCCATCGTTTGGAAATGGACGTTTTCTCTTCTCCATCTTCGTCCAAACCATGGGATGTCTCTTTCCCCTGGCGGCGAACCATATACGAATTGTAGAGATGTGCCGCGAGGTCCCTTGATCGAGCCGTCATCAGTCCCTCATAGGAAGCTAGGGCGTCTGCGATGACTCTTCGGTATGCAGTTGAGCTCCCGGTCCATCGATTAGGCCGCTCAACCCCGGGTGCCAGGTCAAGGCCGCGGTCGAGCACATACGTTGTCGGTAGTGGCGCTGTCTTCGTAGGCGATTCGGAATTTAATCGGGACTGTGATCGCGATCGTGACCTTGTAGTAGACCGTCCACGAGATTCATGCTTCACACGACTTTTAGCCTTCTGTGCAGGCTCATTTCCCTCCTCGTCACTACCTTTGAAGCTCTCCTCGTCGGAGCCATATTCAATATCCAGGGGCCGTTCGCGCATGATCATTTCTAGTTCATCTTCCTCATCCTCACTGGACCCTCGGTCCATGAGCTCTGCCTCTGTCTCCGGTTCCGTAGCAACATCTTGGGCTGGACCGCCGAAGATGGACCTTCGAGCCGGTTCTGGCAGAGAAGATGGAGGTACGCCGAGATCGTTGCTGGGGCCTCCAAACAGTGACTGGTACGGTTGGGCAGACTCCGGGGGTACAAATTGAGAAGATGATGGCGGACGGTGCTCTGAGAATGAGGACATGCCTCAGCGCCGTCTTCAAATTATGGGCTAGTTGGGAGCCCGCGGATATCACATAGATGTTGGTCTTGACTTTGAACAACGCTGTCTAAGTTGTTGCATATGACCGGGCATCACTTAAATAGTGTTTCTCTTGCGGCTTCAGCGAATTCGATCATTTATTCCGCCGTGCTGGGCGAGGTCTTGGGTGTTGACTCCATCAAAAATTCCAGCGTAGGTGGATCGGTACGGGTCACGTGATCCATCCTCGATCGGAGTATGCACTTGTTACGAGTTGAAGAATCCAATCCAATGTTTTTAAAAGAGGTCGGAGTTTAAAGGAGCCCAGAATATTCCAAATTTCATGGTTCATCCATCCATTACATTGAAAAAATAAATTTTTATGACATGCATATACAGGGGACTATCCCAGCCGCGAACGCCAGCAGAAAAAGAAAAAAGCACTCTTTAATGACACCGTCCTTACTTCTGAGCAGGAGCAGACTTTTCGAGCTTGCGGCGCTTGGAGCGCAGCTTGGCGGCCTCGTCAGACTGCTTCTTGTTCGAGTACATCATCTTCTCGAGCAGCTTGCGCTTCTTCCGGCTCATCATCATCTTCTGGCGCTCGAGTTCCTCCTCCTCCTTGCGCTTCTTGGCAGCCAGCTTCTTGGACTGGGCGTTCTTCTTCTTCGATGACTCGTCGGCAGCGTTGCTAGAAGAGAACGGCAGACCGGCGGCCTCAGCCTCGAGCTCGCGCTGGTGCTGGCTCTGGGCGGCCTCGTCGTCATCATCGGACTCGGTGGCGGCTTCGTTCTCCTCCAAGCCATCGAAGTCTTCGTCCTCTTCCTCTTCCTCTTCGCTGGCGCTCTCATCGTCGTCGGTTCCGGCAACATCCATGCCTCCGTCGACGGACTCATCCTCGGACTCTTCCTCGGCGGCGGCCTTCTCGTCAGCCGGAGCCTCGTCCTCCATCTCTTCATCGCTGTCCTCGGCGTCCTCGGCCATCTCAGCCTCACCTTCATCTTCCTGCTCAGCCAGGGTGGCGCGCGGGTCGTAACCACCACGCGAGGGTTTCACCCAAGGACTCAAATGAGGCGGGAGGGTGGCACCAGGGGCGTACAGGTCAGCTCGGAGGAGCTTTCCGTCGTTGACACAATCCCACACCCACTGGGGCTGGACATATGTACGACCCGGGATCCGGGTACCAGGCTTAACTTTCTGGGCAGCATCATCCGCAGCGGGAATAGTAGGAAGGGACTCCTGGGGAAGCTGAGGACGATCGACAATCTGGTGAGTGATCCGAGGGTCGGTCTCGTCATGAGTGTAGGCTCCACCACCCAAAACGGCATCCCAGCCGATGCGCTTGCAGCCGAAAGCATGTAGGATAAACTCGAGGGGTGCCTTGGGGGCCTCACGGGAAATGTAGAACACGAATGGGGCGAAGAGCGCACCAGCCTCGTTGCCGCTCATATCAGGCTGGGGCAGAGTGTCGGCTTCGGGAGCAGCGGGCTCGAACTTGTCGATGGCATCGGTTGCCTCCTCAGTCGTGTCCATTGCCTGCTCGTCATTTGTCTGATCCAGACCGGCCGACTTGATCACTTTGTCCACCTTGGCTTGAAGATCGCGGGAAACCTCTTTGTTACTACCGTTCGTCTGGGCCTTCTTGGACTCAATGGCCTTGGGCTTTTCACCCACTGTCCGGCCCTCAAGAGTGAAGGCGGCCAACTCAGCACCGTTCTCGTCGCTACGGGTGTCAAACTTGGGAGGATATCTCAATCCAATCGAGGAGTACAGACGGAAGTTGACAAAGCCGAGAAGGGTTGTGTAGAAGTCCACGAAAGTGGCCATGATGCGGTAGTCGACATCACCGTTAACGCGCTGCACGAAACGGTATGGCACCAGCCACATGATGTCCTGGCCTTGAATGGTAGCCTGGTAATAGATACCCTTGATTGAAAGGAACGACTTGCGCAGCGAGTTGGTGACGATCAGGTAGTGCTGGAACTCGTGGCAGACGCGCTGGCAGAGCGCAACGGTCTTGGCGGGAACATGGGTGGTCGAGGGGAGGGTAGCGAACAGGAAGAGCAGAGACAGGGCATCGTCGAGATCACGAAGCGCATCGATAAAGGTTGGGTAGCGCTCCTTGATGACATGGTCCAGGGTAAGTTTCGGGGCATGGTTCTTCTCGAGGCGCGCAGCGTCGCTGACTTCGCCACGACCGAGCGAGCGGGCAATCTTCTTTGCAAGAGCCTTCTGATCACGGAACTTGTTGAGCAGGGGCTCGTGCAACAAGTACTGGATGTCCTTGGTGTAGTAGAAAGTAGTGTTCGGGGTCGCGGTCTTGGAAGCCTTCTTCTTGTTTCGGGGCTCACGGGGGTAGATTCCTGAGAATCGCCGATCGTATCAGCATCACATTGTGAACAGAGCCAGGAAAGAACAAGCTTACCCTTGAAAATGCAAAGCCGACGGAAATCGGGCAGAGAGATCTGAAGTTTGCGCACGGCCTGGGTACGAGTAATATAGTTTTTGGCCTGGCCAGAGGTACCTGGAGAGATTGTTAGCAATGGCAATTGAAATAAAGCATGAATCCAGCAGGTCCAACATACCCTTCTTCTTGATTTTCGCCATGGTGAAGAATGATCTCAAACGGTTGCTGATAAGAAGAAGAAAAAATTCTCGATAACTTTTTTTTCTGCTGAAGGCGGGTGGCCCGTGCGTTGCGGGCGCCGTGGTTCCTCCGCCTTCAAGGGACAACTACACAACAGCGCGTTTCTCCAGTCGATTCCATTCCCGGTCATGGCTGTGGACCGTCGCAAGGTCGCTGTATTCAGCGCGGCCTTTATTCTTCGCCTGGTTCTTGTTTGTCTCTTTCCTTCCCTGCCCGACTTGTTGACCGGCCGAGTTGAGGTTTCGACCCCGGTCAATAGCTTCAAGCGACGTGAGTAACCTCCGATGTTAATGTGACCGCATAACCTGACTCGGAACCCCCAGTGCAGGAAGGCTTGTTTCTCTACACTCGAAATGTATCGCCATACGACGGTGGTGTCTTTCACCAGGTGAGTAGATCGCAATGCAACGCAACTACGGGGCTTCTCTATTGACACCATTGTACTCTAGGCGCCACTCCTACTCCCTCTTTTCGCTCTTCTCCCCGATGTGAAAGGCAATCCGGTCCCTACTGCCGTCTTCTATTTCCTCGTTGATCTAGTTAATGCGCACGCCCTGGCTACCATCTCGGAATCGGGACAGTCCGTTCAGAGCCGACTCCACTCGACCATTCGGAAGCATATTCGGTGGGATGGGGCTTCTGTTGCCGCTTGGTATGCGCAAGGTGCCCTATATTTGTCAAGAATCATCATTCTGACCCAACTTTAGGTTCCTGTTCAACCCTTTCACGATCGCAACATGTCTGGCACGGTCAACGAGCGTGTTTACCACAACCGGAATCCTTTTCGCAGTGTCAAATGCTGTTAGTGGGAATAGTGTCAATGCGATGCTGGCTCTTGGACTCGCGTCCTACCTATCCCTTTACCCAGCCCTGTTATTCATCCCGCTAGTACTACTTTGCTACGATCAACGGGCCCAGAAGCTACCCAACACTGTGAGTTTTATCATGCAGAATGCCTCCATACTTTTAAGCAGCATTGCAGGACTACTGGGCTTGTCGTATCTCATCACCGGAAATTTCTGGGAGTTCATGTCTGCGACATATGGCTTCCACCTTCTGGTCCCGGACCTGACCCCCAATGTGGGTCTCTGGTGGTACTTCTTCATCGAGATGTTCGACTCCTTCCGCGAATTCTTCCTCGGTGTCTTTTGGCTTCATCTGGCAAGTTACGTCGGAGGGCTCACCATTCGGCTGCGGCGACAGCCTCTGTTTGTCATTACCTCGCTTTTGGGCGTCTTTGCCATCTTCAAGCCATACCCCAGCATCTCCGACGCGTCGCTGTACTTTGCGTTCCTACCTCTGTATCGGCATACCTTCCCCTGTGAGTTTTCTTGCGAATATCCCAGGCCAGGTCACCATTTGCTAATGTCCAACAGTCATGCGATACACCTTCTTTGCCATTTCGGCAATTCTATACGCCAGTCTTCTCGGTCCTGCATTTTACCACCTATGGATCTACGCCGGGTCCGGTAACGCCAACTTCTTCTACGCCATCACACTCGTCTGGAGTCTGGGCCTCTCAATCCTGCTAGCCGACAGCATCTTCGCCGTCCTTCGCGACGAGTGGGAACAAGACCATCCAGAAGCCCGAGGCTCCGAGGTGAAACAAGTCTAATGTATATTTAAATCTGCATTCAATTCAACTGCATCAAGCCTCCTCGCCAGGCCAAACAATCAAAAACTCCCATTTCACTTCAACCCCTTAGACAAAATCTCATAATCAAACTCTTTAACCGTCCCGTTCCTCAACCTGCGTGGCTTAGGAGAGTACTCATCAACCACATACCCACCCTTGCGATAGAACTCCCTCGCCGTCGCGTTGGACTTGAAAACAGTTAGCATAGCCTTCTCCAACCCAACGCGCCGGCCAATCTCCTCCATCCGATCCATAAGCAATTTGCCCAGCCCCTTTCCCCCGGGCACTCGCGGGCAAGTGGATCTCGTAGCAGTAGATAACTTCCATCCCGTCTTCGTAGGTTACCATAAAGGATAAGAACCCCAGCACGCTATTCCGGGATGAGCTTGGCTCGTCGGCTGTGTCGGTTGAGGATCCCCGCACGATTAGGTACTTCATGTCTGGGAGTTTCATTTCTTTGCGCTTTGCGGGCCGTGACCAGCCTCCACCTGAAGCGGTGTAGGCTTCGCCGGAGGTTAGTTCGATTAGGTCGAGGCAGGCTTCTAGGTCGGTGGGGCTGATCGTCGCTGCCGAGTACACGTCGAGGGGTGGTTGGATTGCATTTGAGTCGTTGGCTTCTGAGACGGTTGATTGGTTTTCGGTTGGTGGGTTTGGTGTAGGCGGAGTCATGTACTTGGCGATGAAGTCTTCGATTGATAGTGCATTGGTGCGCTCGACCAGTGGTAAGCCTGTACGTGTATTGCATTAGGACGCGTAAAATTGGTAGATAACGCGGAGGTATGCGCGTGGACTCTACATTATTTGACACATCGAGAAGTAGCTATCCTTGTTCTAGGCCTCTGATGAGTCTTTATTTACTTACTTTTGGTGGTGGACTTTGCGCGCCGAATGGATGTTTGGGCCTTCTGCGCTTTGGATTTGGTCACTCTACCATCTTTGGTCGGTGGCATGTGGGACGATTTCGAATAATTCATGCTCTCTGGGAATTGTTTCGATGCAACGAGACGGTCATCTGATGGTTGATCGTCAATGGCGGAGTCGAGGGGAATGCGGCTGGTCGGTTGGTCGGGAGGATCCTTGCGGGGCCTTTCAACAGGATCTGCGGCTTTGCTTTTTCCCGACTTTCTACTTGTTTTTGGCTCGCATAGCTGTCGGGCTATTCAGACGCTTTCAATGCGATGAAAATATTTCAAACCCCACTTTTATTTGTTCTGAATGACCTGGTGGTCTGGCAGTCACTAAGTGTGCACCGTAGTTGGAAATATATATTCAATTTCTCACGCATCTTATCGATTACATAGCTCCCAATTTCTCAATCCGGACGCTCTCCAGGACCTAAGAAAACACGCTCAACTGAATTGCATGCTCCTCGATACGTCTCTCAGCCTCAGCCTCACTCAGATCATTGAAGAAGGCACCGACACCCCAGCGGAAGGAAGCTTTGCAGTCTCCAATAGATTTTTGGTTGCCTCGGCAATTAAGTTACTAGTGCCGATACTCCGGATCTTGCCTGGTGCCACGAACTTCATCGGAACCGTCAACAAATACAATCATTGTAGGGGAATCGTAAATATTCTTTTTCAACTATTACTAATTATCCTCCTCGTCATGTGAGACCACTGAAGTCAGAGGTCGTTGAATGCTGGCGGGTGACTGTGCCATCGCATATCTGTGGAGTTCCGACATTCATATCACACCATGAATGATGTAAATTATGCCTCCAAGTGTTCCGGACCGTATAGGCACCCCGTGGATATAACTTATGATGATAACAGAAAAGCGAAAAAGCTGTAAATCAGCTATTTATTCAAACTCGTCGAATCGAAGTATAGAAATCTCACTTGGATCATTAGCTAGGTGAACCTCTGGTATTGCTAGGCTGTTAGCGTCCAGGTCTATAATTAACCCACCTGTAATGTATGAAGTAGAAGAATTCAAATGTGACAACCTTAATTACTAGTCCAAACTTTCAAAACTGACTTCCATCTGATCCATGGACTCGGAGCCTCCCGGGAACCACGCGGCTGATAAAATCACCCGATGAATTCACTCTTCGGTTCGGCAGAAGGCCAGACGTATGTTTAAATGCTTAATTTCTTCCTCGAGTTTGTACCTTTGCTGATACTACCGGATACTTCTTCCTTGTGGGTTGTACCCTTCCATCTAAAGTGTAAATTTCAATTACAAATTGCGGATACTTTCAAACGTTGACGTTATATTCAGCTTCAGTGTGGATATTTGTGACTAGATTATGACCGTTGAGTCATTTTTTGACAATGGCGAGATTCGTTGATTGCAATTTACAACTCGGATGAAAGTCAGTTTGAGCCACTGGATAAAGCGTCGTATTCGAAACTTTCCACTTTGCAGTTTGCAATTAGATCGTTCTCGACCTGGCTGATAAAAGTCTGGCAACGCGATGGGCTCACCGGCATATTCATGTAGCTGACGACAAGGTCTTTTGTTTTTTTGGGTGGACTATTCTTTTTAGCTACCTTAGCCAATCAGAGATAGGCTTCGCTCCATTTTACCAACTGCTTTTTGGATAACTAAACCTTGAGATTGAGTTCGTGACGCTTGGCTTTAATTTCATGAGGTCACGATGAGGTCCGGCCGGAAATGCGCGCCGAAAGAATGCCGAACTCCCAATAGCACATCGTGCTTAGCAAGGAGATCTCGGACAAATTGATCAGCAGACAATAAAAGTCTCCGAATATTTGCCCGGGTCAAGCGGAGACCCATGCCGGGATTAGACAAAAGTGTCGTGGTCTTAATAATCTTCCCGTCACAGAGTGGAGACGGTGGCATACCAAATACGTCAGCCCGGGCAGGCATATAGTTGCCCCTCCCTCCTGTGCATGAGCTCCCCGAAAAATTTGATAACAGCTTGTATATTGCACACACAGCCTCAATTGTGATTTCACAATGTCTCCCGCGACTATGAAGCAATGGGTAGTGGAGAACAAGGAGAACGACTTCGACGGACTCGTCTACAAGGAGGGACCGGTGCCGAAAGTCGGTGAGCGTGAAGTGCTGGTGAAGCTTCACGCAGCGTCATTGAACTACCGCGACCTTGTTATTCCTAAGGTATGTTTGTTGCTATTCGACGTGCAGATTTTAGGTTGTGTACTGATTCGATTCATTTTGACAGAACAAATATCCATTCCCTCTCAGCTTGCCAGTGGTGGCCGCATCGGATGGTGCTGGCGAAGTTATCGAGGTCGGTCCCAAGGTCACTGAGTTCAAGAAGGGCGACCGTGTTGCGACCCTCTTCAACCAGGGCCACCAGTACGGCGCGATTGAAATTCCCGCGACATTTACCGGCCTGGGGGGCGTGATCGATGGTACATTGCGCGAGTACGGCGTTTTCAGCGAAACGGGCCTTGTCAAGGCCCCGAAAAACCTCAATGCCCTCGAGAGCAGCACTCTCACCTGTGCTGCTCTTACGAGCTGGAATGCCCTGTACGGTCTGAAGCCTCTGAAGCCCGGCCAGGTCGTTCTGGTGCAGGGAACCGGTGGTGTGAGCATGTTCGGTCTGCAGGTATGTGCTTTGAAGAAGTTGGATTGACTTTGGGGGCCATCGACTAATCGCCGTTAATAGTTCGCTAAAGCCGCGGGTGCAACCGTGATTGCTACCACCTCGTCCGCCGCGAAGGCGGAGAAGCTGAAGCAGCTCGGCGCCGACCACATCATCAACTATAAGACCGATCCCAACTGGGGCGAAAGTGCTCGCAAGTTGACTCCGGAAGGTGCCGGTGTGGATCACATCATCGAGGTTGGCGGACCGGGCACTCTCGCGCAGAGCTTCAAGGCCATTAAGTACGAGGGCGTGATCAGCGTGATTGGATTCCTCGGTGGTGGTAAGGATAAAGACCAGCCAACTATCCTGGACACTCTTAGCAACATTTGCACCGTTCGCGGTGTTTATGTGGGTAGCAAGGAGTTGATGAAGGATATGATCCGGGCGATCGAGGCCAATGACATTCACCCCGTCGTGGACGACAAGGTTTTCACCCTGGACCAGGCTCGACAGGCCTATGATTACATGGTGAGTGCACCCTTCATCTGTCTTTTGAGATTCGTTCTGACTGTATACGCAGTGGGCCCAAAACCACTTCGGCAAGTTGACCATCAAGATCAACTAAGCGTCGGAATCAATGGCATTACCCCTTCAAACAGGAGAGAGCGGGGCGATGGAAATACCAAAAAGGGTTGGAAAAATATAAACACAACGATTTTATGCATATCAGAATGGACAGTCGTACATTTTTGGACAGTCGTACATTATCCTCGCGAAGTAGTAGCTCGTAGCTTATCGCGGAGGTCGTCAAGCTTCCCCGCCACTTTAGATAGTCTCGCCCCACCTGCACATTAAGTAACTTTTTTACACCTTCTGGTTTGTCTTCCCAGCCTTCCCAGCCTTCCTAGTTGTGTTTGCAATCTAAAGTCAGCCGTAAACGCAGCTAACCACGTCCATTTCCCTGTACCTGCTGGGAAAAGAGCTCCGGAGCCCCGGAGCCCCGGAGCTGCTGCTACCTTTGTACCGCTCGTTCCCGATGGAGCTCAATACTAGAAACGCGACCTCCACCCGTCCCGTCCTTGGAGCTGCCGAGCGCTCCAAGACACAACATTCGTCATTTATTCGGCCAGTCCAGATGGGATTATTCGCTCGAGTGACTAGCTACCCGCCTCTGGGGCAGACCACTTGTCTCCAGAGGGTACAGAAGGCGTTGCGGTCAGAGGATGATGCGGTGAGACCCCATTTCTCTTCAGACCTGGAATCGTCTGTGCCGACGTGATGCTCATGATCTCATTAGGTCAACTTCACGGTCATTATAGAATCCAGCTCTGCCTTTCCAGCCAGGTCTTGGGAGGCTCAAATCTGGCACAACATCACCAGCTCCGAATGGACAGCTCTTCCACTCAGCAAAGTTGACCCATCGCATGCGCCATTATTATCTGGAAATAAATTTGAATACAGCAACCATCGCCATGTATTTTCAGAACGTTTTGTGCTCCCAGCCACCAATTGCCGTGCTCAATTTACCGTGCGATTCCGAACTGGCCCAGGCGAAGAATGGCATTGGGCCAACCAGCACCATCCAATCAGAGATGGCGAGCTCGTATGGAGCTCACGAAGCTCGGAATTGGAGAAAGCGGCATCATCTGAGCTGACTTCCCTCGATGCGGAGGATGAGCTTGCCAAATATATCGACAACCTTTGTCCCGAAGTACAAATCGAGTTGAGAAAAAGCGAAGCCCCTGGGTCTCTGTTATGGGCCATCACTGGGGTCGTGGAATCGGCTAACGCAGACGTCTCTGGCATCACACAAATCACCCTTGGAACACCGTCATCGATGATCAAGTACTTCTCATTGGTACGAATTTGGTGTCCCTGGCTAGGACCGAGACATGGGGGGGATAAGTTCCGCTTGACTGAAGATGCAATCCTGTGTTCTTTCCTTCGGGATGATGGAGTCAACCTTATTATTTTGGCGTTATCGGGGATCAACGACGTGTTGACTGTCTTCCAGTCAGGCGACGATGGTGAAGTGATAGTAAAGGCAAGGAGCGATAATGATACAGCTTCTGACTTCCACGTCCTGGTCGCTGCTGCGGAGGACTTCGAGGTTGCCATGTCTGCGGTAATCTATGAGTCGAGGAAAGTAGTGAAACCGTTTGCCGAGCCTACAACTGTGTTGAAGGATCAGGCTCCCCCGTCTCCTCTTGGAGAGGACATTGTTATGGTGGAGAAAGATCCACAGGCACAGTGGCTTAGCGAGTGGGTTGATGGCTTGACCTACTGCACTTGGAACGGGCTGGGTCAGGACCTGACCGAAGAGAAGATCCTCGATGCATTGAATGAACTGAAATCCCGTGGCATCAATATTGTCAACCTCATCATTGACGACAACTGGCAAAGCCTCGATAATGAGGGGGAATCTATGTTCAAGCGCCGCTGGAAAAATTTCGATGCAAACACAAAAGCATTTCCCAAAGGGCTAAAGCAGACTGTCGAGACAATCCGCCAGGCTAATCCTAATATCCAACATGTCGCAGTTTGGCACGCCTTGCTAGGCTACTGGGGAGGAATATCCCCCGATGGAGATTTGGCGCAAAAGTATCAGACCAAAGAAGTCAAACTCCAAGACCCGGACGCAGATGGTCCTATTGCGCAGAACATCCCTGATGGAAAGATCCTCGCCATTGAACCAGAGGCTATCCAGCGATTCTACGACGATTTCTACAGCTTTCTTTCGTCGGCTGGCGTGGATTCTGTCAAGACAGACGCACAGTTCTTCATCGACCTTCTCGACGATCCAGAAGATCGCAAAAGATTCATGACCTCGTACCAGGATGCCTGGTCCATTTCTGCTCTGAAGTACTTCACCACGAAGTCTATTTCATGTGGATCAATGATTCCGCAGATCGTATTTCATTCACAACTCCCTACCAACAAGCCAACGATACCTGTGCGAAACTCAGACGACTTCTTCCCCGAAATTCCCGCGTCTCACCCATGGCATGTATTTTGCAACGCACATAACGCTCTTCTTACCCGATACTTGAACGTCTTACCGGACTGGGACATGTTCCAGACAAGCCATCCCTACGCCTCATTCCACGCTGCAGCGAGATGTGTGTCGGGCGGACCAGTGTATATCACAGATGAGCCAGGGAAACATGACCTCATAGTTCTCGATCAGATGACAGCCCCAACAGTCACAGGAAGTACTGTCATCCTGCGCCCAAGCGTCATCGGCCGCACAATCGATGTCTACCAAGACTTTAACGATAAACAGGTATTGCGGGTGGGAAGTTACACTGGCTGGGCCAAGACTGGCAGCGGTATCTTGGGCCTTTTCAACGTTAGCTCAACGGAGGCCTCATGTGTGGTATCTTTAATGGATTTCCCAGGCATACACGAGGGCTCGGATGGCCAGTACGTGGTGCGCGCCCACACGAGCGGCAAAGTCACAAACCGCATGCGACCACTCGATGGAAATTCCCTCGTGTCTGTTATCCTGGAACAGAAAGGGTGGGAAATTCTCACTGCCTACCCGACTCGATCATTCACTCTGAAAGGGGGCAGAGGACGCAATTCTGACGATAGCGTGACTCATGTGGCAGTACTTGGTCTTCTTGGCAAGATGACCGGTGCTGCGGCTGTTGTTAGCTTAGATATTCTTATGGTCGAGAATCGTCGCTTGCGATTTGATATACACTTGAAGGCCTTGGGAACACTGGGAGTCTACTTTTCCGACTTGCAGGATCGCGATATTGCTAAGGACTTTATGGTGATGATTCTTGGACAACCAATTCCGCAGAAGACGGTTTGGAAGGAAGGGGGTGATGGTGCTACTGTGCTGGCTATTGATATTCTTGCTGCGTGGAAGGAGATGAAGCTGGATAGCGGGTGGAGTAACGAGGTGTTTGTCCAGATATTTGTGAGCTGATAACAATTCTAAGCTGCATTTACGGGATGTAGGTAGGCAAGTGGGTGACGCACCGCGGAAGCATCGTTCTAATGTTATATGGGTCACCCAAAGCAGGCAAATACTACACGACTATTACCGCACACCCTTCCCCCTTGATTTGAATGTTAAGGAAATTTTGAATCTGGGAAAAGAAATCGTTGCGACAATGGATCAAAAACTTCTTCGATCGTCAGCTACATGATTCATCCTTTGTGCAGGCGAACCTATCGCATTGCCACTGTTTCACAGCTCGATAAATTATTAATCTACTACAGATTGCAAGTAAACATATTATTTGGTGTGACGCCTTAATCACGCGATCGAATTGACGTTTCGACTTGACAGGTATCAGGCCATTCCTACTATAGAAAAAGTATTTAGAGCTCAAGCACCGCAATAATGATGTTCCGGGGATCTTATCGTACCGCAAAATGTTGGAGTCGATCGCGAACAATTTCAGTCGCGCCTCCATTGTCGGCCTCGTTACCCCTATTTTCTCCTCATATCCGGTCCGATGCGACCACAGTCGACGCCGCTCGCCCGGGCGACTTGTCGCAACCCGCACATCCTTCGACGGGCACCATGCGGAGCGCGTGGCTTTGCGGGAGTCACGCAAACAACTCTGCTACACATTGAGACCCGTCGCCCTATTCTTTCTTCTCAGCGGTCTGAGAGCACATCGCAACAGAAGAAATCTATTACACAGGCATACATACAACGGATGAAAGATGGAAAGAAAGAATGGGCTGCGCACGCCGAAGAAATCAAGGCTGGGAAGCGGAAGAACTTTGCGGCTCACCTGGAAGAACGAGGGCTCATCCATGATGTTGTCGGGTACGTTTCTCATTGCTTTGTAGGCTAAATGCCGTTGCAAAGTGACAAATTGGTCTTGGGATCTGGCGCTGACTTTTTGCTCTGCTGCAGAGAACGAGAATTGTTGCACCAGGTCTTCACGGAGAAGCGAACCGGAATCTACGTCGGAATCGACCCTACTGCGCCCTCGATGCACGTCGGACACATGTTGCCTTTCATGGTATTGGCCTGGGGATACGTCTGGGGTCTTCCAGTGACCTTCCTGGTTAGTCAATGGGTTCTCGCACGCATTACGGTACATCGGACTAATAGAATATAGTTGGGCGGTGCTACATCTCGAGTCGGCGACCCCACGGGACGTTTAAAGGGACGTGAAGCAGTGCATTCATCGATTCGCAAGGCAAATATGGCCAGCATGCACATGCAACTGAAGAAGTTGGGCTCGAGCATCGAACATTACGGCCGGAGACACGGTTATCAGAGAAAGCCAATTTGGAAGCGCGCATTGATCAACAACAACACGTGGTGGAACTCCATGCCGTTTATCGAAGTATTGCGGGACCTCGGCGCATTCATGAGACTTGGACCTATGCTCGGCAGAGACACGTAAGTCTTGCTCGATTCGGCTTATCGACAACTCTGACAAGTATCACTAGTGTCAAAACCCGACTGAATCAAGGCGACGGCATGTCGTTTGCGGAGTTCTCATACCCTCTTCTCCAAGCATGGGATTGGTGGACGTTATTCCAAAAAGGAACCCAGGTACAAGTGGGAGGGTCCGATCAGTATGGAAACATCCTCTTCGGCATGGATGCTGTCAAGGCCATCAGCCGCAATACTGCCATTGAAATTAAACAAGACCCCCTCGAGTCCGAGCTGGACCGGCCCATTGGCTTCACCACACCCTTGTTGACAGCACCGTCCGGCGAGAAGTTCGGGAAATCGGCTGGCAATGCTATTTGGCTCGACAAGGACATGACCTCCACCTTCGAGCTTTACCAGGTAAATTCGAGCCTTCTTCGCATTACTGTATCTTGGAGCTAACAATTACTTTAGTTCTTCGTTCGTACACCCGACGATGCGGTAGAGCGCTACCTAAAGCTGTTTACCTTTGTGCCCTTGCCTGAGATTGCCTCCATCATGGAGCAACAGAAACAGGACCCGGCCAAGCGGGTGGCCCAGCATCTCCTCGCTTATGAATTTGTTGAACTGGTTCATGGAAGAGAGGAGGCCGATGCAGTGTCGCTCCAACACCGTCAGCTGTTCCGCTCACGCTCCTCTACCGCTGAACCTTCGCCCATGCCTCGCAAGCCGAACACCGCCGGGAACCCGCAGTCTCCAACAGCGCAATTTGAGAACCCTCAATCAGGCAATCAATACGCTTCTCAGACGAACTTCGCCAACATGCCCAACGCTAGGGTCACCCTCCCCAGGTCCCTGGTCTACAACCAACAATTTAACAAGATTCTCTGGTCGGCCGGTCTTGTCTCATCCAAGGGCGAGGGCCATCGTGTGATCACGAACAATGGAGCATATGTGGGCAGTCGTCCTGGCGACAGCGGCCCCATGTCGGACGATCTCGCTTTCACCCCCATCCGGCCCTGGCCCTCTGATAAGACCCAGGAGTACATCATGAATGACAACCTTTTGATGCTGAAATTGGGCAAATGGAAGTTCAAGATGGTGGAGATCGTCAGTGACGAGGACTTCCGCGCACGAGGGCTCACAGCTCCAGGCTGGGAGGAGCTGAACAGTCCGGCCGAGTCGATCCAGTCGACCGAGTCGAACGATTGAGTCCGAGGGCATTCAGAGATGACATCTCCACTTGTATTTCTATCTAGGGTCGATGTAGCATAAATCAATTGTACAATATTTGGCAGCATTCATAGAGTGTAGCTGCGGGTGGGCCCGCCAAGACACTACTTTACGCGTCGACGCGATCCGCGATCCGCGACCCGCGACATCACTTATCTCCTATCGTCCTCGGGTTCTCGACCGGTCAACTCCATTGCTCCATTTCCCACCCTTTATACCGGCCTGTTTTGAGTCTTATATTGAGCATATACGTTTGCGTTTCTGTATTGAGTAGCCGACAATGGCCAAGGCCTCTGCCGAATCGCCCTCCGCGACGCCACCCTCCGCCCTGAAGAAAACGACCTCCAGCGCCCAGAACATGAAAAGCCAGAAGTCAATTCTCGGCTTCTTCCAGAAATCGTCCCCAGCAACCCCGTCGAGCAATAAGGCACGCGAGCCTGCGTCTTCCCCAGCCCAGAAGGCATCTGAGCGTGGTGCCAATTCGGTGAAGCCAACGCCCAAGAGGAGCTTCTCGAGTTTCGCGCAAGACTTGAGCCCCGTCCCCAGCAGCGATTTGCCGATTCCGGATGAAGATGAAGAGAATGGTGACAGCGTGAAGGTTGGTCCATCATGTTTGTCACTCACACATCCAGTGCTAACTTTCGTTATCTCCCCAGACCGGGCGCCGCGAAGCCCAGGACGACACAATGTCTCCTTCGCGTCGGGTGAGCTCACAACATGCGGTATCACATCAACCGTTCATCATGCTGACCTTTTATGCCTACAGTCCAAGAAGAACGTCAGCTACAAGGAGTCTGATTCGGAGGGTGAAGACGATGACGATGTCATTTTCCGTCCCAATCGCAAGAACAGTGTCCGTGGCCGGGCAACCAAGAGGAGGAAAACTTCACCGGATGATAGTGAGGATGAGTTTCAAATGGTTCCAGATGAGGGAGCGGAATCTGATGATGGTACGTGTAGCTATCATGGAGACATTGAGATACGCACGAGGTGCTAACTGTTCACAGAAATGGCCGACTTCGTCGTTGCCGATGAATCAGATGAAGAGGCCACAGCCCCGAAGAAAAGAAAGAAGTCGGCCCCTCAACCCCCCCACAAGCCATCAAACAAATCCTCCTCTCCCCCTCCCCCTCCAGCAGCCGACGAAGACCTTGATATCGATCTCCCAGAGGGTTCGGCTGGCACTGCACTGAAATGGGCATTTGATCCCGAGAGCACCGAGCCCAGGAAGGAACGTGCAGTGCAAATGACCCCAAAGACGCCGTCCAGTACCAAGAAGGAGAAGGCCCATGTCAGAGACCCCGAACAGCGGTACCCCTGGCTTGCAAATGTCAAGGACATGGATGGAAATGCTCCCGATCACCCCGACTATGACCCCCGGACGGTCTATGTTCCACCGCTTGCCTGGTCCAAGTTCTCTCCTTTCGAGAAGCAATACTGGGAAATCAAGCAGAAGTTCTGGGATACCGTGGTGTTTTTTAAGAAGGGCAAGTTCTACGAACTCTACGAGAACGATGCTACAATAGGTCACCAGTTGTTTGACCTGAAGCTTACTGATAGAGTTAACATGCGCATGGTCGGTGTTCCTGAGATGAGCTTATCCCACTGGGCAAACCAGTTTGTTGCCAAGGGCTACAAGATTGCCCGAGTTGATCAGTCAGAATCTGCTCTGGGCAAGGAGATGCGTGAGCGTGACGCCAAAAAGGGGAAAGAGGATAAGATCATTAAGCGAGAACTGGCTTGCGTTCTCACCGCCGGTACTCTTGTTGAGGGTTCCATGCTGCAAGATGATATGGCCACTTACTGTGTTGCTATCAAAGAGGCCATAGTGGATGACCTCCCTGCGTTCGGCCTCGCCTTTGTCGATACAGCCACCGGCCAGTTCCACATCTCCGAATTCGTTGATGATGTGGACATGACCAAGTTCGAGACCTTTATTGCGCAGACTCGCCCGCAAGAGATTCTGCTTGAGAAGTCCTGTGTCTCGACAAAAGCGCTACGCATTCTGAAGAACAACACCGGTCCCACTACTCTGTGGAACTACCTTAAGCCGGGTAAAGAGTTCTGGGAGGGCGACATCACGCTGAAGGAACTTGATGCCAGCGATTATTTCGTCTCTGAGGACGACGAGAATGTCAAGGCTTGGCCCCAGGTTCTTCGGGACGCGCGTGATAAGGAATTGCTCATGTCGGCCTTTGGCGCTCTGACGCAGTATCTACGCATGTTGAAGATTGACCGAGACCTCATCACCATCGGCAACTTTGAATGGTATGATCCGATCAAGAAGGCTTCCAGCCTAGTGTTGGATGGTCAGACCTTGATCAATATGGAGATTTTTGCAAATTCCTTCGATGGCGGCGTCGATGGCACCCTGTTCCAATTACTAAATCGCTGCATTACGCCATTCGGCAAGCGCATGTTCAAGCAGTGGGTCTGCCATCCCCTGATGGATGCCAAGCGCATCAATGCCCGCCTTGATGCCGTCGACTCGTTGAACGCCGACCCCAGTGTTCGGGACCAATTCTCCTCGCAACTGACCAAGATGCCTGACTTGGAACGACTCATTTCCCGCGTTCACGCAGGAGTCTGCAAAGCTCAGGACTTTGTGCGTGTTCTTGAAGGATTTGAGCAAATCGATTACACTATGGGTCTTCTCAAGGATAGCGGCTCAGGTGATGGTATCATCGGACAGCTTATTGCTGCGATGCCTGATATGACCGAGCTACTGGCTTATTGGAAAACGGCTTTCGATCGCTCCAAGGCAAAGGAGAACGGGATCCTTGTTCCCGAACCCGGGGTCGAAGAAGATTTCGATACCTCGCAGGAGTTCATCGAACAGCTCCACAAGGATCTTGACAACCTTCTGAAGAAGGCACGCCGTGATCTAGGATCCACTGCCATTTGCTACCGAGACAACGGCAAGGAGATCTACCAACTAGAAGTGCCTATCAAGGTGAAGAACATTCCGAAGGACTGGAACCAAATGTCCGCTACGAAGCAGGTGAAGCGCTACTATTTCCCCGAGCTGCGGAGTCTCATCCGTAAGCTGCAAGAAGCCCAGGAAACGCACAGTCAGATTGTCAAGGAGGTTGCCGGTCGATTCCATGCCCGATTCGATGAACATTATGGCACCTGGCTTGCAGCTGTCCGTGTTATCTCGCAACTGGATTGTTTGATTAGCTTGGCCAAAGCCTCTTCCTCTCTGGGACAGCCTAGCTGCCGTCCCGTCTTCGTGGACGAAGAACGAAGCGTCCTTGAATTCGAGGAACTCCGTCACCCCTGTCTGGCTTCCTCCGTCGACGACTTCATCCCCAACAATATCGACCTCGGTGGCAAAGAAGCCAACATCAACCTGTTGACCGGTGCCAACGCCGCCGGAAAGTCAACTATCCTCCGAATGGTATGATCTATAACCCCCCTTTCCCTCGCCACATAACTAACAATCTCAGACCTGCGTCGCCGTCATAATGGCCCAAATCGGTTGCTATCTCCCCTGCAATTCCGCCCGACTAACGCCAGTCGACCGCATCATGTCCCGCCTCGGCGCAAACGACAACATCTTCGCCGCGCAGTCCACCTTCTTTGTCGAACTCTCCGAAACAAAGAAGATCCTCTCCGAAGCCACGCCCCGCTCCCTAGTGATTCTCGACGAGCTTGGCCGTGGAACAAGTTCGTATGACGGCGTCGCAGTCGCCCAAGCCGTATTACACCACATCGCAACCCACATCGGTGCAATGGGCTTCTTCGCAACACACTACCACTCTCTAGCCGCTGAGTTTGAAGGGCACCCCGAGATCTCCCCCAAGCGCATGGCTATCCATGTCGATGATACCGAGCGCCGCGTGACTTTCCTCTACAAGCTGGAGAAGGGTGTCGCGGAGGGTAGTTTCGGTATGCATTGTGCTTCAATGTGTGGTATACCTAACAAGGTTATTGAGTGCGCGGAGCATGCGGCCAAGGAGTGGGAGCATACGAGTAGGCTGAAGGAGAGTCTGGAGCGTCGTAAGGGTGGTGGATTCATTGGGCTTGGATGGTGGAGCGATGTTGCTTGGGCCCTCCGCGAGTCGACTTCTAGTGACGGCGCTGGTGGTAGTGAAATTACTGACCGTGGCCTGCAAGTGTTGTGCAAGGCTATCGAAGCTCTCTGAAGGATTTATCTGTCGTTATCTGGGCCTGTTTCCTATGTTTTATATCTCGGTTGTGGTGCTGTCGCATGGTCTTCTAATACTGGATGCTTACTCTTCTATCGATCATTTTTTTCTATCTTCTTTTCCTGCCCCTCCATACACTGACATGCTTCTTCCTTAACACCGCTATCTTGAGGTCTGCCAGAAACCCGGTGCAATATGGCACCGAGACTAAACCCGTCCAAACTATATTCCATCGGTGATATGATACAAAGCCAGTCGCTAACCCGCTCTCAAATGTTAGTTGACTGAAGAATACGAGATTGGATGTGATTCTGCAACAAATCTTGGATTCGTCTCGGTCAGCATGAGCTAGTGGCGTATGTGGAAGCAGTAACAGAGCACTCCTTAGTCCCACACCGTCAGACATGACCGCATCAACCTCTGGCGTTGCATCGAATGGCCACATCCAATGTAGATCTTCAGAGCCTGCAGGGCGGCCCCGCTCGGGTGATCGACAAGAGGCAAAGAAAACCGCGCTAGAACAGCGCATACACGAGCCGAAGGATTCAGATACCGACTGGACCGTCAGCCTGTCAGAGCCCTTTGTGTAGCAGCATAATCCGTACGCTGCTGCCTAGGAGTTCGCCTGAAAGAAACTCTCGTCTTCTCCCTCCCCATTCACCCTTCCCCGCGACTTAAGACCTCGTGAGGTTATACCAGGTTGGCACTTCTCTTTCATCTTCATTCATCTTCGTACTCATTATTGCAACCGAACCAATCCATTAATTAACACCGTCGACACCTCATAATGCATAATCTCCGTGATTCGCTGCTCAGCCCTTCGCCGCGAGGCACCATATCAGAATCTTTTCGCATAGATCAGGAGGACACGCGTCAGTGCATCGCTCGGGGAGAATTCAAGGAGATTCGGAGCGCGGCTTTCAGTAACCGAACCTGGATCACCACCTCCCGATATTGCGAGCTTGGAGATGGTGTGGATACGCTCGAAGAGTACATTCATTCCATGTGGTATATGTACTACCAGCTCGGTCGGAATATCTCATACGAGTCGCCCGACCATGAGGGACTTGTCCTCGACATCGTCCGCATTCAAGGAATGGGACCGCTGACTCGGCCCGCACGAGGAAATTACGGTGTTGATATCGCACGAACTACCGAAGGAACACTGTGGAATGATCTACCCTTCTTGGCCACTGATATGACCAACTTCTGGAACAGCGACTTCCCGACGATGTCGGGTGCACACAGACTCAACTTTGCCACTTTCCTGGCCAAACTGGCATCAACTCGCGTCGGCAAGGATAGGTTGTGCCAGATTGCTCTCATTCTATTCCGTAACCTGTTTGAGGAGAGACAGGGACTTCGCAGCGGGCAGGAGTCGGATGATGAAGATCGAAAGCGAAGCATGCAGGATCTTGAAATTTTCCACTTGTTGCCAGCTGCCGTGGCTTGGCTCCGCCATACGGGCCACAATCTCATTCTACTCTCAGAGGTCTATTGGAACGATTGCCCCAGTATCATCGGCAAGGGTGGCGAGAAGTTCATCGAGTCAGAGCTTGGGCGGCGGTCACCCACTGGTTTCTCGCCATGGAGATACATGTACTGGCTCAAACGACTTCATGAAATCCAGGAGGAGGCCAAAGAGGCCGAAGAGGAACTCTTAGAAGAGTACGCCACCGATGCCATTGAGTACATGGTCAACACAGTCGAGCAACGAAACTCTGGAATTTTAAGGGCATACCTGAACGGTGGAGATGCCTTGCATCAGGAAAAACATCTGCTTTGCCTGAAGAATCTTTTGAAGAATGAGGATACGGAGGATGAAGACTCGAAGGATGACTCAAAGGATGACTCGAAGGATGGCGCAAAATAAGTAAGACGCGAAGGAAGGCCCCAGACGAGTTTACACTGCAGCATGCAGTAAGATTTATTGCAGATGTCAATCAGATCTCTCTTCTCCTTTCTTAGCTTCTCTCTTACTTTAGGTCCCGAGTGCAATGTTACTCTTCGCTCCCAGTACAGCCCTTCGCATGTCTGCTCTATCTTGGAAGGTGTACAAACAAGAAACGATTACACCACGTCCCTGATTCGGATGAAATACATATGTTCCGGAGTTCTAGTAATTCGAATTTCCGGATTGTTCAAACTGTCATATAGAATTCCTCGAGTCAGATTCGTGAAGAACATGGTAGCTACCAGAGCGTAAGGCTACTAGAATAAACCAGCAATAAATAGACGGCTAGGCTATTCTCTGATTAACAGAGATACTCAAAATATCAGGTAGTCAATGAGTGATTTGTTGATAAGCAAAAATATCTAGCTAGATACTAAACGAGTGTGGTCGTAGCAATAATCACAGAAAAGCGAGATGGTGGGGATGCACATAACATGTGTATCAATCCAACATATGCTCCATCTTGCTTGTTCCTAGCCGTTCTTTACACAAATTGTAGGCATTGAGAATCACGCGGCATCTCACACTTCCTGGTAAGGAGAATGGCCAGGAACAGCCATTTGAAATAGTGTTATCAATGGCGGAAGTCACACTTGACCTTTCTGTCGTAGGAGTCATACGTGCACTTATTTCCATTTTTCTCGCACTTGAAAGACAATTACCATGGTTAGCTGAGGTCAATATACTCCAGGATAAAGAAAAGATACCTTTGTGTTGGCGGCGCTAGGGCACTTGACAAGGTGTGTCTTGCCGTCAGCTTCGTATTTACACTCGTTGTCCTTTGTATAACATTTCTGGGGAGTTGTTCCGAGCATTTAGTTTTATATTCATTTGGGTATATATTGTATAAAACTCACTCCTGTGTACTTGATGTCGGCTGCATTCTCGGCTCTAGCATTGAGGCCGGACTCGGCGTCAACGGGACTAGCAACCGCGCCCATGGCAGCGAACAGGAAAAGGGAAATCTTGGTGATCTGCATGGTGAAGGGGTTGGAGCCTTGGTTGAGACGATTGGAAAGTATTGATCAAATAGTCACAGGCGGAACTGGTCTTGATGAGGTTGATATCTTGTACATTGGGGTATCGAGGAGCTGTCTTATATAGGAGGCATCCTGATCCCTGTAGAAGAGATAGCCCCCCATGATCACCAATTCAGATGCAGTCATCATGGGGGGCCTAGCCGAAGGATTGTCGAGATACCCAATAAACGCCCTAATTTTCATAGTCGAGGGTATTCAGCTTGTTGGTTGGTATAATCCGGTAGGCGAAGCATATCACTCGTTGACAATTGTACCACGTCGGGGAGTGACAATACGTGCAGAAGAATCGGAGCAGCAGATCAGCCGGTCAATATTCTGACATGCTGGACTTTTGACTCGTATTTGCGAGCAAGAATGGTGGCCTTGCATTTGCAGTTATACTGAAATAAGGAATGATTTTCAGATCCAGAACATGAGTGCATTAGGATTGCAGGGTAGAGATAGTGACATATTATCATTGACCCAGCAGACAACGGTGCCACCTATAGAGCAATGATAATAGGAGGTCATGCAGCTCGGTAGCTGGCACATGGGTTGGCATACCTGCATGCACATGGAATGCATAGCCTTGGGCGGAACCCCAGTTTGCAGCAATCCTTTACCCCCGCCACTGAGCCTCCAAATCTCAGGCTTTCTTCGTGTTCTGAGAGGCGAGGAACATGTGATCATCGAACTACCTTTGAATGGCGAAGTCAATCTCTCTCTTATCCATAACGCATTGTTTCCTGCTCTCCGCAGGCCATGACTCCGGTTGAACAGAATAACACTCATTGAACCTGCTTATGCGGGGTCAGTGGTAAGATTATTCGGACGTTACTGTCGTCTGGGTCACTCGGTGGACGCCGTGGGGCGACAGGGGGCGCGCAACTCGCATGATCAGCGGAGGATCAACTACCGGAACCAATAGACCTGGACATCATACGTGGGCCTGGCAAACGTTGTGGCAAAAATGAGACAGGAAAAAAAATGGGGAAATAAAACAAATCGGTTGCCTAGGCGGATAGAGTGAAAGAAGCAGGCCGGCACAACAAAGTACCTTTCAGAGAATTGGCATAATCTAGTTTTGGCTGGTAGTCGTTGTATCAGTAGTCAATGCTAGCCTTTGTACTTCACCGTCTGAGTATTTCTGAAGGCCGTTGCTCTTCACTTATTTTCAGGCTCATCGAGTGATGGTACTTTTGCGATTTTTGGGACTTTTGGGAGCGACAAAATGCAACCCTGTGAGCGGTTGACCTGACAAGTCCAGCCGCGAAATTGGCTACTTGCGGATAGATCAGCCAAGGAGTGGTGGGGCTCGGGACCCTGCAGATCTGATTAGCGTCGTACGTAATTATTTTCTAGCAAAGTATGGCGGTATAGCTGATTTCGAAAACTACTGTAAAAGATATGAAATATTTTTCAAATGATGATATTCATCACGCTACGGAGTTCCCGCGAATGAATAAGGGGCTCATTCAACGCACGATATTCCTCGCCCCCTCTCTTTAGAACCATAAACGCCCATTCTCTCCAGGCTAGCTGTCAAAGCAAAGGGGGAAAAAAAAATCAAAACAGCCCCCTTCATCGGTGAACTGCATGTAAAAACAAATTGGAACTCCATAAACCGCAGGTGCAAGGCATGTGAGGCGACAGTCACATGCCCGCAATGGGATGGGAGGAGCATTTAATGCTCCTCCTCACCAGCGGACGGACTCGGCAGCATCTGCCTCGTTGGTCTCGGGACCGGCAATGGCACCCTCGATGGGGTCGGCAATCTCGGACTCATTCTGGGCCTCAGGCTGCTCAGACACCTTGCGCTTCTTAGCGGGGCGTGCAGCCTTCTTGGGAGTGGCCTTCTTCTTGACCGGGGTCGGGGTGTCCTCACCACCCTCGGACTCGCTGGCGGCCTGAAGCTTAATCAGCTTCTTCTTGGCCTTGGGGTGCATGGTACGGGCGCTGGAGGCCGTGATGCCTGCCTTCTGGCCCAGCAGGTTGAAGTCGACCTATCAAAATGTTAGTCACTTGGGAGATAGACGGGTTTGGTTTTTGAGGGACTTACTTTGCCGCCGTCTTCGCACACGAGGCCCAGGAGGAGCAGGCGCGCCTCGGACATGCTCAGGCCCATGATACCCTCGGAGGGACCCTTGATTTTGGAGGCACTCATGGCCGCGGGGGAGATCTAATTATCATGTTAGATTTCACATTCACCACAAGCGTTCGCACGGGCGAATCCTTTTCGTGCAAGCGTGGGATGACGGGTAGGAATGACAATGAATACCCAGGATACAGGGATTCATGCTGAAATGTTCAACTTTGGAGACTGGAGGACCAGGTAGACACAGCAGAGAAGGGGACCTCAATGAAAGAGTTGGATGCGGGCGTTGATAGACATCAAATGAGGCATGATGGTGACTTACTTCAGGTAGGAAACGGGTTTTCGTGGGGTTTGCAAGTTTGCAAGGGAATGAATCTGGAGTATTGCTGGTGTGAGAGTCAGCGTCGGGGTCTTCTAATTTAGTTCGCGACAATGCGGCTCTCGCTGTAAAAAATGAGGATAGTAAGTGCGGTGGCAATGACGGAATCCGTGGTCGCGAGCACGAGGTCGAGTTCTCAGCACACTTGAGAAGGTCCCAGTGCGAACGCTGAAATGAAGATGGGATTCGGTAAGACGGGGAAGGAGGAGGGAATTCACGTGGAAGGTGCACAAGTAAGAGCGGATAGGACACGAGATGCTTGAGATGAAGCCCGATATGACTTACACGGCGGATAAAGATTTTGTTCAGAATATGTGGATGTGTGTTCTGCGTGGATGTTAGTGTTGAGTTCAGTCGTACTTTGCGCAGGAAGATAAGAGGATCGTGGTACGCAGGGCAAATTGTATGACAATGCTCGGATTTGCGACTGTGGATGCGAGGTGGAATCTTGGAAAGGATTGGGAAGTTTTTGGAGTCACCTGAATATGGAGGAGGATTGGAAGGACTGTGAAGATGAAGCCGAGAGGGTAAGGCTTCAGGTGAGGCATGAATGTGACTTACACCAGTTGGTAACGAGTTTTTCGAAATATGTGAAGACGGATGGTTCTGGGGTAAGTTAGTCTTCGGTTCAGTTGTGACTTTGTGTACGACAAAGGAAGTAGTCGTGCGTATGGGAATTGGTATGAATGATAGCAACGCTCGAATTCCTGATCACGAACTCAGAGCCAGATTGCGGAAAGGCTCAAAAAGGTGGCAATACGAACGTTGATATGGGAGATGGTTTGAGATGCAGTTTCCAGGACACTCGCTGCTGGCCACGGGAAAGAGTGATGAAGGGGTATGATGGCATGGCATCGAGTATAGCCAGGCCGGCCAGTGAGTAGACACTTACCAAACGATACGCCGAATGGCTTTGCGAGTTTGTAGGAATGAAGAAGGAAAGTACGATAAATGGAGTGAAATAGTTGGAGAGTTCAAGCGCAAGTGACGTGGATTGACCGGTATGTCGAAAATCCTCACTTACGGACCCAGGGCCATCAAGATGAATTAAATACCTCTATTTCACTTAGTAAATACCTTGGGGCATTCAAGTGATGCTTAGTTAAGGTGGCACATAAGCATGAATTGAGCATAACAAGGGAACGGGGAGGCAAGTGGATTTTGGGGTGGATGAGTGTAGTGAGACCGTAAATCACAGGTCAGTTCATGACCAGGGATACTGGAGTACGAATTTATTTCACTCGTTGAAATTCAGGAACGAGGAGATGAAAATAGGGTAGACCAACGAGATACACAGAATGGATCAAGCAATTAGACGGCATTCATAGAGAGTAAAAATGAGTTGAATTACTGTTCAAATCCTTGCTTATCGCGGCATCGCAATGAACCAAGAGAAGCAGTTATCATGTTCATACAGAGTGGTGGTATTGGTACAAAAGTTCAAGTATCGCCTGGTATCATGAGAAGTTGCGACAAGGTGCTGGACCAGGATTCGGAGGCAATTGTGACTAGTTGAACCGCTTGCTGGGAGCTGTTCCCTGAATTCTCTGATAAATAGCAGGCCACAACTCAGGATAAAATGCGGTGGATTGTTTTCCAGTGGGGCGGCTCTGATGCTCAGTAAGGTACTGAGCTGGAGGCCGGCCGGCCCACCACGGCCGTGGTGCAGGTCTCAAATTCTTGAATGAGACGGGTCTTGTGGGATCTTTCTCTGCAGCAAGATCACCCAGGCGGACAGCAGTTTGCCGCGGGATCGTGTTAAAGCGCATTGTGGTCAGATATAACGTTGCGGTAGGCGGTAGGTCCTTGGCATAGTGGATTGCGTTCTCGCGAGATTTTCTAGCAAATGCCGGCAATGCTAGGTGGACGAAATTTACATAGGGTGCTGCTATGTAGGCGACAACGATCATTGGGACGGCGCCACCGATAACCACTATTTCGAAGGAATTAGCACATCTAGTGCCAATATGAAGAGTTTCTGGACCAAGTCTTTACCTAATGGAGTAAGCCATTTTGATTCTTCATCTGCGTAGCAGGATGGGGCCACAATCACGCATGCAGCGCCAAAGAGGAAGATCGTGGTAAGCCGCAGCATTCCCAAAAACACTGTTCTGCCGGTGCCTCCATAGTAGACCATTATGCGCTCCGGGGGACCTGTTACATCCAACTTAGTATAGGCTCCGTACGCTTCGGTGGACCTGTCATACCCTTCCGAACCGTCGTCTTGGCTGGCGTGCTTGGGGGTGACGTCGAGCGAGCAGAAGCAGCGCTCAAATCTTTGGTTTGCGACGGAGCAGGTTCATGGCGTTGGGAGGGACGGGGGACTTGGGATTTGAATCGAGCCCATAATCGGATGCGCAGGTCTCTATGTGCAGACCGAGGAAGCGCAGCGCGCAATTGAGGGTGTAGGAGAATGTGACGCATGGCTGGAAATGTTAAAGTGAAGTTGAAGGTTCCACACGGGGAAAGCGGTGCGCCACGACCGCCTAGTGTCGTTCCCGCTTTGTTGTTTCGCTCCGATTGACCACCGACATTCGCTTTAATCTCGATTACCTGGCTGGCCTGGGCCCTGGGTTGCCTCTTTCGCTACCTATTTAAGAGTCATGAACAAGAAGTGACTTGCTACGTCGCCATGTCTTCGGCATATCGTAGCCTCCGGGGCTGCTTATCGATGATGTGCCTCGGTCTCCTCTTCCTCCTCCCTGCGCAAGCCTACGAGAAGCTCTCTGACGATACCTTGAGAGCTTTACCCCGACCTGGTCGAGACTTTGATATCCACAATGGCGCCCTTTTATCCCCGATCCTCCAGACCCGCGTCCCCGGCACCGCTGGCCACACCGCAGTCTTGCAACACTTTGTCGACTTCTTCCAAACAACCCTGCCGAAATGGGAGATCGAGTTTCAGAACTCCACCGCCAAAACACCGATTTCAAAGGGGAAGGATGTACCCTTTATCAATTTCATTGCCACGCGCGATCCTCCCGGAGCTCGAGTAGGGGATGTCGAGCGGTTGACCCTTGTTGCGCATTACGATAGCAAGCTAGAACCAAAGGGATTTATTGGAGCCATCGACAGTGCTGCACCATGCGCGATGATAATGCATGCTATGCGCAGTATCGATGATGCCCTTGATAGGAAATGGGCGGCGATGAAGGCGCAGGGGATTGACCCGTCGCTCGAGGAGCAGCGCGGCATCCAAGTCTTCTTCCTAGATGGCGAGGAGGCATTCAAGGATTGGAGTACCTCCGATTCCCTGTATGGAGCACGCGCTATGGCTGAGTCCTGGGATCATCAAATGTACCCGGCGACGTCCACCTTCAAGACCCCGCTCTCGGCCATTTCCTTGTTTGTTCTTCTGGACCTGCTGGGTTCGAAGAGTCCCTATATACAGTCTTACTACCCGACTACCCATTGGGCCTACCAAGGCTTGGGAACCTTGGAGCAGCGCCTTAGGTCCATGAAGTTACTAAAGGCCGGCTCTGGGGAACCCTGGTTCATCGATTCATCCAAAGATTCCCACCAAATCAAGCCTTATGGTGGCATCCAGGATGACCATATACCTTTTCTGGCACGAGGCGTTGAGATCCTCCACCTTATCGACTTCATCCCCTTCAAAGGATTCCCTCCCGTCTGGCATACAAGCAAGGATGATGGGGAGCATCTCGACATGGACACCACAGAAGACTGGAGTGTACTTGTCACAGCCTTTGCCGCCGAGTGGATGGAGTTGGAGGGATATTTTGACCTTCTAGAACACAAATTACGGGACGAGGGGATTGAGGCGGAGGTTGTCCGTTTGAATAAGAAAACCGAGCTGTAAGCCCTCACCATTCCTTTATTTTGTAATTTTTCATGTTTATACTCGATACATTGCCCCGAACGCGCTTTTTGCCTGTTCATATTATATGAGTGCCATAGAACCTTGCTAATCATGTGTTTACAGCTCATGAACTGAGATATTATGTATATTGTTAATGAGAACCTGTATAAAATATTATTCACAAGCAGAAGAAATTTTTCTATTGGCGCTTTGCTTCTTGTCCATGTGCTAGACCAGGTTGCCCAGGATATAGCCGCTCATCGTTGTGAGCCCCCATGTCGGTTGAAGAACCGACCGCAAGACTGCCGGGCCGGGACACACTCCCCTCAATCCCCAAGCAACACCAAACGCCACAGCTCCAGCCACAAAGCGCCAATCAATGTCCGCAACTGTGGCAGTAGGGAGGCCCCATCGCTCAGCCAGCGTTGGTTTTGTACCTGTCTTTTCTTTGTCAACTGCTTGCCCTGGGGCTTGCATCAAGTAGGCCATTAACGATGGTCCGATGCCGAAGATCATGACCAGTGCTAGAGATGGGTCAAAGCGAGACGGATCCGTCAGGAACGCGAAGAACCTCAACACTTTAGCGGGATCCGCCATCCCGGAGATCAAAAGGCCCAGTCCGAACTCGAGTCCTGCGAGATAGGAAAAGATGGTCTGGGATTCTTCGGACCGCTGCAACACCTTCGGAACGACGATGAAGTTTGTGATGCTAGAAAGCAGCACTGCACCGGTCATGAAGACCAACTCGGCTGTTGATGGGTACATTGGCGTGTAGCATGGGACTGATCCACAGGAAGGGATATTGGATCCGCCGTTGGCGAAGTTGGCGGTAGTCAGGGCAGTGGTGAAGAAGACGGCCGTTGCGATCAATGAGCGTGCTGAGAGGCGAGATAAACCGCAGAGCATGTGTCCGGAGGTACAGCCGCGGCCATTCTACTCGTTGAATATAAAGATAAGCTTGCATTCGTTGATCCCCTACTTTTGAGGCTCTTACCTTGGTTCCCCATCCCAACAAGAACCCTACACCCATCGTCATCACCGCAGAGACCAAGGAGTTCGGAGGGGCCGGGTAGTTTGGTAACAAAGACGGTACCAGTAAATATACTGGAAGAACACTGGACACCAAGCCAGCGACGATGGGCACATTGTCTCGGCTCGGGCTGAAGACAGATCCCGATACTAAGGATGAGATGCCGAACACGGCACCATTGTGAAAGAGCAGGCCCGAGGACCCCTCAAAAAGCAGTAGCGCACCTAGCGATGTGTGTATCGGCGTAAACATGTCGTCGTTGAGGAGCTTCACCCGGCTCGAGGGAGTCGATGAATATTAGACTTTGTCGGGAATTCGGATTGACGACACAGATGCCGAACGTCACAGATCGCGACTACCAAGATAGCCGTTGAGGAAGAATGATTCGTCAAGGCCGGAATTCAGTTGACTGGTAACGCAAAGAACCAAGAGATTGTTCTTGGGATGAACTTTATAGCATTCCCGCGACAGAAAGGGAGCAAAACCTGAGGCTCGGGGACCATACCATACCATGGTCCCCGAACAAATGACTTGCCCGCGCCGTCCCCGATGTGGACCGTGTTTGGGGAGTTCCATTGAACCGGAGTTGTCAAACTGGTCAGGATGCAAATGGGTGTGTTCTGGAAGATGAGCCTTGTTTCTGTATGGCCACACACATCCCTGCATGGCCGTCCAGGATGTCCGGGTGTTGTACGGTAGATGAAGTATAAGGTTTACCACTAGACCAGGACGCTCGGGCATTATTCCAATTGGAAGGCTCAACCATGCATCATATCTCTTTTTTTCTTGTGTTCAAGTTGTTCGTTTCGTGATGGTTCTTCAGAGTTGCCCGTTACATTCCACGAAGCATTCCAGGAAGGGGCTTGCCCGGGGTGTAGCTTCCTCTCATCTCCTTCACTTCGCTCATCCTTACCCCGATGTATCGACTTTAGCTCTCTCCTTCTCCTCGAGATGAATACACTCTGGTCTCGTTCTTCGGCTCTTTCTTTCTAACATTCCTTCCTCTCAATGGGAACCATTCAAAGCATCCCCGGCCACGACTGTCTGCTGGCAGCCGTGGGGTATGACGCGTCGCTTGTGACTTTTCGAACTGATGCTTTCTTTGCGTCGCATATCCCGCTTTACAATCTGAATATCCCCGTATATCCAGTCGTTCTCACGTATCCCAAGACCACCGATCAAGTGGCGGATATCGTCAGCTGTTCTGTCGACAATGGGTACAAGGTTCAGGCACGCAGTGGAGGCCACAGCTATGCAAACTATGGTCTGTTTCTTTTTCTTTCCCCTACATCCAGGGACTACTCTCATTCATCTAACTTTCTTGACAGGTCTCGGAGGCTCTAACGGCGCAGTGGTCGTCGATCTAAAAAGCTTTCAGCAGTTTTCGGTCGACCCTGACACCCATATCGCTACCATTGGAGCCGGTACACTGCTTGGAGATCTTCAAACCCGCCTTGATCATGGTGGAAGAGCAGTAGCGCACGGCACCTGCCCTCAGGTTGGAATGGGTGGGCATTTCACAATTGGCGGTCTTGGTCCAATGTCTCGAGAATGGGGTATGGCTCTCGATCATGTGGTCGAAGCGGAAGTTGTATTGGCCAACTCAACTGTCATTCGGGCATCTGACTCCCATAACCAGGATGTCTTCTTTGCTATCAAAGGCGCAGCGGCTGGCTTTGGAATTGTGACTGAATTCAAGCTGCGCACGCATGAGGCACCCCGCGAGGCCGTCCAATACTCATTCACTTGGAACCTGGGCAACACGGCTGAAAAATCAAAGCTCTTCAAAGACTGGCAACGATTGATATCCAGCGAGAATCTCTCCCGCAAGTTCGCAACCGAGCTTGTTATCTCCGGCGCTGGGGTTCTCATTTCCGGTACTTACTTTGGGCCTCGAGAAGAGTGGGATGCTCTCGAAATTGAGGAACATTTCCCCCCAGCAATTCCGCAAATATTGTGAGCTTGACTGATTGGATGGGCATGGTCGGCAGCGGCGCAGAGACTCTTATGGTATCAGTTGTCGGCGGTATTCCCGTCCCATTCTATGCCAAGTCCATGTCATTCACACCGGAAAACCTCATACCAGACGACGGAGTCGATGCCATGTTTGAATATATGGATCGAACTGACAAGGGCACCTTGACCTGGTTCGTCATTTTTGACCTGGAGGGCGGTGCCACTAACGATGTCCCCACTAATGCAACTGCTTATGCTCACCGCGAGGCCATCATGTGGATGCAGTCTTACGCCGTCAATCTTTTTGGGCCCATCTCCAAGACCACCAAGGAGTTCCTCAATGGCTTAAATGCCGTCATCGCTTCATATCATCCTGGAGCTGATTTTGGAGCCTATCCTGGATATGTCGACCCGTATCTTGATGATCCGCAGAGGGCCTATTGGGGCACGAATCTGCCAAAGCTTCGGACTATAAAGGCTGACATTGATCCCCATGACGTTTTTCACAACCCCCAGAGTGTGCGAAGGCCTACTTGAACACCGTTGACCTGGAACCGGCGGGACAGTCTCGGTACATCCATATGACCACCGAGTTGCGACATCACGATAACGACATGCATCAATCAGAACATAGCACAATCTTAGACTTGTATCTAATACTTTAATACCTGAAGTTGTTATAACACTTAATATGGGCGTACTAAAACACAATTAGTAAAAACTCCGCCTGCATCTGTACGGGGGGGCCAAGGAGATAATACTGTAAGGGGGCCTAAACATCTTCCCGAGGTCCTTTCTAATACCTACGTGAGGTCTCTTCCTGAGCATTTTAAGCGTCTTTTTGGACATCCTTTCAAGATATCTTAATAAACATCTCTCTAAACGTGTCGGACTAATAACATATCTATTTACAAGTGGATATTTCCGTGGCTTGGTCCTTGCCCCCAGAGAATGACTAATCCAATGCCGGCAAGTTGACGCAATCTCAAGTCCAGATACTTGACATCTTTGTATCAAATTCCTAATCCTTGGTCATGTCCGTTGGCTCCAACTGAAGCTCGTAGGAGGTAGTGACATGCCGCCCTTCCCATCACCTGCCAAGAGCTCTCCTGGGGTATCGCGGTGTTACAAACGATGAAACGATCCCGCAGATCCGAGAGCCAGCATCTCGACACAAAAACAGACTCTGACGGCGAACAAAAAGTCACAGACCTAGCCAGCTTGAAAGCTCCCGTATCTCCACCGCAACGACGGGCTTTGCCGGTTACAAAGCAAGCGTCGAAGAATATTGTACCACGACCGCAACAAGACTCATCAAACACACTTGCGGCTATCGAAGCAGGCCAAGTCCAAGTTACTGACCACCTTGGCGTCATCTCCGAAAAACTCAAGGAGTGTATTCGCCCTTCAGGACTTCAGTCAACTCCTCGCCTTCCCATGCATGCATGGTCAGACCTGTACCATCGAAACACCCATCCGGAAGGGCGTCATTTTGTGATTCACCAACATGATCACCCCATCGCTGGTCCGCACTATGATTTGCGTTTACAGTTTTCAGAAACCAGCTCTGTGAGTTGGTCCATCATGTATGGATTGCCTGGAAACCCGAATAGCGAGAGATTGAATCGGAATGCAACTGAAACTCGCGTTCACTGTTTATGGGTACGTCCAGAGACTAATGCTCTATTATCATCGTGGGTTCTAACGTGTGGGCAGAACCATCTCATTGAAACCGCATCTGATAAAACGGGTAGCCTGATTATTTGGGATACTGGTGAATACGAAATTCTACCGTATCGACGAGAGAACTCTCTGCCGGCAACCGATGATTCGCAATCGGGTGAGTCAGATGTCTCTGCCGCGCCGGAAGAACAGGTTGCAGAGAGTCTGAAGCTGCACGAGGCTTTCAAGAATGTAGGTACATCATCTACTGCAGTAGCTGTCCGACATACTCACCCACAAACCAGCGCAAAATCCGAATCCGCCTACACGGCACACGTCTTCCAAAAAACTACACACTCCTCCTTCGCATGGACAAAAAGACCGATTATACGCGTCCCATCCGCCACGGCCCCAAACGCCGCAGACGCGGTGCGGAACCCAAACGTGCACCTCGAGCACCATCGACGTCGGATTCGGCTTCAGACTCACCTCCATCTCCTGACCAGCACCCGCCTCGGGGATCTTCAACGCCCCATGAAACTACAGCATCCAGCACATTTAACCCAGATAAGGGAAGCCACTCCGACGATGATGTCGACGTCACTATCCAGAAAAACAATGCCTACCCCGGGTCATTCAACACAATCGGCTCCATCCACCAGCGACGCTGGTACCTCAGTCTGGATCGAGAAAATTCCGGTTTTGAGCACGTGGCACATTTCAGTAACCGCAAGAAAAAGAAATGGGTGCGGAATTCGGGGCGGCAAGGATTCCTCGGCTTCGATCCCTTCTACGTGCGCGGGCCGGACGTCGAACGCAGTGTCGTGACTGGTCGTCTTGGAAGCGATGTCATTTCTGACGAGTGTGTGCAGGGGTTTCGGCCTAGGAATGGGTGGAGACCTGTCCTTAATTAGAACTTGGGCTTTGATACTTGTTTGGCGCTGAAGCCGCAGATAGATGGGTTATGGTTGTTGGAAATTGGACCCTTTTTCCTAAGGCGCTAACATCGGTCGGCATCTCTCTGCCCCTATTGCTGCTGATTGGTTATCTAGGCCCATGAGGATATTGAAATTAGGCTGCATAAATAGCCCGTATATGTAGGTTCCTCACCTATATCACCCTCTTTGCTTTTTTAGAGGAAGTTCTTTTATGGACCACAAGGCAGCGATGTAGGAGAACATCTTTATATACATTTCCCTTAGAAAACAGTTCTCAGGAAAAGGCTATAAATATCCCCCTGAGAACGAGCAGAAAACATTATCAGAATTTACTATTAATTACCTGTCCGTCTTCTTTTCGTCTGATCATCTACCCTACATTTCTCAACATTTTTAAGATCAACACAACTTAACTGATTTGTCAGTGAGCCAAACGAGATCATGGCGTTGTATTCATACAGAAGCAACCCCGTAGAGGCAGATAGAGAATCCGATTCCGTGCAGTAATTAGTTAGACAGTATCCATATTTGCACGCAAACGAGTAAAAAGAAGAATAACTCGTATCCAACCCATTAGCTAGGCAGACATAAACAGTAATACCTAAAGCGACAGGCATCGAATTTGCAGTCCCGTTCGTAGTACAAATACAGGGTGGTAGACCTCGGCAAGGACCGCAAGGGACCGGACCAGACCGCGGACCGGACCGCACTATGCAGGGCCCGGTCCTAACTTTTCAAGGACCGGCACGGTCCCAACTTTTTAAGGACCGCACCAATGCGGTCCGGTGCGGTCCTGCGGTCCTGTAAACAGGACAAACATAGAAAACCCCGTGATATGCATATTTTATGTAGAATCTGTAGGTATTTTTCAGTATTTTACTTTCATTCTTTATAAGGAATAGTCATAGCTGATGCCTACTGAAAAAATTGAAGAGGATTTTTGCAGAAATCACTTGTGTAGATGATTTATGATTTATGTAATAAACAAGATTTTAACCTCTAATGACCCTTTGTCTCTACTAATTATATACAAAATCCTCATCATATCTCAATCTCTTTGGAATCCGCCCTGATGAACGCCTCTGGATATCAAAATCAGGTAAAGGGATCTCATCATCATCTGGCTCAGTAAGCTGATCATCAACAGCCCTTCTTTTCCCTAGCGCGCGTAAACTAGGTCGCTCAATAGATACTTCAACGGAAGCGTCTATTATAGGATCTTCCTCATCATCGCTGATAGGATCATACTCCTTAGTCTCTTGCTCAGCATCATCCTGCTCCTTCTTTGTATGCCTCTCTTGGGTGGAGAGAAACTCATCCACTAGCGCAAGCTGCTCCGACTGGATATCAAATCTTGTTGTACACATAAACATCATTAGATCTTGAATAGTCTGTGGTCTTAACGATCCCCGGCGATAGTGGCATATATCGCGAGCAGAGTTGAAAAGCCTCTCTACCCTAGAGCCACTAGCTGGAGTTGTAAGGATATCTCGGGCAAGGCTTGCGAGGATAGGATACTCTGCCTCATGAGCCTTCCAGAATACTAGTGGTGTTGATTGGACAGTACCTAGAAAAGTATTAGATTAATAAAAGTAATCATATAGGAGGGAGAGATATTAAACTTACTACTTCCAAGATACCTTGTGAGTTCATCTGAAGTGGTCGGTCTTGACTGGAGAGATGTAGTAGGTCTCAGAAGGATATCAATGTCAGAAATATCGTTGCTCATTGACTGGATAGTTGATATTGACTGTGCCTCTATATGACGCTGCTGGTAAGGCTAGACATAAGTCTCAAGGGACTGCTTATACCGCGGTGCCCAATGTGTCTCCCATTCTAGTGTTAAGAAGAATTCAAGCTTATTGCGGGGACCTAAGATAGTTCCAATTGCATAGAGATCATTTGGAATATCATCAGTCCTGCCGTAATATTCCGTAAGCTTATCGCGCCTATGCTCTAGCGCCAGCTTCATTACCTTCTTCCACCCAACTTTCTTTCGTGCTAGCTGCGCCTTTGCCTTGTCAACGTAGGTAAATAAGGCATTGTAGATCCCAAACACATTATGGATAGTCACATCAGTTGTAGCTGATAAAGATGAAGTGAATTTAAAGAAGGGATAGGTAATTGACAGTAGATAGTCAACCTATCGCCATTCATCTTTATCCATCTTTATATCCGTCAGATTGAACTGTGCACAAAATCCATTAAATGTAGTCTATAGCCGACGTGCACGCCGAAGCATAAGAAATGTGGAATTCCAGCGTGTTCGGACATCTTAGATTGGCATAAGTTTCGGTTCTTTTGTCTACAGTCCGATAAAGCTCTCGCGGCGCTAGGGGCTTTTATTGATATAGACTGCAATCTTCCGAACCTAGAGGAGAATGAATAGTTAGTATTAGATAGAAAGATAATAGTGGAAAGAGGGAGGTAATATACTTTATTCAGGGTTTACACAATCTGTCTGTTCTCTTGCCGGGCGCTATATCTCTGATCGGCCCATTCCATCTCTTCCCTATCATTCAATGGGTTCGCATCCATCTAACCAAGGAGCTCCTTGAGACTGAGCTATATAACATGTGCAATACATAGTATACGAATAATCAGTATATAACTAGGCAGCTCAAGAGACGAAACTGCCTCTTCGAGAGTAGTCAGTAATGTATCGTTATTCGATGCATTATCAGTAGTGATCGTAAGCACGCGGTTGGTAATTTAGTGCTTCTCAAGTAACTTAAGTAGTACACTACTTAGATAAGCGCCTATATGGGAGCCACGTAGAGGTTCAAAGCCGAGTAAGATCTCACGGTAGTTCCACTCAAGGTCAATAAAGTAGCCTATGACTGCCATAAAAGCCTAGCGAAAAGGGGAGGTCCAGCAATCTAATGCTATAGAAAGCTTAGCGCCCTCTGGGAATGTTTGCAGTAGAGAATCCTGACGTTCCCTGACTGTCTCCTGAAGATGCCGACGGATAGTCCTAGCACCAGGAATTTCAGGGATAGTTGGGGCAGACGAAGCTATTTCGATAAGGGCGCGAAATTCAGGGTGCTCAACGAGCTGAAATGGTAGGCGTAAAGCAACAATAAAGGTAGTTAACCTATCCATCCAAGCTCCTAGTGAAAAGACCTTTTTGCGAGACGGAAGGTTTGCCTAGAAATAATCATCTTAGTTAGTATAAAATGAGCTATATAGATAATATTTATACCCCATTCGAGATCATCTTTCTGATATTATGTGTTTTAGTCTTTCGCTTTTGACAGGTAGCGGCCTGTAAGAAATGCCTATTCATAGTAGACGTTCCCCGGTGCCGGTCGGCAGGATGAGCAAGGATATAATCACACTGCTTACACATCACCTTAGGGGATCCATCAGAGATCGTAGCAACCTAGTGGAAGTGCTCCTAAGAGCCTGCCTGTCGTTTACCCTCAAAGATATTTCGTTTTGTTGCACTTCCGTACTCAGTTTTTAACCACCAGGCGACAAAATCTTCGTTAAACATCTCTGTCCAAAGGATATACTTCTTCCCGCCACATAGCCCAACACGCTCAAGGGTTTCTGGAATCAGGATAGGTACTACTGGCCGTGTGAAAGTCACACTTAGAGTAGAGGTTGGTGTTTCGTGTCCGTCTAGGTTAAACGGCCCATCAGATGTAAGGAAGGAGAGTGCATCCACAGGGTTATCTTCAAAGATGGATGAGGGATAGTTATCGGAGAATTGGGATGCGTGGCTCTATGACATATTGATAAATAATATAAAAGAGAAGGTAGGTAGTAGGGCTTGAGAGTTATAGGAAAGACATACAATTCTCTTTTTATCTAGACAAAGAAATAATAGGGGGTACCAATACTGAAGAAAGTGATAGGTAAATAATTTAAGATAGAACGAACTAAATTATAGACCGTGATTGGCTGATAAAACCTACCCCGCTATAATCCCTGCGGTCTAAGACCGCAGGGACCGCTAGGAGACCGCAAAGACCGCATAAGGACCGCATAAGGACCGCAAAGACCGTCAGAACTTATTAGAACCCACAAGCAACCCAATCCGCACTAACTAGTTTCTTTTCTGACAGCCGTCAGAAATCTAGTAGGAGTATCAACAGTTTCTAGGCCGTAGCTTCTAACGGCCGTCAGAAAAACTAGTAGGGATATCACCAGTTTCTATACCGTAGATAGCCTTAATTCTGACGGCCATCAGAAATATAGTGGGGATAGTAGTAGACACGACACTTGTAAACGTATGTGTCCTCCTACCATAAAATATATATCTTCGCATTCTCACAAGTATATTCTAAAATACTTACCACAACGATCCGAAATTCAAACTTCATTAGTAATTAACTTAATACGAAGCTTCAAGAAAATAAATACGAGGTGATTTCACCTATTTTGTTAATTGGTAGACCTGATTTATTATTAGTATTCGCGTATATACCAAAACAGTGTTTAATAACAGTAAAAAACGCAGCTGAATAATCGGTTTATACGGCCAGAAAAGGAAGGTCTTGGCATAATTATGAATTTGCGGGGGACCGCACGGGGGACCGCAAAGGACCGCGGGGGACCGTGGTGCGGTCCTGACTACTTTGAAAAAAGACCAAAGACCGCATGGTCCGGTCCCGGTCCTAACTTTTAGGACCGGACCCGGTCCTTGCCGAGGTCTACAGGGTGGAGGGAGGGCAGTATCCAAAGCCACAAGTGAAGCTACACAAATCTTTGAACATTCTTAGCCTATTATTAATATGGGGTTATAAAATATGGCATTTGGTGTGGTGTTTTGAAGTAGATAGCGCGGTGGTTGAATGCGTTACCAATTTTCGCTGAACAGTGATTTTCTAGTATAAATTAAACTAAGCATTGCTAGCGCCTTTCGGGGCTAAGGCCTCCTAATCTCCACCAACGTGGGTTCCACCAACGACCGATGTCACCTTGCCCTGTCCTGTATTAGTGCCTCGTAATAGCGCCCCCCACCTGGCGGTGAGGGTGCGCCTCACCGGTAGACCAAATATCAGCGGTAGACCAAATTTTCCACAATCCATCGTTTTTTAGCCATAACCACCCACCACCATGCCTAAACAGCCCGAAACTCCGGAATCTCGTGTCATTGAGGCCTGCGATGCCGCCCGTGCCCAAAAACAGCCGAATTTGTCGAAAATCGCCCGGGAATATGGTGTTTCGTACGAGGTACTGCGGGGACGCCTCCGACGCGGTAAACTAGCTCGCACTGCCCAAAAACCAGTTAACAAGGCCCTTCAAGAGTATCAGGAGGAAGCTTTGACTACCTAGGTACGTGATATACGTGATCGATATCTCCCAGTGACCCCTAGGCTGCTAGAGGAGATGGCGAATCTCTCGCTTGCGCGCGCTGGTGTTCAACGATCGCTGGGTAGGATGTAGATGTATCGCTTCATTAAACGTCTCCCTAAAGAGCTATCGCTTGCCCCAGTGAAACAGAGAACGAAGGAGTATAAGCGGATCCAGGCGGAGGATAGTGGAATGCTAGAACTATAGTATAATCGGTGGAGGAATGTCGTCAAAGATGCAGCGCCGCGGTTGGTGTATAATGTCGATGAATGTGGCTTCCAACCCGGTAGAGGTAAAGCGCAGACGGTAATCGATGGGTCAATAGTGCCTGATCTCTACGAAGCTAAACGCGGAGAGACTATTACTGCCGTTGAGTGTATCGCTGCCAATAGTTGGCAAATGGATCCGCTATTTATCTTCAAGGACTCGACGTTTATAGAGACGTGGTATCATAGCAGCGAAGCCCTTCCACCGCGGACGCTCACGGCTATATCTCTAAATAGCTAGATCTCTGATGAATTAGCTATTAAATAGCTTCGATACTTCCATGAGGCGACGATTAGTCGTACGTTAAAAGGAGAGAAACGTATCTTGCTATTCGATGGCCATAGTGCCCACTTTACGAAGGAGTTTCTGTAGAGATACGAGGATTATTAGCTTATTTGCTTCGCTTTTGAACCTCATTCAACGCACCTTTATTAACCGCTTGATGGAAAACCCTTTTTGAGCTATAAGCAGCACTTCCGGAGAGAGAATAATAACCTCGCGTTCCTCGCGGGTGAGCCTATCGGAAAGGCTAATTTCCTACAATGCATCGCGAATATACGACGACGAGCATTCAACGCACGGATTATTCGTGAATCCTTCAAAGAACGTGGCATTTAGCCACCAAATAGCATACATATCATCGAGAAGCTTACCAATAGCCAGCTAGAGCTACCAGTGCTCTTAGCGCCTAATCTCCGTACGTATAGGGAATAGACACCATCACCGCCGCCTATATCCTCAAGCGTCGAGAATACACCTCCAAAAAGCATCTAGGCTCTCGAAAAGAACTATAGGAAGCTATCAAAGATAGAAACCCTCACCCCGAAGCAACGGCGAGGCCTACTACACATCTTCCAGCACAATAAGGTCATCGCGGAATATATAGCTCTCTCGAACGACATAATCAGCCAAATAACAGCCGCTCGCGCCCCTCTACGACGGAATTATACTAAGCGGCATATTAAACCACTTAGGCACACTGGTATCCTTAACGTTCGCGATGCTAATCGGTCAATTATAGATAGGAAGGCAAAAGAGGCTATCCAGGAGAAGAAGCGGCTGGATAAACTACACACGAAGGTCTATGGTAAACCGCCACCAAAACAGCCTACCCAGGAGAGTGAGGCATCTATAGAAGCAGCGAGGGCAGGAGAAGAAGCAGGCGACCTTTTTTACCTAGATCCGAATCCAGCGCGATGATAATTAGCTGAATAGCATAGAATTTGGTCTACCGCTGATATTTGGTCTACCGGTGAGGCGCACCCTCACCGCCAGGTGGGGGGCGCTATTACGAGGCACTAATACGTCCGACGCGCGGCCCAGTTACCGATTTATCCGCGGTATTTGCCGCCCGCAAGCTTTCGCTCCATTAGGCCCATGGAGCTTCGGGGTTTCTAGGGGCGCTAGGTATGTAAACCACACCACTAACACCCTACTACTATTAGGCTTAGCTTATGAAAATTCAGGTCCCAAATAAGTTATGCACGTTTACCATTGTACCCAGCGGCGGAGAGACAGCAGTGCTAGGTGATTCGTTTTTGCGCAGTACCTATGTGGTCTATGATTTGTCCAACAACGAGATATCGATGGCTCCGACAAATTTCAACTCGGGTGAAGACGACATCTTGGAAATTGGCAGCGGGGCCATGCAATTTCTGGGGCGGTCTCTGTGTCGGTCACTGCGTCTGCCACAGTCCCAACCACTGTAATTGAACCAGATATGATCAGATTTTTTTCCTCCTACCTCCACCTCGAGCACTCAGGGTGCGACTTCGACAAGCAAGGGCGTGGCAGCTGCGCCCACCGGCAGTTCCAACAATATCATGGCTGGTCTCATTGGTGCAGGACTCTTGATCGCGCTATAATATCATCCGAGAAGCGTCAAATCACTTCTAAATCATGGGCTTTGTACGTATTTAGGATAGAATTTAATATTTATGCCTATATTGTATGCGAACGATGACGGCTATCCTAGATAGAGTCACATTGGATAGATATCGCAACTTAAATAATTCCGCTCAAATTGGTAATACAATAACTATACTTCGATCCATTATAATGCTTGGCGTTTGGGGAAACTCCTCTGAAGTATCAGACTACTCTGTCCCTTGTCTCGCCCCCGAATCGACCGGACAAGCCTCTAAGCGAGAGGGTTCGTGAACTTGGCTAAAAGACTCATTATTACACCTCTCGTGTTCTCCTCGTCCCTGTCTCATGCCTTCACCACTTAACCTCCAGTCCTTCCAAGTGCTTCGGTGCTTGATTGATTGCGATGGTGTAGTGAGTCGGTGATTGCTGAGTTTCCTGACCTTTCTCAGAGGTTTGGTGACTATAGTCCTTTTGTATTCGGCGTTGAAAGCACAACGTACTCCGTGACTGCATGGCCGATTTGTTTGAGGTCGTTATCGGTTCCGTTTCGATATGCCTGAATTGGCCGAGAAGACCCTAGGACCTCGTCACGGTCAGGTGCAGGAGCTAAGCGGGACACAGGATTATTCGGAATTTCTCTTGGTCCCGCTCAGCTGGAATGCAAGGGACATATATAGTAATGCAGTGTTCTTGAGGATACTGCTCGCGCCGCCACGTGGGAGGTCTTGGCAAGCAAGTCCCCGTGGGGTAGTTTATACACTCAGAAGCGCCTAGGGGCAATCTTGGTTTAAAAGCTTAGCATATAGTCCAAAAGTTGCCTAGCGTCAAGCCTCTAAGCACTAGGCGGATTTGGGAGGTCATAGCCCCTCGGGAAAAGCCGGCCGTGCCGAATCATAAGTTTATGCGGCACTTATTGTGTTATCCTACAAGGTTACAATGCAGCGAGCTAGCAGAGAACATAGTTCTACGCAGTTCTAGGGGCTTGCGGTCGTTCCACAACGAACGCAAGGTGACAAAGGAGTCACGAGATATAGCCGATCGCTCGTGAATTTAGTCACCGGTGATCGTGTGACGCGGGATTGGCCCTTGGGGCCCCGCTTGGGGTGTCAAGCCGTCTACGGGGTACCAATGATGAGTGCGCGTGTGCGCTTTTCATTTGATCGTCCCGGATATGCAATCTGTGACTCACAGACTGCTGGCTGGACCACCTCGTTGCACAAGGTGTGGGAGCTTGATGCGGGAGAGTGTAAGCCATTATTGTCAAGAATACGAACTAAGAGCGATACGATGAGGCTAAGAGGGTCTTTTTGACTCACACCGATTGCTTTGAGAAGTCCCCCCTTGGATGTCACATCGACTTGAGCCCCGCCGTAACTAGTGTAGTTCCTGGCCTGAAGTTCGCGATAAGACGAGGATTATGCTGCGCATCTCCACTTCCTCCCTTTCTTTCTTTTCTAATCCCCTACGGTGCTACGAGGAATGTTTCATACCACGCAGCTCGCGTCTTTAGCTACGGGCTCGGTCGCCTTCCTCCTGGCGGCCGCCGACAGTCTTCCTGCGCTTAAAAGTATCGCCGATCGCATCTCCTGCAGATCACAGTTGGATGAACCGACATTGGCCAAGACAGTATACCGCGATGAGGACGGTGAGGCCAGCGAGGAATCCCTCCAGGCCTTCTCGGACAAATGGCCGCGAGTCGCCATTGCGCTTTTCTCGGCCACCGGGTTGTTCGTGACTCTGACACTGGCTGTTTGTACGACATTGAAGTATAGCGCTGGCAACGCGATTCTCGACTGGCTGCAGTTCGGGGTTTGGGTATGTAGAGCAAACCAAGGCTTGTGCCTTCCAGACAGGCCAGACAGGGAAATTTGATTAACATGCTTTTTTAAACCAGTTTTTACTCCTCATTCAAGCCATCGCGTTGTTCACCGAACCACGGCCAACCAAGCGATTTACCTTAGGCCAATTCTCGTTTGGAGGCAGCATTATCGCCATCGCCGTTACAGGAGTCCAGATCCGTCTGGCCTGGCTTTCGCAAAATCCCCTTCTTCAAGACCAGATCTGGATTGGCCTTGTTGCCACTCAGTTCTCCAGCGCCCTTCTTCGAGCTTTGTTCAGTGTTCTTCTGCCACGCCGACCAGATGTCTTTCTCAATGGGAGACCAGTCGATCAAGAGCGCACGGTTTCGGCATTTGGCCGCTACACGTTCTCCTGGGCTAGTAGCCTTCTTAAATATGCCGTGAAGAACAGGACATTGAACCTCACCGACCTTCCAGTCCTCCGGTCCGCAAGGCGCGCAGACAATCTTCGTACGAAGTTTGAAGAAGCTTTTGGTTCACGCAAAATTTGGAAAACTCTTGTGATGGTTCACTGGCGTTCTCTGCTACTTCAGCTCGTTCTGACAATTACTATCGGAATCTTGAGTTTCGGCCCGCAGATGGCGCTTTTCAAGATCCTGAGCGTTCTGGAAGCACGCGGAAATGAGACTTGGCAGCCTTGGCAAGCATTGATCTGGGTCCTCGCTTTAGGAGGCCTGATGCTGCTACATTCAACGATTGAAGCCTGGCTGTTATGGTCAGTATGGTCCAAGCTTTTTGTCCCCATTTATGCACAACTCTCGGCCGTTATCTTCGCCAAATCCATGCGTCGCAAGGATGCCAAGTACGTTAAAAAGGCGAAGAATGAAAACGGTACGAAGGCTCCAGCAAAGGATCTGCTGAACCATCACGGCGAGGAAGGTGAGGATGACGAAGAATTCGTGAAAAAGAGCCGACAAAGTATCATCAATTTGGCTGCTGTGGATGCACGACGTGTCTCAGATTTTACATCTTTCACATTTGTCATTCCGTTGGCAATATTCAAGGTTATCCTTGGCTGTCTCTTCCTGATCAAGATTCTGGGATGGCAAAGTGCTTTTGCTGGTCTCGGCGTCTCCGCGCTTGTGCTTCCTTTAAACATGTACGCAGCAAAACGATACACAAACGCCCAAGACAAGCTCATGAAGTTCAGAGATGCCAAAATGGCCATTGTCACAGAGGTGCTTCAGGGTATCCGCCAAATAAAATTCTCAGCTCTAGAAGAGCAATGGCAAAATAAAATTGGAAAGGCGCGAGACACTGAACTCGCCGCTTTGTGGATCTCGTTTCTTTATGATGTCGTGCTCATGGCAATCTGGATTCTCGGCCCCCTTGGTCTTTCTGCAGTTTCATTGACGGTGTACGCCTTGATGCATGGTGGAATATCCGCATCGGTCGCCTTTACAGCAATGTCGGTCTTTGGTGCCCTTGAGATGTCGCTTGCCGTTCTACCCGAGATGATATCGAATGGCCTGGAGGCAAAAGTGAGCGCGGATCGAATCGACGCGTACATGGCATCCGCGGAGAAGATCGTCAACACTGTTCTCTCTGATAATATTGAATTTGAAAACGCGACAGTTGCATGGCCAGCTGAAAATGAGCCGGGTACAGGGGACGACGAAGACCGATTTACTCTACGTGATATGAACCTAAAATTCCCGAATAAGGGATTGAGTGTTGTGTCTGGTCGGACGGGGTCAGGAAAGAGTCTGCTTCTGGCCTCTATCTTGGGGGAATGTGATGTCCTGGAGGGCACACTCAAAGTACCTGTCCCTCCGCCTATCAAGGACCGCTTCGACCACCTGGCGACAGGCGCAAACTGGATTATCGACTCGGCTTTTGCGTATGTCGCGCAGATCCCGTGGATTGAAAATGCTACCATCAAAGACAACATTCTATTCGGCCTACCTTATAACGAAACTCGCTATAAAAAGGTTCTATTTGTGTGTGCATTGACAAAAGACCTCGAGATGCTGCCAGATGGCGAACTAACGGACATCGGCGCCAATGGTGTCAATTTGAGTGGTGGCCAGAAGTGGCGAGTTTCATTTGCCCGAGCATTGTATTCGAGAGCCGGTGTTCTTATCATGGACGACATTTTTAGTGCCTTGGATGCCCACACTGGCCGTCATGTCTACGAGCATGCTTTGACCGGCGAGCTTGGACAGGGGCGAACTCGAATTCTGGTTACACATCATGTCGCCCTCTGCCTTCCTCGGACTGATTATTCCGTGTTGCTGGAGAATGGATGCGTCAGATTCGCGGGTACCATTGACGAGCTCCAAAAGGGGAACCACCTGGAAGATATCTTGCGAGAAGAAAACGCCGCTGAGCAACAAAGTCACATCGCGGGAGAACCGGATGATCTTCTAAATGCCGAGGAGACAAATCTTAAGGTCATCTCGAATAAATCACGCCGGCGGTCGAGCACAGTGCACAACGATACCACCCCTAAAATCGCAGCGCCCAAGAAGTTCGTCGAGGACGAGAAACGAGAAGTGGGATCTATTTCACTCTCGGTTTACAAATCCTATCTGTCAATGGGAGGTGGTTTGCCCTTTTGGCTAGTGACAGTTCTAATATATCTCATATTTTCCACCTTGATGATTGGGCGGGTAAGTCTAATTTTATTCAGATTTCCTATCCTCACCTTCTAACAAGTTCTCAATAGGCCTGGTGGGTGAATATCTGGACAAGCTCATCCTCCAGCACCCAGTCGCATCCAGAACAGCTCCAAACTTTGTTTGTGCAGACAGTTGAGCGATCTATTCCCGAAACACAAGACCAGGATCTCGCGATGTACCTTGGTGTCTATATCGGTATATCCGTTATTTCCTGCATCATCGGAACTGCGCGGTTCTATATCGTTCTGTCGGCAAGCGTGCGCGCATCCAGGAACCTCTTCAGCCGCTTGACATACGCCGTGCTTCGCGCTCCTCTGCGATGGCTGGATACCGTTCCCCTTGGCCGAATCCTTAACAGATTCACGGCAGACTTCCATATGATCGACTCGCGCATCGGGTACGACCTTGCATTCTTTGTTTCTCAGGCCCTCCAGGTCTGCAGTATCATGGTGGCAGGCATCCTCGTTTCTCCACTGGCGATTGTCTTTGCGTTAATCCTGGTTATCATTTGTCTCAAGCTATCTTTGACCTACCTGGCGGGTGCGCGCGAAATAAAACGTCTGGAGAGCACCGCCAAGAGTCCTATATTCGAGCAGTTCGGATCCAGCTTGGCTGGTTTGATTACGATCCGAGCCTTTACCAAGAGCGAAGCGTTTATCGAGATAATATACGGCAAGATCAATGCCCACGCCCAGGCCTGGTGGACTATGTGGCTGCTCAACCGCTGGCTAGGTATCCGTATGAACCTTGTCGCGGCGATCTTTACGACACTTACAGCGTCGCTCGTCGTCTTCATGCCCGGTATCTCAGCTTCACTGGCAGGCTTCGCCCTCAGCTTTGCCCTTCAGTGCAACACCACTATCGCATTGGCGCTGCGCCAGTACGCCAACGTCGAGCTCAATATGAATGCCACGGAGCGTGTCATTGAGTATTCCAAGATTGAGCTCGAGAACCAAGGCGGGGCTGATGCCCCTGCTGCTTGGCCTACGGAGGGTCGTCTGGAGGTCAGTGATCTGGTTGTGGGATACGCACCGGATCTTCCTCCAGTGCTGAAGGGCCTCAGCTTCAGCGTCGAGCAGAACCAGCGAGTCGGGGTGGTGGGACGAACTGGCGCGGGCAAATCATCTTTGACTCTTGCACTGTTCCGATTCCTAGAAGCTCGTCAAGGTCAAATTTTGGTCGACGGCTTGGACGTATCCAAGATCAAACTGCATGACTTGCGTAGTCGGCTAGCGATTATCCCGCAAGATCCCGTTCTGTTTTCCGGCACTGTGCGATCGAACCTGGATCCGTTCGAGCATTACACAGATACCGAGCTGAATGATGCGCTGACACGAGTGCATTTGACGAGTGCAGCTGAGGATGATGAGGCAACTCTCACTTCACAGACCGCTACACCAAGACAGGGTAACGGCACAGCGACGCCCGACACGGCCACGATGCAGCAAGCCAACACGAACATCTTCTCGTCCCTGGCAGCGCCCATATCCGAGGGTGGTCTCAACCTCTCTCAGGGTCAACGCCAACTCCTTTGCCTTGCTCGTGCCATTGTCACCCGGCCCAAGATCATGGTTCTGGATGAGGCAACATCTGCTGTGGACATGGAGACTGATACGCTGATCCAGCGGTCCATTCGTGCCGAGTTTGGCCGTAATGCAACCACGCTGCTTGTTATTGCCCACCGCCTCAGCACCATTGCTGACTTCGACCGCATCTTGGTGATGGATGCCGGCAAGGCGGTTGAGTTTGGAGAACCGAAGGATCTGATGAGCATCAAGGACGGTGTGTTCAAGAATCTGGTCGACAACAGCGGCGAAAAGGCCATGGTGGAAAACATGATTTTCGGAGAGGAGTGACCAAGTGGTGTCGACTCTATTCTTTTCGTCGTTTAGGATTATGCTGGTTATATATCTTAGATTATGCAGATTGTGAAGAGTATAAAATATCCATTCATACACGAAAAACTATCTGACTAGTATAATACCAGTGCGGTAAAGCAAGTCTGGGAGAGTAAAGAGGAGAGGCTCATGTCATAAAATAAAGGACGTCAAGGCTAACAAATGACTGAGAACCCTGTAACGATCCATCCAAGACCGAACTCCTCTTCCATGATTCAATTATTTTACCACGGCCCAGCCAGTGGTAAACACCTTCAAGTCTCAAAAAAGGGTCAGAGATGCCTTATCGCGTCCGTTAAGTAAACAAGGTTGGTGTGCCGAACGCCGTTATCACCCTCCCTCCGTCCCGAGTCGAGCAGCCCTTGAGCTCTCCGAAGAAAGAGAGCCACTCGTCCCAGAGAGGAGAGATAGATATCATATAGTACACGCTAGGCTTTCATCATCTGGGGAGTAGTCAGTATGGCATTCAAATCAATAAACCTCATCTCAGGGAGGTGTGGTACTCACAAGTAAAAACTTGGAAGGATGAAGAAGAAAGGAAAAAAATGCGGTTGGCCGCGCGCTAGTTAAACACCCGCGCTAGGCTGCTTTTGGAAGGCGGAGACTTGACTTTCTGCCGCCTGCGGTCGAGATCGCGGCACCGGATGATCTTCTTCGATTGATAGCGACGCAATATGCTTGGTGCAGGTGTGCGGCTGCCATTGAGGCTTCGCTCTGGTTATTCTCTTGCACATATTTTACGCCGCCAGTCATTAACGCCATGGTCGGGGCAAGGTCTTGCCTCGCGGAGCTTCCATCGCCCGGTTTGTCTCCGCGATCATCATGCTCCGACTGAGCTTCCGAGCTTCCTGGAAGCATACAAACAAGCCGGTATGTGAGCATTTTCTCGCAATTGTAGCTTATCCCTTATCCCGGGGCCGCAGTAACTAACGTAGCTGTCATTATTCAGTGGAATTCCCTCCTGCTACCCATGACTTCGAAACCTTCCTCGTACAGGCCGAGCCTAACATGCAAGTCGTCCTGCACGGCTACCTGGGCCAGCGGGCCGATCTGTCTAAGAAGCTGTCTTTCGTACGCCTGACAGATCCGACTATGAAACATAGCCTGCAGGTGGTCGCCTTCGGCAAGAACGACGCCTCCGAGAAGCTCAAATCTCTCAACCCACACAGTCCCGTCGCCGTACGCGGCACAGTTCAAAAGAAGAAGAGCAAGGCCTCCGATGCCGGAGAAAAGCCTGCTGAAGATACGTGGGAGCTTGCGCTGGAGGACGTACATCCGTTGAATGACTTCCCTAAGGATATAATCATGACACCGGAGACCGTGTTTGCACCAGAGCATCGTTACCTCCAGCTCCGCTCGGATGCAGAGCTACGAGAAGCTTTGCGATTCCGGGCCGAGGTGCGCAATGAATGCAAGAAAGAACTGGAGCATTGCCAGCCACCATTTGTCGAGATTGAGACCCCGCTCCTGTTCAAGTCTACACCGGAAGGCGCACGCGAGTTCCTGGTGCCAACACGCCGCGCAGGACTTGCATATGCCTTGCCTCAAAGCCCACAGCAGTATAAACAAATTCTGATGGCCAGTGGTGTGCCCAGGTACTATCAATTTGCCCGTTGCTTCCGCGATGAGGATCTCCGGGCGGATCGGCAGCCGGAGTTTACCCAGCTGGATCTGGAGATGTCCTTTGCAACTGGTGAAGATGTGATGCGTACTATTGAGGGTGTTGTTCGACGGCTCTGGTCGACCTTGATGAAGAATCCGGCGCCTGAAGGCCCATTCCGCAGAATGTCATACCAGGAGGTCATGACCAAGTACGGTTCCGACAAGCCGGATACTAGATATGGTCTGGAGCTTATGCGTCTTGACCACTTGCTCCCCGTCGACCTGGTCATGAAGATTTCACCGCTACAAAATCCAATTGTTGAGGCTTTCAAGCTTGAAAGCCAGGACAACGACCCTGCCGAGACGCTCAAGTTCATCTCGCAGTTCCTCGACTCTCCGGCGGGTGCTCCATTCAACAATAACCCCCATGGTGGTCCGGGTGTCTTTGTTTACAATGGTAAGCAGCCACTTTGCGGTCTCCAACCCTTCGGCTTCGAAGCCGCCGAGCAGATCGAGGAACTTCTCGACCCAGATCACGGCGACTTGATCATCATCCAAGCCCGCCCCCGTGCCCCCTTCTCTGGCGGCTCAACACCAGTCGGTGACCTGCGCCGTTCCATTCACGCTCATGCAGTGTCAACGGGATTCTCGCCCGCCCCTACAGGCTTCGACTTCATGTGGGTCGTCGACTTCCCACTCTTCTCACCTTCTTCCGATTCCGAACCAGGCCAAGGCGGCGCTGCCGGCTTCTCATCCACACACCACCCTTTCACAGCTCCCAAGACTGCCGCAGACGTGGACTTGCTCCTCACAGATCCCACGCAAGTCGTCGCCGACCACTACGACCTCGTCGTGAACGGCGTCGAGCTCGGCGGCGGTAGTCGGCGTATTCATGATGCCGCCGTGCAGGAATTTATTCTCCGGGATATCCTCCAAATGAAGCCCGAGCGTCTGGTTGACTTTGAGCACCTCCTTGATGCTCTGCGCGCCGGCTGTCCGCCGCACGCTGGCTTGGCGCTGGGTTTCGATCGCCTTGTCGCGGTAATGCTGGGCAAGGAATCCGTTCGCGATGTTATCGCTTTCCCAAAGACCGGGAAGGGTGGTGACGATGCTATGGTTCGTGCGCCGAGCCCTATGACTGAGGAGGTGCTGCAGACATATCATTTGCAGTTGCGAGAGTAGGCATATCGAAGGCTACTGTTCAGTTGCCGCCTTGTATCATCCATGTACTATAGATCTAGATACCCGGTCACAGTCTCCCATCGATGTACATTGATTCCGTATAGCGTCCCCCCCCCATTGCGTAACAGCTTCGGTGGTTATTAGACAACAGCTCATTATCGCCGGGTAAAATAGTGTACCAAACGCAAAACAGGTATTTTTACCAGGATCACCTTCTACCCCTCATTCCAGATTCCCCCGCTTAGCCCTGAGCGTCAGATAATAGAAATAGCCTACGCTTATCAATTAGCGATTCTCACCTTCTCAGCAAACCTTCAGATATTATCTGATCAAGCTACACCTGTATTCGAAGGGTTTCCTGGAAAACTATAGCCTGAAAATCAACATGCCTTCTAATAACCGGCCGCTCCTCCCAGTGCAGAATTCCATGACATCGTATTGGATGAAGGACCCCCATCGTCTGGCATCTTATCGCACTTCCAGTACGGTCCCAGAACAATGCGATATAGCTGTTATTGGCACTGGAATGTCTGGAGTAGCGACAGCCTACCACATACTATCAGATCCACATATTGGATCAGAAAAGCCTAGCGTTGTTCTTCTCGAGGCACGTCAGGCTTGTTCCGGAGCAACCGGTCGGAATGGTGAGTCTGAGATAGCCGTGCAGAGTGCTCCCTGTCATAGACGCTGACGCTTGCTTCAAAGGTGGCCATACCAAGCTCTCAATACCCATCATTCAGCGGACGGCGGAAACTCATGGCCCCGAAGCTGCAGTGCAAATGGTTCGACACCATTTGGATCAACTGGCTGCTCTCAAAGAAGTAGTTGACAAAGAGGGCATTGACTGTGATTTGCGTGTGACTCGTTCCTTTGATATCTTCTTTGATGAAAAGCATGCTCAGAAAATGGAAGAATTTCTTTCTCGTGAGGAAGCAAGGGGAACGCCTTGGACACAAGAGGTACAGTGGATTGAAAAGGCCCAGTCAGACAAGGTAAGTTCCTTCTGACTCCTTGATCAATGATTGAATCAACTAGTATTGACAGATCTCCTTAGATCACCGGTGTCCGAAATACCAAAGGTGCCCTATGCGTCCCTGCAGTCTCACTGTGGCCGTATAAACTCTTCACTGAGTTGCTTTCAAAGGTCTTGGAGCTTGGCGGCCAACTCTATACAGAGACTTGCGTTACAGAAGTGAAAGAAGATGCTGGTCAAGCGACTCTGACAACTTCGAGGGGAACTTTGATAGCCAAGAAGACCATTTTCGCAACTAACGCTTACACCGCGGCTCTCCTCCCTCAATACGAATCCATCATCACCCCCCTTAAAGGCCAGAACTCTCACCTTTCTCCAGCACCATCTTTCACTCCTCCTAACCCCCTTGCGAACACATATAACCTTCATTTCGATTCGCACTATGCGGACTACTTGGTTCCAAGACCGGACGGGACAATCATCCTCGGTGGTGCAAAGTGGACATACGAACACGATCGTAAGATATGGTGGAATAATGTCGACGATACCACCTTGATCAATGATGCCACTACTGAGCACTTTGACTCAGTCATAGCTGACCATTTTTCTGGCTGGGAGAATGCCCGTGCTCATCATGATATGGTCTGGACCGGAAGTAAGTTTTCGAACAACTTTGCAGGTTGCTATACTTATACAATATGCCATACAGTCATGGCATCTACGCCAGATGTATTACCCCATGTGGGAAGGGTACCTGGCTCAAAGAATCAGTGGGTATTGGCGGGCTTCAATGGTGCCGGGATGACTCAGATCTTTACGATGACTCAAGCAATTGCGAGGATGGTTACAAGAGGCGCAGAGTACGATGATACAGGTCTGCCGGGGATGTTTAAAACGACGGACGCTCGATTGGCTGTCAGGCATCAGGTTTAGACCCCTACAGCTACCTAGTGACCTGGGGACTGTGCGAACCATGCTCGTCCACTAGAGAGTGAGATCCACTAGAGAGAAAGCTCCCAAGGGAGTATGAAAAAAGGGTTGATTCATGAAACTAGCGTCATGGATGGCATATAAAAGACACCAAGCGTTACATATTCCCCAATTACATTAGGTACTGGAATGCGATTTCCTTACTCCCGCTAATATTATATCCATTCAATGTATGGCACTTGCTTCAAACAATGAGGAGCTCATACATTTTGCTATCCTTATTTCTATAAAATTACCGGTGTAGTTACCGTCCATAGATACAAGTCGCATGTGTTTTTGATATTTATTTGTCTTGTCCAAATATCTCTAGACCTTTATTTCCGGTATACGTTCATCAAACGATGGCGCCTTCGCTGTTGTTTCCAACTTGGCTGACTCATCCAACATTCGGCTTCAACCGTAGATCTTCTGCTGGTCCTTTAGCAGGCCACGTTGAGTCCAAAACATCAACCCGGGGCAAGATGAGGCCTCCAAAAGCCACCCGACCGCTCAAAATACCATATATTGACGGGATGTCTTTACAACTAGACTAGCAAGCCGTGTTGGTCACGTAGAGTAATTGTTGCCTAGACTTAGGGTTTATCTAACTAGCTCCATCATAAATTACATCTCAATGGCAAGGTGTTCTCGAATAATACGAATAATTTCCCAGTGACATGCCTTCCTCCACGCTTTCAGAACCAGCCGGAGAGCCCGAGTTCTTCTTCCGATCTCTGAATCCCACAGGGACCGAAACAATTTTATTGATCCACGGCGCATTTGGCAGCAGCAAAGAATGGGACGACGTGGTACCCCCGCTCATTAAAAATGGCTACCACGTTCTCATCCCGGACCTTCCTGCACACGGGCAATCCGTAGCGATCCAGCCTTTCAAAGTCGCCTACGCGGCCCAGTTGATCTTGGAGCTAGTCACCAAGTATGCCCAAAATGGCCGTGCACACATCGTGGGCTTGAGTCTAGGCGCACACATTGCCGCCTACATGGCCGAATACGGAAGCCCCGACCAGGTACTGTCGGTCATCGCGTCGGGATATAATTATTTCCAACCACCCCAGCTCACGGTACCGCTTTTTGCACCACCACTTTTCTTCCTGCACCATTTGACCATGGCCGTTACGAATCCGCGGGCGGAGATCGCGGCTCTGCAGAAAGGCGAAACATCCTATGGGCTAATTGAGGAGGTGACGAGAACGATCGTTCAGCCGCGGGAAATTGGGGACATCCATGTGCGCCTTTTGGCAGTCGCGAGCGCATCAAAGGACACTTGGCTGGCAAGGGATCGTCTCGGGAGCTCGAAAACTCTATTTGAAGCCGTCATTGGTGGACATGAGAATGGAAGTCGCGCTGTGATGCACCGTGGCATCAGACATAACTGGCATGCAGAAGAACCGGCGCTGTTTGGGGCGTTGGTACTTGCGTGGGTTAGGGGCGAGCCGTTGGATAGTAATTTTGAGGACATTGAATAGAAATTATGTGGAGGAATCTTAAGATTCAGACTCGCAGCGTAAGGCCTTCGAGGTATAATTGGACTACAGAACTCTCTTTTCTTGTTTAAACCACATCAATTCACCATTGAAGGCAGACTTCGAATTTTGGCCAGGGTCCCCAAGGTTCTTTTCTTAGTACATTACACTAAGACAATTCCCATCATGTTTAGAAAATCGATTCACGCCTGTTCCTCTCATCCAGTGATTCAGATCTACAGAACGCTAATTCAAGCTCAAATGTCAGAAGAAGACCTTCCCAGGGATAAACAACCTACTATCACCAGGTATATGCAGGTGAATGGCATTGCTGCCGCTTGTTGTTGTTAGATTTGTCGGAATGTTGAGGGGAGTATGCTCCAATTGAGCTTGAGGACGAGCTTATCAGATCCTTCATGAGAGCCACATTCGCTGTGCAAGCCAGCTTGCGTGTCAAAACTGGTAGATATTTCAGCAAAGTTACAAGTGATTGTACTTCATTAGCGGCTAGTTCGGGCCACATATGAGTATGAGGATTGAAGTCAAGCGGACTGGCATAGAAATAGCACGTGGCCATATGTGGGTCTTGTGTTACCTGATTCGGACGCGCTAAGCATAATATTGACTTCCAAATGCAGTATAGCTCAATATATACGTCTCTGATTGGCACGATTCTTTTCCAAATTAAAGACTGTGGGAGGAGACAACGAAGGAGTTCAGCTAGTTTGATGTGGATATCATCCTCGAGTCCCTGCAGGGATCATACAATGGGTTTCCTTTGTCACGGAATCTCATCTGGCCAGTCTGACTACGTGTGGATGAATATTGTGGATTATTGTCTTGGAAAAGTCTTGGAAGAGGTCTTTGATTTACATATTGAAAGATATCTTGAGATGATCGATAAATCGCCCGTTATGGACATTGTTATACAAGAAAGAAAATAAGCAGACAACGCCACTCCCAACCGCTGTATGATCGAAGAAAAGAAATCCAAAATAGGCACTGAAAAGGAGATATCGGACCTCTCATGCAGTCGAGAGGGTACTAGCCTTGGTTTTGCTAGTCTGTGTGGGACTCTCGACCACAGCTTCGTCCTCATCCTCATAATACAAATACTCGTCATCATCTTCCTCTGGTTGTCCGAAGGCATTTCTCCATACGCCATCCCACAGGCCCTTCTTGGTGACAAGACCACCAACTAGCAGGATAGGAAGCTGCCAGATACTAGCCCAGAAGAGACCGCGAGCACTTCCTTGGGCACCCTGGTGTTGCCAGAAGCGGTATGCCTCGCGGACAAGCCAGCCATTGGCGACTGTGCTTCCAACAAGGAATCCGTGACCGACGACACCGACCCACCAGAGACCAATGGAGATGGGGAACATGAGCACGGAGTAGCGGAGGGCGACGCGGGCATTTCGGGCCGGGTTCACCCAGCAGAGCATTCGGTAGCCGGCTTGCCTATAATCGTCTCGGATGAGGTGGGAGAGGGCGTTGAAGTGTGGGAATTGCCAGGCAAATAAGATACCACCCAGCAGCCATCCACCAATGCTGTCTTCACTGAACAGCATATCGCGCCATGTATCATGGCCAGTTGTCGCTGTTTGTCCTGCCGCTGCGACCCAGCCCATCAACGGTGGGATACCACCGACAATTGCACCGACCCAAGTATTGATCACGGAGATCCGCTTCAGTGGTGTATATACAAAGGCATAGAGAACGATGTTCGCGGCGGAGAGTGCGGTAGTCGTCGGGTTGGTGCCAATGTACAGCAGACCTAGACCGACGGCAGCGGTGCCGATGGCGAAGAGCAGTGCCCCACGACGCGAGACCAGCCCGCGGACGAGAGGACGATTCCGGGTTCGAGTCATCAATGCGTCGTATTTTGGTTCGAGCATCATGTTCAGCGTGTTGGCACTGCAGCACGACAAGAACGTTCCCGTGGTCAAGTATATGAAGGTCAAGGTCGAAGTCGAGAGGGTCGGGAGTGGGGTCATGGCCGGGTCAAGTGTAAGCAGAGATGAGATCGGGTACATTCCGTACGCAGATGTAGTCGTAAGGAGAATGAGGAAAGAGAGACGCGGTTTCGTCAAAGCGAAGTACGCGGCGAACTTGCGGCGGAGCGAAGTCGTGGGCTGAGCGGATGAAAAGGCCGACAATTGCGCTGAGGCATCGGGCGGCATGGCTGCCTCTGCTGTGCCATTTTCTGAGCCTAATTCCTTCAAGCGCTTCCTCCGGCGATGTGGCAATACATTCTGCGCTGCCTCTGTTGCAATTGTTCCAGGCGATGCTGCTTTGCTTGAGCTGCCCGGGTTTATTGAGGTTTCGCTTGCGGGTTGGGAGATGGAGGCATTGGACGGGGTATCGGAATTTGAGGAAGCAAAGGACGAAAGAAATCCTCCCTTCAATCCGGTAGCATCGTAGATTCGATTAGGAGAGAAGTATGACTTGTGAAAGGCCGAGGCAGGCTGGTTGGCCGCGATGCCGGTTCGACGGTTCGTTGACGAAAGAAACCCTCGTATTGAGGATGGGGGGTAGACTCGCGATCGCACCAAACATTTCGAACATAGGAGCGCCTCTCGCGGCGGCCCAGGCCTCAAGATGGCGGACCGGAGAGGGATCATGGCGCGTGGGTCGTCTCTCTCTCTCTCTCTCTCTCAAGAATGAAAAATGGAAGAAGGGAACTTTCCCCGGCGGCGCGGGACGGACCAAACCCGCACTTTACGTGGAATGTCAACATCGACCACACCCACTTGTTCCTCTTGACATCCACCCCCACAAGTCATCATGGACGTCATTCAGAAAACCGTTCTGGATCCTCTCCAGCCCTACCTCAAACCCATCGTCGAGGCCATCCCTGAACCTGTCCATGACGCGGTCATCTCGTTGATCGGCGAAACCTGCCACAGCGCGTTGTTGCTCGACCTCAGTCTCACCAAGGACGCCGCATGCACTTCCCTGGCCATCTCCAAGGCCCTGGGCATCGCCATCGTCGGCGCCAGTGCCGTCGTCAAGGTCCCCCAGATTCTGAAGCTCATCAACTCGCGTTCGTCCGCTGGGGTTTCCTTCGTGTCCTACGCCCTTGAAACCGCCAGCTTGCTCATCACCCTCTCGTACGGCGTGCGCAACCAATTCCCCTTCAGCACCTATGGCGAATCGGCCCTCATTGCCGTGCAGGATATTGCGGTCGGTGTTCTCGTCCTGAATTTCGCCGGCAAGCCTGCCGCGGCCGCTGCTTTCATCGCTGTTGTTGCCGCTAGCGTGTATGCACTTCTCTTCGACCAGACCCTCGTCGATGCGCAGACCATGTCCTATCTGCAGGCTGGTGCTGGCGCTTTGGGTATTGCCAGCAAGGTGCCCCAGATTTATGCTATTTGGAGCCAGGGTGGGACTGGACAGCTGAGCGCTTTCGCGGTATGTACCCACTTTCAGACTAAATTTAAATGCGTAGCTAACTTTGGTTTCTTTTAGGTCTTCAACTATCTCGTCGGATCCCTATCTCGCATCTTCACTACTCTCCAAGAAGTCGACGACAAGCTCATTCTCTACGGATTCATCGCCGGCTTCTCTCTTAATGTCGTCCTTGCTGCGCAGATGCTGTACTACTGGAACAGCCCCGATCAGTCGAAGCTGAAGTCGAAGAAATCTGCCGGCAAACAGAAGGCTGTCGAGCAGAGCCCTATGGGCCAAAGCACCGGTGCGTCGCCCAAACCGGGTTCAAAGGCGCCTACTACTCGACGACGGGGTTAGAGGGTATATATTTGGTTGAATGCGCTTTATTCTGCAGAATCGTTTTAATACTCCTAATAATGCCATTTTGAATTCATGCAACCTTCCTATGCAAACCACTTCTATTCATGCCGATCCCCATAAATACCTCTCTTGGTATCTATTTCCTTCCAAGGTCAGATGTCCTTCCAGGCATCTTTTCATTCTTTTGCATTGTATCTTTGTGGAAGTTGCCAGTCTGGGCGTATCGTCTTTTCCTGTTGGCCCTGTAGATTCAACTGGATGTAATTCGTGGAAAGACTCTTCCTGGGTTCGAGGTCCAAAGAACTACTGCATTCGCCCAGTAGTCATGTACCTCAGAATCTCCCCCAAAGGAACAACGGGCTCCACAACATGCGCGTGATGTTGAGCAATCTCAAATTCGAAGCCATCGCCGCCAGACTTGCGATGCACACCGACAACCTCCATCTCATCCTCGCCGGACTCCTCCGCCTCTTCCTCCTCCTCCTCCTCTTCATCTTCGGAGCCCTCGTCATCCTCCAACTGCCGTTTCAACCCCGTCACAACATTCTGTATTCCCGCCTCACGCTCCTCCAGTGTGAAATTCCCTCCCCAATTCCGCCGCCTCGCTTCCTGGTTCGCTTCAATCGGGGCCCACTCCCATAGTTCAGCCAGTTCCGCTTCACTGAGTGGCTTCTGCGCCTGTGCTGCCGCCGCCACCGCGCTTGGATTTAAGTTGGATGCGTCCAGGGCCGGTGGCTCTGTCCCTGCCGCGCGGCCGCGCGCGACCCAGTCCTCGACACGGGGATCAAGTTTTGTTCTTAATAGTTGTTCAAGTGTGCTTGCTTGTGTGCGACCTGGGTAGTCGGGGCCTGGGTAGGCGACTAGCGAAGAGAGGAGGTCGCGGTGGTCGGAGAGGTGTTCGGAGACAGAGACGAGGTTATTTGAGATGATGCTGGCTTGGGATTGGAGGGAGGACCTGTAAGACAAATTTCAGTTAGTCTGGTACGATTGGTGTGACGCTGTACTTTGGAAGCTGCGCACCATGGTGGGAGAGGGTCGCTTTGGTTCAGGCTTGCGATTAGCGATCCCAGGGAGCGGGTGAGCTGCACGAGCCGCTGACGGGACTGCTCCAGCACTTTGATCTGGTCTGATGTTAGGGATGCCATGGTGGGCTGGAGGTTTGGACGTGGCCAGAGTCGAGAATGCGCGGGGGTTGGGATGAGGAGAGGATAAGATTGAAGCTTTGGTGGAGAAGTCGGTTACCACAAACTCTATGTGCAGCCGCTCAACGGTCAATTCTGGGGTGGATCGGCTTTGATGAGCACATTATGAGCTATGTTACGGCCAATTTACTTATATCTAATACTTAAAGTTCCAATTTTGCAAATGTTCTATGTTGACCTCATGTCGTGTTCAGTTATGCGGTAAATGTAAGTTTCTTTCTGTCCCAGTTCGGACAGAGTTAATCTAGCAGGATATCTGGATTTGTTGAGGACCCAGGGCAACTGAAAAGTCTCGATATAATGCCTATACTGCCCCTAAATCTTCACCAGCAAACAGATCAATGGGTGAGTTATTGAAGCGGTTATCGCTTGCTACTAATCTTGGAGTTTACAAGCCATCCGTCCCAACGGGGAGCGCATCAGCCAAGTATTTGCACAGCGTATGATCCGATTGCGCGATCTATTCCCACGGGTTGAGGTTCACCGGATGAATTGACTGAGAGATGCTCAATCATGCTTCGGTACTGCCCCTGCCATCCACTCTTTCTATAATCTTGCCATGATATCACTGCATTCATTCCTCCTCCCACTCTTTACAGGCAGGACATCGGAGCTGCCTCCATTCGTGGGATATAGCAGCTTCTCCGTCGCAGCGGTATTTGCAAGCTTTCTGATTAAGGACGCGACAATTTCCGCGGAAGCACGAAAGCAAATCGAGGAGCATCACGTCACATCGACAGCGCAGACACTGGACGCGAACCATCTTTGCAAACAAGAGGTCAGCTTTCCGGGCAATGGCTCTTTGTGTGATGAAAATCTCATGACTGTAGATGGCTGGGAAGATAACATGTTTCCCTGGGGCGAGAGTGGCGTCTTCATGGTGTCATATCCTTTCTTGTGAAGTTTCCCGAGTCCAAACACTTGATGTATCCTCAATTTTGCGGGATCTGGAAGACATTGTTGGCCAGCTCCAGGATCTCATTGACACCATGCTCCTTGAGAGCATTCAGTATCTCATCGACAGAACTCCGGGGAAGCCCCTCTTTGCTCCGAGAGTAGATATCAATCCCAGCAGGAGTGAAAGGTGTTTTGGCAAAGTACGTGACAATCCACTTGGTATCACCATCCGTATGGCCAAAACCAAGACATCCCAGTGCGAACTCGCGACCTTTTCTGCCAACCCTTGCCTCGCCAATCCCCGGCCCCTAGGTCGCCCCTGGAGGGCCGTCTTTCGGATTCCGTGATCTGGACCCATCGCTTACCAAAAAGGGAAAAATGATGGCTTCAATGAGTATGCACAGGAGACTTTTGTGAGCTTCCCCTGGGCAACTGAAAACGGGGCAACATTTGAAGCTATTGCTCAGGTTAGCGATAGGAGTATGTACTAATCGGTTTGAGGTCAGCTCCGAATTCACTTTAGCCTCGTCTTTCAGCAAATTTAGTCCAAGTGCTTAGTTTGGTCGTTCGGCGTCGGTGTCGGTCCTTCAATGTCGGTGTCGGTCTTCTAATGTCGGTGTCGGTCTTCTAATGTCGGTGTCGGTCTTCTAATATCAGTGTCGGTCACCTTACGCAAGCCCCTAAGCCTCCTATATAACCTACGGCACCGTTTCTAGCAGTACCTACGTAGACTATTTAGTAGTCGGTAGCACTAGTGCGACGGCGTCAATACCTCTATTCTATATATTGTGAGATTGGGCATAAGTCTCCTACATGTCTAGTTAGGTAGAATAATTAATATAAAGGCGTTTTGGTTGAAAAAATAGGTGTAAAGTAGGAGATAGGCGGTGGAGTGGCCACTCGCTTAGGAAATACGATAGCGATAGGAGTATATACTAATCGGTTTGAGGTTAGTCCCGAGTTCGCTATAGCCTCGTGTTTCATCAAATTTAGTCTAATTGCTTGGTTTGGTCGTTCGGCGTTAGTGTCGGTGTCGGTGTCGGTGTCGGTGTCGGTGTCGGTCCACTAATATCGGTGTTAGTCCTCTAATGTCAGTGTCGGTCTTTTAATATTAGTTTCGGTCCTTTAATATTAGTGTTGGTCTTTCAATATTAGTGTTAGTCCTCTAATATCGGTCCTCTATTATCGGTGTTATTCCTCTAATATCGGCCCTTTAATTTCGGTGTCGGTCCTTTAACTTCGGTGTCGGTCCTTTACTATTAGTATTAGTATTATTCCTAGTCCTCTAATTTTAGTATCGATCTTCTAATATCGGTATCGGTCCTTTAATGGATACAATAATCCCGAGTCAGAGAAGCCTTTCCTACGAGGCTTGAGCAGGAATGGCCAATCGCCGGGACTGAATATACTAAGCTGTTCCTCCAGACCGATGGAGATATGCCTCTCAAGGAATCCACAGGTTCCCCTTCCACAAAGCAAAGCTATGATTTACCTGGCAAGAACCGGCCGTCTGAAATCATTTCTTTCACCACGCCGCCGTTGGAAAAGGAGATCAAGATCACCGGACATATTGTCGCTCATCTCAATGTCTCCGTCAGCCAGAGCCCCGATGGCCCCGTTCCTTCTTACTTGGACTTGTTTATCAGTCTTCGACATATCTCGGCCCAGGGCTCGGAGATCCTCTATACCGGTACAACCGGTGAGGGTGCGCCGGTGACCAAAGGCTTCCTCCGAGTAAGCATGAGAAAGACAAAGCCTGGTCATCCCCTTCATCGACCTTGGCTCCCCTACCGAGAGTACCGTTCTACAGATGTCCTCCCGGTCGTACCTAACGAAATCTACTCCGTCGATAACGAGCTTTGGCCCACCAACGTGGTCGTGGACGCGGGAAACAGACTTAATTTGGAAATCAGATCGGGCGACACGGCTTGCACCGGACTTTTCCAACACAACGATCCCATTCATAGGTGAGCAACAAAATACTTGATGAACTGCCTGTATTGAGCTGAGCTAACCTGGGGAATAGACCTGATTCTGTCTTCAAAGATCAAAACCACGTCCACTTCAGCCCGGATCATGTCAATTACATGATACTGTCAATTATTCCAAAGTCCTTTACTGCTTAGGGGTATCGAGATTTCAGGAATCGTCCATATAGCCGTCATGAATGGTCGCTAGGCCAAAAAGAACGTGGAAACTAACCCATTGTGATTTACTTGTAGAGTAACGTTACTATCATTGAACAAAATCAGAGACCCCTGCAGGAAGCGCAACCTACTAGACCCACAGCGACAATTGAAAGGCCTCCCCCGGTGTTGCGGATAGAAAATGATAGATTAGAGTCGGTTCTGGGGATCGATCAGCATGAACAGAATGGAGCATCAAAACGCGGATAGGAAGTGCGTGCAGAAGGACTCGTGAAGGCATGCCGAGAAAACCTTTCCACTCCTAATTAGGCTTTGGCTTTCCTGGAGCTAAATATTACAGTTTTTCTTAGGCCGGGGAATGCCTCCATCGATTCCCACAAGGAGGCTGGTTTTTATCTGCAGGAGGGAGGAGACCAGGTTCGCAGTAGTCGCAGCAGAGGTGGTTCCGTACAGCCCACTGGAAGTGAGGCAACGTTATGTTTGTCCATATGAGCCCAGGTATATGAGTTTACGTCAGCTGGGTGGCGCGCAAATGCGACGGTCTCGAGCATGGCGCTCAAAACTCCGGAGGTCGGGATGACTTTAAGGTCCGATAGGACCTTGGCTCTCCAGCTGACCTCCAAAGACTCATTCTCCAAGTCTCGAGAGGAAAGAGATTCTGCATCTTTCTATGTCCATGATATCTATTCCAGGTTTTGCTGTAGCCGTCATAATCTAAAGATCGCAGAGAGGTGGCGAGCTGAAAAAGGTGAGCACATGCCAACTTGTGAGCTCAGCCTTAAAGTCAAGTCCTTTCTCCACGGTGAGGAGCAAATTATCGGCGCGACTGCAGAGTGCATGCACCGATTAGGTGACTATACAGCACAATTATTTCTAAAAATACCATTAATTAAGCTGCCTGAGGGAGGGTTGCAGCCGAACAGGGATTGTAGATTGAAGCTAATTTGGTTCTATTTGGGGTGACAAAGGCAGCTAATTATGGAACGCTGTTCCTTGTCAGCCGCCGATCTCTCCGCCACCCTGCATTCCCGTCCGGCGGCAATGCATGTCCATTGTCTTGTGTACATCAACGCACTTCATGATGCACGTCGGATACTACTTTTGCGCGGGGCGTGTTGGTGAACAAGGTTTATATCTTGGGGGCCTCTCGCTCGAGCTCAGACGTTTCGTTTTCGTGGGCTCAGCAGAGCTTGACTTTCCAACAGCATCATTTGGGGTTTTGTATTTATTGCTTGTCGTTGTTCTTGTTTGTTCTTGTCTTTACAATCCTTGTTCGATCCTTGAGTCCTCGGATCTGACACAGTCGTTGGTTGCGACCCCTCCTCCCGCAACTGAGACCCTTGTCAGTCGTCACCTTGGCCGCGTCCAATCCGAGGCCCTCATTGTTTGCGCTCGTTGACTCGTGCCCTGCATGCAGTCCGCGGGAGATCCCCGGTTGTGAAGGCCAAAGAATAGTTCCAAAATTTCCCAATCTTTATTCCGCGTGCCCCCTACGTCGACCAGGACACAGTTCAATTTATTTGAAGGATCAGTTCCCATCTCCTTCTCCGCACCGGAGTGCTTCGTCATATTACCCACAACGCTTGAATCCTACCTGCTGCCTGGCAACTGCGTGAGATTGGGGATCACCCGCCACAGCAACAGACAATATGGCCGGCATTGTCAACACACCTCTTTCTATCTTCCGCAGACCAGAGTCCCCTAAGCCTTTACACTCGCGTTGGGGTGATGTGGCCATCTCCGTCCCGACGGAGGGCTCATGGAACCAATACGAAAACCCTCATCGGGTTCCCCGGAGACATGCTTATGGGCCTGGTTTTGTTCCAGACTGCTCTCCTATCGACCGGAAACTTCGCCAAGTAAGCGAGGAAGATGACGAAGATAACAAAAGCACCTCAACGGGCTCAACTATACCTCGTCGCAACTCTTTGTCTCTGGGTACACTGTGCCCCAGTCGGCTCTCAGTTCGATTGGCATCTCGCCCCAAACAACTGAGAGGGGAAACCCCCATGGAGCGAGGTAGCCAAACAGAGCAAAAGAAGTCTGAATTTGCATATAAGCCGATCCAACAGGATTATCCGAGTGAAGTCTCTGAGACCTCTAGCCAGAACACTCCACGGTACCGGTATATCCCCGCTAGTGCGCGTTACCTGGATGATATTCCCAGCTCTCCTCGAAGCCAATCAGCAAGGTCCTGTCGCAGCTCTCAAGTTCGACGAGGCTCATTCTCGGAGTCTCAAGAGAATGGAGAACACGACCGTGACTATACTTCGAGAACGCAAGCTCCTTCGCGGGCCAGTTCACGCCAGGAAGATGACCGACGCAGCCTGCAATCCAGCTTGGGCGATAGCTCTGATGGTGCAGGGTCCCGGCTTAGTTTTGGATTGCCGCCCAGGCGGAGGACTTCTCCGTTTGTTGCGGCGAATCGGAAGAGATCGTCGTCTTTGAAGCCTATGACTTTGGTGATGGTTCCTGATCCTGAGGACCTTTACTAGTGACGAATTATAATCTCTCTATTTTATCACGAATGACGCTTTTGCTTTTATTGTGGGTTTGTCATTGCGCGGCGTTTGGAGTGCGGCATTCAAGGCGTTGGTGGACCACTTGTTTATATTCCGGGTTTCATAAGTATTCCAGAATGGCAAGTGAACAATTTATTTCTCAGCAAATGAACATTTTTATTTCAATCTTTTAAGCTCAAGTAGATCTACCCTTATTCTTTGTCGCGAGTAAATCTTATCTGAGAGCTCAATTTTCTAGGCTGACGTCAGTCTGATTCACAGCAAAGAAGAAGGTACCGGAATCTTAGCTCAACGTTCCCATTGGCGGACACTGTACCCTCTGGAAATCCTGAGATATTTGGTACTCAACCCTGAAAATAAAGTTTGAGAAAATAGTTTGGAAGGGGAGCTTGATCACTATGATGGCATGGACAACATCCTTCGCTTGGCATAATGAAGAAGAATTGAAATTTCTTAAATCTACCAAGTACGGCATAACATCGTCCTTTGACAATTTACTCTTGATTACGCATCATATCTTGACTTGGATTTCAATCGAGACCATAAATAGAATAGAATTCGGCTCAAGATGGCCGATGCAGTGGTTCAACTTCGCTGCGGTGTCAAGGTATGCCTTTTCTCCCTCAATACTACTTTCACCTCTAAGGAATCTCGCTTCAGAATGATCCCTGGGGCAAGAAAGGGAAAAGCTCCTTGGCGGCCCAACTGTGGTCAAAGACTCCAGGAAGTGAGGGGATCGACGACTCCAAGACTTACTCAGAGGTACGACGGCTTGTGAACGCGGATAAACCTTAGGAAAGAGATCTAACATGCTTTCTCCAGATGTGGATGGGGACCTATCCTTCGAATCCATCCTATCTACTGTCCACTGGCGAGCATCTGGGTGAATATCTGAAGAAGAAGCCCCAACTGGTTGGCAAATCTGTTCTGGATCGATGGGGCGCAGAGATACCATTCCTGCCAAAAGTACGATGGCAAATAGCTGCTTGAAGTGTGCACAAAGTTGACGGCAACAGATTTTATCCTTCTCCAAAGCACTGCCACTTCAAATCCACCCAGACTTGGATCTCGCAGCCAAGTTGCACAAGGAGGATCCCAAGAAGTACGGCGACACCAACCACAAACCGGAGATCGCCATCGCGCTTTCAAATTTCGAACTATTTGCCGGCTGGAAGCCACTGAGCGATATCCAGGAACTATTCAAGCTCAAACCTCTGGAAAGATTCGTTTCCTCGCATACGAAATTCGACGACGAGACATTACGCCAAGTCTGCAAATCATTATTGAATGCCGACCCTAAAACAGTATCCGCAACAATCAAAGAACTGCAAAGCATCCCCGAGTCCCAATTCGGACGAGACCCCTACATCCCAGTCCTGCTCGAACGACTGAGCAAGCAATTCGGCGACAACGACAACGGAAACCTCGTCGCTGCTCTCTTAATGAACTACATGACCCTGGGACCTGGCGACTCCGTCTTCGTCCCAGCAGACAGCATCCACGCCTACTTCGAAGGCGACATCGTGGAATGCATGGCCCGGTCCGACAACGTGATCAACACGGGCTTCTGCCCCGCTGCAGAACGCGACAGCGTCGAGCTGTTCGGCCAGGCGCTGACCTTCGTCCCGCACGATGCCCAGAGCGCTCTCCTGCCGCGACGGAAGAGTGACAAGGGCATGAATGGCAAGACGGATGTGTATGCGCCCCCGATCAGCGAGTTCGCGGTTCTGTGCACTTGTCTTGGCGCGGGGGAGAAGGAGACGCACAAGGCTATTCTTGGGCCTAGTCTGATGATCGTTACTAAGGGATGTGGGTCTATGATGATGCCTGGGGATCAGACGGTTGAGTTGAAGGAGGGGTTTGTGTTCTTCGTGGGACAGGGCGTGGCGCTGGATTTCACCACGGACAAGGGACTGGCGGTTTACCGCGCTTATGCAGAGTAAATTGGTCTTTTGTTAGTTGGTTTAGGCTCTGAGGTCTCAGGTTTAGAGTTGTCGATTTCTCTCTCTTGTTTCTTGGTTCTTGTTTTTGGGAAATAGACACATGCCCATCTCGGACCTTTTACAGATCATCCAGTGCGGATCCCCGTCGGTGATAGCCCCCACCCGAGAATGTAGCGTCTGCACTATGTTAGTGTTGGTTTCACCTGGGGTATTGATTCGCCCATTTCACGAGGCGCGTACATTCAACCAGTCACAAGGCCGTGAAAGTGTTGGTTTACTATGATTTGCCGGGATTCTGCAAGATGCAGGTAGGCACAGCCGGGGCATGGAGTGGGCGCTTTTGGACGAGGCCTGGCCGTGACTAGCGTGATGTGCTGGCATCAGATCCGGACTAAATGTGGGCTAATTATGGGCCTTTCTATCTATAGCCCGTCAATTACTATCTTTACCTCTTTCCCCAATGCGCCTCAAAATATCCCACCCGAAGCAGGGTCAATGTGTCGGGAAGCTTCTTTCAGGGACATATATCAGGGCTGGCCATGACCGTCAATCTCACGCTTGAGGATCGACTCCTTAACTATACCCCGGTTATTGGGGGGGCCCCAAAGCAAGTCTGGCACTGGCATGGATTAATTTGACCCTGCATCGTACATTTCCCGGTGCCATCCATCGCTAGCTTGCTTCTCAACCGGGGTTCGAGTATTGTTCCGAACTCCCATCACACGATCGGTACCGGTCAAGAGCCAAGATCTCTAGAACGAACGCGTGTTATTGGCGAGGTCTCTGCGAACACCCTGGCAAGTAGGTTTGCCACGGCCCAGGAACCGAGGTGATAATGCAACGCTAACGACTCCCCGCAGTGACGGGTGGACTCCTGCACCTTTTCTCCCGCAAGGAGAGGGCGAAGCGAAAGCAACAGCAAGCCGAGCGACCGCCAGTACCGCCGGCGTACAAACCCAACTGCGAAGCGACTGGGCCCCGCTCTGCACATCCCCGGCCGCTATCTACTTTTGCTCCGGACTACAGTCACTACCACTATGCCCCGCGAGCCTCAATGGACCAGCCCCCACTGCCAACGTATGATCCATCGAAGTACCAACCAATTCGACCAACATCAACGCACAGCGCTGATTTGTTAACCTCATACGGCTATCCCAACTCCAGGGGCCAACCGTCCCGCTTGAGTGAGGTGCACTATAACGATGCACGCTCGTCCATCTATCAGCCACCGCCGCCGCAAAACCTGTCGTCTCATGCAAGGCGACAGTCCGCAATGCCTAAGCCATCCTACCCAACGGCCTCGGCTGAGCGCTCGTCTAGACCAGGAGATGGTCGAGAAAGGAGTCACTCGGAGCCAATGCTTTCTGCACCGGGCGCGCGCGGCCCAAAACGAGCCAAGCCAGTGCTTTCACGGATAATTACCAATTTTGGATGAATTGTGCAACACGTTATCTGATTCTCTGCATTTGAGGCTGCCGGGGTAGCTTTCGATTCTTAACGACCGTCATGAACTGCGAGGAGTTTGGTGTTTGATGTTTGCCGGTATACTGGGGTCTTTACATTCTTCACTGGAAGAGAAAATGAGAATGGATTTTACTCTCCAGTCAGTAGTCTACGGTCTAGTTCGTAGCGACCTAGTAAAAGGGACCCAAGTACAATTCCAAATCTATTCCAAATCACAACGCAGGGCGATCAGGGTTGGCGCTGCAACGTGAGTGGAGTCGAGATCGAGACCCTAAACAGACGCCTGTGGCCTGTGCCACAGTCGATCTCTGCGACTCCCCTTCCCCTCTCGACCCCATTTTCCATAATCGAAGGCCCTCGGCGCCTAAGATAAGCTCCGGTAGGGACGTGCCGCATGTTCAGCGGGAAGATCAACCTTGTTGCGTTCCGAACCACCGATTTCTTCCTTGCTTTTACCAGGCCGTTGCTTCGAGGCGGCCATGATCTTCACCCGGTGACTCTAAGACTCGAAAACAATCCACTTCGGGTGCAGGGATCGGAAGCATCACGGTGAAACATGGTGTCGTATGGTCAACTTCCTCGGGACCCGAACCCCTCTTTTGATCCCTGTTGGAGCTGTGCCATTCTCCTACCAGAGAGTTACCTTCCGCGAAGTGGATCGGTGGATCGCTGCCTGCGGTCAGGCGGGAGCCGCTTCCCTGTCGCCAGCTCCAGGTTGCACCGAATACCCCCGGCCGTTAATCGTAAACGGCTAACCAGCAGATAGCCTCGCTGGGCGCACTCCGATCTTTTCCATTATGGTCCTTCCGGCGCAGTCGTGCGCAGGTGCAGATCCCACGACAAGCGCCATGCCAAGACGACGGCGGACGACGTGCATACGATACTATGTGCAACCCATGCCTGACTCGCCGTCAAAAGTCAACTGCAAGCCTTGTGCCGCAAAGTGTTGCAAATGACCTTTGCCATCCTCAAAGGCCCGACAGGGGGCCGTGAAATTAATCCACTTCTCGCCCGTACCCCCTCTTGTCCTGCAGCTGAGCACCAACATCTGCAGTCTCCAAAGCTATCTCACTCGACTACGGCCCGCTAGGCTCTTTCACCCGACCACCTGTCGCGTTTGCGGTCCGCTCGTCACTGCCCCTGAAGCGCTGTTGCTGTTGGCGCCCCGGAGGCCACCGCCAGAGGGGTTGAACCATAGTGTCGGGCCCCAAAACTTGGAGTTTCCTCATCACTAGCCGGGCATTTTGTCATTTCCCAACACCAACTCGTCAAGTATCTCAGAAGATCTTCCCACCTAAACCAACAGACATGCGGTAATTAGCGTTTGTTGACACTCTCGTCCCATTGATATAAGTTCAACCCATGCGGGCGAAGCTGCCTGCGCTGCCCTCTTTCGTTACATCTTGGCTCAGTCTCTTATCTGCCGTCTTCTGCGGCACTGCTCCACGTTTCCCTGTGGGGGAGTTTGATCGACCTTGAGATGCGCATCGCATTAGGGAGTGGACTGTCCTCCCATTAAAGCCGTTGCTTTTTAAATACACAGCGTATCCATTTCGAACTCTTTTCGATGACCAACCTGTTGAAGGCCATGGCGAACCTCATGAAAAAGTTTAAGCGGAAGCGCAGACTTTCGTCCGAGTTGCATTCTCGCTGGGGCGACCCTTCCATCAGTTATCCCACTGAAGGCTCATGGAACCAAAGAGATCAAAACTCTGGGCTTCCTTCCACAACTCACGCAGAGCCATGTCATCGAAGCCAGCCCGATGAGTCCCGGCGCTATATATCGATAGGTGATGTGCCAGCACACAATATAGGTCGGCCGAATGACCTCGGTCCTCACAGTATCAACACGCGGGACACGAGCGCCGGTCTGCCGATTCCAAAGGGATACTTCGACGAGAACATACGGCGTCAAGCAGAGAGAGGCCGCAGACCACGCGCTCGAGGCCTCGGGATTGATAGTACAAGACAAGGAGTGGGCGAAACACAAGATAACCTGGACGACGAGTCATGCGACGAAGAAGACGAAGAGAGGGACAGAGTGGGCGATCCGGGAGACGCACGACACCGCGGGTATGCAGAAATATCACGCCCATCACCCCAACTTGACTGCGACTCATATATTGACCGGTCCTCAAGATCGCCTCCATTATCAGTAACGGCACGCATGCGCCGAATCAGCACGCAAAGCTCGACGACCGAGCCCGAGTGTTCGGTCGCTGGAACGACCAGCTCAAAACATACGAGCTATACGGCCGCATCGTCTGTTTCGGCGCCATCGCTTCCCCCGGATACACCGCGGTATGCATTCAACAGTATGCATCCTGCATCGGATAAGCGACATGCTCCCCGCCCGCGGTACCAGGAGCCCGAGCCTGCGGTTCATCATGAGATGGTGCCGTCCTATGATGAACTCTATGGGTGATTGAAATGTTCTGGATTTTGTTTTCTTCATTTGTGATCTAGAGATTGATTATTCGGGTGGTCTTTTTGAGCTTTGAATGGTCTGTAGGGGGCTAGAATGCCTTGGCCAGGTGTTGGAATTAATATCCTCCTGGATCCTTTTACTACACATTTTACACGTTTTTCGTGGCGGTCATTGGGGGCTTTTTTGCAGATTTTCCTTTCTATACACCATATTTCACATCAGTTTTCCCGTAGTAGTGTTGGTTCTTATCGTAGGAGTCCACCCCCACTTCTCCACTACAAGAGACTCAACTTCCACCTGCCAACGTCTACCTATATGGCGTCGAGCAGCCCCCTGACCACCGAAAGCTACAAGCTGCCGAGATCCGTCTCGACCAAAAGCCCACTGTGCCCACGCTAGCTATGCTCGCACTGAGTCGTAGCGATATGCAGCGGGGCAGGCGCGAGCTCCCGCCGGTCCGTGCAGCGAATATGCAAGACCGTGGCAGGAGTCACAGCCGCCCATCACCAATCACCCCGGCGCCTCGATCACACTCGTCACACGCCGCCAGATCCACTCACGCTGGGATCGCTGGCCTACCCTGCACTTTCAGCCAACCCCTCAGCCTATGTTCGATGAGCTCTAAGCGCCGGCCTGGTAGCCTGGTGAGGGGCGTACTTGATTTGACAGACACATCCCCTCCAACCCCCGACACTGCGACACTAAGCAGGTTCACGCTGCATGGAACAGCACTTTCCGTGCCTCACATACTTTTTTCCCACAGGAGCAAGGATCTCTCCACTGAATCATCCCACTGGTCGCTGAGAGAGACGCCCTGGGACTGAAAAAAGAAGGCTTTCCTCCTGACTGTCACTGGTTTTCTCGAACTTCTATTTCCATGACAGCTTGATCGCCCTCCTCCGGCGCTAGGCTTTTGTTTTCCTCCCTACTTGGTGGTCAAGGAAGGAACCGAAGCTGCTGCTCTCATTCATCATGCCTGGATTTTCGGACTGCGGTCCACGGCTCAGGACGCTGGCGGTTGTCCTAGCGGCCTTGTTTCTTAGCAACCCTCTCGCGGTACAGGGGTTGAGAACCACGTCGGGCTCGCCGTGCGCCGAGAAATGCAGCAAATTGGGGTCGTCTTCAAACACCACTGTCTCCGAAATTGCCTGTCTGGACTCGCAGTACAACCAGACAAAGGGTCGGGATTTCGAGGACTGTATCACCTGCGAGTTAGAAAGCAGTTATGTGAATCGCCTATCCGGTGAAACCGATGTCACCTGGGGTCTCTGTATGTCAATCGCCGAGAACGGGTGGCAATATCGCTAATAGCGCTCCAGATAACCTACGCTTCGCATTCTCTACGTGTGTCTTCGGAGTTCCCTCCGTCATCACCAATCAGACTTCGCAATGCCCAGTGGCATGTGCGGGAATCGAGCCAGCTGTGATACTCGAATTGGAAGACCCCACAGCGAACAACTTCCAAAACTGGTGCAAGAGCTCAGCGTTTGCCGATAACATTATCAACACCTGTGAATTCTGCTATAACTTGACCTCCGCGGCCGTGAACCCGGGAACAACCGGCGGGCAGGTGTATCTCGCAAACTGTACGTGAATCCACAAAGCGACCGTAAAAAGAACAAGAAGCGCAGCCACTTACCTTTATCCCAGTCCTCGAATCCATCCGCTACAACTGCCACTTCAGCACACCAATCGGTAACCCATTCGAAATCTCCCCGACCAGAATCTTCACCGAAGTCCTCCTCCCCTCCTCCATGTCCCTCTCAACTCCCAGTGCAGCCTCCGTGACTGGCGTAAATCTAGGCATGGTAATCGCACTACCAATCCTGGGCTTTATAATCATTCTCGTGGTACTGGGAACATGCTGCTTCTTCTTCATCCGGTACCGCCGCAAGCGCTCCCGTCGGAATCATTACCAAAGTCATCTGTACGAACGCTGGAATGATACCACCATCACCACACCCAGGCAGAACCAAGGCGCCTGGGGTTGGGCTGGTCAGCCGGGGTACTCGGACAATGACGAGGCTGCCGCGGCTGCCGCGGCGGGATATGGGTATGGGAACGGCTTCGGGTTCGTCGATAGTGACGGGCGTGGACATGAGGTTGGGTACGGTCATGATTACTCCAAGGCTGGGGTCCAGCAGGAGATTACTGAGGCTCCGTTGCCAGGGCAGCCCGGGGTGACTGGGCTTGAGCATGAGGCTGAGCATGGATACCCGCCGGATCAAAAGCATGCCTCTTGAGGTGGCCGTTATGTTTGGCCTGAATGCTGGTGAATGTGAAGCTGGACACTGGTCAGCGAGGTGTCTTGATACCCAAGTACATGTCGATGCTGGTACATTGATGAGTGGGTGGATCCTCACATCATCGAGGGCGTTTTCTTCTTTGATATTCCCTGTAGTACATGATATATCCTCATCTTTCCGATTCAAGTTCAAATCAAACAGAAAAGTACCGAAGAGAGTCGGAGCGAACAGCCCGAATAGCAACGTAGAAAACGGGGCGGCAACAACCTATTTATCCCGCCCCTCCAGCAGCTCAGACCATAACGAAATAACCCCGTGCATCGCAAGCCAAAAATAAACACGGCACATCTATCTATACGAGATGATCGGCTATCATGACTTGGGAAAAGCCTTGGAAGGGATCTCTGGCCCAATGGCAGTGCTGGATTGGCCGGGCTGACACTGTGCAAGGTTTCAGCACGCAAAGCCAAGGGTCCACGGGTCCAATTGCGGGTGCCTCGGGGACTGAGTTTATTTTTGGAGCCGGGGAGGGCTTTCCTTTCTTGTTATGTCCTACGGTGAGGGTGCTTTACATAGAGTCTTGATCGGCTTTCCCTAGTCTTGAGGGCGGGGTAGATGGGTTTTGCCGGTCGAATACATGGCGATATCGAGACAGCAAAAAGCCAGGAATAGATTCAAAGCACACTACTTGTCTATTCATCGTTCAGTCCTCACCAGACTCTCCTCACCTGAAAAGTGGTTCTAAAAGGCCAACCGGCCCTGGAGGCCTCCCGCGCAATTTATATGCACAAGTTGTATTGGCTCTTGCAAAGGCATCGGTCCCAAAGCCCGTACCCCGCTATGAATACCTCCAGTGGGATTGTCACGCAGTACCGTATATTCCCCGACATAAAACGACGGTCACTAGCATGGCGGTCATCAGTAGCGACAATGGATTAATGGAGGCATATGTTTGAGCAGAGGCAGCTCCGAAACCTTAGAAAATACTTGGATATTCCTTTCTCATCTAGGAAGTCCCTCGGTCAAAGATTGAATATGGATGACTGCCTCGACGGGGGTGAGATGATAGAGATGAGGATTGGCGGGAATAAAACATTTGTGACGTCGGGCTCACAAAACGCTTAAAACTGAAAGAACAGCTCAAAAATGAGAGAATGTCTAAATGAGCGTTAATCATTTTCCTGGTATCACATCATCAGCAGGTCTAGAGACCAAGGCGTGTTATCAGGCTAGGACCATTTTCCGGCATGTGGGAGTGTCCTGAGTTAAGCTTGGATTAATTTTTGAATGACATGTTTTTCCAACTTAATCAAAAAGAAGATCTACATTTTATAACCATCATACAAAGGATTGTATCATAGATCCAGATCGGAAGCATGGCTATGGCGTTTGGAATATTGAGATCTTGCACAACAATGGCGTGACATAACAAGGCGTATCAAGGCCAGACCCATTTTAGCTGATCAACGGGCAAGTCTGCCGCACGTGCTCGTCATCGATTGGACGACGCATCACAATCTTAGAATCTGACGCAATATGCAGGGCCGGTGGGGACTGGAACCTTTTACATCGCCACTATAACTTCCAAGGCATCCACGATTCTCGATCTTAGAAGCAATGCCTTTCAAGGGATTTTAGACATCAATATCAAATGGAATGCAGGAGCTCATACAAGTATCAAAAGAGTGTGTATTGCCGTAGCAAAAGATATAAATTCAAATCGAGCGAAACAATGAGCCAACGTGTACTGGAGGCTTGTCATTGAGGCATTCAAACATCCAAACCATCTATACCCGTAGCCCATATTCCGTACAAGGTGCAAATTCATCAAATCCAAAAGTAAAACGTCCAATCCAGTCCAGATCCAAAAGCCAAAAAATATATCAGAACCATCACTGAACAGCGCGTCTATAGATCCTTTCAGTCTGTCTCAGTGATTGGTTTGAGGAAGCCGTCCCTAATCCAGTCTAATCCGCGTGCGCATTGTCAAGAGCGCTGTTTTAAGTTATTTAAACGCGGAAAGTGGGGACCAGGGTGAAGCTGGAGGAAGAGCTGACGGGAGTAGAGCTTGCGGGGGTAGAGCTAGCGGGAGTAGAGGTAGAGCTGGAGGTAGCGAAGAACTGGCGCTTGGGGAGACCAGTGGGGAAACTGGTGAAGCTGGAGGAAGAGCTGGCGGGAGTAGAGCTAGCGGGAGTAGAGCTCGAGGTAGCGAAGAACTGGCGCTTGGGGAGACCAGTGGGGAAACTGGTGAAGCTGGCGGGAGTAGAGCTCGCGGGAGTAGAGCTAGCGGAAGTAGAGCTCGAGGTAGCAAAGAACTGGCGCTTGGGGAAACCAGTGGGCAGACCAGTGGGCTCGGGGAAGACGGACTCCAGGCCGGAGAGGATGCCCGAGGGAATGGGCAGCTGGCGCTTCTCGAAGGGCCAGCTGGGGGTAGCCGAGGAAGTCGGGGTGACAGTGCTGGTCGGGGTGACAGTACTGGAGACAGATCCGCTGGAAGAAGGAGCATGAGGCAGGGCGAGGGCACAGCCCATGAAAGCCATAGCAGCGACGCCGGTGAACTTCATTGTGGATGAATTATGGATTGAAATTTGAATGAAAACGAATGGAAACGTTCGGATAGTTATCACAACCGAATTGATATATAGTAGCGATGGGGCAAAAGAAAATTCACAAGGGGCACGGCGATCGAGAAATTCTTTATAGGGCTATGGGAGGCTAGGTCCCCGAAACGTGGCAGGGTCCTCAAACCTGATGGAGACCTCCGATATGGAGCTTTCGTGATCGGGCAATGATCTCTACAATTTCCCTCTGAGGCTGGGCCGCCGTACGCACCGGACGACCCGTAAAGTAATGGACTGTCGATCAGTTGTACCGGAAGGACCCACAAGAAGTACAATCCGGTGCGACTAGCATATTTAGTGCCAACGAGAGCCAGGGATGGCGTCGTAGGAGCCGGCAATTCCAGTCGGGACTGAGATATTTTCTATCTCGTATCGCATGGTAGCTGTTGGCCAGCCAGAGTTAAACAAGCAGATAGCAGCGGAAACGTGGCGCGTGAGATGGAAAAGGGCAGGTATCGACCTTCGCGTACATGGTAAGACAGCTTGAACGGGTAAGGATGGGAGCGGTCCAGACAACGCGGTGACGATCATGTTCCGTGTATATCGGGTGCCGGGTGGACTGACCGTATCATATTGCCCCGTCGGTTTAGATGGGCAGGGCCACCTGCCCGTTGGGGAAGGGTTTCCACGATCAGACTCGGGCTGGTCGGGGCCAAGAGCAAGGAATATGTATGACCGACGAGCTTAATCCCTTGGGGCAGGAGCCCGGTCCGAACTTTCAAGGTCGGCCCTGCAGGCTCGGACCCGGAAGGCTCCGCCCGGGCAAGGTTCGATTCGGCTTTCGCTAAGTCCGAAATGCAGGGCAAGGTTCATCGGTTGCTTGGAGCCTCCAGGTCCATTTGCCAACCACCTCAAAAATGATTTATATCGTCATGCTAGGGTTGCCAGAGTTTTCTGGAGGCTGATACAGGTTGTGTATCAGGGGCGCAACAGAAGTGGGCTGGGCAACGTGCAAAAGTGGACGGAGGAAAAGGCTTCCCACTGATTGATAACTGCGATCCAATTGCCTGTAGTTGATCGCAAGTGGACCTCGGCCTTAGCTGCCCATTCTCTGCTCTGCTACTGTAAACGGGAGTTGAGCAGGTTGATCTTGTCCAAGCACGGTTCGGCTCGGGAGGGCATCTTGGCGCATGTTGTGTTGGCTTTTTCTCCCGTACCGTACATAGTGTACGCGCTGACAGTGGGGACTCATGCAGGCAAAAGGTATTTCAAGAAGAGGGGAAGGCCAGGCCAAGTTCTTGAGGGTTCCGTCAAAGTCGAGTTGAGTCTGCGTCGTCAGCCACTGAACGAGGTTGGACTAGCGCGGCGGGACCTTGCAGTCTAAACCGTATCAAGGTGTTTTTAGCTCGAATGGTGGATCCATGAGGTGGATATTTGGGTGATCTGCATATGAACCTCCCTGAACAGCGAGCCTTGAGTGATGCATTACCCTGGGGCTGTCATGAGGAAGCAGCGAGGAATTTGACTCCAAGTCAAGTGCGTGAATAGTGGTCACTAGGATATGGCATTGCCCCGGAGGGAACTCTTTTATAGGAGAACATCTCAAGCTTACTCTGATGAGTTTAGACGGATTAAGAAATATGTTTAGAACGAAAGTCAAAAACACTTCTCAGTGCTACCCAGCTATTCATGCCCATGCAGAGCGGAAACTCTGAATTGTTTCATGCAAAAACTCAGTTGTTCTGCCGATGAATAACCTTCACGGATTGCCGACGCTCCACCGTTACCTCATCAGTCGTTGGCCGGCCAGCCTTTTCCATACAAGATCACCCCACGGCGCTTACAGTGGGGAAAAGTCTACGGGAAGCGCCAAGAGCGGAATTTTGTCTTAACTGAAATGAACTATGTCGATCTAGAGGGATTTGACTAAAAACAAGGGTCTAAAAGCCAGGTAACCTCGCAAACTTTCCCGTCGCCTATGTTGCAGCCCATTCTCCACTATATACACCGGAGACCCAGATGAATGACAGGTTTGAACCGTGTTCTATTCTGACTTCTCCAAAAAAAACCCGAGATGAAATGCCCGAGATGAAATACCAGAGACCCGTCTAGACAAAAGAGACTTGATAAAAAAAAAGCGATGTGTGAGAATCCCAATGCGAGTAGTGTTTACCATATAAGAATCAGGGTCGGAGATAAGCTGGATATGAGTGGTCTTGCACGGATTCTTCCCGTCCGAGTGGCCCGCATCGGACTTAGGAGGGATGGGTCGTTCAGCATGACTTCGAATAGGATGGCACGTAGCCGTGTTGCCGGAATGCGTCAGAACGAAGCGGCGTTCTTCAATGGCGCGGTTTGCGGACGACGGCTTCAGGAGAGCTCGGGTACACGGACGGCGTCATGCTTAGCAGGTGGCGCGAGGATGAGGACAGTGCCATAGAGATCTCTCGAGCCGAAGGCGCATAGCCCTGCTTTGGTGATGCTCGTCGGCCTGAAGCGGACCGTGGTGACCTGCCGGAGAATGACGATCGCCGCGATCGGACTGGGCTACGCGGGCCATGCCTAGAATCTGCTCCATAGGAAGATCCATCCCATGATGCCCGGTTGTTTGACAGCCCTGGGCTGATGGTATAGACGGGCTCGGGATCCTCGTCATCGTCACTATCTGACCCAGTCGTGAATGCCCCACCGAAGGATATTGAAGATCGCCGAAGATGGGCCTTGGGCTGGGCCACGGAAATTGCGTCGGGAAAGGTGAAGGGTTGTTCGAGCGATACTGTGCTGCGTGCTTTTCTCAGTTCTTGCGAGATTTGACTCTGTGAGTACACTCTGGACCGTCTTCGAACAAGCTCGTGGCTGTGAGAGGCTCTTCTCCGAAACGGAACACGCGCTCGTCCTCGTCCGGCGCCTTCTGTCGAGTCGGCCGGGTGACGAATGGAGTCTTGCATGCGCAGTTGAAGTTGACCCGGGCTGAAGGCTACGCGGGCCCGCATTTGCTGGATGGCTCTGTCCAGTGCCAGTTCGATGGCGCATGCGTTGCGGATTTGGCTCAGTCTAGGCCAGGTTGCGCGTTCGCCGCTGAGACATGCCTCAAGCATGAACTCCTGTGTCGGGTTCTCCAGGAGGCGAGGGAAATTGGAAGAAATCAGTTCGGGGTAGATGTTGATGTCGCCGCTGTATCTCTGGTTCATAATGGAGGCGAATTTCGTCATGGAATTTGGAAAGACCCCCATTTCTGAAAGGACGGTGATTCGGTGAAGTATCTCATCTTTGGCAAGATGCGTCATCGTGTTCAGCCAACCAGGCAGTGCCCGGTGCTCGGCAGAATTTGACAGGCCATCTTCCTTTGGTAGGAACGGGACCACATGAGGGTTAACCTGGGAGACAATGAAGTGGTTGACATTAAACATCTCGGATAACCGTGTCATCGGGAGGTCGCCGTCAACTGAGCCGTCGATATACTGCTTGTGGAGGTCGTTCCATGGTATTGCCTCCCCCATCTTGGGGTCTTTGGCCATCAATGTGAAGGGTTTAAACACCAAAGGCACGGAGCATGATACGGCCCTGCAAATTATTAGCATCAAGATGAGATGAAAAGGCCGACCAAGACTTACACAGCAGACCAGATCAACACATTCGGGGCCGAGATGTAGTTCAGCAGCCGCGGAAGCTCGTACATGCTGGCACTGGACACGCAGATATTCAAGATCCGTCGTGTTCGGTTATATGCCTCTTGGAAGGTCATGTCGCCCAACCAACCGCGCATGGTGTTTGCCAAGTGGGAAATGTCAAGGAATGAGCCGTGTTTCAAGAAACGCGCCGTCTTTTGAAACATGTTCTCCTCTTGGCCATGTTTGTTGAAGACCGCAAAATCTCCATCGGTGATGTAAGTATCCAAAAGCCCCGGCAACTCATCGTCGGTGCAAGTACAAAACACTGCACATACGATACTCCCCGCCGAAGCCCCAGAGATGATGCGCGGGATGAGGTTCTGCTCGTAAAGAGACTTGAGAACACCAATATGGTTCATGCCGAAAGTCGCACCTCCAGAAAACAGCAGTGCGCTCCGGCCAAACGCCTGACGAGCCGCTAGCAACTGGTCCAGGATGTATTTCAGCTCCAACCCGTCACAGCGATTATCCACCGACAGTTCCACCAATGCCCTGATCGTGTCGAGGGCCGTGGTTATGTATTGATCGATGAGGTTCTTCGTCCCTATATGCGAGTGGCGGTAGAGCGATGCGTTGCTCATCTTGCCGAGGTCGCGGCTCATAGCGGTGCGGACGAGAAACAGCATACGACTCACGTCGCAGCTGGTGCGTGCCTCTTCCAGCTGCCGCAGGCGTTCTTGGACAAGTCGCGGGTGGTACTCGGCGCACTCGGGGTCCTCTTTCCAAACAACGTGGTTTTCCAACACGTCCAACTCCTCGGCGCAGCTCCGCCATTCCTCATACGACACAGCCTGTCCGGTTATGGTTAGAAGGGCGACTCTGCTGACGTGACTGCGTGCCAGGTACCAGGGAGATGAGTACTCACATTTTTGATCTTCAGGTAGAGAACTTGTTTGCGGTCCTCGACTTCCGCCCGCTGCTTTCGCTGGTCGGCGGAGAGGCCGTCGCGGTAGGAGTGTAGGGTGTCACCAGCCCAATTCCATGAGTCTCTGACGAGAGATGAGACGGCGGGGATCGAGATTGCTTTGCGCAGGGTGCGCCGGGGAACCTTCGGAAGGGGTTCGTCATGGCAATGATTTATTGTGGAGTCGCCCAATACCGACATAACAGGCCTGTGCATCGGGAGCAAGCCATCCAGCCGGGGAGTATCGGCCCACTCGGAGTCCCTTTGGGTTTTAGATAGGTATGAGGCAGACTGTGCAGGCGAGTAGATAAATAGATGAAGAGGAAGAGGCGGTCTGACAGACGTCACGAGGACCGGATACCCGATGACCCCAACTTTCCCCGGTTTCCACTTTTTATTTGGGGGTAAGAAGTTTAGGTGGTAAGATCGAAAGGAGTGTAGACCAGGATTAGAATAGATTAGCGTAGTAGTGCATCAGGTTATCGATCTGACCAGGGTCAAGTAAATATGATCTCACCGTCATCTGGTCCCTGGCGTCATTCACATGCGCGGCATGCGAGCATGTGAGTGCAGCCCAGCGACCCACCTTATCACCGTCTACGAAACAAAGTAGAGCATACTTAGTTAGTAGTACTATTTCAGGCTAAAGTTCACAATTCATCCCAGCATACGGAGTAGAACCAGACACTTCAAAGTCCAGACCTCAGCCATTCACGGAGCATGCGTTTTGCCTCCTCCGCGACGCCTGCTTCTCGCCAAAAATGTCCCGCACCCTCGATTTCGCCGCTCTGGAAATGACTCTGCGGCACGCGGCTCAATTCGGCTGACCATCTTTGCAGTTTACGCACGGAGGTGAACTCGTCCCGATCCCCATATAATGCCAGAGTCCGGTGAGCACTCAGCTGGTCGGCTGGACGCACTGCGGCCCGAACCTGAGCTGGAGCTGACATTCCCCCCACGTTCAGCGATAGGCTGCAGAAACCGGTCAGAAGCTGGCTCACCGGCGGCCGCAGAGGTGACACGAGCAAGTAGGATATGGCTGTCTCCGCACTCAACTCGATCTCGTCGGGGTTGTCCGGGTTCCCGCTCTCCTCTGGATTTGCTGGGGCCAGATCACGGATCGTTGCCGCTGCGATCTTCCTAGCTTTGCGGCCAATCTCGTAGATGGGCGTGCCCGGGTTTGTTGCTCCGGTTCGGAATAGGTCTATCATGACATCAAGCGTCGGCACATGCGACGCTATCAGTGACCCGAAGGAGTATCCCCCGATAATGAGGTGGATATTCCGATCTGCGGATGCAATGGGCGAAGGGGGGTGATCTGGGTCGCGGGGTTGTTTTTGTAGGAGTGCAACCTCTACTCGATGCAAGTACTGTAGCATGAATCCGTAGAAGGCCACATAGTCTCCCAGCTCGGGTCGTCCAGTCCAGCTGGATCGTCCCTCAGAGGGTGCGGCACCGCTGAGAGGGTCGTGTCAGCTGGCTTCAACACGATATCGGGGCAGATGTACCGGAAATTGAATGTCCCCACGAAATAGCCTTCATGAAGAAGCTCGTCGCCGAGGAAACTGATCACTTCGTCGTCGTAGGTGCCACCGAGTGGTGCATAGGGGTGTCCGAGAATTACACCACGAACTGACCCTCTCGGGTCCGATTCTATATTTCGGATCCAACCAGGGAGGTAGAGGCGGCACTGGAGCTTGCAACCGCCGTGGACCGAACGCAGACTGAATGAAAAGGCCGGAGCGTGGACATTCATGGTCAAAGTTGATTATGCCTTGACATTCTTCCAATTTTCCTCCAAGGTTAGTTCATGTTGTTGTCGAGGATGTGGGTGTTTGAAATTGGCAAGGTTGGACGGACCGCCCGCGCCCCAATTGGACCTTGCTCTACACAACTTATCAGCTCGGCTCGGAGCTCTATTTACACTGATTTCTTCGTATATTGGATTAAAAATTTTCATTCCATGCTAGATGCATATGTTCTTCAAAATTGTTGGTTCTAGTGCTTCTCAAGTTCCAGGGAGTAGCCATGCCGGGTCGGGTTCATCGTCCTCCGACCTGGACGCTGTATCTGTGTGATGGCCGTCCTTCAGGAGATCAGCCGGTGGCTCGGGATTGTCATTACCCAGCGGATCTTCATGTGTATCTGCAGGTTCATCATGAGCCTGGTCAGCCGGTGACGGCGACTGGGCGGGCGGAGGATCATCGCCGGGCACAGGTAAGCCAAAGGCTGGAAGAAGCATCTTGCTTGCTTCTCGCAGCGCTTCTAGCTCAGCCGCAATGCAACAGACAAGGAGCTTCCAGTCTTTGTCCATCGCCTGCTCCAAATTCGCTTCAAGGTGCCGTATTGTCTTATCTAGATCCGCTGCAACGTTGGCCGCCACCTCTTCCGTCGTATCCTCGGTCTGTCCGTTATTCGGGTCGGTCGCTTGCTCTTGTAATTCGATATAATGCCGCATATTGGCTCTGAGCCGTTTCTCAAATCCAGAGACGTCAGCCATAACTTGTTTCCACACCCCGCCTCCCTCCTCGAGCGCCAGAATCTCTCCATCCACTTCTTGCTGCCTCCTTTGTAAATCTTCCTGTTCAGATTTCCAATGCTCTTGAGCGATCTCAAGGGTGCGGCGTTTTGGATTCAAGGAGTAGAAGCTGGAGTTGCTCGTGCGCGCGAGGGGTTGGACGGGAGGATTGCGAAGGTAGTTGCGAATGTTGGATTCAAGGAGGGACATGGACTCAGTATAGGTAGATAGTTTCGCGTCAACCGAGTTTTCTACGTTTGAAATCTCGCTGACAAGATGCCGGTGTTTGGCTTTCATCTCGTACAGCCTGGTTTCCAGTTCATGAATGTCAGACTCGAGAGTGTGAGCCTCTTCTTGCAGTTGTGTAGCGCGCTGGCTCTCTCGGTCGGTGTGAATGGTTGATATGGCCTCTTGTAGACCACCTCTTTTCGAGGTAAATCTTTCGATTTCACGAAGTGCATTGTCTCGTTCATCGGTCTGTGACGAGAGTATCTCTCGTTCCTCCTCTCGCAGCTTCAATAGGTCATATATGGATTGGAAAATACCCTGCCGTGCCGCCCGAAGCCCTATCTTTTTCGTAGGAGACTTTTTAGCAGGGATCGTGCGGGGAGATCGAGCTTGGCTAGCTCTCGAAGAAGTAGGTGTGAAGCTTCCGTCCGAAGTATCGTCTGGCTGGGGCCGAGCCAGACCAGAGAGGAGGCCCTCACTTTGCGCATCGATCAAGATCTGGAGGTTACTCTGGATGTGTTTTGACTGACGTTCCACGTATAGAAGAGGATCGTGGTGGTATATGGAAGCTCCGGCGGGCACTGAAGATAGCCGTTTATCTCGGAAGGGCAGAAGAGTCGACATGGCAGGAAATCGAAGGACCGACCGGACTGCGAGAAGTAGAACAATTGTCCAGCTGGGATTTGGGAACGAGTACTATTTAGCAGGCCATGACTAGCATCATGAGAGTCTCGAGGACATTGCCAGCTGACGCTCTCGGACCTCGCGCCGGACAATAACTGACCGCCTTACTGGCCGCCCATGCAGGTACAGCAACTCTGCGCGTGAGGAGCTATTCCTGCTGACCTTTTGGTATTTTGAATTTGTGCAATATTGCTATTTTCTGAATTTACTCCGTTTAAAAACAAGAAACAAAGCATAAGAGCAGCGAAGAGATAACAGGACTAGTAAATGATTCGAGCAGTGAAACAGCTGCAAGTACTCGTCATGGCACGTGACCGGCACAGTCAGCTCCGTTGACGTTGTCGGATCTCGCGCCTGCGAAGCTTCTGCTGTCTGCTTCCAGCTTCCATTTGTCCCATACGTCCATCTCGTCTTTCCCCGTTAATTCGTCACTGTATTTCTGTTCATTATCCTATTTGGGACCTTTGACTCCCATCTCACCGTTTCTCCCACGGGTCTCGCTCGCTGTTGACCCCCAAGCTCCCTCCCGTCGACGTTGCTTCGACACCCAACAACAACATCATCAATCGAGTCTGAGCTTCATCCAACCGGTTTCGACGCCAGCCGTCTCGATCGATAAAGATGGTCGGCCTTGTTTCGGCCGCCGGTCTAGTCGGTTTCCTCTCAGAGCCAGACCCCGAGCTTAAGGTCTTTGCCTTGAAGTCATTAGATTCCCAGATCGACCTGCTGTGGACAGAAGTTGTGAACGCGGTTCCCGAGATGTGAGTACCTGACTCTTGTTGATACGGTGGATGGACACATCACTGGCGACTACTCGTGCGATCCTTGTTGCCGAGGGACCCCCGGTTCACCGAACACTGCTGACCACATCCATCCAGTGAGGCTCTTTACGAAGATGAATCTTTCCCAGAACGTGGACTGGCTGCTTTAGTTGCCTCGAAGGTATACTATCATCTGCAGGAATATAATGAGAGCATGGTCCTCGCTCTTGGCGCGGGAAAGCTGTTCCAGCTCGACAACGGTGGCGAGTACGAGGAGACCATTATTGGTAAGTCGATCGAATTCACGTCAGATGGGTCTTTTACATGGGTTACTGACCATGCTTCTTTTTCGTTATAGCGAAATGCGTGGATACCTTCATCTCTCTATCCGCTTCCCAGAAACCTGCCGCTGGTGACCCGGCCGCCAATCTGAACACCTCCTTCTCAGCATTCGGCGATGGCGCCACCAGCACATCAGCAAGCCTGACCTCTCCGATCACACCATTCTCCAAATCTGCGCTGCCCTCGAAGTCCCTGCTCTCGCGCCAGGAGGTTCCCGGCATCGACGCTGTGCACCCCGGCGGTGAGGACCAGAGTGTTCAGCACCACAATGAGACTCCACTCGTCCTGAAGCGTGGTGTTCAGGGTCAACTACAAACCGTGATTGAGCGACTGTTCGAAGAGTGTTTCCGTCAAAAGCGTTACCGTCAAGTTATCGGTATTGCGATTGAGGCGAAGAGCTTGGATGTTCTCCGTCTGGCTATCCTTCGCGCCAGTGCGGACGAGAAGAAGCAGTCGGGTGAATCTCATGGTAGCGAGGAGCTTATGGAGTACGTTCTGGACATCTGCATGGGCATTGTCCAAGAGCGAGGCTTCCGCAACGAGGTTTGTCAACTCATCAGCTCCCCTTTGGCAGAAAAAGCTGCTAACATTTACCCCTAAAGATCCTTAAGCTCATTCTCGAGCTCCTTAACGAGATACCCGCCCCCGACTATTTCTCGATCGCCAAATGTGTTGTCTACCTTAATGAACACTCGATGGCCTCAAATATTCTCCGTCAACTCGTTGAAAAGGGCGACCCGCGATCCCTTGCCGTCGCATACCAAATCTCCTTCGACCTTTATGATAACAGCACCCAGGAGTTCCTCCAGAAGGTTCGTGAGGAGATTTCCGAGCTGGTGCCCGAGAACGACACAGAGAAGACCGAGCAAGAAGAGCCTAAGGAGTCGGATGCGTTGCTTGAGGACCAATCGAGCTCAACTCGTCCGGAGGACAAGGTTTCAGATGAGTCGACTTCCGCGTTCAAGAACATTATCTCAATCCTGGATGGTATCAAATCCATTCAGCTCAACCTGGAGTTCCTCTACCGGAGTAATCAGGTCGACATGGCTGTTTTGAATAAGGTGCGTGACAGCCTCGAGGCCCGCAATTCCATATTCCATACCGCCGTCACTCTGTGCAACGCTTTCATGCACGCCGGAACCACTCACGACAAGTTCTTCCGTGAGAACCTGGAGTGGCTCGGCAAGGCTGTCAACTGGTCCAAGTTTACGGCCACCGCTGCCTTGGGTGTCATTCACCGTGGCAACCTCAGCCAGGGTCAAAAGCTCCTGCAGCCCTACCTGCCCAAGGAGCATATTGCTGGGGTTGGTGGCTCGGGCTCCGTTTACAGCCAGGGTGGCTCTCTGTATGCCTACGGTTTGATCTTCGCCAACCACGGTGGTATGGCTGTCGATCTCATCCGTGACCACTTCAAGAAGGCCACTGAAGAGGTTGTGCAGCACGGCGGTGCTCTGGGTCTGGGTGTTGCTGGTATGGCCACAGGCGACGAGGGCATATACGAGGACCTCCGCAACGTTCTTTACACGGACTCCGCTCTCAACGGTGAGGCCGTTGGTCTTGCCATGGGTCTCGTCATGCTGGGCACCGGCAACATGAAGGCGCTGGAGGACATGATCCAATATGCCCATGACACTCAACACGAGAAGATCGTTCGTGGCCTTGCCATGGGTATGGCTTTGATCATGTACGGCCGCCAGGAGGCTGCCGATGAGCTGATCAACGGTCTCCTCGGTGACCCTGACCCGACTCTCCGCTACGGCGGTATCATGACGATTGCTCTGGCCTATTGTGGTAGCAGCAGCAACAAGGCTGTTCGCAAGCTTCTTCACGTTGCCGTCAGTGATGTCAATGATGATGTTCGCCGTGTTGCCGTGTTGAGCTTGGGCTTCATCCTGTTCCGCAAGCACAAGAGCGTTCCCCGTATGGTGGAGTTGCTCTCGGAATCCTACAACCCTCACGTCCGGTACGGTGCCGCCATGGCTCTCGGTATCTCTTGTGCCGGCACTGGGCTGGATGAGGCTATCGATCTTCTGGAGCCCATGCTCAAGGACTCGACCGACTTTGTCCGTCAGGGAGCCCTAATCTCGCTGGCCATGGTTCTCGTTCAGCAGAACGAGGCCATGAACCCCCGCATCACCAGCCTTCGTAAGGCTATGATGAAGATGCTCGGTGACCGCCACGAGGATGCCATGGCCAAGTTCGGTTGTGCCGTGGCTCTCGGAATCATCGATGCTGGTGGCCGCAACTGCACCATCAGCCTGCAGACACAGACCGGCAACCTGAACATGCCCGGTATTGTCGGTGCTGCAGTCTTCTGCCAGTACTGGTACTGGTTCCCTCTTACCCACTTCCTCTCTCTCAGCTTTGCCCCGACTTCCGTGATCGGCGTCGACCAGAAGCTGGAGGTCCCGGAGTTCAAGTTCCACAGCAACACCCGCCCCAGTCTTTTCGACTATCCTCCCATGCAAGAGGTCAAGACCGAGGAGGCTCCCGAGAAGGTGAAGACTGCGGTGCTTTCTACGACCGCCCAGGCCAAGCGCCGTGCCCAGCGTCGTGAGAAGCAAGCACGACGTGAGAGCATGGACATCGACCAGACGCCCACTACGCCGAAGGTCTCTGACCAACTACCGGAGAAGATGGAGACCGATGACAAGGTGGAGGGCGAGGAGGGCAAGGATGGTGAGAAGGGTGCCCTCGAAGCCCAAAAGAAGAAGGTGGAGCGGGAGAAGGTTGGTTACGAGCTGGACAACATGTCCCGGGTACTGCCCGCCCAGCTCAAGTACCTGACGTTCCCTGACCCGCGGTACGAGCCTGTTAAGAGGGTATGTTCTGATTACAGTTTTGGATTTTTGAAACTCATCACTAACTATTTCTGTAGCCTACTGGTGGTGTCGTGGTTGTTCTCGACAAGCAGCCTGAGGAGCCTCGTGAGACTATCGAGCTCAAGGCCAGCAAGGAAGCTCCTGCCCCGACCGAGACTCTTCAGGATCGCCTTCAGGCTGCTATCGGTACTGCTGCACTGCAGACCCCTCAACGGGCCGATGCTCGCGCCATGATGTCTTCTACCCCCGTTGGTGCTGCGGCTGCTGCGGGCGTGCTGACCGCCGTCGACGAAGACGAGGAAGGCGCGGAGGATGCGCCAGTGCCTGAAGAATTCACCTACGAGACGGAAGGTGAAGATGAGTAGAGTGTTGGGGATTTAACCCTTCGACGCTGGGATGTATTACTAGACTAATCGGGTTTCACGCCTGATATATTGGGAGTGCGGTTGCGGCCGACTTTGATATGAAGCATTTGTCTGCATTTATTAAGTTTTCCATTGCGCTATACGTAGTAGGTCACCGGGCCATCCGCCACCTCAGTAAGCTTACAAGCACATGAAGACAACGCCAACTCGAACTTGCTCCAACGAATCGCAAACACGCGACTTCTTCACATGTTCACATGCAGTCTTAGTCAGCGCATTCGGAGGCGCCTCGGCAGTTCACACGGCGATGACGCAGTTCGAGCCAATCATGTACATGCCATTCGGGAATGACCGATACACACCGGTGCGATCTTCTACCGAGGGATGCAGCTGAGTGGAATTCCAATTGCACGAGTGACGATGGATCCTCCGAGGCCTTGGAACTGGACGGAGAGAACGGCGGTTACTGAATTGGGTGCTGTTCCCCGGTCCTTTATATCACGAGCTCCATCTACCCCGGAAGTTCAACCTCTTTTTTTTTTCTTTCCCCACGAAACCCCTTCTTTTCTCTAGAGCATAGCTACTTTGCTATTTGCTACATACTTTACTCCAAATTATAATCCTTCTCACCTTCCACCTCTCTTCAACCTGTACACCATGGCGAAAACCTTCACCAAGGACGATGTCGCGTCGCACGGCAAGGGCGATAGCATGTGGATCGTGATTGACGAGGACGTCTATGATGTCTCCAAATTCCAAGATGAGCACCCTGGTAAGTACTTTGCGATTGGCGGCGAGTATGCAGATGATCACATGCTGACGACATGACCAACAGGTGGAAAGAAAAGTACGTTATGGCGCGACCACGCGACCTCGCTCGATATTAACATGTTACACAGTTCTCCAGCGCGTCGCCGGAAAGGACGCTTCTAAGCAGTTCTGGAAGTACCACAACGAGGGTATCCTGAAGAAGTACAAGGGCCAGCTGCAGATCGGCTCGTTGGACACCAAGAAGCAGGCCGAGCCCGCTCCGGCCCCCGCGCCCAAGAAGGCTGAGCCCAAGCCGCAGCCCGCCTCGGGTGATGTCAAGGCCTCTGCGACTGCCGAGCCGCAGGAGCCGTATGGCGACCTGATTCCGTTCGCCGATCCCTCGTGGTACCAGGGTGTAAGTCCAACCCCTCCAAAAATAAATAAAAATTTTATTTGGGAGAGTGCTAATATTCGTGCCGTTTGACAGTACTCTTCCCCGTACTTCAACGAAACGCACGCCGCTCTCCGTGACGAGGTTCGCCAATGGGTCGAGACAGAGATCGAACCCTACGTTACCGAGTGGGATGAGGGCAAGGAGGTGCCCCCTCATATCTACAAGCAGATGGGTGAGCGTGGCTACTTGGCCGGCCTGTTGGGCGTCAAGTACCCCGAGCAGCACACTCCGTACCGGGTGCAGTCTGTGTCGCCGGACCGCTGGGATTTGTTCCATGAGATGCTTCTCACCGACGAGCTGTCCCGCGCTGGAAGCGGTGGCTTGGTTTGGAACCTGGTCGGTGGTTATGGTATTGGTTGCCCACCTCTGGTCAAATTCGGCAAGAAGGAGCTGGTTGACCGTATCTTGCCCGGCATCCTGGCTGGTGACAAGCGCATTTGTCTGGCTATCACGGAGCCCGATGCGGGCAGTGATGTGGCTAACCTCGGCTGTGAGGCTAAGCTCAGCGAGGATGGCAAGCACTACATTGTCAACGGTGAGAAGAAGTGGATCACAAACGGTGTCTGGGCCGATTACTTTACCACTGCTGTTCGCACCGGCAAGGACGGCATGAACGGTCTCAGTGTCCTTCTGATCGAGCGCTCGGCTGGCGTTAGCACCCGCCGCATGGACTGCCAGGGTGTTCTCAGCAGTGGAACCACCTATGTGACCTTTGAGGATGTTAAGGTTCCCGTCGAGAACCTGATCGGCAAGGAGAACGGTGGCTTCAAGGTCATCATGACCAACTTCAACCACGAGCGTATCGGAATCGTCATCCAGTGTTGCCGCTTCGCCCGTGTCTGCTATGAGGAAGCCATGAAGTACGCCCACAAGCGCAAGACCTTCGGAAAGCGCCTGATCGACCACCCCGTCATCCGCATGAAGCTCGCCCACATGGCCCGCCAGATCGAAGCCACTTACAACTGGCTCGAGAACATCATCTTCCAGTGCCAGTGCATGGAGGAGACCGAGGCTATGCTCAAGCTGGGTGGTGCCATCGCTGGCCTCAAGGCCCAGTCCACCCAGACCTTCGAGTTCTGTGCCCGTGAGGCCAGTCAGATCTTCGGTGGTCTGAGTTACAGCCGCGGTGGTCAGGGTGGAAAGGTCGAGAGACTGTACCGTGATGTCCGTGCCTATGCTATCCCCGGTGGAAGTGAGGAGATCATGTTGGATCTCAGCGTGCGCCAGAGTCTGCGCGTGCACGGGATGTTTGGCATGAAGCTCTAAATTGGAGGCTTTGGGCATTGCATCTTGGTTATAGAGCACTTTTTCCTTTCTTACTTGTCCTTTTTGGATTGACATGTCCTCTTTTGACTCGAGGATCTTTTTGTTAGATATCCCGTCCGGTGTGACGCATTCCCTTACAGCATGGATCGAAATTGTTTTCCCTACCATATTTTATTTTCTTTTAAAATTTTCTTTTAAATTTCCCTTAACTTTAATTCAAAGCACTATACCATCTACAGTTAGATAAATGCCGACCCTGGTCTTCGCGGCTTCCAGGTACGGTAACAAACTATGGCATATAAATAGCTCTTGTGCCGTCGTTGTATAGAATCACTTCCTTGTAAACAAACTAAACCGACGAGTGGGCAGAGATTTCGGATATTCGGTCACTCTTTCCACCTCACGTACAGAAGCGCCCAACATCGGCTTCCATGCTGCGAATATACAGATGCTCTTTCAAACCCTAATCACATAAACCATATTAACAGATATAGTTACTCCCGTACTTTGGATCATATTTCAGTTCGGAACGGTAAAATTCAAACTGACGAGCGATGTAATGTTATGTATTATTACTGATCCAAAAACAATAACCCTATAGTGTCGTCGTCCTAATACTCCTCCCCCAAACTTCAGCAACTATTCACCCCCTAAATCATCTCAAAATGGCGCGAAACCTAAACACTACGTAGCGTAAGATAATTATACATATAATAAACAGCAAGAAAAGACTGACTACATCTTAAATGGCTAAGCTAGCAAAATGTACTAAGCGTTCTATCACTAATATACGTAAGAAAATGCGATTTTTCGGCAGTCCCAATCCTCCTAAAATCCCTCCCAACCCGCCACTAATCGTCACTTTTGTGATACTGGACACCCTTTATAACCACCTAGCTAAGATACCTAGCCTTTATCTCGAAGAGATGGCTAAGTTCCTATGGGACGAGTTCAACGTATTACCATCGTCATCTAGCATCCAACGTGCTCTTTCTCGGGTTGGATAGACTAAGAAGACAGCCCAGTAAAAACTCAAAGAGCAGAATCCTCAACTACGAGGTTTCTACCAACACAAACTATCTAAGTTCCATTATACTATCTTATTTTCGTTAATGAATCCGGATATAATAAATAGGTAGGACATAGGCGGACTAGTTAGTCACCATTAGGTGTGACACTAATGCAAGTGTCTAAATTCCATCGGGGCCAGCGATATTAAATATTGCCAGCGTATACTTAGGAAGGTATTCTTCTGTCTCGCATTTTTAAAGGGTCAACGGATGCCGTGCTATTCGAATCGTTTATTGAGCAGCTACTTCAACACTATAGAAGGTGGCCGGAGCTAAAGTCCGTGCTTATTATAGATAATGCATCCTTCCACCATTCGGATCGAGTTAGACAGTTATGCTCTGATGCAGGTGTTAGGTTGCTATAACGCGGGTAGGACCTTATCCTTTATAAATTTATAGGAAACTGCTACAATTCTACTCTACCCCCTCTTCTCTCCCCTAAGTAATAGCCTTCTTCCCTATAAATAACTCTTACGCGATACCCTATATTAGGCTTATAAATATAGATCCTATATAAGAGATATTAGTCTAGGGCGCGGTACCTATATACAGTCATTCTCGAAATCGGCTTAACTAATACACACGTACTCACTCTTTTCTAGCCCCAGTGCTAAGGCATCAGCGTAGATCAATCGTTAAGCGGGTCGCATTTAATTGAGGAACACTGTAATATGCACCTTGAAGGGTACTGTGTGTTTGTATGTAATATTATATAATGGTACTGGCCTCCATAGAATCCTACAGAATCCCACAGCGGATCCCTATAGATTACATAGTTCGTGGGAGATCCGCGAGCCAACCTCATCTTTCCTTCTCAGGCAGCACGGCGGTTTTGACTTTCCGCAGTCCAAAAATCAGAATAAAGACAAACATAACGACACGACCGTGGTAACATCATTTCGGACGCCTCAAAGAGGGCTAGACGCAAGTGCAAAATGTATATGCCCGCGCACGTCAGGCAACGGCCGCCAAATGCCCAACATGGGCTCATGCTGTTCCATGCGGTATATATTTGTGGTTGTAGACCCCTTCACCGTCTCCGTCATTCTCTTACCGCAATACGTGGTCGTTGGTCGCCGCGGAGTTAATGGACAAGAGAGTACACGACGGAGTTAAGAAAATAATCTCCGCCGAGTACAGATTGATCGGCTTTCTCCGTCTCGGATCTATAAGGTAATAAGTACACGGCAAACGCAGTTTCTAAGCGTAGCTCCTAACTACACCAACACTCTCACCTCAACCTCTTAGGCGGCAATATATCTCCGGGTTCCTTTTGAGAATGACTATGTCGGCCCAAGATCCTTCCCTACGCGAGACGAACTGGCCTGCTATAGCTGGCTATGTCGCCGCGCGCAAGGACACTTACCCATTCATCGATCCCGCCAAAGCCGACCTAACGGGAAAGTCGGTCTTGATCACGGGCGCCTCCAAGGGCATCGGCAAGGCCACCGCGATCAGCTTCGCCATCGCAGGCTGCTCAAAGATACTACTGGCCGCTCGTTCGGACCTGGCCGACGTCGAGACAGCCGTCCACGACGCCGTTATAAAGGCAAACCGGCCCCAGCCATTAGTGCATCCCCTGAAGGTGGACGTGACCTCGGAGGACTCCTTACGAGCGGCCGCCGAGACCGCGGCAGACATGCTCGGCGGTAGTCTCGACGTCCTGGTGAATAACGCGGGCTACTTGGAGGAGTGGAAGCCTATCGCCGAGTCCGAACCGAGCGAGTGGTGGCGGACTTGGGAGGTCAACATCAAAGGCACCTATCTCGCCGCCCACTTCTTCGTACCGCTGCTGCTTAAGTCGCAGACCAAGACCGTCATCAACATCAGCAGCGGTGGTGCCCACGTTATGTTTCCCGGTGCGTCGGCCTACCAGACGACCAAGTTCGCTCTCTGCCGCCTCACCGAATTCATGGACAATGAATACTACCAGCAGGGTTTGATCGCCATCTCGCTCCATCCGGGCGCCGTGAAGACCGAGCTGGCCATGAACATGCCCCCAGAGAGGCAAGTCGTCCTGACCGATACGCCGGAGCTGGCTGCTGACACGCTGGTCTGGCTCGCCCGTGAGCGACGCGACTGGCTCGCCGGCCGATTCGCCTCGGTGAGCTGGGACATGGAGGAGCTGGAGCAGAAGAAGCAGGACGTTCTCCAAAGAAACTTATTCAAGTTCCGCGTGGTGATTTGAGTCGGGCGGTGCACCCTCCAAGTAGTAGTTTCCTATAGATTTATAAAGGATAAGGTCCTACCCGAGTTATATAAATACAGTTTCTATTCTAGGAATAAAGGAGATCGATGGATATACTACTATATATCCGGATTAGCGTGTTTCAAATGAGGGTTCGGGAATTAAAGTCCAAGAGTGTAGGTAAATCAGATTTCGAATACTACTATAATTGGAGGTATATGTAACTGAATTCGAACATCACTCTACTGACCCAACAACCTAGGAGGCAAATAATCTAGAAAGCCAATAATCTGAGAACAAACTGTAACAGGCTCATTGCTTTGTGTGCGGTGTTTGTTACGTTTGTTAAGAATCCTCTACGGAGTAGAAACTCTATAGTTCTAATTTTAGGCTTTTGTATCTGTGTTACAATCTATAAAAAGGAGTTAGCATTATTACTGGTAGGTAGAGAACATGTTATTTATCAGTATCATGTTATTAGGGTTTGAAAGAACATCTCTATGTTCGCAGCATGGAAACCGATGTCGGGCCTTTCTGTACCCACCACCCACTTTTGCTCAGCCGCTCCCATTCCGCAGCGTTGAACACTGCGGTTGATGGCAGACTACACATAGAAGACCGGTGGGTGGAATTTCCTTTGCAGGTGCCCTCACCGTCGGCAATGCACGTGTTTTTGCGCGTTCCTATCCAATATCATCAAGATGACCCGTCGAATGTACTACGGTGTAATGTACCACGGTCAGTAATATACCTCCCACCTAGCGCCAATACTCCTTTTGCGCAATCCAGGAAAGCGGCCTAAAATGCGTTATTTCCCTACTAAAATCCATCAAACAAGTTGGTGGTATACGACCGAATACTGTATATATATGATATAGATAAACTTGGTCACGTCTTTTCACAGGAATCTAAAAATTTGCGGGGTTTCTTTTCTCACGTTTGATCCAAGGAGTGAAATGGGCTAAGTTTCAAATAAACTCCTCTTCCAGTTTCTCACATACCATGGCTCATAATCTAAAGATTCAACGGTATTAGTTACAAGGCAACGAGGTTGCTGTTTTGGTCTAAGTGACCGACACTGATTCGGCACCGGACCCTTCCGGTACCAACATGGGGTCGTGACCTCTGCATACAAAAGGTCTTTTTCGCTTCTCTTCTCTTCCCAATGAAATTCATTTCCTTTTCCCATTCCCTTCTGACAACTCCCTTCTGACCTCATCGCCCTTCTTCTCTACAGCAATGGATTCCAACGCGAAAGCTCAACGCGACCAGCGCCTCACGCAGTTGTACGATGAAGTCGACGACTACGAATCCGTTTTCCTTTCCCCCAAAGACCTCCAGGCCTGCGGAATCCAAGCATCCCAGGTGGATATAACGGAAGATGGAACCCTGCTATTCAACCCATGCTACTTCCGGCCTCACCCAGAGAGAGTCCTGGAGAAATATCCACTCGACCCTCTCAAGCAGGCCACTTACATCCCCTATTTAAACTTCCGCTTGGATTTGGATACTCTCTTTGAACGCATCAAGAAGGGATCGCCGGGAATAAAACATGAAGACGCCGTGGAACTTACAAACCATGAGTTCAGGCTAAAAACGGAGATGTTCGCCGGCAACTGGTCCAGGCACGCTCATGCGACGGAGCGCCATATTATGGGTCAGATTACTGCACATCCTAGAAAGGGAAGACCCGGCTTGTTTTCGTTCTTTGATCTCGGATCCCCTAGGATGTATTGGCGGTAGGTGAATGTGACGCTCCTGGGGTTGGAGATCTAGTCAAGTTAGTAGAGATACTGACTCTATGCTTTTAGAACCAAGCCGCGACGAGGTGAATGGCCCCTGATAAATTATTTGGTAGAGGATGGCCCTCAAAGACGGTACCGGCAATGGGAAGCATTCGACCTACGGGAAGATTCCCGCAAGAAATCCCCTCAACCACATGCAACTCTCACAACGGTCGCGCATGTCGCCGCGGATGATGCAGACCATTGCCTTACGAGTAGTGAAGTTAAAGCTATTCTAGCTACTTTGGTCATACGAACGTCGCGTGATCCCTTTCAGGATTATCGCACCCACCCGGTGAGTACATACAACTGCCCCATACTCTGATTACAACTTATATATTAATTATACATACATAGATTTTGGTGTTCTCTTACACAGGGCGAAAGCACGGAAGAATCATTCAAGCCACTCTTGACGACCAGAGTCTGAATTTGCAGTATTCGCAACTCTGGAGCTTTGAGGACGATGATACCGCACCAGTGGAGCTTTTCGTTCGCTACATGATAAGCGAGTCAGTTGAGCCAGAGAGATCCACGATTGTTGAGCCCATGGCTAGATTGAATATAACATAACGATTATGATGCACTGATTGGCGGAGGCGGCGTACGGGGTGCTGTTCGCAATGCCCTGAAGACAGTTTCCTCTGCGCTTGATTTTTCCGGTCTGGACTGAATGTATTGAATTTAGTCTCATCAACGGTGCTTGGACAAAATTTCATGCATTGCACCAATGAGTAGCCATGATAGGTCCCCTGTTGAGTGTCGAAGTAAACATGATGAGCAGTGATGAGGGAATTAACAATTGCGAAGTTGATACATGTTGGTGTTTCAGCGCAAGGAAGTAAAATGTAGACAGGGCAGGGCTGCCTGCCAGGCTCAGTCGGTGGGTGAGTGTTGACAAAATACTGTACTCACGCCATTTCCTCCCCTTCTCACCTTCTTCCTGCTCTACCCTCCTTACCCCAACTCCAACCTTCCGGCCGCCAACATGGCGCCGTCTCAACCTGTAAGTCCTCAACAGTTCTCTGTGCGATCACCCATCGTGATATCCCCATCTTGCCCTCAGCTCTCAATGTTCAGCACATCTCATGTCTTCCTGCTCTCATTCGATGATGCATTTCATGCCTTCCTACTCTCACTCGATGATCACTTCGATGAGTAACTCTTCATGACTGTGCTCACGCTATCATCGCCTGTCCGCAACGCCAACTGCCTGGGTTGAAACATGTTCTGCGCTCAACCTGATCCGTTTGCCTATCACAGGCGATGGTTCAGTTGGCACAGACTGGTTCTACTGTGGCATTCCTTCTACCCCTATTCCATTTTCCATGATCCCTTGGTCAGACATTCTCCCAGAGATCACTGTCGATCAAAGATCTCGTTGATTCCAGAGCTCTCGATACTGCATCCACATCCTCCAAACTGACTCGCAAAAAGCTCCTTGTCCGTTGTGCCAGGTCCCTTGGCATCCAATCCAGCAATGCCCTAACCACCTGGGTATCCTTATTGGCGCCGCGGTCGACCGAATTAACGCTGGCGCGTCGGTAAGAACTACCCCATGGACGATGCTCCGATCGACGAAGTATTAGATGGAAATGGAAGAGATTAATTCATCGTTAGGCCCCCCCTCCCACACCACCTCCCCCCTCCGCCAATGCCAACACCCGCGGTGGGACTTTCGCGGCCGTGGAGTTAAGAAGCGAGAGAGGAGTAAGTTTCTCCGGTCCAATACTGATATGATAAAGCCAGCCCTCTGGTTGGATGCTTTCGGTCATCCTGGTTGCTTGATTCAATACGGCCTTACACATCGATGAATTTGGCCTGGTTTGCCCACGGAATGCTTACACTATAAGTACAGAGGCTGCGGCCAAGGCCGCCAGAGATGCTGCTGAGAAGGGTGTGGTACCCCTTCCCTACCCCAAACCTAATACTGTTCAGAGTGTATACTAACGAGGTGCAATTAGCGGCAGCCACCCCGGCCACCGTGACCGCCGCAAGCTCCTCTTCGGAGGCTGAAATCGGTGAGTCTTTTCTCTGATTCTTCGTCTTCTGCCCAAGGAGTAGATGGTTCCACTCCCGAATTTGACAAGAACTCGTCAATTTAACCGCAGTGGACGCTGAATCTATTTGATTTATCTGTTTCATTTGGGGCCCACGCTGATATAGTACATACAGTCTCCGCCCTCGCCCACCCCCCTCTCTTTCTGTGCGGCGCCGGCTCCGCCGCGCCTGGGGGCAACAATGGTATGTTCTGTGTCCTCGAACCATCTTTGCCTAAATCTCCGAGAAGCATCAGTCCTTTGTTATGTCGTCTCGTGACTGCGTCAAAGACCGTGGCCTACAGCCTTTGCTAGATGAACAACTAAAGCGCTGACAATATCTGTATAAGCAGCCCCAGGCGATGAGGTCTCGTTTTCTGCTCCTGTCTGGCCGCCTAACTGGAGTGCGGAGGATATTGAAAATTTCGAGATCTGGATGGCTTCCCACGCTCCGCCCCGTTCCCCTTCTCCTGATCAGGGAGTGAAGAAGGAGTAAGAGGGAGACACCCTGTAAGAGCCAGATGTATTTTTAGCTGTGTCTTTGGGCCCCGAATGAAATCTTCGACTTGCCTTTCGGGCCACTTCCCTGATAGAATGTCGCAGGTGCGCTTTTTCAAATTCTCTAATTAAGAAATATAGCCTTGGCATCTTGAAGACTTTGTCATGCCCTGCTCCCATGTAGCAGCTCTGATGTAGTTCCGCAGACGAAGATAATGTTTCCCTTGCCTTGAAATCTATCTTTCAAGGGACTGCCCAAAAAATCAAGTGCTGCCACAGCTCTCTCGACTTGCTTCCGGCGATAAAAATGTATCATTTAATCCCGCGCTGTTCATAACTGCAACCAGGACACGGCCATTCAAATTTGGCCAATCGATCGCCTTGGGTTCGCCGGGGAACCGAATAATGTAAGTTTAGGCGCGGATATCACCTAGCCAAGCAATTTCACGCTAGAACGATAGGAATCAAGGACAGGCTGTTCAGAGTCTGCCATAATATTGATGAGAAGGCAGATCTTGTTGGAGACTCATAAACGGCTACCTTGAATCAACTTGGACCAAGGCCCATATTCCTGCATGTCAAGAAGTGTCTTTGTTGACCTGTTTGGCTGAGGTCATCTTCCGTCAAGTATTTGACGTACTCTGAGGAACACTCGGCAACGACCAGGGAGAATTTTCTCGATTCTGTGCGACGAGCAGACGTCTGTTCGGGCTAGTTATCACAGATATATTTGGAAACTTAATCAGGCCTGACTTACGGGATATCCTTGCACCGTGGGTCCTTATGATCTTTGCGGTGCAAAATCCAGGTAGTCATCTCTGAAGACTCTTGACACTGAGTTATGCAGTCGATGAACCGGTCCCGGGCTCGAGGCTTCACTTCGGCGATTACGAAATATTGCTTCAACTTGCTTCTCCATTGAAGTCTATACTGACATGGAGGATTTTGCGCAGCTCGTAGTAAGTTCTGCTTCATGATCAAAGAAAAGATCGCTGAGCACGAGGAAGCCATGGCTGGCCACATTCAAGATCAAGCTGGTGCCTGATGCCGTGGTCATTCGTGAGCATCCCTGCGGATCGCCCGCATCAGTGCCGTTTGTTGGCCGCCCTTCTATGTGAATTACACAAGGGTGTTGCTCTGTTCATTAATTTATCACACAATACCTGATATTCAGGATCTATAAAATTTAGATGTTCGCCTATTCGTGGCGCTGTTGACTACTAGCCCCTAAAACAAGGTGAAGCCAAAACAAGTTCAAGTCAGATATTGCCCACTCGCATCAAGCAATCCAGTATATGCCAGAGTATTTGATTCAACCTGCATTCGGAGACATTCAAGGTTAGCTTCAACCGATAACGGTGCCATGCTGACAATTCATAGACAATGGGTGCTCCTGACACACTCACAGTGTAACAGATCCATCCGCCCGGCTGGTTTCCGAGAGAGTACCCTCGATCTATATGGTAGGGGCTCATAGCCAGCATGAGAGAAATGATGAGGGACCAGCAGGAGGTGGTCCAAACTTTCGTGTATGTTGATGACATGATAATCGCAGCTGCAACTGCAAACCTGCTTGGGATGACGACACGCCATATCTCCACCAAGTGGTTGAGCACCGACTTCGGGCCCGCATGTCACTACCCGGGGCTGAAGATGGCTCATAACATAGCGATGAAGGAACCTTGTGCATCTCACAAAAATCTACATGGATCAGACAACTGCTCAGATCGCTAGTGAGGATTGAGCGGCCAAGACCACCAAGCCCTATGATTCCAAGAGCTGCAGTAGATCAGAGAAGGATTGAAGCTTCAAAATCCTCAATAAAGTGTAACCAAAGTGGCGCGAGATTGCATATGCATATGTTGAATGTTTCATAGCCTGACGTGGCCTTCGACCTCTCCTGCCATAGCAGACAGGTCAAAAACATACATAAAACAAATGACCAAAGTGTTCGCCCGGTGGTACTCAACGCATCATCTCCCATAGGCCAAGACCACCACAAACACAGAAGAAGAAGACAGACAAATTAGTGAAGCCAGATCCCTCGCTGCAATAGGTTTAGATATAATTTAATATGGACCTTTAGGAATACTGACACCAGTGTGTGTCGCCTATCATAATAAAAATAACTTTGACTCCGTTGAGGCTGCTTTAATTACGTAGTTTCCATATCTATATAAGACAAAAAATCGCGTTAAGTACAAAAAAAGTGTCAGTGTGCCTCCAAGCGTGTATAAAGATCGACACATAGTTCACACTATGGGAAATGAATGAAAGTCTTCGTACACAACTCAAAACCTAGCCGTTTGCATCTGGATGGCCTAATGAGAGACCGGCGCTCAAGTAGATCCATACACCAAAGTTTTGAAGACAACTCCATAGAAGCATGGATGCCTCAAACTTTGGTTAATAATGATCGTAGATCAGTTTGTGAAAGCAGCGGAACCACCAAAGGGACCGGAAATGGCACTGTTCCTGACACGCACGATGCAAACGTTTTCGATGCCGTCAACAACACCGGTGCATTTCGTGCCTGCGGGGACTTGAATCTTAACCTCGAAATCCATGGTGCTGGTGGTTGAGGCTCCCGCAACACCCGGGATATTCTCGACAACCTTGGCCGGTTTGAATGCTTTGGGGTCCGTACCGCCGCTGGTTGCGTCGACGTCTGCGTGCAGTGGGCCCGCGCCGTCTTGGTTTACCTTTATGGAAATAGAGTAAGCGAATGGTGATTAAAGTACCGGCGTAGCCTTGGACGAACCTGATGGTAAATCACGGTGATGTATCCATCACCAGAAACAGAAGGCAAGCCGTGGGCAGCCCCCTTGCCAGCATATTCTTGGAGCCCATTCTCCACGGTACCATCGGGTGTCATAACACCAGGCTTGGTCCCTGTAGCTCCAGCTGTCATGGTATCAACAGTAGACTGGGCACCTGGATGATTTGATGAGTGTCAAACTTCTGTGAATCAGGGAGCATAAGCTAACCTTTGACAACATTACCCAAGGGCGTTGCGTCTGCAAGATCCTGAGCGCCTAAAGGATATCTTAGTTATTTCGCGCGGAGTAGTTTATCCAAAAAGCAACTGAATACTAACCATTGAGAACAGTTCCACCGGCAGTAGTGAAGATACTAGCCGCGTCATTGGCCAGCTGGCGAGCTGTGTGACGTTAGTCCCCGTAGTCAGACAAAAGAAAATTAGAAGACATCTAGATACCTTGAGGGAAGTGGCGTGTGTGAGCCCGTTTCTGGGCACTAGAGCCCATGAACTGCACGATGACTCGTTTGGGATCCACAGGACCACTCATAGTGCGTCCCAAAGCCGATGCCTCAGAGGTTCCCATTTCTGGGTCTCGGATGATTGCGGTATCTTTCTGTCCGCCGCACGCACCAGAGGGACAATCACGTGGAGTGCCATCGACAACTAGAGTCAATCAATCAGTAATCAGTTTTGAAAATCAAAAGCTCAGTGAACAGCCTGTTACCTGTCAGTCCCGGCATTACAACACCGTTCGCACCATGAATGCGAGTAATCAGGCCATGTGCAGCAACCTGCTTGGTAGCCAGCAAAAGAAGAGGAGCGATCGTGGTGAAATGCATGGTTAATGACCGGAAAAAGAATGAATGTCAGGAAACAAAATCAAAGTAAAGAACGAATGTAGGGTAACAAACAAGCAGACTGAAGATCCCTAGCCAGCCTTTTATATTGAATGAAAAGCTATTCTGTAGATGCAATCTTTCTTCAGGGCCTCACTCTGAAACAGTAGCATTGGTCTTAGAAGCTCCATTCTGAACCATGTGTCTCGGTACCGAGAACTGCACGCATGTGATCCGAAAAGAAAAGAATTGCTTCAGTATGGATAGCTAACCATCTTGTGCTCCGGGTAGGAGAAAGTGGGTCTCAGGAACAATTTTGAGTTTGGTTCCCCTTGTCGGAGGGTGAGACTAGCACGCCAAGCTTCCAAGCACAAGTTCGTTTCAGAATTTAAAAATATTCAATGGAACCGGTCACATCGAAAGGCTGAATTTTGGGAACATTTTAGCGCACAGGATTGAAGGCAGTTCAATGCTAGCTACAAAGGGCATCCATCCAGGCTGCCTCTCACTAGCTATCTCGGCCTAAATTTCAGTCCAGGTCGCCCCCTTTTTCAGACTTGCATGCTCCGTGATAATGATACCACGTTTCCGTGGTTAGCATAAGGACTGCCATCTGACTTTACACCTCGGCCTTGTCAACCTGTGCACCGAGCAATTTATGACTGATTCATCCTGAAAGATTCGGAACCTGAGCCTTCGAATAACACAAGCAATCGAAGCCTGAGTCTCGGTGCATTCTCCGGTCGGCAGGTATCAGACAGACGAAACTTGGACTCAGATGCTCATTGCAGGCGGTCACATAAGATACAGTATTCCAATAAATTGCCTTGGTATCACGAGAAAGGTCGCTTCGAGTATAACCAAGTCACAAGACCAAAACGGTCGATGTATCCAGGCTTGTATTTGCGGCCGTGTTTCGGCTGTTGGACTCGTGCTTCTGTAAGATGCATTAACATTTTATGAAACTTCCCTGAAAACAAGGACAAGGCAAGCCTGGCAGGCATCTGGAACATACGAAAATATCTCGACGATCCGTTCGGGTAGTAGATCGACGATCTAGGCTCTTTGAGGCTGAACCCAAGGATTTCTCGCTCCTACCATCGTATAATCTTCCACGCACTTCTCCAAATTGTCATTATTGTAGTTCTAAAAAGAAAAGTAGTGAGGAATGGACCTATATGGCAAGGAAAATGATTTGACTATAGGATCGCTTTCGGACTGCCGCCTATTTGGAGTAGGGAATTGATACTCCCACCACCCCCTTTACTGGTCCCACCATTCCCAACCTAAATTCTCAGGCACATTTCCCTAAATCGGCCTAGATTAATAATCTACCTACCGCTTTTTCCACCGCTTATTATTTTTCTTTACAAGCCATCAGCATTTAAATATATTCTACCGCTGTAGGAAGGAGGTCGTGGAGGTTGTAGACGGCGTCGACAGCGTAGAGCTGATCTAGGGCGCCCACTAGGATGCGGTCGCGGAGGAGGAGGACAAGGCTATACTAGAGGGCGTAGAGGGCGTAGAGGGGCGGTCGTCCATTACATATTAGACGGTCCTGCGTAGTAGCAACGTGGAGGTCAGGGAGGTGCTAAGTATGTAGATTGTTTAATTGAACGGGGAGAGAGCGATATAATAGGCTGAAAAACTAGTTATACAACGAGGCATGCTAGAATTTGAGTTATTCAGCTGAATAGAATAGACACCTATAAGAGATGGGTAGAATCTGCTAGCAGAAAATACAAGTGCCTAGATTCAAAGGCAGGGTGATGGGAGCAGTAAAGGGGGTCGGTGGGAGTATCAATTCCCTTGGATTCAAGTATGTATGCATGCACTAAATTCTTCTCTAAAAGTTGGACAACCAAGACGCAGGTGTCAAACCGAATGGGAAATCTTCATATACCGAAAACCCTGCAGGTTAAAATTCTACTTACCTCGACTTTATAGCGTCAAAACCATAAGATAATTGTGATCTGGTCTTGTTCAGAATATTTGGAGAGACCTCAGCGTGAGACAAGGTAAACAGAGCCGGCCCGGCTGCCCGTAAAGACCAGTTGCGCAGCCTCCTTCAACTTCGCCGCGAATCGCAACTCTAGCTCCCCGACCTCTCCAATTCCCCCAACTCACTGACACGGCGTCCCAGGGTATAACCCCCCCTCGTTCCCTGGCGTGTTGTGTCTTAAGTCTTCTCTTATCTTTCACCTTCTTTAAGCGACCGGGATTGCCACCTCCGCGGTAGGCGGTCTCTGCGCCTGGAAAGGTTTCCGTACGTCCAGATCTCCAATTCTTTCTCCTCCATGCTTTCGCATCCTCGACCGTGCCGCTGACTTCGCCTTTTGTTTTGCAGAGATACCTAGTGACTTGAACTCGACCTCGGTGCCATCTACACGACCTTGCGCGATCTTCACTTCATCGATACCCCGACTCGCTACCCTACACGATGTCCAACTTCCTCAACCAGGATTTTGGCTCGGACGATGAGGATGATGAGTTTAATCCCGGCCCCGTTGATGAGTCTGAGGGCGAGGACTCCAAGGTTAGTCACAATCAATGAGCCGTGTCGGTTGAAGGTGGTGCTGATGGAACGATAATGAACAGCCGGCCAAGTCCAGCAGACGCGGCGCTGATAGCTCTGACAATGTAAAAAATGAAGGCGACCCAGACGAAGACGATGCCAAGGACGTTGTTGATGATGAGGAGCAAGACGAGGAGGATGAAGAGGACGAGGATGAAGATGCGGAGGACGACGACGAGGCCGTGGTTCGTACTCACTTTGAACTTCCGACTCAGAAAATGGCTTTGTTGACATAGTATCCTATCTAGGAGGCCCGTCCCCGCAAGCGCAGACGCGGTCCCCTCAACCCTTTCATCGATGAAGAGGCCGGTGTCGACGAGGAAGAAGATGAAGCCGAAGACGATGAGGATGAACTCGCCGAGTTCGGCACAGAGATGCACCCCGACGACCTCGACCAGTTGCCTGCCGGGGCCGAAACAGATGACCGCCGCCACCGACAGCTCGATCGCCAGCGTGAGCTCGATGCTACAATGGACGCAGAGAAGCAGGCGCAGTTGCTCAAGGAGCGCTATGGACGGAACCGCGCCGCAGCTACAGACGCACTCGTGATTCCCAAGCGGTTGCTTCTTCCCAGTGTGGAGGACCCGAGTATCTGGGGTGCTCGCTGCAAGCCTGGAAAAGAGCGCGAGGTCGTTTATTCCATCCAGAAGCGTATCGAGGAGCGCCCGGCTGGATCTCGTAACCCGATTCGGATCATATCGGCTTTCGAGCGCGGACATCTCATGCAGGGCTGGTTCTACTGTGAGGCGCGCAGACAGGCTGATGTTATTGAGGGCTTGGAGGGTATCAACTTCTACTACCCCTCCCAGAAGATGACTTTGGTTCCCGTCAAGGAAATGCCCGATCTCCTCAAGGTCCAGAAATCGGAGGAGCTTATGCCGGGTGGATGGGTTCGTATCAAGCGTGGTCGTTACCAGGGCGATTTGGCCCAGATCGAAGAAGTTGAGACAAACGGTCTTAATGTTACTGTCCGACTTGTTCCCCGTCTTGACTACGGCATGAATGATGATGCTGCTGCTATGATGGGCCCCGATGCGAAGCGCAAGCGTGGCGCTATGAACACGATTCGCCCCCCGCAGCGTCTGTTCAACGAGTCCGAGGCGAAGAAGAAGCACGCGAAATACCTCTCGGCTACATCTGGTTTGGGTGGCAAGTCTTGGAGCTACCTCAACGACACTTACATTGATGGCTTCCTTATCAAGGATATGCGCGTCCAGCACTTGATCACCAAGAACGTCAACCCGAGACTGGAGGAAGTGACGATGTTTGCTCGCGGAGGAGAAGATGGCACTGCGAACCTGGATCTCGCTTCTCTGGCCGAGACCCTGAAGAACTCGACCGCTGAGGACTCATACCAGCCCGGAGACCCTGTCGAGGTCTATCGGGGTGAACAGCAAGGCTTGATCGGTCGCACCGTCTCAACTCGCGGAGACATTGTTTCATTGCAGGTTACCGAGGGAGACCTGGCTGGCCAGACAATTGATGCCCCTGTTCGAACTCTGCGTAAGCGTTTCCGCGAGGGTGACCACGTTAAGGTCATTGGAGGCAGCCGTTACCAGAACGAACTAGGCATGGTGGTGCAAGTCAAGGATGACACTGTCACCCTTCTCAGTGACATGAGCATGCAGGAGATTACTGTCTTTAGTAAAGACCTTCGTCTTTCTGCGGAGATGGGCGCTGATGGCCAACTTGGAATCTATGATGTCCATGACCTTGTTCAACTTGAGTAAGAACCGCCAGAATCCTCAAACCCAACAATTTGCTAACTTGGTTTCAGTGCTGCAACCGTCGCCTGTGTCATTAAGGTTGATCGCGAATCTCTTCGTGTTGTGGACCAGAACGGCTCTCTCCGCAATGTCCTCCCTACCCAGATTGCCAACAAGATCGAACCTCGTCGGGATGCTGTTGCGACTGACCGCAATGGTGCAGAGATCCGAAATGGCGACACTGTTCGCGAGGTCTACGGAGAGCAGAGAACCGGAGTTATCCGCCATATCCACCGTTCATACCTTTTCTTGCACAACAAAGCCCAAGCTGAAAACGCAGGCATTTCCGTGGTGAGAACGACAAACGTCGTCACTGTGTCCGCGCGGGGTGGACGGCCGACTGGTCCTGATCTGACCAAGCTGAACCCTGCCCTTAACATGCAGGCACCTGGCGGCGGTCGTGGCGCGGCGATGCCACCACCTTCACGTGGTCGCGATCCGCTCCTCGGAAAAACTGTTGCTGTTCGCAAGGGCCGCTACAAGGGTCTGGTGGGTATTGTCCGTGATGCCGATGATAAGAACGCCCAGGTCGAGCTCTACACAGTCAACAAGCCCGTTCAAATAGACCGGAATATTCTTACACCCAAGGACCCGATCACTAAGCAGAATTTGGATTCTGGTCGCGGACGTGGCCGTGGAGGAGGTGGAGCAGGGGGTTCGCGTGTTCCTTATGGCTCTGGCGCTCCTTCAGGCGCGCCTGGCTGGTCGGGTGGTCGCACCCCAATGACCGCTGCCGATTCCTCGAGAACCCCCGCTTGGGGTGGCGCCGCCGCTTCACGAACCCCCGCCTGGGGTGGCATGAGCGGCTCTCGCACTCCAGCCTGGAAGAACGACGGATCCCGCACCTCCAATCCTTACGAAGCTGGAAACCGCACTGCCTATGGAGGCATCGGTAACCGCACACCGGCATGGAACTCTGGCTCTCGCACTCCGTACGACTCCGGCTCCGGCTACGACGCGTTCGCCTCCGGAACTCGCACTCCCGCCTGGGGCGGCGCAAGCGCGAACACCGGCAACCGGACGCCTGCCTGGGGTGGTCTCTCCAACGGCCGAGACCAACGCGACTTCGACGACGCCCCCACCCCCGGCGGAGGTTACTCTGCTCCTACCCCGGGCGCTTACGCAGCCCCCACACCAGGTGCCTCAGCACCAACACCCGGCGCCTGGCCCGACAGCGCCCCCACACCCGGAGCCTTCAACGCGCCGACTCCAGGTGGCATGCCGAAGCGAGGAGGCTATGACGCCCCAACCCCAGCTGCATATGATGCACCAACCCCAGCCATGGGCGGCGCGGCAGCTACACCAGGTGCGGGCTACGGGGATGATGACGGTGGCCCGCGTTACGACGAGGGCACTCCTAGCCCGTAAACAATTTCCTTTTCTGCCTGTTATATCACCCCGACGCACAAAAGCTTGATGCAATATGATTTTAGATTTGGGATGTGGTCGGCCTCGAACTTGTATTCTACTTTGATCGGATGTAATTTTTTTCAAAACAGTAGCAAATGATGCTTCATTTGGGTACAGCCTCCTGGCTCTATTTCGAGTATGGACTTTTGACAGTAGGAAACGACGAGTAAATGGCGAGTCAATGACATTTGAGCCAGCTGCTCAGATACCCTTGACCAATACCCCAAGCAATTCTCCAAGCCGTGGGCGCAAGACTTGCACCATCCCAAGTTCTTTGTGCTTCTTCGGATGCAAAAATGGGCTCTATTTCGATATCCAGGAAAGGTCCATCCACTCCCTTACACGTGTTGTCTTTTTGGTGTAGAGGATCCCTCGACAGATTGAATACTATCCATCCTTGCGGCAATATGCCGTTGCACACGTCGCCTTGGGGGGAAGGTCCTATCGACAGCCACATATTCAGCAATCTTGCCACGAAGGAAGTATCCTCGAACGTTTTGCTTGTTCGGGTACATAGATAGTAATCAGGACTACCAGCCCGACGACCATTCCAATTAATTTCCATACCAGGATGATAGTTGCTGCCGCAGCGTAGTTCTGTCTGGCAACGCGAACATGTTCTCTTCAATCCTTAGGTCACGACTTGAACTGGTCGAAGAGGTCACACATGCTAATGTATGGACATATCATGAGAGAACGCACTACCGAATCCGGGCTTAGAGAGCGTCGGTCTATGTTAATGACGATGTAGGATTGTGCGATGTGGGATTTGTTACCGAGACACTGGAAGGCTGAAAATGCCATACTCCCGGATGATGCATGTGGGTAGTGACAGGTGAGGGACCTCAGACACTTTCCTTGATTCGATTCTGGTTGAACATCTGCAAATTCCAAAATCGTAAGGCCTGGGTCTGGACATGCGTAGCATAGATCGGTTCGATGGTATCAACGTCTACCGACCTCGGAATCGGAATCGGAATCGGATACTCGGTGCAGGCAGATATACTTCATACAGTATCGCCATCTATTGTCTTGAAGTCGTAAAAGAAGTTCGCTTCGAGGGGAATAAAGTAGCAGACTGCGTACACCGTTCAAACATCGCTGCACGTACTCGCCTTTTGGCCTTTGAAACTCGGGATTCTGTAGGATGTGTCTGAACCTTTGATAGAAGACACTGCAGGTAAGAACAAAGCAAGCTTGGCAGGGATCTGAGATGTATGAAAATATCTTGAAGATCAGTTCAGCCGGTAGTGCAAAGATGGCTCTTTGGAGCTTAGCATGAGGGTAGGAGCGAATAAGGAGATTCACCCGGCTGCCCGTCTTAACGTTCTTGTGAATCCGGTGGGACCGCCGGGGGGGAATAGGAAGAATCATGCACTTGCCCATCTTATCGTCGTTGTGAACCAAAAGAAACATAAAAGGTAAGAGAGAGCTACACGACAAGGAGCAGTGATTGATCAAATGGGCCTCTCCCAGGGTCATCTAGGTAATACTGAGCTCATCACCAGGTAGACTAGATTTCTGAACCGCCGCCTACTCGGTGCATCCGTATACATCTCATGAAACTCTATCTGGGCTTTGTAACCAACTCAAATCCAAAACATTCACTCCTAAAACATCAATCCATATAAACAATTAAATGTCTTTGTAATTTACTAATTTCATAGCAGAATGCAGAGTGGAGATAGGCTTAAAATTGAGATCGATGGAATGGAAGCAAACAATGAAGGGCATTCCTTCTCCCCGCTTTTTTACCTTCGATTTCGGCGACTTTCTCAAATCTCCAACCATCGGGATTCCCCTCGGGGGCTCGGCCGAAATGGTTTGGCGGGGCTAATTTGGAGTTGAATAATTTTATCTCCGAGCTCGGGGTCCGAAGCGCAAACTCCTTCTCCCCGGTAAACCGTCGCGCAGGAACGTTGCCAAGACCAACTATCCGACTGACTTGCAACATTTCATCTTGATGCACTGATGTTCTTCCGAAGCGAGCAAGAACATATTTCTGTCGCAAAAGGCAGCGGTCGACTTTTTGCCGTGTCAAGCCCTGGAAGCTTTGTCTGATTGCTCAGCAACATGTTCGGCAATAGGGTGGCCGACAAAGTGCCGGCTCGGAGCGAGAAAGAACAGCAGCAAATTGACCTCGATCCTGCATTCATTGTGAAGTGGGATCACGATGATCCTTTAAACCCTCAAAATTGGCCTGTCCGATACAAATGGTGGGTGACTTTCCAGCTGGGGATGCTCGCTCTGGCGGGCAGTCTCGGCTCCAGCATTATAACCCCTGCCGATAGCATCATCGCCAACTATGTTGGTGTCAGCAGCGAGGTCTCTGTCTTGGATGTGTCGTTATACTTGTGAGTCTTTCAAACCCCCATTCGGGAAATTCTTACTAATGAATGGACAAGAATTGGTTTTGTATGTGGTCCGATTATCTGGGCTCCAATTTCTGAAATCTGGGGACGCAGAGTTAGCATTTTACCGGCTGTCTTCTGCCAAGCGCTCTTTGCCATTGGTACATCTAGAAGTACCAATGCGGCCTCGTTTTATGTTACGCGCTTCTTCACCGGGTTTTTCGGCTCTGCCCCGATCAGTAATGTCACAGCCGCCCTGGGTGACATGTGGAGTCGAGAGACTCGCGGCGTCGCAGTCAGCTTGTATGCCGTGGCAGTGAATGGCGGACCATCACTCGGCCCAGTCATTGGAGCTGCCCTTATCACGAATCCTCATCTCGACTGGCGCTGGACTGGATACATCTTGGCCATTTGGGTCTTCGTGACCTTTCTCCTGGGCTTTTTCTTCCTCCCCGAGGTATATCCACTAGTGCTCCTTAAGAAAAAGGCCCAAGCGTTACGGAAAGAGACAAACGACCTCCGATATTATCATCCACATGAGCATATCAAACTCGACGTCCATTCGGTCGTTACGAAACAACTCTCTCGCCCACTGGTCATGCTCTGCAGTGAGCCCATTGTCACTTGCATTGCACTATACGCCTCCTTCGTCTACGGTGTCATGTATCTCACTCTGGAAGTATTCCCCATCGTCTTTGAAGATATCCGCCAGTGGGAACCCGTCGTTGCATCCTTACCCTTCCTGGCATTATTGATCGGTGTCGTATCCTCCGTGGGCCTCAACGTCTGGAACCAGTACCGCTACAACCGAATCGCAAAAGAAGCCAATGGGAAAGCAGTTCCCGAAGCAAGATTACCGCCGATGGCAATTGGTGCGGTCCTCTTTGTAGTTGGAGCATTCTGGTTCGCGTGGACGGCGGAACCACCTCATCACTGGATCTTGCCCTGTCTGGCTGCATTGTTCATCGGTGCTGGCTTCAACTGCATTTTTCAGCAGTGCCTTAACTTTCTTGTTGACGTTTACGGGATATATGCGGCAAGTTCTACGGCAGCGGTTACTTTTCTAAGAAGCATTATGGCGGCTGGGCTTCCATTAGCGGCTAAGCCGATGATCAGAGCTCTGGGGGTTGGTCCTGGAATTTCGATTATCGGTGCAGTGGCTGCTGCTTTGTTGCCAATTCCATTCTTGTTTATGACATATGGTCCAAGGTTGCGGAAGATGTCGAAGCTCACACCCGATGAAACGAATCGTTGACGGATCTTGGGAGGTTTTGTCAAGTGAGAGAAGTGGTCCTTTGCACATTGTCGATTATACCCCATAGACAAGACATAGAACATAGTCCTTGATCCACTTGCATCTCACATGCATTATAGAGTAAGGCGTCTTTTGTTGCTACTACATTTAGTTCAATAGATCGTGTATAGAGGGCCCAGACTAACCGCTTGTCCCTGACGCCGAGTGTGGAGTATGCACCGTGTCTGTCCCAACACCCTATTTTCCACCACTGCGATCACCAGCCTAATGGATTTAAGCCAGATGTCAAGTGACTTCATCTGACCACTGCTTTTTTCCGTAACCGTCTGGAAATCCGAGCTGCTAAATTTGAATGCGCGATGGAAAACAACGAGAATCTGCTTTTCCGGGCCGGAAAAGTTGCCCGGAAACACGGATAAGCCCACGCCGGGGATCAACGTGGGAGATAGAACATCGTGGGGGTAACCTCTACGTGGCAATATAAAGCCATTTCAGCTCCTTTGCCATGGCGGAACAAGTCAAAAACGCAGAGATGGCGACTATGACTGAGACAGCTACCACGGTGGAAGGGCACGCAACTTTATCCGCTGCGGATATCTCGACACGACTGTTGAACGGCACTCTCCACGCCGGATACCCCGCAATCGAGAATTTCATGACCATTGATGGTCTGCTGAAGTCGCATGCTGCTGAACCTGATGCGGCGCAAAAGCCGCTAATATGCTACCCCGTTCGCGGGGCGACTGACTTTGAAGAACACACGGCTGGTGACCTTGATCGGTATACCGATGTGGCCGTTCGATATTATATGGAGAAGGGACTTCAACCTGCAGTAAGATTGAATTGATAAATACTGTCAGCTTACATTAACGCCTTTGCAGGACCCAGTTCTCGAGCAAGCGCCTGTTATCGGTCTTCTTGCTGGGTCCAGCTTCGAAGTCATTCTGACATTCTTTGCCCTTAACCGCCTGGGATATGCCGTACTCTTCTTGTCTACACGGCTGACGGCCCCTGCATATGCCCGGCTGATGGACATGGCAGACTGCAGGCAACTTATCATCATCAAGCAATTCCAACAAACAGTAACCGATATCTGCATTGAGCGACCTGGTTGCAGTAGTCTCCCGATTTTGCAACGAGAGAACTGGGTCAACCGCCCTGCTAGCTCTCCTCATTTCCAGCGACCAAACGTGGACCCAGCTCGCGAGGGAAAGAAGATCACCTGGATCTTGCACTCATCCGGCAGCACAGGCTTCCCGAAACCAATCTTCTTAACAAACCTTCAGACACTAGCAAACTTCCGCAAGAGCTTTGCACTTCGTCTGTTCAATATCAGTCCCTTATTCCACTCTCACGCGCTAATGGAAGTTGGTCGAGCATTTTACACGCGTGCAACCATGTATCTGGGGAATCACTCTCTTCCAGTTACATATCAGAACCTGTACGATGCGCTGCAGGTCGCCCAACCAGATCAGATCAGCGCCGTGCCGTATGTCATTAAGCTGCTGGCAGAGGAACCAGCCGGTGTGCAGGAGTTGGCGAAACCGAAGCTCGTGCTTTACGGCGGATCGAGTTGTCCCGATGACTTGGGTGATCGACTTGTTGCGCAGGGTGTCAACCTGGTTGCTAATTACGGCGCTACTGAGACTGGGCAGATTATGACTTCGTTCAGACCCCCCGGAGACACAGAGTGGCAGTACATGCGGCTTCATCAGCCTGTTGCTGATCACACTCTGATGGATGAAATTTCACCTGGAGTCTTTGAGTGTGTTGCTTTGGATAGTCTACCAAGCAAAGGGCCTTCAAATTCAAAACCTCCCTTTGGTGCGAGGAACCCGGAGAACAGCTTCCGCACGGCTGACTTGTTTACACGTCATCCAGATCCAAAGAAGATCAACTACTACAAGTACCTCAGTCGACTGGATGACCGAATCACGCTTGTTAATGGTGAAAAGGTTCTTCCTATCCCCATTGAAGGCCGCGTCAGAGAGGAGGAGCTTGTGAGAGAGTGTGTTGTCTTCGGTTTCCAGCGTACTGTCCCTGGGGCCTTGATTTTCCGAGCTGAAGGAAAAGCGCCACATTTGGACAACGATCAATTCTTGGAAGTCATTTGGCCAGCCGTGGAAGCAGCCAATGCTCGAGCTGAGACTTTCTCTCGGATCCCGAAAGAACTTGTTGTGGTCAAGGGCGCTGAGGTGAAGTACCCCATCACAGATAAGGGAACTTTCATTCGTGCCCAGGTCTACCAGCAGTTCGACGAAGACATAAAAGTAGCATATGCTGGGTTTGAAGGCACCGGGCAGAGGAAAGGAGACCTGGCACTCTCAATGCCAGAACTAGAGACCTGGCTCTTGCAGAGGTTCCGCGATGATCTGGGTGTAACATTGCCCAGTGTTGACGCCGACATCTTTTCAGCTGGCGTTGATAGCTTGCAGACAACGCAGATCTGGAGGTATATCGTTCGGGATCTGGATCTTGGTGACCATGGAGATGAACTCTCGCAAAATATTGTTTTCGATAAAGGAACCGTTCGCTCTCTTGCAAAACATCTTTACCAGTTGCGCACAGGCGAGGAGTATGAGGAGGAAGACGAGATTCAAGTTATGCAAGAGATGATTGAGAAATACTCGCATTTCACCCAACATTATCCGACTCTTGCCAAGCAACCCGACTCGGAGGTGGTGATTGTCACCGGTGCAACGGGAAATCTTGGAGCGTTCATAGTCGCCAACATCCTTAAGCGTCCATCTGTCTCGGAGGTCTGGGCACTCGTTCGAGCACCTGGACAAGTGGCCGCCGGTACTCGCCTCTCGAAAGCATTGTCTGATCGAAATATTTCCCTGACCGATGAGGAAGCTGCAAAACTCCGCGCAGTCCCCGGTGATCTTTCACAGCCTAATCTCGGATTGGGTAGTTACGTCCTCGAGCAACTCCTCTCATCCCTGACCTGCGTCATCCACAGCGCCTGGGCCGTTAACTTCAACCTGGGCGTGCGATCATTCGAACAGCAACACGTTCGAGGAACATACAACCTAATCAACCTCTGCCTCCGCTCCAAACTTCCCACTCCCGGAAGGTTCTTCTTCTGCTCGAGCGTGAGCACCGCCAGCAACACTCCCAAACCAGCTTCTGTTCCAGAGACGGCGGTTGAAGATCTACACCATGCCCAGACTACGGGATATGGCCGCTCAAAATTAGTGACCGAACACATCACCCGCAATGCTATGCGACAGACTGGTTTCCACGCGAGGGTTCTGAGAATCGGTCAGCTTAGCGGCGATACTATTAACGCACAATGGAATGAGACTGAAGCCGTGGCACTCATGTTCCGCAGTGCATTGACAACGGGTTCTCTTCCAGAGTTGAATGAGAGACCCAGCTGGTTACCTGTTGATCAATGTGCTCGGGCAGCCGTTGATATCTCCATGGACCTTGCGGCATCTGATACCGATTTGGTGTATCATTTGGTTAACCCGCAGAAATTTAGCTGGAAGGATGATCTACTTCCGGCTTTGAAGCGGAGCTCTACCTTGCCGCAATTTGACATCGTGTCACCTCAGGAATGGTTGAAGAGACTGGCTGGCAGTGATCAGGATCCGGAGAAGAATCCTAGTATCAAGCTTATTGACTTCTGGAGATCGAAGTATGAGAGCGTTGGGCAGAAGCCAGTTACTGCTGATGAAACGGCCGGACTTACGTTTGAAACTAGTCGGACGGTTCAAGATTGCCCATCGTTGGGCTTCGTGAAAGACCCTGTTGCGGAGGGGTTGGTGCAAAGATACATTGAGAATTGGATGGAAAGCTGGACTAGTAAATAGACTGAAAATAGATTTAATGATCACTTCTATCTCTTCATAGGGCTTCCTCCAAGTATGCTATGTTCGAAGAACTTGGTCAATAATGTCCGCTGCCCACAGACACTTCTCATCTTGGAACTTTGGAGTGATAACTTGCACTGCACATGGCGCACCGTCCACTTCATCGGGGTTATCTGGCGCTACTTAGTACATTGTTTAGAAAAAGCAGCGAAGGGACTTACAATCGGGCTGCACGCCATCACCTATGGCCATCTTTTCCGGATCTAGCTCCTTGGATGCCTTCCGAAACGGAACAATACACGCAGGATACTGCACCAAAGTTAGTAACACGCATCATATAAATCAAAAGAAAGACGACTTACATCCAACAGGTTCCACATCACGGTATAAGGTGGCCATCCATAAGTGTCGTACGCAACCGCAGTATTCTGTGCCCCAGGAGCAAGAACCACGTCCAGCTTCTGATCCACCCAGATCTGACGCCATGCATCGCTTACCCGCGTTCGCGCTTCATGCAGCTTCTGAATCTTCTGGAAAGTTTCCAACTCTTGATCGACAGGCCAGGGACCCGTGAACATAGGCGATGCGGCTTTAGCCACTGAGTTGACAAGCGGCTCGCCGCTGGCGCCGATATGATCGATATGCGGACCATAGACAAAGTATTGGAGCGAGAGACGAGAAGAAAACGCCACGGAGGTTTCTTTCTTGCTCTGGTTGTCAAGTTTGACAATGCGATGGCCGGCTCGGGTCAGCAACTCGACCGCACGATCCAGGGCACGCTTAACAGGTGGGTGAAGAGGGAAGGCCTTGTCTTCACCCAAGACACCAATTGTCAGACCTCCATTGCGCTCGTTGATACTATGAGGACTGCCGGACCACGGCACAGCCATGGCAGTCTGGTCATATTGCCATGCTTCTCCTTCACCGATGACACACTTCATAAACAATTGCAAATCGGCAACACTGTGCGCCAGAGGGCCAGCAGCGGGCTTGAGACCGGGCAACCCCTCCATCGCACCCGAGACCTGCCCACCGAAGGGGACGCGGTCTGCCGTTGGCTTGAATCCATACACACCACAGCAGAGGGATGGGATACGGATTGATCCGGCAATGTCAGTGCCCACACCGAGGATGGAGCCTCGGAATGCCACAAGAGCGCCTTCACCGCCACTGGACCCGCCGGCTGTCAGAGACGTGTTGTGTGGGTTGAGTGTACGGCCGAAGATGTTATTCTCCGAATCGGCAGACTAATATGATCAGTCGGGTATCAGAGCACAGATGTCGAGATAGCCTGCTTACCATCATAGTCTGTGGAATGTTTGTCTTGACGTACAACACTGCTCCCAGCCGAAGAAGCATTGCCACAAGCGCCGAATTTGTCGACGCCGGCGGGTTCTTCAGAAATGAAACATATCCCACAGTTGACTGCAAGCCTTCAACACAAAAGCTATCTTTCAGACTGACCGGCAAGCCATGAAGCGGGCCAATCGGCTTCCCCTCGCGCTGGAGATACTCATCAAGGTACTTAGCACGATCGAGCGCTTGGTCGAAAAACGTCTCAGTGAGGCACGATGTCTGTTATAATTAAAAATTAGCTTCCATGTATGTCTGTCACATCGACTTCATGAACACAGAGCTAACATACCACCTGTTGCGCGATAGCCGCCCGTTTACAAAACGCAGTGGTAACAGCCAGCGAGCTAACATGACCCGAAGCCAATTTAACCAGAAGCTGCTTTGCAGTAAAGTTTTCCGTGAGATCCAGCTCAAGCTCAGACAGCAACCCCGTTCGCCGCGGGAGATCATACTCCAGCAGACGTGCGGGCACCGAGAGTTGGTCCTCACTAAGAGTCCATTCGCGGGGAATCTTCTGTGCGCACTCGCGTCGCTTTGCAACGACGAGATCCTTCCACGGAGTTTCCATAATGAAAATAATATCACAATGACTAGGGATTGATGGCAATCACGGCATTTATGTCGTTGCTATGTGCACGTTGACGATAAGAATGTCCTAATCAGCGATCCACTAGGAATTACGCTAGGCCTCGAATCTACGCCATTCCATGTAAGGGTGCGTCCACCTACCCGATCGGGAACAGCTGATCGGGAATAGCTGCTTCGGCTACATCCTGGAGTTAATCATGGAATCGAGAGACATCCATTCGGCTTCTACTCTATTCTATCTGCCGCTCATTTCTTCGCCACGACATCTTCCGGCTTGACACCCGGGAAATTCGTCAAGTGGTACGCATCGATCCAGAGCTTCTCTCCTTCACAGGTCATAACGCCGAGGCAGACTAGCCCATTCAGCCAGTTGTACGGGCCGGGTCCGGCTTCAAGACGAAGGTGCGAGAAGAATTCGACATCGTCCTGCGTGACTGTATGCTGTGGTGGCTTCGTTGGGTCGGCCTCCACTGCTTTCGCGTAATCGGTTCCTGGGCCTGGGCGGTACAGGCCGTGGGCTCGGATGTAGATGTAGTGGTTGTCGGTTGTGCGTACCGTGTAGCGGGCATCAAGGGTCATGGACTAATTATGTTAGCTATGAATTTATTGGAGTGTATGAGATTGAATCCATACGTGGGTTCCCTTTACGACAGTCGCCCAATCTGCTCCGCCAAGTGGCAGGATGGTGGCTTCAATGCCAGGCCCCTTCAAGGTTCCGCCGAGGATGTTGGCGATACTTCGTACGGTACCTGCATCGTGCGGTGCACCGATGTTGATCTCCTCTTTGGCGATATCGCATTCAAGTCGATAGAGAAAAGACAGGGCAGGCTGGCGCATGTGCGGGCCGTTGGGGAAGATGTCGTTACCGGGTGAGAGAGAAGTGGGCATTGTAGAAGAGACGAAATTGATTTGAGACTCTGGATTTATCAAAAATTCTTGGGGGAGTACAGACTTTATCAATTCCATTCTTATACTAGAGAGCTTGATTTCCCAGCTTGATCTGCTGTGATAAATGAACAGGGATTCGGCTCAAACGGCCCGTATAGCAGTCACTGGTACCTACTAAGCGGAGTAGAGCATGGCATGCCTAATCTTCCATTAAAATTATTCCCATTGATCTGAACGATGAGTTAAGCGCATCTTCGGCGAAACCAAAATAAGCGATCAAAGTGGAGAGCGGGAACATCCCCGCAATCCAAAGCAGTAGGTCGACCCCAACTCTACGGAGGGTCCAAAGAACACGAGCGCAGTATCCTAAGATCAGCCGTTAGACAAATCTACCGATCGGGCAAGTCCAACAGACCGTCCCTGATTAGTGAAGATGGCATCTCAAGGAACTATCCTATCTGGGCATATTTGAACGCTTTATCTGCTCTCACTTGTTGCTTTGACCATCACATCCCTCTATCTCCAATTTTCCCTTCTTTCCTTTCCACTTGAGAACACTTCATTCCTTTATCATGGCATTTGCTCAAGCTCACTTAAGCAACCTTTCGGTCCCTGCTGCAGAGCGCCAACAAGCTCTAAACCGCATTCATGCAGACCCTGGCGTCCCCAAAGATGCGACAACATCATCTTTCTGGCTCAAAGAACCGCACCCACAATTTGCGCAGAAATCTTCAAATTCTTTGCCTAGCGAGGCAGATGTAGTGATCATCGGCTCGGGCGTCACCGGCGCTTCCATCGCGCGCACGCTACTCCAGAATCGCGCCAAGGGCTCAAATTCCCATCCAGCCGTGGTAATGCTCGAAGCTCGCGACATCTGCAGTGGTGCTACCGGCCGTAATGGTGGCCATATCCTCGAGACGGCCGACGAGTACGCTGAGTTTGCAGATATGTTCGGAGAAGCCGCCGCACGGAAGATACTTCGCTTCCGACTTGCGCATTTGCGCGAGATTTTGGGTGTCGCTGAGGAAATGGGCTTAACTGAGACTGCACAGACTCGCAAAGTGCAGTTTCTTAGTGCTTTCTTTTGTGATGAAGAGTGGAAGGCTGCTAAGGAGAGACTGGGGCGGTTTAAGGAGGGCATGCCCGAGGAGTCGAAGGAGTGGGTTGCATACGAGAAAGACTCGATTCCCGAGGTTTGTTCGGATATTACATTTAGTGTTTGGATATTGACTGACATACTCTGCAGAAAATTAAGCTTTCACGCGCAGCTGGCGTCATTGCAGGCCCTGCAGGTGCTTTGTGGCCCTATAAGTTCGTAACGGGTGTTCTTTCTCGCCTGGTCTCGGACTACCCATCCGACTTCCGGGTTGAGGATAACACGGCAGTGAGGGCAATCCAACGCGGCAAGGGCCAAGGCCATGAATACACAATAGAAACCAGCCGCGGCACAATCCACGCTCGCCATGTCATCCACTGCACGAATGCACATGTCGGACACCTCGTCCCTGGCCTCCGAGGCCGCATCTTCCCCGTCCGCGGACAAATGTCTGCCCAGAATCCCGGGGAGAAATTCCCATTGCAAGCAACAAAACACTCCTGGCTATTCAACTATGACCGTGGCTTCGACTACCTCACCCAGCTACCAAGTGGGCAAATGATGCTAGGCGGTGGCTTCGCTAGAAGTGAAAGCCTGGGATGTGCAGACCTAGGTGTACCAACAGACAACGAAATGAGCCTAGCAATCGATATCCATCTCTCCGGAGCGCTAAGCGCTGTCTTCGGCCGCGAATCTTGGGGCCGTGTACAGGGCGAACCCATTCAAGCGATGTGGACAGGGAACATGGGATTCAGCGCAGACGGGCTCCCATGGGTAGGACAGTTGCCTGGGTCCGTGACACATCGGACACCGGATAAGAACAAGCCGAATGTAGGTGCTGAGTGGGTGTGTGCTGCATTCTGTGGCGAGGGAATGGTACAGGCGTGGTTGTCTGGCAAGGCACTGGCTACTATGCTTTTGAAAAAGGATGGTCAGTCTGGTATGGATCTGTCGTGGTTCCCAGAACAGTTGCTAGTTACTGAAGAACGCATTGCGACTGCTGTGTTGCCTCAGACTGTGCATGATTTGCCTGTGCAGCGCCAGGCAAATCTGTAAGCAGTTAAGTTCAGGTTCAGTTGTGTTATGCTATGATAGTGTATTGCAGCATGCTTCTTATATTTCCTCGGCGGGTATCTGTGGCTGGGGTAGAGCAGGCATCCATATTTCTAAGTTCTAGATCCGAATGCTTTGGAATTTCCATTAGGTTCCAGGGTTTACTACATAGTTTTCTATGGACTGGATTCGTTGTATATTTTGAGCAAATACCATGCATTGCATATAAAAGCCAAATTTTCCAAAGTTTACAATAGAAATAATTCCAATCCTTCCCATAAATAGCGTTTCAAGTAAGACAATGAAATATAGCCGTCTCGTCAATCCGAAAAACAAAACCAACGCACGATTTGGGAAACCCTTGAAGGGGCCGAGACCACAGGCACGATGCACAACCCTCCATCCAATTTCAAGTTTGTATTAAGTAGAGACATTATGACCCTGCATTTCAGCGAAGCGATAATACTTGCCTGCTAGCTTGCGACGAGAATCCTTACCCCAGATAACCATCGGAATAATCAGGCCTGTGATGGCCAGACTAATGAATCCCGTGGCAATGAACATGTTCTGGAGACCATCCCGTTCCATCCATGGTGTGATGGCAAATGGAATACCAATGCTGACGGCATTGCGGATAAATGCAATGCCCGTGAATGCGTCGCCGGTAATCTAAATCTCACATTAGCAATGAATTCGAAAAAAGCAAATATTGTCAAGTGGGTGTATAGAACGTACATCGCGATAGCTGTCAATAACCAGTGTCAAAACAGCATCACCCACACCTCCCAGACCAAATCCGAAAAACGCACCAGCAATACTGGGATAAATCCAGTGCATTCCCTAAATTGGCACATTAGCACAAAGCCCTGCTTGATGCCGTGCAGACTTACCCGAGATATAGTAGTCCCAAACATAATAAGTCCACCAGCCATAAATAACGCTGGGAAATGAAGAATGTACAGACGCATCTCCGGCTCGTAGAAGCCCTTGTTCCTTCTCGAAAAGAACTTAATGGACCAGTCGCCAAGCACGCCGCCGTACACGGATCCAATTAAGTTCCCAATGAATGGGCCCACGCTCATAAAGCCGATTTGTTCGGGGGTGAAGTTGTACGGTGGGAGGGGGAATACGAGGGCGAGGACGCTGGCGGTTATGGTGAGCCAGGCTACGCCGGCGGCGTATTGGAGGGCGGTAAACATGATGGCGGGGAAGGATATGAGGACGATAAATGGGCGGTAGTAGTATGGCCAGATGGATTCTGGGGTTTGGGTTACGAGAGCCAGGCGTCTGGTCCATGGGTTCATGGGGATTGTGAGGTCGAGCTCATGATGGTCGCTGCTGGGTTCGACGGGAGCAGAAAACTTGGTCTCATCTTGAAGGGGACTTTTTATGTCGAGATCCTTCGAAACGGGGTGTTCCTCATCTGCCGTGGGAGTAATACTCTCCCGTCCTGTGAGGACGGGGACGTATTTGGTCTCCTCGTAGAAAAAGATGAACAGAACCAAGAAGACCGCGTTGAAAATTCCCATTGTCTTATAGGACCAGCGCCATCCCTGTCTTGTGGCCTGGGCACCCGCTGCCATGGGTGTCAGGAAGCTCTGTGAACGTGGTCAATTACACACTATACCGATCGGAAGCACCAATGGATCATGCTCGTGGGTGCAACGTACGCCAATCATAACCATGATCATGTAAAGACCATTCATGGTGCCTCGGTGGTGCACGAAGAAGAGATCCGCAATCTGTGAAACATCAGATAACCACCTAATGGCGAGTAAGAGGGAGATTGCATACGGTGATTTCTGCAATAGCTTCGTTTGTTGCACCGGCCAGACCTTGCAGAAGGTTGCAAATGTAGAGCTCTGCCAAGCTTTCCAGTCTGGAGGTCCAGAACGATGTCACTAGCATCAAGGCTGTGGAGACAATGTAAATTGGTCGCCGACCGTATTTCTTTGCCAGAGGGATGAAAAGCACGCAGCCCATGGCCAGTCCAACGAAGTTGACAGACATCGACTGGTTGAGCTGGCTGTAGGTCACATGGAGATCGACAATCATCTGTTGCCAGAAGATCTGCTGGATGGAGAGACTAATCCAATCAGTGAATAACTCCACACGGGATGGCAGGGAACCTCACGCTGTAAAGATGATAATCGTCATGCCCATGACGATAGTATAGTTGACCGACTTCCGGAGGGTGCTCCAGTTCTATGTTCAGTAATTAGTCTCAAACCAAAATCAGTCATAGTGCCAATACAGTGCACAAGCATACCAAAGGCTCATTCGGATCATTTGTCGGGACTGGGTCGAGCATCAGAACCTTCCTGTTCTGCAATTCCCCTCCATCGTCTGGGATGAGAGTCAGCGACGTTCAGTCGGCCAATTTGCAGTATTGGCTACTATACCTCGAATCAACTTGAAGGTTCCTGGGGGCAGAGGATGCGTGTCTTCAGCGGAGAACCTGTTGCCAACACTCGCCATGGTTCACCTCAGTCGTCGTGGGAGAGTATTAAGGAGCTGTAGCGTGATGAAGCGAGCTATGTGGCAAAAGTAGTCGAAGAATGAATGGTAGATGGAATATGAGATGTAGATCGAGCAGAATATAGAGATGAAGCGGGCGAGTTGAAACAATAGTCGGGAAGTTAAGGCCGGAGTAAGTAAGACAGCATGTGTGAGAGACAAATCGAACAGACGAAGCTGGAGAAGACCAAGTCCACGGAAGTTAATCACTTTGTAAAGAATACAACGTGAAGGCAATAATTAGAGCCTAAATTGAAATCTCAACGGTGAAACACGAAGATATTTAATTGCATCCCCGAGTTTAGTCGTGACCAGCAGTCCACATGATAGAACGATATCACTCGCGCCACCGAACGGATACGAATCGCAGATGTCATGGTGATAAGCCATCAATTGGATGGCAGTTCTATCGCCGGTTGAAATGCGGAGAGGAAGTCTAGTTTGGAGATCGCCCCGGCCTCGCTCAGGCATAAACCTGGGGGCGTCGGCCTCCCGTTTTTGGAATGGCGCGGCATGATAAGAAGGCATCGGTTAGCGAGCGGGGTTGGCTGTAGCCAAGAGCATCGCAATGATAGGTTTTATCTACATGATCCACTTCCCCAACCATGGTTTTAAGCGCTCTAGTCTGTACTCGGTAGGTGGACGCACTGGTCCAAGGGATTTGGCTAGGTGTTAACAAGAGTGTAAATCAAAGCTTTAGATATCAATGCGAGAGACGACGTCTTCATGAGGCATATCTCACGAGAAACAGCAAGTACTGCCGAGCGTACATTAATTTTCTACAGCCTTGATTGTTACCGATTAGATCTGTGATCCTCAACCCCATCACGTCCATCACTATCTGCAATGAGAATCAACCATGTCCATACCTAAAGTGACTGTGTCCCTGTCGCCAGTTCACACGAGTCCGTATTACCTCTGGACAAGGCCAATGCCAATTGTCATAAGACTAACAAATACAAGATCCCTCCATTGTCGCAGTCGTCCGAACAGTGAACCTCGCCTTCTCATCCGACCCATTGATACAATGGCTTCGTCCAAACGCAACACCTTGGTCTGAGCATGATCCTTCAGCATGGAAGTGGCAGTACCGTCGAGTACAGACTATAATGTCTCGTGGACAGGTACTCCAATCCGAAAGTGTTGGGCAGATGGCGCAAGTCTTTCAGAAAAAGTCATCCACATCAAAAGATAAGGCAGCACCAGAGAAGGGATCTCGTATTCCGGTGTCGCAAGATCTAGACATTACCAGTTCCGACGCCGGCGCGGTTGTATTTATGCATCCACCAGCATCACACCTTGGCTGGTCACTAAGTCGAATACTGCTCATATGCAAAGTCTGGCTGCTAGAGCTCTTCAATCCAGCTCTTGATGAAGGGTGTAAAGAAAAGGTGATATCCGAGACCTCCACGTGAGGAAGCTTTCTGACTCAGTTCTAGCGCGTGAATAAGCTCATCGCTGCAAACAAGGCCAGCGCTGACGGTCTTCAGAAGCAATACTCAAAGCGGGAGTTATGGTACCTTGAGGTTATTGCTGTGCATCCTGCACTACAGTCACGCGGCCTTGGCGGAGGTGTGATGAGATGGATTCTGGAGCATGTTGGGAACCAGCCGATATACTTGGAATGCACGCGGCGGGACAACGTTTCGTTTTACGAGGCATTCGGTTTTCAGATTGTTGAGGAGGTAGAGTTGGTCGATGATGATGATGGTGAGAAGCTTGCATACTGGGTGATGGTTCGTTCGCAAGATCCATGAGCTCCCTACTGGTATCAGGTACAAGAGAAGGCATATGAACATGTAATTTTTTTTTGACTAGAATTAAGCGATGATGATACATGGTTGCACACTCTTTTCATAACAATCCCATCTCGATATCTTTCGCCCTCGCCAAGTCATTGACGTCGAAAGTAGGTTCATTTCTCTGCCATATCTCCTCTAACAATTCAAGAAGTATCTCATCTTGCTTCGAAGATAACGCACGATTCCGAATAGTACTCTGCCACTGCGGGTTACGACCCATTACCTCGACTTCTAGCCCGGCTACAAAGAACGGAAAAACCACCGCGTTCTTGATGTAGGTATCTTCCGTCGGGCGCTCAACACATGCCAGACGCAAAGCATCGAGGTTTGCCAGTATACGAGCCACCAAGACCGTCGTATCTGCAGGACACGCGTTTGGTTGTCGCCACGCTGAGAAACCGGGAATGTCGCGCGGTTGGTCGCTGGTACGTGCATTCCGGCGAAGAGTAAGGATCCCAGCTAATCGGTGCGCTTCCCACAAATAGCACTGTAAGAAGCTTCCCGCCTCGCCTGGCCAGTCCCAGAAGCTCTGCTCGGTAGTTTCCATGCCGATGCCGGCAAATAGATCTACTAAGGACCTCGGAAGTCCCGTTACTGGTTCAATTCCCTGCCTCGGTCCCGCGGACTGGCAGTACCGACGCCAGATACCGATACATGGGGTTTGACGACCCACGGCAAAGCAAGGCAGGTCCATAACTCCCATGACCTCGAGGAGATGTGTGCGAAACTTGAAAGAGGTTGCTGTGCGATGTGGGTCGTCGAGGCCGTGGCTTTGCAGGATGTTGTGCATGCCTTCTAGATGCATGGTCCAGGGCAGCCCGTGCATCAGCTAGATATTGGGTCAGAACCTTAATCTCTTATGGTATATGCAAACGGCAAATAAAACAGGGAAAATATGTAGTGACGCACACCGATGCTACACAGCAGGAGACCCGCTGTCAGCGTCCCATCCGAGAGGGTCGTGCTGCGGGCCAGTTCGGATCGGAATTCACGGAGGGCGGAGTCGAAGTACTCGAAGAATGACGCTGTGTGTGTTGCTGAGAGGGAGAGTTGAAATGCAAGACAGATTGGATACAGGGCGCTTGATTCTTGACACAGTTCCGGTAGTCGGGGCAGCAGCATGCTGTCCCGTGCCGTCGTTGAGTGCAAGACATTGATGCCGTCTCTCAGGACTATTCTCTTTAGCCTAGGATTTCAATCCGGGGTAGGATCACTCACACTCATCAAATAACATTTTATCGTGATCGGATGCCTCTGGATTCAACAATGTCGTGTCCATGTCATGAAGCTCCACCAGCACCCCGTTAAGATCGCGGAAGCACGAACTCGAGGGCTTTCCATTCGGCTGCGCCTCGAGCTTCCTTCTCTCCCGATTGAGATCCCTTCGTCTTCCCCTTGGCCTAACCGGAACATTTTCATCGAGTGGTTTATCAGCGCCGGTGAACCGGCCCCGCGACGCAATGCCACTGCCCCAGCGCAATCGCACCTCGTAGCCTTCACAATCAACACCCCGTTGCGCGCAATTCTGACATGTCGGGTGACCGTTATCACACCGACGCCGGCGGCGCTTACAGGTCCAGCAACCCTGATATGAGCGGGTCGACATTCCGAATATAGAGACAGCTTCGTAAACGAGCGCGAGGGCGCACCGGCCGGGGTTATGTATACGGCAATGCGGGGGAGAGTGGACCCGAACTGATAACGCGTCGGACTTCCCGTTCCGGTTGATAACGATGGATTCGATCTATACGGCCCGAGGTTCATTGGAAAACATATAAAAATGTAGTCATGAGTATTCTGGAATACGTAACGACGTGTATTTTCACATTCGTGGCTGAGATGTCTTTCCAATCGCCCGTATCGAAGTGTAGAATCGCCATTCCGGGCCTGGGGACGATGGACGGTCTGGAGTATGCCAATGGCGTCCAGCAATTTTGTGGGATCCCTTACGCACATCTGCCAAAGCGTTGGACTCGGTCGACACTAAAAACGTCATGGGAAGGAAGGCATCATGATGGAACACGACTAGGGTAAACATTGAGAACCCAAGATGGAAGTGTTCTGCTAACACAAACACCAGAAATGACTGCCCAAGTCCAATGACCGAGGGCGACGACTCGGATGACCTCGTCCCCGTTCCTCCAGCGGCACATTTCTCTCATCCTCGAGAAGTGGATGAGCTGTCGGCGCTGGTTATGAACATTGTGGTTCCCCACCCCTTCAAGAACACCCAGCCTCTGCCAGTTTTCGTCTATGTCCACGGCGGCTCTCTTTTATACGGCGGAGCCAACCTCCCAATCTTCGATGCAGTCAACCTAGTCTCACACAGTATATCCATTGGCATCCCAATAATCTGCGTGAACTTCAACTACCGCGTCGGAATCGGCGGGTTCCTTGCCGGTGAAATGATTGCTCGCAGCTTGAAGCACGATGGTTATCAGGGAAGCGGCAACTTCGGGTTCACAGACCAACAAGTTGCTTTCGATTGGGTGCAAAAGTATATCGGCTTCCTTGGAGGAGATGCCCAAAAGGTCACTGCAGTAGGCGAGTCGGCTGGAGGTATCTCAATCAGCAACCAGCTTCGATCGGCTCGACCCCCTGTCTTCCATCGCGCGGCTTGCATGTCCGGTCTCTCTGTAGCAATCCCTGCGTGGACAATGAAACAACATGATCGGTTCTTCGAAGCTGTCTGCAATCACTTCGCAATTGACTCCGCGGCATCAGACGCCCTGGACAAACTACGTTATATCCCGCAACAAGAACTTGCAAATGCCACCGCTGAGATTCAAGGTGTTCCCTCCGGTACGGGCAATCCATGCCTAGACGGCTGGTTCTACACCCCTGAATTGGATCCACGCATGGTAAGCCCGCCGCCCACCTGGCTAAAAGGACTCATGATCGGAGATACCTACCACGAGGGCGTCATCTTCCATCTGAACCTGCTTCAAGAAAGCTACGAATCCATCCGAGACACCCTCCAAAACAAGGTCGGAGACGGTCAGCTCACAGACCACATCCTGGCAGCATATGGCATCACGGCGGATCTGTCACAAACCGAACTCCTTGATCGAGTAGAGCACATGTGTGGTGACGCCATCTTCAAAATCCCCAACTACCTACTAGCCAATAAGTGCGCTGCTCAAAAGTTGCCGGCAAGCGATGCGTTGTTCCTGTACCACTTCGACCAGCGTTCACGGCTGCCAAATGCACTGGAGGGTACCGCGTATCATGCACATGAGCTGCTGTACCTATTCAGCAATTTAGATAATGAGTTGAATGAGAAGGAAAAATGTATGGCGAGGGAGTTTGCGGGGGCTTGGATTCGTTTCACGAATGGGCTGGCGCCGTGGGTGGATTCGAAGCGGAAATACATGGTCTGGGGGCAAGATAGTAAGATGGCGGTTAAGAGTGAGGACGAGGATGAGGATGTGCGGGATTATACGAGGATGAAGATGATGTTGGGGCTTGAGGATGAGAGTGGGAAGGTGTGGGAGCGGTGGTTGATTGGGGTGGATGCTCTGGTGAACAGGCGTTGGCATCTTTTTGGGCGATAAGTGTCTATTTATCGTACCTTTAGAGGGGCTGAGATGTTCTGATATTCCGCTTGATGAAGCATGCCAAGGATAGAAATTTCGTGTTCAATATGCTTCTCCACGTTGAATAGTTCCATTACTGAAGTCTATCAAGAAGCTCCACTGTACAGCGGCTACGGTAGAACCAACATCCTACATCGAACATCTTGGAACAAATTCAGCCAGAACGCACCCGGAATTTCGAGCATGCTGAAACAGATCAAGTTTCCCGGAGAAAGGAGAAGAAAAAGAAACGGCTAGCCCCGAATCAAATCTGAGAATACATGGTACAGAAGAGAAGCCCCAAATATGAGGTCAAACAAAGAAGATTCGTCAAGGCGGCACCGCTCGCGCCAGCACACGAATGTTATCCACAAAGCCCTTCACCAAATCTTCGTACTGGTTTGTCGGATCACCGGCCATAGCCAGAGTACCTTGGCGACGGATTTCAGCAGCTGAGACCTCGATCTCGAGCTCGTGCTCGAATTCGTTTTTCGTCGGAGGCTATCAAGTTGGTCAGAAGACTGGCACGAGTTGCACATGTTAGGGGGTAAAAAAAGACTCACCTCGGCCCTGGCCACCTGCGTCAAATCGATCTGATAGGCCAAATGTCGATAACTCATGCGGTCCTTGTTTCGCTCGCCGCGGCCGCCCCTGGAGGCGTCTACCATGGGGAGGTTGGTGTGGTCTCCTTCGTATTCCATTTCTAGATTCACGCTCACGCGCCAGTCGACTGTGGTGCGCGGGCTGTACACATCGATGTCGGCGACTCGGCATTTGATGATCTTGGCAATGACTTCACCGGTTCGTTGGTCCGTTGTCACACGGACTTTGGGTTTGTGGCGAGGATTCAGATTCTGGCGAATCACTGGTGGGAGCTCGTTCGGATTGACTTCGTAGAAGGTATCACGCTCCTTTTTGTGCGCGTACGAGAGCGGGATGCGATTTGAGTCGGCGGCAGGCATGGACGCCTTGACGTTCTCGTTCAGGAAATTGTTCATCGCGCGGTGTTGCTCCTATAATTCGTGTCAGTCTTCTTATCGTGCGCCGTAATCAGGAGGGAAGTGGATCACTTACGACTGTCATGCTGCTTTCAAATGCTGTTCGGATAGGAGAGTCGCGATTGATGACGCTCTCTGTGAGGACCGGCAAGCGCAACCTTTCTCGACGATCCTGATCGATAACGTGGCCTAGTTTCGCCTCGACCTCAATGATCGTTCCTTGCCCAGCGGCAGCAGAGCCTGCTCCTCCGACAGCCACATCGTTTCTCATCACCACATGCTGAAAGAGGAAATCGCAAAGGGATTTTGTAATCTCCTCGTACGGAATTAGTCCGGTGATCGAGGGTTCCCATGGCCCCAGAGATCCCACAGAAGGTACACCTTGAGGCACCGGCGCAGGTGGAGGTGCAGACTGAGCGGGAGGGCCATTCATGTTCGGTAGAACAGAGCCCGGTGTCCGAGCAGCATGCGAAGCGGCAGTGGCAGTGGTCACCGCAGACGTGTTCGTCGAGGATCGCCTGCGAGCCCAGGAATCCTGATTCGATTGCCGTAAATATTTGGAAACCGGAGGTTGTGGGTTGGGAATCACAGGGCATTTGCCTTTGGTACGGACGGATCGTTGAGCATAAATCGGGGGCTCGTTGTACCGTCTCCTCTTCGGCTTTGGTTGTTGATTCTCAACACGTGACATTGGCTTCTGGTCGAGCTCCATCTTCAGGGGGTGAGATCCACTTCTCGGTGCGGAAGGTGAGCTATTCATCTGGGTATGAGCCGCTGCGACGGGTGAGACACGTGCTTCCGCCCCTGGTCCCGATGAAAATGGTGCCGTAGGACTCTCATTCCACTTTCTATCTTCTGATGAACGCAATGGAGCTCCACCAGCCAAGTCAGATGTACCTGCGACGCTATTCTGTCTCGAGGAAGCCCTCGGGCTCACGGTTTCCAAATGCTCTTGCTTCAAGCCGGCCGAGTGAGGTTGAGGAGTTGATTCGGACGGTCTAGAGCTGGGTGAGAAATGCCTGGGCAGAGAAGGAGACTGAGTCCGAGTCGAGTCTCGCATATGTGTGTCCTGTATGAGCCGTGGGCTGGACATAGGATTGCGTGGAGAATCGCGACCAGAAGATTGCGGACGCGCGGACGGAGATTGACGTGAGGAAAAGGCGGCGGGGGGTCCCAGAGGTGTATCTGGGGGAGGACGATGCGCAGGAGGAGAGAACTGACGGGGTGGGAGAGCCTGTGAGGCGGAGGAAGGGCTGTCTCGGGGGCGGAACGTCTCGCCCGGCGCGTGCGGGTTCGTCATGACCGATTGCAACGAGTGAGATCGCTGCTGTGCAAAGTACGATCCCTGTTCGGGATGATGAGGGCCCGCACTCATGGGCTGCGGCGTGTACGGTGAGGCCAAGTGGCCGGCGGGGTGCTCTGGATGCGAATTGTAGGCCGACGCGCCGTACGGATCACGCGCACCAGGCCCATACGGAGTCATGACCTGGGAAGGGCTTTGGCTCCGACGGGTTCGCGTTCCTGTATTCAATGGTGGAGGCGCGGGGGCCGTCTTGAACTGCTGGTAAGGTGATTGGGGAGGAGCGTAGGGCGAGGATCGATCTGAGGAGGCATGCGAATGCTGCAACTGGGGTTGTGGGGGACGACCGGCATAGTCTGCGTAGTTCTGTTGTGCGCGCTGATGCTGAGCAGGATCGACCGGAGAACTAGAGGTTTGTGTGGGCGCAGTAGGCTTGGAAGCGCCGCCGGCGTCGGTGTTCATGATCGTGCGCAAATCCATCGCGACGGCAGGGGGGTCACCACGACCACCAGCGCGAGCAGGTCTTTATCGAGAGGCACACGCGACTGGCGATCGCGACATCCAGACCGATGAATTGCGCAGGTCGAGGGTGGAGGATTGGGAGGATGGAAAAAGAGAAAGGGAGAAGTTCTCGCCCCGGACTGCGCGAATCAGGGAGCTTGGGAGGATCATCGCCGCTTCGGGGAAAGGTGTGGAAAGGCCACGATTTCCATTGACTTATTTTGTATAAAGCATATATTTGGTGTATACAAACTTATTAATCGGCATCTGGATTCTTTTTCTTTGTCTACATGGGAAGCTTCTACAATAGCTGGGAGTTAGTGTAGCACCTGCAGAGCTCTCTATACGTGGTTCGGGGTTCGGGCAACCCGCCTTTAGCGCCGCTGAATTATAAAAAAAAGTTGCTTTTGATCGGTATTTGGCATCTTCCTATCCGAGAAAGGCCAAATTGAATATGTCTGGAAAGACAAAGGATGTACATTCTGGATCTCGAGTAGAAGAAGCAAAGAATCAAAAGGCCAAGTGGAATTTCCGTACATGGTCATGTGATTGCTAAGTCATCCGTGTTTGCGCCGGTCCTTTGAGGCATCAAGTATACGACCTGAGTTCAGTTCTGAAGTGGTGATGCTACATAGATCGATGAAACGAGTTGTACCGATTCTCTGCACCGATCAATTGTACTTCACATCATCTCAGGAAGTATATACATATATCGGAATGAACCCCAACTCTTTTTTTCCAGGTTAGACTGATCATCCACCCTGACGCGTCCACCAAGTATAGACATAGAAATACGCCCTTGAGCATTGGGCTGCACCATTTCAGTAAATCTATTGTAATTCGGAAATAGCATCGATTGAGCATGTTGTCTGCAAAATAACGTCATCCGTGTCAAAGTGTGACGATAATCGTATCGTTGAAGCCTAGCCCGGGAAGCCAATCTATCTGAACACGGCCACGGGATATAAACAGTGCCCGCACGCAATCGGCAGGAGATCAGCACTCGTCTCGTCCCTCGTTTCAATCCACCGCCAGGGCTGCACTCTTCTCGGTCTCCTTCCTCGAACTTTTACTTCCCAGGTTGAATTTTCTACTTCACGACTTGAATAGCTCCTGAACTGGGGAAACGCCCGCTGACGTATTTCGCTGTTTCCCCGTCTGCCGCCCTCCTCCCGATCCCGACGCCGCATCTTCAACTCTCCGCATTGCAATTCTCGAGAATCTCGCTGGACGAGCAACTCACCTAATTCGCCCGGACGGTACACACTCGCTGCGACCAGCATCAATGACGTGTTCGCCGTAACACCCTCCGCACAACCCCCGTCGCATCGACATGACCCTCGGAAGAACCCCCCGAAATTGCGCAAACATGCCACCTTTCGCCGAAGACCGGGCCTCAACAACGGTCTCGGACATCCCTCTCTCAGACATTGAGCGTGGCTCCAGTTCTATTCCCAACGAATCCGCCCGCTGGAATGGCTTCTCCCAATTCCACCCATCCAATATCCTCGCCAACCCCAACGGATTGGCACCGAAAGTGTCGCAGGAAGACTGGCTGGCCTATTCCGAAGACACATGGCACCGATTAACGGTTGCATTGACACCAAGCTTTTTACAGCACTATGTCGGCGGTGAAACGCCGGAGGCTGCAAAGCTACACGCCATTGCCGCCCTCGACGGGCTGCGCGGCTGGGCCTGCCTGCTCGTCTTCAACTTCCACTTCCTCTTCACGTATACCTGGAAAGTCGCGATCGGGTGGGGATTCAATGGTGAAAATTTCGGTCTCCATCAGCTGCCGTTTGTGCATCTGTTGATCTCGGGCCATGTCATGGTGGCCATTTTCTTCGTCATCTCCGGCTACGTTCTCTCATATAAGCCGCTTAAAACGATCCGCTCCCAAACTTTTGATCAGACCTTTACCATTCTGGCTTCGTCGACATTCCGCCGTGGATTGCGTCTATACGTCCCCTCGTTGATTGGGCTCATGTGTGTGTTCGTGGCTGTCCGCCTCGGTCTTTACAACTACTCGCACGGCGTTATCAAGCAAGGTCTCACCATCCGCGGCACAAATGAACAGCACCCACCGGTGTATGAATCCTTTACGAAACAATTCTGGGACTTTCACTACACAGTCGCGCATCTCCTGAACCCATTCGATTGGAATCTCTACTACAACAACTACAACCCGCATCTTTGGACCATCCCGGTCGAGTTTCGCTGCTCAATGGTCCTCTTCCTTACCACCATCGCCACATCCCGCCTCGCAGCAGCCATTCGTATGCCACTCGTCGGTGCACTCATGTGGTTCTGCATGCGCTATGGCCGCTGGGACGTCGTCCTCTTCCTTATCGGCATGATCATGGCCGAGATCGACATAATCAACGGAACCTGGGAGCGTCCCGCGACCTCCCCCACAATCAACGAGAAAACCAACATCCGCCTTACCCCTGGTGGCAGAGTCCTGACCACCGTATCCCGTCGCCGGCTATGGATAACCGTCTTTGTGATCGGCTTGTATATTAGTTCAACCCCGAACATCGGGTACAAATGGACGCCCGGTTTCAGGTGGCTATGGCACTTGACACCTCACACATACGGTGAACTACACCGGTTCCCGCAAACCATCGGCGCAGCTCTCATCGTCTTCAGCATCAACCACTCACCCGACATCCAGAAACTATTCACCAACCCGTTCTCACAATATCTGGGCAAGATCTCATTCGCATTTTACATTGTCCACGGACCTATTTTGCACGCATTGGGCTACTCTTTCATGCCAAATATCTGGGCTGTCACTGGCAAGGAAACGAACTTCCAGTACTGTTTTGGCTTCCTGATAGGCTGGATGATTTGTCTGCCTATTGCCATTTGGGCTGGTGATGTATACTGGCGTGCTGTTGATATCCCCAGTGTCAAGTTTTCGCGGTGGATGGAGAATTGTCTCATTGTGAAAAATGCCCCAATGGCTGCTACGCCGAGTTTGACGACTCCACGGGCGACGCCGAGATTATCATAGGTGTACTCGCTCTTTTTACTCAAATTTTTCCACTCAATTCCCCTGGAACATTAAAGATTATCTGCCTATTTCACGTAGACATTAGTGCTTCGTCCGCAGCCACAGCAACACCGAGTGCGCCACCATGCAGCCAGACCAAGGAGATATTGCAAGGAGGCCTAAGCTAAACACTTTATTTTCTTTGTCCTTCTAAGGCTCGTATGTATCTCTTTCGAAGTCGTTCTAAACATCTTTTGATTCTTTCGATATGTTGCTTTGAATATGCCCGGACAGATAATACGACGCGAAGCCGTCAGTTATGCTGACTTATGGAAGACTCGTCGAAGACAGGAGGGAAGACAGGAAATCTCATGAGGAATTCAACTGAATTAATCCTTGAAAGAGACTGGCACTGTAACTCAGAGATTGCCCTACCACATACATCAATCAACTTAAGTAGAAGACGTTCCAGGCGACCAGTATTCAGATGTATAATTCGTTCATTCATTCACTCATACCAAAATCAAGTTAGATCACGATGGAGCCCACTCATCCCTAAAAATCAAAGCCCACCCACAGCAGCTAAGCCTCTACAAGGCACTCGCTCTGTCTAATCACATTCACGGGGAGTACAGGCATGAGGGTAAAATGCATCCGCAGAGAAGCAAACGGGGTGTGATGGAGATCGGAGAAAGTAAAACCATCTAATGCAAAGGCAGATCGCACAGGAATGATAAGGCAGCATGAGGATTAAAGGAGAAAGTAACCACGCCAATTGGAACTTTTTGGGTTCTTTTCGTATTCGTCTTTTTATAGCGACACCCCCCAGATACCTCTTCCACCGCAGACTCCAAGCCATTCCCGAGGCGATCCGGTGTGGTTTGGCCCGCCCTGTGGTGACCAGCTGATGTTGGACACTTCGTAGTCGCACTGCCAGGCGGCGGCGGGACCCCGTTCGGTAGGGGCGGGGGCCTGGGCACCTGGAACCTGAGTAGGAGGGGAGACAGGAACTGCGTTGTTTTGGTTGATCAGGTCCCAGATTAGAACGAGGCTGTCATCACCACCAGAGGCGAGGACCCCGCGTCGGCTCGGTGACCATTCGACGCAGTTCAGAGCGGCAGAGTGACCCTTCAGCTCGAGGAGAGCTTGGCCAGGTTGTCGCACGTCGAGAACGCGTACAACGTTGGAATCCGATGAGAATGTTGATAGAAGGTGGGCATCATGGGGAGATGCTAAGGTTACGTTATTGGCATGTGGAAAATAAAAGAGACCTGGGTGTGACATACCTGCAATCCGCAACAAAGGCGGAGGGTTTATCCCTGTCTGTGAAGGGCCGGATGGACTAGCGTTGCCGGGACTCATAACAGCTGGATATAGTTAGTACGTGAGGTCGTACCGGGGTAGACCAATTCCAGGGTCACTTACGTCGTTCAACCTTGTCGTTCGGCTCGTAGATAATGGTACTATGTTCCAGACTCCGTAGATCAAACATACGCACACTGCCGTCAGCGCCACAGCTGACAAAAACATCGACACTGTTGGCACAGAATCTGACATCATACACCTCCTTGTCGTGGGCAATCAGCTGTGTTTTAGCGGTCAAAGTGGGAATATCCCAGATGGTGCAGGTTGTATCAATGCTGGAGGTGATGATAAGACTTGGTGAGATTGTGTTCCAGTCGAGGGAAGTGATCGGGGCTGTGTGCTCTGGTGACTTCGAGTTTGAAAGCAGTGCCAACGGAGAAAGCTTGGACGCAGGAGCCTCTCGCTGATTTGCGGGCCGTGTGATCGAGTTTGAACTCTGCAGGGGCTGAGAACTGGGGAGGGACCACAACCGGAGGTGATCACCAGACGTGGCAAGAAGATCAGTGGATTGTTTTTGGGACGATGGAGGTTCCCAAAGAATGCGTGTAACGGGATATGAGTGTGTCGCCTCCGCAGTCTTCACGTATTCTAACTTGATTTCTCCTGCGGCGGCGTCCGGCGTATCTGGGTCTGGTTGGGTCCAGTGTGTGTCAATGATTTGAATCTAGACACGGGTTAGTATCAGCAATCTCCGACGACTGCAGCAGTTCTCACAAAGTTATGATTATCCTCCAGGTAGCTTCCTAGAGCTAATTTTCCCCCGAATGAGTTCGAGCTCCCGGCAATTGGCCATTTGCACCAATCCACCGCGTATATAGGCCATGGTGCCACGTAGTTGCTGTTGGAGGGTATCTGGGTGTCCCCGTTGTAAGGCAGTAGCCCACTCCCACCCCCGCCCCCACTTCCAGGGCTCAGGAGCGCGTCTCCGAGACCGAGGTGATCGCCAGGGAGACGAATGTCTGCGAGACCCAAGGGCGAGTACTTGGAGCCCTGCGGTGTATGAGGCGGGTATCCAGCACCAGGGGACGAGGGATATCTGGAGCCTTCTCCTGCACCTTGCTGTTTGTACGGGGTCTGATCAAATCCGGCGGGACTGGATCGCGAATGTGCGTGGGAGTTGGCCATGCTCGTGCGATGGCTGGACTGTGGTGTCGTCTGCGGTAAGGTGGGAAGGACCGACGGGGCCGTGTTGACTGAGACGGCGGGTGGGCGATTCTGGCCACCTGGAGTCAAGGCACCTGGAAGCGTGCCACTACTGTTACCACTAGCGCTGCCATATTGCAAAGCCTGAGCGCTAGAGTGGACGTTGATTGAGGGGACTTGGGTTGTCCCGGCGTCTGGGGTCGTGGGGTAATCGTGGGACGAGGGCTGGCGGGCCATGTTCGGATTGATCAGACCAGTTGACGGTATGTGTAGCTCCTCTGGTTGACGCCCAAAGATGGTGGATCTGCGAGGCGAATCGAACGGGGCGGGATTCGACATGGTGCGGAGGAGGGTTCGACGGCGGCTGTCAAGGGGAAAGGGATCGAGATCGGAGTATCCGTGAGCTCCACTCCCCCAAGAAAGGAAGAAGGTGTGTGGGAGAGGGACACCGAATTGAGGTGCGGCGAGCTTCAAGAGAGCTCAAAAGGAGGCAGCGCAGGATCGCAACAGCACGTCGCCTGTCGCAGCTCGATGAGGCAGCTGGGGGGTCCCGCGCTGAGTCAGCGGTACCCCGGCTCTCGGCCACTTTCCTAAGGTTTACCTTCTACTTCATATCCTCCATCTTTCCCTGCTCTTGCGCATTTCTTTTTCAAATCTTTCATCATGGCTCCCGAGAGTTTCCGCCCGCCTTCGGCTTTACTTTTGCTTCCGCCACCTCCATCTTTCGACTTTGGGCCCGTCAGGGATGCGTTTCAGACCTCGGTCTCGGATGTTTTGGTCAAGCTCTCGGAATCCCTAAATGGATCCAATGGCATTGCTTCTCTCGACATTGCTCTGGCAGTTCCAGACTTACTTGCTCCAGCTAACAAGCCTCGGGCAAGAGTGTTTAAGCAGCTGCAGCATTACCTCACCAGCATCTACACCTTGATTGGAGCCGAGGCGGCAGCTCGGGATATCGAGCTAGACTCTCCTGGTGGTATCGATGCCCGCGTCCTTTTTGTGGATTGCTCGCCCTCTGCGTGTACAGTCTCTGCTACCCGCTATCATTTTGGCCCAACTCTTGACCTGCAATCACTGGCAACCTCGGGCCGACTATGGGATCACGTGTTTTATCCAAGTAGCGAAGCTGGCAAGATATTGGCCGATACCTTCGCTAGTTACAGAGGCAATAAATCATCAAAGTTACGAGCCGTCTCCAGCAGCTCGAGCTGGGTCTTACCCAGTCCTCTTTTGCGTCCTGAGCAGGAAGAGCAACAGTCGGGTCAGGTACGAGACGCTTTCAACCGGCAAACCCATCACGCAGGTCTAACATATCTCAAGGATGTTTCGACTCCTAAGAACCAGTTATTATCCACCCCTCATTATTCAGTGGCTGTCGGGGGCACCTTCGATCATCTTCACGTGGGCCACAAGTTACTCCTCACAGCCACGGCACTGGTCTTGGAGCCACTTGAAGAGGCCGATCAAGGTCGAGAAAGGCTTCTCACCGTTGGTGTCACTGGGGATGCACTCCTCGTGAACAAAAAATACGCAGAATTTCTCGAGAGCTGGGAGGAACGCTACCAAGCCACGGCTGCTTTCCTTTCTTCCATCATGGATTTCTCTGGAGGGAGCGCCCCGCAACTCGAGCGTACCTGGGGGTCAGGCCCCAACGAGAAGTCTGTCAAGATGAGGGTCCAACCCAACCTGACTTTCAATTTTGTGGAGATCGTCGATCCCTTTGGCCCCACAATCACCGAGGAAGACATCGACGCGCTCGCAGTGTCCGAGGAAACGCATTCTGGTGGTCAAGCTGTCAACGATAAGAGAAAGGAAAAGGGATGGGATGCGCTCGGGGTTTTTGAGGTGGATGTGCTTCAAGCTGGAGCTACGGAGGCCAACATTGATTCCAAAATCAGTAGCACAGACATTCGGCGCCGGCGGATGAACCTAGCCAAAGTATGAGAGGGCTATACATCACGAATTTCAGAAACATATCCCACAGGATACCGACGATGCGTAATGAACCACAAGGTAGAACAACGACAGCATGACAACCGACGGATTCTATGGAATACGCCAAAGCAAGACAAGCGCACGCAGGGGCCATCACATTCAAAAATCGGCCAATTTCCTCCAATCAAAGGGGTACTCCACACGCGACCTCGTCACTCTGCAGATGTGACGACGAAGCGGGGGTCTGCATTGGCCTGCACGCCTGCTCTTCTCCACTCATCGCCCTGCCTCTTGCCTCTACTCAAACAGATTCGCGCTCGCGATGGCTGGCCGCAGCCTCTGTCAATCATGTGATTTACCAAGAGTCCGTCGTCGCCAATGAATCCGATCAGATCGCAATGCAAAGGCCCGAGTCTGTCAGCGCCGGCGTCGCGCTAAAACGGGATCCTGATGATCGCCCCGGTTTGTTAGGGCCAGAGCACTCGCCATGCGGCCCTGGTGAGACAGGTCCGTCATGACCAGTCCGCTCTACGCTATGTCGTGCAGAAATGCGCCGCCGCCTTTATAACGCCCTTGTCACCCCGATCGAGTCTGTCTGACTCCTTTTTGCTGTTTCGCCCTTGTTTCCAGTCTCCGTTATTCCATGCTGGCGCTACTCGCCCATGCCGCCGAGTCTGCGGCTGCTGAATGGGAAGATCATGGAGCTGTCACGTCATATCCAGGACCTCGCGAACGAACTGCTGAGCGAGATTCTATCTTTTGTGCTGGACCCGGACTTGCGGATTCAGAACGATTCGTCTCACGGGAACGGACGCAATGGCATTGACAAGGGTCCCATTGAACACGGAGAAGCGTCCGATCTCGATCGCTGGAGACTGGTGTGTAAACGGTTCATGCGCATCGGCACACCGAGGAGGTTCTCCCGCTTCGTCATTCGATTCTCCGAAGATGGTTTCCGTCGATTGGATGAACTGCTCAAAATGCAGCTAGCCTGCTATGTGAGAACGGTGACATATCTCGTGCGACCCTTCTATACAGGCAGTGGTACACCTCCACTCACCAGAAACCCAAGTTCGTACGCTGACCGGAACAGAATGGGCATCAATACTCCAAACACTACGCAGCTCGAACCAATCACTTGCCCAACTCCACGCCCACCGTCTACGCGAACAGACCAACCTAGTAGAAACCGACCACGACCTAACCCAACTCCGCCGCGCCATCACCGCCTTCTCAGCTCTTCAAGAAATCAAGCTCCTCCGCCTCCAAGACTCAGCGGACGAAGAACTCATCGACTTTATTCACAACTCCACAAACACAAACACACGCGCAACTCACTTCAACTGGGAACGCGCCTGCTCGCGCGCAGTTACAAGCCTAGGAATCGCCCTCCTAGACTCGCACTGCCCAGCCATCCGCTTCATAGGCCCACAAATAAGCCCCGAGGCCACGCTGCAACTCCTCAATGCGCCATCAACTACATTAGCTGCCATGGGCAGCCGTCTTACGAGTCTAGACATCACTTTCCATTCCAACACAGATATCTCCGCCACAATGGCCAATCTGTCCGATGTCTTCGGCCCCTTTTTCGCCGAAGCCAAGAACCTCGTCTCTATCCATATCGGATTTCCTCCAAAATCACCCCTAGACCTTGACGTCGATGCTATCTTCCATGGTATACGCTGGAAAACTCTCCGTACGCTTAGTCTACAAGGCTGGCGGCTCGCGGACCATGAAATTATTACTCTGGCGCGCAGACACAGGCGCATGTTGAGAGAATTCCGATTATGTGCTGTGTATCTCCGGCGCGGAGGGCGCTGGAGTGATGTATTAGCCGTGCTGCGCGAGGAAATGGAGCGCCTAGAGAGGGTTGAGTTGAGGGAGATCGACTATGCGGATAACTTTGATGCTCTGGCAACTGCCAGCGGTGTAGAAGTTTTTGATGGGCCGCTTGATGCTCCTCTTCTGTCTTCGCTTTCTGTTGCTGCGGGGACTTCTCCGCCGGAGATGCGGCACTCAATGTCTGAGGGAGCTACATCAGCCCTTTTGCGTGGGCGGGTAACAGCACTGAGATCTGGGAATTTGGAGAAACTACGCGCATTGACGATTCAAGACCTGGACGATGATGGTGTGCAGGTCCAGAGAGAACAGATAGGTCTCTGGGAAGCTTGGGTTCGGTCGGGACTCAATAGGTTAGCGAACGGGCAACATTTGCATTCGCGAAGTGTTTGAGGAAAGAGAGCGTGGTTCTGGAGTTGGCGGCTGTTTGAAGTTTTAGCCTTTGCATTTCAGCCTTATAGACATTAGATTCTACGATCATGAATCAAGATCTTTGTCCAGTATAATCTCCATTGGAATTTCGTAGAATACATGAAATTGCTTCCAGTGAAGACAGAGGAAGGACTGTGCTAATGCAAACAAAAGCCCGACTTGGTCAAGGGCTGGGTATTGAACGAACAAATCAAAGAAACACTAGCAGAGGGTATGACTAGTCATAGCAGCTGGCCCAGTCCCCTCCCTCTTCTGCAAAGCTCAGCCCATTGATGAAATCATTTCGGCGGCATCTGCCATAGTTATCAACTTCACAACCATGCAGCGGGACGACACGGTCGTTGACCAGGACCCGAACAAGAGGCTCGGGATTCGGGTCCTTGGCACACTGCATCATCTCCACGTACGCGCGCGCCGCAAAGGGTACGGTCCATGCGGCGGAATACCCATCTGCGCCCGATGCGGACTGGATATGGCGGGTAGGCAGGGGGGCGGTGCCGTTGTACAGGCCCATGGCAAAGTAAATAGGGATTAGACCGTTGTCGTGGGTGAAGTCCGCATAGAGGGTTCGGTTCAGTGGGAACGTCGTTGTGCTGGAGTCGAGAGTGTGGTTTGTGGATGTGTCGTCGTGGACCGGGGTATGTGTCATTCTTGCGATGAGCTCATTGACGAAGCCTACACCCTGGGTGGGCCCGAGGGGGTTACCCGCACCATAACCGTAGTACTTGTCGAGCGATTGGAGGTAGTTGTAATGTGCCCATTCGCGCAGAGTGAAGAGATCGCAGAAAGGAGATAATTCACTTCCGTCTTTTGTTGCCGAGATAGTATCGAAGGCGCACATGTCCATAAGATATGTAACGTCGTCATTGGAGAGTACCACGCCTGGGAGGTTTGCTTCAAGACGATGGGCAATTGGAGGCGCGATTCGGGCGGCGTAGTTGTTTACCACGTCATCGCCGATCGAGCTGGACTCGAAGGTTGCGCAGGTATTGTGGTTCAGGCTGTTGTTGGAGCCTTTGGATTCGGAGATGATCACGTTGATCTTTGGGCTGTTTTGATCCCGATCTGCGTGTCGGTCGGTATTTTTGGTCTGTTGGAAGCCTTGGATGAACTTCTTGCCTGATTCGACCACGCGCGGGGACCCCGAAGATCGGATGAATGGGATGTTGTTCCGAGTCAGGGCTTCGTAGCGCTCGTAGAACTTGACGCCCGAATCAATCATCTGACGCTCGCCAAAAGTGGTCAGGTCATTACTGCCCAGGGTGTATTTGTAGTCTTTCAGAAAGGCCGCGCTACCCTTGAAGTCTGTCGCATTGGCTTGGATATCCGCCACCAGCTCGGCATACTTCTTGCTCTTCGATGCAGTGGGGTACCGCGCACCATGGCGAGACAAAACCTGGACGAAAGTAACCTCGCAGCCCTTTGGCACATCCCCGGACATACCATCCTCGACTGAAAAATAAGGCGAGTAGAAGCCCCAACGGTGGGAAATATCGGAGAAACACTGGTATCCACTGCTGATGCTGTTGCACGCTTGCGGACGACGGGCGACATCTCGAGCGCTAGAAACACGCAGATTCCGATCAGGATGAGATCCCTCGACAGGAGACACAGAACGAAAGGTTCCATACCCAAACACCAGATGCCCGACCGCGAACACAATGCCGCCCATCAGGACTACCATGCCGAGCATTGTCCATAACCGCTTGTAGGAGGACTTGGGACTTGGATGTTCCTCATTGCTGCGAATGCCCAGCAGAGCCTCTTCTTCCTCCTCGACTGGAGCTCGTCCGTACGGTCGTCCGTAGCCCGCCATACCAGATGTGGGTCACCCTTGCTACAGCTGAGTCGATATGGTATCAATGCACCCAAGACCAGGGGTACTGGAAGAGACGAGAGCGGACGAGGACATCGTAAGTCCGAAATAAGGGAGACGAGAGCGCAGCATCCATGTCACGACACCTGCCGTGAACGCGGTCCTGAAGCCGCCGCTGAGCCCGTGAGTGCTTTGCGCCTGCCGATTGGCCGACCCATCTGCCCTACCCGCACGTGCGCACATCAACGGTCGGTGACTCGCCGGTACCCGTTTAGCCTATTGTTTAGTGCCGGATCGGATGTACTGCCAAGTATCTAGCCTCATCTTCTCTTTGACAACCTCGTGCATCCTGTGTATCTCTGGAGAATCTTTTCATCCTGCCGCATTGGGCACGGTGCACCCCACGATCGCAGCAAAATACCCCTTCCCCACTGCATATATATCCAACCCAAACTTCCAAGCTCAATGTAAACTAAACACCCTAGTGCCTCAAAGATCCACCATTCTGCATGCACCTAAGCCACGTCTCAATCTCACCTCGACCCAGGACACACGTCATCTAAGCTACATGTATATACTCAGCCCAAAAATATTTATCTTTCAACCTTGGTGGATTTGACACTTGGCACATTACAGATCAAGGGGCCCACCCGGAACAAAGTACCTACCCGATCTTGAAAGTCGAGCTGTCATCTCGGGTCGATCACCCCGATGAAGCAAGGGGCTCCCGACCCTGGAACCTTCACGCCATGCGCTCACCAACATGACAGCTCTCACATAGCCGCCCGACCTGGACCTGAGGCCTGAGATCATCGGCGTATTGCGTGGCCTGTGCATACGCGTTAGTGGTTCCACGTATAGCCCCAGAGACGATATAATACAGCGGACAAGATATCCACGTTGATGCAGGCCGAACTGCAATTCCGATGGACGTAGCGAGTTGACATATTAAGTATTGAAATGCGCCTGGTAAGGGCAGGGCTGCGATAATAATTGGACTCTTGCTGCTACCCAGTGGGTCCAACTGCATGAATATGTAGGTAGGTAATTTGACAGGTTGGAAATCATTCATTGGCTGACTCGGCTCTATACACCTCGTCACTTTATCACAGGTACTAAAGAAAGTAGGTACAAGAGGCAGAAATGAAATCTTTTCAATTCAATATTGCCATTGGAGGTATCACCGCGACGAAACCAGACACAAAGGGGATCAATAGATTCAGATTCGGGTAAGGTGGGGGAGAAGGAGCTTTTTTGGGAGGAGGGTAGTGTTATGAAATAGAACACACATGAATATGCATATGCTAATACACCCGAAAGAAAAGGTGTTTGGTGATGAAGTGGGAAGTTTGAAGGATGAGGTCTGGGATGGGGCTTTTGCAGTCAGACCAGTGACCGCTCCGAGACGGGGATTAAAAACATAGGGAATGAGAAAATGGAAAACGGAACAAAGCAAGATTGCTTTGTTCCAGTCATGGGCGTGACCTATTGCCGGGTCCATGGCCCTTGGGGTGGAGGTAGGGGTCCTCCAGCTGCTGCTGATGGTGGTACTGGAGAGGGTGCCGGCCCTCCTGATGTATTAGCAGGCGAGTAAGATGATGGGGGCTTCCGGGCCAGCTCCCTTGCGGTCTCGCCGAGTCCGGTACTCTCCCCGTTGTACCGGAGGTTGGTGCTGCAGTAGTCCGCGACATATCTCCAGCCCAGGTCGAAGTCGCAGTCGAGTCCGTAGCGGAGCTGAGAGAGGTCTGGGAGCGAGGTGAAGGGGGACGGGGCGGCAGCTGTACCGATCTTCCAAGTTGGTCACGGTAGAAGTCCCGCTCAGAGCGGTAGTGATCTCTCTGTTGGGCAAGGGAGCGGATTTCCTCGCTCTGACGACCGATCGTTTCAACGTGGCGCTGGATCTCATCCTGCTGAGCACCAAGTCGCTGCTCGAGCTGTACCTCGTTGCGCTTGCGGTTTCGGAATCGTCGACTAGCGTCGCTGTTGGCCTTGCGCTTTTCTGCTTGACTGGAAGATCCGGACTTCAGATCCAGCACGCACGGTATTAAAGTACCACCGAGAGGTGTGACGCTTCTCGATGTGCCGGTTGCAATGACCGGCTCTTCTTTTATGCGGCGTGGTTCTGCTATCGCTGGTGTTCCGCGGGCCATGGTATCCATTGTCATGTAGGTTGGCGCTGCGGAGTAGGGTGGGACAGTTGGTGGTAGAGAAACATTGTTCCCAGCTGGAGATGCGTGTGTAAAATGACCGAAGCTCGAATGGGGTGTCGTAGGGCTTATCTCCTGCGAAGCTGGGGTAGTAAAAGGCCCTGGCCCGTTACTGGTCCTTCGCGAGTGGACGCTGGGTGCAGTAGAGTGGATTGATGTCAAGGATTGAGGTTGAGTGGACGGTAATGAATTAATGGGACGAAGTGCTGATTCCAATAGTAGAGAAGAGCTGCTCGTGGGTTGGGGTGGACCCAGAAAAGGTTCCTGGTGAACCAGCGGAGAATGGGCCACACTAGACTGTGCCGAGGTCTTGCCACTACCAATAAACCGCACTGATGGTGAACCCGGGCTCATCAACGAGCGTGAATAAGATCTCGGAGACAATTGCTGCTGTACTAGAGGATGCACTGTCCTAGGAGCAGGTGAAGAGCCCTGCCGCGGCCGAGGCGATGCCGAGGGTCCCGGTAAAGTCAAAGGCTCACGGCTGCTGCTAGCTGCATCGATAGCCGCTGCCTGTTCTGGCGGGTTCAAGATCGCATGAACACCGATGGACCGCGCCGAAGAAAGTTCCAGCGGCGGCTCCACGGGTCCGTACGGATGCCAGGACTGCGGTCTGGCGCGCAATGGCGGCCGGCGCGAAAGATGGCGGTTGCCTGCGGGCGGACGCTCATTGTCGATCACGCTGGGGCCGCCGGTAGTCACATCGTCGGGCAATGGACCTGTCCGCCGAGGCTCCTGCGACATCGACGGGACTCCGAAGGCAGACTGGGGATTAGGGCATGACCAAACCCTCCCTCTCTCTGTGTCACCGGGGGTCTCACGAGAGGTAAGAGAGGGGGAGGAGTTTGAATAAAGAGAATCTGCCGGATACTGCGACAGCTTCGGCAGATGCAGCGGCCTTGGGTAAGGCGCGGTCAACACGCTAAGGCCCAGGGTAGCCACGATGAAAGGTGTAAAGAAGAGGGTTGGAAAGAAAGCAGAAACGTGGTTATTCTGCCTTGTGAGGAATTGAAGGAATTCAAGGCGTAGAGATTCTAAAAAGAAGAAGAGGAAGAAGAAGAAGAAGAAGAATTAGAACCAGAGTCGATCTGTTGATCAATTCCACTCGTTGTGTAGAGCAAAGGTCCCGTTTTTCGTGATCAGCTCAACCATGTGCATGCAAGACGGAAGCGATCCGAGGCCCCATAAAGACGAGGAGGTCAAAGCTAAGCTTATGGAGCTAAGGGATGGGAAAGAAAAGGTTCCCAGAATGGAGGAGGGAAAGAGAAAAATAAGATAGTTAAAGTGAGCCGTTGAGATCCAGCGGTGAGACGGGGCGGAAAGGGACCAGGACCCATGATCCATCACCTCGCGCGTCCGGATCCTCCTAAAAGAGAAAAAGACAGAAAAGAAAGTTGTCTGTCCGACCCGGTCTACCGGATTAGCGTTGGGCAGGATCTCCCGTTGTATGGAGTACCCTCGCTAGCCATGTTGGGCCTCAGCCTCGCTGGTATGGAGTACACTTGGGCTCGAACTGGAGACGATTCTATTCTCCACTGCGGATCTGACTCCTGCTCTTACGTGCTCCTTACACATGTGAACCTACTGTAGGCGTGAACAAAGTACAAGGTAATCGGGACGCAGCGATCGTCAGGCAACGAATCACCGGAACTGCGAAGCTGCAAGTGCGCAGGCGCCGTCACCATGGACATGGACAAGATACGAGTGGAGACTTCTCGGGGGGTTCCCCCACCCCCTGCTCTCCTGCTCTCCCATTCTCGCGTTCTCCTATTCTGTTTTCAGAGGATGCCTGTGGCAAAGACGATAGAACCATCTGGGCCCCCGGAAAGGCAACCAAGGCTAGTGGACTAGTGGGCTAGTCGCTAGTGACAAGGAAAAGCCGGAAGTTTGTGCCATGTGCATGGCCCCGGAAGGGAAAGGCGATAGGGGCAGTAGAAAGTGGGCCGATCCATGACGAAGAAACCGATGACGATGGAGCTGGGAACGCCAATTTCCATCGTGCTTTTCTCAGATCCATACTGCGTCGGGGCTAGTCGGGGGGCTATGGAGCTCTAACTTCCTAACGACTCCTTCCGGCCGATAGTCCCTTTCCCAGTGTGGTCCTGTCATTTCCCGAGAGTTTGGCGCTCGGGGGGAGACTACGTAGCCTCGAAGTATACCAACAACGATCAAGGTCATCACAGAGGGTTTTACCCGTGGTGTACAGAGTCGACGCGGTTTGGAGGCAAATGGAGCTTCACGCAAACTTTAACCCTCGAACCCCTTCCGTGGTTTGATTTCTGATGTTGTGCATCACAGCGTTCCCCGTGTCAATTCCGGCAAAAGGGGGCGCCGTTGGTGGCCGTTAGGGAGGTGTGGGTGGTGATGCCTTCTCCACTTGGTTTACCATCAGGCAAGACACTATTGGAGTGGTTCTCTTCACCGGTCCTTAGAGTCTGCCGATAGGTCTCGTCCGGGACTCTAGTGTCCCCGTTAGCTCGGAAGCGGGGCGACCGCATTTTCCCTCTTGTTTATTTGGCCTGGGGTTTCTTCTCGTGGAGCTCCCGGATGAATGGCGCCGGGTCAGCTACCGCATTTTCCTGGATGCGAACGTTAACTCGTTAGGGGCTGGGGTATTCTACCGATCATGATCGCCTCGAGCACTACTTCTACGTCACAGGACGTGGCAGGGTAACGCGAAGGCCTCGCCACCGTCAAATAAAACGGAAAAGAAATAATAATAATAAAAAACAACGGCCATTGACCTCCACTCCTCGTGTCACGGTAGTCTCAGGTACGCAGTCTCCGTACTTCTACCCGAAAAGATCACTGACAGCCCCATCCGTCGGATCGATCAACGCCCGGAAGGGACCCGAAACCTCCCCTGAAGCTCACGAACGCAGTCCTAGGGTGGATGCCTAGCTTACTCCCGGTTTGCCTATCCCGGTTGCTCAGTAACGTGGAGCTCTTGAGATCACGGAGCAATTGGCGTTGACAGTGTCCGCGTGATAGGGTCGAATGACAAGAACGACGATCTAGCTACAGCTAGCGCCACCGCTGCGAAAAAGTGGATGCGTGGAATCCTTCTAGGAGAGATGAAAAAGGACGTTCCCAGAGCTCAGCTGAACCAGCACTTGCAGCTTAGCTCGGCTGACATGTATTGTCCCATCTGTAGGGTACAATGAATGGGGCTCCGATCGGCCTTGACAGCTTTGCTCCTAATGGGGTAGGAGAGGCCCCTATTTTTGTAAACGATAGATCCGCTGCAGGAAGCTTCCTCTAACTTTGAGGTAGCTGTCAAAGGTCTTTACCGACCTTAGTTTTAATGATTTATTTATTTTTCTCGCCCTGCTCACCCAACACACCCAACGCAAAAGGAAACAGGAAGGGAGCGAATCAAAAGGCGCCCTGGGGAAACATTTGCAGTCTGAAGCAACCGCGGGCCCTGACTGGTCGGGGTATCACCATTTTCTCATTTTCTCACGTTTTCTCCAGATCCAGGATCTACCTAAACCCGTTCGGTCGTGTGGCGTGCAATCTCAAACCGCCGTTTCCAGCCCGTCGGGTCACGTAATGGCAATCTCCCTGTACCGGTCGTAGGACCCAGAACCCGGCTCGATGCGCGTCATGACTCCGTCGGGGGTAAAATTACGTGGGTCGGGGGGCCAAAACAAAGACCGGGAAGCATCGTCCCAAGTGTTTGGTACGCGGATTTGCCGTCCCAAGGTCGCCGAGTGGGGAGAACCACTCTCCACAACCTATACACCTTATGCCTGATCGAGCTTCTATTCTTTTCGTCAGCGCCGTGTCTCTGTACCTAAGCCCTACTTCCCTAAACCCTACTTCTTTTTCTACCTATTTTCCGATGCTCCTCGATGCCGGTACCTGTTCGCCGGCAATACGATGTTATATTTGCTTTTTTCTATCATTTTGACTTTCTCAGATATAGGGGGCCGTTCACTTGCATCGAATATCTCGTGTCCGCTGCAACCGCGGCCGTCAAGAAAAAGAAACTAGATCAATTATTTCCGTGGGCTTGACCCCGGAGATCTTTCTGCCATATTCCGTGCCCCACCAGCAAATAGCTATCGTACAGTATACTCGGAATGGTATCACCGAAAAGGTCCCCGGCAGAATCTCACCCAATCCCGTGCCTGCATTCGACCTGCAGAGCGAGACCCGCAGAAGTGGTGGCAGTGTTCTCTTCCTTGTCCATGCGTGGGCATCTGAGGTACCGCAGATTCCGACAAGATTGCGAACTGGGCCGACTTTTGCATCTGAGATCAGCAGTGGCTTCCGATTCGATAAAGTCCCGGGTCCGTCTCATGCGGTTTCGACCTGTAACTTGCTTCTATTTGCTTCCCGTCCCGGGCTCTCCCTTGCAGTCTGCAGATGGGAATCTCGGTGTCAGAGGGCTGGGACGGCATTGTGCCCCTTTGGATGATCGACGTAACTCCATCGTCGTGCATCTGTCGACTCTTTATTTGATGAAAACACTGCCAAGGCCTCTCCCCCAGGAGATGTACGGTGTAGCGCCATAAATAGCTTTGCAAATGCACAGTCGATCTCTTTAGCTACATGCTCTATCAACACGAGACGAGTCACCTTCGGCCCGTAGTCTACTTTCTCGCATTCTATACGCATTCAAGTCTAGAACCGAAACTCGTTCTTCGACCGGCCTTGCACTCCAACATCAACTCTAAACACCCGGCCTCCGTACCTACCGACTGCGGGAACCGCTCGTTATCGCGATCGTCCTTGGCAGAAGTGATGAACAGCTTCGTGCCCACGAACGCCGGACAAGTCGGATTGCGCGTGGGCAGATCGATCTGCCCGATAACGGTGCCTTCGGGCGAGATGCGCACCACTTGGCCCCCGCCATAGATGGCGCTCCAGATGCATCCCCCCACGTCCATGGCAAACCCGTCCGGCTCCAGCGGCTCACTCGGGTCGAAGTGCACGTGCCGGTTGCTGATGGCGCCGGTCGCGGCGTCGAAGTCAAAGGCGAAGATCTTGCCCGTTGGTGAATCGATCAGGTACATGGTGTCGTCCGCGGGGTTCCAGCCAATTCCGTTGGGGATCGTCACTGGTGACAGCATCCGGTGAAGACCCAAGTCGGGGTCTAGTCTGAACAGCACGCCCTCTGGGCCCGGAGACTGAATTTTGGGGTCATTCATGACCCCAGCCCAGAACCGGCCCGTGCTGTCGGCTGCCCCATCGTTGAAACGCATTCTAGATTTCCCTGTTAGAGTAGCCGAGGAAGCGGCGATATCTCGGAGCATTATCTCTCTGCCTTCCCCGGGTCATCACTTTCGCCCCAGACTTCGCGGATATAGGAAAGTCTCCCGGTAGCTCGGTCAAGACGAGCGAATCCAAGCTTGGCTCCGACGATCGGCTGATCCACGTTGGCCTCGCCCGCTTCGGCAATGTTAGCGGTGACGCTGGAGTCCGACTGTCAACGGTAATTTCGCGGTGGGGTGTTACGGCCAAAGGAAAGGTTTCACCCGACAGCCGCGGCGGTGACAACGACACTTAGGGACTCGATATCTGGGACCACAAACTCTACCGTCACGATTTGGCCAAAGGTGTCAACGAGGCGGAACTCATTGTTGGCCACATCATGATAGAGTCCCTCGAGCAGAGTCCCCGCAATATCGATATAGGGCTAGAGAAAGAAATGTGTGTTAGCTGATTACTCGGTGATTGGTCTTTCTTTTTTCGTCGCTTTTTGCTTTTTGCTTTTTTTATTTCCCTGATTCCAGCAATAGTGACTACATACGTGGACATGTTGGTCAATGCTACGGCACCAATCACAAAAAAACCAAAAATGGAAAAGGGCCAAGCGGTGCGACACTGGTAAAATACGGAGAAATGGGCCGACCTTATTGACCGTCGACGTCCGAATTTCGGCCATGTCGATCGTGTCTCCACCAAAGAGATTGCACGAAAAAAAACAAGTGACTGTGGACACCGCTTTTTCAGAGAGGGGAAACGGAGGGGGGCAAGAGTGCAGGAGGGGTCAACGGGGAGTCACACAGAAAGACTAGGTCGAGAACCCCTGTTCTCCCGCGGAGAAAGTCAAATCGTTGCTGGCAGCGCTGATCACGGAAAGTGTCCGAGATAAAAGAGTTGAATGGCTTCAAATCCTATGCCAAGACCCGCCCCCACAACCCCAATGGGCGATGGGTCGGACCGCTGTCACCCCCCGCGAACTGGTATGACGAGATAGGTGTGTAGGACAAGTTATGATATGGGCGTCATGGCGTACATTCTCTGTGCATCCAGGATGCATGGGGTATCAGGAACTATCAATGCCGTGCAGATACACAAGCACCTTAACCTAGGTAAAGCATTTCCACGATGAATCCCTAGCTGGGATTTCACACTGACCGTGCTTGTCGTTTAAACCCTAACCAGTCACAACCCAGACCGCACAATATACACCTACCAGACCAGCCTCTAACGAGAGACATGATTATATTCACACCCGACGTGGAAAAACAACCACCCTGGACACTGAATACTATCACACCGGTTCCCTCAAACCTTCACATGACCCGCTCTGCATGCATCTGCAAGAGATTCATGTACATATGGACGTGCGTGCTGGCGCTAATACCGACACCCCAACAAATTTCGTGCCTAACTCCCGACCTGCTCACCCATTGGGCACAATTACCAGGCCCACCCACCAATAACAAAATAGCATCCGTGGGAAATGAGCGAATTGTCATGTCATATCAACCTTTTGTTTGCTGGACTGTAACCAAGTCGCGGAAGATGGTAGATAGTTACGTAGATTTACACCTCCAGTCTCGTCCAACAAAGTTCCAAGAAAAGCGGAAAAATTAAAAATTAAAAATTGAATAAAAAAAGGTAAGAAATGGTGCGGCCCATTCACAATTTACCGCTCTGTTGAGGCTTGAGAGTATTCGTGTCGTGCACGCTGTCCAATCACCAGGCGAATCTCCCGACTCGGCCACGTACATGCTCTTGAAACTGTATGCATCTCATCACTTCCCGAGTGCGTGCTCGTGCTCGTGCTCGTGCTCGTGCTCTGGCGCTGGCCTCGGGAGTTTGGCTGTGTTGGCGAGGCTTGCATGCATACTGCACTGTTGTTCATTATTCCAAATGGTTAGGATAAGGTTGTGGTCGTGTAGGATGGGATGATATTGGGCATCAAAGCATCACCCTGTTCATGGTGCCGCTCCGATGGGAACTAGAACATGACCGTGCTGGGAGCTACGTCAATGTCCGAAGTATTAAATCGGGTGTTTCGAGAGTTTGGTTTTCTTGCCTGTCGCCCGGTTGTACGGAGTTACTAGGTTCTGCGTGCTGATGGCGCTAGAGAGACTTTCCCATTGTTGGTATCGGGGGTTTGCGGGATTGGTGATTGGGTGTTCGACCTGCATTCGACCTGCTTTTTTTTGCTGGCCATTGGTGGACCGAGGACCGAGTATGAAACTTGGGATGCATATGATTACGTTACAAAGTTATGAGGATCGTGAAGGCGAGGTCCCCCCTGGGCACGAGTGTGGTCGTAGGTGAGACGTGGACGAAACAAGACATATCTACTCAGCCAGGAGAGGTAGTCGGACTAAGGTTAGAGTGACCTGGTGGATCGTAAGTGGTAGATACATTGGGATCATGTTTTCCGATTCAACATTTGGATACATTCCTTGAGGTAGATCTCTAATGGCCCTACTGGCCGTACCAGAGTATGTGAAGTACTTCACCCATGGCTTGAGATCGGAGGATGCGAGGATAGCACTAGAGACGCATTGACTACAGCATTGGAGCCCTGAACTAACAGTGATTCCGGGCAGGTGATGCGGTTACCTAGGTAGATAGATAATTTATACCTCCTAGGCAGGTGACAGATGATGCCCTAGTCTACGGTTCATCGAATAAAACAATCGCTTCAAATTTTAGCGGTCATCAAAACATAATTTTCATCTAGTACATGATGCCCCAATCAATGGTCGGCGTCCCAATTTACAGACGGCTACCCATGTTGACATGAACGGCCTTGACCTGGGAGTACGCGTCAAGGCCAGCCTCGCCGAGCTCACGGCCGATACCGCTCTGCTTGACACCACCGAAAGGCACGCGGAAATCGCTGTCGTTGCTGCTGTTAATCCACACCATACCGGCCTCGATATCCGAGGCGACGCGGTGGGCACGCTCAATGTCGCGGGTGAACAGGGCAGCACCAAGACCGTAGGTGGTGTCGTTGGCACGGGTGACGGCTTCGTCCTCGGTCTTGAAGCTAGCGATGACGACGAAGGGACCGAAGACCTCCTCGCGGTAAATGCGCATGTTGTCCTTGACGTTGGTGAAGATGGTGGGGGCGATGAAGAAGCCCTTGCCGTCGCCGACGTTCTTGTACGGCTCGCCACCAGCCGCAAGAGTCGCGCCCTCGGACTTGCCGGCCTCGATGTATGACAGCACCCGGTCGTACTGCGCCTTGGTAACCTGCGGGCCCTGGAAGGTGTCGTCGTGGAAGGGATCGCCGACCTTGCTGGTCTCCTTGACAACCTGCTTGAAGAGTTCCACGAACTTGTCGTACACGGAGTCGTGCACCAGAATACGGGAGGTGGATGTGCACACCTGTCCCTGGTTGTACATGATGCCGATGTGGGCCCACTTGGCGGCCTGCTCGATGTCGGCATCCTCAAACACAAGCAGGGGGGACTTGCCGCCGGTCTCTAGAGTGATGTTCTTGAGGGTACCAGCGGCCATCTTCATGATCTCACGGCCGGTGTTGGTCGATCCGGTGAAGGCGACCTTGTCGACGTCGGGATGCTGGACCAACGCGGAACCAGCCACGCGGCCGTGGCCGTTCAGGATGTTAACGACACCGGGAGGGAAACCGGCCTCCTTGATCAGGTTGGCCATGTACAGAATGCTGAGCGGGGTCTGCTCGGCGGGCTTCAGAACGATGGTGTTACCGCAGGCGAGCGCAGGACCCAGTTTCCAGGCGGCCATGGCCAGAGGGAAGTTCCAGGGGATGATCTGACCAACCACACCAATGGGCTGGCGGAGAGTGTAGGCGAACTTTTGGGGAGTAGTGCCAATGGTCTGGCCCATAACCTTGTCGGCCCAGCCGGCATAGTACCGGAGGCAAGAGGTGACCTCACCGAGATCGTCGTTCAAAGAAACGGAGTACGGCTTGCCTATAAATAGTCTATCAGCTCCATATACCCTTCTGCAGCCGCTGCAGGAACGTTACTGACCGTTGTCCCAGGTCTCGATGGTGGCGAGGGTCTCCTTGTGCTGCTCGATCAGGTCGGCCAGCTTGAGCATCAGAGCACCGCGGTCGGTCGCGGGCAGACCCTTCCATGACGGGTCCTTGAGCGCCTTGCGTGCGGCCGCAACGGCAATGTTCACGTCTTCCTCTCCAGCGGCGTACACGGAAGCGATTTCCGTCTCGGTCCTTCACGGACAGTATTAGAAACGAGCAATACAGGAAACAAAGGGTATCACACACGAAGGGTTTATGGAGGCGAATTTCTCGCCAGACTTGGACGCCACGAACTCGTTGTTGATGAAGAGGCCGATGGGCTGGGTGTATGTGCGCCCGTTGGGGGCAGTCAATTGCACCGAGAGGTTAGACATGGTGGCGGAGCTGTGGAATTGACGACCGGTAATAGATGGATAGCGTAGGGACCGAAAGATAAAGCTAAGCATCGCTTGAGATGCAAAGAGGACGAGGTCTTTTTAAGGGACCTTTCCTCCCCGCGCGATAACAGATAAGCAGTTCCCACCAGTCGGTTGCACTTGCTCTTCGCGGGTAATAGGACACAACGTTGGATCGTCTTGCTCCATCCGTCCTCCTAACGTATTCCGGTTGGCCGCACTCGCCGGGTACCCCTCATACCCACACCCGAGGTCCTTCTTCGCGATTTTGGCCGACTCGGGTTACAAAGTACCCTCTACATCAAAGTTTGGACCTCAATGCCTTGCAGATACATGACAGCGATCGGCAGTAAAACTACCCGAAGCTACTCTACGAGGACAAGATGTAGTTCAACCTGTTCACGCCTATCACCCGCAACGCCACCGTGATTATGCTTGGTGATATAGTACACTGATGAATAATGAAAATCCCTCGACCAAAGCTTAAACCTTGGACCCGTGTGGATCCTCGCCCGCCAGCTCCAAGATGTACCGCCATTGTTCCGGGGTCACCTTTGAAACACTCAGCCGTGACATCTTGAGGGTTTGCAGATTCTCGAGCGGCTTGCCCGCCTGGCCGTTGGCCTTCAGGTCAGCTAGGGTAACCTGTTTCTTGAGCTTGTGACGAAATTCGACATGCACGACAACCCACTTGGGGCTATCCCGGCTGGATTTGGGGTCGTAATAGGGATGCTTAGGGTCAAAGGCCGCTTCTGTACAAGTGATTAGCTATAAGGTTGTGGTCAAAAAGGAGATGTGTCTAACCGTCAGGCGAATGCTCCTGCACGATCTCCATAATACCAACTACTCCCGGGACCTTGCAGTTAGAGTGGTAGAAGAATGCATAGTCTCCTTTCTTCATATCCCGCATGATATTGCGTGCTGTTCGGTTGTAAGTCAGCTAGCCGTGTCACTAGATACCGGTATAGTCTTACCAACAGGGTTGCGAACTCCTATCAAAACATTAGTATAAACTCCACAGCGAAACGGCAGAAGCAAACATACCGTCCCAGGGCTCCGGCTCCTTCGCAGCAGCCAAGTCGTCAATCGAGAACTTAACATCAACGCCCTTCTCAAGACGCGACTCGGGCTCTGCCTTCATGAGCCAGTAGGAACGGCCGGCTTCCTCCTTGGGCTCGATCTTCGTTGCGGGTGCGGGCTGCGGCTCAACACTGTCGGCGGTTCCATCAAGAGCTAAGCTCTTGCGTGGTCGTCCGCGGCCCTTCTTGGGGCTGGAGACATCGGGAGTCTCGTCAGCCGGCAGGCTCTTGCGAGGCCGTCCCCGGCCCTTCTTAGGGGTTGAAGTATCAAGAATTTCCTCAGAGGGCAGGTTCTTGCGAGGCCGTCCCCGGCCTCTGGGGGTTGTTGAGACAGCGGGAGTCTCCTCGACAGGCAGACTCTTACGTGGTCGCCCGCGACCATCTTTCTTAGGGGTTGACGAGTGAATATCGGCAGTTTTATTGACCGGCAGGCTCTTGCTAGTCTGTCCTTGGCCAACCTTTTTCGGAGTCTCTACCTCTAAAAACCAGAGATCAGAAATCAGTACACCGCGATAAGCAATTGTTCAGATGGAACGTACCTGGCTCCTTGTGAGGCCGTCCACGCTTGGGGGTATTACCCGGCTCTGAAGTCGTGGCTTCGGGATTTTTGCGTGGGCGACCGCGCTTTCTCTTGTCACCGGTCTTGGGCATTGCGGCCTGAATCTAGGTTAGCGATCGCTGAGCGGGGGTTCAGAGTGAATTGGGAAACGGGCAAGACCTGAAGATCAAGGCCATGGGGATATGCTTACATCCGATGCTGCTTCAGTGTCGCCAGGTGTTTTGTTTGGCGAGTTGCGTAGTCGCTTGGAGGGCGTTTGCGCCACTCCATCAATCATCGTCGCGCCTGTGGACTTGCGCTTGGGTGGCATTTGGCCTTAAGGCAAGACAAGAAGGGATGAAACCTTCAAGTCGCGGATTTTGGGAAGTTCGACAACCTTGAAGTGAGAGAAATGAAAGATCCAAAAGCTTGCGAAGCTTCTCTTTGTTGTAGCTGGACGCGACGGTGGGTCTGGTTCACGTGACGCAACTTGATCTACGTGATCTTCTCGTGCAACATCCCTTTTTTTTCGCCCTGCTACACTGGTCAAATCATCGATGATGCATTGCGGTAACCATTCTTAGTCTACAGAGGCAACTACTGACCAATACCAACGAGATATGTCCGGAGGCCTAATCATTCATCTCCTTCCTCTATTCTTAGTAATTCCTAGGCCCTTTTTCGAGGAAAAAAGATTCGTTGCCCCTCGGTAACGCTGTGAAGGTTGCGCGTGCTTCTCAAACACGTCTTCTCGTCTTGCTCTCTCTTCGCCTCCCCACCATCATCCCTTCTCTCCACCATCGTCTAGATGTGACCAAGAATCATGTACTCTTGCCCCCACCGTGTGGGTGGGTCCCTGCACTTCCATTCCACATCATTTTGATCAGGCCACAAGGTGCACAAGGAGCAGCGATTCCATTGGGAGTGCCAGTGGCACTGTCCGAAACCCGTACGGGATCTGCAGTGATACTGGGTTACTAATGCCGACAAAGGGGACGCCCGGAAATTACGCCATCCCGCCGAATCTCCATTGGTTCCGGCTGGGGGATTATCGGCCGGCTTGACATCAATACAAATGGCTCGGCCGGTAGATTCAGCTAAAGTAGTACCCATTATACTATCGGGTAGAGACAGTGTGTAAAATTCCAATGAGGTGTAAGTAGAGATAGAGTATAGAGAGACGGGGAGAGGTGTATAGGTGGTGCCGCGGAGGGTCAAACCCAAACCAAACCACGAGGAACCCCAAACCCACGCAAACCGACGCTAGGTCGCCCTGTCGGGCTTCAAACTGGAGCCGAGTGGAATCAGGAACACCAAAACACGAACCAGCCCACTTGATGGGCCCAATCAGTGACATTCTGCCCCGGGCGGTGGGCAATTGCGTGATAATGGCAAGGCCGGATGAGGTAAGTTATTGAGCTCGTCGCAAGCAGGAGGGGCTCCCTGGGCTATTATTTAGGTCCCCATTCCCCTCCTTGGCCTCTGCTCACCTTCTGTTTCCTATATATCCTTGACATCAATCACAATGGCTGAACGCGCTGCTCCGTACGTGTCCCGCTACACACGCTCACAAACTCGCAAGAGCTTGGAACTTCCCCGACATACCTGCCCCCAGATTACTGACTACTCTATCCAGTCTCCGCCTGGGGTCTACTGCCCCCAACTTCGATGCCGAGACCTCCAACGGTCCCATCAACTTCCACAACTTCATCGGTGACAAGTGGACCATCCTTTTCTCCCACCCCGATGACTTCACTCCCATCTGTACCACTGAGCTGGGCGCTTTCGCCAAGCTCGAGCCCGAGTTCACCGCGCGCGGTGTCCAGCTCATCGGTCTGAGCGCCAACCACGTCGAGTCCCACCACCGCTGGATCAAGGATATCGACGAGGTTACCGGCTCCAACCTCAAGTTCCCCATCATCTCCGACCCCGAGCGCAAGGTCGCCTACGCCTACGACATGGTCGACTATCAGGACACCACCAACGTCGACTCCAAGGGCATGGCTCTGACTATCCGCTCCGTCTTCATCATCGACCCCTCCAAGAAGATCCGTCTGATTATGACCTACCCCGCCTCCACCGGCCGTAACACCGCCGAGGTCCTGCGTGTCATCGACGCTCTGCAGACCACTGAGAAGCACGGTGTTACCTGCCCCATCAACTGGCTCCCCGGTGACGACGTTGTCATCCCTCCTCCCGTCTCCACTGAGGATGCCAGGAGGAAGTTCGGCGAGATCCGTGAGGTCAAGCCTTACCTCCGCTTCACTAAGGCTCCCCAATAAAGAATGGGCTTTACGATGTGATGTGAAAAATAAAAAGAATTTATGTATAGTTCTGGCCTGGGTAGCCTATACGATACCAATATGATATGCTTTACCCGCCATTTTATACAGCGTAGATGTATGATCAAACTTGTATTTTTCCGGGTTGAGTATCCTCTGTGGCTTACGATCCTTCGACGTACGTTAATCGGAACGATTTGTCTTGTAAAAGGCATCTCAAATGAGATATGCGTTGGCTATCTTGAAGGGTTCTTTAGGTCAGATCCACTTATCTTCGTTCTCCTTACTGGATGCGTGATTACTCCGAAGTAAATTGACTCGTTGTTGATAAGATACCCAGAAAGTTCAGCATGGCCGAAGTAAGGGGCTACTGACATAAGTCTAAAATCCAAATCTATCGCATCGTCTCTATCGACGGCGATAGTATTCTACATTAACTCAAGTCAGGGGTCAAAGTATACCAGCGCGGTCCCATCCGGCCCCCAACCCCACTCTGGAAAAAGGTAGAGACCGCCTTTTTTGTGCCGAGCCAACGTTGACTCTCTGTCACTTTCTCTCCACCTTGTGACGCACCGATTCTCCCCTAGACTCGATCTCGGTGCTAGACAGACGGCCTCCTCCGCGCCATTCAACGGCGGCCTCGAGACGGCGAGGACAAGAAAAACCCACCCCCTGTTCCTGAATCCAGCCCCACAGAACCACGATCCGAGCCGCAGCGGTACTTACGAGCGGGCACGAGAGATTCCGACCGTTACACACCTTCAACCCGCAGGCTCTGCATATGCGCGTCTGACATCGACCAGGTGAATCTGAGAGTAGAGCACAACACAGACGAACGATTTTGGTGAACACGGTGCGGAGTTCCCAAGACGCACGCCATGATGTCGAGGAGCCAGTCAAGTCTGGGGTACCTAGATGCAGGCCCCCAGGAGCCCTCTGCAGCTGGGTTATCCCCGTCTCTCGGCCAGCAGTCCTCATCCGGACCTATCAACCTGTCCGGCCTGGTGTGCAATGTCCGCCGAACCACTGGCAAGGAGCCTCGCCCCCTAGTTGGGGCCACCACAACGATTTTGGGCGATAAGTTGTATGTCTTTGGAGGCCGGATCCTCTCGCGCAGTAGTCCGCAGTTGACCTCCGACCTATACGAACTGGACTTGATCCGCCGGCACTGGACCAAGATCGAACCGGTCGGAGATATTCCACCGCCGCGGTATTTCCACAGTGTATGCGCTCTAGGAGATAATAAGTTGGTCTGCTATGGTGGCATGTCGCCCGCTCCCGGGACGCCCAAGGACCCGTCAAACCCAAATGGCCCGGAAACTCAGTCGGAGGTCGTGGTCATGTCTGATATTCACATTTTCGACGTTCCGTCGCGCGCGTGGACTCGAGTTGTGGCGCATGAGTCGCCGCAAGGACGATACGCACATTGCGCCACGATTCTTCCGTCCACTGCCTGTTTCACTTCTGCCAGTGCACCGCTGTCGGCCATTCACCATAACCCTGAGTCGAACCCCCATCAAGGCTCTATCGGGGTGGACATTGATGGCTTTGGAGGTGCTGAAATGGTGGTTGTCGGTGGCCAGGACAGCTCAAACCATTACATCGAACAAATTAGCGTCTTTAACCTGCGAAGTCTGAAGTGGACCAACACCAGCCCCCTCGGGCGCAGTTGCGGCGCTTATCGCAGTGTGGTTGCACCTTTGGTTGGCATGGACGTCTCAGAGGTCGGCTCTGCCTCGTCAGACCGGGATACACATGAGCCGGCTGAGCATTCCGAGAAGGCGGGCTGCCCTATGCTGATCTACTCCAACTACAACTTCCTGGATGTCAAGTTAGAGCTGCAGGTGCGCCTGCCGGACGGGCGCCTTGTCGAGAGACCGATGCAGAGTCAAGCATCTCCACCCGGACTGCGCTTCCCCAATGGTGGCATCATTAACGGTCATTTCGTTGTCAGTGGCACTTACCTGACCTCCTCAAAGCAAGAGTATGCACTCTGGGCCCTCGACCTGAAGACTCTGACCTGGGGGCGCATCGATGCCGGCGGTTCTGTATTTGGCCACGGCAGTTGGAATCGCGGCATCCTCTGGCCGCGTCGCAGCTCCTTCGTGATTCTTGGTCACCGGAAGCGAAGCTTGGTGGATGATTACAATCACCGCCGGATCAACTTCTCGCACCTGTGTGTGGTGGAGTTGGAGGCCTTTGGACTCTACAATAACCCGTCGCGCACCGCCGCCACCACAGGATACAAGTCTTATAGTTCCCCCTCGGTGCCCGCATCATTACAACGGAAATTGACCCAATTGACGACGGGCGGGCGACCATTGTCCGCAGCATCCGATGAACTAGGCAGGCTGGCTCTTTCACTGCATGAAATGTCGGATATGGAGTTGCAAGCTCTTGGCGGAGAGCGAATCTCGGTCAATTCCCGCCTGCTTGCCCGGAGATGGGGTCCATACTTCATTCAGCTCCTCCGCGAGTCTTCAGAAACCGGCATCGCAGACGGTGCCACGCTTCGTCCTGGTCAAATGCAACCTAGCCGCAACTCAAGTATCACAATTACCCCTTTGGCCGGACAGAACAGCAATTATTCCAATGCGACAACATCAGTGAACCCTGCTGTCCCGTCAAAGGCTCTACTTGAAAACCTTGAGGCGCCCTCTGCTCACGGCCTCACTCCGACTGCTCGACCTCGCGTGCTCTACCTCCCTCACACCATCTTAACGGTTCAGGTGTTGGTCCAATTCCTGTACACGTCAGCCCTTCCTCCCCCGGGCTCCTCCCTCTGCACCCCGCAAATTCTCTGCTCCCTCCTCCAGCTAGCGCGGCCGTACCAAGTGGACGGCCTGTTGGAAGCAACCGTGGAACGATTGCATCAGGTTCTTGATGGACGAAACGCCGCCGCCGTTTTCAACGCAGCTGCAATGGCCGCAGGTGGTGGCCGAGGCACTGGATTTGGTGGTGGTCTAGGCGGCACATTGGAAACCCTCAACGGCGCGCAGTCCGTGGGCAACGACTCCATACCCAGTGCGTCAGAGGGCACAACATCGCAACACAGCGTCCTTCTAGCCTCCGACTCATCCGACACCGAGCACGGAGTCACCGCGCCATCGGCATCCAGCAGCACAGGCGACCTAGCCAATTTCGCCCGCGGTATTCCCTCCCTCCGTATCGATACAAACCTATCCCAGCAACGCAGCCGCTCCCGCGCCAAGGGCGACCGCGAAGACTCCACGAGCAACGCTAGCACCGCAACCTCCGCCTCCAGCGCTGACTTCAGCCAATCGGACTCGGAATTCGTCAGCGACAGTGAAAGCCGCGCCGCCTCGCGGGCCCACCGTCGTCGAGACACCAACTCCCGAGAAATTTGGACCGGCGATCTGAGCAGCGTGATAGGGCTTCAGAAGCGCGGTCTACGCGGGTTGATGGAGGGCCGCCGAATGCGTGAGCGCAGCGTCAAACCAACCAGCACGAGCGGTGGGTCGACATCAGTGCCTCATTCAGCCGGGCCGGGAGATCAACTCCCTATGCAGGGCGTAAGCGTTTGAGTTGGTTGATTAGTTTTGACGTTTCGGTGGAGCCATGCATTTTATATTTCCCTTCATTTCTTGCCTTCGTCCACATATCTTTGGGGCTATAAACATCTTATTGCTTTTGTATGCCAGCAGGCTGGTGAGATGGGATGGTTAGGGTCTATAAAAGGAACGATAATTATGTTGATATTTTGTGCTTTTCTTTTTAATTTGCGCTTGGAGTGGATGCTAGTCCCTTTGCACAATTATAGAAATTCTTTTCCTTTCCCAGGAATGGAATGAATGCAATGCTGTCAAGAATAAATGGTTTCAAGTAATGTACAAGCCTGGTGCGTTCCACCAAGAGTCTGCCTGTCTCCGTAGATTACCGCAATAGGCATACCGACCTCCATGCCCTGCTAGGATGAGGAAGAGGGCTCCTCCTTCTTTTGCAGCGTCAGCTTCTTCACGCTCTTATTTCCATAAACTATCGCAGACCATGTTAGCAAGCAGAACGTACCCCAAGCTTCCTTATACGCCTAGTGTACTCGGAACTCAAAACAAGACAGCACAAAAGGAGAAAACTTACTCCGCTCATACAAAATCCAGGAAGTGTACATCACAATGGGCAGCGCCACAATCGCGCTCGTCCATCTAGGAAACCCATCAGCACAGCCCAACGAACCCATCTCTAGATCCAAGCAGAAGGCAAAGTGTTGACTTCAGCTGCTGCTCGATCAGGGGAAACGATACATACTTCCGCACAGCAGACTTATACTCCGTCGTCTGCCGAATATCGACCGGCCCCTTCGGAGGCACCGGCCTAGGCGCGCGCGCCGCCTGCTGTTGAGGCAATGGGCGGGGGATGTACGGTTCAGATGGTGCCTTGGGCGACATTTTGTATTGAGTTGAATCCGGAGATCCAGGGTTGAGACGAATGTGTTTTGCTTGGGAGAAAAGACGGAGGTCGGGCGGAGATTTGGTGCCTAAGGCAGAAATATTCACTCGTCCCGTGAAGTTGCATTTTGGTTGATGTAGATATAAAGCCTACAAGACTACAAGCAGGAAGATGATGAGAATAGTTGGTATTGGTAATTGGTCACAGGATCGATATGTCATATGGGACAGATCATACTCAAAACACCACGCTATGCGAGTTCCTCTCTTCGTAAACGTTTTCATCTTCATCAGTGCGGTTGAAGCCGACAGACTCCCTCGCCGGAACAGGTTTGCCTCCTCGTATACATATATCGGCGTCGGTGGCGGATGGGCTTTGAGTGCTGTTGTGAAGTTAAACAGCTCGGGCACGACCACGACCACGGACACGGACATGGACACGGCCACGGCCACGGCCTCGGGCTGCGCGGGCACTGCCTCGTCCTCCATGGCTGCCGGGATCAGTACTGGTGCCAGCAGTAGTATCATTTCCAGTTGCAGTTGCAGTTACAGTTGCAGCGCCGCGACCATGGCCTCGGGAAACACGAGTGCCACGAGCGCCACGGGTCCCTCGGGTGCCGCCAGCACCACGGGGAGCGGCGCGAGAGACGCCACGACCACGGCCAGTTGGGAAAGTGATCTTGGTGGACGGCTCAGCGGCACGAACAAGGCCGGCAGTGTCATTGGACGTGGCAGGGGCAGACTTCTCATGAACAGACTTCTTCGACGCAGGCTTCTCGGCCTCCACCTCGTCGGAAATGAGCTCGGCCTTGCGTTTCTTCTCCTTTGCGATGGTAGACTGCTTCTTCGTGGTCTTATGTGGGGTCTTTCTCATCGTCTCATCGAATGATTCATCCGAAGTGCGCTGGATTTCTTCCGCGGTGGCGGGCTTCAGCTTCAACGTGAGGCGCTGGAACACGGGTTTGGTGGTGGCGGAGGAAGAGGGCTTGGCGGACGTCTTGGAAGTGGTCGTAGGATTGGCCTTCGTGAAGGTCTTCGCAGAGGTCTTCGGAATGCCCTTTGAAACGGTCTTTGGGCCAGTCTTGGCGGAGATTTTAGAACCGCTCTTAGAGGAGGACCCCGCAGAAGGTTTAGAAGCCGTCTTAGGAGCAGACTTGGGAGCGGTCTTAGAAGCGGTCTTTGGGGCCACCTTTGTAGCCGCCTTGGAGGACGTCTTCACACGAGCTTTTTCCTCGGCGACATCTTCCTGCTTAAACTGGGCCTCCCCGTCGAACGGGATGTTGCGGTCACCCATGAGCGGAGGGAAACCGAGGGCGGTGTCGTCTTCAACTTGCTGGTCGGAACGCGAGCGCACAGGTGGGTAGGGAAGCGCATCGTCCCCGTAGGTGTGGGGAGAACGGTAGGGGCTATGATCGGTAGGTGTCAAAATAATCTCCTCGCCACTGTCATTGACACGGCCGGTCTTCACCCAGCCATCGGTGTCAATACTCGGAGGGGTGGACTTCTTGAACTTCATGGTGATCTTGGCTGGGGCAGGCTTCGCAGCCTTCACAGGCTTGACAGGTTTGGCAGCCTTCACAGACTTTACAGGTTTGGCAGCCTTCGCAGGCTTGACGGGTTTGGCGGCCTTGACTGGCTTGACACGCTTGTCGTTCTTCATGCCATCGGCCTCTGGGGCCTTGGCCTCGTCACCTTGGACACCTTGAGCGGCTTTGGCCTCGGTCTCTGCCCAGTACTCACGCGCATCAGCAATGACCTTGTCTGGATCATCCTTAATCTTGAATTCGTCACTCAGGGCTTCCGAAGTTAGCAGGTACAGGTTGTGAAAAGCTTCTTCGTCATCGATCTCGATTCCCAAGAGCTCGGGCTTCTTTTGGACTTCCTTTCCTTTGTTCACGGAATTGGCCTTGGCGATCTCCTTGGAAGCAATAGAGGCCTGTTGGTTGTCTTTCTGGACCTTTTGCGGGGCTTGCTTCTGATGCGGTGCCGGAAGAGCAGCCTTCCTCTTATGGAGCTTCAGATGGGACACTTGGGATTCCATCAATCGCTCTGTCGGCTTGCGGACACGACTTGAGGTCCTGGTCCCCAGGGAGGAAGCATTGGTGGGAGAAGTCCGGCCGGCCATGTCTTCTTCGTATCCGAGTCCCAGGTACTGTTCAAGTGTCCAACCTGTCTCGGCAAAGTCGTCTTCTGAGAAATGATCTTGTGGTGTCTCGATCGCTGCTGAGCGACGAGTTCGTCGACTGCTTTTATTCGAGTTCGGGGTCTCCACGGCCGGCGTGTAAACAGTTGAAAGTCGGGAGGGACGAGCTTGGAAAGTTCGACGACGACTTAATGGGGTATCCGGAGAGCCATTCCCGTGTCTGAGGTCTGTTGAGGAGGTTTTGGAGGGGGTTTTGGAGTCGTAAAAACGAATGTTGAATGAAGAGTCGGGAGGGTCGGTGGAGGAGAGATCGAGGGATTTGGAGGATTGGGGACTGGGATTTGAAGACTTGGAGGCCGGGACACGGGAGGACCGCCGTGAGGGAGTTAACATGGTGCTATTGAGGCGTCCCGGCATTGATTTACGATAGCCTTTAGGTGGCATTGTGAAGGTGCCTGGTTCAGTTCCAAGTGATTGTCAGTGGTGAAACGCAACGTGAATAGTTTCAATAGCGAGGGATCAATATAGGGAATGAGGAACAATAGGAGGCAGAAAAGCTGTCTATAGCATTCAGCAATAAAAAAAAGCCAGAAGTGGCCAGGCGTCGAACAAGGAGCGCAGATCATGGGATCCGACGTCAGAATAGTCGAGGTAGGGCACCGGGGATTTAGGGCCTGGCGAGGCAGCGACACTCACGAGTTAGGGCTCGACCACCGGGAATATATAGCCTTCTATTGTCCAGGGCACTGCTGCCTGGGTTCTGCTGGTATTGAGGCAGCGGCCAGGCCTGGAGCGGCGACTCGTCATGCGGAGAAGGTGAAGTCTGAGCAGAAAAGAAATTAGGGCTAAGTCGATCGGCGCTTATCGGCTTCATCGCCCTTCCGCCTTATTCTGCTACGCCTCCCCGATCAACTACGTCTTCTTTGCGACTCCCCATTTTCCAATTGGGTTTTGGTTTTTTTGCTTGCTTTCAAGATGCATCTGTGGCAGGCCACTCTTCCCTTCTGTCTGCTGGCTTCAGCTGCTCTGCCCGCGGCCGCTGCGTCCGGTTGGGGCTTTACTGATGCCACCGTGGCAGTTCAACCCAAGGGCGCTGGAATCAACGGCGGATTCAAGGAACAGTGGGTTTTTTTGGGATTCTTGACTTGAAATGATTCAAAGCTCACAGAGAATTCCTCTAGGTTCTCTTCCTCTAAGCCGCTGTCCAAAGCCGTCTCGCTCTCCGGTGCCGATACATTGCGCGTCACCTTGACCACCCAGGAAGGAAGCTCGGCGAAGCGACCACACCAAGCTTTCCTGTTGTTGCAGGATACCCAAACTGGATTGGACATCTCCTATCCCTTCACCGTCAAGGAGAATGGCAAGTCTCGAGTGGAATTGGTATGCGACCCAAGGAAAGTTGTTGCGGGGAAATAGCTAACAGCTGTCTAGACCCAGAGGGAGCTACCGCTTCAATTCCTCCACCACGCCGACCCCATCGATGCCCGTGTGGTTATCGGATCTTTTGGCAGCTCTGAGCCCTATGACAACTCCGTCTTCAAGCTGTCCATTGACCGTGATCTCAACGTGCCCATCCCCACCGTTGAGCCCGCGCGGTACGGCAAGCTGCCTGAGATCCACCATATCTTCAGGGATGCTCCGAGCAACCCGACAATCGTCATCACCCTGGCCTTTGTGGCCATGGTCGGGGCCACCCTCCCGGTTCTGGCTGGCTTGGTAAGCTACCTTGTGTCATATTCTGAAGCCCTGACTAACGTGTCTATCCAGTGGCTCTTGCTCGGCGCCAATGTGAACCACCTTCCCACCGCGTTCAAGTCCGCTCCTCTGCCCCACGCCCTGTTCCTCGGCTCCCTTATTGCCTTTGAGGGTATCTTCTTCCTCTACTACACCTCCTGGAACCTGTTCCAGATCCTGCCCGCTGCGGCGGCCGTTGGCGCGGTCGCATTCTTGAGCGGCAGCCGCGCATTGGGTGAAGTCCAGGGCCGCCGCTTTGCTGGCCTTCGCTAAATGCTCGGGCTTTTCTCATCCCCTCATCTATCCATTTCTTGTTGAGGCTGTCTAGTATAGCTGTCCATGGCCGTCGATCGGTGTGTATCTTATCTTTGATGATATCCGTCTTGTTCCAGAGAATCAAAATTATGAGTCGAATAGTCTGTATAGATTTTCTCTGGGATACAAACCTAACGAGGTATCGGTCACTCATACATCGTCTAAAGCTAATGCCATTGTGCTCTGGGAGGCATGAGGATACGTTGCACCCGCGACTCCCAACATTTCACAGTTCCAGCTCTACTAAGGAGCATAGCAGAGTAAGAATGTCCGTTTAGCAATCTTGTAGTGCTTAGATCTTTCATGACCGTCCTCTAAATCCGTACGATGTTAATCTGTAGATCAGCTGCAGCAGTTACCCAGTAACTTACAGGACAAACAATACCTCCCTGCGACGAATCTAATAACTTCAACTTCCATATTGGAAGAGTAAATGTAGATTCAAATATCAGCTTTGATCCTCCATCACAACAAAGCACTGTATTGACTGATTATATTTTGACGTCACTTGAGTGGTCAGTGACAGCGCAATGACAGCGGGAATGCCAAGTCCCACCTCCGCGCCGTCCCCGATTTCCCGCCGCAAAAGCTTCTCACCAAAACAGATCTTCCCACTCTCCCATTTCCCCACCCTCACTCACTTCGATGGGCTCTTCCGCTTCAAAGCCCGCGAGAGCGGCTGCTGGTGCAGCCAAGCGCCAGTATCCTAAAAGGGCCGCGCCCCCGCCGCGAGCTCCAACAGCACCTCCGAGTGAAACAAAAGCAAAAGCTCCCGAGGGACCAACTCCTCAGCCTGCGCCGTCGCCCCCTCCCTCTCAGCCTCCAAGCTCTGGACCTCAAGGTCCGACATACCACTCTAAGGAACCGCCCTCCGTTACAAGATCCAGCGGTATGCACTCCCTCCTTCCCGTTTCCAGTCCTGCCTTCAATCGAAGGAAAACCCCACTTCCACTTGAGTTTCACAAAACAATACACTAACACTCAACCCCAACAGCAATCGACCTCGACGGCCGCGACCCCGACTTTGCCGCCTCCCTCCGCTCCCTCGGCCCCGTCGACCCCTCTGGCAACTACGCCGGCTCACCAACTTTCAGCCGCGGCCCTATGCAAACCGTCTTCCCAACGGCCTCCAACCCAGCTCTCCTCACAGCCGCCGCACGCGATCGCATCACCAAGGCCGCGCAGCAAGAAATCGACCAGATGGGGCGCCCAGACTTTGCGGGCCGATCATATATGGACGCTTTGATGATCCACCAGGCGCTGACGATGCGCGATGTGCAGAAGATGCCGTCTGTGGAGATCGAGCGAACACTGCACCTTAAGAAGGGGACTATGAATAAGCTTGGTGTGGATGGTTTGATTTCGCGCGCTACGTGAGCTTCTACTTCGGGATGGCATGAGATGATATAGCGGTGCTGGGTCTGCTTTATAGCCTTCCTATGGGTGTCTGGTGCTTGAGGCTGGCATGGCGTCATGTTCTTGGGTTGTATGCATGTTTTTTCTTGTACAACATTGTTTCCTTTTGTTTTGGCTGGTGTGACAAGTGATTATCATCCCTACTCATGATAATATATTAAAATGTGATGCTTTGGCTTGGCTGAAGTATTCTCCATATTTTCGGTCCAATTTCCTCCTTGTACCCTCGATTCCAGATGAGAGCACACCAAGATGTAACGTCGATATTGGGTTTTCTCGTAGCGCCGCAACTAATCTAAATAGAACCAGCGGATATGCAGGAAGATTCATGAGTAGCTGACATTGTCGGGATGCTTTCGAAATCGCGCTGCAAGATACTATGGTGATATCCAGATTGCTGGGGCGATTGATTACAATATGCCCAAGAACTAGAACTAGAAGCTCTCAAACTATTCTAACCCCAAGGTTTTGATCCACCATGAGTCCTTCTATAAACAATTCCATAGATATCAATTCGGACCGTCGAAGTATCAACTTTGATCTGCAGACCACCAAATACAAGATGTATCTGAGAACAGTACACGCCGAGGATGAAATCCAACTCCTCCAACAATTCATACACGACAACCCACTCGGCGTCCTCCCAACAGCCATCAAATCTGACGAACACGTATATATCCAATCCAGCCACATCCCATTCATCCTCGACAGCCCCGATGACAGTGAAAATGGCATCCTACGCGGCCATGTCACAAAGCATAACCCACAAGCCAAAGCCCTAATGGAAGCCCTCGCGCAGAAACGAGCACAAGGCTCAAACACCCTCGAACTCCCCGATGAAGCTCTAGTCCTCTTCAATGGCCCGCACCACCACTATTTCACCCCTAAAATCTACACAGAAACCAAAGCCCGTCTCGGGCAAACTCGTCCCGACGTGGAATTACTCCGCCATGCAGGCCTACGGCAAGATCAGTGTGTACTGCGACTCCAAGGCCGAGGCAACGGGTGCATTTCTGGCTAAGCAGATCGATGATCTGTCGCGGCATGCAGAGACCGAGGTGATGGGTCATACGGTGGAGAGCAGCCTACTGCATGGGCGGTGGAGAGCAGCCTACTGCATGGGCGGTGTATGAGGCGCTGGACTCGTATGTTGAAATGCTGAAGAAGAATATTATTGGAATCGAGGTTCGGGTTGAGCGTTTGCAGGGCAAGTTTAAGATGAGCCAGGAGATGGGAAGGGGTGATCGGGAGGGGGTTGTTAAGGGGGTTGAAGCCCTGGGGACGGAGGTTGGGGAGGGCGTTGCGGCTATGGTTTGCGAGCGAGGTGCGCGAAAGGAGGATCGGCGCGATCGATAGTTTGAATTTTGTTGTACATCACCTTGTAGATCTTTTGCACAGGGAGCCTAGAAGGAATCATGGATCTCGCAATTGTAAACATAGCATGTAGGGAGTAGCAACAGACTGCAAATGGAAACATTATCCTGGCTCATTTCCACTTAACTTTTTTAGCTTAAACTCATCTCCGAGATATCTCTTCGGCCCATCTTCCAAAAATCTAGAAAGAGATTTCCAATAAAAAAGTCAGAGTACATTTCTCTTCGATGTCTGGACCCTTGAAACTGGGGTATATGGGTTCTAATAAGCGCGTATCCATCGATGTTGTACAAAGTTTTGTGCATATAGGTCATCGCACACATGGTGTATCGCACACATCACGTGATTTTATTTTTATTTTGCCCCACTTTTCTGGAAGAACGTAAATCCTTCGTAATTTTGGAATTACCCTTACGGAATTACCCATCCGGACTCTTCCTTCTATAATCCTTCTATAAAACTAGACAACATCTAGTTCTCTTCTTCACTATCCTTCTCTTCTTCACCATCCTCTCTACCATCTCCACCATCTCCAAAACCATCCTCTGAACTAGTAAACAGCTGGTTCTCATCATCTCCATCATCTCCATTATCTCTATTATCTCCATCATCTCCATCATCATCATCATCATCATGGCCCAAGTCAAGAAAAATGTGAGTTTACTAGTTCTGAAGTGGTTTTGGGGCTTTCAAACTGACAGATTTACAGCCAAACTTCCAACGTTACCTTGACCTGTCGAAGGCAGATCTGAAGCTCCCTTCTCTCACTAAAGACGTCAGTTTACTAGTTCCGAACTGGTTTTGGGCTGCAAAGCTAATTGATATTACAGAACAAAGGCTATTGCACCATCGAGGTTGGCGAGAGATACTGTCGAGTTGAAGATTGTGGAAATGCTGTAAGTCTTTTACTTTTACTTCACTTTACTCCTCACTTTGCTCCTTTCTAAACTAGTTGCTAACTACTTTATAGACTCTCTTTACCTCCACCAACAACCTCCGCAAGCACGTTCAGAAGCAGCATCCTGAAGTGTCTCTGACTGGCGAGGAATTTGGTGGTCGCCCTTGCCAAGCTGATGAATTCCGTGCTATCAGAAAGTGCTACAACTAATTAAGAACTAGTTAATTTGGATTTCTGAATAAATTACTAACTAGTTTATAGAGTTTTTCAATGAGATCATGGAGGCCTACGATGAGCGTGAGGCGGCAAAGGAAGAGATTTTGCCTAAGCTTCCTCTCAAGAATGATCGATCGGTAAGTATCGCGATATATTAGTTTCTAACTAGTTCTTCTACTAATATTCTTAGGTGTATATTACCAAAATGCGTCAAGCCGTTCGATCGATGAAGCTTCCTGTGCCTTGTGAGGTTTGCAAAGACACTGATCAACCTAAGCGTGAGTACTCCAGAAATACAAGGTTTAAACCAGTTACTAACTAGTTTAGTCTGCTGCCATAACGAAGTCAAGGGCACTTGTGAGCATTTTGGTCTTTTCACTGACCCTCGCAATCAGCAGGGTCAGGAGTACGTCCTATCAGAGGATGAGGCGTAGGGACTAGTTTGAAACTAGTTTTCCTCGTGGGTTTTGCTTTTTTGCTATCAAGCTTCAAGAACTAGTTTTAACTAGTTCTTTATGGTGTTTTCTATGGTTTTCAATTTGCATTTTTATTTTGAGAACTAGTTTTACCTAGTTCTTTATAGAGTTTTGGAGTTTTGCTTTTTGCATTAAGAACTAAAAAAAAACTAGTTTTAACTAGTTCTTTATGGTGTTTTGCGTGTTTTGTATTTTGCATTTTTGCTTTAAGAACTAGTTTTACCTAGGTTTTAACTAGTTCCCTCTCTTTATCTACTCTAGTTGCGCCGCAACAAGCTACCTTTCTAGTTCTATCTTCGTAACCCTTAGTTCTTGTTCTTTAGTCTCAAGCTCTAACTGCTAGCGCTTTATTTGTCTTTCTTCTCGAGCATCCTCTATCTCCTGGCGTTTTTGCTGAATTTCGAGCTCTCGAAGGTCGCTTAAATGATCACGATTTTGCGAGTTAATCGCTGCTGTACGACGAAGACTAGAACTTATAGATGCACTATAGAAGTAGTTAGTAATTAATTCTTAACTAGTTTGAAACTAGTTAAATATATACCGAGACTGGCTATGTGTAACCCCTCTAGAGCTTAATCGCTGTGGTGTGGCTAATCTCGATCTTGACTGTGGTGTAGCTGACCTTGACCGACGTTCAATATTAAATACGAAGCTAGAAGATGAGGCTTTAAGGAGGATTTAATCGTCAATATCAAACTGAATTCGTTCGTCTCTATAATGAGTGGCTTTCTATTCTGCTTTCTCTCTTTTTCTAGCTTCGCGCTGGAGATTCCTTCCAAAGCGAGCCTCAATATCATTAGCTTGATAGCGGTGATGAATACCGAAAGTATCTCGATTCTCTAATTGATCAAGATCCTATTGATCGAGGTATAACGATCTACAACTAGTTAGTAACTAGTTATAAATTAGTTCGTACTTGATTCTTACTTTGTTATAGCACCTAATAATGAATCATAAGTTCCTAGTGTATAGGACTTATTATGACTTTGCTCAACTGCATTCGTATGAGGCCGGAATCTTGAGAAGAATTCAGGGCGAACACCTAAGTATGCTTTACAAAGCCCTGCTGCAATTACTGGGTGTCTCTTCTGTCGAACCTAGTATTTAAGGTCTGGATCTTACTCTAAAACTAGTTAGCATTTAATTATTAACTAGATTAGAACTAGTTATTTACCTTTAATAAGGTCTAGTAGCCTATAATAATTATCTTCGGTTTAACATAAAAGTAGCCCATTTAGACGCTCGCGACGCTCTATGTGGGAGTTATCTAGTCGATTTGGGTAGATCTTTGATACTGTTCGCATAAAATGGATAGCACAAAAGATCATAATCCGTATAAGGTGCTAGGTTGGAGAACGTTGATTGTTCTCGGTATCTTGGTCCTGAAGGAATGCACCTAAGCCTTTATACTAATTAGTAACTAATTAGTAACTAGTTTCCAATTAGTTCACTTACTAAAGATCTGCTTTAGGTATATATCACCAACAATTGCCTTGATACCTTCCCCATAAAGGTAGTGAAACCTAATAGGTCTCCCTATTGACCTTGACATAAGTTCGAAAACCATCCGGAAGATAAATTTATATCCCGCGGAGTTCTCTTGGTCAGTGAAGACACGACAGAGCGTTATGACTAACCCGGAACTAGTAAGTTATTAGTTCTTAAGTAGTTAATAGCGTCTTTACTTACTTTTACCATAGTCTATAAGCATTGTAGCGAATATTACCTCGTTAATATCTCCTTTCACCCGCTTATAAGATATATTAACCTCGATAGCATCGCGCGTTGCTAGAAATTGAAGCTACTTAGCGAAAGCGCAGAAGACAAAATTCCCTTCTGAAGTTTCATAGATCTCTTGAATATATTCCTAAAGAAAGAATTAGTTCGTAACTAGTTAAGAACTAGCTTTTGACTAGATAGATTACCTTTAGATTAGGTTTGGCCTCTAAATAATGGCGTAGGCTAGCTATACCTTTACTGAGTGGGTAGTTCAGCGCTCGTTGTTTCCAAAGTAATGCCGAAACCTTATTAATCTTAGCAAAGCTAGAATAGATCTATGATAGCGTTTTGCATTTATACTGTTTGCAGAATTCACGAAGCGCAGGGCTACGTAGGAATATGCCTATAAGTAGTTAGTAATTAGTTTATAAGTAGTTTAAAACTAGTTAAATATATAAACATACTTAGCTTAAGGTCTGGGTCTAGATTTTTGCAAATTAGATCAAGGACCTCGCTAGCGATTATCCATAGAGCTTTTGTAGGCGGCGGTGGTGGATAAGAATGCCTTCCACGAGAGTAGAATATTGCGTATAGGTATCTCTTAGGGAGTAGCGGGATAAAAGTCTAGAATATAACGTTATAAGCGCCATAGCTCTGGATTTTACCCTAACCCTAAGGATAAATGACGCCTAAATCTAGTTAGTAACTAGGTCTTAACTAGTTTAGAACTGATTCGTACCGCATAATGGCCTCCTTGAGGCCGCTTGTTCAATCACTCCGCAAGTCAGTGGTCTAGGCTAATAAGTAGAGGCTAGAAGCTTCTATAGAAGTTCTATATTAAGTGATCTCTCTTTTAGGATTAGAGAAGTGTAGAAGTGATCTTGACGGTTCTCTCGTGATGAATTCGCGCAGCTTATATAATAGCTATGCATGCTAGATACGTTCTAATAACTAGTTAGTAACTAATTATTTACTAGTAGTTATAGGACTTACATCGTGATAGTGCTAGCGAAATATAGGTTCACAACCTTGACGAGAGAATTTACACGCGACACCCCGAAGAAACTTCTTCTTGATTGCGTTATATAGCCTAAATAGAGGTTAGTTTAGTTTAGAACTAATTCGGAATTAGTTTACATACCTAATGCTATTACGCTGTAGCTCTCCATTACCCTCCGAAAGCGAGGAATCCGCGATCTCTTGGCGTATGCTTATAATCAGGGTCCATAGATCTTTATCCGCTTTTGTATAGGCTAGATATAAGAGTCTAGGATCAAGAAACTCGCAGCTCTTTATACCGCTACATTTAAAGCGCTTTCGCTCTGTTTGGCAGCCAAGGAATGCAGAGTGTATATTCTTCGTGTCCCCAAAGCCACCTATAGCATATTGTGTCTAATAATTTATTAGTAACTAGTTTATAATTAGTTATAAGCTAGTTTATAACTTACTGATTTCATAATACGTCGTAGCTCCTCTGGTTTATGTTTATCGATACTCACGATATACGCAAACCCATCATCATGAGTTTCGGGATACTCTGGGAGCAAAGGTACGTACTCAATCACAGCAGCTGATATAGCGTGAGTTAGGTGAAAGGTTAAGGGAGTGGGAATATTAGGTGCCTTTGAAATTAGTTAATAATTAATTATAAACTAGTTCGGAAATAAATATGGTGAATATATATTTACCTCGTCTGGGTCAGGAATTGCGGTTTCAAATTCTTGCCCGCTGCCAAACGGGTCGACATAACCGCTTATATCCTCTGTATCGGGCGTAGAATCAAACTATAGAAGCTCAGAGAGTGTACGATCCTCATAAGCCCTCCAGGTATAATCTATAGCGCGTTCCATGGTAGATAGGTTGATAGTTAGAAAGAGTGGGGGAGAAATAAGTGGGATGTGTGGGTAAATTACCGGGTTACCAGGGCATACCCTAGAAATTTACAGGGTTGCGATGAGCACGGGCCATAATTATGGTAAATATCACGTGATGTGTGCGATGACCTCTCGGTCGGTGTGCGATGACCTGGTTCCTCAAAGTTTTGGAGCTCCCTAGTTCATGCCTGACCAGTCAGGCGTACAGGGCTGTAACAGGGCAATGGTCACGATTGACCAGTCGAGCGACAGTCCACGTCAAGTCCCGGGGCAAAAACAAGGCCCCCCACCAGCAGCCAAGCCAAGAATGCCCCATTTCTATAAATACGGCTTCGGTAGACGAATCTGGGAATCTGACACGGCCATGCAGCACAGCCCAGTGGGATCGGGCATTGACGTTCTGACCGTCTTTCAGGTTCCTCTCAAGAGCCTGAAACTTTCGGATGGGCTCCGAACTGTCGCATGCTCGCGTGCTCGTGGCCAATTCAGGAAGTAGCTCCTGATTTGCTTATTTGATCGGATGCACAATGCGGTCGGGTGGGTCTACAGGGCGTAAGTCCGATGATGTCTGTTGGGTCGTTGATCACATCAATAAAGCAACTGTGCTGCCTTCGATCGAGTGAAAAGTGACTGTCGGGGGGCATGAGACAGCTCGCACGCGAGCAATCGGGCAATCGAGCAATCGAGGGGTTTATACGTGAACCGCCAACCGTAGAACTGGGATACGGGTCCGGAAGCAAAATGGAATCCGACAATTCAGAGTCGCACGGGCGATTTGCACGGTGACTGGTTCGCACTGCAACCTTTCCCCGGACTTTCTTGCCAAGTTCGCGAACATAACACGAGGTGCTAGTCACGGTTCCCGGTGGCCCGAGCCCCAAACCCTTTCTTGGCCCTTTTTAGCCCTGTTTGGGGGAATTCGAGGGTTCCTTGAGGACTGAACATGATTTAGGGGAGCGAGGAGCCGAGGGGTCGAAGGGCCGAAGGGCTGCAGGCGCTGGGGGCGATGAGGAAATCTTTCGACATGTCTCAGCATGAATTCCGTCTCCATACTCCCTACTCAGGGCAGTTTGACGATAAGCAGGCAACAGTAAAAGGGGTCCACATCGAGATCGTTCATATGTGGAACGTTCCAAGTTATTGGTGCAGCGGGGCGGGTTCCGTGATTTCCGAAGCGCACATCGCCGAGAGACGGTCCAACTGGGTCTCCTTGAGCCAGTCGATCCAAAGGGGGCAAAAAGCTAAGCGGCAGTCGCGTGCCCCTCTGCCCTTTCCAGCCTCCGAATGGGAGTCGCTTGGGCCCTGGTGAGACCCTGGACCCTGAAACGGACTAGGCCGGGCGCAGCCCTAGACATCATTGGGGAAAAGCCAAGTGAATGTGAATAATATTTCATAATAAATCCTGCACTTGCGAGACCCCCGTCATTGGTGCCACCTCGGTCTGCCTCGGGTCCCCCGGTTCCTTGTATTGACGAATCTAATTATATTTTCTTTTTCTTTTCATTCGATCTTTCAAACCTCTCTCTTTTGCTCCCTATACGTTCTATCCTTTTCGCCGCATTCCGGGCTGTTAACTTCCCATTCCAATCTTTTTTTTTTTTTTGCGCGTATCCCCCTGGCGCGCCTTTTTCTCTCTCTCCCCTCTCGAACCATGAAATGATCTCACCATGTCGCTCTTCGCCTTCCTCCCCCCGCTCCCGCCGTTTCTCTTCTCGGTTCTGGTCATGAGCGGCCTCGTCTCCAAGGCTCTACATATCGGCCTGCACATTCGCTCTTTACCATTCCTCTATTTCGTCCTCTATTCGCCGACCCTCATTTTACAAGACCTGCTAGTCATCCTCGTTGGGAGGCTTTTGTTGCAGTATGCGGCTCCGGGAACCCGGTTACAATGGTTGTCGACATGCGTAGGAGGTCTGCTTTCGTAGGTGACACCGCTTTAGAATTGTATGGAACGATGCTGACGAGACTGCTAGCCTGGTAACATGGGGTGCCGCCTCCATCCAGTTCGGCTTCTTCATGCAGACCGGTGCCGAAGTCGCCTGGGCTCAAAGTAATAGCTTCCTCAATGATCCCGCCGCCATGAAGATCCTTTTGACAGGCATCACCACCGTGTCCGCCGCTGCTACCGTTTTCGCCCTGGTTGCCTGGATGATTCACTCATACCTGTACCTTCTGACCGGTCTTGGATTGCTGGCGATCCGGGATCTATTCGTGGGAGGCTACAAGGCCCGCTATACCCTGCTCTCCGTGCCCAACAAATCTTGGTTGGCCTCCGTCGATCTACGAACCGCGCGCCGATCCGCTATCGCCGTCTCTGTCTTTGTATCGTTGTTGTTCCTGGAGCTCACCAGACCGTCCATCCCGTACGACCACCTGTCTGGTGCATTGCCATTGACTTTGATGGATGCATTTCATAAAAAGTCTGTCACCGTTGAAGGTTGCCGCAACCCGACAATGAATTTCCCTCTCTACACCGCGGGTAAAGTTAGTTCGGAGAAATGGTCTCGGCCCGCCTGGTTGCCGCAGAACCCACCCCCGGGATTCAGCCGATGGGATATCAGCCCAGAAGAGCGTGCGGAGAAGGATAATCCCTCTTGGTACCTGTGCAGCAGCGGGGACCCCGGCTTCTACAATCCCAAGCAGGATCCGCTCAAGATTTCCAATCTGGGCGGTGGAATCTACGAGCCCTTGCGGAAGGCCTTCGAGGAGAATTCGGTTGAAATTGATAACGTCGTTCTTTTAACCCTCGAAAGTGGGCGCAAGGAGTTATTCCCGGCGCAGCAGGGCACTCCCATGTTCGATGCCTTACTCGAGTCGCACAAGAAGGAGAAGAGGGAGAAGGCGATCGACGACCTGGTCAAGCTGACCCCTGTAGCGCAGATGCTAACGGGCGAGTATGCCACGGATAGCAAGGGCGAAAAGGTCGATCTGAGCAATGCCACTTGGCAGGATACAGCTGAAGAGGGCATGGGCGGCCTGAATGTGCGGGGTGCACTCACTGGCAGTTCGTTGACTTTCAAAAGTATTTTGGGCAGTCATTGCGGTGTCAACCCACTTCCAGTAGATATGTTGGAGGAAACCGGTCTCGAAATCTATCAACCGTGCTTGCCGCAGCTTTTCGAACTTTTCAACGAGGTTAAATCGCCCGTGGAGCCCAACTTACCCAAAGCCATTGAAGCCCGCGATGACGAGTCCGAGGCTGTCAAATACCCGTGGAAGTCCGTCTTCATGCAGTCCATCACCGACGACTACGATCGCCAGGACGTCCTGAACGAGAACATGGGATTCAAGGAAAAGGTTGTCAAAAAGACATTGAAACGTGCTCGATTTGGCTCCAAATATGCTCCCAAGGGCCAAGAGATTAACTACTTTGGATATGCCGAGACCGAGTTGAAACCGTACGTGCAGGATCTGTTCGAGGAAGCTGCCAACAACAAGACACGCATCTTCCTCTCGCATGTCACTAGTACCACGCATCACCCGTGGAACACGCCTGACGACTTCAAGACGGAATCCTACATGGGCGACGAAGGAACCGTCAACCACGGTCTGATGAACAACTACCTGAACACCCAGCGCTTCGTCGACAACTGGCTCGGCGATATCATGACCATGCTCGACGAAACCGGCATCGCGAACTCGACCCTCGTCGTAGTCGTTGGCGACCACGGCCAGGCCTTCGGCGAAGACAACAAGGATATGACAGGCACCTATGAAAACGGCCATATCAGCAACTTCCGCGTCCCTCTCGTCTTCCGGCACCCTCACATGCCACGCATCGACATCACCGCCAACGCAACATCCCTCTCCATCATCCCGACTATCCTCGACCTCCTCGTGCATTCCCACTCCCTCGACACCCGCGATGCCGAAATCGCCTCATCCATCCTCCCCGAGTACCAAGGTCAATCCCTAATCCGCCCCTTCATCTCCGCCATCGGCGGTTCCGACACCCACGGCAGTGCCCGAATCGAAAACCCTGACTCTCACCCCATTGACGCCCGTTCTCCCCGCCCAACACACAAGCACAAGGATGCCCGTACCCAGCGGGTCTGGAACTTCGGCCTCATTAACGCAGGCGGCTCAATGGTCTCCATCACCTCAGCCGATACTCCCTACCGCCTGATCCTGCCCCTCCGCGAGGGCTTCGAATACGTCTTCACACACCTGGCCGAAGACCCCGGCGAGCTGCACCCAATGAAGACATGGACGCTATCTGAGCTCGTCCACGAAGTCATCCCCAAGTTTGGTGAAGACCCTGCCTCTTGGATCGAAGATGCCGAGCAGGTCGGCAAGTGGTATGTCAACGAGCAACGGAAAATCTGGGGCTACCGGGAGAAATAATCCAATTCCCTGGAGAGCGTTTTTGAAAAAGCAACATTCGCATCGCATCACATCACTGTCTTCATCTACCTTTCATATACGTGTTGATTTGTCATGACTTCTCGAAAATCGGGGTGGGCGTTCGGTGCCGTTGGGCTGCATCTTATTATTTTGGGCTGGGCCTTTTGTTTTCATACCATGTGCACTTGGTGTGATCTTTTCCTTGAGTCAGTTTATATGCCTCTCTGGTTGTACATATCATTTCCTGGAGCTCTGCATTCAATGCTAGCTTGGTGATTCAAGGTTGTTTATGAAACATAATCCGGCGTGGTTGAGGGGAGTCCGTTGTGGTATCTTAGCCTACTCTAATCCAGTCACCTACCTACCTAGCCAGGCTTTTTGTAGTTTGTAAATCGGGTACAGTTGGAGATATGGCTCGTCACGAGGTCACAAGTTCAAGCTTGCCCGTGTTTGCAGCTCCTATTTACGTCAACTGGCACATGTGGGTCTAGGCCCGAATTAGGAACCTAGGCACTACCTCGAACTAACCTAACAATTGCATTTCGCGCCATGATCTTCCCAAAAATTTGACAATCTACAGAGTACATAAGCGAAATAACCCTTCTACAGATAGGGTTAATGAGTGTAAGAAGGTTAAACCGCTGGCCCGTACAATCTAGGTAGCTACATAGAACATCTCTGTCCAGGTGCTCAATAGAACTAGATCTTTCTGAATCGCTCACAGTATTCTAGGTGGGCCCAGACATCTTCAGATCGAGAACTAAGAACGATCAAAAAAAATATACTCAGCCGTCGTTGCCGCCCAAAAATCCTAAATTGCACGGGATCTGCATTTCCAGCCAGCACATCCGACAAACAGTCCACTGCATCAGATAAGGGGAAAACGGGAAAACGGGAAAACAGTTCCAGAACAGGTGTGGCTACACAGGACACGTCTCCAGGGCTGCCAGCGTGACGAACACGATCGGTGGGGAGAAGCGAGAACCACCACGCCAAGACGGAAGTGGTAAGCCGTGGTTCTTATCACTGCAAGCCAGCTAAGCCAAATACTACACGCCCCCACGCCCCAGTGTAATACTACATAGCTTGTCGATTCGAGTCCCGCACATCTAGATCGATCTGCGGGACGAGACACTACTCCCGCCGGGGAGGAGGACCCGTGCATGCCACGGGCAATTCTGTTGGTAGGTTCTGCGTACCGGGGGGCACGGGCCGGACGGGGCCCTGGATGTGTGGTTTGGACTGGTGTGCCTGAGAATAATGGGAAGGGGGGAATCGAAGAAAAAAACGGGGAATAGGAAGAGCCAGATACAGGCCGGGGCTAGATCTAGAATTTAGACTCGGGTTTGGGCAGGGGTAGCGGTGTGCGTTGGTCAACTATGAGACGAGAGAAAAATCTAGAAGATCTGGCACCGATGTTTATTGCTGTTTAGGTCTTGCTCACCTGACTCCGGGGTTCGGATTTGCCCGATCAGGCAAGGTAAGTTTATCTTGGACTATCGGATGTCCCCCGGGGCCCTAGATCGCGGGCTCGGATTACATGGTATTTGGATGCTTCGGTTTCTAGCTTGTGTAATCTAATTTTGGATCTCTCCCTTGGTAGCTGGTCGGATAGTGCGATTTGCGGCGACGGGCCAGACATCAAAGTATACCACGGTTACCTTGGTACTCTAGTGCTTGTCAATTGACACCGACCATACGAGCTATGATGGGAGATCTGGAATGGGCCCAGCAAAAAGGATAAAAAAAGTCCCATCCCAAAGCCGCGGAATGGGCAATTGACTTTTACCATACGCCCAGGAACACAAACGACGGGGGAGGCGCAGCTATTGGTGAATGCCGGAGGAGACCACATGACAGGATAGAAGGGAAAATCAAAATAGAAGTGCAACTGTGGCAGTTCGGGACTGGGCCCGGCGGTTCCCCGGGGTCAGGTGAACCCCAAAGTGGCGCGGAACCCGGGGAATCGGGTTTCCCAAACCAGGCATCCGATCTGCATCCCCATTCTTTTTCGCAGTCCCTGTCCTGGAGGTGGCCAATATTACACATATTGCCATCATGGAGAAACCAGAATAGACCCTACAAGGGTTATTGCAAGGTCAACTACTCCGTACGGAGTACTTCGCCACACAGGCCTGTCGGATTGTGTTTTTTCGGTGGTGTGATAGCTGTCGCCACGACCGTTTAACGTGCGGCTACGCGCATTCCCCGGGCCTGGACCGAGCTTCGATGCCGCCTTTGGCCCAGTCTGGGCGTCTTTCTTTGGAAGTCTCTTCGTGTTCACGAGACCTCTTCTGGCTGGGACCTCCTTGGATCTCGCTCGGTACTCGGTCCCGGAGCTGGCTCCCTGGGCTCCATGGACAATATTTAAAGGCGTCGTTCATTCCATGGTTACTCTTTTCCATTGTATTCAATTCATTCAATCTAATATCTTAATCACTCTCGACTTTCAGCTTCGACACCTTTCAAGCTTCGGCTGGTCCTGCTCTTATCACACCCTTTATACTCTTATTATTATAATATCCCAACATCATGTCTGTCTCCATTGAAACCACCGATGTTCCCACTGCCCCCAACACCTCCCAGCCCATCCTGTTGGGCCAGAAGGCCAGAATGCCCGAGTTCAGTCTCGCCGGCAAGGTCGTCTGCGTCTCTGGCGCTGGCCGCGGCCTGGGTCTGACCCAGTCCGAGGCCCTTCTGGAGGCCGGCGCAAAGGTCTACGCTCTTGACCGTCTCGAGGAGCCTGCCCCCGAATTCGCTGTGATCCAGCAGCGCGCCAAGGATCTGGGCACCGAGCTGCACTACCGCCGCATCGATGTTCGTGACACTGAGCTCCTGAACAGCGTCATCGAGGACATCGCCAACACGGAGGGCCGCATGGACGGTCTGGTTGCCGCTGCCGGTATCCAGCAGGAGACCCCTGCTCTGGAGTACGCGGCCAAGGACAGCAACACCATGTTCGAGGTTAACGTCACTGGTGTGTTCATGACCGCCCAGGCCGTTGCCAAGCAGATGATTCGCTTTGGAAACGGTGGCAGCATCGCCATGATCGCCAGTATGAGCGGTACCATTGCCAATCGGGTACGTGTCCCCTCCCCATCCACGAAATTCCTTTTTACCCTTATACCCGGCATCCGTGCACTTGCCTCCCTCGGTGAACCCGTGGTTGACAAGTACATGGGTTCCACCCCAACGTCCACACATCTCCCCATCCAGAGCCAAGACTAACAATTCCAACAGGGACTCATCTGCCCCGCCTACAACGCCAGCAAGGCCGCTGTCATCCAGCTGGCCCGCAACCTCGCCATGGAGTGGGGCCAGTACAACATCCGCGTTAACACCATCTCCCCCGGCTACATCGTCACCGCCATGGTCGAGATGCTTTTCGTTGACTTCCCCGAGCGCCGCGACCAGTGGCCCAAGGAGAACATGCTCGGCCGCCTCTCCCGTCCCGAGGAGTACCGCGGTGCTGCCGTCTTCCTGCTCAGCGATGCAAGCAGCTTCATGACTGGCAGTGACCTGCGCATGGACGGTGGCCATGCCGCGTGGTAGATTATTGTTGACGTGGCGTGACCAAGCAGGTCTCTCATTGCATGGCGTTTTTTTTTTTTTTTTTTTTTGAAAATGGAGCTAATAGCGTGGGGGTTGACTTTTATTTTTACTTTCTTTTTGACTCTATACGTCTGACTTGACATTTTTTACGAATCAGCGCTGCTTTTGTATGGTTACATACTCCCATAATGTTGATTAGACTCATATCGATCGCTCGAGTTAATGCACCTCCATCTGTGATCTGACCCCACTTTTGTCCACTTTAGACTGCTCGGCTCCACTGGTCAACCACCAGAATCCCTGCTATTTGCCGAACCGGGACTCCTGCAGCCCAGGTTTGATCAGGTGTGTTTGTTGTTCCCACGACCTGTGCGTCCGTGTAGCGTCCACTTGGGTTTGAACGCAGTAAGTCCTAGACCATAGAAGATATCACTTTACACATGACCATCCATACGTCTGGCACACCAGAAAATGGAGAATTTGATGAAAAGTCCATGATGTAGGCTAGACATCAACAAAGGGTCGGAACCAGGGTTCCTTCCAGGGTATGACAGCCATGACTGGGTTGACCCATGGTCAAAAATTTCATTGTAGCTCAGCTTGAACTTGTCTGAAATCTGGGGAAGATGCGGAGATGGCACCTTTTCGCCAATCAGAGTACGTTTTGGCGGGGCTCGATCCTCGAAGATCCTCGGACAAACACGAGAGTTTGGCCCTATATTTAGGTTCTGAGGTTCTTACGTGGTCGACTTTGCGGTGGTGATTGGGCCGGGCCTTGAAGAGGGTTTTTGACAACGTGACTACTCACGATACACTTACAAGGGCTTCGTGGACGGCCGGATAATAGCGCATCTTCCCGTGCTGGTTGGGAAGCGAGGTGAAGTCATGACTCGGGATTCCTGATCTTGGCGGTGCCCAGCAAACATATCGGCCAGTTTACGATCTCTATTAATCATAGCGCTATTCATAGCGCTGCGTCGACCATCAAAAACACCGAGCTATTACGTAACGGCGCTAGTCGGACAACTCCCCGGCTCGTCCTGCAGGTCGGGTTGGACAGCCCTGTAAGCTGAGACGGCCCTCGTCTAACTCTAGGGACGGCATCCTTGCTGCTTCTCGGGACTCCCTAATTAGGGACCTCACAAGACATGATGATCATTTTTGCGACGGATGAAAAGTAATCCGCACCGGAAGCTTGAGGCTGATAACCACACCCTGCTCTCTGTAGAAAGCAAGTCGTATTTCTATCGTACTTCGAACCTAGCGTTGCACTGGTGGCGACAGACGAGGAATACGACAAGTTTCAGCTCTCGCGTGCGACCTCGACAGGGGTATAAGAAAATCATAAACAGATTCGATAAGTACGGGCCAATTGGATCGTGGGTAGTGGTAATGTAGGCGGAACTTGCTTGTGGGCGGGGTTCTCCATAGAGAAGCGCCACCCTAGGCACGCTTTCCTTGGCGAGGCCGGTGCCCTGCTTTTGCCCTGCTTCGCTTGGAATTTCTAGAACATGTTGCGTGGCGCTGTAAGCCGTCTACAGTATCGTCGGTAAGCAGTGAAAAGACTTCCACTTCAGAGAGTGTTGGAGATAACCAGCTGACTCCGGAGTGGAGTGCCAAGACACAGGCCAAGAACGCCGCGATAAGCAATGCCAAGCAAATCCCAAGCCCTCGAAGCCTTTCGGGTCTGTGTGTTCGCTGCTCCGACGGTCTTCCCTTTGTTCCGTGATTCCTTCCAGACTTATATACGGGGTACTCCAGAGGTGAGACCGTTGGTTTTACCTCAACACCAGCGCTTTCAACCAAGCCCTAGAAAAGTAAACATGAATTTTAGCCTGGAGTGCCCAATTAATATCTTGACTGGATAACATCATTTCCTGCGCCCTCGGTCACACTTACCCAACCCATTAGACCGCCAAGCTTAACCTCCCGTAATTCGCACTAGCGTTGATGTCTTTTTGCATGAGCCACTCACAAGATTCCTGCGGCGATTTCCACTACAGTTACATGGCGCGGGAGGGGCTGTATCCACTATATACACTAGTCGGTCCATTGTCAGATCCTTATTCGCTGCCTATCGAGCTTATCTGCCGAATATCACGGGCTTGGACCTCGTTTTAAGGAAAGCGCAGTGGATGGCGTGATAATTCCGGGGTAAACATGGACTCGTGGCCGCCGTCGAACGAGGCGGGAGCAAAAAAAATAAAGAAAAGACAAGGGTCTAGCCTGGGTTCGGCCGAATCATCCTACACGATCAAACCGGGAGTCATAGAAGCGCGAGAGGTATAAGGAGTGCGCATCTCACTTCCCTTCACTTCTTCCCCTCCTCTCCTCTCATCCTCCACTCCTCTTCGCTTCCATCCCCTCTCCCCACTTGTCCGGCCTGGGATATCTCTTCTCTTATTTGCCATGGCTCAAGCCGTGAACACCTCCGCCACCTCGCTGGAGATCAACGAGGGGGCTGTGACTTCTACCAACAAAACCGTGGAGGGTGAAAAGTCGGCTGGTGTGAACTACACCAAGCCCCAGAAGGGTCTCGTCTCTGCTTCCTACAATGTGTACATTGGTGATGAAGATCCTACTGAGGACGACCTGCATGGCCCGAATGCCTTGCGTCGTATCTCTGCCCCCATCCCGTGGTCTGTGTACACTGTTGCCTTCGTCGAGTTGTGCGAGCGTTTCTCGTACTACGGAACCCAAGTCCTCTGTAAGTAGAGCGTTGTTCCTGAGTTGCTTTTTTCGGTTGACATGACACTAACCCATGGGACGCGCAGACTCCAACTTTGTGAACCACTCTTTGCCTCTTCCCTATCCACAAGGACCTCCTGGTTCAAATCACAATACTGGTGCTGGCGGTGGCTCTTTACAGGGCGTCTCTGGAGCTCTGGGAAAGGGTGTCGAGGTAGCTAACGGAGTGAACACTTTCAACACATTCTGGTGCTACATTATTCCATTGTTCGGTGCCTACCTTGCTGATGAATACTGGGGACGATACAAAACCATCTGCTGGTCGATTGGCTTTGCCATCATTGGACACATCATTCTGGTCATCTCTGCCATCCCTCCCGTCATTACCAACACCGACGCTTGCTTTGGCGTCTTCATGTTGGGTGTCATTATCATGGGCTTCGGTACCGGTGGTTTCAAGCCCAACATCTCCGCCCTGGTTGTGGAGCAGATTCCTGTCACAAAATTGAAGGTCCGCACTCTGCCCACTGGCGAGCGTGTGGTCGTCGACCCGACTATCACCCAGAGCAGAATCTATCACTACTTCTACCTGTTCATCAACATTGGTGCGCTGGTCGGTCAGATTGGTATGGCTTATGCTGAGAAGTATGTTGGATTCTGGCTCTCCTTCTTGCTGCCCACCATGATGTTCTTGACTACTCCCTTCATCATGTGGTGGGGACGCAACCGTTACCGCCAGGCTCCTCCTCAGGGTTCGGTCACCTCGAAGGCTGTGCGTGCCTTCTCCTACGCCCTGGGTTCCCGCTTTTCTTGGAACCCGGTCAAATTTTGGAAACGCACGCACGATGGTACTCTGTGGGAGACCGTCAAGCCTTCTAACATCCCTCCAGCTCTCCGCCCCCACTGGATGACTTTCGATGATGCCTGGGTTGACGAGGTGCGCCGTGGGTTTTCTGCCTGCGCTGTCTTCTGTTACTACCCTTTGTACTGGCTGGCATACAACCAGTTGACCAACAACCTGACGGCCCAGGCTGGAACTATGACTCTGCTCGGCGTGCCCAACGATGTCGTCAACAACCTTGACCCCTTCGCCCTCATCCTTTTCATCCCCATCTGTGATCAGTTCCTGTACCCGGCTCTGCGCAAGGCTGGTTTCCGATTCACTGCCATCAAGAAGATCTTCGCTGGATTCACCTTGGCTGCCTTGGCCATGGTCTGGTCCGCCGTCTTGCAGTTCTACATTTACAAGACTTCGCCTTGTGGTAACCAAGCCAACAACTGTTTCTCGGCCGATGGCAATGTCAACCCTTCCCCATTGATCGTCTGGATCCAGGCAGGCGCCTATGTCCTCATTGCTTTCTCTGAAATCTTTGCCTCGATCACCTCACTGGAGTACGCATACTCCAAGGCTCCCTTCAACATGCGTTCCCTGATCCAGGCCATCTCGCTCTTCACCAACGCCATCTCCGCCGCCATCGCCGAGGCTCTGAACCCGCTGTCCCGAGACCCCCTGCTGGTCTGGAACTACGGTGTCTTCGCCGTCCTGGCATTCGTCGGCGGTATCCTCTTCATCATCCAATTCTGGGGCCTGGACAAGGAAGAAGACGCGCTGAACAACCTGCCCGCGGGCCATGTCGAGGCGGATGAGAAGATTCCCGATCGTGCCATGTTTGAGGCTGCTGAGATTGGCCCTGTCCGTGGTTAAATGGTGTTAATTTTGTTGCTTGGCTATTGCCACATTTGTTTTGCCCGGGTTTCTGGGTCATCATGGTTACGCTGCCACGGCACGAATAGATGCATGATGAATAACACTTAATTTATTATCCTGAGGATTCATCTACATTACTGTAGGGCTGTAGATTCGATCGTCGCTTTTCTGCGCTTTTCGTTCCCCACCTGCCGATCTCCGGTCGCCGATGCCTCCGATCGTACGGAGTAGTGGATCCCAAGAAGATTGCGCACATGAAAACAAATATTTGTTCTACAGGCATCAACGCCCTCCGAATGAACCCAACTATGAAACATCACAGTGAAACCAATCCATAAATTATTAGGACCATGACATCGCCCACCCAACGGGGATCGCGGCCTCCGACCCGAAATGAGCTCCCTCTAATCCCCACAGCAGTTCGTCTTCAGACCGAGGCTTATCGGTTTCAGTGTTATTGTTGTGGAGTTGTCTTGATAAGCTCCACCGAATATTGCCGAACTGCCCATATTCCCTGTTTCGAATTGCCAGGTCTGCTAGAGCACCTTGGCATCTCCAGTATTAGCCTCTACCGCATCTAGTGTTGCGCTACCCATTTGGCGCCAATGGTTGCTGGGTAAAAAAGTCGCTGCCTGTTGGTGCCTAGGATGTGTCGGATGTGTCGGTGATTACGGAGTATTAATTTAGTTATCGGCATTCATTGATGACCCTTGTTCTGGTGGCGGTCCCCCTGTGGATCGACGCACCCACACGGCGAATCGGATCGCAGATTCGGGACTTTGCACGGCCGCAGGTGGATCCTGTTTTGTGCATCGTTGTGTTGCATCGTTCTTACGATTTCGAGATGAAAGGGTAGTTTGGGAAGAAATACATTGCAATTATGCCTAGATGGTATGGTTCTTATGTCGAAGGCGGGAATAGTGGTATCCGTTCTCCTGTCTGTACGGGCCTTCCGAAGGGACTCCTTTTCCCTTTGGACGCCTTAGAGTAAGCAGGCGGTTGAGAACAGCTTCTCCATTTGTAAAATTGGCAACTAGAATTCAACACTTGCATATGTCCCATCTACTACCTCAAGCACTGCATACTAGCAAGCTTCGTTCGTCGCAAACATGGCGCAGCTCGTCAGCCACGGCTACTTTTGGGTATGACGTACCGGCAAATCGACGAACCAGATGAAGGGACAATCTTCATAGCCCCTGGGCGAGGGAGTCTTACCTCAGCCCTGCGCCTCATCGTTCGTGCTAATGGCCAATAATAGAATGACATGAAGAGTTGGAGTCGGGCTGCACAAAACGTACTGAGTATGTACACCGCTAGGACTTCAGGTTGTTCGTTCGGACCTGACATCACTAGCTCCACCGTCCAGTACCCACTGCGCCATGATTCGCAGTCCCCATGAATGCTGTTGCACGATGGATTTGCTGAAAACATATGCCTGGAAAGACTGAAATCTCGGCCTGGTCTTGGCTAAGCTTCCGGTCGCTCCGGTGCAGTGCATAAATATCAAGCACCCCTGGCGGAATCTCGATGATCGCTCCCCCAGTCTTTTTCCCCTGCTCTGCGTGTAGAGCAGTTGAGGTAGCCGAGGTTCCACCATGAAAGTGTCTGCGTTGATCGGCTCTATTGCCTTGGGCCTGTTGCCCGGTATGCTTCTTCCTCGGGCGCGTCGCTTTGTGTGACGTGGGCACGCGATCATGCTAATACTCTGCCAGGCACCTTTGCTGCTCCTCCCAATGGCTTCGATACCGATGACCTTGCCCTTGAAGTCGCCCGCCGTGCGCTTCCCAATGCCCCCGATGGATATACCCCGGCCAACGTCAGCTGCCCGGCTTCACGGCCGACGGTGCGCAGCGCCGCCCACCTTTCGCCCAACGAGACCTCCTGGCTCGATACTCGTCGCAGCAAGTCCCTGGCCGCGATGAAGGATTTCTTCGGTCATGTCAAGGTCGGCGATTTCGATGTCACTTCATATCTGAACCAGCACTCTAGCAACTCGTCGAGTCTGCCGAATATCGCCATTGCTGTTTCGGGTGGCGGATACCGCGCGCTGATGAACGGCGCCGGTGCTATCAAGGCGTTTGACAGTCGAACGGAAAATGCCACTACCAGCGGTCACCTGGGTGGTCTGCTTCAGTCTTCGACCTACGTTGCTGGTCTCTCTGGAGGTAGCTGGCTCGTTGGATCCATTTATATCAACAACTTCACCACCATTGATGCGCTGCAGCGTGGTAGTACTTGGCAGTTTTCGAACTCCATTCTCGAAGGCCCTCCTACTGGAGGTATCCAAATTTTGAAGTCGGCTAGCTACTACACAGACCTCGCTGAAGCCGTGAATGGCAAGCAGGATGCTGGTTTCGACACTTCTATTACTGATATTTGGGGCCGTGCGCTAGGCTACCAGATGTTCAATGCTAGCAATGGAGGCCTTGCCTATACCTGGTCATCCATTGCCGAGACTTCCGCGTTCAACGACGGAAACTATCCCATGCCTCTGGTCGTTGCGGATGGCCGTAACCCTGGCCAGCTGATCGTGGGTAGCAACTCCACTGTGTATGAATTCAACCCGTGGGAGTTTGGTACCTTTGACCCGACCATTTACGGCTTCGTTCCTTTGGAGTATCTCGGCTCCCGTTTCGTGGGTGGTTCGCTCCCCAGCAACGAGACCTGCGTCCGTGGCTTTGATAACGCTGGATTCATCATTGGAACTTCTTCTACCTTGTTCAACCAGTTCCTGCTGCAGCTCAACACCACCTCGCTCCCCAGCTTCGTGAAGAACATATTCGCCCACATCCTCTACAAGTTGGACAAGTCGGACGACGACATCGCCGCATATGATCCTAACCCTTTTTACCACTACAACAACCACTCCTCCCCGTACGCTCAGCAGACCGAGCTGGACGTCGTCGACGGCGGCGAGGACCTGCAGAATATCCCCTTGCACCCGCTTATCCAGCCCGAGCGCGCAGTCGATGTCATCTTCGCCATCGACTCCTCGGCCGACACCACATACTCCTGGCCCAACGGCACCTCCCTGGTAGCCACCTACGAGCGTAGCCTGAATAGCAGCGGCATCGGCAACGGCACCGTCTTCCCCTCCATCCCGGACCAGAACACCTTCGTCAACCTGGGCCTGAACACCCGTCCGACATTCTTCGGCTGCGACAGCTCCAATCTAACCGGCCCCGCCCCTATCGTCGTCTACATCCCCAACTACCCCTACTCCGCCTACTCTAACGTCTCAACTTTCACCCTCAGCTATAAGGACTCTCAGCGCGACGACATCATCCTCAACGGCTACGAAGTTGCCACCATGGCTAACTCCACCCGCGATGGCAACTGGACCGCCTGTGTCGGCTGCGCTATCCTTAGCCGCTCCTTTGAGCGCACCAAAACCACCCTCCCAGATATCTGCACTCAATGCTTCACCAATTACTGCTGGAATGGTACTGTCAACAGTACCGCGCCGGGTGCGTTCGAGCCTGTTACCCTGCTGGCCGATAGCGATAGCGGTGCTTCCGCTATTGTGCCCACTGTGCTTTCTACCGCTGCGGCTGTGTCTGTGGCGCTCTTGACTATGATATAGAGCTTATGGGTTGTGTATATGGATCTTTTCAACTGCATTAGGGGTGCTTTTTTGGCTCTTTTTCCCTTTCGGGTTGCTACGATATGTTCTCGTGTTGTCTACGGACTTTTTATGTATTACTGAGTCATGACTTTCATAATCTAAGATTCACTCCTTAATGTTCTCTTTATCATAGTTGTAGGCTAAGTACATGTCCAATACCTGCCAAGGTTATGAGACCCTACGCGCAAATATTGAATTCGAAACGTTAAGAGATTATATGGAGTTATAAAGGCCCATGAGATCAATTAACACATAGCCCAAGCTGATGATCTTGACCCGAGCCCCGAATTGTGGAGACGGACTGTCGAGTGACGTGAGAAATATGTTGCCTTTTTTAACGCAGATAAGTGCTGCGAAGCAGGCTGGCAATAGTGAACCCCGTGCACATTTTGTTACGGACTGAAGGAAAGAATTACCGTATCCCTTTCTGTGAGAGAAATAAAATGCCCAGAAATATATCCAGGAAGATGCCTACAAAAATAGGTTCCAATTTTAAAAGTCGTCTAGGGATAGAACTAAGTCGGCTTAATTGCTGTGGAACTACAATGTACTAGGAGTCTATTTCAATATCTTGACCAGCCCTGGGGTGCCAATTCCAACCTTGAGGATGAGTACATATAAAGAGCGGGGACTAAACTCGATGCGTAGCCAACAAGTGGGGACAGTTAGTATCACGTGACGGTCGCCATGGCGACGCGGTGCACCTTCCTAGCTTCGCGCAAACACGCTCCACAACGGTCTATTTTCGCTCTGCAATTTAACTGCATTCCACACGGCAGCCGCGAGACACGACCTCGGCCCCGCCATGAGTGCGCTGGGTGCATTGAATTACCGACTCCCGTAACCCGATATACAATTACGACCACACTCCGACAACATACACCACAACACAGCACGCGCCACCGATACACCATTGTCCCCTCCTCGCCATCATGGCGCGCGCGGCCGTTCTACCACCGTCTCCTGTCAAACGGGGAGCTCGAACGGCTCCTCGGACGACTTTGACAAAGACCACCGCTTCTTCCAACGCGAAGAAGAAGGCGCCGGCCAGAGCACCCGCGAAAAGCGCTCCCTTGTCAGATTCAGACGATACCGAGGATGAGCTCGGTATGATGATGAAGGAACAACAGCCGCCTGCTCGACCCCGTGGAAGACCTGCTGCACGACCTGCTGGCCGACCTGCCGCAAAACCTACGGCCCGTGGCAAGAAAGCAACGCCACCCCCGGCTGCTGAAGAGTCACACGCTGAAAGTGACGACGACGAAGCTGCGAAACCAGAACCCCCGAAGAAGCGTGTTGGAAGACCTAGAAAGAATCCATTGCCAGAGGAGCCTGCTGTCGGCAAAACCGAGACAGCACCGAAGCCCAGAGGACGACCGAAGGGTTCTCAGAATGCTCCAAAAACGGCTGCCACGCGCAAGAATATCCGGAAGGCTGCTGAAGTAGAGACCACCCAGGATGACTCAGAGCCCAAGAAGATTATCGTAAACCCGAACGTCATACGGTCCAATATCCTCCGCGGCCCTGCAAAGAAGAAGACCGTGACGTTCCAAGATGTGTCTGGCCAGGGATCAGAGGACGAGCAGCCGGCTGTTCCAGCCGATGGACGGAAAAAGACTGCCACAAAGGGTGCTGACAAGGCTGGACTCGGGGCAACTCCTGTTCGCAAGAATGCGACCACAGTTGGCCGGGGACGCAAGCCCGCTACAGCGAAGAAGGGTGCATCTCAACCTCTGTCCCCCAAGAAGGCGAAGCAAATGGCCAAGTCTCTCTCCGCGTATGCCAGCTCTGACGGTGAAGAGGATGAGCTGAGCGCCGCGAAGGATGATATCAAGAGCCCACTCAAGCTTGTCGTCCACTCACCCACCAAAGATACTCCTGAGAACATGGGGTTGGCATCTCCTGTACGCAAGATAAACTTCACACCAAAGAAAGTCTTCAGCATTGTCGACGAAAATGGCGAACCAAAACTCCCAACGCCTAAACACGGATCAGCGGCTACAGGCCTTAGCTCCCCAGTGAGGAGAATTAACTTCACTCCCAATCACAGCCGGAACGCCACCGCTGACAATGGCCATCTTGCTCTTCCTGTCGGAAAATCGATTAATTTCAGTGACTCAGTCTTCATGTCCAGCCCAGCGAGGCGGCCGGAGGCATCTCCCTTCCAATTCAACCTCAGGGATACCCCCCAACGGTGGCCTTTCAAAGTCTGTCCCGGCGCCTAACTTCACCCCGGGCCAGTCATCGCCACTCAAGATGTCCCCGAGAAAGGGCCATCTGGGTGCGTCTTTCTCAGGCACGCCATCTAAAGCCTCGACCCCGTTATTTCAAGCTCGGTCTTCTCTGATCCAAAGTCCAGCGAAGAGAATGGCTTCTCCCTTCAAAAGCTCATTACTTTCCTCCAAAGCTACGATAGCTGAGGAGAACACCTACGATAACGATGATACCTTTGCTGCATCAGCCACGAAGGCTAGGAAATACGCTTCTCCTTCCAAGGATTTTCAACCATTCGGCGGTGACGAGGATCTCGAGATGGTGGAAGAAGTGGCTCGTGATATCTTCGGCATTGAGCTGCAGTCTGACAGGAAATCTTCATCCGAGTCGCCATTGTCAAGAGAGTCGTTAGAGCCTAAATCAGTGCCAGAGCCTCAATCCACACCTACTAAAGATGCTGAATCTGACGTTATGAGTCAATCCGACGATGAGGATATCGACCAGAAGTTGGAAGAACTACAAGAAGAGATTCGCCACGAACCCGCTGACATGGACACATTCTGCTTCAATACGATGGAAGATCTCCAGGAGCCCTTCCGGAATCTTGAACAAGCGGAAAGTGTGGACGTTGGCATGGATTCAGAAGAGGCTGATTCGAATGAGGAGCCGGAGGCTGAAGAAGAAAGCGGGTGCGAACCCGATTTGCTCTCCCAACCTGCGGAACCAACCGATGAGCCTATTGAGTCTATGGAGGCAGAGGAAACAGATATTTTTGATATACAGTCTATGGAGGTTCCGTCCTCCCCTTCCCCGCCGTCCGAACCGACACTCGGGCTGGATGCTCTCGAAGAAGCGCAGTCTCCACCCTCAGTCCACGAAGACCGGTCTGAGCAGGAGGAGTTCGACCGGGAGGAATACCCTGCGGAATCTATCCGCCACGCAGACGAAGAACAGGAGATGGAGAGCGAACAAGAAGAGATGGTAGACGACGACTTCACTCTTGTGCAATCCGAAGCCGCCTTTTCGGTGATTTCCCAGCCTCGCTCGCCATATGAATTCAGCGAGGGCGAAAGCAACACCAGCCCGATCCAGAGGACGCACCCTATTCCTCCCTCAGCACCAACCCCTCCGACCGATGGGATGACACCAATGTCCATAAGAGAAGAATACAGCGAGGGAAGTGTCAAGTCTATTGACCGACTTTTCGACATCAACTACGAACCCCGGCCGGCTGCCCAGGAGAGTCCTTTCGACACTACTCAGTCCGAGTTTCCTACTCCCGTAGCGCCCAGTGTCTCCAACACTCCCAGTGTTCGGAACAACCGGAAGTCTGTCACAGGTGTTGACCTGGGCTTCACCCCTCTTGCAGACCGATTTGGCGGCTGGGAAACCAATACCCCGACTCAAGAGAGAACACCCCGACCTCGTCGGCGTGGCATGTTCTCTCTCGTTGGCCCCTGGAAAAAACCGTTGAGAGTAATACTCCCACCCAAGAAGACGAGGTATCATACCCTGACCTCTCGCGCACTCCGCTCGCAAATACCCCAGCCTTGTTCGCCGAGTTACCTCTCCGGCCTTCTGTCTCTCCCACGAGATCTCCCACGAGATCTCCCACGAGATCTCCCACGAGGTATCCCCTAGCTGAACGGGACCTCGAAATGATCGACTCACCGATCAAGAGCGTCATCTTCGAGGACCCTGAGCCTGCCGCATTTGAAAACGAAGAAATGGAACAGACTGAACCACGCGGGGAACTGCCTGCCCACGAATCGACAGACGATGAAGAGCAGGTCTTTTCTGACGAGGACAAAGAGAACTCGGACACTACTGCCCCTGCCCTAGCCACCCCAGTGAGGCCCGTTCCCGAACAAAGCCGAACAGTTCATACCGTCTCAAAGGTGCCGCTGAGAGACGAGGGCGAAGTCTCACCGTTGAAGCTGCCACGGAAGCGTGGCCACTCCCTTTCGAGCACATCTCCCACTCGCTCTTCGCCCCGCGTTCCCAAGCCCATTTTCCCTCAGCGGATCGAAAGCATGGCCATATTTTCTCCCCACAAGGCACCACGAGCATCACGAAGCCCAAGTCCCAAGCGTCGTTGCAGTACCCCTAGACGCTCCAGTGGAAAAATCCGGGACATGGCACCCCCCAAGGCCCCATCTGTCGCTGCAAGCCCAGCGAAGACTCCGCGCCCCAACTTCAATCCAAGCAGTCACGCTCTACGCGGTGCTGTTGTGCACGTGGATGTCCATACCACGGAAGGTGAAGATGCATCAGGCATTTTCCTCGAACTTTTGCAACAAATGGGTGCCCGATGTGTGAAGTCGTGGTCTTGGAACCCTGGATCTAGCCTTTCTCCCGTCGATGGGGCAGACCCGACGGAGGCTAACTCCAAAGTGGGTATCACCCATGTGGTTTACAAGGACGGTGGCCTGCGGACCCTGGAAAAGGTCAAGCATGCAGGTGGTCTCGTCAAGTGTGTTGGTGTTAACTGGGTTCTTGACTGCGAAAGAGAAAACAAATGGCTCGACGAGACCCCATACACTGTTGACTGTTCTATCATCCCTCGCGGTGGGGCCAAGCGTCGCAAGAGCATGGAGCCGCGTGCATTGAGCAATGTGAACGGGACCCTTGTGCGCACTGCTGAGCCATCCACCCCCTCTGCCAGTGGCCGTCGCTACGGTGCTAACCTGGGCGCCGTGGAGACCTTCCGCAAGATCACACCGCCAACCCCGGTTCAAGTGCCATCCACCCCCGAGCAAACCTCCAATGACCGCTACCGTGTCCCTCAAACCCCGGGCTACAACTTCGCCAACCTTGATGCCATCGGCATATCCCCTGCCACTCCTTATATGGTGTCCAGCCGTGCTCAGCTGGTTCAGCAATCCTGCCCGCCCAAGCAGACCCACCGAGGTTTGTTCTCGGCGAACAAGCCCAGCTCGCGCCGAGGCTTGTTTGATGATGATGAAGACGATGAGAGACGTAAGCAGCGTGCTCGCATGGAAGCTGCACGTCGCAAGACCAATCTCTTCAAACCCTCTGCTGGAAGCCCGCTTGGGCGGTGATTTCGTCTTTTTTTGTTTTACGTTACGTTTAATACATTCGTCCCAAGCTACTGTAAATATGGGAGCTTCTGGAGTTTTCTGTGTGGCAACTCGGTTCTATTGGGTGGTCAGGAATTGGAGCCAGGTCCATTTTGTATTTGAACACAATCCAATCATATGATGACTTTTTCCTCCTTCTAATCGTCTTTTCTTTGGAACCGAAATCATACAGTCCGAAAGGCGCAAATGCACGCTGATCCCATCTCAATTCTCTTCTTCCTGACGATAGAATCCAGCAACAAGGAACGCAAGCTCCAAAGCCTGCTTCTCATTAAGTCGCGGATCACAGAAAGTCGTATATCTCTCCCCAAGCCCATCCTCCGTCAACCCAGCAGCACCACCCACACACTCCGTGACAGCCTCCCCAGTCAACTCAAGATGCATACCACCCAAGAACGACCCCGCTGCCCTGTGGATCTCCAACGCCTGCTTCAACTCCGCCAGGATATCCGTGAAATGCCGGGTCTTGACACCCGACGGCGTCGCTTGGGTGTTTCCATGCATCGGATCACATTGCCACACGGGGACATGGCCCGACGCTTGCACGGCCGCAATGTGACCCGGTAGGAACTGGGCGATCTTGCCTGCGCCATACCGCGAGATCAATGTCACTTTACCGATCTCCCGCTCCGGGTTCACGACGTCCAGAAGACGGACCAGCTCATCGGCTACCATACTAGGCCCGATCTTGATTCCGATCGGGTTGGCGATACCGCGGAAGAACTCGACGTGTGCGCCGTCGAGTTGGCGCGTGCGGTCTCCGATCCACAGGAAATGCGCCGAGGTAGCGTAGAAGCTGGATGTCTGTGCAGCACCAGGTTGAGCGGGGTTTTTTACGGACCGGGTTAGTGTCTGCTCGTATTCGAGGGAGAGGCCCTCGTGGCTGGTATAGATGTCGGCTGTCTCGACGCCGCGGTCATTGTCGATGCCCACTGTGCGCATGAAGCGGAGTGCGTCTTTGACTGCGTTCACGGTGCGCGAGTACTGCTCCTTGATCGAGGGCGTGATGACGTGGCCCAGGCCCCAGTCTAGTGGGGAGTGGAGGTCTGCGAGGCCGGAGGAGAGTGATGCGCGCAAGTAGTTGAGGGTCGCGGCGGAGTGGAAGTATGCTGACACTAGACGGGTTGGGTCTGGTTTTCTTGATTCGGGGTCTGCGGCGAATCCGTTGATGTTGTCACCGCGGAAGGATGTCAGCTCGACGCCATTGACTAATTCGGTTGGGCTGGAGCGTGGTCTGTAGATGGTTGTTAGTTATGTCCGATGGCCTGCTTGAGTTTGGAGACGTACTTGGCAAACTGGCCTGCAATGCGAGCTATACGGATGACGGGCTTGTTGGCTCCTGTACAACGTGGTCAGTGGATGCTTCCTGCAGCAAGTGCTGATGTCCATACCCCAGATGAGAACCAAGCTCATCTGCAGGAGAAGCTTGACCTTGGCTTCGATCATGTCTTGGTTACAGTAGTCGAACAGCTCGGCGCAGTCACCTGTTCAGATGAAATTAGATCAAGTCAAGTATTTGGGTTGTTTTGCTCCACGTACCACCCTGCAAGACAAAGGCCTTGCCAAGGGCAACATTTTTCAAGCTCCTCTTAAGGTTGTTGATCTAGACATAGGATTAGATATTGGATTTATTGGAGTAAATCAAGCTTAGTCGGCATACCTCCTGCGTTGTTACTAGCGGCGGGAGCTTCTGCAGCTTCTCTAGTGAGTCTTTGACTCCCTGTGCATCTTCGTAGACCACATCCTGCTTGATGGGCTTGGTAGTCCAGGCTGGAGATAGTGAGTGACGAGGGTTTAACTAGACGACCTGGAGAGGTGAGAAACGTACAGCTTGGTGTCCAGTCTGCCATGGCTAGTGGAGTAGCCCGAACGGGTTCAGGTGAATAGGTCGAACTGGAGATGAAACAGTCGGTCCTCTGGTCCTCAAATTGGCGCCAAGTACAATTGACTACCAGGGCACGCAGCGTAGAAATATGAAGAAGCTCCTCTTGACCCCGAATTGAACAAAGAACAGGACATTCACACTTAGACCAGCACAGCAAAAAAAAAAAAGGGATTTACGCCGCTTATTTCCGGGACGCGGGATGAGTCATGTTGGTGCCTGTAAATATGGGTGTGAACTACCTTCTGGCCTGATAAACGAGGCGCTGAACATGTTACGTCAGCCGTTATCGCGACTCCCCGCTTATCAGTGACGTTGTTCCTCTTCATCACAACACGAAGCTAAGCTCTCCATTGATCAGCGCTTGACATCCGAGAAACCATGTCTGACCCCATTCCCTCCGCAACCGGGGACCCCGTCGCTGTGGAGCAGCCTCACCCTGCCAATGCTGAAGACCGCAAGGCGGCGGCTGCCCTTGACTCGCTTCATACCAATGAACTAGCCGCGGATGCTCCAACCAAGGGGCCTTCCAGTGCCGACCAGGAGGCCCTCGGCAAGGCCATGAGCCGACTTGAGATTGCCGCTGGAAAAGGGTCCGCAGAAAAGAATACGGCCGATACATCAAAGAAGGAGGCTGAGGTGAAAAGAAAGGCCATTAAGATCGTGGCCAGTGATGTCACTTTACTGGTACGTGCACGAGCGCCTATCGCGGCGACAAATTTATAATTTGAAGCTAAATCGTATACTGATTCCCTCGACTCACAAGGCCGAACAGCTGGACTTGCAAAAGAATAAAGCCACCGACCTGCTCAGAGCCCACGAAGGCGATGTCACGCTTGCCATGAAGGCGTTTATCACGCCATCATTGGGAGCGTAATGATGTGCATGGACAATCTGTGATGTCTGGGGGAGCGTCAAAGTGGAAGGTTAGCCGAATTTGATAGACGATCCCGAGAACCCGTACAAACATTTGGAGGCACACGTTTGCAACTACACTTGGAAATGGGACACAATTGTCATTTATGATTAGACGACTGCCAAATAATATCAACGAAGCACATTGGGAAACAAATCTCTTATGCACATCCTTTTATGTGCTCCGCGAGGCCACAACACGTCAATTTGTGACCCGATGCGGGTCATCGGGACGGATACAACCGTTCAACCAGTCGTAGTTGTTAGGGTTTTTTTTTTTTTTTTTTTTTTTTTTTTTTTTAAGCAGAGTGCCACAGTACAGTAAGTAGTTACAGTAGACACAATCTGGACCGTCATGCTTCCGACCGAGGTCCCTATGGAGCAGATTGACGTCAATAGTGCCTTTCGGGTGCCCACAGTGGGTCCGCCACCAAGGGTCCGGCCAGAGAACAGCCGGCGATCAGCCGATATCACAGCATCTGAATTTTCAGACCAAGACCGTCTCATTGAATTGCTGCCCTTCTCGGGCGCTTCTGGCTTGGATAATTAGATAGTCGTGTCTGAAAATTATGAACCATTTACCTTACGATAGTTTACTTTGGATTCCTTATAGCCATAAAACCTCCGTCCGAGATCTTCGCTACTTATGCACGCGCCAAGTTCGTCGGAATGACCGAGTCCACTTTTTACTGTGGGTTTTCAGCGCAATTAGTCGTTTGCTAAACCGGTTTGCAGTCTATGACGACGGTCCTAAAACCCAGACGAGGCAAATTCTGTTGTGTTCCTGGTAAATAAAATTAGCGGACCGAGACGCGAAAATCTTGGAATGCAGGTCGTCTTTCGTCAATCTGATATAACTTCTATCTGACGATGGTCGACGTCGAACAACATGAAAATGCCGCCGGGGACCCTGTGACCAGGAAATCCTCCGAGAATGGCACCTCGAGTCAGTCTGACAACCAAGTCGACCTCGCCCACGAAATCGAGAAGAAGGATTCAGTCCGCTCCGATGGCAAGCGCGAGCTGAAGGAACAGGATTGTTATGAGATTCTAGGTTACTCCTGGCCACGATGGAAGAAATGGACGTACCTCGCGGCCGTTGCCTTTGTGCAGGTGTCCATGAACTTCAACACATCCGTCTTCCCCAACGCCGTCAAACCTCTATCGAAGGCCTTTGAGATTGGTCAGCAGGAGGCGCGTACTGGACAGATGATCTATCTTGTCCTTTACTCCTTTGGATGCGAGCTGTGGGCTCCTTGGTCTGAGGAGTTCGGCCGCTGGCCCATCCTCCAGCTCTCCATGTTCCTGATCAACATCTGGCAAATCCCCTGTGCGCTCGCACCTAACTGGGGAACCATTGTTGTTTGCCGTGGTCTGGGTGGTCTTTCCACCGCCGGTGGTAGTGTGACCCTTGGTCTTATTGCCGACATCTACGAGCGGGAAACCCAGCAATTCCCTCTCGCGTTCATCGTCTTGTCCTCGTGCATTGGTACTAGTATTGGTGGTGTCATTGGTGGTCCCATTGAGCGCTGTAAGTGTAATTCCCATACCTGATTGCGATCAAATCCCTAGGAAGAAAAAGTTCTAACGCGCGCAATCATCAGTCCTCGGGTGGCAATGGTTCTTCTGGATCCAGCTCATCTTCGGAGTAGTGACCCAGGCTATCATCTTCTTCATGCCCGAGAGCCGTTCGACCATCATCATGGACAAGGAAGCCAAGCGTCGCCGCAAGACTGGCGAAGATCCGAACATCTACGGACCCAACGAGCTGAAGAACCCGCGTATCTCGCTGAAGGAGGCTGGCCGAATCTGGGCACGACCCTTTATCATGCTCTTGCGCGAGCCTATTGTGTTCTGCCTGTCGCTTCTGTCTGGTTTCTCCGACGCGCTCATCTTCACCTTCCTGGAGAGTTTCTCGGGGGTGTATGAAAAGGGCTGGGGCTTTGGTATCCTGGCTCAGGCCTGGGCATTTATTCCTATCAACTTGGCCTATTTCCTCGCCTACTTCTCGTACTTCCCATGGTTCTGGCGTGACGAACACCTTGCCAAAAAGCATGGTGCTGACTTTGCACCTGCTGAACGGCGACTGAAGTGGCTCCTGTTCCTTGCACCCTTCGAGCCTATTGGGCTGTTCGGTTTCGCTTGGACGTCGTTCGGGGAGGAGAGGGGCATTCCTTGGATCGCATCCATGATCTTCTCCACGATGGTCGGTATCGCCAACTACGCGATTTATCTGTCATCGGTTGATTACATGATCGCATCTTACGGTGTCTACTCTGCTTCCGCTTGTGGTGGTAATGCATTCGCTCGTGATCTCCTCGCTGGTATCTCAGCAATGTACGCCACGCCAATGTATAACAACATCGGCGACAAGTGGCACGCCGAGTATGCATCCACCGTTCTGGCGTGTCTTTCATGTCTAGTTGTGGTTCCCATCTATCTCTTCTACTGGAAGGGACCCCAACTCCGCGCGAGGTCCAAGTTCGCCCAGTCTCTTGTTGCCGAACGTGCTGAAAACAATGGCCGCCGGGTGAGCAGGCCCAAGATTGAGCCTTAGAGAATTGATAACACAGGAGCTGGAACTCCTGCGCCGGGCTGCAGAGTTACGAGTCCCGGCTGTGCATCATTGTTATTGTGGAGCGATTACCGTAACGCCAATGAGATTACGAGGATCATGTCTTGGAAGATCTGATTGATCTGTACATATAAAACGAATTTTAGATGCATAATCTTCACACAATAGAAGAAGCCAACGGGTTGAACTCCTTTAAAACCAAGTAGTCGCGTGCAGGGTGGTCGTCATTGCAGCGGCAGCGGTGATCGTTCCGTCGAGTCCGCCTTGTTCCTTCAAATTGGTCGGGAGCACGTCTTGTATATACAAAACTTTAACTTTGCGGGGTAGCCCCGCCGGCTAAAATGCACGCGAGTTGAGTTTAGCACCTCAATACGATGTCCAACAGACCAACGGGACGACACATTGCTCGTTCATATCCAACGGCAAAGTGACCGATAGTATCCGGCGATCTTTTTTGGGATTTGTATGATTTTCTAATCACAAGAGGCCTAAGCATCTGTCACTATTCCCAGGACCGGGTACTTCCGCACCTTTAATTCAGATTTCAGCGCGACAATCGTGCTCATTGTTCTTACTGATCTGCTTTTCAATCGCACTTCCCTTAGAACTTTGGAAGTTGAAGAAGGATTTTTGCACCAGTCAAGGGCTGCGAGAATTGAGAATCGGATTTCTTCCAGTAAACGCCAATCTTGATTGATAGGAATTGGAAACATGGGAATTTTGACCGTATATCCCCATCGAGTCTCACTTCTTGCAATAGTGGAATATTCCGCGCTGCTGCTTGTGCTTGCGGTAACGGGTAAGTCGTGTTGGCAGTTGTCGAGAGTAAAGTTTATTGACATGTAATGCTAATTTACCCACACAGGAATATGCTGGACTTGTCGAAACCGGGGATTCTGGACCTCGTCCTCTGCAAACGCGAAATGGATCCCCGGACCCAAAGGGAAGGCCTTCATGGGCAATGCTCAGGAGCTCCAAACCAACGGTGCTGCTAGCTGTACAGCCTGGTACTCTCTCTACAAGCGATATGGACCTGCCTATGAGATGACGATTCCTTTCTTCCGGATGCATGTGATCAATCACCCTACTTATCTCGAGCACATTCAAAAACACAACAGCAAGAACTACATACGCGGAAACTTTATCCGCAATGTTTTTGGGCCTCTTCATAGAACTGGTATTTTCATTGTTGACGGGAAAGAATGGCAATTCCAACGCAAGGCGGCCACGAAAGCGTTCAGTAAGCGGAATTTTGAGACTCACATTACCCAGTCTCTTCATTACTGGCTTGAAATCCTGATGAGCCTTCTATCCAATCTCGCCAAGGAGCAGAAGGAGTTTGATTTTCAGGAATTGATGGGACGATTCATGTTCTGTCTCTTCCTTCGGGTGGCTTTCCATGAAGACGAGCTCGCCCGCGAAGTTCTATCTGAGGATCCCGAGAGCCTCAATTCAGTACCTGACTATATCGAAGCATTTGACAAGGCTGCCCTCTGTGAGTTGCACTTCTACCGCTTTCAGCGACATTCCTCGTGTCTGACAACATAATGTTATAGGTTTTGACAGGAGAAGACGTGATCCTTTGTGGAGGATTACCGAAAAGCTTTCTGGAGAAGACAAAATCACTAAAAGAGCAGCGGATCTCTTCTACAGCAAGATCGATGGTCTAATCAACAAACGCCTGGAGGCTATGAAGAACGGCTATAAGCTAAAGCCGGATGCTGGAGTTGACCTCCTAGACCTCTTCACCCAGTCAGAGACCGATCCATACAAATTAGGTGGAATGGTTTTCTCATTCTTATCGGCCGGTCGTAAGTGATGAATCTACAGAATTCGGCCACCCCCTGACTTGAACACCCAGGCGACACGACTGCGTTCAGTGTTTCATGGCTGATGAAGGAGATTTACCACCAAGAAAATGAACACCTCGACGCCGCAAATAAAATTCGCGCCGAAGCCGCGCAGCATGGTTTTACAGATGGCTATTTAGAGTATGGGAGTGCGCCAGTACGTCGACATCTGAACCAAATTATCTATCAAGAACCATAACGCTGACCCATTGCTTAAAAGAAACTGCTATTTGCAAATGCAATGTGGGATGAGACCTCTCGCCTTGACACGGTCTCTCCAGCTGGCCAAATGGAGGCAGCAGAGAACGACATTCTTCCCGCAGTGCCCGAACTAAACATGCCCCCTCGTCATATTAAGAAGTACGTATGTTCACTCAGGTGTAAATGATTGAGCTAATCGTGTCCCTAATTCGCAGAGGTGACGTCGTCAGCTACCAAAATTATGTCCTCTCTCGGATGCCTGAAGTCTGGGGAGAGGATGCCGCCATCTTCAACCCCTACCGATGGTTCAAAGGCAACGGAGAAAGCATCTCCTACAGTCCGTTTAGTAAGATACAACCCACCCTTGAAGACATAACACTATTTCAAGCCCAATTGACGCTGTAGTTTAGAATACCACTCCTGGAATGCCGGGCCACGAAGTTGTCTCGGGCGTGCACTTGCTACGTACGAGGGCATCGCTATTAGCACTGCGATTCTCCAACGATTTGATGTCATCTTGTTGGACGATTACAAAACTTATGAGCCACTTTCTGCGTTGAACATGGTAGGGTTTATTTATACCCCACCAGTGAACGAACGGATGCTTATGTTGTTTTTTCGTTCGGTAGGGGATCAAAGGTGGCCTTCCCATGAAACTGAAGGAGAGGGTTCCCCAGAACGATGGATAAGACTCGATCATTGAGGAAGACTGGCAATCTGTTTCCGGGTGCAAAAGATCTTCCAGCATTGCTGGGAAATAGGGAGTTTCCGTTTGTCGCGGAACGGCCTTTCCAGGACCTTGCTGCTAATATAGACGCCCTATTTGGACTCACATCAGACGATTGTGGCGTGGATGCTCTTCAACCAGTCGCGGAAAGTTATGATATGTCTACGCTTTTGCCTCATTCAGGTCCGTTTACTGCGCTTTTAGTGCTGATGACAGCGAATTTTGGGAGCAATCTACATCGACGGACTTGGATTGGGATACCGTGCCAAACGAATGTTAAAATTGAGACGAAGGCTGTAACACACGGAGAAGTCAGTGTATGCGTAGACGAAGACATCCTATTTCTATCCTGTAAATGGGTGCCACCGCCGTCTATCAGTAGGTCATTTTACATGAATTCTAGAAAACCCATATATATACCAAAGCCATCCATCCCCTGGGCATCAATCTCGTTCCTCTTCTACCTCCTCCGGCCGCTCAATCCCCTTCCCTTCATGAATAGTCCACAAAACAAACCAACCGATGGTCGCTTCAACAGCTAGAGCCCACCATACGGCACCAACCATATTGTTCGCAAGGCCGAGCCCAAGGCCCCAGCCACCAAGAAAGGGGCCCAGAGTACGTGCGGCACTGGCTATACTCTGCGCGACACCATGCACCGTCCCAAGAATAGATGGATCGGTGACACAGTTGTTCACCAGAATAATGGCTGCAGGCAAGGCAAAGGTGCGCGAAATAACTTGCAGTGACACGACAACGGCGAAAGATGGCCACACAATCCACGGTATACGGGGAAGGACCACCAGAAATGGCATGAGGAGGTATGATATAGGTGAAAAAGGGAGGAATGTGCGAAATGAGGTGAGAGTTCCTAGCTTTCCTTGGATACGAGGGTAGAGGAATATCTGGAGGGGAAGGCCGATGAAGCCGATAACGGCGGTTGCGAGACCGACCCGGGCGGATGGTAGACCGAGGCCTCCGCCGAAGTGAAAGAAATCGTCGCGTGTGTTTTCGGGAGCTCGGGGAGTTGGTAGGAAAATATATGTCATTGCGTTAAAGGCGCTTGTGTGGATGGCGAGGAGGAAGTGCGCCAGAAGGGTGAGCAGGACATTTTTCGAAAAGATTTGTCGGAAGCCTGGCCGCTTGTGCGGTCGAGATGGCATCCGTGAGCGAACGGGGCTTGATGGTGTAGACCATGTCCCCACGCTTCCTTCCATATATAGAGACCCGTCGTCTCCATTGCCATTAAGTAGACGATAGTGCCGAGGCCGTCGAGAGCAAAACCTCGCTATCTTCTTGCCTAGTTTGCGGCCCCAGTCGACGCGATACCGAGCAGTCTCGTGCGTCTAATAATTAGATTAGTGTTCGAGGTACGGGGACTGGGTCACTCACTTCATCAAGACCTAGGAAAACAGCGAAGAAAGAAGCAAGAATAAATGTCGCACTAAGCATATTCGGCAGAGCGTACGGCCATTTCTCCATCCACCATACACCTTCCTTACCGCCAATGATTGACCCAGGGCCGAAAATTGCGGGGAAATTGTTGACAGGATCGGCCAACGTGCCTCCCAGGACCGGACCGATAATCACGCCAATATTGAAGCACATGGGGAGTAATAGAAATGCGCGTGATTGAAATCTGGATCGTCAGCATAAATTTCGTTCCTAGGATATGTTTGAGCACATACTTCTTTTCAGCGATAATCTCTGCAATCATTGTCCTCATCACACCAACATTGCTGTTCAACACACCCCCAAGCGTGCGAAATACCATTGCAGATGCAAAAGATCGAGAGAATCCAAAGCCCAGAGATGAAAGGCAAGTTCCCATCAAGCCGATCAGGAGGACCCTCTTCCGGCCCATCCATCCAGCATCAGCGAATCGACCCCACCAGACAGCAGTGAGAAACTGCGCAGCAGTAAAGCTGCCTTGTAAAATGCCCGCCTGGGCCGAGATCTTCGAGTCGGGTAAAGACGGATCAAACGATTTGAGCTGGTAAAACATATAGGCCTGTAAAGAGTTCTGGGTAAGCGGCTCCGACAGCCGCGCAAATGTCAAAATCGCCAGCTGCCCTTTCTTAGGCAACGACATCCATGTCACTGGCTTTCCTTCTTCTTGCGCATGATCAATAACGCCGTCCTGGTCATCGTCACTTGTGTCCTCGTCTGCAGAAGGGAACCGTCCATGATTGTTCAGTAGTGGTGCAGATCCCAGGCTTCTTCCTTGCGATGATTGGCGGTCGAAGATGACCGTATCTATACTATCCTCCTCGCTATCACTGGACAAATCGGTATGTGTTGAGTTCAAGCCCTGGGCAGGCGAGCGAATACCGGATTCATCGGGGCGGGATTGGCCCGTACCGTGTGGAGAGGACCCCATCGGCCAAGACCCGAAGCCACGCGACCGCGTGTAAATTGGACGTCGTATCGGAGGGGAGTGTCAGGCAGGGTTGCAAAGGGTTGATCCCGCCTTGGCATGTATGATCTACCGTAGGGCATGTGGAAGAAGGTGCCCAGGGTTCTGTGAGAAGAGAAAGAAAGGTCAAGGCGACGAAAACTCGACACTGACACCATCGGCGTTCCCCACACTCGGGTTCGGCCAAAGCTGCGGAGTGCCGAGTTAACCGTTCTCCATACTTCGGCATTGCCACAATCTCGTTCACCAACATGTTAAATCGACTGCACCCTGTTATATTGGCCACAAAGAAAATACATTAAACGTTAAAGACATCAAAAACTTAAAAAAAGAAGTGCGCCGACCGGGATTCGAACCCGGGCCGCCACCTGTCCGCATATCAGGAAATGGGAGGGAGGCATCGTAACCGCTTGACCATCGGCGCCACTCAACAGTAGCTTGAGCACATCTTCCGCATCTCGTAGTACTTCCACAAATCCACTTTGGCGTTGTTAATACCCTGAACCATGGTTGGATGCCTGTAAATGTAGATCACGCACACAGTCGTTCACTATTCAAACATTGTAAAACCAATACTCGATTTTAAGGTCCTTGCTATTGAAACGAATTGATGAATTTTACTAATGGAACAACCACGTCAACTTCCGGGGTATAAAAGGTCATGGCCATAAGAAGCCGTCAGAAAAAAAATGGTGTATGCCAAAAAAAAAAAAGTCAGAATGCAAGTCCGGACACAAATCCTCATCAACGAAAGGGAAAGGTCCAGGCGTATCTATACATCAAACTGTCCGAGAAATCATGTCCTGGGATTCTTTCGAAAGACTTTGGTGGAATGGCGCAATCAACTGCGGACTAGTCGGTCTTGGATCCTCAACATCACCCCCCCCGACTATCTTTCTTAGTCCAGTCCTGCATATTATACTCCTCCATCTGATTCGGATCATCATGTTCACCAGAGACCTGAGTAATAGCTTCCTGGCTAGATCGGTGGGTGTTACCGTTCCGAGAGTGTCTAGCGAGTGGGGCAGTTTTCGCATTCTTGCGACAAGGAGGCTTGAATTTCTCGAGGGTCTGAGGTAGAGAGAATGACGGGCGCGATCGCGATTCGGACCCGGAATAGCCGCTATCCTTGTTTCGGTCGTTGGCACGTCTGCCCCGGTTGCTATTGTAGGAGAAGGCTGTGAGGCCGAAAATTTTGCGGAGTAGTGGCCACCAGCACATGAGGTTCGCGACAAAGATAGCGGTGCTAGCTTCGCGGATGTACCAGATTTGGTAGGTCGTGGTGAGAGGTGAGGCGAAGTTGAAGTATTTGTTGAGAGTTGCAGCGACGATGGTGAACAGACCCAGACTCATGACGCCAAGGAGTATGACTTTTCTTTCCTGCTTGAGCTGGGCCTTTATTATGAGTGGAATTGGGATGGCGAGCATCACTGCGTCCGATGAGATGTTGAAGACAGCTTGTGTAATCGAGTATCGCTGGTACGTTGCGCATTGCATGTTCTTTACTGGCATGGCCCAATATTGCGAGAAGGGTCGGCAGTAAATTACGTAGTAGCAGATCATGATGACAACGAAACCGAGTGCGACGTATACGGATAGAATCTTGATGTAAAGATTCGACCGTAGGTTTTGAGTGATCCTCCAGTAGAGAATCAACATGCAGGTTTTAACACCCCATGTTGAAAACAGCATGCACTGTTCTAATCCGATCACGATCTTGCTGCCGAAGATCCTGTCACTGACTTGTTGGGGATCTGCCAGGACCTCGTCGTAATCTTTCGGATCCATCAGGTTTGTTGCGTAGCGAGCGGATATCTGGATCAAGACCAGTAACGAGGTGTATATCATCTATCAGATCATCCTTAGTCAGCTAACATAAAAAGATATGAAGACGAAGTAGAACAATGCTCACGAAGGTTCCTGTCATAACATAATCGTCCCCTAATGTATCAACTTTATTAGCGAAAGGACCTTAGTCGTCACAGGTGAGATCTCAGTGACGTACAAAATAAGCGTTTAATGGATCCATTGGCAATGGTACGCGAAGCACTGGAAACAAGTCAGTTAGGTGTGACAGATAAATCAATGTCTTGAGAACGTACATTCGCCCAAAGTATATCACAATCGCTATGCTCCAGAAGATAACAGCTTCTACAAGAAGCTGCTGCGGAGTCGGGGACACGTCCCCCATCCTGGTGGGTGGAGCACAAAGACTCCTTGATCAAACCAGATCTCAACTCCGGAACGGTGCAGAAGTGGCTTCCATGAGTACCGCTATCAGGAGAGAAGAGTAAGAGAATCAAACCTCGGGGACGATGACAAACATCATTGAGTGACCATAGGCGCACAATGACATCGGGTTCCCGAATGGATCTAAGCTGCGGACCACGGCTGAAAAAGAACGATCGATCAGTTCGTCATGGTCGGTGAGCGAGAATAAGCTCAAGCCCACCGGGGAAGTCAGCCCGCACCAACAGAGCGCAGGGCTGCAGCGTCAAGCATCCCCACCTAGCAAATGTCAGTGCTGGGCTGGAGGCAAGTGACAAGCAAGGAGGGATGAGCATTCCACGCAAGGGAGAACCTGGGAAGCGCCGACCCAGATCGATGGCAGTTGGCTTCGGAATGTAGATCCCAAATGGGAGATAAAGTCTTCGGCGTACTGGCTCCTACAGGCGCTATCCCTGCTTTTGCAGGCTCGTTTCTCGTGTTCGGGATTCATGGCAAAAGGAATCATAATTTCAATGACACTACGATTCCAATATATTGACTCTGGGCGAACCTCATGCGGCATAATCGGATGCAAATGTATGCAGGGCCCCTGGGTACCTCCTCAGCGTGCGGAGGCTGGTGTAACCGCTGTGGCGCATATAGGACCATCTTGCGATAAGGTTGGATTGCTCAACACGGCAGATGCCGAGAAGTAAGTCCGCACGATAGCGATACCTGGACGATCTGCGACCCCTCGAGCAGAACCAAACTGGGCGACAGATCAAATTCCGGGAGCGGGTACATAAAAGCTGTGGCGAGGCATTTGATTGGGTTTGTCGGATGATCGATCTGCAAGGTGATCCGAGCCAACCCCCAATAGCTTCTGCAAGAATCGCTAGTGGACCGCTAGTGATGATCGCGATGAATCTTCACTCCTAGATTGGATTTGACGCGATATCCGGGCTGATGGTGATGATAGAACAAGAAGACTCTTAGGATTCCCTCGACAGACACGACAAAAATGGTGGCGAGTCTTCATCCGAATGGCTGAATCTCCGACGGTCGCGTATGATCGGCTGCGTTGCATAATTGACTGCGTTTCAAAAGGGTCTGCACCAGTGACGGCGTAGGTGGGGGGCACATGAATCAAGCAGATCCCGCGCATACTCGTAGCACTTTTAAGTATGGAACTATGGCAGCCGTTGCATACTCCCCAGCCAATGATATCTCAATTTTGACAACCGTGGCGATTTGTTTTACTTGGATGCCCATCACGCACTGGCCACCCAATCCATTTGTGGCACCCCCGGGTAAGGACGATAACAACTGCCTTCATGGCTGGTATGTGTTCGCTCCACCAGAGATTCGCCGCATTGCAAAAAGCAGCGAACAGTGCGCAAAGATGAAAAGTAACACAGGTTGCCTTTGTTCCAGATCTCGAACAGCCAAGCAAAGTAGAAACTGAGATAATTTTGAGCGCTCGGCTCTTGGTGATGAGACTGGTTTGCGTGTCCTGGGCATCTGGGACTTGGCTAAACGCATTAATGAGGGTGCTCAGGGCTCGAACTTAATCGAGATTTCTCTCTCCATGTCCTCTGAGGTTTTTCCTCTGAAAAGCTCTCTCAGATGCCAGATTTTCGAGGCTAATTGGCCGCGTGAAACAGGGTCGATTGTATAAGTTTGTGAATGAGACCTTGTTGCCAGAAATGCATTCCAGAGAAGAGGTGCCAAGCACCCATCTTTGATCCAGGGGCCCTTGCGCTGACAAATATGCCTTGAAGCAATCTCAGCCAATTCACAATGCCATCGAAGAAATTGTCTCTCACGAACTTCACTGAGGGGTTGATGGGAGTCCCAGTCGGGGCGGAAATCTAATACTCGGCAAGAAAAGAAAGCAAATACGGCATTGCAGTTTTAGGACTGATGTTTTCAAGCTCCGATCCAAAGCCCGTCGAAGCTGCATCCTGACTGGCGACAAGAATTGATGACCGATTCTTCTCCCGTGTGTCCAGGTTGGCAATGTGCAAAGCGGATAGAGTCAGAATTCCCTGAAGCAGGAAAGCATACGTGTGTGAACTTGTAAAACGGTGGTAGCCCATGCTGCTTGTGCCTCTGGTCAATCTGAAAGTGCTTGTGCCATTTGGTTAACAATCAGCTCGATTAAGCAAAGCAAACGACTCTTTATACTAATTAAAACCTTTTTCGTCCTTCAACTTCGTCATGCTGGCAAAATATATCTCGAGCAGGCCTACGAATTGGTCTGGTTGAAGGGTCGAGGCTGACAGCAATGCTACTCGCATGAATGACTGGGTCGGCAGTGAAATCAAAGATGACCGCGACCGTCTCGGTGCTTTTGCGTGTCTCTCGACGTCCGACCCTATCTAGGGTGGGGAGCAACGCAACTATGTCCACAAAAATATGATTCTATGGAGCTCTTTCTATAACTTCCAGCATAACGGCACAAATGGAAGATGTATTCCATCTATGATCAGCCGTAATACGATGATTTCAAGCGAGTCGTCACCGAGCTCGAGTCATTGACTGATGCTACGTAAACTGGTTGCCCTGACGCAGTGAGCCTGTTCATCACCACTGATGGCGCCGAGCCTGATTCTCAAGGTAGACGCAGCCGGACGCTTCTTTTCCATGATACCGCAACAGCGGCATTCAAAGCAGTGAACTTTCGTTTTGCGGGTCCATCTGAATAAAAAAACGTGAAAACGGCCAGACGGCGTTGATTACGGCAGCCCGATCAAGCTCTCCGAAGGTGGTGAAAATCTTGCTTGGGACAGGCTGCATGAGCCCTGACTGGAGAGGCAAGTATGGTCGATCGTCGTTGCTTAATGTCCGTAAAGAAACGACGAATGCTTTGCCAGGTCACATAGACTTGATGTCCAGACCAGACAATATCGGGGAGAGATCCAGCAATATATGGAAGGCTATCGACAGATACGCAGTGACAAGTAGGACGTGCAAGACATCAACTTCATGAAAGAAGGAGTTGTCACGGTTTCAAAGCCTGTCACCATTACGCTAAACAAGAAACCTAACATGTTCTCTCGAGGGGGTGACGCTTGAGTGGAGATGGAGGAACTGCTTTGCATTTGACCATGTCGATCCAAATTTCCGAGATAATCATGGTCGGACACACTTGCCCTATGCCGCACGAAGTAGCTGCCGTGATAGCCCTGGAGGAAGATCTTGCCTCGAAATCAGTTGATGGGCTGCTCCGGCGTTAGAACATTGAAGTGCGGCTGTGGGTCCAGATCGGATATATTTCTAGCGGTGATCAAACACGTCGATTCAACCTCCCTTCATTGAATCTTCTCCCATGACAAGCCAGGCAACGCGATCGATCACGCGAGGCCATGTGGATCATCCAAGGGGTAATCTGCATCAATCCAATGGGATGTCGTACCGCAACCCCCAAAAATGTTGCCCGGTGGGCACAGGGATACAAAATCCTCCTAGAACCCTGAATTCCATCGGACAACACCGATTTCGATTTTTATAGATTTTCTTTCGACCAGGAATTTCCTGTGTTGACAGAATCGGGTTTGTCGAATCGGCCCAAGACACAGTAGGATCGCCCGATCGCCCGCGCAGCCCTAATCCCGGGATCCCCCTTACATGCAATGCGATGCATCCAGCAACGCTGTTTGCCTTTTGGGAAGGTCTTGAGAGAAGCAGGATACTGATGCGTACCTGATTCGTGCCCGAAAAAAAAGTTCAAACTCGCATTGGGCGCTCAATCGCTCATGACGCGATTACTGGCAGACGAGGTGCAGGAGATACGTCGCCGTCAAACGGTTCTATTGACCCTAGTTTTGCTAGGGTTAAGCAGCGACTTTGGGAGCCACTAACCATTGGAAATTGGCCAAGAGAGGTGTCTCTGTTCGGGGAATTCTGGATTGGTCATTTCTTGTTCTCGTAGCTTTTACCAAATTGACTCATTCACGTGGAGGCCATATGGGTTTTGACCCTCGCTTCTGGCATTCCTTGGAGTTGCAATCCGGGTTGGCCCTGATCGAGCGACGGCTCAGTTCGCTTGGTCCTCCTTTTCTGTGCTTCTCTTGACTCGGCCTGTTCTTTGTCTTCTGTTCACTCTGCACTCCCCTATGACTTGTTCTAACCTTTGGCTGATTTGAACGGGCATCATGACTGTGGATGGGAATCAATCACCCGGAAGTGGGGTCATACCGCTGAAGACAAAAGGCGAAATCGACTCAGTGCGCTTGGAAGCTGCTTTGGGTCATAAGCAAGAATTAAAACGGAATTTCGGACTATGGAGCTTGACGAGTCTGGGTATTGTGATCGCAAAGTACGTCTCCTCCTGAGCGGGGTGGGCCCATATACTAACACCCTCCAGCTCCTGGGCATCAATAGGAGGAACCATCGCCGCAGCTCTCAAAAATGGAGGTCCTATGGCTGTTATCTACGGCCTCATCCTAGTCAGCATATTCTACACGGTAATCTCCGCATCACTTGCTGAACTAGCCTCTTCCATGCCCTCCGCCGGCGGCGTATACTACTGGTCCTCGGTTTTAAGTCGCAATCATGGTCGAAAAGCTGGATTTTTCACGGGATACCTCAATGCATGTGCATGGCTTCTATCTTGCTCGTCGATGAGCTCGATGTTAGGAAACGAGGCGGTGGCAATGTATTTGTTGAAACATACGGAGGTACGGTGGCGCACTTGGCAGGTGTTTATCGTTTTCCAGATCGTGAACTGGACTTGCTGCGCCATCGTGTGTTTTGGAAACCGATTTATCCCGTTGATCAATCGCCTTGCGTTGATGCTGTCCATGTGTGGTCTCGTTACCACGGTGGTCGTCCTCGCGGTGATGCCGAAGAAACACGCGAGCAACTCTCAGGTGTGGCTCGAGTATCACAATAACACAGGTGGATGGTCTGATGGGATATGCTTCATGACTGGTCTATTGAACGCGGCATTTGCAGTTGGTGTTCCTGACTGCATCAGCCATCTATCTGAAGAAGGTATACTCTAATATCCCAGGTCTCTAGGTATTGACAAAAAGCTAACGATCCCCTTAGTTCCAAACCCAGAAATCAAAGTTCCCCAAGGAATAATGCTTCAAATGCTCACCTCATTCGTAACCTCCTTCGTCTACCTCATCGCCCTCTTCTACTCAGTCCAAGACCTTGACGCCGTCTACAGCAGCAGCATCGGCTTCTTCCCAACCGCCGAGATCTACCGCCAAGCAACAGGCTCAAACGCAGGCGCAATTGGCCTGGTCGCAGTTTTGTTTCTTGCAACCTTCCCAACACTCATCGGAACATTCGTCACAGGAGGTCGAATGTGGTGGAGTCTTGCTCGCGACAACGCGACGCCCTTTTCAAACTACTTCGCCCAGGTGCATCCGACGCTTAACACACCCGTCCGCGCAACAGTTGCAATGAGCGCGATGGTGACCTGCCTGGGATGTATTTATGTCGGCAGCACGACAGCCTTCCAGGCTCTTATCTCGTCGTTCATTGTGCTGAGCTCGTTATCATATTTCGGGGCTATCTTCCCACATGTCCTTTCAGGTCGTCGCAATATGGTCCCTGGGCCTTTTTATATGGGCCAGCGGCTGGGTATGGCTGTCAATCTCATCTCATTGATGTACATCATGGTCACGGTGGTGTTCTTCTGCTTCCCGCTGGTATTGCCCGTGACTGCGCAGAATATGAACTATACCAGTGTCATTATCGTTGGGTTGATGGTTTTGGTTGCGATGTGGTGGCTTCTACGTGCGCGCCGTGAGTATCAAGGCCCACAGTATAGCTTTGAGGCTGCGGAGAGGTTGAGTGCTTTCCAGAGTGGGAAGGAAGGTCGGAGGTCGTTTGTTGATGTCGCGAGTCCTACCCCTACATGTACTCTGGAAGATCATGGGTATGGGAGACGGTGAAATGAAACGAAGACGATGACGATGAGAAATGTTTGCGAATAATGTCTTAGAGAGTCTTACTGTTGTCATGTTGAATACGTTATGCTGATGTCTATATTGATGAAAACGAAAGCGAAGAATATACTGATTAGCCTTTATCATTGATCAGACTATGAGGTTGGAGAATATGATGGATTGAATATTGGATTTCTATTCAGTTCAAACGGTTCGGAAGCATCTTGAGGTCATCAAATATCATGCATAAAAAAGATCAAAGCCAGACCGAAAGCTAATGCTTACGACTTTACAGCCGCGACTTGATGCTCTGGCCACCCTCCCAGGAGTCACCCGCCTCCAGAGTCTGCCAAGCAGACACAGAGCCGGCCTCGACACAGATCATGTTCTTGTATGCATCATCGGGACTGAAGTCGGCCATACCCTTGGCCTTCTCAATCCACGGGTTCCAGACCACGACGTCGGTCAGTGCCTCCCGTGTGATCGAGAACAAGGGCTTGCCATCGGAAGCGGAGGACACGACAATCGGCTTTTCAGGGTTCAGGTCTTGGTAAACACGGTCGACCTCTTCGGTGATGGGTAGGGCGTTGGAGGCTTCGGTGTGGGAAGTCGCGTTGCGGACCTTGTCGACGTAGGTCTTGGACTCTAGGTTCTTCACGCGGATGTCGGAGATGTCCTGCTCAAGTTAGAACTGGACCATACCAGAAAAACGCAGGGATACGTACTGCAACCTTCAGGTAGGTGTGCATCAGGACCTGGAACTCGAAGTTCTGCTTGCCCTCGTTGGTGACATGCAGGGAGGTCGCCAGTCCGTCCTTCGACAGGGTGACACTGTAAACAAGGCCGAACTCATACGGCCAAGCCTTCCGGAACTCCTCGCTCAGCATGTTATGGGTGAGACCAAAATCCAGCTTGACGGCAAGATCGCTAGGTCCAGAGTCCGACGAGGACTTGCCCAGGAACTCCCAGGTGGAGTTACGCGCGAAGCCATGTTGAGGCAGGGTCGAGGTGGCATGGTTCTGCGGGGGAGGACCGAAAACCTGTCAAGCGCAAGCTCGAGATCAGCTTCTGGAGCTAGCCCTCCGAGGAATTTGAGGTGATAACATACCGGGAAGACGAGCGGAATGCCACCACGGATAGGCTTGGAGCCGTCCAGATGGGCCTTCTCACTCAGGAACAGCTGTTCCTGCCCGTTGGCCTTCCACGAGGTAACGGTGGCGCCGTACAGGTAAACAGTCACGGACTCGCCGGATGGCAAGCTGGCTTCAATGGTGGTATCCTTGACGGAGACGGAGGGCTGGGGAAGAGATCCGCTCACGCCGATGGCGGACGGTTTGTTAGAGCGATCCATGTTGGAGTTGGAAGAGAGTTGAAGGGTTGAAGCTACGAGATGGCGGGGAATCGAAGCTCGCCCCACCGGATTGTTGTTTGCGCCAACTCACGCATTCCACTTGTTTTACACCTGCATCTATGAAACATCTTCTCATTTCTGGTTTCAGTTAAATAATCTAACCATGCTGCAGGAGAGAAGACCTGTGACCCTCTAGACTAACGTCCTCAATGCGACGTATCTCCGCTTCTGTTAGACGCCAGCCGAGCGCCTGCATGTCCTGCTCTGCTTGTTCCGCGTTGCGCACTCCAACTACAGGCACAACGCCCTTGTTGATGGAATAGTTGAGCGCGACGGCTGGCACAGGCACGCGGCGCTCTTCCGTGATGCTCTTCAACACCTCGACCGTGGGCTCGAGCAAATGCATCGGGTAGCTACTGAATCGTCTGGTGCGTGGGGGTTGATTGAATCGCGAGTACTTGCCCGTCAGTCGACCCTCTCCGAGCGACGCGAAGCCCTGGAAACAGATACCTCGCTGGCGACACTCGCGTATCATGCCGCTGACCTCGGGGAGACGACGAATAACCGAATACTCACACTGGCTCACGGACAGCGGAATGCCAGACTTGGCCAACTCGTCAGCCATTGCGATCATTTCACGGGTGTCGTAGTTGGCCACGCCCACTGCTCGAGCCATTCCGGAATCAACGCATTCAGCTAGCCCCTTTGCGACCGAGGAGATCAGACTGGCGTGAATGGGTCCATGCACCAGGTAAATATCCACGTAGTCGAGCCCGAGGCGTTTTAGTGAGCCACTGAGCTTGGACTTGGGCCCGAGTGACTGTAAAAGCATGCTGCTAATGTCCCCAGCCGAGTGCCACTTGGTCTGCACTGCGAACGAGTTTCGCGGCATGCCTTGGAACAGCGTGCCGCAAATCCGTTCACTTTCACCGTCGCCATACGACTGTGCCGTATCCACGAAGGTAAGACCGACTTCCTTCAGTTTACTCCACGCTTGATGGATCTTCGGAAGGTCGGTGGTTGGGTTATAGCCAAACGTGGCCTTGTCGCCCCATGCCCAGGTGCCAATGCTCATGTATGGGATGAGCACATCCTTGCCACCGTGTGCCGGCAGAGCAATCCGGCTCTGTGAGTCTGGGATAATGTATTCCGGCAGTACATGTGCCGGATCACTGAAATTGGGGTCCACGGGCTTGAGATGCGGCGAGCCCATCCCCTCCGTTGCTGACATGCCGGAGGCCAACCCGACCTGCATCATATACTGGGTTCCTGGGGTAGCCATAATGGTAGGATGACTGATTCAAGGCTTAGATGAATGTAGCTCTATATTGACATATGAAAGGATTCGAAAAATATGCCTCAGATCTAGGTAGAGGTTTTGGCTAGCTTTTATCTACTTCTGATACCTAGGTGGCGGGTGTCCTGCGTCAGTCGCCATAATCGAGACGCAGGTCGGATTACGGTATCTCAAATGATACAGTCTCCTTTCATTTTGATTGGATTTGGCTCGAATAGCTAGAAGCTTCAGTTTGCCTCCAGTGGATGTTGTGGCAACGATACTTGGAAGATTGAACGTGAAACGCGGTTGAGTTCTGTACAGTGGCCAATTTGCCCAATAACTGACTAATACCCTCATACCTGCGATCTTTCATTCCATCTTCTATTCACCATTATTCTGATTGAGGTAATCCGCGTTTCATGTTGACATTGGAGGAACGGACCAGCCATCTCACTTGAGGGTCGGATCGCTTCTCTCCAAAGTACCAATGTAAAAATACTCAATTGTGGCATGCCATACCCGATCCCCAGAAGTTAGACCAAGTAGTAAATGCTTAATCGTAGATCGAATGGAATATACCTGTCTTCACATCGACCCGATTCCCATATCTCGGATAATGTATGGTCCGGGCTCATTGTCGGAGACCCACCGTGAAAGAACATCGGAGTCGGCTACATCCTGCATCACCCGTGGACAAATATGGCATAGCACTTGGCTTTCTTGGAGATGAACCCCTTCACCTTCCTCACCCAATCTCGGGCAAACGCAGCCTGGCACCCAGTTGGCCTCGCTTCCGCGCTCCCTGATTTGGACCTCGATAAGGACGCCTATTGGATCGCGCCGAGGTGCAAAGCTTTCAGCATTCCGAAAAATGAGGGCAGCGCGGAAGTTAAACCCCCGGTAGAAGCAGATCTTGATATGCCGGGAGACATGAAGGATCAGGTTCTTGTCTTCAAATACAAGGGCAAAATCCATGCCGTTGATCATGTATGTGACTCGCAGATAGACACCTCGGATACAGCTAAACCTCTATAGCAATGCCCGCACTCGTCATTCCCACTTTCCCAGGGCAAAATCTTTGATATTGAAGATTTTGGAATCACCCTTAGCAGTGGCATTCAATGTCCCAAGCACGATTGGTCATTTGATTTATTCACTGGACGAGCAGATCGCGGGAGCTACTCGCTCAAGTTGTGGGAGGTACAGCTGCGTGATCCCCCGTCATCAGATGAATCCAAGAGCGAGGACAAGGAGGTTTGGGTTCGGCGCAAGCAAAGAATTGGTTAACATTCAAGTTTTATTTATTTTGCATCTATCATTCAGCGATTTTCCTCCTTCCCCGGGAGCATTTCCATGGTAGCAGGTTTCCACGACTGGATCACATTTGCTGCATTTCGGTTTACTTATTCGGATCATTCGCAGCAAGCGGCTCAGATGGATTGGACTCGTATATTTCTTCAGGACAATCTTTGCCCTTCGAGGGTTCTCTGCCAAGCCACATGCCTCACATTCTTGGTGATCAGGGTCAGAGTGAATGCGGTCGGGAAAAGTCATCCTATGCGGATTCTGAGTTGATTAACGTCGTGAAAGCGGCCTTGTGAGTCAGCGGCATTGAGAAGTATCTCGGGAGGAAATTCAAGAAGCGGCATGAGACGGGAATTGTGAATTTAATTCAGGTTAGGGAGTCGAGGCTAGTTGTCGCGATTTACATTTACAAAATTGGCAAGGGTTACCGTTGGGGCCAAAACATTCACTAGTCCACTGAAGAGATAAACCTTATTCTCGAGTAGGGAATCATGCAGGTAGCCGCCTATGATGTGATGCGATATTAATAACTGTGGAATTGCGCTATGCCTCTCCTTGCAGGTTTGAATATTATCTTGCTAGCAAAAACTTCCCCTGAAGCCCTTTTCGGGCATGAATACATAAGTTGGACGGTTTGTTTCTCTAACCACCAAAACCAAAACACCTATTTAGTGATTCTACAAACAAGCTGGAAAGTCGGTCCGATGAATAAACCGCCGGGAGCCTCGGCCCCTGACGCCCCAACGACCCACAGCGAAGACCTACAGCCCCAACGAACCTGTCAGCCAGAACCGCGGTATCATACTCCCCCGGATAAACTGCCTTATCGGGCTAACAATCGCCGGTGTGCCAGTCGAAGTTTAAAGATCTGGCATAATCTCCCCTCGTCTGACAATGCCGCAAACTCCACCCGGGCACACACCTATAATACAATGCCTACAAAACCAGTGCCATTCCCAGGCTTCACTGCGATAACGGAGCGCGTCTACCTGCGCAATGGTCATGAAAAGGCCAAACCATCCCCGGCCGACGAGCCAACCACAATCATTATCTTCGGCTGGGGCGACGGGATGCCGAAACACGTCTCCAAATATTCAGACGGTTTCCATGAACTCTTCCCATCGGCGCGCATCCTAGTGGTCCTATCGGGTACCTTCCAGGCCTCAAATCAGCCCCTGGAAGCGCGGATCGAAGCCATGATGCCCGTCATCGACACCGTCTTCCCCACCCCGACAGGCGACGGCACTGAAGACGAGCGCATCCTTCTCCACGCCATGTCAAACACCGGCGGCATCTTTACCGCCGCTGCCGTCGTCGCCTACCAACGGCGGCACGGCACAGACAAGATGTTCCCGCATACGCTTCTCGTCTGCGACTCCACGCCAGGAAGTCTTGACTTCGCATCGCAGGTTGGCCGCTGGTCGCGGGCAATGGCAGTTGGAACCGCGAAATTCTTCCCGTGGCCGTTCATTATCACGCAGGGTCTATGGTATACTTTCCTATGGGCGAACTGGGCCTTGGAACGGGTACGCGGCTCGGAGCCGTCGGGCGCGTGGGCTAATCGGGTAATGAATGATACGGCAATTGCGACCCTTGATTCGCGCAGGCTGTATCTCTATTCTAAGGAGGATGAGATTATTGGATGGCGGGACCTGGAGGAAAATGTTGCGCAGGTTAAGACTGTGGGGTATGAGTTTGAGATGGAAATGTTCGAGGGGTCGCCGCATGTTGGACATATGCGGTTGCATCCGGAGCAGTATTGGAATAAGATTCTCGGGTGCTGGAAGGAGGCGCAGGCGAAGCATTAATTTGGGGAGTGATTGGATGGGGCATATTAATAACGTTTGTACAGTGATTATTTTAGACTCATAATACTTAAGACTTCTCGGTTGCATACAAGATACACACTATTTTGCCCACAGAGTTCATCAAGGGCTTAACTGGACCATTTCTGGTAAACATGGGCCTACGGCAATGAGAGCGGCTCGGAATAAGCAGTACATGGGAAGAAACCTTGGAAACGCAATTGAAGAATAGAGAACTCAGTACATATGCAAACCCATGTTGGTTTTATTGATGTAAAGTACATGTGGGGAATACGGACAAGAAACCAATATCAAAAATTAACACCCAAACGCAAAGTCACTATAAACGCCATTCGCTATGCATTATGTCGGCGTGAGGCTTCATGCGCTTCGACACGAATGTTGAAAAGGAGGTCGTCGACCTCACGGAGGGCCTCGGGTCCCAAAGTAGTGGATTTCATATCACCCAAGAGCTTCTTCAGTGACTGGGCCATGCCCTCTTCACAAGGGTCGGGCTGGGGGAGTTTTGGTGTGGTGTGGTATTCAGCATCGCTAATGTTCGCGACCTGCTCGATTATGACGGCGGGTCTTTCATCCACATCCATGCCCACTTTTACATCGATGGATGAGCCCATATATGTCATCTGAGAGTCGGTGGCTTCCTCGGTAGAGACGAAGGGGATGCTTGGTTGGTCTGGCCTTTCTTGACCAATATTGCTGTCGAGAACAATGTCCTGGTCAACTTGGTAATCCTGAACGGCCTCAGTCTCGGGCTGAGACTGAGACTGACTTTCTTGTCTAGAAGACCGTGTTTTGCGAGAACGAGTGTCCCGAGCTGACTTCGCTTGGCTTGAAGTCTCGTGAGTACTGGCTTGGGTAGATTCATCATCGAGACGAAGGGATTTGCGTGACCGCTTCGATGGGGGTCGCCCGGTCTCTTGATCTTGGCCAGGCTCCTGGGTAGATTCGGAGACTTGAGTTTCGGGCTCATCATCAAGGTGAAGAGACCTGCGCGGTCGTTTCTTTGATGGGGGCCGCGGGGTCTCTTGATCTTGAGCATTCTCCTGCGTAGATTCTGAGACTTGAGCTGGGGGTTCATCATCATTCCGCTGAGAGCCGCGAGTAGAGCGGCGAAGCGTCGGGGACGATGTTTTGATGGCAGAAGTATCGTGAGAAGCTTCAGGGGCATCTTGCATGGCATCCGCTTGATGCATATCAACGGTACCGGTGTCCTTAGTCGATGAAAGCCTAGTCGATCGACGCCGATCCTTTGCAGTGGACGCACCAGATTCATCCTCATTACGCTTCCTTTTCTTTGTGGGGACTGGCGAGCGCTGTGGCTCCTCATGCTGCTTGTCGGACATGTGCTCACCCAAGTCCAATGCGAGTTCCAAGTCTTGTCCAAGCTGGGAGGCGATTTGTGTCTCCACGTCCTCACTAGAAGAATCGACAGAATAATCTGGAGCTGGAGCTGGAGCTGGAGTTGGAGCAGAAGAGCCATCGACGTCGGACTGTCCTGCTTGCTGGGTCTCTTCGCTGTTTGGCCTGGATGACTTTCTCCTTCTCTTCTTTTTGGAACCAGATTTGGATTTCGTATTCTGCATAGAGGGGGACGCGGTAGGTTTAGAAGGTGTTTCGAATGACGCAGTTGGGCTAGGGTTTCGCTCATTATCCGTGCTGTAGCCTAGTGCAGACCGCGTGCGGCGGCTGGGTGGCATTTCATTCGTTTGAACAGCATCGTTTTCTTTGGGATCTTCAGGAGCATCGGCCTGAGCCGGTTCTGAGTCAGTCTCTATGAATTGCCTGGAATGGGCGGGACTGCTAATAGCGCCTTGCTCCCCGGCAGCACGAAGTTGCATCGCTCGCTTGGCTTTTGATGCTCTCCGTCGTGAGCCTTTTTGACGCTTCAAGACCTTCTGTGGGCTGGGACTGCGGGAACCGAGTTCTGGCGGCGACGATGGAAGATCTGGCGCATCATCCATAGCGAGATCTTGAGGTTTCAACACAGGAGCATCGGAGTTCATGGCCGGAGTCGGATCCCGGGTTGCAGGGGTAGGTGATGAACCGACGAACCCGTCCTCGTTCTCCGCCGGGGCAAGGGTTGGTGTCAACGGAAGTTCAAAGCCTCCATGCAAGTTATGGAGCCTGCGCAGGTGGACAGGTGTGTCATAGCCCAGTCTTCCGGGTGTATTCGCTGGGGAAGAAGACTGGATGTTTTCAATCATGCGGAACACTTCACGTCGACTGGCCGGATAAGGAACAATTGAGATGTCGTCAGTAATCCGGTCCTCTCTGAGCTCAGGTTGCGCATCGGGCAACAAGGGTTCAGTTGGCTCCATGCTTTCAACCACATGCGATAGATTCTGATCGATGACGGGTGAGGAGTTATTAGGTGATGGAGGAAGACTGATGGTTTGCTGATCCTTTGAGAGTATTGAATTCGGTTTCTGGGTGTCCAGGAGTCAATATGAGAAGTAACAAGAATCGTGTCAGTCAAACTCACCTGGACAACGTAGTCTTTCGGTATGTAATTGGAGGCAATCAGTCGAGATCTAGCTTGGTATGCAGAAGCTCTGATAGGAGTCGACTCGGACAAGGGATCGCGAGCAGAGTCCGACACTTCCCAGAAGTCAAGGAACCTCAAGGCTCTTGACATGTGAGAAGACTCTAGCCCAGCGCAGATGATAGACTCAAATTTCTTGTAACTCGAGAGGTCATCATAAACGCAAGTGTTTAGAACGTTAAGAACGAGATGTGAAAGCGCCCGAGTCTACCAGTCCGTCAGTTTTGGTCAAAAGTACCCGTCAAAGACACAAACTCACCGCAGTCAAGGTTCGGCTATTGACGCCACGAGATACATCGAATTTGTACTCTGAATCTTTAACCCAGACACCCAGAGGCAATTGCAACATTTGGAGAACGTCAGAGCGGAACTGATTTATGCCAGAGCCGACGAAAGACGTCAACGATTCGAGGAACTCATCAAGACCATGGTTCTCCGAGGAAGTGAAAAGAGTGTATGATTTGTGCAGATATACTCCGACCACCTCCAACAGTTTCCCTGGAATCGGTGGCGAGCTTTCCTGTTGCGCAACAGTATTCTCAATTCCCAGTCCGGTCTCCTTCATGAACGGAATAGAAAGGGCGTGCTTGAGTATTGATTTTAAATGCAGATAGGTGTTCTCAATGGAAAGATGAATGAGACATTCCGCGACGGGCTCAACGATCAGAGTGGCCAACAGTCGGTCGCCCTTTTCTGTCCGAACCACGTGTACAAATGCTTCTAGTAGATGCGACCACTCTTGGAAAGCATTGGGGAACTGCAAACCAGAAGCGAGAATCTTTGTAACATTGTCATAGTCCCGTGAAACGGAGCCATCACGCTCGCGAGCAGACTCGATTGGGAACGACTGTAATGCATCTGCAGCTGCTCGGGCGCTGGATTTCCAAACTTCCTCAGAAAGCAAAGCCTGCATGTGATGTGAAGAAGAGGCCGAGTCCTTGATACTGAAATTTGCACACTGTTGCAGAAGTTCGAGACGAGACCCGCGCGAGATCCTACCATTGCAGGATGCGCCTATAGTCTCATCAACCAGGCGTGTATAGGAAGAAGACGGTGCTACTGCAATGGTGGTAGTCCTGACTATTCGCAAAAGATGAAGAATAGGACTATCCATATCGGTGCTAGGATCTGAGTTCCGATGTATCGGAATATTGGCAGTCTGGAATGTTTCATCGGCGGTTTTCAGGAGGAGTTTTTCAGTAAATGGAATACCTCCAAGCGACAGGATGGTTGTTGTCGAAAGGTATCGGAATCTTTCAAAAAAGATGTCCACACAGCCATCGCCGACGGCATTCAAAGATGACGGTCCGGCAACCCATAGATGATAGAGTAGCCCAAAAACGCTGGCAACAGCCTGTATGGACTCTCCCGATGGTGTGATTTCTTTGCTTGATGCAAGAGACAGAGCACTGGCAAGACAATTCCAGGCCGTGGCGATGTTTGAACGATCCAGCGCAGTGTCATCCCAGACAGATGATTTGAACAAGGAGTCAAAGACCTTCAAGACCGAGGGAATTCTCGACCGTATCCATCTTGGGTCAACTGACGGAAGCTCCTCCACTTCCATCTTGTTGGTGTCATTAATTCGATTCTCTGTCCAAACCTTGGCTTGTTGTGTCCACAAAAGGTTTGCTAACACGCGCGAAGCACTGTTGCTAAGAACTGGCACTGTTGAGAATGTGCTTGCGGATGGGATAGCCACATACTCCTCCCAAATCATATCGAGGTAGTGGTGAGGGGGAGACGGACGGAAAGCGTAGTAAAGAAGATTGTAATAGCTGGTCAAGGCAACTTGTGTGGGTGGCGACCCAGCTTTATCAGACTTCTTCCTCTCAAACTGCGAGAGAACCGGCTTGCCCAACAATCTAAGCAAGGACCGACCAGTGGATTCATCGGGGCTGACAGCATACACGAACCGATTCCAGCTCACAATGGCTTGTGTCTTGATGGCTGATTCACTGCAATTGAAGCACTTTTGCAGAACAAGAACCCATTCCTTGAAATGTTCCCACTGATCTAAATTCCTCTTCTTGCTCCTGAGGAGAAGGACGATGATACTCCAGATCTGCGGAACATGGATTCCGCTATCAACAGATCCCATCATCCTTGACATACGCTCGCGAATCTCAGTGCCAAGTTTCCGGTCATTATCAATAGGTCGATCAAAGAGCTCTCGGATGCTCTTGGACACGGCGGGGCTCGGGCCCGCTGCCATGGATATTTGGAAACCGAGGGTGATGGCTTTAGATCGAGTATCCTTCAGATGATGAAGCAGGCCGGAGATCAAGTGCTCGACCCAAAGTGCAGAGTGGGAGAGGAATGTGGACTTGGATTGAATGAGAAGGCGCTGATATATACTCAATCGGTGCAGCGCAATTGCTTTTCCAGAGACGCGCTTCGTGACATCTTGTAAGGCTATGAGGATGCGAGTGACTCGAGCACCGGTCATGACCTTGGGACCAAGGTTTTGTGTGGTCAAGATGGACATGTAATGTGTCAAGACAGACTTGGGCACTTTGGCCTCCTGGAGACAGGTGATCGCGTGCTCCACAAGAAAGACCTTGAAATCATCTGTCAATAGTTTCGAGATAACGTCATGCCAGACAAAAGCAGCGCAGAGCTTCAGAGCCTGATTGGCAAGATTTGTATCCAACGGTGCGCTATCCACCAGGTTTCGACTGACATCACGCTGAATGAAATCCGTGATCAGGCCTAATTTGTCCGCAATGTCTTTCCCCGTCGGCAACCCCTCATATGTCCGCAAAGCACCAAAAAACTGCATGTACGCATCGAGTCGAGAGGGGATGGAATCCCCGGCCAATTGCTGGATAACAGATTCGAGGAGCATGGCGAGCGATTCAGTAGTAAAGGTGTCAACGTTAGGCGACCACACGGGGATTGGAGAGCTGGTTTCTTTGAGGATGGACTTGAACGGCCGGTTTGCGGTTGAGAGTGGACTTCTGACGTTGGAGCTCTCCTTCGTCTTCGATCCCTTGGACTTTTTGGCGAACCGCGGCGACTGTGTCGTGGTGTCCAGAGTCGTGTAATTGATGCATGGCGAGAAGGTCACACGTTTGGAACTGCGGCTTGATGGAGGAGCCCTGGAGTCTGGTTTGGATAGCTCGCCGGGGGTTTGAGCAGCGACTGGAGAGTCAGGTCGATCTTGATCAACACGAGAGCCTGGCCTTGGAGGAGTGGGCGGCCGAGCAGGGAGAGGAGTGAGGATCTCGACCATGGTTTGGTCAAAAGAAGGAACGAATGAAAGAAAGGAACATTGCTGGATGGGAAGCAGTTTGGAGCCCTCCCATGAACGACCGGGTTTGCCAGGTAGGTTGAAGCCAGGGCCAGTGAAAAGAAGGTTCGGACGCGCCGCGTATCGCGTAAAGTGGCCGCGCGTGGCCTCAGGCACCAGCTACGCGCTTTTCAGGTGTCGAGGCCGCCGGTTTGGTCCCCGTTGCGCGACCCCTCGACCCCTTTTTGGACTGATCATATTTACTCAGCAAGATGAAATGTTTCAAATCTTGTTGGCAGAAGAGTAGAATAGAACTGCTGTGCGTTCAAAGTCATTTTCTCTGTATTTTATGGCGTCAATTGTGGACCGTAGCGGCCAGATAGTTTATACTTCGTTCATACAAAGTTGAGCGATGTGTCGTTGAAGTTTTAATGGGAAAAATAAGTAGAATGGAAAAACCATTATCAGTTCGAGACTATTTCAACATCTTCAGCAGTCAATCAATGCCAGCTGGAGGACTTTTTCTATCCACTTCTCAACTATTTTGCAGCTCATCTTTCGGGCGAGTATCACTCCGCCTGCCTAACCGGGATACTCGCTCTACTCCTGAGTATTTTTTAGCTATTGAGCTCTATTTTTCATACAGTGAAATATAATCAGCATCATATAGGATTGGTAAATTAAGAGCAAACCGAGGGTCTCTGACGCCAAGGTGTTCATCTGACATCGGTGCACCGGATGGTGCAGAAAGGACCGAATAGCTTAAGTGGGGCCTCCGTTTCTGATTTATGAGATTTCGGATAGCATCCCTTCCCCGCGTTCTCGCTTTAACCCCTCGACAACTTGCAACCTCCTGCCGCCCTGGTTATTCCTGTGTTGTTGATGTTTTGCGCCTCCGCTTGAACTCGCACTTCCAGCGTCTTCTGTTAACAACCCTCTGGGTGGCCGTGAGTACCTTGATTCTTGGCGACACAGACGGCGCAAATCACCATGGAGTCTCTCCAACTACAAGGGGCAGGTATGTCTTGGCAAACCGAAGTCTATGCGACCGTCGCTAGATTTGAATAGAGCTAATTATCTGTGCTTTTTAGCAAAGCTTCAGCAGGTCACAAAGTTGCTCGCCTCGCTCGAGAAAGACCTGCAAGACAAGCAACTCACTTCTGCGCGTAAGTCGAGAGATTGCAGAAATACGAACCGAAGCCTTAGACTTACCAAATATTTTCCACCAGAACGAGTTCAGACCCTTTTGCAGCTGCGCCAGCATGGCACGAACCCCGTCGACGCCGGGCCGATTTACTGCAGCGATGTACGATGAATACAATGGCTGGGTTCGGATCGAGCTCTGACATTTTGGCAGGGAATCGGGATACTAGCACGCTATGGTGTTGAAGGAGGGACTGCCGACGTACGACGGGCTGCCTTGCGGTGTGTGGCTAATGCGCTTCTCCTCGACTCGAAAATGCGCCAGGTCTTCGTGAACACGGGGCTTGCCGGCAAATTGGCGGAAAGACTGAAGGTGTGCTTGAATATAGGAAAAACTCATGACCGTACTGACAAGTCTATCTAGATCGATAACTCCGAAGATGAAATGCTTTCGAGCCGGATCCTATTCTTGTCGACATACGACACCAATCTCGATTTCGAAGTCATGATCAAGAAGCACGGCCTTGGTGACAATGTCAACTATGTATGTCCAGCTGCCTCGCCTGGTTTCTACAGCCATACTGACTAGCACCCAGCAACTTGGTCGCCATGCAAAGCAATTTCCCAAATCGGGCAGACAATCTCTGTCACAAATGGACGAACTGGCTTTGATAGACACACTAAAACTGATTTTCAACGTTTCGAAGATTTATCCAGATCTCGCAGTCACATTTTCGCCCTCGATACCCCACGTTTTAAAGATCATCAGCCGCATAGATATCCCTGCACAGCCGCTGGAAGGCCTGCTGAGTTACTTGATCAACTCTTTATCGGTTCTGGACCTCGAAGAGAAGAAGAGCAAAATATTCGACAGTAGTCCTCTCTTCCCGAAGTTCAACCAGAACTGCAACGTGGATAAGTTGATCAACATTCTTGACCAGGCGGTGTCAGCATACAGCCCAGAGCAACTGGAAGAAAAGGCTGTCCCGTTGTTGCACTCTCTCATCGTGGTCCACGAAGTTGCCCCCGACGGACCACGCAAGTATATGCAGTGGCTTCTGCTGCCGGAGGACAGCGACCGGAGTTTGCCTATTGGACAGTCCGATACCCTCTCATCACGACTGTTGAAGCTCTCGACAAGTCCGTATCCAAACCTCAAGACCGGTATCTCTGAGCTCATGTTTGTACTTTCTGGCAAGGATGCCGAAAACCTCACAAAGAGGATCGGCTATGGTTTTGCCGCGGGATTCTTGGCATCTCGTGGCATGGAGATCCCACAGAGTGCTGGGGAGGCATATGCGACCAATACCGAGAACGGGTTGGATACAGCGGTCAATCCTATCACTGGCCAGGCCTTCGCGTCGGAGCCTCAGGACAATGGTCCACCCATGACTATGGAAGAAAAGGAGAGAGAAGCAGAGAGGCTCTTCGTACTTTTCGAGAGGTCAGTCTACCTACAAAGCTTGTTAGATCTGCTGCTAATGTCGATCATAGGGCGAAAGCAAATGGCCTTCTGACCGTAGAGAACCCTGTGGCTCAGGCTCTCCACGAAGGAAGATTCGAGGAATTACCCGATGATGCTGATAGCGATTAATGTCTGGGAGCCCATGGGCTTTCGTGGAGCATGATACCCAGCAAGCGCAAGCCGTTGCAGGTGCTATGTCAAGGTATTTCATGATAAAACCCATCATCCAACATGAATTGTATATACAACTATTCTACGGATGGCGTCCATCCACGCACCAGCCCCTTTAATAGAATCGGGGGCAGACTTATATCACAGTAGTACTTAACTCCATCGGTTTCCAATACTTTATGTCGGGAGTTATTAGCTTTGACATAGAGCCCCTAGTGTAGTAATCGTCTGAGATTTATTCTTAGAAGTATATGTAGTTCACTGTTTTTAACTTAAAAGAGGACCTGGATATACTATACATGGTCTTTGCCAGGAAAGATAGAATTGAACTAATTTTGTTACTCTTTTTTGGTATCGCATGTAGACTGCCCAGGTGAAATTGGGAGCAGAATGAATTTTTCTTGCTTATTTTGTTGCTTTTATATTCTTTCCTTCCGATTGTTTAGCCTATCTCAAAATCCAAAGCGAGAAAACGAAGCAAGGAAGATGGATCGATAAACTATCCCTAAAGCTACCTAGACTTTCATTTCTCAAGGAGATTACGAAGATCACAGCATCCTTTTGAACCGAACATATATTTATTCTCAAATGGGACCAAAGGGCTCTTTGCTAATTGACTGATGGGACCAAGCCCTGAAACAGTCTTGCCCACGATTTCTAATCTTATGCCATTCTGTCTTGTCAAATTGAAACCCGCGCTTTGCTAACACGTACTTGGACACCCAAGTTAGGCCTTTCGGGGTAATCGCTGCTGTCTCTCAAGCTTTTGTCGAAGATAATAAGAGTACCCCATCAAGCCCATAATTCCCACCGCAAAGAAAAATTTTGTATAGTGAAACCTCCGGTCGCAAACCTCCTCGGAGTTCCAGTGGCCACACACTTTCAGGGAGCCAAAGAGGAAAACCAGCAGTGCCAAGATAGTTCTATTCCAGAAACTTTAATAGCTGTCACCATGACAAGACAAGTATATATTGCTTACTTTAAGAGATGGTGGGCAAAAGGTGTCACAAGATATTTGACAACGGGGTTATTTGGATAGGCGTTCACGATCAAAATCAGGGGTGAAGTGGGTACATCACTGGGCTGGTTTTCCGCAGATGCGCCCAGGGCCGGACTGTATGTTCTCGGGTATGTAGCTTTCTCCATATTGACAGGAAGAACGTGGTAGGATACAAAGATACGTCGGAAAGCTGTCGTATAAAGGTGGAGATATGAAGATGGGGGCGGTAGATTTTGCCAAGGGGAAAAGGAGAATGGCGGTGCAGCGACATCAAAACAAAAAACGAGGATGCCTAAAACGCCGCCCCCATCGCCTAAATGCGCCTAAATGCGCCTATGGTCCTGCAGCTACGTAACCGAAGGTTCAGGAACACTTTTTTATTCTGCACTAAAAGCTTACCCAGCTCAAACCTGGCCACTGAAGAAAGCCAAATCCCACTCCTGATACCTAAAAAATGATACAGCCTAATTTCAGGTCCGAGAACGGTGGAGCCATGGAGTAGCCGCAAGTTGATATCCAATTGTCTCTTCTGAGGCCGTGGACCTTGGGGCCATGGGCGCTGAAAAGCTACCCTGCAATGCAACCTCTGATCCAAACACGAGCACGGCAACCAGGCTACGCAGACGCCGGATAGAAAAGCGGTTGGTACCGCTCGATTAGGTCCTAGGGTCATGATGGCCGTCATACTCACTCTGCAATGCAATCTGTGATTGGAAGGGGGACAAAACATCAGGTATACGGAGATGCCGTGAGGAACTGCAGTTTATATGGATGTATCTCAGGGCGTTAGCGGTATGATGCTGTAGAGCTGCGGAGAGACCCTGAGAGACCTTAAGAGACCCGTACGCCTGTGGGGCTATGGGGCGGCATGTCTGGTCATCTTTTAGGATAAGGCTGATTAGGACAGTGATAGAGGCATATAATCAAGGTTAGAGAGATGCCAGGGGGGCTTCATAGGAAAAAGAAACCTATAAAGAGGGCACTCAGGGCTGTGTAGACGGAGAATTCATACCATCAACTTCCATCAACTTTCTTTGCTATTAAAAATCTTCAATGAAGTTCCACTATAGCCTTGGTTTCCTTTTTGCTATCAGCGGAGTGGCTTCGGCCATCCCTGTGGCCGATCTCTCTGCTGAACTCGACCTAGTTCCTCGTGAGTTGGTTGAATATGGCTTGAATGAGGTCGAGGTTCGCTCTCTGAATGAAGCAAACATTCTTGAGGCACGGATAAACTGCAGGAAGATTAATAGGACCATTGTCCGTATTGGTACCAGCGCTGCCGTGTAAGTTGCTTTTCGTGCCCTTCCTTGGTGCTTTTAATTGCTTACACATATCCAGGTCCGCAATCATCCACTTGTCTACCGACTTGGCCAAGCAGGTCTGCGAGGGTGAAGGCGCCCCCAAATGCGCAAGATATGTCGGCTATGTGCAGTCTGGACTGGACATAATCTTCCTCGCAATTGGCTATGCTCATGGCTCAGTCGGTACATCTTCTACCAATGAGCAATCCAGTTTCGATCCTGGTCCTGTGCGTCGTGACATTTCTACACAGAACTCCTTCGCAGACGGCCTCAACGATGCTCTTCAGAATGATGGATGGAAATATGGCCTTTTAGAGAATGTCGATATCTCTAGTCTGAACGTCGGAAAACGCGGCTCTGATCCCAAGCTGATTCACCGCTTAATCGCACGAAATATGACATACGACGACCAAGGTAACACCTCTGATGTCGGGCTCAATTATTTCGACAACGGTGATATCAACCTGGACTTTGCTGGCGACTTTGGCACGCTTCCTACCGGAAGTGGCCAGTCGAACGTTCAGAAACGTTTCAACGGTGCTGGATTTAAGATCTCTACCACTACCCGTGTTCAGTCGAGGTTGACTCGCCCTCATGAGAGGTCGATGGCTCACTCCATTGCACTGGATTGGGCGTCTGATGCCAACTCGTATGCGATGTCGGATTATATTGGACTTGTCAAGACTGGTCACACCGCCAACTTCTACTTCCGTATCATTCCTGAGACGAAGGGATTTGGACTGAACTATGAATCTGTCAATATTTGCGGCCAGTTGGCCGGATACCTGTAATCCAGGAACATGCCAATATCGGCTCGCGTTACCTACTTGGCCAATATCCATGAGTGTGTTTGGGCATATACGCAATTTGAAACCAGTACCTGAGTCGTTATACAGTGCAATTTACACAGTTATATGTACATATCTTCTGAGGTTTTGCGACGAAGGTTAGACAATGGGTCCATTTTATAAAAATACTTGAGATAGAAACTTCATTCTTTTACCTTTACTTGGCAATCTCTTTGACTAACCTTTGCGGTGGACCTTAATTTTCACGCTGCCAAAAAAACTGTACGTTAACTGAGGATGGTAGAGTAGATTTGGTGCAGCTGACAGCCCGCAACACTGAAATAGTTATGAAAAACAATAATCTGGGACAAAAACATGGGAAGCGCTAGTGACAGCTGCTGCTAATATCTCCAATGGTGAACTCGTTTCTCGAGGAGCGTCCGTATAGACTCACCGCCTTCTGCATGACGTCGTGTGAGTTGGCAGAATTGCGCTCCGCCCGCCGAAAAAATATTCGTGGGGCACGGCATTTCCTCCCCACTTGACACAACTCCATTGAATTTACGACCTTTCCTTGTATTTGTTTAAAAAGAGTACTCTTTCATAAGACAGCCAAAATGTCGAAGCCCTTTGACCCCGAACAGGCTGAGAACCTGGAGGATGTGCGTTGCTCGTGTTGCCCCACTGGCCTGAGAACACTGAATTGCTGACCAGTTCAACAGATGGAGAAGCAGTTCGCAGTCAAAGGTTGGTATCAAATCCTTACCTTTGAATCCACTCGATTATACGCCCAAAGACACCTCGCGTCGGCCCTCCTGTATCATGACCAGTGCTAACTCGCCAACTCAACAGCTGTCGAGCACCTCATGACATACTGGGCCATCCTCGAGAAGGTCAAGGGCTCCCAGCTGCGCCTGACCAAGATGGACGACGAGATCTACGAGTCCTTCATGAAGGAGTTCCCCGACTTCGACCCCGCCGCCACCCTCAACGAGGACGCCATGAAGAGCAAGGCCGGCAAGGAGAAGTGGCGCAAATGGGTCAACCAATTCGAGAAGAAGATCGAGGACTACAACTTTGGCACAATCATTCGCAACCGTGCTGATCAGGAGTATGAGCAACACAACACCATTTTCGGTGAGTTGGGACATTGGGGGATGTGATTTGAGAGGGATCGCGTGAGGACTGACGGGGACAACAGGTGTGCGCATGCAGTTCTACGCCATCGAGCTCGCACGGTGAGTGTTTCCCCTTGGACTCGAAGTCTTGGATATAAGGCTGATCTGATTTTGGCAGCAACCGCGCCGGCCTGAACGACTGGATCTACGAGAAGTCCCAGAAGGCCTAATCGCGAAGCGCTTCGCTTCCAGCTGTGCTTGATTGGTACTCCGGCCTTATTCCACTCGTTGAAGGCAGCTAAAGTACGCGGTCATGAAACAGACATCAGTGCCTAAGTGAATTGAGCTTGGACAGCGTGATGGATGATAACCACGATATAGAATTGATCCTGAATTGATAGAATCTTCGGGATCTAAAGGTGAATTGGCCCTGAGGATTGGCAATGTCAATATACCCGGAAATAAAAAATGCATTTCCTACACATTCATTAGTTTCATTGTTCTCGGCCCGGTCATGTCGCATTTTCCATCTTCGCAGCTTCTCAAGGAGAGCGAGGATTGACGATACACAAAGGACCCAACTAGAAGCATCGCGCAATGAATCAATCACTAACAATCAATGAATGCTCCATACAGGGCTGCCTGCAGGTCATGTGAATCCCATACGAGCGCCGTCGTCACTCGGTCTTTGTCCATCCACAACAATCTTTCCGCTTCGGGAAATTTTCAACTATTGTTCTTGAATCACAATGAATCTGCAGGAAATGGACCGAGTATATGAACCTCTAGAACGATGCTCATTCACTGGCACGTGCGAGCATTTTCCCCATCATATTGCTGTACATATCTACCATGGTCCGATTCACCAAAAGCACATTCTCCCGGTGCGAGATACTTTGAATACGATATCTGACAGCAATGGCCGTCGGCTCCAAGCTACCAGATCCAGACGGCACAGCTGGACTGAAGCCAAGCTGGAAATCATTATTCGGCTTCACGACCCAGCCTCATCTACCAGCCTTCATAATCGGAGCGCTGTTCGCTCTTTTGGCCGGTTGTGTGACACCGGCTCTCGCTATTTTCCTTGGAAATGTGTTCGACGCTTTTACGGCATTCGGAGCTCGTCAGACCGGAGCTGATGAGCTTCGTGACAGAATTGCGACAAACTGTATCGGCATGGTTGGGTTGGGGGCTGCTGGCTGGTTCCTCAACGGCGCATACTTTGCCATATTTGTGGCATTCGGAGAGCTTCAAGTATCAACTATTCGAAGCAGGGTGTTTGTTGAACTACTAAAACGCGATTTTGAATGGTTCGAAGCGCAGAAAGAAGGCTCGGGGGCTTTCCTCTCTGGGATTCAGGCGTGCGTTCCCATCTTTCATGTCAATGAGGACTGCTTTCTGACGCTCTTCATAGGTATGCCCATGACTTGCAAATGGCGACGTCACAGCCACTCGGCCTTCTCCTGCAATACTCATGTCGGTCACTGGCATCGCTAGGTCTGGGATTTTATACATCTTGGAGCCTATCGCTTGTCACTCTTGCTGGGATCCCCATTTTCTCGTCGATCATTGCCTTCCTCTCGACCCGAATGAAATCAAGCATCACTGCTCAACAAGCAGAGCTAACCCACGCTTCCAAGGTCGCCAGCAACGCTATCTCTTCTATCGAATCAGTCAAATGCCTGAATGGTCAAGCTTCAGAGTCTCGGAGCTTTTCAAGTCGGATCGAGCAGTCGGCTAGCCATTATCTCCGACAAGCCCGACTGAATTCCCTGCAAATTTCTTTCATCCGATGGATGATGTTCGGGATGTTTGTTCAAGGCTTCTGGTATGGCAGCTCACTCGCCCGCAACGGGACATTAACTCCGGGGGAAGTGTTGAGGACATTTTGGGCCTGCTTGACTGCAGCCCAGTCTATCGAACAGGTACTTCCTCAGATGATCTTCATGGAAAAGGGAAAGGTTGCCAGCGTGGCTCTCAAGTCCCTTATCCTTAATCGCTCAGACAAAATGGTTGTGAGTGAGGGGAAGGATACAATGTATCCACTTCATTGCGAAGGAGATATTGAGGTGCACAATGTAAGCACATAACACGCCATATTCGTAGATAATAAGATTAATGCTAATATCTCGATCCAGATATCATTTGCCTATCCGGCTCAACCTGACCGAGTCGTCCTGAAGCCATCCACATTCTTCTTCCCGGCGGGGGAGACAACTTTCGTGATTGGCAAAAGTGGTTCTGGCAAAAGCACGCTTAGCCAGCTGCTTATGCGTTTTTATACCCCAGTATCGGGCGAGATACTCATCGACGGCAATCCCATTCAGGCGCTCAATCTCAACTGGATCCGAAACAACGTTACCCTTCTAGAGCAGCGAAGTGTACTCTTCAACGACTCCGTGTTCCAAAATATCGCTTTAGGAAGTCCAAACCAGAGAAATGTCCGTTTGGAAGATGTGAACAGGTCAATAGAGCTCGCCAAGCTTCATAATACCATTGATGGCCTACCCAGAGGCATCGATACTTGCGTCGGTCCGGGTGGAAGCTTTCTCAGTGGCGGCCAAAGGCAAAGAGTGGCTATCGCAAGAGCAAAATTACGCGACACGCCTATCTTGATCCTGGATGAGCCCACCAGTGCTCTCGATCATACCAACCGTGTAGCGGTGATGAAAGCCATTCGCGAGTGGCGCGTGGGGAAAACAACTATCATCATTACCCATGACATGTCTCAGATTGTCAATGAGGACTACCTTTACATACTGGAAAATGGGTCAATTGTGCATTCTGGATTCAGAAAACAGATTGAGAAGCTGCCCGGTACCGAGAAATATTTCGGTTCTACAGCAAAGGCCAGCATGGATGGTATTCAACCAAAATCAGAGCAGATCAACAAAGAGCTTGAATCTGACTGGGATTCATCATCGGTGGAAAGCCTTGAAAGCCTGGAATGTTTACAACTCCCCGTGCCCCAACGTGTACATCAACAGCGACGGCAAACATGGGCGCAGCACCACATCCCTCCCTCATTTCGCGCCTCTGCGTGGGACGGTCCAGCTAAGACCCTTGCACTCTTGTCAACCTCGCTTGGAGAGTCAGCAGAGAATGATTCATTTCCGCAGAGTAAGCGCGTATCTTTTTTAGGGGTACCTTGGGCTCCTACTTCTCACAATGGACCCAACGGGGACGTTGGAATGTCAACAAGAGATCTTGAGATGGTTCGAATTGAACCTCCTGGCCCGAGAACCGACAGCCTACGCCGCTATCGGAAATCAAAACGCTTTTCAATCGACCGCGCCCCATCCATTCTGCAAACACTGAAGCGGCGGAGAGACAAGGAAGAAATGACTCCCCTTTCCCAAATAATGGGAACAATCATGCCAAACCTGACATCAAATCAGCGCGTCCTCCTGTTTTTCGGGATCGCCTCGAGCCTCATTCACGCAAGTGCAACGCCGATTTTCTCGTACTGCCTGTCTCAGCTGTTCAGCACATTCTATACCGGGACCAACAGCGCAAAGCTGACGATGACCTGGTCGCTGGCTGTACTAGGAGTTTCTTTCGCGGACGGCCTGGCCTCTTTCTTCATGCACTACTTCCTCGAGTATTGCGGTGAAGCCTGGATGGACACCCTTCGGAAAAGAGCCTTTCAACGGGTCCTCGATCAGCCTCGAGCATGGTTCGAACAAGATGGCAATAGCTCCCATAGACTCACGTCATATCTTGACCAGAATGGAGAGGACATGCGCAATCTCCTTGGCCGTTTCGCTGGGTTCGTGATCGTAGCAGCTGCAATTACCGTCATGGCGATCATCTGGAGCCTGATAGTTTGCTGGAAGTTGACTTTGGTCGCTCTGGCATGTGGCCCTGTGATTTACGCCATAACAAGAGGATTTGAAGGGGTCAACGGACTGTGGGAACGACGATGCAATGAAGCCAGCAGTTCTGTGACTGATGTTTTCACAGAAACCTTTTCAGAGATTCTTACTGTGAGGACGCTTACACTGGAGGGATACTTTCACCGCAAACAAGCAACGGCTATCACACGGTCCCTGGCAATGGGGTTGAAGCGAGCCGCATACACAGGGCTGCTGTTTGGTATGGTTGAGTCAACTGTTATATTTGCAAGCGGTAACATCATGCTTCTCCCGGGGAAAATGATCATGGGCTAATATTTATTACAGCTCTTATTTTCTACTATGGTGCAATTCTGGTCGCCTCCGAATTCACAGTCAATGAGGTCATGCAAGTGTTCTCGTTGCTTCTTTTTAGCATCGGGTATGCCGCGCAAATCCTATCATGGAGTTCGTCAGCCCTCAGCCCTCAGCCCTCAACCCTATTTCTAATCTATTGCAACTGACCTTGGAAACAGTTCCGCAAATCAACACCTCGCGTGAAATAGCGACTCAACTTCTGCGCCTTGCAAAGCTCCCTGGAGGCTCACACGAACATCGCGGCAGACTGAAGGTGTCGACTTTGACCCCAATCAAGCTCACAAACGTCAACTTCCGATATCCTTCTCGCCCAAATACCTTGGTTCTGAAAAATGTCTCCATCAGCATCGTCAAAAACTCCTGCTCTGCCATCGTGGGACAGTCAGGATCCGGTAAATCAACCATTGCCTCGCTGCTCCTCTCACTCTACGAAGCACCGGTCTCCAGAAACGGTCGTCCCACGGTGACACTCGGGGGCCAAGACATCCTAAACCTACATGTTCCAACACTTCGCTCGCAGATAGCAATTGTCTCACAGCAGCCGAATATTTTCCCGGGTACCATCTTTGCCAACATCAGCTATGGCATGGAGAAGACCTCCGCACTATCATCGATGCCCGCAATCCGCGCCGTAGCACAAGCAGCCGGGATAGATGATTTCATCATGTCGCTTCCCAGGAGTTACTTCACGGTCATAGGTGACGGTGGCATCGGATTATCGGGCGGTCAAAAGCAGCGCGTGGTTATCGCTCGCGCACTCTTTCGCCAACCTCAAGTCCTCATCCTCGACGAAGCCACATCAAGTCTTGACCCCGAAGGAGCAGAGATCGTGCGCCAGACTATCAAACAGCTCGTCTCTGAACGGCGCGGCCTCACGGTTATTATCATCACGCACTCGAAGGAGATGATTGAGATTGCGGATCATGTCGTTGTTCTGGATCAGGGTGTTGTTGTGGAGGATGGGCCATACCGTGTCTTGTCGCAGAGGGTGGGCGGCAAGTTGCATGAGCTGATCAATGATTCTCAAGAACACTAGGCATATGCACTTCAGTTTTTCCTGGGCTTTTCAACCTCTCCTGCGCTATCTTATCAAAATATTATTTTCTTCGTGTTCGTTACCCAAAGGTCATCATACATAAGTCAGTCATAAGAGCATTGACGATTCAAATGTTCGAATGGTCTTTGATCTCCTGGAAAATCCTGCTGCCCAGCATGGCTTGAAGGGAGGGGGTTTCCACCGCAAATCTGGAGCAACGGCGTAATATTGTGCTAGTGATAGGCCACTTTCTAGAATACGAGTGGGGAAATCCTGACGAGGCTAATGAGTTGATATTGTGAATGTGTATGCATGCAACTTCGGTTCAACGAACTCTTGTTTTTAGAACTGGTGTCTTACAAGTCGACATGGCAAATATTCCTGGAAGAGGGGTAACTGTCTTATTGGATACAGCGTATCCTCGGACTTTTGTCTCGTTCTGGTGTTTTAATAAATTTCAAACTCGCTTTGACTATTCGGTTTCGGATATGAGGCCTGTGATCTCGTTCGGGGCTGCGCAATCTATTCTATCCACGAGTTCAAAACGAAGCGAAGAGTCTAACGTCTTGCACCCCTCGAATGGGTTAACCTCGTCAACGTTCGTAATTTCTGAAAAAGGCAATGGCCTTCTGATAATCTAGGGCTTTGGCCCATGGAGAAGCGGCAGCTGCCGCTAAGTCCATGATCATGGGAGGCCCTACAATACTATTTACGGTAGTGACGGCCGAGAACCCGCGAAAATACGAGACGCGTGCGCATCAGCGGGGAATCAGCACGACACATTAGAGGCCGCAATCGGCAAAATCACTACCATCACAACAAGCACCAGAGCTTATAGCTTATTATATATTTCTTTTCTTCTCAGCAATCCCAAAGCGTCCATCACCGGATTAAATCATGAGCAAACCAACTTTCATCTTGGCGCCGGGCGCGTGGTACCCGCCCACAGCATTCAACCCACTCATCGAGAAGCTGAGCGACTACACCTGCCGCACAGTGGCCTTCCCCTCAATCCAACAGGCAACTACCGTGCAGGACTTGCAGCCTGACATCAACAGTGTCCGCACGCTGGTCGAGTCGGAGGCAGACGCGGGGCACGATGTTATCATGGTTTTGCACAGCTGGGCCGGGTTACCAGTTTGCAGTGCGCTGGATGGACTGAGCAAAGCCGAGCGCGAGAAAGACGGCAAGCAGGGTGGCGTCATCAGGCTGGTATTCTTTGCAGGTTTCATTCCCCAAGTCGGCGAGAGTTTGATCGGTGCATTCGGAGGTGCCCCGCCTCCGTGGTATGTTCGCGAGGTATGTGATCCCCCATCGGCGCAAAGTATAATATATTGACAGCCGCAGGTTGAGAATGGAACTGTCACGGCTAGTGATCCCTTTTGGCTTTTCTTCCACGATGTTCCTGATGGTCAGGAGTGGGCTGCTACGCTTCGGCCTCATGCTTGGGCTACCAAGAACGCGCCTGCGACTAGTGCGGCGTATTACCAGATTCCGTCTTCATATCTGCTTTGCGAAGAGGATCGCGCTATTCCGATGGCGGTGCAGCAGCTGATGGTTGATCGAGCTCAGACGAGGGGTGCGCAGATTGAGACGGAGAAGATCGCGACGTCACATTCTCCTTGGCTTGTGCACCCGGAGAAGGTGGCGGAGTATCTTCGCCGACAAGCTGGCGAGTCGATTTACACCTTCTCAGGCATGAAAAATACCTAGCGAGGTATATATGTGTTACACTCTATAGCGGTATATGTATGACGCTAGAAATGGGCAATCTTATTCTCAGGCATATCCTCAGGCTATACACAGAAAAACGTCAGAGTAACTATCTACGTTGCATGTACAAAGCTTTCCGATATTGTGTAGACGTCGGATCATCAGTTCACTTCTTCCGGAACAGTTTGCGCAGAGTCTTCCCCATGGTCTTCCCCATGGTCTTCCCCATAGTCTTCCCCAGACAAGTCTGTTTCCCGCCCAGAGTAACAGTCAACAGCTTCGGATTGGGGTCATAGACACTTCCTGACTGGTCTACGCCATCGGTGGGACCAACGTCATCGTAGGGGAATGCGTAGCCAAGATTGTCCAGGTTCGTCGCGTGGCAGATGCGCGCGTAATGGTTTGTGATGGCGTTCTGGTAGTAATCCGCGACTATCTCGCCGTTCGGCTGGTCTGAGTCGATGAGGAGAGTAGACCGGTTGAATGCGGCAGCCAGACGAGCGGTGATCGCGTCCTTGGTGCTATTTCCCGAGACGGCGAAAGCGCCAGAGCTGTTGCTGAAGATGTCTGCCGTGGATGGCTGGGCGTAAGAGATGCCCCCAGTTGAGAAGTTGAGGGTGCCGTTAGAGACTGTTGCGGTGACATTGCCTGCCGACCCTTGAGTATTGACTGTCAAAGGTGTGCTGGTATACTTGGACCAGACTTGATTGACGTAGCCAGCGTAGTATGTACTGAACAGCCCACTGTTGAGTATGATGCCGGTGTTTGGAGACACGGCGCGAAGGTTGGTGCCATTGTTCGTGACGATTAGTTTGTCCCAGCCCGCCCCGTCTTTCGCGTTCTGGGCCTGTAGTTCGGAGCATATAGCAGCCAGCCCGTTGGCTGGGAGGCCTTCCACGGTATTGGTCGCGCCGGACGTAGTCGTCAACGTCAAGGCAATGGGCAGCGAGACAAAGTCTACGTAGGTAATGTTGGCAAAGAGCTGTGACGAGTTCCAGGTGAACTCGCAAAAATCCCAAACCAGATTGTAGTTTGCGTCCGAAGGATTGGACGATGATGGCTCGACCAGCGCGGGGCCCGGGTTCACGTAAAAGGTCAATTTGCCGCCGACTACAAACCACAGTCGGGCTCCCGCCAGATGTGGGATGGTCACCGCGGTGGTGCTTCCCGATGCACCGAGCGGGATGGCGCAGTCCTGCGCGAGGGCAGTTACCGTGGTCGACGGTGATGTTGGGTAGTAAGCCGTCTTGCCGTCGGCTTGCAGGAGGAACAGCGCATTGTTGTTGTCAATGGCCAGGCCGGTAATATAGGCGTAGGCCGTGTTCGAGCCAGACTGATTGACTAGATTGATGCTCAGGGTCGCCATGACCACAGCTGATATTCAGAAAAGGAGCTGGCGAAGTCGAGGTATCCACAGGGCTGAAGAAAGTGCCGACGGCGGGGCTGCACTCAGACCCATAATTATAACTGTACGATCTCCGACCGATATGCCTCGAGTTTCCGTTTCCATCCCCAGACTGTGGAGTAGGGCAGGCTGACAAGACCCTGTGATACAATGGCGCGGCCTTTCGCCTTCTCCTGATCGACCTCTGGATGCGCCGATTGGACTAACACGCCAACCGATGCTCGATATGCGCAGATCATCGCTCGGATAGCTTCTGCACAGAGGTCCGAAACGGGCGAATCCCCCCGCATGTGCGTCATCCCGCGATCATGCCGGACATCTACGTGATCCCATCCCCACGTGTCAGCCATGGCCGCGTCCCTTCGGCAAGGGATACCCCACGGGGAAGACAATACCAGGATTATCTGCCGAAGAATCGCAGGATGTGGACTTCGGGGAGGCCGAACGACTTGTCAAGTTCCGGAGGTACGTGACGGTCATCAAGGTTTGGTATGCAATTTATGCGAACCTTCCGCATGGCGTCCAGGACCGCGCGTGAGTATGAGGACCTTAAGGCACGTGGAAACTAAGCGTGTATACAAGCAAAACCACGAAGGAGCCATGGAAACATTGGCGGAGGATTAGCTTCCAAGGTTTGTTACTAACATCGGAGCACGCAACCATCATCCTCCACCTTGGATTAGTGGAAAGGGAACAAATTCGCGTCATAGCAAATTTAACCTCTTTCACTAGCCCCACCTGCCCACCCACTTTATCCAGGGGAGGTATCCCCTCTAGGTTACCCCCTTGGGCCTTTCTTCTCTCTACCGCCCATATCCAGCCTTCAGCGCCCAACGCGTATCAAACTCCCGAGGATACACGCAAGGATTCCCCGCGACTACCCACGGAACCCAGGCCAAGGACATCTGCACCTCCTTTGCCTGAGATTTCTCCAGCCTCTGGATGGCGAAAACTACTTTCCTCGCGACTGGGACGTCAGTAAACCCTTGATCAGCTTCGGTCTCACTAGTGCGTCTATCACCCGAGATTTGAGGAATAATCTGGATCTATTGCGATCTCGAGGAAAATCAACTGCATATTGTGCACTCAGAGCACCGCTTCAAGGATGAGACGGGATGACTGATAGACATCAAGTGTTCCGAGGATCTAGATAATTTCCCCTGTACCGACTATGACTGCTGGGGGTAAGCGCCTGCCAAACCTCGTCGCTCAGGGTGCGATGTTCACGTGATTTCCGAGGCCAGCAATGGGCCAAGGTTAGATTAAGGACCACTTTCGGGGTCCAAGGCTTCAAACGTGAATCTTGTACCTATCCTGCGGACATGTCGAGGAATGTAAGTGGGTCGCGGATCTTTACCCATAGGATTTCAACTTATCTTTTCGCCGAAAATACAACGAAGACAATGAGAAAAATCCGCTCTGTGACTCGATGAGAAGATGAATAACATTTTTGCGTACAGTAGAGGACGCCGTTGGGATACCTCGGTCTCGATCTGCGGGATACTGGCCAAGATGCGTCGTCTAGAGAAACCAAGTATCTTGATCTTCACTCATGGCATTCGGGGAGATACTTCAGGTTGGACGCAAGCGTCTCAGTGCTCAACTTTGCTCAACCCGATCCTGCGGCCGTTGTTCAAATCTGACGAGTCTCCAGTGACAGTCTGCGTACGTTCGTTTGGATGACAGGGATAACCAAACCGAGAAAGTCTTCCGGTGTACTCAGGATTATCTTTACAGGGCTGCAATTTCGACCATTTGAGATTGTCTCACCGGACAAGAACTTTGGACGTTGTGAATTTAGGGGCACGGAACGATAATCATGATCCTATTCAAGGGACTATGCGCCTGCCCGTGCATTGGTCATCCAGCAGTGCGGCTAGCCGGTATCAAGATAGGAATATCAGTGACAACCTCTGGTGCAGACGGCGTTGAAGGGCAGTTTTGATATCGCTGTGGTAGGGCTAGCGATGGTAAACATGATGGACTCCGAAACGATCATCGGTGTGTCAGGGCCAGACGATGACTTCGAGGAGGGGAGGGGAGGGCGGTGAAATCTGTGAATAGCTTCAAAGTCGACGAAGTAGTAAACACGCATTGGCAGGATGGGGAGAGGTCAATTACCTGTGCAGGAATGAGGGGGCGGCATACCATCAAGTTCCAAGTATTCTTGTTACCAAATCCCCCCCCGCTAGTCGAGTGGTTAAATACGAAAAGGTTAACGGCCTGGTCGAATGATACCTTACCCCAAGACTTGCTGGACGTCACGACTCGGGCGTCACTGTACAAAGACTATGTGCAGTGGGGGCAGTAATTGAAAGGGTCGGGAGTGCCCTTCGGGGTCGGGTATATCCTTCGGGATGGGCGCATCCTACGGGATGGGGTTATTTTTTTTTCCTTTTCCCCCTGGCTATACTACGATAGTAGTAAGTATTGCTAGAGAGTATCACGAGAATGCTATGTTATGCCTATTGCGGGGTAGGCAGGCTATCGCGAGATCTGTCGCGAACCCATCGCGAACCCGCCGTGAACGCGAAGATATCACCGAACATAAGTCACTTTGAGTTCAGCTTGTTATAAGGTGATTTACAGGGTTGACCGTTCGAAACCAGGATGTGACTTTGGTCCTACTCTTTTGTATTTTCTATTTCTTTGCAAACATGCCCGAATGATGTGAGCGACGCTCGTGTTTACTATTTTGAGCGAAGACGACTAGCGGCGCAGAGGGGAAGTGCGCCTACTCCATGTGTTCGTTGATCATTGCACGGTGCAGTTGATCAAGTATCAAGATGGGAATCAATGACAGCCTCCTAGCAATTTCCCCCTTTGAGCTAGTGTTAGGTTGTGGACTATTTATTCGCATCCCTCGGATATAGCAGATGAATACCCGCCTACTCCCCCTTGCCTCGTACCATTCGGTGCCTGTGTCACCGTGCCTCTCGCCCTTACCTGCACACACACCGTGCACACACACCGTGTACCCAACAACTCGTGTACTGCTGCACGAGTGCCAAGGGCGAAGGCCTCGAGCGAGACTGTCTCAGGCCCGGGATGTATCCACCCGCACTATCCACACCGTGCGAAGATCTCCCGCGCGCATCAACTCGACGATCCCTGACGTTTGAGGGTCAAGAAGGGGCAGAGCACAGACTCGATAAGCACACGAGACAGGATCGACACCGACGTTCAGGTTAAACCGGGATTCTGGCATTAGCTTTGACGCCTCCACTTGACGCGCGCTACGTCTCACTGCTCCACTCGCCCTGCGATAATAATAGGCGGCGACGTGGACTGGCCGACTCCACCTATGTTTGGGATTAAATCCGGTGGCTGATCACCTTTGTGCCTCTTCAGCTCGACTTCCAACACTTCACGGGTTTTCACCTTCCATGCCTTCCGAGGATCTCTAGGGCCCGCTGCCCGCGCATTCCACGCCATGTACATTCCACAGAAACGGGCTCTTAGCCACAAAAATAGCATCTTTATCGTTGTATGTGCTAGTGCTTCCGATCGCATCCGCTCATTTGACTCCTTCGGTCCCATCACCGTTTCGTTTGTTGAATTGTTACTAACTCGGCTTCCTACTAGTGTGCTGCCTGCATCATCTTCATCCTCGCCTGTTGCGTGTGCTTCTATTTCGGCGCTCGATGGCTACGTCAGCGACACTACAACCCGAAGTATATCCCCGGGCAATTCTTGAAAAGCAAATGGAAACACTGGTGCCCCGGTAGCGCCTCCTACGGTCAAGTCCCAAATCCTCGAGCTCAAAATGCGGATGATACTGCGTATCATGGGGGCGGAGGAACCCCAGAAATGACTACCGTCACCAACAACGCCGGCGTCCAACGTGAAACTTCCGTCCGATCCATCATGACCCTGCCGCCCTACTCCGTCACCCCAAAACCGACCGAGCAAGTCGTTGCCCGCGAGGGCGAACGAGGTGGCATGGACATGGTTGTGGAGTTCCCCGAGACGGTTGATGAGCAGGAACAACGCCGCGAAGAACAAATGGAATCTCTCTACCAGCTTCGTCTGCAGCGGCGCCTGGAACACGCCGAACGAGAGGCCCGTCGGCGTGATAGACGGGAAGCACGAGCTCGAGGTGACTCAGCGCGTCTGGAGCAATTGGCAGCGGAGTCCCGCGCCCGAAACAATCGTCGGCATGGAGCCAACGGCAGCAACACTTCTCTCAATGCAGCAACAATCATTGCCGAGCACCAGTCTCGTGAGCGGGATAGACGCATATCCAGCGTCAGCTATGCTTCAATCGGTCATGTCCGCCACGACGGCTCGCGTCTTCGAGCCAACTCCCACGACTCGGATCACCACCCGCTCCTACCGAATGCCGTCGTGGATTCATCATCTTCCTCATTGATGGACCCACCTAGCGTGCGCTCACGAGTTCAATCACTCACATCCTCGATCTTGACGGCATCAACATCCATGATCGAAGCCGAGCCACTATTTCTCCGTCCAACATCAACTCACCTGTCCAGCCGCCCAGCCTCAGTCTCTCAGCCCGACGAAGGCGACCTAGGCACTCTGAACATCCCCCCGCCACCAGAGTACGAGCATCTAGACTGGGGCGATGCACCCGCATATGAAAGTCCGACACGCGAACGCCACGCAAGCCCCAGCCCCAGCCGCCAACTTCCCCAATTATCCCGCCTGCCCTCCATCCACGTCGGCATGGCCTCGCCAATAGCAGTCTCCCCAGTAACCCCAACTTCGCTTCGAGGCTTCGAGCTGGATAGTAACCCGCCGACACCGCCAACCCCGGCGGGCCCGATCCCAGCCGTCGTTTCGTCTACCTCCACAAGACGTGCCCCTGTTTCATGATCCACCCAGGGGAATTATTTCAAATTATTATTATTTTCGCACGGCGTTAATGAGCATGATTTCACGATTTGTATTAGCATATCTCCATTTTTCGGCCTGTCCCGTTTGGTCGGAGGTCTTTCTCCTTCGGTCAGCAAGGCGTTCAGGGTTTGTTGGACAGTAAGGTCTGCAAATTTTTTCTTGCTTTCTATTTCGTGACTTTGATTTATTGATACTTGTTGGTATACCATGGGACACGCTGATTTCAGCGAAGGGGATTTTACTGGGATGGGATAGGGATTAGGATGGAGTGGATATGTAGATTTCATATTAAATGTGCATTTTTATCAATTCTCCGATTCAAATTCCTTTTGTCAGTCATCTTCTCTCGGGCTCCTATCAGTCTTTTGACTTTCCGTCCTAGAAAATGAGCGAAGACGTTCGTTCGTTCTGATTCTCTGCTCACCATGAACATGACAAGCGGGCCGCTGCCGACGTCCGTCGGCGAATTAAGGATGTGGAGATTGGACATCCTGCAATAATCTCAACGGGTAACGAGTGGGTGTAAGCTGGGATCAATTTGTTCCTAGGAAGGTTCAACATATTCAATCAAGAGACTTCCACCGTTTTCAAGCGGTAAAGTGTATTTTGGAAAACTTTTGGGAAGTCCTACTTGTGGAGGTAAAGTCTTGAGTAACTTTCTTGAAATCTTGTAGGCCTCGCTTAGCTCTCTTCTATTCTTCTATGTAGTTTTAATTGTTTCGACATATTGTGCTGCCAATTCGCAAAAAGAAAGAGCGGAGGTTGTGGATGAACTGAGTACGATATATATCTATTCAGGCTCGACACTCCTGGGTTCCAAATAGGCGTCTACATAATAGCTGTGACATAAAAACTTTCCAGGTTCGCACGACCATGAGCATCCAAAGAACAATACATTTCAGAATCGAACTCGCGGTAAACAAGAGTCCCCAAGAGAGGTTGAACCTTGGAAGTAGAACGGGCCGCGAGTGGAGAGCCGGACGGGGCAACGATTGGCGGAGACGCGCGACCAAAACATTCCGCGGCCAAAACAAAACCAAAGCTCAACCTTGGACCTTCCTCCGTCGTTTCCCCATGCTCCGCTAGTTTGTTGACATGCCTCTTTCCGACGCCAGTTTTACGGTGTCCGATTTTGATCCTGAGCACGAAGCCCTCGCGTCCACTCGCGAGTTTGGCAGTCCACAACTTCCCAACATGAAATACCACGACGAAGAACCCGACTTCGCCATCAACACATCCACTCTCGACCGCGCCTTTCCCGACTTCTCTCAGCTCCCCACTTCCGAGGAAGAAGACGCTTTTGACGGAGAAGTTAGCGGAGGCGTAAATGCAGGCGTCATGTCCGATTCGGAAGGTGAATTGTCCTTGGAGCTCGGCCGCGGCCTGGCTAAATCGTCTCGTCGTCTAGACGACTCTCGCGATTCCGTCATGAGCTTCCAGAATAGCGTGCGGTCCTCCTCTCCTGCCGTGCGCGTCGAATACCCAACCCCCCAGAAACAACAACCCGCCCGCTCGACGCGACGCGCTGTCAGCGAAAATCTCAGGAGAGATGCCCAATTAAGACGAGCCACTCAGGCTCAAAAGGAAATCATGAGCCCTCAAGTCTCCAGCAAAACTCGTGAGCAACGACGAACTTTCTCAGATATGCACGCCAAGGTGCGTGACAACTACGATGGGTCTTTCTTGGGCGATGAACGTCCTACTCCCGTGGACATCAAGCCTCGATCGACACGTTTCAACCAGGCCAACAACTCGCAAGAAATTGCCGAAGCCGTTGAACGCGCTAGTCGTGAAGCCTACGCCAAGGAGCGCAAAGGCAGTGCGGCCGGCACACCACGTAAGAATACCCCGACATCAAACACCCTTAACCACAACAACACCATGGGTGATACCATGACTCGCCAATCCTTCCTCCTTCCCGACCTCCCTAATATCTCCGAGTTGGTTTCCGGTGTTTACGAAGATGGTACCCCCGTTTTCTCTCGTCAACACAAAATGCGGTCCACCCGTTTCGTCTCTCCTCCCCACGACGCGGCCGATGTGTCTTTGACTCGTGAACACATGCCCCTCGATGCTGTCCCAATTCCCGAAGACGAGAAGGCCCTCTTTGTTTCTCTCCGCCTCTTGCAAGACAAGGTCTCCGAGCTGGAGATGTTCAAGTCCGATGCCGAGAAGCGCATCGATAACTACCGCCAGGAGAATGCTGCTCTCAAGGCAGGCAGGTCGCGCCATTCCGACAAGCACCAGGTTGATCATGGATTGTACAAGGGTAGCTCCAAGCGACTTGCCAGCGAGTACCAAAGTTTGTACAACCCCATTCCAACGTTGGGGTTCATCCTAACGTGATTACACAGAACTCGAGGCAGCGAACATTTCCCTGCAGAACCAGCTTGATATTGCGGACCGCAAGACCCAGGTCCAAGAAGCGGCCATCAAACGCCTGAACCAGGACCGCGAGTCCGCTATTTCGCAACTTGGTGTAGCTTACCTTGAAACACGCGAACTCAAGGCCGAAAACGACCAATTGCGACAGGAAAACGCAGAGCTCAGGGGCCAGCTGCCGAGGATCTCAAGCTACAAGACCCAGGAACAGGAAATGCAAGAGACTGATGCTAGCTTCAGCGCGTCGGATGCCGAAGACAGCCATATTCATACCGAACGCAGCGGTGATATGAGCCGCAGCACCAGAGATATCACCTCCAGGAGCACCAGATCCAACAAACGCCAGGAAGAGTCGCGTGCGAAGGTTTCGACTCAAGTTGACAAGGAGATTACTCGACTTGAGCAGGAACGCGCAGAGGAAGCCCTTTTCTCCCTGGACGTGCCCAACCAGAGACGTTCGTCCAAGGCCGCCCGGTCAGAACTTCCTCCCCATTTCGACTCGAAGAGTGCCCGCAAACAACCCAACACGAGCAAGCAGCGTGTGAAGCGTGTTATTATGGAGGACAGGAGTGGACCTGTTGAGGCCACGGAGCAGACTAGGGCATCCTCGGATGCGGATGACCTCACCTTGCTGAGTGTAATTGATGTGAGTATTCGGCTGATCACTTTATCTCATCTTGGACACGGCTAAACCATAATCTCTAGACAAATGAAATCGCCCGTCTACGAAAGACTCTTGAGGAAGAGCGACTGTCTCGAAAGAACCGTCGTTCCAGTGTGCAGAAGGATCTGACTGCCAACGAGACGATGAATTCGACACGACAGAGCATTCTCAAAGCGCCGCTTCCCCGAAAATCATCCCTCAAGACAACACAGCCGGCCATTCCCCGTCCTGCCTCCGCCATCGGTGATGTTACTGCTCGGTCTATGGCCACCAGTGAGGGTGATGCTAGCCTGGTCGTGCCCACTGCTGATCGCCCGAGGCGGCACTCGGACCACTCTGTTGCGTCGATGTCGCAGAAGAAGAAGCGTTCTCCGACGGAGGATATGACATCTGCATTCATCCTTCCTGATATCACCTTGAGCCGTGCCGAGATCGCCGCCAGCAACCCTTCAAAACTTCCACAGGCCACTCAGCGTGCCCTTGATGACATCGCCCAACATGACGGGAAGAACTGCATGGTTTGCAAAAACTCCCCGCCCCACGACGGGCCTTGCAACCATGACTCCGTCAAGATCTCCAAGCCAATCCCTGTTTCTGAGCGTATGCCGGACCCCACGCCATACAACGAGGATCCCACAATGCGCCCCTCGCAACCTCCATCTGTGGCTCTTGCTACCGTCCTCAAAGCCCTCGAAGACGAACTTTCGCATCTCAAGATGCAGCTTGTCAGCTACCAAAGCGCCTTCAACAAACTCGATGCCTCCCTGGGCAAAAAGCAACGCAAGGCCCTTACCGAGAACATCGAGAAGACCATCAAAGACATCGATCTGAAGTCCGACCAGATCTACGCGCTGTACGATGTCCTTGAAGGACAACATGGCAGAGGCGATCTCACCGAGCAGGAGATGGAGATGACTCTCCAATCTATCGGTATCGATACCACTACTAATACTCTGGACAAGGGTCAGGTAGATGAAGAGTCCGAGGACGATTTGCCATGGGAAGGGATTGAAAGTACAGCTGAGTTGACGGGGCGTACTTAATGGTGTAAACAAGCGTTTTTCTGTCTCTATTGAGGTTGTCCTTTCTGTGTACTTTACGGGAGTTTACATTGCTTGTTCAAACATGAGCGAATTTGTTTTGCCAATAGACTTTAGTCTTACTTCTGAGGTGCCTATTTTATATAGCCGAACTCTCTAATTCTGGTTCGCTTGGAAAGATAACTGGTTTTCAGTCCCATTAAATCGTCCTCTTTCTGTTCAATTAAGCCATCTACATACATCTCCATGTAGTATCCAATCAAATACGTCCATCCTGATTTCTCAGCATCTCTCTGACCACGCTGACTACGACGTAGGACCCACCGATCTCCAACGGCGACGACGATCACGCCTCTAGGCTAATATATGCCATGTTTGATAGGTGGCGTAGAAGAAGAGAAAATTACGGAGATAGAGATAGTAGGAGACGGGGGGTCGGAGTATCAAATTCCTTTACTAATTCCCCATCTTTTTGGGCGTCTTTGATAAGTAGTTTGAAAATAGGATGAATTCCGATTCTATGAAGTTGAGATGGCAGACTTGCAAAGTTTCCATTCGATTATCCACCTCAAGACAGGAGTAGGAGTCCAAGTTCCCGACTTGTCTCTGAACCTGTGTATTGAGTATCGTGACTTGCGACCACAGACCAATCTGTTTTAAACGCCAACGCTATGCTATGTAAATAGGAACGCCTCAATGCTATTGGCTTACTGCTGCCATCGCAGCGCCTTCACCAGCCGTCGCTTTTGAAAGACCGGCATCTCGCTGCGCAACCTCATCTTCAACGAAACAAGCCAAGCCAGCAAACGCCTCCGTCAGAGTACGCGAATAGTACTCTTGCAAATCATATCCCCCAGCTGCAGCTTGCGTATTCTTGCGAAGACGATCCAGATATTGAGACGGATAAGACTGCTGCAATGTAACGTAGTCGCGCTTCCCGGGCACATATCCCATGAAGGGATCGTAAGGCTTCTCCGGCTCGGGCGTCTTGATCTTGCGCAGTCCCTTGATGAGTCCCGTATCTGAAGGGCCGGCATTTTCGACACTGGTGAGATTTGTGCCCCTCTTGAGTTCCGAGCCGCGCAGAGCAGCTTGTTTCTGTCGAAGACGATCCTCCTCGCTGCGCCGCGCAGAAGACTTCCTGAGATGCACCTTGTGGCTCTCGCGGGCGATAGACGCAGCATCGGATGGGTTTCCAGCTGCGAGTCGGGACAGAAAGTCCTCGCGCCCGGCCTGCATCTCCCGCCGCTCGTTCTCCATCTCCTCCCGTGCAGCTTGTCGACGAATCCGAGCCTCCTCTTGTTCGAGTGAAATGCGTGCTTGGAACGAGGTCGCCTCTTGTTCCTCGATCGCTTGGTTTGTGCGGATGGACTGCATGTTCTCGGTTGCGTACTTCTGGAGCTGGGCTTCGGTTTTCGCCACGTCGGTTCGGGATACGAGGTTGGCGATTATCTCTTCGCGCTGCTCAAGGAAGTCATCGTAGGCGCGTTTCCCGTCGAATTCTTCTTCGCGGCGGTTTAATCTGTTAAAAAGGTAAGTATGCTCCCTCTGTTGTGCAAGGGCAGTCTGTGGCGTACATGTGCATCACGCGTCGTCGAATGTCCACCTCTCGCTCTACCCCGATGTCCTCGAAGGTCTGCGCGCGGAACCGGTTCTTGCGCAGTGTCTTTCGGCAACCGGCGACCGGGCAGCTGGAGGGGCCAGATGAGAAAATGCGGTCCACGCAGGACTCGCACATCTTGTGGTAGCATTCCGGGTTGATGAGAAAGCGCATGTTTGGGTTCAGGTACCGCGAGGACTTGCAGACGGGGCAAACCTCTAAGACAAAGGTTAATACATGGCGCAAAGATAAAGATCAGACAGACTTACCGTCCTCATCCCGGCGGTCGATCCCTTTCTTGGAAGCCATGGCGTGGTTGTTGAAGAGAAGTGAAGGCGATCAGCAAGCGGAGCGATAAGCATTCACCGTGCACGGACCACCTTACCTTATTAGGCTCTTTTTTTCCCCTCCGGATTTTCATTCTGCAATGCACCATGGGTGCCCCTAACCACAACCTGGACGCTCTCGAGCAGCGTCGCCTCACTCTTGAGGATAATATACTTCAGTTGCAGAAGTCTTTGTACCACTGGCGCAACTGGGAAGCGGAATACGACGGCTTCCGCGACGCGATTACCGATCTCGACAATGACGCCACCACGGACGATTTCGTTGCTGCTGGCCGTGAACTTGGAGGTGAACTCGTTAACGACGAGGAAGTTCAAGCGATTATTGGAGAGAAGCAAGGTGCATTGAGGTCTCGCAGACAAGTGATCGATCTTATTGGAAGACGGATCGACTATGTCAAGCAGAATGTGGCCACCATGGAGAAGAGGCTGAGGACTGCCGAAGATGAACTTTATGCGCTGGACTCAAGGGATACTCCAACGGACGGTGGTGCATTTCCCGTGAGGGAGATCATGGAGGAATTAGACGAGGATGGCAATGTTGTCTCCAGCTCGATCAACACCCCCGGTGACCAGGCTTCGCAGCTTCTGGAGACCTTGAAGAAGGCCGGTGTCGAGAACATTCCCGAGAATGTTACTGCTGCTGCTACATCGGGTGAGGCTTCCAACGGGGTTTTGGCTTCTGCGCCAGAGCAGAAGGCAGACAAAATGGACACAGATGAGGATCGATCTGAATCAACCACCACTTCGGATGGCCAGCACTTGGAAAACAACGGCACCTCTGCACAGGAAGAAGAAATCGACCTCTCAAAACCAGTGTCCCTGGTGACACCCGAAGATCGCAAGCAACCGCCCGTCACTGACGTTGACGAGTCCCCCGAGGAAGCCAGACTGCGCCGAGAGATGCTGCAATACGGGATCGATGAAGTTGGCGCGATCGTCGCGGAACTCGAATTGGATGAGGAGGGAAGCGAATTCTCCGTTGACGAGGATGACTACGATTTTGATTCCGACGAGGAAGATGAAGACGAGTTTGGCCGCTCACAAACTGTCCTGTCCGAGGATTATCACCAGCAGATGCGAGAGCTGGAAGCTAAGCTCAATGCCCGGGGAATGTATAATGTGGGCAAGAATTCTCAAGGATTCCCAGAGGAGATCCGACAAGATCTCGAGAAACCTTCCGCGGCAGAATTTGCCCAGCAGAATGCCCCGGATAGCTCCAAAGGCAAGAAGCCTAAGAAGCGTGTTGCATTCGCCGACGATTTGGATATCGCCCCTGCGCCTGAAGCCCCAGCTGCCGAGCCAAAGACCCTTCCGCCGCAACCTGACGTTCCAGTACTCTCAGACGCCATCGTCGAGCGTACAGAACGCACCCCGGAAGCACAGCCAGCTTCAGAAGAACGCCCTAAGAAGGTCTCAAAGTTCAGGAGCGCTCGAGCGTCAGCCACTGCCGATGACACGACAGCGCCATCCACCAACTCTCTTGCCTCAAATTCCTCAAAGCCATCCAAGTTCGCCGAGGCTCGGGCGCGGAAACTGGTCAACGCTGTCCCATCGAACACAACACCTGATCTATTCCCCGCCACTCCTCAGGAACCAAAGCCTTTCTCTGCGCCAATCACGGATGTTCCTTGGGAGCCATCCGTTCCTCGCCCTCCTGAAGGCAAGACTCTTGCCGACAAGCTTGTCGAGCGAGAAATTGCCCCAGGCGCAGCCGCCCCGGAGCCAAATGAGCTGGACGAGTCCATCCACCGCCGCGAGATTGCCTCCGAGTTCTACAGAATTCGAAACCGGATGATCCATCAGCAGGGTGGATTTGTCAACAACGAACAAGAAAACGAGCCCATCGAAGAGGAGGGTCAGCCGCGGATCAGCAAGTTCAGAGCTGCTCGCATGCGGTAACTTGGATTCGACTATGTATACCCAAATCAAAAGGATAGACTATTTTCATTCACCTCTCTCGTTTGTAGAACCTGTCTGGACGTCTCATTGACTACCGGAATACCAGGAATTCATGTGTTGTGGCATCTGCCATGATACGATGGACATACCCTTCTTCCCAGAAGCACCTTGGTATGGCTCCACCGAATGAATTCCGATATTGAATTTAGCAACGGGGGCTCTCTGGCTGCATCACCTCAGATCTTTAGTTGGCTGTTTCTGGCCGGGAACCTCTTCGTATTGTGCTCTTTAGTACTTACGGGGTGGTTTCCGGCGGGGGAGAGCCGGCTGAGGGTCTGGATTATGGAGATGTGGTTTATTTTCATCCCCCAACATACTCAAAACTCCGTTGAAGGAACGTGGAACCGGCCCAGGGATTATACAGCTCCCTTATGCCTTGTTCGCTTCCTAAAAGTTGTTGATATGGTCAAGAAGGGGCTTTATTATCGAGACATGATCTTGTACGTCCTTAATAGGTATAGTGAAACCGGGACCTAAAAACCCCTCATTGTCACCCCACTGCATTATATTATTATCCCACGGCATAATTGCTATCATACCCGAGAAGCAAAACGCCACGATGACCTACCTATGTTTTGTGGCGGTGTAGATAATTTATGGGGCCGTACTGTTGCCTGCCCGGCTGCCCCTCCTTCCGACACAAATTCGCCACCTCATAAGATCAGCACTTTATCCTTCCTCTCTGTAATATGTGGCGCAGTTGTTCCATAGTGACGACATATTCACCCTCCCATGAGATTATCTCTCTGGACATTTTGACTTTCCAAGATGACAAGAGATTCCAATGCAATGACGACTAACATGCACATTCCAATGGAATGACGACTACCATGCACGTGGGAGGGATGTTTGCTTGGGATCATCCTCGTACGATCAAGGTACCCTGGACAAAGGTTGGCATCTGGGATTCTAGTGCTAGCTCCACCAGACTTCAAAAGCGGGTGAATAGACCCGAGGGAGCTTGATGGTTTGATGGCTGAGATGTTCTAGCTCAGCTGCGTCCCCACTCCCGATCCCTGACCTTCAACGTAACGTAGCCTCCCTCTCTCCCAGGGCTGATGATCGTCCGTCAATCTTGTTTGACTACAGGGGCTCGTGAAGGGGTTCCAGGGTTCGCAATGGCATACGCGTAATCACCACGAGGCAAAATACAGCGAGTGAACAGCCTATCGTTGTTTCTGGCCCCGCTTTACCCCTCTTTCTAGGACATATCAAATCGAGATCAGATCAAGTCAGCTTTTTCTAGCTTCTGCGGGGCTTGTTTACCGACGTCATCTGGGAGCGCTCTGAGAGCTGCCCAGGGTTGGGAACCTGGAAGTTTGGAAAAGGTTTAAATAGTAGACTATTCTCACCTACCTGTGGCTGATAATCCATTCCTCTCACAATCCCAAATCCATAATATCAATTTCATACAACTACAAGATGTCTTACAACGATAACAACAGCGTACGTTGTCCCTCTTCCAGCCCCTCCTTTACATAGACCCCGTCCTTCCACTAGGACTGTCAATATCTTGCGAAGCTTTACTTGCGTTTTTGTCCTGTACTAACTGATGATATAGGGTACTTACGGCTCCGGCGGGGACTCGTTTGGCTCCGGTGGTGCCGGTGGTAACGACAACTTCGGCTCCTCTACTGGCGGCGGCAACCTCGGCTCGTCCGGTGGTAACGACTCCTACGGCTCTGGTGGCCAGTCGGGTGGTAACTTTGGATCATCCAACGACGACTCCTACGGCTCTGGTGGTCAGTCGGGTGGTAACTTTGGATCGTCCGGTGGTAACGACAACTTCGGCTCCTCTACTGGCGGCGGTAACCTCGGCTCGTCCGGTGGTAGCGACTCCTACGGCTCTGGTGGTCAGTCTGGTGGGGATTCCTACGGCTCTGGTGGTCAGTCGGGTGGTAACTTTGGATCGTCCGGTGGTAACGACAACTTCGGCTCCTCTACTGGCGGCGGCAACCTCGGCTCGTCCGGTGGTAACGACTCCTTCGGCTCTGGTGGCCAGTCGGGTGGTAACTTTGGATCATCCAACGACGACTCCTACGGCTCTGGTGGTCAGTCGGGTGGTAACCTCGGCTCGTCCGGTGGTAACGACTCCTACGGCTCTGGTGGTCAGTCTGGTGGGGATTCCTACGGCTCCTCGGGCCAGGGCAACAGTGGCGGCGATAGCACCATGGGCAAGATCATGGAGAAGGCTGGCGGTATGTTTGGCAGCAGCAAGCTCGAGGAGCGTGGTCAAGAGAAGCGTCAGGCACAGGGAGGGAACAATGATAACTACTAGTGTGAGCAGAGGGTGCTCTAGTTTGATCCACTTGATATGTTGATATCCGCTTGTGTTTGTCGTGAACTTTGTTCATTTATGGTTATCGAAGTACTTATGAAGTAATGCACTTGGTTCATATTAAAAGGTATCACGGGCATGAATGGTCATGAATGGTCATAAAGCATCAGATGCATGCGTATGCGTAGGATAGAATGGTGTCAGAAAGTGATTGCGACATTCCTACTCCAGACGCAGAGTGCCCCGAAGCGAATTCCGGCCACGACAACGACCATATGTGCAAGTGTAGAGAATACTTGAACCTGGAGAGAAGTGCGTAGAGTCACCGCAGCTAAAAGGAGGAGAGGATAAAGAATCCATGGCTTGACCGCTAGAGGGGAGCAGGGGTGAAGGATCGAGACCACTTTTAGAAGAAATAATGAGAACTGCAAGCCCGGGGAGATCATGGTGGATGTCCTTAAGAAATCCAAAGCGGGAAAGCGGCTCGGCGGTGGCGGAAGAAGTTGTCTGGGCATGGGCGGCGGGGAATTGTGGATAGACGGCTCGCGGGTCTGTCGAGTCGGAGATACGGGGGGAGATGTAGAGTATCTTTGCCGGACGACAAGGTCGCGATCTGGACTCAAGGATGGGCGTCCGTTTATCAATGCATCTGAGGCGGGGGGTGTGCTAGAGGAGCCACTGGAGTCGAACACTGAATCTTGTCGGAAAGTTGTAGGACTGCGAGGTATCCTCTTGGTAGGAGAGAGAGCGCGTTCAGAAGGCCTTGGACTGTCCACGGGACGAATGCGTGCGGAGGCAGGCATGTCTGGACTAGGTGAACTAGTCGCACCGGTTGAACCAGTTCTCTTGACGTTGGCATTGGCGCCGGCTTGGATACCGCTCAAAACTTCGTCTGCGGTCGGGCGACGATCGGGGTCCACAGCAAGCAGTCGTTCTAAGAACGTGTACAGCTTCTGTGGAAGGTCGGATCTCATCCGCCGATTATTGTTGAAACCAGCCCAGCTGGTAATTTCCGCTCGAAGTTGCTCCAGGTCTTCCCTTTCTTCGTTGATGACGTCCGCGCTTACGTACGGAAGTGTCGCGAAGCATAGGAAGTAGAGAATCATTCCCAGAGAAAATATGTCGGACTTAAATGTGAAATTTCCGAACGGCCCATCTGTGTACTCCCGCCGGAGGACTTCGGGCGCGCAATAGGAAAGTGTCCCTGTAGCGCCGGTCGACTTGCGCATCGCGTTCTGAGATTGCACTTCACCGAAATCGCTTACCAATACTCTGATGCCATCGCTTGATTCATGGAGAAGGCAGTTGTGGGGCTTGAGGTCACGATGAATGTATCCATTCATGTGCAGATGGCGCATGCCCGAGGTAATATCTCGGAAAAAAGAGTAGATCTGATCAAGCTGAAGCGTGCGTGGCGCACCTGTACCCATTTGCGGATCAGGTTCTCCTTTGGACTTTCTTCGGAGTCGATCCTTAAGCTGCTGCGCAGTACTGGGTGTTTGAACGGAGCCGCAGATATAATTGTGTAGGTCGCCGGCATTGCAGTATTGCTGAAGGATGAATGCGCAAGGAACGCTGGGACCGAATGTGCTGATTTTCGCATTTTCAAGCCAGACATGGCGATATGAGACGAGATTCTGGTGGGAAAGATGCTGAAGCAGCTGGACTTCGCCCAGAACTTTCTCCAACCACTCGTGGTCGTCGCCGACAGGTACCCGCTTGCATGCATAGTGTCCTAGAGAGACGCCGTCTAGCATGTGCTTAACAAGCAGGACTACCCCCTTTCCGCCCTTTCCGAGAATCCTCTCTTCAACAAAAAACTTCTTGAAATAGTCTGTACTGAAAGCTGCGGAGGAGATCCCTTGGGGAGGCCGAGGTTCGCTGGTGGGGCTACTGGTGGGACGACCGTCAGGAAGAGCAGGCGGAACAAGACGCCGTCTTGGAGAAGGGGGTCTCGAAGAGTTTGCAGAGCTTGGGAGGCTGTTATCGAGCATGCGAAAATAATTTGGGTTGATGAATTCCGCTTCGGGGTCGGTGCTTCCGCGATGCCGACCTCTGCTGCTCTCGTGCATGGGCTGGTGGCATAATGGGCAATTTGCGAGATCGAGATCTGCGTTGCGGGCATCGGACGCATTTCTGAGGGCTAGCTGCTGAGAATCACGGTCGAAAACCACCACAGACTCATTGTGCCGGCTATTCAATGGTCATGATCAGTAGGGCGAATGGGGTAAGCAGAGAGAACTGGGGTACTAACAGCACGACGTCAAGGTTCCCCCCATAGGGAATCATAGACATGTCATCAGGCATAGCGACTGCAGCTCCTATGACATGCCGATCATGGGAGGTGAGTGCAGAGCTGCAACGCTCTCGCGAGTGAAAGGTGACGGAGATGGAAGCCCCGGCAGGCGGTGAACAGACCCTAGAGTGAGATCATGGAACCGAAGAACATGAAAGTTGGAGAACTGAGGATATACATGTATAGCTGTGATCTTATACAAACGTTGCTGAAGGAATTACTGTTTCAACTACTGCATAATGCTTCACTGAGAATTTATTATGATAAGATAATTTTTGTTTGATTCACTATAGAATCGGGTATCTCGAGCGGTGCTGGCTGAGCTCTTGAGCCTGACGGCAGATCGGGTTCGGACATTGACATTCACGACCTCTCGGGGGAGGCTCCGCCAGCACGAAATTCACCTAGGGGAATCGCCCCGCGGATGAAGGGTTGAATTTTCAATCCCGCTGAGCGAGAACTCTGAGGTCCCAGAAGGGGATGGCATGGCTTGTGATGCCGCCGGAAGTGCCGATGGGCGAGCACATACACTCTGTCTTCCAAGAGTGAGCGCAAGCAATGTGGCGACGAAACGCCAGTTTTGGAGGGTTGAGGTATCAGAACCATGTAGGCCTTCAGTCCTCTTCACCACTCTCCACATCACTGACTTCCAGGTTGGCAATGGAATCATCGCTATCATCTCCATCGTCGATTCCATTCAAGTCCTGGCCAGGCTTGGAGTCGGAATCGTCATCTTCCTCCTCCTCCTCCTCCTCCTCCTCCTCGTCGGTAGGCTCGGTCTGATCGATCTTGCGCTTGCGACCCATCTCGCCAAGACGGCCCTCGCGGCCCTCGATCTTCTCATCCTCCTTACCGTCTCCCTTGGGAGGCGGAGTGAACCAGGGTGTCTTTCCACGAAGGAAGTCATTGATAACCATCTTGGCCACACCGTCCAAGTCCGGCTCACCTCCTCTCAGGAGACGACCACCCTTGCGAGCAAGGCGGCTGAGGAAATCAATGGCATCGGTAGGTTCCTTGATACCGTAGGTACGTTCCAGGTGACGGGGCTGGACCCGGCGGAGAACAGCGGGAATGTATTGCTCCGGGTTGTCGACATTCTCAACACGGCAGACACCACGCAGCAAGATGTCCTCCTCGGTATCATTCTGGTTGGGAGGAACCACACCGGGACAGTCGATGAGATAGATTCTCTTCATCAGAGTGACATACTGCCACACCTTGGTCTCACCGGGGATGGGAGCAACAGTGCAGACCTTCTTCTTGCGAAGAGTGTTGATGATGGAGGACTTGCCCGTGTTGGGGTAACCAATCAGTCCAACGGAGATTTGCTTGCGATCGGAGTGCAGAGATGAAAATTGGCGAAGAAGTTGAATCAAAGAGCCCTTGCCGAAGGAGTTGTTGATGTTGGCGTGGAACGCGAGGGTAGGATAGTCCTTAGACAGATGACGGACCCAAGCAGCCTGATGAATGCCATGTTAGTAAATGGTCAACCAGAAAATATGATAATGCGGGAATGTGTGGGATGTTACTAAGAGTTCTACCACTGAGCCACCGAAAAAGGCAGAGGCAGAACTCAACTCAAAAACAAAACACATATGACCCTTGCGACAGGCCTTCAAGACGAAGGCCGGTCAACCTAGCCTCAGAAAGAGATTCGGTGCGGGACATTGTTGATCTACCAAAGCTGTAACAGACAGACCTCCATGGAGAAACAAGACGACGTATAGTCGTAGGAAGAAGCCTTGACTTAGCGATGGAACGGCGCAATGCCGGTTGAAAAAAAAAAAAAAAAAAAAAAAAAAAAAACAAAAGAAAAGAAAACAATGGGCACCAAAAACAGAGAGTAGTGGGGATGCAATGTGACACTTACAGCAACACCGGTAGGAACAAGATCGGTCTTGTTCAGAACGAAGATCAGGTGCTTGTGGGGAGCTTCGTCGCGAATATACTTTTCAATACTGCGGCAGCGAGTACCGTTTGGGTCACGAGCATCCAAAACGTGGATGACCACATCTGAAGAGTCGATGACCTTGTAAAGCTCGTTCCAGATACGCTTGCTCTGACCCTTGGAGAAGACAGACTCGCGGGCGGTGGTGAGAATAGGACCTTCATCGGTAGCATTGGTATCACCAGAGACTGCGGCACTTCCATCTTCATGGGTTTCTTGGTCGTTCTTCTCCAAGTACGAGTCATGCAGCTTGGCGGTCTCACCAGCGAGGTCCTCCAGGGATGTCACACCCATCTTGACACGCTTGCGTTGAGCCTTGGGACCGAAAGTATCACCGAATGGGTTGTTTTCAATCTCCATCTTGGCCTGATGTTGCTTGAGCCCATTCACGCTATGATCATTGTCCCGGATCAGACTCATGGGTAGTTTGTTGGTCTTAAGCAGCACCTGGTAAGGATCGGATGTTTGCTCGGCGACAGCCTCACGGAACGACGTCAGGGCCTCCTGGGAGATGACTCGTGTGTTGCCGAACCATTTACGGTTGGGCTCAATGCGAGCAACCGGGGCATCGCGGGACTGGTAGGAGGCAGCCCTGGTGATGTCTCCAACGGCGTTGCGTTGAGGTTTGCCGTCCTTGAACATGTTCAGGTGCTTCACCTTCTTCGCAGAGCTAGATAAAGGAGGTCAGTACTGGAGTTCACCCAAAACGCGACCGAATTTTCATGGTGGACTTACCGATAGAAGTTTTCACCTTTGGTTCTGACATTGCTCATGCCATCGTCAGTCTTTCCCTGCCGCACTTTACGTGCGGCCTCCTTCTTGCCAGTACCCATGATTGTGATCTCCTGTGGTCTTGAGTTTAAAAGTTAGGTTGGCCTTCAAAGATAGAAGGTATGACCAAAAACACAAGGAGTGGCAGAGCGCGAAGAGAAAGCAAGACGGAAGGGAATTTTTTTTTTTGGGTTGGCGCTAAGACGACGCGTGCACGTGACCACGGCAAAATCGCTTCGTTTCTTCCGACGCTACATCTTCCGCGTATCCTCGCTCGTTTCGGCGATCGTGGTCATCCAGGCCAGCTGTTTCGTTGGTTTTCCTTGTTTCAATTGCCTTAGAAATCTACATTTTCTCCATCTCTCCCGAAAGAACGGGTTCAAACATTGCAGCATGTCTGCTCTCCGCAACACCCGGACTGCCACAAGGCAGGTCCGTGGCTTCTCGACCTCTGCCAACCTTCGTGTCGGTCCCGAGTCGCCTCATTTCATCGAAGCTCCTCGAATTGTCCAGCCGAGCAACCCTGCCAAGCCCCATGTCAAGGGTACCCTTCCCGTTCCTCGCGAGCTCTTCCCGGCTCGCCGTCAAGACAAGCCGCGCAAAGCATATATCGATGCCGTGACACCCCGTCCCCTGTCTGAGCGCAAGGTCAACCCTAAGAGCGCCGACCCCGAGAAGCAGGCCTTCAAGATCAAAATGGCGGAGCTGCGGAGAAGCAACCTTCGGGAGGGTCTCCGCAAACTTTACAAGCGGAAACAAATTGCAGAGCAAACGGTGTTCGAGCGAAGTCTCGAGAACCAGGCCCGACGAGAGCGCGTCCTTCAACAACCAGAGCCGGAAGATGAGCTCCTGACTCGGTCATCTGTCGTGGAGGCGATGCGGCCCCAGAAGGGTGCTGCTCTGTCAGACCCCAACCGGGAAGCACGCTTGGCCCTCTCGCGGGCGCGCATGGAGGCTAAGCAGGCACAAAAGGACGCCTTGCGCCAGGAAGAACTTCAGTCGCTGTACATGAACGCGCGCACCTTCATCGTGAACGAAGAACAGCTCGCCGCTGAGATCGACCGAGTATTCCCCGAGGGTGAGAACGAGGCCTGGCGCAATGACCATCAGCAGGGTGAGAACATCTGGAACCTGGGTATCCCGCCGACCGTGCAGCACTTTGTCAACGACTCGCGGAAGAGTGAGACAGCTCGCTGGGATGTGATCCAGGACCGAGTGAAGAAGCTCGGCGAGCAGATCACTGGTGGCAAGCTGTGAAGGGTGTCATTATCATGTACAATATTTTGAAGCTGTTGCATTGTTATTCTGTGCATTTCTGTCGACCTGGGAAAGGGTTTATGCAATATATACTCTAGCCGATGAGGCTATCCTCTACTTGACCGGGAACTCGAGTAAAGCTAACACATTCTCACAACGTATCTGGTCATGTATACGAAATTAAAATACTCAAAAGCTGCGTTGATTAGCAGAGATATTGGCCGAACGCCGATCAGCGGATAGTTCTTACTAGAGAATGCCAATGTGACGCGCGGCGAGGCTATGCTTTCGAGGGCCTGAGTGCGGCGGGGTTTGCGAATGTGCTTTAAGGCCCCCTATGTCCTTGTTAAGTTCGGCCGTACTGCCCCTCCTTTTTCAACCTTGAAATTCGCTCGTTCTTTCCTTGAACCGTCAATAATGGCAACTGATGTAAAACCTGACTGGTACCAAACAGATGTCCAAAGCATCAATCCCGAAGCCCAGCAACTACTAGAAAGCTACAGCGGCCTTGCACCGGATGACGTCCTCCCACATGTCTTATCTTTGGTAGACCTGACTCCCTATTCTAGCAGGTCATTTACTAATTCATCCCAGCGCGACGAGGCTTTCGGTATTTACCAATATGCCTGCATCGGTCAAATGCGGTTCCTCTCCTTCAATCTTTCACACATGCCATTTTACCCCCGTGTGCTAGAGAAGCTCCGCAGTGACCCAGAAGCCGGCTTTCTAGACGCCGGCTGCTGTTTCGGGCAAGAGCTTCGCTTCTTAGTAAACCAAGGAATTCCAGCAACTCGGCTCTTTGGATGTGATCTCGAACAGGTCTTCATTGACCTCGGATACCAACTATTCCGAGACAAGGATCGGCTGCGGGCAACCTTCGCTGTCGGGGACTTAGATGCTGAAAATAGTGATTTTGAAACTGGCCAGCTTACCCAGAAGTTATCTGGTAAACTTGATGTTGTATTCGCCAGCTCACTGTTTCATATGTGGGATTATGATACCCAATTTCGCGTTGCAGCAAGACTGGTCAAGCTGTGTCGTGACAAGCCGGGTGTCATGATTACCGGACGTCAGATGGGCAGTTTAGTGGGTGGTCACTACGAGATGAAGGGAATGAAAGATGGAGCTTTCCATTACCGTCACGATATTGAGACCATGGAGAGATTTTGGAGTGAGATCGGGGAAGCAACTCAAACTACTTGGAAAGTGGAGGCGGATCTTTACAGCAGCGAAGAAATTGAGAAGACGAAGAATATGCCTTGGTCGGATGATAACTATCGGATGATTTGTTGGTGTGCAACTCGTCAGTGACTTTGGAAGCAGACCTATACCAGCTAGTCTCTATACAACTACACTTTGTGGCTTTGACGTCAGAATACTGTGATAGGAATACGGCTTCTGGGCAAGTGACCTTGTACCCAGAGGTTCTTTGACCTTTGAGAAATACTGTGCATTGATATTCTACAAAAGAGACAAAGCACTCGGTCAGATTCAGATTCAGTACTCAATGAGCGCCAACAAGGGTCGTCTCAGAGAAGGAACTGCGAAAGTGCAATTTTGAGCGGTGGATACTCAGTTTCACCGGAAAGAATGGTATGGATGGCTTCCATGTAGTGTGTCATATCGGATGACTCCTTGAGCCTAGGCACAAGCTTCTTGACCATTTCGTATGAAGACTCTATCGTGTTAACGATTGACAAAGATGACAGCGATGCCAACAGGGGTGACGGCAAAATATCGAATGTACGAGAAAGAGGATGTATGGAGATGGAGAATTTAAGGTGCATACAAACATCCAAAGACAATAATAAAAAGACCTATGCAGATCATGCCGGAGAGCCTGAGCAATGAGGCCCATCCATAGAGATAAAGTTTCGTTAACTTAACTGAATTCAGAGTGGCGTGCAAAAATACTATCTTTAATAGTTGATATGTGCCCTTTGTCAGACGCACGACAGGAACTGGCATGTCTCCCTCTACTTCAAAGCCAAAACAAGAACCGAAGTATAGGTAGACGGGACGTAAGTATGAATCTTCTCGACACGCAAGCCCGCCCGATCAGCGAGATCCAACCACTGTTGTTTCGAACGCTCCTTTCCAGCGCACATATTCATCATTGCGAGGTCTTGCATAGTGGCCTCCCAGTGGGCTCCAATATCTGGCATGACAATCTCGTCGATCAAAATGCGGGAATCTGGGGCCATGGCACCGGTGACGTTGAGAAGAATTTTTACGGCTTCTTTGTCGGGCCAGTCGTGCATGATTCTTCGGAGGTAGTAAAACTTGGCTCCTATGGGTTCAATGTTAGATGATGGTGTAGAGGATTCCTGAGGGTAGTAGCACGAACCGGAGATTGGCTGCTTTTCAAAGAAGTCGTACGCTTCGGTTCTTACGCCTTCGATGGGAGACAGCTTGTTGACGGCCACAGGTAGATCCTGTAATACGAGGCGGCCGAGAAGATTGGGATACTTCTTGCCCAGCTGAATGCACTGATGGCCATGACCACCTCCGACATCGACGAAGAATGGCTTCTCGGAAGGCTGAGGAGGCGTTGAAGCAACTTTCTTTGCTTCAATATCAAGCGTGTCAAGACCAACGGTCCATTCCGCTCCCTTGAGGGCTGTCATAACTTTCTGCAGGGAAGCGAAGTGTTCCGGATTCTGCACCATCCAGTCAAAAGATTGGAGCTTGGTGCTGTGGGCAACCTGGAATGGTGTGTTTGTGTTGCTGGTGATGTCCTGGTACTTGTTCGCTGCAAGGAAGTCGGGCAGTGCTTGAATGACAGGCCCGTGTGTATTAAAGCCGTGGTTGACCATGCCCTCACCCAAATCGCTAGAAAAAATATGGGTGATATTGCTTGCTTGGTACTCGTTAATGCCAACCTCCTTGATTGTGTTGTTCGAGGCCAGATATCGAGCAATTCTCTCTGCGAAGACGGTGTGGTCAGTAAGATATTGCCGCGAGAGCGGGTAGTACTAGCTTACCCAGAAGCTCAGGAGTTGCACCCGTGGCTTCTGCCAATTTTGCAAGTTCGAATGGCTTGTCATTCTCAGCCAACGTACGGAACAGCCCTATGTCTACTCCGACGCGGATCATCGCGCACAGCAGAGTCTGGTGTCGTCAGCTTTAAAGTTAAATTGGGGGACTCCATGACCACACACCGAATTCATGAGATCAACTACTACATCTTTGGGACTTTGCAGCTCTGAGAGGGTCTTCCGAAGGGCAATCTGGATCTGCAGTCGGTCGCCCTCGTCGGCGGATTCGGCCAGAGCATGGATTTGGGCAACAATGGAGTCCATTTGGGAAAAGTGGAGTTTGTATAAATATTATTGCAAAATCAGACGGTGTGTGATCTTATTGATTGTTCGTGCGGGATATTATCGTGCTTTTATAGCAACAGGTTGCCATACATCGAGGCAATCCGCGACTCCGCGGAAGTTCCGCGGCCACTCTAATAGCTGATTGGTGCAGCGCCCTCCCCCGGGCGATCGGACGTCACGACAAAGCGACGGTGATTTCTACGCCTCGTGCTAAGTGACAAGAAAAATGAGCCGCGTCGAAAAGCGTCTGAAATCGGCCCGCTCGCGCCCAGTGTCCTGTCAGTTTTGTCGGTCGCGGAAATTGCGATGCAGCCGACAGTTCCCTTGCCCGAATTGCACTAGTCGCGGTATCACCTGTGATGTGGATGCGCCAACAGCTGCGTCAATCAACGGAGCTCTCGAGCAAGCCACCGATACACCGTCGGGTACATTCCAGCAAGGTGTCCTATCGCGTTTGCAAAGATTAGAAGAAATCGTGATAAGCCAGGGTGAACCTTCAAATACTCCCTCTATCCAAACGGGTTCACAACCATCACCGCCTGCACTACGAACAGGCGATTTCTTTACCGGAGAACAATATAATTCGCTTGATCTCAACTGGATCGAAGGGGAGGTCACATACCCCACCACAATGGTACAATTATGCCCATTGACACGTTTATTGTGACCCGCTAAGAATTATCTAGAGCTCCCTTGTGTCTTATGAGCTGGTGTTCAAGACATGCTGCATCAAATCAGCGGGCCTTTCTGACTTGGTAGTGTACCAAACATCCCCGGGGGATATACCGACGCGAACCATCTGGCTTCCACTCTATGAGGAAGCAAAACAGATTGTCGACAAATACCTTACGGAGATCACATATATTCACCACATAGTCCATGCCCCATCCGTGCGTGCAATGGTCGAGGATCTCTATCAGAATCTCAATAATCAAAAGCCCATCAAAATTGGCCAAGTGTCTCTTCTCCTGGCGATCTTAGCCAGTACTACTTTCTTCTGGACGGAGCGTGACATGGACACGCCCGTATTTTCCTCGGTCGAAGAAACCAACGGCCAGTTCACGATGTGGGCAAAGCTTGCCCTTGAGGTGTTAGAGTACTCTCGCCGTACACGCTCTGATTCCCTCGAGGATGTGCAAGCGACCATCATCGTGTGTTTTGCCATCTGCAACGTCGTCGGAATCACATCGCAAGTCCGATATCTCTTCTATACGGCCAACTCGGTGGCATGGCAACTGGCCCTGCATCGTATTGACCATCCACACAATGCGAAAAATACAGAACATGAATTTCTATCTCCGAACACCGTGCGTGCAGAAATCGGAAGACGAGTGTGGTGGTATCTTGTTGCGTCAGACTGGTCTGTGCAATCCTCAACCCCATTTTTGCAAAGTGCACAGGCTGAATTTTCGCAGGCAGGTATCGCAATTCGCAAGCCCCCAGAAGGGAATATATTCGATCAATCCGCAGCACATGGCCACCAACAAGCCTCTCAATGCAAACGACGAAGATCTCGTCGATGGGATAGAAGGCGTCGGCAAGCCCATCAACCAACCCACTTCCATGTCGTACTCCCTTCAACGAATTCGACTAGGAGAACTGTGTCGAGAAATCTGTGACAGTATTCCATTTACAGAGATTGGATCCGAAGAAGCAGGGTATGAACGAATGCGAGACATCGACATGAAACTTCGCGAAATGGCGCATACTTTACCACCATTTTTCTCCTTGGACTTTAACAGCAATGAACTTCCCGAGACAGACCAACGCAGGGCGCCCGGCATCATTATTCAGCGATACATCATCAACTCCCTACTCCATGCACAGAGATGCAGATTACATTTGCCGTACCTGTCACGAGCCGCGGCGGATCCGACGTACGCTTATTCGAGGGATGCATGCATGGAGGCCGCGCGTATGGTCATTCGCACCGAGCGACAACTGGCAACAGAAAATCTTCCTTTTGTATTGGCACGCCTGAAATGCTCGGGTATGTTGCACTGCGTTTGCATTGCCATCATCGTCCTCTTGATGGATCTGTGTCGCAAAAAAAGCCCGCAGTCCGAGGGTGACCGAGATAGTCGAGTGGAGATCTACAATGCATTTGGCATCCTGGAAGAGGCCCGGGACCAGTCGCCCTTCGCCGAGAAGATCCTGGAGTCATTCTATGCTATTCTCCGCCGACATAATATCCCCATCTCGGGTAGCGAAGGCAAGCCGGTAGCCCGACCAGGCAATAGCAGCGAGCAGGCAGCGAAACAACCTATAAATAAGTCTGTACCGCGCAAAAGCACCGAAATGACCGAAGGTGCGCCTGATCCGAGCCTTCCGTCATTCGATGACCTCTGGCAGGCCTTTGACACCAATGTGGATCCTTCATCTCTCGTGGACTGGAATACGCTCTTCTCCGAGCTGGACTCTCCTTTTGTGTCGATGTGATTTCATCTTACACCCCGATCTGACAGGTCCATGATTTGAAATACCGAGTCTATGACGCAGAGTTTGGAAAATCGTTATGTAAATGCCATGACTGGGGACATTTCGATATTACAAAATCCGGCTCAGACCACCCCACTGCGATCGACATGGTCGTGATTAAACTTGGCACTGGCGGCAGAGCCATCACTAGGGCCCTTCGCTAGCTTCAACGGTTACCGTAGAGACTAGTGGACTGGAGTCAATGATAGCAGCTTGCAGTGGCTCAATGCCCAGTTGTGACGTTGTACCTGGAACCGATTCGATGTCGGACGGTAATTGTTCACCGATGTTGCCTGGTTCCTGAATGCCCCGAGATCTCACCAGGCACAATTTTGTGCACCGCAGGTTTTCAAAGTTTTCATTGGATCTTATTTCTCTGTCTCTCTTATCTTTTGTGAGTGTTCTAGAAACAGCGAAGGAATGATCGGCCTGATGCGATCATCAGAGGTTAAGTGCATAGCGGTCCGTGACGCGTGTCGTGGATCTCAGACCCCTCTCCATGTATAACACGTTCGATCGCGACCTGCGAACTGCGATTGTGACGTGTTTTGCCTGCACTCGAGTCTACAGTACACTTCTACTAGTACATCCAACTGTACAACTGCACGTTTCCCTCTGCTTGACAACAAGACCCGAGGTCCCCAAATAATTGTGCGCATCCAGGGCTCGTGGATGTCTGGTTCAACCACAGGAACAAAAATAGAACAAAACCCCGTTGGCGGACACATTTCATCGGCTCCACTCGTGTTCCTTGTACAATGATGGATCTGATGATTAAGTCTCGGCTTCCCATGATCCGATCCAATCCTGTTGCTTCTCAGTCTCCATGTGAAATGCACAGTTCTCTGCCGCTCTGCCGCTCTGTACTGTACATAGCTCTTGCTATTCAGGTTTGGATCATACAAGGCTTTGTATTTTCGCTCAGCCCGCCTTAAATACAGTATACCCGGTCGCACGGGCCCTAATGAAGTCATGCCGGAAGAAGCTTAACTCCACCGCTCAAGCGTCAATTGAAGACTGTTGCTCTTGGGCGGCCCAAGTTGTGATCTGATCAAAATTGAATAATTGCATACCAACTTGCATGTTTACGCTTAGCTGTTTTCAATAGGAACCCGGAGGTTGCTCCACAAGTACCTTTCTGTGTCCTGACCACCAGATTTTGGTATCTGGACTTCGAATAGAAATCAAGTATGAAGCCGGGCAACCATGGGAATTGGCGCATAGAATCCGTCCGATCAAGGATGTCATCGGTGCGAAGCGTCGTAGGCAGATGCGCATCCAGCCTGTTCCGTGGTCAACCGGCAATCTCGCCACTTACAGTCAGCCTGCTCTGTGCCCTGTGAATTACCGAAGAGGGATCCAGACGACGATGGGGATCGGAGACAGTGGATGTGATAGGCCCCGATGATCCGCACCCTCATATAACTGCCACTCAACAAGCGTAGACATGTGGAGTAGCTGGAGTAACTAGAGTCCAGCGTGGATCTCTTCTCCACAGAGACGTTGACCTCTGGTCCAAATGACGTCGACGCCTTTGCGGACCTGGCTCCGGCTGGCTCGGATATTTCGTACCTGCTCTCCCCGAAGGAGCACATCTCCACTCCCTTTATCCACGGTTGATGGCATTGGGCACGATGAGAAACTGTTGTTACGCAGTTTCCATTTTTTCCCTTGTCTCTCGGGCATGCTGCCCGGATCCTCGTCATGGTACTGATCAACAATGTCTTGATTCGTAACGGTGTGATCCCAACCCACTGCCCGCTATAAAGATGCAACTGATCCCCCGGTCTTTGTACCTCACTCCATTCCAAGCAGCAAGCTCCTATATCCCAATCTAACGGTCTTTTTGCCCGACCGCTGCCTTTCTTTCGTTGACTAGGCTCTATTCGCTTTCGCTTGCCATGATGAAGACTTTCGTCACTCTTGCGGCTTTCGCTGCCGGCTCTAACGCCCTCGTTAGCCGCGGTGACAGCTGCTGCTTCCACCTCACTGCTTCCGGTGGTGCTTCTGGCTCCGTTGGCCAGCTGAGCGATGGCCAGAACCGCATTGGTGACAGCAGCTTATCACCTGCTCAGTACTGTATCAACTCGAGTGGTGGTATCACTGACAGCCACGGCCGTGGCTGTATCCTGACTCGTGAGTTTCTTTTGATGCATCAATGTGAATTATAAAAGCTAACAATGCGTCAGCCCCTACTACTCAGTTCCAGTGTGATCAGGGTGCCTCGCCTACCACGGGCTTCTCCGTCAGCTCCAGCGGCCAGCTGGAGTACAATGGCAGCCCTCAGTTCATTGCCTGTGAGACCGGTCAGAACCATGGCCTCAATATCTACACCAAGAACAGCACCGCCGTTACCCAGTGCGTGAACGTCAATCTGAAGGCCGACTCCTGCTCCGGCTCCGGCTCCGGTGCTGGTGCTTCCTCGTCTTCTGTTCCGGCTATGAGCTCGTGGGTCTCTACTCCTGCCCAGTCGGCTTCCGCTAGCTCTGCTCCCGCCAGCTCTGCTCCTGCTAGCTCTGCCCCCAGTGTCCCAGGCGGCCCTGTTAGCTCGGCGCAGTGCATGACCGGCTCGCCCGTGACTACTACCGTTACCGTCACTGACTGCTCCTGTGCCACCTCTGGTGCTCCCGTCCCTGGTGGTGGTGGCTCTTACCCTTCTGGCTCGAGCAGCGTCATGCCTTCCGGTCCCGCGGGCGGTTCTCAAGACACATCAACTGTCATGTCTACTCCCTCCGGCCCTGCTGGAGGCGCGCAGTCTTCTACCCCCACCGGCGGCTCTCAGCCCTCGACTATGACTAGCGTTCCCGTCAGCTCTGCCACAGCCCATGGTAGCTGCCCGACTACCCTGTCTAGCGACAACTACCAGTACCCGCACCTGATCATTCCCGTTGACTCCGCTTCGCCCAGCACTGCCCCCGGTACCTCGTACAACGGCACTGTGACCTCGACCATCTCGAGCATCTTCAACTTCGATATCCCCAAGGCCTACTCCGACAAGACCTGCAGCCTGGTCTTCCTCTTCCCCAAGAAGGCCGACCTCGAGACCTCCTCGTACAGCTTCAGCGGTGACGGCAAGATCGACGTCTCCAAGCTCTCTGCTGTCGCTTCGGAGTCGACTTCCTACAGCAACGCCCCCTCCGTTGCCCAGGATCTCGGTGACATTACCATCTCGCCCGGTAACAGCTACGTTGTCGACACCTTCGCCTGCCCTGCTGGTGAGGCCATCGCCTTCGAGATGAAGAACGCTGGCAGCACCAACCTTAACTTCTTCGAGGACTGGAACCCCTCTCCTCTGGGTCTGTTCATCACCAGCTGCTAAACGAGCAATTGATTTCCGGCACACTTAAAAAGGGTATACGACACCCGGAGTAATTAAGTGTTGTAAAGTTTGTTAATGCCTGTCAACGTGTTATGGCTTTTCTGCTTGGCTGCTGTGATCTGGACATGCAAGTATGCATACGGATCGACCTGCACAGGCGACATTTTCTCTTGCTGTATTAGTACAATTCATTCCTTTGACATACCATGGTTTTCGAAATCAGTTATTCTTATCCTTGAAAACTCGTACGACTTCATTCCCAAACAAGGAGGTTGAAACGCGCTAGTACCGAGATAGTAATACCACTCTGCTTCCCAACGACGAACGGCCAATCCAATGCTCCGCCTTGAGACAACGTGTGGTACTGGTAGGCTGTTCATGTGGGGACCAATTGCAAGGCTGCCGCTGTTGCAGGACGGCTTGATAAGCTGCTTAAAACCGGTTTGCCTGCTGTTCATTTTTCGATTTAATAATGTTCAGCTCATGTCCGATGATAAAGGGTTCACAGAGGGATGAATTTCGCACGGCAACGCCCGTATCTGGCAATTGCACCATGTGTCTTATTTCTCCTGGGCATTTTCATCTACTGGCGGCCACAGCCTGAAGTCCGCCGTCTGGGCCAGCCTTTTTCGAGCACATCTCACGAAAAGTTTCAATTCGACGGAGCATGGAACTACGAGCGCGACCGGGATAATCTGCTTCTTACGCAGGGACAATGCGATCAGGCATTTCCGGATTTATTTGCGGAAATTGACCGCGCGAGTGAAGCTCGCTCGCTCAATCCTATTACCATCCAGGAGCTCGACTCGATCACACCGCGAAATGGGTATATTCGTGCGATGATTTATGACCAGCAAGTAAGTGCTCGGAGCGCTTAGAAACTAGAAACGATCGCGTTTGAACTGTTATGCTGATACTCTTTTCCAAAAGCTATACATCATCGCCAAAGAAGGGTCTATCTGGTCGCGCGAAATCGCGACCCTCGCCGCCATCAATCGAGCTCTCGTCTCCTCGCCCGAACCTCTACCCAACATCGAATTTGTCTTCAACACCGACGATAGAATTGACCAAGCCGCCTTGTGGGGCTATGCCCGCCGCTCGGAAGATGACCTGATCTGGCTGATTCCCGATTTTGGATACTGGTCTTGGCCCGAGATCAAGGCTGGTTCGACGAAAGACATTCTCCTGAAGGTCGAGAGCGCCGAAAAGCAAGATGGCTGGACTTGGTCCAAAAAGGCTAAAAAGCTTCTGTGGCGCGGAGTCGCTCGCATGGGGCCCGAGATCCGCGATAAACTTCTTGAAGTGACGAATGGGAAGTCTTGGGCCGATGTCAAGGAGCTTGGGTGGGGAGACCCGGCTAGTATGAAAAACGATTATAAAACCATGCCGGAGCACTGCGATTATCAATACGTTGCACAAACAGAAGGGAACTCATATTCCGGCCGCCTAAAGTATCTGCAGATGTGTCGCAGCGTGATAGTTTCCCATAAGTTGGAGTGGATTCAGCATCACTACCACTTACTGCGATCATCGGGACCGGAGCAGAACTTTGTTGAAGTCGAGCGCGACTGGTCAGACTTGGAAAACAAGATGGATTGGCTCTTGTCTCATGAAAAGGATGCTCAGCGCATTGCGGATAACAACGTGAAGGTTTTCCGTGAGCGTTATCTCACACAAGCGGCGGAGGTGTGCTATTGGCGCCGTTTGATTCGACAGTGGGCCAAGGTCAGTGACTTTAAACCAGAGTTCTACAAAGAAGATGAGACTGGGAACAAGGTGTGGAGAGGCTTGAGTTTTGAAAGCTTCATGTTAATGCGGGCAATGGAATGGCAGACCTAGGGTTCCATTTGTTCCTAATATCTTTTCTGTGTTTTAATGCATTTATAGGCGGGCCCGGGTCGGTTAATAAAGATTCATATTAAGAACTCGAGCATGGTATCGAGAGACGCGTATACTACTTATTTCAAATTGATCAAGTATGGTGGAAGCACAAAGTGCTCACACTTGTAGCTCCCGATTCAAGAGGGGCCTGGAACCGAGTCAACAAGGCCGGGGTCGATGCTCGTCTTCGAATATAGGAAATACCTACCTCGGCCAAAACATGTATTGCCAGCTATTTCTTTTTTAGTAAGAAGCCATTAAAAGTGATGTAACCGGATCTTGTTCTCTATGTAACATCATCTTACCAGGAGGGACGATGTTTATTTAACCTGCAGTTTTCTGTACATTACGCTCCGTCTGTTTTCAATACGTAGACTGAGCAAAAGTCAATTCGCTGTTTCATCGTCAACCCCTAACAAATTTTGAACTCAATCGCATTTTAGTACAATCATTACGATGACTGTTCTGCTAAAATTATAGCGAGGTGAGCTGAAATGGATAAACGCATTTCGGATTTATTTCCTAGGAATTAAGTCAAAAGTGTATGGAGGTATAACTGATCCGAGAACGACTGTACCTGCTTATTGTCTAATTTTGGCAAGAAGTCCAATAGCTCTGACCAGCTGTTTCATCTTGTAGCTACGTACAGCAAAGAGTCCATATTCAAATGATGGTGCCTAGAGTCGGTGGATCAGTCAATGCCGAGGCCCAAATACTGTGTAACACGCTTCCTAAAAATAAAACATGGTCAGCACTAGATACATTTGCTGACCTTGTGCGTTCTCCTAATGTGTTGCGCTACAGCATTCCGTTCTGAAGGTGCAAATTCAAGTCAGCACCGAGGTTCTAGGCCTGTAAAGGACCCTCGAATTACTCCGAATATTGAAAAACACGTTTAAATCGCCATTCTCCGAAGCGGAAAATGCTTACAGTGCCAGTCTGGGCTTTGATTCATGAATCGCAATAAGGACACAAAGAGACCGGTCAAAGAGCAAAGTGAAGACGAGTCTAATTCAGTAAAAAGTGCCCTGCGCCAAGGGGGCGCTGCGCCATCGGTCGGTCGCGCTCTAATTAGCAGTTAGGCACGCGACCAGGCATCTTCAATTTTTTTATTTTTTTTTTAAAGTTACAAGTACTTGTTATTTACTTCCCTCGTTCCTAAGTCGTTCTCCAATCCCTTAACGATGGAGATCCCGGCCAAATTGCCCTTCTCCAAGCGGCGGCTGCGCCCGCGTGTTGTGCTCTCGTGAGTTAGTTTCTTTCCCCGCGGAATGTACCGAACTAACGCTGTGACCTCGCTTTAGATACATCTTCGACTACGTGATCCTCATGTGAGTATAAATACCTTAGACCACTCGGTATCTCTCTGGCTTTACGCTAACCCTATATAGCGCCTGCGTTATCGGCTTCTGGATCCTCGACTCTATCGAACCTTTCCACCAGCACTTTTCCCTCACCAACATCTCCCTCCAATACCCCTACGCCGTCCACGAACGCATCCCTATCGCCTACGCCCTCTGCATCTCCGGTGCCTTTCCCCTCGTCCTCATTATCGTCTACACCCTCTTCCTCGATGGCCTGTTCTCCCACCATAAACCGCAGGACCCTATCTCCGGGAAGCGCAAGCTGCGCGGTCCCTGGCGCTGGAAGGATCGCTTGTGGGAGATGAATTGTGGTATACTGGGACTACTCCTATCGCAGGGATTTGCCTTTGTGATTACACAGGTCCTGAAGAATGCCTGCGGCAAGCCCAGACCCGATCTGATCGACCGCTGCCAGCCACGGCCTGGGAGTGCCGATTTGACGCCGTACGGGTTGTCAAATTCTACAATCTGTACTGGCGAGGCGGCGCTGATCAAGGATGGGTTCCGGTCGTGGCCTTCGGGCCATAGTAGCTGTGAGTCATGTCTTGGAATGCGTTGAAGAGCGCGAGACTAACCTGAACTTCTCGAACAGCCTCCTTCGCCGGATTATTCTACACGTCGCTGTGGCTGGGTGGAAAGCTCCATATAATGGACAACCGTGGTGAGAGTTGGAAGACACTGCTCGTCATGGTGCCGATCCTTGCAGCAACCCTCGTCGCCGTGTCTCGCATTATGGACGCCCGGCACCACCCTTTCGACGTCATCACCGGCTCGTTACTAGGTGTTGTCTGCGCCATTGTGTCCTATCACCAGTACTTTCCTCCGCTCGCCGAGGCCTGGCGCAAGGGCCGCGCATACCCAATCCGTACTTGGGGCTCTGAGCCCGCCCACCCCGTGCACGGGAAGATGGATTCGGAGAGTGAAGGCACAGCTCCGCTGCGCGATCTCGACTCGAATCGATTGAATTTCCGAGGTCTTCGCGAACCGTCAGAGTCCCCCAACTTACCAGTCTCCGCAGCGTCGGGGTACGGTGGTAACCCTTACGCACCTTCAGCGTACCACCGTCGCTCGCACGACCATGACCCGGATGGAAACTGGTCCTCTAGCGAGGACGACGTGGGTAACGGATATGAGATGCAGCAGGGTTATGCGAGAACTGCGAATCCTGCTACTAGAGGCTATTCCCCACCGTTTGACACCAATACGGCATACGCTTCTCAGACTCAGGTATCACCGGCGGGTATCCATCGCCCGCCGGAGGTGGTTGTAAGCCGTTCCGACCGTGGGCGGCGGTCGTCTGACGTACAGGTTGGGCATGCGTAGGCGAGCGTTTGTTATTGGACGTCAGTGCATTGCATTAAAATTGCCTTGGAGTTACCTGTCTTAGAGCATTCGCATGATGATGGCTGGTATGAGTGTAAATATCGGAGTTAGGGAAATGTATCTTACCGACACTATTTTATTGACATTTGCTCCGCACGTTTACATTGACAGGACCTAGATAAACGGAATCTACAGTCCCGAAGCTACTGCTATTCACACGTCGATTGGCTCCGACCGTGGCTCCGACCACGGCTCCACACGGCAGTGGGTTGCCATTCCAACAAGTACAAAGTCGAATAGGATCAACAATCAATCAGATGCGAGACATTGATTAAAGAGATGGCGGGGCATCCACTAGTCTCATCGCAGCCCAATCTTAGCCCGGCCTCGACCTGTCGGACACGTTGAAAAAAGTCCGTTGCCCCAGCCACCCACTAGGACTGCGCTGACAGGCCCAGCCTCCCATCGGCGGCGCCCCTCCAGCGCAAGATGACGGCACCGTCGGTCTTTATCTTTTTTTCTATTCCCCTCGGCCCTCTTTCTTCTGTATTCCTCTCTTTGACTCTAGGTGCATACTGCGTCTGCACACGTTGCGATCGCAATTCTTCTGCATCGCGCGCGGTGGAGCTTGACTTCGTACCAAGTACCCAGCCAAGCGCATCAGTACAGCTCGATTCCCAATTCCCCATCGCATTTCGCATTCCTCAGATCGAGTCTCCAAACTCTCGCTGTCTGACAGCCCACCCGCCACCATGATTGGCAGTTTATTCTTCATCTTCAACCGGATCGTGGAGATCATTTTCCTGATCCCCATCATCGGCATGATGGTAAGTCTCTATACTCTGCGACAGTACCTGTCCCACAGCTCACCATTTCCAGGCCTGGTTTGTCCACGGCTACCTCCAAGCGAACATGCTCACACCAGCCTACATCCTGATCCTCTTCATCACCTCCGTCATCGCCATCTTCTGGGCCCTCGACACCCTAATCCGCTTTAGCACAACCAAACGCTCCGCAATATTCGTCGCCTTCGTCGACATGCTCTTCTTCGGCGCCTTCATTGCCGGCGTCTATCAACTGCGCTTCATCGCAAATGCAAACTGCTCCCACTGGGACGGCGGCTCTGTCTGGGTTTCCCTTGGCCCGTTCGGCGAGTACGGTACCCGCACTGATAACCCATTGTCGCTTCACGTGAACAAGTCCTGTGCCATGCTGAAGACTTGTTTCGCGCTGGGTATTATGGAGATTGTTTTCTTCATTTGGACTGCCTTCCTGGCGCTGTTCTTGCATAGCCGTGACCGGGATCGTGTCGTTGTTAAGGAGACGGTGCGCCGGCGCAGTCATTCTAGTCGGCGGGGTCACTCTAGTTCTCATCGTCGTCGGAGCTCTAGTAGGCGGCCGGCTTATGTTGTCTAGCCCTGCCAAAAGGTTGTGCAGGAAGGACTTTTTCTTATTACTTTTTTCGTTTCTTTTGGGGATTTCAACGTTTTTCTTATGATCTTATGAGGAGATGATACGACTTGACTAATGAGGATATGTGTGCGAATGATCTGTATATGGTCTGAGGGAATTTCCGAAAAACCATCTGATGTGGAATGATATCTTGTTCGATGGACAGCTGGTGTTTGATGGATCGAAGGGTTTTGGTAGCTACATCTTGTCTCCAATTAGAACTTCAATTTTCCAACCCGACTCTCACTTCCTATCTCAAGGAGATTAATAGCATACTAGAAGACCGGAATTGATATTATTAGACAGGAAGACTACACAACATGTTTTGTAGTCTGCTAGTCTTCGCCTTGCACTACTTGCTATTTATACCCCACCCTCCAGCCTACCTGAGCCAAGATCCCTTCAAAGGGGTTGGCCTTACCCGATCTGGAGGACATGCAGACTGTGATCAATTATCCTGGCACCGATTTTGTATATCTGTGAAGTATATCATGCACACTCGGGTACAATGTCATGAACAAAGAGCAACGGGAGCGGCGATAACGCTCCCCCCGCACCTCCTCTCAACACTCGTTAACATGACTCGCGGGGCAGCCTCGACCATCCAACCCTCAAGATGAATGTCACGAAACACCCACGAGACAATCCACCATTAGAAGAGCTATCGGACGTGATTCAGAAATCACTCGAGGCCAGCTTCGCTAATGCCACTACCAGCGTCGTGCAGTGTCCGGATCTGCGCCAGCCACCCTTCAACCTTGCTGCGCCAGGTCTCTCGGGTAAACCATGCATTGCAGATATCGGCGGACAGCCCAATCTCTTTCCAACACCCAATGTCAATGCAAAATATTCTCTTCTATCTCTGGCGAAGGACATGCAAATGTCACCTACGGAAGGGTTTCTTCTCGGCGCCGGAGCGGCTCCATTTCATGACATTGGCCACAACGCCGAACTGGCACCCAATATATCGTGGAAATCCAAAACAGAATCACCAGGTTTCAACGATATTACCTCGATAAGTATAAACAATGAGACTCGTGTCATTCAAGTCGGCCAAGATGGTACCCAGTCGTGCGAAAGAAGCCCAAGTGCAAATTGTGCCTTGATGATGAATCTCTACGGATCCAACGGGAACACCGGACCAGTCCTAAAAATCACCGCGAAAGCACGCACCGGTGAACTGAATTTCACAAACTGCATCCGCTTGAGTCTACGCGATTTCTACGGCGACTCAAGACCGATTAGCCTCGGCGGTGCATTCCTGTTGAAGTCCGGAAAAGCCAAGTTCCATGTCATGCCTGATTTCCCTGATCCGGATAACCTACCATTCCGCGATCGTACTCAATTGGAGAAGGAGTGGCTCACATATCATGTTTTTGATGCTCCGGTGGTGTGTTTGACTGTCATGCATAGTGCTGATCCCGAGGGGCTGCGGTTGAGGATGGAGCATACGCATTGCTTTGATGCTGATGGGAATCGAAAGGGGGGACATTATCACTATGATGTCGCAGATGGAGGGGATGTGGAGTATGAAGCGTACTTGCATCCTGCTTCCATCCTTTATCGCATTGATCAACCGATGGCCTAGCTTCGAGTTGTATGCTTAACACATGCGATATGCGTCCATATAAACCAGGAAAAGTTGATCTCGTAACTCGGTCCCATTCACAGGCAAAGCCGCTACAGAATTTTATTCTTTTAATTACAAATACTTGTGTATCCATTCGTCCTTCCCTAGCTCCTTAGCGGAGCTACGCTTGCCAGGCTCCCACTGTAGCATTTTTCGCATTAGGCATAAAAAAGCCTCTCTCTCCTCTTCTCCCTCGAGAGTAGTTTCCCGCTCCTCAAGCGGAACCTGATCCTTTAATAAATTTTTAGTGCGAAAGTCACCTAGAGAGTCGTACATAGTTAGCGGATTTTGATACCAGAGTTTACAAGAAGCTTGACGTGCCTTCCTCTAAGAAAAATATGTCTCTTAGCTCTCCTTGGGTAAGAAGACTAGGCGGCGGGGGACCAAGAAGATTTATCATGTCAGCCAGGTGGGCTCGACTTCGGTACGTCTGAAATTCGGGGTCTTGGTCGGTGAACAAGGAACCGCCTTCGTAAATGTCCCAAATCTATGACCTAGCTTTTAGCAAGTTTCGTACCATAATACTCAGGCTCTTTATCATCCCATGCATTCCACATTCCATATATCGACGCTGTACGTCCACGGAACTCCTAGAATCTCTTCCGGTGCTCGATAGATATTAGGTTGAATGAATTCTGTGTGGTTTTGGTTACCGAGCACGGCCGAACCAAAATCGCATAGGACTGGGGCACCCAAATCATTCGGCATCCTGAGATCCCGGGACATGTAGATTGTTCGCCCGTTCATGTCTACCTCCTTCCTCGGAACAGGGCGTTGAAGCTCCTTCTCTTCGAAGTCGCTAAAGACAGAATCATCGTTGATGCCGAGCATGATATTATCGGCCTTTATATCTAATAGAAAATAGGTAAGTAAATTATAGAATTAGGGGAGATAGATCGGGCTACAAACCAATATATATGATCTGGCACTCCGTATGTAGATAATCCAACGCCAAAAACAGGCGCCGAAGTACAAACGCTACGATCGCTGAAGGCAACCTCTCTACCGGGTTGCGGCGTAAGAAAGTCAAAACACTGTCCCATAATGGGGGATGCACAAGGCGTCGGTGCTGGCCTTCAGGCCCATCGATTTAAAAAGTATCAAGTAACGTTCTGACGGCGTCACGACCGGGATGGCCTTTTGGAGATTGCTCCATGTGTCTATATATCTTGAGCTCATCATCCACTAGCTGGCCCATAAATGAAGCCTGGACGAAGATTTTGAGCATAACATAACGATGGCCACTATAATTGTCGTAGATAAGTATACTAGATCCGAGTTGTTGTTAATCAAGAGAGATCTCACTTCATGTCCCGTGCAAGCCACGCAGTTGAGGTAGATCCAAAACCCAATTTGCCTACGACTTGATATTGCTCCTTGATGATTTCTCCTATTCGAGTAGGATAATACCGGGAAGCGATATAGAATCGATATAGGGCGCAATTCAGCTCAAATAATTATAAATCTTCAAAAATTGATCCTCCCCGCAACCATTGGCCCTGTGCACACCAGGCCTCACGAGTACGTACTGTAGAAAGACAAGTAACGAGCTCCCGCTATATGATTGGCTCTGTTTGAAGATATCTGCATTTGATTACAAGCGTACCTTCACGTGTACAATAGATATTTCTGCACAAATACGGTTAAATGCATGTTGTTGAACGATGAGATACTAAAATCCTCGTAATAGCACCGCTCACGACTGCCCAGCAACAACCGCGGGAGTAGAAACACTCGCGTTTTCATCCATGCGCGTAAAGGGCGCCGCAAAGCCATAAGTCCTGTATCCGGCCGAGTAATCCTTCCCTTCCACACGCTCATGCTCGGGCGGGAAGTTCTCGATCCTATGCTTGTAATACCTCTCCCTCAAATCCAACCCATCACTCTTAGAGTGGAAAGTAGCATATAGGCTCGACCGACTCTTCTCCGTCTTGTTTTCGGCAGACCTGTGCGCGAGATGCGAGCCGAAAACCAACATGTCGCCAGCCTCCAGTGGTATGGAGAGCCATTCGTGAGTGTTTTCCCACTCGGGCTTGATACATCCGTGCTTGGCAAACTCGATTTCCATTTTGTGAGAGCCTGGAACGACTTCCAGACAGCCGTTTTCGATTGTTGCGGCGTCGATGGCTATGTTGGCGGTGACGTGCTCAATGCGCCCGATATGGTCGTAGGCTGGGGCATCCAGGTGAGCTTGGAAGCCATTGCCGTGGGGTTGTTTGTAGTTGATTTTGTCTTTGAAGAGGAGCATGTCCTGTCGTTTTCTTAGAAATTGTTCCAGTTCCATGTTTGGTTAGGAATTGACTTACGTCGCCGGACACGGCCTTGAGGATTTGACCCAGTTTCTCGCCGCATACGAGGTCCTTGTACTGGGGGTGGAAGTCAATGAAGCGTTCGGTGCGCATGAGCTGGCGCTCGCCATTGATGTTGATCTCGTCGTATGGCATCCATTTGCCCTTGACACGAGGCCAGGCCTTGATTTCTTCGGTCCATTGTTTCAGGGCTGTTGGGTCCACGAGTTGATGCTCGTGTGCGCGCAAAAGGAGAAAGCCATTTTTGTGGTAAGAAGCCACTTGCTCTGGGGTGAGGGGATTCATGCTGGGGATGGATTAATAAGAAAGGTTGAATTGTAAAAAAAAATCATCTCAGATGCGCGGGTGCTAAAGTGAGTTAAATATACAGCTTCAGGTCTCGGGGTCTTACTCCACAACCCTTGAAATAAGGACACTCCGACAAATTGATCCACAATTCTCCTGTCAGAGCCCCATCGGCGTTTCCGTGCAGCGCCGTCACTGAACAATCAGCCAGTGTCGATTTAGTGATTCAGCACGGACCGCCGGGCTTCGTGCCGGAGATCTGCGCGTTCCAAGGTTGGCTTTGACCCGCGCTGAATCACGGCGCTGCACCGTGCACGTGGGCAGGTGGTTTGTTTTACTAACGGACTTCGTGCCTTGAGCTAATCATGGACTGTTTATTTGAGCGGATCTAGTTACTCGCAAAGGAAAGGGCTGTTATCCCAAGAACAAATTCAAAAAAACTATCGGCAACTACGTCCCGCTGAGACCGAATTCGCCACTATGAACCTCAAAATGCCATCCATTCAGTACGATCAGCCACTTGAATCCGTCCAAGAGCATGCTAGATCAACAATCAAATCACTCTTCGCCTTTCTCCACGCCCAAGGCCAAGGAGACTACCTCGGTGAGCGAGTAACACAACTCGAGCATTCACTGCAATGCGCCCATCTGGCGACCGAGTCCGCAGAATACGGACACGATATTGAAGTAATCCTGGCTGCACTTCTGCACGATGTCGGACGCTTCATTCCGGCCGCAGAGAAAATGGGCAAGATGGTTACTCCCGACGGGCAATACATTGGCCGACAGAGCCATGAGATCCTGGGCGAGTCTTATCTGCGTTCAATCGGATTCAGCGAGAGAGTATGCCAGCTGGTTGGTTCGCATGTCATGGCAAAGAGATATTTGGTTGCTACCGATCAGACCTACCATGATGGACTTAGTGAGACTAGTAAGCGCACTTTGCGCTTCCAGGTATGGCCATATTCTATGGACGAGATAGGATAAAAGGCTAACGCGAGACAGGGCGGAGGGTTCACTGAAGACCAGATTACAGAGGCACGAAAGGATCCGTGGCTTGAAGCCAAGTTGGCCGTGAGACGATGGGATGACTTGGCCAAAAAGCCAGATTTGATTGTACCCCCGCTGGAAGTGTACGAAGAGATGGCTTACGAATGCCTTTTGGGTAAGCACCGAAAGACCTTTCAAAAATGGCTCTTACTAACGTGATTATGAGAATCCCGGTCTAAATTTCGATTGCACTCGAAAGAATACCGCATTCCAACTCAGCCAACCGTGGTGATTTGTATCGACGGATTCGACCCCGAGTATTTGCAATCCGGCTTTGAAAGAGGTCTTCTGCCCAATTTCAAGAAACTTGTCGATGGTGGATTCCATGCGACTGCTAAAAGCTGTATGCCTTCGTTCACCAATCCGAACAATGTCTCCATCATCACTGGTGCGCCGCCTTCGGTTCATGGGATTGCAGGGAACTTTTTCCTTGACCGAGAGACCGGTGAAACGAAGATGATCACAGATGATTCCCTGCTGAGAGGGTCTACCCTACTCGAGCAGATGTACCAGAGAGGCGTTCGTATTGCAGCTATTACTGCCAAGGACAAGCTGCGCAAGATCCTTGCCCACGGCTTGAACACCGGCGCTGTATGTTTCTCTGCAGAACGTGCGGCAGACTGCACATTTGAGGAGAACGGAATCACCGACGTTGAAGAGTGGCTTGGCCAGCCAGCCCCGAGCCAATACTCCGGCACATTATCTTTGTTCGTCCTGGATGCGGGTATCAAATTGCTGCAGGAAAAAAACTCGGACTTCTTGTACCTGACTCTGTCCGACTACATCCAGCACAAGTACGCACCTGGAAGCAAAGAGGCTGATGAATTCATGAGCGCTATTGACGCGCGGCTTGGTGCTCTCACCAATTTGGCACCAGTCGTTGGCGTCACTGGAGACCATGGAATGAGTCAAAAGTCGAATCTGGCTGGAGAGCCAAACGTGCTATTTCTCGAAGAAGCTCTGAACGACAACTTCGGCACCGATGCATCCAGGGTGATCTGCCCCATCACAGATCCGTTTGTCCGACATCACGGTGCACTCGGATCCTTTGTACGTGTCTATTTGAAAGATCTTGCACAGCTGGAGCCTATGCTCGCGCATTGCCGCTCACTTCCCGAGATCGAAGAAGCGCTGAGTGGGGAGAATGCCGCAAAGAAGTATGAAATGCCTCTAGATCGGGAAGGCGACATTGTGGTGATTTCCAAACCGCATGCCGTTATTGGAAGCAAGAAAGCCGACCATGATCTTTCAAAAGTGAAAGATCATCCTTTACGATCACACGGTGGTCTCAGCGAACAAGAGATTCCACTCATCATGACGAAACCGGTCCACCCATCCAAGATGGCTCCGGCAAAACAATGGAGGAACTACGACGTCTTTGATCTTGTGCTCAATTGGTCGTCATGATATTCGTCTAAACAGGTGGACCCAAAGGACGTCCTGAAGAACCAATCGATGTACTATAGTGAAGCCACCAGTCATCCACGTCAGGGAAGTTAGTCTGAAAATCAAAACTTGCCATGTTTCCCATCCAGGCTAGGTCAAGTTGTGCATGCGTATCCAGTAATGGAGAGGGCTGGTAGGCTGTCTGCTGGGTTGTCTGACCCGGGACCTGGCATCTAGCCAAGAGCCTTCCCAATCCCTCGGCGATGACAACGAGCAGATGCTGTCGGTGCATGGTCTGTGTAACCTCACATAAGGCAGAGACTGTCTGGGTAACGAGGGATAGAATCTTGGTTGTGTCAATCCTGATGACGGTCGCGTACTTGGTAGCAACCTTGAGTAAGAAGACTACTGCAAATGCAAGCATAGTGTCAAAGTATAACGGGAGACCGTTCATGAATGAGCGGAATTCGTCGTCGGATACAATCACACGTAGGATTGACATTGCAGATAAGACGCCGGTGTTGGCGATTTCTTCCAGTTCTGGTGTAAAACAAGCGCTCTCGGCGGCGGGAACCCCGCGGAATGCGTGCGAGCAAAGATAAAGCTTCGCGAAATGGAAGTGGAAACCCACGCCCTTGGCGGGATAATTTCCCACTCGTCGGTTTTCTTGAAAACTCTGGTGCCAGTCTGCAAACCATGTATCCAAGGCGATGGAGTATCGGCGGAGTTGGGGAATTGTTTGGGGAGGAATGGCCGTATCGACGTCTACGCCGAATGTATCATAGACTTGGGCCAGTAAAGACCACTCTTTCACTTGGCTAATCAACCTGGCATCGTCCTCGGTCGCATGCTCAGTGTCCAAAAGCCGGCTGGCAGAGTCGATGATGAAGCCTTCGCGTGACATTGGTGGTCTACCGTAGGCGACCGAGAAGTGGTGATCGCAAACATAGACCAGGTAATAGAGTCGGGCTTGACTGTAGCCCTCCCGGTCACCCTTCAAGGCTTTGTAGATCCCACTGTGGAGATTTATGTCGGACGCCACTCGCACAGCTGTTACCGTTAGCAGTGTTTTCGATATTGACTAGGACCAAACATACCATTTCCAATCAACGCCCAAGAGAGTTCATGCAGCCAGAATGCCCCAATACACAGTCCCCGAATATCGTCCTCATTGGCAGTCCTTGAAAACGTCTGCGTCGCAACTAAGCCTTTGTACTCCGCATAGCACGTCTCAAACAGATACCCCAAAGACGGTGAATGGAGAGAGCCGACGGTGCAGACCGCCGCCGTCAACAGTGGCGATGCAATTCGCACCGAGTTCAGGCTGATATGGTCGCCAAGAATGCGATACAAAAAATGATCCAATCGTAGATGGTAGGTGTCAAATAATGCCGATGCCTGTCGTAACGTAATCAACCCGGTCGATATCAGATCTGAGTGGCCTGACGTTGGCAAGCTACTCGGTAGCCCTGCTCGAACACTCTCCGAGACACATGAAGCCGGTATTGAACCAGGCCCGCCGTGGGGATCCATGACCACTTCCCAGGTCTGTGGTAGATCTCGGTTATCTCCTGTTTGAGATTTCGAGGTTGAGTCTAGGGCCTCGGCGTTGGCCATTTCCACCACAGGTGGACTTATAGAGTCCGCAAGTTCTTCAGATTGTGCCTGTAGCTCGGGCATGTCGATTTTTTTTGCGATCTTTGCGATTGATTCTTCCAAATTTTTGATTTTCAGAGATACCGCTCCTCTCCATCTACGGTTATTTAGCCTTTAGCCTAGCTGTTCAAGATATAGAATAGAATACTCACGTCACGTCTTCCTCTAACAATGTTTGCAGACTCCTGTTGACTGTGCAGGGTAAACCTCTCTTCTTGCATCGCGAGCATGGTGTCTGTCCCTCTCTCATATGACATTTGATCTAACTGGTATTAGCGGGGTTCTCACGGGACACGAGAGGAACAACCTTTTGCTTGCGACATGCCACACAGGCAGTGATCTTTCGAGTGATATCCGGCGGCTTACGATCACCGAAGGACTCCCGCAAAGCACTAACGGCCGGCGGTGATGGGAGCGACACATCCATCGTAGACCGCTATGTGGGCACCCGTCCGTCACTCTGTTGACACTCAGATCTGAGTCCCGTCCGGGCTCGACGTCGGCTAGTGTATCTGTAGATCTTCAAATCCGGACAAATCAGAATCAGGTCAACGAGTATGCAATCTAGAGCATCTAGACTCTCGATCCTGGAATCGCTGAAGGACTTCGCACCGAAGATATAGTCGGACGACGGAGAGAGGCCGACCGCACGTGGGGACGGGAGTGGCCAGCGCGCGTCCCCACACACGGCCGTCGCCCGTCGGGTGGCGGCTTTCATCGCGCGCGTTCCGTGCGTGCCCACAACGTGACGATGCTCGTCTTCCTCATTGCATATCGTCGAGCTTTGACTCGAGATATCGTTGAAGACGGATTGATACTTCCCTTCGCACGTTTGTGCGGTCTTTGTGCCGAGCAATCTATCAAGCTGCGACGCATCATCGCCTTGACGGAGTGATGATTGTGTATAAATTTCACGTAAACTCTTCTATACCGAAAAATCAGGATGCCTCACTGCGCAGAACTTCAGTCTCCAGCTTGTCCGAACAGTCCCTGATTTTAACATTTGCACTCACTAACTGAACCTTTTACTTCTTCGATGGCTTCTCTGGGGTCAAAGATCCGGTTTTTAATAACAGCCGGTGTTGGGTTCTTTGGCGATGGCTACTTGAACTTAACAATTGGACTTGGTATGTGAATATCCATCTTTTGAGGAACGAGACTAACAGTAAGCAGTCGTTCCTGTTTTGGGATACCTCTATTACCAAGATGGCAAGGTGCCCACCGTCGCCAGTGATGTGATCAAGGGTGGCCTCAGTCTGGGCATGGTCATTGGCCAGCTCATCTTTGGCGTACTCAGTGATGTCTGCGGTCGCCATACAATTTACGGGAAAGAGTTGATTCTCACGATTTTTGGAACATTAATGGTCATTCTGTTGCCATGGAAGGGAATGAGTGCCCATTCTGTGACGGCATGGGTAGCAGTATTCCGCGTTGTGACGGGTGTAGGAATCGGTGCCGGTGAGTATCTCATGTATAATCCCAGATGTCTCTACTGATGCATGACAGACTACCCCCTCTCCTCATCTTTGTCGGCAGAAAAGTCGCCCTTTGGTTCTCGTGCCACGCAAGTCCTGACGGTCTTCTCAAATATTGGCCTCGGAAACATTGTCGCCGGTATCGTCTTTCTCATTCTGCTCAAGGCCTTTGAAGGTTCTATTGCGGATAACCAGAATCATTTGGGATGGGTCTGGCGACTCCTGCTTGGCATCGGCATTGTACCGGCTGTCTTTACTCTCTATGCACGGTTGACCATCGCAGAGACTCTACCCTACAAACACTGTGAGGATGCCCCCAAAGACCAGCTCGAACTCTACTGACGTTTGAACAGATGTGTGCGATGAGTCCACCGGACAGAAGCGTGGCTTCAACAAGCAGTGGAAAGACTTCCGGGAATATTTCAGTCAATGGAAACACGCCAAAGTCCTCTTTGCAACGGCCGCTTCTTGGTTCCTCTTGTTAGTTCACGTTCTCTCCACAGCGCAATGATATGACTGACCATCCCAGTGACATCGCATACTACGGAATAAACCTCAACCAAAGTATCATCCTGGCTCGAATTGGATACGCCAAGGGGGCAACGCCCTTTCAGACTCTGTACAACACCGCCGTCGGGAATATCATCGTCCAGGCCGCTGTAAGTCAACAGTTGTTCCCCTCTCCAATCCAATATTAATAGGTGACATAGGGGTTTTGTCCCGGATTCTACGTCGGCATCTTCCTCCCCGACCGTATTGGTCGTGTCCGTCAACAACTCTACTCTTGCATTGCTGTTTGCATTTTATACGCGATCTGGGCTGGAATCAGTTCGCCCGGTGCCCATACTTCAACTGCCGGCCTCATGGTGATATTTACCATCTCTCAGTTCATGTTGACGGTCGGTCCGAACTGCACGACGTTCCTGATTCCGGCCGAGGTATTCCCAACACGCGTGCGTGGTACCGCTCACGGTATCTCCGCTGCAGCTGGGAAATGTGGTGCGATTCTCACGTCTTTTGCCTTTGGAACTGTCGAGGATGCTATTAGCTTGGAGGGTGTTTTGGGCTTGTTCTCGGGTGTGATGTTACTCACTGCATTGGTCACGCTGTTGATACCCGAGGCTAAGGGCCAGTCGCTTGAAGGTATTGAGAGCGGTGCTCTGTATGGTGACTATGACAATATTGAAAACAGCATCGACTCTTCGGTTACTGGCAGTGTAACCCAGATACACGTTAACACGGCTGGGAGCGGGTCCATTGACAAGGTGCTTTAGCTAAACTTTATTTAATTACAATATTGTGATTCATAGTTGAGGGAGTAATTGAATCCAAGTGTCAGTTTTCCCCTTTCAAAGTCTGAAAACCGACAACCATATCGGGTTCGCCGTGGCCCCCATTGACTGCGCTGTAATGCTGTAATCATTGGATAAAGCTCCGGAATGATTGAGTCAATAGCAACTGGGAAATAGCCCGGGTACCCTCCTTCCAGGACCTGAGAAATATTGCCATGATTGAAGGATATATCCATTGCAACTACCCAAGGCTCTTCGCTTACCACGGGTTCCAGGAGCGAGTCCTTGAGATTTGTGTGGACAACTAGAACCACAGTATTTGGCGCAGGTTATCCAGTGTAGCAGCTCGGAGGCGCTCTTGGGTCCACCCAGGTGGCACGAGGACATTTTCGACCCCGCTTGGAGAGATCTTGGCGCAGTGAAGACTCAGATCCTTCGGATAGGCCTTCAGAAGGGATTTTAAGGGCAACTCGTCGTGGCGACCCTCAGGGACTACCTAGGCCCAAACTGGTTAGCTGAACAAAGCTCAAAAGACCAATCATAGGGCCCTCTTATAGAGCGCGACATGTTGCGACACAATTCAATTTTTAGTTCGAGAAATCAGACGACATGTGCTTCTTCGTTCACTATTCCTTGCTCTGTCTGAGCGGAGATCGGACACGTCGTGGTATAAGAAAAATCTCGGAGGCTGGCGACTAGCGCGGAGGCTACTCATGCACCTCGGGATCTACCGTGGTTCCCCTTGCGCCCTACGGCACTTTCGATCCATAGGCTTAAGAATTTGGACTACAAACTACCAATTGATGGGAGATAAGAAACTGACATATATTCGCTTGGAGATAAGTACGATCAATCAGAACACTGATGCTCGCTGCTCAACGAAGACATAACTCAATCATTGTCGATGGACCACCCTCGTTATCTCAAAGACACTGGTGCCTATATGCCCCGTACATAATGGACCCATTGATAACTGACAGAGGCAGCTTACCCCGCGCGTACGTGATTCCATCTTATAATCGGATCCACCGAGGATCTTCAAGCTGGCCTCCAATCTGGGGGTACCGGCCCGGGTACCTGCCCGCACATCCCCCAGTTTCGTCATGGGAGCGCATATGGCCGCTAAGTTATACGCTCGGAGAGGTCCGTGGACGAACAAGCTCTTTAAGTTCAAGCTACATGGTCAATTGCCATCGATCATCGAGGTGCTCGTGGATGATCCTCCGTGGATTTCGCTCCAATTTGCTCTTTTTAGTCATAGATGTGGATCCGATAGGCGTCCACCGGCCCGGCGAGCTGCGATTGCGGAGACCCCAGATGACTCCCGAGGAAAAGGCGAGCTATTTTATAATTCTTTCCCCAGATTGTTACCGTACTTCCATTGAGACTCCCGATAAGCGGTCTAATTTGCTGTTAATCATTGTTGCGGTTCAATTGCCCTCCATACTTCCCCTACAGCCAGATATGAACCAAGACGACGAGGTTACCAGCGCACACAGCCATGGTGAAACTGAGAGCAAGAACATTAAGCAATCAAAAGACCAGCACGATGGTGCGACCAATGAATATGACTTCGACTCGGAGGAAAAACAAGTAATCGGTGAATCAGCCCCGTTGCCCGAATTGCAACGAAAGCTGAAGAGTCGTCACCTGTCCATGATCGCCATTGGTAAGAAAGCATCTTACTCTCTTCTTTGGATGGCTTGAGATTTCTGTTCTAACAAACTTCTAGGTGGCACAATCGGAACGGGTCTATTCATCGGCAGTGGAACAGCCATCGCCTACGCTGGGCCCGTTGGTGCATTGCTTGCATTCCTGTTCGTCGGAAGTATTGTATTTTCCGTCATGACAGCACTCGGAGAGGTTGCTACATTCCTACCCATCCCAGGAGCATTCGCCTCGTATGCCACGCGCCTGGTCGACCCCAGCCTAGGCTTCGCAATGGGTTGGATATACTGGTTCTCATGGGCGTCAACGTTCGCCCTCGAATTGACTGCCACCGGTCTCATCATCCAATACTGGGAGAACACGCTCCCCATCGCTGGATTCATCGCCCTTTTCTGGGTCATTATTATCGGTCTGAATATGTTGCCTGTCAGCTGCTACGGTGAGACAGAGTTCTGGCTATCAAGCGTCAAAGTCTTGACCGTGGTCGGGTTTATGATTTTCGCGATTTGCATGAATGCCGGTGTCGGCGATGAAGGCTATATTGGCTTCAAGTATTGGGTTAACCCAGGACCATTCAATGCCTACCTCCTTGAAGACCCTAACCAGGATGCTCTGGCTAAGTTCCTTGGTTTCTGGGCAGTTCTCATCAAGGCCGCTTTCTCGTACCAAGGCACGGAGCTCGTCGGTATTGCTGCCGGTGAGACGGAAAATCCTCGCAAGAGCGTGCCAAGCGCTATTCGGAAAACCTTCTTCCGTATTATTTTCTTCTTCGTGTTGACGATCTTCTTTATCGGAATCGTCGTGCCATCCGATGATAGCCGTCTCACGGCTAGCGAAGGCAGTGGAGCAAGTGCTAACAATGCAAACGCATCGCCCTTTGTGATCGCTGCTAATCGCGCCGGCGTTAAAGTTCTGCCCGGCATTATCAACGCCGTCTTGTTGACCGTGGTTCTTTCTGCTGCCAATTCCAATGTTTACAGTGGAAGTCGAATTCTGGTCGGCTTAGCCCACGAGGGCTTTGCGCCTCGCTTCTTTGTGAAAACAACTAAATGGGGAACCCCATACTACAGCGTCGGATTTACTGCTCTCTTCGGCCTGCTTGGCTTTTTGAACATCTCCAATGCGGGAGCTACGGTGTTCAACTGGCTGCTTCAGATTGCCGGTCTGGCCGGGTTGATTACGTGGTGCGCATTGAATGTGTGCCATTTGGGCTTCATGCGAGCAATGAAAGCACGGGGTCTTCCTCGCAGTATCCTGCCATACAAGGCTTTTTGGCAGCCTTACCTGTCATATTACGGCGTCTTCTTCAATGTCCTGATCATCTTCACTCAGGGTTTCACTGCTTTTGTTCCAGAGTTCAGCGTCACGGATTTCTTCATTAACTACCTCAGCCTCATTTTGTTTGCTGTTCTTTACATTGGTCACAAAGTTGCTTATCGTCAGCCGTTTGTGCACCCTCTGGAGGCTGATATTGATACTGGCCGAGTTGACCTCGATGATTAATGAACTATAGAAAGGATACATCTCAATATAACAGTCAATTGGTTTTATACTCAAGGACAATATGTAGCAACTAGGATGCTGCGTAGATCCCCGAGTCAAATTCACCCGATACTCTATATTCAGAGCCGATTGAGAAGAACCTTGCCGATTCATTCCAATTATAGCGGAGATATTCTATTCGCTGTCCTTGCCTGCATGTTGAAATGCCGATTCTAGCAGCCTGGTGCCGTCCTAGTCTAATTATCCGGGTGATAAACCATGAATTCCAAGCCCCCGGAGTACGGCATCGCCAGTCTTCGGAAACCGCTTCCTGGTGCGTCGGTATACGCGAACAGGTCGGCATAACTCAGGCTATTGTCGGTTGTGTTGTCCACGACGATTACCGCCCCAGGTCTCATGGACGGCTGGACCAATTTGAGCGCTGGAAGAGCAAGAGGTATCCAGACTGAGTATCATATAAGTGCCCTTCACGTTTTCGCGAGAAGGTAGAATTTACTTACTGTCCAGAAGCAAGAAATCCACTATGCCGAGATCCTTCTTCAATGTCTCCCGCAGATCGCCGAGTCGTAGGTCAATCACAGATTTGACGCTGTCTCCAGCCTGGGACCAGTGCTCGATCGCCTTGTTCGCCTTGTCTGGTTCATTCTCGGTTGCAATGACCTTGCCGGGCGATGAACCGGCTGTGTTCTGTGTAACGGCTAGCGCCAGATAGATGGTGCTCACACCGAAGCTGGTCCCTGCTTCAACAACTGTCTTTGCACCAATAGCACGCAGCATCTGATACACAAATTCACACTTGTCTTGGTCGAGTGCAATGAACTTGTCCTTCATTATATCGTCAAACTCGGGCGTGCAGCGCAGGGGCATTGGAGAAGGGAGATGCGACTCCTCCTCGAGGGATCGCGCATGCAGATCCTTTAACAGAGCATGAACGTGAGGAGGAGCAGCAACTGGTGATGGAGCCATGATGGTGATCTTCCTAAAGTCGTAGTTTCAGATCAGAGACATGAAAATTCCAGTACTCTGGGAAGCAGAACAATTGAGGATTTGTCGGGATTGGTAGTATAGAAAATAAGAGAGATAAATAAATGCCTAAGGGTCCCCATGCGGCAGGGCAGTCCTTAGGACAAATATTTGTAGAGAGAAATACTACCTCCCGTAGAGGTTGGCTACTACTGCGGCGTAGTAGCTTACCCCAGGAAGATGGATAAAGATAAAGATAAAGGTAGAGATAAAGGGTCTCTCTGGCCTGCCCTAATAGAGAGGAAGGGTAGTGAGGGGAGAATTGGGATGAAAGCTCTTCGGTCTGCCTTTATGAGAGAAAGGTAGTAAAAGGATAATTCAGGTGAAAGCTCTTGTTTTATTCAGTCTAGTTTTTAGGCCATATTTATAGACAGAAATATTCAGTTCATCTGAAATGAGTGTGCTAATAGCCCAAGGTAAGCGTGCTGTTTGCCTAAGGCTATAGACGGGTTAGGCCTAATAACCTCGGTTAGGTAGGCCAATGGAAAGAGAAAGCATAGTAAAGGCCGAAGTGAGGGGAAAGTGAGAGATAAATGAGAGATAATTAGAAGTTTAGATGAAGGCGGTGAGAGATGGCAGAACGGGAACATCAACTGGAACTTTCCATGTTGAATTGGAAGCTCTGGAAATCTGCATGTATGAATGCATGCACCTAAAATCCTGACAGGATTAGATCCGGGTTCAATAAGCGATATTTGTACTGTGTCTAGATTCCACGCAAGATGAAGAGTTCACGGATGTTTGAGTAACTAAAATCAAGGATACGAGCTGGTGACTCAAACAAACATTCCGCAGCGGAGACCTTCAGTGAGGGGTTCGCGGCCCCGGCCGTACGGCACTTCGGAGTTGCATCACAACTCCGATTGGAGATCGTCTACTTAGCTTTGGATCGGAAGATCCTATACAGTAAACTTTGGATGTACTCAGGTAAGTTGGTGTAAATTGTGATCAGACTGTTGAGAATTCCTGGAATAAATGGTTTGATTCGTATTCCCAATGATCCGAAAACGTGTCAATCAAGACTAAGAGTACATATATAACGAATATCCTGCACCCCAAAGATCATATATCCAAAAAAAAGAGGGTTCACTCGCCGATATCTGTACAGAAAAAAGCACGCTTAACACCATGAGCCATAGAAAATGAAAGTCAATGCAATCAGTCATCGTGGTATGTGGGCGTCACCACATCGCCCACCATGACCGTCCTGCGGTCCGGTTCCAGCTCGAAGCCCTCCATCTCCTCCCGTGACAGTGCTGCATATCTACCAAACGAAACCTTGCCCTCTATATTCCTCGTCTTTGCAAGCGTGGAAAACGGCTCGTTGCGTCGAGTTCCGGTGAACTGGTCAATGCAGACCATCTGGCAGCGCTGGCACGCGTCTAGCACGTCTATCCGAAGTTGGTCGGGCCCAATGCGAATATCTGACCAGTAATCCTCAGCGTATGGCTGCTCCGCATCTCCGAGTTGAGTCAGGCTTTCTGCGACGACGATATTACCTCGGAAGACGTCTGCGGCAACGGCCTTGCTGCCACCTGCACCGTGCTTTGTGTTGGCCTTGATGGTCTCATTCAGTCGGTTCACTGACGAGCGTGAGACAACCAAGATAGGCATTTCGTTGGCTAGAAGGAGAGGCTTTTGGCCAGTCTCCTGTGCAGGAGGTGGTAGGTCTGGCGGGAAGGAACCTGGCATAATGAACTTGCGGTACCTGCTCTTCCGGTTACCCGACAAGCGAGGCGGTCGTGAATACCGGTTGGCGGTTTGTGCTGGGAATCGCGCGAGTGTACAAGGGACGCCGAGGAAATCAGAAAAGAATGCGGACACCACTGGTGACGCATATGCGTGCAGAGATATCTGGTCACCGCATACGGTGGACTTCTTGCTAGAGTTTGAACAGAGGGAGGTCGAAATGAGACTGGTATCTTCCCAGTCTAGGGAGATCTCGAGACTCACTTGATCTGTCATGATGCCGCAGGTAATTCGGAGAACGCCACGATCAAGGTCAACGGATGGGCGGATGAGTGCCATGCGAGGGTACCGTTTCTGGTTCAAGACGGCGCCTGTGCCTTGGTGGATAAGACACCATTCACGGTCCCAGGCTAGTCCTTCTCGCTTTATCTCCCAACGCTTTCCCTCGGGGATCTTGAAGGCGCCACAGCTCTTGATGGGAAAGACTGAAAGACTTTCAACGTAGAAGTGCCGACCCATCACTTGGTTTTCCTCCAGAGGCGGGTTCAGTGCGACAATGGGAGGGGTTTTCTCAACATAGAATTCCTCGATGAAGTCGACCAAGGAATCGATATCTTTCATGTTTGTCATTGCACCCAGGCTGACTCGCAAAATGCCAGTTGGCCGCCCCTCGATTATATCATGGTCATCACCGCAGCGCAGCCCCGTGGAGTAATGGCGACGCAGTTCGGCACCTGTCCATCCAAGAGATGATGCAGTTCCTCCAGGATTACAAACAGTCCCGGATCGCATTTGAATGTTCTGCACTGTAGCCAATTTTTCCACTTCTGTCTTCGGGATCCATTCCCCAAGGCTATTCCGAAGATTGAAGGCAACAATTGGGCCTTGTGTTTGAGGACACCCGTAGACTGAATTTAGCTGGTAGATCTGACAAACTTTCGTGTCGTTCCAATGCTTCAATACAGAGATTCGGTCATAGAGGCGTTTGGCCAGACATGCAGTATGTGCGGAAATATTGGCCATCGAGCCATATAACCGTTGATGAGTGTCGAGGGCCGCATCCAAAGCAATGATGCTGTGGAATGGAAGTGTTCCATCTTCAAGACGTTCGTGGATCGAGCTTTCCTTTTTCGCATGCCACTGTAAACCATGTGCAAGGACCATGTCAACGGTTCCACCGCCGAAGAACCGGCGTCTCTCAAAGACGTGAGCTGCACTCTTCTTGACGATCAAAGCTCCCAGATCAGGGAACCCGAAGACCTTGTAGAAGCTGAGCGCTGTGAAATCTGGAGCTGCTTCCACGGATCCCAGGTCCAACGGAGCTGTTGATACAAGGGAGGCTGCATCGAGAAGAGTGAAAACATTACCTCCGCCGTCACTTGCGGCCGAACGGATCTGCTCACACCATCTACGTGGGAGGCGGCGACCATTCATGTTTGACTGGGCCGGAAAGGCAAAGAGCCTCGGCGCCTTGGTCTGATTGCTGGCTAGCTCAGAAATCCAAGCATCCACCTCAGCATCACTTTGGAAGCATTGATGGCCCATATCCGCTAATTCTCGCACACCGACGATACTGGTATGGGCGTCGACATGATAGCCATACCAGAAACCGCGGTGGTCGGAATCTCGAAAGGAATCGGCGACGAGCTTGATGGCCGCGGTTGCATTTGCCACAAAGACTAGGTCGAACTCTTCCGGGTCGGCGTTGAAGAAGCGCAGGACCCGCAGCCTTATATCGTCTGTCCGTTGCGTGGAAAGCTGCGACGACAGAGACAATGAGTGAGGGTTTCCATATAGATTTGAAATCATGTGCCGCGAGAAAGTCTCGATCATGGATTTGGCATAGGGTGTTGTCCCCGCATGGTCGAGGTATGTTGTCTCTGTCGCGCAACGAGTCATGATCAGTCTGGAAGTGAATTATTTCGAAAAGGGGCGAAATACCATTCATTAAAGGATATTCCTGCTCGCGAATTGTATCAACGTCTGCAGAGTATCCCCGGCCATATCCAGCTGGAGGATTCTCTGCATTGGCGATCCCCTCCATGTTTGACGGAAGGGATGGCTACGGTGCGAATCGAGTATTGAAGAGACGGGCAGTCGAAAAATCCCGGTAGGTCCAATCGGATCAATGATGAAATTGGTCGATCCCAGGCAGCACGTCAACTATACTGCAGGACCTCCACTTCTTAGAGTCAAATGAGTCCCCAGCAGCAGTGGAGATTCTAACCAAAGCAACCAGTTAGTCTCACGTTTGACATGAATACCAAAAGCGAGTATCGACACGGCAATCTCGAAATAGACTGCATGTACAACTTGAGACCATATAAAACGGTTTCGAAAGGAGGAGGGGAGAGTACAGCAGATAAGACGGATAACTATAATGTGTCGGAGCTTACCGAAGAAGGCTGTCAACAGCTTGGGGTTTGGTGTGAAGCCCGCGTCCAAGCGAGCGGCTGTTGATCGATGAAAGTATGAATTTGATGACCCACTGGACTCTCCATTGCTCTTTATAGATTGCAATCGAGGTGACGACGGTTGTGAAATCAAGATCCCCCGGCGCATTCAGTGGCAATATCTCGATCGGGGGCTCATCATGTGACATGGACCCAACAAAGCGCTCGCGTGCACGCAGATTCGCCTGCGCACACGCCCGGGGTCTGGCTCGACCGGGTATGTCCATGCATCTCTGCGACGTGTGTGGTTCGCTGGGTTGCGGGGAGGCGGGCGAGTGCGGACGAGTCCGCGCTGCTCGGCCACTCACGAGAGGGGTTGATAACCGATGGATCCGGTAGATATAGACAATACCCTGTCTATAGCATTAAAAGACTGAGTGTTCGGCGTCCAACTGGGATCAAAAGGTTTGTGAGCATTTGTCAATATCACAATATATTACGCAGGCGATTCGTCAGATGAGACTCAAGCGTAAAACAGTCAAGCCACCCTGCAGAGGATCGGCGGAGCCTACCTGCGCTAGAGCTCGTCATATTTGACTTCGGTCCCCTCATCAGCTTACAATCTCATGTCAGTATAGATTCGCTCAAAATAAGTTCATCACTGGGGCCATTTCCCCCAGAAGCCACGACGTCTCTGGAGATCTGCCGCCAAAGAAAAAAAAAAAAAAAAAAAAAAAAAGTAAGACGATTCGAATAAAACATCATCTCGAAGAAGAAAAATATCAATAATTCGTATGGAACCAGAGATGATCGCCTAAGAGGATTGGCTGGATTGTCTATAACCAGTGATTGTATAGTAGCTCTAAAGACTTGCTTCATGCTCATACGTTCGCTCCGTATTCTCCAACAGTTTCGTGAAATGTCCCGAGCTACTTGAGTAGATATCGCTTTACCATTGTCAGCATTTTTGATAGTCTCAATGATAATAGCAGATCGAACGCCTTCAAAGTGAGCCTTGTGACAACAGATGCTGCATCTCAACCACGAGGCCCTCTTTGCGATTGCATCGTGCATATGCCCCTGCAGTATTTCATGTTCATCGGCTTGATATTAGGCCGGCTTCGGGGTGTATCCAGTTGCAATATGCTCTTATTTATATATACTTTCAAAGCGATTTGGTGAACGAGCCCGCTATTTATCGAAACTGCATCAAAATTTTCTTGGTTGTATTCACACGATGACAAGATGACCTGACCAAGGTGTCTCGGAGATCATCGGGCTCCGCGCCCACGCTTGCATAGTATTGTACAGATGATGTCAAAAATAATCAAAGAAACTCCCATTCCCAAACCCCTGCAAATGATTCATACAAATGCTTCCACCGAGGGGACGCCGAGTAAGCCGGTGGAGCGCTGGTGTCGAACGGAAAGCGACAAGAGCGGATCGAGTAGCGATGCGAATATACGAGAGAAAACAGGTTCACTTGAATTGACCCGTTTACCGCTTGGGCCACTGTCTCCAGCCACGACCGTGACCTCTCTGTGATATAACGTTAGCTCCCTTCTAGTCAATAGGGCTTGCAAGATACTCACCTGCTTCCACTGGCGGATCATCTCCGGCATCTCCACCATAGCCTTGCGACGGTCCTCGAGGCGAGCCTCCATAGTCCGCTCCCACTTGTGACCCTTGACCTTCTGGCCGATACCGGTTCCCTTAATGCGCAGACCACGTTCTGCCAAGCGAGCGGCCTTATACTCTGTGGATTTGATGCTAGGAGGCAGAAGGGGCTCGACGTTGTATTTGATGGCCAGCTTCACTAGGTCAGCCTGCTGCCGCAGGCCATACCGCGGCCCAATCCACTGGCGCTTTCCGGAGACGACGACCTTCCGCGGCAGGAATGGGTTCCAAATTTTGCGGTCATCTTGCAGAAGAGCCCGCGCGGAAGACTCCTGCAAGTTCTCACGGTGGGCACCCTTGGCATCACGGTCGGGGGTGTAGGGCGAGGGAAGAGTTTGTTCGGGGTTGGTCTCCGGGGGGGTTGGACGCGACGCGACAAGGGCGGAATATATTTGGGGTGGGTAGCGAGCAAAGAAGTTGCGGAGGCGAGTGGGCAACAGGCCCACTGATGTCGGATTGACAGACATGGTGGCCGGAAGAGAGTGAATGACCGGATGTTTTGTGTCGATAAAAGTTGAAGAGCTAAAACCGTACCGGCAGTATATTCCTCACCGCTTCAGGCCGGGTTTCCCAACTCGTCGATTCGGCTTTTCAGTTTCGCTTTCAACATCCCCTTGCTCCATTGTTACCTGCACCGCACCCTATCCATAGTCGCCGTTGTCTCTTATATCCTCCAGGACACCCCTTTTCGTGCGCGCATCCTCCAGAACATCTGCCACCATGGCGGACTACCAGTATGGCGGTACCGAAGAGGAGAATGCGGAGCTGAGAACGCTCGAGGCTGAGCTAGTATGTCTGAAGCGCGCCATCTGATCTGGTTCAAAAACTATTTGCTGACGTTTTCATAGATCGAAGACCCCGATAACTTCGAGACGTGGGAGAAGCTCGTGCGCGGCGCCGAAGCCCTCGAGGGCGGAATCAACCGCAACTCCAGTCCCCAAGCCATCACCACCGTGCGCAACTGTTACGATCGCTTCCTCGCCAAATTCCCGCTTCTATTCGGATATTGGAAGAAGTACGCCGACCTGGAGTTTTCGATCACGGGCACTGAAGCCGCAGAGATGGTATGGACATCACTTTCCCCAATCCTGCGCGGCCTTGCGCATTTCCCTAGCGAAGTTACTAACATTGTCTTGATTCAGGTTTATGAAAGAGGCATTGCTAGTATTTCGCCGTCAGTCGACCTGTGGACTAACTACTGCTCATTCAAAGCTGAGACCTCTCACGACGCCGACATCATCCGAGAGTAAGTAGTACAACATCACTTTCCTTCCCTTTCCCTGTAACCTTTAGCAATCCCAGCTCGCGAAATCCCCTGTGGTTCCCATGGTATAATCGGATATGTGTCGGTCCAGCAGTTGCATTGATGATGGGTGAGAGACCGTTACCTTCCCACCCGAACTCGAGTGGAGTTTACTTCTCACCCATGGCTCATTCAGGCTGCTTTCCTTACCCACCTGACCAAAGACACCATTTTCCTTCTTCTTGCCCGGACCCTGCTAGACAAAGCCTCATCCGGGGGCCTCCTTTGACCCTGCGCACGGAGCATCAGCTACCTTCCCCATAGCTTGCTCATTGTTTTTTGAACTGTCACCCACGACAGAGTCGACCACTTATGTTTGCCACGTCATTTCTTCCTTCCTCTCATACCTCCTTTTGCTCCCTTCCCCTTTGGAGACTCTTGTGATGCTGACGTGAATATTTGAACAGTCTTTTTGAGCGTGGCGCCAGCAGTGTCGGCCTCGACTTCCTTGCGCATCCTTTCTGGGACAAGTACATTGAGTTTGAAGAGCGTGTCGAGGCTCAGGACAAGATCCTTGCCATCCTGGGTCGGATTATTCACATTCCGATGCACCAATACGCGCGTTACTTCGAACGTTATCGTCAGCTGGCTCAGACTCGTCCTCTGGTTGAGTTGGCACCGGCCGAAACCATGGCACAATTCCGTGCCGAGATTGAGGCCGCCTCTGCCCACGCCCAACCGGGCGCAAAAGCCGAGGCCGAGATCGAGCGTGATCTCCGACTGCGCGTTGATAACTACCATCTGGAGGTTTTCTCCAAGACCCAAACGGAGACCACTAAGCGCTGGACCTTTGAGTCGGAAATTAAGCGGCCATACTTCCATGTCACGGAGTTGGATGAGAGCCAGCTGACGAACTGGAAGAAGTATCTCGATTTTGAAGAATCGGAAGGCGAGTACTCCCGCATTCAGTTCTTGTACGAGCGCTGCCTTGTCACATGTGCCCACTATGATGAGTTCTGGCTTCGCTATGCCCGATGGATGGCTGCTCAGGCAGGCAAGGAAGAAGAGGTGCGCATCATCTACCAGCGTGCCAGCTACCTTTACGTCCCTATCGCCAACCCGACTGTTCGCCTGCACTATGCCTACTTTGAGGAAATGTCCGGACGAGCTGATGTAGCCAAGGATATTCACGGTGCTATTTTGTTCAGCTTGCCCAGCCACGTCGAGACCATCATCTCTTTGGCTAATCTGTCCCGCCGCCTTGGCGGTCTTGGTGCAGCCATCGAGGTCTATAAGACTCAGTTGAATTCCCCCGAAGTTGAGATGGCCACCAAGGCCGCCCTTGTCGCCGAATGGGCTCGTCTCTTGTGGAAGATCAAGGGCGCTCCGGAGGACGCTCGCAAGGTGTTCCAGGAGAACCAACAGTACTACCTCGACAGCCGGCCATTCTGGACCAGCTACCTCATTTTCGAGATCGAGCAGCCCACCAGTGCTGACACTGAATCTACTCAATACGACCGTATCAAGCAGGTCATCTCTGATGTCCGCTCCAAGAGTACCCTTCTTCCCGATGTGGTCAAGGAGCTCGTGCAGATCTACATGGCGTATCTTTTGGAGCGTGGCACCAAGGATACTGCTAAGGAGTATATGACCCTGGACCGCGAGGTTCACGGCCCGCCGTCAGTCTCTGCTTGGGCTAGAGCCACCCCTGTAATGCCTGCGCCCGCTGATGGGCAACTCGCAGCCGTCCCGGTGGTACCCACTCCTGACCCGGCTGCCTCAGCAGCCTATGCCTACTACCAGCAAAGTAACGGCGTCCCCACTGCCCAGGTCTAGTCTCACTGACCCAAGCAGCCGGCGGCTGCACGCTTCGTCATGTTTTCGTTATGAATATTCTCGTCCCGATAGGCTCCCCTACTGGGGGCCTTCCTCGTTTTTGATTCACCTGGGTGGGTGTCTTTCTTCCGATGTAGCATCATATTCGTGCCTATACCAGGCATTGCGTTTCTCCTGCAGGTTTGTTAGCGTTTTCGATGCGTCCAGGGCCACTACCTATTGGACATTGTTCGGGCTGCTCTTTCTTTTTATCCCGCGTCCCGTACTTGATCGGGGCATGGAGATCCACCAGGATCATTGTATTCTAGATGCCCTATCCTATCTAAGCTTTTGAAGCATATTCTTTCCAACAAGAATATCATTCTCCGCATTTCTAGTAGTTGGATCAGAGTAGAAGCTTGAGTCAGGAAAAATGGGGATTTCCATTGTAATAATAAAGAGAGGTAGAAAACTTGATCCTGCCCGTCCGTTTCTGGTTTACTGTCCCGCCCAGGTTCGCCTTCCATGCCGGAACATGGAGATGCTTTTTCAACCCCTAATCACATGATATCGTAAATAAACACGTTATGTACCTACTCGTAATAATATCAGATCCTCTTTATAGATTGCAAGTCAGATACAAGTGCCTAAGATTAGAAGCCTAGAACTCCTAGAAGGTTTTACGCAAACGCAGCAAACAGCGCAAACACAGCAACATCTGAACTGGCAGTTGCTTTATTACAGCACTTGGGTGCTTCCTTAGGGTCTATCTAGAGTCAAGTTTAACAGGCAAGTAAGGCTTAACAGTAGGCTTTGTTTCGGGATCTGCATTTTTGCTCATCATCATGCTGCGGTTTCGGATCTTATTAGATACCAGTGATGACTGGCTAATGCCTTGCTGTAAGCCTCAGAAAATATCAGGAAGTCAAGACCTTCTTGGAGTATCAATGACAAAGAAGTGAACTTCGCAGCAAGTTGGCTTTGAAGAATCATCCGAAGGGGAGAACTTATACAGCGCACGGCCCTGGCCATCGGCTGCTCTCGCCACTGACATTTAGCTTTCGGTCGGGCGCCTAGGGAAGATTCGGAACATCTCTAGAGAGCTTTCTTTGCTTCAGCACAAAGGGTCTAAAGAAAAGAAAAGTGATTGTAGCGTTGCCGTAACTTGCTAATCATTCACTAGTGATATATTCTCTTTACGTTGCCAATCGGTACAACCTTCTAGATAAAGACAGATATAGATACTATACGTATGGCGGTTCCCGCCGAAGCCCGCTCAACCTCAAATCAGGTTTATAAATGGCGTCACTATCACCAAGAAGGTTTTAGGGAAGCATATATATAAAGGCCACTTCACTCAACTTCTAGTGGGACATTTTTTCCAGTCCTGATCTCATCGCTTAACACGATGGCTCAAAACTCCGCTTCTCATAATCCGAGTATGCATCTATATGATTCCCGCTCGACCAAGACATACTGAAGCCCTAATAGTCGGTGTTTCGTTTGGTAATCTGACGGACCCACCACCACCGGTTGATGATGATACGAAGACGAAGATTTCCGAAGCCGCAAAGAAGGATCCGACGGGCCAGAGTGTAGGGGGTCCGGGTAAAGACGATTTGGAAAAATCGGAAGAGACCTGTACATAAGCCCACTATTTGAGCGGTCGCCTTCCAAGGCTAACGGTTGCTGACAATATAACAATATTTAGTGGATCATGAGCGTCAGCGCGCCGAGACATCGACCAAGTTCGCCCAGGCAAACCATTAATTCTTTTCTTCTTCCAATTTCTGCCATTCAAACGGCCTTTACTTACGCGTGTCGATTTCGGTCTCGAGATATATGGACGACCGGAAGTGATCAATCAGGGATGGGTGCCCACATTTGCCTGTCTGTTCATTGTGCACTTTGAGTAGTACAGAGTTGAGTAAGGAGAAATCACTGAATATACTGTAGCAACTTTCGATAAAGTCTGAACTTATTTGCCACGATGTTCATTACCTTTATGCTTGGCAAGCCCTATCGGATGATGATGACGTAGCACTTTAGGACTGAAGTGGCATCCGCCCTACTGATTACGGTATCAAGAAGCGTGTATCATCTTAGATATGGGGCAGTTTCCAGATTGGAAACCCGAGGTATACATACTAGAGTTATGGGAAGCGGGCGCACGTGACTGCGCGTCTGGTGGCGCAGTCCGCCGTAGAATTTCAAGATGCGACAACTCGCCGCTACCAACCTTGCATCTATCTATCTCGATTCACCCTCTGGTCACAGTAGAAGGCATGGCGACAAGCGGTCCCGGACTTCCTCCTGGTCCTCCGCCAGACCCTATCGAACGCCCTCCTTCTCCGCCACCTCCACCTCCAGAGGACTCGGCCGCTCCGCCGCCGCCACCAGATGCTACGGCACCTCCTCCTCCTCCCGACGATGCGCCGCCTGCACCTCCAGTTGAGACTAAAAAGAAGAAGTCGGGATGGGGAGCACCTAAGCGCCCCGCTGCGACCCCGTTGAGTGTGGAGGAACTCATTCGGAAGAAGAAGGAAGCAGATGCGGCAGCTTCCAAGGTACGTTTATCTCCTAGGGCAGCAGTCATACGAGGATTTTAGTGGCGACTTACTAACTTTTATTTTCGTGACAGCCAAAGTTTCTTTCCAAGGCTCAACGAGAGAAGCTTGCGTTGGAGAAACGGGCCAAGGAAGTGGAAGCTGAGAGACAAGCGAAAGCTCTCCCCAATGGCACCGATCACAATGGATTCTCGTCGGAAGCACTTTCAAGGAGGCCCGAAGAGCCCAAAAAAGAATACCGAGATGCAAATGGAAGAGTTCCTACCGGACCGCGTTCGATGCGCGGAGATGCCCCGACAGGCCCTGCTTCGATGCGCAAAACCAACGGACAAAACAACCGAGATAGGGACATGGAACCGCCACCGCCGCCGAAATCGAAGGGGTCAAAGGCCGACAAGCGTCTTGCGGAGGAAGATGAATCTGAAGCGCAAGCAGCCCTGGTGAAGCAACGATACATGGGAGCCGACCAGACCTCGACCTTCTCCGCGAAAAAGAAGCGCAAGCGCACAACGGACCGCAAATTCAACTTTGAATGGAATACTGAAGAAGACACCAGTTTCGACTACAACCCACTATATCAACACAGGCACGAAGCGAACTTCTTTGGACGAGGTCGACTGGCTGGGTTCGGAGAAGACGTTGCAGATAATGTGGCGCGCAAGTATGCGCAAGCGCTGGAGACTCGTGATTCCGAATCAGGTAGCCTGCGCGCCAAAGAAATCTTGGAGATGGAGCGGCGCCGCCGCGAGGAGAGTTCCCGTAGCCAGCTGGACAAGCACTGGAGCGAGAAGTCGTTGGCCAATATGCGCGAGCGAGACTGGCGTATCTTCAAAGAAGACTTCAACATCAGTACCAAGGGCGGCAGTGTACCCAACCCCATGCGCTCATGGGACGAGAGTGATCTGCCGAAGCGGCTGCTGGAGCTTATTGACCGTGTTGGATACAAGGAACCGAGTGCTATTCAGCGCGCTGCCATCCCAATTGCCCTGCAAAACCGCGATCTTATTGGTGTTGCTGTGACTGGTTCCGGTAAAACCGCGGCATTCCTGCTCCCCCTTCTGGTATACATCTCCGAATTGCCCCGGCTCGACGAATTTGAGTGGCGCAAGAACGACGGTCCATATGCTCTTGTCCTCGCGCCTACACGTGAATTAGCCCAGCAGATCGAGATCGAGGCTAGGAAGTTCACAGCACCCCTTGGATTCAACGTCGTCAGTATTGTCGGTGGTCACTCTCTCGAGGAGCAAGCATACAGCCTGCGCGATGGTGCAGAAATCATCATCGCCACCCCCGGTCGTCTCGTCGACTGTATCGAGCGCCGCATGCTGGTCCTCAGCCAGTGTTGCTACGTGATCATGGATGAAGCAGATCGCATGATCGACATGGGTTTCGAAGAGCCTGTGAACAAAATCCTCGACGCACTACCGGTCACCAACGAAAAGCCCGATACCGAAGAAGCCGAGAACCCCCGCGCAATGAGCCAGCACCTCGGTGGCCGCGACAGATACCGCCAAACGATGATGTACACAGCAACAATGCCCACGGCTGTCGAGCGCATTGCTCGCAAGTACCTCCGACGCCCGGCAATCATCACAATTGGTAGCGCCGGTGAAGCCGTCGACACTGTCGAGCAGCGCGTCGAGATGATCCCCGGCGAAGACAAGCGCAAGAAGCGCCTGGCCGAAATTCTCAACTCGGGCGAGTTCAGGCCTCCGATTATCGTTTTCGTTAATATCAAGCGAAACTGTGATGCGATTGCGCGCGATATCAAGCATATGGGCTTTTCATCCGTTACTTTGCACGGTTCCAAAACGCAGGAACAGCGTGAGGCCGCCCTCGCTTCTGTGCGTAACGGGTCCACTGATGTGCTGGTTGCAACTGACCTGGCTGGACGTGGTATCGATGTTCCCGACGTCTCACTCGTCGTCAACTTTAACATGGCTACCTCCATCGAGAGCTACACTCACCGTATCGGTCGTACTGGTCGTGCCGGAAAGAGCGGTGTTGCTATTACCTTCTTGGGCAGCGAGGATTCCGATGTCATGTATGTTTCCCCGTCTTCTCGTTTATGTACTGCTTTGCTAACTAAAATTCCAGGTATGATCTCAAGCAAATGCTTATCAAGTCGCCCATCTCGCGCGTGCCGGAGGAACTACGCAAGCACGAAGCAGCGCAATCCAAGCCCACTCGCGGACAGGGTAAGAAGATCGAGGACAGCTCTGGGTTTGGTGGAAAGGGTGGCTGGGCATGATGACTTTTTCGAATGTACTATCTTCAATCTATACCATTTTACGCAATCGTCAATGGAGCGGGTTTGGCCACTGGAGCGTTCATGCGACTTAAAAATAGCAAGAATGCTCTGATCTCTGTAGATCTTTGAACTTAGTCCGGTATCAGATGGAAACGTATCCATTTAAACATCTAGCTCTACTTTTTTTTCGCCGCTTGGCTAGATCTATGCTAGAAATAAGAGAGTAGAGGGTAGTTGGGAAGAACATCCAATGGTGCGAAGGCACGACCTGTGTGCCTGAATGCTTTAGAAAACTCCCGAAACAATACCGCCTTCCATCAACATCAACTCCCAGTCGCGCCGTAAACAAGCTTTTTACAGCTTGCTCTGGAGATACTGGTTCTTGCTCAGCCAGGTCTCGACATCCTCGCGGTCACGCTGGAGCCAGTTGACCTTGGCGCGGATGGCGTCGAGGCTCTGCTCGACGGCGCGGTCGTATCCCTAGAGAGAAAATACGTTAGCGATGATGAGATTGTGAGAAAATAATGTAAGTCGTACCTTTGTATCCTTAGAGTCGAAGAAGTTCTTGACATCCTTGAGCTGGGCCTCAGTGCAGAAGCTGGCGGTAGTCAGCTGCACAACGGTACCCAGCATGCCGAGAGAGGGAGGAAGACGCTTGTAGATCTCATCCCAGTTCTCCTTAAGCCAGGTCCAGCGGGTCTCGATACCTGCTGTGTGGTTGCGAAGACCGCCGAGGGGCTGGTAGATGTCCTGGTTCTTGACCTCGTCACCCACGGCCAGGTCAAGAGTACGTTGGATGAGCTTCGGGTCCTCAGCGGTACCGAGACAGCGCAGAGCAGTGGTCTTCTCGTCGGATGTTGGTGCGTTGCGGAAGCGGTCGAGCACAACGTCGTACTCCTTGGCGCCGCCGTGCTTCAGCACGATGGTGAAGACGCTGCCGCGGATGTTGGGGTGGATAGCAGAGACGTCGCCAGCGGCGAAGCGGGCGAACATGTCCTGGGCAGCCTTGATGACGACGGGGTCCTCGGCCATGCCGGCGGAGCCGAACATGAGGGCCTTGAACTGCTGCAGGATGTGATCATCCTTCTCGGAGAAGTCCCAACCAAGCTCGTGAGCCTTGGAGCTCACCAGCGAGCGCTGGAAGGCCTTGAGAGCAGCCTTGCTCTGGTCGTTCTCGAAGATCCAGGCGGCTCGGAGGGTGCCGATACGGGTGAGGATCTCATTCCACACCACGAACTCGGACTCGGTGTCCAGGCCCTGGAGCAGGGACAGCAGACCAGAAGTTTTCTGGTAGCCGGAGGCTGCAAGGGCACCGGAGTCGGCAATCATACCAGCACGGTCTTCGACAGACAGGAGACCATCACGAGCAGCCTTGCCGAGCTTGCTAAGGCGCTCAGGGGAGTAGGAGGTACGGTAGATGGCAGAGTGATCAGCATTGAGCTTGTAGAAGTCCAGGTCAGGGACCTTGAACTCCTTCTCACGCTCCGAGAGCATGGTGTCCTCATCAACTCCATCCTTGGTACGTAGGCCCAGCATGCAGGGGTAGAGAACCTTGTCCTCCTCAGGCTTCACGTCACCGGTACGCAGGAAACGGTTCTGCTTTACGTTGATGGAAGAGGAAGCCGGGTTTTCGGTCACACTGATGACAGGGAAACCGACGTTCTTGGTCCAAACATCCATGACCGACTGGACGGGCTTGCCACTAGCATCAGCCAGCGCGGCCCACAGGTCGCCAGTCTCGGTGTTGCCGTAGGCGTGCTTCTTAATGTAGTTGCGAACACCCTGGAGGAAGACATCCTCACCCAGATACTTGGAGATCATGCGGAGGACGGAAGAGCCCTTGGAGTAAGAGATAGCATCAAAGATCTGGTTAATCTCATCGGCACGCTTAACAGGAACTTCGATAGGGTGACTGCTGCGGAGCGAGTCGAGCGAAAGGGCACTCTGCAAGCTATCGATAACATAGGTCTGCCAGACCTTCCACTCGGGGTAGAAGACGTTGCAAGAATACCACGACATCCAGGTCGCGAAACCCTCGTTGAGCCAAAGGCCATCCCAGAAGTCCATAGTGACTAGGTTGCCGAACCACTGGTGGGCCAACTCGTGCTGCACAGTCTCTGCGATGCGCTCCTTGCGCGAAGCACCGCTATTCTTCTCATCTAGCAGAACATCGACAATGCGGTAGGTGATCAGACCCCAGTTCTCCATAGCTCCTGCGCTGAAGTCAGGCACTGCCACCATGTCCATCTTCGGCAGGGGGAAGTCGTTGTCAAATGCCTTTTCGTAGAAGGCCAGGGTCTTGGCAGCAAGCTCTAAGGAGAAGCGGCCGTGTTCAATATCCTGATCAGGCGTAGCATACACACGAACAGGCACACGGAAGTTCTTGGTCTCGATGTAGTTGAGGTGACCAACAATGAACGCAACGAGGTAGGTGGACATCTGGGGCGAGGTGCTGAACTTGACAGCCTTCTTCGCACCACCCTGAACATCGGTCTCCGATTCAACGTCCATGTTGCTCAGGCAGGTCATGCTCTTATCGGCAACCAGGGTCACAGTGAACTTGGCCTTGAGGGCGGGCTCGTCAAAGCAAGGGAACGCGCGACGGCAATCCGTAGGCTCCATCTGGGTCGAGGCAATATACTTGGTCTCGCCATTGACCTTGTACGATGACCGATAGAATCCAGCCATATTGTCGTTCAGAATACCGGTGAAGGTGAGCTTCAGCTGGGCATCGGAGCCAGCAGAGATGGCCTGGTTGAACTTAATGGTTGCGACCTGGTTATCCTTGTTGATCGAGATCTCGGGCTTGGATTCCACCACTGCACCCTTGGACGAAACAACTGCGCTGTGAATGTCGATTTCATTGGAGTTGAGGGAGATGAAGTCGGTGTCTTCGTTGACCTGGAGGCTGTACGCATGTGTGAGAAGTGGGCCAAGTAACCGTAGGTTTGTTCCATGGGGTAGCGTACTCAATGACAACGGTTCCATCGTAGGTGAACTTCTCAAAATTGGGCTCCAGTGTCAAGTCGTAATGGACCGGCTTGACATTGGTAGGCAGGACCTCACGACCTTGGACATTGGTCGAGCCGGAGGCCTCGCCGCGTCGAGAACCACACATTCTGCGGTAGGAGCAATATCTCTTCGAGGTCTGAGAGAGGGTATAACGAGAACGAGGGTGAATAGTAGATCTCGCCGGAGCTGAACGAGGGGCGGAAAGAAAGAGGGGGAGGGGGGATCTGACGGCGGATAGAAGCGGTGGCTTTGCTTGAAGCAACGCGCGCGTGGAGAAGCGGCGCATTGGTAATCACGGAACCCCGACGGGGAGAATAAAAGACAATGAAACAGAATAGTGGTCCAAAACGCCGAGTTATATTACAAATGATGTACAATCGGCCGAACAATCCAAGAGCGCCCCGACACAGGAGAACAATCGCAGAAGAAGAATCGAGGGCAAAAAATGGGGCCGGAGCCCCGGCGGTCAGTGCGGAGCTAACTTAGGTTTTCTTCCAATTTTACTTTTCTTCTTTTTCACTTCACGCAAGTCTAACCAGCGCATGTCCCGATTCTTCCACGACAGGCGACTGTGGAGTAGTTTACTGCTCCTCCTTGCAAGACTATGCACCAGCAAGTTTGAGGGGTCCATGACAACTTTGTCCGTGGATGGGCTTCCATAAAGCGTTGGGACATTTCCTTGTGAAAAGGAGACAATGGGAGATCGTCTTTCAGGAAATCTTCCTATTCCTTGGTATTTGAAGGAACTTCAGAAGAGAGTATGACAATAAAAAAATTCTTTGATCAATCTAATTAGCAAGCTATCGTAACTATTGACTCGACTTTGGAAACCATTCCACGCCATGCAAATCAGCAACAGCTCTTCGGAGCTCAAAAGGGCTATGTAAATACAAGAGGGAAAAAATCAGCCGGGCCAATGCCCAGGCTTCTCATAGGAACCCAACGTACAGTTCTATGATCTCGCTTCCGTAGAATGTGGCACTCGCGTCAACACACTGCGCGACCATCCGTCCTTGTCCACAACTGACTCCTTGACCAGAACATACCCACCCATGCGTGGCAGCACCACCGCCCAAAAGAGATAGTATATGGCACCGAGACCAAAAACACCCAGTGCGACCACGCAATGAAGATAGTAAGGCAGCACCTTGTAGACGCTCTGGTCGGCGGAAGGTGGTATATACGGCGCAATCACCAGATAAACATTCGACAAGAAGAAGAAAATAACGACCGGCAGCGTTGCGCGAATTCCAGGAGCCCAGTCCGGAAACTTCTCGTCCTTGGAGACGTAGATGTATATGAGGCCACCGGACACAAAGACGTTGATGATTGAGAGAGGGTATGAGATGAGACTGAAGGCTGTTAGGCTCGTGCTCCAAGAATTGACTAAGAAGTCCCGGGTAAAACATACTTGAGTAGGAAGTTATAAGCGTCACCAGGGGGTGGAGCGAGCATAATGATGGCCGATACGAGGTAGTGTTCGAACAGGCCTGCAGCCGGCGAGTGGAAAGGCCAGTTACTAGCCCAAAGTCTGGAGAAGGGCAGGACACCTTCTCGGCCCAGTTCCTGAACAACTAGCATAGAGTGTCAACAGCGTGTGGCGAGTATCAAACGAGGAGCTGACTTACTTCGACCTTGAGAAAACAGAACAGACAAAACATTTCCAAACGCCGAGAGAGCCACGAAGACCGACATGACCCTCTCGGCCTCTTTGCCGAACATGTTTCCGAAGAAATTGGCGGCTACGACAGTTCCAGACTCCAGCATCTGCGCTTTTGGCACGGCGGCGAAATAGGCAATGTTGACCAGCATGTACAGAATGCCAACCGAGCCGATAGCCACTGGAGCAGCAATCTTCAACGTACGAACTGGATTCTTCGTCTCGCTCAGAACCTAATCACTCATTAAGGATACTTTCGTAAAGGCCACAGCTTCCCAAACTCACATAGTTAGCATTGGAGTACCCGATAAACGACCAAATCACGTTGTACAGTGCCATGACAATGTTGTATCCACTGCCCTTGGTACCTTCAAAGGCATTGGTGAAATTGTGTGGCGTCTCGATCTTGGTATGACCAGCCAAGGCGACCCAACCAGTGACAATAATGAATAAGATGACGATCAATTTGACAATCCCCAAGAAATTAGAAAGACGAAGACCCCATTTCAGTGCAGTTGCATGAATGATGAACGCGGTGGTAAGACAGGCAAGTCCAATACCTCGCTGGTTCCATCGACCAGGCTCAATCTCGGCGGCGTTGAGAATGTACTCGCCAAAGACGACGCTGTTGCTGGCAGCCCAGCCTAGCAAGAAGGCATAGGCAGCAAACATGGCTGTGGCTAGGAATTTGGGCTTTTTGTAGACGTATTCGAGATAGTTTTTCTCGCCTCCGTTTCTAGTGAGCTCCGTTAGTCTTTTTGTTTCGTAAACACGGGTGTGAACATACTTAGGAATGGCAGTGCCCCATTCCAGGTAAACTGCTGTACCAGCCATTGCGATGGCAGTGCCCACTACCCACATGAATAGAGATAGTCCAACACTTCCGGACAACTGCAAGATTGTACTCGGAGTCGCGAAAATGCCTGTTCCAACCACGCGGTTGAAGATCAACATGGATGCGCTGATCACCCCGATCTGGCGGCGATTATCCGGTGAAGCTTCAAACACATTTCCCTCGTCTAGGAGCAGCGAGTCAGCGTCGAAATTCAGTCCCGTATAAGATGCTCAGAGAGACTAACATAGTCCAGTTATCCCATCAGCTGGCTTCGGTTCATTCTGAAGAACAGTTTTGGTGTCCAGCACAGGAGTCTTTTCCGTGCCGTCTTCAAGAGAAGATTCCGAATCAGTCATTTCTGAACCTAACACCTCCCCGGTGCGACGAAGAGTCTCCAAGAGGTCACTTTTTTTCACAAAATTTCAAAAGTAGGCCTCTTTATGACAGTGCCTGTCATACGGTTAGCAACGGCATCTGTGATGGTGTGCTGAGGCTAAATGTGATGCAATAGAAGGTCTGGGCAAAATACTACCTCGGGATATGAATAGTAGAACCAAAAATTGCCAATTCAGCCCCCCGGGTCCAACGGTATTGATTTCGTCAAAAGCGGCTATAGGCACGAGGAACGCCTCTTGATGATAATAAAAATAGGTTCGAGAATATAGTGTGCACGCCAAGCTCCGTCGGGCCAAGTATCAGTAGTTCAGCCGATCGGCCACGCGACTCGGTCAATGAGGTTGACAAGCGATATTGATAGCAAATTTGAGTAAGTACAAAACAAAGAGAGAAGAGACGGAAAGCAAAGAATCGTGGCCTAGTAATTCTGAACCCTACAGAAAGGAGAAGCGGGTAGCTTCGTAGACATGGTCCGGGAAGCCGAGAAGGGCCAAGGCCGAACCTTCTTGGAAAAAGTACAGGTACCGTTCCACGGATCTAGGTAGCTTTTATTTTCCGTACTCGAGATACTCAATTTAGGGATAGTTCTTCGAAGTAGAAGTCATCGCGCCTTTTTCGTAATTCTATTTTCCATCCCATCATACTAAGAGCTGGAGGGGAGCTCAGCTCAGGTTAGACTTGGGAAGGCTCAGCCCGCGCCCAGACTCGGCCAAGCAGATCCAAATGAAACCTTGACACATGGAAATTCAGCACGTCATTTCTTGGTATCCTTGGCAGTGGCCTTTTGGGTTCGAATGGATCAGTGTGTGACTGGGGGTCTTACAGAATGGATCGAAATCAACTTCACCACTTTCCTCTTACACAATTTTCTCGAACCCTGTCCCGAAACACGATCCAATTCTAGTCCCCACACCCTGTGGTTGTTTGTACTTGAAGTCATACTGAAGAAAACCATATAGAGATATATTCTGAAGGGAGATAAATGAGCGCCTCCGTAGCGTCGTGCAACTGGGGGGGGGGCGAAGAGTAAGTGCGTTATTGACAGCATGAAAACCTAGATGTACTGTGTACAACAACGCTGATGCGCGGCCAGCAAAAGGTAGTCCGAGGAAGAAGCACACCACACTAAAAACTGTCACCAAACTCTTAGCATATTTAGTAATGATACTATGAATGCAAATAAGTCAAATGTGAATTTATTTGTGTCTTCCTTGAGTGCGTAAATGTAGCCTAGCCGTAGAAGGCTAAGCAACATACTACTCCGTACTAAGTGGATACATAACTAAGTTACCGTCGCATTTGACTCATCATGGCTCACGTCTGATCACCACATCGTCATTGGCTAATATGCTCTTCTAGAGACTTTCATATCTATAAAATACAGCATCACGCCGTGTAAATCAATATTCACATTATAGCATGCTTGCATCTAACATAACCTCAATTACTTCTACCTTTACCTCCACTTCCACAATGGAACATCTTCTCCCGTCCGGGATGCACGCCATCCCCTCTGAGCTTCTCGATCTACGCTCCGACGCCAACATAGATTTTGACCTACTGCATCCCCAGCCAGTAAATGGCGTCAAAAATATATGGTTCTTCTGGCACTCGGGCTACGCCAGCATGCACCCGTACACACAGCGCACGGTGCGCGCATGGCACCGCCGATTCACAAAACAAGGGTGGACTGTGCGGATCATAGACCGACTACCGGGGTCAAAAAGCAATATCGCCGAGTTCTTGGATGTTACCGATCCAGAGCTTTTCCCACGCGCCTTTACCGATGAGACCCTCACCGGCCCTTACGCGCTACAGCACACTTCAGACCTTGTTCGCTGGCCGCTGCTCCTGCGATATGGAGGCGTCTATGCGGACGTGGGTATGATGCAAATTGGCGACCTGGATACTCTATGGAACGAGACAATTGCAAACCCCGACTCCCCCTATGAAGTTCTATCTTATACCCCTAGTGGTCAAGATCATCATTACAGTCTATGCAATTATTTTCTCGCTGCACTGCCGAATAACGCGCTCTTCGAGCGCTGCCACCGTCTACTTCTCACTGTTTGGGGAGCAGATGGTGGTAAGACGAGCACTGACGGTATGCATGCAAGCCCGCTGCTTCGAGGCGTTCCTCTGATGGGCGGCGAGTTCACTATCACCGAGGATGATGGAACTTTCATCGGCCCTGCCGAGGTCAGCCGTCTGTTAACCGACTATATCATCCAAGGTCAGGTGGCTACTGCAGTGATGGGACTGGTTGATACCGAAGACAATTGGGACGGTCCGGCCTATTGCGTAGCACATTTCTATGCGATCGAGTTCATGGAAGGGTCGCAGCTCATTAACGAATTAACTGCCTGGAACGGACAAGACGCATTCGATTTACTGTCACTACCTATGCCGAAGCAGGGTGAAGAAGAGTTTGATAATCAAAAAAAGGCTCATGAGATCGTTGAGGCCTGTCTGTCGCGCAGCTTTGGGTTCAAGCTGGGCCACGGCCTCATCCTACGCGTCCAAAAGGTCACTCTCGGCTCGCTGTGGCGGAGTAACCCGGGGTCCGATGTTGAGCCTGGCACATATGCGGCTTGGCTTCGACATGGGATTGCCTACTGGAATCAAAATGATGTGCCCGGTCGAGTGGCGCTCTCGTTAATCCCGCCTACCAAGGTTGGGAGATTACTTGCGTAATGAAAATAGAGTTCCATTCAGAATAGAAAGCCATATACTATTCGTGACACAGTCCGTTGCCATCACCATGTTGGACTTTAGGAATGATAGTTTGATCTCATAAAGATACAAACAATGCTTCCCAACTATAAAAAGTAAAATACTGTATAGATGAAGTCCGACGGATCGTTCGACAACACTGCCTTCTGGAGGGCTAGATCTTTCACGTCCAAACCCTGGAGGTTCGACATACACTTGGTATGGATTGAGTTAATGAAGGCGATATATCAAGAAGCAGTAAAACATTCATTGAGATCATCTAATAGACATTTGCACTGCGTCCAATATGCATTAAAGCCTGCCGCGGAGTCACAAATCTTCACTCCGCAGCCGGGTCAAATAACCAAAAAGAAACTCCTGGAACCGTGAGCATGAACCAGTCAAGAAGAAGAAAGAAAACATGCCAATCTGTATACCCAGTCCATGTCAAAAACGCCAGAAAAAATCAAGAAAAAATCAACAAAACGAGCTCCGCGCTTCCCAGTGCAGGATATATAGCGTACTAAAATTTAGACAAAAAGCACATCATGGACAATATGAAGCCTCCCCGTTTCTATAGGGAAGTGAACGCGAGAGAAAATAAGACCTGAGAATAACTTATGGACCCGTGGACTGGAGGACACCGTGGAGATGACCAAAGGCCAAAGGTGCTGGCAAAAGATCGGAAGGGGAGTGAGGTCAAACAGAAGAGGTCGAGATGGAGAGCAAAAAGTCGAGATTTCAATCGAGAGTAGTTCTTGATCAAGAGTGCAATTAAGACGCCAATTTGGTGGGAGTTTTGAATAGATTCATCGAGGCGGGGTTGCACCAGTGGCATGGGAAATAGGGGCCGGGTTAGATGATGGCAGTCTGCCGGCGCCGGTAGCGAGAGTCGGGGCCGAGGTTCGCTTTTCAAGGACGCTAAGCTTCCTGGTAAGGGCCGTCAATCGGCCGCGCATGCTGGAAATTACTGTAACATGTAAGCGTTTCTTCAGCGGAGTTGAATTGGAAAGGAGGCACTCACGTTTAATGACTACTTGGCGGTCCTCGCCATCACCGAGAGATAATTTGTCGGTGACATGAGAGGCGCTCTGGTCGCTCTTGGTGGAAGAGCGAAGCACGTCTTCTTCCAGAACCGCCTCCAGCATGCGAATAGCAGTCATGTACGCCATGTGGCAGCCCTGCAGGTCCTCGCCGGTCAACTCATTGATAGCGGCGGCACGGCTCATCTCAAGCGCACGATCGTACATCAGCCTCTCGGCTGTGACACCGGGGCTCACGACCACATCCTGAGAATTGTATGATGCAAAGGTGGAGCCGACGGAGTGATTGTCCGGGTGAGCAGGGTGGTCAAGCGGAAGACGCATCTGTCCTTCAACAAGCTTGAGACGTACAAACTCGGCCTTCTCCAAGACCTCGTTGAAACGGCTCCGAACCCACTGAACTACCTTGTTGATCTGAGAACCGGCCAGTTTGGTGGAGCTCTCACTTCTTGGTGATTCACCGTATGCATCTTCCCTGTTCTTCCGCGCCCACCACGATCCTGCGATATCCATTGATTTGGCTAGCAGAGACAGGGCCTTCACGTAGAGGACCAGCGCTTCTTCGGAAAGGGTCACGATAGCGTCGACTGTCAGGTCATCATCGCCGGGATCGCTGGAGGCAATGGGGGCGTCATTCGGTGCCGAGGGTGCGAGCGGAATAAGCTGCTTGTATTTGACCTCGGCGAAGCCAAAGACAACGTCGCTGCGAGTAGCGCACTCTTCAAGGGACTGGACCGTCCTGGAGTCCTCATCGGTAGTGGCATTCTTCCCACCAGCTAGAAGCATCATGTTTTCCTGGGGAGCGGGATAGATAGGGAAAGGGTTGTAGGCCAAGGGCGGAGACCTTCCTCCTTTCGTACCAGCCAAAGGAGGCGAAAAGCCCATACTGAAAAGCCGGCCGCTGGCCATATTCAGGGCTTTTGAGATCGCAGATGTCGCAGATGTCGGGCTCTGTCCGTAGCGTCGCTCGTACGAGTGCTGGCGCTGATTACCCGAGTCGGCTCGAGCCCTTCCAGAAGCGATTTGCATGGCTTTGGAAGTGTTCGTATGCGGAGAGGTGGATGACAAGGTCGGCAATCCTTGAGTAGTTGCACGGCGAGTAACAGAGCCAGTCTGTCCTCGGGGAAACCCACCTTGGATATGTGGACTGTGTGCCAACTCGTCCGCAAATGCGTTGACTTCCACCGCACGCTTCTCCACCACCACATAGTCCCTCTCAAATGCGACCTCTTGGGCAGCGCGTTCGCGCTCCTCTCGGATACGATCGAGCTCTCCGGTTCGTGGTGATCCAGTAGGAGTGTGTCGGCTCTTTTGCCGCTCCATTGCAGTTGCAGAGGTTTGGCGACCGGTAAGCTCTTGACGAGCTGGAGCGGTGGCCTGAGTGATTGCACTGGGCCGAGTTGGCGGAATGCCTCCTCGCGTTTGCTCCTTGGAGACACCTGAAGACGGTCTGTCTCCACTTCCCAGCCGGCGCATCGGCGCAGAATTCGGTGGAGTTTCGGACTTCTGCCGCGGGACATAGGGTCGGTGGCTTGGCGGATATGTAGTAGGTTCTCCCTGATCAGTAGAGTACGGTGAATCTCTACCGGCCTTCGCATCGAGTTGAGCTGGTTGAGTTGGTCGATTCTCTGCCCGGTAGGATCCTGAGCTACGGGTAAGTTCCACAGACGAACGTCGCGAGGCTCGAGGTGTATCGTCGGCTACCAAGCCCGGAATTATGTCGGTGATGACATTGTTGGTGAAGAACTCAGGGAAGTTCAATCGCTCGACGGGGTTCCGTTTGAGGAGCCTACAAATCAGCTTCTTGATATCCTCTGAAGCTGGGTTGTCTTCTGGGAATCGAATTCGATCTTCGCCTTTCTCGATCTTCCGAAGAAGTTCGACGTGATTCGTGGCTCGGAACGGAGGCCGTCCCACCACCATCTCGTAGAGCACGGTGCCAACCGACCACAGGTCAGCTTTAGCATCGTACTTCTCGTATCGGAGAATCTCAGGTGCCATGTAAAGTGGAGAGCCACACAGGGTCTCCGCTAGCGAGGTAGCCGGTAAGGACCGAGCAAATCCGAAGTCCGCGATTTTGAGCATTGGCAAGGACTCCAGCCCAGTTGTAGGTTCATAGGAATTGTCGCTTCCCTTGAACGGAATGACGTTGGCTACCCCGCTCCGATAAGAAGAAGGTGACGGACAAAGCAGGAGATTCTGAGGTTTGATATCTCGGTGGATGAGATTTCGATCTCGCAAAAATTGCAGGGCACTTGCAAGTTGCTTTAGAAAGTGACGAGTTACCACCTCATTCAGGGCTCCGCCGGGGGGATTCGGGTATTTCGCAATCATGTCTCTGGTGTACCGATGGGTTGCCAGGGTATCTCGCCGCTTGATGAAGAGCGACAGGTCACCCAGAGCACAGTACTCCATGACCAGATGGATGTGGGATGTTGATTCATGGCAGTCGATAAGTGCGACAATATGCGGATGGTGGAGACCCTTGAGGATGTCGATTTCGGAGGAAAGGTTATCCTTGAGTTTCTTGTTGAGCTTCGACAGGTTCACCGACTTGATGGCAACGTAGGTGCGAGATTTCTGTAAGGAAATAAACGATCAGCGTTTGAACTGGGGATGAACGCGTCACGAAGCGTGTATGACTCACCGTATGAACACCCTGGTATACCGTCGCGAAGCTTCCGCGGCCGATTTCATCGAGTCTCGTGTATCGACCGATGGACATCTCGGGCCGGGAGGTCTCGCGTGACCTCCGAGTATGCTGAGCCGCCATGGCTGTCACAAAGCGAGTACGTCACTGTCCTGATGTCCCGCAGAGAAACTCTGGAGGATATCAGTCACCGACTACACGCAACCACAACTACCGCAGCAGTAGTGAAGACGAACGGCGCTGCAAGAGGCCCATCAGGGGAGCCGGGAAGTGGTGGATTGTGTAGCTGCCGGGTAGAAGGGAAGGAGAACCGGCGAAATAGCGAATATGGAATGTCTGACGGCCTGCCGCAGAGCCAGACCGGTGAACTCGACTTGATCAGGAAGAGATTCGAGGACGAAGAAGCAGACCAGCAACTAAAGAAGTAAACTGGAGCTCCAGGGAAGAAATGCCCAAAAGGTGGGAAAGCGGTGAAGTGGTGAAGTATAGCGGAGAATGGGAGAAGGGTCAAGTATAGGGTAGATATGGTAGCGATGGTGGACCAAGGTCGGGGGAGGCAAAGACCTAATGGGGGATGGTGATGATGTGATGCTGAAAGGGCGGGAAGGTTGAAACCAAGGACTGCGTCCCAAAGTGACGGGGGGTGTGACCTGGGCCAACGATAACGAGTGACTGGCGGCGATGATCTGGTAAGGCGGTCAGAAGGGCGGCGTGGGTCCGGGGGGCTGAGGGGGTGATGTACTTACGAAGGAGGATGGTGGGATATAACCGGGGAAGTTGGGGAAATTGGGGAGAAATTCAGGAGGATGGGGTCGAGGGTTTAAATTGGGAAGGAAGAAAGGAAAAGACCCAAAAAAGGGGGAAGAGACAACTGCAGGTGTCCATGAAGGTTGGTGACTCGAGTGACTTGGGGGTTTACTGTTATCGATTAGATAGGGAATGTCGTGACCTATCAGCTGATTCATTCTTCTTTATATATAGCACAGTCTCAGGGGCGGTAGAAGGTATAGTGGCTGTAGAGTCAACGAATGCACGGCAGATAGCCCTGTAGTTCATTATCTCATTCTCCTTCACCTTCTTTCACGCAGGTTGCTTCCTCCACTCATCTACTGAAAGTACCGTTATCTGGGCCGAGATCAGCAGCCAAGTGGTGCCCCCCCCCCGATAACCACAAACCTTATCTAACAACCTTGGAGAAACCCCTGCAATGAACGAGTGTATCATTCCCGCCAGGTACAGAATAGAACGATTTCTATATGATACAGATTACAGGAAAGCCAATCTAAACTTGCTATACAACCCCATAATCAAACACCCAGACCCCGCACCAGCAGCCAAAGCACCACTGGCACCACAACGTTATCATTACAGCCAGTGAGGATCGCCTCGGTGGCACTAGTTCCTCCTGCCGCCAACACGGCTTTGCAGCCCGTCCACACCCAGAAGCGAAATGTGAAGGCCGTTGGCCCGACTGATTCGGCGCCAGTCACCGACCATCCTCCCACCACAAGCCACGCTCGAACGGCGAGCAAACCGCAGGTCACCGCCGCTGCAAAGGCCACGCTGCCCTCCAGCGACTTACCTCCGCCCCAGAACCATTTCAGCCGGCCGTACCGACGGCCCACCAACGACGCCGCTGCGTCGCCCATCCCCACGCAAATAACGCCGCTTACCATGCTGACGTCGCGGGTGGGCACGTCCCAGCCTACCCAGGGACCGTCGCCGGTCCGAGGGAGATCGGAGAGGGAGAGCCAGAGTGGGATGGAACATCCGATCAGGAGGAATATGTGCGAGATGATGACGGGGCCACGGTGATCGCGGCCATCAACGTAAGGGGCCAGGAAATTGGTCAGCGGTCGGGAAATCGGAGGCAGCTGAGAGGCTCGGAAAAGGTCGAGCAAGAGGAATATGGAGAGGACCAAAGCCAGTGCCAAAGCGCAGAATGTCGGGTCCACGAAAATCGTAGGTAGAAACATCAGCACCATCGTGCCGTGGAACACCTTACGCCGGGTGTCGACCTCGGCAACCGAACTGAGCTGAAACACTACGGCCAGTCCGGTCGCCAGTACCAGGACGCAGTAAACAATGACCAACAGGCGGCCGTTGGCTGGTCCGAAACTGGTCTGGCGCAGGTGTTCTACCCGGCCGAGCCAACAGGAGACGTCCTCGCCGTCTGTGTCCGGGCGCGGTGGGAGTTGAATCCAATATTCGAGATTCAGCATGAGCACCCAGAAACGGAACCCCGATAAATTTCCCAGCAGATATCCCAAAGCCCATCCAAAGGGATCCTGTCCTTGAAGGGCGCGCTCACTCACGTACTTTCGGATGGGACCAAGGATGATTGCCAGCGACGCGAGGTAGACATACGCCGCATACAGCCATTTGCGGACCTGCGCTTGGGCTGCGGTGAGCGATAAGAAAGAAGCAAGACCGGGCCCCATCAACTTCTTACGCCGGCCACCCGGTGTAGTGCGGACCCGTTCTTCCTGAACTGCCTCGTCAAACGTGGATATCGTATGCCGCCGCCGTCGCGTAAAGTACTTCTCAAAGACTTCTTCTGTAGGGGCATTATCGATGGCAGACGCGGGGGCCACGGGTGGTGCAGGGTTTCGAATTTCCCGCATCGTTCTGGTCTTGCGTGGTTTCGGAACCCCATCGTCGCTGTCTGAAGTGGGCTCATCAGGCCTGCTCAGTATTTGACAAAGACGGTGGTCCATCATGTTGATGAACTTCCGCGGTGACAGCGAGCCATTAAGGGAGCGGCGGAACTTCCAGCTTGGGATCCGAGCGAGAGCCACCTCCCAACGTAGTATGTTTCGACAAGACACAAAGAGACACATTCCTCCCAGCCATAATAAGGCCTTGAGAATTTCGGCCTGGGGGGAGGTAGCAAACAAATACAAATTGATCAGAGCTGTCGTCAGGAGCTGTAGCTCCGCAGGGAGAATGCTGGTCGTCAACAAAAAGTCTAGGGTGGGTATCAACGCTTGATGCAAAGGAAAAAGAAGGATCAACAATTCTGCATCGTGCCCACGAAGCGTCAGCGGTTTGGGAATTGTAGAGTCGAAGGAGAGGTATTCGGAGACGATGATAGGCACAACGCTAACTATCCAGTGCGGAATAGAGCACCCATGGATCCAGTTTTGTAGAGGGATGACTGGTGCCGGTAGAGAGGAGAGACTGAGGATGATGTTTGGCATGACCAGTGCTGGTTGGTGTTGTGAGAGCGAAAGCGCGACAAATACCGGGACAAAAATTGGGTATAGGAGCGGAGCCGGGTCGAAGCTTTCCGGTATTGAGAAAATTGAATGGCTGGAGGAGCATATGCGCCATCTCCGGCTCCTCGAGATTCGAAGTAGGAGGGGGTGGGAGGCGTAGAGGCCTAGCAGCAAGAGGCCATGAGCGGCGAGCTCTGCAAATAAGTTAATATGTCGTACGCGCTAGACATCCAGTGACCATTGATGCTCCTACCTTTTTTCCAAGCCCATGCAAGCGAACGCGCATCTCTCTGCAGCAAGACCACAACGCCGACGGAGAGCAACAGAGCAGTCTCGAGCAACCGCCGCAAGATTTCGACCCGTGTCCTGCATTTTATCCGTGTTCTTTCAGCAGCCTTTCCACCTGCCTCCTCTCCTGAGCTTCGCCTTGAGCCTCTGATCGATAATCGTACGAGTGACGGCCATGGTTGTAGAGAAGGCAACCACGAATCGGAGTCACCGGCACCGTTCCCACCCGCGCGCAATCCCTTGTGAGGGCGCACAGGTGGCGCCGGAAGGCCTCTTAGAATCCCAGTACTTTCATCATCTGCTTCTGTGCCACTGTCGCTCGGTGTGCGCGATGCTTTCGAGTAGGATAGCGGTTGCAGCCGGTCGCCTTGCTCGGATGGTGTACGCGATAAGAGGCGTCTGCTTCGGTGGTAAGGATGGGGGGAGCGTGTGAACTGCCGCAAGTCTTCAGCAAGCACTTCGGAGCTTGTAGCTGTACCCAAAGTGCTGCTGCAAGCGGTGGGTTCCTTTTCTTCGGGGCCCCGCGAATTCATTGCGCCATTCCTAGGACAGTAGGTGCGTCATGCCGCGTGTGCGAGGGAAATTGGAGTGAACGAGCGTAATCGAGGACGCTGAAGAAATTAAAAAGGAATTTTTGAACTCGGCGCACCAACGAAGTGAACGGACAATTGTTGAAGTGATGTTGTTATCTTGGCTCAACGCGGAAAGGTTCGTGCTTATCACATGCTCGCCCCATATGACGTCCCGCGTATGTGTCTCCCCACGATCTCAACGTGTCTTTTCCGAAATCCGCAAAAGATGCAGAAAGACATTCAACATGCTCATCCTTGTTCTCTTTACCACAAGGACCCTCAATATGAGCTCTTGGCCCAGCTCTATGTGCGTAACATAGCGATAGCACGGAAGAAAGGGGCTATGTTTTCATTTCTTTCCAGGCCCTAGATCAGAAAGTCTATCATGTCCTCGTTTTTGGCAGAATCATCGTAGTCAATCCTAGCGACCGGCAACATTGTCTTAAGCAGCTAACGGTCTAATAACTTGTAGAATCCATAAGCCACATACAATTTAACACTTGGAATGCCTTCCTCCCGGTGCTATCTTGTGGCAGGTCATGATATGATTACGGGTATAAAATGGATTTCTTGATTCATCATTCATCACATGCGCAAATCTTGACAGAATTCACATGTTTATGCAAGCTCCTGCAAGGCAATGCCAGCTGTCAAGCGTCGACCCTCCCGGCCCCAAACAGATCTGCAAGGAATGACTTGGCCATTCCAGAGGCCTTCGGGAACAGGTTGCGTGGTATACAGCACCGCCTGCGCCAGACCCTTGTTTTGGCAATGGGTATCCATGATTTCACGGAGACTCTGCTCCAAATATTCCTGAGACGTAGTGACTTCAAGACCGATGTAGCGATATTTATCGTCCACAGTAGTAGAAACACAATCCGTCTTGCTCTCGACCGCAGCTGTTTCACATTGACTTCCCAGACCCTGCCATTCGATATCACTGCCACGAGGCAACCCATCGACCTCAACCGCCAAAAACGGCGAAATAGTAGGAGCACCCTCGTCAAGGACGGAGAATTTCGGCAACGTCGAAGAAACACTCTCGGGTGTGAGCTCCTCGCCCCTCCGGCCATACTTGATATCCCACGCATCAAGCTGCGGCCACTCATCATCCGACTCGGAACTCTCAACCCGCGTATGCATCTTCTTCCAAAGATGCCATGCAATCTTCGCCTGTGTCTTGATACTCTTGTCTTCCCCTGTCAAGAAAGCCACGCCACCGAGCCACCAATCAACCTGCATAGCATCACCAATTCTCCAAAGATGCTGCAGAGACAGTACAGCGCGCAGATAGAAGTCCTCAACCCAAGATTTGCCAGCCGTGGCAACCTCCATAGAAGCCGGTTCGAGCGGGATCTGACCCGCAATGTAGACCACCCTGCTTCCCTGTAGCGGAATGGACATGGCTTGTGAATATGGCCCGATATTGGCTGGTGCCCAGTATGATCGTGACTGAACATGTAGGCCTTGGCGACTACTTCGTGCGCCCATGTCTACCACGAAGGAGACCATTACTTTCACGTTGGAGGGGAGTGCGTCGCCGCATGCTACCGTGACTCGAGCGGGCGGGTTGGGTTTCTTGAAGAGGGAGACGTAGACGTTGTTCATCAAGGCGAAGTCGTCCATCGAACGAAGGAGGACGGTTGCGAAGACGATGTCCTCGGTGGACCGAGGCGTGGATTCCGAGATGGTCTGGAGCGCTGCTTCGGCTTTCGTGATGATGCCGTTCATCTGTTCGTCAGCACCCGGTCCAGCCTCGGGCGCGACGAGATTCGAGATTGTCCATGTCGAGTTGGAATGACGATGATGGGGTTCGCAAATAGACCAAGCAAGCGAGGCCGTCAGCCTCCGCGTCTCAGATCCAGACGGAGAAAGCTCAGGCATTTCCTCCAAAGCAGCAGCGAACGGAGTATCCAACAAAGCAGGCCTCCTCACATCCTGTGGTGTAATCTCATCCCTCTCCTTAGGTACACACTTGGCCCCCTTCAACTTCATAAACGCAACACCACCCTCCCCGGTGCCGACCTCGCGCTCCTCGATCTCAATCCGCTGCTTCCAAAGGAACCCCGGCCCATCAATCGCCAACGTCTCATATTCACCACCCTCACCAAGCACCGCACCACGAATATCTTCCGGCGCCGCAAACCTCCCCATAGCCTTAACAATCTTCCTCCGCACTGCGCGCCCAGTATTCTCAGATCCAGAGACACTCTCCCACAGGAACCCATCATCCAATCCCCCCGACGCAACTTTGATAATTCTGGCATCGCACCCGCACCCCGCCATATCCTCCAACAATCCCGCTTCCTTAATCGCCAAAGGATCAGCTTCCCGTTCACCAGGCGCAGGAAGCGACGGATACATCCACAACCAGGCAAGAGGGACGAGACCTAACCGCCCGGCGACATTCTCAATCCGAGTCCGCTGGTACGTGGATAGAATGGCACCCGCCGACACAGCATTCGCTTCAGGATGAGCTGCCATAACCCTCCGAAGGAGCGGGACCAGGTTCTCCGTCTCGTCCTCGGAAGTACCTTCGGCAGACTGGTCGGCTGCATCGTGGCGGTAGATACGCGCCGTGTCGACGGCGCCACCGGTGATAGGCGCGCGGTATAAAGGTATATCGAGTGCTTCTTGGTACAACGGAATTACGCTGTGGCCGATTGTTTGGTACATGAAGCTGTCGATGTCTTCGTCATCTTCGGTGTCGGTGCGGAGTTCGGGGTGGAGGTTTGCGAGGGCGACCACACGGTGGCCGTTTCGGATGCAGTGGAGGATGGAGTAGAGGGAGTCTTTGCCGCCTGATATTAGGGCGATCACGTTTAGGCCGGGCATGGTTGTTCAATTGAGGGGACTTCTCACGGTGCTGTGGTGGGTTGAGGGTGGTTTTTTGTGGTCCCACATGCTTATCGATAGTGATAGGCGATAAGCGGGTTGTTTACTCCATAAACGCGTCAAAGGCGATGTTTACCCAAAAGCTTCAAATCTCATTCGAGATTCCAAACACGCTATAGCTACAGGCTTGAAAGGTACAGTACACTTGAAGTTCATTGTGATTATGCGTAATTTGATGCTTGATCCACGCGGGATCCATATATGACCTGAGACCAACACAGAAAGGGGCAGGCAAGAAATGCAATACAAGAAGGGGGTATGTGTGCAAGGAAAAAGGAGTGGTCAAATTAATTTATACACGAATGTGACCAGCACAAAGAAGCGGATGGGGGGAGGTGAGGGCAAATAATGGAAAACAAAAACCAAAAAATATTACATGAAATAAGAGCAACACAAGCTGAACGAAACGAAGAAAAGAGTCGAAGGGAATCAAAAAATGTCACATCGAAACGAACCCAAAGGGGGAAGTTGGATCAAAACTGCCCACATTGTGCTGGACCGGCGAGAAAACAAAAACAAAAGGAAAGGTAACAAAGGAAATCAACGTCCCAATCAACCCATATCAGGGCACAGAAGCAGAAGCCGTTTGCTCTTTTCTTTTCTTTTTCTCCATCATGGAATGTTCATGAAGGAATCCCGTTTCTCCCAGAAACCAGCCCGAGGCATTTCACAGCCTGTGTAGTTCCCCATTTTTGGGATTGATATGACCAAGACGGGACAAGTTGCCGTACACCGATGACCCAATATTCCGACACCAGTGTAAATGCCCGGACGCCAAACCCAATCAAGACCGCAACGGTCGAGCAACACCGCGACCGAGGAAATGTATGTTATTATATATGCAGTAGGAAGTTCTCCTGGTCTCATAGAAATCATCAACGCAAGAGTTCGTCTTTTAGACGTCACGCTTGCGCTTCTTTGCCGGCCGACGGTCGGCGGAGTCCTCAGAGCCGGACTGGGACTCGTACACGACGGCACCTAAAGCACCGGCGTCATGCTGCTCGTCAAAGGACACGTCGCTGGAGTCCAAGACACCCATGACGACGGAGCCACCGCCGTGGGTGCGGGAGTGCTGAGCCAGGTTGTCACTGCGAGAGAACTTCTTGCCGCACTCGTGGCACTCGAAGGGCTTGTCCTGAGTGTGCAGCGAGCGGTAGTGGCGCTTGAGGTGTTCCTGGCGACGGAACCGACGCGAGCACAGAGTGCACACGAAGGTCTTGGATGGGTCCTCGGTTAGAGACTGTTTGCGGCCCCGACGGTTAACCGACACGGGAGCCCGCTCGGAGTCGGTGCTGCAGTCGGAGTGGGCAGTCGCGTGAGAGTGTGGGACGGACAGGGACTTGCGATGGTGGTCCTCGTCGATATGGGCGGTCTTCCTAGACGACTTGCGGTTGCTGCGCTTCTTAATCTTGGTCTCCTCCTCGGAGAAATCCTCATCTGCCTCGACGTGGGGCTCAACGGACTCGGCCCACTCGAAGGAAGGCAGAGCATGGTGCATGAAGCCCTCATGCTCATCGGAGTCGTCGAGGCTGTGCTCGCTGAGGAAGCCCTCATCCTCGGCCACGAACTGCTCCACACGCTGACGCTTGCCACCCAGGTAGAGAGAGTTGCTGCCCGGGTGGAAGTCCACCAGGTGGCTCAGCTCATCATCGGAGTCGAGGTCTGAGAAGCTGTCGAAGGTCGGCAGGGAGCTCAGAGGGTCCTCGGCGGAAGAAGCCGTGTAGGAAGGCGAGGGGTTCTCGTTGACGGGCAGGGTTACGGACGCACTACCCACCACGGCGCGAGGCTGCTCCTCATCGCATGTGAGGGTGGGCAGAGGAGGGAGGTTCTGGGGAGCGGGCACATTCACCGAAGGCTCGACCGTGAGCTGACGAGGGTCACAGAAACTCTGACCGGTGGAATCGGTCAAGCCCTGGGATTGGGCAAGGATATCGGTCGGGACTGGAGAGGGGGAGGGGGAAAGCGAGGGGCAGGAGTGGGCGGAGAATAGATCGGACGCCTGGCTGGCGGTAAGAGACGGCGGGTGGATAAAGACTGGAAAAGCGGGTTAGTCTGCTGTCATAAATCCCTTGCATTGCACATCATCGAAGGGGGGCCGTGTTCTATTTTCGGGGCGCCCCTCCGTGGCTGCAGGTTGCATTGATTGCGCAAATGGCATGCATCACATTCAGACGTACCTGGTGTCATGGGGGGTGAGTCGGCGCGCCCCCATTCCGGGTTGGCCAGGATTTCTTGGTGGACGTCGGTCTCGCACCCTTCCTTGACACCCTCCACCTTCTCAAAGGAAAAGAAGGCGTCGTTGATGGGAGTGTGCAAAGTGCCATTGGCCGAGGGCGGGCTGCTGATGGTGCTGCCTGACGAGGACAACGGCGGAGTTGTAGGGAATCCGTACATGTCCGTCCCGATAAAGCGGGTATCCAGAGGCATCAAAGCGGGTGAGCCATGCTGCACAATGATAGCCGGCTTCATCTGCGAGGGCTGAGGCGAGGCAATGGGAGTCATGTTCATGGTGGCACCGCGGAAGGCATTGGTGGTGGCCATCTGGTGCATGTTCATCATGGACTGCGCCTGGTAGATGGGCTGCTCGCCATGGGCGTACTGCATCTGACCGTAGTAGGGAACTTCCGAGGGCTGGTTGGTGTAGTGGCCCTGCTGTTGTTGTGTGTCGGCATAGTATGCGAACGAAGGTTGGCTCTGCACCTGAGGCGCAACTGTGTAGGAGTCCATGGTCTTTTTTTTTGTCAACGTTAGCACATACTCGCGAGGAAGGAACAGGTATCAGTAGTACAACACCACACACCTTTTTGACACGATATTCAAATCGTCAATTGACCGAGGGAATTATTAGAGGATAAGGATAAGAGGAGCGCGTCAAGTAATGAAGGAATGTGTAGACGCGGCACGATTAGGGTTGTGAGGTATAGTAATGTGAGAGGTCAGGCCTCGTTGTGAGGTGTAAAGGAAGGACAGGAACCAGAAGGAACCGGATGGGAAGGAGTGAAATATCACAAAGTCGAAAACTACCCAAACCCAAAACAGTTCAAGTTCGGAAAGTGGAAATGGGAAATGAAATAAGAAGACAACGAGAAAAAGGAAAAAAATGAGAGACAGGGCCGATGGCAATCTGGGATAAGATGGGAAAGAGAGAGGGAGGGAGCGAGTGGATAAAAGAGTGATCTGCCAGTGCTATTTTCTACTTGCCGGGTCACTAGTCGGGTGTGGGCCAGGAACAGTATTATTTTATTTTCTTTTTTGGGCGAAAAGAAAGGAAATAAAAATAATAATTTAATGTGTCTCAATGCTGTGTAAGTAATGGTGGTATCAAGCCAGTCCGGGGCGGGATCAACCAGGGTGTTCAGTCCCGTCGGCCCCAATCAGTAGGAAGGTTTGGGGTGGGGACCGGACCCATTTGCCTGTGAGAATGAACCAAGTACCCAAGGGAACGGGCACTGGCCCGCCTGTACAGGATGTATCGGGTCAGGGAGCCCACATCGGTCAATGAGCCCAAAAAGCGAGGTGGAGCAGCACGAGATGCTGGTGTTACGCTGAAATGCGGAGAGAGGCTGTGCTCAGAGTGATTTCTTTCCGTCCTATCGTTCTCCCCGACCGTGACGGCGTCGGCGCCTACCTGCGCAGCTGGGTGACGGTACCGAAGCCCTCGCACCAATATCGTCTGGAAGACGGAATGTATCACATGGGCAGGTTCACTCCCCAAGTTCCAAAAATGGGGAAACCGCGTGTGGCCACGAGGTGCACGGCGATTGGAGGCAGGAGGGTGACAGCGGCAATCATTTGCACCTCTTATCAGTGGACCCGCGACAAATGAGCATCGACGGTGTGTGGGGGGAGCTATTTCCACCCGGACGCCTCCAATGGTGTCGGGGAGAAATTGGCCGGTTCGCCCAAGGGCCCACGTCTATCCCGTCCCCGTCATTATCCTGCCAAGGCACGGCGAGCGATCTGCATTTGATCTGACTGCGCCTGCCCCCGGGACCTGGTGTGCGGGTATTTTTGCTGAATGTACGGAGTCCCATGGCGATGATCTGAATCCATTCCCCATGAGGGAGTCCTGCCTCTTGGCCCGCGAGGCTTGCCACTGTCGCTTATCACCTTCCCATCGCGCTATCAACGCGCTATCAACTGTGGCGAGAACCGTCCAACTAGCCTTCAATTGTGAAACGGTCGGCATAAATGACATACTCCTCTCCCTCCTTCCGGCTCCGTTTCATATGATCCCGGCGACAAGTACATACAACGGGGAGTTCAAAGTTCCTCGGTCTGATCCACCCCGGTGATCAAGGTGCCAACCGTCCATCATCATAACCTTAGTTCTCTCTTTTTTGCGAACGCACCCAGATCCGCGGTGGCGATAATTTGCCACTGCACATGCCAGAGTCTCAACTGTAAGGAGTCGCGGTCCATGGACGACAGCTGAAAGCTGAAAATACGTGTGATGGTCTGCGCGGCCTACTGCAGGAACACGCTGTGGAGGCCATAGCCGCGAGAACCAGCGGAGAGTTCTGGGGATTGGCTGCATAAGAATCTATGGGGAGGCAAGGCTCCTCTCCATCTTCTTTGTTCACAGGCCAAATGGGGTGCGATACGTTCCGGGGCGCTAGTTCCCACTGCCCTACCGTGCCTGATTGGAGATGGGCCATGTAGGGTGAATGACATCGTACATTGAACTACGTCGACGCGCAGCAGACTGCAGTATGCTATAGGCTACAGTAGAACTGCCCCCTCCACTCTGGTTTACACTTTCAGGCGTCACTGTGGTAGATCTCATTGGCCAAGCTGCTGCAGCCATGTCGCGAAGTGATGTGTTCCGATTGCATGGCCTGGTGTGATGGCCCTGCCCGTCTCACATCTCACATCTCTCAAGGTAGATCCGGGGCAGCCACTGTGATCCATCATGACACTCCAACTCTCTGCCTTCCGACACATCGAGTTATGTTGAGAGACACTCACACCACAGCCGCCTGCACGCCGCGCAAGCAAGGTTTGGGTTGACGCGACCGGTGGCACACTGGCAAGTTGGAAACCTACGGTCCCATTTCAGGTCCAGCACGGAGCAGCATGTAGCCCGATAACCTCGCACATCGAGTCCTGAACCGGAGGCATTATTCTCATCGACAATCCACTTCATCATCCCAAGAGTGGACCGACCCAGACCTCCATTGGTTGCTTCTAAACATAGCGGCCTCCACTTATTGGGTGCCACCATGCCTTTCGCGGACAAAGCGTCGGCGCGGGCGGGAAAGCTGCCTCTTTCCGCTGCCAATGATATCAGTTCACGGGAAATTGGGGGAATTGGCCTGATCGCTGGCACTATGTACTGTAACTCCGTATTGTACAAAACATACTCCGTACACACACCACACTGGCCCACATCTCCTGGAGATCACCTCCGGGTCCCAAGTCTTCCTACCTTGGGTTAGGTGCCTTTCCCAAGCAATTGGGATGCATGCATGGAAGGCTGTCACTCTCGTTCGAGAATCCCAAGGGGGGGGGAAGGGTTCGCCTTGCGTCGGGCCTGTCTTCCGAGCCATTCAACTCTGTAGAGACACTGTAGACACATCCAAAACCCAACAAACAGCTCAAAAATTGGCCTCTTTTGGCTTTGCTACTATTAACTGCCGGGTAAATTATTGCTCATTTTTGCTTTGTTGCCACCGTTATCGCACAGACGGTCAATCCTTTGAAGGCCACGGGGCAGCCATCGCTCAAGTCAGGCAAATTTTGAAAAAATCGCCTCGGACTATTGAATTCTGGCAATTGATAATCCTACAGTTGTATATCTGCCCCCACGTCGAATGAGAAACACGCTCACCGACACGACACCCCCAATGGCCTCGACCGCGGAAGCTCTGGAGCTAAAAATTGAAGCTAAGCTCCCGCAGAAATATAGGGATTTGGTCAATGGTCTTCAGAAACAGCTCTGGAAGGTGGAGTCAAGTTGGAGGTAGCGCACCCGCGACGGCGGACGGGCGGCTCCTAGTCCAAAGCGGCGCGGAAGGTCCCTCCAGTGCAACCAAGCTGGAGTGGGCTCTCAGTGCTGTGGATACGGCAGACCTTCATTTGCCTCCAGGCCCCCTGCCAATAATGAACTCCAAGAGTGGGTTTGAGGATCACCGGTGCGATTGCAAATATTGGAGACATGGTGACATCCAGACTACCATGTTCCCCGACAAATCACCAGAGAGATATGGAGCCTCGCCCTCGGGATTTGGGTCTGCGAGAAACCGTTGACGATCATCATGCCTGTATCCGGGTGACAGGACATTAGGATGCATGTACGAGGGCTTTTACGGACTGGATAGATCAGTCTTGGTCAGCCTCGAGGTGATGCGTACAGTAGGACGGGCGTGCTGCAAGGGTCCTACGGATGGATCTCTCCCGAGGCGCTTACGAAATTTCCCATACGTCCACAGAAAGCTTGCTCTGTCTCGACAGGCCTTCGGTCTGGACTGTTATGACAGTAGTACATATGACTGTTTGATTGTCTGCAAAAGCACCAAGCGGCAATGTGGAGCGCACAGGGGTCAAGGAATTTGCTTTTCCATCTCGCGCGCACGGTACGCCGGAGCTCTGCTGAGCTTAGAAGGAGTCGAGTTCAACGGGTGGTTCGTGCGATGATAGATTGCGCTCCATAGTACATAGGTCCTGGATATGGCGCCATTTCCTTTCGAGCGAGTCGCGGATAGAGCCGGTGGAACTGGTGGACCGCGTAAACCGGGGTATCGTGAATCATGCCATTGCCATTCGCCAATGGGCTCCTATCATGCCTTCGTCCGTCCAATTTCCTGTCTTGTCCGAATGTAGAGGTGCAAACCCAAACGAGCGGGTTAATCAGCGGCAGGACCGACGGCTATCCGAGCATGGGCTGGCAGGGCGGGAACCAGCAAAGCTTGGATGTTTGGGGTACTTTGTTTAATTCACGCGCCTGCAAAACTCTGATTTGAGTCGTGGCTACACTTGTTTCCCAGAGGAGTAGCCTGGCCCGAATGTTTTGGTACTTTTGTAACCTGGCGTGGCCATTGACTTTCTGCCAGTCCGCAGATCTCCTCTTCGGGCCTGGCACGGAAGTCTCTAGTGATTCTAGCGTAGGTCTGGAGTGTGGAGAGGAAGAGAGTACTGTACAGTAGCACGGATCCAGCCACCTCTAGCCCGTTCTTTCGCGGACGTAGTGTTGTCTACTCCATAGGGGTGGGTTAGATACAACACTAGACTGCACCGTGGGCTAGGGCCGGGATCTATTTTTCACACTAGGGCAATTTAGGGAGATTAATGTCGGTCGGGGCTTTCCGCACGTTGGCAAATCTGAAACACCTCGAGTTCACAGGCGATTGGCGTAGCGGCGACGGAACACGCGTTTTCGAAGCTGTTGTTGACGCTAGTGTACACCGGTGGCTTGGCTGCCCCACGCTCGAAAACGCAAGACTGTCTGGATATTGTAGCGGTGTAAGAGGCCCCAAGTACGTAGTAGTACTTTATGTTAATTTCGATATTAGTGTTGTTTGCGTCGTACTGCTGGGTTCTACTGTATTCGTGCGCTCGGGGAGGAGTGAAACAGTGGTGGCTAATTCACGCAATTCGACGCAATTCAGCGTGCCGATCGGATAATGAGTGGTCCCCGGATATACCTAGCTATTTCTATCTTGGAAGATCCATCTATTCGGCCATGCACCTGGTTATGCTTATGTCCAGTAGTCAGATGGACTCAGCTTATACGACGGTGCTCAGACTGTCTCGCTTCGCTGAGTCGCCGCCAAGTCTCACATCGGCTCCCAGCGGATATTAATTTTTTAATTTACGCTACCTCCAGCCCTGGAAGCTTGAGATAAATTGTGGACTGTAACTGCTGCAACGGTCGCCCGAGACACGCCTATACACGGTGGTGCACTGGCACGCCACCAACATGTGAGCCCAGTCGTGTGGTAGATACTCCGTGCTCCGTCCGGACACCAAGCCCGTGCCCATGGTCCCCGGGCATTGAGAGATCATCGCGCACATGTCTCGCAGCCGTGTGAGGGCTACCGACTGGCCCTAGCGAGAGGCGAACACGAAAAGTGCGGGGAAAGCATCCACGCTCGCGTAAGTTTCACGGCATTTCCATGGAACGGGCGTGGTTCGTCGGCACAAAATCGTTTTGTCTGATTGGGAGGTTCTGTCGTCACTCACAGGGTACACACGTTTTAGTGAGGGTGTTAGTGTAATATACACCTGAAGCTAGCGTTGTGAATGGCCTAGCACAACGGGCGATTTTACTCTGCGTTGCGTTGATACGCACGTGCGGGATAAATGGTCCTCGGTATCCGCAGTATTTCTCTGGTCTCCAGAAGAGGAAGAGGAAGATCCAAATTGGGGACCCTGTGTATCCCACTACTCCCGGTACTAAGACCTACCGGGTATTCAGTACTCACTTGGATATTAGGTTGTTGGTGGAGTTATGTAGTGGGTGTCGCTAGAGACTTGCTCTCTACAGATATGGCCCGATAGTCAACGTGGACAACGTGTGTATCAAAACCAACACTTGGACCTCTTCCAGTGCCGCAAACTCGGCCAGGAACGTGGCGTCGATTAATTTCATTCTCGGCAAGATCTTCTGTCCATCTCTCCCAACTCCACAAGTCCAGCCTCGGAGCATTTGATAGTCTCCTCAATGCTGTAATAATCGGCTCACTACATACTGTGTACAGACGGTCCTCGCAGGTCCGAGAGCCAATGGAATTTTCTCGATTCTTGGCTACTCCGCATGAGGCAATCGCAATCTTCAGCCGTCAGGCCAGGAACAGAGTTTTTCTCTAATTCATCAAAAGCTTGGGGAGAATCGCGGCCCCACCAGTTTCCACAATCAGCTGACGCACAAATCAGAAATTCTTGCCGGGCGCTACATTATTGCGATCGCAGCTCTACATGACCCTCGGCACGATCCAAGGGCCCCAAAAATGCGGAGATGGACTACCAGGAACACAACTGAAGTCTATTTGGAACCATAGCCCGCCCATAGACTTGCATTAGGGCCGGACGCCATCCAGCGCAGCCAGTCAGAGATCACAGCCTGTTCCCTTTTGTTTTCTCATGGAGTCCTCGTTGTCGTAACTTGGAGTAGTTCTCGGTGGACTCACAGTGGTAACGATCATCAGATGGGGCCATTGGCATCATCAACCCAAAACATGGGTTCTCGGGGGCCGGAGGCCGCGAACCACCCACCGCCACCCTGCGAACCGCTGGGATCCGTGTCCGTGGACTCGATTCAGGTACGGTGCGCGAGGTTCCCAATCGGGCTCCGAACATATTCCGGTGGACTCCAGCGCACGAGCTCAAGTGCGGAAGTCCGTAGATTGCGCTGTGCGCTTCCTCTCTCGTTCTTTGGTAGTGGTGCCCACTACTGTTTCGCATGTCTAACTCTAATGCACTCCATCACGAAAGTCCGCGTATTCAGCCGAGACCCTATCTGACCCAGATTGTGGTTCCATTCCCGACTTAGTGGCTTGGTGGCTGTTCTACGAACTCACTGCTTCAACTGCTCCATACTTAACAGAGTGTTCTCGAGCCCATCACGAAGCTTATCAGGCCAAAATCCCGTCGATAGCCACTCTCCCCAACTCTCATCCAGAAGATTATTACTCATCCCGCTGTTCTCCGGCCGAATCGACTCCATAATTTGTGAATCTCCCGACGGTGGACACCTCTACAGATACCACCAGTCGACCGTAGCCCGTCCCCACCGGTCGGCGCCAGAGCCCTTGGTGAACAGTCCGCCTCCTCGTGTGCTGATTATTGCCTCTTTCCTGCCCGATCCAGATCGACGGCTTGGTTTCTTATCTGATAGCGCTGTGCACACGGCTCACAACCAAGGAAGTGGGCCGCTACTACAGTACAGTATCTGCATTTACGGGCCCAACTCGGACTCTCCAGATCGTCCGCGACGCTGTCTTTGTACGTAATATATTAAAGTGAGATCTCCGCTATATACGATGGACACCCGTGTGCACCACCGTGCTTTTTGGGGTAGCCATCTGGGCTGGCCAATTTTGCCTCAACCTAGACCTGGAACTTGGCCGGCGATTTTCAAGAGCTGAGGTCTAACTCAGGAATTAAACTCTCGCGGGCAGCTAGGTGTTCGCATAAACTCTCCTGCCGTCGAACACGAGGCGTTTCATGGAATCTTCTAGCTCTGCAGTCAGCACACTAAACGACGCCCCGTCGCCTTCTCATTTCCGTCAAAATGCTTGAATTCACCTTGACATCGAACTCTACCTACACGTGCGCTGACCGTGGATACCCAGATAGAAACAGCGTGCGCCATTCCCGTCAGATCACTGGTTGACCTTTTTGTTGCCGGGTGGGCTGAGAGCGGGTCTTCTCCATGCGAAACAATCGCGCACGGAAAAAAAAATCACACAACCTTGGCTCACTCATACAACTGCTTGTCTAGCACGGGGTCCTCAGTTCCATCAGCGGATACCAGTGCACCAGAGCTTGCCGTGCCGTACCTGTGACCTTATTTCGGGTTCGAGTTACTGACGTTTATCCGTAGATCCGATCCGGGCCTGTCGCCGATTCAGACACCGAACTTGTCGCCCGTGGGGGTTGTAAGAGGTTCTTACTGTATACGGAGAATAGCACGACCGGCGAGGTTGCTCCATACTACGTTTTTTGGGTCGATACCACCTCGTAACGCGGCTGCTGAGACCATCTGTTCCCAAATGATGCCGCTGGTTGTGTGGTCGGTGGATTTTCGGCCCGCGATTGATATCGGATCCACGAGACCCAGGCATTGGTGAGATGGGGAATTGCATCAGAGTCCTGTGAGCGGTCGGAGATATGGCGAGATATTTCATTCTTCTGATCATCGCACTTCGGCCGAAACTTGGCGGGCTAGTGTGGATGTAGTGTGGTGCGGTATGATGCTGAACCAAGGCCACTCTGTCTACAACGGTCCTCGCGGGTGATTTGAAGATTGCCATTGCGTAACGCCGGTTGCGTACACTACTTGGCAGGGCTTACAGCTAAAAGCTAACAGTGAGGACATAAATCTAGGACAGTCTCGGGTCTGGAGGATCCCGGGATATCTGACGAAATTCTCCACGACAGTGACTGACACAGCCAGCAAAACACAAAACAGGCCTCAGGAATGGTTACAGTAAGATCACGCTCCCATTGGGAGTCAGTCTCTTCCTATCATATGATTCCATAATTCTCATCATCAGCCGAATATTGTGGGAAGAGGAAAACAGCGAAAACCGTCGAAGAAAAAAATGCCCCTGATGGCTTACGTAACACGCGAGGTGTCACCGGAGCGGAAAAATCCACTCGCCGAGAGCACCATAAAATCTCGGGCGCAAATTTGCCCTTCTCTCTTTTTTTCTTTTCTTCTTCGTGCGGCGGCGCAACTATCATTTACCCGTGTTGCCTGGACTTCTCTCTCAGTGTGGTCACCAGGTGTCAGTTGCGCCACAGACGAACGGAATTGCACACCGGTTCTTACTTTATTGGTCTTTCTGATTTCACAAGGATGAGACCTTTTGGTTTGGGATCGGACATACTGCCTTCATGGCTCTTAGATATTGCTAGTGCGAATGAAACAGAACTTGAAAAAACTCAGACCATCTTGTATTCCTATGTAGCGTGGTATAATCGCTGTCTTTGTTGATCGCTTCTCAAAAGGGTACCGTCGTGGTACTTCTACCGTATCTGCCCGCCAGGAAAAGAGCATGAACCGACGCCAGCAGCTCTCAGCAACTGGCAATTACTCGCCGGGCTCATCACCAATTTTCTCCAGCTTCCCCATGGACCTCTTCTCGCCCGCGTCGCCCACAATGCGAATCCGGTCCACGCGCAACTTCTCGCTGTCGCCGTCGCCATCCACAAAGAACACCACCAACGACGTAACATTTTGGAACTTGACGAACCGCAGCGGCACATTGGCCGTCCCCGTCTTCGAATCCCAGTCCTTCTCCTTAATTTCCACCGTCTGCACAGCAGGAATGTCCTCCGCCTCGTCGAACCCGAGCACGTGCGACCGGTTCGTGTAGAGCGACACCGTCTTAGGTCGCATGGGTGTCTCATCATCATCCTCACTCTCGGTCGGAAGCGACGTAATTTGCAACGAGTGCACCTTCAGCGTAGACTGGAAGGGGATGTAAAGCATCAGCTGCTCGTCCGTATCACTCTCCACCCAGTCCTTGCCGCTGTTCTTGCCCTTGCCTGCCAGTCCAGACGGCTTGCTGCTGTCGAAGAGCACCCGGGGCTCGCCCGCCTCAATATCCCGATTCAGCAGTTCCAGTCCCTTGAAGTCGACTTGGTCCGTCACGTCGGCGTATCCCTTGGCCACGGCCCCGCCGATCCAGCCTCCTCCTGCGCCGCTCGACTCGCCGTCGCCGGCTCCGTCGGACTTCGTTGCTTCGTTGGCGAGCTTCTGGATGACTTCGTTCAGTCGGCGCGGGTCGGCGCCCGCCACGGTCTGGGTCTTACGGCCGTTCTCGAAGACGATGAAGGTTGGGTATCTGTAGTTGTGTCGGGTGGTTAGTCTTATAGATCTTGTAGACAGGGAGGCGTGTCCTACGCTCGCACGCTGTATGCTTGCGCCAGGTCTTTCTGCTCGTCACCGTTGATCTTGGTGAATGTGATCTGGTTCGGGCGCGACAGCTGGCGCGCCAGCGAGTCGTAGACTGGGGCGATTGCTTTGCATGGTCCGCACCAGTCGGCGTAGACTAGAGAGGTCAGAATCAGCGTTTGTTGTGGTTTGTGGTGGGGGCGGGGTCTTTCCCGCGGGGGGAAACTCACAGTCGGCGACGACGACTCGCGAGGAGCTGAGGAGCGTGTTGAATTGCTCGTTTGAGGATATGTTGATGACGGACATGGTGGAGGGTTGGTGGTGGAAGAGTTGGCGGGGGTTGGAATTCTGAGGGAGTGTTTTGCTCGGTGGCTCATATGTCATCACGCCCGAGACATCAATGACGGTTCAGCGACAAGAGACCTTACCAAGGTTGAAGTCTTTTTAATTTCTTCGAGCTTTCTACCTGCATGATATTCTCAAATGAAATCGAATCATTTTGCAGTGTCATGTCGGTGGTCTAGATGAAAATAAGACCGCCTGCTAGGAAATATATTGCTGATCGGCAGGTACCAAGTCAAGGCTTAGCCATGCTTGGTACACCAGCAAGAGCTTCATCATTTCATACCCACGCAATCGGTAACCATGGATGCAGATAGCTAGCAAACAAATTATTCAATAGGCGTTGGTCAGAAAAATGATCTGAAGTCTCCAGATACCGAGACAGATATTCATCAGAGTACGAGAGGAGGGTATCTGGTGCCGGAGCTGGCATTGTTGAGGGCCAATTTTCGTATTACTCTGCCATGGTAACACTTGACTTGACTCGGAAACATCGCGAGAGATCAATTTACTGCTATTTTCCTTTATCGGTAGATTATAGTAGACTCGATATAAGGAATCAAGTGAGAAAATTATATCCGGACCCCCAGATCATCGTCGGGCGAAGGGAAGCAGCCAATTTCACGTCATATCCCGTCATTTATCACGCTTGAAGCTTTTGAAAAACATGCGAGGAAGGTTTAAGTAAATTAAGCGGCTACCAAGTTGGCTTCAAGTCCTCTAATGAACAGCGTGGGTTTTGGTATACAGATCGAACACTTCGACACGAAAAGAAAAATCTCCGTAGTGGAGGATACACATGACATCCTCCAATAAACTTACATTGAGAATTCCTGCACAAACAAGTGTAGAGGTAGCGGTGGAGATTGAAATGGAACTACCGGTGCCTTTCTTTTAGTAGCGGATGTACCGGCTACGGCGGCTGTCGGATAGGAGGTTGCAGGAGCAGTTGCATTTGTCAAACCGTAGCGAGAAACATATTTCCGAAAAATGCCTGCGCCGTGGAGACGGTAAGGTTCTGAATGGTCAGGACCACGCGCGGAAACTCTAGGCAGCAAAGCCAAAACTATCATTACCCGCGAGCTGACGAAGCCCGTGGATCCCGGTCCTATATACCGCAGAGGAATCGTAACACGAATGGACTGATCGACGGTGAGTGGGCAGAGGGATCAGTCGTTTTTGATACGCAGGAAATGCGGGTTTCCCGCAGTCTTCAATCCAAGAATTGTAACTAATTGATTACAAGTCTGCCCGACCTACTGTACATACGGCTTGATATACTACCTCTGGCGTCTTTTCACGGCATTCATAGTGGACCATAACGATAAATACACGGTAGTCGTAGCATGAGTAGTGATAGAATTAGCAGCATTGCAGATATCGACATCTAATAGGTACAGAGAGGCTCTGAAAGGCTCCGCAAGGACCATAGCGAAGGTTTCGTTACACTTTTAACCTGACAAAAAGCCATTTGTCAACTAAAAATCGCCCTTTACTAAGGGCTTCTTCAGGGGAAAAGTACAAAATGGAAAGTAAGAAGCAGATCAGGGGTTAAGGCTGATTAATAGGCAATATAATTCGCCTGCGGTTAGGAATTAGCGATGATGACGTTTGCTGATCTTCACATGGGCCTATCACTAACCGTTTAAGATCGAGCTTGAGAAGAAAGTACAGTATGTATTTGCCGACTATTATTAATCGCAAGGAGGAACTTCATGATACACTGAAATACGTAACAGGAATGAAAATCATCAAGAACATGATGCAATGGAAAGCAGAACCACAGTTGCTTTCCCAATGGTATAAGTTTGCCTCTGTTGCTCGCTCTAGTCCTTTCGGATGACACACTTCTCTCTTCATTGTCAGTAAAAATTCCAATCAAATCCTTGCAACCATGCGTTTCTCCTTCATGACTATGATTGCCTTCACTGGCCTCGCTCTGGCAGGAACGGTACGAGAACTGAACTATCTCCCTCAATTGGCATTGTCTAAGAAAATACAGATCCCTTCTGGAGGAACCTGCACGAAGGATGGTAGTATGGGCAACTGCGCATCCGGACTCTGTGTGGTATGTATCAAAGATTTTACCGAGAGGATCAACAAGTCAAAAGCTAATTCAATAATAGCAAGAGGTCGGTGCATCGACTGGAAAGTGCAAATAAGCTTGCACCTTCCGTTTCCAGAGTATGAGACGATTGTACAGAAATCCTCATCACAAAGGATCGGCAAAGATGGGTTTCAAGCGGGGTTGGTTTCCTTAAATTAAGATCACGTCGCTTTTTAGATGCCAATTCGTCTCTGCTGTGAACCATCTATCTTTGTAGTCGTAATAGACAATTTCAATATGAGTTTTAAGGGAGATTGTTCCGAGAGTGTAATAATGTATGGGCCACTCAGTCCCGGGGCAGCATTGTGCATCAGAATCGTCGATGTAGACGCCATTGCTGTGTATCGGGAGGCCGAGTGCAAATGATGAGCCTTCAGAACGGCGGCATGTCCGTTTCATCAAGTCTTGGCCTTCATTCAAGACATGCGTGGCTTGGCAGAGCATCTCGGTAGAGGAGATGTGAAGGATTCTGCGGTGAATCGATCCCGTCAGGCAGCCAGATACCTGGCCGATGAGCATTCGAGGCGAAATCAGCGTCGGCAAAGCCCAGCAGAGCCTCGTCGTTGAGCGATGGCAGATGAAGCTAAAGTTCGGGATATGATCCCAGGCCATAGAATGATCTCAACCATCATCCTCAACAGCAAAAAGAACCTTCAACCAAAGGCTGCACCCCCGACACCCGACGATAATTTCCCCATGCTCCGCCTCTCTCTCCAACTCATCCTCCGTAACCAGAAATCCCCGATCATCTCCACACCGACATCCCCGATACCAACAAAAACTCTCCTCATCACTGTCATCACACGTGAGATCCTCCAAATCCACAACTTCCAACCCAGTATGAAAAACATCCGTCTTCTCCCGCTCCGCAAGCTTCACCCGGTCCAGCCGGAGTGCAAGATCATATTCTGCGCGCAAAGCCGGATCTGAAAGTGTTTTGTACGCTGTTGTGATTTCGTCGATGGTGTACCGCGATTCGTTGCCATCTGCGCCATTTCCATTGGATGTAGCTCGCGAAAGTACACTCTCTTGTGCGATGGCGCTGGCCTTGTCGGGGTGGTGTTTGAGCAGCGCTTTGTGGTACGCGAGCTTGATCGTCTGTTTCGAGAGGCCGGTTGACGTCCCCATGAACGGGACGCTGAGGATCTGGTAGAAATCCGCTCGGCTGGAGGCTGGTTTCGTCATTTTCAGCGATGTCGGCGCTGCCCGATCTCTTCTTGTGTTGCGCCTAGGTGCGGCCTGTGTGTTGGCGCAGGCTGGCCAGTCGGAGATCGCCCCAGGTTTGGGATGCCAGGTCGCGTTAGCGAGAGGCCTGACCGCTGCAGGGCCAGGATCCCGGTGCCTGGGGTGCGTTGAAATGCGGGGTTGAAGGGGTGTGAGGGCGTGGTGAAGATTTAAAATGGTCGACCCGGCCCCGTTTTGGGTAGATTGATTGTGGTTGCGCGCCACTTCGGGACTGCGGAGCGCGACTTCCACTATTCACATCTATCTACTCCGTCTACATCTGCGCATTGTGGCCGCGCTGACTATTTACTTTTTTGTTGACAAGGAAGATACTCGTATTTGCAGCTGCAGAACTCGCTACGGCTTATTCACGGACAACGTGAACGGCTCTTGACCTATCTCGGATGGATCCGCAATGCACCTCTGTCCCAGAACTACCAGGACTACTGATCAACACTGAAAGAAATCTAACAAGTCACATTGGAACGGCCTCTAGCCTTCTAGATCTAGAAACATCTCGGATATCAAGGTTGTGAAAAAAAACAGCGCAGTCTAATCAGACAATTCCCACACTGGAAATACTTACAACAGGGAAATCTACTCAGAGGTCTTGAAGACGAAGCGGTCCTCGGGCTTGCTCTGGAATGGAACACCCAGCTCGAGGAGCTTGACATAGACGTCAGAGAACTCCTTGAAGAAGACATCGCTGTCCTTGGCATAGCGCTCAACATGAGGCTTGAAACCCTTGTCCTTGACCAGGGCCATGTCGGCGGGCAGCATCATCAGGGTGCCGGTGCTCTTGTCAGTGAACTGGGCAGGGCCGTTCCACTTGCGCTTGTTCCACTTCTCCTCAACAAGAAGACGGAAGAACTCGTTGGTGAAGACGGTAGGGCTGAAGTTCCAGGGTCCCTCGTAGCCGGAGCGGTCAGTGTGGGCGCGGCCCAGGGCGTGGGCACCGATCAGAGCGACCATCTCGCGGTCATCGAAGCCCATGCGTCCAAAGATGTCACGGATGTGACTGTGGTCCTTCGCGGCGTCGGGCAGACGGCCGTCGGGAGTGCAGCCGGCCACATCCTTGTCCGCACGGCCGGGGCGCCAGGGGATCACGGGGCCACCCAGCTCCTGGATGGCGGCGGAACCGGCCAGAGTCCACAGGTCGGAATAGGTGATCCAGGGGAACTTGGCCTTGACGGGCTCGAGGAAGTCACGAGCTTGTTTGAGACCGGCATTGGCGCCGTGGTCAGACTCCGGGGCGAATCGCATGGTCGCGCCGTTGCTGCCACCGGTACCGGTCTCCTTGTCATAGGTACCGCTGGCGTGCCAGGCGAGACGAACGAGGACCTGTTGGGATGGACATCGAGGTCAGTGCTGGTCTCCATCATGTCAATCGCATCACACTTACGGGACCGTAGCTGCCATCGTCATAGTCGGTCTCGTTGGCGAGACGAGCAGCGATCTCGTCGTACACCTTCTGGTAGTCCTGCTGGGTGGGCGCGAAGGGCTTGGACTCGCCGTTCAGGTAGAAGTACGCGCCAACACCACCGGCGAGACCGAAAGCGAGAGCCCAGATAGCACCGGAGCCGGAGGACTTGCCGGAACCAGCCTCAGAGGCATATCCGCGGCGAGCAGAGGTACGGAAGCCCTGCGCGGGGACAGCGAAGCGAGCAGAGCGCGCGGCCGGGCGGAACGAGGAGGCCGGGGTCGAGCGCAGGAAAGCGCGAGAAGCGGAGCGAGCAGCCGAGGCCATCGTGAAGGTAGGAGAGATATAACACAAAGGAGGGGAGATGACAATGGGAGGATGTCAGACGGGGATGAGAAGGAAGAAATCGGGAGTACAAGGCCCCTTCTTAACACCGCAACTAAAGCCAAACCCAGGGAACGAGGTGGCAGAAGCGACTGGAATCTCGGCCAACCGTTCACGCATTACCTCGGTCTTCAAACGTCCTCCGCATTTTTCTTCCCCAGGGTGCTTTCCCTCTACTTTTGAACTCGCAATCTTCCTTGACTACCCAGTACAGCTGCTGCTATTATCAGCGAGGTCTCTCTCCATCCCTATCTGCACCATTCAAAGCCCTCCCACTTCCCCCTTGAGACCATCAGGAGCAGAACCCTATGCCGCTCATCTGTCGGCTCCACACCTGGGCGGGTCCGTAATTATTAACAGCAAAGACGCGTTTGGCTGCACCGTCGGATGGCTCCACACGCGCAGCACGGCCTGCTCCGACCGCTTACTTCATCGACCGCGGTCTGGCTCTATCATATCATCGCGTATGAAGTTGATGCATATCAATTCAGGTCTGTCTAGACTGGCTTGCTGATTTATACCCCTGGTCGTCTTGTGGTGGCCCGGGCCGTGGTTCGGCAAATCCGATTATCCTGAGGATCACCCGGGCTTATTCGACACATTTTCACATTCAGTCTGGAGCCTTTGAATCGTCACTTTCAACTTAGCTATGAGATAGCTAGTAAAACAGTCTACAGTGAAATTGGTTTGCGAGCTTCAAGTACATGTGTATCGAAAAAGCAGCACAGTGAGGCTGCACACCAAACTAATCCCGGTTCATCTTGGCAGTCTCGCCGAATATTCATCGTGATGGTCCATTTACGTATCTAGGTAGAATTGACATGGGCGGTTGAAAGCATTTCTATTTATCGCTCCAGGCCAGATTACTTGCAAAAGGCTCGGCATGAGACCAATTCTTGGACCTCGTTCTGTGGTAGCTGTCAAGCACTCGTGCCAATCTTCACCAGCGAGTTTCAGAGCTACGGGAAGAGGATTACGATGACTTGGATGCTTGTTGGAGACTTTTTGGCCATTTTCATCATAATAGCTTGTGGTTCCTCGCAAAGACAAGAGAGCTAGGGTTCAAAGGCATTGGGCGCCAGATTACGGGACACCAACAGTTCAGCGGCGACATGGCACACGAATTCATATTTTTAAATGTAAAGAAATGTTCGTCGTAAAATTAGTCCTGCTGCCCGATAGGAACGGACACCAGGGTGGAGTAGACGCAGCCCTGCTAAAAGCTGTTTGGTTTTGATCTCCCACCGAACGAACGATAAAAATCACCCATGAGACGTCGGCGCCACGATGGCACCTCGCGGGTTATGTGGGTTATGAATCCTAAGGACTGACTGTGTCTGCGGCATTGACATGATCCTCACATTATATGACCAGTGCAAAGCCCGGCACCAGGTCAGTCCTGGGGATGTCGGGAAAAAGAAAGTGTGAGAAACGAAAAACCAGCGGGAAAAATAGTATTCGGCTTTCACGTGACCAAGACAGGCGACACATTATCACGTGACTGACCCTATATGTTCCGAAAATTTCAGAATCTGATTTCTTCTTATTACACTTTATATCGAACGCATAATCAACCTCCCAATTTCCTTTATGCCATAGGATGGCAGGTCATATTGGCGTACTAGATGAAATTGAGTACTTAAGGCTCTTCGACGGCATAGGAGAGCTTCGGCTCTCTGAGTGCAGTGGTGGATGAGCCTTTTGATGCTCGGACATACCTTTTCCTTAACTACAAGGATGCAATTGTAGATGTAAATCCCTCATCTGAACCCCTTGCGGATAAGCCGGGTCTATTTCTGGCAAGCCCTAGACCATGCAAAATGGATCTCCGGATTCACGGCATGACGCTATTCTTCTCTTGACGGTGACGGTCCATGATGGCTTCTAGATTTATTCTAGAAGTAGATGCCTTGGCACATATGGTTAATCTAGATGAGCTATTTCTGTCCAGCAAGTGGCCGCGTGTAGTCCTCTGAATTAAACAGTGTGCGGTGGTGCAACCTTAACAGGAACCTCAAGGAACTGCCCCTCGCAGGTTTTGGGCCGTATCCGCGTCCTTCTCCGCCTTTTAAGTCCCTTTCCCCCTTAAACTTCTACAACAATCTTTGTATTGTATCCACTCTTTTTTCACAATGCCGAGCGGTATCAGCAAGCGCCAGCAGCAGCGCAATGAGAAGGCTCTGGCTGAGCTGATCCGGACTATCCCTGGAAATGACCGGTGCGCCGATTGCGATGCTTTGACCCCAGGTTTGTCCTCTCACGACCGTTGAGAATCCTCACTAATCTCTCATGAACAGGATGGGCAAGCTGGAATGTACGTTACTTCGATGCCTCCGAGCCCCTGATCCCGAATATCCCTGCTAATTGTTCCCAATAGATGGGCATCTTCCTTTGCATGCGGTGCGCCACAATCCACCGCAAGCTGGGCACACACATTTCCAAGGTCAAGTCATTGAGTATGGACACTTGGACGGCGGAGCAGGTCGATGTGAGTGGTATCCGGTCCTCCAAATCCATACAGCAGCTGACCACGCGACATCGCAAATTAGAGTATGAAATCGCACGGCAACCTCCTGATGAACAAGATTTATAATCCCAAAAATATCAAGCCGCCTGTCCCGACCGATGTCGATGAGGCCGATTCGTGCATGGAACGCTTTATTCGGCAAAAATACCAGTACCGCTCGTTGGAGGATGGAAAACCCAAACCCCCGAGCCGGGAGGACGAGAGCTATACCAGGAACCGGGAAGACTCAAGACGCCAACGTGAACGTGAACGCGAACGCGAACGCGATATATCCCCCGAGGGCTCGCCTCCTCCACTTCCGCCCAAGTCCGGCAAATTCTTCGGATTCGGTCTACGGTCATCGTCTTCAACCTCGAACCTTCGTCGATTCGGGACCAAGTCCAAGGCCTCGCCGACTTCCGACCAGCGGTCGTGGTCTCCGCCACCCCCGAGGAAGGCCAGCGGCCTCGGTGCTCCAGTCGCCGATGTGACAACAGACTCATTCGAGGCGAAGATGGCTGCGCTGCGGGAGATGGGCTTTAACAATGACCGGCGGAACGAAATGGTCCTTCGCGGACTCAATGAGAATTTGGACAAGTCTATCGAGACGTTGGTCCGACTCGGTGAAGGTAATGGTGCTTCATCGAGGGCCAGAACGCCGGTGCCAGTGACCACTACAGCACCTGCGCCGCATGCGACAACACCGAACCCACCGAAGCAGGAGACAACCGCCAGTTTGAACCCCTTCGATAGGGTTGTGTCAAATCCAGTCCCTCAACAGCCGCTGGGTGCATCCTATAACCCGTTCGACCGGCCAACACCTACGACGCCAGCATCGGCCCAGCTTTTGGAGTCGTCGTTCCAGAACCTCCAGGTTTCCCAACCGTTGTTCCCACACTCGACTGGTGGATATCCCGCCCAAACAGGCTTGATGCCCCAGACCACTTATCAGCAGCCATATACCCCGCCGGTCACGGCCACATTCACTCAAAACACTTATGTCTCCTCGCCGCAGGCCCTGGACAACAGCCACAACCCCTTCTTCCAAACAGCACCACAGCAGAACGGCCTGGGCAGTCAGTCCTATCCCAACCCTGGCGCACAGCAGAACAACCCGTTCTTCAACAATGCGGCACAGCCTCAACAGCAACAGCAGCAGACGGTGCCTCAAATCTCCATGCCTCACCCACCTCAGCATGCAAACACCATGCCTTCGGTCTCTTCAAGCTCGCCATTTGGCAATTCTCCGTTCGGTTCGTCGCCTTTCCAATCACAGCCTCCGCAGCCGCCGCCGCAGCCAAATGGCATGAGCCAAGGGTCTTATAATCCGTTCCAGCATGCAATGGGACAGGCTTCTCAAAATGCTGGTGGCTATCCCAATCAGTTCCAGCCGCCGCAACAGCAACAACAATTCCAGCCGCAACAGCAGCAATTCCAGCAACAGCAGCATTTCCAACCTCAACAACCGCAGCAACTAGCCACTCAACCCACTGGCCGAATGGATAAAAGTAGCATTCTTTCATTGTACAATCTTGCTCCGTCTCAACCCTCCTCAATCCCTCCAATCCCCGAACAGTCTCAGTTCCAGCCAGGCGCCGGAACGAGCCCTATTCCACCCCTGACGAACTCTCTCAATTCAACACCCCAGACTCAACCAGGTTCAAACATCACCACGCCCCAACCAAGCAACGGCATGACCTTCATGGCATCTCGAAATCCCTTCGGAGCTGCAACCATCGGTTCAGGCCTAGCAGCTCAAGCCGGCATCGGCTACCAACAATCCCCAGGCCTGGGAATCGGAATGGGCGCCAACGGCACCCAACCCTCAGCCCAGGGCATGGGCATGGGCATGGGAATGAAACCCTCCACCCAGACTGGTCCCCCGCCGTCCAACTCCGCATTCCCAAGGATGCATATGAGCCAGCCTAGCGTGGACATCAACGGCCTTCAGACCGGTCGTCACAGTCCAGACGCCTTTGCCAGTCTGAGCGCCCGCTACGGCTGAGTTCATTCACGAGACCTCTACCCATGCCATTTGTGAAAATAGACTGGCTTTTGCTTGAACCTGTAAAATGATGTGGATATGGGTACTGTTAATGATATGGATATAGATCGATCGGCGAGATCGGGCTTCATGTTTCATGTTTGTGCATGGCTGGATGCACTTGAACTGTCCTGTCTACTTTCACTCTTTGATCCTTTCTTTTCATCTTCGGGTTTTTTTGTGTCCTTTCCTTATTGTGTTACTGTACAGGAATTTTGGTCGCCGGTTAGCGGGTCAATGGTACATATTCCTTTCTTTTCTGATTTCGGGTAAGTGTCTTAGTCCAATGAATATCTCGGAATTTGTTGCTCTATCCAAGAAAATATTATATAACACAAGAAGTCCCATAATTAGTGGCAAAGGATAATATCAGAAGCTAACGGTTCCCTAAATTCAAGACCATAAGTCATGGGTAGGCATGCGCTTGTTCTTCTTCGACTCACCTCCCAAGACTGAGGGCCAGGTCGGCCATGAAGGTAGTGGCAGAGAAGACCACGAGGGTAACGAAGGTATCCACTTTTTAACAGTGGGATTCGGCTTACGGAACCTGGCCAGGAAAGTGTCCATACGAGACCGAGTACTCCAAGGCCATGTCCTCGAAGTCGGGGGAGAGAAAAGTGACTTCAGCGAGCGTTGCCAGGATGCAAACGACGAGGACGACGAAGACCAAGGCAGGGATGGGACGAAGGACTGCCAGCTGCGCTTTTGAGGGCCGCGGGCCTGTTCCTTGATCGCCTCGACGATCCGGTCGAACTGGTAGTCTCGACTTTCCTTCTCTTGCCGCTGTTTCTCGGAGCGCCATGCTTCTTGCTCGCGTGCATCGAGACACCAGACAACGACGTCTCCGCGTCGGCGCCAGTCGTCATGCCAACGTGTGTTGTAGGTGCGCCAGCATTCGCCGTATGCTGAGGCGCGTAGGAGGTTGTGGAGGGTCGGCTCGAGCTGCGCGAAGAAGATCAGGTAATCTGGCCACTGATGTTGATTCGGGCTGGTGGTCGAAAGAGACTGGAATCCCGTGATATAGCTGGGTCGTCGGGGAATACGGTGAAGACCACCGACCATGTTTCGGCGCAGGAATTGGCTTGGGTCATCATAGAATTGATCGGCTTCGTCACGATAGACGGCCTTTTCCTCTTCATCAAAATCCACAGGGGGTTCACAAGAGAGTGCCCATGCGTTGATGGAGGGGTATACCAAGTGTGAGCGCCAAGGTGTGCTGTGGCAAGGCATTAAGAAGCCTGCTGTGATCCCCGGGTCAGGTATTGTGCCAACCAAGTGGCTGTAAGGTGTGTCTTGTCCGTCCGTAGCATGCCGGTCGTGTTGATTGCGGAGGTAAGTGAGGACGTCGAGAGTCCCCGAAGCATGGTATAGAGTCGTGTATAGAGCAATAACCACGTTGACCAGTACGATGAAGATAAGAATAAGTCTCTGGGGGGTGTGACGAGACGACCGTGAGTATACGGCTGGGTAAAAGTACTGGACAAGAGGTGGCGCGGCGAGGATGTGCAGCGATGGTAGCAAAGGATAAATGAAGCGTACTTCCTTGTGCGAGATCAGAGACAGGACGAATGGCATCACAAGACATACTGTCGCCAGTTGTACCCGTATCGTTGTCTGCACTTGGTCGGCGGGTGAGTAGGCTCGAATCTTCAAGGTGCGGTAGAGACCGACGAGGGCGAAGGGCAGCGCAGTGGTGAGTAAAAGTGGATAGCCCTCAGTTGCATAATAGTCCCATCGATTCCGGCCATAGAAGACTGCCAGCGATTGTGCAAGATTGAAGTACAGAAACCGCAGCGGAGGAAACGTCCAAACGCCATAGAAGAGGCGGTCTGCAACGGCCGTCACTGCGAGAACCGTCGATCTAGAAAAGTAAATGTCAGCTGCTTATTTCTCGGGTTCAAAGACCGTGGACTGACCCGCAAAGCAGGACCTCGCGTACAAGGACCTTGCGCTGCAACCAGAATATCCGAAGCCAAGCGACGCTGGCCAGGGTGGCCCATATCAAGATGTTGGTTGGCCGGAGGATACAGGCGAAGGCTGCCAGGCACAGGCATTGGCGTAGACTGTATGCGATGCGCGTCAGTGGCTGTTTCGATCAAGAACTGTGATTCTCGTACCTCCAGAGAAGCTTTTGATCTTCGGCCCTGCCCCTCTCGGTGGCACTCTTGCTAAGGTCATCGTCGGATACTGCGCCCGCTGACCATTTCCATGGCCACAGGTCTAACGCGACAATCGTGACAGTCGTTTCCAAGCAATTTGACAAGGTCCGCGTCGAGCAAAAGAATTGCCAGGGATTGAGTACGGCGACGATCAACTGCTTCCGATCAGCCAAGATTCCCCCGCACAGCCCAGGAAATGTCCACCTACCGCAGTCCAAGCGCCGCGAGAGTCAGTGCCGTAGATACGAGTCGCAAGTTTCCACGTGTAGAAGTCGCCAATTGCCGACACAACGGCCTGCGCTGTCTTGGGGCCGGCGATAAGGAGGTCCGCGCGCGCCGCCGCAGGGAGGCTGAGAGCGGACGCGAGGAGGTCGGCGACTTTGTAGATGGCGGCGAAGAGGAGGGGATGTAGAGAGGACCGGAGCCGGTGGTCCCATTCCTAGAATGTGATTAGACATATCGCAAATGCGGACGCGCTTGCGACGCCACTCACCCATGTCACCCAAGCGCCCCGTTCTTTGCCTTCGCCATGGCCAAAGGCAATCTGCCAGGCAGGTTCCAGCGACTGGAAAAATTCATCGGGCTGGAAAAAGGTACGGACGACGAAGGCATTGAGGAGGCGAAAGGCGATGAGGAAAAGGAGGATGTTGGTCGCGGGGGAAGGCGGATGCGATACGCGACGAGTCGCATTGGAGGTCATGGAAGAGGACATCGAGGACGACATCGAGGACGACATCGAGGATGCCATGGAGGACGGCATGATAGCACGAATGAGATCAGCCGAGAAAGCAATCGAGCTAATCGCATTAAACGTTACTGGTGCGAGCTTAGAGGGCCATAGTGGATAGCGGGAATGACATCAAGAGGACGCGCGCAAGGCAAAAAGAAGGGCACCGACACCGGGCCGGTGGGCAAGAAGCACTTGATTGGAAGTCGGATGGAATATTTGGATCCTCTGGAGACGGGAAAGACCGCGCGAGGGGGTGGTTCGTGTAATCCTGCTTATAGGGAACAGTGGATGTCGAGGGTATCTCAGACTCGCGACAACCTGCACTTAGGAGAAAGGCCACTCGCACTTAGCGGGCTGGCGGCGGATCTATACGCCACGCCGTGCCCATGGTCTGCGCCTACATATTTCTTTTTTTCCCTTGGCTCATTTGATTTTCTCTCATCCTTTTCATTCATATCTCCCAAGCTTTATTCTGAAGTTTTGACTTCTCCAAGTGTCCCTCACCCTTTCCCCGAATCTTCCCCGCAAACCCACCCTTTATCCACCTTCACACACCATGGCTACCAACGGGAGCAACGGCTCCTTCGCCCACTACCACGCCGCCTCGACCGAGGAGGCCATTCACGCAGAGCACGAGTATGCTGCTCACAACTACCACCCACTGCCCGTGGTCTTTGCCCGCGCCCAGGGCACCTCCGTCTGGGATCCCGAGGGCCGCCACTATCTCGACTTCCTCTCTGCCTACTCCGCCGTGAACCAGGGTCACTGCCACCCCAAGTTGGTTGCGGCTCTGGTTGACCAGGCCTCGCGTGTGACTCTAAGCTCGCGCGCGTTCTACAATGACGTCTTCCCCCGCTTCGCCCAGTTCGTTACCGAGTACTTCGGCTTCGACATGGTTATGCCTATGAACACTGGCGCCGAGGCTGTCGAGACCGGTATCAAGATCGCCCGCAAGTGGGGTTACAAGGTCAAGGGCATCCCCGAAAACAAGGCAATCGTGCTGTCCGCGGAGAACAACTTCCACGGCCGTACAGTAAGTCTTCCCCCTGTATCCCTGCTTATGTTTGTGGCGCATTTGGAAGTTGGTGGCTGATTGTGGTTGCGTTCCTTGCATTAGTTCGCCGCCATCTCCATGTCATCCGACCCGGAGTCCCGTGAAAACTACGGACCATATCTTCCTGGCATCGGCAGCACTATTCCCGGCACCGAGAAGCCCATCGCCTACAATGACAAGGTCGCCCTCCGCGAAGCCTTTGAGGCGGCCGGCCCCAACTTGGCTGCCTTCCTGGTTGAGCCCATCCAGGGCGAGGCTGGTATTGTCGTCCCGGATGTGGACTACCTTCAGGAAGCTCGTGCTCTGTGCGACAAGCACAACGTGCTCCTGATCTGCGACGAGATCCAGACTGGTATTGCCCGCACCGGTAAGCTCCTCTGTCACGAGTGGAGCGGCATCAAGCCCGACATGGTCCTTTTGGGCAAGGCCATCTCGGGTGGTATGTACCCCGTCTCGTGTGTTCTTGGCCGCAAGGACGTCATGCTTACCATTGAGCCCGGCACCCACGGTTCCACCTACGGTGGCAACCCTCTCGGCTGCGCTGTGGCCATCCGTGCTCTGGAGGTCGTCAAGGAGGAGAACATGGTTGAGCGCGCCGAGAAGCTTGGCCATGTGTTCCGCCAAGGGTTGGAGGATCTGAAGAGCCCGCTGATCCAGACTGTCCGCGGCAAGGGTCTGCTTAACGCCATTGTAATCGACGAGTCCAAGGCCAACGGTCACTCTGCCTGGGACCTGTGCATGTTGATGAAGGAGAAGGGTTTGCTGGCCAAGCCCACTCACCAGAACATCATCCGTCTGGCTCCACCGCTGGTCATCACCGAGGAGGAGATCCAGCAGGCCTTGAACATCATCAACGAGGCTGTGACCGAGCTCCCTACCCTGAAGGGTAAGGCCGAGGACAAGGTCATTCCCCCTCCGGAGAAGAAGGTCAAGATCGGCGTGGAGAACTAGGTGAGCCGAGATGGGAAAAGTTAGAAATCAGGTTGACTCCTGACATATACCCCGGATGCACAGGCAGCAGCTTCATAGACCGAGCTCACTGGATAGCATGTCTCCATCCCATGACGCGACGATGGAACGGATTCCAAAATTGTATGCCATAGCTGCAACACTTAGACAGTACTTTGCTATGCCACTTGAATTGGCGAATTAAACAGTTTTCTGTACCTCACCTTGCATACTCATGGGTTCTTTTTGATCCCGCATTCCACGTCTAGTAGATCCACCGTGCAGTCCCTGTCTCCAATCCCTCCTCAGGCTAGATAATCAAGATGATCATGGCTTCATGTTCCAATCTAGCTTGACTAAATGTGTACAGCAAACTTCCAAGCTGGCAATTCCATGGTATATACGAAAGCCCATTGGTGTATTTCTGTTTGCTATACAGACAAAGTATATCAGGCAGCCTGTCGAGCTTCAAGGCCTTCTCCATTTTCCTTTCTCCAACCATTTCTCTAACTTCTCCATCTATCTATCTGCCTACCTACCTTTCTACCCAACAACATGCCGGCTGATACTGCTACTCGCGGCTTGATCATAGGCCTAAAGGCGACCGGGAAATCCTATAGCGAGATAGCTGAGCTTACTGAGCTGCCTCGGAGCACGATCCAACGGATTTACGAAACAGCAGTGAAGAGAGGATTCGACCCACAAAAGCGACCTTTGGAGATTTGTGATGCCCATGTCGCTGTTACTACTCGCATCCGTGGCCCTAACAAACCGAAGACCGACGTTTCAACCGAACCCACCGACGTAACCTGAGTGAGTTTTCATCGTTGACGAGAAGAAACTTATGCTGACTCACTTCGCGAGCCTAGGTCCAAGGGTAGCGATGCCTAGATGGCATATCTACACTAGTGATCCGGCGAATCTACCTATCTACCTTGAGCAGGATGAAGTCAAAGGCAAATAGGAAACATCGATTAACACCATGGAAGAGGGGCGCAGATTCAGTGGTAACTTAAACATGGAGGTTGAACACTCGAAGACTAGAAACGGCTAGCTGGAATGATGAAAATTCTATGGACGTTTAGGAGAGGGACTCATACATTCTGTCATAGCAATAGTAAAACAGTACAATTGCTATTTTTGTTGGATTGGCGAATTGCGAATGGCAGATATTTCTGTGCACACAGGTTTCCTTTTTAAATATTGATTTACGTATCAGGGGCAGTTTCACTGTCACGCGACTAAGGTTGTATATAATTCTCTAAGTACAGGGTGTATCCTGTCTCTCTTTCTCTAGCCCTCTCTTTACCTATCAAATATCCTTTCTTGTGCCTACATACCTATCTACCCACCACCATGACAATCGATGCCACGACTCAGACGCTCATCATAGTCCTCGAATCGCGTACAAAGCTCTGGTCAGCGGTTAATAAAGGTTGATAGCCAATTTTTGCTGACTGTGGAGGTGGTATAGAAAGGGGGGTGAATTTAATAATTCCCTTAAAATATAGCCGTAGCTTGGCATTGAGAAGGTATTTCATGATTTTTGATAGCTTTTATAGCTAGTAAGATTCTGCCCTCTCGTCCTAGCAATTTTTTGGCGTTTTTCAGCACGTTTTAAGTGACATAATAAGTGGTAAAAGATAGTAGGTTATGGTCGGACGCGTAAAAACGCGTGGAGTGTCCGGGCGGACCGGGTGGACCGGGTGACCGGGTCGATCGGGTTGTTCGGGTTGTATTGGTCACGTGTACCGGTTGGCCTTGGAAATTTAGGCCACCCCCAGAAGATCAACATTTGTTGGTCAAGTCGTGGTTCCTTGAAACTAATTGACCTAGCCTAGCACGGTCAATCTCAAGTTGTCTTTACTTTTCACCATCCGTTACTTCTGTCATTATTTGGGATGGAGAGTACTTCGTTTCCAATTCGCGCGTGGCAGGCTGTTGGAGTCACCACCTCAACTTTCGTCTCAGGTAGGACATGAAGCCCACGATAAATCTGCGCTGGTCACTTTTGATTAGTCCGGAGCACAGACTATTTATATGAATGGGATTTTGACGCCCTAAATAGGTTTCCTGTTCTCTGTGTCCCATATCGCTATACCCGCGATTTCCGAAGCTCCTTCAGAACTCGCCCTCTCACAACTTAAGAATGTGTTTTACGGGGGCCACATCATCGGTCCTGTTTGTGCGATAATTTCAAGTGCGGCCTACGGATACGTTGCGTACAAGAATTGGCAGGTGATTCCAAAGCAGCTAGGACGCCGCTGGCACATGTTTGCTACTGCTTCCGCTCTTTCAGTCGCTGCTATATCCTATACTTTCATCTTTCTAGGCCCACTCAATCACCGCCTGCTGCAGCTTTTTGGTGCACCAGATTTAGCGAAGGCGGGCGAAGTACACAAGTTAGTACATGAATGGGGTTCACACAACCGTATCAGATCTGGCCTATTATTTATTGCTAGCCTCGCTGCTATTTCAGGTGTATTCTAGTTCAGCTGCGTCTTCAGACACTATTGCCAACATTGTTTCTCTCCTAATAAACCCGAATTCTCTCAAGGGATTTGCTTTGATGATATATTAATGACGAAATTTTGCTTAAGATTCAGTCGCGGTGTATAAAGGACAGTTCAGGTCAGCAAGCCAGATGATTTTCGTGGTTTCAACCACTAATCGACAGCTCAGCTTTTGGTTCCACAACTCCATAAAACTTTTGTCTCCCACGACTCGAGGCAAAGAGTTCTTACTTCTGAGTGTTCGGGAATTTTTCTTGCTGAAAACGACTCAGGTCAAAAGTGAACCAAAATCAAATACTAGTGGGAAAGCACGCGTATATGTCGCGACCTCTGTAGGCTAGAACATAGAATACTCTGGCTTCGCTCACCTGATTCAGTATAGCTAATGCAAAGTCTCGAAGACGAACCGGATAAAGTATAGTTTTGCTAGCCCCTTCGTACCAAGCAGTTCTAAAGTTCCCCAAATAGCCCACCGACTACGTTCCCAATTGGAAAGCCCGCTTCCGAGATATCTAAGCTCATTGGAGTGTCTGTCAGCACGATCAACAGCACATATGCCCGAGCAATTCAGCGAGGCTTCGACCGCGCCAAGCGACCTCTGGAGACTGACACATATTTCGTGGGTTCTCGCAGCTCTCAGCGCCTGGTGCAGGAACCGGCTGTGTCAAACAAGACTCCAGCGGGAGAGAAGTACGTTTTGGTTGCGAACCGAAGAAACTTGTAATGATTTGGTTGGCGAGCACAGGTCCGAAGACGACGACGCTTAGACCGCTCACCACTTTTTATCCGCTCACCACTTTTTATCTAGGGAATCTGTGAGAATTTGCTTGGAGAAGATGAAACCGACTCGAGAGATGAATTGACACCAACAATGCGTAGGTGGAGGAAGGCGGATTGCCAGTTCACGAGCTGCTTAGGCATCGAGATTGCAGGGTCCAACCCTGGAAATATCTAACGGAACTTGTCTGCTTCTTTTATTTACATACCTATTGTACCCGTGTTGTGTGAACGATAGAAACTGCCAAAGCCTGCGCGGGTGTTTATGTTGGCTACAGAGGCAGGCATACGGCCAATTTTAGCTCGGAAAGCCAGAGGATGCGAGCTCCACCTCCGCACTCCACCTTTCTACCGCCAAGTCTAGGTGTTATTATGGCGGCTCTGTTGTTTTTGCTTCATTTAAAGCCCTAGGTTAGTAACACCAGGTGATATATCACTGGTAAAGCGATAGAAAAGCGAGGCGGTGACTGCCATTCCACTTGACAAGCCGCGGCAAATGCACGAAATCAGGACGCGGAGATAAGACAGGTCATCCCAGAGTGGAAAAGAGCACCGAAAGCACCGAGCAAACATCTCCCCCACCTCGGAGTAGAGAGGGACTACTCCGACCCCTCCCTTGGCTACTCCGATCCCCTGCCTGATTCATCAGGTTTCCAATTTTTCTGCCGCATAAATCCTTACCTACATTAGAATTCTAGTTTGCTTAGTAAAAGTACTGGTTTTTCAGCCCATTAAATCTCTCTCTCTGTGCTTAATTAAACGATCTCCATACATCTCTGTCTAGTATCCAACCAGGAGCCTCTATCCCGATTGCTCAGCATCTCTCTGACCACGCTGACTACTCGCAGGACCCTCCAATCTACGACAGTGGCTGCGGGGGGGTCGGAGTCGGAGTAGCCGCTCCCTCGGGATATTCTTCGCTTTTATCAATGAACGGGAACACGGAGCTTACGAATCCCGGTGCCGATCGACGCCCGTGGTTATGCATGACGCTAAGCGAAAGCGAGAGCGAGGGGGAGCGAGCACTCTAATAAGTATGACCGCTCTTCGTGCCAAGCAGACCGAATTCCGGATTATTTTGCCGTCTGCCGTGAAGCTTAGCCTCTTTCACTAGGTGGAAACCTCGGAGGTGGTATCTGCCGACCCAGGATTCTGGACAAGTCATTCGAGTTTTTAAAGACGCGCGGGGCCCGGCGATAGTGTCTCTAATTTTTAATTTACACCCGGTCGGAATCGGAATTCAGCGTAATATCCCGAGAGACTCACTATGTCTTAATGATGAAGTTCGCATCGCATAGCACCGCATCGCACTCCGCTTTCAGAACCCACGAGCCGCTACGCCCCACATCGCATGGACTCTGGACTTAACTGTTTAAGTCCATACGCTTCCCGTTTTTTCTTCCTTCAGTCAACGTGCGACATTCGACTGTTTTAAATAAACTCGCCATGTCGGCGCCTCTCGAACCACTGTCCCAGATCGTGGTCGCGGAAAATGAAAAGGTCCAGGCGGCCTCCAGCGACAGATCGGCGTCTGGCTCAGATGAAGCCAAGGCCCCGGATAATATCCTGCAGCCGCCGGTCGAGAAGAAGAAATGGAAGCGCAGCTTAAATCCTTTGCGATGGGCGACGCCACCACCGGTTCCAGAAGAACGGACACCGTCAAGAGAGCACGGCGCGTCGTTTTTCAGTATCGTGTCATTCCAGTGGATGTCACCCTTGATGAGGGTACGTTTTCGCTTTCAGTCAATATTTACCTCGGCTTTTACAATCAAGATGAATACTGACGAAATATGCAGGTGGGCTACTTGCGCCCTCTCGATCTACAAGATATTTGGACGGTTAACCCTGACCGCGCTGTCGACGTCCTATCGGAGCGATTGGACACCGCGCTAGAGCGTCGCACAGAGCGCGGCGGTAAGCGCTTGCTCCTTTGGGCTTTGTACGACACGTTCAAATTTGAGTTTATTCTCGGTGGGGTATGCCAGTTCTTCAGCTCCCTCCTGTTGGTGTTTGCGCCTTATTTGACCCGCTACTTGATTGCCTTTGCCACCGATGCTTGGGAGGCCCAGCACAGCGGCCAACCTGCTCCGTATATCGGGCGCGGCATGGGGTTTGTCGTCGGCATTTCCTGCATGCAGGCCCTGCAGAGTTTATGCACGAATCAGTTCCTGTATCGTGGACAAATGGTTGGTGGGCAGATTCGCGCAGTGCTCATCTCCCAGATTTTCAACAAGGCAATGAAGCTGTCCGGTCGGGCGAAGGCGGGTGGAAAGGCTACATTGGAGGAGATCAAGAATTTGGAAGCGACCAAGGAAGAGCTCATCAAGTCAGATGGGAAAGGGAAGGATAAGAAAGAGACGCCGGCTGCTGCTGGTGTGGATGGCGATGGCCGTGGATGGAACAACGGCCGAATCGTCGCATTGATGAGCATCGACGTCGACCGCATCAACTTGGCGTGCGGCATGTTCCACATGGTTTGGACCGCACCCATCACGATCATCGTGACCTTGATTCTCCTGCTGGTCAACATTGGCTACAGCTGTCTCTCGGGTTATGCTCTGCTCGTCATTGGTGTGCCGTTCTTGACCTATGCCGTCCGATTCCTGGTCAAGCGACGCAGAAACATTAACAAGATCACCGATCAACGGGTCTCTTTGACCCAAGAGATCCTGCAGGCTGTGCGATTCGTCAAGTTCTTTGGCTGGGAGAGCAGCTTCTTGGGCCGTCTCAAGGAGATTCGCTCACGAGAAATCCGCTCCATTCAGACTCTGCTGGCCGTTCGAAACGGTATCCTCTGTGTGTCCATGTCCATCCCCATTTTCGCCTCCATGCTGGCATTCATCACCTATGCCCTTTCAAACCACAATTTGGACCCCGCGCCGATTTTCTCGTCGCTTGCTCTTTTCAACTCCCTGCGCATGCCCCTGAACATGCTCCCAATGGTAATTGGACAGGTCACCGATGCCTCGACGGCTCTCCAACGAATTCAAGAATTTCTATTCGCCGAGGAGCAGAGAGAAGACATCGAGCATGACGATGAAATGCAAAACGCCATTGAAATCGAGCATGCCTCCTTTACGTGGGAGCGACTGCCGACCGACAAGGTCAAGGACAAGCTCGGGAAGAAAGCAGCAGCAGCAGCAGCTCTGAAGCAAACGGAGGAGAGTGAGGAAGATGTCCCCACGGAACCTTTCAAGCTGAATGATTTGACTCTCGAGGTGGGCAGGAACGAGCTGCTGGCTGTCATCGGCACAGTCGGCTGTGGCAAGAGTTCGTTGCTTTCTGCACTGGCGGGTGACATGCGTGTCACCGAAGGGAAAGTCCGGATGAGTACTTCTCGATCTTTCTGCCCGCAATACGCCTGGATCCAAAACACTTCGGTCCGCAACAACGTTCTGTTCGGCAAGGATTATGATGAGACATGGTACAATCAAGTCATCGAGGCATGTGCCCTGGCTCCTGACTTTAAGGTTCTCCCCCATGGTGATGAGACCGAGATCGGCGAGCGCGGTATCACCGTGTCTGGAGGTCAGAAGCAGCGTCTGAATATTGCTCGCGCTATTTACTTTAACGCCGAGATGGTACTCATGGACGATCCCCTCTCTGCGGTGGATGCACACGTTGGTCGTCATATTATGGACAAGGCCATCTGTGGCCTTCTCAAGGATCGTTGCAGGATCCTGGCAACCCATCAGCTCCACGTGCTCAGCCGATGCGATCGGATCGTGGTTATGGACCAAGGAAAAATCCATGCTGTCGATACATTCGAGAACTTGATGCGCGACAATGAAATCTTCCAGCGGCTCCTGGCCACATCGGGACAGGAGGACGCCGAAGAGGATACTGAAGGTGGCGATGAGGCGGCCGAGGAGCCAAAGGAGAAAGAAGCAGTCCTCCAAAGAGCTGGACCCGGGAAACCGGCTGCTGGCTTGATGCAACAAGAAGAAAAAGCCACCGCATCCGTGGGCTGGGGTGTCTGGAAAGCTTATATCCGTGCCTCCGGCAGCTACTTCAACGCGTTCATGGTATTATTCTTGCTCGCACTTGCGAACGTTATCAACATCTGGACTAGCTTGTGGCTGTCCTACTGGACCTCCAACAAGTACCCTTCGCTGTCAACCGGCCAGTATATTGGTATCTACACTGGACTCGGCGGTGCTGTTGTCCTGATGATGTTCCTATTCTCAACATATATGACCACCTGCGGAACAAACGCTAGCAAGACCATGCTCCAGCGCGCAATGAGTCGTGTTCTTCGCGCTCCGATGTCTTTCTTTGATACCACGCCCCTTGGTCGTATCACCAACCGCTTCTCCAAGGATATCCAAGTCATGGACAATGAAATTTCGGATGCGATGCGTATGTATGCGCTGACGATGACTATGATCATCTCCGTCATGGTCTTGATCATCGTCTTCTTCTACTATGTGAGTACTTGACGAACATCTTGGGCTCATCATACACTAACCATTTCTAGTTTGTCATCGCCCTTGTCCCATTGATGTTCCTGTTCTTGCTCGCCGCCAACTACTACCGAGCCTCGGCGCGAGAGATGAAACGCCACGAAGCAGTCCTGCGATCAATGGTCTACGCCAAATTTAGCGAAGCCATTACCGGCACCGCCTGCATTCGCGCTTACGGTGTCGAGAACCAGTTCCGGGACAGCATCCGCAGCTCGATCGACGTGATGAATGGGGCATATTTCCTCACCTTCTCCAACCAGCGCTGGCTCAGTGTGCGACTCGATGCAGTTGCTACTTCTCTCGTCTTCGTCACTGGTGTGCTGGTCGTAACCTCTCGATTCAATGTCTCCCCTAGTATCTCGGGTCTGGTACTGTCTTACATCCTATCCATCGCTCAGATGTTGCAGTTCACCGTCCGGCAATTCGCCGAGGTCGAAAATGACATGAACGCCACGGAACGTGTCCATTACTACGGAACCGAGTTGGAGGAAGAGGCTCCTCTGCACGGAGTGGAAGTCGCCCCCAGTTGGCCCGAGAAAGGCAGGATTGTCTTCCAGGACGCGCAGATGCGGTACCGTGACGGTTTGCCACTTGTACTCAAGGGTCTCAGCTTGGATATCCAAGGCGGCGAGCGCATTGGTATTGTCGGACGCACTGGTGCGGGCAAATCGAGTATCATGTCTGCTCTGTTCCGCTTGACCGAGCTGTCTGGAGGCAGCATTCACATCGACGACGTCAACATCTGCACGGTCGGTCTCCAGGATCTTCGGTCCCGCCTTGCCATTATCCCGCAAGACCCAGCCCTTTTCAAGGGCACTATTCGCACGAACCTGGATCCATTCAACGAGCATGCCGATCTGGAACTGTGGTCCGCTCTGCGTAAGGCATACCTCATTGGCGAAGACACCATGGGCGCCGACGTAGAAGGTCTGGTCAGCATTCCTGGAACCGGCACCGCTACCCCGGCCACCGACACCGACGCGAAACCCCGAAACCGCCTGACCCTGGAGTCTCCCGTCGACGAAGAAGGCCTCAATTTCTCCTTGGGCCAGCGTCAACTCATGGCTCTTGCACGTGCACTTGTTCGCGACGCACGTATCATCGTCTGTGACGAGGCTACATCCTCCGTTGACTTCGAGACCGACCAGAAGATCCAGCACACCATGGCCCACGGCTTCCACGGCAAGACTCTGCTCTGTATTGCCCACCGTCTTCGCACGATCATCCACTATGACCGGATCTGCGTCATGGACCAGGGTCAGATCGCCGAGATGGATGCCCCGCTCACACTGTGGGACAAGAAGGACGGGATCTTCAGGGCGATGTGTGAGCGCAGCGGTATCACCCGGGAGGACATTTTGATGGCGAATTGATGAAAAGATTTATATGAACATAACGTTTGACCTTTGCATAGGCAGTCTATAGGACCGATCTGATATATAATAGAAATAATTGCAGAATAATTTCACCATCGCTCCTTATCCAACTCACAAACAAGCTCCATTCCCAAATTCCTCATCATCCCCTCCACGCCCGCATCTTTCCACCCAGCCAAATCCTTCTCATCAAGATCAACCCTCTCCTGCTCCTCCGATAATGCACCGACCGGCAACCCAGTATTCTTCACAACAAGCCCAGGCGCCGTCCCAACGACCCTCATCCTCAACCCCGTCAAAATACTCTTCAGATGATCCGCCGCCTTCCTGCCACCCCGCGACCCGTACGAGACGATCCCCGCAGGCTTCCCCTTCCACTCGTGAAACAAGTAGTCAAGCGCATTCTTCAGACTCGCAGGAATACTCCAGTTGTACTGCGGTGTCACGAAAATGAACCCGTCATACTGGCGCACGACTGCGGACCACGCTTTGGCGTGTTCCGTCGTGTAGTGCGGCGTCGGGTCGTGGGCGGGGAGACTGGCTGGGATGATTGCTTCGTCGTAGAGAGGCAGGTGTTGCTTTGAGAGGTCGAGGATTGAAAGGGTGATATGTCTTGGATCCGTGTCCTCTGTATTGTCGTCGACCTTTTTCGTGGGGATTGTGGGGTCGTGGGCGAGGACGTCATAGACATATTGCGTTATCGTCGGGTTTAGTCGCGGTGAGCGCGTGCTGCAGGTCACGATGGCCACGTGTTTGGGTGGCATGTCTCGAAATGTATAAGGAAGAGAGTCGATTGTTTTCTGAGGTTGTAGTGCGCAGTTTCGAGCTGCACATGGGTGGTTTCATGTTCCAACAAGCTCGGATCCGCGGAGCTAAAGCGTATCGGTGGGGCGAGGCCCAAGAGTGGGCCGAACAAGTGGGTTCAATTGAGGGGCGCCGACCAGAAATCTCATTGTTATGCGCAAGTCGTTCTGAATTATGCACATGTACCATACTGCGCATTCAAACAGCCCAGTTCCGGTATGTACAATACCTGATCTCCATCCGGAAATCGGACCATCTCGCCTCCTTCTGGCACTACTTCTTCCAAATTCTCGATATTTTCGATGAGAATATCCTTGCTAACACTCCGATGGACACTATTTGGAACATGATCTCACATGGAAAAGTGCCCCCAGTCGTCCGCCATGAGAAAATCTTGCAAGAAACTCTCATTATCTTCGATCGACCATGAAATGTTATCCCATCTCCTCTCTTCCTGCCCGCCCTGATCAGTCATAACCGAGTTGTTCTCGTGGCGTGTTGGAAGTAGGGACGGCAGGCTCGGCTTCAGTAACCCCAGGTCTAACGGGGCCTGAGAAGGCCATGAATTGATGTTTGCCAGTTGCGGCGCGCTACGCCGAACGTACACACTTCCAAGAAGTGGAACGTTCAGTTTCAGCTCCAGTACTGCAGCTACATTTTCATCCTGAAGATGATGGTTCAGAAAAGAAAGGGTTGTGACGCCGTCCTGAGAAAAGTGAGACTCGGAGGTCCCATCTGACCTTTCACTCATGATATTGATAACCTGTTCCACCTCCGTGTGAATCCTGACTTTGTCAATATGGACGTTGAAACGACCGGTAGAGGGCGAGCTATGAGAAACAAGGAGGATGAGGACTGCCGCGATGAAAGCGTGCAGATCCAACATTGCACAGAGAACGAATCCCGGGGGTAGTACTCGGCGAAGGACCAAATAACGTTGTAGCAGAGCTTCACATGCATCCATACAGGCCAAGCGGCTGTAGAGATATTCCTCCCGTGAGTGTTGACTTAAAATGAAAGGTAAATGAATCCTAAGAGGATATAATAATGCATGAACTGCACTATGTGATCGGCCTCGACACGGTTTTCGTCTCTCACCCACCAAGACTGCGGGTTTTCAGATGCGAGATCTCTGAGCTCCCTGCATAGCTCCAAGGCAGACAGAGTATGGTGCTGAAGTCGCGATTTGTCTGGATCCATGCCGGATCAAGACAGAATGAATGAATTTCGAAGATAATCAAACGTTGCAAGGGGTTTGAAGAGTAGGCGATAAGTGACAACTATCATCGCGTGAATGCGGTGGAAGAGCATCTTGCAAGGCGCCGTTCGGTTAGATAGAACAATAAATCAACCCAACCGGAAGACGGATATATACAGGACAGCTGCTAGGATCAGGTAGCACATCGCAGATAAAACTTTGGGTAATGAGTGCGCAAAAACCGTCGTCGATGATGAGAGCTAATCAGGGGAGTAGGTTAAAATGCTAACGGGAAGTAGATGAGCGGTGGTTCGAATAGTGAATCTGTGACATCGGAATTGAGTATGAAAAATTGTTGCCGAGTGTTTGTAATTCGCCAATCCTATTGGCGTAGAAATATACTGTCTAGCTGCACATATAGTATGAAAGACATCCTAGGGATATTTACTATTTGTTGAGTTTCGCGGCAGCAGCAGGATATGATCCCAGGTGATAGGAAACTTAGAACCCAGATGAACCCAACAATCCTTCAACCAACGCTACCCCTACGGCGCGTAGACGAGAGGCTTGACCTGTGGGCAGAAGGTGACTTGAAAAGATTCTAGAGCCATCCTGCGTGTCGAAAATCAACTCTCCTGGTCGGTGGGTTCTTGAAATTGACCAGCAAGTGGCAGATGCGCAGAGTAAGGATTCCAATCCTTTCGACGCTTACCGTAACTACATCTTGACAGTCAATCTCGCTGGTTGACGTCATACTTGTTAACTTGAATAGAACAAAACGCCTTGTACCGGGTATGAAGATGGGCTCGACCCTCAGAGCGTAGATGCTTCCCACGGGTGACCACCTTGTCACGTCTCTAATTAGACAGACGGTGCCAGGGATGGGCCTCATATACAGGCTGCGGAGATACAGGTGGGCCGAGGTTAACCCAATTGGTCTTTTAAAGTTCATCAGAACATTCTAGACACGAGTTCGAACTGTGGCGATATCAACCAAACGAGGGGATGGAATGGGAATCTATGACGAGTGACACGCGGATAGAGCATTATGTCAGCCATATCCAGGGGAGAGAGGCAACTTATCAGGGTTCAAACCTCGAACGTTAATGCATACGTCGTCTCAAGCCTCTTGAACCCCACACCTTCCTGTCTTGGATATTTCACTTCGACCCATCGTTCGTGACCCCGCCGGCCTCGCGAGATGTTACCACCCTCACGGGTTGATGAGAGAGTGAGCTAGCAGCAGTGGGGACCGTTGGATGGGCAAAGGGCCTAGGCATTACACAATATAGTCACCAGCAGGGATAACGCGAAAGACCCTGCAAGACCTCATCGATGCATACGACCCACACGAGCTCCTCGGCGGCGAGCACCGCACATCGCCTAGCTGCCGCCATCACAAAGTGGAGCCAGGACCTAGATGATCGGATGATACGTCCGATGGGGCTGCGGGTGGTCCTTTCCCGATATGAAGACATCTCGAAGTGGCCCGGGTGCCGCTAGTGGAAAAGTAGTCCTGAACGAGTCCATGCGCGCCGGCCAGATAATCCTATTCCGGTCTGTGGGTAGACCGTTCCTGGAGGAACCGTGATTAGATGTGATGCGGCTATTTCCCACGAGGCCGAGGCCTGCCGGTGAGAGTGTCGCGACCCGTTAGCCCGAGGCTCTGGGCGATGACGGAGGGCTGGACGATGATTTGCTTTCCAGCCATTGAGTATTAGGTCGCGCACGTGCATTGGCGGCAGGTATATTGGTATGGTGGAGCCTCGCCCCTTGTGGAAGTTTGAATGGCTGGGTGCCATTATCCGTACGGATGCAATCTTCCGAGATATACAGTGCTGTGCCGTGCACCCAAATTCCAAGAAGCGAAAGACTCCCCCGCAAGGCAGAATGTAACCCGAGACTGTTATGGGCCGTCGCGCATGATATAGTATCGAAGTAAACATGTCGTTAGCCCCATGCGTGCCGCGAGTCAGTGCCCTGCAGGGGAGCTATGACCATACGGGTCGATCGATATGGAGCTGCCAGTACTGTGGCCCTGAACAATTCGACGAAAATCTCTCGGGCCATTCCCCGAACAGGCACCCGGTTTTAGTGGCGAGGGTCAGAACCTTGGAAGCTTCCAAACCCAAAAGTCTCGCGGAAGTCGATCGGGATCGCTTCGTATTCTGGCATCGTAAGAGTATAGGATGTACGGAACACCGGCAAGCGAACAATACAAGGCAGCGCCGACACTAGGCGAGTGGCTTTTGACATATCCGACCGGGCTACCTGGAGATGGAATCGGGGCCATTCCCATGCCACATGGGAGGAACAGGCGATGGTGTGTGGATCCAGCCGGGATGCAGTATGAGCCAGCCATTTTGGCACGTTCGCTCACGCCGGACCCACCGTGCCCTAACACTCCCCCAGCGCGTATCACGCTCGCCATAAAAAGGTATTCACTATTTCTACTGAATCAAAATATGTCATGGTTGCTGCCGGTCGATCTCACCGGAGATCTCTTGTCAATGCGAACTTTTCTTTGAGCGTCGATACCCTCGAGAGACGTGGCCATGAGCCAGTACGTCCCGAATCACGATTATCACGAGTGGGCTAGCAACTCCTCTCGCCGTGAGAGCACGGTCTCAACCTCCACCGTGTCGTCCGCCTCGACCAGTATACTATTCCAGACCCCCTCGACCTCCCCCGGGTCCAACTCGCGCAAGCAGTCATGGCAGTTGTATGACGATGTAGTGCGGCTCGAGTTGAACCCCTCCATCACCGTGTACGTGCCCCGTTTGCCATCGTGCCCGATCGGCGACTAACGACTCCCCGCAGATCGTTCGTGAAAAGTGGCCAGCTTTTCAAGTTACGCTACACGTTCATCGACCTGTGCAAAGACTCCACGGGGGCATTGAAATGCCTCGAGCTCGGGGGAGGACTGGGTCAACAAGCACCTTTCGTTCATGCGTGTGAGTTGGCGCGGATTTTCCGGACCGCAGAGGAGGAGAAAGATGCTGATCCGTCGCAGTTCACAACACCAAACTCCCCGTCCCACATCTTGAACACCCCAAAGACAGTTCCGACTATCCCCTTCGCATTACTTTTCTCGAGCAACAAACGATCCAAGCCGCTCACGTAGTTTTCATGACACAGCTGTCCTATAAATTTGAAAACTGGGAGGGTACGCGACCGCGATTCGATTTTGTGGCTGGGGCGTTCCGCTAACCGTCGATCTAGATTGTGTACAATTCCAAGAACTACTCCTATGTTCCAAAATGATCTTTATCGGAGGCATGGCCGAAGCCAAATCCAAAGGTCGCGGCGAGGAGTGCATCAGCCAGAACCTGCGAATACTTCGCGGACATAACGGCAAACGCGTCATGCTGTTTTTCGCCAATTCACAGCGAGGAGGACTCAAGCGATACGTGTCCATACCCCGTAAGTTTCGGGTTCCACCCAAGCTCCCTCGGTGCCGAGACCGACTAATTTCCGTCATAGTCAGTTGCGTCGCAAACGTTAAGCCTCCGAAAAAGCCCGGGCGACCCGTGGTGGTGGAACTTAATCCGAATTTCGAAATCTTATCACAAATGCGAAATATAACGATCCAGTTTCTCGACAATAATGGTCAGTGCCCCGTCAAACCTAGAGAAGTGGACAACTCGCTTATTGTGACCAGATTGCCAGGACTTTGTCCGGCTGCTGTCGACGGATCTTACGATTGGATGAACGCGGGGGCCAGGGAGGTGGGGGGATTGTAATAATTCTTGCATAGCGGAGTTTACGGCGTGATAGAACAAGTAACCGTGTGATACCACAATGCACTGTTTTGAGACAATTCAAAAAAGCAATCTAACTCGTGGACGGGAACGTGGGAAGTAAAGCAAAGTTAAACGTGATAGAAAGGCAAAGTGGGGGCTCGCCGTGCAACGTCTCAATGGCGCAGATACCCGCACGTGTAGACGCAGCGCCGGGACATTGGGCGAGGAAGTCTCCGGCCCCACCACTGGCCATGCATTAGCGGCAACCGGGGTTCGCGGTCGAGGCTCAACGTGGGCCCCCGATTGGGTCCGTTGTCCCATAGTAGTCTTGCCGCTTACCGACCCTGCTCCGTGCCTGGTCTATATCTCGGTTCCCGATCTCAACCATCTGATGCATCCTCCCATCACGTAGCGCTGTACGCTCTTTTCTTCGCTATGGGGAAGTTTCATAATCGTCTGTACAAAACTGACCGTGCGCGGGATTTCGATCATGAACAGGTACGGTTCCTCTCGAAGGAATGACGGGGCGGGGCTGACAGCATTCTCAGGATCGATATGTGCGCATGCGACAGATCTATGAAACCATCGACCGGCAGGGATACCAATGGGTGGTTGTTTTTGTGGCCGGTCTGGGTTTCTTCCTCGATGGATACACTGTGAGTGGGAGATGGGAACTTTGGAAACCACAAGACAAGTGCTGATGTTGCCCCGCCATTAGCTCTTCGCCAGTAACATGGCCCTCCCGATGATCTCCTACGTCTACTGGAGAGATGAAGTTTCCTCGATCCGTCTGACCTGCATCAATATCGCGACGTTGGCGGGCACCCTGCTGGGAATGGTCATGTTCGGGTTTCTGGCCGACAAGTACGGCCGCAAGAAGATGTACGGTGCCGAACTGGTACTCTTGATCACCGCTACATTGGGCGTGGTCATGTCGTCCACCGGCGAAGACGGGAGTATGAATATCTATGCCTGGTTAATTTGGTGGAGAGTCTGCGTCGGTATCGGCGTGGGTGCCGATTACCCATTGAGTGCTGTGATCACCTCCGAGTATGTTCCCGGTCACTCGTATCTATCTGGAAAAAACCAAGCTAACGGGAAGCCAGGTTTGCTCCGACAAAGCACCGCGCCCGTATGATGGCCAGCGTCTTCTTCATGCAACCTCTCGGGCAAATCGCCGGAAATGTGGTTTCGCTGATCGTCATCGCCGTTGCTCGAGGCAGTGGCGGCGATAACATCACCAGTACCATGGACAGCGCATGGCGCTGGGTACTCGGCATCGGAGTCGTTCCCGGTGCTATTGCAACCGTCTTCCGTTTCGCCATTCCTGAGAGCCCGCGTTACCTTGTCGACATTGAAGATGACCCTGTTACCGCCGAGTTCGACGCCACGACCCTGTTCAGCGAGCCCCCCATCCCCATGAGTCCTGGGTTTAACGAAACCGGTAGCTTCACTACCGTTACCGTCGGTAGTGGCATTCAGTTGCCCCCGATGTCCTCTCTTACGAGTGCTTCTATCCATGAAGACGAGGAGTATACTACTCCCGTGCCACCCGCCACCCTCAACTCCCACTGGCGTCTTGCCCGCGCCGATATCATCAGATACTTCTGGACGGAAGGTAACTGGCGCACACTGGCTGGCACCTCGATCGCGTGGTTACTGCTTGATTTCGGGTTTTATGGTATCGGTCTCTCGAGTCCGCAGTTCCTTGCTAAAACCTGGGGTGCACTGCACATTACGAAATCAGAGCCGAACTGGATGACCGACAGCCGACCCGGTGCAAGTGTCTACGACATGTTCTTCCAGACCTCTGTTCGCGGTCTGATTGTCCTGAACATCGGCAGCTTCGTCGGCGGTCTCCTTCTCATTCTTTTCGCCCACCGCATCGATCGCGTTGCCCTGCAGAAATACATGTTCCTCGCCTTGGCTGCTCTCTTTATCGCCCTCGGCTGCATGTTCATCACACTCGTATCCAGCCCTCCGGCTGTCGTGGCCTTGTATATCCTCGGCCAGATCCTCTTCAACTTCGGTACGTACATCCCAAATCCCAATCATCCCCCCCAAAGGACCTAACTAACACCGCTCAGGTCCCAACGCAACAACCTACATGATCCCGGCCGAGGTCTTCCCCACTCGCTACAGAGGCACCTGCCACGGCATCAGCGCCGGAGCTGGCAAACTAGGCTCGATTCTCGTTCAAATCTTCTCAACATACTATCGCTTCGGCACAGGCCTCGGCAGCGTATCAACCCTCCACCACGGAATTATTCTTTTTGTTTTCAGCGCCTGTATGATCATAGGCGCTGCTGTCACTCATTTCTGGATCCCGCCCCTTTCACAACGAAAGGGTCGCAATCTGATCTGGGGAGGAAAACCTTACACCCTTGAGACATTGGCCCTCGGCCGGATGGGCCACAAGAGTCGCGATGCGGGCCTCAGGAAGAGGTCATCCAGGCAGCGTGCTATGTCCTTTAATGGATAGACGTTTTCCTTTCTCTGGAGTATATACGGTGTTTCAATTGCATTCATAGGTATGGAGCTTAGGAGGACATTATCGACCTATACGTACATCACTGTATAGATGTGAATAATTAAAAAAAGATACCCCATTTATAATGCAAGCCCTGGACGATACATGTCTGCACATTCAAATATACTGAAGACATTCGATGCTAACTGACGATTTACTGTTTCAACAAGCTGCTGGCCTGGACGACGTGTTTGACCGCGTTGATTAAACCCCGGCAAAATCCCGGAATTCGCCGGAGATAAGCGAAGCTGACGCAAATCACTCACAGGGCTCTTCATAATCGCAACCCCTCTAAAACCCTTCATTGTCGTAAAATATTCGACTAATTTAAAATGTCAGAGAGCCAAACTCCACAGTCAATACCACGCAAGCGCCGCCGTCCTGCGCTGTCATGCGAACAATGCCGCCGCCGCAAAGTCCGATGCGACCGGGAAATGCCGTGCGGCCCCTGCACCAAGTCCCAACCTTCGCTCGACTGCGAATACGTCTACGAAGGCAAGGCAGCCTTGGACGCGAGGATCGTCGCGTCCCGAAATAGCGAGCACGAGTCGCCGCCACCTGGGGCGCAGGGCAGCAACGCCCCGAGCTCCGCTGACGGGGCGCGCATCGCGCAGCTGGAAGCCAGTGTCCGAACTCTGCAGAGCCGCATGCATGATTTGGAGCACGGGTCCCATGTGGATGTGGCTCGTGCTCGGAGGGATGTGCTTACTGATGACTCGATGTCGTCGTCCAATGCAAATAAACTGGATGATCACATTGCCGATCTAGAGAGGCGGTTGGCTGAGGCGAAGGCGCGGAGGTCGGAAGTGTCGCAGACCTGTATTGCTCCGCTCGTGCCTCGTCTGAAGAAATGCACGGCTGACAGGATGAAATTGTTTGGTACAACGCATTGGGCGCTCGTGTTTCAGCAGGTAAGATTCTATACACGGGTCTGCACGTTCGTATTATTGACTCTGTCTAGTTCCGGCTTCTACGACAAATCCGCAGCACAGCCAGCTATACCGATGGGAACCAGAATGAGGTCAGCAGGTTGCTTAAGGAAATTCGGTCTATGAGGCACTCCATCAAAGGCCGACAGGCGCCACGGCTCGGCGACCCGGCTCCAGGTCTATTGAACGACTTGCCTCCGCGGGACGTCTGTGATGAGCTCGTCCAGGATTACCTGCGGACTCTGGGCTTGATTTATCGAGTCCTCCACATTCCATCCTTTTACCAAGAATACGAGCGCTTTTGGACTGATCCCCAAGCGGCCTCGAAGGGATTTCTCATGAAGCTTCTGCTGATCCTCGCCATCGGGTCTATTTTCCACAGCGAGCCGGGTCCGTTCAATGAGCTCGGTATCCCGGTACGGCGATGGATCTATGCGGCACAGTGGTGGTTGTCAGGCCCAACTGAAAAAGAAGATATAGACTTGGAAGGCTTACAGGTTCACTGTCTACTTCTCCTCTGTCGACAGGGGTACGCGATCGACAAGGAGACGAATTGGGTCTCAGCTGGTAGCTTGCTGCGTCTTGCGGTAAAGCAAGGTCTTCATCGGGATCCAAGGACTTTCCCGACACTGTCAGTCTTTCAGGCTGAGATGAGACGTCGTATCTGGGCTACTGTGCTTGAGATCAATTTGCAGCTCTCGATTGATTCAGCCATGCCACCACTCTTCAGTCCGGATGACTCCGATACTGGCCCGCCCTCCAATCTGGATGATGAGGACTTCGATCAAGCTACCACTACCCTCCCATGTCCGCCGCCCAAAGACTGGTATACGACTTCCTCACTCCAGGTCCTCCTTTCACAATCCTTCCCAACACGACTACGCATCGCACGAATGATAAACGAACCCGCTCAAGAGCAATGCTACGAATCTGCATTACATCTGGGTAACGAGCTCGCTGCATCCTGCAGAGAGATGGCCATCACGTTTCACAACTACTTCTCTCGAACAGCCGGGAGCAGATTCGGCCCAACATCTTTCCACCACCGACTAATGGACACTCTCCTCCGCCGCTTCCTGCTCAACCTCTACCGCCCATTCACCATACAAGCTATCAAAGACCCCCGCTTCTACCTATCCCGAAAACTCAGCCTCGACTCCGCCCTTTCCATCGCCTCATATGCCGACACCTCCAGCACGTCCCCAAACGTCGACCACGTAGGATGTCGAGACTTCCAACGCCTCTGTCTATCCGGAGCAGGCCTCTTCAAGGGACACCTATCTCTCGACGTCATGGTCGTGATCGCCCTGGAACTAATCACCCAACTCGAAGAAGTCGCCCAACAATCCACCACGGTCTCACTCCCATCCAACGTGGTGGATCAAATCGCAGAAGCGTCGCGTGCCCCGCTTATCAAAGCTCTCGAAAATATCAGGGCACAGCTTTACCAGAGCTTGGCAGCGGGAATCCCGAGCATGAAACGATACTGCCTACTGGGTGGTATTCTCGCCCAGGTCACCGGCGTTCCTCGTGGGGAGCATGCGGAGTGGACTCGTATCAGGAAGGCATTTATGAGTACTATGGAGACTTGTCGTATGCTGCTCCAGCGGTATATCGATAAATGTCAAGTTTCTGATAAAGAGGGGTTGTTGACCCCAACCGGTGGAGTGAATGAGTGGACTCCTGAGAGTTTTATTCCTTCAAGCTTGGACTCTGAATTCATGGTATGTTTGACACGCTATTCCTGGGCTTGCTGAGGCGCTGACCTGTTCATAGATTCCGAATCTTGGATTCGAGGACTTGAGCTTCTGGGATATCCCTGATTTCGTTGACGCGGGCGCGTTTGACATGAGTGTATAGATATCAACAGAGGCCACTAGGAAAATGCGACGTATGCTACTTTTTGCACAGTATGTAGGAAATTCGCTTATCGAAAGCCATAATATCATTGGAACAATAAACAGCTCTCGGTATCTCCCTCGGCGTCTTCAATCGAGAGCCTTAGTAGAGAGTTGGATTTTCTACTCATGGTAAAGCCCCTGTACTTATTCAAGTAGGGATGCCGCGCACATTCTAAGGCACCGGTACTTGTGCGCAAGCACCTCGGCATATCGGTGAAGCACGAACGGGTCGGGGCCCGCGCTTAACTGGGGCCACAGCACCCCGGATAGCAACAAAAATAGAAATAAACTACGCGCCACACGGACAGAAACTATGGACTATCTTATTTAAGCTCCATATTAGACCACCCATGATCGACTTTCAACCCTGCTTGTGAATCTCTAACGATCAGAAACCCTCAATGTACCGATATGACGGATTTGGAGACCCGCTCTTTGGGCTCGGGCAGCCAATACACGTCACTTTCCGCAACAACCTTCCAGAAGCTGATTAGCCTCCCCACATGGTATATGTAGACACGAGACCCGATCCAACGGCCCCCGCGTTTGGAAGATGGAAGATCGGCGATTCAAGTTTGTCGAATCAATGCAGATTTTGAAATCGACAAGTCTTGTCGTGCAGCTTCCTGCTGGGTCTGCCCAGCTACACTTACTGTCGGCGGCCAAGAACGGCTTACACTATGCAGAGAGGGACGCCGTGCGACGTGTGTGCTCGAGGACTGGTGGATGTGCCGGGTGGAGCTTCCCTTACGGGTAAGCGAGATGCCGGTTGAGGATTGGCAAGATAAGAGGTCTGATAACGAGCCATGTGGAGAACCATGGGAGACAGCTATATCACCCCTCCCGGCCTCTTCTCGAGCTGGAATAAACTTCAGTTTCAATCACCTTCAATCTAAGACTCTACCTACCACTGACTGGCACACCGCAGTATACTTAGACTACTTTTTCCCTCTCTATCTCCTCTCCATCAACCAGTGGATCCACACCACTTCAACACCCCTTAGATGGCGGTTTTACAGCTCCACTCGCACGTTTATCCCATACTGCTGTCCCAGCCTCTGCGCGGAGCCAGTAGAAGCAATAATCGGAGATCTAAACCCGTTCGTTAAGTCCACCAGGCTGTAGTGGCAGGGAGACATACCATGTCAATCGAGATTGTTCCACTGGCCAAGGCCGACATTCCCGGTGCTGTAGACTGCGTGCAGAGAGCTTTTTCCGACGACCCTTACTTCCGATGGGCATTTAACGATCCGTCCAAGGTACGAGCTGTCATTCCCCAAAGCAAAACCCGTGCCCGAACTCAGAGAACAATCAATAATCGTGGTCGATAGTTTAACATCGAGCGAAACGCAGCTTCTCTCGCGGCCCATTTCCACTATGGCATCAACTGCGGCTGTCCTATCTCCGTCGCCCGGGTGAGCCGCGCTGCCGGCGACGTCAAGACCGACCGCGAGATCAAATTGCCGCCCGGCAGCATCGTCGGCGTTGGCTGGTGGTACTCCCCGCGGGAACCGTCCAAGCCGCAGACCTGGTTTGTGTGGGCACAAGAATGGATCCTTTCCTTCCGACAGCTCGTGAACAATATCCTCTTTTTGGGCCGCGGTGGGTTGAATCTCCCACGGTACTGGATCTGGAAGCAGGTGCAGCATGACGCACATGAAGCTCTCTGGAAAGATCCGCGCGGATACTATTTCTGTAATATGGTCGGCGTCAGCTCTTCGGTCCGTGGCATGGGAGTTGGAAAGCGGCTGATGGAGAGCGTTATGGATAAGGCTGACCGGGAGGGGATGCCGTGTTACCTGGAAAGCTCGAAAGGGGATCCCAACGTGACTATCTATGAGAAAATGGGATTCGAGCTGGTCAAGGAAATCGAGTGCGTGGAGGGTGGGGATATTTGCAGGGTAAGTTGCTTGCAGGCTCGTGCTTTCTTCATTCGCTAACGTGAGCTGCAGCTTTATTGCATGATTCGAGAGCCAAAGTCCAAGACTTGATTTTTTTTGACTTAGCGAAGCATTGAGCGATCCGAGTTTCTTTACGAGCATATGACAGACAGGGGAAATTGACAGATAATGCTGGACATTAGCGACGGAAGTTAATGAATTGAATCAGTTGATCTTATTGCATGTTTCTGCTGTAAAAGATGATATGAAAATTTGAACCGGTCCCTGCGTTCTCCCGCACCTGGTGGTTTCCTCTTCCTTCGCCAGGCACTCCCCCTCATCCTGTCCCCAGCTCTCCTTTTACTGTAGAGCTTCTCTCCCACCTTTCTCACGCACCAAGTCTCCCGAAACAAGGACGTAGAGTTTTCACTTAGTCCTTGTAAGGTCCACAGGCATAGAAGTGGTCGTATGTGTCCTGCATTGTACTGCCCACATTCCTTTCGACTGAAGCAGTCGCGAGAAACTTGTGTGCGCCCACATGATAGCGCATGGCATCAACAAACTGCATGAACTGCACAATCGGTGGAACGTTGGGTGGGTCGACCACCAGTAGCAGCTCCTCGAGAGCGTTTTCGAAGCGCAACACAAAGGTCTTCGGATCCATGTCGGACTCGAAACTAATCGCGGTCCACTTGGACCATTTCAGGACAGCGTTCTGCCAGGTTGTGCCGTAGCAGGCCAGTAGGCTAAGGTAGGCATCACGGACATTCTTCATTCCGTTGATGCGAGACTGTGGCTCGTGAGCAATCGTGGAGCGGAGCAGCACCAGAGCTCTCCAGTTCTGATCCTTCCACAGCTCCAGGGCGGTTTCGTATCTCTGCCGAAGTCGTGCGTTGTCTTGAACATGGTCCTGCATGACAGTGGTGAGCTCCTGTTGCGTGACCTTTTTCGCCACGATCTTGTCGCGCCGGGCAATGAAGCGTTGGACCTCCTCAGCGGAGGTCACAGCGTACTCGGGTTCGGCTGGGCGGCATCTGTCTCCATTGAGAATCTCCCAGTAGTTCCCGTTGATGAGGTCAAAGGCATCGTTGAGCTCACGGGACCACTTGATCCAGTCCCATTCATTCCGAAGCTTCGTGATGGACGAGAGATGGCGGAAGGAATCGCTGAGAGGTCGCTCAGCGGTGCTGAGGGGTGGCTGACGCGGCATGTTGGGTGGTGGTGTCGAAACAAATAGGTGAAAGAGCGAACTTGTCTCGAGACTGAGTGCTGGTGGATACATTAGCGAAGAGTGCTGGTGTTGAGAATGTTGATACGGCAGGCAGGATTTACTGAGGTTGACGACGGCACCTGCCTCACGTCTGAAATGAAAGGAGGGAGAGTAAACAAAAGCGGGTCACGAGGAGCAGAAGTGAGAGATGCCATCTTATAGTTACAAGGCTGGCCAACTTCTGAAACAGAGGGAGTTGAAGCGACTCATATTTCCCAAACGGGAGATCGATGGAGAGAGAGTGCTGGGGCGTAGTTCCCGAGCATAAACAACCCAAAGTTTCTCCAGATGTCCCGAAACGTCGGTAGTCCCTGATTCACTAACAGCAAGCTAGTGGGACCCTACTTAGCTCACTAGTCCAATCATCGCTTATCCTCCGACTTGGCTCATGAGAGACTTGGGGGCCAAAACTGAAAGACTCATTTTTGCAGCCTCTGGAAAGACCTCTGGCTGTGTATTATTCGGCGTTAAGGTCATGTAATATGGATGTTTCCCTCCAGGTATCAAATAATCTGGTATTTATGGGTTCCCAGGCACCAGCCATGTATAGATCCAATGAGTCAGTGCGTCCATGTGCCCCACCGATCATTTAAGCCGCAAATCAAGACATCAAGCGGAAGAATCCATATTTGTACAACACCCCAAGTTTGGCTAGCGCGCTCTGTTAGTTACATTTGCTATTTCTTCCATATAAATACCTGTCTCTTCCCCATTTCCCCTTTATCTTCTACAACTCTCCGCATCTCTGAACACAAAATGTTGCACGGCTGCTTCTACCGATTCGCCGAAGATACCCGGTCTCTTACAACAAAATACCTGCCTCAAATCGGGCTCGACACGCAGGCGACTATCCTCGCTACCAATTCGCGAACGACCGTCTCCCAGACTTTTGTGAACCCCTCATCAACGGAGGCCATCCCCGAAGTCTTCTACTCTTTCCCACTCTATGAAAGCTCCAGTATCGTTGGCTTCACTTGCCGCGTGGGCGATAATGTGATCGAGGGGACAGTGAAACCAAAGGCGAAAGCAAATGAAATCTACGAAGAAGCAAAGTCCAAGGGTAGAAATGCTGCCATCCTCGATCAGTCGGTCAATGCAGCGGATGTTTTCAGTACACGCCTGGGAAATGTTCCCGCGGGGGTCACTGTTCTCATTGAAATCACTCTCATTCAAAAGCTATCCCAAGATACCCAAACAGATGGCATTCGCTACACGATCCCTGTCACCATCGCACCTCGATATGGAAATGGGAGCGGCAAGTCAGACGTGCCCAAAGGCGTTCTGGTGAAGACAGCAATCAAGGTGGACGTCGTCATGGAGAAGGGCTCTAAGATCCGCAACATTCGGTCACCAAGCCACCCCATTCAGGTAGACTTAGGCCGAGCGTCCGATATGCCCGAGTCAACATTTGAGTCTTGCTACGCCTCAGTCAAGCTTCGCGAGAATGTGGTCATTGACGAGGACTTCGTTCTCACTGTCAACGCGGATAAGCATGACCTTCCCTTTGCTTTCCTGGAGACGCACCCTACATTGCCAAACCAGCAGGCACTGATGCTCTCTCTGGTACCGAAGTTCAGTCTACCGCCGGACGCGTCCGAGATTATCTTCGTCATTGACCGCAGCGGAAGCATGGTAGACAAAATTCCCACCCTGCTATCGGCTCTCAAGCTGTTTCTCAAATCCCTTCCACTCGGTGTGCCTTTCAACATCATATCATTTGGCTCTGAACATAAATCTCTTTGGCCACGAAGCAAGATGAGTAGCAGAGAGAGCCTAGAGGAGGCTCTCAAGCATACAAAGAGTGTCCGAGCCAACATGGGTGGGACAGAGATATTGGGAGCTCTTCAGGCAGCCGTGGAGAATCGGTACAAAGACAAGGTTCTTGAGGTTCTGATCCTCACCGATGGAGAGGTCTGGAATCAAGATGAAATTTTCGATCTTGTCAATCGAGAGAACCAGGAGAATTCTGCGCGGTTTTTCACTCTCGGTCTTGGGAACAGCGTGTCTCATTCCCTCATCAATGGCATCTCCCGAGCGGGCAAAGGATTCTCCCAGTCAGTTCTTAACAACGAGGATCTGAACAAGACGGTGGTCCGGATGTTGAAAGGCGCTTTGATGCCACGACTGCGCAACAGCAAACTGGATATGAACATTCCCGAACTTGAAGACTTTGTAGAAGTTGAATTGCCTGGAGACGACAATGGGCAAACTGAGTCCTCTGCAAAGCCAATCTCCTTTTTTGATCAAGACCACAAGGAAAAAGAAGATGTCGGCGATGTACAGGAGCCTCTTCCAAAACTTTCTGTTCCTAGCATCCTGCAAGCTCCGGCCGATCTCCCGGCTCTATTCCCATTCATTCGCTCCACGATCTACGTCCTCCTCTCGCAGCCCTCTGAATCGTTCCCCGAAACAATCACCCTTCGTGTCGACAGCAAACATGGTCCCCTGGAGCTGGAAATTCCCGTCCAGGATGTTGGCAAGGGCCAAACTCTTCATCAGCTCGCAGCCAAGAAGGCGATAACTGAGCTTGAAGAGTCTCGTGGCTGGATCCACTCCGCAAAGGACGCCGAGGGCAATCTGATCAAGAGCAAATGGGAGAGTCGGGTCGATGAGCTGGTTCAGAAAGAATGTGAGCGACTTGGAGTGATGTTCCAAGTTGCAGGGAAACATTGCTCATTTGTGGCTGTGCACGACGATGACCCCATGAATCCTGAACATAATTCAAGGACTGACACGGAGTTGGAATATGTTTCTTTGCAGAGTGGCCCAGATCACCAGGCCGGCTACAGGATGGCATCTCCTGGGCCTTGGGACATCAGTAGAAAGAGGCGTCGTCATTCGGTAGGCGGCAAGAGAATGAGAAGAGCGGTGGCCACCACGCAATGTGATGAGGAGCCGGGCGTGGATGAGCCCGAATCAGATGTTTGTGAAGAAGTGGCTAGCCCTGGTTTCTCCTTTACTATACCAAGTTACTGCCCTGCTTCCAGCAACGGTGCGCCCTATAAGCCAGGTGGTGCTTTGAAGTCCGCCCGTGATGTCAGCGACAATGATGATGACAACGACGATGCAAGCGTGCATTCGTCGACGTCTTCGCCCAAGACCATGCCCTTGCAAAAGCTCATCAGTCTTCAGACCTTTGACGGCTACTGGGACATTGACGATGAGCTTCTTCAGACCGTGGGCCTTGACCCAAGAACTACCCGCGCCAAGCTGCAGAGTCACTACGACTTCTTGAAGGGAAGCATGGCGACAGAAGTGTCCGCTCTTGACCAATGGTTCAAGATCCTTGCCACATGCCTCGTGTGTCATTTTCTGGAGAATAAAGCATCCGAGTCCAAAGATGTGTGGGAACTGGTAAAGACCAAGGCGGATGGATGGGTGCAAGATGAATTGAATGCAATGGACTCTACGGATCAACAAATCGTGATGAAACTCATCGATGGATTGGGATCTTACTTCTGAGATTCTCATCGGATAACTATGGTCATATTTCTGGAAATCCGGGTTACTGGTTGAATCAACAAGATTGAAATAGCAGAATTGAATTGGATTATTGACTTCTTAAGTGCTGTTCAGACATAGACGACTCTATCTGGGATCGGAAATTAACTACCACATTATTCTAAAGTCATTCTTTTCAGTGTAAGTTAACGCCTTAAAAGAAAGTTGCGCTATGGGCCTAAGATGACAGACACACTGTTCATCACTTTGGACCCTACAACACCCTTTGACTGTCAAGCCTGACATTGAAGGAATTATCGCTGGGATACTGGCTTTTCGCCCGTTAGAATACCTTTATATCAAGGGCCTTCTCAGTGTTCAAAGCTTGGACAGAATTATCCAACATCATGGTCCGTCATTGAAGGGACTAGCACTAGTACCCGACAGACCCCATGACTACCCGGACTTCATCTTTCCGGGCTCCTTGAAATGGCGATTCGTTGCCCGAACTTGGAAGAGCTGCGTCTTCAGATCAGAAGGTCTATGGGTAATCAAGCAGAGTGTGAGATGTACAAAGCTCTCGGTACCTTTCCCAATCTCCAAAGACTATTTCTAGATCTGGATTTCGATGCTCGACCCAAAGCTACCAGCACTAGGCAGGCATGAAACTAAAGATCTCGATGCTCTCCGACAAACGTTCATTAATGCAGCCATGGATGAGAGCCTGGCTCTCCAGATTTGGAACATGATCAGAAACAAGAATTCCCGGTTGAAAGACCTACGCCTTTTCCCATTCGGAAACCAGCGTTTTGGTGCTGACGAGTTTTATTTGCTCAATTGTTTTGCACGATCATATTTGCTTATAGGTTATAACCTTGAGAATCCTGGGTCGCCAGTCATAGAGCAAATTGGGAAAAAGGCGTGGGAAGTAACACGAGAGGGGCTGGACCCTCGGACTGATTTCATTTTTGAGGGAGACCTCCGTCTCTCCAATAGACTTGAATCCGTTCTTCACAAGATCTGGCCCCAGATGCCCAAACAGAGTGACTGGTGGTATTGTTGGACTAGCTTGTCTTTACAACCAGACAAGAGTCTCCTTGATGAATGTTCTAAAAACATGAATAGTCATCCCTAGGACATCGCATCAATTTTAGTTACCCACCTGATACCCGAAACTACAACATTCAAATGTTGGATGCCTGCGGCAACATAGATTTGCTGCCTTATTTAGGCTTAGCTACGCATGGAAGGTAGTGCGGAGGATAAATTTAGGCAAATAGGACGTTTAGACTTAGCAAAATCGATTCCACAATAAACCCCGTGATTTCCTCAGAAGTCAACGCACTTTCGCACTATCAAGAGCCCTATTTTGTTGAGTTCCATCCATATCCGGTCTGCCATTAAATATTCAAAAGCCCGTTTGAGCCCATTGGATGCACTGGCTCGCATATTACGCCAAGTGTGCTCTCCCCATTGACTTGGCTCACTTCCAGGCGGCCGACCTGGTTGCTTGGGATGTCTTCGTTCGTATAGCTGCTGCGGCGCAAAGCCGCTCTGTATTTAGACGCTGGCCACAACTTGTGTATGACCCGAGAACACATGTTACCCATAAGGGAATTTTGTCTCTCCGTGAGATGTAATCGTTGGGATGAAGTGGTGTTTGCCGAGTCCCCCTCTGTATTTAGAACCAAATCCCACCTGTTCAAGGTATATAAGAGCGTATTGCACAGTCCCGACAACGTCATCAGTGACCCTGCAATGCAGAAGTATGTAACGCTGGGAGTATGGCCAGTCGCGGACGCCATTCTTCCAGTAGCGAGAGGTAATGTCAAGGAAATATAGACGACTGGATATATCACCATGTAGCCAACGACTTGCTTTAGGCGGCGAAGGCTGGCTGTGTTGCGTCCTCCGAGGCTCACACATTCGGCGATTCGGCGCTGAAGCTGAATGAACATGATACCATAGAGCAGGAGCGCAAAGAACTGTGCGACAAAAATCCAGAAGTAGTGCGTCCAGAGTCGCAACTCTGTGTGCTTCGTTGTTATCCAACACTATGAGTGCAGGGAGAAAGAGCTCAGCCATGCCTACTAAAGTGAATTCGAGAAGGGTCAATGATTCAACTCACCCATGCGACTGCAGGGAACCAGGCATAACGGCCAACGGCCGCTATTGGAATGATGACAATCACCACGCCAAACACCCACATACTAACGACCGCAATCACAAACACCCGGTGACTAAGCTGATAGCCCATGATAACATGCAGGAAGGTATACAGGGCAATGGCAAGCACGAACATCCCGCTCATCGGATTCCCAATCTGAAGCCAAGCTCCCTGAATAAAGCAGAATGCGTCCGATGCATGAATGGAGTTGGTGGCAATCCAGCGTAGACTAACGAGAAACCCGAGGGACATTAACAAATCTGCGAGCGCCAGGTTGTATACGAGGACGACGTATTGGTTGTAACCTAAATATCGTCGATAGTATCTGCGCCAAAAAATGAACCTATCTGTGAGAAAAAGAAGGAGTAAAAAGGTCATAACCAATGAAATAGAGGCGAGAGTCGAAACTGCAATTAATCCTCTTCGTTGTAACGGGGGTAGCGGATCGATGACGCTCACCCCGGCAGCGGATGACGCCGGGTTAGATCCCGATACATCATTACGGGACTGGAGTTGCTGGTCGGCTGTAGATATTAACGTTACAAAAGTTAGTATAGCACATATTAGCCGGGACTAGGGCCAGAACTTTGGACCTACCGTGGATGAGCAGAAACATTAGCTCTGTATCAAGACCATTGCCGCACTTGAAAGAATACTCCTGGAATCTATTAGAAATGCTGGTTATCATTTGACAAAACTATCAATAGATTGATTGGTAAGGTAAAGAGCGTGCAAAGCACGAACCTAATACTGAGAATAGGAGCGCAATTGCATGAATGTCAAGGCACTCTTGAGGTTGGCGATAGAACAACTCGGCCTAACTGTCGAACGGGGCAAGTCTAGAGATCAAGAGCGGAGAATGTATTATATGAGCGACGACAATTGTATATAACTTCTCAGACAGCGTTGAGTAGATTCAACATCCGTCAACTACTTAGGCTGAAGTGATGAAGTCACTGACGGTCACGTGATTACAAACCGTGGGAATTCAACGGCTAAATTTAGGCAAATAGGAACGTTTAGATTGGTGTCAAAAGTAGCCCTTTTCGGCGTCCAATTTAACCGTCACCTGGAATTATGGTGTAGCGTAGGGTACCCAGAGGCTATCTGGCCGGCCGATGTTTCTGTAAGCGCGCGGTAGCATCCTGATGCCAACCGACCCACTCGCATTTCTAAAATCAATCGATTTCCCATTCCCGCTCGGGCGTAAGATTCGTAGCGTCGACTGTTCGTGTTAAGGCCACAGTTTGATATCCTGGTAGGTAATAATATTCCATTTTTGGAAGGTCACGGTTTTTGAACGTTAGGGCCACACATTTTCATGCCCTGGTAGATAATAATATTCCATTTTTGGAGGGTCACGGTTTTTGAACGTTAAGAGTCACACATTTTCATGTCCTGGTAGATAATAATATTCCATTTTTGGACGGTCACGGTTTTTGAACGTTAGAGCCACACATTTTCATGTCCTGGGCTTCCGAGGAAAGCGTGGCCCCCTCATGTATAAATACGATGCATCTCACCATCAACTTTTCAAAAATCACAGAGCACTTCCCGATCAATCAATCGATATGAAAATCTTGCCTTGCCGAAATCGGGTCTACAATTTTTCCCACCCCCCTTACCTCCCACGATGATCTTCCTTACTTGTCCCGCCGACCGACTTTCCCTAAGATTCAAGGCCACTCGAGACGAAGGAAAAGCTTGAAAGTTCCAAGGTCAGTGTTAGTCAATGTTCTAGTATGGCCGACCCTTGCAGAGGCTAATTTCCGATCTTAACCCGAGAGCCGCACGTCATTCGTTGAAATTTCCCTCGGACCTATCACGGTCCCAACTGCCGACAAGAGTTTTGCAGGCGCTGTATGGAATTACCGTGCCGCTTTATTGTCCGCGGCGATTGATATACTGCCCGAACGAAGATATGCACCAACTGTGCGGGTGGTTTCGCACGACATGGAACGTGGACAGCAGCTGATGAGAAGCTAAGTTATCAAACCCAAAACAGTATAAGAGAAAAGCTTAATGCTAATGAAGACAGATCAATCGCTAAAACGGTATGAAGAGTACCGCCTCGGCAAAACTACGGGTATATGCTGCAACATAGAGATCGACGCACAATGATGGACGTCACGGGTGCACCCCATGGGACACTCCGAACATTGTACGGCGAGTGGCGGCATTTTTGACGCAATCTGACGGTTGAAACTCGGCATACAATGATATTTCTCAAGCTGAACGGTGGGTAAATAACTTTCCCCTTGCCGCTCTTCTGTCGCGATTCTTATTGGAGGATACTCACTGTTTAGCACAGGCCGAATCCGATACACGATGTACGAGGTTGTCCGTTCTTCTTCTGTTGAACGGCCCTCGGATACTCCCATGACAAGAACCTTGGCACCATGGATTGGCATTCTTGGAAGCATGAGCTTGGAAGGATCTTGGAAGGGGTTCGGGCTTCGGGGTTCCGGGCGCATCTTTGTTTTCCGGTGATCTTCACCTTTTTTCATGTTCCTTGAATGTGCACAATTCCTGTCTTGAATTTATGTTACCCTGTCGATCTGATGATCCCCTTTTTTTCTCAGTCGCTGTGATTTTTCCCATGTGTCTCTGGACTCAAAATTGAAGAAACCATGCCCAAGCGCCGGGTATCGGCATGCAGATCATACATGTAGAGGTGAACGGTTCTACGGCCCCACCGTACAGTAGGCTTCTCAATTGTGAATGGGCCACCCGCAAGCCAATCGACGCTAGATTCCCGACAAGCTTTGCCCGCGAATCCCCGGAACCGAGAAAACTGCGGCGATGCTATTTTTGGCGGTTCTTTGTCCTGCGAAAGAAGGCGTTGGTCTATTCTTCGCTCTTAGGATAGCCTCTACGGAGTATTCTGCGAAACCCCAGTAACACGAGAAAATAGTCGTCCGCAGGATCCCATCACCAAGCACAGGGTTCACGAAGACAAATGGTCAAATCAAAGCGATTGTCTGCTTTCCCCGCGTCTGTCTCGGCCAATCGCACTCTCCGGAACAGCGAGACACAGATCGGATTGGGAAATGTGAGGCATCGCCCCCGCGGGCTGGCGTAAGCCTTTCTCTCTTTTATGTAGCACATGCATCCCGGCCCTTAATTCTTTGGTTTTTCTCTTCCTCGTCGCATCTCGCCATCTTCCCTCCGAGGGCTTTCCAGCTCTCCACACTCTACACTCCCGTTGTGGATAGGTTCTATCCATACTCACGATGCACTGACTAGAACACTCTCACTCTACTTATGAACTGCAACTGATCCCCTCTGAATCTCGCATCGCCGAATCGCGTGATCAAGTTCCTCGTTTAAAAATACTCTCACGTCCTACGACATGGGAATCTCCACCCCCGCTATCATCGTGGTCGTCCTGGTCGCCTGCCTGGCCGTCACAGCCCTGGGCGCCGCCCTCTTCAAGCACTACAGCCCTGCCGAGGAGGAGGCCCACTACAACCCAACCTACGAACAAGGCCACTACATGCGACAGGTACGAGCCAGGAACTACGGCCACCTGAAGCAAGAATCCATCAGTAGTCGGATAGATCTCGAATCGCGACGTAAGTCCGATCAATCCGGTCGATAGGTTCGCAGCTAACCAGATTAGTTACCACGGAGGATGCATCGGCTTACGTCTATCCTCACCCTCACTCGCCCCGCGAGTGAGATCCCCTTACATTCTCACCTCTACGAACCTTTCACGACAACGACTCACGGGAATTTCACGGCGCACGGGAAACAGGAGAATGATAGGAAACACTGGGCAGGACCCACGGCGGTCAGCGATCGTCCATATCCTTTTGCGAATGGGCTTGGGACGGTAACGGAGATCGCGGTCTGAAATACTTTGCCATTTCGGCAAACATACGTTTGCGTTGAGCACTTGCTACTGTACAGGGTGGAAGGCCTCGTGGGTACATTTTATCTCTCGTCATTTTGGAAATACTCTTTTCTTTGTTGACTTGATCGATCTTCGGGAATTTATTAGAGTCATAAACACCGAATCAATCTCTATGTATACCAAGATTCCCGGTCCTTATGGTCTGTGACCAACTACTAACGGGCTCTGCTTCCGAGATCGATCGCTAAAACGGGATCGAAATAACGTGTTTGTTTGATCTCTAGATTTGAGTTTGCTGTTTCCAATCCGCTGTCCAATGGCAGTGATGACGTCAAAGGCGATTCGATCTCGGAACTCAACCTGAAACGGGATCTATTCCAGCGATGAGACGGTATATCGCCCTACGATGAAGCTCGATGAGTTGATTAGGTGGCAATGTCAGATGAAGCAAGTTCACTGCAGCGTCCGGGGCGGCCCCTCTCCATCGCGCTGTGGAATTTCTCGTCCAACTGGTTTTTGATACCGCAGGGAACGGGAATCATCTGCATCCTTCTCCACCAACTGGATTACCAGTTCAAGGGACTGATGATCCTCGCCAAGATCGTTTGGATATACGCCATCGTTCTCTTCGGCCTCTGTCTGATCATCTACTCCCTCCGAATACTGGTGTACCCAAAACACGTCCGACATCAGCTGCGGGTAAACCTCGTGGAGACATCGTGTCTGGCGAGCATCCCTATTGTATACAATGAAATCATCCAGCTGGCTGTGTTGCAGTATGGTAGCCGCGCTGGAGTCGCGTTTTATGTCCTCTGGTGGATCCAGGCTGGCCTGGCAACCGTCGCCTGTCTGGCCATTCCTTACGTTCAGCTGAAACTCCAGCCCCCGGGAATATCACACCTCCCGCCAGCCATCTTACTCCCTTTCATCGCGTCGCTGACGTCTGCCGTCGGGGGTGGCGTGCTATGTCGCTTTGATCACATCAGCGCACGCCTCCAGGTGCCCGTCATCATCATCTCGTATCTCCAAATCGGGGCGGGACTCTCACTGGCGGTCGGATTCGACACGTTGATCTTACTGCAGCATTTTGACCGATTCACTCCAACCGCAGATAACGTATACCAGGACATGATCGTATGCGGGCCATTTGGACAGGGCGCATTCGCACTCCAGGTACTGGGCGAGGCCGTCGCGGAGGGCAGTTTCGCGTCATACAGTCGAGGCACATTTTTAACTTCGGAAGCAGCCGCGCCGATCGGGTATACAAGTCAGTTCTTGGGACTGCTCACTTGGGGCTACGGGATCTTCTGGTGGTGCTTCGCCATTGTCAGCATATGTCATACACTGTGTGCTCAGCCCGGCGGGTGGCGCAAAACAAGATTCACGATGGCTGCGTGGTCGCTCATCTTTCCATGGGTGCGCTGTCCATCCCCGATTTGTGTGTGTAGGGCTCATCGTAAGCAGGGCGTTTTCACCAATGCGGCTGTGGAGTTTGGGAAGACCATGGACTCGCCAGCGTTCGCCGTGGTTTCCACTGCGCTTCTGCTGATTTTATTGGTGATGTGGTTCGCTGTTCAGATTCTCACGATGAAAGGGTTATTCACCGGTCGCATTCTTGGTCTGGAGCATGGATGGAAACGACGCCGTCTTGACCGTGGGGATTCCGCGGGGAACAAGGACGCGTGAATGTTGCATATCGAATGAATCGGTTTCAATTTCGGTTTCGCATCCTGGTGTCAATTCATTGCCCAGCAGTAAGCCTTGCGTGTTTTAACCTACGGAAGTTCTGCCGCGGGATTGAGGCTGTACACTTTGGGGCACTTGCTCGCCAATCGCAACGCTCCACCCGGCTCAGCCCAATTCATCCTTCTGAATAAACGGATACGATCCTATTTCCCAGGCAGTAATCAAATTCCAGCCTTGCAAGAGGCTGGCCCCTGTGTCCATCACGTGTGATGATGACTCCCGAGGCCACCCTCGCAAATCTTTCTCAATTCAGACATTATTGGAGCCTAGCCTTGCCGGGCCACCTGAAGGACTATACGGGAGAGCCAATCGCAACATACATCATAGTCCCGGACGTCTGGAACACATTTGCATGACAGCGATGGGCAAGAGAAAATGTCACAGCCTCAGAATCGGTGTGGGACACCCCCTAATCCCGCGCCCCCACATGGTTCGTGCAACCGTTTTCCCTTTAAGATACGAATACGGCCCGTATAGACCAAGAACAAACTACTATTTATAAGAATTCCCGAGACATTAAATTAGTCGGTGAATGGGAAAAACCCCACCCCCTTTCAGTCTATCCCACAGGCCGATATCAAGCAACGTGATCTTCATGCGGCCTGAGCCGACCATGAGCTCCTCGTCGGTAAAGTATGAAAGCGACACTGGCAGCGACGAGCGGTACGCGCCTCTTACCAACTCGACAGTTGTCCTGGTCTAATGGAAATCTAGAGCGCAACGCACACGAACCAAAATCCAAGCGAATTTCCAGATCGCACGACCGCCACCAAAGTCTTCACTGCGCTTCGCTCCAAAGCTTCTTCTTCAAATCCAACAACTTGCTCCGAATCACAGACCAGTCCCGGTACTGGGAATATGGCAGCCACCATTCCGCAAATCAAAATTGACCCGCGACTTTCATCAACGGGTCAAGTTGAGGTCGAGTGATATGTATGCGACTCTTGATGAGACGTACGTTACCAGTTCGACCGGGCAACGGCAAGATCCCTCCAATTCGGAGCAGGATGATGACAGCGCCCCTCCACATAAAGATGTTGTGGCGGCAATGTGCCAGAGCGATGAGACGATATCAGATATTCATTTCCGGGACGCACGATGTAGTTGGCAGGTCAGCGCAGGATCAACGGGACCCGCTCAATCGACGCAGTGTTACCGATTCACCATCAACGACGAACAGAGAGATAGCTCCGACCCTGGCAGAATGACTCTGCAATGGGAAAAGCGAAGCAAAGAGAACGCACCGGCTGGTTCGGTAGATGCTGCGAAGTTTGTTCTCCTCTTGATTGATCGAACAGCGCGGCGGAAGAGTCGCATAGCTACCATGACGCCGGGCGGGTTTGAGATCGTCGTTCGAAAGACTTCTATCCTCGAGCACCTGCAAGTATGCCTTGATTTAACAGAGCCTGTATCATCTACGAGCACGCGAGATCCCCACGAAGCCTTAGAAACCTGGCTGTATACGCAAACCCTTACGATGGGCGTCTGGGTCGCCTACCAGGAAGGATGGCTCAATTAGTACGACCATCAATGAAATCCTATCTAAGAATACGTAGTCTCGATCCTAGTAGATTGATTAAACCCAGCTAGAACTTCGCAACTCCCGCTTCCAGTGCCTTGATCTGCAGCGCCAGCAGACGCGAATAATACCTGCACAGCGCAAGGTTCCCGCCCATAAACCAGAACCCGGGATGACCGGACCTACGCCAGATATTCCGCATCTCACCCTCTTCGTCCAATCCCCAGACATTACCCACACGATCGGCAACCTCATCCCCGAAGATGAGTCTCGCCTGCGTCCTCATGTTCTGGTACCCCGTTGCAAAAACAATCTCATCGGCCTCCAACTGCGATCCGTCCGCGAAGCGAAGTCCATTCGGTAGAACTTCGCTAATCTCCTGTCCCTGCTTCACTTTGATCTTCCCGTCGACAATCAACTGGCTCGCGCCTACGTCGATGTAATACCCGCCGCCGCGCTGGAGGTACTTCGTCATAAGACCGCAGTCCATGGGTCCCCGATCAACCTTGAAGCCCGCTTTCTCCAGACCCTCGATGGTCTTGGCGTCGTTCTGGTTCATCAATTTCGTAACCTTGATCTGCTGTGTCTTGAATAGCTCGGGGGGAATACTCCACATATACAGATCCGCGTCCTCGGTCGGCGGTCCGGTCTCATCGTACAGTCCTTTCATCCCGATATTCGTGATTGATGACGAAGACACAACGCAGGTTGAGCTCCGCTGGACCATGGTAACATCGTATCCCTTCTCAAAGTAATCCTGTGCGATGTCGTGTCCGGAGTTACAGGATCCGATCACGATAGCTTTCTTGCCAGGCGAATCCGGGTTCGCGCCGGGGAATTCGGAGCTATGGCAGATGCGATCGCCTTTGAAGTTCTCCATTCCTTTGAAATTTGGCGCGTTCTTCTTGCCGGAGTGGCCGGTTGCCTGGATGACGTGGTGCGGATGCAGGGTGCGAGTCTCGGTGGTGCCGTCTTCTTTCTTGCGCTCGACCACGACCGTCCACTCCTTCTTACTCTCGTCCCAGGAAGAAGATTTCAGCTCAGTGCGCGTCCAGACATTCAGCTCGAGCAACTTGACGTAACACTCGAAGAACTCGGCGAGCTTGTCTTTGGGTGTGAAAATCGGCCAGCTGGATGGGAAGGGCATGTACGGCATGTGGTCGTACCAGACTGGGTCGTGGAGGACGAGCTGGTGGTATCTTTGGCGCCAGCTATCTCCAATTTGATCTTCGTGGTCAACTACCAGGGTGTCGACGTTCAGCATCTTCAGGCGTGCTGCGATGCTTAGACCTCCTTGGCCGGCACCTGTGTTGCTGGTTAGTCTCTCATATTTGTGGATATTTCTCTGGTCCTAAACATACCGACGACTAGAACCAAAGGCTGCTTCACTTTATAGTTCTCGTCTGCGACACGACGGTCCTTCCAATTAGTTCTCCCCTGTTGTTCGCCATGCTGCACCCCGATGGGTCTGTTGCTAGTAACCGCCTCGTCGTGGCCGGTCAATCCCTCCAGGGAAGTAAAGACGGTGAAAATCTTCCACGCGCTTCCCTTCTGGGCCAATCTGACTACACCCCGGCCATATCCAAAATTGGAGGTGACCTTGATGAAGAACTCAATGCCATGGACCTCGCCGTATCCATCAATGGGTCCATTATGAGGCGCCTTCAAGGCAGACGAGCGGTCAATCTTGGCCATAACGGCTGAGGAAATTCCAGTCACATATTTGGCGATTGCACCGCGTCCCTTGACTGTCCGGTAATCCCAAGACAAACACAGGTGGTCGCGCCAGTAGCTGTTCTCGATGAACAGGTCAGACACGGCGCTCGTGTCTTTCTTGTCCAGAGCGCTGTTCAGTTGATCGATCAGAACGGTTGCGATCTTGTCAGGATCCTCTGGAATCTCGGTGTTTGTTTGTGGGAATGACCCGAGAGGGATGTTGAAGGATCCAGGCTCGACTCTTTCTCGCGATGGAGTGAGCTGGTCCACTGTGCGGATGTCAACATCGACGGCTGCCATGTTTGCGGTAATTTCTATAAAATCAATCAGATACTGGAAGGGAAAATAAGAGACTCGGGATTCAGCGCGAGGCTGCTTCTAAAAACAACCCCGCACGTTGGACCCGGACAACACAGCGAGGGTACGGGGTAGCGATCTCCCCACCAAATCCCGGTGTGACAGACAAGTAGGCACTGCAGGTGGGCAATGCAGGTTTGTCAAACTTGAATTTAGGAGTTGCTAGCTCTGTGAATCTCAGCTGGTCTCGTTACGTGGCAGTTAGTCGATGCTGGGTAGAGAACTGATCGGACTGGCGATTCTCCGGGTTCTTTTGATTTAGGTTTGGGCTCCACGCTGGCTCGAGGTCATCGGTGCAAATCCGAGCGCTGTGGGATTTCTTGATCTACCTGACCGGGGGAGGCCCGATTTCTCGGAAATTCTTCAATTTTGACTTGCTAAGAGGAGACCGAAGACTAGCAAATGCAAAAAATCACAAAGCCGTAGAAAACCAGAAAGCTCAAACGCATCCTCCATCTGCAAACCGAGCCATAAGCCGGCCTCGTCACACTGCATCCTCATCCTGTCCATCATTCTCTTCCCTCTGCTTCTGCGGGCGCTCCAGTAAAACTTTGTGCTTGCACCGATTCCATTCCCTGTGGTTGATCTCGAGTTTAGCCGCAGGACATAAGATACAAGACAGGAAAGTTCTCAGTCCTTATCTCTCTGGCGATCCTTGGAGGTCTTCGATCTTTTGTATCCAGGAACAGAACGTCTCCTCTTATCTCCGGTCCGAGTTTTGATCTCGCTCTCGCTGGTGGAAACATCATCAAACTCGTTTTCGTCGCTCTTCACGTCGTCCTGGGGCGGAACGATGATCCATTTTCCTTCCGCATGTTGTAACTCTTGTTCGTCCCACTGATCGCAGTCCCACAGATCGTGCCCCTGCCCCATGCAAAAAGAACAAATTTGGGCTGGCTGGGGTTTCACCAACCTCTTTTGGTTGTTGATGGTGATCCATTTGCCTAGGAAAGGCGGAGGGTCATCAAATCTAACTGCGAAATTGCCGTCACGGTAACCATGAGTGACAACTTCAGCGACTTGGAACATTGAGGCAAAGTTTGAATGTTGAAATTCCCGTATCAGCGCTATCGCAACATCTCGGGGTGTGTCCATTGGACCCCCTGCGATGGTCCAGGTCCGAGTTTTGACGTCTCCAAAAGGCTGCGCGATCACGTCCACATCCAGGCGGCGGTGAGAAAACCGTATCTTCCTAATTTCTATCAGTGCTGCATCCCGATCCTGTACAGTGCCGAAGACTGCCGCTAAGAATGAGCTCGACGATGGAATGATTTTGCTGAGGCCCCTTAAATACAAAAAGTGAAGAGTGAGACGAAGTCGAAACTGTTCCATCGCCCGGTCATCCTTGACATGCTTCGGCAGACCAACAAATGCAGCAGTCCCACATTTGCTTAGATATTCTTTGTCCTGCTTTGTGAGCTCGGGCAGGGTTGTGGGATCCAATGATGCCGGCGATGTTGCAATGAGGTCGTTTTCCTGGTCCCCCGGGGTAAGATCAAGCCAATCCTCAATCGAAAATCCATCCTCAAAGTCAGCATGTTCTGTGATATTGGTCCTCTTTTGCTTGTGTGTATGTCTTTTGGTCTTTGCCATCGTGAGCGGACCGTAATGTTGAAAGGTTGGTTGTTGACTTTGAAGTGAGAGTATGATGATGATCAGGCTGCAAGTAAGGAAATTCTCAGGTCAGCTAATCGGTAATCCATTGATTGCTCTTGAAGCTTTTCTGGGTGCGAGATGAGGAGTTTTGAGAAGAGGTGGTGCGGAAACAGCTTACTGAGTAGCAGATCCGAGAATGGAGAAGTTAGGTTTGTCCACGATGTCACAGATAGAGAGTAACAGCTTGTTATGCCGACTTGCCATAAAAATGAGTAGAGGGATAAGTGTCTTTTTTTGCTCAGGTGGGAGATTTCTAAGGAAAAGGAAAAGGTGAAAGAAGCATTTGCAAGCCTGGAGCCTGGAAGACCAGGAGACTCAACGGGCAAGGTACCTCAAGATACCCCGATTATCTTACTGCTAGTGATTGTTTCAGTCACTACAAGGGAAATTGAACAGCACTGTAGCCCTGGAGACCCATGTGATTTACTCTAGATAATGAAGTGTAAAGAAATTTGAATTGTCAAAAAATACGTGTCATTAAGTGAATATTCATCTAGCTAAACAATTTGAAATTATCTGAAATGAAGTCTAAAACACTTCAGTAGCTTATACCAAGGCCGAACTATCTATATATATCAACAGATCAGGATGTGGGTTAAATCAACGATAATGCGGAGGTATTGGCTCCATGGGTTGGCCTTGGGCAATTTGTTTTCCGGTCTGACTCAATTTGTGGCTTATATTCGTAAATCTCGATCATCTTCTATAAGTCGCATCATTGGTCTAGTGGTAGAATTCGTCGTTGCCATCGACGAGGCCCGTGTTCGATTCACGGATGATGCAAGATTATTTCTTTTTCGCCGTCTGATTTTTTTCCCGCCCGAGCTCCCCGTATTCTATACCCGACCGAGGAAGGTGTCTCCGAAGGTCTAATTAGAATCAATCTTAGGTAACGGTTACTAGGAGAGCACTAAGAGGCGTGCCGAGTTCTTCTGGTCGCACGCGTCCTGAGTGCCTTGATTGTACCTGGCGCGCCGAATATTGCGTTGCCATTGCCCCACACCTTTAAATGCCGACGCTGTGGAGAGGGATGTCGTGTCAATGCAGAACGTGATTCACCCTCAATTGGGCCCAAGTTTTCCGTTATTCTCATCTAGACATGCTCTTTGTGTTACTTTGGTCAAACTTAAAGATCGTCTAGATTAAAGACCGTCAGGAGGGAAGCTTACCTCTTAAAGCTCCGTCTAACAATCCAAGCCATATTAAACAGTTACAGTAGGCCGTGCCCGGTCTAGACCAGGGCGATTCATGCATGGGAAAGCCCGAAAGCCCCATCGTGCATGCCCCACCCACTAATCTAAGCTCACCCGCCACTAAATCCGAAAGAAAGCGTCGTCAGCCCGCAGTATTTTCGGAGACAACCACTCATTGAGCCACTCGCGGAGCCACTCATGGAGCCACTCCTGAGTCAATCAACTTTTTCTTGGCAAGGCTGACGAAGAGTGCAGTGGTTATGTCCCTGCTCCGCTTGGTTCCTGGCGGGGGGCTTGCCTCCTATCTTCCCCTTGATCCTATCCCATGGCACCGTCTTAAGATGCCGAAGTGAAGGCCTTGAAGACTGTTCTGCATTCGCGATGAGTCGGGCCAGACGCCAATTGCTGGGTTGCTTCCTGGCGGCCCTTGTGCTACTTCTGCTATACAGGCGCACTCGATCTGGGTCAGATGTCAACCTCCCTTCACCGATCGTAACTCCAGAGTCCCCTGAGAATCCTGATATTCCTGAGAATCCCGACAATCACCCGCAAGATGAAACAAACGCCCAATTTGCATGGCGAAATCTGCCATTGCGCTTTCCTCCTGCTGTCATGGAGGTGTTACCAAGACGGTCCCGAGACCTTCCCAAACTCCAATCTGGGTCTCTACGCGTTTCTCACATGAAACTGTGGTACCAACAGGATAGAAAGTCAGCAGTACGTGAAGTATTTGAGCGGTGCTGGGATTCTTACAAGAAATTGGCATGGGAGACGGACGAACTCGCGCCCGTGAGTGGACTACCACGAAATGGACTTGGGGGCTGGGGCACAACATTGGTGGATAATCTAGATACGCTATGGATTATGGGAATGCGCGATGAGTTCAACAGGGCTGTAGAGGCCGTAACTCAAATCCGATATCAAGATACCTTGTCGCCGGATGTCAACACCGCCGAGATCAACACTCGCCATCTTGGAGGTCTTTTGGCAGCGTACGATCTGAGCGGCGATCGACGACTCCTGGATAAGGCCATCGATGTTGGTGACATGCTCTTTGCTGCCTTCGATACACCGAATCGCATGCCCATCACACACTGGGATTTGCACAGAGCTGCGCGCCAAGAGGAACAACTGGCGGAAGAAGTGGCATCTGCGTCTGAGCTCGGCTCCTTCATTTTGGAATTCACGAGATTGTCTCAAATAACTGGTGACCACAAGTATTTCAATGCGGCGCAGCAGGTCATGTTTAGACTGGAACGACTGCAGGATTTGTCAAAACTGTTCGGAATGTGGCCCGTGGCTCTCAACGCTCGAGCAGAATTGACAGACGGTGACCTCTTTACCATGGGACCTGAAACCGACTCTCTTTACAAGACTCTGCCAAAGGCATATGCTATGCTAGGGGGCCATTATTCCATGTACCGGACCATGTATGAGAAAGCCACTCGCACTGCGGCAAGTCACAGTCTCTTCCGGCCGATGAATGTAGAGGGAAAAGATATCCTCGTCCCTGGATCTGTGCGAGTTACCATGACCCAGAACGGCAAGCCACGCACGCACCTGGAATCCCAGGTTCACCACCGCGCCTGCTTTGCGGGCGGCATGTTCGCGATGGGCGGTGCGCTCTTCAACATCCCCATCCACCGAAAGATCGCAAACAAGCTTGTCGACGGCTGCATCTGGGCATCCCAGGCCATGCCGATGGAGATCATGCCGGAAGTATACGAAGTTGTCCCGTGCGCATCGCAAACCAGTTGTCCATGGAATGAGTGGCACTGGAAGCAGGAAGTGTGGAAGAAAGCAAACAGTATAGACCCGAATCCGTCTCTGGATGTCGATGTTTTCATCAGGGATCACCGGATCCCTAGGGGCTTCATCGCTATCCCTGACACTCGGTATAACCTGCGACCGGAAATCATCGAAAGCATTTTCATCTTGTACCGTGTGACTGGACGCGAAGATCTTCTTGACACGGCATGGGAGATGTTTGAGAATATTCAGAATGCCACTCAGGTTGACAATGGTAATGCGGGTATCATTGATGTCACGAACGACCAAGGCGAAACAGATCACAGTGATTCGATGGAGAGTTATTGGATGGCGCAGACTCTGAAATACTTTTATCTTATGTTCAGTGCTCCCGACGTTTTGAGTCTGGATCACTATGTCTTCAACTCTGCTGGACACCCGCTCAAGCTTCCGCAGCTCGCGGAGATGGAAAAGGCGTTTGAGTTCAGTTAACACCTTCCTCGCCATTTTCTCTGTCTTGTCTGTGAACAAACGCCGGAACGAACCCCGGAAACCGGCAACGATAAGGTGGTTGACGGATGTAATAATAATGATTGTACTTAGCGTGGGCGTTTTGGACCAGTGTATACAATATCTGGGCAAATTCCTTTTGATTGCTATTCTCTATCCCCTAGTCAATCAAGACTCGTGCATTGACTCTGCGTGGTAGTCCTCCTACCGGACCTAATTGCGAAAATTTCCCTCGTCACCTTGCAGATAACCGCCAAACATTAGTCCCATAGGTAATCCAATGCACAACTACTGCTCCGATAACAAATCTGGTTACTCTTAGAACCATCCAAGTGCCTCGCAAATTGAGAGGTGCGACTTCAGAAATGTACAAAGGAGCGCCCATAGCCAAGGTGCCAACACCGATAGCCCGATGAAGCGGCCGGTCATGTACCTAAGGTAATTCTTTACAATCAAGAATTATCTGCTTTCAGTTCATAAGTCGCCCTTTAACAAAGCCAAGAGAGTACCTTGGGAGCATAATTCTTGGCAAGAGTTTTCTTCCGCTATAAGTGCGCGAAGGCCCCTGGTGCCAAGAACTAAACTCAGCGGAGTCCTTCTGCCAAGAAGCTTGGAAACGAGGACCTTGAGAGAAGAAGCCTTGTAGAAGTAGAACTCTGCGAGTCAAAACTTCTCATTTGGAGCTGAATTCTGTGCTTGGCAAGGGTCGGGAGGGTCTTATCTACTTGGCAGTACGGACCTTGTAGGAAAAGCTCCGAGTAGGAATCAAATTATCTGGTAGCCAGAAATTATCTGCCTAGCTGCCAGATTTTATAAAAGCACCCAGTCAGCTAATCTCGTTAGAATTACTCTCAGCGTCTCCATCTCAGACATTCTTGTTTGGCTGCACGTTTTCCTCTTTTTATGTGTCGATTTTTGTCTCTGCGGTGACTCTATTCGATGCGACATGTATTATTTAAGACCTCTTCTTATATCTCTGAGTGCTGCCACAGCCCTGGCGGTGACCTCAACTTCCACTGCTGAAATAACATCCATCACGGGTTGCCATACCCATAGAACGGATATCTATTGCATTGACGGAAATGGTCTGGAAGTCTCGGTTTCAGCGACAGCCACACCAACGAGCGGGGTCCCAGCCAAATATACCGGATGTCACTCCCATGGAAGCGAGACGTGAGTTTTGAGTCACAGTGCATGGTTGGCAGCTTTAAATACTAATTTCTCTGCAGATACTGCATGGATACAGATGGCAACGAGGCTTTGATCGTGGAAGAGGAAGCAGATCATACTGATACTGAACATGAAGAGAGTGAGCATAGTCATAGCCACGAGGAGTCCGAGGGAGAAGCAAAGACAAACTGCCATTTCCATGCCGGTGTTGAGTGAGTACATAGAGTCCGAATCCCCTCCGTGATTGCTGACTTAATATCAGGCACTGCGTGGGCGAAGGCGAGTCGGAAGAAAGCAGCCACGAATCATGCGGCATCCAGACTAGAGGCTACAACGTGCCTCTTCGAATCGGAACACTCTTCGTGGTCCTCGTAACCGGTGCAATTGGCGTCTTTGCTCCGATTGTGTTGTTGAAGCTTCCATTTGCAGCTGTCAATGCTGTTTTCTCGACCGTAATCAAACAATTCGGAACTGGTATTATCCTCGCGACTGCTTTTGTCCACGTATGTTGGAAAGAGTTTACCCTTCTGTTATTCAAAACTGACATGTATCAGTTATACACGCATGCAAACCTTATGTTCACCAACGAATGTATGGGCGAGCTCGATTACGAAGCCACTACTTCCGCCATCGTCATGGCCGGCATATTTCTTGCCTTTTTATTCGAGTATATCGGTCACCGCGTTATTGCTGCTCGTGAGAGTAAAGAATGCACAAAAGAGACCCATGAAACTCCTCACAAGGACGCACCTCCTCCGCAAGCCACACTGGCCCATCTCGGGCACTCGCACGGTGCACCACACGATCCCACAAAGCCCGACACCAAGTTTTCTGTACTTGTCATGGAAGCCGGTGTTATATTCCACAGCATTCTCATCGGCCTAACTCTGGTAGTCGCCGGTGACTCTTTCTACAAAACGCTCTTGGTGGTGATCGTCTTCCATCAGTTCTTCGAGGGACTGGCTCTAGGTGCTCGCATCGCGACGCTTCCCGGGGCCATCTTGCCATCCAAAGCGATTATGGCAGGAATATTTGCTTTGATCACACCCATAGGCATGGCGATTGGACTGGGAGTGCTGCACACATTCAATGGGAATGAGAAAAGTACTTTAGTGGCTCTGGGAACTTTGGACGCGCTATCTGCGGGTATCCTTGTATGGGTTGGCGTTGTCGACATGTGGGCACGAGACTGGGTGATTGAGGGAGGCGAGATGTTGAATGCTAATCTAACAAAAGTGTTGACTGGAGGACTGTCTCTGGTGACAGGGCTCGTTTTGATGGGGCTACTTGGTAAATGGGCGTGAGCTGCGCCGATCCTCGATACTATACGATTGGAGCGAATATCCCACTGTTGAAGACGCGCCCACCCCCCGGCCTACTGCTAGGTATTGGTACAAGGTACCCCGGAATTATCATAACAGAGAGACCACATTAAATATTCGCGATGTTCGCGATGTCCGGCCAGATTATCACTGCGGATTGGCAACTCCGAAGATGCCCTCCCCAAGATGCTAGGAGTGCCGTAAAGCGCCCCCATTTGTTCATTTCCACTATGACAATATCAATGCACAAAAAGATGCCAATGAATATTTGAGCCTGTTATTCTATTCCAATAGAATTTTATCATCCATTCTTGTGACGTAAGTCATTTCAACATATGAAAACAATTCGCCGATTTTCAGAAGATCTTGGCTCAAGAGAATTAAATTGGAAGGATTCTGCTTCAAGGCCAGGAAACAGGGAAGGGAGGAGATGCTGGAAGTCATGTATTGGCGACTCTTCATGATCAGTTTCATGTGATTGATCGTCGTTCAATCCCTCGGCCTCATCATTAGAATTATCTCCCTCCTGTATCGCGGCATGGATTTCCCAAGAAACGCATGTCAAACAAGCCTTAGTTGAGAGAATCTTGAATTTGTATCCCTTCTGCACCGCAATGCTGGCAGCGGCGAGTCGCGCCATCGTATTACCCCGGGAACGCACAATGCAATGGGACAAAGGGCGATCCAGAAGGTCAAACCAATTATCTGCCGAGGTCAAGAATCCCAGATCATCGAGACTAATGCCAGGTGGGTAATTCTGATCATGATCACACAAATGAGCCCTGGAATGAACCTTTTGCCAGTTTGACTGGGCTTTTATTATATCTAGATCCGCCATCCATTCCCCACTGTCGATTAGCGATATCGCAGTCTCAACAAAAATGCAGTCGTGATCGCGCGCCCCACGATGGCCGACATCCAATGCTAGCTCATATCCAGTAAGTGAAAGATGTAACGATGAAGCTGAAAAGCTATCAAGCAATCGGCCATCAAATGGTTGATGATCGATGGCTTTCCATGAGGAATAATCAATTTTCTTAATTTTGGGATCTGACGGTGGAATCAAGATAGCAAAGCCAGGTTTTCCAATATTTCCCGTGATGCGACAAACATTTTCGTGTGTATTCGCAGCCTCTTCCAGTGGGTCGCGGAGTAACAGGGATGCAACGAATATCGAATTATCGCAACAGATCGCCAAGGCATCTTTGAATGAGTCCGGATCAATATCCAGATAGCCGGTTTCAAACAAAGCAATGCAACTAAATGTTCTTCCAAGAGACATATTGCCCTGTATGCGGGTGGTCGCGCTCCACCATTGAGAACGCATAGAATGGTCGGTAAGTCGGAGATCCACCCGGGCACCGGGCAAGTAAGAATATATTTCGTGAGCCTTGGAGAAAGCTCTCAAGGAGTCGAAGTAGTTCTGGTATCGTGGAATTTGAGTTGTGGATTGTAACTTCCGTGCCACGACCCTAAAGTCCACCGATCCGCTCCTGAACCAGGCCCGAAGATCACTTAGATGCAAAACATTCCTTTCAAAATCCAATAACCGTGTTTCTTCAACAAACCCTTTTAATATCGGGACTGATGTCGGAACATAAATGCCGAGAGACTCCATTCCACACAGAAACTGGAATTCCTCGGGGGCCGCATCTGGCTCCGGAGAAATAAATATAGTATCAAGTGTGCGACTTTCGTAATATTCTCCATGGTCATCCTCATAATCCTGATCAATGTTGTATCTAGTGCGAAGAATTAGCGACAACTACATTAAATACTGGAAGCAAGGCACGAAATATTGCAAAAGCTCACCCTCGACCATCATCTCTGTCGAGTTCATCGTCAGAAAGCCATTCAGTATAGATTCCATGAGCGTTAGTCTGTAGCACGCCTTCTCTGGATCTCTTTTTTGGCCTCGCATTTTGTGCTATTAATTTGCTATATCGCGCTTTCTGGTACTTTGCTGCCCAGTCTCTGACGACAGCACACTGCAAGATGTTCTTTGGAAAACGAGCAGCTGCCCAGTTGTGAAGGAATTCTTTTGCTCGCTGGCGATCGATGGCTGCTAACAACACATTTTCAAGGTTAGCTAGGCCGAAAACTGGTGGAGGCCTTGCGTTCTGATCCGAAATAAAACCAGCGCACCGCCTCTGACCGAAACGGACAAGACGGTGTAGCTCGTCCTTCTCCGGGTTCTTGGCATTCTGCAGGAGCTTTGTTGTTTCGAATAGAATTCCTAGCCACCCCAGGTCTCCGCACGAGGCACCTGGTGGTAATGATCGACCAAGAATGTTTATTATCTCACACGGGAGTTCAATATTTGGATCTAGGAAGTTCCAGCTACTCAACACACTACCAAGAACAACCGCTTGGAATTGATTGAAGGTAATTTGGGATTCGCGGAGGCCCGTTCGGCAAGTCGCAATGACCGGGTCACCGTAGAATCGCAAATGAGCCAGTGGGAGAGACCAAAATATTCCCTCGTCGAGTTGTTCGGGCCGATTTTTCAAACCAATCGTGACGATTCCACCAGAGCTAATCAACGGATCGCCTTGTTTGATGTGATGCTGCTTGCCATCCAGTACGGATAGATCAGGGTACAGGTGCCACGACGAGAGGCCCAAAAGGACCTCTCCACTCTGGATTCGCTGAGCCTGCCCAAGAATGAGATTATCCAGTGCACACATGGCCACCTTCCATGCCTCAATTATGGCGTCGTACAGCTTAGGCTTGGTGCTAACAGGAATCGAGATGTTGTCTAATACAAGCTTTAGCTGTGTTTGCTGCAATCTCTTTGCCTCATCGGCAGCTTGTAACCAGGAACTAAATAGCCATATCAGCACCCTATACATAAGACCGGCCTTCCAGTCACTAATTACATGATACTAGACGCACCGCTGAAAGGAGTAGACATTATCTACTTACCGCGCGCTAGCGTCCCAACTGGCTAACTGATCTCTCGTGACGTCGATTCGAGACGCGGTTGCGTCAGAAATTTGAAACGAAGAACCGTGAGAGTGAGTCTTTTGATAAAGGAGCTCTTTCCGTGTCTCCACAAGCTCACTCCATATTGACACAGCTTCTGACCGTGTCCAAATGCGCGCTAAGAGACACGCAAGAAGATGAATGGTAACTGCACCCTCGCCTGATGTTGCAGTAGCCCAGATTGTTGCACCATCGGCACCGACGTAATCCGCAAATACGCCGGTGGACTGGCTAGCTTGTGGATTGATAGTAGGCATCTTTGCAATCTCTGAGCTACGCTTCCCATATGCACGGATTAAGTGCGGAACTTGAGGAATCTCCGACTCAAAAAGTGCACTGAGTTTCCGAGCCGTAACATGCAACGGACCATCCTCAGCGGTTCGCTTGCGCTTTGTCGACAAACAATCCCCAAGGCCTCGATATTCTGTAGGGGCTTCCCACTTCATGAGCGTGAAATCGAAGTTCAGATTAGCCAACGCGAGAGTGTTCTCCTGCGACGCACTCATCAGAGCGGCCGTCAATTTTCCGAATGTTGCCATATTAAACCACTGATATTGAGTTTAAGTTCGTCGTTGGGAAGGAAACGGATAGGAGCACTGGGCCTATGTGGGGATTCTGAGGAAAGCCTGGTTTGTCTAGGAAGAAGAAATGAGGGGCACTGTAGTGAGCGCGTGTCAGCAGTTTCGAGAAAAATACAGGAATCGAAAGTCGTATTATATCAATGTCTATTCTTGGAAGCGGTCCGAGGACAAGGAATTGGTTTAATGATCCAATCAAGATTCATGAATTTTGGCTTTATTTTCCCCTGCAATCAAGTTGTAAGAGTGTTGAGGTGTCAGGGATTTCGAAAACTACTGTACAGCAATAATTTGGCAACTAAGCGCGCTCGGGGCAATGGAGTTACCAGGAATTACTCGTGAATTTTATAGCCACTTGAATCCCCCTTCTCGTTTCACTTTTCATTCCGCAATACCCGCATCTGCGTGCCTTCTAGTCTTCATACTCCCACTTCTCTATTTTCGTGATTCGAAGCAATCATCTAGAATTTATCATCCACCATGGACACGAAAGACCCTTCCGACCCCGCGCCGGTAGCGGCTCAACATAAAGGTATAATGAAGCAGAGCCATCTAACAACGGGACTGGACGAGCTCTTTCAGACTGGCAATTTCTTTTTCCATTGGACACACCATACCTCAGGAAACCCCACAAGTGAATCTCCACACGGCATCGCGAGACTCGGGGCCCGACCAACGGAAAGTCGCCGAGTAAAGAATCAGCCTGGACGGACACGTCACTTAAAACCTCCCGTTCAGGTAATTTTACTCCCTCTACTCGAATATGTGATAAGATGATCTCACCGCGCTGAGAGGTCTGACCCACAGTACTCGGGTTCATTCATCTGTCACGGAATCATATCAGGCCGGTCCGTCACTTTTGTTCGATCAAAGTGAATTCTCTTATCCAGCAGACTTTAGCAATAATGTCTTCCGTCCGGTCTCAGCGTACGAAGCATTGCATAGTCCTCTCATCCGCCAAAAGCAACTTCGACACATACGCCAATTATCCCGTCTATCTCTGCGCTCAAACGCTCGGTGTGCTTTTCGAACGAAAGTCACGGCATTCTTGTATTCGTGTCAGTCAATTCCCGAAAGTGATGGGAATTCATATGGCGAGTGGAAGACCTCAAAAACCTTTGGGGCGATTATGATAACGGTGATGAGTGTAATGTGAATATGTATTGAATAACACACGGAGAACCTTGGACGGAACCAGCGGAAGATATATATCGTAACTCAAGTTCTCACTACCCATGCAAATAGACCACTTAGATCCAGCACCCCAAACTCTTCGGCTCGTAGTCTGTGGATCTGTTCATAATACACAAAACCTACTGGAGGTTGGTGCCCTTCTAAAGGATTTAATAGCATCATTGTTTTTGGATGAACTTCTTGCGGGCAATGTCCTCGGCTCGAGTCCATTATCCCCTTTAAACGGCCCCGAGTCCGAGCAGCTGGCTTGACGTATAATAATTCAAGGCTTTCAGCAATAATATCGAGGATATGCGTATAATTTCCAACTACTAAAAACTAAATTTTCAAAGTAACAAATTCAGGGATTCATCATGCCATCCATCCCGCCGCACTCAGCTCCCTCGGAGCCCCAGACTAAGATCGCCTTGGAGTCTAATACCATCGCTAGTAAATAACAACGAACCCGCATTCGCTAAAATAGGATACAAAGTCCAAATCCCGACCCTACAGTCACCGGTGCAACCGAAGCATCGGACTAGTAATTGCAGAATACTGCCTTGTCAATAGCGCATTAAAGTTTACTCCGTCGGCAGAGGCAACAACATAAAGGTTGATCTACAAGCCATTACTAAGCGCTTTCCTACCAAAATCCTCGTGCTCAAAGCTGATTTAACGCAGGAGGCCAACATGTCGGACGCGGTAGACCGGATTGTGGTCCACTGAAGGCTTGGGCGCCGCATGGAATGGTCGTGAATGCGGGACGAACAAACCATAAGGCATCGTTGGATTTCACGACCGAAGAAAACGAAGCGTTTTTCAATGTAAACGTGGGTAACTGCGACTCTGTGACTTGCCGGTGCTTGTCGGTGTTGACAGAAATGAATCAGTTTTGTGGAGCATTCTACATGGCTGTGCCACCGAACATTCATCAAGCTTGGTATCAAGGGGGCGATCATGTTCACGGTCTTCATGGCCTCGTAGCGCCAGAATAAAGATTGTGTTTCGTTTCCTGATTGGACCCCTTCGATCCCAATCGTATCGGCTGACTTCTTCCAGCGCGTGCCATCCACCCCTTCCGACGCGTCGAAGCCCGGTATTCAACACTTGCCCCATACTCTCGCCACGGAGTGGTCGCAATATGGAATTCGTGTCAACAGCGTCTCACCTGGGCTTGTGAACACTGCCATGAGTTATTGCGTGCCACAGCAGTCTGATTGGGAATACTGCTTTCCGTGTGTATGCGGAGGTTTATTTTTAGCTTGTAATTATCAACGCTAGAAGTCTAAAAGTATGACGGCATTGTCCACTATGCGCAGATGAATCTCGGTAATTGGGCTCTTGCAGGGTAACGAACACGTTCAAATGCTCGCAGAAATCATATTATTTGTACATCAATCACGTTTGGTTTCTCCGGTCGGGGTGAGATGAGGTTTTCCTAGTTCAGGGTTTGAAGCCTGTGGGGGATGTGGGCCCACAAATGCCTTCCCAACGGCAAGCCCGATATCGATTCCAAAGTGTGTCCGACTGCACGCCCCATTAACCTAATGCTTTAGGTGATGAAAAGGGTAAATTAGACTGCGACTATCAAAATTAAAATTCAGAATCCAGTATTTGGTAAAATCGGGTGCGTAGAGGGTTCAGGTCTTGTGTCAGTTTTGATGCGGCTGTCCTCAGGTTCCAGGATATATAGATCGCCCAAACATATGTTAGAGCTCTGGTAGAACATCAACTTCGAGGTGATTGGCACCATATGTACAAGGTTACTGGCATATAGATATGAGAAACTAACCACGAAATAGTTTTGAAATTCATACGTAGTCAGTCAATACCTTGGTACCTATAGAACCAAGGCTCGAGATGATCTCCGGGGCTGCGGCTACAGTTTTTTGTACGGTGTTTTTCAACTACACCCATGATACTCTGAGGAAACAAAATCCCAAAAAAAGACAGAAAATTATTCAGCTTTTAGTCTACAATGTAGTGATTTTAATTCACCTTCTGATTTTCGCCGTCCGTGTCAACCTAGATGGCGGCAATCATCGGTTTTGCATTCGAAAAGATAAATAGGTCATAAGCCGTGCCGTATAACGTGGCACACCATATTTCCATGCGAAAAACAGGATCCTACGCAGGGGCAGCTAATCGGCGTCATTACTCTCAGAGTCGCTCTTCGATGTCTTAGATCGTGTCAGGGGAGCAGGCGAGAGATTCTCCGCCAAGACCTCGCCCCCTGGGTGAAGGGAAATTGGGCCCGACCGGCGTAATTATTGGCAGAGATAACCCCTGTAGGTAGTACCTGAGCGAGGGTGGGATGCTGTCAATAATGGGAGAGTTTGCCTGACACGAATATGGAATATGGGATGAGGGAGAGGAAGGAGATCGACTGCGAGGCATGCGAGGTATGCAGCCTACCGCCAATAAGGTTGCTCGATGTCCTGCAGGGGTATTTAATTCTTGATAGACAGGGGAGAGCCAAGGAATGTTGGTCGAAGGTGGCACGAGATGCGCAAGCTAGGGATGAAATCAAAATGGTCAAACAACAACCTTGCATCCCAGCAAAACAGCATTTCAGTTCACAACAGGGGCTGCTCCCCTTGGCGTAGGGTAGCGCGTATTCATTCTACAAAATACGGATCAGCCAGGCCCGTGGAGTCTGCGCAAAAAAAAAAAAAAAGGAAGGGCGCGAGCTTCTCTCTAGTCTTCCACAAGAGCTCCCAGCCCGCACATACAAACACCCCAAATCCGGCCATATCTGGTACTCTTCGTTCGTTTCTGTTGGTTTCGTCATCGGACGAGCGATGAGACTACCGCGATCCGCTTGGGCTTGGAGCGCATTCCAGCTTGACACGGCATTGTTTATGTACGGGGGTGTCCCAACTGTCGCCATTCCCGCTGAGTCCCTTCACCAACAACGACCCCCAAAGCGAAAGAGCGAACCGACCGAGAAAACCAAGTCATCGAAGCGTCAAACCCTGAGAAGGTCGCTGTCCTCCACTTCAGAATTGAAGACGTTACTAGCCGAGGCCCTTCAGCAACAACGGCCCCCAAAGACAAGCGAACCGACTGAAGAAACCAAACAGTCGAAACGTCAAAGCCTGAGAAGGTCGCTATCCTCCACCACTGAACTGAAGAGGTCACTATCCCGGCTCCTCTAATTTGGAGCAACCATTCCACCCCAACGGGCACCTGCATAATGAGTCTGCATGGGCTCGGGGTGATTGGGGCCCAGGTGGCCGCGTCCGTCAAGAGCAACGATGAGAAGCCCTCAACACCAAGGATTCGCTCGTCTTCGTGTTCTATCCAGTCCAGTCCTTCCCTCCACAATGAGGCTCGCTCGCAGGATTTTGACCCGCACGTCGGGGCCAAGCCATACTCGCCTTTCTATCGCCATGGATCTCCCACGCTGTCCTACGAGCAGATCACCTTTGAACCAAAGTCTACCGCCCCTCGCACCCGCACTCATCTGAGAGACATTGAAAATGCGGGCCCTTACTTAGCCCTACGGAATGACAGTCCGAGACGATCAAAGCTGTGGGAGAAGCAAGAGAGCCCGCCTCGCTCATGCATGCGGTCCTTGACCACTCGCCAGAGAATGGCCTTGAAGGCTATCGTGGCTGTGGTGACGGTGGGAAGCATGATCGCCATCGCTTTGGGCATCACGGCTGCAGTGGGAGGGGCCGCTTGGAGAAGCAGTGCCGAGCAGACGGCTATGGGAGGGTGATTTGTGAGTTTCTGCGAGCAATTAAAAGATGAACAGGATCTGACGCTGGACAGATCCTTGTCGCCTTGCTATTGGGAACGTGGGGACCATGCGGTCGGCCATTCGTTTGAAACTGGAGACCTTGAGATGTCTCTGGTAGACTTTTCCTTGGAGAGAATATGGTATACGCCATTGTAATATGGAGTTTCGTGGGTAAAGACTTGAACGTGGTGTATATTGGACGAGTCCTGCCCGCCTCGATCCTATTGGAGAGGACGACGGGGACACGGCCACACCGCATTGTACAGTTATCTATGATCGCATCTGCTGTATTTCGAATACGATTCACAGACACGAATATGTCGTAGATCCACTCGAGAACCGCAGAGGTAAATAGGGGAGTAGAGAACGCTAGCGTAGACGAGGAAAACCGGTGGAGCTGGAACAAATACGGGCCGACCACGTGACCCACACCACCTACAAAAGGCGCCAAATTTTTCTCAGCCCGGGCTTCTTTTCTTCTTCATCAAAAAGTAACGGAACCTGCCACGACCATCGTCCTGTCTTCGGACGTCTACCACGGCGATGTGTTGCCTTCGCTTCCTCCGGGGAGCGATCGGTTCTGGAGATTAATATCTCCCCGATAGGAAGTTCGCCTCCCGTTGGGTCCTCTTCAGTGAGGGCGATGGGAGGGGAATGTCGAAGACGGGATACATTCTCTTCTTATATGACTCTAGTAGTCATTGTAGTCTTGGCCATGTGTCATGAGCCTTTTGTAGCCTGGGATTCGTGCCATTACAGATTGTACAATGGTGCCGTTCCTGCATGTCGTGTCGCCGGTGAAATCCATCTCCCATAAACACAAGCCATGGGCTTACTCTTGGGCAGTGCAAGACTCCAGTGGTCGGATGGTCGTTCATGATGTTGATCGCACCTGACATCACTCGGAATTTATGCGCAGCGTGGCACCCAGGTGCCGTTTCAGTGGTATCCAGTCTCTGAGGAGAGTGCGTTGCGCCATTGTTGAACCCCTGCAAAGCCAAGCTCATCAGTTAGACTTAGACGCCCCTGCCGTCATGATGAAACTGGCCGGGGCCTGTGGCACCGGAAAGACGATCATGTCCAAAGCAAAGGGAAGTTCTGGTTGGCCAATGTGCGCCTCCCTCGTGAATACCGATCCCCTGTGTTCGCTTTCCATAACCCGTGGAATGTCGTAACACTACGGTCTACACGAACATGGCTCGGCGTTTGTTTACTGTTATCCTAATAGAGGGGCCTGCAACGGGATTTGGGTGTTGTTTTCCATTCTCGCTGACATTCTGATCGGGATCATGCTCCTTAGTCTGCCCGTGAGGCCTGGTTTCTGGCCATGATCTCGCATTCCATCGTGCCGACTATGATGGTCATCATGAATGCAACGCGAGTACTAAAGCTCTAGTAACCTCCGTGTCCAAAATGAAAGTTTTCCGCTTTGCTTCTGGGAGTATCATCTTCTAAACGCGCCATTCGTTTGCTACTCCCGTAGCTTTGTTTGCAGTCACTCATTTGATCTAACTCCCGGCGACCTACATTTCCCTCTACATTAATATTTGCAAACATCCTCAGAATGAAGGGCTTCGTTGGTGGGATTCCCATCGCCCTGCTGGCAGTTGCTGCCCAGGCCATGGACCACATGGTAAGTTCTGCTGCTCTACGAGTAGAATGCAGAGCTAACATTAAGACAGGATAATGACTACCCGGGCACCGGTGTCGGTGGTACTGCCATGGGTGGTCCGTCCGGTGCGGATATGGACGGTGGCTTCAACTCTCTCCCCGTCGATGTCCACACTCACACCAATGTCAACGAGTTCAGCAAGGACGACCACTCTATCACAGTGAAGAACAAGGATGTCTACCCGCCCCCGCCAATGCCCATTCCCTACGGAGTTGCCATGGCCCCCGGCATGGGCCCCTTCGTCAAGGCTAAACCCGACACTAAACCCAAGCGCAGCTGGCCTCATGGCGGTACCGCGATGGGTGGGCCCTCTGGCAACGACGAGGGCCAGGTTTTCGACATGCCCATCGTCGGAAACTTCTACACCAACGTCGACGAGGAGAGCACGGATGACCACTCGATCAAGCTGAAGGACGAGAATGTCTACCCTCCCGCTCAACCCCCGATTCACCCCCCGATCTCACACTCTCCCGCTCACCCGCCGGTTTCACACCCTCCTCCGGAGTTCGTCGACTCCCCTGGCCCTCCTTTCGGCAGACCTGGTTTCCGCGAGGCCAAGCAGAGTGCTCCCGAGGACTACCACATCCCTGCCGCAGCTTTCGAGAAGCGCTGGGCTCCTGAAGAAGGCGGGACTGCCATAGGTGGCCCTGGTGGTGGCGAAGGTCCTTTTGATGGGCCTGCTGGCGGTGATGGACCTTTCGATGGACCTGTTGGCGGCGATGGACCTTTTGATGGACCTGCTGGCTTCCCTTACCCTATTCGGGCCGGTGGCACAGCTATCGGGGGTCCTTCTGGCGAGGATGACGGCATCAGCTTTGACAACGGTATCCACGCTAACTTCCACACCAACGTGAACGAGAACTACCAGGATGACCACTCCATCGACCTCAAGCACACCGATATCTACCCCCTCCTCCCCCGGTGGAGTTCGGCCGACCTGGCTTCGGTGGTCCCTTCAAGCGTGGCTGGGAGCCCGAACAGGGTGGTACTGCCATGGGTGGACCTTCTGGAAACGATGGGGGCCAAGAGTTCAACATGCCTATCATCGTCAACACCCACACTGATGTCGACGAGAGCTACAAGGATGACCACTCCATTGACATCAAGAACAAGGACGTGTATCCCCCTCCCCCTGCCTTCCCCGAGTTCGGTGGCCCAGGTCCGGTGATCCCCGAGGGTCCCTTCCGTCGTGCCTACTCTCCTAGCTCCGAGAAGCGCACAGCTGGCGACGGCGTTGGTGGTGGCACAGCTGAAGGTGGTCCTTCCGGCGACGACGATGGTATCAACTTCGGTACCCCCGACGATGTTGATGTCGACTCCAATGTGAACGAGCACCACGTCGACAACCACGCCATCAAGGCTGATACTACCGACGTTCACCTGCCGGAGATGCCCTGGATGCCGCACCACGCTCCTCATCCTGAACCCGAGGCTCCCGCTCCTGACCTCGAACCCGAGGCTCCCGCTCACGCTCCTCACCCCGAACCCGAGGTTGTCCCGGCCCCTGAGCACGAGGAGGCCCCGGCCTGCGCTCCCGAGATTCACAACATTGTTCAAACCGTCACGAAGACTGCCACCCAGGTAGTCCGTGAGACTCACACGGTGCACGATGTCAACACCGTCACCATGGCCGGTGCGGACCATGTTGTTCAGGACACTCATACCGTCTACGTGACCCCCAGTGAGCACGTTGTGCAGGTCACCGACACCGTGACTGCCCCCGCTGCTCACGTCGTCGAGGCTACTGAGACCGTCTACGTTTCTCCCAGCCACGTCGTCGAGACCGTCGCCATGCCCACGTCGCATGCCGAGTCGATGCCGGCTGTTCCGTATTCTTCCCAAATAGCGCAGCCGGGCTACAGCAACAGCGTTCAGGCCCCCGCGAGCTCCGCCTACTCTATGATCCCCGTCCAGGTTCCTGCGGCCACCCCCTCGTCCTCCATGGCCACAATGATCATGCCCAGCGATGTCGATGCCATGCACAGCTTCACCCCTTCAGCCTCGGCTACTCCTTCCCAAGGCGTCATGTTCACTGGTGACGCTGCTCGTCTATCTGGTGGCATTGTTTCCGCTGCTGCTGCCTTGATGGGTGTTCTCGCATTCATTCTGTAGAGCATTGGAATGGTGCGATATTAGAGTCTGAAGTACTCTTGTCGATCGTTTTATGTCTCAATCTTACTTTCCTATTTTTTCTCCTTTCGTATAACTATGGGTTTTCTTTGCGTTGATTGCCTCTTAATGTTGAATGTCGTTTTTCAATGAGGTGTCACCAGTATTTACTTGAAATATGATTTGATTTCCTTTCTTCAACCGTTTTCGCGTAGAGCAATAGTCATTAGGATGAAGTTTATAAACTATTGCCATATTGGTTCTCATTGGCTGGTACGTCTCCCGAAACGTCGACCCCGATGATGGGCATTCCCCACAGGAATTCTTAGGGTTGGCGGTGGCCCCGGTTTCGTGATGTCAATCAACCTTGGAGGAACAGCAAACATGATATTTAAAGAACCGGACTTACATTATCCTGATTCGTTTTTTGCCATCTTACTGATCATTTGCCCAGTCCCGTTCTTTATGAGGAAATCCAGTCCCCACTCAAGCTCCGCCAAACTCGCGTGATATCATCCCTTCATCATCCCATCCTGCCACGCCGTGACATCAGCACAAAACGTAGAACAAGTATTACATCGGCATCTGAAATGGATATAAAAGAAATATGAATCTGAGGACACTCTGAACATTAATCAAATAACACTTTTTGCCCTACAATTCTTGTTTTCCAAGATCGAACCTTCAGACAACCAGATCTACCATCTTACATTTCACATCAAAACCACACACAATGGTCCGACAAGATCCCCACCAAGGAGGCAGCCTCTCCGAAATGGCCGCCAAAGGCACAAATATGCCCAACGACGCCGGCAAAATGAACACCATCCCCTCAGTCCCGCGCCCCGACCAACGCGCCGAGCACTTCGGCTTCGACAACGACGGCCTCGCCGAGCCATCAACCGCCTTCGCTGCGGACAATGCCACCGACCTGCCTCGCTCGACCCGTGACGTCGGTCAGACCGGCGAGGTCATCACGGGAACCGGTAACACCATGAATGCGTCCGCCGAGTCCAAGCGTGCGTACATGGGATCAAATATTCCCGGTGGCGACGGTGATCCGAGGGATATCAAGCATCACAGCCATAACCGGAGTGCTTTTGATCGCTATGCGAAGGAGGATGAGGATGCGGGGGAGAAGATTGGAGAGCATCAGTCCCGCAATGCGTAATGAGGATTTGAGATGAAGTCATGCGTCATGATGAAAATAACGATAAATTAAATTAAATGGAAGATTTGGCAGTTATCATTGACATTTGTTTTGTTTTGTCGTATACCGTTTAGTCTCATGTAAAACCTCTAGATGGTGCAGGGGCAATGAACCCCTGGTAGACTTCTTCTAGAACATCTCGCTTCCTCTTGCGGTCGGCCATTTCAGCCTCTTCTTCCTCAGTTGGCTCTCCGTCCGGCTCTCGGGATACCCAGGTACGAATGGTCCCGTCACCGTGGGCGGAGAACATTTCTATTCCTTCCCCTGAAGCTCCATTGCCGCGCCAGACTAGATCGTTGATCCGTGCAGCACTGAGTGCACTCGATCGGCCCCGTGCTGATTGCGAACCCATGAGCCCTGGGACCCGGAGGCGCTTAATAAACGTTCCCTCCCGGAGTTCAAACATGAATATCTCGCCCCGGTCGTCTTGCTCGTTGAAGTTCGGCCATAGCAATGTCTCTTGCCCAGAACCCATACAACTTTTTGGGACCAGTAGAGGAGCCCGCTCCGCTAGGTGGGACGTAGCACTGTTGCGTACTCGGGGTCCGAAATGAACCAAGGTGTTTGCACCCGTCGCTGCATCCCAGACCCTGATGCGTGAATCCTGTCCCGTGGTCACTATGTGACTGCCACTCGACGTCCATCGCACTCCAGTTACGGCACCGTTATGTGCACGGGCATGACGGGAAAACGCTGGACGGCTTGTGTATGACTCTGGTGTAGATCCGGAGTTTGGATCCACGAGCCCGACTGGGTCATCCATGTCCAGTGTGGCTATAGCCGCGTTGTGTCCACCACGCCGTACATCGAAGATGATTACCCGGTTGTCGACTGAACCCGACGCGAGCAGATATGGTCGGTGTGGTGCCCAGGCGACTGAAAGCACAGCATCATTATGCCCTGGCAAGCCCTGTGTGGAGAGTCCTGATCGTAAATCCACGAGCCGAACCGATTGCTCGGATGTGGCGACTGCGACAAGTAGAGTTGACCCGGGCTGGGAAGAAAACGAGTGCGCATATGGTGTGCAATCGAGATTGAAGGTGTGGACCGGTGTAATTGCGGGAGATTGCAACGCAGAGAGCTTCAAGGTGCCATCGTGAGAAGTCGAGAATATGGTCGACGGGACAGGGTCAAACGGGTAGATCGAGAGAGATGTGATGGCGTGTGTATGCGCATCGGCATGTGAGGATTTGCGAACTGTCGCGCAGGATCGATGGACATGTTCGAGTTCTGAGCCTCTGCTTTCGAGGTCCCAGAGATGAATGGATGGGTCTGCGCCTCCGGAGATCATACTTCTCTTGTTAGACGATGATCATAGATCAGGTTAGAGGTTCCACATACTATCGACCTTCGAATTGATCGATTGCAAGGCACTTGACACCAGATTTGTGTGCAAAGACCTCCGCTATAGGATCGAGCTCCTGATCCAATGCTGTCGCGTCATTATGGGATCGGGTCGGTGCCGCCCTGCGGCTGGAGAAGCGAATCCCCGGCGCAGGCTCGAGATGGTGAACTAGCCGAGAGGTTTGGGCGACATGGAATGCATTCGGAGTGACAGACCCGAGGGCTCTGTTGAGCAGATAGGAATTCATTCATTCATCAGCTCTGCGTTCGTAGAGCAAAGAACGCGAAGAGGAGCAGTGTGACTTCATCGGATCAACGTTGTGCCGGCGCATTGGGGAATTTATTCCTCGACACTTCTCTCTCGACCACAGTTTCTCACACCCCTGGAAGATGACGTCGAGGAACTTCTTGGAAGGCAAGTTTCTAAAACCACCAGACGAGACCCCGAGGAAGCCAAAGGGAAAAGTTGAGCGGAAGCCAAAGCCGCAACGGAAGCAACCAAAGCAGCAACAGCAACAGCAACAGCAGCAGGGGCAAGAGCAGCATAAACAGGCGCAGCTGCCAGGGCCGCAAGCATACCGAAAGCCGACACTAGGGGAACTGTTGCAAAATCCGCCGCGCTTCCCATCCCCTCCGGTCAAAGGTTCTCCTAAGAAGGCCAAAGTCCAGTTCGTGCTGCCCGAAACCGAACCGAAGAAAAAACGAAGGCGCAGGGCCACCCTCTATGATGTTATTGCCCGTATGAGCCCCATTATATCTCCACTGGACCTAATCTAACAGATACAGGTCGCGTCGGCCCTCATGGGTTCCATAAAAACCAACCACGTGCCTCCAAGTACCGGGATACCGAATCTTCAGGGCAACGAACCTGCGCCCCAGAAGAGGTTCTCTTCAAAAGACCGGTTCACTGGAACAACAGGCTGAAGGGAGAACCGTACTTGAAGGCTGACAAGCTGTCCCCGGATAACCCCGCGAACCAGAAGATGAAATATCCCAAAAACAAATTCCCCGACAACGATCTTCTCACTGCCCTCCACGCCTATGCATCTGACAAATACATACACACGCCTGGTAAGGTACACCGTGCCTTTGTCAGCATGGACGAGTCAGCCCTGCTTGCATTCGGCATTTTAATGGAAGAGCTGAGCAAAGAGGCAATCGATGAGAAGGGAGACATCACCATGCTGCGGGCAGCAGTGCCAGAAGCCGAGGAGAACAAACGCATCGACGGTCTTGAATGGTGGTTCCGAGGCAAGAAACGACGCAGGACCGATAAGCTTGTTCGTGAGAACTACCGCGTTGTGGTTTACGGAGACAGGGTGCGGTTTATCCGAACACGGAAGAGGAAGCCAAAGACCAAACCCAATGATGAAGAGGGCATGGAAAAAGGCACGGAAGAGGGCACGGATACGGATGGTCAATCCATCAAAGCTGATGCCGACGCTTCTAAACCGCCCAAACGCCCCAGGTCTTCCACCAACCCCGATAAGACCAAACGTTCTAAGAAGAGGAAGACAAAGGAATAGACGTGTTGATGGGTTGGAATCTGATGGGATAGATTACCCATGGACGGAAATGATACCCCAACTTGATTATTGACCTGGCGCTGGAAGTTGACCATATACCCCAAGAGCACAGCTGCTCATGTTGCATTTAGCCTAGCCTTGCTTTCCTGTAAATACTATGAATACCAATACAAATCATAAAGCACCGATCAAATCTGATAAGAGGTGGACGAAACGTGGTTCGATAGCCTTGGGTAGCGCGAGCGTGAGCAAAGTGAGCAAAGTGAGACGACTGCAGAGTGAGACGCTGCCTTTTACGTCGTGGTCGACTATAAATGCTCAAACACTTCACCTCCACCTCTCCACAGTCCAATGTTTATTTCTCCCATGCTTTCCTGAATGGGTAAGGCTGATTGCTAAGCTTCTACAACCCGAGGTGAACCGCACCACGAACGCCTCAGTGGACCCGAGGGCGCCAAAGATCATGGTACGTGGCCCAATGCAGACAGTGAGGTTCTGAGTCACCGGAGAGTTTGAAGTGTGGTGAACGCGGGCGCGAGCCCAAGACGAGGCCACTGACGCGTCTTTCGACCAGGCGCCCAAATTGTCCAAAAGCGAGAAACAGAAGCTCATTCTGACCCACCTCCGCAGTACGGGTACCTGTCACACCCTGAAGGACCTGGAAAAGACGTTGTCGAGTGTGGCCTCTATTCCCGGCATCCAGGTCAAAGAATACATCCAGGCCCTACTGGACGAGGACAAACTACGAGTTGAGAAGATCGGCAGCGGCAACTGGTACTGGTGCTTCGAGAGTGATGAAAAACACGAACGCGAGCGACAATTGGCCCGGGTGAGGACGGAGGTGGAGAAGACCCGGAAATCGTGTTCCGATGCTGAGGCGGCTCTGGCCGCTGCATCCACGCGGCGCCAGGAGGAGGCCGACGACGCCGGGCGTGACGGCGAACGTGAGGCACTTGCAGAGAAGAAGGCCGAGGTTGAGGCCGAGGTGAACGGATTGCGTGCAGTCCAACAGCCCGACACCAGTAGAAGTGGGCGGCAGTTACAGCAGGAAATCACGGAGTTCCGACAGCAGGCGATGCAGTGGACGGATAACGTCTACATTCTGGAGGAGTACATGCGCCGATTAGCGAACGGGGACGGGGACATTGTCGCAGCGGTGCAGCGCGAATGCTACGGAGACGAATACGTGGATGGGGAGGGTCTGCGCGAGCTCTGAGACCGTATCCAAGAAAGCTTAGCATTATGGAACAATAACAGAATCGAAGAGTCATAGTCCTACAGCCCCGGTCAGCAGATGAAACACGGAAAGTGATAGTCATGGTGGATGTCCACAAAGGGGCTTAGCTTAGCCCAAGAGAAGCTTGACTTGTCGCACGCGAATCGAAAGTCACACCTCCTTCTCCGCCCAAAAGTCGGGGCTCAAACTTGGGCTTATCAGACCGTCCTTCCCCCCCCTCCTCTCTCCCACGTCTTTTACGCCACTCTCACATTCCTCCCCGTCCGTCGTTTATCTCACCATTTCTCGCCCTTCCTTGGCCTCCAAGCCCCACCGAGATCTGCCCTTCTAGGCCTGCGCCCTGATCCACGCGAGTTCCTGGCGGGGGCCAACTCTGGGCATCTCCTCATCCCCGGTCCTCCCCCTGCGCTTCGGTGTGTCGCAGAGAAACAATGTGGTTCAGTGGCTATCGAGCATAATTCCTAACGCTCTCGCTGGACCCTCGGGGATTCCTCTCCGCTGTCTTCTCCGTGGTGTTTGGATTCGGACCGTGTCGACTCGTCTTGCTCTGATTCCCCCCGGACCAGGACGCGACCTGCCGCTCGATTGGACCTATTTGACGTAGGCCCTTCTGCCTGTTCGCCCTTGTCCGACCATCCCATCGCCCCCGCTACTACTGCCACTCCAGCCGCCTCTCATCTCGACCATTGCGGCCTCCGCTCCCCCTCCGCGATTTCCCCCCTTCCTTACGTCCACGCCGCCTTGTATAGATGCGGTAAACGGCGGCAGTGTGCCATGTCCTCTAGTCCTCCCTCCAAGCCTTCTCCCTCGCCGGTCAGTCGGAATCGCAACTCCTTCCTGTCCAAGTTTCGTTCCCCCCTGGGCCATCGAAATCGAAGCGTCACCGACTATTACATCGACCTCGACGATCCATGGCGATCTTACTTCCCCGGCGACGTGATCAAAGGCGCGGTTCTCGTGACCGTCGTCCGACCGGTGCGCATTACACACGTTGTGGTCTGTCTCCATGGTTATGTCAAGGTGTTCAAGAACGCGGTTCCCACTGGGGAAACTACTCCCGACCTGGGATTTCTTGGCCCGGGACGCGGCCGGCGAGGCGCGGAATATATGGGCAATGGACTAGCCACTTTGTTCGAGGATGAAGTCGTTCTTTGCGGCGATGGGCGCCTCAAGGAAGGCATCTACAAATTCCGCTTCGAGATGGGCCTTCCTCCCTACGCGCTCCCCAGCAGTATTAATGTGCGCTTCTCTCTCTCCCTACGTGTGCTACGGCCATCATTTTCTGACTTGTGACTATCTAGTTCGAACGAGGCACTATCTCTTATTCCCTAACCTCCACTCTCACCCGACCGACCACCATTAATCCTACCCTCACATGCCGACGACGAGTCAACCTTTTAGAAAACATCGATATCGCACCGTTCCCGCCCCCCAAAGCCCGTATCGTTACGCTCGAACCCGTATCGAAACGTTCCAGAACAAAAGCAAAAGCGAAATCAACAAGCTCCGATGCCACCGCAGCACCCGACACCTCCTCCATAGATACCCCAGTCAGCGGCGTTGCGGCCTCGGTGGATAGCCGTCCGCCGCTGAGTCCGTCTCCGAGCAACGTCAGCTCCTCGAGTCGACCCAGTGAAAGCAGCCAGAGCTTTCAGATCCATAGCGACCCCAGCTCTTCGACGAGTACCGGAGGACGCAACAGTGAATGTCGCAGTGCGACCCCTTCCATCTCGGACAAGACCATCACCACAAAGGCCGAGGTTCTGCGCGCAGGCGTGCTTCCGGGAGATACTCTACCTATCAAGGTCACAATCAACCATTCGAAACAAGTGCGCAGCGCGCAGGGAATTATCATCACGCTATATCGGCAGGGCCGCATTGATCTCCATCCCGCTATCCCAGTTGGTCCCACGGGTGCCGGAAAGGGTGTCGGAAAGAAACCAGTCTACGAGGACTGTTATCCACGCTCGCGGACTGGACTCGGAGGATTGACTTTGGGAACCAGTCGAACCAGCAGCACGTTCCGCAAAGATCTGTCGCAGACCTTTGCGCCGCTGATCGTGGACCCAATCAATATGACCGCCGTGGTCAAGACATCGATTCGAGTCCCCGAGGATGCATTCCCCACCATCACTCGTGTGCCTGGCGCCATGATCAATTTCCGTTACTACGTCGAAATCGTGGTTGATCTTCGGGGCAAAATCACGTCTCCAGATCGCTTTATTCCGCGCTTCAACATGGTCTCCGGCGGCAGCACATTCTCGCCAAGCGGACAGATTCTCAACCCGGCGGATGCGAACGGGAGTGCCATTACGGCCAATTGGGCTGGCAACATTCTCGATACAGATCAGGTTCGCCGGGAGAAGGGCGTCATTTCGGTAGCGTTTGAAGTCGTCGTGGGCACTCATGATTCACAACGGGGTCAAACAAACACCGAGCGCACACTATCTAATGGGACCGAGTCAACGGTGAATGAACCTCACCCGACACCCTCGATCATTGTGAATCCTGTGGATGGAGAGGAATGGCCCGAAGCGAGCCTGATGCCGAATGCACACGGCGAATATGGCGAATACGGCGAATACGGCGAATACGGCCCGCATGAGGAGTACGACTACGACTACGACTACGGGCTCCCCGATGAGCCCTGGTCCGAGTACCCCGAGGACTACACGCAGCCGTTCCCACCCGTCGGCCCTATGGCGGCACATCCCGAAGTGGAAGAGCCGGAGGATGAGAAGACTCGAGTACGACAACATGAAGAAGCTCTTCTACCCAGCCAACCTCCAGGTGAGGGTGAGGCAGGACCGTCCAATGCCGAAGTCGAGGTGCCGACCGCGCCAGTCCTGCCCGACGATCACCATCTACAAGATTACGAGCATGTACATTCGCCAGGCACGAACGGGGTCCCACACCACGTGCGGTCTGAAGAATCCTTGCAGACCATCGTCGTGAATGGCCATGGCGCCGGGCCCAGCGAGCCTTCTGCTCCAAGTGAAGACAAACAAGAGCTGGAGCGACAGCGACTCATGTTCGAGGCCAGCGCACCCAGTGCACCTCCTCCTGAAGAGCCCAACGAGTCTGGCGAAGGTCCTAGTGCGCCCCCCTTCGAAGAAGACGATCAATTGGTCGGTGGCACAGCGCATGCGGACGAGTCTCTACCTCGGTACCAGCGATGATCCTTGGGAGTTAATTCTGATTGTACATTTTTTTGTTTTGCATTGGGGGGATGGGAAGATACCACTCGCATATTTACGACTTGGCGGGGCAAGGCGTTGACTACAATGTACCATAATCGTATATTTTTCTCCGCAAATCAGCAACGTGTTGATATGACAAACGTTTGTAAACTTAATCTCCGACGGACCCCAGGGCTTGGCGCCCGCTTAGCGATAAACCTCCTCTTTCCTGTTCCCCCTGTTTCTCTTTCCTCCTCCACTTCCCCTCACATCCCTCGCCATGGCTCTTCTGAACGGGTCGTTCGCGACCTTCCTGATCGTATGCCGTAAGTCTCCCCCGGCCATTGAGGTCCACGCGAAAACCTGCGGCCACGTAGAACCCGAACCTCAAGACAACCACTAACGTCTACCAGCAACGTGCTTCTTCCTGGGCATCATCTTCTCCCTCTTCCCCTACGACTACCCAATCCTCTGGTCCACCGTACCAACCCCGGCCTCGCACTATGACTACCTGGAAGCGCACCTCCGCTTCCTCCACGCCTCACCCCCGCTCATCCCGCGCATCCTCCACATCGTAATCTTCCTCGGCCTTGCAGGCCTAGTCTCCAAGCTCTACCGCCCCTCCGAATCAAACATGCTCTTCGACGGCGCCTCCCTGGTCCTCTACATGTGCGGCGTCACGGTCTACATCGCCAACATCGTCAAGGGTCTCCGTCTCGCCTCCGCGGGCCAGTACGGTAACGACCTCGCCGCGAATCCGGAAGATAAGGACCAGATCCTCGGTCGCGAGGACTCGCTCAAGGTCCTCGCCGCTAGTAATACCATCCTTGCTCTTGTGCTCGTTGGTATCCTCGTTCTCCAGGCTGGTCAATGGTATGCCGAGCGCAAGGATGCGCAGGAGTTCGAGTCCCTGGCCAAGGGTAAGAAGAGTGATAAGGACGAGGCTGAGGCTACTGCCTCAGGTTCGTCGAAGCCTGGTCGCCAGGCAAGCCAGCGTAAGAAGAGCAATTAGATTGGTCTTCACCGGCTAGTCGTACTCGACGTACTTCTTACCGTGCCGACCACATTATGTCTACGCCGTAGTGGAATTTGTTACTTTTTTTTTTTTTTTAATTTGTGTTTTGCGATTACAGTCTCAAGGACGTCAAGGATGTTTCGTCTATGTACACATGATCCTTATGGCTCACTATGATGGCATATTCTGTACGAAATATGAATGAGAATGCAGTTTCGTGATGCTCCGTTTCGTATGAGATGTGGTGTAATGGTCAATGATGGTTCGTCAATGGGTGATCAGTGGTCAAATGTGTCGTCGCACCGCAGAAGGGGAATCATGAGGCAAATCGTAATAAATGTCGTCACCGTGGATGACGTTAAGCGAATGAAAATGGACTCCGGGGGAGATCTGGTGAACGGGGGCTCAGAGCTTTCGCGAAGAGATCTTCGCCCGATTCGGCGCTTGAGGTGCGTGCAAGTGAGCTCATCGAGTTCATCGAGGTCATGGGTGCAAATCCGCCCGGGCCGCTGTTTTGCTGAACTTCCTGCAGGGACTCGGGTGGGTGCAGCGCAACGGGTCTGGGATTCTCAAGACCGGAGGGCTTCAAGGTAGAGCTTGGAGTCGGGGTCGGGTTGGTGTCCGGTGTCAGCATGGAGTGTGGTGCTCGATTGGAGATGCTACGGAACGAGCTGAAGGACGAGACTGCAACATCAGGCGATTGAGGAGAAAGAAGGTGTGCCGCAGGTGAACCTGATGATTCTTGATAAGTTGAAGTACAAGGTCAAGTTCTATCTGCCAACTTACGGTCTTTGGCTGCCAAGTCCCTCTCGCTGGTCTGCAGCTTCAACCCCTTCAGCTTGTCTGACAATTTCCGGCCGCTGATCGGCGACACGGGTGTAGCTGGTCCGGTTGGGTACATGGAGTTCGATGTTGAGGAATCGTGGCTGCTGGCAACACTTTCACCGTCGCCGTGCGCAGTAACTCCGAACTTGGCTTCGATCCATTCCTTTTCTTGCATGGCCATTTGCAGCGCAATTCCTTCGACATTCTTCAGGCATTCGTCGCGGATTTCATCGTCCAGGACACGCAGTCGCTTCTTTGCCCAGATTGTGTGAAGCACGCCCTTCTTGCCGGCCGCGCGACCCGTTGCACCCAGTTCAGGTGGGAAGATCGCCGGAAGCGGATTCAGTTGCAGGGTTTCGCGGGCCTTGGAAGATGGCGTGCTGTCTTTTGTAATGGCAGTCGGTTCGTAGGACAGCGTAATGACAGGCGGGATGGTAACATTGGGTGGAAGTAAAAGGTAGAAGCGACGGGTACTGTCACTTGGCCGTTCATCAGCAGGGAGAACAGTAGTCTTCCCTGCCCAAGAAACATGCCAGGACCCTTCGGTATTGGATCGAGTCAGGTCATCGTCCTCCCATTCGACCATCAAGATCTTAGTGCCGTCATTGCCCTTGCCAGCCTCAAATTCGAAACGGGCCAGTGCGGTGATAGATAGACTGCCGCCTTTAGGACCACGCGGTGTTTCAAGCTCGGCAAATTCGCTGTCCGGCGTGAAGGTGGGCGGGGCTTGTGCCATAACGGTGCAGGGAGTAATAAAAAAGGAGAATCGGACTTCGGGACCGCACGGGATGCAGATTCGGGGACTCAGGACACTGAAGGCCTAGGGTGACGCACCGGTCGAGGAAGTATGGGGCACGTAGAGACGGCCGGGCTGAGTGGGAGAGTAAGAACGCGCGCTCAGCGAGGGAAGATCTGAAGAAGCGGGTCGATCACGGGATTCGGCCACTGCATTCCCACTTTGATTAATATTACATCGTCCCTTCTCGTTTCAGATACTTGTCCTTTAGCCGCCTTGGGAGAGGTGGCCTGTTCTTTGCTACGTTCATTCGTTGACTCAAACAGGGGCTTAGAACTGGACGATCAGTCGCGTCACGGGCTTTGTGTTTCCCACCCCACCTCTAATTATAGAACGTATACAGTGAGGCGTTCAAGTCACCAAGGGCCTTCTTTACACTCCCTACAACGGCATTAATCTATAGATACCTATCTAATTTGATACACCAAGAATTAAACAAGGACTCCTGAATGAGTTCCTAACATCGCGAGCCAAAAATCAAAGAAGTTGGCCCTGGTTTTGGGTTAGCACATGGTGTGTGATACACCCCGCACCGCGTGCATTAGATGGATTCTATTAATATCCACCGTCGATTATCACACCTGCACCATCTATGCATAATGATAACACCGGCAACCTCAGAAGATCAGGACATACCAGGTAACTCGACTTCAAGTGTCATTCTCGTCCTTTGAAAACTTTGTAGACATACCCGTTAAACAAAAATTCACAAACATTCGTCTTTCAAAAAATTGCGTGAAGCGCTGGAGTTGACGAGCAACGCTAGACGCGCAGGTTCTCTGTAGCACGGCTGAATCAAGACCCTGAACCCAACCTTGGATGGTTTATTGGTTGTTTCATCGGCTCATAGCGGCGCAGAAGCGCATCATGATAGTCGCACACTCTCATCCACAACCGTAAAGAAGTGGAGTACATTGCAGATGGGTCTCTTAGTTAAACCGAGATTTTGCATGAAGAAGTCTCGTCCGACCCGAATGATAACGAGTATCGTACTGTATGATACAATAATTAGACAAAACCAGCTTTCAGGCGGGTGATATACGTACTAAGTATAAATATAGGAGTATATCGGTAGGAAAATGAACAATCTGGGAAAAGATGGGCCCCAGGGTGTGGAGTTGTCACATTGTTTAGAGACCAACCGGCCATAGAATGCCAGTCTAGCTTCAGGGATATTGGGCTGACGGTCGGGAAGTCAATTATTTTGGAAGAGACCTTGCCAGAAGTAAGCAATGATGAACAATCATTGGGCAATTCCAAAGCATGACGATCGACATCACGGCCTATCTTAGGGCTGCAGAGCGGAGTACGGCCCATCTTGACCACCTCCCCGCTCGAAGTTTGCTAAGTATAGCAGCGTGAGCCTTTTGAAATGTGACCGTTGAGCAACGATAGACCAATGGCGGCCACCGGACGTCGCACGACGCGCAGAGCGTGGTACCGTTCTTCATGAATAGCTATCCACATGGACCCATTGCGCCGGCGCGACAGATCTTTTCAGCAGATGAGGGGTAAATATTGGATGCAGGGGCAGTCAACAAAGTATATAGCTTCATCGAATTCTATTATTGGAGCTGTGGAGCTAGATTAGACCAGTAGTGAGTTGAGAACGGACGCTCGCCAGAGATATTTTTGATGCCTAGGATCACGCCAGAGCGTAACGCTTTTCGATGGCTTGACATCGGGGCTGATGACAGATTTCTCCCAGATTGGCGCTTTGAGCGGCCCATAGAGTAAAAAGAAGGGGACCGAGTCGTATGGGAAGCGAAGGTCGATCATCGGTTGTATTTCAAGGTTAGTTCAGATATAGCGAGAAACGAGAGGCTAAAGGAGATCGCAATCGGATCTCATGGAATAAATGAAGAATGTTGCAGGAAATTTTCTGCTTCATGACTGCACTATAATAATCAAGCCATAGCCAGATTCTGATATATGATGATTTCAAGAAAAGCATTGGCATTTTGAAATCCATGTTCTAAAAATAACAACTCAATTTTTTAGGGTACTCTTTGTCCATTGGTTCCACGTGATTTAGAGCATAGCGAAATTAGAATGAGATCGCTCTACCCAGAGGCCCCTTGGGTGATACCGAGCTGCTGGAACAAGGGTGTATTGCTCCATGCGCCTGCTCTATGATCCGTTCTCACAGATGCACAAATTGTGGCGTGGATGCAGCCCTGGGCGGTTATTATGCGATCGGGATTGGCTAGAAAATGGGACCGTTCCAGATGCTGCAGCCCGGATGGGCATCTAATAAAAGAGTCTTCACACTACTGCAGCTACAAGGGTGACGACTGGGATAAAAATAACGACGGTACTAATATGTACAGTCCTTTGATCTCGGTACCTCCGAAAGTCCATAAAGACCCGACAGAAATGGAAGATCATTGATCTTTGTTTGGGCGTCAGTTTTAGATACAGCAAATCATGTGGTGTCATGGACTTCCTGCCCGCAGGAGTGTGGCCAGGATACATAACTCGAATCACAGATGAACATTGATCGGCTGCCACGTTACACCAAACAAATCACTCGGGCAGTTTAACTTCCAACTCCACAGTGGGTCCCGAGAATCAAGAAGCCAACCATGACCCCAGAAATGAATTCCTGGAGAGTCCATGCGTCAAACTATTACGGTTACGGGATAGCGCCGGCGCTTAATGATGTCTAGGATTTCACCCCTAGCCCATGTCATACGTTCCAGGGGGTGCAGGTCTTCTCTGGTTAAGAACGCGGAGCACCTCCGGGTACGCTTAGTGGTCAGTTTTAGCAGAGCTCATCACTCGACTTCCAGAAGTGACCGCTTTGAAGGGTTTGTGATAGGAAACGAATGTAATCGTGCGGGTGAAGGATCTCCAATATACTTCGTATCAATACGAGGGAAACCGAAAACAAGGAGGGTAAAGATGAAAGACCGTGAAACGTTAGGCCACCATTTCCATCCGCACAAGCTTAGATGGAGTTTTATTTAAAAAAAAAAACGCATCGTGTACCTCGCCAAATAATTCTACATTTGAATTAGTAAACAAGGGCTAGAAAGACTAAAAAAGATCAGGAGACGAATCCTCCAAGTCGGGTCAACACGAGACGTTTTTACCTAGGGGCGGATGTCTGGTAATAAACAGTGATACGTCGTAACAAAACGATGTAATTTTCCGAGGCTCGCTGAAACTGTGATGCAGAAGATACGAGGCGAGTAATTTTTGATGGGTATGGAGAAATTGGCAATAGCACAGGAATACGTATCTGTAGACAAACCAACAGATGGTAATCTGTCATCAAGCCGTCTTGAGAGGTACCTCATGTAATCATGTAAGCCATTGTAAACGCATGTTCGTGGGCATTTGTTTACGGAGCCGCACAACACTTCCGATCCTTCGAGTCATGACCCAGCCATTTGGGAGGCCCCGGCCGCGCAATTTATGTATTGTTCTGGGGCTCAGACAGACGCCCCCAGGAAAAGCGCCAAGCAGTGAGCCGGATCAGACTCAATCGAGAATCAGCCTCACGAGATGTCTAAGACCAGTCAGAGCCCATCCTTCGTGTTGGCGTTGCTTTTGAAAAGTAAAATTCATTTATTTACTCTTGAATTGCGTTTCTGCTACCGCCAGGATCACGAGGCCATAGCTAGAAGAGGGGTACATGGGGAAACGAACGGAGATTAATCATGGCTTGAGTAACTTCTTGTAACTGAGTCTTTCGGGTTTCTCAAGTAAATAGAGAATGAGAACATTCATGAGGCTCTAACCTCATGGCTATTACAGAAGGAACTTATTGATATCCCCGATATCCTAACAAAATGATGCTGACTATCATATCTCTGATATCCTGGAAGATGGCTAAACCTTGCATAAAGATGAGTGTATCCGAGGACAGCGCTAGTCGACTGCTAGGACGTACTTTGCGAATTGTGGGAGCTGTGTTGGGTTTTAATGCTCCGCCATTAGCTACCATGAAATGCGGCTTACACGTGGTGCTGGCCCTCATATCAGGTATGTGAACTGTCATGACCCACGGAGCCTCGCCGGGATGAAGCAAGACAGGGAATAAAGTGCCACAATAGATAGAACCAGATTACATGTGTCCCAGACCGATGTTCGAGGCGATCCACGTTGCATGGCTCGGAGCTACCAAGGGCCTAAGGCTGTTGCGATACTGGAACAGCCCCAAGGATTGATCTTAGTATTGAGAAGCATGGTAAGCTCTCTATTTGGTATTGAATACGTAGAGAAACTTGAAAAAGAAAATTTGTGTATTCAGATTGTATTCCAATGTTCGCTCCAATGCCACCAGCCTATCCACCTATCCACCTGTCCAGATGCAAACGCCCAAGGAGGTAAGACATCCAAGATCAGAGTCCAAAAATAGTACCGAAACCAAATTCGACTTGCAGGCCAGCACTTCTGTCGAACCAGTTTTGCCGTCAACCCAAGACAAAGTAAACAACGCCGTAGTTGCAAAGAATCAAACACATTATACTCCAAGTCTCCAGCATCCGTTCGCGCCGAGATAAAGAAGATCGTAACAGAACATAGCAGCGCTCGAACAGAAGCCAACATTAAGCATTAGCTATGTCTTTCTGCCATTATGCATGAAGTCATCAACATAATCCAAAGCCAAAACCGTCAAGGACGCGTGCTGTATGCCATAAATTGAGTATTCAAGTCTCCTTGCATTCTTGGGTCTTGCGTCGCTTTCCCTTCCCTTTGGGAGGGGGATCGAGCGGTGTGCGTTTGTATGTGACAGTGCGGGTCACAACATGTCTGACACTCACAGCCTTGGGTGTTGTAGCACTCCTGGGCTCCAGACCTCGAAGTTGCCACTCTCTGGGCGAAGATGCCCAGAAGCTGGAAGTTGTACTCCGTGGAGTCGTGGAGTATGGGTTCGCAGAGTACGGGTTTGCAGAGTACGGTGTCCCGCTCAACGGGGTCGCGGTACGTGGTGAGTCCTTCATAGACAGCGTCTTCAACGATTGAGGAATGCGCAGTCGTCGGAGAGCGGGCGGATTTCTAGGCGACTTCACATTACAGGGCGACGGTGGTGGGAGTGAAACGGATGGCGATTTCAAAGATGGCGCAGAAGAAAATGCAGGACTCGTCGCGGTGGAAGGTTGGGAGATCGGCGACGGGCCGCTTTTCTCAAATGAAAACTTGGGAAAGCTGCCAGCAGAACCTTTGGGACTCTCGAAGACGGGAGTAAGAGCGCTCAGGAATTCAGTATAAGCAAGTGGGGTTGGGATAGAGCCTTCGCTCCCACTGCTGCTATTATCCTCGTGTTTGATTTCGATGCTGAGGGCCTTGCGATCATCTTGGATCTCCGATGGGAACGTAAATGACTTGGGCGTCTTCAGTGGAGGAAGTTCCGGTTTCTGTGTCGGCATACTGATGCAAGCCGCTTTACGGCGTGTGCAAAAGAACTCAAGGTCGACAGTTGCGAGTGGAACGAGTAAGGTGGTAATCTGACACAATCTCAAGGCAAGAGAGAGGGGCGAGCCAACAGCACACCTCCAAGGAAGGCGACGAGAAACCTGGGTCTGTGGGAAGGGAAAGAGAGTCAGATGGGCGAAGATAAGTTCAAGAGGGGATGAAATAAGTCTTACCAAGACTCTGAGCTGAGAGGCCCGGAGATCTTTTCTTTCTATATGGGCGGAGCAAGACCAGACCCGGAATGGTGAAACGAGTGGTATTGTATGCGTAAAGAACTAGATACCGTACCAGACGGTATCGGTGGAAACACAGGGCCTTCGGTCTGCTCCAAATACAGTTAGCTTCATCCTTGCCGCCACTCTCATCTTTGGCCCCGAGGGACCTATAAGGCAGACTCACCCGTCTTTTGCCGTGACGTAAGAAAAGGAGGCTGAGCACAGGAAAAATCAGTCTGCCCCTACCTTGGACTCCGGCAACAGATAGTGAGCGATAAAATAGAGAGTGCGAGCTTATACAAGCAGCCAGTGCTTGGCGATTCAAAGAATGGATGGAGTTTTCCGTTTAAGAAGGCAGTCAACAGCAGCAGAAATGGAAGAAAAGGAGAGAAGGAAGAAGCGATGAGCTGAAGATATGGGCTTTGTAGTATTGCTTGCAGCGGCATTATATATGACATCCTTGTCCCGGACCTTAACCGCCCTGGCTTGCAGATACCCTCGACTATAACAGAATCCTTATTGTCGCGCGCCTTCTGAATCAGAAATCCAAGCCCCCTGGCGCTCAAGCCATACCCCAGCGTCAGGGGCGTCGGAGGGCGCCTTGGTTTCTAGGGCAATGTGGCTTTTATTTCTGCTCTTCCTCTTCTGGTTTGTTGAGCTGGGAGCGCGCGGTTCCCACTACGAGAGCGGCTCGCTATTCGACACACAGCTAGGGACAAACTTGTACCTTCAGTTGGTTGTGAGCTGCCAGAGGAGGCTTGGCATGGAAGATCTTCCAAACAACGATTGAATCTACGGCCGCAATTGTATGTAGAAAAGGAAATGACGACGGTTTCAGTAACCGCTGGATCTGCCATGTCTTATGCAGTCCAATCCTATCTTTCTCAAAGGCCTAGTTGAAAGATTCATTGCACTGGTGAACCATTTTCAGGGTCTTGTGGTGTACTTTTATCAAAGATGTTTATAGCAGACTCTGTAAACAGCATCCCAAGCGATGGATTGCTTGCTTCAAAGGCTAAACCTTAAGCTACCATTCAGTCTATCCTAGTAACAGTATTTTGTTTTTAAACTATCATAGAAACCGCGAGGCCTTGCAGTTTTGAGTCTTTGATTTAGAATCAAGATTTAACGCCTAGAAGTTCAGGGCTTCAAAAGATAGCTTATGACTTGCAGCAATGTCAAACCGAGCATTGCTCCGCCTCAGGTGGTGGGTGTTACTGTTTCAAGTGCGGTAAAACTAGATATAGAGGAGTACCAGACCTAGAAGTCCCTTTACTTGATGAGCAACTTCTTTGCGCCTACCATACACGGGGGAAAGAAACGAAGGGTCTGGTATATTGGAGCGCCTACGGGAAGTTGAAAATGGTCAACAGATACTATTATATAAACCCATCCAAGCACGCCGAGATAGATTTTTCCGTGGCACCTGCTGCAAGTCCCGTTGTCATGGAATGGACGACACTTGGATATTAGCAGTTGGGAATTGCTCCCCGGAAATGGGAATCAAGCTGAGAAGACCCGAGAATGCCGAAGTGAACGAATTCGGGGCGGTGTTTACCTTCAGCTTGTGGATTTTGCGGCTCGCTTCACAGAAACTGTTTATAGCTTCCAACGTCCAACTGACTGAGGACATCGTTCTTGGTGTCCATGGGCCAGTCTAAGTTCTCGTTACCCATAATGGCGAGAGCATGGTGCATGCAGAGTCGTCGGGGCTTTATTATATACCAAAAGATAATACTTGGAAAGTGAAAATCAAATTGAAAGAAGCTACACAACAAGCTAATATTTAATATATCCAAAATATGCCCATGGAACAGACCAAGCGAGAGTAAGACAGGCTAACATCATCCAACCCTCTTCCTTAGGCAGGATACCGGCAAGCGGCACGACAGCAATGGAGGGAACCTGGGTGTATCTAGCGTGAAGGTAATCTGGCAAAAACACAGCGAGAAGGATATCAAATAAAGCGAGCCACTTGCGCCGGAAAAGAATTGACAAACCAGCAACACCGAGCTATGATGCAACAGAAGAAAGTCGACACTGAGATAGGATTTGATGATCCGAAACCTAAATCAAATCAACAGATAGCGCCACCCATTTCTGTTCATGATGTCCCGCCAGTGCACCTGTTGCTTCTTGATCTCTCGCATCCCAGGTGATTGGAGGGATGGCGAGACTGAAACTTCAGAGCTTGGCTCAGTAGATCGGAGGGTAACATCAGACACAAACTCTTCCTTAGCCACGGGCATATTTACTGGATCATCTGTCAGGCGCCAGTACTCATTCAATAATTGGAACATGCGTCCAAAGCTGCCGAAGTCGGCAAGGTCTCCCATCGCATCAATTCGGTCCGCTAGGACCTGGCGGAAGGAACTTGAAGGGGTTGAAAATGCGCCGCCGATAAGAAGTGGCCAAACCAGCGAGCGATCAAATCCACAGGGGCCTGCAGGAATGTATGACAGAGTATCCGCCATCGCGGTAACCAGATTACGGGTGCTCGATTGGGTTCGATCGGCCCCAGGAACCAAGCTGCAGAGGTAGATTCGGGCAGCGAGGCGGTACACGATAGTCATGTTTCTGGTGAGAACATCGGGCCGGATCGCTCCAGTTGCTGAGTAGGGGCTCTCCAATACCTGGTTATCGGACTCGGTGTACTCCAATTGATTACCGAGAGCGGAGACATGAGTGCAGACGGTAATTGTGTCAACCCGGCCCTCGTTCTTCAGAGACTCGAGACAAGCAATTTCCGAGATGAGGTACATGACCCGATCGTCGCATCCCATGAGCTCTCGGAGACCAGACGATGTTCCACTAAGGTGCTTGTTGCGATAAGAATGGGCAAACTGAGGTGTTCTTCCAAGCATGGTGGACCCCAGAATGTCAATCCAGGATGTCAAAGACATACTGAATGGTGGAACCATGAATGTGCTGCCAGACGGCTCCATGGAATCTGTCAGGCCCAGCTTGCTTACCAAGTTCGTCACAGCTTGGAAGTGGTCGCTCCAGGGGATGTCGGGGAGATAGTCGTCGGGAGCACCGACCGAGCAATGGAAGAATATCATTGCGAGAGTCGCATCCAGAATGTGCTCATGATTGGAATCCTTGTTCAATGCCTGACACAGCTCTGAAATAGCCTCGTAACGGTGACGCATGATGTCGTGATCGATTTGCTCGCCGGTCAACCCACTCGTAGTCTTGAGATGGATTGCTGCGACACTCAGGCAGCAATGGAAGTAGGATTTGTTCGTTTCCAATGACTGGAGCACAGCTTGAGCGCGCGCAGGACCTTGTTGATGGATTTCCAGGATCGGAAAAATCATCCGGAGAACATTCTCCACAAAGTGGTCAAGAAGAGGGCGATCGTAGTCATCGACGGGGATGTTGGCATGAAGGGAATCAAAGGACGGTCCAATTTCCTGGCCATGCAAAATCGGATCAATCGTTGCATATCCTCGCGGATCATCGAAGTACTCTTCTTCCAACCACTCATCGGCAGGAAAAGTGGGCAGTGTGGCATTTAGTTGCGGTGGGCCCATGGCACTGAAAGTGGACACGGAAGAGTCATGTCGCAGAGGAACGTCGTTCACGAACGTTTGGCGCTCAGTTTTCACATCGACCTCATAAGGAGTATAGTGACCGTAGGAAATAGGGACAAAGCCTGGTGTTGCATAGTGGGGGCCGAAAGGCTCATAGGGTCCGATGAATGGGCGGCTGAAATCGGCTGGTGGGGGACTGGGTGATGCGACATGTACCCCCATACGATTCATGGGATCTGTGAGACATAGTGCGTTAGATTGCATCCATCATGGAAGATATACTGCTTCGCGTACCTTGATTTGAGGTACTCCGTTCTAACGTCTTGGTCTGCTTGATTTTATTTTTAATCCGCTCCTTCTGCAGTTTCCTCTGCTCCGGATTCCCCCACCACATCGGTCGCTTATATTCACACTTAACACAAAGGTTCAAGCAAGCTTTGCAAGAAGGATGACCTTCATCACACTTCTTCCGTCGCAACCGACAGGTAAAGCAACCTTTCTCTGTGTTAGTATTGAGTGTTTCGTAATCGGCGTGGGACTAGGTCTCAAGAATTCGAGGGGATCATACCGGAGCGAGATCTCTTGTGCAATTTGGCTGACTCCTTGTCCATAGACCGTCCACTCACGTGTGCGTTAGTGGACGAGTCCAAGGTAGCACCCATGCTCTTTGAAGCGACACCGGAGTTCTTAGAGGTCGGCATTTTCACGTTGGGAATTTGTAATTTCCAATATCAACCACGAAGAATAAAAAAGCAGTCAATCAATGACCGAGGAAAAGATTGGAAAGATTGGGTGTGGCACAGCCAGCAGAAGAGAGACAACGCAGTTGCGAGAGGAGGACCCGCCACCTATTCCCTGAAAAGACGGTGCAATAGCAGAGCTGAACCGGCAGCTTCGCAATCTATAGGGAATATATTAGAAGGAAACGAAGGATGGAAAGAGCACAGCTTCGAGACGATTTCAAAGGAGATCTTTATCTGGAGATCTCGGATGCGGCTAGTTATAAGTCTACACTACGATCAGCAGCAGCGCTAGGCCCTGCTTCTATTTTTTGTTGGAGCGGTAGGCCAGACTAGTTTGAGCCGGAAGAATATGCGAGCATCGGGTGGAGAAAGGCACCCGATAACAAATCAGATCGAGGTACGGGTTGTTGACCAGGAATTCAGACTAATTTTGGGACTTAACAGGGATGCTAGGACGAAGCGTGACGGATGACAGGCTTCCAGGATCGATCCCCTCGAGCGGCTTATGCAGCTAGCGGACGGTGATCTGTGGTAGGACACACATGGTGCTCCCATGATGCATAATGTTGCAGTGGGTCTGGTCACATTCCTGCTAGGGACCCAACTCTGTTGGGGGCAATCACATCTCCACGAGCGCCTCACTTAGCACCCCGTGAAACTCTACAAATGGGTCCTCTCGGTTCTGGTAGGTCGACGGAATATTAGTTCGCATGATTTTACTTTTGGGCTGCATTATTGCAGCCAGTAGAATCGCTACAATCGATACCTAATGTAGAGGCTTTCTGCCCCAGTCGATCCCAATATACTTGCTGGTCCTAAAAATAAAAGTCAGGAAATTTGTAGCGATTTCCCTGCGATATAAGGGGTCGCTAATCCGTTGTTAGATTTGAAGAGCAAGTGACTGCGACTACTGGCTAACGATAGGAATTCGGGGTAAGGGTATCTTTGCGAGTCAGACCACGGAGGCACTAGCCTAATCAGAAGGAAAGACCCCTGGTATTGGCCCAATGTAAATGGTTGGCGGAAATGCATGCACTCTGAGTGTGATGAATCTGCAGCTTTGCATGCCAAGCTTCCATTCCAAGCTTCTCATTTGTCAGTTTGGATGAAGCCACCGGACCAAATAAGTTTTAGTGCCGTCGGTGTTGTGCAGAATGGCGGGCTCTGAGCCAACCGAGGGAGCGGCCCATGCAGACTGGGGTACGCTAATGCGGCAAGGTAAACGCTTGGACGGTGACAAGATCACCTATCTGCCAAATGGTCCTTAATTAGCAACACTTAGGCGCCAAATTACGGGCTAATTCATCTATTTTAGGGCAGTAATGTTTTGGCTTCCAGATGCATTTGGTCGTCGACGATCAAGATAACTTCTATTAATAACTTGATGAGGCATTATTATGGGCAGTTTGATGAGTTACATCTACAATTAGCCTTCTCAAGCCAGTCTCGGACATAATTAGTAACCATTGGTGCGGGGTAGTTACTTGCTGCAACAGTATCCGCAGGCATTGTATTCTGTAGCCTTGATCCTGGCACTCGGCCCACGTAGGTCCAAAAGACGGGAACTACTCCGATAGACCTGGATGCCACTTCGTGGCATCGCTCAAGGGATATTCATGGCCTATGAATTTGGCCCATCATTCACTTGAAGGCTAATTTGGTAGCCCAGATTTGGAATCATACAGTCAATTCCTTAATTTAGATCTAACTCGACGAATTTATCAAGACAGAAACCAAAGTAATCAAGCCACAATTGTTCGTATCCCGAGAGAGTCCTTGCTAATACCAAAAAAGTCGACTTCTTCCAAATCTGGACTGAAGATGTCGCAGCCGTAGCTTGTGATCGAGCATTCCATGGTATTCGTAATCGGTCAGGAGTAATTAGTTTTAAATGGACTTAAGCTGTCACGAGATACACTGGCGGCAGGTATCCAATTCTCCTGTTGCATGATTATGGCAGCCCCCGGAGAGTACAGAGAAGGTAGTGTAATGACGGACTGGGTAGTCCTATTGAAAACTGCCCTGTGGGTACTCCATTTGACTTGGGGTACTGCTGAACTTTGACTTCGTATTCCTGGGGACTTTTGTCGTCCCAGGCATTTGCAACGCAGCTACCATTGCGAGATGTAGCAACCCTAGGAGATAATTATGGCTACCTCAAGTAGTGATCATAGGTAACGTTCTCCAGCAAGCCGTCGTCCGTCCACCTGGGGAAGCGAGGGTGAGATTTGTTAAACCCCGGAACGATGCAATTTCAGTACTCGCTGGCGCTATTATAAGGATATCCCCATCCAAATGACGTTTCAGCTCATAGAAAACTCTGATCGCGGACAAACATTGTGGCCGGGAGAAAACCCCATCTTCCCGAACCAAATGTTCAGTCAGCCTTCGAGACGTGAACCCTCATGGCCGGCTTGATATTTTGATCATCAAACATTGCGCTCATGTCTGTGGAACAAATCATGTGCAGTCACTCATACGACAGATTCTACCTCCGAGTCCCCGCAATAACCATGATGGATATTGGTCGGCTGTACCTGGCAGATACACATGATAAGCTTGGGTAATGGTCTGTTGAACTTTGAGTATATACCTCTCATGGTCAAAATACCCAATATCCTGGCATCAAGGATACCTGGTGATCGGGAAAACCTCGTAAGTTGGAATAAACATACTCGGTAAGCGCCCGGAGGTTTTCATTCAGCGATCGGGCCATTTGACTCTGAATTAAATGTTTGTGAAGTCAACAAGACGGAGCAACCTCTACAAAACTTCATCTGGGAAAAGGATCTTTCATGGAATGCAGCAAGCCTACTCGTGAGGGTTTTTGAAAAGGGCATCCAGCAGATTCGCAGCCCGTTCTCATATCATGACGTGCTAACGTATACGATGAGTGCCTGTTGGAGAAACCAATTAGGTACATAACCCTCGGATAAAACCCCAAGCTCGGAGTCTATATTCACCAATCATGCTTCAAAGCTTGACCTGACTCGGATACAAGGTTTCTATGTCGTTGTCTGCACTCATGAAGCCATCAATACAGTGCTATAAATTCCAGGTATGATGACCAGAGGCAATATTTTAACACCTCGAACGTGGTATCTATCACTTTGATCGGAAGTTCCCATTGTTTTGCAATTCCCCACGATGGTGCGTACATTCCAGAATGCCGTTTACCATTGGCGGGGGTTTTCAAATCCGCAGCTGAAGTGTCCATCCACTTCAGCTGCGGGAGGGGTAGTGAGGAGAATCTGCGGTGTGATGAGGGGGTTTGGGCTTGCGGGTGACGGGTGATTGTGTGACGATTTCCAAGGAACGGTTCCCTCATATTCCTGATTGGGACAAAATGGTCGTTAACCCTCCCGAATTCGCTAATTTAAGAACAATTCCCTCACTCTAACTAAAAAAAATTCTAGTTGTGGCGAAGTGAGTAATGGTGGATTCCCATTGTCCTCATCCTCCCAAACGATGATCGTCTTAAAGCCTCGTGGCGGGGTGCAGTCTTTGCGAGCCACGTACCAATCATAGCTACAAGTAGGAGCATATTCTGGCTCCCAACCCCTTGCTGGAAAGGAGAAATGCTCATCAATTTATAAAATGGGATCTGAAACCATTTACGCGCCCTGATTCTCGTTGAATGTGCCAAGTGAATCGTCACGGCAGTAGCGCCTCGCACGATGGCCTATCATAATCGCAATCACCCGCCCTGCTCAACTCCTCATGCACGTTCGAAGCCACATGCACGGTCACACACCCAACGAGGCCGTAGGATTCTCGTCATCCTCGGGATGATTCTCGAATTTTCGCACCTGTCGCCCGAGCTAGTGTTCCAGATTGGTGTGCCAACCACCCAGGCACATCACTCTGGGCGCGTCGGGATGTGTTTACCGCCGGCCTAAGACGCCAGTTGCCATCAGAGCTGCAGTCGTTATTCGTCGAGGTCATGGAATCGTCCAAAATCCCTGATGCTGAGCGCTTTAACTGGCGGCCCCACTGTACGGACGACTCTCTGTCTCAAGGTGGACTCTGTACATAAACTCTTCGGACACCCGATCTATCCTTTTCCGGCCAACTTTCCCCAGACTTATCGCGTGGTTTGAAGTCTTGCTTGATTTATGATTCCCACACCATTCAAAAATTGACATAAACCTTTCTTACTACTTGTGCTCTGCCGTATCGACACTGACTATCAAGCTCATCGAACGCTGGCTCCGCCGCTGGGCCCTTGACATGATAAGATGGTTCGTTTGAGCTCTAATTCTTCTTGTTGTCTCTATTATACGGCTTTACTAACGTAATGAGTAGGATTACCGTTATGGATATGACATGAACTATGTGATGGTGCCCCAGAAACAGGAGACATTGCCACTCTTCCCACCAAGGACCGCGTTCTCCAGGCCTTCGTCCGAAGCAACCGAAATCTTCGAAGATGAGGATAAATATTCTGCGAGCTACGATGAATCTCCCATGCGCAGTGTCGCTTCTGTAAGTGATAAATTCATTATTCGGGTGCCGGTTTACCTAGTTCAATCACTGACCTTTCACTTGCTCCACAGCTGGAAACCGGAAGTGTCTCTACCATGTCTACCCCGGATAATGTCACCACCCCAGACTCAACTGGCTTGACAGCTTTCGATTTCCATATTGAAGATAAGGAAATTTCTGGTCCCTCGGGCCCCAGTCTGTTCAGGCCAGCCATTGCCTCGAGTTGCAAGCTAGGCACCGAGACAGACAGACTTTACTCAGAGACACCCGTTAGTGCGACTGGCCCTTTCCACCACAGAGCTTCTAAGCTCGATCCCCTCAGGAGAGATACTCCGGTACCAAATCGTACAAACGCGGAGACTCCTCAACCATCATACGTTTTATATGCCGAGCGGGCCTCGGTAGCAGACTCGATCACTGCCCAAGACTGGTCTCCAACGGAGGTTGTTCAGTGGATGCGAAACCTTGGCTTCGAAGACGACATTGTTCAGAAGTTTTTCTACAATGATATTTCCGGCTCCATTCTTCTTGGGCTTCAATCTGAAGATCTCAAGGAGCTCGATATCATGTCATTCGGAAAAAGGCATCGAGTGATGAGCTCTATTCAAAGTCTTCGCAGCAGCACATCTCTTAGCAGTACTGCTCCAAGCTCCTCACAAAATTCCAGTGTGAGCAACGACGTATCGTCAACACAGCGCACATCGACTGTCAGATCAAGTAGCAGCTACCAGTCGTGCTCTACGACTGACGAAGACACCTCGAGCAGGAGACCTAGACGTGGTCGTCAAAATTCCAGCCCTGATGTAATCAGAAAGGGTGATATCGGCCCAGGTGATTCAGTTTCTATTGTTGCGATCGAGCAGCTTCTTCCAAAAATGCATCATTGTTCGAAGGGCGAGAATTGCCGCAAGTGGCAAAAGCAGCAGGCCAAGATTGCTAGCATGGTCAATGGCTTACCGATCGACTCATTTGGGAGGCGAGCCATCGTTACTGGAGACCCAGGTAACCCCAAGACTGCGCCTAATCTCCTCAAGTCTCCCACCAAGTCAGATGCCACCCCTTCCCTTGTTGCATCTTCTGATGCAATGGGTCCTGGGCAAACACCCGCTTTCCAGTTGTCACGCGAGAGACTGAAGGAGGTTGAGTCTCAGAACCCCCAGCAAAATGTACTTCAATTTTTGAAATTGCAAAACCAGGGCCTGTCGAAATTGCAAACTGCAAATAACCCTGCTACCCCACCAGGAGAGCACCTTGCTTCCCCTGATTCAGGATCTCCAGACTCGGCCAAAATCACACCTACACTGGCTGAGAAAATCGGCCAGCTCCCCAGGCTGGAGATTCCGTGCATATATGACCCTGCGGACTCGGCCGTTTCTGGAGCTATGTCGGCCCAAAAAACCGTCACCCCTTCCATACTCTTTAAGAGAGGCCAAATACACGCATATGACACGACCGCCATCCCCGGTGGCCAGCGGTTGGGTCTTGGTGACACGACGATCTCTCCAGGGGATTTCTATCGCCTCGATCCGAGCTATAGAATTGAGACTGAGACCCCATTTTCTGAAACTGACGCTCCAATAACTGCAATCCCAATCGGTCCCGTGGCACGAGAGGAATCGCAGTCAGTACCTCCGAACATGCGATTCGGCAACAACCGATTCGTTATGGCAGAACCAGTTATTCGCCCATCATCTACAAAGGCGGATAATCACCGACGGTATCCGTCAATCCAGGCTGTCTCTACCATGGGTCCGTTGAAGGAGGGTCAGACCTTGAGTCCCATCGAAACTCCAGACGACCTGCGCAAAACACCCCGTGCACCCCATTGTCGCAGTAACAACCTGTTCACTACGGACCCGAACGAGCAGGATAATGTGAAACACAAGGGCTGGATGAGAAAGCGCAAGACCAACAAATTCTTCATTCCGGAGTGGCATCCAGCTTTCTACAAGCTCGAAGGCACTGAGCTCACCGAGCACCGAAATGAACAGGAGGACACCCCCCTTGACTACATTGATGTTGACGACTATGCGGTTGCCTGTTCTTCTCTTGCCTCTACCTCGAAGCTGTCTGCAGCATTCAAAAAGAGAATTCTCAAGCGCAAAGACAATGTCGCGCAAGATTCAACTTTTGCCTTCTCGCTGGTACCCGCACCCGACCACAACAGCACTTCTGTTGACCGAAAAGTGCTGTTTTTGAACGGTCCTAAATCACACCACTTCACCGTCGACACTCGTGATGAGCGCATCGACTGGATGCGAGAGCTTATGCTGGCCAGAGCTGTCAAGCGAGGCCGTGAAAGTGGTGCTGCTATCAACGTCAATGGAAACAACATGATTTGATTTCTGCACTTTCGTTATGGCTGTTCCTTGCATTAATTACTTTCCTTTTTTGCATTTGGCATTTCTATCATTCAGATACCCGTGGTTGACCCATCAGGAGCATAACATAACAATTTCTTTTTAACTTCCCATATATGCTTTGTTTTCTTTGATTTTCACGACCCATTGTTTTCATTATTCTCCACTACTTTCTATCACGAGTCTCCTTTGTCCCTTTCATCTTGCGATTTATTTCCCTTGTTGGTTAATGCGGAAAAATTACCCGACAGTAAGAAGGTTCGCACCATCTATCCTCCGTGGGGAAGGCGCGGGGGAGGGTTACTTCAGGTAGCTTCAAGTTAAATAACAGACTTCTATACATACAACCTTAGCTTGTAACCTCTCCAAGTGTAGCCGTTGTCATCGTCTAAGTTGCTGAGCCCCGAAATGAGACGGGTCAAATTCTATTATGACCACCTGAGGTCTCCGTGATCTATTCCTCGGGCCGCATACGTGATTGTCTCGCCTTGCGTTGTTCGCAATCTCCACGTGCGGGCCTGCACTGTCAATAGATCTTGCGGTCAGAGTCTTCCCTGTACATTAATATGTCTATCACTTCGTGGGCGGTTACAGAATCACTCTGAATGGACAGTTTTTAGGGCCGCCGAGCTCGGGCGTTAGCCCCGCGATTCCGGCCTATGACATGTCGACGAAGGTTTTGGCTCTCCTCCCGTCTGAAAAATAAAGAATATTGTCGTACCGCTATGCTACGCTTAGGCCATTGGCAGCCTCGTTGTCCGGTAACAGCAAGTGACGGACTGTCGTTGTTTCAAGTAGCGCTTTCGTCTACCCCAGCGCTACGATAATGGCCGCTTGCATTCAGGCACAACGTCATCCGTTGGATAATCCATCAAAGCTTATGCGGTGATACCTCACATGGCCCCTCAATAAGTCAGCCATGTGCCTTTGTTCCCAGAACTGTGCTGGGCGTGCCGCAAAAACCGCCCCGACCCGGTAGCCCCAGCTTTCAGCGGTTTCGGAAACACATGTCGCGTGCTCTACCCAAGGTCGACCGACCTACACCGGTCTCTAAGCGCCGAACTCTGCCCGCAATTATGTCTACCTTTGGAATCTTCTTCCTTTGAACCATCACTTCACCACCTGGCCGGTGATATTCTCATCAATTATGGCCAGCGACCTGGCAATCAGGGAACGTCTTACTAGGATCTCCCGATCGATTCGGGTAGTTTTGCGCTGCCTCGGGGGAAACAAGGAGTCGCAAGAGGGTTCGCAGCGTGCATTGCTGCTCCTCTGTGAGCTGCTAGATCTTCTTTGTAGACTCCAGGATCAGTTAGCATGGGCCGAGGAAAAATGGATCGTGGACGCCTCACGGCTACACAACCTCGATGATGTCCTTCGTTCCTTCGAGTCGACTATTGACGCAATCGACATCTACTTCCAGCCGGGTGGTGTCAGTGCGCGGCTGTATCGGAAACGTCTGCTGGAGAACACATTCATGCCAAGACTGGAACAGTTCAAGGTGATGATCATTTTGACTTTGCAGCCAGAGTCTGAGTACGAACGATAGCGAGCTCAAACAATGAAAATGCTGACGTTCTTTAAAAATTTAGGGAAAAAAGCCGTCTCGAAGAGAAACTCCGAACTAGAAGCCGTCAATTCCAGGATTTAGATGCCGGTCGGTTTAGCAACTAGAAAACGCCAGACAATACTAGCTAACATATAGGCGATTAGATTCAACACGTGCGAATACTCCAAAATGCGAAGATTTTTATCATTTTACGAGCAGGATGACTACAAAGAGCTTCATGAGACTTGCGGAATTGTGCAATCAGCGACAAAGAGGCACGTGTGACTGGATTTTGGATAACGAGAAATATACCGACTGGCTTTTCGGCACCCGTCGAAACCTTTACTGTGTTGGCCCAGGTATGAATAAATAACTTCCACTTTTTAGGAGCCAATACTGATTAGCTTTCTAGCTGGGGCTGGGAAAACATTCCTTGCGTGAGTGCGACTTAAACTACTAACATAACGCTCATTATCTGATACCTTCTACAGTTCCACCATTATCGACAACCTTCAGAGGACATTTACCTCTTCAGACGTTGCTATCGTCTTTATATTTGGTCATGACGAGACTGAGGAACGAGCAAACTCGATAGGGTTCCTAGACAAAATGCTCGCTCAGCTCGTTTACCGCAAACGAACTCCGTCCCACGCAACTGCCTCCCTGTATAGATCAAAAGCATTTGAAGAAGGAAGAGCATCCGCAAAGTCATTTCAAGATGCCATTCGTGCGGAGGTGAACCGATTCTCCCGAGTTTTCTTCGTGATAGATGGGATCGATCTGCAGTCAGATAAGGATCGAATCCTAAACCGTCTTCAAAAGCTCCCTGAACATGCACAGCTCCTTGTCACTATGCGAGAGGAGAGAACCGCTTCAAAGGATGATCATCTCTTTGTTCTTGCTATTCGTGAAGATCTCGAAACATACGTTGGCTCTCGTGTTGAGCAAGATGAAGCATTGGGCGCTCTTTTGAAACAATACCCCTCTGAATTAAAAGCCGCCATTGTACAACAGGTAGCTGAAAAGTCCCATGGACTGTATGTCCCAGGTCTCCTCTTTTTGTACAATTGAACATCGACTGACTTTTTTATTACTACCAGATTCCTGTTGGCTCGATTGCATGTCGATTTGTTATCGCGTTGTACAGATGGGAACTTGCTGCAGAGAGCAATTTTTCATCTTCCCGAGAACCTGAATGATGCATATGGCGAGACGATGACCCGACTCGTAAGTCAGAATCTCTATGCAAGCCGTTGTCTATACTGGACATTATATGCTTGTAGGCCTTTGACGGTCTCGGAATTAAACTTTGCGGCGAACTTCGAGCCTCTTGGTGGCACTATCCGCAAGGAGTCCTTCTCGGAGCATTCTATGTTACATGAGGCCGCTGGGTTGCTCACAATTGATCCGATGATTGGTACTGTTCATTTGGTCCATCGTACTGCGAGTGAATACCTCAGTGGACCGGCAGCTAGAGTGTTCTTCCCAACAGCTAAAAAGCACATTGCTGATACGTGTCTCACAATCATTACCTCTGATGAGGTTGTCGACGAATGCTACGTGACCCATGAAACAAATCCTCGCAAGCTCCGCGGTGGTTTACTTGACTACGCTACCATGTACTGGGGCTATCACGCTCGAGATGTTGGTGAAGATGAACAAACAACACAGGTTCTCATTCGTGCTTTTCTCAACAAGCTTTGCTGGAGGCGTCCACCAGTCCAAGGGAACCATTTCAATGGCTCTGAGATTCCAAAGCAGCTTGGGTTTGGGGGTTACTTTGCTGATTGGAGTGCTTTGCATGTTCTTGCCTTCTACGGTATTGTTGGCAAGGCAAAACGTCTGATTGAACAAGGCGCCAATATCAATGATTGTGATAATCAACTTGGCATGACTCCTCTGCATTGTGCAGTCAATAGAGGACACGAAGATATGATTGAGCTTCTGTTCAAGCACAATGTTGATTTCAATGCAGCCTGCAAGCAGGGAAATACTGCTTTACATATGGCTGCCGAACAAGGACACCGGAAAATCATCCGAACGTTACTCCATCATCGGATCAACTCGAGAAGTTTCAACCAATCAGGAGCAACTGCACTTCAATTGGCCGTTGGAACTGCCTATGATGAAGCGACTGTTCCGCTATTGATCAAAAGCCGGTTCGACATGGATGTTCAAAACACCATCACAGGAAACACTGCTCTTCACCTTGCAGTTGAATTGAAACGGCCACGAATCCTTTTATTTCTGGTTGAGAAGGGCGCCAATATGAGTGTTCTGAACAGACATGGCAGGACTCCACTTCAATTAGCCTGCAAAATTGACAACTGTGAGGCAGTCTCTCTTCTGCTCGAACGTGGTGCTAAACTGGAGGATCGGTCTTCACACGGAGACACCGCCCTTCATATCTCTGCAATGGAGGGTAACTGGGTTGCTTAAGACCTTCTCGGTATTGGCGGCGCTGATATCAATGCATGGGATAGAAAAGGCGAGTCGTTGCTTCACAAACAAGCCCGAAAAGGCTGCACTGTATCTATCGCTTCGCATTTGCTTGAGAAAGGTGCAAACATTGAAGCTTGCAATTCCCAGGGGTATACTCCTCTGCAATGTGCCGCCTTAACAGGCAACAAACTCATGTTCAAATTTTTGATGGATAAAGGTGCGAACATTGACGTTCAAACAGCAAAGGGGGAAACTCTTCTTCACATCACCCCCCTTCTAACCAGGGTTACCTCGACATTCTAACCCTTCTCCTGGAACTACATTTGAGCGCCAATGCGACAACATGCAGTGGAATGACTCCTCTCCATCACCTCATTGTCAACCAAATGGGGTATTGCGATCCATCTTCCGATAAAACGACAGATTATCTTTCCCTCCTTCTTTCTCACGGTGCCAACATCGACGCCCAGGTACGCTCTCCAGATGCTGAAACGGCTCTTCATCTTGCAGTGGCGGCCAAGATGCCTCGCGAGTCTATTATTTTATTCCTCGTCAAAAGCGGCGCCTCTCTCAATGCAAAGACAGCTGATGGCAAAACGCCTTTGCATCTAGCAGCAGAGCGTGGCCGACACAGTATATTCCAGGTTTTGTTGGATGCTGGTGCAGATGCTTTGATAAAAGCGCCCTCTGGCTCTTTGAGCAGTGTAGGAACTGTCGGCGACGGTGATACGGCTCTGGAGTTAGCCCAACAGCATCCTATCAGCGTGCTCTGGTTTGACGAGTTAGGCAAACCCAATCATTCCACTCCAGATACCGGGCGCGGAAGTATCGCCACCTCCATCGACGAAATCGAGATTGGATCCGAATTTGATGAAATTGGGTCGACTCTGGTCGGCGAGGACGGATCTGCCTCGGGATCAAGAGCATCAACCTCGTCCATGAACAACCCGTCTGTCGTTTCTTGCTGAACACCCCTTCTTGTTTCCCCTCCCCCACCCGAAATCTTCTAGTGCGGCGTTCTCTTTGTTATTCTCTTGCTTCAATCTGTACATATGTGCCTGTCTGCATTTAACAGCGAAAACCTTTACTGAATGGACAGTTCACACCTCGAAGTTTAGATTCTGTCATAGTATTCCGAGTAATTGTGTCATAATTACGAAGTTGAATTCATGGAATGGTTAAATGCGAGCTTTATTTAGTTGTACACTCCAGCAAACAATCTGCATGGCTTCACCCCATCATCCGCACAACCACATAGGCCCATCCATCCCCATACGCCGAGCTCCGCACCACCTCTTCAATCGGAGCAGACATCGGAAGCACAGCACCATGTAACACAGGCTTTGCCAGAACTGGAGTCCTCCGACTGGGAAATAGATTGGGAAGTAATGTATGCAGAACGCCGCCAATGGTTTGCAATTGCATACCCGGGCTCGACCGAGAACTGATCGACTGACTTGACTGGATGCTCGATGTCGAAACTGAAGGAGGCATTGGAGACTGTACTACTTTCAATGAAGAGTTCTCCTGGTCGGGCGGTAGTGGCAAGAAGATACGGATTGGCACATTTCGGAATGGCTGTGATAGTGGTGGGAGAAGGGTGTTCGAGATGCGCTGGAAGGACGAAAGGTTGACTGGCCAGAAGCGCTTGTTAATCTTGTGCTTGCTTTCTGCGGAAATTTATACCGATTACTCGTTTGGTTACTTACTATCTTCGACAGACTTCCAGAGCCCCGCTGAGTCTTCCTTGGAAAGGCTCATGATGCCTTTGGCCGTGCCGTTTCTGAGAAAGTCGGCCTCTTTGACGCTGTTGATGAATGCATCGTTCATGACCATACCGTCCGGGTCGAGACGGACAAGGTCCTCAGAGGGCCAGTCACTGAAGTGGACGGTCAAACGCCATGGCAGTGGTGATTCGCCCTCCTGGGAGTCGACAGTGGACTTGGTGACGGGATCAGCCCCGGCGTAAAGGTCGAAGAGGAGCCCGATAGGATAGTGCCATTTAAGAGGCACCCCTTCAAAGGCGAACCAGCCATCATGATGCTGAGAGCTAGGCTCTATCAAAGATGGAGAGAAAAAGGCTCGCAATCTTGGGAGCAATGAGGGCAGATAAGATAAACGAGGATATGAGATCTCATAAGGGTCAACAAAAGCAATTTGTTCAAAGATATCCAAGGGACATACAAGATATGGATCGGTCTTGTCGAATGACCGGCTCTCAGAAGGGGCAAGGACGATTTCTAGAGGTATCCGTCCAGCCCATACGCTTTTTTGGAGAGAAACGAGAGATGTTTGGCCCTCCATGCTGTGGTCTCGTGTGCCCTCAGGCTGCTTCATAATGTACGTCAGATATATTTTGCCCGGGAATAGAAGGTCTGGCGTTCAGACTGAAACCTTACCTGCTTTAAACGGATCTATCGATCGGGAAGTGGGATGCGCATATCATCAATAGATAAGGCGCTGAGATAGTGACTGCCCTACTGCAGAGGAGACCATGATCCGGGAATATGAGCAACCACATAAGCTAGCTAGAAAGCTCGACTCAAACAGGCGATTTGCTCGCAGTGGTGGAAAAGAAGCATGCAGGTACATCGTGACGGGGATGCGCGGCGTTGATGTTCGCCGACACGTGATTCTGCCTGCGGCCGGGTTCTCACCCCCGCACGTCCTCCACGGTTGTAAACAATCAACAACTTGCCATAACTTTATTTCTCTGAGCCCACGATTATTCATACACTAACTACTTTTTAATTGATTGGATTCGAAGTTCTTTCGTTCAGCAGTCCCTCCAGGACCGTGACTTCACTAACATTCTCAATGTCCAGCACCAGCCTCTCAATTTCGTCTCATCGCCGGTCGTCCACAACGCCCTTCGTGAACCTCCAGAACTTCTCCAAGATTTCCTCACTCGATGGTCCAGGGAAAACATTTCGAGGCGAAGCAAGAGACTGGATGACCTCGATGCCGTTCTCGAAAGCAATGGCTACGCGATGTTCATATTTCTCGCCTAGCTCGGGCGTGTGGAAACACTCGGTCTTGTCAATTAAGGCCCGGAGATCATCTCTGTCGTGCAAGTCATGGTGGAGCCCTTGAGGCAATACTTATCCGTGGACGAGCTGGACAGCACCGACATAAGCACAAGACATCTGTGCCCCAAGTGCCGAGAGCTGTCGCTGGGCTTTCCAACCTCCCGTGTTTGAAGGCTGCCTCCGACATCACAATATTGATGCTTACAATAGCTACAAAGCTGGATAATCTCTTGGGATGCTGTTTTTGCAGCTCTGCGACCGTGTCAATGGTGCAGTGAGTCCTACTATTGAACCATGCCATTTGACACGAATATTGTCCGACTGCCAAGTTTTCCCAAACCCTTTCGTGAGTTCACTTACCAGATACGGGGCCTCTTTGCCAGATTTCTGCCCAAATGTCGACAAAACTACACCTCATGGCTCCTCGAAGACATTCTTAATCCCAATATACCCTCCCTCTGCTATCAGAGCACCGAGGAGTCCATTGTGCGCTGCCAGTGTATTCTGCATGCGTTTTACGTCTCTTTCAAATTGATCTGACATCAATCCACATACTTGGGTACGTGCTATCTCGAGCGCATCTTCGATGGCATCGTCTGAGAGGTCGAGCAGCTTGCTGACTGCCGCTGCAGCGGCAGTGAGCCAAATGTGGCACTCCCTTACCAGATGACAACCGTAGGAAATGAAACGGAAGCTCCGTCAAGGGCTGGGGAGCCATTTATCTTCATCTGGCTGGTGGCTGCAAGCAGTGGAGGCAAGACGGTTGAATTAAACTACACTGGGCTGACAGGTGCAAGCCATCAATTTCGAATAACTGCATTCCAATCTATTCAAGAGCATTGCGGACAATGCATCCAATTACGGAAAAAAATAATGACTCCATTTAAGTTTGGCATTATGACCTCGGGACGTGAGATATATTCCCCCACATACCTTGTTGTGCCTTCATACAACACAATCCCCCAAGTTTCGATCGCAAAGGCAATTTTTGCAGCCTTTTCATTTTCAACCCGGGGCAAGTGTACTCCAAATAATGCACAACATGATCCGTCCAGAACTAAGTATTTTGTGCGAGTTCTGACGCCCTCGCGGATATCGTCCAGCTTCCAAACTTTAGCCGGTGGATGGATATGAGATTTTTGAAACTGAGTTTATTCACACAAGGTGTCCTATACTCACCGGTGACGATTGTAGACCGACTCGGTATGCGGGTCTCCACTTGGCCGTTGCGCGCGGAGAATGCCCGCTCGCCAGCTGCAGTCCGAAGGAACTTCGAATTGGTTGAGAATCACTCGAGAGTTTTGTATTCTTTAGGGAATTTCACCCGGTATCCGAGCCCCGGGGATTCTTTGATCTCAATTGTGACTACTCGCCCGCAGATGAGTGCTATACACTGAACTCCAGATTCGGAGGACCAAGATTCTCATTTTGATACCAGGGGCCGTCATTAAGCACCTTCCTTGTAGTTATTGGACTCCTTACCCATGATTCTGGGCAAATAATGAAGGAGCGTAAGTGGGCTTGTTCTCCCAGGGTCATCTCACGTGATCGTGCTCCTGACCCAGCGGTCTTAATCCTTCTGCCGCCTCAACTCGGCAAACTTCCGACTCCACTATGGTTAAGGGTTCTCCCCGTGGACACTGGCATCCATGCCTGCAGTAATCCTGTTTCGTGGAAGGATATTCGCGCAACTAGCCTGGGGTATTCAATCTAGCAAGCGGGACTACCTTATACCCTAGTTGTCCCCCACATTCGACATCTGCTCGATCGGGAACAAAGGATGTCTCCAATTCGCAATTACGCAGCATGTGGCGAACAAGAGCCCTCACCGGAAAAGCTGCTCCATAATTGGACGGGTAAACGCAAAACTGCTGAAGAGGGAGAAGAAAAATCCTCGCCTCCTAGCCACGATAACACATTGGCATTTCTCTTAATGCAAGGCGCAGGAGGATACCCGAAGAGTAAATGTCCTTGCTCAAAACATTCTTAACTAAGGAAGATAAGTTCCGTGTTAGCTATATACTTGCAGCAATTCGTTGAACCCGGCTGAAGATTTCCACGGGGAAAACACTACCCCGGGCGAAAGTTCCCACCCTGAGAGATCAGTCATCCTCCAAACGCTCGTAGCCTCACAATCTAACCCCATACTGCCCCAGAGGATGGGATTTTACGCGATGTAGGTTGTGGGGATCGCGCATTAAGAGGAATTCCCACACTCCCACACCCACTGGGGAGCCTGAGATTACTTAGGGGTCCCGTCCTGTCTCAAATTGCACCTTCTTTTCCATCTATATGAAAAAATTTCTTCGATCTTTCACAACCTCCCATTTCCGCTAGCTGTTCCACGAAACAGCCATGGGTGGCATTCTTCATTTGGTCGAGGACCGGCCAACGCCAAGATCGGTTTACAACTGGAGGGTTTACGTCCTCGCTCTCATCGCATCATGTGGCTCCAACATGATCGGCTACACAAGTGCCTTCATTGGTACTACTATCACCCTCACATCCTTCAAGTCAGAGTTCGGCATAGATAAGTTGTCCTCAGATGCACAAGACTTGATCAGTGAAAATGTGGTGTCTCTCTTCGTTGCCGGTGCCTTCTTCGGTGCCATTTTCACCTACGCTCTCAGCCACTGGGTTGGCCGGAAATACTGCCTGGCGATCGCTTCTGCAACCTTTATTTTGGGATCCGGTCTGCAGTGTGGTGCCAATGGCAACCGTGGTCTAGGAATTCAATACGCTGGACGTGTGTTGACTGGACTCGGTACTGGTGTCGCTTCTAACATCGTTCCCATCTACCTGTCTGAGTTGGCACCGCCCGCTATTCGAGACCGTCTCGTCAGTCTATATGAGCTGGGGTGGCAGATCGGTGGTATGGTGGGCTTCTGGATCAACGTGAGTCATGCCCGTCATGTCCCGTCTCTGAGACCTGGAAAATGCTGACTTTGCTATAGTACGGTGTTGAGCAGACTTTGCCTGAGGACCATAAGCAATGGATCATTCCATTTGCCATCCAGATCATCCCGGCCGGTATGCTTTTCGCTGGTTCCTTGTGGATCCGGGAATCCCCTCGCTGGCTTTTCCTCCACGACCGCCGAAGGCAGGCCATGAAGAACCTCTGCTGGATCCGTCAATTGGAGGCGTCATATATCTACATCACCGAAGAAGTGGCCGCTATTGACCCGGCCCACGAACACCAGAAGGCTACTGTCGGCCTTGGATTCTGGAAGCCTTTCAAGGCCCTCGGAGCTCGCCCCAACATGATGTGGCGTTTGTTCCTCGGGTGCATGCTCTTCTTCTGGCAGAACGGATCTGGTATCAACGCCATCAACTACTACTCGCCCACTATCTTTTCTGTGCGTACCCTCTCCGATCTGCATGGTCTGCTTGGGCCGAGTCCAAATGATATCGAGTACTGATCTTCTTCTTGCAGAGCATCGGTGTGCAATCTAACACGGTGAAGATCCTCACTGGTGTCTTCGGTGTGGTCAAGGCCATTATGACGTTCGTTTGGTTGCTGTTCCTAGTCGATCAACTCGGAAGGCGGAAGCTTCTTCTTATCGGTGGTATCACCGGCTCCGTCTGCATGTGGATCATTGGTGCATACATCTATGTGGTGGAACCCACGAAACACCCTAGCGACCACCTGAACGGCGGTGGCATTGCTGCCATTGTCTTCTTCTACCTGTGGACTGCTGTCTACACCCCCACCTGGAATGGCACCCCGTGGGTCATCAACTCCGTAAGTATTCCAGACATCGATATTTCTCGAATTCCTCTAACATCCACGAACAGGAATTCTTCGAGCCCAGTTTCCGTTCGCTGGCCCAGGCGTGCACAACAGCCAGTAATTGGCTCTTCAACTTCCTCGTCTCTCGCTTCACCGAACAAATGTTCCAAGCCATGGGATACGGAGTGTACTTCTTCTTCGCTTCGCTGTCATTCCTCGCCTTCTTCTTCGCTTTCTTCCTCATTCCCGAGACCAGTGGTATCCCTCTTGAGAAGGTTGAGCCCGGTTGTTCAAGATCAAGCCGGTCTGGAGCGCCAACAAGAAGCTCAAGGGTGAGCTGCAGGAAGAGGAGGAACAGTTCCGATTCGATGTTAAGGAACATACGGTTCACCAGGAGAACGAACAGGACGAGGAGAGCGCATAGATATGATTTTGACCTTGTAGCTTATAGAATTGGGTATAGATGTATATATGGATGCATGCATAGATTGACGTGCTTATGTGATGATTGAGCCTTGCTACACTCCTGAAGTTGCATCGTTGTTTTCTTCCCGAGGCCTGTCTCTCACCTCTCCAGTCAACTGGAGTACTTGAAATGGAGAAGTAATCTCATTATAACAGTACATGATTAGAGATATTCCCTTTACCTCTGTCATGAACGTTCACGATCCACATTAATCATATACAAACGGTAGCGACTCTCTCGTGTGACGGGCTCGGTTAGGCTCCAATGCTGTTGATATGTCAATACCGTCTATTTGGGGCTGGCTTCATCGATATTTTCCAGATGTATAACTTTGCTACACATTGCTAGTGCTCATTCGGTTTAGGATATACCTGCATGCAAGTGATGATGATGAGAAGCTCACAGATTGTTTGCTTTGAACTTCAGCTTCAAATGAGACGAATATTTCCTGGCATGGTGTATTCATTCTTCAGTATAGGTGCACCACATAGTGCTTGTTGAAATAAGCTGGTTAGACTATTGCCAAAGGCTGTACAAGAGTATTGATTTACTGATTGGGGGATATTGATAAAAAGTAAGAGAAGAATAATATATGATTCGATCGCTCCCTGTGATACAAATTTGAACTGTGGTGTAAGGAAAGGCACCCCTTAGGACGATCCGCAATATTAAACCATCAGCCTATAAATTAGTAACCTCATCACCCAGTTCTCGCACCCAGCCTGGTTCTCAATGTTAGCTTGGGTGCGGTTGATCTCCGATTCAAGCTTCTTCAGAGTCTTCAGGGTATGATCCATGCTGCCTGCCTTGCGCAAACGATCCAAAATAATCTTTTTGTGGGGGACGGATAAAAACCCAGATGCCTTTCTTTCCTGAAGGATCCCCCGCAGTATGAGGTCGGGTGGTTGGCAGTTCCAGGCGTGAACGAGTGGGAACGAAAATTTCCCTTCATCTAGATCTTCGCAAAATCCTTTCTCGCTTGTGTACTGAGGCCACGTAAGAATTTATTAGTCTTCATGAAGTTGCCAGATGTACCTCATCATCCATCAAATTCTTATAGTCATCGCGGACTTGGAAGTACTTCCCGATCAGAGACATGAACTCCGAAGAGATGGCACTAAGCAATATCGTTAACTCTACCACCAAACTCCCAAGAGGAAAGAGATGCCTACCTATCATGAAGCGAGGAGGTGCTCTGTGACATCAGTGATGCTATTAATCTGAACAGACCACCTGTCTCTAAATACGGCGTGTTAACAGCAAACTACACAAGGTCCATGTAGGTGATCAGGAAGGGTCATACTTTGGCTAACCATCTCCAGATATTCCTCTTCTGATGGGCACTCGCTTTGCCGCGTCCAGTGCAAGTCAAAGCTCTGACCAATGAACAAGTTTCGAAGCTCATCAATAAGTATAGTCATGCATTGAGGATCATCAAGATTGCAGACCTCATCCATGGCGTCTATGAACATATAGTTTGCGCATTTAATAGTCGACGGAGGGCCAAATACTGTGTGCGTAGCAGGATTGCCTCGCCGGAGGGGCGAAGAGTCTTCGATGTCATCCAACATAAGAGAGGAGCTGTGTAGCTTCTGTGCTATCGACTTCACTGTCTTGACTGTTCGTTCAGGAAGCCCCATCCAGACATTCAATGCATCGATAAGAGCCTCACGGACCCCTTTTGAGGGAAGAGAGCTGATGTACTCAAAAGGAGCGAGTAGAAGCTAGTTCAGAACGGTCAGCGCAAAGCGGAGATTTTATTACTCATGAAAAGAGGGCCACGAACCTCCGTGCCCAGTGGTATTGGCTTATGCTCTTCACGAGGGCCCAATGATGCGACTGAAGTCCTGCTCGATGGGTTGAACTTGGGGCTCCCCGTAGATGAAGGACCGCTGGTCTCAGAATCTGAATCCTCTTGGGCGAAAGGCTGCGGGTTTGCAACGAGACCTTCTGTGTCCTGTTCATGTCCCGCCTTCGCCTTGTCATCGGCACCGCTTCCTAAGAGGAAGTATCCCTCTACAGAGGACTCCGGGTGATAACGAGGACACCGGAGGCTCCAAACAATATTCCCCGGAATCTGGAAGGCCAGAGCTCTCAAGTACTCAGCCAAATGCGGAGGGCATTGTTCTTTGTCCGCAATGAACGCATTCATTTTCTTCTGGTATTCCTGTTCGTAATTATGCACGACCTGACGAACCTTCTCCTTCGCTGCATCAATGGAGAGATCCTCCCACTGTATATAAAGCCACACGGCATTTGTCATTGTGGATGTTCCTTCGGCGCTCTTTTCTTGTTGAAACTCTTTCCACTCGATGTCGAAGGAATAGTAGTCATTAGCCAGGCCAAGAGCCGCGTAGCATGACCTAGCTATCGAGGCAGTGCGATTCTCCTCTTCCTTGGTCAAAACGATGCCCATTCCAAAGCGCATGACAGAGTCAACAAGTCTAGAAATGGGTCAGAATTATAAAATTTTCTATTGCTCGTGGACGACTGGATTGAGAGAACTCACGGAGCACCAGTGTCAAAGATTCGATAATTTACATAGTCTTCGATGTTGTCGAAAATGCAAGATTTGTCCCGAGAGGCGGTCGTTGCAACCATCTCTTTCCAGGATGTGATCACAACTTCAGCGCATGGCTTGTCGATGGACAGAAGTTTCAACAACATCTTAGACTGTATCTGTTTTGTTCCAGTGGTTGATCGAACGGCACGGTGATCGGTTTCGCTCAAGGTAATGTTGTCGGTTCCTTCATCCAACTTTATCGACGTTAACATTGGCCGCTGATCTTGTCCTTGTTAACAGCACTGGTACTTACCATGACCTTTGATGCAGATTCGACGACATTATCGTACAGAAATGCAACTGAGAAGGTGAAGATCCACGTCAGCTCTCAGTCTCAGTTTGTTTTACGACACATATTTCTTACATTCAAAAACATAGGAAACAAGTCCTAGCCTCTCAGGCTTGCACAGCGGTAAAACTACCGATGCGAAATGGCCGTCCCAGGGATTACAGCCACCCCAGCACTCAATTGGCCCAATATATTTCTTCCAGTCATCGCGACAGCGAAAGGATCCTTCGTTCGCGTTCTGTTCGTACTTATGGCGGCGGAGAGCATAGTTATGGCAAAAGCCATCTATGCAGGATGTCTGTCGGCTGACTGGGTAGGAGATCCCGTCTCCTTCTGATCGGGAAATGTGATAACTCATGGTTGGAATCTATGGCAGGCCGTATTGAATAGGGTGGACTCCAGACGACTTCCAGAGGCTAGTTATATCTGCTCCCAGCAGGGATGAATTGTTGGGCTGGTACATGTGAGAGTTGGCAAAGATGACTTCATCCTAAAGTTTGATGGCAAGTAATGATCATAATCTTTTTTTCGTCCGTTGTGGATCTTGATTGGCCCTGGAGGCGAAATTGCGGTAGATAAAGGTGATGCCGTGGTGTGGTTGCACGAAGAATGAACTGATAGGTATGACATCAAAACTCTCTCATCTCATTGTGTCTCTAATTGCGAGATGATATGTTAATGACCATAGATTGGAGGTCGAGACCACACATGCACAGGCGTGGCATAGGTTTGTACATGTAAGGTGTGGCGGTAGTGGATCTTGGTGACATGCCGTGCGGGCCGGTCGCGAACAAGTTCGTTACAAGTTTCAGGGACCCTTATCCTCCGCATCATTGGTGGAGAGCTACCTAAATCGAAACTCTAAAGGACTTGCAGATTTGCGGCACATTAACCAGCCGTCGTTTTTGCTTTCAAGTAAAATGATCTCAACGGTCTGACTTTAAATTCTGCCCGAGAGCCAGGATCAGGAAAGAACTGGTCGCACGCCCCGGGGCTTTCAATTCGTAGGGAGTCTTGCACATCGCAGCAACCTGTGGCCAGACTGTGATCATGATGAATCCTTCTGTACGCGAGGACTAGCTTAAGTTTCTTATTCAATTATGCCACGGCCATGAACCTTTGATGCAACCCGAGGGACTTGAGAATGGAGACCTAAATGACGGGTTATCAGACCCTCCCACTCTTTTGTACGTTCACATTGCGCTATTGGTTAATTCTTGCTTGGCCTTTTTGGGGTGCTGACTTCAACAGACGATTTTTGACGGCCCGTCAATTCGATCCGGATACTGCCGTGAAGCAATTTCAAGAAACGTCACAGTTCTGCCGAGAGAATCAAGCTTCATGACGTTATCGAGATATCCGATGTTGAGCAAGCTCGTCAATTTGTAAGACTTAGAGTTTCTTGTCCAGAATAAGGTTGGAAATTGACTTGGCAATACAGAGTCCCCATTGGACAGGTTGTTGAGACAAAAAAACAGGTTACAGATATGCATGTTTAATCTTTCTCGTTTGGACAAAAAGAATTTAAAATGCTGGAAAAAGACACGCCATACACTCACATGGTCTGACTCGAAACCCGGAGGGAATCTGCCTCCTAATCCTGATATGTTGCTGCTGGCTTCCGTGCACCACGATACTCTGATACGCCTGGTATTTCCCCTGTGCTCCATGATGACCGACAGGTCGGACCCTTCAAGACCACTGACCGGTGATAATATCTGGCGGCATTTCAACTGGAAACTTTCCAATCGAACTTTACCTCTTGGGCCCATTCAGTGGACCGAAGACTCGGATGGTCGAAAGATGGCACTGGCGGTTGGTGGGGAAGCAGGGTTCAGGAGAACGGAAATAATTGTAATCTTGGATCCTGTCAATAAACAATGTTCAAAGTCCATATGCGCTGGCACTTGTACGGAATTGCTTTTGCGCCTGATAGGCCGTATGGTTAAATGTGGGAACCCTAAAGGCTTTGTTTCTAAGATACCGGAGGAGTATAGATCACTTTATTGGTGACCCGTCAGTCGAGTGAACCTCGGAGGCTGAGAAACGTAGAGGCCGCCCCAAAGTCGGTTCGGCCCCGCCCCTGACAGCTCATATGCTCAGGCTGGGGCCAAGGGTCCGTGGTTTGTCGGCCCCGCCCCCAGGCATCCAGGGGAGATGCCCCAAGCGATATTCGTACCCCCCGGGGCCAAAAAAGAAAAGAACTTTCAGGGGTTCCTAATAAATTGACAATTCAATAGGGGGTTGTTTTTTGCAGCCTTGTAATGATATACGGCCCGATTCGGGCCTCATAGGCTCCACCGGGAAGGCGCTCGACCAATTATGTCCCTTAAGCCAGCGAGCCAGAGAGCCTCGGAAGTCAAAGCCCCGTTCGAGGTACCCTGTGCGTAGGGTCCATCTTAAAATAGCTCACCCATCTGAGCCGCATAGCTGATAGATCGCCAAGGATATGTGCACAGTATGCCCTAAGACACACTGGAAAAGATATGAAAGCCTAAACCGGTAATTACCTCAGTCTTCCCTGAAGTTAGGTGCTAGCTTTTCAAAGGCAGTTCCTCTGCTAAATTTGGAACATAGATCTTGAGATCCCGCGAGCACGAAATAAAATCCACTCAGAGTCGGCCCCATCTGATAGAGCTTATCTGAGTTGGCGCGTTAAAAATACCATTCCAATGGAATAGGGGTCCAATCCTTCGGTTTGTACCCCGGGAAAGTGAACCCTTGAAGGCGTAGCTCTTCCTTTCATCCTGTCTTTTTTTAGCACAAAGGGTCCACAGACGTGCGAAGAAACCACAATATGAATAGAGCACAATCCCCCTCCAAATATTGATCTCTCGATATCCCTGACATCTTTCACTCTTAAAAATGGGTTGGACATTCCGAATTTTCCTGAGTATTACAGGGATCGTTTACGGCCAAAACAAAGACGTGGATTCTCATCCTATCGTGGTTCCAAAGGCCACCCCCAGAAATGCAGTTTCTGTCCCGGCAGACTTCTTCGGCTTTGGGTTTGAGTCTGGCTTTTTGCCACACTATAACAATGAATTCTCCCACAACGTGGTCAGCTCAATTCAAAATCGCATGAGCAAGCCATTGGTCATTCGAGTTGGTGGTACAAGCGGCGATAATATCATCGTTCACGAAGACCAAAAAGACGCCTCGCATTGTACGTCCAAATTCTGCACTAGCTTGAGCCATTTCGATGTGGGACCTAGTTATTTCGACACTTTGAAGGGCTTCAGCAACGTGGCATGGTCTATCCAGGCGCCGATGGGACCGCATCTGGATATGACGAATACAATGCTCTACCTAAAACACGCCTGGGAAACACTCGGGAAAGACCGCGTGTCGGCTATTGCACTTGGAAACGAGCCAAACTGGTACCACCTTCACGACAAAGGATACGACTACGCAACCTATACCAAGGATGCGATTGAAATCGAAGACGCAGTCATCAAGGAGTTTGGACTGAAAGGTGACGAGCGTCAAATATTCCAGGTTGGAGAGATAGCCAGTGAAGCGGTGTCGTCAGATTTCAATTTGTGAGTGCTCCTGCGGTTGACTACGATGGCTGGAATGTTAATACAGTCATGCAGGATCGGAATCCTGAAAGATCGCCTTGGACAAAACGGCCGTACGAAATACGCCGCCGAGCATTTCTACCAACATGCCGAGCCAGAAAAGGACAAAAGCTATTTCTCCATTCAACGACTTCAAGGTACGTTACAAGAACAAACAAATTCAAACTGAGAGCCTGTATCTGACTGTTTTGTACCCTCAGAGGTCTTAATGAACCCCGCCAATATTCAGAATCACCTGAAGCCATATGTTGACGTCATCGATTGGCTACGGGAGAAGAAAAAGCCATACCCTCTTGTCCTTTCGGAGGTTGGATCTGCCATCGGTGGTAGCCCCCTCACTTTTGGTGGTTCCTTTGGGGCCGCTATGTGGGCAGTTGACTTTCACCTGGCGGCCATGGCCCATGGAGTACAGAGGGTATGCAATACCATGGGACCGGGTGCCACTCATGCGTTCTGGGAACCCGATAATTCTGGGCGTCAAGCTAAAGGTCCGGCTGTCAACGGAATTTTCCCGGCAGCTGCGTATATTGCCGACTTTGTGGGCAAAGACGACGGCCTGGGTAAAGTCACTGAGCTCATCTCCGGTGTTGAATCCCTCACCGCATACGCCATGTATGGCTTGAAATCCGCCAAGCCGACGCGAGTTGCTTTGATCAATCTGAAAGAGTGGCATGAGGATGAGAACCCTGCCTTGAGTCCTAGACGCGATCATGTCACAGTTGCACTCGATGTCGGCGAGGAGACAAAATCCGTCACCATTAAGCGCATGCAGTCGGAGAAGGGGTCGACGGCCCTCGGCTTTGATCAGAGCATTGAGCAGGGTAGACCTTGGGAGAATGTGACTTGGGCAGGTGAGCAATGGAGTCACAAAGTAGACATGGGAAAGGGCCATTTTGTATCAGGCCCTCAGGAAGAGAAGGTGGAGGTTAGCCAAGGGAAGGTTCATGTCGTTGTGCCCGATACCGAAGCCGTGATCGTGTTTTTGAGCTAGTCTATTGATATCTCCTGCCCATGGTCATTCTTCTGCAGGTATCTGGAGTGTTAGGAGTCGAATTGTCTTGGCGTTATCCAACAGGTGCAGTACGTGGTGAAAAGTTGAAACGGACAGTATTTATTACCATCTACAGTAGAATTCGAATACAGATTACCCCCTACTCGCGCTTCGTTTCTCGGCCTGTAACCGAAACCCCGCTAATCCTTATTAGTTAAAACAAACCCCGCTTAGCCGTATCGTAGTCATAGAACGTATTGGGCTTCCGGTGTCTCATGAGTCATTGTAAATTACATTTAGCCCCCATAAATTTTTCTAGTCAAAGATCCAGAAAGGGCGGGAGGGGGCTGGCGATCTAGCCTGATCCACGTCCACTTTCTCTCTTCCTTCGTAGCCTTTGTCTTGTGAAGACTAACCCGAGTAAGCCAAGAAAGTTCTCGTTTGTGTTCTATAATAGCTGTCGCTATTTATTTGTTGGTGGCGTCTGACCATAGCTAGTACCGCCTACTTAATCATGAGTCCGCCTTGCTGGGATAAACGCTTGTCTGTGCTTTAAGAGTCTGATCATGCTACTTGGCCTGTGCAAAATCCCAGTCTCTCGCTAGCAGCACCTGTGCTAGGTGGATCTTGGCCTCCTCCGCATCCTCAAAGTGTCTGTGAGCCGACACCTGCCCGCTCTTGTCTGGCCGGTGGAAGTAGGGGGGAATCCACCTCGCATTGCGTGTATGTGTCGGGCAATTTGCCTTCGTACAAGAAGGCTCGCACATGTTTCGCAAGGCACACCGACGGCACTGCAACAGAGCAATGTCCATACCCTTTGACCTCAACAACCTGCGAGCCCTCGAATGCCTCGTTTGCTGACCGCGCACCTATGAGGGGGCATATAGGGTCGTAAGTAGTCGAGATAATTAGCAGCGGATGTGTCGTCTTCACATCTTTGCGTGGCACATAAGAATGTTTCTTTGGCACATCCCAGTGTTGCCGTATGTAGTAAATTTTGCTCTGCGCAGGGCTGAAAAGACTATAGTTGAAAAAGGGCGCGATCTTATCCAGGAACGTCTGTCTGTCCCCAGGCCAATGATTTGGGCCACTAATTCCGTCATTCAGGGTGATGAACTGGTTTGCTTCATGATGCCAGTCCCGAATATCTTCAATTCCATATACTAGAAATGCATTTGTTGCATTTCCTTGGATCAGTTTGTACATATTATCCGCTAGGGCAGTCCACATTGAAGGTTTGTGCAGGGCTTCGAGAAACCCGTTGTACCAGACCTTCTCATAGTCAAGCAAGCCGTAAACGGAGTTATTGATGTATACACTGATAGGCTGATCTTGAAGCGTGTTCATGTACGAGAGCACCGTGTCACGCAATTCCTCTTTAGATGTTGCCAACAAGGCCAAGGAGCGATTTTCTGCTCCGTCCTTGATGCACTCCTCAAAGAGCCATTGAGCACTGTGTCAGTGTCGACCATAGCTTGTGCTTCAAAAAGACCTTCGTACCATTCGAATTGACTCACGACCCCATCAATGATAACGCGCTTCGACCGGTCGGGAAATAGCCCTGAATATGTCTGACCTAGCAGACTGCCATAACTGAATCCCTAGTAGACCATGTCTTCCTGACCTAGAGCATCAAGAATGCTATTTATGTCGGCGGCTGTCTGGGGGGTGTTGAGATACTTAGCATACTCGCGCATCGTGTCAAGGCATGCCTTGACAAAGTTCTAGGCTCACGCATAAACCTCGGGGCTATCACGCAATACATCTAGAGATCGAACGCGGGACAATGCTTGTCGCGTCCTGTCGTCGGGGTAGTAAGAGGCTATTGGTGTCGAGCTATTGACACCGCGAGGGTCGAATGAGAGTAGGTGGAAACCTTCGCCGACCACTGCCTTCAGCCGCTCCCTTGGCGGTAGAGGAAGTCGAAACCACTAGCTCCAGGACCACCAGGGTTTAAAAGGAGGTTTTGGGTTGCGTTGGTGCCTCGCATGCGAACAAGTGGGATGGTAAAGGTCTTATTTCCGGAGATATCTAGATCGAATTGGTCCATGGTAACATTTATACTGCTGCATTCTAAGGGACTGCCCTTAAGGTCCCCGCAGTGCTCCCAGTCGATATGTTCTTTATTGTATTCAAGGAGCCTCGGTTTATTCGTCGACGGCAAGATACTCGACCAGCCATAGAAAAGAATGTGAAAGCACGATAAGACAGATGGAATAATGACCCAAAGTTTGGAGCGCGAATCCCTTCTTTGGTGATTCCACGCCCAATCTCCAAGTATATGCTTCTCATCCATGACTTGTTTGCCGGTGGAGTGTATGATCGAATGGAGGAGTTGTGGGGATGTGCCCCCTTCAAAAGGTCAGGGCGTGTTTACTCGAGTTGTAGGTACAGGATCCAGAAGCCGGCAATATTTCGGCGTCTGCTTTCCGTTGGAGCATGTAATCGAGTTTTGTCCCTCGGCGAGCGGGGATGCGAGGGCACTGACTGTAGTTGTAAGGTAAATCGGGTCACTTCGGGATACCCGTGTCGTTACATGCCGATACTAGCCTCTCAGGGTATGAAACGTTCTCAACAGCGATCTCCTGAATAGCTCTGCAATCAAGTCATCCTAATTGGTTTCCTTAGTACTAGTGCGTACGGGTATCCCGAGGTCCGATATTTAATTGTACGTAGCGAGATACGGTACCATACAAGGGGCAATATCAATCTGCGCTAAGGCCTTTGCGGTGGGCCCGGAAAATAGTTATCATGTGCATACTGGTCAAGTCGATGTCAGATTAGGGTTCGGGAACTTATCCGAAAAAGTGGGGCGGTATATCTGATTTCAAGGTTGCTGTAAGGATCCCACCCCTATACGCCTGTTCGCCTAGGCTCGCTATTCGCGAGAACTCAGCTGCTAATTCTGCGCCCCCCAAAACTCCCAACCTTTCGTCACCCAGCCTCCCCTATCTTCCCCTCGATTTCAGTTCGATCTCATCACACCCACCCTCATCCTCCATCCTTTCCTTAACGCTTTACATCTCTTTCCCTTGTCGCTGTTGCTGGATGCATGGTGCGATCCAACAGGCAGCGTTGGCATCTGAGTGATCGCAGATCTTCCTTCTTTGGCCCTCAGCCGTTTTCTTTGAGACAACGTCGGCGGTGAGCTGTTGTTGATCTGGAGCCACACTTCAGAACCTCGTTTCACTCCCTTCTCGACTAAGACCCGACTGTCACCCTTCCATTGCACCATGTACAACACCCATCGCGGGATGGTGCCTGCCCTCAACTCCCGCTTGACGGAGTTGGTGGAGCAGCTGCACCAGGAGTTAGACAGCCAGTCGCGGAGTGCCGGTGAGTTTGAGCATCATTGTGAGTGTCCTTCTTTCGTTCATACACCCTTCCCTTCCACTCTACTAGGTCGCTTTGTGGAACTTCCCTACCTTTTGGAAATTGAGCACCAGTCGGTCTGTTGATGGCTGTTGTTCATGGGTCACCACGACCTTCGCAGAATTATTTATCTAACTGATAGATGATGCAGTGACTGGACAGCTCCAGGAAATGGATATGATCCGCCAGAAGGTCTACCAGCTGGAGCAGGCGTATATCAAGATGAAAGAGAAGTGAGGGTCCCATTTCCCTCCCTATCTTCACCTCTAACTGATCGCCCTCCTGCTACTAGAAATGAGAACGAAATCCGAATGTTGCGACATGAACTCGAGTCGCGTGGTGCAGGTGCTTCGGCCCAGCGCACGGGTCATTTTCTGGCCCTTCCACCTGCTCTGGGCCATGGTCCGAGTAATTTGTTCGGTGGCATCATAGGCAACCAAGGAGGTAGTAGTCCCAGTCTTGCCCCTCTCCGCACTCATGATCAACAGCAGCAGCAGCAGCAGCAGCAGCAGCACCACCATCCTCAAGATACCCTTTAACCGCCTGTCCAAGCTGCCTAGCCTGGTGCGCTGCAGCATTCGCAGAGCTCTTTAGGGGGTATCAACCTGGTCCTGTATATCGTGGTGTTTTTAGAAGGATCTTCGAGTTGCTAACATATACGATGAACTTTCTGTAGGCTATGTACCTCCTCCGCTGCACATTGGATCCCCGGGCCCGGATAAGGGTCGCCATCGCGCACCTCTAGGAACGGCAAAACCCCCAGCAGACTCACCAACTCGCTTATCCCAACCCTCATGCCTCGCAGATTGTCCAGCAGACGCCCCGGGGCCAGTCTCTAGTAGGCGAGCATCCCGGTAACATACTGGCAAACTGGAACCTCGACGATCTGCCCCCGACTCAGAAGCGCGAGGGTGTCGATTGGTTCGCCGTGTTTAACCCTGAAGTGCCACGCGTGCTCGATGTGGAATTGGTGCACGACCTGGTGCACGACAGCGTCGTGTGCTACGTACGCTTTAGTGACGATGGCAAATATCTAGCAACGGCCTGCAATCGCTCGGCGCAGATCTTCGACGTGAGCACCGGCCGGAATGTGGCTACACTCCAGGACGAGAACGTCAACAAGGATGACGACCTTTTCATTCGCAGTGTCTGCTTCAGTCCCGATGGAAAGTACCTCGCGACCGGCGGCGAGGACAAGCAGGTCCGGGTACGGCACTCAAAAACAAGAAATCAGGGTGTATACAGATTGCTAATGAGGCATCAAAATCTAGGTCTGGGATATCGCTACGCGGACCATCAAGCATATCTTCACTGGTCACGAGCAAGATATCTTTTCTATTGACTTCGCCGCCAACGGCCGCTACATCGCGTCTGGTAGTGGGGACAAGACGGTACGCATGTGGGACATTCTCAACGAGAAGCTCGTCTATACTCTTAGCATCGAGGATGGCGTCACTGCGGTGGCAATATCTCCCGACGGTCACTACTTGGCGGCCGGTTCGTTGGACAAGAGTGTGCGCGTGTGGGATACAACGACTGGTTGCCTGGTGGAGCGCCTAGAGATCCCGGACGGCCATAAAGACACTGTGTACTCGGTCGCCTTCGCCCCTAATGGTCGCGACCTGGTCAGTGGCAGTCTGGACAATACAGTCAAGCTCTGGGAGCTTAATGCACCGCGCAACATACACCCCCACCCAAGTTCTAAGGGCGGCAAGTGCCTACGGACCTTCGTGGGCCACAAGGTTTGTTTCCTTCCCCTTTCTTTCCAGCCGCGCTGACAATCCTGGACAGGACTTTGTGCTCAGTGTGTGTCTGACGCCGGACGGCCAGTGGGCCCTGAGTGGCTCTAAGGATCGGGGGGTCCAGTTTTGGGATCCGATGACTGGGAACGCCCAAATGATGCTCCGGGGCCACACGAACTCCGGTGAGTTTCCAGCAGTCACTCTGACGCGAATTTATGCTGATCTTGGTAGTTATTTCGGTTGCATCCAGCCCCACAAACAGCCTGTTCGCGACAGGCAGCGGCGACAGGTGTGCCCGGATCTGGAGGTGAGTTTTTGTTTTTCTTCTTGTTGCAATTAACCTCGTCCTAACGCAGTGGCTGACATGTTTCTCCACCAGGTATTCTTCATACACTGGACGATAAACGGGTCGATTCTGGGATGCCTCGGCGCGTGTGTGCTTCTTTTCTGCTTTCTTTGTCGTGCGTGGTTTGACTTGGGTTTCTAATTTTTTGCATTGTTGATTTTGTGTCTTCAATCTTGATTAATGTTGATTTGATGTCCATATATTTACTACCTACTGTCCTATGCAGATCGCCAGGTCCCGGCCCGGGCTGAGAAACAAAGCGTGAATGTCTAGGGAGTGTCTGGAGGGTAATTTGTTTTCAAATTCTACTATATCTATAATTCCCACTTCACAAAATCTTTTACAACTTGGACTTTCCCTCCTCTCGGCCTTCCAGGTTAGGGTGGGGGAATCGAACAGGTCTAGTAACAGCGTAAAAGGCAAGGCCATTGGACTTGGTCGAGAACTGGAAAGAGGAAAGGTAGAGATATGTCAGTTAATTGCTCACTAAGATGGAGGGGTATGACAAACCTTGACCTTGGATCCGACGTGGAAGAAAGCAAAGTCTCCTGGGACTAGGTGATGGGTGATTCCGGTAGCCTCATCCTATCAAAGAAAAGCATGGTCATCAATATTGTTCAGGATTATTAGAATAGAAGCCCCGTTGAATTAGACCAAATATAGATAATTAGGGACATACCAAAACATCGATCTGGCCGTTCAGCACATACTTGGTCTCCTCAAAGGTGTAGTGCGCCGGTCGTTGAGGTCCAGCTTCGATCTTATAGAATCCCGAAGTAATGTGCGCGGGCGATTCGGTCTTAGTGCGGATGGAGTGAAAGTCGGCTGTGATTGCGTTCTCGCCCTGAGGAAGGGGAATAAACTCGTGTCCGGCGCCTTTGATGACGGTAAGAGGAACGAGGTTGCTAGACACTTTTCAAACCAAGGCGAGCTTGAGTATTAGCAACTGCGAATGATTGTTTGTCTATGGTGCTCAGTTTAAAAAGGAAAGGAGTTAAAGGTGAGACACACTTTTGTTTAATGTTCTTGCGAGACGGAAATTTGGAATAATTCAGAGAAGAGGTATCCCTCAACTATTATAGAAGCTCGCGCCTTAGATAATAAGGATGCATTCCCGGGTTATGGCGATGGTACCGCATGGTTTACCCCGATGAGGGGACGAAAACCCCCGCATGCATCGTCGGGAGGTGGGGAAAATGTCGGATGGATGCCCGGGAGCCGGTATCTAACATGAATGGCATTCTCCCAAGCCATTGGGAATTGCGTGCTATCCACCGGGCCATAAATGAACGTAAGTGTGTTTGTCAAAAAACATATGCGCCCGAATTCCTTCTATACCACAGCACAAACCCGCCGTTGAATGATACGCTGCTGAATACTGCCACAGACAGCTTGATATCTGACGACGAAGATACGCTAGTCAACTATTGGCTGAGATACAATTGAACTGAATGATTCAAAGGCTATAAATACACGCAATGAAGCACCCGGAGAGACTTTACACTGATTTTCCCCTCGCGTAACTAAAAGGATACGATCATCGTCAGTGGCCAAAGTATCTAGCATCCGCTCACGTGAATCGGAGCCGGCCCGTATTCTCCGTCCTCGACGGGAACAACGCCGCATCAATTATCTTCGGAAAGATAAACTATTCATAATGCGCAGGGCATGCTAATGTATACAACTGGTGTGTCGAAAGGCTAACCCGCGAGTAAACTCCAAGCACCAGCTACATATGATGCAACCGCCGAATTGGGCCCGTTGGAATATAGGGAACCCAAGAACTTCGAGAAGATGATTGTGAAACTTTTACTGTGATGTCCGTTTTGAGTTAGGGAGATTTATGCCGCTTCTCATCCATACATATACGGATTGAGCCTACTCTGCGGATTCTTTCTCCATGCTCTGTGCGAGAGATTCACGAAAGTGGAAATTGAATAGAATAGGAAACATGGGTAGTCTTATTTATACAATTACCGACGCTAATATGTACATGGTCATGAAGATGAAAGAAAAAAAAGAATGTAAGAACCCAGGAATCAGTCGTCCACATTTGAACGAAGTTGGATCTCCTCCACGGGTTGACCTTCCTCTGAAGGGATATGCTGATAAGAGCGCATTTTCCTCCGCCGGAGAAAGCACCGCACACCTACCACGACGCCAAAAATACAGCATAATGTCAAGAGAAGAATCACAATTCCTCCCATGACTTGAATGACCCCGTAGGCCTTGTAGACGGCTGCCGCGACCTCTTTAGTTTGGCTGTAGATTATCGCTTTGCGATCATCCGTGGTGAAAGCTCCGTCGTAGTCATCGTCGCCATCTTTCGAGGTCATGATTATCGCGGGGTCGTCTGGAATTGGTCCTGAGGATGACCCTGTAAATCCAACCGCTTTCCAGTTGGCCGGCACTTCGGTGCGTTGAACGGGGGTCGTGCCCATGACAATGCCATTGATGTCAACAGCTTCTGCGGAGATCCAGTCCATATACCCATCGCCTATGAACATCGTCTCGAAGCTAGTTTTGTTGATATAGCCGATGAAGATATCTTCACCGCGGTCGTACGCCCGAGCGTAGAAGTTGTATCCAGCCACGTCGGTCGCACCGTTCCAACTGATGTGAACAATCGTCATCATGTCTAGATCATTCGCGCCATAGACAAAAGTGACCATGTCGGGAGGTGCAGTCGGTCTGCCGACCCAGTCGAACTTGTATGACCGGTAGCTTGAGAATCGTTCCGATGCAAATTGCGCGTACATGAGCACTTCACCGTCTGGATCGTACTCGGCGTGGTAACCCCATTGACTCCAACCAACAAAGGTGTTCCCGTTTGGAAGTGGCTGAACGTTGCCGCGGAGTCGGGAGAGACCTTTGTCCGGCCGCTCAAGGCGCTTGATAACTCTGGCAGTCATCGGCTCCGTGCTGACATCAACTTCGACGAAAAGAGCCGAAGAAAGATCCTCATCGTTCTCCGACTCATCCGAGGCGTTATTTATGAACGAAATTAAGTGGTGTGTGCTGTTCGACTCGACAAATTTGACATCGTGTTGCTTAGAGAAAGTAAAATCCTGGTCAAAATCTGTCGTGCTCGAATCTGTACCGCCCAATCTCCACATAATGTGGCCATCTTGGCCGGAAATCATATAAATCGTGTTTGTAAAACGCATCGAGATAATGTAATCGCCATCTGCGTTCTTGTCAACTGCGTTTATATGCACGTAGTCCCATCCAGGCTCGCCTTGCGGGTTATCCCAAGGGTGGAATTTGACCGATTCGGTTATGGGAATTTGGTCGCGAGAGTTCCATTCGAAGAGGACGTCCGCAGTCTCAACGTCCAGCTCCACGAATCCCCCGGTAATAACCCAGCTTTCCTCGTCGGGTCGGTCGAAATCATCCAGGCTGACCACCTGCGATCGGTATGTGCACGCCAGAGCGGTCTTTCCTCCATCCAGGATATTAAATTCGTGCATATTGAATGCACTGAGGTCGTTGGTTACGCCGACATGGTATTCGTATTCATAATTGTTGTTCATGATGACTCCACTTCCGCGGTCAGAGTCGTCGAACTCGTGTTGAAGGATGAATGAAAGGTGTGGTTCGCCGTCCATGTTCCAGTTCGCCTTGAAATCAAAGGCGTTGCGGTTTTCGGTGGCGGGCGATCCCGCCCAAATGAGCATCTACGGCGGAGACGGGTTAGCTATCGCAGCGTATGCATCTCGGGGAGAGAACGTACACCGTCATTGTCGTAGATATACGGTCCGATCTGGTATTGCTCGTACTTCTGGGTGGGATTTTCTGGATCGATCTGGCCGTAAGGTGCTACAAACCAGTAGCCGGGAAGTTGTCGAGCACGGTCAACGTGAGTGATATCGAACTTCAAGGCTCGCACCTCGGGGAGCTGAAAGCCGTCAGGCCAAATGGAGGAGATCAACCTATGGGCACACTCACGGTCACGAAGGAATACAAATCCGCGTCATGGCGCTGTGCGAACCCCTCATGTAAGAACAGGAGTAGGACGCCGAGAAACGCCCACATGGTAGTGTGAAAGAGTGACTAGGAGGGGGGAAATATTATGTTCAGGAGAATAGGAGATTAACTGAAAGAGATCATCACCCAGCGGTCGACGGGCGAAGAACCCCAGAGCACAAAGCAAATCGCATTTTGGTAAGAAGGGCCGTGGGACGCGGGCCACTTTAAGGAAAGCAGCACCGATATCAATAGTTCATTTGTATGACGGGTTTCATTGGATGTGCATACGCAGACAGTCCGGTTAGTCCCAATCGGGCAGACTCGCACGCGGCCTCACGCTTATTTGCAACGCCGACGTAACGGGCTGAGGTGGATTCTATGGGCTTGTGTCCCTGAGCGCCATCTTCCGTGGGTACGGTGAAAACTCCTCTTGGCGACAACGCGTCCGATGGAGCTTCCCCGTACTTTCCTGAGCTTTTGTTGGTTCGCTGACCGGTGCCAAGATCGACCTTTCCCGACCCGGTTAAGCTCACAATCAGCCCCTGTCAGAGGAATCATGCACTCGTACCTCGTATGCGTCGGAGCGGAATCAACTACTCGGCGCTTTCATTTCGTCTTACCTTGTCTCGGTGGCATCGTTTCATGCACTTCAGTGCCTCCGTACTTTTATCCTATGGTGATTAGATACTCGTCTGGCGCGTGCACGATCATCCCCTTTAGCCCGCCCGAACATCGCAGTACTGTACTTCGAAGACGCTTAGCTTCCGTTATGGGTCTGTCTTTAGATGTCCCACAGGACGGTCGTCGCGTCCATGAAGGATCAAGGTTTGTGACTCGTAGGATCTTCCGCCTATGGGATAAGCATTTCTACCACGCGCTCCGAGAAATGCATCTTACTCGGCCACCCGAAACAGATTATTGATGAGAGGTAGCACATACCTCGGCTGACCAGTCTCAAAAGGTGCCCTTGTTGGGATGAGACTTGGTCGCCGACCGGGAACCCCGACGATCTAGTGCAAAATGTGGCTGACTCGATATCAGCAAAGGAACCGGTGGCGTAATAAACTGGGATGTATCGTCAGGCGATAATTCAACAGAGTCAATTGCTTCGGTGGTATCTATAATCACAATGGGTATCGAATCACTCCGGCCTGGGAGCCTCCTCTCCTGCGTGTTCTCTATGTAAAATTTCTACTGCCATGGCATAGGCCTCTTCCTTTGCCACACACTGCGATGTGCCCCTGATGGCCTCTTTGTCCCATCCGTGCGCACACCCTTCCATTCGGCGACACTTCACGTATTTCCCTGCAGCTTCGAGCTTTTCTGCGAGCTTTTCTCCTTCGATTGCAAACGCGCATTGAGCAGCGGTGATGATCAAGACGTTCTCGGGGAAGTTGTGTGGGTCGGCAAATAGAGGTGACATTCGGGGGTCTTCCGGGTTGACTACACCGGGGTTCAGGCATTTGTGGCATAAGCGTGAGAATCCCGGGAAGATTTTCCGCATGATCCAGTTTGACGGGTCTGCGATAGGCTTCATTGGGGTCTCCAAGGCCATGTCAGTAGGACCGTAAAAGGACAAGACGGCCCGAAACACGTCTCGCTTTTCACTGTCCTGTTGCTGGGAGAAAATTGCGGATGACGAGGACAGTGCTAGGGCAATGTTGGCTCCGGCGCTGAAACCCGAAAGCGCAAGGCAATCAATGTCAAATCGTTCTGGTTGCGACCGTACCCATTTTACGACATCTTCGCCATCCTGAAAGGCTGCCGGGAAGGGATGTTCTGGGGCGAGACGATAATCCACATCAATTACTGTGTAATTGGTCCGGTCGGCAACGTAGCGACAGTACTCATCGTCGTTGCCGAACGTGGGAAGCACGAATCCACTACCGCAGAAGTTCATCAGGACCGGGGTGGGCTGCTGGTTCTCCGTGGTCGGTTTGTAGAGGTGGCATTTGATAGTTTGACCGGCATCTCGCAAAGGTATGTGGACGACCTCATCTGGTTTTGGATTGAGATGCAGTCTGGGCCGAACGAGACCGCGAAGGAACGTTGCGATCACTTTGTGTTGGGCATATTGCAACCCCATTAGAAGGGCGAGCAACGCAAGGACAAGCGAAGTCGCATGGAATTAGATGGTTCGGAGGTATCGGCAGCTGCTCAGTTGGAGTTCCAATGTGCAGTTTCCGGTTGAAAAATGAATTCCGATCCAGGGAGAGGATTATGTCCGGGAATAGATAAAAGGACACAATGACAACATTCCTTCGAGCAGGTTTTGCGCCGCCGATCATCCGTTCACGCAGGCTACGTCATTGGTCGCCGGGTTGGGAGGAAACGCGATGGCAAATGTGGAAGCCTTGCGTGTACATGTACCTGTTTCTCGGTTGAATCTCTTTATGCCCGTATGCCTTCGGGTGCCTTCAGGGCTAGTTTTCAATTAAACTTGACGGTTCTAACCTTAGCTTGGTGGAGTGGCTGGATCCACTGATGGCACCCTGCCAGGAAATATGTCATCGATAGATAGCCTTGCCCCAAACCTGTGAACTTGGACCACGATATATTTTTGCACCCAGCCTAGTGTATCACAACTCCGAATCAAACAACTGCGAATAAAGTAAACATCATCCCAGGTTGGTCTATCCCAAGGTGTCCGGTTTTCCCCGTGGTAGTAGGCGACCGTGTGTACTGAGCGCGTCTCGGGTTTAATGTTCTGAAGCTTTGCCAATGCTATGAGAATTATCCCCCGTCTGTAGTTAACCAGGGACAAGTATATGATGCGTTGGAAATTACTTCCGGTGATGGTTAACAGTTAACATCTGTGTTCGAGACCCAGGGCGGTGGAGAAATGAGGGGAAGCGCATGGCTTTATGTCATTGGCCCTGGCTGTTTACGGTACCTGGAGTAGGATCACTTTTCATATTCCAGCTACTCACGGGGCTGTGACCCTCCATCACCTGCGCTCTTCCACCCTCACGGCACCTGGGCGCCTGGGCGCCCTCGCACACACCCGTCGCGGCCCCAGAAGTCATGTCGTTCTGGTTCCCCACGGATTTCGGGGATGCGTGGCAGAGAAGGCACCTCAACTTCAGAGCGGGATCCTTCTGTTCACTCATCTTCGCGACCATCTCCTACGCAGTAGCCACCCTAGATAATTTTGCGCTCGTGGTAACACTTCCTTCTCTTGAACTCCTTCCTACTCATCCGACTCACATGCCTCCAGTTCCTCATCCCGGCGCTATGGTCTCTGACGGACACCGGGCTGCGTTTTGCAGGCAAACAACCCTGGCTGGCAATCGTCATGTTACTTGATTTGTGCTCAACGGTATTCATCGGATATTACATCCCCGTAATGATTTCCAACTGGATGTGGAGCGATAGTAACGCGCCGGCCTTGGTCGTTCTGTTCCTCATTCCTCCCCTGTACGTCCCATCCCGCCTGAATGATTCATTGTCCTGACCCGGTGCTGACCGATCGAAGATATTGCCATGGCGCCATATTCATTCGAACAAGCTTGCAGTTCCTGGAAATGTCACGAGAGCAGAGCAGGGGACCAGGGGCGGTGAGTCTTACTTGATCAGCAGTTGGTTATGCGTTTGGACACTTGCACACGTCTTCGGACTTATGATACCCAATGTTGCTATTTTAATTGCACCTTGAATGGAAGACTCCGGAGCTCGAGAGGAAAGTAGCACCGTATTTCTGGGGTAGGATCGGACCCGCCGAGGCTGGGCCGCGTAGAAGAAGTCACCCGGGCACAAACTTCACATGGGCACACTGAAGGGAAACCATTTTCTAGCGAGGCCTACGTCAAGAGCCAAGACGAGTTTGCAGGGTCCTCTGCAGTTGGCTGGCCTACGAGTCCGTTTCATGCTCTTCCAAGGGTTACCTCCACGTCGACCTCGAATGTAGATCATTTTTCTTCGAAGGATCTTCACTCAACGATCTTGCGACCTCAAAGATATCCTTTCCAGCCACGCGAATTTAGGCTGCAGGACGCAAATGATCATCTCCGTTTGTTATCTTCTTCGGGTTCCCCCTTCAGGCAGTGTCCTAACGTCGATCCCCAGGAGGCTCCCGGCAAGGACCCAAAGCCCAACCTTGGACTATGAAGTGACCTGTCACTCTTTCTTAGCGTCAAGCTAACGTTTCAAGTTTACGACCCCAAAATCTTGGAAGCTACAGATCCTCATCCCGGCAGTCCGGGTCAGCGTGAAACTACAGTACTCTAGCTGCCTGCAAAGCACACGGGTCCGAGAAATTGTGAAAAAAGGCAAATCCCACCAGCCGCTTCACCCCGGGAAAGGACGTACCGATGTGCAATCGATGCGACCGATCTTGCTGCGCCACATCCCTTGATTCGCGTAACTGGCAGCTTTGCAGCCCTGTCCGGTCCGTCCCCGGGCCCCGGGGCCAAACAGTCCCGGATATTACGATCCTCGGTGCTCTCCATCTGAGCAGGGGTTTTCGTGCCTCTCTTAATTTAGAAATGCGGTCATTCCAGGGCCTTTAGAGCGACTGGCTTGAGCTGCCAGATTACGGAGTGAAGGTTTATATCCCGGTTTTATTTCCCTTTTTATTTTTATTTTTTCCCTACTTCAGCTCAGTCTCGGGCATACGACTCTTTCCGGCAGTGATGGGGATCTGAAACTGCATGGACACTATTCCGGGGATGAACGCGGTAGTTCGTAGGTTGTGCTGCACAATTAACGTGGCTGACTCCATGGCGCCGGGGAAGCATTGGCCTTTCCGAAGCGCAGTCTCGTAGCAGGCGTTGCCGAGATGAACGTTGCAGGGGCAACGGGATGCAGCGGCTCTTCGGTAGCGATGCCGTTGGAGATGGTGTGCGTTTCAGAATTGAGGCGTCCCGCATGATTTGCAAGTCGGGCAAACGCCCAAGGGATGGGGGCCGATCACTTCCCCCTATGATCGGCGCCCTGTGAACTACTGGAGCTACCCCTGCGCACGATCGTTTTAGGTCGTCGGTCGTGGTGTGATACGTAGTATACGCTAAAACTTAGTTTGATAGTAAAAAAAAAATCAGGGGGTCCAAATCTGCAAGGTTTCTATCAGGTTACCTAAAAATAGTCGCTGCCAGGTTCAGAGCGGACGTCACCTGAAAAGTGTACCCAAACTCCTTATCCAGTTCGCACCCCATCAGCTGAACCGATCAGCTCGGGGACCCCGTATGAATGACCGCTTATGGCCCAGAAGGATCGTCGCTCGGCGAAGTCGGCACGGATTAGCGAATAAGCGAGCCTCAATAAGGTTGCTGGGATTCCACAAGCTCGGACCAAGCGTGCCTTGCATATCCTCTCGGTGGACCCGTAACGTCTTCAAACATTGCTCGCCAGGGAAGGCTGGAATGAGACCCTGGGCACGCGTGGGAAAAGCAACCTTATTATCTGAAACGCCGGTCCCATATGGCTTCTGTGGCTTCGCAGGGCACAGGGCGGGCTGGTTGATGTCCAAATGCGAGATTAATCTTGCATACCTCCGTCCTGCACGCGGGCCTTCCTACCGAGCTAGCCACTTGCGGAGAGGCGCGATCCGTACGGCCCTGGAATGAGGTATATTCTTCTTTAGGTCTGTTGGGAGTGGAAGGTTGTCTCCGGTTGAAAGCTTGCCCAACGTGATCAACTGAGCCACATCGGATGGGGACCGGTTAAGTGGTCTAGTAAACAAATGCGCTGAGAAGCGGTTGAGCCTACAGGAGCACGGCCCAAGAGATCCAGGAGCCACCGACGTGGCGCGTGGGGAATCAAACGCACGGTGATGCTCTGGTTGGACTCGTCATGCGAAGTGCGGACGCAGCAGCCAGATAGGAGTATATCCACGTGCCCCCCTTTCTTCGGAGGTTGGACCCTTGAATTATTCTGAAACAAGGCGTTCGCGTGGACGATCTTCTGTTTCCTCATCCGTCGCGGTCATAGCATTCCAACTTTTATGGCTATGCAGGCTGACTCGTAAGGCTTGGGACGTGGCTGGTATGGACTTGCAGTGGCTGCTGCTATTTCCGTAGACGATAGACGAGAGCCACGTCTTCCCCATTGCAAGGCCACGTCTTCCGCCGATGATGACCACCCCGGAAAGGAAATCGAAAAGCATGGGACACTTCACGCGTGGCCGGGAGAATTCCGCATCGTAAGCTTCTTTCCCTGGAGCGCCTGGACCAGTGCGTGATCTCCATGTGATCGACCACGTTGGTCCCACGACATTGTTTCAGCCCTTGCGAAGCTTTCGCACCCACGCGAGATTCCGCTTGCAAAGCGCACTTGCCGCCTAGCGTGCTATGCATGATGGCCCTGTCGACGACAGTCTAGAACTTTGGGGAAATGACGTCGCCCTTTCTCCCTGCAACTCCCTCCCAGCCCTTGTTCGATCTCTCACTGAAGATCCAACGTCTGACCTGCGTAAACCTGCATGTATGCACCTCCCCCTTGGCTCATTCCACGGCTTTTATGCCGCATCTGGTTATTCCCGCGCTGAAACATGTGGCTCGCCATGTGTCGATAGCCCTTGGGCCCTTGAGGAAAACATGCCCTTGAGTCGGTCGTCCTCGGCCATGCCCCCCCCCCACTCGCGGTCCTAGGTGCATCTGTACCTGCCTCTGCGCCCCGGTTTCCTGCAGCAAGCCAATCGTGTGCCTCGGGTCGCCTGTTTTGCATGAGTGGGCGAGTATGTGCCTTTTTTTGAACATGGCCCTTGGGGCCTAGCGTGGGAAAAGAATTCCAGTGCCGAAACTGGTTCATGCGGACTACTGCGACACACGCTCCAGTCTGATGGGGGAATGGTGTCACCGGGTCCGGTGGAGCCGTTCGTGGTCGTTGCGAACTGAAGATCTTTCCCTCCATTCCTTTCTTTGCTTAGCTCTTAATTTTCCCATGTGGGCCACGATGCAAGCTCCTGTGGAGCTCGCGTGTGCCGGAGCATGCCTTTTCCCCAGCATGGCCTTGCATTTTTCTTGCATATATAGCCCTCGGCTTCCTGCCGTTTCATCTTCATCTCACGTCAAGCTTCACTGTTTCATCATCTCAAGCCATCGGCTTTCTATAGCCAAAAGATTTATCTACAAGCCCATTCATCCCTCTATCCCACCTTGTCTACCGCAACGCCCGTTACTTCAATTGGCAAGGACTTGACCAAGTCAGTCCACTTCACATCCTTCACAATGTCTATCCCCGAGCCATCTCCCTCAAGGTAAGCCATTTTTATTTTGCAACATAGTTGAACACGTACTAACATGATTCCACTAGCCAACAAAACGGCACCGCAAGCAACGCTCTCAGCCAAAATAACGTCGGCCAAGTACAACGAACAAATCGCAGCACCGTTGAAAAGTTTGCCCGAGCACCAGCAGCAGAGCTCCCTTACTTTGCCGGCGCACGAATGCCGGAGAGGTCAACACACCTCCGGGGGCTCTCAAATCAGCTCAACGCGATGGACGAAATTTTCAACACGAGCAATTAGAAAGGGCAACTGAACAGAGCCCAAAAATGTACGATAGAGCGTTCCTTCATCTATGTAAAATGTCTATCCTCTGTATCAAACATCGAACTACCTAAATATTCTCATCAAGCATTCCCTTCAAAGTAAGTTCGAGATGTATGACGCAACTTCTTCATACTTGGTGCTGGGGAATTCGTGACCGGCTTCGTAAAACTCAAAGACCGCGTTCCCGCCAAGAGCAGCAGTGGCGTCAGAGACAAGCTGGTCCTTGATGATGATGGCATCATTGTTGCCACATAAGATGTGGACTTTGTCGATCGGGACACCCGGCGCACTCTGGTTGCCTGACGAGAGACCATTCTGGGCGCTCAGGTACTCTCCCAGCCGGGCCCATGTACTCCACTGTCTCTGGGCGAGAATTGGACCGTGACGCATGCTCGACATGAACGCATGGACAAAGCCGGAGTGGTTGTTTACTTGCCATGCCACAGCGGATGGGATATTGATGTGCGGGTATTCTCTCGAGAGAACCTGAATCTCGGCTGCGCCTTGCGACGGAAGCTCCTCGGTGAGCGCGTCTGCAGCATCGAGTTTGTGGTTCTTTGGCTTTGGGGACACCAGGGGTCCAGCCCGCAGTCGGCGACCGACGAGATAGCCAAGAAGATTCTCCGGCATCAAGCCACGGGAATAGAGCAGGCGGCTCTGGAAACTAATCTGCGAGTCGCGAACCAGACCAGAAGGTGCCAGAAGCACCAAAGATGACAGCAGGTGCGGGAAGAATGATGCGAAGGCGGCTGCGATTCCACCACCAAGAGAATAGCCAACCATGCTGAACTTGCCCGAGGCATCTCCAGTCCAAGCGATGGGCGATGAAGTCAGAGCAAGCATGATCTGCGTCGCGAACAGCCGATCATCTTGGGGAAGATCAGCGGGGCAGTCGGAGTATCCTCTCCCAAACCTAGGTGATATCTCATCAGCAAGCGCTCTTTGGAAAATAATTAACAGACGTAAACAGAACCTACAGGTCAAAGAGCATCACTCGGCAACCCCGGTCCACTAGCGCATGGGCCACCCCACCGAGCGCGATACAGGGCGTGGTGATGCCGTGCACCAGCAGCACCTTCGGACCATCCTCACGACCCCACTCGTATACTCGGATCGAACCGTACGGACTGGCGACATCGCGCGCACCGGGAAGGACGTCGTTCGGGAGCGGCAATTTGCGATGCTCCTCATCCGAGAGGCCGGTCAAGAGTCTAGTGCGGGGCGAAGGAAGGACGGTCTGGTTGAGCTCACCGCGTGTGAAAAGCGATCGAAGTAGGAAGCCGAGTGTAAAGGAGGCTCCGGTGACTGCCAACAAGGGCAGCTGCGTGCGATGGTTGGCCCAGGAGTCGGAGAGGAAATCCACGGTTTGGTGGTACAGGGCCATGGTTGCATCCGTGTACTCGCTGGAGCGAGTCGAATATCAACAGAGTACAGGGATGCAATGAAAAGAAGGGAATGAAGGGCTGGGTAGGAGGATGGATATCCCGTCAAAGCGCGAGTTGAGAGAAGACAGGAAGCAGACCGAGGCCCATGTGGCCGATAAGAGATAAGACGTCGTCATTGGCGATCCACATCAACACGGATAACGTCTAGTTCCGTCTTAAAACACTATGAACACAAACAACCACTTCAAAAGATTCTCCCACCGTGACTTGGATTACCATTTGAGATTCAAGGCCCTTCTCACTCCTTCAGCGTTGTTCGGAATTATGTTGTGCTGAACTGTCATCTAATGATTTGACCGCGGTGCGCCTAAGGAACAGCATTTGCCGGATTCCGGTGGCATACGAAGCATTTACCAGCAGCCATTCATGTCGCACACGAATGATGACGCACAAAATTTGATCTTGATACAACTACCCCGATAAATTGGACAGCCAAGAGTAAACTAATCGCGATTTGATTGGTTCCCCATTCATTATTGGAGACTGAAATAGGACGACTATAGCAAACTATCTGTGGCTGCACTTACGATGTCAAAGGTCAAGCATGTGCGACATTCTCTTCTAGTTCCACCGTAGGCTTATTTGCGTCCACCGGTTTAGCGATTTCCCTGTCTTGATCTTCGCGGAAGACTGACCATCAAGCACCTGAGTAACTTCTTCGAGAGGCAAGCCTATAATGTCTACGGCTGAGGCCTGAAATCACAAATGACCGTCGGGAGGGAGCTATCCCGCCCAAACATCTGGGCTAGATTTCGCATCTCGTTGTCGACTTATTACTCCGTCGACTGCGCACCTGGCCTAAAATACGGCAATCCTCGAAAGAGCTCGACCCTCTTTCGCTGCTCTTTCTCCACAAAGAACGGAGCGACAAGCATACACTGGCCGCCCCAAACAGGGAAAGTCACGAATAGACCAATTTATCGTCAGTAAATAAGCACCCAGAGCATCGAACGAGGAGGCTGATAGGGATCCCTCCAGCGCTCTCAGCGAAATATCAAGTCGTGAACCTGTGGAGAGAGTCACTGATATGGAGTTGATACCTCCCTCTCTGAATCCACGACTGGCGAATATGGCACGTTCACCTCAAGGGGCTGATTGGGATGTTTTTGAGGCTCTGAGTGAGGTTGCATCGGCAGAGGCCTGTGAAGGGATGTCGACGTGAGGAGCGAGCATACCGGTTCTTTGCCGAACGATGACTCCAGCGATGTTCTCGGAGTTGAAGCCGATGGTGAAGACACATTTATTTTGCAGTTAATTTCTTCACTATCCATGATCTCATGTTCCTCAAGTGAGCCATCACCGGAGCCAATGAATCGGCCCCATGAGATATAGTCGGAGTGTACAGCACGACTCGAGGCTGTCTGAAATGATAGAACGTCCGCCGACAAAGTGGGCAGCTTGCATCCTGTCCCCGAATCCAGGAATCAATGCAAGGCAGATGAAATAAATGGCCACAAGGTAACCGTCGATAAGACGAATTCGCGCCCAGGTCGTCCAAGCACAAGATGCAGCTCTCTGGGAGATCACCTGGATCTAAGTTGTTCTCAGTAAGCACTTGAAGACAAATGGACGCACTCGGAAATTTACCAGTTATAGTGTCTTGCAGTCCAAAGTAACACGGCATTCGGGCATACATGATCTCAGTGGCTGTCAGGCCACCTCGATCTGCGGGAGATGGCATATAGAAGTAGTACCCAGACATGATATTAAGACACACAGCTACAAACGGATATTTTCAACGTTCGAAGCCGGCAAGCTTCTTTTAACAGAACGGCCATGCTAAAACCCTATACCCAAGGGCGCCTGACCTACATAAGTATTATCTCCATTCTGGTTGGATAAATGAACGAACCCGATATTCCCAGTTGCTGGATTATCCGTGTGATCCGGGTGGGCACAATGATTTGGCCCCGAGGCAATACCCGCACGTTGCCGCTTCATTGCAACAGCTCCAACATAAGCTCAGCGATTTACACAGCCTTCTGAATTTTAGCCAGTGATAACCGCTCCATGTACGGTAAGGCACATGTCTTACTCGGATGTCGCGATTCGGCCGGGGTTTATGTCATCATGATAGTCCCGAGAGTCCTCGAGATTTAGTGGTGAACTATTAAAATACCTTGGAGTTCTCTTTTACAATGTGCGGATTCGACACCCGAGATATCACAGTTGCACTTGGTTATCAATCAATTCAACTTGTTATTTTGCATCACCGCCCCACCCTGCCTGGCCCGCCCTATCAACAGCCAACGCTCATGCGAACACCAATTCGAAGGCCCGGCTCTACTGTTACTACCCCATTCAAGTGCTGTGAAAGGCCAAGGAAAGCAACGGACCATTATCGAAATCGCCAGCCCGCAAGATTACAAACCCGTCGTGCCCATCCTTTCGGGCCTCGTGAGATGCCAGTAAGCCACAGTATCGGCACGCAGAGGTGCATGCAGGGGCGCCAGCTTGAAGTAATCACGGATTATTTACGAAGTAGACAAAGTAAATATTGTGACTCAACTCTGAAAATTTATCACTGAGCTCTCTGACAAGGATGTAAGAAGAACTATCCCATATCGTTCAGGATTTTATGCCTTTAAGCAGAGAGCCGAAACGGCTATCCGAGGCTCTATTTTCCCGGGCCTTTCATCGAAACTATGAGACCGCTTCACGCTCACACCAATCTTCTCCAATTTGCTCTGTAGCCCATAATACCCTCTATCAATATGCTGGGTGCCTGAAATAACTGTGACCCCCTTTGCGGCGATGGCCGCAATAACTAGACTAGCCCCGGCCCGTAAATCCGTAGCAGCTACCATTCTCCCGGATAGCCCTCTCACACCCGATATCACAGCGTCTTCCCCATCGACACATATATTCGCTCCCATGGCGATTAGTCCAGCAGATTGGTTAAAGCGCTCCTCGAAGACCGTCTCAGTGATTCGAGACTTGCCCTCCGCTATTGACAGCAGTGCCATGAATTGCGGTTGAAGGTCTGTTGGGTAGGCAGGGTATGGGCCCGTCTGGATGTCCACCGCTATGGGGCATATAGCTTTGTGGACGATTATCGAGTTTTCCTTGATATCGACCCGAGCACCGATTGCACGCAGCTTTTCTATCAGTGCGGTCTGGTATTTAGAAGTACAGTTATGCACTGCGAGAGGATTTCCAGCCATTGCTCCGAGAATCAGAAATGTTCCTGCTTCGATTCGGTCTTCCATGACCTTGTATTGATAGGGGAGGAGGGGCTTATCACAGCCGACAATTGTGATGGGATCAGCCCCCACTCCTTGTATCACCGCGCCCATGCTGATGAGACAGTTGGCCAGATCTGTCACCTCGGGTTCACGAGCTGGATTGTAGATATACGTCACTCCGGAGGCTAGACATGCTGCCATCATCAAGTTCATAGTCCCTGTCACGGACGGGGTCTGCATCTGAATGGTGGCCCCATGTAATCCCAAAGGAGCATAAGCCTCAACGGACCCCTCCGTGACACTGAGCCGAGCTCCCATTTTCTCCAACCCTTTTAAATGCTCCTCGATTGGCCGTGTTCCAATTAAACACCCTCCCGGGAGACAGAGTTTTGCAAATCCAAAGCGCGCAATGAGGGGACCCAGTGTCAAGATCGAGGCTCGTAGTGATCGCGTGAGCCTGTCTGGGACGTCCCGACCGCCTAGATTCGTCGTGTCGATCTGCAAAGAATCAGACGTGCGTGTGATATTTGCGCCCAAAGATTGACAAATCCGGCCCATGTTGCCGATATCAGACAAGGGTGGAATCCCTTCAAGTGTACTTTGCCCGGACGCAAGTAGAGATGCGGCCATCAGGGCTAGCCCGGCGTTTTTCGAGCCAGAGACGTGTATATCTCCCGAAACATGATGACCGCCTTTGATAGTTATAACGCTTGTCATCGTATGTGGTATAACTGGACGTTGCTGCCTTGATCATATCTTCTATAAGGAGAACATTCATCGCACAATGGATTTCCGGGATCAGATCGGCCCGCTCAGATCTGCAGGGCGCGCTAACTTCAAGCTCAGCTCAGACTGATGTGCCACAGCGGGCCACAATGTTACATAGCAGGCCGTGCAATAGCGGGGCATGGCGCTCTATAGCGGAATGTTATTGGCGATCCCGTTAGGACTAGGGTGGTTGTAAGGCTCGCGTGACTGATTGCGGAAGCAGCCGCTGAGCTAAAAACGAACCGATCCAGATCCGGATAAGATTGACATTGCGATCGACACTGATGGAAATGAATTCGAGACAGCATTCGGGGAAACAATTTTTACGGGGCTTGTCGCGTATTGCCGATCTACAAATGCTACCAAGTAGCCCAATATCTGCAACTCTCATCAAACCGCGACCCCAGAAATGCCAAGCTTTCACTGGGAGGAAAATATAAGCCTGCAATCCTACAACTCTTTCAAGATTCAAGTGACTGCACGTTACGTCGTCCGTGTTCAGAACACCAGTCTCAACGAGCTCCTGGAGTCACCATTGTTCCAAAACCGTCGCCATGTGATCCTGGGAGGAGGAAGTAATTTACTTTTTACCGAGAAGTCGTATGACGGCATTGTTCTGAAGAACGAGATCATGGGAATTGAAACCATATCTCGAAACGATACGCATACGTCGCTCAAGGTCGGCGGAGGCGTCACGTGGAGCTCACTGGTTGACTATTGTCTCACCCACAACCTTGGTGGTATTGAGAACTTATCCCTTATTCCCGGCACTGTGGGCGCGGCTCCGATTCAAAACATCGGTGCATATGGGGTGGAGCTCAGTGATGTTCTCGAAAGCGTGGAAATTGTTGACCTAGTGGATGGCGTTACACGTACCATGACGAGGGCCGAATGTCAATTTCGGTATCGAGACAGCATCTTCAAGCGTCTGAAGGATGTAATGGTTTCTACCGTAACCATCAAGCTTACCAATGCTCCTCACCATCGATTGAACACCACATACGGCTCGATCCGCCAAGTTTTAAGTGAGCGAGACATCCTCACACCTACCATATCGTCGGTCAGTGAGGCAGTATGTCTACTTCGCAGACGCAAACTACCCGATCCAAGAGAGTTGGGTAATGCGGGAAGCTTTTTCCAAAATGTTGCTGTCGATGATTTCACTTGCAAGTCTATCAAGAGCAAATATCCCGCACTTCCTGTTTTCCCTAGGGCAAACGGGCTTAGTTTCATTCCAGCAGCGTGGTTTATCGAGAAATGCGGCTGGAAAGGCAGGCGGATAGGCGGGGTTGGAGTATATCATAAACACGCTCTTATTATAGTGAATTTTGGAGAGGCGGATGGTGAAGAAGTGAAGGCGCTATCAGATCGGATTACTCGGGAGGTTAGCAGTCAATTTGGAGTGTGTCTTGTGCCTGAAGTAAACATAATTAGATAAAAGAGTCTAATATTTGAGTTTCGATGACGTGAGGTTCACGAGGCCAAATGATGAACTTGTGGGTCGAACTAAACGGACTAAACACAGCTACCTACCGTAGCGTCCCTGGTGGACGATCACAAAGTCTCACGGGAGTCATTGCTGTTAAATATCAGCCATGACAAACACCAGCTAGGCTCTGCAAAGCTCGTTGTAGTATCAACTGCAGCAATGAAGGGTCAAACCAATGTTGAGGTTGAAGCAGCTCGAGGGCGACGAATTCCGGTGATTCACAGATCCGAAATATTGGCTTCGTTGATGCGCCATCACAAGTTCATTGCCATTGGCGGCAGTCATGATAAGAGTACCACGACTAGCTAGAAGCCGGTGGGCTGTCCCCGACAACTATATCAGGTGATGTTATCACTCGGTACGGCAGCAACGCTCACCTGGGCTCGGGTAGTTGGTTGGTTGCGGAAGCCGACGAAAGCGACGGTACATTAGTCCAGCTGCTGTTTTGATTTCGGTGGTAACGAACATAGACAGCGACCATATAGCATTTTATGGCACCCAAGAAAAAAAACGCAAGCTATATTTGCTCACTTTGTGCGGAACGTGCCATTCTATGGTCTCGCAGTCTTTTGCATTGACGACCCGGGGGTTCGCAAAATCCTCCCTGAGGTTCAAGACCGCAACGTTGTGACATACGGTGTTTCAGACAATGCATATGTTCGTGGGGAAAACATCGAATACAGTCCACAGGATTGTCCCTTCGGTTCGTCCTTTCCGTCCGAAACGACAGGATGAAATTCGGCGGGATGTCGGAACTATAGTCTTGAATGTTCTGGGATTGCACAATATTCGGAACGCGCTAGCCACTACTGCCATTGCTCTTGAGCTGGGCATTGGGCTAGAGAGCATTCGTCATGCCTTGGGGGGCTTTCCGGGCACGGATCGCCGTTACATCCATGTAGGAGAAGTGAATGGCATTCAAATCATCGATGATCATGTCGCACACCCTGCAGAAATGAAGGCAACACAAAAGATGGCAAAGCAAGCGGGTGCCCGCAGAGTCATTGCTGTCTACCAGCCTACCGCTGTAGTTAGAAATGCGAAGGCGTGGCTGGAAGAAGACCCGGCAGCTTTCCAAGATTCGGCGCACATTATCGTCGGCCAAGCAGATGGGGTTGATCCAATTCCAGCGGCCGAGGCACGGGAGGCACTAATTCAATACCTGCACTCCCACGGGCGTGAGTATGCGATTTCGATGCCAGATCCATCTGTACTTCCAGAGCCGGTGTCCCGCCTTGGGCAGGAAGGTGACTTTGTCCTGTGTATGGGGTTCCGTAGCTCAACTCTCTGGGCACGGGCATTGGCAGGCCAATTAAAAGTTCTCGGAACCCCGCGGAAGAATGATAATGGAAGTAGGACATGATCAATGTGAATGATTGAATGCTGGTTGTCGTATTTACTCGAGAATATAGGGTGCTGAAAAGCTGAATTTAAGACGAACCGGTGATATAAACCCACATTTACAAGAAATGACCATATATTCCATTTATTAAAGATGCACTGGGGCAGTTCAGCTTTCTGAAACTAAAGAATGTGCCGTTCAAAACCGCGTTAAGGCGGCCGGCCGGCCCGAACCGGGCGACACGGACTTTCCAAGAGATCCCCTTTCAACTTCTGTTCTTCGGATCATAACATCCTCTTAAACATGTACCCAACGCATTCTGAGCATTCCTTAGTTCATCGGGCCCTGCTGTGATATTGACACTGTGCAGCTTTTCCCTCCTATTGCTCTCCTCCAATGATCGAGTTGTGAATTTGAACTGTTTTCTGAAGAGCCAATGTCAGCTCTCGCGACTCCGGACGGCCATGATGAGGCCAACTCGCATTCGGATGACACTAGTATGACTTTGTCACCTAGTGCAGCAATGTCGTGCCCACCGAGCGAACCTGTCGAGGAGTCCGAGACAAATCTAGATGAAGTCGCCGCACCGCCTCCTGTCTACGACCCGTCGGAAAGGTCGATTCAACACCACGCATACTTGGAAACCCAGCTGTCTGAAACAAATCATTCTGTTCCACCCAGTCCTGAAGGGGTAAGCAAAGAAAGCGAGGCGTCTACCCCCGACAGCACTGCAGCACAAAAACCGGCGGAATCTCATACAAAGCGACGGCTTGTTAAGTTCTCACGAATAACATGCATTCTCAGCTATCTCATTATCTCCTCCATATTTGGAACTCTTCTACGAATGGTGATTGAATGCCTGACATTCTATCCCGGGACTCCGGTGAACACAAGCGTACTCTGGGCCAATGTTGGAGGCAGCCTTATAATGGGCTTTTTGAGCGAGGATCAGGAAATCTTCTGCCATGAAGAGGTAAAAGTTTGGGCTGTTGAGCCAGAGAGATGGGATAACGCACGACGAACTGCGCATGTGAAGGCACACAAGAAGACCGTGCCTCTTTATATCGGATTGACGACCGGATTCTGTGGCAGTCTGACGTCCTTTTCCACTTTCATTCGTGACGTGTTTTTTGCACTCGCCAACATGCTACCTATGCCTTTTGGCCCTTATGCTGATGTCTCCCTGTTTGCTTCTGCGCCGAGGGATGCCATGGCTCCAAATGGAGGATTCAGCTTTATGTCTATTATTGCGGTTTTGTTTAGCGAGGTTTGTTTATCACTTGCTGGTCTCTTCCTAGGGGCCCACCTTGCAATTGCTGTATCCCCATGGACCCCTAGCCTTCCTCTAGCATGGCTTCGAAATGTGTTGGATCCGATTATCGTCGTCCTTGCGTGGCTCTCATGGGCGGCGATGATTTGTCTCGTCATTCTACTGCCACAAAATTCAAGGCTCAGCACTATTTGGAGTGCGGAGCTCTGGAGAGGTCCCGTTCTCTATGCTTTGATATTTGCGCCGGTTGGTTGCCTGGCTAGGTTCTTCATTTCATTGAAACTCAATGGTCGGGTTCCTTGGTTCCCGATGGGAACATTCACGGTGAATATAGGAGGCACAATGGTGCTCGGCATGGCGTACACTCTCCAGCATGCCTCAATCGGTACGTCCAGTCTCGGTGGGGGAAGTTATATTGACTGTCAGGTTCTCCAAGGAATCATGGATGGATTTTGTGGATCCCTTACCACGGTCAGTACATGGATACTAGAATTGTCGGATCTTCGCAGACGCCACGCATATTTGTATGGTGGCGTGAGTGTTGTGGTTGCATTTTGCGCCCTGGTTGTAGAGATTGGAAGCTTGAAGTGGACTCAGGGCCTTGTCACTCCATTGTGCTTTGTTGAATGATCTTTGACTGTCAAGACATGCATAGAACTGACGACTGGTCAGAGATATTTCTGAATATAAAAGGACTGGGATCATTTTAATTTGCTTTGTCTCGAAAGCACAAGATTAAAAATCAGAGTCACGTTTCTGTCTCGATTCAATACTACAGAATTGACCGTCGAAGTTGAACAACTCCGCACCACGATTGGCGCATCAGCCAAGACTTCGTAGTCATCCTTCAGACCTTCTTCAACCCTTGGTGCTTCAGTTTTTGATACACGTATTCGGGCGCCGTAATGGTTTCGAGTGGGGCGTGGTGGGTTTCCCCTTGTGTCAGGGGTCAATTTGAGCGCCGGGTGTAGCAACGGTCGAGTATTAGCCCATCTTCAGTGCCCAAGTCATTCTTGCACGGCAAAGCTGACACTCCACGAATATTGCCTACTATAATTAAATAGTTTGTTCGTCATGTGTATAAGTTTCAAACCTGGCAAAACCAGTCCAATCACACGGCACACTCATCGTCATTCACCTTTCGGATGAACAGGCGATCAAGACATATATCCAGGCCACGCTCCAAGTGCTGAACATTCTTTTCATCATTGAAGGATATTTTGCTCCTTCGGTCCGCTGGCACGGTCAAATCTTAGCAGGCAGGCGTTGACGCCGATCTGAAACGCTCCACGCCACAGAAGCGCTGGCTCTGGTAAGCCGGATACTATTGAGTCGAGCGAAGCCAGTGCCACCGTTATCTTCTCCAACGTCAAGCTCGGCCCGATCGGATCAACCCACGCCTCGTAAATGGTGACCGATGGGGGTATTTTGCGAATCGCTGAGACATCTTCATTGAAGACTAAATTAGCGTGGACGCAAGCAATCTGCAGCTGTTTTGGCCAGTAAAACAAAACGTTGAGACCGCGGAGCAGTATTTTGTCATTTGGTATTTATTTCGATATGTCCTTCATATCTCATATAGAGCCAGGCTCACAATTTGATTCATTTTTCATTTTCATTGTCGAAACCAAATATAGTTTAAAGTCGGAGGCTCAATTGATGTCACTGAGCCTAAGGCGGAAGATTTCTCGGGCCGCCCCAAAAAAACGGCTCGCTCCAAGCTCACGACTTGCTCGAGCTTGCAATTGGCTGCCTGTTCCCTCGATCTCTTCAGTAGAGCGGTTTCTTCGACCTCTTATACCCAGAAACCATGTTTGACACGGTCTGCACCCTACCGCTCTCGGCGGACTTGTTCAGCCAGGCCCTCCACCCGAAGGAACCCGTGGTGTCCGTCGGCCTTGCGACAGGTCACGTCCAGACCTTCCGACTGCCCGTGGAAGAGAGTGACAATGAAGGCGATGCTGCGTTGAATACATCCTTGCGCAATGGGAAAGGTCACATCGATACCATGTGGAGGACGCGGCGGCACAAGGGCAGCTGCCGCACTCTTGGCTTCGGCATTGACGGCGAGACGCTGTACTCTGCGGGTACGGACGGCCTGGTGAAGGCTGCCAATTCGGAGTCTGGCCAGGTGCAAAACAAGATTGCCATCCCATTCGAGAAGGACGGGTAAGAGATCTGCGAGTCGCGCTTGCTTTGCGACAATTGGCTGATTCTTTTTTCCTCTGCAGATCTATCGATGCGCCGACCGTCATTCACGCCCTCTCCCCTCAGACCCTGCTACTCGCTACGGACTCCAGTGCTTTGCACCTCTATGACCTGCGAATCCCTTACTCCAAGGTATCGGCACGCCCGGAGCAGTCGCACCACCCTCATGACGACTACGTCTCCTCTTTGACCCCTCTTCCGGCCTCCGATACCAGTACCTCCGGCTTCAGCAAGCAATGGGTCACCACGGGCGGTACAACCTTGGCCGTGACGGATCTACGACGGGGTGTCATGGTGCGCAGCGAAGATCAGGCCGAGGAATTGATCAGTTCAGCGTACATAGGTGGCCTACCGAGCAGCGGAACCAGCCGCGGTGAGAAGGTTATTGTGGGCGGTGCCGGCGGCGTCCTGACACTTTGGGAGAAGGGTGTGTGGGATGACCAGGACGAGCGCATCTACGTCTCGCGCGATGCGGAGGGCGGCGAGTCCATTGAGACCATGGCGACCGTGCCGGATGAGCTGGGCTACGGCAAGCTGCTCGCGACCGGTCTCGGCAATGGCATGGTGAAGCTTGTGCGCATCGGTGCCAATAAGGTTGTCTCGGAGGTGATGCACGACGAAACCGAGGGTGTTGTGGGCTTGGGCTTTGACGTTGAGGGCCGCATGGTCTCTGGCGGTGGACAAATCGTCAAGGTCTGGCACGAGGCTGCGGCCTCTGGGGGTGCTGCAGATGGTATGGCAGGTGGTAAGCATGGCCTGGGAGATAGCGACGACAGCGAGGATGATTCCGATAGTGAGCAGGAGAAGCAGCAGGACAAGAATGAGCGCAAGAAGCGAAAGAAGGCCAAGGGCAAGGACCGCGGACAGCATGTCATGGCCTTTACCGACCTGGACTGATCCAGGATTTTATCTGATACCCATGACTGCAGCAAAACATCTTAATAAACAGTATATTTTATATTAAGGTTCCAGGGTTGGCGCGTAGATTGGATTCACACCGAGAGCATCCCGTGGGCAAATCTATATCCGAGACGAGCTTATTCATGCTGAACTAAGATGCGGGTCGCCGGGGGATTTCCGCCCTCGACATTGTATTTTACAACGATGTGCTTGCTATCATTGGCATTGAATGTTGGCAATGGGGAAGATAAACTCCGCACAGGTAGATCTAGGCATATTTTGTACTTCTGGACCGATTCCGACTCAAAGCATCGGATCCCAGCTCTGAAGAACTGCCGACCCCACTGCCCCACGGCAACCCATGACGTTCATCCGATTGGGAGTGTGGAGATACTTAATGAGCTTGGGTTCCCTTGATCTTTATTAAAAAAAATAAGTCAAGATACAATGGATGCCTTTGAGTACAACCCCAATCCCGGCCGCGTCCTCTTTGGCAGCGGCACCTTGCAGAAACTCCCCGATGAGATTGCCCGTCTGCAAGTCAAGGCTCCTCTGGTGCTGTCAACACCGCAGCAGATCAACCAGGCCGACAGCGTCAAGGATGTGCTGAAGGGCAAGGTTGCCGGAATCTTCAGCGAGGCTACCATGCACACTCCGACTCATATCACCGACAAGGCTGTCGAGTATGCGAAGGCGCAGGGCGCCGACTCGGTCATCTCCATCGGTGGTGGAAGCACCATCGGTTTGGGCAAGGCGATTAGCATTCGCACTGGACTACCCCACATCTGCATCCCGACGACCTATGCCGGCAGTGAAATGACGCCCATCCTGGGTGAGACGGCCGATGGCTTGAAGAAGACTCGGTCCGATCCGAAGATTCTCCCCGGGACGGTGATCTACGATGTGGACCTGACTATGACCCTGCCCGCGGCCATGAGTGCCACAAGCGGTGTCAACGCCATTGCTCATGCCGGTAGGTTCATCCAAGAAGTCCTATGAAGCCAAGGTAGCTAATGCTCCGATCTATAGTGGAGGCACTCTACGCCCGCAACACCAACCCCATAATCAACATGATGGCCATCGAGGGCACCCGGGCTCTTGCCTCTGCTCTCCCCGAAATTGTTGAGAACCCCTCGTCTCAATCAGCCCGGTCCCGTGCTCTGTACGGCGCCTGGCTCTGTGGAACCTGCCTGGGCAGCGTGGGCATGTCCATCCACCACAAGCTGTGCCACACTCTCGGTGGCAGCTTCAACCTTCCTCACGCAGAGACTCATACCGCCGTTCTCCCTCATGCCATCTCTTATAATGCCCCCAGCATCCCCGAGGCTATGGAGCAGCTCGCAGACGCCCTCCCGGAGAGCAACGGCGATGCAATCCACGGCCTGAACGTCCTGCTGACCAAGCTCAAGGTTAAGCGTGATCTCAAGGCCTTCGGCATGAAGGAGGAAGATGTGGACAAGGCTGCAGATATCGCAGTGTCTAACGCATACTGGAACCCGCGTGCTATTGAGCGCACGCCGATTCGCGAGCTGATCCGCAGAGTCTGGGCGGGCGAGCCGGCGCGTGCGGACTTGTAAATACCTTGGATACAGTGTAGATAAAATGACATCTTTAATTGATCCACATACCTGAGTTCACACCAAGGAAAGTGAAAAATAAAGGTAGAAAAGGTGTGGTGCGCATGTTGGGCACTGCCAATGGGCTGATCCGTAATTTGTGTTATCGTGGCGGGGGAAGTGGGGGATGCATTTTTTCTCCAAAATTTTTAGATCTCCCACTTGCATTTATCACGCACAACATCCCTCCACGATATTCAAATGTCTTCGGAAATGGAGGCAGCCCCCGTGCTGTCGACCCCCGATGATCGCATTCTTGAAGAAACTACGCCCGTGGCTACCTCCGATGCGACGCACCCGCGCCCCGACGAGGAACTCTCTATTACCTATGATATCGAGCGCACTCTGAAAGAGATCCGTCAGGCGCGGTACAAGCGCATTGCCCTCCAGTTCCCCGATGACATGCTCCCCGATGCTCCCCGAGTCTTCCAATTGCTGAGTCGTGGGCTCAATTCGGATGAAGTTGCCAGTGCCAGTGGTACATCTACAACCCAGACAAATGGTGGCGCGGACGATACGGACGGAAACATCGCGCAGTCTGTGTCTCAGCTTTCGGTGGAAGAGAAGGAGAAGTGGCCTCCAAAGTTGTATATTCTGGCGGACACTTCGTACGGCCTTTGCTGTGTGGACGAAGTGGCTGCGGAGCATGTGGACGCAGATGTCGTGGTGCACTATGGACGATCGTGTCTTTCTCCTACGGCGCGATTGCCCGTTATCTACGTCTTTACCAACAAGCCTCTGCCCATTGACCCTCTTGTTCAAGCCTTCAAGGCGACCTACCCTGACCCGGCAACCAAAGTCATCATTGCGGCCGACGTCACCTATTCCGAACATGTTCCGACGGTATACAAGCGCCTGGTGGAGGATGGATACACCGAGCTCTTTGCTACAGAGATCATGCATGAGCCATCATCGGCCATTCCGAACCGCACAGTCCCAGACTCCGTCCGCGAGGCGCCCGAAACACTGTCGGAATGGCAGCTGTTCCACATCTCCGATCCGCCAACCGCCCTTCTCCTGACCCTTGCTTCGCGCGTTGCCGCCATCCATATATATCCCACGAATCACCCAAGCAACGACAACGTTAAACCTCTGCCGGCCTCCACTGCCGCTGCATTGCGTCGGCGCTATGCCATTCTTACATCCCTGACTACGGTACCAATCTGGGGCATCTTGATCAACACCCTCAGTGTGAAGAACTATCTGCACATCGTGAACCATGTCAAGGAACAGATCGCTGCGGCAGGCAAGAAGAGCTACATGTTTGTGGTGGGTAAGCTAAACGCAGCCAAGGTGGCCAACTTCAGTGAGATTGGTGGCTGGGTGGTCATTGGCTGCTGGGAGAGCTCGCTGGTGGATAGCAAGGAATTCTGGAAGCCCGTCATTACTCCGTTCGAGTTGGAGATGGCTCTGAAGGGCGATGCGGAGCGGGTGTGGACTGGCTCGTGGCAGAGCGACTTCCAGTCTATTCTCGACAAGCCCGCAGAGGAAGCGACGGCTAACGGCGGGACCAATGCGGACGCAGACGAGGATGATGATGATATGTCGGAACCCGAAAGCGCACCGCCCGAGTTTGATCTGCGCACCGGTCGCTACGTCTCGCATTCCCGGCCGATGCGTGATCCCGCACCGCGCGCTTCTGCCCAGATCGATGGGTCTAATGGCCCTTCTGCCGCTAGGGCTCTGGCCAGACGGGCCAAGGGTGACTTAGCGACGATTGGCGGCGCGGTATCGCCAGGAGCAGAGTACCTGCGGTCCCAGCGCACATGGAAGGGGTTGGGCAGCGACTTCGATATTCGATACGACGAGGAGGACCCGGACAGCACGCTGGTCAAGGAAGGGCGCAAGGGCATCGCTAGGGGGTACACCGTGGGCGAGGGAGACAAGCACTAGCCATAGAGCACGGAGGAAGTCTTGTATATAGCGCGAAAGAGTTAATGCAGAAGCAAGATAGTTGACTCTGCTAAGAACCAGGGTCTCCATCACATGACGATGATTTCTGACGGGCGCATCCGGCACTCAAATTGTTTCGACTTTATCTATTCTTCCCTCACTTGAGAGAGTGAGACTTGTTTTCCCTTTCGTCTAGTCCGTAGAGGTTCTCCCCCTCTCGAACCCCTCTTCTCTCCTTGTCCTCCCCTCAACCCTTCGCATACCCGATCCGCCCTCTCGACCCTACACCTTATCGCTCTCGATCTTTGAGGCACCTCACCACCGTTGGCCTTGCATGGTGGCTTGGAAATGTGATTGCCTCCTCGTCTTATCATGTGCTGCACCGTAACTCAGCCTGTCCGCGACTTCGCGTCCCTGCCTTCGACCTGAGCGAGAGCACGAGCACGAGAAAGAGAGATCGAGACCGGTAGCTTTCCCCGGGTTCGGATGCAAAGTCCACCACGACACGATGGCCATGGATCTCGATGCCGCCGAGCAGGCGCCGCAGCAGCTCGTGGAGAATGCTCTGCAAAAATCCGTCGTTCCCGCCGAACGTCCGTTATCCCTCTTCGAGCGCGTAATCACCACCAATGCGCCCATCTTGGAGTCACTACTTCTCCAAATCCCGACCGACACCATTATCAAGCTATACCATACCTCCCATTACCTTCGCACGTTCCTTCGCTCGTATCCGACCGCATGGAAGACCCTTTCCTTCCGTCTGCTATTCCCGTCAGGCACGCTACCAACAACCCGGATCATCATTCCGGGCACGTCCGAACTAGAGACACATCGCCAGTCAAGACCGTATGCCTTGGATCAACTGCTTATGAACGTGGTGATCCCATTCAGCGGATGCCTCAAGAGCCTGGAGCTCGATAACACCGCTGTTTCGGGTCAGATTCTCATCTCAACCGTGTTGCATGCGCGGCGGGAGACGTTGGAGCATCTATCTGTCCGTGGTTGCAAGAATGTGTCTCTCAAATACCACATCATCCCGTATCTGACCATGTTCGGGCTGCAATATGATGTGGATATGGAGAGGAATATAGGAAGCTCCCCTGCAACAAAACGACTTGCGCTGAAGAGTCTTTATGCCTACCGGTGCCGCCATCATCGTCGACGGCCGTATCTTTCCGCTTCGCTCTTGCGCAAGGATTCTGACTCTGAACCAACGCATGAGCTAGTTAGTCTTTGCCATAAGCTAGGGATCTGGACCGACACTGCTTGGTGTACTACGCCCGCCGGTAGATGCTATCGAAGACGCGGGTATGTCTCTATGAGGGTTCCCCAAGGCTCACCCGAGGTCTGGGTTGTGTTCGACCGACTCTGGAGATGCAAGAACTGGATTGGATCGGTCGATGAAAATGCAGCGCGGCCAATCGTGCGTGATGGGAAGCTCTGGGAGAACTGCGACACCGGATGCTATGGAGAGGCCATAGGCACTGGGGACGGTCCTGACATGGGCGAAGGCAAGATGACCCCTGCGCATCTCCGCCGGAGTCACACCCAGTTTATTCAGAATGTTAAATGTGACAACTGCTTCGATGAAATCTCAGAACGGTGCGAGCAGTGCAGCATCCTAATGCACTGTGTGGGATGTCGACGAACCCTCTGTGCCAGCTGTGCCTATGAGCGTCCATACCTTCATCGTGGAAATTCTGCTGCATCAACCACCGACAGCACACCAATCTCGCAGGACTCTTTGTGGTGGGCACCCGGGGCAACCTTTTCACCCAGTTCTATGCAGGACCCAATCTCAAATCCTCTTGACAACGGCCCCTTCCATGCAGCAGCATCCACATCACACCCAGCCCTTAATTTCCACTGGTGCTGCACAGAGCCGATTTTCTCCGGTGGAGGTGGTATCAGCATCGGCACCCCCAGTCGTGATGTTGATCAAGTACGCGCCGTACCTTTGCCCCGCGGCCAAGGATGGGAGGACCTTGAATACACCGTCAGCGAGTGGAGCAAAACTTTCCCAAAGTATGCCTACGGTGATCCCGGCCAGCCGGACTACTCCCTGGAGACCGGGCATCTCGCGATGATGAAGTGGTTACTAGGACCGCCCAATCGACAGGTTTCACCCTGCCCACGCAACCTCTGCCAAGAGTGCTACGACTCGCCACAGTGGAAGGTTCACTGCAAGAGTTGCTCGAAGCCTCTCTGCATCGAACATGACCTCCGTGGACTCCGCCTGCGCATTTGCGGCTATCGTGACCTTGCATTCGAGAAGATGACTATCCAAACCCAAGCGGTCAACGCGTCATCATCATCTGATGCCACCCTGAGCCAACTCCCCGGCTATGACCTCCCATTCCGCACTCAGCGTCAGGATTCAGCCAACAGCAGTTTCATCGACGACCCACCAGGTGATACCTTCGCAGACGACAATGTCTCCGAGCCACCCAACGGTGACCAGTCAACCCAGTCGCTTTTCCCTCGTCACTCCGCCCGGTCCTTCTCCGCCCCACCGTCCAACCACTCGGGATCCTCGTCGCCATCGTCTGCATCTTTTGAGTCGACCTTTGAAGTGCCACGTTGGCAGGGATGCCAATCCTTCTATTGCCCTCAGTACCGTGCCGTCGGTGATCAGCGCCAACGGTGCCCGAGTCACCTCCGGGAATGTAAGGCCTGTGCCGTCTATGTCTGCTCCGAATGCGTGGCGGCCAATCCGCCTTGCAAGTGCTCCTACTGCGAGGAGAACTATCTGTGCCCCAACTGCATGAAAGCACGTGCCCGTGACGGAACTTGCCGCCGCCGCGAAGAAGAAAAGGCACGGAGGGAGCGGAAGTGGAAGAAGGACATGCAGGTGCTGGAAGGCATCCTCGAGCTCAAGGTGGCCAATGAGATGGCCGAGTTTGCCGGTCAGTTCTTTGAGTTTGTGGAGCACGGCTCCTCCCAAACTTCCGTTATCAGCACCAGCGCTTTAATCGACCTCATCAATATTCACGAGGACAACGAGGCGGGCGCACATGACGGTTCACAGAACAACCTGACGAACTTCCAGTCTCCGTTGTTCCTCGGAGCTAACCACGTCGGTCCCCTCTACGAGTCGGAGTAGACTGCAGGGAAGCCCGTTCTTTGGTACACATCTACCAACCTCCATCTGATTTTCTTTCACCTCTCGTTTTCTTTAGCGATCTTCACATACCACGGCGCCAGCGGGAATCTCTGGATACTTTGAAATTTCTCGTCTATTTCTCATTTCCTGACTCTTTTCCGAAGCGATATATGCATTAGGGTGGGCCAATACCCGAAGCGTTCCAGCAAGGTGCATCTACGGATTCTTTGTTCTCCCTTCCTTCCCCTCCCTTCTTTCAATCCGGACCGGGCCTGCAGAACGGGGCATGTCAGGTCTCGGGCGTCTTCAGTCCCCCCTTCCCCTTCGGCTCTGCATATTTGTAAACCGGTCTAACGACATGGCTGGCCAATGGATGCAGGCACCGTGCCAGTGCTTATGACTCTTTCCTTTCTGATCCCTTTCCGGGCTGGTTGTCCCGGGTCGTTAGACAGGTGATGCCGTTGAGGCGCTTACCACGGCCCTATACCCTATTTCTAGAAATCAACTCGTTCTAGCTATTTCCCTTCATTTGTAGGCCTCCCTTTAGGGTTCCGGAGCCAAGTGTGGCATGAGAGCTGCCTCGGCTTTAAGATCAGGCATCTATCTACTCGGCGCATATGAACCCGTAAGGAGATTCGCTCCATCTTCCGTGCCGAGATCCCTGCTGAGGCTGAGCCATACGTGGGCCCGCTATGGATGTTACAGTTGACACCTCCCTGCACGGTGCTAATGTCATAGATATCAATCGTGATGTGTCCCCGGAAGGACCAACACCGATACAAGCCCCAAGCAGGCACGGTCTTGTGATGCCATCGCGGAGATGAATACCCATTTCAATCCGCCTGGTAGGACCGAGCGGCAGCATGTCATTTATCTCGCTTGACGGCTTCTGCCTTGTTGTTCGAGCACGCGATGGTCGTGGATTGGACGGAGCTGGGCTGTTGTACCGGCGGTCAACCGTTGCTGGGGGTGGGCGTTGCGATCTGGTGGAGATCCGGGTGGAAGGGAATCCGGTGACCTTGGGAGAAGTACGGCTTTAGACCGAATCGGGGCGTTTCTCGCTGATGGACGTGTCCAAAGTACACGTTTCCGGTTATCGTAGGGTACCTTTGCGTCGACGATGCATTTTTTGGTGCCAGCGTTGCTCCGGCCTTCGATGAAAAGTCCTTATTCGATGGTGATCGACGATCATGGACCGTTGGCTGCTGGGTGACGAGGATCGTACCGTTTCGGTTAAATGTCAATACCGGGAAATCGGAGAAATTCCTATAGTTTGGTACACTACTGCGCGGATGATGAATGGTCTCCACGCCGAACCTGGGAACAAAGGGGCTGTAGATCTATAGAGTACTGCATATCTATGGAGCTCATGGCTGACTTGGTTCACCCGAGCGTGTGCCTTGAACCAGCAACTTCCTTCCATAGACGGTATCAACTCCCTCCTCTGGATCCAAGTCATGGAGCCGAAGATAAGCTTCAATGAAACAGACCCCAGAACGGCTAACGGTGCACTCCGAATCTCGCGCTGACGTGGTGACGACATGCAAAAAAAGTGCCGAAGATCGCGAGGCAGTGCAATCTCACGGTCATCTGACGATAAACCATCTGACCGATGCGGTCAAGGAAGTCAACGGCCATGCTGTATCCCACGTGGAGAATGCCACCTCCCGCAATGCGCTTCGTTGTCGGTGAACGCACCTCCAATGGCACCGGGTGCCGTTACGTGCCAAGCGTCGCAGGTCCGGGATCCGATCGCGGATCGCTGGGGTCGAAATCCCAACCCGGTCTCCCGGCGCGCCCCCCGGCCCCAGTCGGGCGTCGTCCGCCTCAGACGTCAACTCGAGAGAAAGAGCGTGGATGGGGCTATCAGATCGGCTGGCGCGGATGCAAAATCAAATCCCCCCGGTTGGTAGTGATCCTTGATCGCGGTACGCTGGAAGGCTTCCCATTAGCCAGAGGGTCCCAAGCTAGTACTGGGGCCGGGAGTTAGATCACTCCCCACTGTGGTCTGACATCACCGGGCTTAACTCTCTGGTTCCCGGCACTGATGGGGTCAGGGTGTATCCAGGGGGTGGGGGCAAAAGTGGGTGTGGAGAAAGCAGGCGCAAGTTCCAGCTTTGAACTCTGCTGAAGGAGAGAACCAATAGGCGAGGCTGGATATCTCGATTCCTGCATATACCGGGTTTTACCCGGCCTTTCAGAGTGACTGGCTAGGCGGACCGCTATCCCGTTACGCGGTTAGGGAGAATCTAGGGAGAGTCGGTGAACGCGTTGGCGGCGCAGACCAAGTTGTGGCTCGTGACCGGCTCCCGGAGCAAACATTTCTTATTTTCTTAATTTTTTATTTTTTTTCTTGGTTATTTATTTGATTTTAATTTTAGTTAAAGTGTTTTTTTTGAATTTCTATTTTCTCGTTTGGGTTGGATACCAAGCTTCCAGAAATTCATATAAAGGGGGCCGCAGCCGTTTCAGCTCTTGACTGCACTGCTCAGACTTTCAAAGTTATCACCTCCGCTTCCTCCAGATCTCGAGAACCTTCAATACCCAACACTTCATCACTTGTATCACGCACTTCGATCACCGTCGCCATGGACCAAGTCAAGCCCAAGCAGGCCCAGCCTCAGAAGCCAACCACCAAGCCGCTCAGCATGGTCGAGACTTATCAACGACAATGGGACCAACTCATGGAAGACACCAACAAGCAAATCGACAAGATCCGCCGTAAGTTGATCCACGGGTGATGCACCGACTATCATATGCAGAGAGAAGTTTACTGACAGCCTGCAGAGGAAGAGCAAGCCAGAAACTCTAAACAGTCCACTCGATAACTCTTGACGACGCTTGTCTTTTGCACTCTCTCGGAGTTCTCGGGTGTTTTTTTCATGTCTATTTTTTTTCCCTACATTTCCTACAATTTGCTCATATGCATTCTCTGGAGCGGCCACGGAATGGGGCGGGGGGGATCCGGGATACTGGGACACATTCGCTACGGAGTTTGAGCTATGGTCGGTTTACAGGGATCAATTGGCATTGCCAGCACCTCGACCAAGGTCATTTTTTCCTTTTATGTTATTTATTTACTTTTCGGCACCCCTGGTGTGATGTTCTAGAATTTGGCCATCTGCCGCGAGGCTTGCATATCCAAGGGGACCATCCCTGGTTGATCGCTCTCCGGGATCCTTCGAATAGGAGCCTTTTTTTTTGTACTTCCGTACATTCCTCCAGATGTAAGCTTCACTCTTGCCTGCAGGAAGCCGAGTCGGTCAACGGTGTATGCAAAGGACAGCTGTGTCGGTCTCCACTACCGGCTGAGTAGCGTGCAGACGTGCCCAACGGTTTCAGCTTGGCATTGCACAATGCAATAGTATGTGCATAGCGGTGTGTCGCATGCCTTCTAGATTCGAGTCTGCGCGTCTTTGTCACGTCCATCACCTATCGCCCTCCCTGCAGGCCATTTTGACAGCATTCCGAACCGTTTTCGATCAGTCAAGTCACCTCGGGAGGCGCCGGTCCTGCTTTGCCCAGTAAGGGACACGGCCGCGATCCGAGATGGATAGCTCACACGAAGCTCTGTCATAGCGGATCCCGCATCGACTTCCTCTCATGCAAGGGATGAAAACACGCGTATAGCGCGGCTATGAATACCTTTTTTTTGTACAGGTCAGTCAAGGGACGGGAAACAAAAGTGATGTGCAACGTCAGCTATGCAGTGAGAATTCCAAGTTGAGATTATCGTTGATAGAAATCAAAAAGCCGATCGATCGTCGGGGACGGCCAATTAGGGCCGCCGCAGCTGCTCTCAACCCCCACCACTTTCTTCCCGCTTCAACTTGACACACCTTCTGCCAATCAACCATGTCCGCCCCCGAGCCCGAGAATTTGTCACCGGCTGAATTGGCCGAGCGTGAGCTCCAGGAACAGGAACGCAAGGCCCGTGAGGAGGCCGAGCAGGCTCAGCTGCCCTACAAATGGACCCAGACGATCCGTGACGTGGACGTCACCGCGCCCATTCCTGCCAACATCAAGGGCCGCGACATGCAGGTCACTTTGACCAAGACCAAGGTCAAGATCGCGATCAAGGGCCAGGATCCCATCATTGAGGTACGTGTTGACCCTCCACCGCTGCTCCCACCCCCGACTAACCGACTAACCTATCTTTGCAGGGCGACTTCCCTCACCCGATTGTCGTGGACGAATCATCATGGACCCTCGAGACCACCCCGAAACCCCCAGGCAAGGAAGTCAGCCTTCATCTCGATAAGGCAAACAAGATGGAGTGGTGGCCGCACGTCGTGACCGGCGCCCCCAAGATCGACGTCACCAAGATTCAGCCCGAGAACTCCAGTCTGAGTGATCTGGACGGCGAAACCCGTGCCATGGTCGAGAAAATGATGTACGATCAGCGCCAGAAGGAGTCCGGCGGTATGACCAGCGACGAGCAGAAGAAGATGGAGCTTCTGGAGAAATTCAAGGCGGAGCACCCGGGTACGTGATTGGCAGTTGGAAATGTGCGGCTTGTTGGGCAGACGTGGCTAACTTGTGGACTGCAGAAATGGATTTCTCCAACGCGCAGGTCGGTTAAAGAGACACGGTTGAGGATGCTGGCGTTGTCACGATCGATTCTCACGCACTAAGAAAATCATGGAGTGTATGAAGTATGAATTATGTTGCATCGAGGGGCTGCAGCCCGAATGAATCATGAATTGCACGGTGATCTCTCCCACCAAAGAGATATTGTCATCAGTCTTGGTCTTTTCTGCTTCATTCTTGACGGGATTTCCACTGCTTTGAGGATATCTTCGCCCGTAGATCCGTCATCCATGTAAATAGACCAAATACTCCGGGATGGGGTCAGGTGACTTTCGTCTGCCCGATTTGGATCCTGCGAGCGCTGCCCATTTGGGACTAGCGTGTTTCTATGAGGCCCAGGCGGTCTTCAGCTTCAGCCTTCGCTAAATTCTCCTTTTTATGGCCAATGGCATCCCCAAAGTGATGGTGAGAACCTTGCTCTATTGGTTTACACGGCTTCTGCGCCACTTCTGCGCCCTTTCCATGCAAATTAACAGAGGCCGAGACCGCGGGTCCCCGTTTCATATACATCGACCGTGAACTAGGAAGCAACTATATAGTATTCTCCTTCCACTTGTCGACGTCGGCCAGAATGCCCAACATTGTAAGCTGAAATCATCCAGGTCCCATCGGTGCTCAACAAAATACGTTCGTTCAAGGAACCACTCCACTCTCTCCGGCGCGCCTGGGCCCATGCAATGGCAAAGGAGTATTTTCCGGGTCCCAGACTACAAATCACATATGCCGGCGCAAGGCACTGCGGAAGAACCAGACGGTCGGGTTATCCAGGTTCGTCGCTCACATTGGAGATCTCGGGGGGCGGATACGCCATCTGCAAGTAGCGCAAAGTTAAAGTACCTCCGCCTTCCACCGAATGTGACCTGTATATTGACCGGCCTAGCGCAATGAAATGAAGCCACGCTGTTGCCGCTGTGGGAAACTCAGTAGCGAGTGTAAATACTCGACTCCGTCAGCTCTGATTCGATCCACTACACTGGGTCGAATCCGATAACATGATATCACTGGTTCCCTCTCTGTCTTCGTTTACGTCGCTGCCGTTGGTGGCGGAAAAGCTGGTTGAGCTGCTACGTCCACTCAGTGGAACTTCGAGTCTCTCTTCATCATGTATGAGTTATCTGGTAAACGACCATGTTCTAGAATAGCACCACTTTCATCGATCCACGATAACTACTCTACATTCTGACACCGATATGAGTGCTATGATGGCACTGGTTTGATACGCAACCATTCCAAGGTCGGCGCGGGTAGGCGAGCTTCTGGCCATGCTCAATGGTGGCTTCGGTACTTATGGTACTGAAGTATTTGGGCTCGTAGACTGCAAAGTCGGTTGGGTTGACGTGTTGCAACCTGGCAGAGTAGGCCGAACTATTCTTACTTCCCTTTGGGTATTTGAGGAGTTAGGGGCCAATGATGAAACTTGTGTCTGGGCTGGCTAGGTATGGCTGGCTTGACCTGCCCGGGTGCATCAGATTATTTCTGATTGAATTGTCCTTGGAGTGTGACATGGAGGGAAATCTAAGCCCATTTAGCAGCTGGTTTCACGAACTACGAGGGTCGGTTCTTGACATACACCGAACTATTTGGCATGGCTACAACTTGTCATCGATTTGTAACATTTTCTACCATTTCCTGAAGATCATTCTGAACTTGTAGCAGTTTCTCAAAGTAATTGAGCTAAAGATTGATGTTCCTGCGCTGCTAATATGCGAAACCATCTGCTCAGCACCTGGAGCTACCCTGGTGAAGAGACATCCCTTCAAGCACCCCGGATTTCATTCCATGGAGTCATTGAGAGAGATTCTCTCTAATGCAATACGAATGGTTGTAATGATCTCCACACCCCACAAACCGCACTCGTGGGGTTAGCTAACCTTTTCTATGGTTCGATCATTGTCGCTCTCCGTTTTAGTGCTCGCCCCACGCCACTTTTTAGTCACAGAAAGTCGGATACTCTTTGCCCGAGGGTACCCGGCCCGGGGGACTGATGCCCGGTCTGGCCTCACCGCGTACTGCCCGATCGTAATACTGAACTGGCTCTTTTTGACTAGGAAAATAGGCGAACAAGTTATCAGAAGACCTTGTGACAACTCCATGCAAGTGAATGATCTATTTACAACGACTAGGCTCGCGTAGTCAATGCTATTCTATAGTAACCTCCAAAAAGCTCCTATGCCAGTACGAATACCAAAACAAATCTATGAGACAGTCCTCAGGGATAGAGGTGAATTTTTACGTGGCGTTGTTGGCACACGTCCAGCTGGCAGTGGACGAACTCTCATTGATCGACTTGCCCGACACGTACAGACCCAGTCCGCACTGATCTCGTTAGCACGCAATTCTGCCTCGAAAAGGATAGAGCAAACATACAATAGCAAGGGCGATTCCCAGAATCACCAAGTTGAGGATCGTGAGGGCGATTTGCTTCGGCGACTCGGTCCACTGTCCCTTGTTCATAACTAGCCACATGATGGCAGGAATGCCGTCTGCGTACAATTAGTGTCCTGTCGGAATTCGATACCTCATGATCGGAATACTTACAGCTGAACCAGCTTCCAAAGAGGGAACTCTGTTGAAAGATATTAGCAAACAATAACCAATCTTGTAAACGTTGGAAGAACATACAATCAAACTCAGCAAGTCGTTAAACACCGGGATCGACTCGGCGATGACCCAGGCAATGATCCACGTCGTCAGACCGATGGCCACCCAAGTTCCGGTGGCCAACAAACTCCTCTGGTGCATGTGGTGCGAACGCTCACCACGGAAGATTCGAACATAGATATACTTGGAAGCAACGTGGCCGAAAACCACACCGGCAACAATGACCTGGTAGGATATTAGATTGGGGATCAAGAGGAAATGAAGATGGGGGGAGGGGGGTTATTTGGTACCGTCGGAATGGCCAGGCCGTAAGCGACCTTCTTCATCACGGGTCCAGCGGATGAGAGGGCGGGAGAGTCCACGTCGGGGCCTGCATAGCAGTAGATGACCATTGCCGTCACAATGTAGAGGGTGGTATCGACACCCTGGAGCATGGCCAGAGACCTGGGGAACTGGGCGGTGTCCTCCATCTCCGACATAATACCGAAGAACGCCACATGAGCGATGAAGGCGAAGACGATGTTGGTAACGGCGAGGAAAGCCTCTGAGAAGGTAGGCGAGGTAGTGATTTCGTTCACGACGTCGTCCGGAGCTTGCACACCAATGGAAATCATTGTAGTGATTGTGGCGACCAGGATACTAACGGCGGAGACGGTGGACATGATAAACAGCTTACTCGACGTCCGCGGGAGGGCGCAAATGCAGCTGACGATCAGGCCAACGACACCGAAGACGATGGTGCAGGTGCCGTGGTTTGTGATCGTGTTAAACAACACGGAAAATGTGAGGATGTGACTGGCCATCAAAAAGATCATGAACAGCAGCTGGCCGAAGAAGAATAGCTCTCGACCGAACGAGCCCATAAGCAGCTCTCCAGCGTCACCCATGCTGTGCACCTGAGGATATCGCTGTTTGAACTGGCCCATGATGTACCCGGTGTACCATGAGATACCTGACAGACCGAGGATGAGAATCAACGACCTGGTTAATCATCAGCCTTGTTTTTGCAGTGCGGATAAAGAGTCCTTACGGGACGATTCCGAGAGTTGCCACGGCCGAGGGAAGAGACAGAATACCGAGCGAGATGTTTTCGGCGACCATCACTGAACAGAAAGATTAGTTGGACATTCAATATTGACCGGGATCCACGATGAGCTCTTACGCATTCCAGCTTGCCTGCAAAAAGGTCAATATCGCGTAAAGTCAAGACTATACAAGCCGAAAGGGTCCAAAGTCCGGAGTACTTACCACCACTTCATCACACGGTACTTCACTTCCCCGGTTTCTTCATTGCCGAACGGATCGTCCTCAGGAGACGCTTTCTGCTCATATTTTTCCGCGTCTATCTGATCATTGTAGACGTCGGGCTCTTGCGTGATCGACTGGCGTTCCGGGACACTCATGATGGCTTAAGGGTGGGGAGAGGTCAAACGAGCAAGAGTCCGGGGGAGAAGACAAGAGGAAAAGGAACCAGACCTCACGAGACGTGGAGGTGACCGGAGATGAGCATATTGACCCATTTTTTCTGAGTCTTGGCGCGTGGCGATGAACATACCCTACAGGGCAAACTGGATCAATCCCCACAATAATGTCTGATAACGTTAATTCCAGTATACCTCGGCTACACCAGGCTACATAATGTGGAAAGTGCGAATCCTACGAAGCGAAACCCTAGTGAGGCCCGAAACCGCGCCGAACTGCGCCCCTATACATCCATCTTGATATACTTATATAAGCGAAATAACATTCTTCACGATCGTAAGGTTTTCATTACCCAAGGCACCGCCTGCCAGAACCGTATTAGCTTTGTGCGCCCGGTTTGAACCAGCCAACCCCACGCGCGGCTTGTCCCCGGCCCGGGCACAACAACCGGCCCGGCGACTTACCCCCCGGGGCCCCGAGTCGGCCGGTAGTTACCAGGAATATTCGAGAAAATTTATATAATTGGATAATAAATCCATCTCGGTATCTGCAGTGTGTTTTCATGAGGCTGCAGTTGGGCAATTCCCCCGAAGCGGTATAGAGTAAACATAGGACCCATTCGACAGATTTCAATGACACATTCGGAGTTCGAAGCCAATTGATTTACATCCCGGGTCTTCCACGGGCGTATTCCTTCAACTCCGTCAATATTATGTGTCATATGGGGGTTTTCATTACGTTATTTTGTATAATGTGATTCTTGAAAAGCTGGGGTACTCCGGAAATAAACGAGCAGTCAATGGAATCAAGAGTAGTTCACCATATGAAAAGCCCGGGTGTTTTAATTGGTAAACCAAAGGGGGTGGTCATTTAGCCTCGCCCCTAAGTACGCGCTAAGGGCTAACCAGATGCCTAACAGGCACGTAATCTCCCTTGTGGCGCGATGGCGTAGAAAAGCGGGGTGCGTCAACGGTGACTAGAGTTCGAGGCCATACCTTATCGCCCAGAGAGATCTACGGGTGAAGTGTGCAATTATAAACGTGTCCTTGGCACCAACGAACAGGCAATCCTGTTCTCCTCCGCATATCTAAGAAGACTCCAGGAAGACCGACGGCAGCCTTGTTGCCAAGAGGCTCGGAGTTACCCGGCTGAAGAGGCTCCTGGCTCACTCCGGGCACACTCACTGGGGTAGATGGCTCCTAGTTGGTGGCTATGTGCATGTACATGCGTTACTCACCTGGGCAATATGACTCTCACTGCCACTCCAGCGTATCTCACAGTAATACACTTGTCTGATCCGATACGAGTGTTGCACGACTGAATCCAAACTCCTGTCACACACTGGGGCTTCTTACATGGATGACCTTGGCTGTATGATTCACGTAGGCGGACAACGGTGCGCACCTTGTCCATCTAAAACTAGTCTGTGATGAAAAGGGAACGTTCGAAAACAAGATCTCGGACAGTTGGATGACGCCTTGGAGAAGTACGCAGAAGTACACTACGTTTGGGTGGGAATATCATGCTGAACAGCAAAACTGGATTGATTTAACGCCTCGACGGGGCTGGTATAAGAATCCACAGTCATATGCCTAATCCCAATACTTGATAAGTCCGTCCAACGCACCCGTAACCACCTTGCTGGTTTCCTGAGGATGCCAGTCCAGGCACGTAACGGCGCCGCCTTCTTTGCCGCCCGCCGGCAGCTTATGATACATTTTACCCGTCTTCCAATCCCAGAAACAAGCGAAGCCACCGCTGTCGCCAGAGGCAATGAACTGACCGTCTGGCGAGATCTTGATGTCAATACCGTATCCGGCAACGTTGTGCCCGCGGAAGCTCTTCTTGCGATTCTGTCGGAACTTGTCGGTGGCTCCGTAGACGACAATCTGGTTGTCGCCTGATTGGAAGGCCACGTACTTGCCATTGGGATGTGGCGTCGCCCGGGTGAGAGCGAACATGTAGGGTTCGGCGATGAATTTGATCGGTACGGGAATGCCGTACTCCCACGCACGCAAGGACTTGTCGTCGGAGGTGGTGATGAAGCGACGGTTGTCGTCGACGAAGGTGATGGTGTTGACGGCTGCCAGATGGTGATCGTATTCTTGAACCACTTCACTTGTTCGTGTATCGAACTGGACAATCTTCTTGTCGGACATACCAGCCAAGAACTCATGCTGGTGCTCCGGGCTGGGGTTGAATCGCACGACGTGGGGGATCTTGCCAGTCGAGAACCGTCCCAAGCATTTACCATACTCGGTATCCCAGAGCTTAATCTGGCGGTCGAACGAGCCGGTAAGGAAAGTCCGCCCTGTAGGGTCGAAGTCCGTATCTGTGATGGCCTTGGAGTGACCCGAGAAAGTCCGCAGTAGCTCGCGGGAGTGGTATGCATCCCAGATCTTGGCTTTGCCGTCGGCAGCCGACGAGAGCAGCAAGTGGCCCGATCCGGGGAAGAAACGAAGTGAGGTGATGGCCTTGGTGTGTGACTTCCAGGTGTGGATGAGTTTCTTTGGCACGTAGTTTTTGACACTGCCCGGTTCCTTGTGCAGGTCAATATCCAGGTCCTGAGGCACATGCATGTACGTCCGACCCATGTAGTCGAACTGCTCGGAGCCGTGGAATTCAGTCGTTTCGACTTTGGATGTGTCGCCCTGGTACTCGGTGGCCTCTTTGCTCATGGCCGGCATGGGCGCCGCGGGGGCCAGGGTCTCGTCTTCCTCCACCCACTCCTCATCACTCGCCAGCTCGCGCTCTTCGCCCTCAGCGACCTCGACCTCGTCATATTGTTGATCGTTTGTGTATTTCGCCCAGGGCCCAAGGTACGCGCCTTCGCCCTCGACGATGCTCGAGTCGCCCTTCTTTTGCCGCTTCGATCGCCATGCAGCCGAGGCTTCCTTGCTGGGTCTCATCTGTACAACATCACGCCCCCCATATTGCGCAACTTTATCCATGTCTCCGACAAACTGATCCGGCGCAGTCGGGTTGCGCGTGTAGCCCAAGCTCTGGAACGTGCGGTGCTGCGCGGCGAAGGTCGACTCGCTGATGGCAGCCTCCTCGGCAAAGCCGGTTGGGACATTCTTCCTCTTAATTCCGTTTCCGGGGCCGGCTGGCTTGAAAGGGTTCACGGGTCCTTGAGACGGGCGCATCAAATCATCGTAGGTGGCGTTGTAGGTCAGGGCTTGGGATGAGGTGTTGGCGAGGGTCATTTGCATATGCGCATGGTCCTGTAGAGTTGTTAGTCTTATCTGAGCACGAATCGAACAGGTTGTAAATGGCTCTGTGAGCTTGGAAGTGCGCGATAGAGTGTAGGGGACCAAACCTCTGTATTGACTTCTGGAGCCGCAACCACCTTGGTTGCGGTGGTGACCTGAGCCTTGGGCACCGTGGCATCATCATCGCTGGAGTAATAACCAGCGCCCAGTAAAGACGCCATGATGAATATGAGAGAAGGTCGAAGCAATGCCCACCTTCGCGACGGAGTGAGTTGAGTGGAGACCGCAGACGCAGAAGTCGGATCGAATTTTACGGGCGGCGACAGAACCACAAAGCGAAGAAATGACTTTGCCGTGCAGCAGCTTTAACGTTGCATTATCGTTAACGGTCAGGTACAAATTTTACATCCCGCCTACGTACCTCCTAATTAAAGAGGCTATTGTCAGAGGAGAATTGGGTATCGTACGCTCTTCATTGCCAACCCGCTTGGGAGGTATATACAACTCACAGGCCGAAAAACATGGCTAGATCAACACAAAGACAAAAAGAAGGCAAAAGCAGACCATAAGAGAAGACTCCTAATCAGTGCCAGAGCCATACAGCAACGTACATAGTCTCTATTACTCTCCCAACCCCGAACCGACCATCTATCTCAAGACTGAAGACGAAGAATTCACGCGCATCATTCATTAGTCCACCCAGGCAGCTCGAACGGCATTATAGTACCGCAAATGACACGGCGGCTGCCAGGGTAGGTAATCGCATACGGCAGACATCTCCCACAAGGCAAGAAGATATCCGCCCCGGAGAAAGCCCTGCCGAAAATTCATCTCTTGAGCTAGTTTGGACGGCCGTGGCGCATTGCATACTCGGTTTTGTTGCGAAGTCAATGGCCTTCATCGCGGATCAGAGCGACAATCATGCTGTACAGGTAGAAGAAGAACATCAGGAGGTGGAAGCCCAGCTTGATGAAGGATTCCTATAGCGCGAGCTATGAGTCAGTTCCATATGTATCAGAATGACGGGGATAAGGTAGCACCAACCTTCTTGTGCACATTCAGCTTGCGGAAAATCTCAGTCGCATCCAGCAGGTGCTGGTTCTCGTAGATTCTGTAACCCCATCAGATTAGCCTCGTCCTGCACGAATTGTGGGAGCTCTCGCAAAGCTTTATCGGTGGCACGTACTTCTTCGCGTTGAAGGCCAGGAGGGGCAGGTTGAGGATGATAGCGACCCAGTAGCCATTAATGACGAACAGGAAGGTCAAAAAGGCGTGGACGGCGGCTTCGGGGATGATGTAGGCGTTAAGGCGGTTGCACAGGTCAATCGGGTTGATGTAGTCACTGCGAAAAGGGGAGGCGCGGGTTAGTGAGGTCCAGCGAGAGTCTACAAAGCTCTAGACGAGCGTCGACAGGTCGGAAGCAGGGCGACTCACCATTCCAAATCGCTGTACATGATGGTGAAGAACACCTGGAGGAAGAGGTTGACGGCGTTGATCAACACCGCCAGCAGGTAGAGCCAGGCCTCGCCGGACATGATGGGCACGAGATCGACTCCTCGAGAGGTTTAGGAGAACTTAAATTAAACGGTGAGCAAGGCCGCAGCAAGAGGGGGTGTTGGCGATGTCGAGGAGTGCGGATCGCACAGTTCGGAATTGGAGATGGGTTTTTGTGGGGGTCCGCGCTCAGGGAAGACGGGGGAATCACAGAGAGTGAGGGAGATGATGAAGGGGAGAGCTCACTCACAAATCAGAAGCAGTGTAATCCGCGGTGGAGACGAGTAGAAGAACGAGAAATGGGGAGGCGGAGCTGTGAAAGTGCGATGGAAGGTGCGGGCGGTGGGCCTGGGACTAGTCACGTCTTAGCGCGCTAGCACACCGAGGGGCTGGTGATAACACAGTCGTCCCGAGAAAGTACCTGAAAATACGAAGAAAAAGATCGGGTGATGATGAGGTGCTTAATGTTGAGCAACTGGTGCAAAAGGCCAGCTTGCGCAGACAGGAATCTCGGGTGAGCCTCAAAGGATGACGTCGCTCACGCACTCCCGCTTTCCAGCTGACTTGATGTTCGTACTCGGGTCTACAAAGATTCAGATAAGTATAGATATGCTTCAAGTGCTGGGAAAATGATCGAGGCGGATCTAGTTGTAGATTCTAGTGAGCTATAGTAATAAAATTACCACACTATAACCGCAGAGCATAGTCTACCCAGGTATATACACTCGGCTCCTGCACTACAAGTACAGCTCAGCTCTCCCGATGCTCTTAGCAACATCTATATACACTACAACGCCTCAAAGGACATAAACATTCCACTGAAAACATCAAATCACTGAGAGCTTATCGCTTCTCGACAAGCAGGAAATGCATCGATGCGTATGCAATGATGATGAACGCTCCCGCGATCACGGCCAGCCCGGCGACATCGAACCAGTACGCCTGCGTGTCGAAGCCAAAGGCACTCAGAATCGAGGCACCGGGCACTTCGATATCCAAACCGTACTTGTGATCGATCAGGGTAAGGAAGGTAACCTCGTTGACGATGAGAGCCTCGAAGCCGTAGTGGAAGATGGATAGCTGATGCACAATTAGCAAGAAAATGACGACTGGATATCAAGATGAGACTTACGCTTTGCAGCCACAGAGCCGACTTGGGGATGGCATCGTGGTTCAGCAAAAGACCCGCGAAGAGCAGACTGAAGAGCATCACCAAGCTACCGATCAGGTTGGCAACTCCACCATCCCGGAACACAATGCCGATGAACAGACAGATATTAGCGGCCGCCAGATTGAACAGTACCAGGACCAGCTGGAATCGGAAGAACTCGGGCCATGCAGGGATCAATCCGGTCATGGGGTAGACAATGATGCCCATGATGATGGGTGGGAGGAGGCGCAGTGGCACAATATCGAAAACGACCTTGGACGCAAAGTATGTGACGGGGTGGTAGTATCCGTTGGCACGCTCACGAACAAACAAAAGTCGTTCTGTAGAAAAGACCGTAAGACTGGTCAAAGTACTGAAGCCAAACAAGGCCAGGACGAAGAAGAACAGACCCAGCCGGTTCTGGAAACCCTTGATGTCGTCGGTCAGGCCGTAGAAGAGATACCCAGACAGAACAGCGAGAAGAATTGCAATGGCGTAGTGAGTGAGCATCAGCATAGGGTTGCGGTACAAATTGCGCCAAGTGCGTTGCGACAAAATGATGAACTGGCGGGCCAGACTGACGCGAGCATAGCTCATCGGCTGTGTTGTTGAAGTGCCAGACAAGAGATGAGAGTCGGTTGATCCATTTGCTGCTTGCGCGGACTGGACAGCCGACACAACCTCATCGTGCACAGAGCGACATACATCAGAATCGGCGTAGCTGGCCACAAGAATATCAAGATCGGTCTGACCAGGTGCCGGGGGTGGTAGCTGGTCCGGGTCATCAAGAATTTGAGGAGGAACGTGGCCCGCTTGACGGGACAGACGCATCCATTGCTGATCATTATCTGCTGTATCCAGAGTGGCATCTTCCTCATCGGTTTTTGGCGTAAAGGGACGATCCTCCTTACGGCGCGAGTACAGTTGGCGATCTTGCTGCTGCTTCAGAGACACCCGACGCTTGCTCCTCGGTCTACGGGTCTGCTCCGCAATGCTGCTGGAGTTCTCCTCGAAGCTGACATTTGACACACTCGCGACAGACTTGACCGCCATTAGACTACTCGAGGCAGTCTTAGGAGGGCCACTTCGCCCATCCACGGAAAATTCAACTTCGTCTGAATACGAATGTGTGGTACCGGCATGCATGGTAAGGTCGACAAGATAATCCGCAATGTTGAAACCCGGCGGGCATGAATATCCGATCTTGTCAAAGTACTGCTGGCATGTTGAGAACGGTCCAGAGTAGACAGTACGTCCGCCCGCGAGAAGGATCAGTCGATCGAAGAGAGCCACAATATTGGAGCGCGGTTGGTGGATGGTGAAAATGACCGTACGATTGTACGTCTTGGCCAAGGTGACCAGGCATTCCACGACATTAAACGCGTTGTAGGCATCCTAGAAAAGTGTCAGTTGGGTTGAACACATTGCGATGGAGTGCTGCATCATACCAGTCCACTAGTGGGTTCGTCCAAAAACAAGATGCTGGGACTGGTGACCAGCTCGCAAGCAATGCCGACTCGGCGCTTCTCACCACCAGAGACGCCACGGCCATTGCCTTCCTCGGAGCCAATCAGTTGGTCTTTGATGTGATAAATTCCGAGCTGCTTCTCTACATCCAGAACTCTCTGCTCTTTGGCTCCTCGGCTCATGTCTCGCGGCAATCTCAGCAAGGCACTGGTCAGGATGGTTTCATGAACCGTCAAGGTCGGCAGCATCGTGTCTTCTTGATCGACAAAGCCAACCATGCTTCTGAAGTCGTTGTCGTCCACTTTCTCGCCATTCACGTAGAAGTTACCTTGAACGGCACCACGCTTGTTTTTGCGGGCCAGAATGTCCAGGAAAGTTGTCTTGCCGGCGCCCGAGGCTCCCATGATGGCGGTGATCTGGCCCGGCGCAGACGCACCCTGAATACCGGAGAGGATCTCCTTTCCATTCAGATAGTAAGACACATCATTCCAGTACAAAGCTGCCGGTCGGTGTTCCGCCAGTAGCTTCGCTGTTTCATCGTCCGAGTCATCCGATAGAGACAGTAGGCTGTAACCACGACGCGCAGCTCGGCGAGTCAGATACCAGACAATCAGGATCACTGCCACGACGAAAAGCGCACAACCAGCGATTGCCCCTGCGATGAGCGGAGTGTTGATCTTCTTGACGGGGCGCTCATAGCCGGGTAAGTTGGTCTTATACAGACACTCTCCAGAATCGCAGGACAGGAAAATGCTCGCGTCGCCGAACACTGAACTGATCAGGCTGTTCATCTCGGGCTCCGAGAAAACACTCTTGGTTCCTTCAGCGGTCGCTTTCGTTACGAAAGTAGCCGGCCCCTTGATGGTTTGGGCGAGGAAGTCCTTGAGGTTGATCGACCCGTTCTCACCACAAAGGAAGCGGTCCTCGATGCACCTACACTGTACATTGTCACACCTGTAGCTGGTCGTGTTCTTGTCGTAGTCGGTTTCCATGCTCCAGTCGCAGGTATCAAGGCCACAATAGAAGGACTCCTTCTGGTCCACCCAGAACTGAAAGTTGCAAGTGTTGTCTTCGGCGTCGCAGGAGAACGTCACTTGAGGCTTCCGACCACCCAACATATCCAAAATAGGCTTGTTGATCACATCACACATCTGGAAGTTCTGGTTGACCGTGACACCTTGTTTGTAGCATGCGCCGTCTTTACCCTCGGGCATCATAGCATCGCAAGCACTATCGGACTGGCAGACATTGCAGTTTATACCGCTCCAGCCATCCTTGCAGTCGCAGGATGCGCCATCGCGCACAGCACGGTTCTCACCGTCAGCCAGCGAGCCGCACACTGGTTCGGAACAGTCATCTCCGCCGAATCCAGCCGGACAGGAGCATTTCCCGTTGAACTTGTTGCAGGGCGCAAAGTGGGTACAGTTGTAGCTATCGAGCTGGCAGTTGAAGCACGGGGGGCAGTTGGGGGGCCTGTCATCGAGGATCGTAAGAGATCGGGGGACGAGATTGCCGTCGGATATTTCGCTCCATGCTACCGTCGCAAACGCCGAGGAAACCAGGGCGAGGAGGGAGAGGGCGGTTGTCGACCGCATGTTGAGCAGGGGTGGGTAGCACCCACACACAGCAATGGGCGACCGGGGAAAGGGGAACTCTGGAGGGAGTTAGTCGCAATGGAGTATCGAGTGTAAGGTGTAAGGTGTAAGGTGTAAGAGGAGAGTGAACAGATGCCTCGGAGCGAGGACTCCAAGGAAGTGGAGAGGCGGAGGTGGAGCGTCAGATTGGAGATGACGCGGGCGGAGAAGCTGTCTTGGCGCCAGGCACCGTTTCGGGGTTAAGGCATCCAAACAGAAGGCGAGATTACCGCTCAGTTTCGAGGAATTTAAATGCAATATCCAAAATGGCCCAGTGGCCATGGGTAGTAAGTACCAGCACCCCCGGATTCAACGTAGCTTCGAGTAGGAGAGAGTCCGCGGTACAAACCTACAGACCCCATCAGCCAATTTGGCCATTGACCGTCACACTGTCTATGCCTCTTATAGTATGAGCTTTTACAAGGCCGATGCTGGCACACTAGGTCACACAAGCAGTTTGGGCTGCACATCTATCGCTCATTCCCTCGTGATCGTACTTAAACCCATATACTTCTGTATTAATCTCATCGTATTATGCAAATGATCTCAGTGCCGATATCACTAGTCTTGTGCCTTCAAAAACTCTTAGAGATAAGCAAATTCAAACAAGTCAAACATCACCCCTTCTATTACCTACATCATCGTCTTGGTCATGGGTCTTGCCATCACGGTCTTCACAGCAGCCACTGGTGCTAAGCCCATGGAGGCGCGACAGGTTGCTACCTGAGAGATATCCCAAGCCTGCTACTACATGCGGACCTCGGAGTTCCATCAACTGACGCTTAATAGGCATTAGTTACTACAAAGTTCAGCCCGGAGACACTTGTAGCACAAACGTTACGCTGAATGCCCCGATAACCTTGAATCAGCGTTACATGTGGAATCTGACATGAACAACCCCACCTGCAACAACCTTCAACCAAATCAGCTTATCTGTGCGAAGGCTTAGCTACACTCGGGGGCTCGGTGCCCTGAGCCATATGCTTCTAGGCATTTCAGTCGTGATTAAATCCAATCCACTCGTAACCAGCAGCGAATGGATGCTTAAAATGCGTTTGGTAGGGAAGGAATCCACCAAATATTCTACAAGTGTCAGATTGCTTTTCGGACCTTTTGTTATGATAGCCAATCAATGCATCATTGATATCCAGCTCCATATCCAAAAAAAAAAAATCTCTATAACCTTAGCAGTGGGGCCCAGCTAATAAGATTGCAACTCAAGATACGGGTTAGGGTTGCAACCGACCGGCATAGCTATCACACAGGCCGACATATCTGTTCAAAACCCACTATGCAGGATAGCAAGCATGTTGGCTAGGTAAGGTAAGATGGCATGAGCAGAACGACCAGTAGTCCCAATTAATGCAGAGGCTGATTCTCGAAGGATTGCAGTACGTGCAGTCTGGTCCTTTTATACCCGAGACGGTATAGCCATCCATCATGTCGTTTCCGAATAGCATCAAATTCAAATAAGTCCATAGCACTTTGTACCGATATGATGCTTCGGTATCACCAACCTGGTGATACATAGAGTACTAATATAGTCCCAACTCAGAAAACAGGGTAGGCGTACTGCCCGTCGCACAGGTACCATTGCGAATTATTCCAACGGGAACTTCTCGGCACACATGTTACACTAAATATCTCTCCAAGATTTCTGAGATAAAGTGGTTGAAACGGTGGCTGGAATGCATATGTCGCAATATTGCGGTAGTGCACTGCAGATGCCCGATCAGGATGTCGTCCCATGAATAACTCCATCATCCCACGTCTATCACGTACCATCCCCCGTCTACACCTCCAACTTTCTATACTGTATACTCCGCCATCCATGGAACCTTCTACTCCACTCGATGCGGGACTGCACGTGATGTGGGGAAGGAATCCCCCGAATCTTTGCGACGCAAGAGAAGATGAACAACCATTGCGCCCACTACGGACTCCATTCACGAACAGTCTGACCAGGTGATACTTGCGAAACATTCAAATTATTCCGTCTGTCAATATCACCACATACCCACCCACCATGGTGAAAATCGACACCTTTGCAGTGGAACAGGTACCACCCCGCCTTTCCGGATGACTCAAGTGGCACCGTTAGTCCTTGGAGAATTGCAAGTGAAATGTGACGCTAACTGTGCTACAGTGGATGGATAAGTATGAACTCACCGCCAAGTACAACACCGCCGAGACCTGCGCTGCATCCATCTCCATCGACGACCTCAGAGCACTGTCCGAAGACAAGACCTCCGATCCTTTGGGCCAGCTCCAATCGACCAAACTTACCTATGGTGCGATTCGTGGCTCCGACAAGCTCCGACAGACTTTGGCAAACCTATACTCTGCGAAAACCCCCACACCCTTGCCCAAGGACAATGTCTTGATTTCAGCGGGAGCTATCCAGGCCAACTTCCTGGCCCTGTACACTCTGTGCGGACCGGGAGACCATGTCATCTGCCACTACCCTACATATCAGCAGCTCTACTCTGTGCCTGTCTCATTGGGTGCGGAAGTCAGTTTGTGGAAGTCAAAGGAAGCCAACGGCTGGCAGCTCGATATTGAAGAGCTGAAGGGGATGATTCGCCCGAATACCAAGTTGATCATTATCAAGTGAGTTGAGTCACTTATCCGTGACTTCGAGTCGTCATTGAGCATTTCTAATCCTGCTGTTGTGCTGCAGTAACCCCCAAAATCCCACCGGAGCCATCATTCCCCGCAAGACACTCGAGGAACTGATCGACCTTGCCAGAGAATCCTCCCTTACCCTCTTCGCCGACGAAGTGTACAGACCTCTCTTCCACAGTATCAGCCCCGCAGACCCACAATTCCCTCCGTCACTCCTGTCCTTCTGCTATGAGCACACCGTGGTAACGGGATCGACTTCCAAAGCATACAGCCTGGCGGGTCTCCGCGTGGGCTGGATTGCATCTCGGAGCAAGTCAATCATCGAGGCTTGCGCCAAATCTCGCCATTATACCACCATTTCTGTCGGCCAGATTGATGATGCGATTGCCAGCTATGCACTGGCGCCTGAATGCATCCATAATCTGCTGAAGCGAAACCTTGAGCTGGCGCGAACCAATCTCGCGATTCTGGAGAAGTTCATCGAATCGCACCGGTGGGCTTGTGAATGGGTTAAGCCCCGGGCTGGTACGACTGCCTTTGTACGCTTTATGAAGATGGGGAAGCCGATCAACGATGTCACTTTCTGTGAGATGCTTCTGGAGCGAACGGGCGTGATGTTTGTACCGGGCAGCCTCTGCTTCGGAGGTGGAGAAGAGTTCCAGGGTTACGTGCGCATTGGATTCGTCTGTGAGACCGAGGTTCTGGAGAAGGGTCTGGAGGCCTTGCGGACCTTTATGGAAGATGATTATGAGGAGGTCCCCGCGCTGAAAAAGGCCAAGGTGCCGCAATAGCGACCGTAAAATATATGAGATAGACATGAGTTACAAGTAATGGTATGTGTTACAAATCGATAAAATTCGACGAATTCACATGTGCGCCAACCTCCAGGTAGATATATTTGGAACCTTCCATAGAGAACACTCCAAATCTTCACTTGTCGCTTTATTTATTGCCCTCGGCACTTTTTTTGTACTCTTGATTGGCACCTCGGCCAGCATCATCGAGGGTCTGTTTCCCGCTGCGCATCCACAAGACGCCCAAAGTTGGCACAGCAACGCACGCAGCAATTATTAGTCTGAAAGGCAAATTCCGAATCAGTCATTGCTTCTTTATGTATAAACATAGAACTTACCGCCGCTGGCCCCCGGGTTCTGCCTCGTTTACTTTGTCACGGGCGGAGTAGCTCCTCCGAGCAGTCGTATGTATCGGCGGTAGCCAGGTCCGATTAGCCATCGATCGCGGTTGTTGCACTGCTAATCTGCGCACAGATAATGTTCGGATCGGTTGTGTCATGGTGATGAAGTAAAAAGGAACAAGGGGTTTCGTCGATGATTGAGACGCTTAGAGGAAGGTTGTGAGTTCAACAGAAGAAGAGCCAGCTGAAGCTTACTAAATCTCTCAAGATTATTATAGGGTATTTAAAATGATTGACAAGGGATCCATGGATAGAAGGCCAGAAGCTTTGAAATAAACTTGCTCTATAAGAAGATGCGACATCATGAGGTAATAATGATTTGCCGCTTGGCCACATACAGGTATATGATTGGGACCGATTTACTTCTCTTTAACAAATCAGACAAATCAGATAGCGTCATTACCGGTCAAGGGCAGACATTTAAAGGATCCGACGCGCTTAGTTTCATAATTCTATACATTTATCTTCGTGTCTAGTGTTCCTGTGAATAATGATCAATCATCGAGGAATTTGCCTGAGGGCTCTTAAGGCCCACCCCTGCCGTTCACTGCCCTTCCAATCATATCACGGAAAACCCGATGCTCTTATATTAAGATCAGTTACCGCACGCCTGCCGTACTCGACCACTGGCTATGGCGATGGTGAGGGCGACCCTCGTGGCCAAGATCCAGCCGCCCAAGGCGTGAATCGTCGAAGCCGTGATTTAGAGCACCCGGGACCGTCGCAACACGACAAGAAACCATCAGCCGCCGAGTCTTCGAATCAGTCGAAAACATCCTCAGAGAAGGGAGAGGATACCTCCCGATCAGCCAAAGAAAGTCCTAATAAACCAGGGACTCGTGCCAAACAGGGGCTGAATCAAACGGGTTGAGTTAGACAGTCAGCGCTGGTTGGAAAGGAAACATCAAAACGGAATTCAATTTTGTAATATATTGTGGCTTCAGTTATATTCCTGTTTTAGGTGTATGCGCAGGTCGGTCTAGTTCCTTTATTTTTCGATAATGACCTTTTAAATACTTTTTAACGTTTTTAACGTATACACATAATGTTCACGGGAAATGGAGATGCAAAACACGACTATACGCTGAGCATCTTCAAGAATCGATCTCCCAAAGCATTTGCCGCCAAAGGATTACCGCCAGTGACTAGCTCGTGGTCGAGCGTCGTGCCACCAACCTTTTCCGTTGCACCCTCAACCATAATCGCACCCTGGTCCCTTAATGCCGACTCAACCTTCTCAACCTCGCCACCCCATAGCGTCTCCATCAAGTTTTCTTCGGCGTCGCTCCAAGATGTGATCTTATACCCTTTGTAGACGAACGAGCCATCCCCTGCCTTCATCGTGCTTAGCAGGGCGTAGGGCCCATGACAGATGGCGGCAGTTGGCTTGTTTTCTTTATTGAAAAATCGCAGGATTCTGCCCAGTTCCGGGTCATCACCCAGGTCCGTCAGAGGCGCGTGCCCTCCGGGAATGAAGAGTCCTGCAAATGTCGCCAGTTCGTCTTCGCTGAAGGTACTGAAAGGTCGCGGGCGGTCAAATCCATTCGTCCGCTTCATGTGCTCGATAAGTTCCATCTCTTTTCGGCGTTCGTAGAAGTTGCCTGCGTATGCGAGCAGTGACTCGCTGTTCGGATCTGGGGCAGGCTCGCGTCCTTTGGGTGAGGCGAAGGTCACCTCATGCCCTGCGTCTAGGAGTTTTTGCAACGGCTTTGCTAATTCTTGAAGGAAGAAGCCCGAAGGCTGGTCGACTACAAGGCCGGCATCGGGTCCGCTCTTCTTTTTGAGGGGAAAAGTGTGCGCATCACTGAGGATGATGAGAACCTTCTTGGCTGGCATTGTGAAAGGTTGTTCTTAGGAAATGGTAAATCCGACGTGCTGGATGCAGCAAAATATATATCTATCGTTTTATTAAGCTACCAGACATGACGCCTGAATGACGTATCATATCTAACAGGATAGTTCCTGCTATTATAACATAGTGGCAACAACATTGCGGTCAGTGGAGGAATATGTATCTGCTGAGCAGCGTTGATACACTTGGAAACAACATAATATTAAGATCTTTATTCCACAGCAGTGCGCCTTCCTTGGTGTGGCGTGCACGTCATCACCAATCACCAAACCAGCGACCGCGACAGAAGGCGCAAGGTAAGAACAAGGAACCCGGGGTTTCGCCTAAACTTGCTTTTCGTCAGCAGAACTTACCTCATTTTCATAGTGGCTTTCAAGTTGGTATGCCCTCGTCATCGGGCCAGATTTCTTTATTTACCCCTTGATCCATCCTTACATCCCCCCACACCGATATATATACGCCACTGGTCTAGAAATAGTACTTCCAAAGTCTCCATCCAGCTTTCAACCGTGTTACATTAACACACAACTCATCGCGCCGAAATGTCGTCACTCATCACTTCTCTCAAAGATCTCGTCGCCTCCATCTTCGAGGTCATATTCTCCACGTTCAAGGGCGCGTTCGATGCGGTATACGGTATTCTCCTCGCCTTCGTCAACTTCCTTGTCGGTATTGCTTCTATGGCCCTGCATACTGTGAAGGGCACGTTGGAAGCTGCAGGTGGAGTTGGCAAGTTCATCGCTAGTGAGTACTGCTTTCCTGACTGTTAGTGGACTACTTGAGATAACAAATTTGATAGGCAATATACTCGTCATCGCCGTTATTGCCATCGGAGCTTATGGTTACTTGGATTACCAACGTCGTCAAGGGCGTTCAGTCAAGGTTGGAGACAAAAAGTTGAACTAGCCATAGATTGAACGGAGATGGGATGCTTTTCGATTACCAAATTGAATAACTAGCGTCTGTGAACACATAATCGCCCTACATAATTCTACGTGGTTCAATCGTACCCAAGTTGGTCTGGGATCAAACATTAAGATATATTCTACACAGTACTGCCTAGATAGGTAGCTGGCCAAGATAAATTTTGTGATCTCACTCGTGTCACCTCGTTATCGTCCGGGTAAAGTGGATGCGACAGCCTGAAAGTCAATTGCAGATGGATCGCTCATTTAGTCTCAAATCTTGGACCCTCCGAGGCACGTTCTGAACCTAAAGCACCGGGACCCGTTGGGTATATGTGGAGAGAGCGCAGGCCCGCAGATCCCCCCCAAATAGCCGAGCTAGTAATCCATGTGAAGGCCAACCACAAGTATTGTCACATTTAGTGATAGTTGCAAATAAGAAAGTAGAGGCGTAGAGATAAAGAGATGCAAACTGTGTATAAACAAGCATAATTATGAGAGAACGAAATGAATGCACATAACTCTTAAGCACGAATCAAATGGGTTGCCATGCGGGGACGATCGATTACTCCGAGCCGAGGCCCGCCCTGAGTTCCAAGTGGGCCTGATTCCCCTTCTTGCGCGGCTCCCGTCTTAATGGGCCCTTTACGGCGCTGCCCTGTCCCTTGATATATTAGAACTCTTTCTCCTGATCGAATCTGCTGGACTTCAAAACCAGCCTCGCCCAGTCTCTCCTCTATTGTTGTTGTCCGCAAACTAGGCCATCCACCGCCTCTCGCCTGCCGCCTGCCGCCGTAAATACAACCACTTCGCTTGCTTGCGCATCTGCTTTTCTTGGAGCCTAAAACAAGATGCCACTACCATTAACTAGTAGGTACTGACTACCTAGCGTGGAGGAATCTCTATACTCATCACCCATGTCTAGACATTCCCATGAAGGTCGGCCTTCCAGCTGCAGCGGCTGCAGCTGCCTACCTGAACGCTCGATGGTCGCTCTTCTACGATATCGGTATGATCAAGTCCCTGGTGAAGGTGTCCCTCCGATCACGATTTGCCGAGCGTGACGATCGCCTGAACCTCTTCTACACCCTCGAGAGCTTCGCGCTGTCTCCCGCGACTGCCGATCAGGAATTCATTGTATACAACGGTCGCTCATGGACCTTCCACCAAACCTACATTATGGCCCTCCGATACGGAGCGTGGTTCAAGAACGTCCACGGTGTTCGAAGGAAAGAGATTGTGGCTATCGACTTCATGAACTCGGCAACCTTCCTCTTCTTTATGCTCGGCCTGTGGAGCATTGGTGCTGTGCCTGCTTTCATCAATTATAATTTGTCGGGCAAGCCTCTCACCCACTCCGTGCGCACATCCACTGCAAAGCTACTTATAGTAGACGAGGAAGTCCGTGACTGCTTCACACCCGAGCAACTGGAGACTTTTGCTTCTCCAACTTTCCGTGATGGAAAGGGCTCTATCAATGTACTGTTTTTTACTCCAGATGTGGAGGCCCAGATTTTGGAGATGGACCCCGTGAGGGAGGACGATAATATCCGCGGTGGTCTTCTTCCACGAGACATGGCTCTACTGATCTACACCAGTGGGACGACCGGTCTTCCTAAGCCCGCTATCATGAGCTGGAAGAAGTGTTGGACCGGCAGCGTATTCATTGGAGATTGGTTGAAAGTCGGTAATTCAGACCGGTTTTTCACGGTAAGTTCTTCCGAGTCTATAGTAAATTAGATATCTTCCACTAACGCATTCCAGTGCATGCCTCTTTACCACTCGTCTGCGTCTGTTCTCGGCTTCGTGACATGTCTGATGAATGGAGCAACCCTGATCCTCGGCCGTAAATTCTCCGCTCGGAGCTTCATGAAGGAAGCCCGTGATAATGACGCGACCATCATCCAATATGTGGGTGAAACCCTTCGATACATCCTTGGTGTGTCGCCTGAGATCGACCCGGAAAGCGGGGAAGACCTGGATAAGAAGCACAAAATTCGACTTGCATTTGGTAATGGCCTCCGTCCAGATGTGTGGAATCGTTTCAAGGACCGTTTCGACATCCCCACCATTGCCGAGTTCTACGCTGCCACCGAGGGAACCTCCGGCGCTTGGAACAAATCGTCCAATGGTTTCTCTGCCGGTGCCATTGGCCGCAACGGCATTATCGGAAATTACCTCTTTAGTCGCGGCTCTGCGATTGTGGACGTCGATCATGAGACTCAGGAGCCATGGCGAGATCCGAAGACCGGCCTCTGCAAGAAGGTTCCTCGAGGTGACCCCGGCGAGCTGCTGTTCGCCATCGATCCCTCAGATCCCAGTGCCAACTTCCAGGGCTATTTCCAGAATGATAAGGCCACCCAGAGTAAGATCGTGCGGGATGTGCTGAAGAAGGGTGACGCCTACTTCCGCACGGGTGACATGGTCCGTTGGGATACGGATGGTCGCTGGTTCTTCTCGGATCGACTTGGTGACACCTTCCGCTGGAAGAGCGAGAATGTGTCTACCAATGAGGTTTCCGAGGTATTGGGTGCCCACCCCGATGTGCACGAGGCAAACGTCTACGGCGTGGCCCTTCCCAACCATGATGGCCGCGCTGGGTGTGCTGCTATAGTGTTCAACCAACAGATCGCCAGTGGTAATTCCTCCGGTCCCGCACTGGAGCCCTCGCAGGCGACGCTCGATAGCCTGGCCGCGCATACCTTGAAGAACCTGCCGCGCTTTGCTGCGCCGCTCTTCCTGCGTGTCATGCCACAGATGCAGTCTACTGGAAACAACAAGCAACAGAAGCATGTGCTTCGTACCGAAGGCGTGGATATCGCACAGATCTCGAAGGATGACCGGCTATACTGGCTTCAGGGCAACACCTACGTGCCATTTGGACAGAAGGACTGGGGCCGGCTGCATGGTGGTCAAGTTCGGCTTTGAGAGAGCATTATAGACCTTATTCACGTTACCTGATTTTGCAGTATTTCCTGTTCACCCAAGCGTTTCTCTGCACATCTAAATTAGCTCTTAAGATACCCCCACTGTCCTTGAGCAACCAAGCCTAGTTCTATTCCCTATATCGAATACTCTAGAAATTCTACCTAGTATATTCTTTTTGCTGCCAGTAGCAGTATAAACAAATAGTCAAAAGGGTGGCAGAGAAAAGGACGGTGGAGACTCGGAGTGGTGATCTACAGGACGAAGAAAGAAGAGAGAGCGAAGAAGAGAAGATATAGAAATATATTTACGCGAGCCATTCACCGAAATAACCGATCTTTCATTGAACGTACGTCTATTCTCCAATCTTCCAAGGAACTCCAAAGAGCACCTCATCACGACCAATTGACATGTAGAACAGTTTGCATGAACTTCAAAGTTTCCCAATTACGATAACCAGACAACAAAAAACCAATAATATTACCAAGTGAGCCCCCCCTTTCCGTAACGTCAATAACTTCAATAAGCCACAACATTATGTCACGTAGATGGTGTCTATGCAGTCAACAAATCCCGAAGAAAGCTGTTTACAGAGCAAAAGCAACGGCACCGGCGAACAAGCCGGCAGCGACGACGGGGTGAGCGTCAAGAGCGGCACCAGCGCCGGTAGAACCGGTAGGAGCTGCCGACGAAGTTCCGTTAGCGGTCATGCTGGTCGAAGAACCGCTAATGGGAGTACCAGACGCGGCAGGAGTCGTGGTCATACCAGCAGTACCAGTAGAAGTCTCAGTAGAAGTACCGGTGGAAGTGCCGGTGGAAGTGCCGGTGGAAGAACCAGTAGAGGTGGTGGTCATCATAGTGCTGGTGGTAGAGCTCTTGGTGGACGACTCCTTGGTGGAGGTAGAGGTAGAAGTGCTGCTAGTGGAAGAGCTCTGAACAGAGCTGGTCACGTTGAACTGCTGGGACTGGGCGAGGATTCCGGTATTCTCGGTAGCGTCGGACATCAGGTCAATCTGGTAGCCGTGGCTGTGTTGAAGTTAGAACTTTGCCTTTGAGGAACCTTTTCTTTTGTAATGCATACCCAGCAGAAATATCGACGCTATCGACGGTGTAGGAGTTAGAAGAGGTCTTGATGTTAGACGCGATCTTCTTGTTGACAGGGGGATAGACGGCATTGTTGACGATGTAGATGTCGAAGCTCGAGACATCGGTGCTGCTCAGGGTTAGTCGGTGATAACAGGCAATGAATTGGCTATAATGTACATACTTAACGGAGGTCCACTTCACATCGAAGGAAGTTGAAGGATCGATTTCGACACCCTTCTTGGGCTCGGTAACGGACATAGCTGTAAGGATTATTATAAAGTTCCTTTATTGTAGAATCGGAAGACTTACCACCAACAGAGACGGCCAGAGGCACCAGGGAGAAAGCAAGCGAGAGACGCATGGTGGCCAAATAGAATCGAAACGAGGGAAATGTAGAGTAGGTATGGATGAGGGAAATTCAGAAACTGGTAGGGGATATCTTCAAAAGAATACAAGGTCAGGGCGAGAGGTGGAAATAAGTATGCAAAAAGACCGAGGCACATATACAATACGAAAAGCTCGAAATAGATTCAGCTGCGGACTAGTATGTTTGGATGCACAGCGTCAGAAATTGTGAATCAAGACACTACGGTGAAGATTCTTCTTCGAGCTACACCACGTTCGGGATATGATGTCTCATGGCGATATGGAGCTGAGGGAGCAACCATGGTCTCCACGGAAAATGTCAAGCTAGTCTCAGTACCAGAGCCACTCAGTTTTACAGATTGGTAACAATTTACCAAGTATAGCTCGGAGTAGAAGAGCCACCACAAACCAAGAATACTGGGATTGTCTGGAGACCCGTTGCAGATACCTAATCGGGTAGCATCGATTGAGCCGATGAAGACGTCGGCCAAGCCAAAGCCAAGCCAAGCCACTGTGGAATGTTCTTGGCAGCAAAGCGGGACGGGCAAAAACATTGGCTTTTGCGGCGTGTAATGTAATTTCACGTTTGCGAAATTTTCACTTCCCGTTTTTTTTTTTTTCGGTTCGGTGCCATTTCTAGATTTTACTAGCCCATTCATCGACAGGCACAGACCCGAAAACTATGACTCGTGTTATGGGTCTGATGTCTGACAAGAGCACTTGCCAAGTCTCGTAAAAAGAAAATTCGGCACCAATTACTGCGCATCCCGATTCGAAAAAAAACACGGCATATTTTGCTATCTTGACCTAGATAGTATTGCGCCTGCTTTCGTGCACCCTCCCAAGATTCCATAAGCTTTCAAAACCTGAGGTCGCAGGCTTAAAACCTAAGCAGATACAATCCTAGCGATGCAAAAAAGCTCTTCGGTAGTGGAACGGAAGATCACCCGAGTGCCAATTAAAACGTGAAGTAATCATGAGAGGTCATCGCGCGATCGATCGGAACCACCCGAGAACTTCTTCAGTTGTACGGCACCATAATTACGGAATAGAATCCACACTCTTGACAAACATGGCAAGTGGTTGGCAGTATTCGGATTTACCGTCATACCTGACGCCATACATGTCTCGAAGACTTTGTACCATCTCGAGGATTTATAATTGAAATTAGAGTGCACAGAAGCGAAAGTGGATCTATCGTAAAAGTCTGCGTGTGGTTATGAGACATCTTGGGGCGCCATCTATGCTGCAGTCCGGGAATGGACGGATACATCCACCAGCGGTGTCTCACCGAGCCTGTCCTGACCGGATATCCTCATTGAGAAATCAGCCGCCGTTGCGTCTCGGTAAATTCAAATTTCATATTATCCGGTGAGCATCGTATTTGATTTATTTAACTTGGATTTGGGAGTTTCTTTTACAGGAGAAAATAGATTCTTCCAGAGACGGGATCAAATTTGCTACGGAACACGAAGTACCTGAGTAGTAACTACATCATTATACACGTCATTGTACATGTACATAGATACGTGCCTTCCCTTTCCGGTATTTGGTCTATTGCATGACCTGGACAGGGATTAACACCAATTAGTAGTCATAAATATTTACATTGCTGTTTTGAAAGTCAGTTCTAGTGCAAAGAGAGGGGCGCTATAACGTACAAGTCCTTTTGCAGGCCATCCCGCTTGACGGCGGCCGCCTCAACCCATACGCTAACACTCATGGCATTGACGGGGAATTCGCCATAGCCCCTTTTGTCGATGATAACAAGTGCGCTATGATACCCCAGGACATCAGTCCACTCGCAGTTCGTATACTGTCGACCAATAAACATCCTTTTCTTGCTGGGTCCATCGTTGCTGAGAACACAGGCCAGTCCGGGGTGATAGGCGTTTCCGTAGCGGACGAACCCTGCCACATTGTCAATGAAAAAGGCTACAAGGAGAAAAGGGGTGACTGGAAAAACGAACCGATGCAATTTGGTTGGTCGAAATAGTCTTCCTGTTCGCCGTAGGCGTACCGCTTGCGTGCTTGGGTCAGAATGGGGAGCTTTCCATCACACGAAGGTGTCATTGGATCCTTGACATTAGCTCGGATCCCGTACAGGTCACCGTAAAAAACACAGGGATATCCACCTTTTCGAAGGAGAACCAATGCATAGGACAGAAGCTTGAATGATGAGGCGACTGGGGTCTGGTGTATCATTAGCTTGACCGATTTTAATAAGGAGGGTAACCTTGCAAGGTTACACATGAGCGCTCATCTTACTTCCATCATTTGCCCTACTTGCTTCAAGGGGTCAGTAAGTTTGCATAGCAACATAACTCAGACTTCAGCCTCGGGTGCTTACCGTATCATGATTGGCAACAAATGTCTTCAACACGTCAGCATTCGTAAATCGAACTCATCTTGGCTGGTTATCTTACCACGGCGTGTTCTGGCTTAGTCTTTACCAATGTACCGTCGAAAATACCGCGGAGGTCAGGACTCCGAGCATGCGAAAGCTTGGAAAACTTTACCAACAGAGGTACATCGTATGCCACGACTTGGTTGTCCACCTCCTCCAGATAGTCGTGAATAGCGGACACATCTCCAGTCCAGTACTCGCCCATGACGAAGAAGTTCGGGTTGGCTCTTTCCCGAACATGTTCCAAAAAGGCTTTCTGAAAACGAGTTGAGAAGTGCTTGGCGGCATCGAGTCTCATACCACTTAGGGACAGTGACTCCGTGATCCAAGTGCCCCAGAGAAGTAGATCTTCGCGAACTTCAGGGTGTGAATGTTCCAAGTCAGCAAACATCAAATAATCGTAGTTTCCATTCTCGGTGGAAACATCGGGTGCCCAATCTTTGTTGGATCCGAGAATTTTATAAATTTCTTGTTTCTTTCCCTTGTCATCCCAGTCGACGCCACTGAAATGCTGCCAGTGGTATTTCATGGAGCTGTACATTTCCCCACGGCCGGGGAAATCGAAGCCTGTCCAGCCATGTATCTCCAACGGCTTGGATATTTCCTTGTTCCGTTCTGTAAGACCCGGGATTAGTGGAAGGAAATTGGACCAAGGGGATACAGGACGCACGCTTCGGATCTACCGCGACAGCGTCGAAATATTCAGGATACTCGGCTCCAGCCTTATGATTGAGAACAGCATCCCAAATCACACCAATCCCGAGAGTATGTGCCTGGCGCATCATCTCCTCCAGTTCCATTCGACTGCCCCACTTCGTCGAGATGGCTCCCTTTTGATCAAACTCTCCAAGGTCAAATAGATCATAGATGTCATATCCGTTGCCATTGGGGTCCATTCCCTTGCAACCGGGGGGAACCCATATCTGATCAATGCCAATAGCTTTCCACTCTGGTAATGCAGATTTCAAGCGAAGCCAATGGCGATGATCGGCAGGGACATGCCATTCAAACGCCTGCAGAATTAGCGTATTGTCTGGCGCTGTCCATGATGGTAGTTGATCAAGATTCCTTGCTGCTTCTAATTGAATTGCGGCCTGTCAGAACTTGAATTCGAAGCATTTCACTCTGGGCAACCGACCTTCTTTCTTTGCTAGAATCCGTCGTTCCCGCTGGCGGGATCCACCGAAACACGAGAGGAAAGATACCATTGGGATATGGTGATTAATACACGGGAATCATGCCACGAAATGAGGAACACGGTCGAGTAGATGGGACCTCATGTAAGCGGCAATAACATGCACAGCCCATGCCCAGGCCTCCTCCCTGAACTAGCTCTGTTGAAAATGCTCCTTTCCAGGGACCCTTGGACGGTACTACCGGGTCCCTGATCCTATGAGACTGGTGGGGGTGGGGGTGGAAAATTCAACGTGTGGATCGCTCTATTTTTACCGTAAATTACATACGGTCTAGCCCAGACCCGATGACGTCCCCGGGAAGTGAGAAAGAAGGACTTCAGTGATCCTTCCGTTAAAACATAGTCGACAATCAATGCTTGTATGTGATCGTGGAACAGATTTCGCCTTCAAAAAAATAATAAATAAATAAAATAGCGTGAGTACAACCAAGCCATTATGTGCAGGTCTTCCATATCCACAAGAAATTGACAAAGTCGAAAACGGCGCGTAGCGACCGTGAAAAGGTAATGAATATAGTACACGAAGGGATATATATGTATGAAAAGAACAAATTATCAACGCTCTCCAAAAACAATAAAATAAAGTAAATTAATGCACCGCGCACTCAAACCATCACCATTAGCCCTGTCGTAATTGCCAGCATGAGAGCAGCCCACACCGTGCGATCGGGACGACTTCCGCTGCCGTTGACTCCAGGCGATTTTGTGCTGGTCTTGAGGTCCACCAAAGACTGATTGGCAGATGAGTAACCGCAAAGACCACTGCCTGGCATATACTTGGCTGGGAAGAATACCCGGGGCTCACCCGCATCCAGGTCGATCGTTAGTGATCCGTTGTTGTCGAGCGTATAGTTTATGCAGTTCAGAACTTCAGTCACCTGTGTGCCGGCGTTGTAACTGAACGGCAAGTTGAGCTGATACGGCTTGCCGTTCGATCCTTGGTTGGAAAGGAGCATCAGGACTTGTTGGCCCTCGACGCCCTTTACGAAGGCAATTTCGCTGCTACCCACGAAAACGGCCCGTGACGGAGTAGTTACATAGTCGTTGTCAATATTATAGGCCTGTTTTCGGATAGCGTTGAGTTTTGCAATCAGCTTATAAAGCGCGGCGTCGGTGTTGTATTCAGTGAGCCACAACGCCTGGCGGTTCAGCGGCGTGCCCGTTCCGCTGAGATGTTGTTCTTGACCTTGGTAAATCATCGGGACACCGTCGAAAAGGAGCGTGAAAACCAGAATGTTCTTTGCAAGCTGGAAGATGGACAAATTAATCAGTGGGAGTCGGGGAATTCCGTGGAAGCTGAACCTACTGCCATATCATCGTTGAAACTAGCAATGCGTTCAACATCGTGATTCTCGGAGAAGGAAACAAGTGCCGTTACATCAGGACAGGCGGCCTTCATCGCTTCTACCGTCAGCGCTAGATCGCTAACGTTTCCTTCCGTGAAGGCCTTCAACATTGAGTAGTAGACGGGATAATTTGGCATGCTGCTGATGTAATTGTTTTGATAGTTGCAGATGATGTCGACTTGTTTCTGAAGAACTTCTCCGGTCATGAACGTGTTGGAAGAGTCGTCAAAATTCCGCAAAAATCCAGGGCTAACGTGCTTGGCCGCATCGATACGAAGTCCATCAACCGAATAAGCATCCATCGTGTCTTTCGCCCAGTCCTCGAGAATTTGCTGAACGTCTTCATGCTCTGTGAAAAGATCGGGAAGAGCGACGGTTGTATCACCTGTTTGACAGAGCTGCGCGTTGGTGAAGTTGTCCCAATTGGTAACCTTGCAGTAAGAGTGGAAATAGTCTGCATTGTTGAATGGGGTGAAGATCGAGTAGTCGATGTTCGTGGCTGGATTGCTCCCGTTGGTCATGTAGGCCATGTTGTTAATGACTGTATCCATCATCAAGTACATGCCTCGGGAATGGAGAGCATCACTCAGGTCGAGCAAATCTTGACGTGTGCCGAAATGAGAGTTCAGAGAGTACAAATCCAACGGCCAGTATCCGTGATAGGCTTCACCGTAAGAAACGTGACCCTCGAGATTTTCAATGATTGGAGATATCATAACGGCATCAAACCCCATTCCCTGGATATAGTCGAGTTGGTTTATTGTTCCTCTCCATGTTCCTCCGCAATAAAGTCCTGCCGTGGTGTTGCATGGTGAAGTAGTCGAGCCGTCTGTGCGTGCGAAACGATCCGTCATGGTCTGATAAACGGATCTCGACTTCCATTGAGCCGTATTCGCGGCCAGGATTGGCTCAAGTAGGCTCAAGGACAAGAGGAGCTGTGTCCGGAGATACACGTTCCACAATGATAGCATTTTGACGCATGAGAGGGGCGCAGACACCTTGTGAAGTAGAGAAGGAATGGGAGACCAAAGAGCCCGAAGGCGAGCACGAGACGTTGAATGAGTGAATGAGTGAATAAGTGAATGAGTCAAGAAACGAGTGAATTAGGTTTAAAGAAGGAGAGAATGAGTGCGGGGTTTAGAGAAAGAGAAAGAGAAAGATAAAGCAGAAGGAACCCATCCCGGACCAGACAATTGAAGTCCGAAGAGGGAGTGAAGAAATGGGGAAAATGAACCTATGCAAGGGAAAACCCCGGCCCCGCGCCATAGTGGCATTCGATAGCCCACTAGTCTTGTCTACGACTAGCGCTCGACCGGGCTATTCGCATTTCCTGTTTGTGTGCACGTGTGACCTGGGTACACGAGCTAAGATGGAGCTAATCCATGGATTCGTGACGATTCTCTGACAGAGGTGCTCGAGAGGCGAAAATCGGACAGCCTGGCCCAACTTCATTTAAGCATAGTGGTCCTGTCGATAGTGTACCGTTCAGGTGATATTCATGGTAGCCCTAGTGTCATTTTGGTGTGAACGGTTCCTGGTTCTCGGGGCTGGTTGAAGAACAGTGGATAAATGCGGATGGAAGGAATCTAACATGATATAACATGCCTCTTGAAAAGAGTTTATTCTAGATTCCTGACTCAGAGACTTTGCAGAACAAGCAATTGACAATATGCGTGTTGCGGCAGAAGCCTTCTCCATCTGTCCAAACTGAAACTCATGCGACCCCATCCCGGCCTATATCGCGCGAGGATTCCCCATGCGGTCGAGTGGCCTCCTATCCAGGGCTTAGCCGTTACCGTTACATTTGCCACAATCCGAGGCGTATTTAGCTGTCCAATTTAGAAGGGTTTATAGTCCGAAACAATCTTACAGGGGTTTTATGGAGAGGATGGCTTTTGCTCATTTCCACCACTTCACCGGACCAAAAAGAAAAATCTAAATATAGCGCCTGAGTGCCTGAGCATTTAACCTGCTTCTACACCATTAGGTAAATGCTTGGGATCGGTGCGTTAAATCCGAGACATTGGTACATGTTGACCGTTCAGTCAAAACCACCACATGAAACCAAGGTTACATACAGGCTTGGCAAACTTGAAATTGTGGGAAGAAAAAAAAACCAAAAAAAAACAAAGAGATAGAACCATCGCTCCATCCCACCAAAGAGACCGAATATCTATAAATTGGGTGCTTGAAACTGAGAACTACTTCAAAGCGTGAAATGAATAACTACAGGAGGAGTGATAAGAGGGTGTGATCGGTGGGGCATAGATATTTTGGCCCAATGAAAAGCGGTACGTGCGTCTAACCCTGGTCAGTACCAATGCCGAATACCTTGTTATTTACCGGTGGCTGTCCTTATCTAAAACCAATGGATCGAGGTTCCGCTATTGTGGCGTTCAGGGTCCGCGACTGTTCGGACGCATGTCTCAGATCCACATTTGGATGCGTGAATACCTTTCGAGTTTTACTCACGTCGCCTTTTGGGGCAAAATAAACGATGGCCATTTGAATTCGCGTGCGCTGACGGGTGATAACTGCAGTTCGGCGGACTGGCAGGTATGGAGGAATGTTCAGAGGCATCCAAGGTTGACTGCAGATAGAAGAATCGATTTCCGGAGGTTACCCCTTGGAAAACCTAAGACGTCTCGGTGATAAGGCATGAAGCAACGTATTCTTGGCATTGAACCTGAAATCCGTCATTGGCTCCAAGCTGATGATACCGATAATCTTCAGACACACTGAATGGCCCAGCCACGGTTAAGAAGCTAGAGAAGGAGGTGGTTTTTTATTGCGAAACACAAAGTGAAAAATACGATGTGACAGTTCAGAACAAATTTCGATTATCGAAGACCAAATGTCCCCGATAAACCAATCGGCCGAACCGGGGATCCACCGGGCGCCTGCAGCCGAAAGCTTCCAGGGGTCCCGGTCGTATTTTTCACTTGATATCGATACTATCGGTAAGAAGTCCCATGCCGGTTCAATCTGTCTAGGGCGTCGTGGAATGCCGGAGAACACGAGGTGCTCCGAGCGTTTCACCACGTGTGGTCTGAACCTTATTTCACCGCAGAATCGGCTAAATAGCGTGACCTTCAGGGAGGCTGAGATAAGTGAGGTTGAGGTGCCCTGTGGTAACGACCTCGATTGTTTGGTGATCTACGAAGTAACCAAATAACCCAGGAACCGGAGTTTCTGGAAAACGGCACCATTGCTCAAAACGAATCATGTCTGGCATCGGAACAGTGACTGGCTCCACGGATGGACCAATCCACCCATGTAACGGAGCTATCAGCGGGTGGATAGGTACCGGTGCCCTACAAGGCTTCTAGGTCTCTTGATAGATCCGCAAGAGGCTTCTAATGACTTTCTACGGATACGAGACATCCGGCTCCGCCCATTTCGGTGTATCCCGTGGGACTTGGCCTTCTAACAGGCGGTGGGTTCTGGCTCTGCGAGTCCAATGCACGCAAATAGTGGGTTTGGAGCAGTGAAAAAAAAAAAGGGAGTCAAATAATTCCCAATCTAGACAGAGCCCACGGCGTCCGCCGCAAAACGAAAGGTTCCTGCCAGTCTAGCGTGCGCGTTGGCATCAACGCCAAGATCTATTATCAGAACCGGACTCCTTAATGTGTCTCAATTCGTCTAGTGATACTAAATTCATCTGACATTTATTTTTGTGCATCCTTCAAAAGCCGAGGCCACTAATTCGCCCTCTCAGTCTCGCTCGTTTACCTTAATGCGATGAGATCTTACCTTCTTTTCCCCTTCTCCTCTCTCCTCTTATTTCACTCTGTCTCGATATCTGGCGTTCATCTCGACTGCTGTTCTTGATGCGCCGTCCAATCGTTTATTGAAATAATTCGGGTACCTGGATTTCTGATAACCAGATTAGTCCCCTGCCTTTTACTTGTGGGAGCTTGAAGCAGATTGTGAGACTTGTGCACGTCTGTTACTTTCTGGGGAAATTTTTTCTCCTCTCCTCTCGACCTTCTTGATAGCAGGGCTGTCAGAGGTTTACGAGGATCACGTTTATATATACCTAATCAACGACCATGAGGTGGTCAACGTCCAGCGGTTTGGCAGTGCTTTTCGCCGCCACCGCAGCATGCTGGCCCTACGACGAGTCCTGGCTGGATTACAACCTCAACCAGAACAAGACCGCAACAAACCCAGCGGATTACTGGGGAGAATGGCCAGACCACACGGGAAAATATCATCCTTCCCCAGACAACTGGCGATTCCCATTCTATACTCTCTTCTTGGATCGCTTCGTCAACGGCGACCCTACCAACGATAATATTAATGGCACATTGTTCGAACACGACCTTGACTCGAATCAAATGCGCCACGGAGGTGATGTTGCCGGTCTTATTGATACTTTGGACTACCTCCAAGGAATGGGTATCAAGGTTGGTGTTCCCTTCCACCTCTTACATGGGAAATTCGAAATTCCATTCTTACAAGCATCCAGGGTCTCTATCTTGCCGGTACTTCACTGATGAATCAGCCGTGGGGCTTCGATGGTTATTCGGCTTTGGATACAACGCTACTGGATCGACACTACGGCAACCTTCAGCTCTGGCGTGATGCCATTACCGAGATCCACAGGCGCGGCATGTACGTCGTGTTCGATAACACGATCGCTACGTAAGGATCCTCTTCTCCGGTTGAAATGATGATCACTGCTAACCATAGATTTCCAGCATGGGTGACTTGATCGGCTTCGAAGGACATCTCAACAGCACGACACCTTTTTCCGAGAAAGAATACAAGACTCAGTGGAAGAGCAATCGTCGCTACGTGGACTTCGACATCGGAGAGACGTACAATGCCACCTGTAACTATCCCCGATTCTGGTACGAGAACGGCTTCCCTGTCAACGAATCTATGACTGCGGAGCTGGTCGGCTGCTACGACAGTGATTTCGATCAATACGGTGACATCGAGGCTTTCGGTGTGTATCCCGACTGGAAGCGACAGCTCGCCAAGTTCGCCTCCGTGCAGGACCGTCTTCGTGAATGGCACCCGACCGTACGCGAGAGACTGATCCGCCACTCCTGCATGGTGATTGCTTCCTTGGATATCGATGGTTTCCGATACGACAAAGCCACCCAGGCCACCGTGGACGCGCTGGGTGATATGTCTGCAGCCTACCGAGAGTGCGCGCGCGCCGTGGGCAAAAAGAACTTCTTCATCGCCGGTGAAATTACCGGTGGCAACACCTTTGGCTCCGTTTATCTCGGTCGTGGCAGACAGCCAAACCAACTCCCTGACGATTCCACCGCTGCGATGAAGATGACCAACGAGTCCAGTCCGCAATATTTCCTACGTGAAATTGGCTATGAAGCAATTGATGGAGCAGCCTTCCACTACTCCACTTATCGTGCTCTCACCCGTTTCCTGGGCATGGACGGTCAACTCTCTGCCGGGTACGATGTGCCCGTCGATTGGGTCAACGCATGGAACGAGATGCTGCAGACGAACGATCTAATCAACGCGAACACTGGAAAATTTGATCCTCGGCACATGTTCGGTGCCACCAACCAGGATGTCTTTCGTTGGCCGGCAATCGAGCATGGTATTGAACGACAGCTGCTTGGATCTTTCGTCACTACCCTGCTCATTCCCGGAATACCCCTTCTTCTTTGGGGCGAGGAGCAAGCTTTCTACATCCTGGACGCAACCGCGTCGAACTATATCTATGGCCGTCAGGCGATGTCTGCCGCGACCGCTTGGAGAACCCACGGCTGTTTCTCTTTGGAGTCGTCTCAATACTATAAGTGGCCCATCGTGAAGGGTAGTCAGGGTTGCCATGATGAGTCGGTTGCCTACGACCATCGCGATCCCAGTCACCCGGTGCGCAACATCATGAAGCACATGTATCAACTACGCGAGCTGTTCCCCGTTTTGAATGATGGCTACAGTCTTCAGAACCTATCGAAATCGACCGAGGATGTATACTATCCTGGCTCCAACAGTACCCCGACCGAGACTGGAATGTGGTCCATTCTCCGCCACGTCGACCCCGAGGTGCAGGATCTGGGCTCTGCCTCTGCCAACCAGCCCATCTGGCTGGTCTACCAGAACACCAATCGCACAATTGACTACAAGTTTGACTGTACCACCAAGAACAGTGAGCTTAGTCTGATCTCTCCATTCGACGAAGGCACCTGGGTCAAGAATCTCTTCTACCCTTACGACGAGTTCAAGTTGGAGGCTAGCCCATGGAAACTTGGGTATAACAGATCCACCAAATACAACGGCTGCTATCCCAACTTGACACTGAACGCCTACGAGTTCCGTGCATACGTTCCCAAGGACCAGTTCAAGTTGCCCCGATCCATGGTCACCGCATTCACTCCGGGTCACGATGTTCCAATCCGATCCACCGTGGCGCCAAATCTGTCGGAAGACGTACACATTGAGCTTTTCTTCTCAGAGGAGATGGATTGCGATTCAATCACCAACAGCCTGTCTATCACCTCGTCCACTGAAGCTAGTAAGGTGGCAACGCTCAACCCAAAGACCGTCAACTGCACCTCTATTTCTCCCACCGATACCTCATACACAGGTCAAATTCCGAGCCTCTTCATGTGGGCTGCAAACTTGACCGGCGTATACAACGGCGTCCACAGATTGACTCTCAACAACGCAAGTAATGTCCATGGAAACTCATCTACGGGTGCGGTTGACCACTTTTTGTTCCGAATTGGCCAAATCGATAACCCCATGGTCTTCTCCTCTGCCAACTACTCCACCAGTTTGCTTCACCAGCACACCAACAACAATACCCTTTTCATCCAGCACCACGCTGCTGGCGCTGACAAGTACCGCTATTCTACCAACTGGGGCACGACGTTCTCTGACTGGAGGGCCTACAAGGGTGGTAACGACACTATCGAAACCCTTCCCTGGTCGGGTACCAAGAAGCAGGCCTGGAAGGGCGAGCACGTGCGCGTTGAGTACTGGAGTGGTTTGACTGGAAGCAGTGACTACGTTCAACACGGTGATACGAACTGGAATTCTGGAGTTCCTCGTCGCTTCCCTCACGTCTTTTTCAATGGACCATACAACCAGTATGGCTATGATGGCGGTCTCGATAATGTGGTTAAGCAGGATGAGAACAATGGATATTGGAAGTACCACTTCACGTCTGAATGGCCGGCTGTCGGGCAGCTCAACATCTGGGGCGTCAACCCCGGTGGAACTCCTGATCAAAGCTGGGTGCTCGGTGATGCAGACGGCGACGGCGTCTTGGATCGCATGCCTCCTTCATCCCTGACAAGTACGTTGCTTAACATCACCAAGCCTCCGCCTTCACCGTACGTGGCCTGGGAGTTGTATGTCAACGATGCCACTCTGCGCTATAGTGTGATCCCGGCCGGCACTCAATATCCGCAGATTGTCATGTTTGTCCTCTTCTGGATTATTCCAGTCATCACGGGTGCAGGATGTGTCTACATCTTCATGAAGTCCTTCTACAAGGTCAAATTCAACGAAAATGGTGCCACCGAAAAGGCTCGAATGACGCCAATGCTCTTCCTGAAGAAACTGAAGCCCTCGCGTTCTACCGAGAGGGGCGATCATGTCAATCCTCTCATGCGTCTTGCGAACAAGTCGGGCTTCATGCAAAGCACCACTGCCCTGGCTGGAGGTGCAGGGAGCGGCAAGCGCCGCATGGTTCTAATCGCCACTATGGAGTACGACATTGAGGATTGGGCCATCAAAATCAAGATCGGTGGTCTCGGTGTCATGGCCCAGCTCATGGGTAAGACTCTCGGTCACCAGGACTTGATTTGGGTCGTTCCTTGCGTCGGTGGTGTCGACTATCCTATCGACCAGGAGGCAGAGCCGATGACTGTGACCATCTTGGGCCGTAAATATCAGGTCAAGGTTCAGTATCACGTTTTGAAAAATATCACCTACGTTTTGCTCGATGCCCCTGTGTTCCGTCAGCAGTCGAAGTCTGAACCTTACCCTGCCCGCATGGATGACCTGGACAGCGCTGTCTACTACTCCGCTTGGAACCAGTGTATCGCCCAGGCTATCAAACGTTTCCCGATTGACCTCTACCACATCAACGATTACCACGGATCCGTCGCTCCTCTGTATCTCCTACCAGAGACTATCCCCGCTTGTCTTTCGCTTCACAATGCTGAGTTCCAGGGTCTTTGGCCCATGCGCACCCAGAAGGAAAGACGCGAAGTATGCTCCGTTTTCAACCTCGAGGAAGATATCGCTCGCCGGTATGTGCAATTCGGTGAGGTGTTCAACTTGCTCCACGCAGGTGCAAGCTACCTCCGAGTCCAGCAACAAGGTTTCGGTGCTGTTGGTGTGTCCAAAAAGTACGGCAAGCGGTCTTATGCTCGTTATCCCATTTTCTGGGGTCTACGGAAAGTGGGCAATCTACCTAATCCGGATCCTTCTGATGTTGGAGAGTGGACCAAGCAGCCTATCAAGGATGAAGACATCACCGTCGACCCCGAGTATGAGGCCGGTCGTGGCGAGCTTAAGAGACAGGCCCAGGAGTGGGCAGGTCTTGAGCAGAACCCGGATGCCGATCTTCTGGTGTTCGTCGGTCGCTGGTCGATGCAGAAGGGTGTTGATTTGATCGCCGATGCGTTGCCTGCTGTCCTTGAGGCCCGTCCTAACGTGCAGGTCATTTGCATTGGTCCCGTTATTGATCTCTACGGAAAGTTCGCTGCTCTTAAGCTTGGTCGCATGATGGAGGTCTACCCCGGCCGAGTCTTCTCCAAGCCCGAATTCACTGCTCTTCCGCCGTTCATCTTCTCAGGTGCCGAATTCGCCCTGATCCCCTCCCGTGATGAGCCCTTCGGTCTCGTTGCTGTGGAGTTCGGTCGCAAGGGAGCTCTCGGTATTGGAGCCCGCGTCGGCGGTCTCGGTCAGATGCCAGGCTGGTGGTATAACGTGGAATCCACCTCAACCAAGCATCTGCTGGTCCAGTTTAAGCTGGCTATCGAGGCTGCGCTGAACTCCAAGACGGACACTCGTGCCATGATGCGCGCCAGATCTGCGAAGCAAAGATTCCCCGTTGCTCAGTGGGTGGAAGACCTCGAGATCCTTCAATCTACTGCCATTGACGTCCACAATAAGGAGGTTGCAAAGGGTCATGGCCGTCCTCTCACTGCTTCTGGAACCAGCACGCCCAATGGAGCCATGAGGTCTCAGCAGTCTTTGGCGCTGGCTCCCCTGTCTCCTCCAGTCAATGCCGCCTACCCGCATTCCAGAGAGAGCAGCTACTCGAGCTTCAACCAGATCAGTGATCTGGGTTCGCAGAAGAGAACTGTCTATAGCCGAGACATCAGTCCCTCCGAGACAGAGAAGCCCAAGTCTGGCCTCAGTCGGTCGCTCTCTCTTGGTGTTCGCTCGGGTCCTGGACACCAGGGCCGTCGTGGTCGTCGCAACCAGGTCGAGGGCGTCGAGGAGCACGAGAATGAGAACGCATATGCCGAGGAGAGCAGTGACGAAGACACAGCTCACAGCATCTATGGTGACGATGAGTACACTATCACCGCCGCCCAGATCGAGGAGGGACGTCGCGCGCAGGCCGCTCACAGACAGAACTCGGGCTTGCCTTCGCCCAGTCGTCGCAACAGCCAAGAGTCGATGCATGCCAGGTTCCTCATGCCCCTAAGCAGCCCTGGCACACCCCCTGCCGGCGCCGACCAGCTTCTTCTTCCTCCGCAGCCCTTCGCCGAGTCTAACCGATACAGCAGCGGATCTGTTCTCTCGCTGGATTCCGTTGTCGGCAACAAGAAGGATTTCAAGCTGCAGAAGGTGGATCCGTTCTTCACAGACGGTACTGGTGAATACTACCACCACTTCGAGCAGAAGTTGGAGGGCCTGAATGGCTCCAACTCTGAAGGCGATCTCTGCATTGAAGAATTCCTGGTCAAGAGTGAGCAGGAATGGTTCGATCGGTTCCGCAACGCCAAACTTGGTCGTCACCACCCTAAGTCGCCAACTCCCTCGATCTTCCGCTCGAGGCACAGTCCATCGCCTGCCGGAGAGTATGATGATGCCCTTTCCCACATTTCTCTCAGCGATAATTATGACAGCGATGGCGATGAATTCCTTCTTGGAAAAGACTATGTTCCTCCCACCGGCCTCAGGAAGTGGATGCAGATCAAGATCGGTGACTGGCCGGTCTATTCCATCTTCCTTGCTTTGGGTCAAGTTATTGCCGCGAACTCCTACCAAATCACTTTGCTTACCGGCGAAGTTGGTGAGAGTGCCGAAAAGCTGTACGGTATCGCCACCACCTATGCCATTACCTCTGTGTGCTGGTGGATGGTGTACCGTTATTTCAAGTCTGTTGTTTGCCTCTCGACACCCTGGTTCCTCTATGGTCTGGCATTCCTCCTGATCGGCTCAGCCCACTGGCAGAGCAACTCGTTCAATCGCGGATGGATCCAGAACATTGGAAGTGGATGCTACGCCGCCGCTTCGTCCAGTGGATCTATCTTCTTCGCCTCGAACTTTGGTGACGAAGGTGGTGCCCCAGTCGAAACTTGGATCTTCCGTGCCTGTGTCATTCAGGGTGTCCAACAAGCCTACGTTATTGCTCTTTGGTATTGGGGCTCGACCCTGACCAAGGCTTCCAGCGAAGGTCTGCTGAATTCGGACACCTCTATCTCCAACACCTGGAGGATGACGGCCATTTGTTACCCGATCGCCATCTTTGTCTGGGGTATCGGTCTGCTGTTGATCTTTGGTCTGCCCAACTACTACCGTCAGAAGCCTGGCAAGGTGCCTTCCTTCTACAAGTCCCTGTTCCGCAGAAAAATCGTTCTTTGGAACTTCGTGGCCGTTATCCTGCAGAACTTCTTCCTCAGTGCCCCCTACGGTCGTAACTGGAGCTGTAAGTCTTCTCTCCGAAATTCCCTTTGTTCCCCATCTATACAATGCTAACCAACAATTTTTTTCCAGTCCTGTGGAGCTCAATCCACACCCACGCCTGGGAGATCGTCATCTTGTGCATTGTCTTCTTCGGCTTCGTGTGGTGTGTCTTCCTCTTCATCATCAGCAAATTCTCCAAGCGACACAGTTGGTTCCTTCCTGTATTCGCCTGTGGTTTGGGCGCACCTCGCTTTATCCAGATCTGGTGGGGTGTCTCGGGCATCGGCTACCATCTGCCCTGGGTGGCAGGTGGATACACCGGAGCAGCCCTCGCGTCCCGAAGTGTTTGGCTCTGGCTGGGAGTTTTGGACTCCATCCAAGGTCTGGGCTTCGGTGTAATCCTTTTGCAAACACTGACGCGTGTGCACATGTGCTTCGCACTCATTGCCTCGCAAGTGATTGGTTCCATTGCAACTATTTGTGCCCGAGCCTTTGGACCCAACAACGTCGGCCCTGGACCGATTAGCCCAGACATGACCAAGGGTGCCGGTGAACTGGCAAACGCCTGGTTCTGGGTCGCTTTGATGTCCCAGCTCCTCATCTGTGCTGGATTCTTGCTGTTCTTCCGGAAAGAGCAGCTTTCCAAGCCTTAAGCACGACTCGACGTGCTCTCCCTACACTCACTCAACATGGAGGTCACTCGTGGCCTCGCAACACACTCATGCATTTTGAAATGATTTCGCATTTACACTCCTTCCATCCTGTCTCGCTTTTTTTTGGTCGGTGTGGTGGCGTTCCCGGATATATGGACAACTAATCACATGTGTCAATCCTTGAATTGTATATAGATACTGTTTCTTTACTTTGATGTTACTTTGATGATACATACTGTGAAGAATTTACAACCTCCATCCAGCCTTGGAAGGTTTTCATACTAAATTCGTAACGATGCATCTAAATTGCTTTAGCAATACCTTCAATCTTGAAAGTAAATTTTCAAATAATAAAGTAGAACTTGACTAATCACAGCCCAGGACAAAGAGAGGGCTGTCAACGAGATTCGCCATCGGTCCGTCGATACACGGCCAACATATGTCACATTAGCTATTATGCTGGGTTGAGTCAGAGGTAGCCCTGACCAGAGTCTTCCGTCTAGGGCCGACATCAAAAAAGGCCAATTAGTATAGAACCCAGATTCTTCAAACTTGTAATTCATTGGGTGCTATTCGAACCATTTTTGTATAGGACGGAGCCTCCCGGCGCAGATCCCGACTCGCCGCAAAATTTTCCAAGGTTCCGGCATTTCCAATCGCCAATCCCAAACTCAATCTCGCCATTCCTTCCCTCCTCCCACTTCCAATGCGATCAATCTTCAGTCTGCGACACGCAAGTCGCACCAGTCGCTCCCTGCTACGATCTCGAGGCCTCGAACAACCGCTCCGAACAAGGAGGACGATCAGCACCATACCACGCCCACGCCATGCGATAACACCACAATGCGCGGCATTCACGCCTCGCCGGGCATTCGGACTGCCTTCACTCTCCTCCTTCCTCCCCTCCTCGCCCAATGGGAATAACAGCGACCCCAAGCGCGTTCTCACAGCCACGCGCACTCTGCCCTATTCTCCCGCCCTACTCTTCAAAGTCATTGCCTCCGTCGAATCCTACGCGGAATTCCTCCCCTTCCTCACAGCCTCGACTGTCACGGCCCGCGACCCACAATCGGGGTATCCTACTCAAGCCTTCCTGACTGTGGGCTATGGCCCGCTCAGTGAGACCTTCACCTCGCGGGTAGACTGTGATCCCTTGAAGGGGATTGTCGAGGCGCGCAGCGGGGCGAAATACGGCCAGGGAGCTGGGAAGGCGGAACCCAAAGGCGGGTTGAGTGGGTTGTTCCCCGGTGCGAATGAGGGTATCTTTGAGTATCTCGATACGAAGTGGGAATTGGCGCCGCTGGCCCCGGCTGATGCAAAGGGTGGTCCGCAGACTAAAGTGAACTTGGAGGTGCGCTTTGAGTTCCGCAACCAGTTGCACGCTACCATGATGAGTGCTGTCGAGGGCCAGATGGCCAATGTGATGATCGAAGCGTTTGAGAAACGCATTCGGGAGACGCCTTCGCAGGGGCAATAGATATAGACACCCCGAGACTTGTATATTAATGGTGTTTTTGGGCTGAGGCATGTACGTATCCGGAGTACATAGATCATTCCCCCCAATTCATAGAAGCATATGGAGCGTGATTTACGAGGTTCATTTCTATAGAGTCTGCTGTACATCCGGGATGAATTGTTTAGAAATGGTAAGGGAAATGGAACATGATAGTATATAGTACAGATTATCAACGCTTTTGACGCTCAAAGCATGCTCATGCTGCGATTCCGGTTGGCCGTGCTCCGCGCGCCCTTGACCGAGCTGACGGCGTTGTAGTTGTCAAACACCACATCCCAGTTGATCCGATCCCACCAGCGCTCCAGGTACTCCTCCTTTCCGGAGATACCGTAGTCCATCATCCAAGCGTGCTCCCAAGTGTTGACGCACAGGATGGGCTGGACGTCGATGGCACCGGGGGCCAGGTTCTTCTGGTTCTGGGCGTGGGCACCCATCGCACCGGCGAACTGGTTGCCGAGAGGTGCGTCGGGGGAGTGGGTGGCCATATCGACGGGCTGGCGCCGGGAGTGGGCAGCCGGGTAGGGCGAGCCGGCGTTGTAAGTGCAGAAGATCTGCATCAGACCCTCGCGCTCGAGGTTCTTGGCGAGCCAGACGAAGCCGGGGCCGAACATGGCGTTGGCGGTGGCCAGGAAGTCGAGCTTCAGGGATTCGACGGAGGAGCAGGTGTCGACGATGTCCTTGGCGAATTTTTCAGGGATCTTGGTGGCCGTGGGGGACTGCAAAAGGGACTGTCAGAGAGACCATCGTAAAGAGAAGGTGAGCTACTCACAATGCAGTTGAAGAAGAAGTGGTTGTTGTGGGCCATGGAGGCGTAGTTGAAGACCGAGGCCATCTCCGGGCGCTTGGAGTACTTGACCAGCAACTCTCCGGGTTTGGAGTCCGCATCGGGGGTGTCTAAAAAGAGGCAAGAAATGAGTACTCATTCATCTTGGTATCAATTGAAACAATCGCGAGGCAATGTGGCCGCGAGAATCCCGCAGGTCAAGTCGGACTCACCTTGTGTCAACAGGTTGAGCTTATCCACGAGGAGGGTCTGGTATTGGGTCCAGGAAAAGTCAAATGCCTCGGGTGACATGAACTCAGGCACACCGTTCTCCTTGTAGTAGGCGTCATGCTGCAATTGGGGGATACGGTGGAGGCCACGGGCCTGGAAGCGGAGGGCGGAGGTCGGTGTCTGTACCACGCAATCAGCACTCGGTATCAGGGGAATCAGAATCGGGCAGCACTAACCTGGGAAGAAGCCGCGCGCAAAGCGCTCGGCCGGACAAGACGACTGAACATGGTGTGCGGAGAATGAAGTGAGCAACCGTCGCAGCTCCAAAGCGCGAAGAAATTCGATCCCCGAAATGCGCGGTTATGTAAGCACACCCTCGGCCAATCAGCAGCGCAGAATCTACTTCTTCACTGTATCAATTTACGCGCCGGGCTTCAAACGACCTGCACCTCTCGTCCTGTCCTACAGATGTAAGTTGTGCTTCTGCAACATTTCATTTGGCTTAGCGCCCGTCTTTCTTCCGTGTTGCAGGATGCCGCCCATGCTGAAACGCGATGGGCCCAAAGGCCCGGCGCGTGCAAGAAATAGATTCCTTGTGTACGACACCTGAAAGGACTCTTCATTGTCTCTTCTGCCTGGCTGGGCTTTTGTTGCAGGCTCCCATCAACGCCCTTGTCTATTCGATATTTTCTCTTCATCCAACATCTCTTTTGTTGGTGACTCCATTCCATCCTGGCTTCCTGAACCCAGTAACGGCCTGGATTCGCTCTCAACAACTTCTCCATCGATTATCTTCAACTTGTATTCTCCGAGAAGACCAGACACGGCATTATCTGCATCCGCCGTCATGGCGAGGATGACGGTGGGCGTCGTCTTTCGACGACCGTCTGTTCTGCTACTCTTCACTCTCATGACTTCTTTCCGAACAAGCCATGCTTCCGGTTCCTTCGAATTGCTTCCACGAAGCTCAAATTCCTGCCCAAGCTCATACGATACCTGTGGAGGGAACCTACCCAGCGACTTTTGCTGTGCTTCATCGTCAACCTGCATCAGTCTGGACGATGCCACCTCCGCCATCTGCTGCCCATCTGGGGCAAACTGCGACTATATCTCACCCATCGTCTGTGACATTCAACAACAGAACGCAACTGCCCATCCCGAGAACTCTGTCAAGACGAGCCGGCTCGATGATAGCCTTCCGACTTGTGGGGACGCCTGCTGCCCATTTGGCTACACCTGCCAAGGGAACAACACCTGCGCCCTGAATAAAAAGACTTCCAGCAGTGCAACATCCACATCCTCTACCTCCTCTAGTGCCTCAACCACCTCCCCATCAGCTACCTCCTCGGCCACCTCTGGAATAACCTTCGCACCAGTCCCATCATCCTCTATCTCTGCCGCCAAAGAAAATGCCAATGGTGCAACCCTCGCCTCCTCATGTCCATCATTCCCGAGCAAAGCAATAGCCGCCGGTTTCTTCCCAGGCGCCATCTTCGGTGCCCTCGTCGCTCTCCTCATAACCACCTGCCTTCGACGCCGCGCCCGGAAGAAGGAGCAAGGACAAGGATGGGAGCCAAAATTGAAAGCTTGGTCCCAACGCTCCTCTACCGGTGGAGTCGTGGGAATTTCACGCCCAATACACTCAGAAGACTATGGCCGCTCAGACTTCCTACTTCATCCTTCGCCTGTCAGGCGCAGCTATGTCAGTGGACGCTCTACACGGTCAAGATTGCACCGCACCGGAAGCAGAGTGCGAAGTCTCTTCTCGAACGGTACTCCCAGGTTGGATAAAGAGATCCCGCCCATCCCGTCGTGTCCAGTCACTCCGCCGCCTCAACGAAAGCCCAGTACCGAAAGTATCAAGGTCTACTCTCCACCGGGGGCATTTGCACAGTCGCGCAAGTTTCTGGGACCGGAACCGTATCCCAGTACGATTGCGCGGCCGGATACTACGTTTACGGATTTGATGCGGGTGGTAGGGTTCAATGATCCGAAGGGCAATCCGTCTTACAAGGTGACGAAGGAAGAGGAGAAATTTGAGAGCAAGACAGGCTGATTGTGTCCTTTCGCTGACCGGCATGGGTAAAGACGATGCATTAATTACATCGGGCATTTTGGTCGTGTACAACATTGAAATGTAATTTCGTTTGCTCAGATAATGTCAAGAAGTCGTCATATCCATATTTGCGAGATGACGTTGTATGCCAGTCTTGGAACGGCAATAAGATCATATTCTTTTACTATATACTCTATGGCCTTCGTTGACCAGCGATTGTCAAGGGAAGGCTCAACTCCCGGGGATGGCTCGGGAATCGGGAGGGACTTGGCTTGAGCTAGTGTGCAGGCTTCCAAGGCAGGAGAATGGGCTCGAGCGAGGAGGATGTGTGGATGAAGATGGCCATGCGAGTGAAAATGATATTTCTGAAGTAAAGATCAAAATATACGGGAGATCATTACGCAGAAATCGGTTTTAGGCCAAGGCCCGAGTACTTAGCATAGAACATGGAAAATTATGTCGAATGTGTAAGTAACGGTATAGCTCGTAGAATACAATGCCAAGAACACCAACTTATGCTGCGGCGCGTCTTTGCGCTTTCCACCCTGCAATAATTCGCTTCAGCTCCTTCATCAGTCCAACGAATAGCGGAACACCGATTGGTCCCAGAAGAGGCAGGTATACAGCCACCTTATGTTCGTCTGGGAAGTACACCTGGCCCACCATACTCTTCTCGAAGAAACTGCGCTCAGCCTCGGTCTCGGCAACCCGAGCAGTGGCAAGAGCATCATTGAAACGACCACTTCGCAAATGGGAGCAGGTAGCAGAGAGATGAGAAAGAGTGGTCGAGACTGAAGAAGCGACAGTCGCTGGGATAGGGATAGAGGGAAGAGACTCGGTCAGGCGGGCGAGAGAGCCCATAGTCGAGGAAGCCGACAGCAAGAGAGTCGCGGCGCGGATACGGATTAATGTCTGAAGTCGGAGGGGGAGAGAAGCCGGGGTGGTTGGAGTGCCGAGGAGGGTCAAGAGCTGGTGAGAGAAGGTCATGAAGGCAGGCCGAAGATACTCTTGAGAAAGATGAGCAGGATTCGAGCCCTTGTCTGCCGGGGACAACGGAGGGTTCAGAAGAAACACGCCGCCCCATTGTGGAACGATCCAGCTGAAAGCGCGGTTCTCCTTGACCATCATCGGGGCTTGCGAGGGAGCTGGCACGTAGAGAATGAAGTTCAAGGTGGGACCGTTGCCAATGCTGGGGTTCAGTGGCCACTCAGCAGCATTGACGAATGCGCTCAAATCCTCCTTCTTCAAAGTCCATGCAGCCTCGGCCTCATCATAGACGGGCGGTGGTGCCATGGGTGAAAAGGTGGCGTAGAGCTGGACTTGGGTGTCGACAGTGAAGTTGCTGATGGGAGCAAACGCATGAAGAAGGGGAGCCAGGTATTCCTGCACGGCAGCTTCAATATCCCATGACGACGGCTCGGAGCCCGGAGTAAACAGTGAGAAGGACAGATGATATGTGTCGGCGTATTTCATCGACCGGCGTAGGCGTCGACTGATGCTCTCTGCAAACTGCGGATTTACCGAATCCAGACCGGACTTCTCACCGGAAAGGATATGCGCAACTGTAGCCTTCTCTTCTCCGTACAATTGTTGTAACTCTTCCGCGATAAAGACCGAGAGGGGCGGGTTCGAGGACGAGGGAATAGGGACCTGACTCGGCGGGTAGAATACATCGAGCTGCGTGGTATCCGCATGAAGCTCTGCCTTTGGGACAACCAGGCCATCCTGCGCAATTAAACGGACTGTCAATGCAGTATCGGGTCCTTCCTCCCCATTATTTGACACCTCCGAGCTGTCGTCGCTCTGCTGTGCTGTAGATGTATCATTCGTCAACTTGAGCCGAAGATGGTGCGCAGCGAACTCGTTGAGGTCGTCCAGGGCGTGCTGGGTGGTGCGAAGAAGGTGCTGGGATTCAGATGATTGCATCCCCGGTGCCGCGACATGGATCTCGAGGGGAAAGACAGGGCGACATGTCTGTAGGAATGAGAATCAGCCGATCCCAAGTCAATTGCAGGAGACTCACCTTGCCGTCGGCCCAGTCAACCATATCCTGGATGGGCAGATGCGCCCTGTAGATCGAAGTAGTTTTCCACCATATCGGGAATCCCAGGAAGATAATCACGGCCCAGAAAGTAGCAATGACTCGGAAGCGTGTTGAGATGGCCTCGGGCGTTTCGGGGGGGGAATCGCTGGGCGCTGGCTTTGGAGTCTGACGAGGCTGCTGCCTGTGGAGACGTAGAGTCTCCTTTTGTGCCCGTCATGATCGGAACATTGCTCTGGATGCTTCTGGAGCGAGGGGTGTGTTGACAATGAAGCCGGGCAGGGCGTGGAAGGCGGAGAAGGGGAAAGCTGGCCGCATCTAAGTTGCAACAACACTGTGCTACTACAGCCGCCGCACCTTCAATGCTTTTTCGACCGGTTAATATTTCTATAATTTGGAGAGTCCATATCTATCGTAGCTGCGGCACTCTTTTTACAAGCTACTGAAACATCGACTTTCACCAATCTTAGTCGTAGGACTTGAGGCCTGCAGCCGGACGCATTCAGTAGCGGGACGCATTGAGTGCTACTCAATGCACACGCAAAAGGCCCAACGAGGTATTCGAATATTCCAGTATATGCAAAGTATCTAAAGCAAAGGGTATCTTGACCAATAACGCCGATCCAATATAGCGGTCTACAGAGACCTTCGACACGCCCCTAGTATTCCTTCTCGAAGATTTTCTGAATCGGTTTGGCCGCCTGGAATCGCAGGGGTGGATTAGCAAAAGCGCCCAACGGCCGAAAACCCAAAAGCAACAGGCACATACATCGATGAACTTCTCCAGGTCCTGATCCAGGCTGGCGAGATCGTCCTTTCGCTTCTTGTTCTCTGCGATCAAGGCCTGTTTGCGCTTGAGAAGCTCCTGGCGTGCCTGCTCGAGCTTCTCGCGCTCAGCATGTTCGTGGTTGATGCGTGCAATCATCAGCTCATGCTCATCAGTATCCCGGTGCTCGGGGAACTGTTCCAGGAACTCTTCGACGGGAATCAGAGGCAGCGAGAAGTACTTGTGGCTGTGACACGGAGAAGGCTCATGTTAGCTTGGAAGTACACAGTCAGGGATTCCACCTACTCGTAGGCCTCGCAGGCGGCGATCTCGCCCGTCAGATGCTTCTGCTCGTAGTACAGATTCTGCAGCTGGAGGTGCAGCCGGTCAATTTCCTGGCGGGCCACGGCGGTGGCCTGTTTGGTGTCCCGTACGCGAAAGCAGGCATCTCGATTCTGGCCCCGAAGCCGGGCAAGTAGAGCAAACAGGACCTTCTGTTGCTTAGAAGCGGCCAAGGACAGTTCGTGGATGGCGGCGGGGTCGGTCGGGACGGCGTCAGGGTTCAACAAGGAGAGCAACTGATGGCATTGGGCGAGAGTCTCGGCGCTGGTGCTGAGCACGGGCTGCAGCGACTCGTCGGAGACGACCTGACTGATAGTCATGGTGTTGGAAAGTGGCGACTAAACGATGAGGAGACCGAGTTGCGCCGCAGACAGGGAAAAGGTGGAGCCGGCAGGGCGGACTTCCGTCAATCAGACGCAGCACCCGCACGTCCGTTCACCCATGTGAACGCTGGGTCGTCGATGGTTGGGGAACTCAATGATCTGCGACTTTCGCCGTATCTTTCAGCTTTTACCCCTCGACTTTCCCTACTCTTCACTGACTCGTCTTCCTTTTCGTCTTGACTTGTCTGTTCGACTCCTTTTGCTCTCTTCTCAGCGCTTCAACCCTCTCGGTTCCCCCGGACTCCGTCGGCCCACCTTGAACACCCCAACAAATCCCTCAACTGGCGGTCCTCGCATTGACGCTTAAGGGGAACCCGTTGGCTGCACCGCGAGCAGCGCGATGGCCTGCTCTGCGTCCTCAATGACTGTCGAATCGTATCCCGACTTCGCCGTTTCCTCGGCCTCGGCCGCGGCGACTCCCGGCGAGGACACCGGTCTCCTGCGAGATCGGCGAAGAAGACATTCGTACCACGCTCCTCGGAGACTCTCTTGTGACTACCAGGATGCAGACACCGTCTTCATTAGGGTGAGACCCGGCACTACCTTGCCCCGGGCCTGCGGTGCCTTTGGCTAACAATAAGCAGGTGGAGCTTTTCCTCGCCGAACTCGAGCGCCGAATGCACTGGATCGAACAGTACCGCAAGTCTCACATGGATCACATTGACGCGAGTCTCAAACGAGGATATGCAACCCTGGAAGCCGTGAGAGACCAGTGCTCGGTCGCATCCGGCGAGCTGATGGGCAGCGGCAAGAAACGGGCCAAGATCTTGGTCGAGACCCTGGAAGATCGATATAACGAAGCCCTGGTGACCAAGGAGACTCTGGAACAAAAGGCCCAGGCCGGAGTTCGCTTGATGGAATCATTCCTCTCCGAACTCGAGTCTCGCGCCCATGCAGTTCGCGATCGCGGTATCTACGGAGCCTTGGATGATGGATGGAAGGCAATGGATTCAAAACTGGTGCATGCCCGAGAAGTCGTCGACGAGGGAATGGAGCGTGCTCGCCGAGCTCGCGACCGGCTGCGGGAGAGCATCGACCAGGCAATTCAACTGGCTCAGGAGAAACGATTGATTACTTACGCCGAGCTTCCGGACCCCTGGCGTGTCAACCCACACATCTTGAAGGGATACAGGTTCACCGAATCCAAAGTCGAGTGTATTCACTCGGTCTTTGCCTTCTCGAACGAGATGGTCAACATCTGGTCCCATGTCATCGGACTCATCATCGTTCTCGCCATCGCCTTCTACTTCTATCCGCTCCACACCAACTTCCACCTCAGCAGCAAAGCCGATATCATGGTTGCCGCCGTCTTCTTTTTCGCGGCGTGTAAGTGCCTGGTCTGCAGCACCCTCTGGCACACCATGAACAGCATTGCGTCTCAGTCTTTGATGGAACGTTTCGCTTGTGTCGACTACACAGGCATTTCCTTGCTGGTGGCCGCCTCCATTGTGACCACCGAGTACACTGCATTCTACTGCGAGCCCGTCTCCCGCTGGACCTATATCCTTCTTACCATGTCCCTGGGCGTCGGTGGCATCATTCTCCCCTGGCACCCGACCTTCAACCGTCATGACATGGCCTGGGCCCGAGTCGCCTTTTTTGTGACCCTCGCCCTCACCGGATTCGCTCCTCTCGCGCAGCTCTCCTACACTCGCAGCTTCGAGTGGTGCCTGTACTTCTACGCACCTGTCATGAAGAGCATCATGGTCTACTTCGTTGGCGCCTGCGTGTACGCCGCCAAGATCCCCGAGCGATGGAAGCCCGGTCTGTTCGACTACTTCGGTGGCAGCCACAACATCTGGCACTTGGCTGTATTGGGTGGCATTCTCTTCCACTACTGCGCCATGCAAGATCTGTTCGCGGGTGCCTTTGCTCGTGCGCAGGGCGAGTGTCCCAACCTCACCTCGTGAGCCTGTTACTCTAAATCTGCATGTTCACTCTCGCTTTTGACTCTATGATAAACGAACATGAGTAAATGATGTTCCAAAATCGCACCTTATATCTGGACACCTCCCACGCTGCAGGTTACTGTCGACGACATCTCAATAGACATCTTTCTTGGGCCGTATTAGGCCATTGTTTTATGCATGGGTGGAGTTTTTTGTTTGTTTCGTGTCCATCTCTTCATCTTGTCTCTCGGGTGCTTATACTCCGAAACATTGTTCCCCCTCCATGAAGCTGATTGAGCTACGGAGACGGGTTCTGCACACACTTTGTTTGTTCTTGTATCTAAATTTTGCCGCATCCATTGCTCATTTCGGTTTTACTTTTGTTGTTGCCCATTGCTCTTTACTTATCTCCATAGAGCTTGCACATATTTTAATCTGCGTTTTCCTTTACATACTTTGATCTATGCTCTGCTACTAGGGAAGGTTCTCTTGATATGAATCGAGAAGAATTGGTCATGAAGTTTTAAAATTCTTTCAAGGAAAAGATCTATGGGAATATTCTATGCAAACATATATCGTCGTACTCATAAACTCCATGATGTGGTAAATGCACAATGTGTAGTGTCGGGGAGGGTGCGGCATGGTCGCCGCCGAATGTCGGGGTTTTGGATGGTTCAAGCCGAAGCCGCGCATTCATCGGCTTTTAGAATTGCCACGAACCCAAACCTGATTGCAGTCCGTCGAAGTGTTGACTTTATGGTAGGGTTGCAACCGTGGACCACCGGGTGGATCGGGGATTCGACCTGGCGAGAATGATTCTTCTTCTCTGCCCAGCCTGAGCCTAATATTGGCTTCGGTCATGCAAAGCTGACGCGTTGATGGGCAGAAGGTCGGGTCAACAGTTTCACTGGCCAGTTTCGGCGGTCGCAGCAGCAGCAACATCGCGCTTACGGAAGTGGCCCTGCATCCAGCAGCGGTACATCTTCAGCTTGCTCGAGCGGTTGACCAGCAGTCGGCGGTCAATGCCCATGTGCACGACTTCGAACGGCGCATTGGGTTCAGCAGGCAGGGTCTCCAGTGTGCTCTCGGTATCAACCTGCAGGCCCTTCTCCAGGGTCCACCGACCCCACATCTGGAGCAGTTCATCCTTGTCGAAGAAATAGACGCGAGTGCCGTCGCCACGAACATAGAAGTTCTCATCCATGTAGCGACCCTTTTTGAAGCGGACCTGGGCCAGATCTCCACGACCGTAATCGCGGAACAGGACACGACCACCGGGCTTCAAGACTCGGTAAATGTTGTGCAGAGCTCGGTTCCACTGAACCGGGTTCAGGGCCGAGAAGATGAAAATGAGAATCACAACGTCGACAGAGCCCTCCGTCAGACCGGGAGGCAAGTAGTCGCCGTTCTCGTCAGGCTCAGCAGCAACATCCCAGACATCGGCGACCATGTACTTCTCATCGTAGTGCTCACTCTCGCGCATCACCTTGACGGCGTACTTGGAGAAGTCGCACGCATGAACCTTGAGGTGCTCGTTCTCGTTATTCCGAATCAGTGGGAATGCAGTGTTACCCGCGCCCGCTCCAACCTCAAGCACGACCTGGGGTCCTGCGTCCTTCTGTGTCACTTCTTCCAAAACGGGGAATTCCTGGCGCAACCACTTGCGGTCCTTGAAGAAGTTCTCCGTGTTGTTCTTGTAGAACAGGTTCCACCATTTGGCCGGGTCCTGGTTGAAACGGTTCTTGTCAAAGTCCGTCACGGGTGCAGCGCGCTGCTTCTCGTATTGGCACTCCGCGTAGGCTTTGAAGTCCTCGTCCGGCTCGACATGGTCCCAGGCATTGAATTCGAAGACATCGTCGCCCTTTTCGAGGTACCGAGATCCAAACTGGAAGGGATCGCTGCGCTTTAGGTTGTTGGAGGGGTCGTGTGAGCGAGAAGGGTCAATCTGCGGAGGCTGGGCCCTCTGGGCGGCCGCGCGAATCTCGTCGTCGGGCGTCATTTATGCTGTATTTTGAAATCAGAGAAGTAGAATATGGCGGGGAAAAATCTAAAAATTTCCCAATCGGTGGGGTTCCTGGTTAGTCATGCTTATCGGCTTATCGATAACAAGCCGGCATCCGAGTATCTCCGACATCCGCCATTGCATTGGGAACGTGGATGCCTGCAGTAGCCTCAGCCTGTCAGGTCCTCCAGGTCCTCTTCGTCTCTTTTCTCCCTTTCCCCGAAATGTCTTTGCAGCTATCTTTTTCCTAGGAGGCCCATTGCCACCTTTCCTCTAGGTCTGGAGCATCATCAACTCCAGCGGAGGTTCATCCACCTTATCTGTCGATCATTGAGATCTGGCGGCTCAAGTGCGATCAATCGGCTTGATCTTGGACATGGAATAAAGTGACACGGTTGCTTTTTTTTTTCTACTGGGACATCAACAACTTTTCACCTTGACCTTTCATCTGAATTCAACTACCGCTATGTCTTTCCTCGGCGGACTCTGTGGGTGCTTCACCCGCAACGATGCATCCCCGCACTCCACCCCAGAGATGCAGACGTCCAACTCTCAAACTCGTACCCGTAACGGTGTCCAAACAGGCAGTTTCATCCTCTCAGGTGAGGGCAACTTCATTCGCGCTGCTGGTCCTGGCGGAAGACGCGGGAACGGCGACGGACTCGGCCCCCCATCCGGTGGCTCGGAAGATGGGGGCTATGCCAGCGTGGTCCCACTTCCCCAGTATACACCGCGGCCCATGAGCATCCACGAGAAGACGCTAGAAACCAACATGCGTGATCCGGCCATGTCCTCGGACTCCTTTAGCTACAGCCATGACGAGAAGAACCGTAATCTCTACGACGAAGAGGTCGCCTCCGACAGCTCGTCGACCATCTCATATCCCAGCAGCTACGGCAATACCTCCACCGCGACCCGCGAGACTCCACCGCCGCCCTACTCTCCCCGGCAGTCAGCGGCACTGAGCCGCTCTCGGTCCATATCTGTCTCGTCTGCCATGGGTATCACTCTTAACCAGCCGCCCGTGGCTCGGGTGCATGGCTGGCAGTCTGGAGGACCGCCATCAGAAGCCGATGACCGGTCTATTCGCCGTCACCGGCGTGTCTCCTGGGAGAGCCGGTGAGGTCTGACCCTGGACCATCTATCTATATTGATGTCGTCGGCACTGTCAGCGACAGATGATACGCGAGCTGGAATCGTCTATCATGGAGTTTTGACATTTGCCTTTTTTTCTCGTGTTGATCACCTACTGCATACGACGCGACGACCAAGTAACGCTTGGATTTCTTATGATTGGAATGATGGGATATTTAAGGATACTTAATAATCGGATCGAATGGACATACAGCATTGGACATATTTGTTCATAGTGTGGAGCGTACCAAAAGACAGTACAAAATAGCAAAGCGTCCTTTTTTATTTGTATTTCATCCATAGTAAAGTTAATCTCGGGAACTATCTCATTCTGTTTCTTAGGTGTCTACGCAGTTTAAATATCAAATCACCTCACATGTGCATAGGTGCCCTCGAGAGCGTCCTGCTGACTTGGAAGGCTCGTCGACAACTCTGCCTACGAGGCTACACCACTAGGAAATTGCGGTTGAGAATTTATCCTGCATTGAACTGTGAAAAGGCTCTTTTGAAAAATCTCTATGCGCTGTCTCTATGTGATTTCAAAGGTTTCTTCAGTTCTCATTCCACATGTATTCTGTATAGCTAAGGAAAACGCCGAGGTCCGTGCGCTAGACCAAAGGTACCGCACGGCGGTCAGCCTAAGCAGGTCGTTGGCCAGGAGCGACACCCGACTTGACTATTACATCATGGGAAATTTACAACGACGATTTCTCAGTGAAGAGCTGCCTTACTTGGAAATAGATTGATAGTCTACTTTTGTGCCTTTCTGAACATTGAGTGAAGTGGTCCTTTCGCTGTCCTAACCTCTCCTACCTTCTCGAAGCCAAATTTTTCATACAACCTAACCCCTGCGGTTGAAGCTAGCAAAAACCCATCTCTCCCATTTCTATCAGCTTCATCACATGCCCATTTGAGGAGCATAGTGCCAACACCTTGACGCTGATACGCTGGATTCACAGCAACGATTGTGAGGCCTAAAAAATTAGTAAGCATAGATCATGGCAATGGAGAAGGAAAATCTTACACCAAATATCCGAGTGGCCTTTCAAAATTCGATGCTGCTCTGTTATGAGAGTTTTCGCAACTTTTGAAAAAGCCTCCTTATCCAAAGTCTTCGGTTCGGGATTGTCTACCACAACCTGGCCCCTCCGGCCACAGTCGTCTTGGGTATCACTGCTATTTAGGAGTGACCAGCCCGCAAAACCCACGGGGCTCCCATCATCAGCGCAAGCTTTGCGGTAATGAGATTTGTCTTTCTCCAGAGCCAGTCTTAAGCCATTTGTCATCCAACGAATTTCTTCCTCCTGTGTCTCCGGAGAAGAGAGCGGAAACATTGTAAGACGAATGGGATTGTCTTGCATTGCAGGGAAGTCGCAGTTCCGAATTAAGCAATCAGCATCTGAGGCCACCACGTCTGCGAGAGTGAGATACATCAGGAGCTCTGATATGGCCACAATTATCAGATATGGTATTCCCGCAATGCGACGATACACCCTGAGAAGTCAGGAGGTAGTTGTACAGCGAGTGAACGGAAGCGCAATAAATAGCGCGGGGATATATGTTGGACAGCAGGTCCATACGTTCACAGCCCCTTCTGCCTCTTCCCCTCTGGAGTAAGCCTCTTCATTCTCGGGTGCCACTCCCAGACCGCCTTCCAAATCGATTAGCCAGGAACACACTCAACACACTTCCAAGGGCCTAGTATCTAGCGCAAGTTCAGCCATAGATAGATCACGCTGCCTAGATTTGGAAATACTTTCTGTTAAGGCTAGAGATTCTAATTGGGCATAATTCACTCTCACATGTTACGGGAACAAAAAGCGGCACGGTATTCTGAACACAACAGAAACTAGACTCCACACTACCAGCCCCTTTTTTAGTATAGTAGGCCTGGATACATGTGATGTGATTTTTGACCTGCAGATTGTCCAGCCTATTAGGATATCTATTACGTGTCCTGTTCTGGAGGCGTGCACTAAAAGTGGATCACTAAATCCGTTACGTTTTGATCGAAATAATGGGGGAACCTGTAGTCCACTTGCATTTCTTTGAGTTGTCGAAGTCGAGGTTGAAGTTTGTTCAGCACGTGAGCTACAAACCACACTGCCACTGCAGTCTGCCTGGCTAGGAATTCCTGGCAATGCAAACTTGGGCACGTCAAATTCAACAGTGTTATTCCCATAGTTCCACTCTTGTCTAAGATACCTGTTGATAAGCTAGTTTAATTAATAGGAAAAATCTCTCTAGCCGCAAAGTACCCTTCGTAATTTGCGTTCAGATTTCGACTGAAGGCCACGGAAGATAAGAGAGCCTTTGCGTCCACTGTTGTTATTTGTTGTTAGTGAAGAGCAGAAATAATCATTTGGAGTTAATCAATAAACCATCAAGTGATTACCGGTCGAAGACACATTGGATCCATTGTTTTACTCAAAGCACCATCTTCATTCTTTTACCCAGACTGATTCATAAACTTTTTAGATATGAATAAGCAGATAACGTGTTTGTGCCCTAGAGTACATAGACAGATTCTGAGTTATTCCGGAATCAAGTTGCTCATGGAGGCCTTTCTTAGTTTGCCCCAGTTGATTGGACGCCATCCGAATCCGTCTAATTTCCTAGGCGATTGCCACATAATTAGTCCTAATCTCCCCCTAGATTCTTTCCCTTCTGTACTTTCAGATAGTGTCTCCGTCACACCCTGTTATCACGAAGTGAATTCATTTGGCTTTCTTTAGTCTATCCACCTTCGCTTATCCAGTCATGCCAGTGACAGTGGATCCCTCCCAGGTTGAAGAACTTCTCGAGACTCACAGAGCGTCTGATGTTCACCGTTTGAATGAGGATAAGCCGTCACCCAAGGGGCGGTATCTGCAATCTTTCAGAATCATCATCCTCCAAACCACTTGCATCTTCTATGTGGTTTCTTGTTCTTTGTCTCATTGATCCTGAAAATATCTTTACCTAAATTAAACTCTAACGTGGAGCCTGGTTTCTATAGTGAGTAGAGCGGAAATACCAATTTAGGGTATCCTAGGTTATACTTCGACCTTAAGACTATCCGAAGACGACCTGATAGCCTTAGGAAGAGATACCAATCTCTATGTCCGTTGGCCAGAAACCTATGGAGGGGGTTATCTTGCCAGGTTGGAGATGGTACATCAACTTCACTGCCTGGTAAGAATGTCGAATCAAATAAAAGGCACCTATAGGACATGCTTGCCTAATATTTTCTGGTCGTTTGAAGGATAAAATTCGCAAAGCTACTCGGCCAGACTACTATGGTCAACGAGTCCACCAACATGTTAGTGAGTCGCAACTGATTCGACCGAAAAATGCCTATAGTGCAGTGGGGAGCTGCATAAATATTCCAAATCTGACATATTTTAGGTCACTGCATCGATTACCTTCGTATTATGAGACAAGACTCACCTGCGATACCTGAGCTCGGTCCAAAGGATATCACTGATTCGGATCCTATCAACGCTCAGGGCAGTAGCAACCACAACCCTAGAAGTACAGGCATATATCCTTCCCACCTATCTCCGTCTCCGTCACCGAGCCCAGAACACCTCACAGGCATCAAAGGTACCCACCACGCACGAGATCAACGAGCAACTTCCGTTGGCAAGATATGCGACGGAGGTCTGGGCAGGCCATGCCGCGTTGGCTCAGTATTAGTTCTAAGGACTATCAAGTTCCTTGAAGAGGAAATGAAATTCCAACGATGGAGTCGCTTTGTTTCAGGCTGTCCCGGGGCCGCGTGGTGTACGCCACAGGGGGCTCAAGTCTAGACTACAGCGAGCTTGGATCGATGGACACTTCCGCTTATGGAGCCATCCAATGTAACATAATTTTTGGAGTGACTCGGGCACCGACGCACTCCCGGTGGGGATTTTCAGGGAATGATTAATTAGTCAATCAATCACTTGCGATAAACTAATTCCCCGGCCACTACAAAACACTATGTTAAATGCGATAAATTACAGCTTCATATCTCAACGACCATGTCTATTTAGGAAAATCTGCATTCACAAACCGGAGGCGTGGCCACACATTTGCTAGACCGTGTAATGACCACCGGGCGAAAGACACGGGTGAAAAATATCGTGGATATTTCCACATCAACACTGACAGTGCCCCAGCGGCAGTGATCATCGCCGAGGTGAGACCGATTCCCAGCATTTGACTCTGATGCTGGACCGCCTGTATAACCTCCGAGTATCGCTGCGTGCTGAAGCTGATGCGAGCATATTGCGTCTTCCAGCCAAGGAACGGCAGGTGACGATCGATGGTTTCCTCGATGGACTTCCGCAATTTATACAGAGGGGACTTCACGCCCGCTCGCATCTCGAGGTAATTCTCTTTCGACAAATCATTTATCGCATGCGCATCATCACAGCGCACGTCTGTGTACGCCTTAAATGCCGCTTGACGTCTAACGCTGCGGGTGTACACGCTGGTGTCCGGGTCGTAAACGCCGTGCTCGTCGAGTTGCTCGAACAAGACCCGCACATCTTCAAGGCCGGCGTTGAGGCCCTGTCCGTAGAAAGGCAGAACGGCATGCGCTGCGTCACCGATTACCACGACAGTGGAACCGTGATGGTGAGGCCGGCACTTGATGCTGATCAATGGCAAGTGAGGGTTGAAATTGAACTGTTCGCGGAGGGCCTCGGGGTCGATGAGTTCGGGGCAGACTCCCGGGAAGTGCTCGTCGAAGAATGCGTGCAGATCTTCGTGCGCATTTTCCAGCGATGTGTAATGCGCCGAGGGCGCGAAGAGCGTGCATGTAAATGACTTGTCAGCCGATGGCAGGGCGATGAACATGAACTCGCGCCCGGGCCAAATGTGGAGATGGTTCGGAGAGATGCGGAATTCTCCCTTCTCCGATGGCGGGATCCGGAACTCGCACCATATTGTGTCGATATACTCTTGCTGATAGTCGACGCGGGCGAACTTCATCATATGGTAGCGGGTAGCTGAGTGTGCACCATCAGCGCCGATGAGGTAGTCGTAGGACACTTCGATCTCGGGCGACCGTCCAGCAACACCCAGCGAGTCGGGTTGAGGAGTCTCGCCGGGGATACGGCGCTCAAACCAAGCCTTGTTGGTGCGGAAGTCGGCACCAGTCAGCTTGTGGTTGAAAAAGAGCTTGACATTCGGGGTCCGCTCGAGCTCATCGAGCAGAGCGTTGTTGAGAGTACCCCGATCAACTGCATTGATTGCCTATAGACATGTGGTCAGCCCTGTATGTCTGCGCAACCCATGTAACGTGCAACACGCGATATGCAGGGGAAAGTTTAATTCATACTCGGCCGTGCACGTCATAGGCCTGTGCGGCCTCCCACAGCTGCCCGCGCTCTCGGCCGTGGATCATCCGCCCGAACATGGGGATCGTCTCGTGAAGCACATCTTCAATCAGACCGGGCCGATGTGATTGCCGGATCGAGGCAATACCGCGCTCTGACAGAGCCAAGTTGATCGACTTGGTAAAGTTCAGCGGCACCGTTCCGGGATCGCGCAGATCTGGAGGCGCGGAAAACAGTTATTTAGCTTTCCCCCGGGAATTTTCGCAACGCACGCAAGCAACATGACAGGGATGGTGCAAAGACCAAGGAGTCAGTTGCACCCGCATCAGGCACAATTGACTTCACGCGGGAAATAGGGACCTTGCGGGATCGGGGCGTCGTATAAATTTGACTCCCGTCGGAGCGGATTTCACAGCACCACCAGATTCGCGGCATTTGGGCCGCTCCTCTCCTCTTCGCTTGCCTCCGCGACTCCGCGAGGGATATATGGGTATAAGGGGTAATGAAACGTACCTCCGCGCAACTCGTATACTTCAACTTCGTCGCCTCGGCTGGCCGCGTAGAGCGCCGCCAGGGACCCCACGGGCCCCGCACCCACCACAACGACCTTTTGCCGGGAAGAAGCTGTCATCTTGCAGTCTGACGGTGCAACTGGATAGGAGAATCTGAAGCCAATCCGACTTCCCAGGACGTGAGGCGAACAGAATCCGACTCACGTGCTGCGACACCTTGCCCGAAATGGAAGAGCACAGGAGCGCAACCGGAGGATGACAGATGATCATTAATAATCGGTCACTACCTTGTCGCCTTGCCGCCTTGCCGCCTTATCTCTCAGGTGAAAGGGTACGCTAACCCAATACAGACTAGCGTGTTCCGCGAGACCGCGGGGATGAAGTCTTTTTTCTTGATCAGGAATGATGAACTAATACCTCCCATCCAGCGCGTTTCATATTTTCGTACGTGGCCAGTTTCACCATGGCAGCTGCAACTGCCCGCAAATGCATCGGGGTGGACTGCTCGAATGACGCAGGCACCCTGCAATGCCCGACATGCCTCAAGGCTGGCACCGACAGTTTCTTCTGCTCGCAGGACTGTTTCAAGCGGAGTTGGGTAGGCACTCTTGGATGATCAGGGGCATGTAATGCCCCCTTTGAACCTTGGGGATCCAGGCTAACTAGACCAGGGTGAACACAAAGCCGTCCACAAGAAGAGTAACATTCTCTCCAATCTATTTCCTCCGAAGGTAGTTTCTGAACCTGATCCAGCAACCGGCAATTTCAACCCGTTCCCCTCCTTCCAATTCACCGGTAGTTTGCGTCCCGTCTACCCGCTGTCGCCGAAGCGCACCGTCCCGAGCACCATCCCCTACCCTGACTACGCCAAAAATGGTATCCCGATCTCCGAGCAGCGCCTCTTCGGCCAGCGCAGCATCAAGATCCTGAACAAGGAGGAGCAGGAGGGCATGCGCCGTGTGTGCCGTTTGGCCCGTGAGGTCTTGGATATTGCGGCCCGCGCGTTGAAGCCCGGCGTGACGACCGACTACATCGATGAGGTGGTCCATAAGGCTTGCGTCGAGCGTGAGGTAAGATTGTCCTCGAGCCTTCGTGGCATGCCAACGTAGCACAACTGACGTCTAAACAGTCCTATCCTTCGCCGCTGAACTACATGCACTTCCCAAAATCCGTCTGCACTTCAGTCAACGAGACTATCTGCCACGGGATTCCCGATCAGCGGCCTCTGGAGGACGGAGACATCATCAATATCGACGTGACTCTGTACCACAAGGGATTCCATGGTGATATCAACGAGACATATTACGTTGGAGACAAGGCACTCGCCAACCCTGAGGCTGTTCGCGTGGTGGAGACCGCACGTGAGTGTCTGGATAAGTCAATCGACCTGGTTAAGCCGGGCATGCTGTTCCGCGATCCCGGCAACGTTATCGAGAAGCACGCCAAGTCCCGCGATTGCAGTGTCGTCAAGACCTACTGCGGTCACGGTATCAACCAACTCTTCCACTGCGCCCCCAACGTTCCCCACTACGGCAAGAACAAGGCCGTAGGCACGGCCAAGCCCGGCATGTGCTTCACCATCGAGCCCATGATCAATACCGGTACTTACCGGGATCGAACATGGCCCGATGACTGGACCAGCACGACCGCGGACGGATCTCTGTCGGCCCAGTTCGAGCACACCATGCTGGTGACCGAGGACGGCGTGGAGGTTCTCACGGCCCGTCTGCCAGATTCGCCGGGTGGTCCGGTCCCGATCCCCGAGACGGCGAATTAGAAAAACGGGAATTGAATGTACTGAAGAAAACTTGCATCCAAAGTCAGATACCTGATTAGAGCATAATTTACGACCTGTCAATGCCTTTGATCACCTATTGGCCCTGGCCTTTTTTCACAAGCAATATATATAGCTAAACTTTGCATACCTACATTCACTTAATACGTAGTCGCATCGATTTCCGGACCCTTACTGAATTCTCGAACTTTTCTTTCTCTGAGTGACTGGCTTCACTAGAAGAAATTGATGTTGCCATGGTTAAAATGGCGGTGGGATAATTATGGAATCATTCGGGTTCGAAAGACGTTGTGGGGCCAGCTGGATGTCTTGATATGTCGGCAATGCTGCAGAATAGTATCAATAGTACAGCAATTGCAACCCCAGAACACAAATTGTCTTCCGCCTCCGAAGTGCTAGGCCTTGCTATTTTACCGAGTTTAATGATTTATTGAATAGTGCAAGTTTTGATTCGCCCACAGATGCGGCTCTTATTCTCCGCTACCAGTAGACTGCCGACAGGACGCACGAGTGCACAGGCCATTGCTATGATGTAATTCACTAGAGCAGTTGAGGCCGAGCGTTATCGTTCAACTCGGTTTCTTATATTTTCATGCAATGGACCGTGATCGATTCCTTGTAAAGCATTTCTGTATACCTCGAAAGCCTCATGTGGGGCTTGATGCATACCAAGAAGCTCTATAGATCTGTATTATTGCTCGTGCTGAGAGGACATTGGCACCTGACAGATACCAATGGGTCCACTCACAACTCTATCAAGGGTCCAAGACACTGAAAATAAGCTTAAATCACCGAGAAAAGAAGTTTCAGGTGACCCCACAAGCAGAGAATAGGTGAAGCCTTTTGCGACTGTTCGCAGCCCCACGTCGGCCCCTCCTCCACATGAGCACCACATTTGCACCTCCAGCCGATTTCTCCTTTTCTTATCTCTAACAACTGTTCTTTTTGGATATTGGCTATTGTCTGAACCCACATACTTGGAACAGACTGTATCTATCAGATTATTGAGTTTCTTAAAACCGGAAATCCCCCAACATATAATGGCCAGCCAGCTGCACAGTGCACCGCCCTTCCGGGCTGAGCATATGGGCTCATTGCTCCGTCCCACGAACCTGCTGGAGGTGCGGGCGAAGATTCGGGACACTGGTATCTCCGAGGAGGAGGCCGGTCTGCACGCCGTCGAGAAGGAAGCTGTGCGTGATGTCGTCCAGCTGCAGCGGGACCTGGGTATCAAGGCTGTCAGCTCCGGCGAGTTCAACCGTACCCGCTTTTGGGGTCTGATGTGGGATGAGTTTGAGGGTATGCCACGCCACCACTCGTGATTGAGCAGGACTAACTGAACTTTTAGGAACCATTCGTCTGCAAGATGCTGATGCGTCCATGTTCCGCCTGTACCACCCTGACGTCGTCAGTCTGATCGAGAAGGACCGCAAGGTTATGCCTGGTGACTCGGTCATTGCCGGCTCCAAGCTATCATGGAGCCCCGCGAAGTCGGTCTCCAATCTACACGAGCTGAAGCTCATCCAGGAGGCCACCCCCAAGAGCGAGTGGGGCAACATCAAGCTCACCATGATCACGCCCGCCTGGTTCCACATGCGCTACAAGCAGGGCAAGGCATACACCCCTGAGGCGTATGCCAACGATGCCGAGTATTTCCAGGGTGTTGCCGAGGTGTACCAGGCCGAGTTGGACGCTCTGTACAAGGCCGGTCTGCGCAACGTTCAGTTCGACGACCCTGGCATGGCGTACTTCTGCTCCAATGCTTTCCGCAAGGGCTGGGCGGAGGACAAGGACAATACCGGCAGCGTCGATGACCTGTTTGACGCGTACGTCAAGTTGTACAACGACTCTCTCAGCAAAACCCCTGCCGATATGCACACCGGTATTCACCTGTGTCGCGGCAATTTCATCGGTGGTCGGCACTTCTCCGAGGGCTCGTACGACATCATTGCCAAGAAGTTGTTCGAGAACCTGAATGTCAACACCTTCTACCTTGAGTACGACACCGAGCGTGCGGGCGGCTTCGAGCCCCTCAAGTTTCTGCCTAAGAACAAGAACGTCGTCGTCGGTGTGATTAGCACCAAGCTCCGCGAGCTCGAGGACAAAGAGGCGATGAAGGAGCGCATCTACAAGGCCGCGGACTTTGTGGCTTCGGGTAGTGGTGAGTCCCGCGAGGAGGCCTTGAAGCGCATCTGCGTCAGTCCCCAGTGTGGATTCAGCACACACGAGAGCGGGTATCCGCTGAGCTTGGAGGACGAGAAGAAGAAGCTGAGTCTCGTGCGTCAGATCGCGGATGAAATTTGGGGCGAGGCGTAGGGTGATAATGGACTGTGATGTGACACGACAATGCAAAACTTTTCTGGAATTTCAACAGCGACGGGAAACTTTGATGTGGCACGAGATTTATATTTAGGTATTCAACAGATGTGCTGAACTGCACGGACAGCATCCTTTTATGGGAGAGAGAATGAGATGAACTCTATTAAATAGTTGGGTGTCTGCCAAGGTCCCTCGATACTAACCGCCAGACCCTTATCCTCTGGACCTCTTTTGCCCCACCCTTCCAGGCACAAGCAGAGGTTCAGTAAGCGGGCAGTAGTCTAAAGCTGGAAGCCCATGGCTCGGCTTGGCGCTGTGCTTTGGCTCGGGGTTTTAAGGCATGCCCGTTTGTTGCTCTTTTCTTGGACAGTCTGCTGTTCTCCTTCCTGGCCTCCGTCATATCGGAAATAATCTTCCTTATTTGTCCGATGATCACCGAGCTCCTTGCTCATCTTGCGGGGGAAGCTCAGGGGACCCTGGGAGGGGAACTGGGCAGGGCACGGACACCGAGATAGGTCCACTCTTGGCAAAAGCCCCTTCCGGAGGCCAACAATGGCAATACAGGTTTGTCCATAGGCTCCTTGCACTCCTGCGTGAAACTTCATTTCTAAAGTGATTTGGTCAGGACGAGGGCTACAAATTCCTTCAGGTCCTACTAGAGGCAGGTAGCTACCGGGAGTTTCTGAAGTATTTATGCACCATTTAATTGGCAAGGTGCTCGATATCGGGAAGAATACGATGTTCATATGCAAATTCGCATTATTATTCACACCCTTTCATTACAACATATGGCTTTAAGTACAGAAACAGCTAATTCAATGTCGTGAATCCATCGTCATTAGACAGATTGAGAGCTTTGGTTTTGTCATCTCAAATCAGCCGTAACAGCCTCCCTTCAGATAAATCCTCGCATTTAGGGGAGAGCAGCGGGAGCGTAGGCCTGGTTGGGCTTGACGACATCTCCGCCAGCAAGCTGTTTGTCGGTGTAGGCGGGCCAGACAATCTGGCGGGTGTTGCCATTGACAACGGACATGGTGGTGAAGCCATTGCCCGCGCCGAAATAGCCGCTCCAGCCGGAGGTGATGGTGTAGACGCCGCATGTGGCAGGGCCACCGTTGGCCTGGGAGGCGTCGGTGGCCTTCACGACATAGGTGCAGGGGGTAGCGGCGTCAGTGCCGACCTCGATCCCGAAGGTCCAGGTGCACTCGGTGTTAGCGGCGTTGCAGACGCGCTTCATGTTCTCGATGGTCCACTCGGGACCGTTCGCCATCATGGACTTGCCCTGAGCCGGGGCAGCCATGACGGCCGAGGAGGACAGGAGGGCGGTAGAAAGGATAATCTGAGTGATCTGCATGATTGCGAGGTGGGTAATAACTGAATATTGATGTAGAGAGGATTGAAACCGAGTTGTTGATACTGTGGAAGTGTAGTTTGATGATGGAAGGAATAAGTAGAGGATCTAAGGAAAGGACGAGGGTATTTATGGCTTTTCTAATCCGGTTGCATCATCATAGAGAAGATCGAGGAACAAAGCATCATAACTCCATCGAAAAGGGCTCTGATGACCACTCCACAATGATGTCTTGAAATAGATTCGACTAAAAGCTAGTGAATGTAACAGTGGACGCGGGACACGTAGAAAATGCTTCGCCGGATACTTGCTGGACATGTCTTACTCATGTACAAGTGAGACATCGGCCCGAGGCGTATTCCATTTGTAGTTCGCCTGATTTCCACGGTAAAACGTTCTGCACGAAGTAAGACACGTTCAAAACCGGGCCAATCGGGGCTTGGGGTGCCTCGGCTTGGCACCCCGCGTATGTCCGAACGGGGGACGACGGGGTTCACACCGTGCCGATCGATTGCCGGGGAAGTCTCGAGCTAAACCGGACTGAGACAAGCCGCAGATGAGTCTGCCTGTATTTAGAACGACTAGGCCAAAATGGGTAATTTACCCCCAGGTCCCTGCGGTGGAGCACATCACCGATCAATTCTGAGGCAACAAAACGACATATCAGGCCTTCCATGCCGGTCAGGTGGTCCCTCGTCCTCTTCCTTGCAGAAATGACTCGGATATTATGACACTCGACACAGCCGACTACTTGGTGGCCTGATTAAAAAAAGATGAAATACCCGAGAGCCACTGTGATCAACACGCTAGTTTCAAATTCACGTGCAGCCCGTATATCTCGATATCCCCGGGTCTGTAAAAATCATGTATACCTCTATGGCCATTCAACAGAGACATAAGCAGACCTACTGTCAAACATTATCCTTTCCACGTGCACCTATACATACCAAAATGTTCCCGGCCCGACTGTCTTGTGGTTATTATACTTCGACTCAGTCACAAACGCTAAAACCGACTCGTTCCAAATTGATTGACAGAATTTACATTTCTATTCCATCTACAGCAAAAAAAAAAAAAAAAAAAAAACATCGCGAATAGAAGTATATCATGATAGATAAAATTAAATATGATGTAAGCAAATCAATCTTGACCCCACAGATGCATCTGCGCATATTTCAATGTATCAGCCTAATGAACAGGTGACGTAACATAATTTCACAGTGTAACTTGTTGAGTCCCCGGGTTTTAGCACTGTACTAATCGTCTTCGAGGAGACTTTGTATCCTCATTCACCAGGATAATATACTTGGTGCCGAGAAGCAGGAGACCAAAATGTTGTGGATTTGGGTCAATCGACCCACCTGCTGCGACAGGCTGCCATCGAGCGCCCTCGTTACTGGGAACGACCAGCTCATCAATTCCGTGGTGAGCATCCACAGTGAGCGCAGCATAAATCTAGATCATAGCTTTGCATCATGTTTCCACCCCGACATATCAGCAAGATCCTTTGGTGGAGCACCGCGTCTAGACTTAAGGGCATCGCCTCCTGGTCTCCATTTCCACGCATCAGCTAAGTTTTGCGACAGAGATCCCTCTAACAGCTCGACAACGTGCTTTCCAATGTTGGGTAGGAGCTTGAAGGAATGGCTGCAATTACAAAGTTAGCATAGATATCGCCGTACAGAGCCTCTGATCTGCTTGATTGCTCACTTACCCACTATCTCCAGTGGCCAGGATAAAGTTCTTCCACTTGGGATGCTCACAAATCAGTAGATTCGCGTCGGCAGTATCGGTGCACCAGCACATGGTCCGGTTGAAAAGAACCTTGTCCGTGAAGCGTGGCATGAACCTTGCGATCGCTTTTCGAATGGTCGCCTCAGAAGCGTCTGGGTAGGTATCTGTGGTGTTTTTGGCGTGTGACCGAGGAACGGATATCATCTTGGGCGAGGCGGCACCGTAAGGTTGATGCTGCTTGAATCGAGAAAACCCGGGAAACTCGTCGCAGACTTTGATTACTCCATGTCTGCAGATGCGGAGTTAGCATGCCCATTCGCTCGCTTTGAAGGCGGTACTGACTCATTGGGCTCGAAAAAGAAACCGTATTCGGCGTCGTATACTACGGGCACATTCTTGTACTCGGCCGCCTCCCGGGACGTGAGTTGGATATGAGCGAAAACCCAGGCCTTCGATCATTATTCTATCAGTGGCTTAATTGAAATTTGAAAAAGTGGTGTCCTGAGCTTACCTTCGAAACACACTGATCCTCCAAATCTACCAAGGTTGGACTCCAAGCACCGGCAGCCAAGACCACCTTATCGGCATAGTATCTTTTTCCGTCTAACGTTTCCACGCCATTGCAGGTCGTTCCATCGGCGGCGAACAGAGGTCGCTTAAATGATCCGGCACTACAAATTCGCATTAGTAAACACCAAACTTGCCAGGGGTTCGCAAAATATCGTTACATACCCGCCAAATCCGAAATTGACGCCTTGGCCTTTTAAGAACTCGCCTATCGCATTGATGGCTTTGGCTGCAGCAAGCCAGCCCCCATCACTGGAAAACAAGCCTTTCCAACCCTACTTCCCGCACTTCAATGAGCCTCTACCCATCAAAATCTGTTCATGCCAAAATATTACCTTGATCTGTTCCCGCGTGAAGTGTGGCGCTCTCGCCAGGATTTCATCCTCATTTTCTAACCAGACGTTCGTCTTCTCTAGCCCGATACCCGCCTCGATGAGGGATTGGTATTTCCGTCGAAGGTTTTCAATCCCCTCTTCTGACGACGAACAGTCAATCTTATATGGTGACAACATTAAAACCCCATTCATCAGCACTGGTAGAAACGACTTCTTGACTCACCATGCCAACGTTGTGGAAGAAAGGTTTGAATAGCTCATCGTTCTTCCACATGTCGAGAGACTCCAGCGAAAGTTGCAAATCAGGTCCATTGCGTAATCGGATGCCCATGATCTTATTAAGGTCGTGGCCTGCGGACTGCAGTGATGGGATTGGATATACATCAAGGACGGTAATGTTCGAAGGAGTGTATCCAGAACGTATGAGGTGCAGCGCGGTCGAAGAACCCATCGTGCCGCCTCCTCCGACAACAATGACCTTGGTGCTTACACGCAAATGAGCCATATTGTCGCCAATTGACTTTGTGCGAGACTTGCGGTTGTTAGATAGATTTGAACGAGTTCGGACGGAAAAGGTCAGCTGCGGATTGACTGGGATCAACTCAAACTGGAGTTTCTTGAAGAGCACTTGAGTTTATAAGCGATCGGGACAATTCAATGCGACCGATCCTAGTATGTCGTAAGGGCCACCGAGGATAACTTTTGGAGTCCCACTGATACCTATTGAGTCAGGAAGGTCCAATTCCACGATAGAGATGTTAATCAAGATCAGCCAGACACGGATGAGTAACCGGAACAACCGCGATTGGTTACGTATCGCCGAAGATTGCGAGGTTGGACATTAGCGCCCTTTTTTCGTGTGGACCTTCCATCTCAGCGACCCGCAAACGCGGAATTGACGTTTGGAGAACGTGGGGAACAGATCCCCCACCGGAATACCAGCCTTGGAGAGATTCCGGGGATCAATGGTAAGCTTAGCGTGGACCTTCCGTCGACTCAGGTACCCCAGAGTCAGCGATAAACCCGTCCTTGTAGGCCGAGGGGAGCGAAGTGACCGTCCATCTGGCCGCGAGAGACTCCGAGGTTAAGAGATAATGTCAGTGTGTAGACGTGGGGTATAAATAAACGTAGATGGGATGCAACCCGCTTCTGGCATCTTCCTGAGTCACTCGAGACGTGTTGCGGTTGTACGGCTATTTTCATAATGACAGACTCGAAGACTGCTATGTCCAATGTACACGATGATCCTCCTTCATTGACAACCGCTGTGACCGATGGCGCTCAGGGGTTCGACATGGAGCTGTACAGGGCGACCGTTCCACTGTGGAAACGGGTATGGCAGCACAGTTTGACGCAAATGATACTTTTGAGCATCCAAGCTTTTTGTGGACCAGCCATGTCTGATGCGATTACTGGTGAGTGACACAGGTTCCATCAATGCTGTAGCAACCAACTGATCATCTCCAGGACTTGGTGGTGGTGGACTTGCCTCTGCTAAGGTGTCAAATATTTGCACCGCAATCACATATGCCATGCTTGCGATCGGTGTGTATTTCAGCCTTCAACGGCGACTTTCAGTGCACTAACGGGGAAATGTACCAGTCTGTTTCCTGGGTGGTCCCATCGTGAACAAGATCGGTGTCAAGTGGGCCCTCGTTCTCGGCGCAATGTCCTTCCCAATCCAAGGGTCCGCCTACTATTGCAACAGCAAGTTTGGAAATCAATGGGTGAGTGGCATGTCCAGACCGCTCAAGCCGTCTTCGAAAAGTACCCTCTGACAATACCTTAAAGTACCTCATTCTCAGCGGTGCCATCAGTGGTGTTGGGACCGCTTGCTGGTATGTCGCTGAGGCCGGAGCCATCATGACGCTTGCACCTTCCGGCGCTCGTGGGAAGTACCTGGCGCTGTGGATTGTATCGCGGAATCTTGGACAGCTGGTTGGCGGTGCAATCAAGTGAGTCTTTCTGGCATCGCGTCATGAGCACCAACTAACGGGGTTGCTTTGTGTAGCCTGTCGAAGAATCATGAGAAAGGAGTCGATGGTGGAGTTTCTCCCAACACTTACATCGCCTTCGTGATCATTGAGTGTATCGCGTGAGTACAACTGAACAATTAGGAGAGGCAATATGCAATGCTAATTGCGTTCCTCAGTCTGCCATTTGCATTGTTGATCACTCCTTTTGAACGCGTTGTCCGATCTGATGGTACGAGAATTATCATTTCAGAAACTCTTTCCACCAAGATGGAATTGAGGCGTATTGTCAAAACCATGTCCTCAAAGCTCGTTGTGCTCTCTGCACTTTGGGCACTGTGGTCATTTTTCTACAGGTACGACTCGGCACCCTGTCAGAGGCACATCATTCATAGCTAACACCTACGACAGTGGTACCTGGAGCACCTATTTAGCGACCTACTTCTCTGTCCGAGCCCGCGCTCTCTCATCTCTCGTCTCGCCTTTCTTCTGCATGTAAGGTCACCATTTGCTAAATCTCTTGACATTTGCATCGACTAATTTGCCTTCTTGCCAGTGTCGGCTGCTTTGGCCTTGGCTTTATTCTCGATATGAAGGGCCTCAGCCAGCGCCGCCGTGCTCAAATTGGTCTCGTCACCGTCGTAATCCTCAACGTCGGAGTCTATATATGGTCTATAACCATGCAGGTTAAGTTCAACCACCACTATCCAGGTCACATCGATTGGCAAGACGCGCTGTACCCCTCGTCCTTCTTGCCGTATTTCTTTGTGCAGACTACGGGCCCGTTGTCGCAGTCGTACATGTATTGGCTTTTGTCGTCTTTTGCGGCAGATGCACAGGGTGAGTATTTCGGTGGATCGCGGTTCTATACCTTTTTTTGGATAACTAAAGGATACTCTAGAAAACGTGCGCAACGGCGCTGCATTCAGATGTATCGAAGCAATTGGTCAAGCTATTTCCTACGGCATGAACACTCAAACGACAAATAACCCCCTCGTTGGATTGTACGTTCTCCCGGCCCGTTTATATTCCTTTGCAGAAAAGTCGGCTGACTGAGCTCTTAGCGGCGTAACGTTCGCCCTACTCGGAGCAGCCTTATTCCCCATGATTAAACTTGTCAACACGACACCAGACCGCATTCCTGCTGATGTAGTTGCCGAAGAGCAGGATGCTGCTCGTGAGAAAATTGAGGGCGTCTAAGTCAAACAGGATTTGATGCGGCGCGCCAGTGATAGCAGGTTAGGTTTGTACCGATTTCACGGTACGAAGAATTTGTATACGTTGATTCCATGTTTATGACTAAACGCCTCCAGGCTCAATATATACAATTTAGTCTTAGAGCATGACCATTGAATACTTGAGACCTATCTAATACAACATTCTCAAAATTACTTCTCTAGACAGTTTACGGTTGATATTTCGTTCTCACTCTGAGCAGCAAAGGGTGATTCCTGGAGCCTGCTGACTTTCCGTGACTTTGTTTCGCCCATTATACCTTCGATAAGAAAAAAGTGTAATTAATCAACGCTATGCCACATCGACCTGTATGGATCGGCCGTTGCCGACGGGAGGCCCGAGGGCGTGAAAGCAGCGACGCCATTGGCTCCATCGGCTTTGTTGCTGAGTCAGTGAGGGGAATGCTTATCTTCACGTGACCGAATGCGGGCTCCGAATGGAGTAGTTGCGTTTCGCTGTTCTCGTTCTCTCTTGACTCACGTTGAGTTGCTGCTGATTTTCAATTGCAAGTACTCGGGGGAAGTGTTCCAATGGTGCCAGAGCGGACTCACGACGAGTTCTCCCCGTTGCTGGGGGGCAGCAACGGCATCGCGTCCACCGGGGCCATTCCCAGTCGCGATGAGGAGCAGCCGCGGGACTCTGTGCAGTCTACGGAGGATCAGGCCAAGGAGCCATTTCCAGATGCACGGAAGCAGCTCAAGTATATTGTGCCAGCCATCTCAATAGGAGTATGTATTTGCCAATTCTCAGGGTGCTTGACCCAGAGCTCGGTCCCTCCCCCGCAGTATCCTCGGCTAACGATGGCGGTAGATCTTCCTATCGGCGGCAGACCAGACGATTATTATGGCCAGTTATGGCCAGATTGGGAGTGACCTGAAGGCGCTCAATCTGACCAGTTGGATTGCGACATCTTACTTCTTGACCCTCACCTCGTTCCAGCCGCTATATGGAAAGCTGAGTGATATATTTGGTCGCAAGGCGTGTCTGCTCTTTGCCTATGCCATTTTTGGAATTGGTTGTCTGTTTTGCGGACTTGCACGAAACATAAATGAGCTCATTGCGGCACGTGTACGTCGCTGCCCAAACTTCATATCGAATATTTGCACAGGTCATGACTGACCATATCAAACAGGTCTTCCAGGGCATTGGTGGCGGTGGTATGACCACAGTTGTCAGTATTCTGATGAGTGACATTGTTCCTCTGCGTGATCGAGGCGTTTGGCAGGGAATTATTAACATCATCTACGCGACTGGGTCGGGTACTGGTGCACCTCTAGGAGGAATCCTGTCCGATTACATCGGCTGGCGCTGGTATGAACCACCAAGCTCCATGAATTCACGTTATGTCTTACATTTTTTTCTAGGGCGTTCCTGGCGCAGTTCCCACTGTGCATTCTCGCATTCATCGCCGTTGCCGTGATGCTCAAGCTTCCGGCCCGCGAAACCGCTCACTGGAGGACCAAACTCCGTCGCGTCGACTTCCTCGGGGCTATAGTTCTTGTCGGTGCCGTTCTGGGCTTCTTGTTGGGTTTGGACCGTGGCAGCAATGTGTCATGGAAGCTGCCCTTGACGATCGCCTCTCTGAGTGTCTCGATCGTCTTGTTCGTCGTCTTCGTCCTGGTTGAGGTCTACTTGGCGGCAGAGCCGTTTGCGCCTGGCCATATTATTTTTGACCGCACATTTTTCTCCTTGTATTGCTGCAACTTTTTCAGCTTCGGTGGTTGGCTCGCGGCGCTCTTCTACATTCCGCTGTATTTCCAGGCAGTCGATGGAGTGTCTGCCACTATCGCTGGTCTGCGGCTCTTGCCAAGCATTCTGGCAGGTGTTACCGGCTCACTTTTTGCCGGAGTCGTGATGAAATGGACTGGAAAATACTACTGGCTGACCATTGCGGCGTATACGTCCCTGACAGTCGGGTGTTTCGTCATTTATCTTGTCTCGGGAGGCGCAGTGGCCAGCACAGTCCCAATGATCATTGGTATGACAGTGTCTTCATTTGGAAATGGAATCGGTGTTACCACGACCCTGATCGGCCTGAGTGAGTCCCTGTTGTTGTCATACCTACCTAGCGATCAGCCAGGTTTGCTAACCATCTTCTCAGTTTCCAACGCTTCTTTCGAAGACCAGGCTGTTGTGACCGCATGCTCGTATCTCTTCCGTTCGTTGGGTTCAGTTATCGGACTATCTCTGTCGGCGAGCGTTGTCCAGCAACTCCTGCGGGAGCGACTCCGATCCGAGCTGCAAGACAGCAAGGACATCGAGCAGATTGTCAACGGTGTTCGAGAAAGCCTCGACTACATCAGGGGGCTGGACCCGGATGTTGCTCAAATCGTGCGCAACTGCTACGGTTGGTCGACCAACAAGGGCTTTGGCTTCATGGTTGTCGTGGTATTTTTTGCATTGTTCAGTGCCTTTTTTATGCGCGAAAGCAAGCTCCACCGCTAGTCACAGCGACGAATATGTCGATTTTTCTGATAGTTTTGCGCGTTTTGCATTGTCGCGCAGATCCTCACTGCATAGGAGACGCTTGGAGTAGATTGATGCATTAGGCCCAGTTGCCGGATCTCGGGTCTAGATTGTCTATAGCGAGCACTCGAAGCTCAAGAACTGGATATAAAAGCTTTCAATAATTTTATGATTGGATACTTGATTCCAGTAATTTCACACATGTCAAGCTCCTTGTGTTGTGTTGAATTGCATTTGACGATACCTTAATGATGGGGCTCGTCCGGCCCCGTGACGTGCGATCTAAGCTTCCGACCTCCCCGTGTCTCAATCTTCAACTCGCCTCATCAACCACATGTGCAACTACACACACACAGAGTTGCATTCTGTGGGTGGTATCTCCTTTTCGAATAATTTTCTTGACAATGACCCTCATCCAATAACCGTGATCGCGTTCTCGCAGCTTACAGCGGCGCAACCTCCGCAATGTCCGAGCCGCGCTCGGGGCCGGTCTCGCTAACGCGATATCGGCCTATCCTTTACCTCTTTACCGGTGTTGCAGCTGCATATGCGCTCCTCTACATTCATAACAACGTCGTTTCACCCCATACGTCGCAATCCCCCCTCCGACGCCGAGGCGCCGTGCGCCGCTCAAGACGATCCGAAGCCGAAGAATCGGGGCTCGTGCACACTCCCTCATACCGAGCCATCACCCACTTGGAACAGCTCGAACGTCAAAATGGTGTGTACGGGACATTTCGCATTGAAACGGAAGATGGCCGGCGTGTGGAAAGTGGTCTTCTTCCATCTCTGCTCGCAACGCGCGACCAGTTGATGGAGGAGGTCGGTGTGCCCCCAGCCCACGCCGAGCGCATGCGCGAAATGATGGAGGACACCTTCCTCGAATCTTTCCTTGCTCTTGACTTCCCCGCTGCACACAGCCTTCCCGATAATAGCCCAGAGCGGACCTACTTGACGGAGCAGCTTCAACAGCGAGGCATCTCCCGGGCAGGCATCGAACGAGCGCTAATCCGGTTTAACGGCGACGAGAACTACGGAACCGAGCTGCGTCGACGGCGACAAAACGGCGAGCGGGTCACACTTTCAACTTCGACCTTCCCTGATGTGGCTGCGCCGGCCCAGAATACCGACGGTGCGGAGGCAACAGGCGATGATCAGAGCGTTTTCTCCTGGCGCGAAGGGAACAACGACGCTTCACCCACAAGAGAAGGCCAGAACCTGCTTAACTTGCTTTATCACATTGCGGAGGACCAGGCGCGAAGGGATGGTTATATCCACCGTGGAGTTACGTGCAACAGCTGCGGTGCCATGCCCATCCAGGGTATCAGGTATCGGTGTGCGAATTGTATAGATTACGACCTGTGCGAGACATGCGAGGCCATGCAGGTACATATCAAGACCCATCTGTTTTATAAAGTTCGAATTCCTGCTCCATTCTTGGGCAATCCGCGTCAATCTCAGCCAGTGTGGTATCCTGGAAAGCCTGCAATGCTTCCCCGCAGCCTCCCTCGGCCCCTTGCCAAGCGCTTGATGAAAGAAACCAGCTTCGAAAACACCGAGCTCGACGCACTCTGGGACCAGTTCCGTTGTCTTGCGAACTTCGAATGGGCAGATGATCCAAACAAGCTTTACATGGCTATCGATCGCAAAACCTTCGATCGGTGCTTTGTTCCCAATACATCTCTTCGGCCGCCTCCTCCCAGTCTTATCTACGATCGTATGTTTGCCTTTTACGATACCAATGGTGATAATCTCATCGGATTCGAGGAGTTCCTTAAAGGATTGGCCAGTCTCAATAACAAGAGCAATGATGAAAGATTGCAGCGTGTATTCCGTGGGTATGATATTGACGGCGATGGTTTCGTTGAGCGAAAAGATTTTCTCCGGGTTTTCAGAGCGTACTACGCTCTGAGTCGGGAACTTACTCGTGATATGGTTGCTGGCATGGAAGATGATTTCCTTGAAGGTGGCGCTCGCGACGTTGTCCTCGGCAGCCAACCTATTAGTTCTGCGTTCCCAGGCAATATTCCCTCGGGCGAGATTTCGCGAATCGGTGAAGGCAAGCGTGTCAATCAGGACGGTGACATGGAGGTTGTCGACAACGATGGGATCTTGCGACAGGATAGTGCCGACCTTGGCGATCGACACTCAGTTGTAGGTCAAGCTGCTGTGCGAGAGCAGTTTGGTCGAACGAGGCCATTGTTCCCGTCCACGATACGCCTTCCGACGACTAGCGAGCCGGAAACCCGCCGGTCCAACCCCAGGGCCGATGAGGAAGAGGATGATGATGATGATGATGATGACGACGACGATGAAGATGCCAGTGATTCCGATGAATCTGGCTCGTCCGTCGCAAGTGGCCATTGGCCCCCTCCGGAACATATTCATGAGGAGGACATCATCGTCGCTCTTGGAACGTATGTGCCCCCTCAAGAAATCACCGACCCCGTCGACAGAGCTCGTATCGTGACAGCTGTCTATAATAGAATGCGTGATGATGACCAAAGACGAATCGACGAAACTCGCCGGAACGGAATCGACGAACGCTGGAGACGCCGTGCATTTTACACCGATGAGGAAGACGGCGCTATTGCTCCTCCTGCTTATCAACGAGATCCGGCTTTCGATGATATTCTGAGTGATGATGAGGGGTCCATGGAAGAAGAGCCTCTCGACTCGCATCCGCCATCGCCTCGCTCGCGATCTTCCTCCAAGGTGCGCTTCCAGGATGATCTTACAGACGACTACGACGTGCGCTCGAACCCATCAACGTCATCCCGCAGCATCCCCGTTGGCGAGCGGTGGGGTGGTTTTGAGATCCCCGAGGTTGAGAAAGATGTCGGCAAGGAAATCCTGTACCAAGTCACCCAGCAGGGCTTCAACGAGCTGCTCGATATTCTTTTCAAGCCAAAGGAAGATCTTCTTATGGAGGTCATCCGGACGCGTGCTGATCGCAAGACTTGGGCCCATGAGATCGAGCTCATGGAAAAATCAGGACCTCTCAAACCGGAGGAGACCAAGGAAGAGGAGCTCAAACACCCACGCGACGAGGAGGAGCTCGAAGAAGTGACAAAAGAAAAATCACTGGATGATCTCTTGCAACGAGCTGGTTACGCAGTGCAGAGTCCGACTCTGGAGCCTGTGAACTCAGGGCCCGTGTTGGAACCAACGTCTCCTCGCGCTTTGGCTTCTCATAACGATATTCGACCAACCCATCTCGCTGATCCTCATCATGGGGACGGCATTGGACAGGATCATCCTTATGAGGACCAGTCGGACACAGCTTCAGCCACCAGCTTATCTGACGCCGATGGCCAAGCTCCGATCTCTGAAGCCGCTTCTGCCCGGGACTCCTCCGATGAGGATGAACCAGATGACAGCATCCACGAAACCCTTGGTTTTGATCCAACCCTCCCACAGTTCCGCCCCGACGCCGACACGCCCCGTCCGCGCCTCTCATTCCGAGCTGAGCCTTCAGTGATGGAAGCTTCGGCAGCGTATACATCCCCTCAAACCAGCCACTCCGATCTTCCCCACCGTCTCCGCCTCGAACCAAACGGCACCATCTCCCTCCCTGCCCCTTCTTCTCCCCACTCATCTTCGCCAGAAGCTGAGGCAACAGCCCCCAAGCCCCCACCTTCACCCATGCAGCCGCTTCCTCCGCCGAAGTCGGCCAGTTCACCCGAAGATACCGGTCCTCGCAAGCCCCCAGCTCGAATTTTGGCTCGCTGGGCATATCTGAACCAGGTTGAGCGTGAATCCAAGGAGCGCGGTGGCAGTGGAGCAAAACTCAATTTTGAAGAGTTCTCGCATCGCATGGCGGCTGACAAGGGACGTCGGTTGGCCTTTGTGGCAAGTTGGATTGAGATGGCTAGCTTCTGATCGGTGGTTTCTGAGCTTGGAGATCTGTACATTATTTCTATAAGATAAACATGGCCTTCCGAGGTCAGGAAACGAGACGACTGTATAGCATGCATAGGTCTACATATGCATGTGCCATCCCACGTTTGGAAGAGGACTGCTCAACAAACAACTTCGGGGCTTCATGGCGCAGGGTGTGGTTTAAGCACCTTAGTGTCCATTTTGCAAAATAAATCTACACTTTGCTCAACACCACGTCACTTCCCATTTTTAAAAGACTTGCCTGACCAATACTAAAACCCCGGGTTACTTATCCTGATACAAAAAGGATCATAAACAAAGCCAACCTAAATGTAGAGTATCCAGAATCTAGAACAAACTGGCTGTGGAAGATTTTCACGGGCACCGAAAAGTGCATTCAAAGACTTTTGGCTCATATAACCAAACGTGAGCATGTTCCCATATCGTCGGCCGGATGGTGTAGTTGGTTATCACGTGTCGTTAACACCGACAAGGTCCTGGGATCGAGCCCCAGTCTGGTCAACTTTTTTGCCCGTTTTGCCTTTTCCAACTGTCCTTGGGTCTCTTTCAACATGAACCACATGCCCATCATCCATAGCGAGAGAGCAATACAAAGACCCATCAGCCCTGCCAGTTGTGTCGCCATCAATGTGCCCCTCCATTTCAGATTCTTGCTGGAATACCAGCAAACCATTCCCACGAGGAATTCAACTATCGAAAGTCGAGGAGAATCAGTGGACACCAAGCGATTGCGAGGTCTTTCCTTGTGACACTTTCCAAGCCTTCGAATTGAAATAGCAACATGATTGCCACAACTGCTGCTGCAACAGCAGTTATCGCCGAGCTGCAGAGAAAGCCCTCTAAGGCATGTATCAGCACAGAACTTGTGTGAAATTCATTGAATGTCAAAGCAGCCACGGCTAGATTACTGACCACCGCCGCAAGGACTATAAATATCTTGTAAAACCTCTGGATTCGTTGGAAAACAAGGATTGCTCGGCGGTCAAGCTCTTTGTTCCATTTGGGCGAAAACATTTCTCCCCTGTGTTAGAGCCAAAGACCGTTGTCTCATCCTGTGGACCGCACTTACCTCTCAATGATCTCCAGTTGTAAAGTTAAGCTGTGCCAGCCTCTCTTGTCACCAGTGGCAAACTGACCAAACGGATTTCTCAACGACTCCGCATTCAAGTTAGTGTCCATTTTAAGAGACGGCCACTACATGACTTACTCGTTGATAACTTGAACTCAGTCTCCGGTATGTGGTGGAAGATGTATTCATAGCAGCAGTATTCAAACAAGGGGCGGAGGTGACTTATAAAGGGCTCCCACCTCAGAAAAGTATACCGCCTTTCAAAGAGACCGGAATGGCCCCTAAATTGATGGTGCGACACGACCTGCAGTGAGACCACTCTTGTGTTCACCGACGTTCGCCGAAGAAGAAAAACACCCCCTTTTGTGGTAAAATGATTCTCACAAGACCTAAGCTTCTGGCTTTGTCTGAAGATTTCGGTCATGAGAAACAAGACGTTTATGCGAACAGTTTGACTTGTGACACCATAAATGTCGGACCTCAAATTTATGTGGGAGGGGCCACCAGACCATATTCTCGTCCCTGCGGAATGCTGGATCAAGTTCGTGCTCTCTACGACTTATACTAGAGCCGCCGTAGGGCTAGGTTATTTTGCGATTTAAGAGTGGACCCTATTAGGCTAAGCGTATACAGTCTTAGTGGGGGCCGCGGTAGAAGGTCTACGTTTTCATCCGGAATATTACAAATTCTGGACGAAAAACAGTACACTTTCTGAGTATTCTTCCAGTTAGTGGTTTTGTACGGTAGGGAGAAAAGGGGCCATAGACATTTGTCTTCCATTCACAGTAGTTCCTGGCATTGACTCGATCTATCGCAAAAAACAAGACCCCAGGCCAATTTATAGATATATTCGACCCCATAGTTCCCCCCAAATCGACCCAAAATTCGTGACTGTCATGACTTCGCTAGTTAATTCTTCTCCACGTCACTAGTTTCCGCAGAGCTTGGCTTCTCTCCACGATCCTCATGGCTACTGGAGATACCAGTGTCGGCAGGAACGAAGCCGTACTGAACTGCAGCCTGTTCAATCTCCTCATCGCTTAAGTAGGGCAGCTCCTTGGCCGCACGGACGTAGCTCATATTTTCGCAGTATCCCTTGGCAAAAATCAAATCAATCTCCTCTAGAGAGCGACCGGCGGTTTCAGGATAGAAGAACCAGATAATGGGGAAGAAGCATGCGTTAATGCAGGCGAAGAAAAGATAAGTGCCCCATTTGATGTTCCGGACCATGATAGGCGTAACCATGACGATGAGGAAGTTGAACAGCCAGTTTGTGCAAGTGGAGATGGCATTAGCCTTCGCGCGGGTCTTGATCGGAGAGATCTCAGCTGGGTATAGCCACGGCAATGGTAGCCACGTTGCACCGAAGCTGGCAATGTAGATGAATAGACCGACAGCCGCACCCTTGGCTGGCTCCGGTTTCCCGGGGATCAAGCAACCAAAGGTCAGAATCATCGATAAACATTGTCCGACGGTACCGGCGAGGAAGAGCTTGCGACGTCCCACTCTCTCGATTAGGAACCAGGACATGCATGCAAAGATCGAGTACACGATCATGTTAACACCGCCAAGAACCATCGACATGAATTCATCCTGTCCCAGCGAATCTTTAAAGAGAACGGGCAGGTAATAGATGACAGCGTTGCATCCACCGATCTGCTGGAAGAATTGAGACGAACAGCCGAGAAGCATCCGACGGAAGTGTTGTGTTTTTCCGCCGGTGAAAACAGCCGAAATCGGGGTGCTCTTGGTGGCTTGGCCAGAACTATATACGTCAGTATCTTGGTGGAACAGAAGGTAGACTGAAGACCGGGAAATAATGTGAATACGTACGCTCGAATCGAGTCCAGAATAATGGTCTTCTGCAGTTGCACCTCTGGGTCATTGATAGGCTTGGCCGCGAGGGCAGCAATGACAGTTTCACCTTCCTCGTAACGCTCACGGATAAACAGCCACCGTGGCGACTCCGGAAGGACAGCCAGACTGACGATGATGAAAATGCCGAAGACGATCTGGAAGCCAATTGGGAAACGCCAAGTGAGGTCCGGGGGACCGTAAGAGGCACCGAAGTCGATCCAGTAGGAAATGAGAGTACCGATAGCCACTGTACTGCCCTCGATACAGATGAGGAGACCACGGTTGGAAGAGCGAGAGCATTCGGCTTGATAGGTCGGGATTGTGGAAGTGTTCATTCCGTTTCCAACACCGGTAACGACTCGACCAATACAGAACTGGGCCAAGGGGACGTGACCACTGAAAGAAGTGACCTGGATCAAGACGCCGATAATCATCACGGCGGCACCAAGCATAATTGACTTGCGTCGACCGAGCCAGTCACCGAAAATGAGGATGAAGACTGCACCAGCCAGACAACCTGCGATGTATTAGAACTGTATGTCGTCACGATGGTCCTGACATACCCAGTTCGTATATGGCAGTCACAACACCCTGCATGGTGGAGTTTCCTCTCGTTGCAGTGAAGACGTCGTTGAAGGGCTTGGCGTCGATGATACTACTCATGACACCCTCTGTTCATTTCAAAGCATATAAGTACCTCTCATGCGTGATGTAGAAGATGATAACATACGGTCATAACCGAAAAGGAGGAAACCCATTGTGGCGCTGGTAGTCACGGCTCTCATCAGCCACGGGCCAGAAAGGCCGGCGAACTTGGGAGCAGACATGGTGAATGTTCACTGTCTGCTCCGAGTATGTATAGATGAGACTGTTCCAATTGTGATTACACAGCTAAGTGCAAGGGGTACCGCGTGTCTGGAATGAACTGGAGAAATTTCACCTCCCAGAGGAAGAAAGAAAAGAGGAAGAGGATATTCGGAATCAAAACCGGAAATTAGAGCGCTATTTAACACTTCCCCATGTGCTTCCGGAGCGGGATTTAAGCTGGGGTTCGGCTGGGGCATCGCAAGGGTGTGGAGGGTACATGGCTCCACTTCATCTCGCAATATTCAAAGAAGTACCGAATCTGAGGCACGCGTAGGGTCGAAATCTCTGCGTGATATCCACACGTAAGAAGGTCAAGAAACCCCATTTTCTCAGCCTGCGTCAGGGGCAGAGCGCCAGGGTTGCAATTGATGAATTTTGGGTGGGTGAGCGGAGTGCCAATGTCGCTATACTCCTTGGCTCATTTAAGCCAAGAAAGATGCCTAAGAGTTGAATTTGCTGCTCAGGGCAAGTGAGCCGTGATGCCGAGACGGGAGACTGCGCCATTTACGCGGGAGAGCCGTCTTGATCACAACCAAGATAAAGAAGACTTCTGCACCAGAAGTTTGCATTCGTGATGGGGTTGATACTTGGATTAGTTGTGATGGATGATCGGAATTGACCGGTGGATTCTCGGGACATCGGGCTTACAATGTAAAGCGCGGCGCCCCAAAATCTGCAAAAAGACTAGACTGCATGTGACAACTGCCCTTACTTACGGTTCCCCCTGCCAGAGAACGAGAGCAAATATCATCACCAGATACGCTCGTGCCATGACGTCGGCTCGAGTATGTGGAGTCTGAAATCCCATGAGCTTGATAATAGGGGAAGGTCGAGCGGGAAAAGACCGGGGGAAAGTAGGTAGAAAGTGGCGCAGACATCGGGAACTTTCGAGCGCTCCTTGGCTTCCAATGTTGGCGAGGGGCCACCAGGGTCAACTCGGCGGTGCTGGCCCCCAATTGTCGGGTTTCTTGGCCAACCCTCGGCGCCAAGGTTCGCCCAGAGTTCCCGACTCGACCCTTTTGTCCTTTGGGGACTTCACAACTCGGTGGCCTGTAAGCTGCATGGCTCAAGATTGCAATTAAAGTGATGTGATAGTTGAAACTGAAAAAATCATAAGATAACGTCAGTGAGACGGGTACAGCTAGTACACGAACGACAATATGGCAGAGTCATATACTTGATCTCCACCACGAAAGGTTCTGCCTGTGGCGTTGTGGCGCGACGGAACGCAGGATCATATAATAAGTAAGTTCATTAGGGCATTAATCTCAACATTAATCTCCAATATCAGAGAGTTGGATACATCGCAATGAAAGAATCAATAATATCGTCGCGCCTTTCCGTGCTAACGTCTTCGAAAGCGCCTCTGATATCCTTGTCGTCCTTCATCAGCGAGGACAGAGTAACCGGCTCGCTTCCATCGTTTTCACCTAGCGACCGTGTGCCTATGCCACTCAACAAACCTGACAAGTTTTTGCCATCCGCGAAGGATTGGAGGGTATTCTTGACAATCTCGCCGATACCGACCTCTGTCGTGAGCGTGAGTGTGCGAAGTACATCCGAGTAGTAAGGCACATAGGTGTTGTCCCAATATATAGAAGAGGTCTGCGCTTTCAACGTCAAGTTGCCAGTCTTGAGTAGTGATGCCTGCGACTTCAAAACCTCGGGCAAGTTCAAGATTATTTTCTTGAGGTTGAGGGCGCCACTCAGCGGGTAGGTATTGTCGCCGGGTTTCAGCGTCACGCCAGTTATAGTGACGTTCCCAATGAGGAGATCACCACTCAAAATATTTAAATTGAGTGTGCCGACATTCATCGTGAACACCGTCGGGTTGGGGAGCGTAAGGTTACCGATGAGGTTCGTGCCGTCGGATCTGGCCGGGAGCAGGAGAGTGGCGTCGGAAATGGAAAGTCCTGAGAACTGGTTCAAACCTATTAATTGTTAGCACAATGTCCCATTTAGTCGGAGGAAAAGCAAAATCGGAGGCGATTCCAAGAAGCAGAGGCAAAGGTAAACCAAATGAGGGTCAGGTACCAGGGGTGGTCACATCTTTGTTCAATGTGACATGAGACTTCAACACTCCTAGATATGCATTGGTGACACCCTTCAGCGACAAGGTTGTTTCCTTTTCAAAGACAATCTCCCTAACGAATTCCGTCCAGCTTGTCTGGTTCAGAATCGGAGTAAAGCTATCGTTGACCGCGAGGGTGTGGTTGCCTTTGATGGTCTGCCCTGGAACTGGGAGATTTGCATAGGGGTAGTCGGCTCCGTATCCATCCTTGCGTATGAATAGATGGAAACTAAGAGGGTCGATCCGTGCCGCAAGTGCGAGCTTCAAATCCACTTTGGCTTGCAGAGTTAGGATGACGGAGTCCGCCTTCGGCTGCAGCACGTCCGCATTGACAACCCATATATCGGATTTGTTGACGACCATCTGTGCGATAGCAGGGATACAGACGAGGAAGCTGCGCAAAGTATTAGTATTTAATCACATCCCCTGAGAATTGCTTGGGAGGCACTGACAAAACCGGGAGGAAAATTGCTAGGAAAATGACATTGCCGATGCAATAGAAGAGCCAGAATCGCTTCCAGTGTCGCTGGAGTTTCTGTTTCCGGGTGGGCACCCTCGTCAAGGACATACCGCCAGCAGACTGAACCTTCTCCAATTCCGACTCCGACATTTGGTTTTCAGCATCGCTGGTCAGTAATGGGCCCCGGTTGGCGCCCAGGATGTATTTTCCCTCTTTTCCCGGCATGGCGTTATACGAAGATGTAGCGTGCGACACGACCCACGAAATTCCCCGGGAAAATGGCTTATAAGAGGTAGGGAGCTCCTATAGTCAATTACATCAATTGGCATGCGCGAAAGAGCTCTAAAGGGGAATGGCCGAGACGATCTGCAAGCGTAATGCGGGGAAGCGGGGTGGCGAAAACGCAAAATCTTGCGCGACAGCTCGTCATCCACTGACTGTCTCCGATTCCCAAACTCAAGTCCAAGTTTGGGAAACACTCCAGGGGCCCATGCTCATGAACTGACTCAAGCTCCTCGGTAACTCGGAGATTTTGGTCTGGACTTCGAATAGCTTGTGATTCTATACATGCCCCCTATTACATGACTCGCCAGCTTTGACCCTCATGAACTGACCGCCTCCCCCATGAAAAGTCTTTATTGGAAGCTGGATGACCCTTCTGCATCTCCGTTCCTTGTGGTCAGATCGCGAGGCTTTCTCCGAACTTACTACAGTACAGTACGGATATATTATGCCCTGATCGGCGATTAACCCCTGGTCTTCCTGGTCGCTGGTGTTACGCCCTGGTCGCTGGTGTTACGCCTCGGTCCCGACCTTGCAGCATGCAAGAGGGGGTTTGACAGAAATGTGAACTTGACTTGGCTTGCATATAGACGTACACCCTGTCGTGGTTAAATTGCATTGCTTCGGTTAGGTGGCGTTGCATCGCTACATACAGTGCTTGTGGCCCAGAAAGGCGTAGGCGATGTCTCAGATAAGACGAACTCCGCACCGACCTTGCGAAGCAATTTCCCCTCTCCAAGAAAGCCACAAAGCCATGTGCCTCACGCCACACAGATTACCTAGGCTCAACCGAAATAATCAGCTGAAGAGGTTTATGATCAGAAGCTCAGAGCCTCCTCCAGTCTTCCCTCGGAGATACGATTTGCTTTGATATTGATCAAAGTGTTGTCAAAATATGGGATCTCGGGACGCTATATTTTCAGTAGCGTCTAACGTGCAAATCTATGGATCGCATGCCCCACTGAAGCCCGGAAGTAACTCACTTCAAAAGAAGAAGCCCTAGCCATCATCCAGGATGGACTGTGTTAGGTGACCGGGGTGAGCTGCTGCGGGTTTGGATGATTTCCCTCGGGGGAATGATTATTAAGATCTACCGAACAAACCTGAAGCAGGTTCCTCGGAGTTGCTTCGGAGATGCTCTGATTTTACCAAATAGTCGTAGTTGCAATCATGATCGACTCCTGCCCCACTCGTGTTTCCCCGCGCGGAGAGAAAGCGGCCCAGTCAACCCCACTAACCTTGTAGACTTTAGCGCTATGCTTGGCCTGGTGCTCTCACCCTTATCCTCATGCAAGGTCTATCTCAAAAGTATCCGGCCAGATCAGCTCCCTCGGCTCTCTCCCATTCAAGTTCGCCATTGCCAACGCGAAGGTGGGCAGAAGGGATCCGAAGTTCTATACCGAGAGTCGTCGAACGTCAACACCCCGGCGTGGGAATTACGATGTGAAGGACAGACTTGCGTGAAGTGTAGTACAAAGCCTGGATACATCGCAGTGACTCCTCTCACCGTTATTATACTAGCCATTGCAGCTGGGAATATCCCAAAGTCCGCTTTTGGGACTTTCTTCCACCCATTGTCGAGCCGCCCACCGTTCCGACCGACAAGATCTCCCACCGTTGGAGAGCTGAACTTTCCACTTTTCGATCGTGGATTTGCAAGCTGCGCATGATGAATGAAGTCCAGGGCTACTGCGACCCTAGATTGAACTCGGTCTGTGAGACTTGCTAACAGAAGATCACCAATGGAGATTGAGCCAGTCCTTTCAACACGCGAACAAGAGGCCAAGTGTTCACAGCGAGCCTTCTCCGCCACGGAATGCAGGGGTTAGCTTTGGCCAAGACGGCGCGGTGTCGCAGTTCTACGCGACAATGACAGTCGGTGTCCCAGAATCCGACTCCGGAGGCGATCAAGATGCAGTAAAATATTAGAATGATAGAGTTGGTGACTTCCTGTTTGTCTTGACGTCTTTCCGTTCGACCCCCATGGGCATCTTGAAATGTGCCCGGGCGGGCTTTTCTCGGATCCGAACTTTTCACTGCAAATGCACATACTATGTAGTACATAGTAGTGGGCTAGAAGCAAGGGCAAGTTGTTTTGTTTGATTTCATAAGCATAAGCTGTAAAGTTTTCCGAAAGTGACCCACGGGTAGAGTGGCCCGCCCGGTCAAAAGTACCTGCTTGCCCGTCCCACCTTTCTCTTCCCTCGGGTTTGACAATCAGCCCACCCAATCTTCAAACACCAATTTTTTTTCGCTGGACACTCGTTGGCTTCAGCTCTTTCCAAACTTGCGAAATCCGCCGACATGCACAGGTATCTCAAGCAGTCGCTCGAGACCCTGTTCAAGAACAACAGGGAGTGGGCTCTCTCCAAGAGAAGCACGGATCCCGCGTTCTTCGACAAGCTTGCCGATGGACAGGAACCAGACTATCTGTGGGTATCCCTGCCGGGATGCCGGAAGACCCTGGCCCCGATCGCAATCTTTCAACTTGGCTGACCGGAACTAGCTACATTGGCTGCAGTGACAGCCGCGTCCCCGCCAATGAAATCATGGGTCTCGAGGCCGGTGAAGTGTTTGTCCACCGCAACATCGCCAATCTCGTCCCCAATACCGACCTCAATGTCATGTCCGTAATCAACTACGCAGTACGGCATCTGCACGTGAAGCATATCATCATTTGCGGTCACTACAACTGTGGAGGGGTCAAGGCCGCTCTCACTCCCGCGGACTTGGGGCTTTTGAATCCTTGGCTGCGAAACATTCGCGATGTCTATCGCCTGCACGAGAAAGAGCTTGACGCGATCGCCAATGAAGGTGACCGGTACAATCGACTCATTGAATTGAACGTCATTGAGTCTTGCCGAAACGTCATCAAGACTGCCGCGGTCCAGCAGAGCTACCAACAACACGGCTATCCCATCGTGCACGGCTTGGTTTTCGACCTTCGTGACGGTCTCTTGAAGGATCTTCAAGTCGATTTTGAGAAGACACTGGCGGATGTGAAGAAAATTTACTGCCTCTCCCCGGGTCCTAAACCTAAATCAGAAGAGCAAGAGTGATGTCTCTGACGTGATTATTTCATATTTTTCTAAAGCGGCACCTTGATTATTCCACTTTATCCCGTCCCGGTGTGTGGAGAATGCGTCTGCCAGGTGGCTCACTCGTCAACCTCAAGGGTTTCGAGCAGTCGAGAAGCCTCCCCGGTCTTGGTATCGTACACGATTCCGTGTAATTGTAGACTCCCCGTCTTCGCGGCACGAGCAACTTCGGGGAATTGTCGCAATGAGCGTAATTGGTCGAGGACGTTCAACTTGACGAAGGCGCGGTCGTGTTCTGTAGAAGGAAGCTGATCGATGGTATCCTTATGGGTCGAATGAAGAGAGTCGAGCTTGCTATATGGATATTTAGTTACTGCTCAGTGTCATGGAATTGCATGTTCAACAACGTACCTCGACCATGGCCCCTTCAATCCTTCTCTTGATGCCGCTTTCACAATTCCACACCCGTAGTGGCCGCACACAACAATATGCCGTACATTGAGTTCACACACCGCGTGCTTCACGGTAGTCTCGCAGGAAAGGTCGCCCTCAATTATCATGTTGCCCATATTCCGGTGGACCATCATCTCGTCGGGAAGAAGGTCGAGAATCGTAGTCTCTTGGAAGCCGCTATCCGAACAACCAATCCAGAGAATCTGTTGTGTCGGGTGCTGCAGGCTGGGAATGAAATCGGCAGGGAGAGGCGTGGCCTCGATATTCAGGCGAGGCTGTCTCATTGTGGAAAGCGAAGATGCACTGATCAGTCGCACCCTGTAAATTGGCTTGGCAAGGAAGGATGTGAGATGCCGAGCTGCACTTCGTTGGTAAATCATGGATGTTTAAATAGGTCAGTTGAAACGGAAAATGCAGGAACGAAAGCGGGCGAGTCGGCGCTTTAGAGGTCAAGGCAATATCGTTTCCCACACGACCAAACTGGGCTCCAATTTTCGGATCAGTGCCTCCAGTGGGAAATTCGGCGCTTACATTACCCCCGAAGATGAGATTCAGCAAATCAAAAAGTCCCATCGGATCGATGTATCATCGATCTAGTACCAAAAACATCAACGGCTCCGAGAGTTTGCCGCACTCGGCCGAAGACTCTCGCCGTTCGGGTCCAATTTTGAATCATGCTAAGATCCACCGGTTTCCGGAATCAGGCATCGGAGGCATTGTCAATTATTCAGGAAACGTTTCCATGAATTCTATTTGACCTACAGGGTGCGTTGGTTCCACGTTAAAATCCTTGGCTCTATGCTATGCTGGGTTTATTCCGGATCCAAGCTTCGAGCGTACCGGATTTAAATAGCCTTACGGGTGTCTTTTTTCATTTCTGCTAACGAGCTTGGACAGAAGCCTTTCGACAATGATTCCAGGCTGGAAATTGCCGCTGCTTGACCGAAGGAAAATCTTCGGGAGGCAAAGTCGCGTTAGAATCCTGAGACGCGGCTTTGGGCCCTTGCATGAGACCTCGGGAGTGGCTACCACCTTCAAAAATTATTAGTAACATGCAGTTGATTTGAATGCTTGGAGGGCGACTAAGTTATTACCTAATAGGTTGTGTGCCCGATCAACCACTCTTAATGGCCATGAAGGATCAATATATATCAATGAGGTCTTTGAAATATACGTTTCACAGCTGAACATTCCCCGACGCCCCATATTTTGTCCTCTTCAAGGAAAGGTAAAACTCGGAGAGCATTAAAGGGATAGCCCGATGGCCTTGTTGATCGAACAGAGGGCCGACCCGACCGACCGATATTGCCCTAAGCATCAGAACCTTCACCTCACAATAGTTTCGGCGGTCTAGAATCAAGGAAGTCGGAGTGCTATGAGCGAATTGTCCGCATGCTGCTGCATATAAGGGGAGCTAGAATGGTAGTGATCACCCTGACAACGCTTATGTTGAGATTTTGTGCCGAGAATTCCAGCGAAAATTTTAGCGAGGTGTCGAATCTGTAAGATTCTTCGCAGGAAGCACGTCCGGAAAAGGGAAAGATAGGGGCCAAAGAAGTTCGTATCGCGCCCATGTTCGATGGTAAGAATGTTAAGCGCATCTCCCGACAAAGAGCCAATCAATTGCTGCCATCGGCTTTGCCAGGCTGGCGCGGGGACTTTGAGGGGTAAAATGATGTCGGGCCCGAGAGCAGGCCAATCGATTGAGTGCGACAGGAAGCATGTAAAAGATCAAGGAGAGTGATCAGATGCAGCAGAATATTGAATCGACTTTCTCGCTCCCGATTTCGAAATCTTTACTCTCCATCTGAATAGTCGTCCATAATGTCCCCGCAAACACCATGGTGGAAGAACGCTAGCATCTACCAAATCTATCCTGCTAGCTATAAAGACTCCAACGGAGATGGCATCGGCGATCTACCCGGAACCATCGCTAAGCTCGACTACATCCAGTCGCTGGGCGTCGACGCCATCTGGCTGTGCCCCATGTATGACAGCCCGCAATACGACATGGGGTATGACATTTCCAACTACGAAGACGTCTACGCCCCCTATGGTACAGTCGCCGATGTTGAGACACTGATTGCAGCTTGTCACGATCGCGGTATGCGCATCCTGCTCGACTTGGTCATCAATCATACCTCACATGAGCATGCCTGGTTCAAGGAGTCGCGAGTCTCCAAGAATAGCCCAAAGCGTGACTGGTACATCTGGCGGCCTGCTCGATATGAGAGTGGAGCACGTATTCCACCTAATAATTGGAGCAGTATCTTTGGTGGAAGCGCTTGGGAATGGGATGAGGACTCACAGGAGTACTATCTGCACCTATTTGCCGTGCAACAGCCGGACCTCAACTGGGAGAATGCAGAGACTCGAGCGGCTGTGTATGAATCTGCGATGGAGTTTTGGCTGCGCAAGGGCATTGATGGTTTCCGTGTTGACACGGTGAACATGTATAGCAAGGACCAGTCCTTCTGCGATGCACCTGTCGTCGACCCGGAACACGAGTGGCAACCAGCCTGGTCGCTATTCTGCAATGGGCCGCGAATTCACGAATTTCTGCGCGAGATGGGTCAGATTCTGCTCAAATATAATGCCGTGACAGTGGGCGAGCTGCCAAATACCCGGCATTTCGCGGATGTGCTGGAGTACGTTTCGGCCAAGGAGCAGCAGTTGAGCATGGTGTTCCAATTTGATATCGTAGATATCGGTCAAGGCACTGGCCTGCGTTTCAATACGGTTCCACGCGACTGGACTTTGTCGGACCTGCGCGAGCGTATTGCACGCACACAGAAGCTCTCGGATGGCACGACCGACGGCTGGAGCACAACCTTCCTCGAGAACCACGACCAGGCACGTTGCATTTCGCGTTGGGGCAGCGAGAAGACACCCGAGCTGTGGCAGCGCAGCGCCAAAATGCTGGCCATGCTGGTTGTCAGTCTTTCGGGGACTCTGTACATCTACCAAGGCCAGGAAGTTGGCATGGTCAATGCCCCGACCGAATGGGACATTTCCGAATACAAAGATCTCGATAGCATCAACTACTATGAGTTTGTGAAGAAGAAGACGGGCAACAACCCCGTTGCACTTGCAAAGGCAAAGGCAGCGCTGGCTCACCTGGCGCGCGATCATGCCCGCCTGCCCATGCAGTGGGATGCCTCGCCCAACGCTGGCTTTACCAGCGAGACAGCAAAGCCCTGGATGCGCGTTCATGACAATTATCCAACATTGAATGTGAAGCGGCAAGATCTAGACCCAACTTCGGTGTTGAATTTCTGGCGCACGTTGCTGCGTGTGCGCCATGAGAACATGAAGTTGTTCGCACAGGGTGTGTTTACCGACACCGATCCCTCAAACGAGGCGGTTTTCATCTATGAAAAGGGCTCCGATGATGGGAAGCTCATTGTTGCGCTCAACTTTACTGGAGAGAAACAGTCGGTGAATTTGGCGGGTCACTTGGGTGGTGCATCGTACAAGATACTGGTCAATAACTACGAGGAAGAGCCACTTGATGCGTTGCAGGCATACGAGGGCCGCATCTATTTTGTGGAGAAATAAGAACCCTCCGAATGGATGGCTACTGGGTGATGAGCTTGATGTGCATACTAGAATGCGTGATTTAATAGTAGTTATTTCGGGTACTTAGATTGCCAAAAATTGTATTATCCACTCTGTCGAGAGTTCCACCTCTGTTTTCTTAATGTACTAATCATCTTGGATACGCGAGCCAAAGGTTTCGGTCGTAAAGTTTCCAAGTCTGCAAACGAAAGACTTAGTCATTGAAGAGCCGAATATCATGAACCCGGTTCAGTCTCAACACCCGGGGCTTGGGTCATGTGGAGTACGACATCAGTGATTGTATTAGCGATTCTAAAAGCTTCCCAGGAATCACTGGCCCATGTATAACTGCAAGACCGCGTGTGATTTTCGGAAGGAGTTGGTGTAGCTGATTCAACAGAAGAAGGTGGGAAAGATAGTAGGAGGAAGATTGACTAGTCAGAGATTGTTTTATTCCACGTAGGTTCCACAATGGATCCAAGAATAAATAGTAAAAAGACTTGGATCATAGATGATTCAGATAAATTCATTCAGTTCTTACTGTTGATGAAAGATTGAAATGCCTACATCCGCCAAGGCTGAAACGTCCGATAAACTCCTGGAATGGAATCACGATCGTCCATCTCTTCATCATTGAGCCCTTCGCCGACAAAGCTGTCTCGTAACGCCTTGTAGCGATAGGATTACTTACGAGGCTTGCCCGTTCCTTGAACCCACATCAGAGGGGTCCAGCCATCATTGTCCGCGGTATTCACGTTGACCCCCCGAGTGGTCAGTAACAGCCGCACGATATCCAGCTGGAACTTCCATGCAGCCCAAGAGAGGGCAGTCCGACCCTCTCTGTCTTGAGCATTCGGGTTGACTTGATCAAGTGAAAGGAGATGCTTCAACACTCTGAGCGCGGCATTTGACCGTGTGTGGTGCCCAGTTGAAGGCAGCGGTCCTGCATGGCGCAGGAGGGAGATAATCTCGCGCTCAGCATCTACGGCCTTGAGCTCCTTTCCGGATGCATCAACTGACAGAGGGAAGCCTCCCGCTTTGACGGCACAGATCAAAGGCGTCTGCCCTTTCAAATCTCGAGACTCCGGGTCCACTTGGCCTGTTGCAAGCAGCCATTTGACCATTTCCAACGAAGGCTCCTCGATGGCCTTGAACAGCGAAGTTTGCCCCCCGCGATTCTGGGCGTCGGGACGGGCACCCTTTGAAATCAAAAACTGTGCAGCCTCCCTTTTACCCTTGGCAACTGCGTAGAAGAAGGGCGTTTCACCATTCACGTCGGCACAGTCCACATTGACTTGCTTGGTGTTCAAAAGCAAATTCATGATCGCAATATGGCCCTGCTCTGCGGCATGATGGAAGGGAGATCGGCCATATTTGTCTGCTGCATTGAGCAGAACGTCACCTCTGTCCAGCATAACCTTAACAATGTTCTCCTTTCCATACAGGGCAGCTACCGCGAGTGGTGTTCGAAGCAAGCGATCACGCATGTTTGGATCGAAACCAAGCCCAAGAAGCAGGTTCAACGTAGCCTCCTGCCCTCGCTCTGCGGCGGCTGCCACCGGCGAGGAAATCCTGTTGCCGATTGGGTACGGCGACGATCTGAGACACAGCCTGAGAAGGTTTTCGTTGCCGCCCCGAGCAGCGTCTTCCAAGCTCAAGGCGTCCATTCTGACGCGGTTGTCGGCCAGTAAAATGTACGCGATCCGTTCATTTCCAGCCCGAAGAGCTGCGTTCAGAGCCATGGAGAACTCGGTCCAAGGCAGACACCTCCGCCGAGGGTCAACGTTTACCTCTGCGGCTGCTGAGTATTCCAGCAGAATGCGGACCACGTCTGCGTGTCCTCTGACAGCCGCAATAACAATTGCGCCGTAATTCTCCAAGATGAAAGTTGCGTTGGAATCAAGTATCAACCTCACAATGCCGGCGTATCCATGCCTCGCAGCGAGCTTCAAGGGGAAGTCAAGATCATCCATGATGGCTTTTCCTCCACGTTGCAGCATCGCGTGGGCTAGATCCTCGAAGCCATGCTGGCACCCCCATACTAGCGCTCTCCATCGCATACGCTCGGGGGTCAGATCGTAGAATGCCTCTCCCAGGATACGATGCATCTGATGGCTGGTTCGCATCAGTGCAGACATACTTTGCATGGAGGTCACCCGCCGTCCGATCATGAGAATGAGCTCCTCTGGTAGATCGGAGAGCAGCATCTGCTCTGATGTTAGTGGTGGACTATTCGAACGGGGACAGGGCTCTTTACCGTGACACGGCACCGCTCTCGAGAGGGCGAATGCAGGACCGGGGTAATTCTGACTGTACCCAGCCAGTAGAAGCCGAAGAACAACAGAGATAGGAAAAGTAGAAACATTGGTTCCATGAATGGTTGTGTTGGTTGGGGTAGCAGACTATCTCAGAAGGCGCGTTGAGATGCTTCGTCTTTTCCAAGACGCGACTTCCAACGGAAGTCTCCAAAAACCAGTGAATGTCCTCAAGGCAGGCGCGTCCTGCCATTAATTTTGGGCAGGCGCGACAAAGTCATGGCCTCAACCCCCCGAATGTCTGCCATGCATACTTTGCTCAGTTAGTATAAGAGCGCATGCTGCTTGTGTACAGTATCCACGGCACCGCAGACGTCTAGAAAAGTGCCGCATTTCAAAGGGATAGTTTCTTTTCGATTTTTGTTCTTTTAAACGCCCTCATTTTCTCTTTATGTGATAGAATAGCGAAGAAGGGAATATGAAGCCAAAGTAAAGGATCACCAATCGCGGGCCAAGTCCGGCTCGCGTATTTAGGTCCAGACAGGAGAGTCCAGACTGGTCTGACGCAGATTTTGATTGCGATCGCTGGTGAAAAGCCTATCGCGTGGGCCGTCGGGAGACCCACCAGTGGAGCCCAACAGCATCTCCTTTGATTCCTCGGTGGCTGCTCGTCCATGCGCCGCCTGTCAATAGTCGGTGGTTGGGCTTGCACTGCACGGCTTGCCTTCACCCATCTTTGTGACACCAAAGCCACATTGGTGATGGCGATTCACCAAATGGCTGTACGTTGCGAGATCAACTCCGTAGGTATCTTCGGGTCAGCAATCACGAAAGAGCAGATCTCCACGATAAATCCTGCTTCGCACAGGATTGCGTCATACTTTTGAGATTATCTGGGATCGACAGAATATGATATGGCAATCAGAAACATGGCTGGGAATGTGTGGCTAGCGCGGTGGACCGGTTGGACAGAAAGGCAACGATCGATGAATTGATTTGGACGATCTGACGGGAGAGTTTCAGGTCGCACGCGTAAAACTCAGACTATGCGTGGGACACACAAGCTTTCCTTGGTTCGGCGCCGGTGCAATCTTGGTTGGATGTGATTGCCCAGGGACAGGTACAGGTACGCCCAATGCACTTAGTCAGGGCGTGTTTCTGGTTTCCCTATTAAGGTTTTGTAGAAATATCTTCCCCGATTTCAATGACCTGAAGCTCTCTTCGTGTACGACCGTAATATGCGGCCTAGCCTGTTTGTTCCGATTGTAGGCGCAAGTCTTGCGCTCACCGTTCCCTTGGTGCGCGCGTTATCCCCGCGCACGCAGATTGCCGACTCGTACGACTTTGTGGTCATCGGCGGTGGTCAAGCTGGTCTCGTGCTGGGTGGTCGCCTGTCGGAGGATTCAAAGCATACCGTCCTCGTTCTTGAGGCGGGCGGCAATGGAGACGACTATCGAGAGCGTATCGGTATGCGCCCGATCCATGGACTCGTCCGAGAAGCTTGCTAAACACGCGTCCTTGCAGATACCCCGGCGGATTCTTACTTTGATTCACTGTGGACAACCCCTTTGAATTGGGCCTTCTACACCGTTCCACAGCCCAATGTAGACGATCGTGAGATTTATTGGCCTCGTGGCAAGGTCCTGGGAGGTCAGTATCTATGCCCCTTCGGTGAATGGGCCAATTTAACACGGCAGAAAATACAGGCAGCTCCGCCATCAATGGGTTGTATTTGACCCGCCCCGGCGAGGACGAGATTAATGCCTGGCAAGGCATGCTCGGTGACATGGACGGAGCCGACAATTGGGGTTGGGACTCCTTCTACGCTGCCATGAAGAAGAGCGAGACGTTCGATGCGCCAAGTGATGCTATCGCTAAGCAGGGAAACATCTCTTGGGACGCCTCGACTCATGGCACCGACGGCCCAATTCACGCCTCGTATCCTGGCTTGTGCGCTCAATCCGCTCCTCCGATTCCTTACCAGACTAACCTTTCCGCAGTACATTCGACCAAGTTGGCCAGTGGACACCTGCTTTGGAGGCCCTCGGCATTGCGGCTTCCGACCAGATGTACGGTGGTGAGAATTGGGGTGCTGAGGTCTCAACTTCCTCCATCAATCCCTTAAACTGGACTCGTTCCTACAGCCGAACCGGATATCTCGACCCGCTGGCCGACCAAGGCAACTACGACGTGCTCGCCAATGCCCATGTCACTCGCATTCTCTTCGACAGTTCTTCTCCCTCCGACAACCTCACGGCTAATGCTGTCGAGTACACCACTGATGGTGGAGCTACTACGTTAACTGTCAACGTGACCAAGGAGGTTATCCTGGCGGCTGGTACGGTCGGCAGCCCCGCTGTCCTGCTCTATAGTGGTGTTGGCCCCAAGGACGTCCTTTCTGATGCTGGTGTTGACCTTGTGTCTGAACTCCCGGGTGTTGGCCAGCACTTGCAGGATCATTTCGTGAGTTATCTTCATACCCTTAGCGAGGACAATTGACTGACTCCAACAGAGTGCCACCGTGACCTGGACCACCGACGTGGAGACTGCGGGTTCTATCTACTATGAAAATCTTACCGAGAAGGTTTGTTATGCCCACGTACTATCTACGTTGGTATGCACTAACGATTTTCAGGCTGATCCCCTTTTTTACTCGTACATCGATTCTGCCATCGCGTACGTGAATGCTTCCTTCTTCTACGGCAGTGATGTCGATAATATGGAGGCAACAATACTGGATTCAATCGACCAGTATGCACCCAATACCACCTATGACGCTGGGGTCGTTGCTGGCTACAAGGCAATTTGCAATACCACGGCATCCAAGATCATGAAGAGTCCTACAGGCCTCATTGAGTTGCTCTTTATGAACAGCGCTGCTAGTGGTGTTATTGGTATTACTGCCGCGCTGCAGCACCCCTACAGCCAAGGCCGTATCTACATAAACTCCTCTGATCCAATGGCCTACCCCGTCATTGACCCGAACTATCTGAACAACACCGCTGGTATGTTCTGGTCTGCTACCAATGCAAGGCTTCTATGACTTACATGAATACCTTACAGATTACGAGATCCTCCGCGAAGGCCTCAAGTTGGCACGTCGCCTGGGTGAAACTTCCCCGTTGAGCAGCAATCTCACCGGCGAAACAGCTCCAGGTTCATCCGTCCAGAGTGATGACGAATGGCTGGACTGGCTGCGTGCCGAGGCTAGCTCCGAGTTCCACCCTTCGTCTTCCTGTGCAATGCTCCCTCGTGAACAGGGTGGTGTAGTCGACGCGAACCTTCGCGTGTATGGCCTCGCAAACGTCCGCATCGCAGACGCCAGTGTCCCTCCCATTGCCCTGTCCACGCATCTGATGGCTTCAACTTACGGGTTGGCCGAGCAGGCGAGCAACATCATCCGGGAATTTTACAACCCAAAGTCCACAACAACAAATTCCTCCACCAGCGCCGCCTCAAGTGGCAGCACTGTCGATCCCGCGAAAAAGAGCAACGATAGCCCGACTGGCTACAAGGACACTTTACCCTTCGGGATCTGGATATCCGCCATGCTTGTGACAGTGCATGTTGCGGTCGCCTTGAACCTGTTCCTTTAGGTTCGGAGGGTGTTGACTATAGGTACATATGAAGCCAGTTGTGACCGACTCTTGGCATTTACGAAGTTATGATTCAATCTGCGCAGCATGTTTGAACTTACGAACTTGGGGGACGGACGAATGGCGTTGTGACTGGAGCCAATCGGACGGGCTTGTTCCATCAACTACACATAGATCGCATCGTTAGATAACGTACAATTAATGAAGCATGAATTTGAAGAAGAATATAGAGAGAAGCCGGATGCCCAATCTAGGAATGAGCAACTTCTATCATTAGGCGATGTTCCAGAGTAAACCCCGGGGAATTTCACGGGCAGTAGGACAGGGCGAGAACAGTGCAGTTCACTCCGGTGCGTGTATATGGAAAAAACACAACAAGTCGCCCAAAATGAAGACGCCACGAATCGCACAATGTAAAAACAAAACGTATCATGAATCGTATCATAAATCTTGGAATCATGTCATATCACCTAAATCTTATCCATCATGAATCAAAAATAGGCCCGTAGGCCGGAATCCCTTGGGATTCAAATTCGTAAATAATCTTTTGTGTCATGGCGGGGTTGCTAATCACGAACACAGCCTCCGCATCGAATTCCTTTACTTGGCGGCGCACGACAGGAAGCATGTCAACACGGCCGTCGCGAGTAGTGTCCATAATGATCGGATCCGGCCCCATTCGGTGGACAAGAGCAAGGACGTCCCGGCCGTAGGTTTTCTCCGGTGAACGGGTCTGCCAGATAACCTTAATCAATGGACGGTTCTCGTCGCCTAGGAATCCTAGGCAGGGCCCTATGCCGGACCCCGTGGTCACGATAACGATGCGGCTGAAAAGGCGTAGACCGTAACCGACACCGCGCATCAGCGCCCCGCGCTTCCAGAGGTGCGTTGGTGGGTTCCGGATTGTATCCCCCGTCCAGTCTCCCGCTTTCGACACAACAATGGAGAACCTCTCTTTGCTGTTCTTGCCTTCCGGAGTCGGGTCTGGGAAACCGGCGAAACTGTGCCAGTCGCGGAGAGGGTGCTTGGTCACTTGAATACCCTTGGCGAAGGCGATTGGTGTGTGAGAAAAGTGGAGTCGGATAGCGTGAGAAGAGAGAGGCTCGGCATGGACTGGGACCTTGCGCAATAGTAGCCACGGGTGGGCCACAACAACAACGGCCGCGATCAAGAGCCAAAACGCGGGAAGTGTGACGAGGAAGTGTCCAAGACTTTGTTGCTCTGCCCTACAGACTTCATGGGCAAAGAGCATCAGTAGGACGACAAAGAGGGCCAGAATAAGCCATGAGGCGAATCGGTGGGTGAGCTCAAAATAATCATGGACCTTTCTGCGGAAAGTAGGGTACGCCACTACTACCATCACCACAAGGAGTACGAGGATGATGTACGCAACAGCGATTGGCGCGGCTGAAAAAGTGAAGCCTGTGGATGTACTGATGGGAGAATTTGTCCAATATAATTTTGACACCGCAGCAACGAAGCCAATGTACCAGACTAAAGATGCAGTACCACAGCCACTGTGAACACCACCGTAGTGGGCTGCCTTGGCGGCAATGCGGCGCAGGAAAAGTGGTGCAGATCGAGGAAGTGAGCACACCAGTCTGTAGATGGCGTTGACGACCATTGGGTGCCGAGCGAGACCGCACGATACAAGGTTGACAGCAGTTGCATCGACGAGTGCCAGAAGCTGTCGATCAGATGTCATCACGTAAAGGAAAACAGCGAGATTTGCACAGAACACAATCGTGAACAGTCGGCGATAGGTCGTGAACATGGCATATCTCAGATGAGAGAACCACTTCCGTTGCGGCTTGGTCGTTTGAGCCTCCAAGTCAACGAGGTCGGGAAAGGTGTGGCCACTGGACAGGATTTCCTTGGTTACGGGGCCATCTCCAGCCTTTTCGGCATCCGTGACAATGATATTGTTGAGGACGGGCGGATTGCAAACTACCTGAGCCGGAGGCGTCGGCATGCATAGGCCGTTCTTCTCGGGGTCTGCCATGCTTGAGGGAATGTACAACGGGGAGGGAGTAGAACGGTTGAAAGTATGCAGCACTAGATAAAAACTACAGTATTTCTCGAGGGAAACCAGACGAGGTCATATGCAATTTGTACGATATCTGCCGGGCATTCAAAAATTACCTTGGGGAATCCCACAGTTCCCGACTTGCATCTCTAGCTTGGAAGTGGGGGCCTAATCCATGATTTCCATGGTTCTACGGTATGGATATGCATGGCCCAGAGACAGAGCCTTGCCAGAAGAGATGGCAATGGCATAATGATGTCGCCAGTGACTTACCTTCCTGCGGTAACAAGTACCGGCTTGCTGGGAACGGTGGACTAAGGTCCAGCCAAGATCGACAGTCTACCCCTCAGTCGTGGATCCTTACCAGTCACATTTCCCGAATAAGTTATATTGGATTGTTGACGGAATCGGAGAACCTGGGCAAGACCTGCGGTGTGCTTCGACGGACCCCGTCGGTACCGTCCCGATGGTGAATGGAGCCTCGCCAGGCAAACTTTCCTTAGATCCGAAACTTAAACGCAAAAGAAAATGACCAAGCAAAGAAAAGGAAGGAACTCTACGGCGGAGAAAGACGGAGAATGATAAGACTCTTCTCGGTGGGGGGTCTGTTGGCGCATGCCTTACTTCATGCTTCTCAACATCCTAACGGCAAAAGAGACAATGCCCTGAGGTATCGGGTCACACGGGCAACATGCAGCATGGAGATATCGATCAGGCAAAATTACGAAACCACCTCACCGTGGTTTCGATAGAATTCGGAAAATCTCCAGACTGATATCATCCCAGGTGGCGCAGGAAGTCGGTGAATGCAACCACCCCGCTCGGGAGTATTAGCTCTGGAATCTTCCAAGGCTCCAAAGTTACTGCGAAAAAACCCTCTGTGGACCTGATCGCTCGATCGCGGCAGTGTCGATCAAGTTCCCAGGAAACGCTGCTGGGGTCACTAACGCCAGCCGGTTAGTTTGGTGGACCGCCCCAAGCTTCCGATGCAGAACTCTCCCAGCCACCCCAGTATACTGCTTTTGCATGTTGCATGTTGCATGCACCGTGGCCGTCCCGCAGGGGCCGCGGGAGACTGCTTCGAGGCTGAATGCACATTGAAAATCTCTCGTATGTAATGTGTCGACTAACTGAGCGACGGCCACTGGCCGAGACCCACAACTGACACCCAACTGGCGGTATGTTCTCTCTCCTCATTGTGGACCCTGGTGTTAACGAATATTCGAACGTTTCAAAACGAGGTATTGTATGTAACAAACACCGGAGTCTATACACACATACGCATACAGATTTGACTGAAAAATCGTGAATTCATAGATCTATCAAACTCAGACACAAAAGCGGTGGGAAATGGGACGCAGAATTCAAAAATAACGGGAACAAGACATCAGATAACTTCCAAGCAAGAAAGTCAGACATGGAAGTACACATTCAAGGTCATCACGGGCATTCACTCGTTCCTAGCCATGGGTAGGTGACCTGACCGCAACGGCTGCATTTTTTAGCTCGAATGCGAGACAAAAGAACTAGCGGATGCAATTTTCTTCGCCAATGCCTTTGTCGGTTGCGATCCTAAGAACTCAAAAGAGGACAACTCCGCTCCCAACTCCCGGGAGACCCAGTTCTGGACGGATGTGGCCTTGAGGGAATCAACTAGAAAGTATTGTCAGAATCGTACTCCCAACTCAATGGAAATGGTTCGAAGAATAGAAACTTACCACCCAAGGCGGATAGAGGCAAATCATGGTCGATGGAATCAGCTGTTGTAGCCATTGCATCTGCCAAGTATTCACTGAGAGCGTTGATGACAATCTGAGCTGCTGTATCGATGGAATCCGAATTCTTGAGCAGAGTGGCGGTCTGTACAGTAGAATCATCACTGTTTTCAACCACAAAAGAAACCCGATGATCGAATTTCCGATCCAAATTCCACGCTGTAGAGGCATTCTTGCGTGACAAGGAGTCTGTCATGCCGGCAATGATCTGGGGTGGAAGGGAAAGCTTGCTGTTGATGATCACTTGGAGCAAGATCTGGAGTTCGGAAGTCATGATTTCTGTACCCTCGAGATGCTTGTATCTGCGGCGGCGTTGCTCCTGGTCTTCGCCAATGTCACTCATTCCACTGGCATCAGGAACGAGACCGATGTTGATGGAATGGCCAGGAAGGCCATGGTTCCGTCGCCATTCCATGAGAGCGTCAATGAAACCGTTGCCGGCGGAATAGTTGGCCTGCCCCATGTTGCCAATGACACTTGCCACGGACGACAATGCGACGAAGAAATCCAAGCTTTTCTCATTAGAGAAAAGCCGGTGTAAATTTAATGTCCCGCGAATTTTGGGATCCGTGGATTGAGTCCAATCTTCGTAAGTCATTTTTTCAAACATTGAGTCCTACAAAGAAAGTATGAGTTAGCTAATGGCAATAATGTAAGGATGGGTGAATTACCCTCAGAACTGTTGTGCACTGGATCACACCTGCGACGGTCCAGTTTTGCTTCTGAATCTCAGATGACAGTTCGTCAATGTCTTCCTTCTTGGAAATGTCACAGCGGACTATATCTGTGTGGCATCCCCGACCGCGAAGCAGATCGAGGGCTAGTTGCTGGCTATGCTGGGTCCCTCCAGACCGGCCAAGGAAAACCAAATGGCGCGCTCCGGACTCCACCAATGTATCGGCAAAGGCAAGGCCTAAGTTGCCCAGTCCACCAGCCAGAATGTAAGTATTCATCGCCGACAAACCAGTCAGTTCTGGCAATGGGAGCACAATGGGAACTTGACCCGGTGCCTGAAGGTCGACTATGGCCCGGCCATTGGTCTCTTTGCAATGTTTAACAGCTCCCTGCAAATCGGAAACGGGGAATTGGGGGTAGGCTTCCACCCGTTCCAGAATTTGACGCTGATCCATTAAGTCAAAGACATGGCGAACTGAAGAATGGAGAATACCGGGCTTCTCCGAGAATGTTTTCTGGAGTCGTGGCGAAGAGAAGGTGCAGCCACTGTCGATGAAGCTTTCGGGAAGAGCGCTCAATTTCATGTCGCTAGAAAGATTGATGAACTGTCCACCTTGGACCAGGCATCTTGCGGCAACGCGACCCGCATATCCGCCCAGGAAGCAAATGCTTGCTTCGACTCCACATCCGTTGGTCAGTCTGGATACGCGTGATTCCAGACTTCCGTGTGTGCTCAGAATCTGATCCTTCAACGCTGGGTAACGATACGAAAGAACCTCAATTGTCTCCTGAGAGTCGGTGGCCACGATGACCTGCATACTTTTGCTCACGGCGTAGTCAATCATCGCCCGGAGATTTTGACTGATTGACCCGACCAAGAGAAGCGAGGAATTTGAACTCAGGCGACTCACTTCGGTGAGGATTTGATGCGCAGTGAGGTAGGCGAGAGGAGTTGAGATAGCCTGTGCGGGATGTGCGGTTACGGGAATCTTGATGGTGTCGCTCTCCGAGACACGCAGTGTTGTTGACAGTCCCGATTTTTCCGAAACTAATGTCACCACTTTGTCGCCAACAGCCAGGTCGCGCACACTGGTTCCGATCCTGGTAACTTGTCCAAGAATTTCAAACATTGGCAGACCCGTCTCAAGGGTCTTACCCGAATCTCTGCCCAGATCAAAGACGGTGGCCATCTCAACCAGGAGCTCTGTGTGGTCTGCCGGAAGTTCCCCTTCAGGAATGCATTTCTCTTCCCAGTGTGCATTGTGGACATCCTGGAACTTCAACTCAAGGGTTCTAGGGTCAGCTGTCAGATCGGCCATCACAGGCCGAGGTCCCTTCGACAGAGTGTGCATGGCCTCGTCCACTGCTGGAGTCTCAAGGATGCGCGGAACCAACAGTCGTCCGTTGACTAGACGATACTCCATGTCTGGCCGGCGTGAGTTCTCTTGCATGGTGAGTTGCATAACCTGCAGGATCCCACAAGCCAGGCCAAATTTGTCGTGCAGATCCTCCCTGTCGACAAGTAGTTGAGGAATCACAGTATTCCAGTTCTCATTGCGGAGCGTTCGCAGAATGCCACTTGAAGCACCATATCCACTATTCTCAACGGCTCCTTGACTCCAGAACGGTGAAACCCAAAGAACGTATTGGGATTTCATCAAATGTTGGAGCCTCTCAAGGTCATCTGCCGCGCAGTCGGATACCAAGGGACCTGCCAAGTCAAGCAAAGAAATCACAGTCTTTCCTGCCAGCGTGACCGCCTCATCCAGCCCCAGGGATATCATGCGAACATTGTGGGCGGCAAAGATCTTTTCAAGATGGCCGAAAACAGGGTTTGAGTCGGGCTTACTCTTTCCACTCAGGATGAAGATCTCAGAGTCTGTGCTCCACGAGACGGGTGTTGGGCGTGCAACGATGAATTTGCGATCTTCAGTCAAGCTATGAATTTCCAGGCCGTCGAAGCCCTTCAAAGTCTCCACCGCAAAGCCCAAGTTTGCGTCTGGGACGCGGATTGCTGTAAAGCCTCTGCGGTCAAGAATGGTGCGCAGGAACGGTAGAATAGTTTCACTGGTCTTGTCACTCCAGATTTTGAGCTCATCGATCACGACAAGATCATACAACTCCTCCGGAAGAGCCGAGGATAGAAGGTCGTCAAGTCCAGTGATGGGAATAATGTGAGTGCCAATGTCAGATGCGTTGGCCCTCGCCTGATCATCGGGGCCACACAAGGCCATAGTGACATTTGCAAAGTAAGGTCGCTTCCTGGTTCTTGGCTTGAACTCGTCGACACTCCGGATCCAAGCACTCGATACATCGGAAGTAGTGATCAAGGACTTGGCGTCCCCATTTGTATGGCACAGCCGCTTGATCCAGTCACTCAACTGTAGGCTGCTGGCTTCCACGGCCGGATCTTTGCTTCCGTCGTTACGAATTTGGCGAGAGACAACAGGCGACTCCAGATGTTCGTCCCAAACAACGGAGGAGTACCGGCTTTGAGAGACCATATCGTCTACCTTTTTTGACTTGGGATTGAAGGGAAGACGACCAAGGTGAACACCCTCGAATGTGATCCAGGGCTTGGACCAGGAGGGATCTGACGCGATACAGTGAGATCGCGATTTGCCGTCTCGCAACTGAGTCTCTGTATGGATGGCAAACTGTTTACCTGCTTTCGGTTGGAAATTATCGGAGATGTAGACATGGTCAACTCCGATAGGGATGTTGGCATTCTGGCTGGCCAGGGCCTCGGAACAAGACAGAAGGGCAGATTGGAAGAGGCAATCCAGAGTTGTGGGGTGAATGAAGCTGGGAGTCTCCTTTTCATTTGGCATCCCTTGTCTGGTGTCTGTGACAATTCCCGATAGCCAAAGACGAGGCTCCGACGGGCAGAACGAGACATCAGTGATGGTCTTGAAGCACGGTCCAACGGTCAGTCCTCCTGTATGAGACAACCATTGGTACGCTTGCCCGATATCAGCCGGTTGTGCGACTGCCTTTGTATCTTTAATTCGGGTTAAATTTGCCTCCCAGTTTGCGATCTGCTCATCGTCATCGTCATCTCGAGCCTCGTGTCTCGTGGTGAATGAGCCCTTTGCATGTTGAATCCAGGACCCTCCGGATGGAAGCGAAAAAATGCCGAATTGGTACCAGCCTGGCATTCCTGGATGTGGCGAGACTTGAAGCACAGTCTCGAGACCACGCTCATCCTCCGGGATCACAATACCACGCACGAACTGGAGGTCTTGGAATTCAATTCCCTTAACTTTGGTCTGGCCACCGGCTAGTTGTCGCGCTGCCTCGGTGACCATCACCAGCATGCCTGCGGCCGGGAAGACGATCGATCCAGCCACAACATGATCCGCCATCCATGGATTCTCTGACAATCTCAGGAAGTTTCTCCATCGTGGCTCGAGGGCGTTTTGATAGTCCAGAGGGGCTCCCAAGATATCGTGACGCGGATACTTGCGCTGTCGCAACTGAGCTGTTTCCAAAGGCTCATGCCAGAAGGACGTTTGGTGGTTCCAAGGATAGGACGGCAAATCAGAAACCATCGCCGGGGGAGTGCAATCGACACTGCTGTTGACCGCAGGAAGGTCAACTGTATGTCCTGTGCTCCAAAGAGACCCTGCAACTTCCACTGAAGTTCGTAAAGCGCTCTGATTCCGCATAACAAGCGAGTAATACGGCAGTGATGCCATGTTAGTGTTGACAGTCCGCAAGATCTGGTTGACAGGTCCCTTAAGGACTGCATGTGGGCCGATTTCAAGCAAGATAGTCCATTTGATGGGCACTGGTCGTCTGCGAGCCTTGCTAGTTTCGCTCAGACTTGCGAGCTGCGATACTGCAGCGGTGAATTCGACCGAACTGATCATATTCTGGACCCAATATGATCCACTTAAGTCGCCGGGGTAGACACGCTGCTTTGTGACAGATGAAAGCATAGGGATCGATCCGCCATGGCGATCCTCCGGCTTGATGCAATTGATGGCGTTGCCGACGACTTCAACTAGCTCTTCCATGTGAGGGGAGTGATAAGCTGTATCTACACGCAGCTTGCGTGCAAAGACGCCATCTTTCTGCAGTCTTTCCTCGAGCTGATCAATGCGGTCCACATCTCCAGAGAGGGTTGTGCTGGAAGGGCTGTTCACACAGGCAACAACCACCGAGCGCGGAGGAAGGTCCTCGAGGTACTTTTGTGCACTCTCTGGCGAGATGCCAGTAGCGAGCATGCCTCCTCGTTTGTCACTCTCGGAAATCTGCTGTGAAAAGTAGCCACGGAACCACGCGACTCGTATAGCATCTTGCTGCGTAAGATATCCAGCTGCATACGCAGCAGCTAAGCAGTATATATTTGTCAGCGTCTGATCTCCACAATTCAAACATGGAACACTCACCAATCTCGCCACTGGAGTGACCAACAACCGCATTGGGATAAACAGACCAGCTGGCTAGAAGGTCGACCAGAGCAATCTGGAGTGCGCAGGTAATAGGCTGGCTGCGATCAGGTCGGTTGATGCGACTGTTATTTGTCTTTGCTTGAATCTCTCGAACGATATCGAACGGGCATCCCATAGAGGTGAGGATCTGTTGTGACCGTGCCATGCTTTCTCTAAAAGTGGGAATCCTTAAAAGCTCCTTACCCATTCCAGCCCACTGGCCACCCTGACCCGTGAAGATAAAGGCAATTCGGGTCTGCGCCTTGCGGCTAGCACGGGAAAACTTGAAAAGCCCCTTCTGTAACGTGTTCTGCAGCTGGTCAAGTGAGTTTGCAACCGCAAAGCTGCGGAAGCCCAGCTGTGAGCGGCGAGTGAGCATTGTATGAGCAAGGTCTTTCAATGAAGTCTCGCACGAAGCTTCTTGCTGCCGCTGGAGAAATGTACTCCAACCTTGACCAAGGCGGTCGATGCCAGCTTGGTCGAATGTAGAGAATACCACGACACGAGGTGGCGGCGATCGGTCTTCCTCACCGAATGCTTCTTTAACGCTCTCCAGAATAATATGCGCATTGGATCCACCAAATCCAAACGAGTTGATACTGGCCCGTTGTGGAAGATGCTCTGGCCATGGCATCGTTTTGTCGCTCAAACGTAACCGCCAATCATCAAGCCGGATCTTGGGGTTGAGGTTTTTGAACCCGGCATTTGGCACCAATGTGCCTTTTTCTAAACAGAGAACTACCTTGATCAAACTAGCGACACCCGCGGCGCCTTCGGTGTGACCGAAGTTTGTCTTTACCGAGCCCACATATATGGACTCGTCCGTAGGCGTTCGTGCCTGGCCTAATGTCATACCAACGGCAGACAGCTCTGTGGGATCCTATTCAGAGGGTCAGAAATCGGCTGATTCAATGCATCTATTTCACGTACACCGACCGGTGTTCCGGTCCCATGGGCTTCAAAATAAGCGGTATCTCTCATGGAAAGGCCATGCCTTTTATAGGTCGACCGGATCAAGTTCGCTTGAGACGTTGGACTGGGCAAGGTAATACCGGGGGTCCGGCCATCCTGGTTGATTCCTGTGCCGCGGATGATGGCTCGGATATTGTCTCCATCGGCTAACGCCTGGGAGACGGGCTTTAAAAGGACTGCACCGATGCCCTCCCCTCGGCCGTATCCATTTGCAGCCTCATCAAACGAGTGACTGATACCATCTGCACTCATCATGTGCATATAAGAGAGTCTTTGTGTAAAGTTGGGGTGTAAAATGAGACTCGCTCCAGTCACCAGGGCCTGTCATGGAATGTTCATTTTTAGTTTGTGTCGAAACAGAGGAATCCAGCAGTACGCACCATTCCACATTCGCCAGATCGTAAAGCTTGAGCCGCAAGATGAACTGCAGTCAAACTTGAAGAACACGCAGTGTCCATCATAATGCTCGGCCCTTGAAGGTCGAAAAACCATGATAAACGATTGGCCAACATAGTTCTTCCGTTTCCAGTAGCAGAGTTATGGGGCATATCATATATGTCTCTCGTTGATAGTAGCTCATAGTCATTTGTCATTGAGCCGGAGTACACTGCTGTGTTGCTCCCTGGAAGTGTGTCTATTGGGATTCCGCCTATTGTGCAAGTTTTAGCTCAATTGATCCCATAATATTTCATTTACCGATCGCCTCACCATTTTCAAAGGTTTCATATGCAACCTCGAGCAACAATCGCTGTGCCGGGTCCATTCCCGCCGCCTCCTTGGCGGTAATAGAGAAAAACGGGGCATCAAAGCGGGATGGATCCTCTTTTAAGAAAAACCCACTGTCATGATTGATCTGTTCATCCTGTTTAGCATCATGACACCGAATTCAATTCCGTCGAGGCATTCATACCGCGCCGTTGCGCTCATGAGTGGGATGATGCCAGGCTGAAGCTTCATATCGGCTGGAAGGGACAGTTCCATGGCCAGTGCGTCCCTCACACAGCATCTTCCAGAAATCCTCGACAGAGGTCGCACCACCGGAGAAGCGGCAGCCAATTCCAATGACGGCAATTGCCTCCATTTCTGGGTTGGCAACACCGGGGGTTGGTAGATCGGGCATGCTGTGGATATGGAAGTGGTTGAAGGGAAGTTGGGCTGAAACTCGGACTCGCAGAGGTAGAATTTTGTGGGGTATTATACTCACGATTGTGCCATCTTAACTCGGCAGGTCCCCCAACAAGTCCCATCGATATTACAGGCCGTGGGCTTGGAACTTGAAACTACGATTATTGTGGGCAACCTCGCAGGTTCTCATGCATACTTTACGGTCGAATGAGCAGAGGGCGTCCGGCGGAGCTCCCAAAAGTACTAACCTGTAATTTCTTTCCGGGAGGAATCCTTTCGTATCCTGGAAACGGCCTGGAACTCTATCAATTTACCTAATGTGTCCGGATACCATCGTTTCCGCGTAGATTGCATGGGAATCACGGTTGAGCCGTGGGTCAAGCAAGATCGACGGGACGGTTTCTCTTTCGTGGGCTTGCAGCAGTGCAATAGCAAGCAATCTAGCCGATCGTTCGTGCCGCTGGGCCTATGCGCGGCTGAAATTAGCGGCTGAGTAGGTAGATCATATTTAGGAATGTCGGTTACTGGCAAGTGGGGGGGGACATCGATCCACGAACCGGATCGCCAATGGCACGTGTTTACGGAGGGAGGTTCTGGATTACGATGTAGTTTTGGCGAACCACTCTGAATCGTGCTTTACAATACCCCACTATTATCTAAATTTCTTGAAATGACGCCAGTAATATTCCCAATGACTATGCCACTGTATGGTTACGGGAGCTTACCGGTGTCGGTCATCGTATTTCTGAATTGCCGACAGACAGGTTACATACAAGGATCTTCAGCATGCTCCATCTTCTCGCATGGCCTAATCCACAATTCCACCTTGGAAGTGCACTGGCCCGTCTGGTAGCCGCCACCACCCGGCGTAGGACTTTTGTTTTCGTGAGACCTGATGTCGCGATTTCGCAGTGGGGAAACAAACGGCCACTGCCCTTCCCTGCCCCCTCGAGACCGAGACAAACGCACGTCCCCGAATCCGGGTATCAGATACTCGTCTGCCTAGAAATTTTGAAGGAATTCCTTCGGGTACGAGTGTGAGCACCTCGAACCGTAGGAAATGGCGGGGTTTGTTGGTTTTCTCGACTATGGGAAGTATCGGCCCGAAGGATCTTCACATTACGATGAGATCTTCTCATGAGCTACCTGTCTGAGGCTCTAGTGGAACTCGGGTTTGATATACTGATGCTACGGCACTTACCCCTCCTCGACCCGAGAACCCCCCCCCTCATTTGTACTGCATCTCGAATATCTTACTGAAGTTGGAAGTCGGTTTACGCTACCTCGGTAGCTACCCAGATTATCTCACAGCACACCGCAGCGGTGTGAGCTCCTCAATGGCTGATTTAACCCCAAACTATGCCCGGGTCGCCGAAGGTGTGCCCCGACACATAGCTTTCCCAAGGTTCCTAACTAGATTTTGTCATTCACCCGATCTGCCTCGGAGTCGAGTTAATTACCACCCGTTTCTCACCGTATTTTCTCTCCGACATTCATGACGTTGAGAATGACCACCCAAAGTGCCATTATCGTCCAAGGACCGGGTCGCGCAGTGCTGAAGCAAAACGTTCCGCTCCCAGAGCTGCCAGATGGTTACATTCTCGTCAAAACCAAAGCCGGTATGTCGTGTTTTCCCCGTGCTTGATTCCCTTGCGTGAGTGGTTCAACTAAAACATGACTCAGTGGCTCTGAATCCCACGGACTGGCGTCACATCGATTTTGTTCCATGTGACGGAGCTACTGTTGGCTGTGACTATGCTGGAATAGTGGTGGCCGTCACCCCCCAAGTCAAAAAAACATTCAAGAAAGGCGACCGGGTGGCTGGGTTCGTACACGGCAGCAACGCAGCGCGCCCCAATGGCGGCGCATTTGCCGAGTACGTGATCGCGAAAGGTGACCTGCAAATTTTCATACCCGACTTCATGAGTTACGAGGCTGCAGCCACGTTCGGTGTCGGACTGACTACTGTGTGTCAAACCCTTTATCAGAGCATGCAATTCCCCTTTCCTGAAGAGGTAGAAGAGTAGGAGGAGACAAGTATCCTGATTTATGGAGGCGCGACGGCTACTGGCACTCTTGCGATCCAGTTGGCAAAATTATCGGGCCTGCGAGTGGTGACGACGTGCTCTGAATCCAATCGTGGCTTGATGTTTGAGCTTGGGGCAGATGCTGTGTTTGATTACCACGATCCGCAAGCGGGCGAGCAAATCAGGGAGGCTACCGATGACGCCTTGGAGTTTGTACTGGATACAATCTCTACACACCAATCCGCTGCCATCTGCAGTGCATCTATTTCGTCATCTGGCGGGTCTTATCATGCCCTACTGGATGTCAAATGTGCGCGCGAAGATGTTGATTCCCATGTCTCTATGGCGTATGACTTGCTGGGCGAGCCTTACCGCATGGGGCCAAATGAAATCTCCCCTGATAAGAGCAACCTCGAATTTGGGATCAGATGGTGGAACTCGGTGCAGAAACTACTTGACCAGCGCCGCGTTCTCCCGCACCCGTATCAGGTGAAGACCGGTGGTTTGGCCGGAGTTTTGGCCGGACTCCAGTTGCTACGGGAAGGTAAAGTCCGAGCCTCTAAGCTCGTGTATTGGGTCAATGAATCTGGGTGATGTGTTATGAAAGTAACCAGGCTGGACCTGCAAGGTTCCAATTCAGGTTTCTGAAGGCGACGATCTCTCAATCACGCTCTCATAAACGTAACTTGCAGTAGTAGCTTCACGGAGCCTTCGGTATCCAGGATCCAGGATGTCGGAAAGCACATAATATTGTACACTGATCTTTTTGCGGATCAAAGCCCCAAGAACCATGAGTTCTCCACTGTAGAGATGGAGAAGTGGATCAAGATTGAGGACTGCTCAGATACATCCGTGGATATTGGTCGCTTACCTTTGAAGATTCTGGGTACAAATACCTGCTTGCCACACTTAACTTCTCCATCCACTCCTTCTCAAACCAGCTATTCAAGGATAAGACAGGTGTCATAGGCATCTCGGAGACGATGCACACCCCAGGGAGCGGAAAGCGCCCATGTAGCGGTCGTCTCGCCAAGCTAATAGCAGCTAGCTGCCCAGACAAGAGTTTAATGACAGCGGGGAAGTGTGCTACGGAAACTCTCTGACCGCTACTTTAATCATAAATCCATCTGGGTGGACAATAATGTGTTTGAACAAACATACAAGAAAATCGGAAGCTAGAACAGACCCTCACTCGTTTCGGGTCAACATTCACAGAACCCACGGACTGACTTATATTCTCCTAGATCTGGTGTTCTGTACTCATTTCACACATAGCTTGAATTTGATACGAACAAGGTCGCGACAACCTTAGAATAGCCTCACTACCTGGCAGATTGACCGCCGTTTTCTCACCCCTGTTAGAATGGGATTTCGAGGCCGGGATACCGTCCACTACATAACCTTTCCCTTGGTCATCCTTGTAGCTCCACTACTTACCAGTGCGGACTCCAGGCTTGGAGTGAAGCCACTGCACATTAAAGAACGAAATCCCTGAAGAGACGAGAAGAGACAGTATCCTGCTCTCATCCTCAACTCAGATCGGTTATTGCGGGTTTGGAGGCACTATTGTTGCTCTCATCATACGTTGCATATGCGGTGAACTTATATGATCTCAGATTCAGTGCAGCCGCCTTGCTTGGGTCTTGTCCGATGAAGTCCACGATAAACGGCAAGGTATATCAAACACCGCACCTACGGACCGGGGTGTGCATCCTCGGAGAGAGTCATCTGGCACCAGTAGCTGTGCCAAGATGCAGGCCTATATGGTGCATTGACGCGACGAACGATGAATCAAGCTATACAGCTGGAAATTCATGTACTAGAATGCCGCTCCAAACCGGACTGGATTCTGATGGAGCTCTTGGTACCGCTGCCAGCCTCACCGGGAACGAACTGGACATCTGCGTCATTGGTTTTTAGATGTTCGATCTGAGAAAAGATCTCACTGAAGTGCGAGAAGTAGTAGTGTGGTTCACAATATAAGTCATGCACAGGTGAAATTAAGATGTAGAAGAGGTTTGGTCGTCGAAGGGTTCTTATATGTCACTGAGTCAAAGTGTATGTACATTCATGTTGAGGTATCAGCTGTGCAAGTCTATATAAATCACAAATGGGTATATGGGACGCCGGCGTCCATGCTATATCGGCAAATGGCCACGCTCAGTCTCTATATCATCGTCCTTGTGTCCAACCAGCTGGTAAGACCCGCCGCCGAATCTGCGGCGTCGCAACAGTCGAGAGACGGCACAGTAGCACCCGGATAGAAGACAGCATAGTGCGAAGACTGCGATTATGATCACACCCCAGGCACGCACAGAGACATAGCTTCCACGCGATGACGAGGGACCGCGTGAAAGTGTTTCTGTTATGCCGAGGACCTCTCCCTCAATATTCATGGCGCAGACGCGGAAGTAGGAAGTGATCTCGGGCGGGAATGGGATTTGAGTCTCGAAGCCGGTGCGCTCTACTTGGTCCACGGCGACGAAGGTAACGTTGTCCAGACTCACTCCATCCCAAGCTTCGAGCCGCCAGGTGGCGACCTCGGTGGCACCGTTCCAGCTAACGAAGACACTGTTGTCGGCGACGGCTGCATCGGGTAGGGTGTTGGGGGTTCCAACCCAATCTCCCTTGAAAGAACGGTACGACACAATCCGACCAAAAGTAAAATAGGCCGATGCGCCAAAATGTACATCGCAAACGACGTCACCCTCAGGGGTATATTCGGTGAAGGCGGCACTGTGACCCCAGCCGACAAACACATTTCCAGTATCCAAGACTTGGATATTGCCTTGCGATGTGGCCATGAGACCCTGGGGATGAACGTATTTTGACTTCACTTTTGCCTGCCGTGCGGGAATGTTGAGTTCGATAGAGAGACCGCTTGAGTCTCGAGAAGAATCACCTTCTCCGTTGGCATTGTTGTTGAGCAAGGTCAAGCTGTTGGTGCTTTGCCAGCGAGCATCGTGCTGCCAAGTAAAATCGGTGGCAGACTCATCCGACGCATCAGAGAATTCATTGTGCTTTCCGCCCAAGGTCCAAAGCACCTGGCCAGTATTCCCGTCCACGCAGGTGACAGTGTGCGTGTGTCGTCCTGAAACAAGATAGTGACCCTGATCGTTTTTGTCGACACTGTTTAAGTGAAAATAATCGAATCCCAGGGTTCGTTCATAGCCTCGATCTCTGACGGGAAAATAGCTGCTCTCTGGCGGGTAAAAATGAGAAGAACGCCACTCGAAGAGCAGCTCACCGGTCGCGATGTCAATCTCTTGGAAAACACCGTCGTAGAGCCAGCCCAGCTCGGGACCACCAACAGCTGTCAAGTCGGCCGGAACGGGATCATAAATGGTGACGAGGGCAGTGTCGTTCGGGGTAATGACGAAATCATGCAGGTCGCCTTCCAATCCGACGGGAGAAACGATGTACCTGGTCGTGTAGGTCGAATCCAGCTGATTGGCAGAGAAACGACGTTAGCATTCCACAGATGCGATTACGATAAGAATCAGAGTTTCAATCCTACCATGTACCACGATCCACGACCATGTCCATCTTCCTCGTCGCCTTGCCAATACGTCACATAGTTCTCGCCCTTGAACCGTTGAACTTTAAAATCCTGCGTCGTACCCCAGTTGTATTTTGCCCACACCAGCTCCCCGCGGGCATCCAAGATCATCGGACCTGCATGCGCAACGGAATCGCCCCGGGGCGCAATAAATGTGTATCGAGGGTCGCATTGTGCGTCGGCAGGGGAAATTTCGACCACTCGGGCCTCCTCGTCGAAGGAGACAAAGCCTTGCGACGGCCCGAAGCCATAGAATCCGAAATCGTACTTGCTCAAACTGGCACGGAAACGGAAGCGAACGAGCTGGGGTACCGCGAAGAGGAAGAAAAGAATCGAAGCTCCTATAGCGACGGCAATGGCAGAAATCAGGTGGCGGAGACCGAACTTTTGGCGATCTCCGCGCAGCCAGGTCAGGCGAAGAGCGGAGAGAGTCCGCAGGAACATTGGCGCATTCCGAACAGGGGCAGGGAGACGGGGAGCGGAAGGGTGGAGGGCCCAGTCGGTTATATATGGGACTTCTCCTGGGCTTCAGACTTAGGCTCCTTACCTCCCCTCCCCGCAAGGACTCTTGGCGGACCGTAACGTGGATCAAGATCGTAAAGGCGACGCGTATGCTGACTCGACATTTCATACAAAGTTCCGGGCTGCCAAGCCGGCGAGTGGCTGTGAAGTCCTGTTCGTCGCGTTGAGCCGCCTGGAAACCACTCGGCGGCGTCATACTTAACGGGACTTGGGTTTGGCTTCTTGGTCGAACACCCACATGGTGCGGTCCACCATTGACCATAGGCCATTCAGAGCAGGTATCGATGAGGGGGTTTTGACACCGGAACCAAAGCGCCACCAGCCCACGCGTCCTCCATGTGGCGCGCGCGGTGTCGTCAGTGGGGGTGTCTTCGGTCTCCTCCAATCACGTTCGATTTTCGAGGTGCTGAGAGCAATGCCGGCTCCTCACTTGCCCTTGCTGAGACCCGTCGTAGACCTAATGCGGCAAGCCATGCGTGTTATTAGCCTTTTATCTCTCCAGGAGTATTCGTCAAGTACCTACGAATGTGATGTGGTACGTCAGGGGACCGGGGGGAAGTTATACATCAACCTTGGAACTGACGACTACCGTGGCGGAGCCTTGCGCTTCCTCCCCTGAATCGCCTAACGCGGTGGGCGGTACGAGCGGAACGGGAACGAGGTGGGACCGCGGGAACCTCTCTTACTGTAGTGCGGTAGGGGAAAACCGGAGATGGCTGTCGTTAGCAGGTGAAACATAAATGAACCCCCGAAGAAGAGAGATTAAATCGTAATATGATGGCACTATCCCGTCGGGGCATATGTTTAATGGAGAGACATGGAGCAGCTTGGGAGGGTGGGCTTGATCAGCCCCTTGTAGCTCGCATATATCTTGTCTCGTGGAGAGACATGTCGAAATCGTCGGCAACACTGACTGGTATGCGGGGAAGTGAACACAAACCAAGGAAAAGATGCGTGTGGCAGACAAGAACAAGCAGCGAAGAGCAGCGGCGATCCACACTGCACGTGACTTCCAAATCAGGCCACAAGTCTAGTTGGTGAACGAACGTCTTCTCGTTCTCGGTCCCTGAAGGCGTCTATCTAAGATGTTCGCGGCCGTCTGAACTTGGAATCATTTGCACCTTTCGTCAGTTGGGGGATTATCTGTTCCATGCGGCGCTAGAATGCCGGAGTTTGGGGATTTGACTACCTAAAGGTTTGAAATAAGTCTCCATGCAAAGAAATCGTCATCACCAGACTGAGAATCTCACATCCGGCTCTCAGCATTCCAGCCCATGATCCGGTCTTGGAGGAAGTGCCGATGAAAGGTCGCCCTCTTGCTGCAGAATTATTTCATTACCAGCATCGGTTCATCCGCGTCGGGATATGGTGATGTGGTGCTCATTATCGGTAGAAGTGAAAACCAAGACTTGTCTAGTAAATTGAGCTTGTAAGTGGTGCAAGGGGTAACGTGGTGAGCGACGGGTTGACCTCGTGAGAGCAATCATAGTTTTCGTCCCTTGCCGCGACACGCGCTGGGGAACCATCTTCCATCAATGCCTAAGCTTTCCCGAATGCTAGGCACCGGGAAGAGCGGATGCCGATGGACCTACCTTGCATCCATGAGCATGACGCCATTGTGCATCTGCCGCTGGAACATGTCCCCGACCAGAATCTTGTTCACGGCCGGACTCAATTTGAAAGAAGCCTTGGTGACACTGAGAGGGAATAATAAGGATATCGGATGGAATTTGGGGCCGGTCGCAGCCATGAAGCTGTTGATAGGGTATTACTTCACTCCGAACTGGCGACTCAAGAGGCTGTCAATGCTACTATGGGCGCACTACTCGTATGTGGCTACAATTTAACGGCGGAATTCGCATCACTTTTCTTCAAGGTCTTCTTCGGAAAGCGGAGGAAAAGCGTCCCAGTGGCATCGCTTTCTTATTCCAACTCTTAGTGGATCGAGACGTAGATTCACCGCCAAGCTATGATGAAGACAGGAAAGCATTGGCATCTGCATCAAAGGTGAGTGCAAGAGAGTGGTGCAAATTATATTCAAAAGTCCGTATCGGAGAATCATTCCACGAGAATTGGCTTACACGGAAAATGCAGCGAAAGAAGGGCACGAGAATGATAAACTACGACTATGGTGCGACAAGGCGAGCGACACGAACGCGGCAGGAGCAGAATGGGTATCATTGGGATATTCCACCGTTCTTGATGCATGCCGGCTGCTGGAGCAAGCATCAAGGACTAGTGCCGACATCTTCGTTAACCTGATGATCAAGAGCGCTTATTATTCGCAATATGAAATAGATATTCAATGTCATGACATCTCAGTATGAAACCCAGCCTTCTCCTAGGTTTGACGTGGATATTTTGAATATGTTGGAAATTGGAGCCTTCATCCTAAGGCGCCAACATCGGTCGGCATCTCTCTGCCCCGATGGCTGCTGATTGGACAGCTAAGCCCATAAGGATATTGAAATTGGGCTGCATGAACAGCTCCTATATGCAGGTTCCTCACCTATATGACTTTCTTTGCTTTTTCCAGAGGAAGTACTTTCATGGACCACCGGGTAGCGTTGTAGGAGAACGTTTTTGCATGCATTTTCCTTAGAAAACAGTTCTCAGGAAAAGGGTATAAATATCCCCCTGAGAACGAGCAGAAGTAGTTACCAGAATTACCTATTATCTATCTGTCCATCTTCTTTTCGTCTGATCAACTACCCTTCATTTCTCAACAGAATACACGGGCGAGCAGAATTTGTGTAGCTCGCAAGGCAGCAAAATAGACCGTATTCTGCGGATATATATCCATGGCAAATGCAATGCTACTTGGATGAGATCCTCGCGAACGACAGAAAATCATCCGGGCACTTTCAAGAAACGAAACGAAAACAAGATCAGAATTAATTTTAGCTCTGGAGGTGCCAGGGTCCACGGGTAGAACCGAGTCGATGATTTGGGGCCCGGGTGGTGGTCGGGAAGGGCTGATCCCGCCGCTTTCCAAAAGCCACGCCGCCACCCGAGCTCGGGGCTGATGATCTACATTTGCAACCCAAACCTCCGACAACCGGGGCCATAGCAACCTTCCACTATACCATCCAATTTGTTACAGGCGCTTGAGCTTCCACCTGCAGTGAGTGCTTCTGTACAATCGATATCCCGTCGCGGTCCGAGTCCTACGAACCATTCGAGCCCGAGTTTCCCTGCCCTTTTTCTTCTAGGTGGCACGGACCGGCGGACCGTCCGCCATTTCATCAAAAATTCCCCCACAGGGGATGCGCTGATAATTTGATTCGCGAAGAGACGCCAAGCGCATGGAAATGTTCTGGGCGCAGGCTATTTCTGCATGCGCAGGGGTGGAGGGGAGGGGGGTTGTGGGTAGCTAGCAGCATTTTTAGTGGATGCCGAACTCCCCGAATCTCGTTAGTGCAGAAACGTGAAGGAGAATGGAGCTGGAGGCCAAACTCCATCAGGAAGGTCACTATAGGGGGCCAATATGCTCGAATAGTGGGCGTCATAGCGCACGCCAAGAGAAGGCCGAGAACCAAGATCCCAAGACCCTCAAAACATCGCTATCGAAAGGGCGCATCGTGATAACCTTCATCCGTCTCCACCGATACCTTCCACGGCCGTATGATTGGCCCTCGGGACTAACTTTTGCGCATGAACCCCCCCTTAAACCCTCCCGATCGTCCTCTTTTTTTCTACCTGGGAAATGATTCCTCTCTTCTCTCTCCGACAACTATACTCTCACCATGTCGGGGGATAAGGACATCGTGGCCCACGAGGTCGGCCTGGATTCAGGCGCGCAAGATGATCGCGATATGGAGCGCCTGGGCAAAGTCCAGCAGTTCAAGGTGTGTTTCCGACGCGGGGAATTCGGGGGAGCAACGCGCTGAACCAGCTTCAGAGAAACTTCAAATTCTACTCGATCCTCGGTTTCACCACCACGTTAATGGCGTCGTGGGAGTCGATCCTGCTGTGAGCCTCCCCGATTCCTCCCGTCGGCCCCGACTGACTCCCGCGCAGCACGAGTACCTATGGCCTTACGGACGGTGGCCGCGCCGGCATGGTTTACGTTTATATCGCTTCGTTCGTGGGATTTTTCGCCTCGGTCGTGTCAATGGCGGAGATTTCCTCCATTTCGCCGACGAGCGGCGGCCAATATCACTGGGTTAGCGAATTTGCTGCTCCCCGTTACCAGCGTTTCTTGAGCTATTTGACCGGTAAGGTCTACAATATCCGGCCCTCAAGGACAATACTCATCATTTGAACAGGATGGCTCTCCGTATTGGGTTGGCAAGCCGCCTTCGCCAGTATTTGCTTCCTCTGCGGTACCCTGATCCAGGGCCTGCTCGTCTTTAACTATTCCGGTGACACGGGCTACGTGTATGTCTTCGAACGCTGGCACGGCACGCTGCTGACGATCGCTATCGCGGCCGTCGGAACTCTGGTCAACACTTACGGCGCCAAAATTTTGCCCCCTCTGGAAGGCGTCATCCTGGGCCTTCACATCGGCGGTTTCATTGCGGTGATGGCCGCCATTTGGGCGATGTCGACCGGCCAGGCATCCGGATATACCGTGTGGCAGGAATTCACCAACTCTGGCGGCTGGTCAAGCATGGGTCTGGCCTGTCTGGTGGGCCAATTGACTCCCATCTTCTCTTGGACGGGCCCCGATGCCGCTACCCACATGGGTAAGTAGATCGGCGCTTTTTCAGCATACCGTCGCTAACGTTTTACTAGCCGAGGAAGTGCAAAATGCTGCATTGATCGTGCCGTGGTGCATGGTTTCGACCGCGTTGATCAACGGCGGTCTGGGATTCATCATACTGATCACCCTTCTCTACAACATGGGCAGCCTCGAGGACGCTCTGACCGCCGCGAGTGGCTTCTCTTTCATCCCGGCCGTCCACCATGCCACGGGCTCCGTGGCCGCTACCAACGGCGTGGCCGCAATCATCCTCGTCATGGAGGTCTGCAGTGCCATCGGTATTCTGGCTACAGCCTCCCGGCAGACCTTTGCTTTTGCTCGTGACAACGCGCTGCCCTTCTCTGGCGCCTTGGCTCATGTCAACAAGCGTACTCAGATCCCCATCATCTCTGTGCTGGTCTCGACCATCATCACCGTTCTGCTGAGCTTGATCAATATCGGCTCCACCGCAGCTTTCAACGCGGTCGCTTCAGTGATGATTGCCGCTCTTTTCACCACTTATATCTTGTCGATCGCCGCATTCATTCGAGCTCGATTCCAACCCGGTGGGATTCCCCCGTCCCGCTTCTCGCTCGGCAAGCTCGGACTGCCCATCAACGTTTTCTCGGTCGCATATCTCCTCTTTGCTATCACTTTCACCTTCTTCCCTACCGCCAACAACCCGACACCCGTGAATATGAATTGGTCCATACTGGTCTTCGGTGTTGTGGTGATCTTTGCCGTTATCCAATACCTCGTCCACGGTCGCCGGATTTACCAAGCTCCCGTCAGCCAGGTCAGGAAGGACGAGTAAAGGATAATTACGGTTGCACTGTGGGTGATGGATACTTGGCTACGCGGGCCTTTATGAACTTGGATTTCAGTCCGAGTGTTGCATGCGACTTTTGATATGGGCAGGCCCGTCACTGTTGCGGCGTACAATAATACTTTTAATTAGCACTTCTGGATATACACCGTGGCCTTCTGCCCCTTGGAAGAGAATTGATACATAATACTAGGAATCTGAGCTCCAACACCAGCTTCTAGTTGAGGTAATTTGTGGCCAGGTTTAGGAAATCATCCAGTCCTTCCACATAATCAACTCCCAGCGGCGTTATGAGATCCATATTTGGCATCATCCCGGATTCGTCACTCGTCATCTCAGTCCAATGTTCATGCCCGGTCGCTTTCGCTTTCCATGCCGGTCGCGCCCGGAGCATTGGGTGGGCTGAACTGGCCCGATCACGCTGATAAAACGTGCGAATGATCCCTGCAATGTCCATGCCATCTCGCGACACGTCCATGCCCACGTCCACGTCCAGAAGCCGTGACTCTCGCAGCTCTGCGATGTGTCTCCTCTCTCGGTTCCGTTTCTGTTCCGCATCTAACATTGCTGTCAGGAGAGACACTCCTCGCCGAGCAATCATATCCGACTCGCAATGCGTTAGGATCTCAATTACATCTTCTATGAGCTGCCGGTGCTCGGCGGTTTGGCGGTTTGGTCCAGGTTGATGCCACATGTCTAGACACAGGATTATCTTGTTATCGTTAGTTCACGCTATTGATATTAAGACGTGGGGTCATAATTTACGCTTGCAGTGACGCCGAAAGCCTGGTGAATCCACAACGTCGGCCCGCCATCGCGCGTGGCTTCTTTCTGCTCTTTGATAATTGTTCTCGAGGCCGCCACGCAGGTCTTGCGGGTGAACTCAAACATCGGATTGACAAAGCTCAAGCTCAGGAACTTTCGATGGATCATGATCACTTTGTGAGCAGAGCTGATGGCTAAGCTGCGCCTCGCCCAGGGGACGTAGCACGGCCACGCTGGATCCAAAGGTACGTTTTGCAAATAATACGGGAGATGTTGTGTCGCCAAAGTGCGCAGTCGCCGATCATACTTCAGTACTTCTTCGTATTTCGTGTATAGAGTGTTGCATGAAGTGACATCGTCCTGCAGATCGGGCATCAGAGCCGCGATATTATAGAATATACGCGAGTAGCTGGTCACGGTAGGGTGATCTTCTGAAAGGCTGCGAATATCATCGTCGCAGTTTTCTGGTCTTTTGGCGTTGAAACCTAGCCGATGTATCAAATAGCTCTCGGTAAAAGGAATTGAGAACCAGTCCTGAATGCACAGCTGGCACCAGATGCGGCGGCCAATCTCGCGGCCTACTATATCGGTAGGCCGAAGATCGCTTTCTTCCCCAAGTTGGTGCAGCCCAAGACCTTGGGCTATTCGAACAGCCGAGGCGAGAAGCACTGAGAATCCATTGGAGTGTCCCAACATGTGTGCGGATATAGTAAGAGTCGCTATCGCCTCAACAGAGTAAATGGAATGACACGCCATATAGTCAGCCTGATGTAAACATGCAACCGAGGCCTTGAGCCAGCGCTTGGACAAAGAGTCTCGCTCTCGCTCGCGGAATCCCCATGATTGTACCGTTGAAGTAGGCGCACTAGCCATAGATCCTGTAAGAACAGCGAAGAGAAGAGAAACCCATTGCAAATTGACGCAGGATCCATCAATTCGGCCTTCCCCCGTTTCGTAGAAATCGCTTAGCTCCTGCATGAATGTCTTTGCGTGGAATGCTCCATGATACCACAGCAAACACTTGCAGTGATACTTGGCCAATTGGTAGACTTTTTGTTTTGTAGGAAGCAGGGCCTGACAAAAGGATTCTGCTGATATCCCTTGAGTGCGAATATCCTCCCATTTACCATCCACCGGTATATCTCCAGGGGAGTGGTCAATGTTATTTCTTCTTGCGATTTCATCCTGGTAGATGGGATCCTTACGGCGACCCCAGGCCAAGAATTCAAGAATTGTCGCCGCGTCTTCCACTTCATTCGGTGTACTCCCCGGTTCAGTATCTACCGTATGTACTGTGGGTGCCGAAGTATGCAGGGATATCGGAGATGTATTGATTGAAACTGACTCGGCCGGTGAGAATGAATTGCTGTTAAGCTGCGCTTCGGGCCTCGGCATACTCGGACGTGAGACGGCTTCGTTGGCTTCTTTCAACGCAGACTCGAGCTGATTGACTCGCGACTGAAGCCTTTCAATCACACTTGAGGCATCTGCGTTCGACCGAATCATAAAGTTTCGCTCATTGTGCCCTTCCGACTGATCGACGCTGAGGCTCGGGGAAGCCCGCTCGCGCGGTCGAGTGCACGGAGTGCCTTTCCTCGAGCAATTGCGACACGGTAGAATTTTGTCGCACTTGACTTTGCGACGGGTACACTCTACGCAGGCCAGGCGCTTTCGTTGAATTCCGCTGCTCATTTTAGAGATGATGTCGAGTCAAAAAGTGGAGGCATCTCATGGAATGTCTTATCTGCGGAGAAGGCCATCGGAGCTAACGCAATCCAACCTAACGCGATTACGCAGCAATTCAACAGTCCCTGGGGTTGTCTTTGGCAGCTTCGGCTGGCTTGTCTATTTTATTACGCTGTGGCTATTCCATGATCTGATTACCGGGTACATCTGTAGATTTGAAGTTATTTACACATACCGTTTCCATGCTTTACCGTGATCCCCGAGATCCTAAATCTCGTGCATCCGTATCGGGCACCTCGGCCGAGGGCTCGTCCGAGGATTGAGACTGCGCATTGCAGACTAGTAACAGATCGAATTATAACCAACATGTAAGGATCAAATCATGAAGTATTTGCATACTATATACGTAATTTCCATTTTAAGACTTTTTATCCTTGGTTTGGGCCACGGCACCTTCACCGGCGGAGTGTTCTCCGTTCTGCGTCTCGATCTCTCGAAGCTCACTGTCGGCATTTGAATTACTTCCGGCTGCTGCATTATCAGGGTGAATGGTGCTTGGTGCTGGGTTCTCATCCAATGGGGCCAACCCACGATCCTTGACAAATAATGAGCCAAGAAAGCATAGGCCAATCAGCGGCACTTGTACAATGAAAACCAGGTGACTAGCAGACATGTATGCATCTAGAACGGATGCTGGAATAGCGATACCGATATCACGTAAGGAGTATGGAGAATCCGCGAGATCAGAGTACTGCGCCGGAAGTGTCGATCGAAGTCGCGCCTGCAAAACCGCCGCTGATATGGCCAGGCCGCATGCGCCGCCAGCACTGCGGTTGAAGTTGCGATTTGAGATTATAACCGCTCGTCTGGCCTTGGTTGAATGTGCTTGCAATGCTACTAGCATCGGCTGAAATACGCAGCCCACCCCAACTCCGGCAATAAGTAGGATAATGACGAGGACACCCGGATTGGTGTCCCTCATGAACATGAGCATGAGACCTGCGCCGCTGCAAATTTGCTGATTAGTAGTCATCTTCATGAGCAGTGGATTGTAACATACAGGGTCCACATTGCGAAGCCGAAACGAATGACCTGTCCGTAGTTCTTGAAACGGGTGATACAAAGACCAGAGAGTGCGGACATGACGGCCTGAATCCCGGCCAGCGAGGAGAAAATAGCGGCAGACACAATAGCAGAGTACTGGTGCGCATTTTGAAGGTAGAGAGGGATGTAATACACCGTTGATTGGTACACAGCACCAAGCAGGAAACTCTGAAGTAGTAAGATGACGATTGCAGGACTGCGATAGACAGCGACTGTATCCATTGTCAGTTGGAAGATCTTGTGAACCTTGGAATTGACGGACCTGGCATCATGGGGATTTTAGCAAACCTCCACTCTACGAGAACAAATAGTATTAGCGATGCGGTGCCGATGGCAAGCATGCTGATCACCAGTGGGGAGCCCCAGGCAAAATATGCGCCACCTCCGGAGATGGGAATCAGCAGGAATATCGTTCCAAGCGAGGAGGTCAGTACGCCCAAGTAATCGACCTTCTTCATTCCGCCTTTGAATGTTGTGGTCGGGTTCTTAGACGGCAGGAACCAAAATGCGACCAGCGCGTTCAGCACCCCCAGCGGTGCCAGCAGCCAAAACAGCCCTCTCCACGTCGATCGCAAGACAAAGGCGGCTGCTAGAAAGGGACCGGTGACACTTCCCAGTCCGATCATACTCCCGATAATTCCCTGATATTTTCCTCTCTGCTCCAGAGTCACAACGTCCGAAGTAATGATCATGGCAAGATTTGTGATCCCGCCGCTGCCGATTCCCGCGACTCCGCGAAAGACATAGAACATGGCTGCATTCGTACTCAGGCCGCAGACCAGGTCTGCAATCGCAAGTAGCAGAATGGCGGAGATGAAGATGGTTTTGCGGCCGAAGATGTCTGACAGCCGCCCGTAGAGCATTTGAAATGTCGTGTTGGCCAGAAGAGAGGCCGTTCCCGCCCACGAGATGCTGTTCCGGGCATCCAGGTCGGCGGCGATGGTGGGCAAAGCAGTGGAAATGCCATTTTGATCGATGAAGGAGATGAGCTGCGCGAGAGATACAATCCCCAGGCAGAGAATGAGCTGCTTTCGCGGGAGCAGGTTGGACTGATCCTGAAGAGTTTTTTCTCCCTTGGTGAGGGAATCGCGATTGCGAGACATTCTGCGACTTGCACGCCCGACCGGGAGCGTTATCGCATAGATTTGCAAATATCAATCCAGTACGCCAGAGTAGTCCAAGCGAGCGGATTGGAATGTTATGGCACCATCCGGTATCGGGAACAGCTCTAAGATGGTCTGGCGCATTGGGCCGCCTCAATATCCGGAATCGCGGCAAAAAGGCGTTGACCCCTCACTCCTAATTTGTCACCGGTAGGGCCATTTTCGTAATAATTCAGGACTGAAATCCAGGATCGAAGATCCATAGCAAAGTCAAGCGGGACAGAGTCGATACGATAAAGGAGAAAGGTACGCCAAGTGTTGGGGTTGAACGTGAATCCCCCCGCCTTTTTTTTGGCCCGCTTTCGACACAATCGATGCCGACGTGTAGTTCGCTCTGACTTTGAGCTCGGAGCTTCCGTGTCTGCGTTCTGGACAGCGCGAACTTTCTTCACAATTGATTCAGTCAAATTAATCACTATTGGATCAGCTTTACTGCTACTACTGCTACTAGCGACAAGGATGACGTAAAGGCAAGGCCTTGGAATAATCGATCCTTTCCTCGGGCTTTGTTCCTTTTGTCTATTGATCCTGATATCGACTTATTAGAAAAATCTGCGATTTAAATTTGGACCTTTCGAGAAGCCCACGTTCAAGTGACCTATTGACCTGAACTAACTGGGGCTATGCAAGATGTCCCAAACAGTAACGCTTTCCCTGCAGCTGCTCGTGTTCACGGGTCTTGCGACCGAACCTCAAGTTCCAATAGTTGTGATTGACTAGGATAATTTCCTTCCTTTTCCACCATCTCTGACTTTGTCTTCGAAAAAGGCCAACTGTATGAATTTCGACTCAGCCTGATAGGTCACCTGTACCCCAAGCTCGGCCGACCCCTCGGCCGAGGTTGCAGATAAGTAGGGCGGGGTTATGAGTGGTCAGGAATCGGCTATAAGGAACCTCCATCTGTATATTCTCTCCAAGAACTCTATATCTACAGCCAGAGAAGTCGGTCCAGCGCCAAACCGTGCAAACTTCGGCAAATCATCTACACCAGGACAACAAACCGCAACCAAGACAATGTCTCATACGCGATACGTCAATCGCGAGATTCCTCAAATCTCCTTGGCTGACTTTGAGAGCCGCATCGATAACATCACGGCAGAGCTCATCAATGCCGCAGAAAATGTTGGCTTCTTTACGTTGATTGATCACGGTCTCTCCAAACAAGACATCGAGGCCATGTTCCTCACGTCCAAAAGCTTCTTCGATCTACCCGACAACGCCAAAGCGATCGTTCCATGGAACTCGAACAACGTGGGGTGGGAAAAGAACTCACAGATCCGTCCATCTACTGGGAAGCCCGACAGCAAGGAATCTTACCAACTGCAGTTCGGTGAGAACATGAAGGGCCTCTGGGTTGGGGACGACCACCTCCCGGGGTTTCAGGCTAGCTGCCTGGGTTTCATGCAGCAAGTGCAGACGATCTCGGAATGTCTAATGCGGTGCTTTGCGCGCGGCCTGGGGTTCCCAGATGACTTCTTCATCAAATGCCATGATGTTTCACGACCGGACTCGCAAACCACGATGCGGCTACTTCACTATTTTGCGCTGCCGGAGGAAGCCGATGGCAACGTGTATCATCGCGCAGGGGCACATGCGGATTGGGACTTTCTGACTCTACTTTTTCAGAAAGAAGGGCAGAGCGGGCTGGAGATTTGCCCAGGTCGCGAGGTGGTCACCGAGTTTGGGATTGGGGACAAATGGACCAAGGTGGAGGCGAAGACGGGGGAGATCGTTTGCAATATTGGAGACTTACTCATGTCGTGGTCGGATGACCGGTTCAAGTCCACTTTCCATCGTGTGAAGGCGCCGTGTGAGCATGGGGATTATTTTGGGGACCGGTATAGCATTGCGTACTTCAATCAGCCCTGCAAGGATTCCTTGATCCAGGGCCCGTTGAAGAAATACCCAATGGTCACCGGGGCTCAATTTACCGAGAATGCAATGAAGAGGAACTTTGCTGCATTGCAGGAGAAGTTGAAGACGGTCGCGGCGGCATGATATGGGAGTTTGTTCGCGTGAGGGTCATTTGGGCACTAGTTGTTAGGGCTGCTTCATTTCGGAAGCTGGTCGCACCGGGCGAAAAGGCTTGAAATTCCTCCGGAAATAAGCGTTCTTCTTTTTTGTTTTTGGGACCTGAAAAGTCTCGTCAAGCGGGAATGAAGATGAATGAATATGAATACTCTTATAGATTGCCAATGTCCCACCAAGTGGAAAAGCCATCGCCTGTATTGCCCATGGCAGATTCCGACTCGGCATAGCCAATGCTATCCATATCAACAAATTGTGAAGGATCAGTCCATAACCAAGGCGTGTTGGCCATGAGACTGTCTGCAGGTGCCACTAGCTTGTCTCCCATAGCCGGATTGGAGTTAGCTGGTGAGACCGGCATTGAAGACAAGTGCGGTAGGTTTGGTGGCACATGGGCGGCCGAGCCCCCATCGGCCGTGTTGACATTGATCTCTGGGGACATCGCAACGATGATCTCGAGAGTAGAAGTGGAGCTCTCCATCTCCTCTGGAAACACTGCAGGGGTAAGCGAAGGGTGTAATAAGCCAGAGGCGGAGGCGTCTTGTGAGTCTGGTGTACAGTTGATTTGAAGGAGATCCCACATCAGGGGGATGCTTAGATGGATTTTGGACGGTTCCCAGTCAAAGTCCACTTTCTCCGACCCAGATGCAATGCGCGTCATCTTATCCAGGGTTTGATCCTAGGGTTGTCAGTTGGCCCCTCTCTCGAACGATGGGATAACGTACCAGCGAGTCACATGCAGGGGAAAAGGAGACAAAACTCTTCAAAAACCGTCTGCATTTTGCAAAATCCGTTTTTGATTTGAACTTTAACCTTGGATCAGCGGCGCAACAGTAGTAGAGGTGTACGGTCGCTGCGATGGCTGCCGCGTGTCCAAAGAATGGGTCGATGAGTCGCATCTTCTTTTCGGCGACCATGTCGATCATGCGAACGACCCAGGTAGCATGAAGAAGAACGAGCTCTGAAGATCGCCTCCAGAAGGTATTGGGAATTGTCAAGTTGTGATTGTACTGAGACGCCACAATATAGAGGAAGGGATGGTTCATCACGGTCAATATGGAATGATAGGTAAACTGCAGTTTGAGCCAGGGAGCCCAGTATTCCCTGTTTATTCTCAGTTCATCTGCTCGGCGCTCGTAGAACTTGACGGAATCGTATCGATGACACATGGAGAGTTTGTTCTCGATTTCTGTGAGATCGGAGAGCACCATTGCATACATCGAATCGTGTCGCCAGGGCTCCTTGAGCCTGCTCTGAGCACAGTCAAAGACGTATGATCTGACCCGACTCCAGACCCATCCGAAGTGCAGTGCCAAACTCCAGATCCCGATGTCCGCTGAAGTGGAACAACCAATTTCATCAGTCGGGAGCGGTGGAGGCTTTGGCTCGGAATTCTTCCGAAGGACTTGCTCGTCACCGCTGGCCGTATAAAATTGACGCAAAACATCTGCTGGAACGCTAAGAAAGCCGTGTATTTGACCGTAGCATTGTTCAAGTGACTGTAGACTCCAAAAAAGCCTCTTCTTTCGCTCGACCGATGGGCATTCGATGCCGTATGTGGAATTAAGGTCTAGCATTGCAGAGCGACAAAGTTGAAGAGCAAGACCAAGATGAAACCTGCCGAGGGGTACATTTCCGTCTATTTTTTCGTTAGTGTTTGCTTGCTTTCGCCATGGATGAACCGACTTCCTTCATACCTAGGAAAGAGGAGTATGCAAGCAGACAGAGACTTTCAATAGTCTCAAGCTCAACAGTCCCATTCGCAATGCGAAGCATGACCAGTGTCCGAGCAGTGTCACCATAATGTAACATCTCATCACGTTCTTGTGAGAAGCGCGACGTGAGTGTAAGGATACTGCATACCAGTTCCTCCGATATATAGCTCGGGTCTTTGACTTCCTCGCGATCGAAACACCATACAGGCTGTCTATGACAGTATTGGAAGTAGAGATCTATTGCCTGGGTGATCCGTGAAGATGGGCGAACTTTTGAGTCGTCAAAGCTCATCCCGAGCAGAAAGGACTCGTTGAGGTTACCACCCATGTCGGCGGATGATGGACAAGAGGCCGCCGAATAGGTAGTGTCGGGGACATCTTTAGCGCTGCTGTAAGATTGTGCCTCTGGTGGGACATTTCTGAAGAACGAAACAGTCAATTACGGGGAAGAGCAGAGGGGCGGGCTCCACGGCGGGCTTCTTACCTGTTGCCATTTAGGATGAGATTCACTTTCTCTTCCAAGTAGGCCAACCTATCAGCCTATCCAGTAAGTCAGACTTGTGTTACCCCCAAAATTCGGTTCCATTGTCTTACCGATGGGCCACTGCGAGAGCCTCTTGGCACCGACGTGTATAGGCATGGCTGGTTCAGGCGAACACAACTGGAACAGGCTGGCTTCTCAGCCGGACACCGAGTTTTCTTTCTCCTAGAAGAGGTGAGATGGAAGAATAAACAGGCAGACTGGAAATGGATTCACCTGCAATTGAGGCAGGCTTCGTGCGAGCGCAATCTTCCACGATTGCTGTCGCGCGGCATATTATGACGCGTTGAGGCCAAGGGCGGGGAAGGTCTCTCAGAACAAGACTATGCGGAATTAGAGAGCGCTCGAGATCCCCAGATGATTGTTGTGACGGATCCAGTGACCAAAGAAAGTAATGACCATAGCAGAGGGGTGGATGAACAAAAGACGAGGGACGGAGTTTGGGACGATGAGGGGGCCCGTGAAGAAGTCGAGCGGGGAAGCGTCATCGGGCAAACCAGTGGGCGTCACCCACGGAGATGAAAAAGGCTAGGCAAGCTAAGAAACTAGCTGTATTCTAGATCGTGCAGGGGGCCACTAGCTGCATCATAATTATGCCGCGTCAGAAATGGGCATTTTGCCGGTCCGTGTGTCCACACCAGACGATGTAACTTTAAACTCTTCTAAAAAGGGCAAAACTACCCAGACTCAACCATAGAACACTCTTCCGAACCATGCCCCCAAAATATCCCGGTCGCCGATCCATAATAAGGATTGCCTTATCGTCGTATGATCGCGTAGCCCCTACTAGACGTGCGATCAAATAGGCGCAGCGGCCGTTTAAACTTTAATATGACCATTCGACTGCCGCGTACTCGGCGGGTTTAACTCTGGCGGGGCCAAACGTTTCCTAGCTCTTATCGGTACATTGAAAACCTATAACACGAACATCCTAGGATGACCTGAAAATAGATAGACTCTCCAGGTCTCGTAGTGGCGAGTGGCTTGAATCCCAAACTCCGCTCTGAACCTTCATGCCCAAACTCACGGACAAAAGAAACATGAGGTCACATGGACACAAGCCACCTGCAAGGAATGTAACTTTTGAAGGTCCACGAGACACATTATTGACGCCGGTCGCTGCAACAGTCGCGGGGATGTCGATGGAACCGTGGACTAGAGCGGCCGGATAGTTTCACGACATGGGCCGACTGGAGCCACGTATAGATCTGTGAAGTATCTTACCAGAGAATAAGGCAGTGTGGGAAACTGCGGATTATAGTATGACAAGCGCGAAGCCATTTGCGTGGGGCTTGACCACGTAGATCCTTGCCAGACCCTGTTACTGGAGGACTGCGCAGACCCACAGAGACTTTTGCACTATCATTCCTCGAATTTGAGGTCAACTCCGAGAGTGCACTGTTCGGAAACGATTCAAGACGATCGATTTCTTTGATGATAATGTATGCTAGGGATCTGTGAAGGATTGAGGGATGATGCGTGGGGCTAAGTGGCGATCCTTAAATTGCTTATCCCGTACGTCTTATCTTTCATTATCTTTCACCTCAACCTGACACCTATTTTCACTTGATAGGCAAGTCCAATTTCAAGCGACTAAGTTCGGTAAAGAGTTGCTGGCATTATTCGTTATATGCAGGAAAGAAATCTCTAAATACAAAAAGATCTTGAGGCTTGAACGCGACCACGGAGAGTAAATGTAGATGCAGAGATTAGCAGACCATAGTCTCATTGGCAGACGTTCCATCGTTGGCGGCCGCTCCACAGGCCCCTCCGCCACAGCAACCACCGGGCTGGGAAGAGCAGTCACTGCCCTTGTTGGCTCGGCTTTGGGCTTCGAGCTTGGTACAGAAGTCAATGTCTTCCTGTGTTGTCAAGGCACCTTCTGGAACGGGCTGGCGAGAAGGCCAAACCTCTTTTCCGGCCGCTTCCTCGCGAGCGTGGTAACCCGTCAAAATATCCCGTATCACGGATTGGAAGTAGAGCGCACCCTCCTCCGTGCTCGAGGGCAGCTTGTTGCTGCCCAGGTTCTTCTGAGCCTCGGCGCAGAGGTCCTTGTCCTCGGACATGATGCGTTTGTAGACCTGGTTGATCAACTCAAAGTCCGCGTCGCTGGAATGCTTGTTGCGGTAGACCTCGTAGCGCATGACGCATTTGGTGGGCGAGGTAGGCACAAATCGCTGCATGAAGAAGAAGTGTGGAGAGACGGTCATTGAGGCATTGGGGAAGTAGTAGGTGCTGGAAATCTTGAGGCCGTTGGCGACCTGCTCTGGTGTGGCGTTCGCATAGTCGGTAGAATCCTTGGAATCGAAAGCACCGATATCAGCCAAAGACGAAACATCAGTGTTACCCCTCTGATGGTAGTTCTCGGTGTAGCTGTCGGCCAATATCTTCCAGTTGAAGTCTCCCTCCGTCTCCCAGGTGTGGTCGAACTGGTAGTCCTCCGAGTTGAAATCCTGGAAACGGGACTGCAGATCAATTCCCTTAAAGTCATCCTCCCACGAAATCTCAGGCTTGGGCGCACTGTCCAAATTTACCCAGATAAAGCCATTTGCGTCAATGTGAACGTGGATGGGGAGCAGCCCGTTCTTGCTCTTGTCGAAGTCCTCAAGGTCTTGGTATCCAGGTGCCTTGGCAAGCTTGCCGTTCAAACCGTAGGACCAGCCGTGATACTTGCAAGAGAAGATTCTTGAGGTGCCTTTGTCGTCGGTCACAACGGGGAAGGCACGATGGCGACAGACGTTGTGGAATGCATTGATGTTGCCTTCGCGGTCGCGAACCAGGATGAAGCCGTAGCCGGCTATATCGTAGCGGAGGTAGTCGCCAGTGTTGGGGAGGCGTAACTTGTGGGCGGTCAAAAGCCACTTGCGGGAGAAGATAGCACGGCGCTCGAGTTCGAACATTTCCTGAGATGTGTACCATGAGGCTGGAATAGCCTGCAATGGGGAGTCGTCATTCTTGGACGATTCGAGGCCTGCGACTTCACCAAAGCCCAGATAGCTATTCAGCATTGCTGACATGTTGGCTAGTGATCTTGTGTGAGAATTAATTGTAATCCGTCTTGTCGAGTGAATGATAGCTCGGAGCGGACGGACGACGTGATATATAGTTTCTATCTCCCACAATGTCATCATGATCGCATTCCGAGCGCTCAGTGGGGTATGGCATATCAAGACAAAGGCCGATCACAGGATCGGAAGAGCGCTGTAGTTCGGGCGCAAGCGGCTCCCAATCATTGAAGGGGGATTGGGAGCGGGGGTGATCCGGGACCTTGACTCTCGGCTCTCGTTGCCGCCACTCCGGTCTTATCGGCCCCCCAATACCGTGCTATTCTTGGTCTTATCGGGCCTCGTGAAACAAAGAGTAAACAGCTTCACATCTCAGAATAGGTAAGCTTGTGATGGAAATTCTTCTATTAGTGGCTCAGCCATAATTTCTGCAGCTGGTCTTTCCTCGTTTATTCTCCCCACATCCCGATCTTCGTTTCAGCTGCTGTATTTAACCTGGTTCGGGGGTACATTCCCGGGAATCTAGTATGTAATAATAAAACTTAACACCAGCTATCTTAAGCGACAATTCCCTAACCGTACAAAACAAACTCAAGAGTCCACATGCGGCTTGGACATCTCTTCGAATATTTCCAATGCCGACATCTATGAACTCTTCTGGGCAACAATGAAGTGGGCCTCCAACGTAAGCCTAGGAGTCAACGCATTCCCCTGACGTTATCAATCTGGTCGGTATTGCACTTTACGTTTGAGCCATTCCTATGTCTCTCTCTACCTCCGCCGGCCTGCTAATACCGTCCGTACGGTCATCCAGTATATTCAATGCTTTTGGACCATATTGAAACTCGGGGCACGGAAGCCCGCTGGCGACTTACAAGGCCTGAAAGAACAGTTGTCAAGAAGCAAGCTTGGAAGTATCACCGTTCTCGACCGCGGAAGATTCCTATTCGGGATAGTTCACATGACTCACCCGTATGAAGGTTATGCAAGCTCTGATTCCGATCACATGAGCATACCCTGGATCTGCGGAACCGAGTACTACACCAACCATCTGCCCGTACAGATCTACGTTGTCGCCATCACTTCCAGCTTTGTCATTATTCTTGCATGCCTCGAGCTAGTATGCAGGCCCACCCCTGTGGGGGGAATATGTATTACATTTCCCTGAGCTAGCTTTTATTCTTGCAACGCTCATTCATGTCTATAGTTCGTCAAGTCTAAATGCCGTCTTTGATCAGCAGATGTACTTCCCGCCGAAATGGCTGCCGACCATCAATGGGATTAAGATGTCTGGTCTACTGTTTCGGTGTTCATTTACGATTGATATCTACCTAGCTGAAGCTATCTGCATAGATCCCACAGCGCGTATATCTCAGTGTCGGCGTTGGATACCGGTCGCCGGCGGAGACGGGCTGTGGCTGCCGGGTGACAGATAGTCCAGAACGAAGCGAAAGAAAGGGGACGCATTCCCGGATCGGGAATCGGAGTCCACTGGACCCGAATCCTTATCCCAGCGAGTTCTTGCTATCGTCGACATCCACGTGGATAGGACTCCGTAAGCCACCTTACTTTGGGTACGTCGAGTAGATGCGGTAGTAAGCTCTTTTCTTTTCTTCTGCAGGGGTTCTTCCTTCTTTTAGTATATTTTCGCATCACCGGGCATTATCTCTATCTCTCAGACAAGGTCTGTAGTTCCGTACCCCGCACAAGGCGCGGTGGAGTCGAGACCCACGATGACCCGCGCGGGCGAAAGTTGCCCGATCTCGCAACTGCGCGCGGAGTTTCTCCGTTTTCCTTGATGATTCAGCTTCATCTATCGAGCTTCGTCATCGACACTTTCAAATGTCTGGTCGCGGCGTGTTCATACGCAAGTGAAATGAACTCCTCGAATGACAATTACACGATTCACAAGGTTTCTCTCAAGCGCACCCGTCAAGCATGTGCTCCCTGTCGGTAGGTGCAACTTCCATTCTCGGGGAGATACTCGGCCGAGGGCAAAAGAATCTGGCTGACCGTAAGCTTCACATAGGCGCAAGAAAGCGCGCTGCCCCGGTGAGAAGCCAGCGTGCTCGCTATGCCAGCGATTAGGACAGCGCTGCACCTATGGGCCACAGGCCTCGGCGAACCGAGCGCGAAATAACCGGACACCCTCAACTCCGAGTCAAGATATTAGTTCCGAACCCGTCAAAGAGGTGCGCATCGCAAACCGGGCCCAATGGCATATCGCATGGACATTTCCTGACTCATTGAGCCTTCAGACAAGCAATTCCGACGCTCCGAGCACGCGACGACTCCAGCAGATTGAACAACGACTGGATGAGATCTCGGGCCTCCTCCGGTAAGCATCAAAATGCCTTCCGATGGCCAAACTCAGCTATTGACCGAACTCCTTGCTTCAGAGATCATCTTCCCCGGACAAATGTGTTGACGGAGGCATTACGTGAATATTTGCCGGAAGGCACCGATTCCATCCAGCAAGAACACGATGCCGTCTCCACCCCAGTCGATCCTCCGATCGAAGCCCAAGATCCTTCTTTATGGTGCGTCAAGTTGTCCTACTACCTCTGCGCTACATAACCCCAACTAACGTCTACAAGCTCCGTACTACCATCCTCTTTCATCCAAGCCGAAGTCGAAGTCTACTTAACGTACTTCCACGATCAACCATACTGCGTGTTCGACAAAGATTGGCTACTGAGAAACGCATCCTCCCTGCCTTCGGATATCGCGTTTCCATTGGTGGCTCTCACTCATCGCCTTTCAGTCTGTTCACCCGGATTGGCAGGTCGTGGTATGTCTACGGGCAAGCTCTGCGCGGAGCGGGCTTGGAATATATTGTCATCTCGTTACCAAGACGGAAAAACAGGGCTTTCCTTTCTCCAGGGTACCTTCCTCAATGCTCAGCTGGATTTTGCAGATGGAAATGCACACCGAGGATGCGCATCTGTCGCCATTGGCTTGCGAGTCATCCAATTCTTTGGGCTTAACCAGGGGAGAAACCTTTCGGGAATGAACAGATGTGAAGCGGAAGCAAGGCGGCGGATAACATGGGCATTCTTCATGCTCGATCGGACCTACAATGCGTCGCGAAATTATTCATTGTGTCTTGCGGATAACCACTTCACTCTCCTCTTTCCGTCTTCGGCCACGGGAAACTCGACAGTCCGAGGATCTTTGCACGAGAAGTCAACCAAACAAGGGCACAAGGTCGATCAAGGAATCATGGCTTGCCTCGTTCAGCTTTACGCTTTATGGGGCAAGGCAACGGAATGGGTGTTTGAGCCATTGATGACGAGCTTCCTACCTCCCTGGCAAACCGGATCTGCCCTTTCCATTCTGGAGTCCGAGTGGATGCAGTTTGAGACGCAGTTCGCAGACACACATCGCTACATGAACGTTGATTTCAAGCGACGTGCGCGCGAAGAACCCCAGTCCCATCCTTACCTCTCCACCTGGCTATGTGTTCAATTCCTTTTCCATTCTATCCAGTGTCTTTTGCATCACCCTTTCGTCACAATGATCAAACTCCGTCACATGAGCGGAAACCTCTCAGCAACCTTTCTACAAAAGTCGTTCGAGACGTCTTTGCTTCATTCTAGGTGGATTGCTAGGTTCATCAAGGAAATGGCAGAGGTCGATATGCGGCTATGTGACCCGTTCTTCGGGTACCTGGCGGCAATCGCTGCAACGATTCAGCTCGAGCACACTGGTAATAAAAACCCGAAAATCGCTCTGCTCGTGAATAACGAATATCGCACACTCGTGGGATTTATGAATGAGGTCTCTTCTCAATGGGAAAGTATGGAAGTATTGGTAAGCATCGGCGCCCTGCACGAACGAGAGGACACTACTGACGCTTCTGGTTTCAGGTTCATCGGGTAAACAAACTAGCTGCCCGGCATCAAAATTACGGATCGCTGTTCTATAATCAGGACGGCTTCTCCGGAGCTTTGTCGAGCATGGTAACCCCTTCAAATTTACCAAGAATGTCCAGCGAGGATGAGGCCTTGATGTGGGACATTCTTGATCTCACCTCTTCATCCCGTTTTCCTTCAGCAGCAGATATGACAGGCTCGGCTACTCAGCATGAAGAAATCACACCAAATGAGAAAAGTTCACCGGAGCAGGAACTGGATGTAGACCCCCATGGAGCAGGTCACGGTCAAGAACCAGACACTTCGAACTTTCTTGCTCATGGAGAACCTCTTCTTGGAGGGGCATCACACCCGGTTGATGAGCCGGTATCAGATTGGCCATTCTCACAACGTGTCGGGAATAACCCTTTGACCGCTGTTCCTGATATTCCTGATTGGATGGTCTTTGGAGACTTTACAGAACATCTCTGAGGCTCTGGAGCTTATATCCATTTACGACGTACCACGACAACATCAGAAATTCTTGCGGCGACTTGGGTGTCCGTTATTGAACTGAGTTGGGCAATCTTCTATACATGAATGGACTCGAATAATCGAGAGAAAGGATTTGCAATGGAAATCCCGGTATCGTGTTATGTGCAGAGATATGCAGAGGAGAGACATCGGCGGACTGTTTCTTAGATTTTGGCCTGCCGAGCAGATGCTGTCAAAGCGGCATCAAATGTAGCTCGTTCGCCGCCGGTCATTTCACGACGCTGGGGTCCACCGCGGCTCCCATCTCCGGCAAAGGCGTCGCTCTGGAAGCGCTCGCGGAATTGAGTCGGGAACTTCCATTTGTTGAGCAGCTTGTCGGAGAGCGTCCGCTGGAAGCTTCCGACGATATACTTGCCCATCACGGGCAGGAACTTGAATGCACTAGAAGCGCGTTGTTAGCTATGATATTTGGCAAGGGATATGGTCCCACTTACTGCCCACTGCCACCGGTGGCGATGAACAGGTTCTTGTGTTCGGGGTGGTAATCCAGTATGAAGTCACCGGTGGGAGTATCGTTGTACCAACAGATGCCGACACGTTCGAAGCCTCGGTTGGCAAGTTGGGGGAATATGCTCTTCAGTCCGGACGTGAGTCTGGTCACGCCATCGTCGGGAATGAAGTTGGCACGCGATGCAGGCGGCTTGCTGGGTGGAGCGGAGATGTTCATCTCGTTGGAGTTGGTGTAGCCGAAGCCGTGGCAGGCAACCTTCAAGTAGCCAGTGCCCTCGTGAGGAGGGAAGCAGAAGAAACCGGTAGAGAAGTTGAAGTAAATGGGAATGTCTCTCAGGTCGGCAACTTCCTCGGAAGTCAACTTCATGTAGCCGACAATCTGACCGGCCGCAAGCATCGAGTTCCACGCAGGGATCAAGCTGGCAGTCCAAGCACCGGTAGCAACAACAAATCTGTCACCACAGACCTTGCCGCCGCCTGCGGTCTTAACGGAGGCGATGGATCCATCCTGGGCCTTTTCAAAATCCACGACTTGGCCGTTGGGGCCAGTGATGAATGATACTCCGGCGTGCACACAACGAGATGCCAGACGGGCGATGGCCTTACCGGCGTCGGCCCAACCGGCAGAGGTGTTGTAGAATCCATCGAATCCGGGGGTAGCGAGCTCTCCGGTCAACTTGGGGAACCTCTGCTTGGCCTCCGCAACGCTTTTAACGGCGTGCCATTCCTGGCCCATTTCGGTCAAGACGCGCTTGGTCTTTGCACTGTATTCCTGTGCGCGAGGCTGGACCGGCTGCTCCGGAGTGCCTTCCTGACATACCCAGAAACAGGGAGCGGGATAGAATGCATCGGAGTAGTCCTCAGTCTTCCACAGGTCGTACGCCTCCTTGGCAATGTCGGCGTAGACGGGATCACCATAGTCGAATCGAATCACACGAGAAATGTCGTTACTTGAACCATCGGAAACAGGAGGCATAGAACGATCGAGGACCGTGACTGCGTTGTGGCCCTCTTCCTTCAGTCTCAAAGCAGCCGAAAGACCGAAAACACCGGCTCCAATGATAACAATGCGCTCGTTCTTGTCCATTGTGAAGTAAATACAGTAAGAGATGTCCGTGATAATGGAAAATCAGCGGAGATTCCCTTCTACAGTCATTAGCACGGCTTTTCTTTCACCACGGTCCGTACGCCTGTAGATACGCGATAGCGACGGGCCGTGAAAGTCGATCGCTTGCCACGGACGGGCCGTGAGCCGGGCCGCCTCTATTCTCTCGTAGCCCCTCGTGGCGACGGAGATTGACACACTAAGTTACATTGGTTCAAATATTTTACATAAAGTAATTATCCAATTCGACTAACTGGCCTGGATGACACCATAGAGTGACTAGGTGGGGAGCGCCGGTTGCCCCTCATATGCCTCCACCTTATTGCTTCCTTCGTACGGAAGAATCAAATTCATAATGACTCCGACAACGGCGGCAATAATAAAAGGTGTCTCTACTACCAAATTGATACCCTGCTCAAAGCCTTGCAGTCGCACATTGGAGCCGCTGTAGGCCAAGATCTGGGCAAACCATTCGGGAGATACGATGTCAATAAAGCCAATGCCCAATGCGGTTGTCAGAATGAAGCGGTTGCGTCTCGTGAACTCAACCAGGCTGAGAACTTTGATCCCTGCGACGACGATTGTGCTGTAAAGGAAAACTTGCATTCCTCCGAGCACGGACGGGGGCATGGAGCCGAAGACTGCCCCGAACTTCCCGAAGATTCCCATGAGAATCAAAAATCCCGAAGCGCACCATCCTGCTCTCCGGCTCTGCGTTCGACTCTAGATCAGCATCGATGAATATTTGAGAGGATGGGAAATCTTACAGCGCATCCGGTGAGAGAGATTACGCCGTTGTTTGCGGCCTGGCTCACCATGGGCATACCCGTACCCAAAGCACTGATCAGACTCCCAATGCCATCGCACAGGATACCACCTTGGATCCGACTATTGAATTCGATTCCATCAATTTCCAAGCCCGAGACTTCGGCCGTAGCCAGAATATCTGGCATACAGCTCACTGCCTCGCAGATGAAGAGGATGAGAAGCGGCAGAGCCAGGGCTCCGTCCACCGATAGTTTGAATGTTTCGACCCAGAGAAAGGTTGCAACCGGGGCTGCATCGATATTATCACGCGACCAATATCCTGTTGCCCCGGATATCGCGCATCCAACTGCCAGCCCAAAGACCACGGATGCGGAACGCATGAGGGGTGATCCGAAAAGCTCGACGATGATGATTGTCACAAACACGCTGAATCCAAGACCGATGAGCTTCGGGTTTCCCCTGATTGAAATCGTCAGTGCTGACTTTGAAGATACGGGATTCCACCTATTCGCTTACCAGGGTAGTGGCTTTGGGGCTGCAGTATCGGGGCAGAGAGCATAAAAACCCGCGCCGCCGTTGCAGTTCGAACTACCTCCCCAATTCTCCATTCCACTGGAGATCAAGTATACCCCGACGAGCAGAAGAAGTGTGCCAGTCACAATCTTCGGGAAGATTCTGTTCAGGGTCCTTGGTGGTACAAAAGATAGCAAGATCTGAATCCAAACGGTGCAAAGTATCGTACCTAGCATGGCACCCCACGCGTCCGGACACGGCAATTTGGATCCATCAGAAGATGTAGGACAAGATCCGTTCGCATATCGCATGTCCGCATAGCTAAATGCAATTGCCAGAATGTCAAAGGTTGGCCCAACCACAGACAGAAGCCCAGTACCGATAAAGAAGGGCGTCTTTGCCAGGTGGACTCGGGTCACCTGCAAAGCTGTTGCAATTCCCGTGGTGATGAATGCCGCCGATACAAGGTACTGGCTTTGCTCCGCTGAGAGATTGAATGCGCCGCTTGCAACCGCCAGTGGTGGTGACACTACGGATCCGATCATAGTCAAGGCGTGTTGCAGGCCCAGGATGATCGTTAGGAAAATTGGCACTTCATCATTCAACCCATAGAATGGTGCCTCATAATTCTTGTACGCCTTGTTCAAGGGCCAGATGTTCGGTGTCACAAGGTACCGATAGTCCTGTGCATAACCATATCAGTGTTTGCGATGGCAGGTGATGCAGGCCTCCTACATAGTCTCCGATCCATCCCTCTCTCGTTGTAAAGTACCGACGAAGGTATTGCCATCGGGTTTCGGCGATGGGCGCGACTTGAATGATGTGAGATCTTCTGTCGCTTGAATCAAAAGAAGCAGTGACCGGCAGATGTGCGTTCGCTTTCTCCGGCGATCTCCGTTGATCATCCATGGTCATTCGTGATGTCTAGGACGGGCTGGTCTCGAGCGTGTGCAGACTTGCTAGCATATCGCGCAAAATGCCCTCGATATCGGTTTTCCATGGCCTCCGATATATACCTGGCCGTGAAGCCTGACGCGACAATCATGATAACAGTATCTGCTGCTTCATATTGCAGGTGTATCTTGTAGGATCCCCGTATCCACCGTATCAGGCCGTGTGGAGATAAGACCGAGATGGCTTGGCCTCGGCCGAGGTCTTGGGAACTCCGCATGGACCTTTCTTTGGCGTCGGGGGTTAAATACGATGTCGCTTAGAATATTAATTCAGATATTCGTATCGACGAAGCTGTTTAACTTTTAAAAATCCGAAGTCATCCATGGCGGACGCTGTACATCTCCTACAATGCAAGCTTTTCTATGGCGCCACGATCATCACTGTCAACCAACGGCGGGAGATCGTTCGTGACGGATATATCCGCGTTGACGGCGACCGAATTACCGCCGTTGGAAAGTGCCCATACCCCGGAGTCTTACCCAATGGCACCAGAGAGATCGACTGCCGAGGCAAGATCATCATTCCTGGGTTAATCAACACACATGCCCATCTGGTTCAATCTTTGCTTCGGGGACTGGCGGAAGATCTACCGCTGCACAATTGGCTCTGCGATGCAATATGGCCACTCGAGGCCGTCTTCCAAGGCGCGGATGGATTTCATGCAGCCCGTCTGACCATGGCCGAGATGCTAAAGACGGGCACAACGTGCTTTCTCGACCCAATGTTGACATACCGAGCCGGTTTTGACCAAGTCTGTGCTGCAGCAGGTGAGATGGGAATCAGAGGCTGTCTTGTACGTTCATGCCCTATCCAGCGCAATAGCCTTGCTAATATTCTGTCTTGATGGAACAGGGGAAGCTCGTCAAATTTACCGAAACGAATCGTCAACTGTCGATAACGGACCCGAGAGACCAAGACTTGCTTGCCATGTCAATACCAGAACTCTTGAATGCGCACCAGAAACATCACAGCAGCCACGACGGCAAGATTCACGTCTGGGCTGCGGCAGGGACACCCCGAGGCACATCGATCTCCCATTATCTTGAGCTGGGCGAGACCTGTTCCAGCCATGGGATATCGGTAACAATGCACTGTGCGGAGGCTCCTCAAGATCGCGTCATCTATCACGATACATACAACTGCAGTGCGATGGAGTTTATCCGGAATGCGAAGCTCTGCCCCCAGCCTAGGAGTACAATGGACCATGGCAACTTGTCCCATCGATTAGTGCTGGCGCATATGGTGAACCTTGACAATGAGATAGATATTCCTCTGCTTGCGCAAACTCAGACTTCGGTAGCACATAACCCAACTTCCAACTTGAAGCTGGCGTCGGGTGTTGCTCCGGTTCCATCCATGCTTTCCAATCCATCGCCGGTCAACGTATCCCTGGGAACCGACGGAGCGCCTTGCAGTAACCACTACGACATGTTTCAAGAGATGCACCTGGCTGGTATTCTTCACAAAGGCGTGAATCTTGACGCAACCCTGATTCAAGCGGAGGTGGCATTGGAAATGGCCACTATTAACGGTGCACAGGCGTTGGGGTTGGAAGACGAAGTTGGAAGTATCGAAGTGGGCAAAAAGGGAGATTTGGTTGTGATAGATCCGTACGGACGGGGTGGACTTGGGGCTGCACCTTGGAGCGCCGAATTCTCCAGCCATGCAGTAAGCCCGGTCACCACAGTTGTTCACGGATGCACCGGTCGCGATGTAGAGATGACGGTGATCAATGGAGATATCCTAGTGGAAGATGGAAAATTGGCGATCGGGGGAAGGGAAAAAGAAATGGAGATCGTTCGCATGGCTCAGACCTCTGTCAAGGGTCTGCTGGATCGGTGTAATCGTGGCCGCGAGGATGATGCCAAAGTGGGAGTAAAGCTCAAGCAGCCGTGGACGTACGTTTGAGTGGCAGAATTGATTTAATTTCATTTGGTTACATCTCTTTGTGAGATGCGGGTGGTTTTGATCAAAGGATGTGATTGTTCTCTGCAACAATATCAAGACCACAATGACATGAATCAGGTCTTGGCCCTCGTCCATTTCGCATTTCCATTGGGATTCGTCTTGTCACTTATAAAACCAGTTTTGTGTGTTTCCATTTCCAACAGACCACCTTTGAACTGATTCCAAGATATGGAGCGAGTGGTGATCGTCGGAGCAGGTCGGTGGTCCCCATCAAAATGCACAGCATACCCTAATTCCACCAGGGCTTTACGGCTTGATCGCCGCCAAAACTTACCTGCATGTCTCCGGTGCTTATGATCGAGAGCAAGACTTGCTCGACGAGACCGAAGCTGCAGACGCAATCCCCGATTGCTTCAACAAGCCAAGAAGTCCCGCAACGGGTGACGCGGGAGGCGTGTTGGTACTCGATTCTGCATCGGATATCGGGGGCACCTGGGCAGAAGAAAGGCTCTACCCGAATCTTCTGAGTCAGAATTCATACGGATTATATGAGTTCAGCGATCTTCCGCTCGCGGACGTGGTCGAAAAGACCGGCGTTGGACAACAGTTTATCGCTGGTTGGAAAATCAACCGATACCTGCACGCGTGGGTCTCTAAATGGAGGCTCAGAAAGCACATTCGGTTAAATTGGAGAGTTCGTGTTGATTCTTTTCGCGGTCCTTCAGTATTTAATAGGTTGCAGGTCGACAGCATTCAGCGCCTTGCCAGCAAGGAGTGGAAACTCAACATCCGTCTAACCGCCACGAACAGCACATTCAGTCTCATCTGCGACAAATTGATCCTGGCAACGGGATTGACCTCCGTTCCAAATTTACCAGATATCGAAACGCCCGAGAAGGTCTCAATCCCTGCGCCCATCCTTCACGCCAAGGACATCGGGATCTGGGCTCGTGCACATCTGGGATACCGGCCGATGCCTGGGCATGAGACAAAGATCGATAGTACACCTAAGGCCGCGAGTCCGAAATTACGCTCTGTTGCGGTCTACGGAGGCGCGAAGTCCTCCTTTGATCTGGTGCATTTCTTCGCCACGCTTCATCGGAAAGACCCTTCACTGCATCTGACGCTCGCCCCAGAGGACCCGGTTCAAGTGCACTGGATCATCCGAAAAAAAGGAAACGGGCCTTCATGGATGGCCCCTCCAACTTCCGCTCTCCCAAACGGTGAGGTCGTGGCAAGTGATAAGGCTGCAAGTACCAGATTCCTCCACCATCTGACCCCGTGCAGCTCCGAAACACCCGGAAGGCTTTCTTTCGAAAACGGCTCTCTCAAGATTGAAGGTTCATGGCTGGCACGCCTTTTTCATGGAAATCCTCTCGGTCGCTGGTGGGTCCGCTGGTTCTGGGACTCGTTGGATCGCAGCTTGGAGGGTTTAGCTCAGTACGAAGCAGAAGCGAAGATGCAACTGCTACGGCCGAATAAAAGGTGGGCTCGTTTCTCTACTATATCTCACACTGCTAACGATTGATGTTATTTAGCGTGATCTCATGCGGCTCTAGTATCGGAATAGCCAACCAACCCGATCTATGGGAAATGATCCGGTCGCCACAAGTGAAGGTCTACCGGTCCACCATCAGAGCCGTCTCTGCCTTAGATGCAGGAGACGATGGACCTGGCAGCGTGGCTAAAGTGACCCTGGCCAATGGCAGGTGTATTGACGAAGTCGATCTGGTTATCCATGCAACTGGGTACAAGCCGGTTGTCCCCATCAAGGTTGAACCGCCGAGTTTTCGCCTCCATCTGGGTCTTTCGGGCCTGGTGAATCCAGCCCTTGATGGTAATGATCACGATAAACTAAGAGCTTCTGATCCAATCGAAGTACCGATGGATTCGACCGTAGAAGACCACATTCAACACTGGGCAGCTCTGGACCGAGAGACTGAACCGATCGTTAGAAATACTTTGGCTGCGGCCGGGTGCGTTACCATTGACTGTTCCTTGCATTCATGGACAGGTGATGGCAACATGTTGCCTTATCGCCTGTTTCGCCGCATGGTTCCTCCCACGTTGCTTGCCGAGGACGATCGCTCCTTTGCGACTCTGGGGGTGGTTCTTACCTCGACAATCGCGATCGTGGCTGAAGTCCAAGCACTGTGGGCCGTTGCATTCTTGACGGGCGGTTTTGACGCATATCCAGAAGACTCTGCGTCTGATCAATCCGACGGCCTTTGCCTAGGATTGCTTTCTCCACCTGTGATGGAGGGGAGTATTTCGGAGGATGTCGTACTCGGATCGCTCACGGGCACTGGTCTTGAGGTCGATGCAATTCACGTGAGTCCAACTTTACAGTTAATGATAAGCGATGCTGACAGATGAAACAGTACAATGACATCCTGATGCGTGATCTGGGGTTGAATCCTTGTCGTCTTGGGGGAGGTTGCGTACGAGAACTCATAGGCGTGTACGAGCCATCCGCATATGCTGGGATAGTCGATGAATGGAGGAAGAGACGGGGCCGTGTACTCAACTCAAACTAGGTAGCACTATCGATCATATACAATAAATCGGCTGTGTTCTGACGAAGTACATGTTTTATCCGAAAAAGGAAACGTGTGTCGCCATGAGACATATGACACCCCACGGTGCGTACGCCTTCCTTTTTCAGTCATCGAATTCTCCGCTATCGCCAGCGTCAACGATGTAGAGCCATGGCGGATGATTCAAATCAGAATCCCCGACGGCTCACGCGATGCCGAACGGGGTGTCGCATCCGCAGGCGGAGGTGTAGGTGATCTGTCTATGGTGACGTTCGCGCGAGCTCACCCGTGTGCAGGCGACGAAGGCAGACCGCGATGTCGCAATTGCGTCGACAGGAACTTCAAATGCCAGTATCGTCCGCAACTAACCTTTCTGTCGAAGAATGCACAAACAGTGCGGCCATCGGAAGTTGCGAGTGCGCCTGCTCCTACGGGGCCATCCGGGTAGGTGCTGGGAGGGCTGCATCGCAGGGCCCTGCTGATCAAGTAGTAGTTTGTCAATGAAGATCCATCAGTTGGATAGATGTGACCTTGGTCAACCTTTCGGGATTCCGGCCTTGCAGTTGGCAATGATATTGCGGCCGATCTGGATTTCCGTCTTGGCCCAGTCGGAGACAACGGTAAACCTGCTACATTCTCACTCATTACCCATGAGAATCGACACGGCGCTTGGAGCTCGAAGAGCGCAGTACATCCCTCCAAATGACGGTTCCAGTCCTGTGCACGAGCAGACATCATCTCGAGGCAGCACCGCAAGCTGCGATAACCTTAGGATCCCGATCCTGCAACGGCGGACTCAACAAGCGAATGGCTTCTTGGTAAAGCTCGATGCTATCAATGCGTCCTGGATTCCCTCTTTCCGTTCCATCTGCCGGGTGCAAATGGCGAGGATCGCATTGAGAAACGCCGGGGACGTGCGGACGAGGGCAGGAATCTGGACGCGAAAGAGTCGAACATGTCTAGCTGCGAAGCGGAGAAGCCATCTGCGATGACCTCTGTTTGTGCGAATAGCGTCGTACCGGAGTGATTCACCTACCCATAGAGCCACCTGCCCGACGTAATTTTTTCAAGTATTTGACCCGCCGAGCATTGGAAAGTGCCGGTCGCATCGGTATGCGCTCTTTCTCCTGCGGCTGCTCTCCCGCGTGGCCCTGCACAGCGGGACTCCCCGCCCGTGTTGGCGCCGCGGACTGGGCGATCGTGAAGAACATACATCGCAGCTCTTCCTGGGAGGCAAGGAACCCCGGGTCATGCGAGAACTCGTCATGGGCCCAGTTACAGCGCCCAGCGGCGACGCAAAGGCGGGACCGTCCTTCGAATCGGAGGGAGTGTATTCAGGCACATGCCTATGGGGCGGCTAGTCGGTATCCATTGCAGTCCAGTTGAAAAGACAAGAGCCAGGGGGGCCTCGTCCAAAAGTAGGGAGTTGAGTGAAGCTGGTGAAAAGTGTAGGGAAGAGCTGATCGGCAAGTCGCTCAATGCGGTAAATTTACACCTGTTTCTATTTTTACTTCTACTTCTTCTATCAACACTATACTACAACACCACAGTATACTCTTACAACTACATCCGCATCTTTGTCTTCCCTGCAAATGGACATCCTGCACGAGGGATACGATGGTATGTCGATCATTCCGATCCCTCTGAGCCAATCACTCCTGCAACGGCCCCCTGCAATCCAGTCGCCCTGCCCTGCAAGGGAGCCCCTTCGAGGACACCTCTTGATAAACGCCACGAGCGTCCCGGACTCAACCTCCCATTGAAATCCGGGCTGCCAGTTGCATCATGTACGGCCTCAAGCAACTCGCCCTGCTAAGCTTCATGCTCCTAACCGTCTCCGCCAAGGATCCAAACAAGACGATGGTCCGTGGAAGTTCCTGTTGCTGTATCGACCTTGCTAACATGTGCAACAGGTCGGTTTGGAGACTTCAGAGCGCAGCCACGGCGTCGATGTACCTATTGAGGATTGCCACGAGCTCGACGAGGAGTAAGTCGCCCTACTTTGCGCTTTACGGGTATCATTTTAACTCTTCCCAGGGAGGTGTTTACAATCTCGGTCAAGAAGTACTGCCGAGTTTTCACGTAAGTCAATATGTCACGGCAACCCATTTCAGGTTGATTCTCATTCTCGATCCTCCCAGCGGCCCACAATGCACCGGCCGAAACACCGTCCTCAGCCCCGGCGATCACTCAAACGACGACCCCGTTCCCATCACATCCATCTACTGCCATGCCAAACGCCCATACTAGGCAAGAGCCCTGTGATACCATCTACCTTTCTACAGGGTGAATAGTCACCCTTCTTCCAGGGCCCGGTCGGCTCTGGAGGGAAATAGCAATTGACCACTAGCATTTTAATGCTGACTCGAACTTGTCAAGATCTCGCACGAGTCTCGTAATGGAAATATAGCTACTTTGTATGTGTATTCATTAGCCATGCAACTATAGTCTATAATGAATCCTCCTGTTCGTCCACGACCAATACCTTGATGCTGCCGTTCCGAGCATCAGCGCAGAGGTGCAGGGCATCCTCGGCCTTTTCAAGCGGGAAGACATACGAAAACAGCTTCATCAAGTCTAATATACCGCCGCTCAGGCACTGGATCGCCGGCGGCCAGGTATCACGGTAGCGGTTAATAAAACGCAGGTTAATCTAAAATGTTAAAAAGGGATACAGCAAAATACACCGGACTGGCCGCTTCGCTCGGCAAGAGAAATGTGCATAAAGGGCTGATTATTCATTATCGTCTTGCCCACTCCAGTACCCATCACGGGTCCTCCTCGTCGGGCAGTGTATGCAGCCGTACACACACTGCTTTCCAAGCCGGCTGCACTCCAGTACCGTCTCCGGTGCCATGTATCCAGAGCCTCCGAAAAGGGCGCGAATTCCATGGGCATTCTCCAGCGCATCTTTGTTCCGCTCTACCTGGTGGGTAATTCAGCAAGGAACAAAGTTCTCGGCAAAGGCCAATCGCTCGGGCTCCAGGTCCATGACTACAATGCGATGAGCACCCGAAGCGCGAGCCGCGGCCAGCGCGATCAGGCTGGTTCAACTTTCTCGATTGCGCGCCTGCCTGAACGCGTTGTATTTGTCGACCTGCCTCGAGTATTTGAAGCCCGCGGTCCCAGAGCTGGTTTAGCCACTTCAGTTGCTTCGTATCATTGTCATGATGACTGTCACCTACGGCATTCACAATTCGGTGCTGTCGGCTTTGGCTTTGGTGCACAAGCTGTCCAAGAACCATGTCTCGTTCTCAAGATCTTCCGTCTGCTGATTGCGGATCTCTGTCAAGAATTCAACGGTGGCCATCCGGGATCAACGGTCCCGCAGCCTACGCACCCAACACCATCATCCACGTCACATATTCCTTCACGTTCTATTTGTATGCCGCCCCGGCCGTGCGCATGGCTGCCCTGCAACAGCTCCAGATTATCCATGTCGCCACTCACGACTCCATTGGCAATGGTGAGGACGGCCCTACCCACCAATCCATTGAGCTGGCGGCTTTGTATCGTGCCAGGGATATAGCGAGGAAGCAGCTGGTGCTTGGATCATTGCCATCAGCGCCAAGAAGACCCCGAGTATCGTCTCGACTTCACGCCAAGGGGTTCCCCAACTTGCAAACACTCGACGCGATGGTGTCGCTTTTCGTGCCTACGTTATTTCTGAGAATGAGGCCGCCTTTGTGACTCTCATCGGTGCCGGGCCGAGCTATCCTTTGCTTTGGAGGTTGCTGAGAAGCTAAATGCCGATAAGGGCATCACTGCTCGAGTAGTCAGCTTCCCCTGCCCGCATCTATCAGAGCAGCAGTCACAGGGTCATGAAAAAGAGGTCGTTAGTTCCTGGTTTCAATCTCAATATGTCTTTGCAAAAGGTTGATCATATCGAAAGATTCCAGCTTGACCATCACCCACGCGTACCCCTACATGTGTTCTCAGTCAAGCACTCTGAAAATTCTGGAAACATGAAGCAGATCACTTATACACCACCATCCGGACTATATGTACGACGGTAGTCAAGACGTAGAGAGAACAGAATTAAACGGCGGTCACTAGTGAAAGCACACAGTAGAGGATGACATCGCACAACTCTGGAGGAAGATAGCCATTCTTGCCAGAAGAACATTGAGCCAGGTGGCAGAGGCCATTGAGGGAATAGTAATAGGTGATGCAGAAGTCGTTGCAGCGGAGGTCATGGTGAAAAAGTGATTATAAGATTCGATGTCTAATCGTTGTCTCTGGCTATGGGCTCAAAAAAGGCTATTATTTTAGGGTATACTATAGAAGATCCATCACGGTAGCCTTTAGGACAAGCTTTGGTTAAAGAAGTAGATGCCTAGTGGGTTCTGTTCCGTCTTTTCAGTCATCTTGAATAGTGAAAACTTTGCTTGAGCACTGCCTAGTAAGCTCCATTACTTTCAGCACGCGACAACTCTCGGCGTCGTCCAGTCTCTGACAAAGTGGCGCACACCGTCCCATTCAAATGTCGACCAAAACTTACCGAGAATCAGCCTCGGACTGGAGAATTAGGACCTCAAGAAATTATTTTCTCCGGGAATTTGCGTCATTCGTAGGAGCAAAATGTCCTTGACACTACATAGTAAAATCGAGACAAATAGCAACGCTATCTGCTTCGTGTCAAGGATTTATATCCAGAGCCAGTCGCGGCCCAGGCGACCGATTTTGAAGATCCATTCAGACCGCATTTCGCCCGGTGAGCTTTCTTTCTGCCAGTACTCCTGCAGGATCTTTGTCGCATTGACAGCGTTTAAGCAACTCGTAATATCCCAGAACCTCTCCATGCAGCCAACGAGGAAGTCTCTTTGGGCCTGCCATTGAGACTCAAGGCCAGCAACAAACATTGGCCAGAGAACGCACTTGAACAAGGCCTCATCTTCCTTCAAGGAGTCAGCCATACCCAAAAGCTCGACGACTTTGTCATCCTGGTCAGTGAACTCCCCTGTCACAGAGTCAAGGATACGTCTGCCGTACAGGAGAGCGCCGAATTTATACGCTTCGGATAATGTGCATAGGTTGGCAATTTCCTGCGGTGAAGTGGTTCGTGATCGTTGGGCATTCGATGCCCAAGCATAGCTGTCAAAATTCCGGACGAGTTCTAGTAGTATTGTAGTATCCCGGGTATGGGATCTGACGGTATCACTAGCGAGAGGTCTGGAACCTGCAATGCTGTCTCTTTGCATTGAAAGCTGTTGGATAGCCATGAGAATGTATTCAGGACATCCAAGGAACGATTTTTCAATGGTCTCCTGAAGCTGGGGTTCTCGCTGGTCGAAAGAAGCAACTTGAGACAATAGTTTAGGGCGCAAGAAAGTCGCACCGAGAGTTTCAATCCTGTTAGGTCTGCTGTCAGCTAGAGCAGCCAGTGGGGAGGTTGAAGTGGACTCACAGGTAAATCTGCTTCAAGATAAAATGTCGAATCTCTCGCACTGTCTCACCGGGCCCATCATTGATCACAGCCTGGTTCTCGGAATGTTTGTAGGTGGAAGCAATCAGGTTCTTGGCACCTTCCAGGTGAAAATTCCACCCGTCACTTCCGGACTCCAGGAGGTCCAGAAAGATTAACAAGAAAATACTGGCCACCGTGGTGTCCTGGTTAGAAAGGTCCTTGTCGCGTATGGAATGTGATAGTGATTCCATGGCTTGGTGCTTGAAGAGAAGCGCATCACGGTTTGCATTGATCAGGCTGGGCGAGATGGGTTTATCGAGTTGGTGGAAAGGTTGGCCGGTGTTGGCACGGTGACGTGCCGCCATCGCTAAGAGAGCTTTCAGCAGTACGGGATCCTTCATGCCCAGAGGGATGAGGTTTCTGAATGGGTTCTTGTCGCTATCGTACACGATGAAAAGTTTGCAAATGCGTTCATTGTCTGTGAAGTCTGTCAGTAAATAGAAGAGACGGAGACAACGGTGGGGATATTCACAATAATCAATATAGTATTTAGATGTTGGGTCCAGATGCAACGTGGATGGATCTTGCAAATTAAATGGTATACTCAGTGAAGTGCCGGAAGCGCCTGCATGAAGATCACGATGGTCAACCATACTATGCCGAGGTATGCCAAGGATGATCAAGCAAAACCAAAAGGTATCAAGTCATGGCTTTCAGCTTACCATTAGATCTGCCAAGACGACACTGCGAAGACTGAATCAAAGCGCGCTTCGCCGACACGGGTGCATGTTGTGCCGTAAAAGAGAGCCCCGCATTCTCATATGATCGCCCTTGCATCTTCCCGCGGATAGCGACGCCCTTGACCCATCGAAAGGGCCGTTTGTCAAGACATTCCAGGCCGGCCTTCTCGCACTTGCCGCAGGGCACACCAGACTGGTCGCACTGGATGCGCCGGTTGCGGCACGTGTAGCAGGGATCAGGAACAGGCTCCATCATGCATTGTGCTGGTGGCAAGTCTTGATGAGGCGAAGGCGCGGATATCGATTGGGCTGCTGACTGAGCGGCATGTGGGGCTTGATCCCCGAGACTTAAATAAGTTGATGATAACAGCTTCCCATAGCACCAACTTTCTCTGATTGATGATTATATAGCTCTTTACTCTTCTAAATAAGCTTTTTTCCCTGATTCCATATTTTCTCGATAATGGATACTATATCAATGCCTTCCTCCAAATATAACAGCGACTAGACGGTGCCATAACCCGCACGAGGGTTAGAATCTTCAACCCGAACCAAACCCCCGCGGTTTATAGGTTAAAAATTATAACCCGAACCTAACCTAGTGAGTTGTATATCTAGATTTAAGAACCCGCAGATAATCTACCCTGTCCCGAATTTTGGGGCATTAATGATATGCATTTCTCACTAGCTACCAATTCAACACGGAAGCAGACGTTTCTGCCAGGCCTGGCTGCCAGATTCTTATCTGAATTTCCAACTATGACTAACTTTTTGAGAGTACACAGATTAGCCCTTCAACTCATGGCCTGCTCACCGTCATTGAAAGGAACTGCCGCGAATTGGACCGAAGGGCGGTCCCATGAAAGGCGCCGTTGTGGAAAAGGCCATTGCTACTCCCATTCTCGATGTTACAACCCAAGGATGAAAAGTATCATGTAGTATTAGCAAAGATACCTGAGGAAGAAACTAAGTCTGGGTTCGCGCACTCATCTAAACATACACAAGACCTGACTAGCCCCGATCGGGTTAGTCACCTTCCTGTCATAGTATGCACTTCTTCAGTTCTTCAGGCAGAACTAGTCAGCGCCCTCCGATACCATGCATCTATCGAACGAGTATCACCGCGATAGTATTATGATAGTGGATTGCCACGGTCATGGTCAACACGAAAAGCTACAAGTGATCGGCCCGCTCTTCCCCAAACCCCCACGACCCTTATCACGGCGTATGGAATAGAGTTCCATATTTGTCTTAGTGCAACCGGCTGTGCCTAAATGCACTGAAAGCACCCAGGGATGTTACAATTAGATCGTTCACTTCGTATTTGGAGCCTGAAACGAAAGCAGGATGCCGTAGTACATTGTTAGAACCGAGTCAACTTCCACTCGGTAGATGGTAAACAGCACCAGGTTAAGCACGCGACTTGATCAGCAATACAGCTTCCGTTATGACGTACGGTATATCCAGAAACCACTCCGTCACTCCAAGTTCTATCCCTTTTCGTCCACAATGGACTCCGCATCACACCACTGTGACTTGATCGACTTCCACTATTCCCCCCACCCTGTCCTACTTCAAATCCATGATGAGAAGCTCAAGCACCATTGATGAATGTTACAACCGACGATGAGATTGTTCAATGACTTGGCAGGAGCTATAATCTCAGCATGAGGAGATATTCCGATGACCTCAAAGCCAAAACTGGGGGTTTTGGCACCAAATTGGTTTTGAGCGCACGGACTACGCCTGAGGCGGGCCGTGTCAGGGGTTTGGGTAAGGAACAGACCAAGCAAGGGCTGGAAAACTTAACCAATTCAGGAAGCGCATGCGTGATATTTCTGTCCATTTAGGATCATCACACTTCGTAACTGCGCAATATTAACCGAGGAAACGAGGAAACAAATATGAGCGCATCCGCCTTCTTTCTTCTACACCGGCACACCGACAAATCCCGCATTGCCATCTTCCTGACCTACGTCTCCTTGGGGCCTGCCGTATTACTTCCATTGCGTCGAAAATATCTCTACAACAGCGCCCTAAACTGCCTGAAGCGACTCGTAGTCCACATTTAACCCACGCAGCGTTTTTGTGAGCTCAACCGTCTCTGATCACCAGTGATCCTGGCCTCAATTACCGACTGGTCACCGTTTTTCGATTGTCAAAGCGCAGTATATTGCCAGAACTTCCGGCTGACCCATCTTTGGTCCATAGCGACTACCCATCTCCAGGTTGCGCATTCCAACGGAATGTGCTTTTGTGGAAATGAGTCAAGATTTTGAAACAAGTGATTTCGCGAACAGCTCTCCCGAACATGAGCTTGCTTCTAAGGAGATCGATCTTGAGGGCCGGGATTTCGGCCATGGAGGCAAGGCAGATGATGCCTCCGTGGTAAGTGACCTCGTCGGTCATCAAATTGAAATTGAGACCGTGAATACTATCAAGTATCGGACGTGCAGCTGGCAGAAAGTGGGTATGGCGTTAGTAAACACCGGAATTGGCGCGCTAACTCTTTGATAGACAGCTGCCCTGCTCTTTTCTGAGTACATATGTATTGCAATTATGTCCTTTCCATGGTCATATTCTGTTCTTGGTCTTGTTCCAGGACTAATTGTAACGATTGCCGTTGCGTTAATTGTTCAATACACGTCTCTCATAATCTGGTGCGTATCTCTTTCCAGAAGAGAAAGTTGTCTAACTCCATTGTAGGCGATTTTGCCTGCGACATCCTGATGTCCGCGACGTGTGCGATGTTGGGAAACGCCTCTTTTGGGATTCTCCAATTGCCTGGTACGTGACAGCAACCATGTTTTTATTAAACAACACTTTCATTCAGGTACGTTCATGTAGCATCTGTTGCCAAAAACCGCCCGGCTTAGACTGAATTCAGGGACTGCATTGCTTAGTTGGAGCTGAGTATCTGAACACCATGACCGACCATTCAATTTGCACGATTGCCTTTGCCTTCATTACTGCAATGGCCTGTTTTGTCTGTTCGTTACCGCGGACCTTCAGCGAACTGTCCAAGATGGCGACATTTTCGGCGATCTTCACATTCATCTCGATTTTGCTGGTGGTGATCTTCGCTGGTATCGGCTCTCCCTATACCGGAGGCAAGCCTGTGGAAGATCCGATCGTGCGCATCGTTCCTGCTCCCGGTACAAGCTTTGCGACGGGTCTAGGAGCCTTCTTGAACATCAGCTTTGTTTTCATCGGCCAAATCACGCTCCCTAGCTTCATTGCGGAAATGAAAGAGCCGAAGGACTTTTGGAAATCCGTCACCATTGTGACTATCGCCGAAATCATACTATTCAGCGTGGTTGGCGCTCTCGTCTACGCCTTCACCGGGAGTCAGTACATGCAGGACATGGCATTTGGTTCTCTTGGCAACGATATTTATATGAAGGTCTCGTTCTCATTCATGATACCGACTCTCCTATTTTTGGGAGTGCTGTACGCCTCGGTGTCTGCTCGCTTTATCTTTTTTCGGTTATTCGACGGCACTCATCATGTGGGCAATCACACCGTTCTGGGTTGGGCTTCATGGAGTGCAATCTTGCTGGTGCTCTGGGTTCTAGCATGGGTCATCGCAGAGGTGATTCCGTTCTTCAACAGTCTACTGTCCATCATGGGCTCCGTGTTCGGTTCTTTCTTCGGTTTCATTTACTGGGGAGTTGCTGGTCTTCGTATGTCCCATACCGAGTACGGCTCGGGCTTCTACAAGATGCGAGGCGTTCGCGGCTGGGTGGAACTCGTCGTGAACGTTGCCTTGATTCTTATTGGTCTTTTCTTCCTAGGGCCTGGTACATACGTGAGCACTGATTCCAATCCTCTAACAGTCCTCTTTGCTAAAATACGTTGCAGGCATCTGTCGAATCGGTGATCGAGAGTTACCACGAAGGAAATGTCGGCAGCGCATTTATTTGTGCCAGCAATGGTCTTAGATCTTAAGTACAGAGCACAAATATGATTGCCTTTCTCCTATGCCTACTAACAACATCTATCCAATACTTTTTTTCATTTTGAACCCGGTGGCAATCCCAGTAAATACTCAATCAATCAAAGTTCAGTTCACCTGATGGAGCTTGACTAGTTGCGTCAAGCTATGCAGGCGCTTCGTCCGAACCGATGAAGGACTTGATACCCTGAACACCAGACAAGCCGTTAAACAAGACCGTGCAAAGGAAAAATGATCTCTGAATCCAGAGATCAGCACAAAAATGAATGTAGATTGATCCTAAACGCCCACAGCCCACAGAACCATAAATCCAAAACCCACTGCATTCTTCCGTGCCCTCCCTCGCCTTTACCCGTGCGCCTCTAGCCTCAGCATCTCAGCTGCCCCGTTCTCAATTGATTGCGTTGTTGTAGCCTTATATATGGTCAGTGGATAGTGAGCATCCTTGCCATTCTCGGTGGCTAAGTCTTTTTGTGTCCAGTTTTGGTTGCTCAGCGTCTTCGCAGCCTACTCTATGGCCGTAGGGCCTGCCCGTTCGTGGTCGTCGTTAGGATCTTGTTCCGGTTCCACGTGAAGGAATTGACCTAGGATACCTGTTCGGTGTATCATTGCGGCGGCGTAATGAGCCACTAGCAGGCGAGATACGATGCTATCGTACTCTGTCGTGAGTCCAAGATCGGTGCGAGCGATCTTGTCCTGCATGGTTCGTCGTATATCGGTGTACAGCGGGCAATGCAATGGGATATGTCTCGGTGTTTGAATAGATCTTCGACCGCTTGGGTGTTCGTGTTCCCATGATCCTCGTTTCTCTATGGGTCGATAAAGGCCTGGTCCAGAATAAGCCGGCGGATGGAAATAGCGAATTTACTCATACCTCGATTCTGAAATTTCTCTCAGAGCTCTGGGGCCTGGAGAGTCTCTCCCCGCGCGTGGATTGGTCCCCGTCTTTTGCTAATTTGATCATCTCTGAATACCGCGACGATACCCCTACGCAGCTGCCAGATGCGGCTGACTTTCAGAGAGATCTCAAAAAATGACGGGTGAACTGTTAAATGTTATGAATTAATGTCTATGCGTTGTTCATTTGCGCTCGGGTGTTATTTCACAAAATCACTTGCCCGGCACACTGGCAGCACCAGGACTTAAATATGTTTCAACTCATACTGAACCTATCCGTACTTGTGCCTGGAGCCGAACAGCTTCCACTTGATGTTTTTTAATGACTTCGATCGTTGTGTAATGGCCGAGGTCCGTGTATTTACGCGGTTAATGTCGTAGGAATCGCCTCATATGTCGTCCCAGTGCGCTCCAGTGTCGAGTCAGTTTCGAGTAGGAGTCAATAGATCCATGCCCCTGGGATCCCTCTATATGCATTGGTACAGCTTCAGTGTCCGCAATTGCCTCCGTGGGCTTTTCTCAACCAGATCGCTGCGGTGGGCCATTTGGGCTAGCACCCGGATAAAGTCATCGACTTGTGCAGCATACTTGCACTTTCGACGAATGCTAGGTCCGTAATGGTAGAAGATAAATGGAAATGGAACGCATGCAAGAGATAAAAATGCCAGTACGCATGATGCCCAGTGAATGCGGAGGTTGTGATATGTGTAAGTCGTGAAGAGGGGGAATCCGGCACCGAAGCACGAATAGATGATGGAGTTGGCAGCCAGAACCGATGCAGCATAGATGGTGTACGCATCGATGAGGTAGTTCATAATTCTCAGAAAGACAAACACCATTCTGAATGCAAAGGGAGCCATAGCAAGAATGCAGACGATCCACGGGATTGAAGAGGAGTTGGTTCAGCCAAACCAGAACAGGCCGATCGGAATCGCTATCCCACCAAAAATGGTGGGAGGAAGGCGAGCTTCAGGCACATAGCGCTTATTGTCGTTTATTTTTAGACCGACTGCTACCATCATCCCAGTCATCACGGCGATAAATGGCATATTTCCAACCCCCTCGCTCCAGTCGCGAATATCTGGGAACACGATCGGGAATGTATCGAAGAGCATGTATATTGTTCCACGATATACGGATCTTCATCGGTGCCAGATCCAGCGTAGAGATACTCGATGATCTCGGGAGTGACCATTCCCTGATCAGACATTCATTATGCGCCGATACGGGATGCCGCGCGTGCGCGGTGCTTCAACTGAGTCGCTCCTCATGGCTAGTTTCGCGGTGTATGCTTGGAGGGTGGAAGAAGGCATGCTTTTTTTTAGACGATCATGCAACTCTTAGCGTGATCTGAATCACATCGCTTTTGTACAAGCTGCATCGGTCTAATGGAAGAAGCATCGTGATTGCTTTAAAAGGTGCCAATGCTCCACCGAGCGGAGTGTCGGTGCCCAAAATCAGTGATCTCGGCAAGCCGACCGATCGAAACAGCAAAGGGAAGCTCCCGCGGGCCGTGGCTCTAGCAATCATCGCACGGTACCTGGTTGTGACGGCCCAGGTACCGGCTCATTTATCTTCGCTGATTGATTCCCAGTGGCATTGGGCCGGTGCAGACTTCATGTACTCCACGTGATTACATTCTTGCGTCGCCATCCTTGTAAAGCTTGCTGCTTTGGCCAAAATGGTTATCAAGCCAGGGGTTTATTTTTTGCTCCCACATCAATTTCTTATTATTGCACGAGCTCGAGGGAATCTTCTCTTAGAAGGAATATGAGGATAAATGCAAATAGGTGAGAGAGTTGCTGCCTCTGCAGAGACCAAAAATTTAAGAATAGACTTGGAGCTCTCCAGATTAGGGCTGCTGGGGGAAAATCAATGGGCAATCAACTGCGAAACGATGACAGAATACAAACTTTAATCCAGGCAAGCTCGTGCTAGCTCAGTTTCATGGAATGTATCGCAGTTGGTCACTAGCTATTGTGGGGGTCCCGTTTCAACCGTTGGCCTCTGACAAATAATTCAAGGGGAAGTCCCTCGCACAAGAGTTGACCTGTTTTCATATGAAGAATCTCAAATAGTAGTCTGAGATGCCGCAACGGTTTTTCATTCAAACGGATCCTCAACTAAGAAGCTTGTACGCGTAGCTTGTCGCCCCACCCTTCCAGTTGCCAAGGCAGGGAAGACACTTACATATGTCCAAATAATATCCCCCTTGTGCATTATCTCCTTCCAATAGGAGGACGAGGAGTGCGTGTTGTCGAGAACTAAGTCACTGAAATGACCAATCCGGCTGTTACCTGGCCGTGATCAACATTCCACTGGCACATTCAATATCCCGACCAATGCACTGGTATCCACTCATTTGGGTCATCTCGAAGGGGCGACTGACAGATCATCGCAGGCCTGCAAATTGTTCTTTTAGCTCCACCATAGGTAGCTAGAAACTCTCGTGGCTCGAATTATCATTGGTCTCGGCGTTCGAGTGCCCTGGTTTGCCTCACGATTTATCGAGAAATTTCATCTATTGCAAACCAGGAACTGGTCAAGCGGCTTGAATGCGTGACTTAGTGCAGGTACCCCACGGCGCAGATCTAGGGATCTTACGTCACATTACTGGGTGCTAAGAGCCCTCCCGGATGCCAAGTATGTGGTTCTTCGTGAGCTTAGTGGCGTTCCGATTGGGGCAAGCTTCTGATTCTAGGAGGTTTATTTCGTCATTTTCTCCGAGCTCCTACAAGCTTATTTCACTCCCCTATATAGCCTCCTGTTCTCTTCTACTTTGTTTTATCGATGGGACGACGGATTCGCCTCAGAGACAGAAACGATTTCCAGCTCGACATGCCTTCGCCGACCTATGACCAAAATGAATACCCAACGCCATGTCAGACGGACTTCAATAAATATTCCCCAAGCATCACGACCAACAGCATAGATACGGGATCATCTGCATCATCTAATAAAGAGCGTGATATTGAGTTTGCTCACTGCGAATATGGCCTAGCCCAAGTTGATGGAGGTATCCAGGCATGGTTATTTTTGATAGCTTCCGCAATGCTTGAAGCGTTGGTGTGGGGTCAGTTGACTCTCAAGTTAAGACTTGAATATGGCGAGATGGAAACTGACCGACATCCATTAGGGTATGCGTTTTCTTTCGGAATTTTCCAAGATTATTATAGTGCACATGAGCCATTTCGTGGATCTGGAAACATTGCTGTTATCGGGACGTGCGCAATGGTAATAGCACATTGTAATGATCTATCCATTGGGACTCTACTGACTGGACTCATAGGGTATTGCATATTTGCTTGCTCCAGTAGCTATTGTGGCTATGATATTGGTACCCCGTGTTGCTCGATGGGTATCGAGCATGGGTGTGGTGATCATGTGTCTCTCCTTGGCTCTGAGTTCGTTCTCTACCAACGTGACACATTTGATCTTGTCACAAGGAATTGGGTTTGGCGTGGGCGGATGTCTGGCATACACCCCCTCGATTCTGTTCATGTCGGAGTGGTTTTGCAAACGCAAGGGTCTTGCTTTTGGAATTGTGTGGGTGAGTGATCAATTATTCGCCATGCCAGCTTGAAAAGTTCCATTGACGTGTTCAAATAGGCTGGCTCAGGGTTATCTGGAGTGATCTTTCCTCTAGTCATCCAATGGCTTCTTAATCAATACGGAATCGAGGCCACCCTTAGGATCTCGGCAGTGGCACTTTTCATCCTTGCTGCCCCTTTTCTCTACTTTCATAGGCCTCGTCTGCCTATCCGCGAGAGTGTGTGCCACCATCGACTCAACTTCCATTTTCTATGCAGCAAAGTATATATCATCTATCAAATTGGCAACACTGTCGAGGCTTTGGGCTTCTTTCTGCCAACTATTTATCTTCCGACTTACGCCCGCAGCCTTGGTGCAAACGAATTTATGTCCTCACTTACAGTGACGCTTGTCAACTTGACTTCAGTGTTCAGCTGCGTGTTTGTGGGGTTCCTTTCCGACCGATACCATATCACCACGTGTATCCTGATTTCCACTATTGGCACGGTCGTATCGGTTTTCCTCATTTGGGGGTTTTCGGTGACGATTCCCTCTCTGTATGTCTTTTGCATTGCATACGGTGTGCTCGCCGGTGGTTTCTCATCGACATGGTCCGGGATTGCCAATGAGATCCAGCGAGCCAATCCGGAGGCCGATGCAACCGTTATTTTCCCATTTATGGAAACCGGTCGCGGAATCGGCAACGTAGCCAGTGGTCCGCTCAGTGAGGTACTGCTCAAGGCAGATCATTGGAAGAGTCGAGCTTGGGGAACTTATGGAAGCGGTTTTGGCACACTTGTGGTCTGCACGGGTGCAACTGCTCTCGTAGGTGGAATATCTGTGATCGCACGCCAAATGAAATGGGTCTGAGAGAGGCAAAGCGTGTATCTGTTTGGGTCGAAGGCGATGCTGACTGCACATGAGAGATTGCTGAGAAGGTCTCGGGGAATTGTGGTGGTCAGGAGTACACCACAACGATCACAGCGCAAGAGAACATATGTTTGGTGTAACTTGTGTCATAATAATATTCGGTTTGAAATGAGTCGTTAAAATATGAACAGAAACTCGCTGCAGAAAATGCCCCGTATAAACTCGTACGCACAGAGAGCGTGCATTATGCATCAAACATGAGACCAAGGAAAGATTACTTGGCGATCCAGCCCCATACCTGCCAGTACCACTTCTTAGGGGGACCAGTTTCCTTCTCATAGTGAAGCCGGCCAGTATCAAGGTCGGCCTCGGAAGAGCGAACAAATGGCGCCCGCGTGATCAGCTTGTGCGCGACATAAAGCAGAACGAACACGATGGGACATATGTACGCGAAGAAGAAGTCCGTCACGTTAAATGTGGGGATGAAAGACGTGAAACCCTGCGTCAAAGCAATAAGAATGTTGAAGAAAAGACCGTACCAAGCCAAGTACGGCTGCAAGATGGCCTTGTAGGGGAGTGTATCGCGAGAAACCCCACGCGCAGCCAGCGCGCGCATAAACGCGATGTGGCAGGCGTTAATGGAGGACCAAGTCACAAACCCGGCTACACTCGACAAGTTGACCAGCCAGTTGAACACCTGTCCCGCGCTGTTGGACACGTTCATGAAACCCAGGAGACCAAAAAGCGCGGTGAAACAGACACTGACGTAGGGCACGCCACCCTCGGTGGTTCGGGCAAAGATCTTGGGGGCAAATCCCTCTTGCGCCAAGCCGGTCAAGATACGGCTGCCGCTGTATACGTTGGAGTTTGCCGCCGAAAGCACCACGGTTAGAAGCACCGCGTTTATCAGGCTAGGGAGAATTTTCACTCCGGCGAGATCAGCCGCAATGACCATGGGCGACGACGAAGCGTTGGTGTTGCCGGTGGTGAGTCTGTCGTTGGTGTAGGGAACGACCAGTCCGATGAAGAAGATTGTCAAGACAAAGAACAACAGAATTCTGACGAACGTCTTTCGAATAGCCGAGGGCACGGTCTTTTGGGGATTCTCGGTCTCACCAGCTGCCACACCCACAAGCTCCGTCCCCTGGTAGGAGAAACCGGCCTGGATCAGAACTGCCCAGAATCCAATGAACTTGCCCACCGACTCTGGCTGGTGAATGATGTGGGTATTAAAGGCTCCGGGATTTTCCCAATAACGGAACCCGAGATAGCCCTCCTCGCCGACGCCGACATCGATACAGATTGCGAAGATCATGAACCCAATGACGGTCATCACCTTGATGCTCGAGAACCAAAACTCCAACTCGCCGTAGAAGTTAACCGGCAAGAAGTTCAAAGCTGTAATGAAGACCCAAAACACACCAACAAAGATAGCGATGTTCAAGCTCGGATCCCAGTATTGAATGATTGTTCCCGTGGCAGTCAACTCGACGGCAAATGTTGAAGCCCAATTAAACCAATAGATCCACCCCATGGAGAAACCGAGGCTGGGGTCGATCAATCGAGCGGCATAGGAGGTAAAGGCACCGGAAATAGGGATATAGGTTGCGACTTCCCCGAGGGAGGTCATGACCGAATAGACGATTGAACCGACAAACATGTAGGCGATCAAGGCGCCCGCTGGGCCGGAGTATGCGATAGCCGTTCCACTGGAAATGAAGAGACCTGGGCCTGTTAGATTTTGCAATCATTGTTCAAGATCCAAGTCGTTCTCACCTGTGCCAATAGTTCCACCTGAGGTTATTTATTTAGTATATTGAGCTGCGCACGATATAGTATAAAGGCGGAACATACCAATTGCGATCATTTGTAGGTGTCGACTCTTGAGTTTGCGCTTCAACTGACCCGATGCCGCTCCTGGGTTATGATTCTCCTCCGCATCGCTAGGCTTGATGTCCTGAGCGGCATGCTTGCTGTATACAGGTGGAGCCTCACTCTTCAGCGGCTCGCTGGTGACCTGGGCAACATCTTCAGAAGCCATTTCGTGTCCCCGTGAGCTTTGAACCAGCAAAGATCTGAATTAGAGGGGCTATTGGGATCCAGGAAACAGACAGGAATTTTTTCTTCATGACTCCCAAATTTCCGTTTTCGCTTGCCCGCTTCGGTGTGGTTCCACGGCAAGGCAAATCATGACCCACTTTTCCTGGCGGGAGGCCAATTTTCTTATGTAAAGTGAACCGAAAAGGAGAGAAAACACGACCGGTGGCCCCAAAGACAATGCGAGTCATACATCCTTGTATGATGGTGAACTAGGCTGTCAACTCTGCTGTATATACGCCCATGCAAAAGTCGATGCCATAACCTGACATTTTCGGGGAAAAGAGCAAGCTAACATCACGTGATCAATCCCCGTGGCGGATACCGGAGATATCACTTATCCGAATTTCTCATCTGCCAGCATCAGGGACGTAGAAAGACAACAGTCCTTTTCACCGCTCATTGGCCGCCATGTACGTACTCTAACAGTAAATCTATTAGAGCGGGAGCTTTTACTTCATGCAGAGTTGATGAATTGATGATTCTTGCACTCCAGTTATCATGCAGCAAATCTTTCCTAGCACTCTGACTTCATCGGTGACAAGGTGTTTAGGGTTTGCCCAAATTGAGCTTTCTGTCCAGTAAAGATATTCGATTCCATGCAAGGGATCAGTTCGTAGCGGACGGTGGCGGGTTTAAATTTTGGCTTTGGTCTTTTCTATGGCTTCCATTTCCGTTTTCTTCGGCCCTGCAAACCCGAAAATATATGCAGCAATCTTTCGCATCTGTATCTCCTCTGCACCCTCTGTGATCCGGTAGCGTCGGAAGTGGCGATAGATGTGTTCGAACGGATAGTGGCGGGAGTATCCATCGCCGCCATGAATCTAAACAGTCAGTGACCGATGTGGCAAGAGTCGCACCCTGAACTCACCTGGATCGCCCGGTCTGCAGCCTGGCAACACAGTCGATTGGCCCAGAAATTGCACATGGCGACTTGATCGCTAAGCTGGCGCTCAATAGCCACCCACGGCGGCTGCTGTACCTCGCTTGATTTACACGCAGCTACCACACGGTCCATTTCCCAGCTTGTTTTCAGGATGAGCAGTCGGAGCATCTCCACTTGAGTCACTAATTCGACAACCGGGAACTGAATGGCCTGGTTATCTGCCAACGTTTTACTTCCCCCCAGATTTTGCGCGAGCGTGCGCGCTCGATGCTTCGGTCCAGGCAAAACTTCGCAGCACCGCAGGAGCTGGCCGCCTGCCGTATACGATTCTCATGCACAAATGTTTGAGCAATGGCCAGCCCTTGATCGATCTTTCCCAGGATTGCTGTTTCAGGCACCCACACACGGTCGAGCTCCACCGTCGCGTGGTCGGTGGGCATATTGAGCGTCCACTCGTAGCTGGCGATCCGGATACCGGGGGTGTCACGAGGGATGAAGAAGGCAGTGATTCCTTTGGCAGACCCCGAGGCGCCAGAGGTCCTCGCAAATACAAGGAAGTGAGTGCAATGGTGAGCTCCTGTCTGCCACTTCTTCACTCCAGTGATTTCAAATCCATCGCGTTCGCGACGTGCAACGGTGGACATGAACGTTGCGTCACTCCCATGGTCTGGCTCTGTTAGACCGAATGTTGTTCGAAATTCTCCTCGAAGGCGTGCGGGGATAAACGTCTGCCTCTGCTCTCCGCTGCCAAAATGATGGATCATAAGGACGTCGGGGAAGTTTCCGATAATACTGTGTTCATTCTGTAGATCGTTTGCGAGTCCGAGGCCACCTCCATAGATAGGATGTGATGATAGTTGGAATCGAATCGCAGACATCCACAGGTTTGTCTCCGGATGCTCCTGGCCCCCGTATTGTTTGGGGAGCGCGAAACGGTAGAAGCCCGCCTCGTCAGCCCGATGCCGTGCTTGTTCTGTGCAAAGGTCAGATTTACCTCGCTATTTCACCGACGCAGAACCCACTCAATAACTCCTCCCATTCTGGACGAGGGTTGCCATTCTGTTCCCAGTCGGTTCGAGAGTACTCGCGACGGTGGTCGAAGAAACGATCGTTATCGTTGGAATGCTGCAGTGGGAGAATTGTAGAGTGAATGAATGCGTCGATGGACTGAAGATGGGACTTCAAATCCGGTGGTAGATCAAAATTCATATTGGCAATTTCCAGTAAGACAGGTCTGGCTATGCCAGTTCTTGTTGGTATGGTGGTACAACTTTTATTTCCGAAGCAAAGCTTTCCCCGCATTTGGACCTCGGCTTCTACTTACCCGGGCTAGAATATCCTTGCTTATCGAAAAACATTGAAGTGAGGAGTTCCAAGCGACTACACTGTATTTTAGATCAAATGGGAATTGGTCGAAAGCTTTGATTGAAGAATGGGGTGCTTTTGTCAGAAACAGGGCTTGGATTATCTAGGCCAATACCGCTCAACGGAGGATCAATACATATATAAACCTGAAGATCAATTGATAGCACCTGCATACGACAGGTGATTAACCGCAGATTTAATGATAGAGGATGGTCTCATACTCATGCTCATATCAGGCGAGGTTGGACTCTCTCAGATGGTCGACAAAAATTGGGAGAATGCCTAGCTAGCCAGGGCGGCCGGATGCATCTGCTTCAATGAACGTAGTGGGTCCGGTTTGGGGATCGAGTCACGTGCAGCATTACTGCCCCAGGCCAATATCATGACTCAGCATCAACCGCCGAGTTTCGTTGGACCGTACAGCCAATCACTGTCCGTGCTCGACCTCGCCGGATCCACTGCGGCGAATCTTTGAGCTTCCCCCTTTCAAAGCGTGCCAATTTCTCCGATTTCCGGCACATTGTCACCCAAAGGACTCGCAGGTTTTATATCGGATGAGTGTAGGCCGATCTTGATGGACTTGGAATATCGGAACCTGCTGGCACCGAATGGGCCACATTTGATTCCTCCGAGCGACTTTCGGTCTCCTAGACTGCCCCAGCCACCCCTCGGCGTGGATTTTATGCAGAGGAGCCCTGAATCTGGCGAGATGGAGAAGACCCCGCCTGTCACAGGCAAGCGCCGAGGTGGCAGCCGGAAGGCCTGCAACGAGTGTAAGCAGCAGAAGGTGAGCCACATGCATCGCACCCGATCGACTATCAATTCCCCTGCTTCCTTTCCCGCCCCGCAACCTCCGCGCTGATCCAATCTCGTCGCTGGACAGCTTCGATGTGACATCGTTCAGACTCCAGCTGCGGCATGCTCGCGCTGCCGCAGGCTTGGGATCGACTGTAAAGTTGAACAGTCGTTCAAGCGAATCTCCAAGAGAAGGTGTTATCCCCCTCAATCCTCCACGTATTGATTTTTTTGTTTTAACTGAATCTGTGTACAGACGCAATGCGGAGATGGAAAAGGAGATCGCAGATCTTCGCCGCCGCTTAGCATTCAACCCGGAGCAGGAGGAGGGAGCTGAGTCCCATGCGGGTGATGACCTCTCTCAATGCTCCGAGGAGGGTTTCAAAAGGCGTGACTCGGTTGCAGCCGACCGCTCACGACCGGTATCAGTGCCTGTTGAACAGCACGCATCAATTGCAACTCCAATTACCATGCAGAGAGATGGATCTATTCTGTCCCAGGAAGATAACAGCCCGTGGAGATTAGAAGATATCGCCCTCTCTCGAGCACGTGTAGCACGGCTGTTTGAACAGTAAGCGTTGGATGTTCTCTCTGTTGCATTTGCTCGATACTGACTGGTGATGAAGATACTTCAATTACTATCACCCTTTTCTTCCGCTTTTGAACCCTCCAAAACCCCCAGAGGTGTATCTCAACCGATGTCCTTTATTGGCATGGACGATCATCTGTGTGGCTAGCCGACGGTCCCCCACGGAACCCTGGCTCCTCAGTGCCCTTTCAGGACCCTTCAGTCGACTTTTGTGGTCTACAATTACCAGTGTTCCCCAGGACTACCGAGTTGTTAAAGCACTCTGTGTGTTGTGCACATGGCCTCTTCCAACAACAAGTCAACGGACTGATGCGACTTTCATGCTCAGTGGTCTCATGATGCAGATTGCCATGCAGCTGGGATTGCACCGCCCAGTACAAGCGGAGGAATTTACCACCTTCCAGATGGAAGTTCAAGGAGAGGCGCTCAAGGACCGCTTGCATACTTGGGTGATTTGCAACATCGTGGCACAGAAGTGAGCCCTTCATCTTTCTCCCAGTTTCAGTCAGTACTGACATTCTTGTTAGTGTTGCTACCGGGTATGGCCAGCCGCCTAGCACGATCTACGATTGGGCTCTTGAGCCTCCCTCGCTAAAAGATGCCGACTACCGCCTTCCTGAAGATCTCATGACCAGACTGCGGATCGAAAAGTTCTGTGACCGGGTAACGAAGGCCCTGTATAGTAGCAAGCCCGAGCCGGGAGAGTTTATCAGTGCGGAGAAGCTTGTCATCGTACAAATACTTGAGACTGAATTACGAGATATTGAAGTTGAGTTTGGTCGCGGCATATCTGGTAAGTCCTGCTCTCACACCTGTTGTCATTTCAAGACTAACAGTGTTTCAAGCGATCAATATGATCCATCTCCGTGCTGCAGAGTTGCACTTCCGATACTTTGTGTTCCTAGGCTCCAATGCACGGAGTGATGACCTCACAAAACTCTTTATTGCAACAACTTCTTTTTTAGGTCGGGTGCTCGATCTTGAAACCTCGCCTGGTGAGCTGATCGGTCATTCCACCAATTATATTCTCCAAATGATCGTGTCCGCCGCCTTTGCCCTCATGAAGCTATTGAAGAGTAGTTTCAGCCAAAACATCGATTTCAACCATGGAAAGCTTCTGTTTAATGGCGCTATCTCGGCGATCCGCAGGATTAGTGTCATGGATCATGATCGCCCGATCCGCCTCGCTGATATTCTAGCCCAGATGTGGAATGCAACCGGCCCGGAGCCCGCTGAAGAGGACGGTCTCCAGCTTAAAGTTCGTTGCCGCATGAGCATGAGTCACGTCTACGACACCGTCTGGCGTTGGCGACAGCGTTTCAGACCAGTGAAGAGCATTGAAGAAATGCAAGGTAAGCCTCATTCCGCACTGTGGCATCTACGTTTAGTACTCACACCTCTCCAGCCGCAGTCGCTGCGGCGAACCAAGGCATTTCGACGACAGGAGCCCTGGGTCGACAGCAGGACAGCTCTCTTGAGGATCCGTCATTGATGATGCCCAACCAGTTCGATGAGAGTGGCGCCTTCTTCAACGAAGCTGGGTTTTCTGAAGTCTTCGACTCCTTAAACTGGGTTTTCGAAGGAATTCCTGACTCGTTTGTCGCCCCTCCAGTCCTTTAACTCGGCCGAGCTCGAAACATACCGTTCACGGCTGCCAAGCACCGCAAATTTGCGTTTTCATGTATAGAAGTCGGTTTTGAGCGATTTTCAGCGAAGATACCATGCCAATAAAAGTGACATTTGCCATTCAACCTGATTTCAACGTAGCTCAACCTATGGGCGTCACGATTATTCAACCAATAACCCTTCGAAAGCCACTTGATTGCCAAAATCCCCGCCTCTTTTCGGAGAGACAGATAACCTCTTTTGCTCAACCGAGTAATATTGACTTGCCTCCTGCCTGGGATGTTTCTTCTGCCGTAGGAGGTCGTCAACGTGGATTCCCTGCTCGTTGCATGGAATCCACGACGCATTGCATGTGTTATTTCGGGCTAGAGCGGGAATTCAACGCCACCAGACGTTGTGTTACATTGATAGAGCCAGAATCCTCCCCTTCGCCGATGAACGTGCTGTCGGGACGAATGTGCACACTTGGGCAGGTTCAGCAGGCTCCATGCGGAGGCATAAGAAACGCGCCGGTCCCTCTCTCTTACCCAGAGAATGGTTTGGAAAAGTGTCACAGATACTGAAGAGCCTATTTCCTGAGTAACGTTAGTACGATGCCTTTGTGTATGGGCCTCCTTCTAAACCGAGAGCTGCAGGTGCCGTGAAACAAGAATACTGCTGGTGGTTTGGTGCAGAAGTGTCGGTGTGGGAGTCGCACGCGGCAACACCCAAGTCAGTCCTCCAAAATAGTGGGATCCTCGCAGTATCCCTGACCAGCTGGGATTGAAATTTTTAGGGGCGCCTGGCGTACGACGAAACTTAGGTTTCCAATTCCTTGGGGCTCCCGCAAGGTGTCGATCGTTCTGGACCAAGCGCATATATTCATGAACCTTGGGCTGCAGGCATGTTTCATATCCTAGCGATGGGCCTACTGATGAACATACACGACTGGGAATACTAGACCTGCTGGTAATGTCTGCTAAAGCATTCCCGACATTTTCTCTTGCCGACGAAAATGGCATAACAACATATTAGAGGCAATTACCCACGGAAAGCGCCGTAAAGCACAACCTCGTTAATTTTGATAACTCCTACGTGAAAATCTAAGGTCCAATCATCGAGGTTGATACAACTGGTGGGAAAGGACCTCGGTCTTTGGAGTGCAGAGAGCAGGCATCCCGTAGGGTGTTTTTTAAAAGCACAAAAGACCATAGCAAAACCCTGACAAATCGGTTGCTTCTTGTCGTCCCATTTGATATCGTGATAAGTATCTGAAACAAAAGACCGAGGCATAGGAAAGTACATGATAAGAAGAAACTTGAGTAGACTTTTCAAGCTCAACATATGTTTTATGACCCGACGCCATGGACATCCATTTCCAACACGACGGTGTTCATTCCAGGCCGGCGCTTGGTCTAGTCTACAGGTGGCTCGCATTTGAATATGTCAATTTTCAGGCGCGGTATTCCTGGAAGTGAAACCATCCTGTCAGGAAAACAAAATCTCGAGATACATATTGCCCGTTGATTGATTATGAGCGAAAAATCTTAAACGATCTATAGGGTCGATTAGTTTTAAGCACACTTTCAATCGACATGCACTCGGCTCTGAACTACAGACAATCTCGAAGATCAGCGTGTGATCGCTGTCGCGGATTCAAGCTCCGCTGTGAACGGGACCAAGTCAACGGCAGATCGTGTGAGAGGTGTCTCAAAGCTCAGGTTGTGTGTACGACAAGTGTTGGACAGCCTGCTCCACATTATCTACCATCAAAAGGCGATTCGGGCACTTTATCCAGAGACTGTAATCGAGTGCTCACCAGTGAACGAATGCCGATGCCTGTTCTCCACAGATCATCTGCCTCGAAAGTGAGGAAACCACTTGCATCTTCTGGAGCATCTCGAAGACAGGTCAACCAATATTCCAGCTGTTGGAGAAGTCCGGACTCAGTTCCACCTGTATCAACTGGAAATGTTTCTTCTGTTGAGAACATTGGGTTGCAAATGTCGTCGCTTCCGGGCTCAGTATTGCCTGTTGAACAATGGAGAGACCCTTTCGCTTCCTGGGGATTAGAGTCTTATGACTTCGTGAGTCTTCTTTGGTCGTGTGAAAACAGAGGAAAAGCCCTTGCTAATTAAATTTCGATAACAGTCTTCAACAAATGACAGGCTATTCGATCCAGAATATTGCCTTTCAGATCAGCAGCCATTTCCACAAGCCGTCATGATGGATCGGTCACTCAATTTCCAAAATGAGTCAGATACAGAGACATATGTCCCTTTCAACTTGGGAACATTTGGCTTCACCGACCAGACCCCAAATCCCACCATGGATGGAATTTGGAATCCTCATTGGGAAAGCATTTACGTACCTACTATGGATGATGAGCCACCGATTCCAACCACAACGGACAGGGCTTCCACCAGCTTATTTGGTCTACGTAAAAGGCTCCTCAGGCTTGATCTTGACTTGATCGATGATCTGGAGTTGTTAGAGTCTGGATCCATAATTATGGGACCTTCGTGTCTCCTCAAAGGAGACATTAGCCCAACGATTGGAAAACTGGATCTCCCGATCTTTCGCATGCTCAGCCATTCAAAACAATTCATGGGTATCCTAGAGTCCGGGAGCATTGCAACGGAGGATTCTTACAACCTGGCAACGGGACTTAAGTCATCTGAAAAGGCACCAAATTCCGAACACGATACAAACTCACCACCTACAGATATCATGGGTAGCACTGTGGAGGATGTGGAAACCACATCATCTTACGACTCTGGATACTTGACCATGATGGAATCCTCCCCAGATCAGGCCAGGAGATTAAATCATCAGAGGTGCGACATATCGACATCACTCAGCATTCTAGCAGCGTATTGCCATCTCATTCGTGTTTATCGAGCGATTTTCACGCAGCTTTATCAATTGTTTCTCATTATTCCTCCTGCTGATGCTGCTAAATATCTGCTTCTTCCAAATTTGCAATTTGGACAGTTTCACATGGACGGAAATTTGACCGTTCAAGTTCAAGTGCTGATTGAACTTGGCTCGAGCATGCTAGCTAAAATTGAACGGGCTCTGGGCATGACTCAAGCCCAAGCTCGAGAAGCAAATGGTGAGATTAGCCCTGTGGCGTACATTTTGGATGGCGGCCCCCTGGTATCTATTCGAGATCATATCATGGCCCAGGAGCATGAAATGTGCGGAATTACGTTGAAGGAAACAATGAATTGTCTTAGGCAACTTCTGAAAGACCCAGCCAACATGTGATTTTGGTCTATGCTTGTCCCCTTCATATATTAATTAAGTTGGAAGTGCCCTAAGCCGGGTTGGCTTATGCTATTTAAAGAAAACTCCTGGAAAATGTCTATACCGAGGTATATACATTCTGTTACCGATGCCCGTTTCCAAACGAATTCTCTAATAAAGTTGGTGCTTTTCAAGGTGGGATATTCAGCCATCTTGCTAAAACTTGGGAATCTAATATCGAGAGCAATTATTTCAATCATATATAGAGCTGAAACAAACCTGTCCATTCCTATGAGCGTAGTGGGTGTCAAGCGGAACCCCTGCATATTCCGAGCCCGATGCCGAATCCGAACATGCAGAGCCTGTCTTACGAGCGGCCCATGTGTCAGATAAAAGGTAGTGACATATTTAAGGAGACAAGTTAGCTGGTTCCACAGGGCCAAGTTATAGTTCTCTTCGAAGTTGTTGTCAGAATCATGGCTGCCCCTGTCTTCAAAGGTGCAACCAATCTATTGGGAACGTGGAACTTGGTAAGAGTGGGCCGTTTCAAAGAACTCAATACCGGATTGACGAGAGTTCTAGAACAGGAAGTTGTCAGATGATCCCGACAAAATATTTTCCCTGGTATGGACAATTAACCAGAAATACTGTACAGACGGATATGCTAACGATTTAATAAAGCAAGGCGTACCCTGGGTGGTTAGAAAGGTCCTCCAATATGCAAACCTTTCATTAGAAATTCAACAGGCAATTTTCCTGCCAGATGGGACCACCACAGAATTTAAAGTCGATGATTCTGGGCTCGACTCTCCAGCCGATGCGATCACAATCCTTCGCATCAAACAGACTGTCAACCCCGGCGGATTTAACAGCGAAGGGATATACCACCTGGACGGAAACCTTCAATCCTTTTCGCTTCCTATTTTCGGTGATGTTAGAATGAAATTGCAATACATAAATGTGGCAGATATTCCCAACGAGCCTCTACGCCAGAGGCTGGACAAAGCGAATCCGTCCAGCATCGTCATTGGCGAGGTTGCTCACAATCGAGCTAAAGGATGGGAGGCGTATGTTATCTGGGCCTTTGAACTCGTTGACGGAAAGAGATATCTGACTCGTAATGTTTCCACCTCCAAGGGCAAACAAAAGGTGGAGGCCAGGATGGTCTATGATTATCATGCTTAGGCAGCATTATTGTATCATCATCCATATTTGTGTGTGGAACTTGTTGAAACAGTCAAGCGCGAGATTTATTAGTGAACTCAAGTAGATCTTATTAAATGAAAGCAACTTACCTCGAATGAACAGAGGGTTGCACCAAAATAAAGACAATGCGCTACTTAACCTGAGGCTGAACGCATGGAAACTTCAATGCCATGCTTGAGACCATTTCATTAACTTTACAAGGTGGTTAGAAATCTAATTAATAATTCCAGGAAGACACGACATTTGAAATTTCATTCATGCACTTTCCTGTAGCGAGACAATCAACTTTTTCCCCGACACATCTCCTCTCTTAAGCATCTCTAGGCCTTGTAGAATTCCATCAAAACGCCCAGGGATTACTTCAACAGGGCTTGGTCTGAGCTTGCCTGCGTCAATCAAAATTTGAAGCGCTCGGTACCAGGGACGCGCCCACGCTGCAATTTCTGGCCTGGGCGGAATCCCGTAAGGCTCAGGCAGTTCCACACCTTTACCGGAAATGGCGCCTCCCATGACCAACTCATGTTGGACGGTCTTTCGTGAAATCAGCACCTCATTGTACTGCTCCAGCGCGCAATATCTTCCACCCGTTCTGCCAATAGCTTCCTGACACAACCGGAGTGTTCTCGTTTCTGCAAACGGATCAAGGACATAACGGAGTGCATTCTTAGTAGCCGTGCGAATGTCTCGCGCACATGTAGTGGATTTGTAGTCGAACACTAGATCGGCACCATAGGATTTCACCAGCCCAAAATTGTGAGGTGAGCACGTCGTGATCACCCGATGGCCACACCTGATAGATACTGGTTCAGTCCTGACACTTCTGTATCCGTACAAGGGCTTACTCACAGCTTCAGCATTTGAATGGCCAGCAGCCCGATGGTAGAGCTTCCTCCATATACCAAAACGTCTTCAGACTTGGCTGAAGGCTCAGTCAAATTTCCTGGCAGCTGAAGGGACCAAAATAACGCAACTCCAAGAGTAGCAATACCCGTGCACGACAGAGCCGGCGCGATTGTGAGCGGGGTCCCCTTCGGTACATGGAAAGTAAAATCTGGTTCCGCCCGAATGTACTCAGAGTATGCCCCGGACTGAGGATCAGATTGGTTTGAGCCTTGTACTGCACCAAAAACTCGATCTCCAAGGCAAAATCGTCCTTCTGAAACTGCTTCACTGCCTAGTGCAACGACTGTACCGGCGAAGTCACAGCCATCCCAGAGACCCCGAGTTGGAAATCGGAGAGGCATCTTAAAGTCACAAGGGTTAAGAGCCACGGATGCGGTACACACGAGCATCTGGTGAGGACTGAGTTTTGGAATGGGTGACTCCGGCGTAATTTGAAGGACCCCGCCCTCCTGTTGGAGGATGACGGTCTGCGTAGCGGGAACATCGTGGGTATCCATTCTGAATTGCTTTTAATGTACTTGCGCGAGTTAGAATCACTGGGGTGGGAACCTTCACTTCAAGGACGGCAAAGGCAAATAAATAATCGGAGATGAGAGCGTAGCACACTTGGGAATCTAATGAGCGGTTCTCGCCGTTGACTGTCCGAGTCATTATACATTCAGGTCGTGCAAGCTGCTTCTGTTGGTTCCACAAAACCGAGTCTAAAACAAAACTGCGTCTGATTCAAAATATTGCACTCGGTCAGCCTGGTATAGGAAGACGGGGTCCAGCCGTCCGGGCTGTCGTAATCCCCGAGCGAGAATATCCCCGACAAAGATGTATGGGGTCCATAGATGGCTGTGAAGTCTTCCAGTACATAATTTTCATTTATTCAAACCTCTCGGGTTTCCAATTTCCATCTGGGTTAAAGCGTCTGGGCAGATAATTCCCTCAACGAAGTAAGCCAGAGCGGCCCACGAAGAAATTGCGAGATTGAGAAATGCGCAACATTGCCACTGGAGCGACTCAGCCGGGGTCTTCCGCGCTCCAGAATAGTCAAAAGGTGACATCTTAGGATCCATGATCTGCCCGAGCTCGGGAATATCATTACACGAGTCCACGAATGCTCGGCAATGGCGATCGCCCCGCATTCTCCGCTTCTGCGATTCCGTCATTGCGCACGAGCCTGTCACCATTCGAGCCGACGACCCGGACCATTTCCGATGTCCCGATGCCATCGTTCTGTGCTTTGATTGTTTCTCAGAGCTGGATTATCTCGGAAGTATCGCGATGTTCTGGCGACATGACTTCGAGCAGTCCGAAAGCATCTCGGTCGCGATTCGGTGAGTGTGGGCCCTGCATATGGATCGGTAATCTTTAACACGGTGCAGGCTGTCGCACTTGTCGCGCCCGTAAAGTGAGAACACGAGGATCGCAGTTCTGTGCGGTTGATCTGACATTGAGCCCTTCTAGGTCAAATGCGATGAGCGGCCCGGGGAATGTGGCAACTGTGTCCGCCTCCGCCTGGTATGTTTGGGATATTCTACATCTTCTCCGGTCCAAGAAATTGCAAAGTACCCAGGTGAGAGCTCGAAGCGAAAACGGACCTATCGCTCTTGCACGGCATGTCGAGCATCCAAGACTAAATGCTCTGGGGAGCGACCGATGTGCCAAAGATGTCAAGACAAGGGCCTGAGCTGTGTTTATTCCGAATCGTCTCAGCCGAACTGGATCCGACGTGCTGAGGTGCCTGCCAAAGACACTGAAACGGCACTTGCGACTCCCGCATTCAATCCCGAGTCTCCCAATCATCCACAACCAGCTTCGATGCTGTCGAGTGAGCAATGCCACGCATCACAATCTCCATCTCATTCAGCTCGGCAGTCATTTACGAGAGAGGAAAGTCAGTTTCAAACCTCGGCTCTTAACTGGTATGGAGAAGACACTACGGTTGGGCGATATTTTGGCTTATTATCACGTCAGGTTAAACGCTCCACACCTTCCAACGCCGTGGAAGATCGGTCTTTTGGTTGAGGAGTATTTTAACAATATTCACCCGCTGCGATGCTTTGCATTTATCCACCGACCCTCATTTTTGCAGAAATTGGATAAAGACGTATCAAAGAGGTCGCGTAATAATGCCCTGCTGCACATTATTTGTGCCTTAGGTGGCCAGTAAGCACGAGATTTGCCCCCCGAGATCAACGTAAAAGTCACGAAACCCTCATGAAACTTTTGCAGATTCTACGCCTTGGCATACAGTGAGACGGTGTCTCCAGTTCCATCGAAGTTCGTTCTGTCAGCTGGAAGCGAATGGGCCAAGGTCGCGCAGCGGCTGATTCTCGAGACTCTCGACACTGTTAGGAACGAAAATCTAATGGTCAATCGCGTCTTACCAATCCCCCACCTGAACGAATGCTAAATTATTACAGGCAGCCGTTTTACTTCACGACTATGCAGTCCGCATGGGAAATTTTGCAAATGCATTCATGCTCAGTGGACTGATCACGCGTATGGCTCAGGCTTTACAAATTAACCTGGAGTACAACACCGACCTTCTTTGTCAAAATAATGACTACGGACCCTCTGCCACAGCTAAAGAGTCACGGAGACGGCTTATGTGGAGTTGTTATGTGATGGATTCTCTCGTCGGCAGCGGAGTAGATCAACTCACGCTTGTGGATGAGAAGGACATGAAGATTCAGCTCCCGTGCAATGAAAGAAATTTCATGCAGCAAATTCCATGTTTTACAGAGACCCTTCAGCCAGGGAACTGGCTGAAGTTCATCCCCGGTGAACTTGATATTGGCACACTGCTACCGAATATGGGGATAATGGCCCACTTCATTAGACATATCTCTATTCGCAAGCGAGTCCTGAGGTAAGACAATATGTACCGTGAGTCACCAGACATGGAACCTTCAGCTGACAAGTACAAAGGTACATAAAGCACCTCGATGAGGCGATGGTTCCATGGAATCCCAACTCGGAATTTGCCACGCTAGATGCAGACTGCCGTGCATGGTATGAGTCTCTGCCGGCTAGTCTACAATTCACGCCCGACGCGATCTACATCAGAAAGGATTCATCGCAATTGGGAGCACTTTGTGTATTACATTGTGCACACTATCAGACCGTATGCGACTTGTACCGATTAGGGGCTCCTGCCCTCTACAAACTTCGGGCTGCCTTCGATTTTCCACCAGAACAGCAAGGGTTTCTCAGTCATCTGCAGCAGATCCTATTTGATGCTGCTAGAACTCTGGCAACCATTGTTGGAGAAACATGCCGGCATGGAACCCGAATGCTGTCAGACTCGTGGCTTCCAACGATTACATACGATAGTTGTCGGATCATGGTGTACCATCTCACGCAGATTCTGGACCCTCGTTTGGAGGATACCAAGAGTATCACGATGGAGACGCTTCCTCTTTTGCAAAGCAACATCCACGCCCTGAGATTGATGGGAAATCTCAATGGGATTTCGAATTCCTTGGTAGGTCACGGTCTCTCTGGATAAATCTAAACCCATTCTTCAAAGGGGGGCTAATTGGGTTTTTATTTGGCAGTGTTCTGCGGCGGAGACTATGCTTGATCGTTCTGGCATTGGCTCCGAGGTAGTAGCACAAAATAGCGTACCCGACGACCCGTATCAGTCTATCGACGGAGCAGAACATGCAAGGTCAGCCACTCACAACTCTAAATAGCGGGTCAATTACTGAACTATTCGCCCTGCAGTGAAAGTGTGCCGGGCACCCCTGTTCAAAGTGCACCTGATTACGTTCTTAACCCCTTATCCATCTTTCGCATGGCCCGGAAGTCCATTCCGGAGCGACATGCCCCAGAAAAGGCTGCCACAGCGTCTGCCCCAAATAGCGCGAGGCCTGAGTCGAACGCGGACGCTGATCCACCGTCTACTGGTTCTACAAATCATGTGCAGATACCAAACGCAGTCACCAATGAACCCGAATCATGTCAGGCGAGTCTAGAGGAACTACAGACAGTATTCATGTCTGACCTGGGATGGGCGTGGCAACCGGCAGACACAGCTGTGGGGTCTGGAATTGAGACGGCCGGTTTATTACCGTGGGCAGGAGGATATTCTACCACACAGGCAGAACCATGGCTGCCTGTTTTCCCGTTTCCACAGCAAACTTGATTTATTGAAAGGGCATATCTCTGCAGCGGACTGCAGATGGTAGTTGGTTGATATTTTTGTAAACAGTCGGGATAACTAGGAAAATAGCCCCGGGAGCCCCTCACGGCTTACCTTCCAAGGGATGTTGGCGGAAGAATATCCCAAGTTCTATGGCTTATGTATTCTTGCATTTACACAATTTACTTCAATCCTCGAATGGGTTACTTGGTAGTGCCATTTATCCTCATCTGGTGCTAAACGTGGTTGAAAATCATTGTCAGTCTCTTTGCAAGTGCTGTGATCAAACAGAGCTGTAACGAAGGTCATGGTGCAATCTACAAAAAAAGGATACAGCAACTGAGAGAATTAAGACGTATATATGGGTTTGTTCACATCTTCACTCCGCATCCAGAGGACAAACGGGTGGTTGGTCATTGACCTGGATACCTCCTCGCTTCTTCTCCATTGAATCATGATATGGAAGCTTCCAGCCACCGTCCGACTCAGGTGCAGAAAGCCAAAGACGCATCAAGTGTCTGCGGCGGGCAGGGTTGCCATTCTCATCTACAGCACCAGGGGGATGGTCGGTATACGCAGTCCGTGCGTGGAAAACATGGGAGTTGCTGACGAACTGAATGTCGCCTAGTTCTAGAATCATGTGAAGAGAAAGCTCCGCACAAATCTTTTCGAAAATCTCCATTGCATATCTCTGCTTGTCAGATAGAGGAGGGATGCGAGCGTCCGGTCCAGAGTTGAATCGTGCCAGCGAAGTCACATTCATCGGATCGAATCTCGCGTATACTCGGGGGTTATCGCTACGCTCGTTCTCGAGGTAGAAGATACTGCCCCGAATCCACTGCTCTTCGCCCTCTGAAGTCTCACCCTTGCGATCAAAGTACCAGTTGGGCTCAACGAGTGTTTGAACGACATCCGGGTGCCTTTCCTGTAGCACATTGAAGACATTGTGAGTTGATGCAATGTCTGATTCACCACCAGAGAGAGATTTAGCAATACAGAGAAGTCCGACGATGTCCGATCCGTCCGTGTGGAAGTATTGCCTAAAGGTTCCGTTAGCGGCTGACCTAGATCTTCCTCACTTCGATCCTCATCACCTACCGAGCATTGGTGCGGTAAATGCGAACTCGGTCAGTTTTGGTTGGATCTTCTCCCAGATCCTTGACGTGGCCCAGAACGTGTCCACGGCCATTTTGGCTCACGAAGTATCCAATGTAAGTGCCCAGACCCATGTACGCCGTCGCACACTTTTGAAGACTCCACTCTCGGGCAGGAATGCCTTTGAAAAGATAAAATCCTTTGCCATCAATCAAGTCCTTGCGCAGAACCTCCAGACGGCGCGAAAGGGTTGGAAGAGGGAAATTGGTCTGCGCGCGATATTAATGGAAGAACAAGTCACAGCGAGGAAGCAGCTCACCTTGGAGATACCAGTCAATGGCACTTGTTTCTGAATAAACTGATCTGCAGCCTCGCCAATCTCTTTAATTTCATCGTCGCTGAATCGGTGCGTCCACAGCTCGGGATTCTCGCGATAGTCTTCAGCCTTCCATACAGTAGGACCAGTGTGAACCTTCGGAAAGTCTGCATACGGTCGAACTCTGGAATAAACGGGGGGTGCTGTCCAGATGTCTTCAAGCCGTCTGGAAACTTGTTGACGTCAACCCCGTTCAAGGGCAGACCCTGGGAAGTAGCAGTCTCAACGACTGTAGCCATGATGAGAAACAGCAAATCAATTCAAGACCAAGGTTAAAGCAGACCAGAAGGGTTCCGAGCGCCACACTGCTTAACAGAGATGCTCGTCTTATATGCTTCATTGCACGAAAGTAAACCCCGTACTGTCATAGCCCCGCATCGGCCTGTCGTGTCGACAGACCGCGGTCTTCCGGGCGCTCGCCAAGTTTGCAGGAACAAATGGGAATTTCGATGGTCTTACGCCAAATGGTAGTAGTATTTGGTCTCGGGTCGTCGGCAAATCGGCAAGAACTCCGATTCTGCCACAATCACGCAAAATGGTGTGCGAATACAATAGTTTCGAAATCGGCTATACCTCCACACTATTCTCACTTGATTCAAGGAAATAAATCCGAAATACGCTGATGACCTGATTTCGGATCACCGCTCTGTTGTTCCAGCGGAATGTAATGGTAATGGTTGTCAAAGCCCGAGGATTATACCGATTCAGACATCGACCATATGCGACACGTTGTCTCATACCGCAAGCGCCATCTCGCGCAAGAGGAACACGCTAAACGTGACTTCAGCAGCAAAAGCTACAGGTCGTTGAAGAACTGGGGACACGATGTCTTGAAAACCTCGCCTGATGAGTAAAGAAAATTATTACTGCGCTCCTTTTTTTGGATAAATTGGGTTTCTATTATCAAATGTTCGGCGTCGGCAGTTGTCTTCGTATTGAAGTTCACTACTCTCTGTTCAATCCATATAGGGACAGTTCTCTTGTGTCATTTCTACCATTGCCTTGAAAGGCTTCGCTACCATGAAATATATCATTCAATACGCAATCAATCACATCAAAGCTTGCTTTTGAGAGTGGCAGCCTTTGGAATTCCCCATTTTGAAATATCCTCCTTGGTCTGGCCGTCCACTGCAAGCTCTGCTAGAGCCCGGCCAAAGGCAGGAGCAAACTTGAAAGCATGGGCGGCTCCCAGCCCAACAATAATATCAGGGTGGTTTTCCAGCGGACTGATGATGAACTGTCGGTCGGGAGTGATCGCGTACTGGCAAGTCACTGTGCGAAGCGGTTGGCGCTCTTTGTCAGGGATAAAGCCCTTCATAAAGGATGTCAGCTGCTCGAGCAGCTGGGGTGAATGTACGAATGTGCGTTGATCAGGAGTCATAAAGTTGTTGGAGTAATCGCGGCCAGCCTTGATGGTTGGCTCGCCGTAACATGGAAATCCGTAGTAGCAATTAGTGCCTTGCCAGATCCACACGGGAAACCGATCGGTGTGAAAAGGAGCCGCGTCGGTGGGCTTATAGTATGTCACCTGTTCCTGCATAACGGAAACTGGGATATGGACGGAGAGAGGAGCGAGGAGCTTGTTAATCCATGCATCCGTTGCAAGAACGACCTTGGCGGCTTTGAATCGCCCTTTAGGTGTCTCGATCACGACACCACCCGATGCCTGGGGTGTGAGGCGATCGACCGGTGTGTTGTCTTTCAAAACCGCGCCGTGAGACCGCGCCAGAGATTGCAAAGTGCCAACCGTCTTTGCAGCATGCGCGATACCAGAGTCGGCCGTGAACACCGTGGACACGTTGTCGGGGATGTCAAATTGAGGCCATCGCCGCTTCACTTCCTGGGAGTTAAGTAGTTCATATGGAACATTCTGAGAATCCAGACTCTTCGTGAAGTCGCTAGCTGGGGTTGGTGAATCTGGAGCAAAGAATACAACGCCGCCGGTGACAGTCAACATCTTGTAGCCAGAATCCCTTTCAAGTTCCGCCCAGTCCTTGTAAGCTGATTTGGCGAGCGCGACATATTCCGGTGCGAAATTGGACGTTCGAACAATGCGAGAAGTATCATGAGACGCTCCGCGCACATGGCCAAGCTCGAACTGCTCGAATGCAATCACTTTGGCGCCCTTTTTGGCGGCATAGTATGCCGCTCCACTTCCAAGGACACCAAGTCCCACAACTGCGACGTCGTATTGATCCATCTTTCGTTGCCTTCTTGAAATGAAAAAATCGTGATCCCAGATATGAGGTTTCTCCGTGAATATTGCCCAGACTTTATCAGTGACACAACCCCTCCTCAACCAATGTTCCCATAGGCGTCGGTCCGTCCACGTGACTCATATACTGCGTTGATAATATTAATTGCCACGTATTCATTTAGAGTTAGAAGCAGGAATAGCAAGTAGCTAGAGATAGCCGAGCTCAAGTGGGCCCTGGCTTGTCCCATGCATGCACTTGCAGTCGGCCTTGATCCGCCAGTCATCACCACGTCACATTAGATACGCTCAGATGACCGGGGGTTCCCATAGTTCCGGCAACCTCCCGGTCACTTGACCGGCCATCCAAGCATCCTCCATCATGTAAATGCGCTTTTGGAGTTAATTCCCATCAAACACACCCTCAGTATGGCCAGCTAGAATACGCATCCTGCTGGGGCGTGTAATCTCCAACTAGCGTCGGGCTCACAGCGCCAAATTTGAAATGACCATGGTATTTTATCTCAATTCCGACTAAATCTGCAATCATCCACAACTTAGAAGGCAGTTTTAGACATACTGGCAAGCATGCAAGGTCCTTCCTTACACGTACGAATTGTATTCTCATGAGTCCCCCGCTGATGATTATTCAATTCGACATGAAATTGCTGAAGTTTTAGATGTGGAGGTTTCAAGAAACTTATGGAAACCATTTGAACGGGTTGACTTTGATTTCATCTATGTAACGGACCACTCCCAGTTAATCCAGATACATATTAAGCGGAATTTCGTAATATCGATTCCATGCCTTGAATAATGTCGGCTTTCAAATCACCAAACTCTTCGATACCGCAACTGACTCGCAGCAGCCTCTTGTCGCAGCCTGCTTCACTCATTGTCCGCCATTCCATCAGACTCTCCACGCCCCCAAGGCTGGTCGCATGCTGAAAGACGAACATTCTAGTGGGCAGTCGACGGGCGTGCTCTGGGTTCTTGGTCCACATGGAGAAAACGGGCCCGAATCCACCAGGCATCTGTTTCCGAAGCCATCCGTCCTTTAGATCATCCTCCTGTAGCGAGGCATGCTGGACATGACTGAGAACTTTCCCGACCACAGAATTGGTGTCTTTAAGCCCCTGGTGTAGCCATGCAGCCAGTCTCTCTGCTGTCTGCGCCTGTCGCGCCACTCTGAGCTGCATAGTACGAGCGGAGCGGATACCTAACCAACCCTCAAAACTTCCCATGACACTGCCAATGTATTGGCGGTCTGTGTGTAGCGTCTTCAGCCATCCTTCCTCCACGTGGTCCTGACGGATGACCAGGATTCCGCAAAGCATGTCAGAGTGACCGCCAACATACTTCGTTCCGCTATGCATCACAATATCGGCTCCAAAATCGAGGGGATTTTGCAGCGGGGGTGGTGCGAAGGTAGAATCCACCGTGAGGTAGGCACCCCTTTCGGTCGCCTTGGCCCGATAGTAGGCAAGGTTCCGAGCCTCGCCAGTGGGGTTGAGAGGCGTTTCAACGTGAATGATATCACCGGGACCAGCTTGATCAACGTCCATCAAGTCCAATTTTTGCACCCCGGTCAATCGATGGATAATGTCCAGAACTCCGTGGCACCCGTGGTATCCATCTCCGATGAAGACTTTCTTCGGGTTCAGGAGAACGACCATCGCGTGGAAGGAGGAGAGTCCAGTAGAGTAAGTGATCACTTCACCGCCCATGATGTTACGTAGCAAGATCTCCAGACGATTGGAATTTGGAGCCGTGTAGCGAGAATATACGTGGGAATCATAAGGAGCGTTTGGCTGTTACATCTGATTAGAATGGTGATTTGGAACCGCACAGTAAATTCCAGGGCTCTTACATCCTTGTTTTCCTCCGGGACAAGGTCCTCTGGGTCGCGCGCGTAACGAAAGTTTACAGCTGTGTGCATTCCGGGAGCGATGGCACGATGGGGACTGACAAAGTCATCGGCATGAATGGCTCTTGTGGCCATATGCATATCGGGCAGAGCCTTGTTCAAGGCCTCCGCCGTCAAAATAAATTTTGACCCATTCTCGGGGGCGTCGATTGATCCCATGGTGCTTTGAGTTTTCGACTTGAGAGTAGGTTAGAAGGATGCGTAGCTTTTTACCTTCGTAGTCAGTCGGGCGGCTTCGGAAGTAAATGAGAAGATTTTTATCAAGAGAAATATTGCTGAAAACCCTCATAGGTTATCATACATGCCCCAGGCCAGCAAACCAATCGGACGTTGCCCGGATATCATACAGTGAATGCCTCTGCCCACGTACGCATGACCGGATTTCTCCGTGCGGATGCGACTATGTATCAGTAAGCTTTATCATCAAAGAGCCGACCGTAGCGAGTGCCGAGGGAATGTTGTGTTGTTGCTCCGGTCTAGAATCAGCACTGTATTTCGCAATATAGTTGACAGCCGCCAAAGACACACGGTATCGTTGGAAACCCGGTATTAGGCAACACAACTCACGTTACTATTTAAAGACGGCTGACGTTGTCGTGAATGGAGTTGGCTATGGGTAAACTTTAAATCAAATACAGAAAGTAGACCGAGTTATTCGAAGATATCACCTCAGGTGCAATATATTAAATATTAAATATTAAGCTCTCTATGATGCGGAGTAGGATGTTCTTTTTGCTATTCTATTTCAATTGAAAATAAGGAATAATCATCATTACCTACCGTGGTTGAAGAGGTTGAGAGAAAGCTACCAAATAAATATATTAGATTGGAAATGAAGGATGGCGGCTCAGGATTTCCCTTGTATTTTGGGCTGTTGATGCAGGTAGCCCATCCGTGAAGTCATGTTATCCCCCCTCCGGTAAGTTAGACTTATCGCCAGTGCATTGGAACACTGCTTTAAAATTGTTCCTGGAGAGGTTGACGGTGCACACCCCCTCTTGGTGGGCACGAGAAGGCCCGGGGAGACCGGTGGCTCGCGCCCACGTGATCGGCATCGGCCCCGTCGGGCCGAACCAGCATTGCAGGTTGCATAGTTGTGACACAATTGCCGTCAAACGCGCTGACTGGAACTGCCAGATAACGGAGCTATCCGCGAACATGATGACACGGCGGGGTCGCCGTCGGTATCATTCCGAGTCAAAGCAATGCTATTCGGGGTTTCATGCCTCTTCTCGCGTGTCTAGTATGTCGTCGTGTGATCGGCGACCTTCAACGTACATTGGTTTAAATTGAGCCAGAGGACACGGAAAGTCAAAGTCGTACATATCGCGTCACTAATGAGCATCAGGAGAGTCTTTGTCTTCAATTTTCGATCGTCTGCAGACTACAACTGATCACCATGGCTGCAGCAGTCGCATCTTTGTTTGGATACAACAAGCCCGCCCCAGGTGACGTAAAGCTACCAAATGAGCCACCGAAGGCTCTTCCTGCATCCTGGTATCATGCTCCAGAAATGTACGAGTTGGAAAGGCGGGCTATTTTTTCAAAGAAATGGATCTTGGTCACCCACAAGCTGCGCTTCACGAAGCCAGGTGATTTCCTTCGGTTCGAGGAGGCGGGATTCTCCTTTGTGCTTTGCCTTGATCGGCAGGGCAACCTGAACGGATTCCACAACATTTGTCGCCATCGAGCTTTCCCCCTCGTCTCGGAAGACGAGGGCAATGCGAAAATCCTTTCTTGCAAGTACCATGGGTGGTCCTATGGCCTCAACGGAAAACTGGCCAAGGCCCCGAAGTTTGATGACGTTTCTGGATTCCAGAAAGAGAACCAGAGTCTGTTCCCCGTGCATGTTCACACTGATGCGTTGGGCCTCATCTGGGTCAATCTCGACTCGTCTACAAGTCCCGTCCCGTGGGAAGAAGATTTCAAGGGTGTCGACACACAGGAGCGGTTCAAGATATTCGACTTCAGCCAGTACAAATTCGACCACACATGGCAGATGAACGGCAATTATAATTGGAAAACACTTGCTGATAACTACAACGAATGCTACCATTGCACTGTTGCGCATCCCGACGTGGCGAATCTAGCCGATCTGTCGTACTATTATACCATTTCCACCCCTGGGCACATCCAACATTTCTCACGACCGAAGGAAGGCAAAGTGGATGATGATATCCAGAATGCGAGCACTTACTACTTCCCTAATGCCTGCATGACAGTTTCGTGAGTAGCTTCTTCTGAAAGTCTTGAAACATCAACAATCCTCGCGTACTGATATGCTTTTTTCCTTTAGACCACACTTCTTCTACATGATGCGATGCGTCCCGACGTCGGCAGGGACCTGTTCTATGGAATACGAGGTCTACCGGCATAACGATGCTTCGGATCATGACTTCGAGTATATTGATTCCTTCTTTAAGAGAGTCCTAGATGAGGATAAGCATCTTTGCAATGCTGCCCAGAAAAACCTGAATGCTGGTGTTTTTGTTAATGGTCAACTTCACCCTCGCCTGGAGAGCGCTCCGCTATTCTTCCAAAATACTGTCAGAACTCTACTTAAAAGTCATCGTGACGAGGAGCGAAAAGAGAGGAAGGAAATTTGGCCGGCTCGGCAGCATTCGGCCGGTGAGGCAACCGCAGAGGATATTGCTTTTTGCTCAGGGTTGGCATGCTCCACGGAGGGCTCTAGCAAATTGGAATGGTAAATTCAAATTGTTTAATGTAATCGCGTTTGATATCCTCAGTTAACTTTCATTATTTCCAAATTGGATACTGTCAAGAGTTCAGCCGAAACGTCTACAATTCGCTTCATTAGGGAAGGGAACGGCGCTGAAGCTTATGAAGGACCCCTAGTTTGGTTTTCAATCGATACAGCCCTAAAAAGGCCAGGCCACTCCATTCCAAGATATGCAAAACCCAATAACCCACCGGGTTATGTCATCAGTTTCCGCTTATGGGTATGCTTTCCCTGCGTGGGTCAAGGAGTGGGAGCGGGTGGATCGTCCCTCGTGTTATCTGGCGAAATTTCACGGCTCGTAACCCGATAACCCCGCGCTCAGCCCTTAAATGCTTAGCTAGATCAGCAAACCTGCAATTCTCTCGCTCTATATTTGCTTTATCGGTATTCCTGATGAATAATCGTGTCACGAAGAGATCACATCAAGCCTGTGAAAATTGTAGGTGAGTAAGAGCCGTGATGAGCCATGTGTAAACACCCTTTTTACTGGTTTTCCTACAGGCGAAAGAAGACGCGATGCCCGGGGGAAAGACCCGCATGCTCAACCTGCACGCGACTGCAACAGACATGCCAGTATAGCAGAAGCTATGAGACGTTGGAGAGATCGTTGGGGGGGGATCGGGTCTTAGTACGGGTCATCCTGGAAACTAGGCTGCAAAAAAGCTGATTCAAAGCAGGAAGACAGATTGCAGCAACTGGAAGAGAAAATGGAACTGATGCTTGAAGGTCCGGAGTAAGAAAAGTTTTCACTCTTCAATCTCGTCACATTGCTGATTCCGCCAGGTCGAATCGCCAAGTTGGTACCCCTAAGTCGCATTCTCGCGGTCTTCACAGCCGTGAAAATACGTCGGAGTCGGGTGATTTCCAGGAGACGCCCATGATACAAAAAATGCCCAGTGATGAGGCAGTCCTTCAAAATGGCCACAGACTACCCGTGCCAATGCCGCCGAAACATATTATTAACGAGGGTGTTGCACTCTACTTCCAATACTGCCACAAGCAACCTCTATGGCTATTTGATCCCGAGGATTTAGCCCGTCCAGAAAACTGTCGCAGTGAGGTGATATTTGGCATACTCAGTCTCTCTTTATGTTACTCGGACAGCCCCGCACTGGAAGGAAGAACAGACCAAATGTGCCGGCAATACGCCGAAGCCGCTCGCAGCTATGCCATGTTTCGAATTGCCCAAGGCAATGTGAACCTTTCAACATTGCAAAGCTTCTGCTTGATTGCGATGGCTGAATATATCGGTGAGAACACGGTTTAGAGCAATGATTGGTAATTCACTAATCCCATTTCCAGCCAATGACACTCATCTCGCGAGGCTTCACATCGGTCTTGCGACAAATTTAGCCAAGTGTGCAGGAATTGACATCGAATTACACGAGGGCAAATTCACCCCTGAATTAGAAGAACGGCGAAGAGTGTTTTGGAGCATCCATCTTCTTAACCAGCAATATGCGCCGCACAGTATGCAGTTGAATATGTTGCGAGACATCCATAGCCCGAAGTACATGGCTGCCAACACTGACTATTCACGGGAAATGGGGATGAAGCCGCCTCAGATACCCCAAGAAAATGGTGCCTTCACCACAAGAGGAGGTATTTGGGTGTATATGGTGCAACTATCAACGCTATGGAGTGAGGTGCAGCAATATGTCTCTCATTGCGCCAGTGGAGATACGACACCACCGTGGTCAGTTGACTCTGGCTATTGTATCATTGGGGCTCACCTGATGGATATTGAAACGAAATTTCCTACCTCACATCGTTATGACTCAGTCAGGTTTCAGGAGCAGTCGCGAGCAGAACTGAATCGTGATCGTGGGTATTGGAGCCCCTGGCTGTATCTCCAGTTCACCTATCACGCAGTCCACAGCGTCCTCAACCATCCTTTTCTTTACTCTTGGCGACCGCAGCAGTCTGCCCAACTTGCCGTACCCAACACGTTCTGGAAGACATCCTCGGAGTTGGCTCTTATTCATACGACGTGGACGGTTCGCCTGATTGACATGATTGCCGAAAAGGAGTATCAGCTTTCTGACCCATTCCTTGGTCATGCTGTAGCGATCGCGGCCACCGTTCACCTGTATTACTGTCGCGCCGCAGATCCAGTCGTCAGAGAGTCCGCGCAAAGAAAATTGGACACTTGCACAACATTCTTGAGTGATTTGGCGAGCAAATGGCCACGAATCCAGTCACTTGTAAGTTTGGACCGATGACACTATTTCTTTATCTCCCTAATACTTCCAATCTAGTATCAAAAGATTCAGAGACTTATCCAATCGGCATTTGCCGTCAGTCCATATTCAACTCAGCACAGGATGCCTCGAAGGACACTCTCCATAGACACAGCATTGATGTGGGATATTCTTTGTCACAAGTCCACAAAGACGCCCTTCGATCCTCCAGGGGAAGGCCTTTTTGATGCGTCATTTTTACAGCCACTTGGACAGATGGATCCCGATCAATTGACAGTTGAGACCGAAATATTCCATCATTCTGCAACGGCAGTGGATATGTCTGATGGGGGTCAAGCGCTGCCGCCATACTCGAGCACATTACACGATCGAGCTACATCTAGAAATGTCGAACAAGGTCCTTGGAATCGGAATAATGTGGTATCAATGGAAAATGGTCCTAATGAGGGATCACTTCCACGGGAACCATTGGCGTGGTCGGCATCCGGGTTTCCAGGGGATCTGTCTTTTATGGATGTTACGCACGATCCATTCTTCCAATTTCAAGACCATGAAAATCCTTATCGGGGCATATGGGAAATAGGAAACCTATGATTATAACTTTATAATGTCTTGGAGGGTTCATTTCGTTACAGCGAGCGCTAAAGAGGATTATCTTTTCGCGTTCGGATCCCTTGCCCAAGTGTAGATTAATCACTGACCAGATGAAATTTCACAACTTTTGAACTGGTCAAAGTAGCTACAGAAGTACAACAAATCTCATTATCAAGTGCACGGCTCTGTATTTCAAGGTTCCCTTATGGCTGGGTCTTTTTTATCCTTCTCTGTCCAGATGAGGGGAAGCGAATGTCTTTGCAATGAGCATGTGCAGGGATTTATTATCATTAAGAGTAACAGATCCAGTAAATATCTTGGTAATGCCAATTTACTTGAACATTCCACAATCCAAAAAGGCTCGCAAGAAGGCTAAGGCCGTCACGCGGGCGAATTCCCGTTTCGTCAGCACGGAGTCGGGGCGATGTGGACGGAGACCGACGGTGCCATCCGTTATCGTCTGAACTAAACTCATTTTTCGATAGCCGAAAGACAAAGAACTTGGCTCAAGCCCCTTTTTACAATGGTTTAGTTGGACTACAAGGGTGGGCTTTCGCTATGATGCTGTTATTTTCCATCTATTGGGCATGTCTGTGCGATAAAAAAGGATGCTCATATTGAGGCTTGCCGGGCAGTTCTACGCATGATATATGGCCTGGTTTTCTGTGAAACTGCGGTAGAAAGGTAGTCGAAATTCATGTTCTGATCAGATGCTCTTCCTTCCACGTGATTCGAGAGGGAAAAAGGCCGCTAGAATACCAGCAGCTCCCATCAAAGCAGCACACACGTAGATAGGAACTGAGCTGGATGTTGATGTAAACGCGCCAATGAGAGCCGACACCGTACCCATCAGTCGATTCAGTGCGACAGCAATGCCATTTCCAGTGCCGCGGTGCGCAGAAGGCAGAATCTCAACAGTGTAAGCGTACAGAGTAGCGTAGTAAATGTTAATCGAGACCGAGATTGCGGAGGCAAACCCTATGTTTTGCTGGCCTGTCTTGACAGCCGTATATCCAAAGAAGAAGATCACTGTAAAATGTGAGCTGAGACTATCCTCAATGATCATTGGGATTGATACTTACTGGTAATCAGTGCCCCAACTGCCATGGTTCGTTTTCGCCCAAAAAGAGGCAATTCACAAAAGAAGGAGGCTATAATAGGGCCTGGTATCGCACACAGATTGGTGATTGCGTAGTTACGCCATGTGAGGTAGGTCGAACTTGCACCGGTAGATGAATCTCGAGATGCCAAATATTCTGGCAAATAAACGTAGTATAATGAATATCCTAGTCCAATGAGAGCCCATGATAACCAGACTAAACATGTTGACAAGGCCATCGTTCGATTTGCGAACAAACCTCGTACATGTACAACCACTTCGGAGAGAGATGCTTTGTTCTGGGCATGTGCACTGTGGATTTGACCGTGAGCCTGAAGCTGATCCAGGGTGAGGGAACATGACCGGTCGTATTTGTGGGCGAGGTTTTCGAGTGTCTTCACAACATCCTCATCCCGGCCTTGGCAAAGAAGAAACTTTGGAGTTTCATGGAAACGGATGACCACCACGCGTAACATGCTTAGGACAAAGACCAGGGCGCCGCATGTGTAAAACAGGTATCTCCATCCCATGTTATTGGCATTCGTACATGGAACTGAGCCGTCGAGGGGGCAACTATAGTCCGCTGGTCCTGCTTATTAGCGCATGAAAAATGACAGGGAGTAGGAGAACAATCACCCATGAAGGGCCATGCAACGAGGCCGGCCACTGTTTGACCCACTCCCCACCACCCGGCTAGGAGAGTCAGAAGCCATTGCTTGTTGGAAGGAAGATATTCCAAGAACACCGTTGTGTCCAGTACGAGATTTCCGCCAGAGCCAAATGCCGAGATTGCCACCATCGTGGCCCACGCGGCATAATTTGGAGCTGCGCCGGAAGTAATAGCAAATATGGCGCTGATGAGCAGGGAGAAATTGAATGCCCATTTTCGTCCGATGATGTCTGCTGTACCGCCCCAAAACAAGGCACCCGCTAACAAGGCAAGATAGAAGCCCAATTGCGCACCTCGTTTGAACTTCGGAGGGTACTGAGCTACTACTTGGTCGGCAGCTATGCTCATGAGGAAAAGCAATAGAGAGTCGACCCCATAGCTAGTATCCAGTCATTAGAATCTCCTATATATGACGGGTATGCGATCCATTTACCCGAATCCGTTGAGGAAAAATAGTTTGGTATGGTAAGGAGTAAATCCAATTCGATCAATTGCCTGGATATGTCAAAAAGGCTTCAGAGAAGAATTTCTTAATGAGTGACTCACATCGTTAACGAGATCCATCTTTGCCATTAAGGCGTGGTCAACCCCTTCCATCGACACAACATCAGTGCGAATGCCAGCTTGAGTAGAATCCGAATCCATTATCTGTTTGTCATGGTCTTTCTCGACATGGTGAGATTCCCCCATCTGTTCGAGCTTGGAAGCCATTGTGATTCTTCAAAATACACAAGCAGAGTCGTTAGATTTAACAATGGGGGCGGAATCGAGCTGTGGTCACTCTGCGTCATTAGATTCAGCGTGAAGGGTTACGTGTGGGCCAACGGTTTATAAATCTATTTGTTTACCAGATGACCGAGACCCATAATACATGTCACATTTGTAATTCCTTGCACTCTACCCGCGCCGTTCTCCTGGGCGAGGCCAGAGATTGAGTACAAGGCACCCCACATAGTACAATACGCGTGGCTTCCCAGCCATACAGAATGGATCCTGCAAGAGAAGCCGAAATATGCGGGCACGAATCAAATGTAATCCATTGTGGGGATATTGGGGAAGTTGACAGAGCTGATGCAATTGTTAGTAGGTAAAGTGATTACCGTTTGACGGTCGGCCGGTCTTCACCAGATCCGCTCACGTGACCGGAATATCGGGAGATGCCGACGGTCGACAAAGTATAAGCGCGCCCCGGTTTCCCCAGTACTTGACCTTCACTCAGTACAGTACGGCCCCACAATAGTTTCACTAAATCTTGTTAGCCTTGCGCAATCCGTCATCTTTTTTTTTCCTATTCTGTCAGTTCCAAGGAAACAAAAGCGAGCGACGAAGGTGGTTGACACCTCAGGCATTCAGATGTTGTGGGAACACGACCTGGTGATTACAGGTCAGTAGAGGCCTACTGAGACCTCAGTGGGGTGCGTAGGTCAGTGCTCAGTAGCCAGTCAGCGGTGAAAATAACTCTTTATACGACTATATTGGCTATATCCCTGAATCTGGCAATTTGTAGGACAGCCTGATGAATTTCATCGGATACTCAATCGATATATTTAATTTGCCGATGCTGGTTCGCCGCAAGACACGTTGTCGGCGCCGATACCGGCGATATCAATCCGAATGTATTTCTTCTGCAAACTTCCCAGATTCATGATCAATTGAGAAATATTTATTGCTTGTACGTTTCGAGGCTGGCACTTCCATGTTGCCTGAAATTTGGACCCATTTGACGATTTCGGGTTTATTTCTTGGGAAATATCAAATTTGAGCGTCAAAAATGAGACAAAGAACTCTGTATAGTTGAATGAAAATTGGGTGCATTTTAGCAAAAAGGGGGGGCGGGGCGCTTGGTTGAACGATTCGGGTACGGGCAAATGTGGCATAATCCAGGCATAAAACGGAGCATAAACGCGGTTTAACGGAGCGGGACTCGGCCGACTTTTCTCGGTCCACCGCGAACCTTCAAACCTTCAAATCACCACCACTTTCAATCCTCAACGTCACCATGGCCAAGTCCAAAGCTGCCAAGCGCAAGCGCAATGCGCAAGTCGACCTTCCACAAAAACTCCCCAAGGCCACTACCCTCACGCCCCCTCTAGATGGCGAGCCCAAGCACCTCAGGACACTCGTCGCGGACGAGGAACTCGACATCACCACCGAGACACTCACAGCGCTCGCACAATACCCCAACCTGACCAAGTCCAAGGCATGCAAGGACCTCCGAGTGGCAGTCTATGAGTTCCGCCAGGCTTGTACTACGGGCGTGAACACTGCTGGTATGCTGTCCAAGGCAATCTCTCGGGAAATTTGATCGTAACTAATCGTTCGATAGAGGGTGCAAACTTGACAGCACGAATTACCGGTGCCTTAGCTGACGAGAAGTACGTCGACGCTAAAATCCTGCTCGCCGAGATGAGAATACGGGGCGAACAACCGAAGATCGGAGCCCTGTGTCGTTGGGTTCGAGACCTAGACGTCGTCAGCGGCCTTTCGACGCAGCCCGCTTTCGATCGCAAAGAAAAGAACACCCAGCTCCTCTCCGTCCTCGATGCCATTCTCCGCGTCAGTACCCCGATCGACACCAACCCGAACGCCGTGACCTCAACCGCAACCTCTTCTATTGCCTTCCAGTCGGTCTGGGATCTCCGTCCTTCAACGGCATCACTCCCGATCTACGCCTCGGTCCTCGACAAATCTATTTTGAACGAGGCACCGGCATCTCCCTCCTCCATCCGTATTATCGAACAGACCGCCGGCCCACTTCGCAAACCTCCCAATCACCATCCCGCTATCCTCTACACCACCGTTCCGAATGCAGTCCCACTATCTCCCGTCAGCTCGTCTATAACATACTACCCTCATCCCGCCGTGCCAGGCCTCGGCCTTGCTCTGGATGTACTATCTCCTGCCGAGTGCAGGGCTATTATCGCCGCAGGCGAATCCGTCAATTTCATACCCGACGCGCCCTTGCGCGAGGATGGCGACATAAGCATTCTTGCCCACAACTTCTACTGGATTATCGATACCACCTTTCACGACATACTCTGGGCGCGAATATCCCCCTACGTGCCACCTTCCATAAACGGGCGGCTGGTTCGAGGCATCAATCGGCGTTTCCGCGTTTACAGATACGTCCCCGGTGCCGAGTATCGGTGCCATATTGACGGAGCTTGGCCTCCCTCCGGCATCCTTCCCGACGACACTTATGTTTACGATTCCTCACCTAAAGAAAAAAAGCAGAGCTCTATGTACACCTTCTTGCTATACCTCAACGATGAATTTGAGGGCGGAGAGACGACTTTCTTCATGCCAGCTGCGCGAGAGGGAATTCTCAATGCTTACCCCGTGCGACCTGTGATGGGAGCCGTTGCGATATTCCCACACGGGGAGTCGAACGGAGCCTTGCTACATGAAGGGACCGGAGTAAGGAAGGGCGCAAAATACATTATCAGGACGGACGTAGAGTATGACGTCGAGCCAAGCGAGTCATAATCCTGCCAGACACAAATAATGTAGCACTTGACTTGGACATACGGAGGGCATTTGGCGAAGCGCGGAGATATTTGTACATCCTCCTTGAGACAAAATCTTGGAAATGCTCCCTCGGGTGTAGCAGGCCTACCCCACAAACTTTGATACCATTGAGACACCCATAGCATATCTCGTAAGTCAATGCAGGAAGGCCTCGATCGGCAACATCGGGTCAGGACAAACGGCGAATCCCACGCCCAGCCTGTTCGACGATCCCCCACTCCTCCTACGAAGCCCGAGGCAGGGCAAGTCGGCTACGAGCTGAGCAGGTCGGCCGAGCTCCATATTGGCCAGTTTTCCACCCTCGTCATCGATTTCAGTCCCGATCTCCAAACGGAAACCTCATCTATTGAAGTGATTGGACACGATGCTTGCGGAGACGGGCGGAGACGTGGGGGAACGCGGGGAAAGATGTGCAGATGTGCCCCCCCACACGCCGTGATCATCCCACGAAGGAAGATTGAAGGTTGCTGGACGTGGGGGTGGCCTGAGATAAAGGTCGGCCCGTAGCTGCTTTCTCCTACGGTGACCCCATACATACACACCATGTCCAAGCCAGACACCGTTCACGATGAGATGGGGAAAGGGGTCGAGGCCGAGGCCCGACATCAGCGAGTGCCGCTGACTGAGGAGGAGAGCAAACGCATCTGTCACAAAACCGATCGAACCATTCTCCTCGTGCTCATCTGGGTCTACTTCCTGCAAATTCTGGATAAGACGGTACTCGGATACGGTGCTACGTTCGGTTTGCAGGAAGACACGGGGCTGACGGGGAATCAATATTCCCTAGTAGGATCTATTGGGCCCATCGCTCAGCTTGCCTGGCAGCCCTTCTCCTCAGTCCTCATCGTAAAGGTACCGCACAAGATTCTCATGCCGACTTTGTGTCTGGGATGGGGAATTGCTCAAGCATGCATGGCAGCTTGCCACAACTTCAGCTCCCTCATGGCTACCCGCTTTTTCCTCGGCCTCTTCGAGGCCGGATGCTTGCCACTCTTCAGCATTATCACCAGTCAGTGGTATCGCCGGGCGGAGCAGCCATTGCGCATCGCAGCGTGGTACAGCACCAATGGACTAGCCACCATCGTGGCGGCTGCTTTATCTTATGGTCTAGCCCAGATCCAGTCCGACGTCCTATTCCCCTGGCAAATGTAAGCCTGCACCCTTCAACGAAGATTTGGATCGTCGTCTTACCGTTCTGTCTAGACTTTTCCTCTTTGTTGGTTTGCTGACCATCGTTTCGGCCCCGATCGTGTACTGGCGCCTAGACAATGATATCTCCACTGCACGCTTCCTGACCGAGACCGAGAAGGCGCAGGGAGTGGAGCGTCTCCTCGCCAATCAAACCGGCACCGGTAATACCGAATTCAAATTCAGCCATGTGTTCGAAGCGGCATTGGAACCCAAGACTTACCTTTGGATCGGAATGGCCATGCTCCTCAACATCGGGGCCAGCGTGACCAATGTGTTCGGTCCGCTGATTCTCGGCGGTTTGGGCTACGACAAATATAGAACCACTCTACTGACCATGCCCTTTGGTGCACTGCAATTTGTAATCATTCTCCTGGCCAGCTTCCTGGCTCAAACAGCGCGACTAAAGGGCGCCATCTTGGCCGCCTTTATGCTTCCCGTGGTTGCCGGCCTCGCCATTCTCTTCGCAGTTGCTCGTACAAAGTCGGAGCAAAGTGCTCTTCTCGCGGGGTACTACTTGCTCTCTTTCATTTTTGGTGGCAACCCGTTGATCGTCACATGGATTATTGGCAACACGGCCGGGAGCACCAAAAAATCCGTCGCCATGAGTTTGTACAACGCGGCGACCTCTGCTGGCAACATCGTGGGTCCCTTGTTGTTTTCTTCAACGGAGGCACCCGGCTATCATCCCGGTCTGCGTGCCTGTCTGGGTATCTTCAGTGCTTTGACCGCTGTCGTGATCATTCAATGGGGCAACCTGTTGTTCCTCAATCAACAACAGGCCCGCCGTCGAGTTCGTAACGGGAAGAGCGCCCAGATCATCGATCACTCGATGCAAAGCAACTTCCACGGTATCGAAGATAATACAGACGAGGCTGGACAGGAAGTGGCTCACGCTGGGTCTAATGTTGCCGAGGATCTCACTGACCGAGAAAATGATGAGTTTGTGTATATCTACTGAGTTATATTTTAAGACAACGTTCATGAACATACCCCCTATACCATCGCCTTACAAAGCTATTACATTTGGGAATACTGGCATAGAGTAGCACTGTATATCTCACCAGATCCGTGGACTCGAACAAAAACCAATTCAGGAACGAGATGAAAAGATTGAGCCCAAGGCTACAACATAGGCCAACTTCGAAATATGCAACTTACTTGTGACCCCCACGCTCGCAGCGCAAGACACCGAAGGTTTTCTGCTCAGACTGGTCAAGATCTATAGGCACGACGGCACAAATAGAATATTGCAACCTGGGCCGTTTCAGGAGACCTTGATGACAGTCAGCCCGATTTTATTCTAACCTAAGGACGAGCAATTCCTATCCATATCAACCACGCGTGTTGCGGCGGTTGTGCGCCATGTTGACGAACACATGGATCCATGCTGGCTATTTAGATCGCAACCCTCGAGAACGTGAAATCCGTGACCCGGATTGGGATACTTCTGAGATAGAGACGTGTTGTTATCTAATTGGTTCGAATATACCTCACCTTCAAGTAACGTCTCGAGATGGCTCGAGAAGTTTGAAATTTCTGGATTGACACCTGAGGGATCAGGCCGCTATCGTCTCTTTCATCATGCACTTCTTTTTCTTCGCCAACTTCTCAACTTCTCAACTCTCAACTTCTTCCTGTTTCTAATTTTGGACTCTTGTTTGTCGGGGTTCACGATGTACATACACTGAAGTATGTCATCCTTGTCACAATAAGTCCATGCACATCTATGACATCCACTGCAGACATGGGTGGCAGCCTTCCAACGGAAAGCGGCGCGTCCTAATATCACCCAGCATGTCGCCGAAGCAAAAGACGAAAAGGTCCATTAACCGTGCATTGTCTGGAAGTACTTAATCTCTAAGATGGTCCCAAAGAGAAAGCCCCCTTCGGAGTCGGAGTCGGGCTCGGCTGTTGTTGGGACTTCAACCGGTCCGGTAGTCAAATGAACCGGCCAGGGCAGCTCAGTAGCCTCATAGCCAGAAAAAAGAACTGCATTTAATGCAATATATAGCGGAACTATATGCATTAGCGTTCTAAAATCCTTGTTTTGGATCTCGATTGTCATACCGTGATTCGTTCATCTTTCGCCTCTCCCGGGAAGCCCACTGTCGGAGTCGGGAGTCGCTGACTGTAACGACTGACTGGCTCTGAGAAGGCCGTCTAAATAAATGCCCAAATTATCGGCCATCAGAACGAACACCAGTACATCAATACGTACTGCCTATCGCCGAACTCTCCACGACACGCAACCCATTCCCTTGTTACCCATTCAGGATTGCCACTTGCTAGATACTCATTGCATACCGGCGGTCACACACTGGTAGCACCGGGCCGTTGAGGGGTCGTGAAATTCAAAACGCATAATGTCCGACGATCTTCAAACCGGCCCTGAGCCCATCGCCATCGTGGGCAGCGCATGTCGATTTCCAGGAGATGCAACTTCACCCGCCAAGCTTTGGGAGCTGCTCAAAGAACCTCGAGACGTGTTGACGGAGATACCCGATAGCAGATTCAATCACAGGGCTTTTTACCACACAGATGGCACACATCATGGTACGAGCAACGTCCGCCATTCTTACTTTTTGTCCAATGATCATCGGTTGTTCGATGCCCAGTTCTTCGGCACCAAACCGATTGAAGCCAACTCGATCGACCCCCAGCAGAGACTTCTGTTAGAGACAGTCTATGAGGGCTTGGAGTCTGCCGGGATTCCCATGGAGAGCGTGCAAGGATCCAACACGGCGGTGTATGTTGGATTGATGACAAACGACTATGCGGATCTCTTGGGTAGAGATATTCAGAACTTCCCCACATATTTCGCGTCAGGAACGGCGAGAAGTATTCTTTCAAACCGGGTTTCTTACTTTTTTGATTGGCATGGACCATCCATGACAATCGACACAGCTTGTTCCTCTAGTCTTATTGCGGTCCATCAAGCCGTTGTGAGTCTGCGGAATGGAGAAACCAATATGGCTGTGGCAGCAGGCACAAATTTGCTACTGGGTCCAGAGCAGTATGTGGCTGAGAGCAAACTGAAAATGCTTTCTCCTACAGGTCGCTCGCGGATGTGGGATAAGGATGCAGATGGGTACGCTCGTGGTGACGGAATTGCTGCTGTCATCTTGAAAACTCTGAGTGCCGCGCTGGCCAATGGCGATCACATCGAGTGCCTTATTCGCGAGACTGGGATTAACCAGGATGGACGTACCAAGGGCATCACTATGCCAAACCCCGTGGCCCAAGCAGCTCTCATTCGATCTACTTATAGGAGAGCGGGTTTGGATTTGGCCAACCCCAGGGATCGTCCGCAATATTTCGAGGCTCATGGGACCGGTATGTGATTGAACAATCCACATGGAGGACCTTTGTCTAACCAGAACAGGAACACCTGCCGGTGACCCGGTCGAGGCCGAAGCCATCAGCACTGCGTTCTTTGGACCGAAAGCCAATTATCAACGGGCTAGTCATGAAACTCCCTTGTACGTTGGGTCAATTAAGACGGTTATTGGACATACCGAAGGCACGGCTGGGCTAGCTGCCGTCCTCAAAGCATCCCTGGCCTTGCAGCATGCTGTGATTCCCCCGAATCTTCTTTTAAACGAGCTGAATCCCACAGTGCGACCGTTTTACAATGACCTTTTGATTGCGAGCTCCGCAGTGAAATGGCCGGAGCTCCCAAGGCAAACGATCCGTCGCGCGAGTGTAAACAGTTTTGGATTCGGGGGAGCGAATGCTCATGCGATCTTGGAGGCATACGAGAATAATGTCGCAAGCGCGCTATCCGAGGCGAAAAACACCGTGTTGACACCTTTCAACTTTTCTGCTTCCACTAAAAGCTCCCTTATCATGAGCCTTAAGGCATATTCAGCATACTTGAAAGTCCGAAGAAATGTGGACCTACATAACTTATCATGGACTTTGAATTCTCGCCGCTCAACCCTGCCTGTTCGATTATCAATATCCGCCTCAAATATCACCGATTTGACTGCACGGTTGGACAACGCTGTCGAGTCACCGTCAGAAATAATGTTAGCAAGTCAAACTTTAAGCATCGAAAAGCCCAAAGTGCTTGCGATATTCACTGGTCAGGGAGCCCAATGGGCCCGAATGGGGGCTGAGTTGCTGAATAGCTCCTCGCTAGCCACAGATTGCATCGCTAGCCTTGATTCTTCTCTTCAATCACTCCCGGAAAAAGATCGTCCCTCATGGTTTCTTAGAGACGAGATTCTGAGGGATGCAAGTTCATCTCGTATCGGAGAAGCTCTTTTCTCGCAGACCCTTTGCACCGCAATTCAGGTCATGCTAGTCAGTATACTCCGGGCGGCAGGTGTTTCCTTCACCGCTGTCGTTGGTCACTCATCCGGAGAGATCGCAGCGGCATACTCTGCTGGGTATCTTTCTGCCCATGACGCTATCAGGATCGCATATTATAGAGGATGGTCGTTGCAAAATTTCTCTAACTTGGATGGAACCAAAGGTGCAATGATGGCAGTTGGGACCTCCATTGAAGATGCCAAAGAACTATGCGAGATGCCTTCCCTTGAAGGACGAATCTGCGTTGCCGCGAGCAATTCCTCTGCCAGCGTGACACTTTCCGGTGATGTCGATGCCATTTTAAAAGCCAAGGACATCTTCGAGGATGAAAAGAAGTTTGCCCGTCTGCTTAAGGTGGATAAAGCCTATCACTCCCATCACATGATTCCTTGCGCCGCGCCCTACATCGAAGCCATACAAAATTGTGGTATCAAAACCCTTTCCCGGTCTGCCAGCGGCACGAAATGGTTCTCTAGTGTCTACGTCCAGGACATTGATAATGTGAAGGACAGCTTGACTGACACATATTGGAGCAACAATTTGGTCAATCCTGTGATGTTTTCTCAAGCCATAAGCTTCGCACTTGCTGCGACAGGACCCTTTGACATTGCCTTGGAAATTGGACCCCATCCAGCGCTGAAAGGGCCTGCTTTGCAGACAATCCAGGAACTCTCTGGAAATATGCTACCCTACTCTGGAACGCTAAGTCGAGGCAAGAATGACGCTGAGTCCTTTGCATCTGCACTTGGCGCTTTGTGGGTTTCTCTCGGCGAGTATGTAGTGGATTTTGCAGGGATTGAGAGCAAGTTGGAGCCGGATACTCAAAGGCCCAGGCTCTTGAAGGGACTTCCAGCCTATGCATGGGATCACGATCGCGTTTACTGGCATGAGTCTCGCATTTCAAGCACATTTAGACTTGGAAGTGAAAAGTTCCATCCCCTCCTGGGTGTCAAATGTCCCGATGGTACAGACAAAGAACTTCGCTGGAGAAACTATCTGAATACGCGGGAAATTCCATGGCTTGCGCATCACCAAGTGCAAGGGCAAATGGTCTTCCCTGCTGCAGGTTACGTTTCAGCTGCAACAGAAATGGCACTTGAAAATTATGGGTTGGAATCAATAAAATTGATTGACTTCGAAGACGTGATCGTTGGACAGGCCTTGGTGCTTGAAGAGAATTCCGGAGTAGAAGTTATCTTCGCTCTCATAGTCACTCAGAATAGCAGCAACGTCGTGACAGCGGTCTTCAACTGTTACTCCGACGCTAACAGAGGTTCATCCTCAATGTCTCTCCATGCGTCCGCGAAGCTCCGCATCTGTCTCGGTGAAGCAACACACGATGAACTACCGGCACGTGCCGGAGGCCCCGATTGCTTCCTCGAACTTGATGCGCAGCGATTCTATAGTTCGGTGTCAGAGCTTGGACTTGGCTACACCGGCCCGTTCCAATCACTTTCTGGTTTGAGCAGAAAAATGGATGAAGCCACCGGCATGATTGCTGTACCAACCGAAGACGGAGCTGAGGCTCCTCTGGCCATTCATCCGGCTTCCTTAGATGCCGCAATTCAGTCTCTCATGCTGGCTTATTCCTTCCCCGGGGACGGACGCTTGCGCAATCTGTACCTTCCGACAAAGATAGATCGAATTCGAATCAACCCATGTAGCTGCGTGGCACTAGCTGGACCAGGCACAAGCCTTAAGTTTTACTCTACAGTCGCTAATACTAGATTTGAGGAGCTATCCGGTGATATTGACATTTATTCTGTGTGTGGACGATACACAGTGCTCCAACTTCAAGGCTTGCGTACAACTCCACTTACTCCTCTAACATCTGCAACAGATGTGACAATGTTCACGGAACTTACCTGGGCCCAAGAGAAACCGACTGGACGTGATATTAATTCGCGGGATTGGCTAAACGAGGATGTTTCACAATCTTTGAACCTGGAACGTGTGGCCCACTTCTATTTGAAGGAACTCCACTCTTCCTTTCAGCAGGCGAACCATTTGGAAATTTCATGGCATCATAAAAACCTTCTTTCTTACGCCAGCCAGTGTGTTTCGATTACCGCATCGGGAATTCACCCATTTGCGCAACCAGAATGGGCCCACGATACAAAGGAAACAATTTCTGAGATCCTCGAAAGGTATTTCGTGCCAGGTCTATAGATGTGGCTTCTAGTCGGGCTAATTGGATCTAGACACCAAGACAGTATTGATATCAGGGCCATAACAGCTGTCGGCGAGACAATTTCTTCAATCGTGCGAGGGGAAACAGATCTGCTGGATATTTTGTTGAAGGACAACATGCTCTCACAATTTCATTCCAAGGCGCTTGGTGTCCACTCTTACTTAGCCGAGATAGCTCGGATCGCTGGGCAGATCAGTAATCGCTACCCGCATGTTAATGTACTAGAAATTGGTGAGTTTGGCGGAATTTACCTTTGTAATTCGAAAGACTAACGTGTTCTGGAAGGCGCCGGCGCTGGCGCGACAACCGAAGCCGTGATTCATGAAATGGATGCGGCCTTCGCTTCATACACATACACAGATCGTGCAGACTTTATGGTCGATAGAGCCCGGGAGAATTTTGAAAAGTACCATGCTCGAATGGCGTTCAGAGTTCTCGACATTGAGAAAGATTTGACCGAGCAGGGGTATGGCAAGGACTCGTACGATGTTATCATTGTCTCCCTGGCCCTTTATGCGACGGAGAATCTCGAAATGACACTTTTAAATGTTCGCAGACTACTGAAACCAGGTGGATTCCTTGTTCTTTTGGAGCTGACGGACCCGAATGTGATGCGGTTTAGTTTGATTCTCGGTGGACTTCCTGGCTGGTGGCGTGGGCAAGAAGGGCGAACTCTATCCCCATGTGTCTCTATTGATACATGGGGGGATTTGATGACTAGAAGCGGGTTCTCTGGCATTGATGCTTGCGTTCCTCATCACCCAGACATGTCAATTCCCTTTTCCGTCATGGTAACTCAGGCTGTGAATGATTGCGTCACCTTCCTGCGCAACCCCTTGATGCAAAATCACCCATCTCTAGGTATTGAGAAATTGACAATTATTGGTGGGAAGACTGATCGAACAGCTACGATCGTCACAGATGTCATCAATGCAGTCGGTCGACACTACAAAGCAATCGGGGTCTCTGCTTCTCTTGACGACATTATCCCCGGAGAACTCCCTCCGATGGGGACTGTTCTCTGCTTGGCTGAGTTGGATGAACACGCCTTTGTTTCCATGACACAGATCAAACTCAGGTCTCTTCAAGAGCTATTCACGCAATGCAAGAATATCCTCTGGGTAGGATACGGCGCCCAGGGAGAGAATCCATTCGCCCACATGTTCACGGGCGTTCAGCGAACCCTGGCTATGGAGATGAACCACCTCCAGATTCAGTTCCTCAACCTCCATTCGTTTGATGACGCAAAGGGTGATCTAATTGCGATGAAGCTTCTTAACCTACAGGCTGCAGACATCTGGAGCCAGGATGGGCGAATAAACGAGATCTTGTGGTATACCGAGCCACAAATAACTTTGCAAAAGGGAAAGACTCTCATCCCACGATTCCGACCGAGTCATGAACGAAATGACAGGTATAACTCTTCGAAGCGACTTATTATCAGGACAGTCGATCGCAATGACTCAGGTGTCACTATCCGGTCTTCTGAAAATGGCTATGAAGTTCTCGAGAAATCCCCTCCCAGTTCGGGCTTTGTTGTTGACCAGTTTGAGATCGAGGTTACGAATTCTCTGCTTCGCTCTGTCACGATTACAGAGGCAGACAGGTTGTTCCTGGTAACTGGAAAAGACACTCGGGATGGTAGCCAAGTGGTCGCTTTATCTGGAACTTTGGATTCTCGCATCCGAGTGCCTCGCTCTTGGGTCATCAAATGCGGGCACTCGGATGATCAGGCCGTGCGTTCATTGCTCAGCCTTTATGATCATTTCGTGGCCCAGTCCATTATCAGGAAAGCTCTCCCAGGAAAGACACTGGGCGTTCTCGACGCGGAATTTTCCATGGCGGCGGTACTAACACAGTACGCAACTCAGCGAGGTGTAAAGTTGGTTCTGTTCACCACAAAGGAGAGCTTTTGCTTGTGGCCATGGGTTCACATCCATCCCCATTCAACAGGCCGAGACTTGATTAGCAAAATTCCAGATGATATCGCTCTATTCTTCAATGCAGGAGGCGAGGAGCATTTTGTTTCTATCCTGAAGGAGATACTACCCATCGACTGCTCCTTCGAAAATGAAAAAACACTCACAGGAGACGAAAGCCGATTCTCATCCCTGTCAGCGATGGATCAAGTGGTTTCACAACTGCAAACAACTTGGACCAGAGCGCACAGTGACCAAAAGCCAGTCAACATGCAAAGAGTTGGGAAGCTTGGCTTGAGGGACCTCATTCAAGTCCAGCAAGTATCAGTCCCACAATCCCTAATCTCTTGGGACGGTCTGAGACTTCCGGTGCAAGTTCGTGCGGCTACCAAGACGGTCAAATTTGCGAAGGACAGGACATATTGGCTGGTTGGACTGACCGGTGGGCTTGGTCTATCCTTGTGCAAGTGGATGGCCCGACAAGGCGCTCGATATATTGCTCTTTCTAGCCGCAATCCCAAGATCGACGATAATTGGGTTCGAGGAATGGCCAAAAACGGCTGCACCGTGCGCGTTTTTCAAAAGTGAGTATTTTCGTTCTCTGCCCCTCGTCATACTTGAAATTCCCTGACAATTACAGTGACATCACGGACCGTGACTCTGTCCACAGTACTCATCGTCAAATTCTTCAAGCTATGCCTCCTATTGGGGGTGTTGTGCAGGGAGCTATGGTTCTTCAAGATGCGATGTTCCTTGATCTGGATGTCGATCGGTATGACAAGGTACTGAAACCAAAGGTCAATGGCAGTATTTTGCTGGATGAACTGTTTTCAGAAGATACCTTGGACTTCATGATCTTCTTTTCATCGATGGCTGCTATCACCGGTAACCCTGGACAGGTCGCCTACAATGCTGCAAACATGTTCATGGCCAGCTTGGCCGCACAGCGTCGCAAGCGGGGCATCGCAGGTCAAACAATCAACATAGGTGCCATTGTGGGCAATGGGTATGTAACACGAGAGTTGAACAAGAGCCAGCAGTCCTATCTGTACCGAGTTGGCCATTCATGGATGGCTGAACAGGACTTCCATGAGGTATTTGCGGAAGGTGTTCTCTCTTGTCTGGATAGATCAGGCAGTCTTGCTCCGTGCAGTGGTCTAAGAATTGACGATGACGACTCGAAGAATTGGGTGTCTAACCCCATGTTCCAGCATCTCGTGTTAAAATCCAACACCCTCATCGTGAGAGGCAAGAAAAACAAGGCAAGGCTTATGGCCAAGACTCGGCTGCTCGAGTCAACTTCACACGGTGAAGTGATCGAAATTCTACAAGGTGAGCATTGCTCCTTATCTTGAGCTCCACATTTCTCTGTTAACAGTCCCAGAAACCTTCATACAAAAGCTGCAATCTGCGCTTCAGTCTGATCCCGAAAAGTTGAACCTTGAGTTGAGTCCTGATGAACTTGGAGTTGATTCCTTGATTGCCGTTGATCTCCGTTCGTGGTTTATCAAGGAGTTTGGTGTGGACATCCCTGTGCTGAAGATCTTCAATGCCGCATCCATCCGCGATTTGCTTGCTGTAGCAGCAAGTCTTCTTCCCGAGTCATTGATTCCAAACGCAAAAGAAGACGAGAGCGTCGAATCGAAATTATCCGACGAACATCAGACATACCGGCAAAGGTCTGACGGCTCCAGTTTATCCGTGCAGACTCCTGAGATAACATCGAGCTCAAAGGGGAGGGTTGAGGCCAAAAGCTTTCACCTAAAGTATTTCCCATCCTTTGACGGAGAAAGCCGAAGTAGAAGCTCTTCTGCATCGTTTACAGCAGTTGATTCCAGCTCAGAACAAAACGAGGTCAGCTCCTCGTCCTCATCGCTTGATAACGAGACGGAGGTGACTTGCAAGCGTCATGTTGAGAAAATAACCCCGATGTCGTTTGGACAATCGCGCTTTTGGTTTCTTAAACTATTTGTTCCAGAGTCAACTGCGTTCAATGTGACCCCTATTTTTGAGCTAACTGGAAGGCTCCGAGTTGATGATTTTGCAAAAGCAGTTAAGGCCGTTGGCCAGCGTCATGAAGCCTTGCGAACATTCTTCTTCACGGATGGAGAGAAACAACACATGCAAGGTATCTGGGTGGATTCATCATTGAGTCTGGAACACAGACTCGTCATCGACAAAAAGGAGGTTGATATTGCTGTTGAGCAGATGAAAACGCACGTTTTCAATGTCGCCGAAGGGGAAATCCTTCGTGTCCAGCTGCTTTCCTTGGCAGCTGACCAGCATTGGGTCATCTTCGGCTTTCATCACATTAATGTGGATGGCATGAGTTTCGAAGTCATTTGGTCCGAGATTGAAACCGCGTACAAGGGGCTCCCTTTTTTGCGAAACACTCTGCAATATCCAGAATTTTCACAGAGACAACGGCGCGAGTACGAACAGGGAGTTTGGACAGAGGACCTGAAGTTTTGGCGAGAGCAATTTGCAGACATTCCTTCTCCGATTCCACTGCTTCCATTCTCTCTGAAGCTGGCCCGTCCGGCCGTCTCAAGCTTTTCCTCCCACTGGACACACTTCCGGCTTGAGAAAAGTCTGTCCGACGATATTGAGAAATGCTCCCGGATGTTCAAAGTATCGCCTTTCCATTACTATCTCGCAGTCTGGCAGATTCTTCTATTGCGTTTCTTTGACGTCGACGACATTTGTATTGGCCTCGGCGACGGCGGGCGCACAGATGGTGATATCTTGCACAGCGTCGGCCTTTTCCTGAATGTACTGCCCATTCAATTCAACCGTCGATCTTCCCAGCCATTCGGTGAGGCTCTGAGAGATAGCAAGAAGGTTGCGCAAGATGCAATGTCGCACTCTCGTGTGCCTTTTGATGTGCTTCTCACCGAACTCAATGTGCCTCGTGCCGCATCCTACAATCCTCTGTTCCAGGTCTTTTACAACTACCGCAAGGTTGAGGAGTCTCGGGATTTCTGTGGCTGCACGGCAAAGGGCTCATTGTTTACAAGCGGCGAGACTTCATATGATATTCATCTGGACATCGTCGATTTTGGAAACAAGGGAATCCAGGTGTACCTCCTCGTCCAGAAAGATTTGTATGCTCCGGAGCACGCCGACCTTCTCCTTCGCAGCTATTGCAATCTGCTACGGGAATTTACGCAGAATCCCGCGACTCGGGTGTCTTGGCCTTCTTTGTTCCCGCAGGATGACATTGATGCAGCACTGGTCGCAGGCCGAGGTGAGTATTTTCCTTTTCATTGTTCATTGTAGTCGTTAACATGTGTCAGGTCCGGAACTGAGGGAGCAATGGCCAGCCACCATTGTGCATCGAGTGGATGAAATTTCCCAGATTTATGCTGATAATCTCGCCCTGAAAGAAGAGGATGGTGTACAGCTTACCTATTCGCAGGCCCAGCACCGCATTGGCGTAATTGCAAATGGACTTCTCATCAAAGGTGTCGGTGTTGGGACCCGCGTCGGAGTTTTCCAGTCGCCAGGAGCAAATTGGATATGTTCCCTGCTGGCTATCATGCGCATCGGCGCAACCTACATTGGCTTGGACAGAAAGGCTGGCATAGAGCGTTTGGCGATGATTGCCGCTGAATCGGATTTGGTAGCTGTTCTCCTCGATTCTTCCACCGCATCCGATTCCCATCTTCTCCGCAGTCCAGCGGAGATGCTCGACATTTGCACTCTCTCGGTTGAAGCCACGGCACCAAACATGGCGATCCCGAGCCATACAGCTATCGTTATGTATACAAGTGGCTCGACAGGCAAGCCAAAGGGGATTTTACTGTCACACTCGAGCTATTCGCACCACATTCAAGCATTCAGCCGCTCTCTGGGACTCCAAGAGGGCAAGGAAATAATTCTTCACCAATCATCCTATGCGTGGGATATGTCATTGTACCAAATTTTCGTCTCTCTCTGCACCGGTGGAACCTTGGTAATTGCCAACAACACTACACGTGGTGATCCAGTCGCCATTGCAAGTCTCATCGCATCGCACAATGTGACTACTACATTCGGGACGCCAACCGAGCATCTTGCATGGATTCGGTACGGTCGTTCAGCGTTGCGTCACTCAAAATGGACAACGAGCATGTGTGGTGGGGAGTTTATGACTGGGAGCGTGATCAAGGAGTTTCAATCCATTCAGAAACCGCATCTAAAACTCATAAATATGTACGGCCCGGCGGAGATCTCTCTGGCATGCTGTGTTGGAGAGGTACCATACAATGCTGTTCATCCGACCGCCCATAATAACTCTTCGTCGCTCTACACTTTGCCGAACTACTCGGTCTACATCGTCAACCGTGGCCTTCAACCGGTTCCCATTGGAGTGCCCGGTGAAGTTGTCGTCGGTGGGGCAGGTGTTGCACAGGGCTATCTTGACAATGACAAGACCCATGAACGATTCTTGTGGGATTCATATGCCAGCCCCTTCTTCCATAGCCAGGGATGGTCGAGGATCTACCGAACGGGTGACCGAGGATGGCTCGCCAAGGACGGTGGCTTGGTCTTGTTGGGCCGCATCGAAGGTGACAACCAGATAAAGCTTGGAGGAATTCGCATCAACGTTGAAGAGATCGAGGTGGCCATTCTTTACGCTTCGGGTGACACCATTACCCAGGCCGTGGTATCACCTCGCTCCACGACGAACCACGACGAGGTTCAAACCTACCTGATCGCATTTGTCGTGCTGGCCGAGACCAACAACGCCGAAGATGCGACTCAACTTCTGGACCGACTCACAATGAATTTGCCACTACCACAGTACATGCGACCAGCGGCCATGATCTCCATTCCTTCCCTTCCACAGAGCACATCTGGAAAGGTGGACCGACTTGCTGTCAGCAAACTTCCAATTCCCAAGTTTGAATCTCAACAGACAAGCCAGGAAACACTGGCACCCCTTGAGGAGCCGCTGCGTCAACTTTGGCAAGAAGCAATTCCACGGGACATTGTCTCGCTCTATTCAATTCAGCCCACGTCGGATTTCTTCCATGTCGGTGGCAGTTCGCTCTCGTTAGTGACCCTGCAGGCTCTTGTAAAGGATCGCCTAGGGGTCTCCATCTCGTTACACCAGCTATTTGAAGCAAGCACGCTACAGAGCATGGCTTACCGCCTTCAAAATATTGCTGCGACTGAGCATGACGTGACGATCGATTGGGAAGAGGAAATAGAAGCCTTGATGGCTTCTTCTCTGACTCAACTGGAAATCGACAATCAGATCCCACCCCGTGGGGCCAGCGTAGTAATATTGACCGGAGCAACAGGTTTCATCGGCAAAGAAATTATTCAACAGCTTGTTAATGACGATCGGGTTCAAGCCATATACTGCCTCGCCGTCAGGAAACCCTTGATGCAGTTACCTTCCACTTTTGCCGACCAGAAGGTCCATGTGTACCATGGAGACTTGGGAGCACCCCAACTGGGACTTTCGGATTCCGATGCAGCATCGATTTTCCGCCGTGGGGACGTTATCGTTCACAACGGGGCCGACGTTTCCTTTATGAAGACTTACCAGTCGCTCAAATTGACCAACGTGGCCTCGACAGTTGAGCTTGTGAAGCTCGCCTTGCCACGGCGCATTCCTTTTCACTTCATCTCGTCCGCGAGCGTCACGCGTCTTGCGGGACAGAGGAGCTTTGGAGAAACCTCTGTGGCCTCATATCACCCGCCTGCGATCCCTGAAGATGGATATGTCGCTGTCAAATGGGTGGGCGAGGCATATGTTGAGCTTGTCAACCAACGGTTTGGACTCCCAGTGTGGATCCATCGCCCATCGAGCGTAACGGGAACTGACGCACCTGAGCTGGATCTGATGAGCAACGTGATGCGATACTGTCAAGAAACGAAGAAGGTTCCGGACTTCGCCTCGTGGTCGGGCGTCCTTGACTTTATCGCAGTGCAGTCAGTTGCCAGTCAAATCATCGATGCCATGCATCTGTCAGGTGCGCCCGTAGCAGACACGAACCACGTTCATTATCAAAATGAGTCGGGTGAAATTCAGGTTGGACGAGAGGAAGCGCAATCTCTGATGGAAACGGGCACAGATTTTCGGTTCGAAGCGGTTCCCATCAACGAGTGGGTTGATCATGCAGAGAAGGCTGGGATGAGCAATCTACTGGGCGTTTACTTGCGAAAGGTGTCGGATGGGCAGATTTTATTCCCTAGGTTGCTAAAGGGAGGAAATGGCATTGATCGGTCGTGATGGAACAAAGATACATATGGTACGAGAGAGGCGGAATATACATGATCGATCCATCAAACCTTACCCCAGGTAAAAGCCAAAGAGTGTCCGGATTTCCTGAGATCTCTTGTAATAGCCGCTATCTACTCCAGGGCAAAGAGCTCATTGAATATATTTGAAATCCTCATTCCGAGCGCATGGTGTATACTGGCATAAAGTCGACATCATCGCCTACAGGCCCAGCCAGAATCTGGTCTTGCCAACTTCAAACTCGCCTCGCAGCTCCTCCGCACCAGTACCAGTCACTAAGACGTGGTAGCGACCCTTCTCGGAGATCCACTGCTCCCGCTCTTCATCCCACCAGCTCGTTGCCAGTTTCTTCTCAGCCACGAGTTGCACCGTTTTGGATTCTCCGGGTTGCAGGAATACCTTCTGGAAAGCCTTGAGTTCACGCACCGGGCGATTAACATCCGTTGACGGCGGGATGATCCAAAGCTGGACGATCTCGGCACCCGCCATGGAGCCGGTATTGGTGACAGTCACCTCGGTGGTGATGGGCTCGCCGGCCTCCGAATATTTCGATCGCTCAGGAACGGTGCTGATGCGGAGGTTGGAGCGGCTGAAGCTCGTGTAAGAGAGACCGTGGCCGAAGGGGAAGACGGGTGCTACATCACTTTTCTCAAAGAAGCGATAGCCCACGTAGATGTCCTCGCCGTAGAGTACACGGCCACGTTCGGAGCGGAAATTGATGTAGGAGGGGTTGTCCTGCAGGCGGCGCGGGAAGGTGATGGGCAGCTTGGCCGAAGGGTTGACATCACCGTAGAGCACATCCGCGATGCCATTGCCGCACTCGTTGCCACCGAACCAGGCCTGCACGACGGCACGAGCGTCCTTTGCCCAAGGCATCGTCACCGGAGTGCCGGATTGAATCACGACGACGGCATTCCGGTTAGCGGCCAGCACGCGACTGATCAGCTCGTCACTGCCCGGGGGAAGGTCCATGTGATCGCGGTCGTAACCTTCGGTCTCCCATTCACTGGTGAGACCTGCGAAGATCACAACTTGCTCGGCCGCGGATGCACGTTCCACCGCCGTGGCAATCAACTCCTCCTGGCCGACACGTCGAGATCCGCCGAAGCGGAATCCACCCGGTCCAAAGGCGACGATACCACGAGTGTCCAGGTCTGAGGTGGGTGCGCTGCCGAACTCGAAAAGGACTCGGTATGTCTGCCCCGCCTTGAGCTCCTTTACACCGCGCTCCTCGACGGTCGCGGTGCCGAAGAAAGCAGAGCCTTGTTTTTGGTTCTTGGTGTTGTCAACGACCACCTCGCCGTCGACCAGAAGACGGCCGGTGCCGACGACGGTCACGCCGAAGTCGTACAGTCCATCCTCCTCGGGGGTGAAGAAACCTTCCATGTCTACGTAGAAGGTCATAGACTTGATCTTGGGGTTGACATAGTCCATCAGGAACCCGGTAGAGCCAACGAGGTGGAGCTCATCCACGATGCCACGATCGGGACCGGCGCTGGGCGGCTCGTTGTAGACCTTGAAAGTGAATCCGGTCTTGCCGTCTGCAGTCTTCATGAGCGGTCCCAGGAGCGGCAGTTCCTTGTGTGAGTAGACACCTTGAGTGAATTTAACATCACCCTTGCTCTTCGCTGACACTCCGTCCAACGGAGTCACGGTGTAATAGGGAGCGAGCGAAGCGGAGCCACCGCCGCAGTAAGATGTAATCCTGGCGTTGGGTCCTATCGCCAGCACCGACCCATCTTTCTTGAGCGGAAGCACGTTGTTCTCGTTTTTCAAGAGGACAACCGACTCGGCGGCTGTACGGCGCATGAGCGCTTGGTCTTGGGGTCGGTTCAGGGCTTTCTCCGGTGCGCCCTCGGGAATTCCCAGCGGCTCGACCCAGTTGACCAAGTTGAGAATATTGCGCACACGCTCGTCCAGCTTGAACTGAGCCACCTTGTTCGAGGACACGGCGTGAGCAAGGGCCTCTCCACGCCAGCGGGTCTTGCCAGGCATCTCGATGTCGAGACCGGCGTTGATGGCGTCGGATGTGCTGTAAGTACCGAACCTGTAGAGAAGAGTCAGCCTTGATCAAGTTCCACGACGAAAAGGATAAAACCCCCACCAGTCACTCATGACCACACCAGCCCACCCCCACTCCTTGCGCAGAATATCGTCGATGATGGCCTCGTTCTCGCTGACGTGAGTGCCGTTGATCTTGTTATACGCGGTCATAATGCATGCCGAGCGACAAATGCGCAGGGCCAGTTGAAATGGCAGTAGATAGATTTCGCGCAAAGCACGTTCGGTGACGATGCTGCTGACAGCCATCCGCTCGTGCTCCTGGTCATTGCAGACGAAGTGCTTCAATGTTGCCGCAACACCTTTGGCCTGCATTCCCTTGCAGAAATGACCGGCTAGAGTCCCTGACAGCACACCATCCTCGGAGAATGATTCGAATCCGCGCCCTCCCAGCGGCGAGCGCTGAATGTTGATTGTCGGACCCAAAACGATGTGTGTTCCCTTGGCGATGGCCTCCTCGCCCATCAGCTCACCGACCTGCGATAGCAGCTCAGTATCCCAGGTGGCACCCAGAGCAGTGGCGCAGGGGAAACAAGCGGCGGGGATGCCATTGAAGAACCGAGTGCCGCGAACGCCGTTGGGGCCATCGGACATGCGAAGGGAGGGGATGTGGAGGCGGGGGATCGGGGCCGTGTGCCAGAAGTCGCGTCCTGGAAGAAATCAGGGTCGGTTCCAATAGCGTAGAAGACATGGACATACCGGCCGTGAGAGCCACCTTCTCGCCCAGCGTCAGCTCCTCAATCGCCTTTTCCACGTCGATGCGGGCCATGATGTGAGTTGCCGGGAACCTATGACGCAATCAGGAAGCCGAATGAGAGAGAAAAGTGCAGTGTTCAGATGCCCGTGTACTTTGCAGTCCTCGCATCGGTTGTGAGCCTGGAGGGTGTTGGGAAGGCATCCTTTATGCAGCGACGCTCGCTTGGATCGCCCGGTTGCAGTCGCCAGTAGCGTGCATGAGGGGGATGGTGGAGTTTGGACGGCATCCTCGAAAAGGCACGGAGACGCGCCCGAGGTTTAGCCGGCGCAGCACGAGCCGGCAGTTCGGGCCGCTCATCCATTTATCCAGTCGTAAAATTCCGGGTTATGCATCCTGCGTTCTCCTTGGTGTTTCTCTTGGAGTATACGTTTCGGCCATGTCGGGAGGTGCAAGATGTGATGAGAAGGCACGAGGTGAGATATAGAAAGGGAAGCTCTAAATTGAAGATACCAAAAACAATACAGAGGAAGACTATAATCCCTCGCTCCTCGTTACTGCCTGTAACAGCTCTCCCGAGGCCAGCGGTCCGCACCATCCATACGTGTCGCAGCGACATTGCTCAAAACGAGGACAACTGTTGAAGGTGAATCGAAGGTTCCAGACAAGAGTAAAACGGGGTCAGACTCACTATACCGCATCCATTCCGAAGATGATGTGCCACAGCTTCTCCAAGACCCAACCGACTCCAAAGTCGTCGGTCAATTCCGTCGTCGCCGCCCAGTCCAAGATCCGACGGTAATCCTCCTTGGGCCGCGCTCGGATCCGCTCTCGACTTACGGCAAATTGACCGCAGCACACGTTCCCGATGGCCTCGGGGACCTCGTCGGCGGGTACGTTGAAGATTTGGCGATACGCGTCGGAAAAGTAGGCGCGGATGTCGTGGTTTTCGAGATCGGCGTGGGTCGGACTGAGAGGGTAGACGCCCGTCGGACAACCGGGGTTGTGTTGACATCGCAGGTTGACGTATCCGTGAGCATCAACCGCCTCGAAGCGGATATTTCTCAGCGTATTGTGGGTAAGCGGACCGAAGAGATCATTGTGCCACTGCTCAGGGTATGCGTGTACGAAGACGGAGTAAGCGGGGAGGTGGTCGTAGAAGTCGACGACGTAGGAGAGATACGCCGGGGATTCTCGACCGCGCAAAGTGGGAGGAACGAGAAGACCGGGTTTGGGCGATTTCTCGGTGGTGTAAACGAAAGGCGTACTCCCACTAACCCCACGGTTTAGCACTCGGAACTTGCAAGGGAACCGGAAACGCCCACCTCTCGTGGCAGTAGTCAAGCAGCCAGGTCAAATCCTCGGAACCGATGGATGCGAGAACGAGGCCGACACTGGAATTGACGGCGTGCGACGTGTACGCATCCGTCAGGTCGGCTAATTCCCGAGCGATGCGACGAGAAGCTCCGTAATGGAACACTGCATGGTCAAAAAGGTCCGCGAGTAAATCCGGTTGGAGCGGTACCTTGTAATAAATCCGAATGGTCTCGGAGAAGCAGCAAGGCCAGTTGGACGAGGACCACGGTGACACCCGCGACGATCGCCCTTTTGGGAGTGAGCCAGTATAGCAGCCGTGGCTTTTGCATCTTCAGTGACTAGCTCTCGGAGGGTAGCGTTTCGGAAAGAAGGCATCCATAAGGGCTACGCATTAATCGTTCGGCCAAGCGAAACGACAAATTGAACCTTGGGCCCAAAAGCCGGTCCATTTTAGAACCGGAGGCCAAGATAGTGCAAGCGTGCAGTGATTTGGCGCCGTGGGGAGTCTAGCGAATGGATTTAAGACACATCCAGACTAGGCGCACCCCTCCGAGAACGCGGCAATCCACTCAGTAGCTCGGCACGAGGAGCGATGGTTTTCCAGATCCATAGTCCCGATCGGGGGTGGCTCCAACGACATACCCGGCTCACAGAATGGGTAGGAGGGACGTCTACACGAAAGCAGAAAAGACCCATCTCAGGATCACCACCAGATCGTCGGCTCCCCGAAGCTGTCGAAGGGACCGACCCACCGCGGCGATTTGGGCCGAACAACGCAATCTTCGTATTACTGACTAGTTTGCACGTGTTGACAGTGGAGCACCGTTTATATCTTTCATGGAACATTACACTCTCACCACTTCGCTTGTCGTTCTCTCAAGCCGTCGATAACAACGAGTGGAACTTCCTCCGAACGGTGTTTCTATGCTCTGGCTGGTGAAAACAGGTTTCTAAAATTTGCAACGGACGAGATTTGTTGTTCTTTGCTATTCGGGTCTTTCCCCATACGAAGTGCTCGCGGTCGTCAATATATATACAGGACCGGGGAACTTTGGATGGCCAGAAACGACCGTCCATGCGACAGTCAATCCATAGCATGGGTCAATGCACATGAAGACCCCCTTGGTCGGCTTGGATCAAATGAGTCTCAGATCTTCCGACGTTTTGACCTTCGTTTCTCTCGAGGTGGCTCGTCCTCGGTATCCTTTCTTTCGCGTTTCTTCCTTCCATTCCCGTCCTCGCGCGCTTGGTTCTCCGAAGAACGGCCGCGTCGACGTGCCGTTGCGGTCCCGCGGATCCGGTCCTTTCGGGGCTTGGAGGGGCACGACTTGCCTTGGAGGTCCGAGATCGGATCGGGAGCAGACTTCATTTTGTGCTGCGCGGGCTGCACGCTTTCATCGCTGGATGGTAAACCGGTGTTATCCCGTGCCGGCTCAATCTGCTCCAGATCAAACCGCATGTGCAGGTTCATAAAGTAGAAGCAAGTGACGATTTGGGAAATTCGACACGTTTCACGTTTGAATGCCCCGAGAACGAAGTATGCGACGACGGCACCAATTCTTGTCCCGAGTAGAGCTTTGTATTCAGCCGAGTCGTATTTCCACTCACGCAACTGCTCGTCGGGCCAATGAAGCCCATTGGATGCGGTATACAGCTCCTTCTTCACGACCCTTTTCGTGTCTTTGTTCGTCACGTCGGCCACAATGATATGCTTCAAGCTGTCCAAAGGATATCTCCTTTTGTAAACGGCATGGATCATCTGGGATGACCAAGGGACGACTTCGGGCCCTACCTCGGGCCTCCGATGAATCATGCTGACGAACACAATGCCAGCAGCAATGGAGCCCTCCCAAACGAGGAGCTTTCCGTCGTAAGGGCCCTTCATATACAACGTTCCACTCGCTGCGGCTTCCGGATCCCATTTTTCTAGTACGACGACTTCCCACGAGTCCGGCTTCGGGCGCTCTATGCCAAGAGCCTCGGTTGCGTCTTGTTCGTACCCCGTGTCGTATGGGAGTCCGCTGCCGAAATAATCCCATGTGTCAAAGTCTTCGTATTCGAGAGTACAGGGCAGAATCGGGCATTCCTCGGCCGTGTCGCTGGATGCCCCGCCAATCCACCGTTGTAGTAATTCCCCACGAGACCGACGTTCATGATCCTTCCCGGCGGGGGTTTCAGCAGTAGATTGCATCGAAGCAATACTGCGCTTTACCCAGGCCGTGGTTTCTCAACGAGTTGATTTCGCAACAAGGGTCCTTTCCACCGTACGATGACTGAAACCGGGGGATGGACGTGGCGCTAATATCAACAGAAATGCGAGGGACGGTGGGAAACACGGTCTCCAGTGAACCTTTTGACTCGTCGCGTTAACAAAGAACTACCGCCCATCTTTGATGGAGTCCATCTGATGGATGAACTCGGTTCGACCACGGAAAGCAGTCGAGGCCAAAGCGGACACGGCCATCAAAGGCACTCGACAAAGAAAAGGCACTGGACATCGCGCCGCATACTCGATCGCAGCTGTTGGGTCTATAAATAGACGGGGACGGTATACTATGTACAGTATACTGTATAGGTCAAGGGCTCGAGGGGAACGGACCAATTCCTCGCCCCTCGTTTCCGCAGGGCTCGACCGGTCCGGCCCCGGGATCAACAATCCACAATCGACAGTCGACAATCAACAATTGACCGGAAAACTCAGACGTCTCGCTCGTACTTACCCCCCGCGGGACCAGGGAGACGGGAGAACGAAGGCCAGAAACCAACCCCTGGAAACCCGAACGAAAAACCGGATGGGAAAGCCGTGCCCGAGATGAATTGATCGCCACCACTCCACAAACGATCCATCTCGACCCACCGCAAACCCACTCGAACTCGAAACCACATGATGTAATGCGCGTCCAGCTCCCGGTCTGTCAAAACCGGCGACCCTTCCACTTCCATCTCCTTCATTCCTCCTCCCTCTTGTCATCCATCATGGCTCCCCTCAAACTCAACAACCAGAACTTGGCCCAGATTTCCACGGCGGGCGAGGCCCAGGTCAAGGTGCCCACCTACCCGCGCGGTGATGCCGTCAAGGAGGGAATCGTCCACATCGGTGTGGGCGGCTTCCACCGAGCCCATCTGGCCGTCTACGTCGACCAGCTGATGCAGAAGCACGGCGTGACCGACTACGCCATCTGCGGTGTCGGTTTGCAGCCCTTCGACGCCACCATGCGCGACGTCTTGCAATCCCAGGACCACCTCTACACCGTCATTGAGCGTTCCGCTAAAGGAAGCTTTGCCAACGTCGTGGGCAGCATCAATTCCTACCTCTTTGCCCCCGATGATCGTGAGGCCGTTATCGCCAAGATGGCCCACCCCGATACTCACATTGTATCGCTCACCATCACCGAGAGTGGTTACTACTACAACGAGAACACCCACGAGCTGCAAAGCGAGCACCCCGATATTCAATTCGACCTCGACCCGGCCAACGAGAAGAACCCCCGCACTACCTTCGGCTTCCTTTATGCCGCCCTCGCACGCCGCCAACAACAAGGTCTGAAGCCCTTCACCGTTATGTCTTGCGACAATATGCAAAAGAACGGCGCCATCACCCGCCATATGCTCGACTCCTTTGCCCGGCTGCGTAACCCCGACGTCGCTAAGTGGATTTCCGAGCAGGGCCACTTCCCTAACGCTATGGTCGATCGGATCACCCCGCAGACATCGAGCACCGATAAGACGAGCCTCGCGGATAACTTTGGCATCGAGGACGCATGGCCCGTCGTCACCGAGCCTTTTATGCAGTGGGTGATCGAGGACCACTTCTCCGACGGTCGCCCGCCGTTTGAAAAGGTTGGCGTGCAGCTAGTGAAGAATGTCCACCACGTCGAGGAGTTCGAGAAGCACAAGCTACGCCTTCTGAATGGTAGCCACTCCGCTATCGGTTACCCCGGTCAGTTGGCCGGCTTCAAATATGTCCACGAGGTGATGGAACACCCCTTGCTGCGTAAGTTGGTGTGGCAGATGATGCAGGAGGAGGTGAAGCCGCTCCTGCCCGCCATTCAAGGCGTCGACATTGACGAGTATTGCAACACGCTCATCGAGCGTTTCTCCAACCCGACTATCATGGATCAGCTACCCCGGGTCTGCCTTAATGCGTCCGGCAAGATTCCACAGTTCATTATGCCGTCGATTGCCGAGGCGATTTGGGTGACCGGCCCGTTCCGCCGCCTGTGCTTCGTCGCAGCCGCCTGGTTCCGGTACATCAACGGCGTCGACGACAGCGGCAAGCCGTTCGAAGTGGTTGACCCGATGCGCGAGGAGCTCCAGGCCAAAGCTCGTGCGGGAGGCACCAACCCGGCCGAGCTGCTCAGCATCAAGAACCTATTCGGTGACGACTTGCGCGGCGACAAGAGATTCATGCAAGAGATCACCACGGCCATGGAGGACATTGCCCGGGACGGCATCATGAAGACGCTTCCCAAGTACGTCGACTGATCGCCATGGGAGAAGTGGTTGACTTGGCGAAAAAGATATACCTGCGCCTGCGAGCGATGTTTACGTTTTTTGTTTCCATGCGTCTCACGAGGGAGTGATACAGGAAAAGCACATAGAGATAGATGATGATAGACAAAATTCTCAACCATTTTGGTCCATGACTCCGGGTTTTGGATTTGTTCGGTTCTTACCCATTCGGTATCACCTTTTCGAGTTGATTGTAGCGCAAATTCTACGGACAATGCCCGGGATCGACTGTGCTAGGCAGCGCGCGCGAAATGAAGCGCCTCGGAAGCGGAATTGATTCCGACACGCCCTTTAACATCCACCCACTGCACCGTTTCCTTTCTTCGTTTCATTTCAATTCTTCTCGACTCTTGTCGACATTCCGATCCTATTATACGCGCGCACCTTGGCTCTCCCTTGGCGTAATCCTCTACCGCACCGTCTGGATTGAGTAGCTTTCGGACCCCGCGACACCCCGCGACACCCCGCGAAAAAAGAACCCGCAATGGATCGCGCACAGTTTCGCACTGCGGCTCACTCGGCCATCGATGATAGTGCGGCATTCTGTCCTCCCCATTCATGCCAATTGCTTATCGTGACTTTCTACAGTCCTCAATTACTTCGACACCGTCCCCGAGCGCCGAGTCCTCCCCGCCGTTGACCCGGGATACCTTCGTCCTCTAATTCCTGAGAATCCACCCGCCGAAGGTGAAGCGTGGGCGGAGATCCAGGAGGATGTCGATTCCAAGATCAAGCCGGGCCTGACACATTGGCAGTCGCCCAACTTCATGGCGTACTACCCCGCCAGTGTGACCTATCCGAGTATTCTGGGTGAGATGTATTCCGCGGCGTTTACGGCCCCGGCATTCAACTGGCTGTGTTCGCCCGCCTGCACCGAGTTGGAGACAATCGCGATGGACTGGGTTGCCCGGGCATTGACTCTACCGGAATGCTTCCTGAGTACCTCGGAGAACCGCGGCGGCGGCGTGATCCAGAACAGCGCCAGTGATGCGATCGCAACGATGATGGTGGCGGCCCGGGAGAGGCGAGTGCGGGAGATGGTGTTGGTCGAGGGTCTCCAGGAGGGCACAACTGAATACGAAGAGCGGAAGATGGACCTCCAGCCGCGCTTGGTGGCCATCGCGAGTGACCAGACGCACAGCAGTGCGGCCAAGGGCGCATTGATCGCGGGGACTCGCTTCCGCAGCGTGACGACGGGTCTGGAGAACAACATGGAGATGACCGCCTCGCGCCTGCGCGAGGTGTTGGAGAAGTGTGACCGGGACCGGCTGACTCCCTACCATCTAACCGTGACCTTTGGCACCACCAACACCTGCAGCGTTGACCGTTTTGCTGAAATCAAGGCAGTGCTGCAGGAGAAGCCGGCATGGCAGCGGATCTGGGTTCATGTCGATGCTGCGTACGCCGGCGCATCGCTGGTAGCCGACGAGTGGCAGTACATTGCCAAGGACTTTGCGGAGGGAGTCGACAGCTTCAACATGAACATGCACAAGTGGCTGTTGGTGAACTTCGATGCCAGGTAAGCCATGTCCCCTCGAAAATCTCGCTCCCCCCCCCCCGCCCCACCACATACTGACCTCTTTCAGCGTCCTGTTCGTGCGCAACCGTCTCGATCTCACCAACGCTCTCGATATCACCCCGACATACCTGCGCAACCCCTACTCGGACATGGGCACGGTGATCGACTACCGCAACTGGTCCATCTCTCTCGGCCGGCGCTTCCGGGCCCTGAAGATCTGGTTCGTCATGCGCAGTTACGGTCTGAACGGCATGAAGGCGCACATTCGCAAGACCATCGAGCTCGGCAACGTCTTTGCCGACCTCGTTCGGGGTCGGTCGGATCTGTTCGAGATCGTCACCAAGCCGGCTTTCTGCCTAACGGTCTTCCGCATTAAAAACCCACAGGCATTCTGCGAGTCCGAGTCCGACGGTGCTGCTGTCTGCCGGAAGGACGAGGTGGCCGACAGGATCACCAAGAAGGTCTACGAGCTGATCAACGCGCGGGGCGAGATCTTCATCACATCCACGGTCGTTGACGGGGTGTACGTGATCCGCGTGGTGAGTGCTAATCCGATGGCGGAGGAAAAGTACGTGCGAAATGCATTCGACATCCTCGTTCGGACGACGGACGAAGTTCTGCAACAGAAATAGATGATGCGGATTGTGTATATATTAAAAAATTAGCTGCCTGGAGATCCTGAAACTCTGCATCAACGCTGAATGAAGAATGTACATGGTTCTCCCGTGTATTGGCAGGGTAACCGCAGAAGCCGTGCCTGATGCTTCCCACCTTGGAACATTGAAGGCTCGGCGAGAGGGTTGAATCCCCGAGATTCGAGATGAGATCATAAAGCCGACTTGCGGCAACTCGGCCCGTGCAGCTTTCCCCGCGCTTTCAAGAACTGGGGATGCGCCATTCACAGCCAATTCCTGGATGAGGGTGACTGGCCTCGGAATTGGAATTGGAAGTGGAATTGGAATCATGTCCCTTGCACTAGCGCAGCTGCGCCCTCGTCCGCTCAGCGCGCGAAGATTGAACGCGACTCGCCGCTTCACCGTCTCTCGCTTTCTCGCCGGTCCGCCCGCCGCCACCGTCGCCAACTCCTTCCTGTCTCGCTTCCAGTCGCTGGGACCTCAAACACGCACGCAGACCCTCGATGCCAACCAGTTGCAGCTCCTCAGCCTTACGCTGAATCACCCTTCCCTCTTCCCCAACTCCCCGTCGCTGTCCAACACGCCTCCCCTGGACACACCGGTGCCGCCCGGTTACCACCTCGTTTACTTCACCCCGGCTTTCCTGGAATCCGAACTGGGTGCAGATGGTACCGATGCCTCGTACAACCCCCAAGCGCCGTTCACGCGCCGCATGTGGGCGGGTGGCGAGGTACTGTGGCCTCGCGGTGCGGACGGGAAGGCCAACCCGTTGCGCGTGGGACAACGAGTGAGCGAGACCACGCGAGTGCTCAGCGCGGAATCCAAGCTCGTGAAGAAAACCGGCGAGGACATGATCGTGGTGGGCGTGGAGAAGGAGTTTACCAATGAGCGGGGTGTTTCCATCGTTGATCGAAGGTCCGCGACTGCTCCGCCGTCCACTGAATTGGACTTCCCAGACTGACCAGAATACAGGAATTGGGTTTTCCGCAAAGCTCTGCCTATGCCATCTGCTTCGTCCCCGTCCAGCGCCCCAACCTCGCTCTCAACCTCCCACCTGACTCATTCGAATCCCGTCTCGACCATCTCCACCGAAGGGAACACTCACACTCGCACCCTGATACAAACCCCCGTCACGCTCTTCCGATTCTCCGCTCTGACCTTCAACCCTCATAAAATCCACTACTCACTCCCCTGGGCCCGTGACGTGGAAGGACACCGGGACATCGTGGTTCATGGACCCTTGAACCTGATCTCCATTCTGGACCTGTGGAGGGACATTCGTAGCCGGGATGCCGCAGACCCGACTGCGATCATCCCGCAGCGCATCTCGTACCGTGCGACCAGTCCGCTGTACGCCGGGGAAGAATATCGGGTTGTATTGCAGGAAGAGGGAGATACGGCGAGGGTGCAGATCCTCGCACCGGGCGAAGTGGTCGCCATGAAAGCGGAGATCCAGGCCTGAACCGCGGCGGTATGCTTTGTGTATACATTATGCACGGCGTGAGACATCGCAACATCAGTGACTCGGGGATTCCTTGTGAGCGGATCTCTCGCATGACTGACGCCGCTGCATGGGATCGACCCAAGCTTCTCTAACAAATCCAGTCTTGCAAGGCAAAGCACGCTCTCTAGATTCCGATACAATGCCAACAGCAAAGGTGGAGTTATTAGACGAGGTTATTCCGGGCCAGTGTAGCCATGTCACCAATAACATCTTTAACACGGTCCCCTTTCCCTCCCATTGCTAACCCCCGCGTCGTAAGCTTCCTTCAAGAGTTCATTGGGGCAAGGTTTCGGTGCCATTAAGAATACACAAAGGTATATACCATCACTCGTACTTAGAAGTACATATTACCAAATCTATATTGAGATACCCGCACCATCATCTTCTGGCAACAACCACAACGCCTCGAACAACTCCGCTCCTCGCCCACCAGCCAAAGACCATCTTAGCCGCACGGAACTTGCCCATCTTCATTCCATATGGCTGCGCTTCCTTGATCCTTCCCCCGAGGAAACTCGACAATCCAGTGAAGACATGCCTCGAAACATCCCTTATTTCAATGCGCGAAGGATCATATCCTGCAGCCACCAACATAGACAAATACTCATCTCGAGTAATGAAATTACTCAAAGGTGAGCCGGTAAGCCAACAGACTATTCGCAGAATAAAATGCTCCCGCCGAGTTACTCCATCCGCGAGAATAAGATCAAAGGCCATTAGCGAGGCCTGCAGGGTACTACGCGCATATTGAAGGAGAGGGAGACGCGAGGGTCGGAAGTGGTACATGGTATCAAGGGCAAGTAGCCATGTAGATGTATCGTTCTCCCCGCAAGACGTTGCCAACTTGGTTATGGAGTTCAGCAGATCCCCAGACCAACTCGAGGGATCAGAAGCATCGGCGCGAAAAATCCCTGCTGACATCTGGACGGAAGACTTCTCGAGATGACTTCGCGCTCCCCCGATTCGACTTTGGGCGAGTGCAGCCTGTGCAGGCTCGAGGGTGATTCCAATGTAGGTATCGACCAGCGGTACAGGCCTCTGCGACTCTGCACTAGAACGATGTTGGAGAGCGGTAGTAAGATCGGACTTGGATCTTGCTAAGGACACACCTTTCCGAAGACCTATTAAGTGGAGTGACTGATCACCGCATCCACATCCCACGTCCAGTACTCTGATAGACAGGCCCTTGTCTGTCAACAGACCCGCTGTTAGTACCAGGTCTAGTAGGGCTTGGCAAGCCTGCGGGAAGTCGACTGTTGACTATAGCGTGTCAGTGCAATTTAGAGGTTGCTTTGAGATGAGACCAACCTCCCAGTAGCCCATATTCATCCACATGCTCTGTGGTGGCAGCTGCACGTTGAGCACCAGGTGGTCCAGCCCGTACACGTCATTGCGGGCGCCTCCTAGAAGGCGTTTGACGAACCCTAGCATCTCGCGATAGACGAGCTCCACGCAAGCCTAACACGCGGGTGTTTTGAACAAGCGAATAGAGCCAAATGCCGTTGCAAGGGGGTGGGTCGGAATCGGCTTCGAGGTTGATGGGACAAGCTCCCGCGCCAAGCATTACGGAGACCCGACGAGCCACTTTTGATCAAAATTGACATAATGGAAGACATGCTCAACAAAGACAGGGCTCATCTCCAGTCCGTCAACCCCCGTCTCCGACAATCGTAAGCCCCACGTCCTAATCGAAACCCTAATCAAATTCGCGCAGCGCATCCACGGCTACTCCTGCCAGGGTACTACACACCTCGACGCCCTCTCAGGCCCGTGGCGTGTTCATGGACAGCCGCAGCTACGCGATGCGATCGAGGAAGCGTCGCGGCGGATCTCGTTTGCGCATACGACGCGCGGTGCCTCACGCGAGGCTATATCATTACTTGCTGATAGAATCTTTCCCCTTTGCATCTCCGCAGGCCGCGCCGGCAATGTCAATATCAGTCCTAGCCCTATGCGAAAGTGATTTTCGGCCATTCTGGCTGGGATGCCAAGGATACCATCTTAAAACTCATCCGTTTGCACTTCTGGTACATCAAAAAATCGCAACAGAACACATCAAAACAAAATAACCAGAGTTCATTTACCCAGTTGTATCAACTCTTTACATTCTAAACCAGTGGCAAGCCCGTGGAACGTCCATTATTGCGCAACAACTCAACCTTCATCCCACCCTTGAGAGAAACAGAATTCAATCTGCCTCCTAAAATCAGCCACATATACAATTTTGTTCACGCGATCTAGTTTCAACTCAATGGGCTGATTAAAATGTCGTGCCAGCACAACCTTCTGGTAATCAGTACTCTCACCACCAACACACGCACGGTACAGCACGCGCCCCATTAGATGCTTACCGCGACCCGTCTAGTACAAAGTCTGCGTCGAAGAATCGATCTCAATATCGATCGGCTCGGGCAAGTTATCAAATAGTAACCGAATGTCAGACCGGTTCTCAGCCGTTTCACCAGGAATAATGTCAATACCAGCAACAATGATCTGACCACGGCCACTTTTACTGGGTCCCTTTTGTGTCTAGCACAAAAGGCCGCGGTCGACGTCGACGGCAATCCCGACACACCATGGTGTCATTCGGTCCAGTAAGGACATCTCCGGCTCCGCACGTCGCTGTACAAGACATGAGTGGTTGTTGCCGTCATAATTGCAGCGGTGTACGCCCATCCCCACCCGATCACAGAATTAAAGCTGTTATCGCGACTCACTTGCAGTAATTTGTTTTGGGGTGTGCACTTCACTTACGGGGATGAGACATCTGATCCCGCTGCCATCTATTTCAGCGGTCCAGACAGAGCCGTCGCATGCGGCTGTAATGCGGCCCATGTTTGCCCAGAAGATGCGCTGCTTTGAGAGTGATACGTCTGGGAGACTTTGACTCACGGAGATGGGTGCCAACTTGTACGTAGCGAGATTCAAGCACAGGATCTTGCCATTCGAGTGTACTTGCGTGATATCCCGCGAGTTGGTTCCCAAACCGACGCCCAATATATAAATCTCTTTCTTCGTAGATTGTGGGTATGTGGGTGTCCTTCACGCACCTGGGGGATTTGCGAGAGGCGCATATAAGCCGCCCTTATCGCCCTTGTTGCCAAAGCGGCCTTGTTTGAGTACATTCGCGCAACCAGTCAACCGTCTTTTCGGTCGGCAGATTGTATTCTTTAACGTAGTTGTCTTCAATGTAAGCCAAAGTATCCAGTCCTACCTGGTCCATCAACTGACAGGGCAGGGGTTGTTCTTGAACATATGTTCCCATAGTAGATCGATTTCCCTAGGATCATTGACACTGTTCGCGAGGATATGTATAATCACCAGTTTAATAGCAGCCCAGAGCCGATTGAAAACGAAGCTAAAACAATCAAGGGGATCTTAAACAGCAGAACAAGACTTACCAAGTAGACTCCCTTCCAATCTAACTCATCGAGAGATTTATGTGTAGCATTGACCATAGGAGGAGAGGCAATCGGGTCTCGGGGTGACGGAGTGGAGTTTCCACCGCGTCACCCAAAAGGAATTCTTATTAAATACTAGAACTTTGTAGGAGGATGATAACTTTAGGTAGTAATTTTTAGTAATATTTTAGGGGTTTTACTAGTACCAGAGGTGATGGGGTGGATGCGTTATTGCCCTGTCACCTTTTGATACAAAATCTAGCATCTCCTAGGAATTTCTACTTGTAATAGGAAGAAATGGTAGTTAGGGAGCGGTAATCCTCTCACCCCTGCATCACCTGGACACATGTTATCAGTGATATAGATTGCACGACCGAGGTCGACTGACAAAACGAACAAATCCAGGGGATCCCGGCAAAGGTCCATGACACCACAATGTTCTTCTTGATAGTCATTGGTACCACTACACTAGAACGATAAATACAGACATAATAAGTTCAGGTCAATATTCGCCACCCATGCGGGTCTGAGGGCTACAAACAAGGCGAGATATAGGTGTTCAATAGATCATAGCGGTATGCTAGGCTGGGGTAACCCCGCGACATCCGCTAAGTTTTCAAGTTCGGCTTGCCATAGCTTTATTCTCCAACTCCTTGGCTAATCTCTCCTTGATAATTGTTGAGAAACATTGTTCATTGGATACAACGAGCATTTAGTCGTTTTCCCTCGTCATTTAGTAGTATTACTTGCAGCATTTGGCTTGATTCCGCGCTTGTGAGGACCAGCCAGGAGAGGATCCTGCCCAACTATGGTTAGCCTCCAAATCTGGGTGAGGGGCAAGTGCGCCTCGCTGACATATACACTGGCGTTTGTTAACCCTTCGACTAATGTAGAATCAAACCGCTAATCAATTGTTTTCTTTGTTTTACAGAGAAACACTTACCTATTTAGACGAAATTCACTGCGGCTTTCGGCAGCAACACGATGCTCAACCGTGTTCCTATCCCACGCTTGCCAAATTGGAATAACGATCCAAAATCACATCGCACCACCCGTGCCTGCGATGAGTGTCGATTGCGCAAAAGAAAATGCGACGGCAAGAGGCCGACATGCGCCCAGTGCGCCGGTGCAGGACTGGAGATATGTGTTTATTCCCAGTCGAAGATAGTCCAGGAGCGCCAGCAGTTGGAGTGGGCGAACCGGGACGTCGATCGTTATGAGGATCTACTTCGAGAGATATCTCAAGAAGTTGATGTATCTGTCGCGAAAAAAATCGCGAAAGCTTTGGTTTGTTTGGAGCGATGACAAGTTTCGTTCACGCTAACTGACCGTCTAGCGGCCTTCGCCTCCATGGCAGGCACCACAAGGGCAGGAATCCCTAGGGGATGCCAGTGTTGCCTCCAATACTTCGTCGGCGTCTTCCGTCGGCTCACTGAACGCTTTGGATACACTCGATGAAGACATTAATCGGAGCAAAGAGAGCATAGCTACAGGATATCTTGGAAAGAGTTCCGAAGTTGCCTGGATGCAGAGTTTGGCACTAGAAGGTAGAGTTCATCGAGGAGACAAGGGGATCGCCCAGGGCAGTCAGAATCTCCAGTCGCCGACCGATGATTCGATGACCTCTGTGAACTACCATATCGAATCCGCCTATTATCCAGGTCTAGAAGATGAAAACCCTTACACCCTACCAGCAAAAGCCCTGGCAGAACGCTTATTGAGGTTGTACCTTGACAGTGTCCAACCGTCTCTACCCATTATTCGCGAGGTGCTCTTCGTAGACCAGTTTACTTCGTTGTACTCCGGAGAGCTTAGACATCCTGGAAGAAAGTGGCTAGCCGTGCTGAATCTGATATTCGCTATTAGCAGCAAGTTGTGTCAGATTGCTGGGCAAGATATTCACGACAGGGACACCAAATTTTTCTCTCGAGCACAGAAGCTCAACATATCTGAATGCCTGGTTGAGGACCATGAAGACCTGCAGCAAGTGCAGGTGGAAACGCTCGCAGCCTTTTTTTTGTTGACATACTCACATGTCAATAGGTATGTTGCACACCGGTGTAAGCCGTGTTGTCGGACATGATCATCTGACTTTCCACAGGGCGTGGAAGATGATCGGTACGGCCACTCGTTCCGCCATCGCCTTGGGTATACACCTTAGAGCTACGCACAATAAATTGGACGCTTCAGCTCTAGAGGCTCGACACAAACTTTGGTGGTCGATTTTCATCTTAGAAAATCTCCTCTCTGTTATGACTGGGCGGGCCTCTGGCTTGGGGAACAGCTTATTCTCTGTACCACCGCCTCTCATCGCGGAAAAAACGGAGCAATTCACCGACAACACCCGTCTAGATCAGCCATCTGAAACCCTGATGAAGTGGACAATTTACCAGCAACACGAGCAACTCGAAGTCCAGCGAGCGTCGATGAAATCTATGACTTCTACCGATGGCCTTTTTTTTTTTTGTCTGGCGGATCTGATTCTGATCTCGCACACTGCTTCCACACGAGTGTACAGCGCCGATGCTGTTAACCAAGGATGGGATCAAATTCAGAGCCGTATTAATTTTTTCAACAGGACAATGGAGGGGTGGCGATCTACTTTGCCTGATAGCATGAGCTTCAAAGTACTCGACGCTGGACAGACTATTACTAAAAGCAAAGCCTATAGAATATCCCTCTATATGCATTACTATAGTTCCCGAATTATCCTCAACAGACCCTGTCTCACTCGACCGAGGGAGGGCGAGAAGAGCATCATCAATACCGATCGCTCTCGCGCGAGGGAAGAATGCTCGATTATATGTCTGCATTCGGCTCTAGCAATTATTTCGATCTTTCCTGATCAGCCAGATCCGATTTGGGCTGGTCATGCCCCGTGGTGGAACGTTCTTCATTTCCTGGTTCAAGCTATGACAATTTTGCTTATAAATATTTCACTTGAAACCTCGCTATCCAAACAGCAGAAGCGTCCAAGTTACAGCAGAGGCATGAAAGGTGGCCAACTGCCTAGCTTGCCGGAAACTGCAAATTTCGGATCTGTCCGTACCGCAGCGAAAAAAGCGTTGCAGTGGTTATATTGCCTTGGAAAATCAGAAGTCTCCGCATTTCGGGCTTTCGAAATTTGCAACAAATGTATTCGTCGTATTGCGCCAACTGGCTCTGATCTAGACGAGTTCAGCCCCGTGAACGCAGAATCGAAAGTGCATTATCTGTCAGTACCAACCGATCAGTCTCATCAACAACATCGCTGCAGGGACAATGTCCCATACTCACGATTTGCTGGTACAAGAGACTTTGGCTACGACCATAGTACCAGCATGGGCGCACAGTTCCTGGAACAAGGTGCCACGGAAGAGTTTTCCCTTCCTCAACAGCCCTCTTTCGGTGTCTTGAAGGATGAGGTGGACATGTTAGATTATATCCCTGGCTCATACGAAACACTTGATGAGATGCTACTTTCACTGGCGGGACCAGATGACGAGACTATTTAGAAATGTTGTTTATTCAATTGTTGTTCTAAATAGTTAGGGCTGCTGCGCATATTCGCGTTTGCCGATATTATCGGCAGGTTATCACGTGTAATCAGAAGTTAACCGAGGTAGACAACCATCTTACAAGTAGGGTAGCACTTCGGTATAGACCTACCTAGCGCTCCTACCTAACAACGTTCCTCGATCCCTCTGGAGACTCGAACCTGTGTAAGGCCTGACAGACTAGGCAACAGTAGGGTTCCGAGACCCGATCGTTGATAAGAGCCTGTTTTGCTTGGAATACCGCATTCACTGAAGCATGAGCACACGATGGCTCATTGTCCTCTTAAAAATCCCCACCCAAAATCCAATTCCAAAAAATATCCATTTTCCACCTAAAAGTACCTTCGGACATATCAAATTGAATATCGGCCGATCCGACCGTTTCGAGGGCCAAGGCCGGACCACTACAAAGGTGGAGTTCCTATAAGTGGGGAATAATATGTACTATGAACCTTAGGCCGCCGTCTCGCGACAAGGATGTTTGTAGTACGCACGGATGACTACCACTATATTAGTTACATAATGCAGTAACTTGGAAGCCTAGCCTACGCAAACTTGGCTTACCAAGTTCCGTCCTAGAGTGTCCAGTTTTGCCACGCAGACCTCTTCTCTCAGTGTACTTGCGGCGACGTGATATCATCCGTCTCTGAAGATTGCGTTCTTGTCTTCTACTGTCTCTCCTAAGCTGTCCGCCTCAAGCGACCAAACAGCCAAATCAATCAGCAACATGATTTCAGAATTGTGGTAAGCAAAGCTCGCAGACCTGCGCACTTTCATCCCATCCATTCCTGTCACAATCAGTTCCTCTTCACTTCTAACATCCTGCATTTGGTCAATACTGAATCTTCTCTTAGCCCTGTCTATGCCGTGAGTTCACCTCCCTCGTGGCTGGTGCGAATGTGACGACCCAAGCATCAGCTATAGTTCATCCCCTCGTTCTCTCACCACGTCTAAACCTGTTGCCCCAATTCGAGTAGCTAACTTTGAGGCTTCCAGCCATTCTTTGGTTCTATGGGCTGCGTCTGCGCAATTGTCTTCACTTGCTTCGGCGCTGCCTACGGAACTGCTAAGGCCGGCGTTGGCGTTTGCTCTATGGCCGTCCTGCGGCCCGACTTGATCGTCAAGAGTACGTTACGTCCGAATCCAGGAAGAGCTTGCAAAAAGGGATTTGCCGTTAAAGATGAATGATTTTCATTACTCGAGAATGCAACGTTAATTCAGAGCGTTGTTTAACAGGCATAGTTCCAGTTGTGATGGCTGGTATTATCGGGATTTATGGTTTAGTCGTCTCCGTTCTTGTCGCAAACGATTTGAAGCAGGACCTCGCCTTATACACAGGCTTCATCCAACTTGGTTCAGGTCTCTCGGTCGGGCTTACCGGCTTAGCAGCTGGGTAAGTTGCGTAACAGACAAATTCCCAGACATGGCTGAGGTGACCCTTTTATCATGGTTCTAGTTTCGCTATTGGAACTGTTGGTGATGCAGGGGTTCGTGGAACAGCTCAGCAGCCAAGACTGTATGTCGGCATGATTCTGATACTCATCTTCGCTGAAGTTCTTGGTAAGAACGAGACCGTATCTTCTGGAAATACGCAGAGTGAGAAGCTAATCCGTGTATAAGGACTGTACGGTCTAATCGTCGCCCTTCTCATGAACTCACGCGCGAAACAAGATGTCGAGGACTGCACATAAAATTTCTTTGCCACGACATGATATCGGAAGTAGCGAACTTCAGCAATAGAATCGTTGCTACAATGTAGCGAGATCTTCTGCAAGATTTGGTCTCACATTCATGTTGATCTGCTCACGCGTTTTCATTTTTTTGATCGAAGACGCTGGCTTAGCTAGTTATCATATTTAGGGAACTGGTAATCCGACCCCTCCTGCCTAATTTTTTGGGACTCCGCCCTTAGATAGACTTAGTTAGACCTTGCACTCACCCTCGAGTGAACCCCCGGACCCTCCGGACCCTCCACCCTCACAGCCTCACGGCGGGTGGAGGATCTAATATCTCGACCGACCCTGGTCACCCGCGGGCGTGTGGTCCCCAGGGCTAGCCAGAGGATGGAGATACTATATTCCGTATCCCATGGTGTCGGAGCACGTAATATAAGGGCCAATCAGCGGTAAAAAGAACTCTGTATTGCTATACCCCTGAATCTGGCAATTTAGTTAGTATTTAGCTGGAGTTCTACACTCTCCGGAAAGGACAATCAATTACTCTGTTTCGTTTCCACAGGCGACCAGCAGGGTCCTCGCGTGACTAATTTTAGCTGATATCTACCATTCACTTTGTGACGTCCGCATTATATGTCATAGTTTAGCTAGCTAAATTTTAGCTGTAGACTAGGTATATATTCAGAATTTCAGAAAAGTGTATCTATTCCCCCTTGTCATCAAAATATGTTTTTAGTAGACAAAGGGTAGTGTTGAACAATACTTTATAATCAATGAGACGATGGATTGGCGGCCGCCTATGATACCTGTAACGCGTCTCGCTCGCCGGCAAAGACCTTGGCGTCACGTGTGTCTTCGTCCACGGCCTACATCCGTTTAGAACGAGAGTAGATCCACACCGTTGGCATATTCCTGTCCGCGGTGACTGAAGAGTCTCTTCGCTAATTACAGCTTGCTAAGTAGCCTTGAGATACTTATTCTTGCTTAGCCATGTGGCCACGTCTTCACGGTCCCGATGAAGCCAGTGGATCTTGACGCGGATAGCATCAAGGCTTTGCTCAAGAGAACGGTCGAAGTCCTGTACCAACAAATTAGAAAAGAAAGCCGAGGAAAGAGGAAAACACATACCTTAGCATCAATAGAAGAGAAAAAGCCTTCGACGTCTTTCATCTGCTCTTCTGTGCAAAAACTGGACGTAGTCATCTGCACAAGCCGGCCAAGTTTATCGAGGGATGGCGGAAGACGCTTGACCAAGGAGTCCCAGTTGCTCTTAACCCAAGACCAGCTCGCCTCGATGCCTGCCGCATGCTTCTGGAGACAGCTAAGCGGCTCAGTGATATCTTGACTCTTGACCTCAGTGCTGATAGTAAGGTCAAGAGTGCGCCGAATGAGAGCCGGATCTTCAGCTGCCCCAAGGCTGCCCAAGGCGCTGAACCTTTCCTCCGAACTGGGGGAATTGCGGAATCGATCAAGGACAAGGTCGTATTCTTTGGCACCGCCGTGCTTCAAGACAATCCTAAAGACATCGTCGCGGATGTTGGGGTGTATAGCAGAACTGCCGAACATATACTTCGCAGCCTGGACGATAGTCGCATCCTTAGCTATACCGGCAGATCCAAATAGAAGGGCTTTAAACTGCTGCCGAACATGATCATCGCCATCAGAAAATTGCCAACCCAGCTCGTGAGCTTTATCAGAAACCAGCTTGCGTTGGAAACACTTAAGAGCTTCTTTGGTTTCGCCATTTTCGAAGATCCAACCAGTATGCAGAGTTTCAAGTACGTTTAGTATCTGGCTCCAGACTACGAACTCGGTCTCGGAGTCCATATTCTGAAGCAATTCGAGGATACTAGACGTACGCTGATGCCCTGAGGCGGCCAAGGCGCCGGCGTCGGCAATCATTCCCGCCCGGTCTTCAACGGTCAATTTGCCTAGCTTAGCGGCCTTGCCTAGTAGGGCGAGACGCTCAGGACTATACGAGGTGCGGTATAATCCAGAGTGGTCAGCATTAAGCTTAAAGAAATCCAGATCAGGCACCTTGAAGCTGCCTTCCCTCTCGGCTAGCATTAACTCCTCCACACCCTGTGTGGTACGGAGTGCGAGCATCACAGGGTAAATGACGGTGTCTTCATCCGGCCGAACGTCATTAGTTTGCAGAAAACGGTTCTGCTTCACATGAATAGTGGATGAGTCCTTGTCCTCTGTAACACTAATGACAGGGAATCCGACATTCTTAGTCCAGGTTTCCATAACCGATTTCACGGGCTTGCCACTAGTATTAGCCAAGGCTGCCCATAGATCGCTAGTCTTGGTATTGCCATAGGCGTGCGTCTTGATGTAGTTTTGTACACCTTGTAATAGAACGTCCTCCCCAAGGTATTTTGATATCATGCGTAGGACAGACGAACCCTTGCAGTAGGATATAGCATCAAAAATCTGGTTTATCTCGTCCGTGCGCTTGACAGGGACCTCGATTGGGTGACTGCTGCGTAGTGAGTCCAATGAGAAGGCATCCTGTAGGTTGTCGACAACATAATTCTCCCAGACCTTCCACTCAGGGTAGAAGACATTGAACGAATACCACGACATCCACGTCGCGAAACCCTCATTCAGCCACAAACCATCCCAGAAGTCCATAGTGACTAGATTACCGAACCATTGGTGAGCTAGCTCATGCTGAACGGTCTCGGCGATAATCTGCTTGCGCGAGGCACTGATAGTCTTCTCATCCAGTAGCAAATAGATACTTTGATAGGTGATCAACCCCCAATTTTCCATTGCTCCCTCAAAGTCTGGAATAGCCACCATGTCCATCTTCGGCAACGGGAATTGGCTATCAAACGCCTTCTCGTAGAAATCCAGCGTCTTAGCGGCAAGTTCTAAAGAAAAGCGGCCGTGCTCGATGTCCTGTTCCGGTGTAGCGTAGACACGAATCGGAATATGGAAACTATTGCTTTCAATAAAGTTGAGGTGTCCAACGACGAAAGCAATAAGATAGGTGGACATAAGGGGCGAGGTATTGAATTTGACCGCTTTCTTTCCTCGGAAATCAGACTCCGACGCAACATCCATATTGCCCAAACAAGTCATGCTTTTGTCAGCGATCAGGGTGAGAGTGAATCTAGCCTTCAGGGAAGGTTCATCAAAGCAAGGGAACGCCCGGCGGGCGTCCGTCGCTTCCATCTGGGTTGCTGCCAGATATTCTGTCTTTCCGTCCTCCATCTTATATGACGATCGGTAAAAACCCGCCATATTCTCATTGAGAATGCCGGTAAAGACTAATGTCAACTGGGTGTCAGATCCCGCTGGAATAGCCCGAGAGAAGCTGATGGTCACGACTTGGATGTCTTTGTTCAGGGAGATATCGGGCTGGGCTTCAATCACCGAGCCCTGGGAAGAGATAGCTGCGCTATGGATCTCAATCTCGTTGGAATTAAGGGAAATGAAGTTAGTCTCCTCATTCACCTGGAGACTACAAATCCGTACATGTAAGTAATTGAGCTGATGTATACGCTCTCTGCAGTAAAAGGACATACTCAATAACAACAGTTCCATCATAAGTGAAATTGTCGAAGTTTGGTTCGAGCGTCAGATTGTAGTGTAATGGCTTGACATTCGTAGGCAGGATCTCACGTCCGTCGATATTGTCTGCCGAGCGCGATAAGCCATCGGCTTGGGTGCTACACATCCTGCAATTGGAGTGGTAGGATATGTAGGGATTGATTAGAAGGGACAAGCAGCTCAAGAAAATCCGGGAAGGGCTTAAAAAGTAACGGCGAACAGGAGGGAAGAAAACGCTTTTTGCAGCCTTGCTGCTTTAAACATCCCCGCGCGATAGCGTTCCCTGACACTCGCTTACATGACTCACTCGCTTACATGACTCACTCGCTTACACGCGCAGCTCGCTTTCCGAATACGTTAACTAACTTAACTAAGTTAGGCGCAAATCCACTTAGTCATCTTTTCTAAAGTGGTAAGGCGTGTCCTAAATAGGGAAAGTGTGTCTTATGCGGGTCAGTTGGACGCGAGTGACCCTCAAGGGACCCTTGGAGGGTCAGGGTCGGTGAGGTCGGACCCTGACCCTCGGAGGCGTGCTTCTCCATACTACTTGAATCAGCATCCAAGTTGTTCCCGGCGCTGATCAATGACCAGTGTATGCAGTCCGTTCGTAGGAGGAATGGAAGTCGCTCGCTGGCCGCAGCAATGTTTCGTGAGTTTGCCACGCGCGGGCGTGTACAGTCGGTCTCGAAATCGGCTTGACCAGTACACACTCACACTCTCTCTTCCAGCCCCACCGCCAAGACTTTAGCGCAGATCATTTATTGAGCGGGCCGCACCAAACTGAGGGGCTCAGTAAAATGCGTCGTGTATATTGCAGTAACATGGTACATAAGATTACATTACGTGTATGAGAGGGAAGCCCATGGATTATTATGGAATCATGGTGGATCTCCACGAGTCATGTGGGGAAAGGCCACCTTGCGCTAGTAACCTGATGATCTGCTGGGGGACTTCTTCTTCCCTCTCCTCTTCCTTTGTGCGGTGTGTGCTATCCATCACTTGCGAGGTGTCTCTTTGGCCCAGAGTACCTCAACAAGTGATAATAGCGGCTAAGGACCATCTTGACTAGTTGGCGGTTGTTTGTAGGCGAACAATACCCTTAACGGCACCGAATGGTGTAAGCCTCAACTAATTATCACTCACCCTTAGTCTGTCGTTACTGTAGGCCCAAGAAAATGACTACTAATTCTCTCGTTAGTCATAATGATTATGGCGTTCAACATCTTGACTAGTGGGTCAATACATCATAATATGCACTAACACCTAGCAACTTTCGTTGGTTATCCGCCTCCCCTTCCGACATAAGCTGCCGTAATGTCGATCCCGTCTCCCCTGTTGATTCCGCCTCTCCAAAACAAACTGCTTTATAAAAGAACGGTCTTCCATTACTCTAGTATAGTGATTGGGAGGAAGGTCGAATATACGACGAGGATCCACCGACTTATATCCACTATTTGATCGAGTAGAAGATCACTCTCAATAATAGGACGGTGGCGAAAGATATAGAACAAGATCTGGTTCTAGCCCCTCGGTATCACTGGAGGCTCTTTTTGCAACTAAAGCTAAAGGAGCTACTTATACGAAAGTATCTGTATCGAAAACTTAAATCGGATGATACGTCTATTGTCGTATCCGCCACTTGGTAGAAAGGCTTCACTCTGAGATTCGATGGAACCAACATTGATTAGGCCTCTATAGAAAAATAGCTTTTGGATTGGGGAGACCTCTTTCTTGCTAGCAAGAAACTGAGACTGGTTATCTTATTTAATTATATGGAGAACACTTCGGCCTTAAACGTAAGCGGTAGGACGTCTAATAAACGAGGCACTTTATCTACTACCTAGCGGATACTTTAAGAACGAGACCGATAGATCTATGCCGAGGAAGTAGCTTCTGGAGAGCTACCTGCCTAGAAAGAGGTATATACTTTAATGCGCTGTCCTAGGTCCTGCGAACTGGGCCCGCACTGTTGGTAGGATCCTTATAGGAAAAAACACTATAAACTCTACTGGGATCAGCTAGAGAGCTTAGTGAAATATATGTAAAGCGGTGGGATTTTATAGTCGTATAACGATGTACCTAGAATGATTCGTGAGCAAATCTATAGAGTAGAGAGACAATGGCTCGATAGATCGTGGGCCAATAATCGATCTACCGCCGAAGTAAGCTACCCTCCTATTAGTATCATAAATGTGCTTCCTATATAAGCTCCTTAAGCATTGGGGTGGTTAACATCCATACTTCCAGAGGACACTACTACGTCTTCGGTCGAGGTTCCTGCTATCTAAATCCTAGGCCTTCTTGATGTTGCTATAAGAGAATATAGTAGCTAGTAGTAGTTACGTTTAGGGGATAAGGCATTAAAAGCCAAGGTCAGGAAGGCGTGCGATGTAGCCCTAGATGATGGACTAGACTTAGCGTAGATTAATGAAGATAAAGATCCTAATTATTTTAAGGCGCGTAGTGTTAAGTAGGGTATTGCTTAGCGTTTTGTCAAGGACATTAGGTACTAGGTAGAAAAATACAACGGATGCGAGAGAAGCGAAGGGGATATATAGTTTAAGTATTAGTTATTCTAGTGAGTATTGGTTATCCTAGTGGTTTCTTCTCGGCGTCTATATAATTTAAGATATCTTCTATGTCCTAGTTTGAGAAAATCAAAATTCATCGATTAATAGACTTATATTTCGGAAATGACCCTCCGCGCTCGAAACCCTTGAACCAACCACATCAACGCACTATTCGAGAAATGCATTAAACCCTTAGTTTGAATTCATTTTATACTTATTCCACTTACGCTTGATAAATCGTTTTAGCTTAGAGAAGAACTCTTTAATAGGGTTTAAATCCGGCGAATAAGGAGGGAGATATATTAGCTTAATACCAGTATCTAAGCATATTCGCTGGATGTTCTCTATACGATAAAAAGAAGCATTATCTATAACGAGAATAGACTTTGGCTTTAGCCATCTATTACAATGCTGAAGGACTTACTCGATGAAGTCTTCGAAAACATTAGCATTAGTCGCGCCTTAAAATACTCGATATAGGACTAGTCTATCTTAAGCATACGCAGGAAGTATCTAATAGCGTCTGTCCCTATGGAATTTGGAGACTTGCACTAGTGTTATATCTAGAGGTGACTAACTAGTCCGTCGAAAACCGGCCCTTTTATTATAACCTGACTTATCCACGAAGATTAATTGGTATGACTTGAAAGAAGATATCTTATAAAGGTAGAAGTCCCATAGATTAGTATTGCGTTCCTTGGCAATCTGGCGTGCTGCTTTCTTCGACTATCCGACCGAAGTAAGCGCCCTACTAATACTTTGAATTATTATATGCTTTCCAAATTCGTCCTATAGAAAAAGGGCCATCTCGTCTTAGTATAAGGTCGGCTTCTCTGTTAAATGTTCACGAAGAGCTTCGAGCATAGGTGGTGTAATGCTTCGCGGGCGTCTAGCACTATTTCGTGGCGCCCTAACGTTCCCGAATACTTCGAGGTTAGAGCGAATTCGTACTATAGATTGCTTGCTGTAGCTAGCCATATAAGCCATCTTAGATATTGTTAGTGAGTTACTCTCGATTATGTGATGAATGAACTCGAGCTACGGGGGTTTGAAATTTGGTGCCATAGTGCTCTAAACGAAGTGGAGTAGTTGTCTGAATGGTCGTGCAACGTGGACCTATTCTAGGTTCCGTAGGGGATTAGCCCCTGATATTACGGGCCGACGATAAGTCCGATGTTACCTACGCCGATGAATTCTATGCGATTCCAGGGGATTCTCTATAGTGTGATTAGTGCCTAGTAGGTGACATTCTCAAGCGAAGTCATATACTATCAAGGCAGTTTATCTCATTTAAGAGCTACAGTATCTACGATCGAGCTGATTCTATATAAGCGGCTGTATAGGTGGACCGAGCCGGCTTAAGTTAACCTATTTCTAAAGTTTAATGCCAGCAGAACAGTATACTATAGGTGGACCGACGGAAACCACCGCGACTCTTGGTTCTTCCATAATAATTCCAAGGGCACGTGCACCACTTAACTAGCTAGGTATATAGCCTCGTCAACCCCGCCTGCTCCTGATAAATTCCCGACCTCATTCCCACGACATCTGCTTTATAATAGTATTCTTCTCCTATGTTCCACGCAAACTAACAGGTCAGACATTATTAGGTACAATCCGATCGTAGGGGAGTCAATATATAATAGATGCTAGGACTTAATCCCACAACGATTATACGGTCGGATAGATATACGCCTTGCTAGTGGAGACGGCGGCTACAAAGCTAATGCTTAACAAAATACACCCGCCTTTACCTCGCCTACTAATAGACCAAAATATATATATTTTTGGAAACATCGGAGAACATAATGTCGTCATTACTACCTTACCAACTAGCGTATACGGAACTACATCAGCCGCAACGGTTAGGATATAGTTACTCTCTAGTTTCCACGCTATCCGCTTCGGCTTAATAGTCAGTATTGGCGGCGGAGTACCTAGCAGCTATGTAGATATTCGACTCGGGGATATTGTAGTGAGCCAGCCGACGGAGACTTCTAGGGGCGTGATCTAGTACGATTTAGGTAAAGCACTAAGCGGCGGGCAATTTAAGCGAACTAGAATGCTTAATCGACCACCTAAGGTTCTATTGACCGCTCTCGCGACTCTCTAGGCGCATCACCTCACGGAAGATAGCTAGGCTATTAGATTTATCTCTAATCTGCAAGCTAAATTATCGCCCCACAAAGCTACTAAATTCACGCGACCAACGCAAGAGGACTATTTATTCTAAGCAGAATATGACTATACTATATCTAATACGTGTATTGATTGCGATCGATCTAGATTGGTCTCACGAACCCAACGAGAGCACCAAGAACCAATAATTTACTACGGACTTATCGGATCGGCAAATTAGGTGATAAAGGATAGCAGGCGGCGAGATCAGCTAGCTCGGGACTTGGATATATATTGTGTAGAGATAGAAGCGGCAGGACTTATAAATAACTTTCCGTGTTTAGTTATTCGTGGCATCTACGACTACGCCGACTTATATAAGAATAAAGAATGGCAAGGGTATACCGCCGCGGTGGTGGCAGCCTATACGAAAGAGCTTCTCTTAGTGATTATAGTTGATCAGATTAACTACACACTAACTACAAGAGACACACTCGTAGACTCTGGTGAGAGCATATCAATAGTATCCCTTAAGTAATTCGGATCGATTGCTAAATATTATTTATATATATAGTTCACCGCTTTGATGTCCTTTTAGACCTAACGGCTATCCCAGTAATTGAAAACTTCGTGGGACGGCAAGGCGAGCTAGAACAACTCTAGTAGTATTTATAGCCTAGGGATTCCCAGTCACGAAAGGTTGCAATTATTTATGGGCTTAGGGGGATAGGAAAAACATAATTAGCGATTCGTTTCGCACAAGATCACAAACATAATTTCACTACCATTTTCTGGCTAAGTGGTAAGGACCGAGGCACGCTATTATAATCTTTGAGCTCTATCTTGCCCCGATTACTAGAATAGTCATCTACTAACGAGGCAATGAATAACGAGGAGGTGAAGCAACAAGCTAGATAAGTATTAAAGTGGCTAGTAGTAGAGGGAAACTTACGCTAGCTAATCATTTTCGACAACATTAACTAATACTTCCCATTTAAAGGCCCTATTGGCGATGCATATAATATTGCTGATTTCTTCCCTAGAGCCAACTACGGCTCTATTATTATGACTACTTAGCTACAAGGGTTAATAGAGCTAGGATAGTTATTTCCTCTCTATAAACTTAACCCCGAGGATACGATTCCGCTACTCTTATATAGTAGCTATATATCACGGAAGAATATAGCTAAGGAGATTAAGAGCTATCTAGGTATTGAGAGGCATAATACTCAGATCTTGTTTATAATACTAATAAATATAGATACTATTGCTCTTGCGAACCGTCTAGATAGACTTCCACTAGCAATAGCTATTGCTAGAGCGTTTATACGTGAAACTGGAACTAGTGTTCATAAGTACTTATAGTATTACTAATTATCTTGGTCCGACCTATAGCTACAATCAAATCCTGAACGCCAGTACTAGCAAGGTAATATGCTGCAAACATGGATGATCTTATATCGCGAGATTCAGAAACGCGACCCAAACGTAGTAGCACTGCTATTATTTCTTGCTTATTTTAATAATCGGGATATCTAGTATGAATCGATATAAAGCAGCCACTATAGCTTAAGTGCCCTAATCTGGCTGAAAAGGACAATATTAAGTGCACTAGCGTTCAAAGCTAGTATGAAGACCCTAGTTAGGCTTTCTTTTCTTAAGACTAAGGAATAAAGCGGAAGCTATATAATACACCTAATGATACAAGACTAATATATTTATCTTGCTAGCAGAGAGAAGAATATAGATCCTCTCTATCTTAACGCACTAGCGCTTATATCTATTAGGTACACTGTTCCTAGGGTAGATAATAGAAAATATCTCGAGCTTCAGCAGCGGCTTCTACCGCACGCGAAATATGTGGGCCATAAGGACTGGTTAGAGGAAAATATTAGAGTATGGGAAGCGTTGCATTAATTAGGAAATCTCTTCTATGCCTAGGGAAAGCTTGACGATTCGGTTGAGATGTACTAGAAATCACTGGCTGGCAAGGAGAGAGTCTTAGGTCAAAATCATCCTTCCACGCTTGATATAGTTAGCGATCTAGGGAACCTCTATAGAGAGCGAGGGAAGCTTGAGGAGGTGGAAGATATTTACCAGCGAGCAATAGCTAGCTATAAGGAGGCTCTCGGTCCGGATCACCTATCTACTTTTAAAGCAGTCGGCAACCTCGGGAATCTCTATAGAGATCAGGGGAAACTTAAGGAGGCTAAGGAGATATACCAGCAAGCACTCGCTAGCAAAGAGAGGGTCCTCGGTCGAGAAAATACTAGACCTCGCTTCGGGTCGGGTTTGGGTCCAACTTCAGGACCCGTACCCGCGGGTCGGGTTCATACCCAATACCCAAAACCTATACCCGTAGACCCGTGGGTTCTTGGCGGGTACCCGCGGGTTACCCGCCAAGAACCCGTTTTGGCATAAATATCCTAATTTAGTCTACGCCAAGACGCACAAAACTGCTGATTAACCTCAATAAAATACCGTTATTTATATCTGTTCCGGTCACCTCTGTGGTTCTAATTAACAAAACCCTCTTTCCCTTATAAAAGATTAAGAAATTAGTCTATTTTCTAATTAATGAATAGCAGTAATCTTATATATTTCGCTTTGAGGACTATATAATATTATTGGGGTTGTAAAAACTAATATTCATCAAAACTGTCATCAGAAGTGCGGAAATATATATAAACTATAGAATGTAGTATGTATATTTTTGCAAGGATAATATAATTCTATATTGTCCTTACAATCCTATGGCTTATAAGGAATTTTTGATCTTATAATAATCAGTATATATTCATTAAGCTATGCGTTAACTAATCGAATGCTCTTTTATCTTATTTAAGCTATTAAATGCGAAAAAGTGGATTGATTTTACCTTGATTAAAGACTTAGAAGGAAATTGTTTAAGGAAAATGGGTTACCTATAGGTTTATGGGTTATAAGCGGGTTACCCGCGGGTTACCTATTATATATATAGGCTATAAGCTAATAAGTATAGCTTTTATCTACCTATATAGGCCTTTATTGATATATTATATTTTTCACTTTAGAAGAACAGGGTACTACGAGGCCCTAGAATCTACGCTTACGCGTTGAAATTCTTTTGTAAGACTTTTGACTATCCTTAGCTAAGTGCTCGTTAATTATTATATCACTAGATGTCTTAATTCACTAATACCTATGTATTATCTTCGTATAATATAGATCTTTTAGATGACCTTCAACTCCTCCTATTGGGTAATCTAACCCCTGATCTGTTGATTAGCTAACAAAACTTCGCTTGTATCGCGAGCTCTATAGGCGATACTAATTTTATCTCACTAGGATTACCTTCGCCCTTGGTGCCTAGTTCCCTCGAGAGCGTTCGACCTAATTGTATCACTATATACGTAGTCTACTCTAAAATAATAAATAATAACTATATATAATAGTGGCTATAAACGGACTTCGGAAGGAAGAAGCGTATACACTAGGACTCGCGACACTCTTCCGACGTTTAGCACTATTTTAATTAGGTGGCTAGGGCTAGTAATAGCGCGCCAAAGGTTATATATAAGCATTGCAAGGCTATCCTTGATTATCTAAGGCTTAGAAATAGAACTTCTACGATGAAGAAATATACTACTAGCTATAGTAGGAAGCTAAAAAGCCAAAATATTAGGTAATTTATATAAGCGGTAAGCTAGCCCGATAGTCTATAGGATATACACTGATTTCGACTACTTCTATAGGCGCGGAGCCCTCTAGTCGATACTCTATTTAGCCAGGAAAAATAGGAATTAAGTCTTCTTCGATTTATTACTGAATCGAGGCTACCCTTCTAGCTTCTAGAGCATCTAGGGTTCCGTAATATAATATCTATAGCCTAAAATACCCTAAGATAGCTTGATATTCTATCTGCAAAGGTAGTATAGCGCTAGCTACGAAGTACGATGCTCGAACGCCATTAGAATATACTGTAGAAACTTCCTAAAGATAGAAAGATTTCTATTGCCCTTGACTATTAGACATCTCCTTTCTAGTAGGTATTTATGGCAGTTATGGGCTACTTCCTTAATGAAGACTAGAATTATTAGGAGCTACTTCTAGGATTTAAGCCTCTTTATAGAATACACTTAGGTATTAACCTTAGCGCTATTCTGTTCTAGCTTCTACAGAAGTACAATTTAACTAATCGAGTACTTACAATCACTACCGATAATATATCGAATAATAACACTTTAGTAGTAAGTATCTAAGAGACTGTCTAGTCCCTTAATCTTAGCGATGATACCGTAATTATTCGCGTTCTATATATTGCCTATGTTATCTAACTAAGCTTAAAGTAACTCCTAGGTTAGATAAAGGCAAATCTAAAGAACGACACTACTTAAATGTAATGGACTAAATCCTAAGACTAATTAATTCGTTCTAGATAATAAAAATGGGAGATTATTAATACTTTAAATAAGGCTCGTCACTATTAAACCTATTAAAAACCTACTTCTAATCTATTTTTATAGCTTCGAAGCTTAGCTATCTTTATTAACGTAAGCTTATAGCGCCGTGAAGCTTTCTGTAGCCTCTAGATAGGTTCTATAGCTCTTATTCCGATATAAGACGTTTATACGCGGTGGAATTCGACGTTTCTAATACTTCGTCGTGCTAAACGACTATAATCTGTCTTAGATGAGTTTTGCTCGAAGTACGGCTATCCGTATCTTATACTTAACCAAGAGTAATAGCGTTAGATTAACTATTTACTCTAGATTATATAGCTATTCTTCTAGTTCACCACTGCGCTATCGAAAACTAAAGATGTCACTGTCTATCTTGTCTTTGCTATCTATAATAAGCTCTTCGACTATCTTGAGAAGTCGATTAAGTAGCTTACAAGAAAGAAGATAGCCTAGAAGAAGCTTATACTTACCGCTCTCTATGCGGCGGAGGAAAAGCTTAGGTAGTACTATAGTAAGACGGATGACATTCCTAGTGATCTCTTTGCTATTAGTATAATGCTCGCACCACAACATAAGCTCTAGTTCTTCTAGAGTAAAGATTGGGGCCCTAAGTGGCTTACTAGATATAGGTAAAGCCTAAACATAGAATCGCCCGGTAGGGGGGGGGTACCCATAGTTAAAAAGTCTTGGCAAGGGGGGGGGGTACCGAGTCAACACGGTACCCCCCCCTAAGTAGGTCAAATCTTAGTATTTTTCGATCGGGTCTTTTAAATCTTTTAATATTAAAGCCTTTCCAATCTTTTGGCTTATTTACATTTTTAGATTTCGACCTAGAATAGTGAGGGCTAAGGGGGTCTGGTTTTCGTGAATTATTTTTGATGGGGGATACCAAGACCTTTTCGCGCGGGTAGCCTATCCCTATTTAAGCTAGACATCCCTTATGTAAGTACTAGGCTTAGCTATTAGGCTAACTTCTAGACCCTATAAAGTCCTTAAGGCTAGTATCAGGGCTAATAGTAATCCTTTAATATCTCGCGAACGAGGTAAGCTATTAGAATAAGGGAAGAAGTTCTAGATACTATAGCCCTCTCGCTACTAGGCTAGAGGATTTATATTACGTAAGCAAGCCTTATACTAGGATAATTAGTAGGGAAAGGGAGTTTGAAACTTTTTACTAGATGACTAATCCTAGGTAGGCTCGTTTAATAGAGGGAGTCTCGGCGGTTAGATTAATATTAGTAGTATCTTAATTAGGCTAGTATCCACGAAGTTATTAAGCGATGAAATCTATTAAGCTTAGTGGTTATAAATATAGATCCGAATGATATATCGTACTAATATATAAGAGGAATTGATAAAGTGATATATTCTTAATACTAGTAGGATATATATATTAATTCTACTAGAGGTATAGCGTAAAGGGGTCTATCCCATGGGGGTAAGTGGGATGCAGTTCATCCCAGTAGAGTAGGGTTTCGTTAACTATGGGAGCCGGTTTGTTCATCCCAGTAGAAACGCCTATCCAGATCCCAGTAGGCTTTTTTTGGTCGGATCCCTATCGAAGGTCCGTTAAATTTAAACCCAGATCCCCCGCGTATTTTATGAGATTTTTAAGCCCATCACCCAAAATTAAAGGGTGGTTACAAGGATCCAAAATATGGTTAATTATTTTGATGGGGTGCGACCGGGCGACATTTAGGATTTCCATCACACCCCATCACATAGCCATACACCACCAGCCACCAGACCATGCGATTCATCACAGTAGAATGAATAGGGGTTTCGTATTACAAATCAAGCGGTGGTAGTTAGGGGGGATTTCCCAAGATCCAGTTTCATTTTAAACATCATCCACGTCGATTCAAGAGGGTATCATTTAAGTCCATTCGCCGTGGGTTCAACGCACCAACAATATATATTCCAGTCACACGATGGACAACCATATTAATGCCCACGATTATTTCATATACAATCCAACGTACCACGTTGCCATTTGTAAGAAATGCGGGCACGCCGTGGTTCCCCGAGATATCATCGGCCATTTAAGTAAGCGGCGCGGTGATCATTATATCCCCGAGAGTGTTGCGCAGCGAGTGAAAGAAATCATTATCGATGAGTGGGACGAAGTACACAACGAGCCCGGTATATTCCCCACGCAAGTAGAGCAGCCCATCGCGGGTTTAACCGTCCATACCGATGGGATTAAGTGTTCATTTTGCGTGTATGTATGTCGATCCCCCGAGAGTATTCGGAAGCATTGGCGGGTTACCCATCAGTTTTCCCCGTACCAACAGAGTCGGAAACCGCGGCCATCCGAGACGGCCGCGGGACAGGAGAAGCGAGACCAAGCAATGCAACGAGTGGTGTGCCAGCGGTTTTTCCGTAGCAAATTTGGGTCGCATTACATCCATGTTCGACACCCCAGTCCCGCGTGTGAGCCCGCCGCACCACCGCCCCAGGCCAGTCGGGTGGCCCAAGCCATCGATAAGATAGAAGCGATATTCGCCCAGCAGCGGCAGCAGCCCGCCGTGATCCAGGCCGGGGAAATCGACGAGGCCAACCTATGGTTAGACCGCACCGGATGGGCCCGTTATTTATACGGCCAGACGCCCAAGGTATTACGTATATGCGTGGAATCCCCCGCGGACGACGCCGAGGGCCCCGAAGCCACCGTGTGGGTGATATAGGATGCTATGTTGGGGGTGGCGAGTAAAAGCTAGAGCATCACTAAGTAGACCGGGCATTTGTTACGGATCGAAGCGGCGCGCACCGACATATAGAGCATCCCATCGAAGCCATTACAGGCGTATATGCACGAGCACGCCGAGTTAGAGCGCCACGTCGAGCCGTACCAGCGGGTGTTGATGTTTTTTGCGCGGATGTAGGTCCCCCACGAGTGGGAGAGTCCCGTATACCGGTTTAATCGCTAGCAGCGTATCGCATGGGACGCATTGTGGCGGGCCGCCCAGTGTCTGCACGCGGGCCGGCCCGTGCAGAACCCCATCGACGGTGGGGACGACCAACCCCACCGGTTAGAGCCCGTGGAGGCGCGATGTATGGATTTTGTGATTGAGTTGTTGAACCAGCGGATCCAGTCGAGTGAGTACGAGTGCGCATTCGTATATGCATTAGCTGTATTAGGCGTGAGCGATCACGAGGGCGGCCGGCCATGGAAGGATCCCCACAGTTATCCGCTGATATTATCTAGTATGATCAAGGTTTCGCGGTTTGTGATCGTGCACAAGGTATATTTGTTAGACCCGGACGCCCGCGAGTTATTCTAGGGGATGTAGAACCAGTGCGATGGGGAGTGGTCTAGGCCCAGCCTAATGGAGGATCCCGAATATATATTTGGCGACGAAGGGTATAGCAGTAGTCCGCCCTCCACCCCACCACCCCAATCCCATCCACCCCGATATTATCCAGTTCCCCCGTGTTTGACAGTGTTACCCACGAGATCCAGTATCCCCGCGCTATCCCGTTCGCCCGCCGTGGCATTCACCCAGCAGGGGCGGCAGGGACCGAAGACGTTCCGCGAATAGATCCGTATCATGACCAATGCATTCATGGTACACGGCACGGCCACTCCGATGGAATGGATGTTGGATTTACGCCGATATAGGTTAAAGGTCCATTATAACACCCCGTCCGACGGGCACATTGGTTGGGAAGGCCATAATCAGTTATCGTACAAGACGATGCGGTTCACTATGGGGGCATTTCGTGGGTTTGTCTATGGGTTGACGGCCAGCACGCGGCAGTTATTTACCGACCATATGTTGATGTGCCGGCCCGATCAGATTCCGGCTATCCCGTGGGATCGGATGGCGGATGATTTTAACCAGCCCTAGGCGGGGTGGAGTTTTTTGCAGGATCCACGTACGTCGTGGCCGGTCCATAGGGCCCTAGTGGATGTCCGATCGAGTGCGTACGGAGCGTCTATTACAGCAGTTGTTTATCCACGCGGATGAAGGGCGGTTCAGTATCGATGGCATCAAACGGTTTTTCGGGTTCGTGGCCGATTTCAAGGAGAAGTTAGCCGTTATTTCGCACATCACCAACGGCCAGCCCGCACGAGGGCCTGAGTTATTGAGTATTCGTCATCGTAATACGGCCGCCGGGGGACAGCGAAACGTATTCATCGAAGATGGATTAGTGGCGTTAGTCACGCGGTACCACAAAGGGTTTTACGCCAGTGGGGACGCCAAGGTGATCCATCGGTATATACCCCGCGAAGTGGGCGAGTTGATCGTGTGGTATTTATGGTTGGTATTGCCATTTGTCGAGCAATTACAGGCGTATTATTAGCAGATATGCCAGTCACCCGCCATTCCCGATACGTAGGCTAGTAAGATATGGGGCGTCGATGCTGGGACTGGACGGGAGTGGACGTCGGTGCGTTTAAAGGATGCATTAGTTCGGGAAAGCAAGATGCGGTTACACCATGGATTAACGTTGGCCGTATACCGGGATATTGCCATTACCATCAGCCGACGGTATTTTAGCAATGCCAAGCCGTTTCCGCACAACGTCCGCGAAGACGGGACCGAGGTGATTACCGATAATAAGGAGAACGAGGATTCCATGGACGATGAGTAATGGATCCGCTATATGGCCGATTTATAGGCCGCGCACACCACGCATATTGCCGAGATAGTATACGGACGGATGATGAGCTAGTAGCAGGGGACCACGGCCAGGCGGCAGGCCGGGTTTCGGACGAGCAGCGTCCATTGGCATGATTTTTTAGGGTTTGACATCAAGGACATCCCCAGTAGCGTATTAGGTAAGCGGCCACAGCCCCGGTGGAAGGATAAGGGGGTTATGATATGGGATGAGCGGCAGCATTTAGTCGAGACGACGAATATGATCGAGGCGTTACAACGGATGACCGGACAGCCCCCGATGCAGTTCCGCGGGGTGCAGGGGGCCGCCATCCAGTCGATCTAAGCAGGCCATTCCCGGGTAGTGGTAGTAATGCCCACGGGTGGTGGGAAAAGTATATTGTTTATGTTGCCCGCGTGGGTGGCCCAGCGGGGCGGATTGACGGTGGTGGTGGTGCTATTAACGGCATTACGCGGGGATTTGCAACGGCGATGCTAGGCCGCCGGCATCCTATATATGGAGTGGGATAGCCATCGCTATCCCGATTATGCCGCTATTGTGTTTGTGACGCCTAAGTCCGTATTCACGGACGGGTTCCAGTCGTTTTTGAACCGCCAGCGCGAGTTGATGCGGTTAGACCGGATTGTTATTGACGAATGCTATATGATGTTGAATAAGTCCGAGACGTTTCGCCCGCAGTTACAGCAATTAGGCCGATTACATCAGTGCGGCGTGCCGATGGTGTTTTTGACCGCGACATTACCCCCATACAAAGAGGCCCGGTTGTTTGAGCGAATACAAGTTGCGCGGGAGGACATCAGTATGCACCGCGAGCGTACCAATCGCCATAACGTGGCATACCGGGTGTACCGGCCCATGATTACATCGAGATATCGTTCCCAGACGCAATAGTTAGAGGATCTGGGGGTCCGTCATTTCATCCACGAACGGGTGCAGCGTGCCCGGCCCGGTCGAGTGATTGTGTATGGTAGCACTAAGCCCATCGTGACCCAGGCGGCCGAGATATTGGGATGTTCCGCATTTTACAGCGACTAGGATCGTAAGTTGGGAATATTGGAACAGTTCCGGCGTGCCACGAATAGGGTGATTGCGGCCACCAGTGCGTTAGGTATGGGGGTGGACATTCCCGATATTCGATGCATTATTCATATTGGGTTCCCCCAGTCATTGTTAGATTATACGCAGGAAAGTGGCCGTGCCGGGCGAGACCGTTTACCCAGTGAGGCCATCATCATCCAGCCCGAAGGGGTTTGACGAGGTGCTAGTATAGTTTGACTAGGACACGGACCGTGAGCAAGCCGGGTTAGAGTTAGTGCGGCAATACATCGCCGGTGAGCACCGGTGTCGCCGAGTGTTGTTGGATGGGTATTTGGATAGGCCCATGGATGGATATACTCGTGCGCAGTGCGGTGACCAGGACTAGCCATTGGAAGTTTCGTCGAGCAATGGTGTGATCAATGTGACCCCGATTAGGAGGCCGCGGAGTCCGTGATCGAAAGCAGTGATATAGACAGCGATATCGAGATACAGAATGCCCGTGCGAGGCATCCCACGCAGCCCGTCCGCGCACGGGGTCCCTATCGAGGCGCAGCACCGATACCGCCAGCAGGAGATCGTACAGACCGCGATTTCGGAGCGAGTGCGGACGTTAAACCGCGCAGCAGTTGTCGGACGAGGAGTTTTTGGCGTAGGAGGCCCGGCAGTGGAACCACCGATGTTAGTTATGCGTGCAGGCGCAGCGAGAGGATGTCTAGCATGATTTGTGGGATTGTCCCGCGGAGGAGAGTGTTGAGTGCCGACGATAGGTGCGGGGCGATTCGGGATTCGATCCAGTATACGTCAGGTGGGTTTTATTATTGTTATTCGTGTGGGATACCGCAGTCGATTTATCCCGGTTGGGAGGCCGGCCGGACGTATGAGTACCGGTAGTTTTTGTATCTAATGATGGCGATGTTGATCCATTGGCAATGGCCGGATGGGCGGCCGGGAGGGTACAAATAGTGGTGTCAGCGGATGAAGAGCGCGCAGTGTCCGAGTGACGGATTTAGACGCGGTTCGAGAGTATTTGGGGCAGTCGGTGGACACTAGGCATTCCCGGTTAGCGCATAAGTATGTTTAGTTGCGTCGGATATATCAAGAGCATAGGTTTTAGGAGTATTGCCAAGATATAGTAGATTAGTGTTTTGATATTATGTTAGTATTTGAGATATTATATTTGAATACGAACATTTCTAGATAAGACCAATAGGTTAGAGAAGATCATATAGTTAGGGTTATCGGTGTTATAGTTTAAGTAGAGTTTCAGGGTTTAATAGAGGGGTATAACAAAGAAGGTCCGGTAGGTAGTTATCGAGGGATATAATAAAGAAGGTTTTGGGTTTACATCGAGGAATATAACAAAGAAGGTCCCAGTGAGTAATCATATAGGGATATAACAAAGAAGGTCCCGGTAGGTAGTTATAGAGGGACATAACAAAGAAGGTCCAGTACGTGGTTATATCAAGGAATATAACAAAGAAGGTACCAATACATAGTTATATCAAGGTCGTAGACATAAATAGTGATGGGTGCCAGAAAACAACAATAGGTATAGGTGGATATATAGATAGAGACCAGTAGTATAGGTAAAGAAAAATAGGGCGTTTTAGTTGCACGGGTAATGGGTTCCCCAGACATCGAGATATTAATAAATAGACCCCATACCAATATCATCGTATTAGGACATCAAGATATATATATCGTAGTCGAAAGTCGACAATACATAGGTTGTAAGTCCAAATCGTGGTTAGGGTTATCGATATTACGGTTTTCGATAATATAACGTTTAGGCGAGAGGGTGGCTAGAGTGAAAAGTCGCCGAGAGAGAGTATTTCTAGATATTTAGTCCATAAGGGTCGTGGTACTAGTAATTAGCGGGGTAGTATCATAATTAGGGATATTAGGCGGTGTTTAGGTTGATTAGTGGCATTGGGTGCGGAGTGGAGGTTTTCGGCGTCACGGTGATAGTAGGCATCAATCGTAATAGGGGTTAGGCGCCAGTAATCGATTTATATAGATATATAGGTTAGTAGGTATAAATAGTGACGGGGGTCAGAAAACATAGGTGCGTATATCGAGGTCGTAGAGATAAATATTAACGGCCATCAGAAAACCGCGGTGGGTCAAGGTGGATATATAGGTGATTGGCATACATAGTGATGGGGTTAGAAAACCAAAGTAAATATATAGGGGACTGGCATAAATAAATATATAACACGGATAAGATAGGAAAGATATATTTCATCGGAGACATAACATTTTAATATATATATATATGTATATATATATATTATAGGTGGTGATTATAGTGAAAAGGGTATAGGTTTCGACGAATAGAACGAGTGAGGGTGATTAATATAACAATAGGGGGTGATAGAATAGCGTATAGTATGCGAGATCCATATTAGCGTAGGTAGTCAGGGTTATTCGTTGGCGTAGGTGGTTAGGGTTATTCGTTAGCATAGGTGGTCAGGGTTATTCGTTGGCATAGGTGGTCAGGGTTATTCGTTGGCGTAGGTGGTCAGGGTTATTCGTTGGCGTAGGTGGTCGGGGTTATTAGTAGGTACGTATCGTAAGGGTATAAAAAAGGTGATGGATATTAATATATACAGGTGTTAATAAAGGCGGGTGGGTAGGGTTAGGTAGAAGAGATTAATGTTAACGGCCGTCAAAATATCGGTAGAGATTAAGGTCAATATACCAAGAAAGAGTAGTATAGTTTAGGGTTTTAGTAGAGATAGGCGAAGACAGTGAGGGTTAGAGGAGGATATACGTAGTGAGGGTTATCAGTTAATATAGGTAGTAAGAGTCATAAAGATTAGGAGAATCAGGGTTATAGGGGGTAGATATATAAGGGAAGGGTGGTTAGGGTAGAAAATAGGAATGGGATTAAGTTAAGAAGTAGGATAGAGGGTAGGATAGAGGGTAAAAGTAGAGAGTAAAAGTAGAGAGTAAGATAAGAAAGAAGATAAGGAGTTTTAATAGAATAAGAAGTAAAGTAGAGGGTAGAAGTAGGATAAAGAGTAGGATAGGGAGTAAAGGGTTTAGGAGTAAAAGTAGAAAAGGAATAGGATAGAGAGAAAGATAGGATAGGAAGTAGAATAAAGAGTAGAAATAAAATAAGAAATAGGATTAAAAGAGTTTAGGGTTTAGAGTTTAGGGTTTAGG